ATGATCCAAGTCATAGGCTGATTGAGGTATTGCACTGTCAATAGTCATCTTTAGACTCATATCCAGTCTCCATTGATGCATCATCCATCATCATCCTATCTGGTTAGCACCTCCTGGTTAATTTGGAGTACCTGATGTAGTTAGTGCTCATGTCAAGCTTTTCATGTGTGCTGCAGCCTTGCTCATGCCAAGTGTAAATGAAGTAAAACACTTTAGTATGCTCAAACTTTACTGCATCTTCAGGGGATATAGTCACGTCCTCTGAGACTTTATAGGGCATAATGTTGTCTCAGGATTGTGTCTGAGATTGTATTTGTGAGTGACAGAGGGCATCTTAGAGGCCAGGAATTGAGCCTCTTGTGCTCTTTCTAGTTTTTGTGTCTATAATCTAGTTAATAGCACCCTTAAAGAATGGCGATTTCACTCACTGATATTCCTTAATGGAACATTTTCACACCAGCATCATTCATCTGGCTGACTGCATCTTCAGTGCATTACACGATGATATCATTAGACCCTGTAATATAGTAAAGGACAGTTTGCATCCCTTGAAAAAGCACCACTGTCACAAATCAATTTGATAAACTCTACCTTTGAAGCAATTTCACTTCACTAACATTTATCAAGTTAGCAAAGCAAGTCACCAGCAATACACCATTCTCATTGGTCCATCAAGCAGAACAAGTATCAGCAGGTTAAAATTTCATGCCCTTAGTAATATTCTCGATGCCATTCTTTTAGCCTAACACTGAGCTCCTTTCAGTTAACACTTTTCAGGCAGAACTCAGAGGTATCTTTCTTTTAAGTTTAGACTTTAGACTCTATTCACTCAGACCTTCTGCTAGATTTTTTGTGATGCCTCAAATGAGCACCATCGACTAGTTGAAAGCGCAGTGTTGGTAAGCTCAGCCACTTGAGGAGCGATAACTGGAGCTTGTTTCGAAGCAGAATGATGTTCACATTTAAAACATTTTACAGCACTCTTCTTTGACATTGTGTGTGTGCTGGGTCCTATCTAAAGATGGCTGTTATGACCTATTGTGGCTGTAGCAAAGACAACTGAGGAATCATGTGCCTTTGTCACACTGGCAGCTGTGAGAAGGCCTCTGACTCTTCCAACACATTTTAATCAGTTTAATACAGTAAAAACTTTTATTAGTGTACCTCATTGAGCTTCATCTGGAGCCTTTAAGATCATCTCAACAACTAAAAAATGAGAGTCAACCATCCACAATATGAAGTTCTCTCATCTAAAGTGCTGACTTATCTGATTGCTCTTCTCAGCAGACTCAGAGTGTGAGTGAACTTATTTCATAATAGTATAAAGGGGTTTTAAATTTAAATAGTGGAGAATGAGCACATAAACAAAATGAGTGGTAAGCTGATACTTTGCAATGTTGAGGAAGTGTATCTTCAGATCACATGCTGTTACTCTGGCATTTGCGAAATCTGCCAGACACTTCTTAATATATATCTGTTACTGTAATAATAATATGCTGGAAATTATGGGCTTTTCAGTGATATCAGTTATTAAGAATAATCTTTACTGCTTATAAGTTACATTTAGAACTTAAATATCCATCTAATAAGCAGGCTCTCAAATATAAGGATTATTTCCTTAAAGTATCATAAGCTGATCTCAAGATAATTCAGAGGATAATGCTGAAGATTATCTAAAGCCAAAACTAATCTAACAACTTGCACCTAGCCAGAATTAAACTCTTAATCTCAGGAGAAAGTCATATGACTAAATAACTCTACACACTTTAACCACTACACTATATCAGCTTATCAATATACACTTATGCATAACATATATAGTAAATTTTGCTGAAAGGATTTAGACAAATTTTGCTCATCATAAAAATGGTAACTGAGTTAAATATAGGACAAAGAATGTTCATCATGGGATCTTTAGTACATACTATACTGTTCAATCAAATTGTTATATCCTCTTTAATAAGAAGGCTGTGCTTATAAATTCTAAGTTTAGAAACTAAATCTTCAATAGTGCTTACAAGATTAACAGTAGTTTACAACATATATAAAGTTAATATATAGGTGTCATAATGTAAATAGCAGTATAGCAGCTATAAAATGTTACTAAAAACATCATTTATCTTATGTTTAACTTAGTTACCATTTTTGTGATGAGCAGAACTTGTCTAAGTCCTTTCAGCAAAATCTACTATATATGTTATACATAAGCATATATTGGTAAGCTGATATGGTGTAGTGGTTAAAGTGTGTAAAGTTGTTTAGTGATATGACTTTCTTTTAAGGTTAAGAGTTCAATCCTGGCTAAATCCAAGTTGTTAAATTAGTTTTGACTTTGAATAATCCTTTAAATAATCTTTAGCATTATCCTCTGCACTTCAGGGTACCCTTCTGACCTCAGCTTTAATATAATCTATAGTGTGATGACAAATATCAGTTATGAAATGCGATTTTCAGAAGCACACAGGCTCCATAATATTATATTTCTTACGCATAAACCTATCTATATGTATTTTTAGAGACTGCAAATGTGCATGAGTTGACAGAGACATCTAGGTAAATAGAGTTAGTAGTAGGATCTAAAGGTTTAGAAACACTCACCTGGTGGTTGTGGACAGAGATTGATGGCGAGAAGTCTTTTTCTTATTTGACAGGCTTTTCACTTAATCAGGCAGGTTATGTAAAACATATGTCATGAATATAACAGTAGGTAATAGACAATTGCAAAATTAACATTATTGTTGTCATTGTTGCTATGCATGACCATGTTACAGAACACCCGAACATGCAAAAAAACCTGACTTTTGCTGAGGAAATTAACTATATACAAAACTGCAGTACCAGGTGCAACAACAAAAATTACCCCCTGGCTGATTTAAACAACTGACCTTACCATGACACACTATAAGTGGCATGCTCTACCAGCTCAGCTAAGAGGGCACTTCACTGTATCTCAATGATTGATAATAGATCCCAGTCATGAGAAAAGCTGTATCGATAGTGGTGTACATTACAGATTTATGAGTAGGATAAAAAGCATAAGAAACAAATTGAATTGAAACTACAAACTACAAACTACAAGTCATCAACCATTCCCATGCAGCAGCATTTAGCTCTCTTGCATCTCTAAGTGGTGCATGAAAAACTTCTCGTAAGTCACTAACTCCAGTATTAATATTGGCAATTTGTGCCATAGATATACGCTCACCTTCAAGATGAATGAGCAGGTCTGAAACCTGAAAGTCCAGATGAGTAGATAGAAATGATATCATAAATGTGCAAAGATTTGCAATGCACAGATTGAGAGAAAGCACTGGAGTTTGAGTGTTTGCAGGTGAGAATGACAATGACTTGAAGAGCCCAGAGTTCATGGTGGTGGTCATCATGCCATCAGTGGTAGTAACAATGTCACTTCAGGGTGCCCTTTATCCCTAGCTCTTAGCAATATGAACGCTCCACTGGCATCTGCGAGCCTGCAAGTACGACATCAGTTAAGTGCTGGCTTTGTAAGTGCGACATTCACTGGAAGGTGGGCAACACGTGTTTCATTCTTGAGGTCCGTGCACACTCCTCTTAAGTAGGAAGGAAGTGCAGACACGTCCCCTCACCTCCTTTCTCTCTACATGCTGCCCGTCCCCATTCTGATCTCACTTTTTTCTACTGCTCGATCTCCTAGATCTCTCACAATCACTGACTTCTTTGCTCCTGCAAGTGTGATTAACAAAGACACATTAACGATCCAGTCCAGATCAGGCTCTGGCAGCTCAGGAGGACCCAATCTCCCAGGGCTGATGCCCCTCATGATCGAGAAAAAGAAGAGCGAGAACCTGGTGAGGGTCACCCATAATCTTCTTTTGCAATGGTGCAGAGATGCGCAGGAGGCCAACGTTCCCAGTGATGAACCTCTTCTTCATGACACCTCTCATCCCTCCACTCTCACCCCTACATTACCTCCTACATCCATTCCTCCCACTAATAATTATCTTGAACTTTTTTCCGCTTTTTCCCAATTTTCCCCTGGCTCTCAGAAAAAAGTCCAGACCTTAATCAATACTTCGCTACCTTTAGCTACCAATGTAATCTCCGATCCCGTTCCAAAATTACTCTTTTCCATTGAATGCGAGCACCCTTTCTCTTCCACTTCTCATGCTCAGAGCTTCGGAATACACCCCTTCACAATCTTGGACACAATGGAGTACATATTCCCTTATCTCTTTTTACCACTTCTGCTACAAACAAATTACATAATCATGCCACTTCAATCAAGCAGAACATCATTTACAATTCCAGTGAGGTGAAGTGCCACCTGATGGACCTCACTCAATTCTAAGCAGAATCGGAAATGGATGCGGAAGACTGGCACAAAGCCTGGAACCGGTATAATTCTTTTCTTCACACACATGCAGACAAGGCAGTCACCCAATGATAGGAAGAACATTACCACTTCCTGTCGAAGCAAGATGACTTCAAACGCAACTTCCGCGCCATTCTTACTTTTGACGTCGAGCAGCGAACACGTTACTCCATATCACCTGAAGCGTACAATGAGGACGTGTACCAATGACGATTCGAGGCAGTCAAATTGGAGTTGTTGAGATCTCAGATCCTTATCGACAAGCAGGCACCGCGCCTGCAGTTCTCCGGACCTGACAGGAACCCCAGCAAGGGTGGTCGTGCCTTCGAGCCATATGATCGGGATGCTCATCGCAACCCTCGCAACACCTTTACAAAGAAACCTTCCTTTCGAGATGGCAAAGGAACTGATTCCAGCTCTACTCCCCTCTGCCTCTGCTGTCATCGACCTGGCCACAAATTCTCACAATGCACGAAAATGTCAACAATGTAAGGTGTCGAGACACTCGCGAGATATCTTAACAACAAGCTTGTCTTGCATTCCAACTCTGCCCCCCTCTGCATCACGTTTCAGCTCAACTCTGCCAAATGCATCTGCAAGCAGCACCATCCTGAACAGCATCTCTGTTCCTTCTGCAGCTCCTCCAAGCATGGAGCCTGCACACGAAAATGCATCTAAGGAGGGCGATGCAACCCTCCTTCTTGGTGTGCGGCTACATCTTCTTGATGAATTTGTGGAGTGGCACCCCCCTCCAAATCTCTCCGCTCTCGATGAGCCTCACATATTCTTCGATGATTTGCACTTCGAACCCTCTCCATTTGACCGTGATCCCGATTTCTCGCTCATTCTGACATTGTACTCTGCTCCTGACTTCAAGCAATATCTCGACAATGCAGATCTCCTCTCACGATACCCCGAGCTATTCTTCAAGCTCACACATAGCTTCCCACTTGGAGACCTCCCCCCCATTCTTGAGTCCTTCATCCCGGACAACCTGCTGAGCACGAACATCTATACTGACATCATTCGCAAATACATCTCTGAAGAGCTCTCTCTCGGTCGCTTCTCAGATCCCTTTACATGCACTCAACTCGAGGCAAAGATTGGACCTTTCCGATCATCTCCTCTCCAAGTCGCGACCAAAGTCGGTGCCTGCAGTGAACCTGACAAGTTCTGCATCTGCCGACATCTCTCGTACAAAGGAGTACTGGGTCAATCCGTCAATGATGAGATTGATGCCAAAGACTATCCCACGTGATGGGGCAAGGCCACTGACATAGCAAAAATTGTACATCCTCTCTGGCAGCTCTCTTCTCTCCTCTTTTCCTCTTTTCTCTTTTCCTCTGCATCTTCATTCTCCCAAACCTACTTCCTCCCACACACTCTGCCTTCTCGGGCTTTTTCTCACACTTGCGCCCTCTGCCTTTCCTTGTCTCATAAAGCATTCTCCCACATCTCGCACGCACACTCTCCCGCTCCTGTTGTGCTAACTCACATGTACTATCTCATGCATATCTTCTCATGCACATCCTATCCCTCTGTTACAATATCGTGCTGGTGCATTCACATCTCATGGTCGCTGCAGACTCCCACTCTCTTACGAGTTGGCAGAAGCATTTCACCAGAGACAATGAGACGTCCACAGGGGCTCACACCCCTCAAATGCTCACCAGCTCCTGGCTCGAAATGCACACCAACCAAGTAAGGGACCATGATTCACACATCAAATCATTACCACTCCTCCATCTACACTCTTATCTCAGACTCACTCTCCGTGCTCGCATTCTGCAGATCTCATCTGCACCACCGGGCACACAAGCCACCACCCTAGATGTGGCTGGAGCATATCGTACAGTCCCGGTCAAACTGGATCACAAGCGATTTCTCGTTGTACTCTCTCAAGGTTTCTTCTACATGGACCACAATGTCCCATTTGGCCTTGTGTCGGTGTCGTGTCTCTAAGGAGAGATCGCTGATGCCACGGTGGACATCTGGGAATCCCTCAAAGTGTCACCCATTGTAAAATGGGTCGACAACTTCGCTTTTTTTCACTTCCCATATATAATGGGTCCCTTCCTTGCGGATGGCTTCTCATACCATTATGACCTTGCACATGCGAAAGCGCTGATAGCCCCTATGGGCATCCCATGGCACCTGACAAAAGGCCAGAATTTCGCTGACTGCTTTGACTATGTCAGTTTCCATTGGAACATCTCACTACACACCATTTCCCTCTCCGAGCGCAAGCGTCTGAAATACCTATCTCACCTACTCCTGTTTCTTCAAATGTACGAAACTGCTCAAGTCCCGAAGAAGGAAGCTCAACGTATCATCAGCAAACTCTCACACATTACCTTCATACACACACGTGGACGTACATACATGAGCAACTTATATGCTTGGCTCCGCACCTTCAATAATGACTTCGCACCATGCTACATGCACTTCTCTGTCATTTCAGATCTACGATGGTGGCAGACCACCCTCTCTGTGCCTTCTGCACCTCGCTCACTCTCCATCCATGGACCTACTCGGAACTACAGTATATGGATAGATGCTTTCACTAGCACTGGCATCGGCATTGTTTGGAATGGCCACTGGGCGGCCTGGCATTCACTTGAGGGCTGGAAGACACCTGGTTGAGACATCGGATGGCTCGAAGGCATTGCGGCTGAAATTGCCATCCTCATCGCATACAAACTCGGCATCTGGGACACCAATATCCTAATTAGGAGTGACAATGAGGGTGTCATCGGGGCCTTTGAGAAAGGCCGCTCCAATAATGCGAAGACCAATCTCTGCATTCGTCGCTCCGAGGAAATCTTCTGTATCTCGGGCTTATCTACCTCATTTATATATGTCAACACCAAGGACAATATTGCAGACCATGTGTCACGAGGGATATACCTGGAAGAATGTTTTTATCTACCTCTCTTCATCACACTCCCCAGATCCATCTCTCACCTCTTTGCTCATGAATGACTCATCTCCCATTGCTCACCTCCTACGAGACGTCGATGTCGATGCTCAGGCCACAGCTTTCTTCTCACAGATTGACAATGATGTCCACCACATCGCCACTCTCCCACCTCCCGGAGGACGTGTACGTGTCTCTTGTTGTCTGACTCTCCAGAACTGTATCATTGTTTCATCACATCATCCTCCCATTCTTGCCAGTGACCGGGTCCTCCTCTGGACCACACCTCACTCCTGATCCTTTCAACATGTACTCGAGCGTCTTCTTCCCTCCATCGCCATCCTCAAACTCTTTCAAGTGATGCTCTGCTCACTCAACGAATCCACTCACAGCAACTACAGTGCAGGCCTGCTATGCTTCATGCAGTACTGTGATCAGCATGTGATTCCCAAGTCACAGTGCATGCCAGTGTCCGAATCACTCCTCGTCATTTGCAGCCTCAGCTGTGGGGACAATCTTGGACAAGACACTCTCCAATTGGCTCGCCGGACTACACTACTGGCACATGGTCAATGGTGCTGCATGGCATGGGCATGACATGCTACGTCATGTTCGATGAGGTGTTGCAAAGCTCGTTCCTCCTAATTCGAAATGTGTGAAATGACCTCCTGTTACTATTGAGGCCCTCATTGTTCTCAAGGATGGGCTCGACCTCTCCAATGCCTTCAACGCGGCCATCTGGGCATTAGCTAGCATCACCTTTTGGTGCTGCTGTCGGTACATGCATACTTCTAACACTTCTCCCTCAGACATCTCCTGTACGTCATCTCATACTCACACTCACGCCATCCTCCACAGCCTGGGTGAACTCGTCATCCTGAGTACGAACCTCTTTAACCATCTTAAACACGTCTCATGTTCTGTTCTTTCTATCGCATTCAGCCAGCACGGACACGTCCCCTCACCTCCTTTCTCTCTACATGCCACCCACCCCCATTCCAGTCTCACTTTTTTCTACCCACCCACCTCCCATTCTCTATTCTCTAGCCTGGTTAAATATGGTCTCATCTCCCTGGCTGACCCACTATGGTCTGGCCGTGGGATCAACTTACCAGGCTCCGAAGGTTCTGTGGGCTAATCTCATCGGCGGTCCCCTTTTGGGAATTCACGCCTCCGATTTCTGCTCCCTCATGAAGCCCCACAGAACCTTCCCCCCACCCATCAAAATTTGTATGCAACACTGTGTGGTGCACATACATTTCGGTGTTCTCTCCTGCGGACAATTTTATTTACTCCGAAATAAACTTGTTCATTTCACAGCGCTTCCATAGTCAGCACATTACATACAAAGCAGATCTTCTATAGTATGTCATAGCTAAGAGCTTCTTAAGTGTCAGACTGACCATGGTACCTATTATGTCTCAGGGCATTCTGTGAGATTGCCCAGGGCATAGATAGAGTATAGGCTGGGCATATGGGATGATTATTATGTGGGATATCCTACTAGGCTAGGACATTAATTGTTTATTCCAGTATTACTGGTTATCCCATGGTGTCAGGGGTATCCCACTGTTAGCAGAAGATGTATTTTTAGGCTGTTGTATATTTGTTGTTTCATATTTTCATCTACTGCCATACTATATAAACTGTAATTACATAGTACAGTAAATCAGTGCTTTATTAACACTTTATATAAAAATGGTACATTCCATTCTAAGGATATCCCATTTTAAGGACATTACATCTTAAGGACATCCTAAAATGTGATTTATTTGTATGCTGACAGCTATTCAGGCTATCGTTTGTCTGAATATATCTGTTAGACTACAATAATTATCTAAAGACCTATACTAGTCATTGTATTATTAAGATTGGAGAGTAGAAGGTCCTTAGATAGGATATCCCATCCCATAGCATAATGTCCCAGAGTATAAAAAGTCATTGGGTGAATGTATTTGTGAATGCAACTCTACTGCAATCTTAGGTCAAATGTCTTCCTTGCTTTGTTCAGGTACATTCTATAGTAGCAGACTTGACTAAAGTGTCTCTTATTTGCTAGTGTATAAGTAGACTGAGTTACTGTGTTTCTTCTGGCTATTAATAAAAGTTAGAATATTCATATGCAATACACTAAAGATGACATCATGTCAATTTGAACATTGCATCAGAAAATGTATAATTACTTTTGAAACCACAAAATAAGAACTGTTGTTTGGCCTGTTATAGTTGCTATTTGATCTAATGAACATGTTATACATACCACTACTAGTAATTAGTATTATAACACTGCAGGTAAATATAAAACTTAGTATGAGATATCCCACTATTTGTGGATCTCCCATCTCATTTGAAGTATCAGTAAAGCACTAGTTTACTGTACTATGTAATTAAGGTTTATACAGACTATGTTTACAGAAGCTTCAAAGGAAAAAGAAGACTGTTACAAGCCTTAAACTTAATATCTATAATGTTATTTCCTCAAATAAGGCAAATATTGAGGGGTATACCCTCAGGATTTGGTACCCTTACCTGTACCCTTACCCCTGGTGAAGGGTATGTACCCTTGGAGGGTAAGGGTAGGGATACAGCTCAAAGTACCCAGGGGTATACCCCTGCTCTACACTAACATTGAGTCTTGTAATGGACCAATGAGAAAAGTAGCATGTTGACATCCTGTCATACCTCATGCTGCTGTGTCCATGATGTAACCAGGCTGGTGTGTGGGCCCACATTTGGTCTTTGAGCACAGAAGCAACATTGATGTTGAAGAAGCTTTAAGTGAGGTTGATTGGCATGTGATCACGAAGTGCTAACCTGAATTGTCATGACATTGAAATTACCCATGCACTGTCTGGACATTTTACAAGTATATGCATTGTGAAATCCTGCAAATGCACTCTCTGCAAACATCATAACTTAACATACATGGAGAAAATTCACCTGTAAATGGATGTGTGATATCCAGTTGAGATTTGCAAAGGGACTCTAAAGTGATATGACATGGTCCAAGGAGCTGGGGATGAGCACATCGCACCACTTGTGAGTACACTGTAAATATCGAGATTGCGAGCAATGGGCCCAAGTGCAAGTGGATGAGCGAATTCACCAACTATGATATGCACCAGCATCAACCACAGTGATGATAGTGTCTCTGGAAGAGATCATCTTCATCTATAATGGTAGTGTCATGGGCAAAATGAGGCCACACTAAGTGCCAGTGAGGTGAAACTCATACTGTGCTGACAATAATGGCAAGAGTGGTGAAACTGCAGAAACATTGGAATTTTCACTATACCTATGTCTGAGGTATCTACAGGCCTAGAGACAACATAAGAAATTGAGTGTTCCCACATTTATGCAGTCCCTGCCTCAGCTATGTATATGGAAGCCTCCTAGTCCTAACTCAGAGGTACCTCCAGATATCCAGCTGTATAAATTTAAGCAAGGCCAGATCATGTCACAGTCACATGGCATAAACAAGGCAAAGTGGCAAGGTTTCACCAACAACACTATATAGTGAACGAAAAGTCTGTGCCGCCTGATGACACCGGTTGTGAAGGAAATTTGAACAACTGTCTGAAATTTGGTGCACGTTGTCGACTCGGGGTACACACAGGCCTTGGTCGAAGGAGCTTTTGACTCCTGGTCAAGTGAGTGGTACTTCGCTGTGGTTCACTGGGCGTGGCAAAAGGGAAAGTACGCTGGGCTATCACAGTTGTTCGTTGATATCAAATTTATGATAGTAGGTTAGGGACACCTGAGCTATACGTGTGTCTTGTTGTCTGAAGTCAGGTGGGGAGTCTGCACAATACAGATGGGGGAGTGTAGGGGGGGATGCCTAGCAACTGTGTGCAAGGGCTTGCATTCTGTCTTCTTATATGATGCCTACAACCAGTGCAGGGCTTAACGGGTTTTCTTATACGAGGCCTACAATCAGTGCAGGGCTTTCTGAGTCTTCTTCCTCTTCCTAATCTGGGTGCCTACAACTGTGTGCAGGGCTTACCGAGTCTTCTGTGTTCCTATCCGGGTGCCTACAACCATGTGTAGAGCTTTACCGAGTGCGTGCATCCTAATACGATGTGCCTGGCCGATAACTTTCCTACATGTTGTCCGAGAACTTTCTGAGAACAGTTTGAGTATTTAGCAACTGTGTGCTAGACTACCCAAAAGAAACAATGTGAGAGTGCAGTAGTTGTGTTAGTAACAACTCACTGCCTGCACTGAACTGACTTTGTTGGGATCCTTTTGATTACAAGTAACAAGTTACAGGGAGGAGTGGAACGAACTCCTATTTTTTTAGTTTATCACTTGTAGGGTAAGCTACAAGTGGAGGGAGAACTCTTCACTTATAGGGGTTATAAGTGGGGAGAGAAGACTGAGGGTCGGGGCACCTCGGGGGTCCTTTTATACCCCTCGGGTGTCACCCTTTGTGACTGTTACATAGTAGTGTTACATGGCAAATTGGCCAATAGCAAAATAAGAGCATCACGTGATCAAAGGGGAAAGTAGGAAGAAAAAATGTCTTAGAACCTTCATGTCCAATAGCATAAAGTGAGCAGAGAGAAACAGAGAAGACAAAACTTTTGGGACCTCCATGTCCAATAGCATAAAGCGAGCAGGGAGAAGTAGGGAGAAAGCACTTTCCGAGTTTTTCCCGTCCAATAGCATAATGTGAGCATCAGGTGACACGCTCGGCCAATGTTGTCAGATTCCGTCTTAGTCACGTGACTTCTTCGTTGAGCGCTTCACCGGTGGTTATGTGTTCACAAGCCAAACACTTTTGGTGCGTGACAACGTGACCAGCACCCGAGTTACATATGAGCAATATGGTGTAGTGTTAACTCGACTACAATGAAGGAGAAGGGTGATGGTATGTTGGCCATGATAAGCAGATAGAGTACATGTTAAAAATCGTGCTTAGTTCACAATTAAAAAGATAGTGATGGTGGATTGTCAGGGTGCATAATTATGCGCTAAAATATATTTCTGTTATCTGGATGCTCTACTTTATATACTCAAATTCCCTTTTTTATCTTTCTTAATAATTATGCTCTCAGCTTATGGCACTCTTATAATTCTGGAGCTCCAGAATTATGGACACTCTGGGTGAAAAGCGAAAGACTTACCCGCGTGATGGACCCAGCACATGGGTTACATGTGACAGACTCAGCCACATCAGAGGTTGTGACATCATAGCGCAGGAAGCTCATACTCATAGTGCAGAATGCATCATATTGCAGCCTGGAATGCAGTGCTGCAAAGGACTATGATACCAATATATGTCCTAGAGCATTATATGGGATTACTCAGGGCACAGGCAGGGCATAACCTAATAAATTGCTTGTTTATAGCACTATAGTCACTGCACATACAGTGGTGGCCAAAAATAATGCCCCTCCAGATTTGGCTGTATATTTTGCACATTTGGCCACACTGACGTGTGATCTTGATAAGATTTTCTATGCATCCATTCAGCTAGATATCTGATGAGTATGTATCCAAAAAAACTTGAAAATTAATTAAAATGTGAATGAGATACAACCAGATCAAGTTTATTAGTCACTAATGGGGGGTGTAAGCATGCTATAAGCAAGTAAACAAAAAAAGCTCAAAAAATGAACAAAAGTAGAGATAAACTAGTATTTAGTATAATGTCCATGAGCTAATGCCAGAGCATTTAGATGATGGGGCATTGAGATGTACAGCTTCTGTATAGTAGTCAAATCCAGCTTCTCTCACTCTTCCTTCAATGCGACCCATAGCTGCTCAACATTCTGCAAAAGAGGTTTGTGATGATGTCCTCGGGTATCCAGAAGCTCCCATACATTCTCAGTGATGTTCATATCTGGTGAGGAAGGGGGCCAAGGAAGGCAAGTGATGTGATGGTCCTTGAACCAGACCATTGCATGGTGAGATGTGTGCTTTAGGTCATTATCCTGCTGGAAAATAACATCATGAGGGCTGAGAGAATAGTCATAAAGAGTACCCAAAAGGGATTCAGAAAGAATCCTGCAATATTAGTTGGCATTCATCTGACTATCAACATGGTGAAGTCGACCTGTCCCTTCTGACGTGATGTATCCTCAGACTGTCACACTTCCACCACCATGCTTCATTGTCTTTCACACATTCCTGTCCAAATATTCTTTCCCAACCCTCCTTCTGCAGTAGTGGCACCCATCTGAACCAAAAAGATTGAACTTGGACTCATTGGAGAACACCATCAAATTTCACATTGGCTCAGTCCATTTACCACAAGTTTTCACAAACTTTCCCCACTCCTGGACATAAACTTTACTCATCCAGGGCTTCTTACGATGGACCCGCCCATTCAGCCCAATCTTAATGAGGTCACACCGAATGATGCATTGGCTGACATTGGGAAAAAGCTGGCACTGGACATCTGCAGTGTCACGAGCATTGCCACTGGTAATAGCTCAGGCAGCATGATGCAAGCTGTGCTCATCACGGAGAGAGGGTCGACCAGTTTTCAGAGTAATGGCATAGAAGTCACCTGTCTCATGCATCTTGTTCAGTTTGCGTGAGACAGTGCGATAATTGATGTGGAGAGTATTGCCGATTTCTTTGAAGGTCTGGCTCTAGTTACGAAATTCAAGAATTCGAGCTTTTTTGATTGGTGTACACACCACCATCTAATAGTGTGGATACAAGAGGGTTATTGGTGTAGTGTTGTCATAGTTAGAAGTAAATTGGGTGTAGTGCATGCTGTAGGTGAACATCGTAAATGTAACTGCGACACATGCTTACACCCCTTTGTAACCCCGCCGTAGGGTTTACACGGACTTTCCCGATCCTGGTTGACATACCGCGTCGTTCCTTCATTGAGTCTTCAGATCTCTCTGTATGACCACAATGAAGGTATGTTACATTATGCTAGTTACTGCTTTTACTTACCAGATCTCTCTGTACGACCACAATGAAGACACATTGTTTCTGTTCTGTTGCTGAGTGCTTGTCAGTCGTCGACCAGCTCACACTTTTTTTTGAACACCAAACAACCCCATCTTCGCCTCGCGTACCTTACACGAGGATACGCACTGCTGAGCCCAAAAGGCTAACTACCAGATCAATCTGTGAGCCAGTGCAGCCATGGAGATCACCCAACCGCACCTCCGCAGTTTCCACCGTAGTCATCAGTCAACGAGCACCAGCCAGTGTGCTCGCCCGTTGCCCCGTATCATGACAGACTGCCCAACCTGCCGTCTAACACCCGATCTGCAATTCGAGACCTCTACGGCATTCTCCCATTTGCCAACATTGAGAACATCCTGGAGGCCCTCGAAGTCGAATCTCAACCACAAACTGCCCTCTCGATCTTGACACTGAACGACTTTAATGATCTCTCCACATCCATCAGCCATTCCCCATCACCTGAATTGCTTCTGTCGCCACATTCCCGATCGATCTCGTCCACCAGTTCAGATTCCACACCACATATAGTCACCATGATGTCCTCCTCGACCATCGCGACTGTCGTCCAGTCCTCTGCTAAGCACCCTCCTATCCTTACTCCTGGTAAGATCACTCTCACCGTTGCTCACGCGTGGGAGAATGCTTGCCAGCAGTATTTCAAGCAGAATGACACCTCCAATGACAAGAAGGTCACAAAAGTTACTGGCAGTTTCCAGGACGCTATAGTCAGCAACTGGTACTACAACGATTCTGATACATACGACGTGCTCCCCTGGAAGGATTTCCTAGTTGCCTTCCGATCTCGTTTCCTCCTGAAAGGCTGGGAATCTTCCATGCTCACTCAACTCCTCCGATCGCTGATACGCTCCCAGACCTTCTGGCCTCTGAAAACGCATTTTCCAGCGATCACTCAGACCTCACTACTCCATCCCGTAGCCTCCGAGATGCATCCGACCCTTTCGCGACCTGCTGCGAACTTTCCAACTTCGCGCGACTTCGTTCGACTTCGCTTGACTCCTTGCGACTTCGCACCGAGATTCGACATTCTTTCATCACTCATGCACCACTCTTGCGTCTCCCCGCTGTCGGATACCACTTACCCATTGTCCTTTGATCTAGTCCGATGCGCCCTGGTCGATTTTCATCTAAGTCCGTACTTCCTCAATGTCGCGCCACCTTTCTGGATGTCGCGCCGACTCGCTGGTTCGTTGCACCGACTTATCGGTGTCACATAACAGTCACGACCCCTTGTTTTGCAAATCCCATTCCTTTTATCGTTCGACTTTCCCCCTTCAAGACCCCTACCTTCATGCTGGACTGGAGATGTCGTTAGAGTGTTCCATGTGGTCCAGGACAAGTAACATATGTTTTCTTTTGATTTTCCTCTACTTTACCATTCTTCTCCATTGCTAACGTACAACATTCACATCTCCACTCTCTTTACCTATTTTTCCATTGGTCCTAGACCATTGCGACGCCCTCTGATGTCAGGATCTATCTTCTGACATTTTGCGACTTTCGCATTTCACTTCCCCATTTTCCCCTCTATAAATACCTGCTGTATCTACGTCGATTATCATCGAAGACCAGTAGGAGACTTCCCCCCTCACTTCAGATCACCGAGAAAACTGTGTTTACTGCGATAGCGACTTTGAACTGCGATATACCCCACTGTGACATAGCGACATAGCGAGACTGCTATACTTCGAGACTGCTTACTGCCACTGCGATAGCGAACTGCGACACTGCGATAGCGACATAGCAATATAGTGATAGCGACCTGCATTAGTCTTAAATCCGACTTTTGCGTTAGACTGACTGCGACTTCGTCGAGACAGTGAATACTGCATTCCCCCATAGTGTTCTACCCCCACAGATAGTTCCCTTGCCCTTTGCGATTTAGTTCGTCTTCACCTACGAGTTTGGCAATTGCGTCGCGACTTTAGCTTCCTACCTCCGACTTTCGCGACTTTGTCGTAGATTGTCACCCGACTTCGCGTGTACATCGCGAACCCTCATTTCTTTACAGGTTGCATCCCCCTTTGGCCTAGGTCGAGGTTCTGGGACCCACTTGCTTTATTTTACAGTTGCGATGCCCTTCCCTCACATACAGATCGCCCCTGCTTCTTGTTTGTTTTAGTGGGGTTTAGGTGTTTGTGTCGGGTGTGCACTTATCACCACATGCATTCCCACTTGGAGATGTTTGGGGCACTGGTTCTAAGGATTCTGTGGAATGGGTTAAGCTTCGGGTTTCCACTTCTGATTCATCCTGATCCTCTATCATTTGTCACGCCATCATTGTATGAGACTGTTGTTACCCTGAAATTCTTGGTCGCCCCTTTCTCAAGGCAAATCATCTTCTCTTTGACCATCAGTATGATTCCGTTGTTGACAAATGATCTGGACGTGACATCTGCAAACCCTCAATTCCTTCCCCTCGCCCCATCTCGATCCCGCCTTGCCCTCCTGCGAGGCCGCAGCGCCATGATTTCCTAAGAGAACTTGAGGAGCACACTGCTGCACGCCGTATTGACTGTGATGAGCACACAGCCAATGTCACCACCACCACCATCCATGCTGTCTGTCGACACGTTGAAGACCTTGCGTACCAACAGTCGCTCAACGCTGCGAATATCGAGGCTAAATGAGAATTCGCGTTGTGTTCCCCAATGACATTCCACCCCTTGCTGAACTACCTAGTGACATCTACCACTGTTTTGTCCTCAAGAATCCTGAGATGACTATAAAGTGTCGACAATACGACTGCCCTAAGAAATACCGAGAGGCATGGAAATAACTTCTCAAAGGACATCTTAAGGCAGGCTGCATGAGACCTTCAGACTCGCCATATGCTTCCCCCGCTTTCCTCATCCCTAAATCTGATCCTTCAGTGCTCCCCCATTGGGTTAATGACTACCGAGCTCCCAACTCCAACACCGTCCCAGACATGCATCCCCTTCTGCACATCAGTGATATACTTGTGGATTGCACAAAAGGCAAAATCTGAGGTAAGTTGGACATGACGAACTCATTCTTTCAGACTCACGTACACCCTGACGATGTCAAATACACTGCTGTCACAACACCATTCGGCCTCTACGAATGGCTCGTCATGCCCCAGGGTTGCCGCAATGCTCCCTCTACCCACCAGTGTCGGATGTTTGCTGCACTCTGCCCACTGATAGGAAAGATCTGCCATGTCTACCTAGATGACATAGTCATCTGGTCCCAAACCTTTGAGGAACACCAGCGAAACATTCGCACAGTCCTCCAGGCCCTGCAAGACCACCAGCTGTATTGCTCTGACAAGAAGACTTCCCTCTTCTTGACAAAACTCTCCTTCCTCGGGCACATCATCTCCGCTGAAGGCATTCAGGCTGATCCCGCGAAAGTTGACAAAATTCTCAATTGGTCAACACTGCGCAATGCGTCTCAGGTCTGCGCATTCCTCGGCTCGGTCCGTTACATCGCCCCATTCCTTCCTAAACTTGCGGACCACACCCATGTGCTCAATGCGCTCACTATGAAAGATGCAGAACTCGCATTCCCTGCATGGACCGATGTTCACCAGTCTGCCTTCGACGATATCAAATCGCTTGTCTGCAGCCGCGAGGTACTCACCACCATCGACCATGATAATATGGGTAGTAACCGTATCTTCGTGTCGTGTGATGCCAGTGACTTCCGTACCGGTGCACTTCTCTCCTATGGCGAGACACTGGAGTCTGCATGTCCCATGGCCTTTGAGTCCTGTACCCTTAAAGGTGCCGAACTCAACTACCCCGTCCATGAGAAGGAACTCCTAGCTATCGTCCATGCTCTCAGAAAGTGGTGCATCAATCTCCTCAGCGTCCCTTTCACTGTCTACACTGACCATCGCACCCTGGAGAATTTCTTCCACCAAAAGGAACTCTCCAGATGACAGGCCAGGTGGCAAGAGTTCCTCGCCCAATATGACTTTGATATTAAGTATATCAAGGGCGAGGACAACATCGCGGCTGACATTTTGTCCCGTATCCTGCCAGATACCAAGATAATTGACCCGCTCACTTGCTCAGCAGTGTACCTCGTGCACACCATGACAAAGTCCCTCTGCACGATGCCCAATTCCGTACTCACCTCCACCACTGCTGCAACACACTTATCCGTATCCTCTGGCCCCGCGTGGCTCAAAGCCATCTGCATCAGCTACGACATGGATAAATGGTGCACCAAACTGTGTGCGACTGTTGGATCACTCGGTATTCGTGAGGACAATGGACTCCTCTACATGGGTGACTGCCTCGTAATTCTGCGCACACCAGAAATCCGGGAAGGGATTTTTTGGCTCGCGCACGATGCGCTTGGACACTTTGGCTTTGACAAGTCCTATGCTGCCATTCGCGATGCCTACTACTGGCCGAACATGCATAAGGAACTTGAACAGATGTACGTCCCATCCTGCGAGGACTGCCAGCGGAACAAGTCCTCCACCCGGCGTCCGCCAGGCCCGCTTCATCCTCTTCCTGTTCCTCATAATCGCTGCGACAGCATAGTCATCGACTTTATTGGTCCCCTCCCTGAGGACGATGGTTTCAACTGTCTTGCAACTGTGACTGACTGTCTTAACTCTGACATTCGTCTGATCCCCACTCGCACTGATGTCTCCGCCGAAGAGTTCGCGTCCCAATTCTTTGATCATTGGTACTGCGAAAATGGTCTCCCCCTCAACATTGTCTCCGACCGTGACAAGTTGTTCATCTCCTCTTTCTGGAAAGCACTACATCGTCTCACAGGCGTCAAGCTGAAGATGTCATCTGCTTACCACCCGCAGACTGACAGTTCATCTGAATGCTCCAATAAGACCGTGATCCAAGCACTGCGATACCATGTCTCATGCAATCAACGTGGATGGGTCCGCGCACTCCCATGCGTTCATTTCTGTATCATGAATATGGTTAATGAATCCATGGGATTCTCGCCTTTCCAGCTCAAAATCGGCAGGTCACCTCGCCTCATTCCGCCACTCTTCGAATCATCGTTGGCGGACGATAATTCCGCAGAGGCTGATCGTGCATCCATCTTGATCCGGCAAATCGAGACCAACGTGCTTGAAGCTAAGGACAATCTCTTCCTCACAAAGGTGAACCAGGCGGCACTGGCTAATCGTACTCGAGGGAACGAGATTATCTACTCTGTTGGCGACAAAGTCCTACTATTGACCTTCCATCGACGGCGAGATTATATGCAATGCGGTGACCACCGTGTCACCAAATTTATGGTTCGATTTGATGGTCCGTACTCTGTTTTACATGCATACCCTGAATTTTCTGCATATACGCTCGACCTCCCTGATTCCATGAAAATCTTCGCGACCTTCCATTCCTCTCTTCTCAAACCTTGGCACGAGAACGACGCAAGTCTCTTCCCATCCCGATCTCACAGTTAACCCGGTCCTCTCATCACTGAAGACGGAGCTGAAGAATGGGAAGTTGAACGCATCGTCAACCACAGACCCCGCAGGTGCGGATTCCAGTACCTCATCAGGTTCCGCGGATACGGACCCGAACATGATGTTTGGCTTCCTCGCCGCGAAGTTAACAAGCTCAAGGCACTAGACGATTACCTACTTGACTCCCCCCACTAGTTTCTCTCTCACTTACCTGTTGTTAATTTTTTTCGGTGGGGAGGAGTGTAACCCCGCTGTAGGGTTTACATGGACTTTCCCGATCCTGGTTGACATACCGCATCGTGCCTTCGTTGAGTCTTCAGATCTCTCTGTACGACCACAACGAAGGTATGTTACATTATGCTAGTTACTGCTTGTACTTACCAGATCTCTCTGTACGACCACAATGAAGACACGTTGTTTCTGTTCTGTTGCCGAGTGCTTGTCGGTCATCGACCAGCTCACACCCTTCTGGGCACTCCTGATGTTGCCTCACTCATTGCTCACTTACCTCGAGCCATTCTTAGATTTTTGGCATACAGTATCTATAGGTATAGGAGTATCTTATTCATGAATAGTATAGAAGGAGAGTCAGTGTTACACAAAGAGGAACTCGGACAATGCAGCAAAGTTCAGAGGGGCATTATTTTTGGCCACCGCTGTACAATAGCCTAAAAATGTATCTTTTACTAATAGTGGGACATCTCTATATACCCCTGGCACCATGGGACAACCAGTAATACTGGGATATAAATATCAATATCCTAGTACTATAGGATATCCCATATGATAATTGTGCCATTGGACCAGCCTATGCCCTAGCTGTGCCATGAGTAATCCCATATAATGCTCTGGGACATTTATTGGTACCATGGTCTGTCTGACACCTGACAGGCTCTTAGCTATAACATACTATAGATTATATTGAAGCTAAGAGCTAGGTCAGAAGGGTACCCTGAAGTGCCCTTTTTACTAATGATCTGTATGAATTTAGTGGAGTCTCTGATCAAGGAATGATAACTTCCACCAAGCCTAGTATAATAGAGATAATCAGAGTAGAATTTTCCTCTTACCTTTTCACTACTTGAACCATCTCAAAGCATGACATTGCACCATAATATTAAAGACTGTGAAGTGTTGGGTATAGAGCTGGCTCAGGGTGGAGATAGTACCACTCAGTAGCATTTTCTCACTAGGTTTTGATGCACTCATTTGCAGGCCATCTCATTAATAAGGTTTATCTAACTTTCTTTTCTTTTTTTCATCATTCACTATTATGATCATACTTATCTCAGCCCTCCTATGCTTCTTCTCCAGTTGCTAAGAGAGTGTAAGCCTATTGCTTATTTATCTTATTTACAGTTATTTGTCCTATTTTGATGCCTCGGCATCATATACTTCCATGATAGATCTCAATTATTATCTGCTTCTGCCTTCTCCTCTTATCTTTTTTGTACCTAGATTAGCATAGCTTATCCTGTCTTACTCATCATATACATGCTTATTAAGTTCACTCTCATTTAAGTATCAGTACTGAGTGTCCACTGTTCAACTGCAACTCCAGCCAGTGTTCCAGCATGTCATCTTGCCCAATTGTCTTTGGCATCTCAGAGAATGTTTCTGTAGCATATAGAATATTACATTTTTTTCAGATTTATCTAACTAGTGTTAAACATTTTGAAGACATGTCAGAGTGAGCAACTAGCCAAATATAATTCTCTAATCTCAATTTTCATAGGATCTGTAGGCCAAATTTAATTCTCAAACTTTTACAAGATTTAAGCACAATAGATTAAAGTATCTCTGAATAGTTTTGAAGTAATCAGTCAGGGGGGTTCAAACTGCAGCAAAATATATGGCATATTCAGGTCACTAACACAGCACAACGCTCCGGATTCTGACACCGACAGATTGTTAGAGAAATGTCAGATTTTAGAACATTTCCCCAACATTGTGCCTTAAATACCCCGTGCAGAGAATCTACCTCCGATTACACATTTTTGCAGCATTGTTCCATCATTCTACTGAGCATTTCTGCTCACATTTTACCATATTCTCACCGGCCGCACTGGGTGCCACCCTGCCTTCCCTCGCCTCCTCCTTACCATCCCTACCCTTGTCCGCCCATATAACAGTCTCCCGCAGTATGAAAAGCAGTAATGCATGCACCGAAATGATGTATTAGGATAGATTAATGAAATAATCACATATCCGCGCACGCTCGCATTGTACAGCTGATGAACGAGAAGCGCGCAGAGAGAGACTGCATCCCGAGCATCGGAATCTGCATCCACTGCTCGGCCTCATATGCGCCTTCAACCTTCACGGTACTAGGACCTCACTTTCTTGCCATGGCGGAAATGAACAGCACTGAGAATGCAAAGAAACAGAAGACGGCGATGCTTGTGGCGCAGGTGTCTGATCACCAGATGCGCATCGAAGTTCTGGAGGGTGAAAAAGAGCTGTTGAGGATGGAGATGGAGAGCTTCAAGACAGTTGCAGAGACGTACGAAAAGTGCCTCGAGACCGCAATTGATCGGCTCGATAAACAGGCCAGGCTCATTGGCGGACTGCAAGACTTGGCATCAGAGCTGCAGGCGCAGAACTCGTACCTGGCGCGGCCAAGCCCATTCGAGATCTTCTCATATCTGATGCTGAGGAGAGCGTGAAGAAGAAATTCCGTGCACTGCAAAAAGCTCTTCGTGATGAAAAGCTGATCGGTGCACGTGGTCGTTCAGTAACGGTTCAGCGGGATATGAATGCAATGGCGTACGAGGATAATGATTCCGCAGAGGCCGGTGGAAATGGCGCTGTGAAAGACATGCCCGTTACAGCGAAGAAGTCAACACATACTGTCTGCAGTTCTGAGTAACGAAGGCATGGGCTTACATATGTTATAAAAGCTTCAGGTGCGCATCCGTAAGCATACCAACATGCCCAAGGAATCCGAGTGACACGATCCAAAGTATGATACAGCGCGAGCACAGCGACATTGTATGCGAACAGCTGTAGACATCAGTGAGTGTTGTCCTTTAGACCGAGACCCGAGCACCCAGGGAAGACTTGGTAGATACTTGTGTAGCCCTTTTCGCAGAGAAATATAGGCGATTGAAGCGCATATAGTCAGGTGGTGGCGACGCGAGAAGGTGCGACGCGACTCAGAATGTGACTGTGCCAGTGGGCGCTAATTGACAAGAGTCTTATTTTGTCTAAGTCTCGATATTCGGAAAGCATGATGATAGAAAATCTATATTTTCTAAGGTTCTGCATGTAGGAATTACTCGGAGGCTTCACAATCGTCATAACCTACGGAGAATCGTGGAAAATCTGGGAACCGCTGACATTTTCCCACGTCCAAAATCTCTGGCGTTGTGCTGTGTAATAGTGTGTTCCTTTCCACCAAAGGTGCTTTAGCAAAAAAAATCCAGTGACAAAAAAATTATGCCCGCTGGCTGGATTGAACAACCGACCTCACCGTCAGCTTACATAAGCTTATTACGAGCGGCGCGCTCTACCACTGAGCTAAACGGGCTACACCCGGTAAGGGGGCCTGCAGAGAATCCAGTTTATATCTGGATGTCTCTGGAGAAGACCACGTGAACGTGATCTCGACGTATTCCGAAAATGGTTGGCAGACCGTTCGAACAACTTGTACAGCTCCTCCATTAATTAGTTCTTTCTGTAGCCTTCCGCTCCTTTATCCATACTGTCCAAAAGATTTTCGTGAACCTTTCCTATAATGTCTTTGCAAGTCCGGACGTGCAGTAGCTCCAGCGGCAGCGAGAGTTGCTCTGACGGATTGTTTGTGCGCGGAGCTATTCGCTGAGTCTTTGCCTTTTCTGACTGAATCTCGCAGAATTACGAGATACACGAGGAGATTGGCCGTGGCTCGACATCTGTAGTGTATCGTGCGACGTGCAAGCGTGGCCGGCTACGCAATCGTCTGGTCGCGTTGAAGAAGGTAGGCAGGCGCCCGTTTGTATTCCAACTCTAGCATGCTCACTTGCTCAGATTATACTTGCATCCCATAATGGCGAAACGGAGGTAGCTCACTTGGCGCCCTCGACTGCCCTGCATCAAGCACTCCATCATCCGTGTATTGTGTCCCTGCTCTCCACTTTCTCCACGCCGTCCAGCCATTATCATGTATTAGAACTGTGCTCTCGCGGAACTCTTTCTTCCCTTCTCAAGTCGCGTCAACCCTCGTTTTTGTCCGAGGGCGAACTCAGAGGGGTTGTCAAGAGTTTGGTGGACGCCCTCGTCTATCTGAAAAAGGAGCGTGTTCTACATCGGGACCTCAAAGCCAGCAATATATTGCTTACAGAAGACTTTCGCATTGTATGTAGATCACGAACAGAGAATCTACTGGTCCTGATCTGTATCATCTGCAGAAACTCTCCGATCTTGGTCTGGCGACACAACTGCCTTCAGCTGATTGCACCGCGTCGACCTTCTGTGGTTCTCCAAACTATGTTGCGCCGTAAGTGTTGGCGATGCCCTGTGGTTATCGCCCACTGACTGATCCTCTCCCAGAGAGGTTATCTCTCGTAGACCTTACTCCTTTGGCGTGGATGTGTGGTCTCTAGGCTGTCTCATGGTGACATGCATGACAGGTATTCCTGCATTCGAGGTATGCTTGATGTCGTTTGACATAGTTCGGCTCTCATTTCTGTTTTTCTAATAGGCGCCCTCCGTACACAATATATTTCAGAACATCTGTCACGTAAGTTACACGTTACCTGCGAGCACATCGCCAGAAGCCAAAGACCTAATTTCTTCTCTACTTCGACTTGTGAGTAATCTTCTACTGATCTCGCGGGAAAACTGAGCCTGCCTGGTCATCAGAACCCAGCCGATCGGATCCCTCTGCAACAAATTTTACTACACTCATTCTTTCATCCTTCACTGCCTGTAGTGCCTCTTTCCCTCTCATCCTTTCATTCCGAGAAACAACCAGCGATACACATCGAAAATATCCCTCCACCTTTCAAACCAAGACCCGGAAGATACCCAGACACACTGTCCAAGGTGCCGATGTCTCAGAAGGAACATCCGCTGACAGGACCGGTCTTGAACAAGCCAAGGAATCCCATGGCAAGTATTACCAATCGCAATTCACGAGATCTCTTGAGCAATGAGCTTTTGCAACCACCCGGCCATGATCTTACTAGGCGGGTGCTCTCCGCGCCGCAACCTGGGCGGGTGTCGACATCAGACTTTGGCGTCCCTGCAGTCTTCTCGAGGATCCAGTCTGTTCCCACGACACCTGCCTTGACTGCTGACTTGGAGTCTTTGCCATCCATGAAGACCATCGGTACTCTGAGGGATGACTATTCATCTGAACCGGGCCAGGACCGAGTACCGATTCAACATCTCCTTTTGTCTTTACCTAAAGAACTCAACGGTGATAATGTCGTAAAACAACGACCGAGGAAGTACTTCTCTAATGCTGCGGATTCTGACAAAAGATTCACTCCCGTTACTTCTGGCCCCCCTGCGGTCTCCGGGGATAAACTTACTGGATGCCTTCCTCAGCCAGGGTTAGGCTCACATCACTCGCGTCCCTTCTCTCAGCCAGCTTCTGCCGTTCCCTTTGGGAGTGCTCGACCGAGTGTCTTTACCACCTCCTACCTGGCTCCTCAGACACACAAGATTGCTCATGGGCAACTTGTCGTCCTACCTTCACTATCCCTTCTAGTGGACTTGCGCGAAGGCGAGCGGAGAAAAGGTAGGAAAGGCGACGAAGTCCTAGTAATCAGCTCGGACGGCAAAACGGTACGCCGCATGCATCGACACAACGCCGGTCTGCTCATATAGCTTCGCGCTTCAGATTGACATCTACAGTGCTCCGCATCTCAGCACGCCGTGTTGCTTGGCCGAGCCTATTGCAACTTATACACTTCAAGATTTACCCACGAGATACTGGAAACTTTATGACGATGCGGGCCATGTTGTCAATCAGCTGAAACAACGTATACCCAAGGTACGACCTACCGGGATCTTCCTTCGTCGAGTTTAAATAAGTGACTTGATGTCAGCTTGCTTTACACAATCCGGAAAATAAGTGCACTCTCATGGCGAACGAACCTCTGGGCGACATAGAATTGTTGTTCTCACCTCTCGAAGCGCATTGCCAGAAGAGCGTGCAAAAAGAAGAAGGTGCACAGATGCGCATTCGGCTCCGACGGACAAAGCGCTCTCTCGAGATTGCCCGTTGCAGTCCTCGGGTGAGCAAAACGGGGACGGAAGAATGGGTGCGAAAAGTCTTAACGACAGCATCACGCAGCTTCGACATCGCAGAAGAGGACTGGGCGGTTTTGGATCCAATCGAAAGAATGGGGCTGGGACATCTGGCCGCCTTCTTGCGTGTCTGTGAAACAGTCGAAGCTCTCCAAGTGGACGGCAGCGCTCTGCCTCATGTGCAGTTACAGTTTTCGCCAAGTATGGACGATACCCTCCCTCGGCCTAGTGCGAAGCAGTCAAACAACGGACGGCAGCGTCTTGAAGAAGTGCTCAACAGGCTTGAAGGCAACGCAAGCCCCAAATCGCAGTCGAGTGTGGACGTAATTGCGCCGTCATCTACCTGTACGGAACATGACGAACGACTGCTCTCCGCGAAATCGGTCCAGCCATCATTGTCTCTTCCTCAGCGTCCACCCAAATTCTCCTATGCAATGTCTAGCTACTCGAGCGAGACGCAACCCCCTTCTGACGCGCTCTCTGTTCAAGTTTCTGCCCATGGTAGCTCAGGCAATAGAGCGAAGACGTCATTGACAGCCGGAGGCACAGGAGTACAGACCCGATTCCTTCCCACCATAGGGTGGTGTATCAAGCGTGAAATTGGCAACGCAGAGCTATATCAGATCATGTTCCATGATGGCGCATCCTTGGAAGTCGATCCTGGCGGTGACAGAGTTCAGCTTTCGAGCAGTTTAGGGGACGATCTGAGGTGAGACCCGGTCTTCCCTTCATGTCGTGTCTGTGAACACTGATCATCTCTGCGAAAGATTGACATTCAGGGACGCGCTGCGAGACAAAAGGCTCGCCGAACGGATGGCAGCTTTCGATAGCTTCGTGGGGTTGTTTCCTAAGTGAACGCATTGGGTGATGTCGCGGCAGAGGTTGTGGCACCGGCAAGCGCCCTGTCCTTGTATCACTGTCGCTGAATCTGTCATGCACCCATGTTTGTCATCCTACTCTGTGGAGGCCGACATTAAGAGTATATATATATTCAGGCCGTAAATTAACGTACATGTGGCGAAGCACGGAATCGGCTGAAATCTGTGCGCAAGATTGCTGGGTGAGAGGAAAGATCGCGCGAAGATCTGATCAGCCTTCAAACGACGAGACAAGGCCCTCCTTCATTGGATTGCCCCGTTGTCGATCAAGCTCGATTATCCTGACTAACATTCGATTGACAGAAAGAAATGCTGCAGATCGCCACCTCACAGGGAAGAGACACGATAACCCGAGGATGCACGGGTAATTGTACTTGCTATGGGTGTCTCGGATCCCCTCTTATATACATCACGTAGCTTTTGACTCTCAGTCCTTCCTCTTATGTTCGATCCCCCGCCTGAGAAGTCGAAGCAAGCACAACGTCACGTTCGCTCAGGTATAGCACGTTTGCATTCCCAGATCTCACGAGCTGTCTGACCGAAACCCCTGCTCAAGCTTGTTCTCTCACTTGGACCTAGACGACTGTACCTCTGCGATTGCCCATATAAGTCTCTTGACTTACGCGGAATCAGCACCGCTCCTCAGAGACATTGATACAGGTAGCATGGCGGTCACGGCGTCCAACCCCGACCAAACCACCGGTAGTGACGACGCATATAAACCCCGAACTCTCATTCTATGCTTTGACGGAACGGCAGACCAGTATGATGGCTATGTACGAGGAGCGGTCATTTGCATGTTCACATCTTACTGATTCTGCTCAGAACACAAATGTGGTCAAGCTGTACGGTCTGTTGAAGAAGGACGATTCCGAACAATTATGCTATTACCAGGTAAGAAAGTTCCATATATCGTAGTCGTAGCGCTCTTATCATATGGTTTCCAGCCTGGCGTTGGAACATACATCAACCCTGGGATGGTGTCCCCTCTCTTCCAGTGGGCCGCCAAAATACTGGACGAAGCTTTCGCTTGGTGGGTTTACGTAGGAGTATTATCCTGTGCACAGACCCTAAACGTCTCAAAGTTATCTGGATGCTCATGTTCGGGAAGGCTATGAATTTCTCATGCAGACATATCGACCGGGAGATAAAATTTGTATTTTTGGTAGCGTTGCTGACCAATTCTTGCCTTTACTTCTTGGTTCACCTTGGCTCCCCGCAGGTTTTTCTCGTGGAGCATACACAGCCAGGGCACTTGCTGGAATGCTTCACAAGGTAGTCACCACTCCTGTGCATGTAGCTTTGTTAATTCTCAAGTGTGGCGACTTTTAGATTGGTCTTCTTCCTCGAGAGAACATGGAACAAATTCCATTTGCATACAAATTATACAAGAAGACCGATTCCACCAGCCTTGAGCTCGCGGCTGGCTTTAAAGAAACCTTCTGTAGAACTGTGCACATCGAATTTGTCGGGGTCTGGTGTGTCCCTTTCTGGCAACGTTGTCGGTTGTCATTGGATCAGTGGTACTGATGCACACGTCAGGGAAACAATTGCGAGCGTCGGCCTCATAGTAGGCCGAACGCTCCCATTTGTCACTGCCAACACGACAGTGAAGACATTTCGTCAGGCCTTATCCCTGGACGAGGTTCTTATCTTTCACGAGAACGCGGAACCCATCTAATTTCAAGTCTAAATTTAGCACCGCGCTCGCTTCAAACCCAATTTGTATCATCGCAATCCATCAGCAGATGGCACTGCCGCCTCCACGCGGAAAGGAACCGGTGACGGCGTTAGTGATGCCAAAACCAAAGAGCGGTTTCCCAAATTCAAGATCTGGGAATTTGGCAGGTCAGCAACCCAGGAGAAGTCTGCCAAGGCGAAGGCGAGGGCTGTCGAGGTGAAGGTGAAGGAGAAATCTGACAAGACTGACGAGGCAGTAAAGAAATTGACTTCCTGGCTTTCACGTGGCCGACAAAAACAGAAGACCAAGGGGAAAGAGACCGATGAGGCTGTTGGGTTAGCAAATCTCATGACTGTCGTGGTCGAGAGCCAAGGTGACGCAGTTGATGAAATCATCGTGATGGACTCTCCAGACAGCAGCACAAACAATGCAATTGTCAATACCGATGTGCTCGAAGTTTGGTTCGCTGGCTGCCACTCTGGTTCGTCTTCTGCCTGAATTACTGACCCCTTGGAAAGGAGCTGACCGAGTCATGGAGCAGATGTTGGAGGGAGCGCTGTCTCGGATTCGGTGAAGTCGAGCCTTTCAGACATTACGCTCCGATGGATGGTGCGCGAGGTCGTGTTGGCGCAGTGCGGTATTGCATTCGACAGCGAAGCACTTGCGTCTGCGAACATCCCAGAAGCTATCTTCACTGTCGCCAACCCTTCATGCCCCCCTACTACGGGCGAAGGCGGCGGAAGCACGGCTTCCCCTGATCAGGCTCAGAGCCCATCCGGTAGCTCAGATGAACCGATGAGCCAACCGCCGGATCTCGCTGCGATGGACAAAGTTGATGCACTGCAGCCCCTCCATGACGAGCTCGTATCACAGCCGTTATGGTGGCTGCTCGAGATCGTTCCCCTGAATTGTGCGTGGCAAGATGCTGCACATAAATGGCACAGCACCTGGAGGTAAGCCATCATCGCTTACGCCGTCTTCAACACTGATCGCAGTCAAACTCCAGCATCAACCTGGGTCGTGGTCGTAAGATTTACGAGAAGATTCCCCTGTTCCATGTTACGGTGAAGGAGCGCATGGAAGATAAGACCTTGAAGTATACTCCCAAGGCCATCTGGACGCCAGGAACCGAAGTCTACGTTGTGTGAAGCACCAAGGCGCGTCGGTGTTCATCCGACTTTCTAGCACGGAGGGTCGCTCACCCCATGACATTCTATCTCCCCTCGTGCTGCAGTATTCATATTGCCCGGTTCTTCTCGCATTTGCCACGTGTATAGCCTGTCCTCAGGACGGTAATTTCGTCCTTCTACGAACCGTCACGAACCTTCATTACTCATGTCGACAAATGCAATGAGTGATAAGTACAACCGTGGAAGGTTTCTTGATATCTTGTCATCGTAGTGCACATGCACAGGCTTTACGGCGCATAACCAAGCTGGAGGGTATCTATAATTTACTCCATACATACAACCCCAGCATCATTACGCAAGCCTTGCCCTGCGCGTGAGTCCAACGCCTATACTACATCAGGTGTTTGCTAGGAAGGGAAAGCAGAGCTACGAGCGACAACATGTGGGTATCAGAATCCGGGAGTCACAGCACCGACTGTACTGAGTTTGTGCCGCGAAGGGCAATTGGTGAAGACAGCGCACGATATAACAGGATGAACGAATGACAAAAACAGTGTCAAAGAGGGGTCTAAAATGTCGATGCCCATGCCTCGAGGTCGAATGCTGCTGTCCTTGAGTGCTCTATCCATGGATGTTTCTGTGAAGCCTACTTAGCACCACAAAGCCGGGAGATGAAGATAGCTGCCCACGAGCAAGTCTTTCGGTGTCCGTCTCTGCTCTGGATCCTTCAAGAGACAACTGTCCACGAAATCCTCTGCCTCGCTAGGGAACCGGCCCTCCGGAGCCAGCTTCGGCGCGGGCTCGTTCACGATGTGCTGCAGCAATTCCAAAATGCTCATTGTCATTCCACCACCTTGTAAACTGACACCCTTGCTTTTGCGCTTCTTCTTCTTGTCCCGCTGCTCCCTTGTCATCAAGGGCCCCGGGCGACTTGGCGAGAGCGTGCCCTCAAAGTCGGACAAGTCAGAATCATCGGATGAAGAGTCGGCGAAGGGAAAACGTCCAAGGGCAAGTTCAATGAGGGATATGCCAAGCGACCAGACATCCGACTTAACAGTGTACTGCGCGCCCTGTATACGTTCAGGCTACAAGAGACTTAAGAGACATCACGCGAGCACGTAGGGGAATACATACACTCATATAGGTTGAGGTGCCTACGAAAGTATCTGCGATCGAGTTGATGAGCTCTCCGGACACGCCAAAGTCGCAAATCTTGATTTGCCCTTGCGAGTTAAACAGGATGTTGGACGGCTTGATATCTAGAACCTGTCAGAGCGTGCTTCTAGCACTTAACTCGAGTAGCATACCGCGATGAATGATACGATGGACATCATAGAGATACGTGAGGCCCTCCAGAACTGCAAGCGCAACCTTCCCCACCACTTCTATGTCAATCGGACCAATCTTCTTGTAGATCCCGTCAAGAGACCCCTTGTCCATGAATTCCATACAGATGCAGATGTTCGGGTCTGATATGAACGCGCCATAGAACGAGATGATATAATTGGAATTGCAGTCATGCATGATCTGCAGCTCGCGCAGTATCTGTTTCCTTACCGACGGCTTCGCGTCGATGAGGACGATCTGGATGTCAAGATGACGCGTAAACGGTCGGACGACTTGCGCATACTGCGCCTCAGCGGTATTCTCACCTTCTTCGCCATGATGGTTCCCGTAGGAACGTGTTCCACCTTCTTCACACTGCCTCCGTTACCCTGGCCGAGCTCCTGCATATCCTTCAAATCCTCATTCCGTAGGTCAGAGTACTTGGTCTCCGAGTTCATGTCCAGGTTCGCCAAGGTGGTCGAGAGAGTCGTATGATACGTCATGCGATTCCCAGAAGCCGTGGCCGGCGCAGAAGTCGAGCCGTTCTCCGTCACGACTACGCTCTCCGGGTCAGCATTCACTGCAGTGCTGACTTTAGTAGCTTTGAGAGTCATGGGGGGTGGTCGTTTCTTGCTACCTACTGCACCTCCTGGTGCAGGGGCAAGACGGATAGGCATAGGCTGGGGTTCCGGCGGAGGTTGGGACACATCGAGCTGTAACGCCTTGAAATTACGCTTCTTGCGGACAGGACCAGCGGGCGCAGACATTTCCAGCTAGAAACTGGAGAAACAGAGAATTATTCAGAACAAACGTAGATGAACAAGACTCTCGTCGTCGACTGCTGTAGGACGGGTACGCATAAACCAGTTCAGCGACGAAGGACGTGACGGATGCGGGGCAGGAAACGGCAGCCGTGTTTGGGCTACGACAATATTGGGGCCACGATGCCTGCAGATCTCCGAGATCCTTACCCGGCCGGCATTTCCGGCATGTCCCTCTTCATGTTTTTGGTCCCGTCATTTGCCCACCAACACTGAGGATAGTCCGTCCATTACGAAAAATCCTTCCTGCAAGATGTACAGTTCTATGATATTGTTGAAATCCTAAAAATACGCTTGTGCGATACTGAATCTAGTGTGTTGAACACCGTACCGAATCTTCAGGAAGATGAAGGCGAACGAATAGATACTACGCCAGATTAACGCGCCAAAACACAACGCAGGACTATGAAAGATCACTCTTCTCGCATCCAAGTTCAAACAGGAACTGCGATGATCTGCGGCAGCCAGCTCTGATGAGCCTGATGCACTTCCGCGATCGCGAAGCCCGTCTTCGAAAGGAGTTCTGCGAACTCGGGAACGGTACGCTCCATCGCATTGTGGTTGCTCAACATCTGAACCCCCAAAAAAGTTAAGATCGATCGCGAACGAGGGTGCGCGACCACATACATTGATGTCCTGCTTGTACGACAGAGAGTTGGCCGCACCCCAATTTGCCAGTAGCGGCTCAGGCGCAAGCGCCTCTGGGTCAGCCTTTCCAGTGTTCTGGCCTTCAATCGTCTGGTCGCGAGAGGCGAACAGCATGATGTTGTCGACGATGACGATGCGGGAGTCCTTGTTGTTTCCGATACAGTCGCGCACGCGCTGCAGGATCTGGATGCACTCGGCGTCGGGCCAGTTGTGCATGATCATACGCAGCAGGAAGACGGCGGCTTTGCCATTGCCGGCAGGCTGCGGGTTGAAAAAATCATGCGCTGCAGCATACCCACCATGTCACTACCTTTGACTGTGTGGGACTTCGACTGCGCGAACGTACCTTGGAACGAGATCCTACCTTGCGCATAAGCCTCGGGATGATTTACTTGCCAGAACTAGAGAGAAGGTGTGAATACATTGAGCGATAGAACAGTGGAAGATCAATGTACTTACGGCAGGTGCCTCGGCAACGACCCTCTCAGTATCCTGAACGATCAAATGGACTTGGGGACACGTTTGGACGATGGGAAGGGAGACAGAGCCGACGCCTCCGCCGCAGTCGATGACAATGCTTCCTTCGGGAAGGCTGGACCAGTTGAACCCTACAGGAGCGTTGTAAATTATTAGGCAGAAACGCCGAATGGTCTTTTAACTTTGCTTACCGTGCAAGATAGCGTCCGGAGGCGTCATGCTGTTGATGCCGTTCATGGCCATTCCGAAACGCTTCAAACGAGGGCGGTTCTCAGGCAGACTGAGCCATTCATACATCTTGAGGTGCTTGCCACCTTCCCAGGCGCGCGAGAACGGCGCATCGTAGGGCGAGAAGGAGTTTGTCGTCGCAGGATCTTTGAGGGTGTCGGCGATAAAAACAGAATTATGCATGGTCTCATCGGAGCTACGAAGAAACATCTCAATACGCTGCTGGACTTGAGAGAACAGAATTCCCGTGCAACATACAAGAGACCAACAAGAGCAGCAATACCAGTTGTGCCGTCGTACTTCTCTTCCGGATGCGCCTTCAGTTCGGCAAATGATTTGCCGGTGTCCATCACATACGATATGGTGTTGTTCGCGAATACATTGGGCGATACCTCGTCGAAGACGTGATGGGTCGCGAGTAAACGGAGTACACGCCCTGTAAAGCGTATGAGCACCGCGTGGATCCTTATTACGACGTGACTCACCAAGTTTCAAATGGTTGACGCCATTGTACGTCCCGATATCCTTCACGTGCAAGGCTTTCTTGGGGCCTTTACCTTTCTCTCGTAGGATCTCAGGGACATTCGTCTCGACAACAACCCTGAGCGAAGAGCTCAGCTGATGCTGAAAGGGCAAAATACTTAGAACAGTGAGTGCAAATTCGCCCAAGATAGCACGCACCGCGGTTGACAGGTCCATGAGATAGCGCTCAGGGGTCCTGGCAAGGGCAATGAGCTGCGAAGCTGCAGCAACGATCTGCAGGGATGGCTTGAGGAACTCAGACTTGGACGAAGAACTATCTGATGTCTTCAGCGAGCTCTGAAGCTCTTTGAGCTGAGCGACCGAGCTCGAGATGAGCGCTGTGAGCGATTCCAGCTGGGCAAAATCCATGGCGGAGAATCAGCAGTATTTCGATGTCTGCTGACGCAATAATGCAACAATCCAGTTTCAAAGATTGAGTGTAAGGCTCGTCAGCTTGACATAGGACCATAGATCGGAAGTGGACGCACAGTTGTTTCTAGACAAGGGCCTTCGGTATCCCTTGGGGAAGAACGGACCTAGAGTGTGAACGAGGACATCTGTCATTTTAAAGGATCGCAGGAACCCAATGGGTTAGACTCGCAAGCCTGAGAGAGTCTAGGACTCAGTCTTCCGATTGTCTTCTTCCAGCGCACATTCACGTAGCCACGGTACGCTTCTTCGTCGGATGCGCCATCTTCGTGCGAACTTCGGAAATTCCAAATACACGCTAAGCTCCCTTATGGGAATACACAGAATCAATGGTCGTGGAAGAGGGTTGCTTATCCGATTGTAACACTCGCCTAGGGATGTGATAAATGCTTAGGTGGACATTTCTTCCTGGCCAAGCATTTCTCTGAAGCAACGAGTCCCACGTCTATGCACTGCACACAAACACAGGCCCCGGGTTAGGGAGTGACATGGGTAACGTCTGCCCGGGTGTACCTGCGACCCGACCCACGTCACACCCGTGCGGGTGACCCGCACGGGTTCCGGGTGAGTACTTGAGTGGCTGAAAATAGGCATAACCTGCTGTGACACGAGCGCTCCTGCGAGCACACGGGCGCTAGTTGCTTGTGGGTCGCAGCGACCACCGCGAATGAAACGCTCACAATAAGGCGTCGTTGACACCCGCAGATCATCGTCTACTATTCCCTGCTGTAGTGAGATCACATTCGTCAGTTTCTTGGAGACTTGCCAGCTGCACGCCTGACCCACAGGTTATCCGCGGGTACCCGCGCTATACCTGCAGGTTAACCCGGGTTTAAATCAACGGGTACGGGTCGGGTACGGTCACAGACTCCACGTCGTGTTTACCTGCGAGTTTCACCCGGTCATAATCCGGGTTAACCTGTGTCACTCCCTACCCCGGGTCCGACTCAAGATGCACAGTGCAGTGGCAGAGAAGACCTTGTGAAGAAGGATTGTTGCGTCATTGGCCCAGGAATTCGTGCTAGGAGGTTCAGCGGGTTTGCGTTCATGATAGTGTAAAGCAGTCGGATCCCATGTGGGTATCCGAGTCTTACCTCTGATGGCGGGGGATGGGAACAAACAGACCATTTGCAATGATCAGATACGGATTTTCCCTCGATGCTCCCAAATTTCACGCGGTTCAGTGGACGAACGTGTCGAAAGAGAAAGTACAGCATTCTTTGGAAACGACAACAACAAATCGACTCTCACCGACTCTCACAAAGAGCTGTTGTCAGATGCAAAGATAACACCCGGTCGAAGTGATAGGCTGTGGATGCTGTGTCAAAGACTCCCTCCTTGAACAGACTGAACGCTCGCACGCCTCGATCATAGACATTTCATTATCAAGAGGAGCTATATTCCGGACCAGGTCCCAATCAGGAACGGGACTCATCAACTTAAGGGCTTGACATGTAAATTCGTGCAGGCTGTATTTTTTTGTAGACAGTTGTAGAGGATTATAGATCTTGAAGTCGAGGCGTCGGAGTTAGCCGAGGCGTTGAATACTGTACACACTGGGGGCAAAAGTGGATGTTCTGCCTTGGAAACATCCAAGGAACAGATTACGTTTTTGGACATGTCACATGTTCTGAACATGGTAAGGAACATCTAATGTCTCGCACAATGTTCCATTGGAGAGCATGCTGGAGACATGTTGCATGTACCATTCTGGAACATATAATATGTCTCACACAATGTCTCATTGGAGAATGTCCTGCAGACTTGCTGCATGTTTCATTCTGGAACATTTATCATTTTGCTACTATATTCTGGGCTTGTCTCTTGGTGCAATATGCTCTGTATAATAAGGATTTTCCATGGCCAAACACATTACATTTCTGGCTGCTGTTAATCTTCAGAACATTGTGAGAAGATGTTAAGTGCTCCTACTCCAAACATACAAGATGTCCTGGGCACCAAGAACATCTGCAGTACATGTATGATACATACTAAAATTTTACTAAAATTTTACATGTACTGCAAATGTTCTTGGTGCCCAGGACATCTTGTATGTTTGGAGTAGGAGCACTTAACATCTTCTCACAATGTTCTGAAGATTAACAGCAGCCAGAAATGTAATGTGTTTGGCCATGGAAAATCCTTATTATACAGAGCATATTGCACCAAGAGACAAGCCCAGAATATAGTAGCAAAATGATAAATGTTCCAGAATGAAACATGCAGCAAGTCTGCAGGACATTCTCCAATGAGACATTGTGTGAGACATATTATATGTTCCAGAATGGTACATGCAACATGTCTCCAGCATGCTCTCCAATGGAACATTGTGCGAGACATATTAGATGTTCCTTACCATGTTCAGAACATGTGACATGTCCAAAAACGTAATCTGTTCCTTGGATGTTCAGACACTGTTCCAAGGCAGAACATTCACTTTTGCCTCCAGTGACAGTGTATTTCGACCAACCACGCAACCCTGAACTGGGTCACACGTCACGTTTCCGAACTCAAGCCAAGGTCAGTTCACCGCTTTCCCACGCCTTCTGAACCATTTGTCATTAGTCACAGCGATCTGGCCGAACTGAGGGTCACGCGTCACAGTGCAGTTGGTCGAAATAGTACAGTACGCGCTCAACTGCGTAGATGGTCTTTTCGTCTTTACTCTACTCGCTGAAAACCTGCCTTCCGAATATACTCGGTTCGGTGCATTTCCCGCGACTTAAGGACCACCAAAGGCAAGGCTGAACAACCAATAAATCAGACGACAGGTAAGTTTTATGTACCTAGTTTCCAGTGAGCGTGACACAAACCTGAATAGGCAGAAATAAACATGTATTCCGCAGGTTCATGATTGGCCAAAGCCGATCACAGGCTTCACTGCCCGGGGCAAGAACAGCTCTCTTAGTAGCCGTAGGGATGTCATAACAGTTGTGAGTGTCATTATATGTTTACTCACAGCCATCTTCCCTACGCTGGTCAGCATTTTTTGCTTGAAGCGCGTTCTGGAGCTACGCACCATTGTCCCCACGGTTCCATGTACACTCACGCCGAGGCACGGTCGGTGTAAGCATTTCCCTCCACTGTACTTGATATTCGACTGATAGGCATTGCATGTATCTCTTGACACACCTGTGACGCGTCGGCCCGCGTGGTGCGCAAGAAACAATCTGTTCAAGTGGTGAACAGGTCATCTCCTACACGGTGCATGCCGATGCGCCAGTTTATGCATGGATGAACTTGGTGCTGACAGATTGGTCTTTCTTATGGATTTACTGATACACCTGGGGTGAACGGCGTGCGTGGTATGTGATGACGTGACGGCTGCTGTGGTCTACAGATCATCTTATACACCCTGTTTGCAGGCCAGTCAATCATGAATGTATGGAATTAACATTGAAAATTTTGTGTTTGTTTCGTCTGCAAGAATGGTTTACAGAGCTACCGGACAACCCTGGTTCAATTGTCGTTCCTCAGGATATCGGTGTCTCACTGAGCACAGTGCACAGTGGATTTTCGCACGAAGTGAGCACTTCGCTGGGCCGTACTGCATTTCTAGACCTGACTGATGCAAAACATGATAAGAGGATCTGTTGGAAGATGCCTACTAGGGGTGAGTTGTTAGAACTGCTGACTGGATTCTGATGTCTTCAAATTGTTCGGTATGCGACGTGGTGGTATTATGCTCGGGGGGTGTGCCCTCATCCGCTGTTGTCTGAGATGCAATATATCCTACGCTCGCACCACCGTACATGGTAGAGCGATCGATAAGAAATGAGATATATCATATCGATGACGTCTTGAATTGACCTAGAACGTGAGACCGTCCGGGTCGCACACAAGCCGGCGGCCTTCAACATAAAAAACGCCCATTCCACCGACGCTTCATTCTGTCCAACCAGTTTCCCCTTCAGCTTTATCTCACTACATTGTCGAAGGTATGCAACCCTCAAAGGAGCTAGAGCAGTTGTGCAAGCTGGGCATATCTGAGAAGACGGCCAAGTTTGCGCTGGAGGTACACCCAGCGGCTACCTCCGTTGTCGGGAGCTGATTTTTCACACAACATTTCGCAGAATAAAGGTGGAAATGTAGAACAAGCCGCTGACTTTGTGCGTCTTTTAAATTACAAACTTGCGGTTGCCTAGATCTCACGCGTTCGCTCGGCTGTGACGACGGCAATCTCCCCCGGACCTCATTTCGCATTCGTTTACGTGACTGTGGCTCTGCCGCGTCAATTCTGTTACTGACCATCCTCGCACAGGCTTTGTCCGGAGAAGCAGACAGGGCCGAGGTGAGCTACTCTCTTCCTCTCCCCTTTATCATCGCCTCGAAGTCGCAACCCCGGGACTGCCATGACCGACCCGCCTCGTAAGCGAGGATGGAGGGGCAAGCACAAAGCCACCTCGCCGCGAGAAGAGTTGACGAACGAGCAAGCACTGAATACTGGTCCATCGCCATTCAGACGATCCGATTCCTCGCAGTCCATCAGCTCGTTGCTGCTCACACGATCTATGACCCCATTAGTGTCATCCAGGCGTCTCTCCAATTCAGCAAGCACGCTGACCAAGGAGCTCGATTCACAGAATGCTCTCGAACGTACAACTTCCTCCACTTCCCTGCAAATGGGTTATCTCAAGCCCCCGGACAATTCGCGCAACACAGGATCCTTCACTAGGATGTCGTTGAGCTCTATGATGGGTGGTCTATCTTCTCTCTCGCTTAGTCGTGGAAGCAGCGATGAGAGAGGTCGTTCGGAGAAGACAGAGAAGGATAAGGCAAACTTTCGGTCGTCTTCCTTCTCTGGAGTGGCGGAAGACGAGCGATCCAGCTCTAGAGGACGCACCCGAAGTCAATCTCCTTTTCGTCTGCGGAGATTAAGCACACGTGAGCGCGAGACCTCCCCCACTGTAGAGGCTCTTTCGCAGTCCGACGTCGAGTCTGACGCGGAAGTGTCCCAAATCCGACCTCGCAACGCATTCAGTCTTTCGGCGCACGAGGACGAGGAATCCGGAGAGGAGAGCTCCGAGGAGAGCTCTGAGGAGTCGTGGAGCGATGACGATCAACTCGACCCGGTGACAGAGCGAAATACTGAAAGAAATTCACTCATACCGGCAGATGTTGGAGAGCATGATGTCGTAGACGTGCCTGATCCTTTGGGAGAAGGAGTCAACGTTGTCGTACCTCCGGAACCTTATTTCCCGTCCACTCTGAACACCGGTTCTCGCAATCCACGTCGTCGCAAATCCACTAGGACCCACGATGCGTTGCCCTTGGTCTCGTCGCGACCTGTATTTCAGCGAGATCGGTGTACCATCACACTCACGCATGGTGACCCCGCTCGTACTTTGGAGGAGACAGGGAGGCGTCCCAAGAGATATGTTCTCGCCAGCGATCTCAGTGATGAGAGTAGATATGCCTTAGAATGGGGTATTGGAACGGTCCTGAGAGATGGGGACGAGATGTATGTGCCCAATTATTCATCCCATCGCACGCCCACCTGACCTATATTCTTAGGCTCATTGTGACCATCATCGAGAACGACAGCAAGGGTAAGTGGGTTCAGGCCTACTTCATCTGGCTCTCGCTGACTGTTCTACTCTTTAGTTGATCCTCCCATTCCAAATCCAGCAGACCGAGCCACGAAGCTGCGAAGCCAGCAAGAGGTAGGTGGCATGTGATACTGGCCCTGCCGTTTAAACTCATCACCATGAACAGCGTCAAGCATTGGCATATATTCTCGTTCGCCAGGCCACTAGTCTTCTTCAGCGTACACACTTGCAGGTCACTATATCATGTCAAGCGTGGCATGCCAAGAATGCACGACACATGCTGCTCGGTACCCTCGCGTCTACCATTATATTTGACCCGTCTCATGTATATACAGATGTCGTCGATTTTGTCGAGCCCACGATGCTCATTGTTGGTTCACGCGGTTTGGGTAATTTGAAAGGGTGAACCCTGCTGCTATTGTCTTTCATCTGCCATCCAATTTTAACACCCGTCATTCCTAGGATTCTGCTCGGTTCGACCTCCCATTACCTCGTCCAGGTGAGATTTTCTCCTCAGACCTAGATCAACTTGGTGACGTTCTATCCTTTCCTGTAGAGATGCTCTGTCCCAGTCATGGTTCGTTCCTTCAATTTCAAGTAGTCGTTGTGGAATATTAAACGCTGAGCCCTCAGGTTGCGCGCCGTCGTCTCAGACGGCCTCCTCGACGATCCGCTCATCTTGCTCCCCATCGTGCTCGTGTCTCTCTCGCTCAAGCGGCAGGTGTTGACAGGGTCGCCGCAAAGGTGGACCAGGACGTTGCTGTCATGCGTGACCAGATGGAAAGGGAGGAGAAGGATGATACAATCAATGTGCCTGACATCGAGGAGGATCCTGATACCGAAGTCGAGGGTGAGCACCCACTAGGGACCAAAGTTGCTGGGTAATTGGCTGGCGTTTATCTCTTTGGTGATGCGAAGTAAGGTGAGTCTGCCAAATCTACGATCGGAACCCGCCTTTGAGTAATGTGTTATTGAAGTTGCGAAATGGACGTAATGGTAGTTGCAAGCATGTGGGTGTGGATGTTACATTAGTACATGTACAGTATTCTACTTTTATTCTTCCTATTATCGAGAATGCAGTCAAGCGGCGCAGAGGTCTTGCAAGGCCTGGGCGAACATCCGTGAACGAAGTGCTGCTAAACAGACCGGTAACGAAGACAGCTGTTTGAGCCTTGACTCGACATTGATTCCGCCACCACGACGTTTCGTAAAGTTCTTAAGGTTTGCGGCATAGCGTACACTATGAGGGTTCCCTCTCTGCTGGGTTTTCGGACCGTGGCATTATAGCACTGAGGATGCCCGCAAGGTCTTGTGCTGAAGGCTCTTTGAAGCTTGCAGAAGCGCGTTCGGCACGTCGGGCTGCACCCACCTTGGCACGAGCCGCCGTCTGGAAGACAGCGGCGCGGGCTTGCGCCGCCTTTTCGAAGGTCTCCTCGGTTACCCCGTCCCCGTGCTCCACTACGTCGTTGATGTTCAAGCCAAACCTGTACATGTGCAGCTGCCGGTTGTACGCGGCCTGCCGGTTGGCGAGGATGCGGTCCGCCCCGAGCGACGACTTCGCGATGGAGTAGCTGACGTGCCCTGGGAGAAGTTTGAGGCAAGAAACCACAAGGAGAGAACGAGGCGGAGCGTACACTCCTGATCAACCGAGTCGACAGCCTTCACACCAGAGACTTGTTCGGTTCCCACGTAGTTCCACAGCTTGATGTCTAGCTGCAGAATGGGCTTGTCCTCTCCGTGCAGCCATTCCAGGGGTTCAATCCACACGTTCATGAATTTCCCAAATTCCCGCGTCTCAAACGTACAGCGTACGTCCTGCAGGAATGTATTAAAGAAATGAGCAGTGGTCGGCCCTCAAGGTCAAAGAACATGCCTGCTCCTGGAGATACGTGGTAATTTCGGAAAATATCGCTTGCATAAGACCTATGCATCGTGTGAATACGCGAGGACCAGCTTTTGAGTCACCATAAAGTCGCATGTCCATCTCCTCTAGAGGTATGTATTGAAATCCAAAGATTTGATCTGTGTTATGGAAAGCGACAAAGACGCCGTCCATATTTCCGATACGAGCTTGAAAACTTCGAGAGATATCAGCATCTCACTCCTCAGCAGACAATGAAACGTGCCTGTATTTCAAGAAGGCGGAGCGGATGAGATCATAGTACTCCTTCTCGAAACTCTCCACCGGACCATGAACAGACTTTATCCGGTAGTCGACGTGGTCCTATGCAAGGGTTAAACAATCGGTTAGAGGGAGAAGAGATCTGCCTGATGCGCTCCAACCTGATAATTCCACACGTCAAGTCGGATTGGCATAGCAGCGCGAGTTTTGATGTCGAACACACCCGTACCGGGGAGAGAGCTGTGATGACAATCCAGCTGTGCACGCATCACGAATTTGCCGCACTGCAGATAATCGTGGAATCAGTAAAACTCAGAAGTCATGAGCGATGGTTCTCACTTTCGCATAGCGATACGCCTCTTTCTCCGGGACGACATTCATGTCTTCTGTCGGCGGGCGGTCTAGCAGATTCTGCACCCTATCCCATGACGTAGTGAAGACTTTCTCCATCATGATTCCCTAGACTCAAGGGATCAGCGAATTCACCATAAATCGCTATCATTGCTAACCAGTTTCGAGAGGATCGACTCCTTCATGACATCTAGATGAGAAACATCGGAGTCAACGGAGTAAACGCCATCCCGATACCTCAGGACCACAGAGACAGGCATCCGCTGTCCTGGAGTGAACGTGCGAGGCTGGAGGGAATATCAGAATAATATCATCTTACAAATTTACCGAAACAGGTACTGACTTCTCGTCGAAATGCGCTGGTGAGATTGTGCAGGTCGACCAACTTGTCGTCGGATAGTAAGAAGTATATATGGCTGAGCACTCCAGTGAGCGAAGAGGTCGAACCAACGAAGGTGCATCCTTCTTTCTTTGCGAGTTGCCACAGATCCTGATGCACATGTGAAAATTAGAGGGAGGGCAACGACGGAGTAACGAAACCGCACTTCATCCTTGGAACTGGTTACGAAACCAGTCAGACGATCAAATGCAAACGTGTCCACTTTGGGGATCTTCTTGAGTTTGGGATGAAAGTTATACACTGATGATCTTGGATCTTGTAACCAGGTGACTCCAGAACTAGGCACGAATACATGAGCTGGGATGGAATACAGCGGGACAGTGGACTGACTTGAACAAAACGCGATTCAAACCATGCTTTAACGTCGAAATGGGTCGTGTTCTGGTTGGCGGAGTTAAATCTATCAACCGTTGCGTCAAATAAACCAGTGACACTGCATTTCAAGCCAAACTCACCTGTGAGGACAATCTGATCTGAATTAGATATTACGCCCCCAACGCGGCGTTTGTACCAAGGTAATCTGTATCTGCGAGATGCTTCCACAGGCTGCCTGGGAGCGTTCATGTGCTGTATTTGCTTAAGGAAATCGAGGCTTTGACGGACATTAGACTCGTTGATATTGCTGGTATCCTCGAGCGTTATCCGTTCTAGAAGCCGGCTGCTGAGAGATAGTTCATGGAGCGCAGCATCGAGATCGTGAGGTGGAATTTCCCTGGTCTTCGGTGAGCTCTCAGGGACGTCGCTACTGTGGACCAGCGTACTGCCAGGCACCGCTGAGGAGGCACTACTAGTGGATGCCTCATTTGACGCAAGCGAAAATGGGTCTGCGCCTGCCTTTCCAAACAAATTCGCGAACAATTCAGAGCGAGACGGAAACAACGGAGGTGGTGGGCCGGACGACTCTGCCACCGGATCTGTCAGAGATGAAGTGCTGGCATTCGCATGGTTCGAGTGTAAGGTCTCCGGTCTATCATTTCGAGACTCTGTATTCTCTGGCTTGGGAGCAGTGCTGCTGGAGAAACGACCACGGGAAGGACACCGGTGTCTGCGAGCAAGACGACCCAGGACTCTTGAGGAGACATCAGATGAGAGAGGCATGAAAAATAGCCCCGGAGCTCAACAAAAAAATCTATGAAAGCAATAAGAGCAAGGTTCAAATCGTCGAAGTGGCAGAGAGAGACTCGGAAGACCGACCGTGACCGCGCTGGAAGAATATCTGGCTCGGCGCTTAGAGACTGTCCTCTGCTCCACTGCCGGAATTTGTGGTATCTACATGGTCTCCTTCTTCTCATCCTTCCTGCAATGGTTCAGCGGGTGTGTATCGCATATCTTCCATGTTTACATGCGTTGTGACATCTCTCCCGCAGTCTGTTCTTCTCCAAAACCGCTGAAATCTCTATTGTAGGGCTGCAGGCGAGCTCACACACTTGACAACATATGTTCCCTCTGACGTACCTCACCGCAGGCCTCAGGAAAGACTTCTTTTGTGAATGTCATAGGATCTGGTCAAGTGTGTAATGTTTTGCGAGGCTGGACGCCCCTCTCACACTTCCCCTCATAGTGGAGTGAAGACGTCGTGCCCACGGTTGCGTTCAACTTCAGAAAGGTCCGCAGAGGGAATGTTACACTGAAGATCTGGGACGTTGCTGGCCAGCCCAGGTATAGGTCTATATGGGAGCGCTATTGCAATGGTGTAGACGCTGTCGTGTGAGCCCTTCATTCGAAGTTAGTCGTACTGAATTTAACATGTGCATCCAGGTTCGTAGTGGATTCTATGGATGTGTGTCCATCTTTCAGTTTGTGTCGTTACCTACCGACAACGTTTCGATTCCTGCAGAGGGAGAAGTTTGACACTGCCCGGTTTGAGCTCCACCAGCTTCTTGCGCAGCCAAGTCTAGCCGGTATACCGTTACTCGTCGTAGGTTGTGAATAATTTAGCCTACGTCCTTGGAACTTACCCTTGTTGTACAGCTCGGTAATAAGAACGATCTGGAAGGACATGCGCCCGTGAGTGAGTTGATCAAAGCACTGTAGGCATAGTTCGATTTGTCCTGCTCGTGTCTTGACAACATCATATTGAAATACAGGCAACTGGATAAAATTCATAACAGACCAGTTTCGGTACGTGCACCTTTAAAATGAGCTCTTGAGGATGATATCTGACGTCAGATCCTGCAGTGCTATTCAGTAAGTCATTTTATGCCACGTTCCCTCTCGTCATTCACAAGTGCTGCTCAGTGTTCAATGAAGAGCCAACACAATCTGTGGGTATTCTCCCTATGGCATGGAAAGCCTAAACTGAGTTGCCTTCAGAGACGTTGTCCTCCAGTGGCTCGCCAGGTGCAGCCACTAACATATCTATACCACACTTTTATGCGGGACATTGTATCTCAGGACGGAATTGTATTGTACCCCACATACTGATTTCAATTACTCAATAAAAAGACCGAAGCTTCACACGCGTCCGTCTAAAGAGCCAGCTTTCAGTCAGTATCCATCCTATCGTTGCCCTCCCGCCCCCCTTCCGTCCTCGCTTGCTCCTGGATGGCCCGCAAGAACGGTTCGATGCCCATCCCGGCTTCTTCTGGCAACCCTAAGCCCCTCACCAAACCGCCGAGAAGCCCCGTCCGTAGCGCCTGGTCGAAGTTCCGCACTGCCGCCCGGAACTGGGGCGACGCGATGATTTGCTGCAGAGCTGCCTGCGACGGCGGTGTCGGCAAATCCGCGGGCAGATGGGGAAAGAGTGCTGGGATGAGCTCGGGGTGTGAGGTGAAAAGCGGGGTCAGCGTTGCCGGGGTGAGGATGTCCGTGAGGGAAAGGTCTAGAGAATGGGGACAAGCATTACACCAGCTGAGCTTGGACGGATGGCACCTACCTGGCTGTGGAGGAGCAGGGGCAGTGGCAGAGGTGTTCATGGATGCAACGATGGACTGTATCTGTGCCAGTTGCTCAGGGGTCGGTTGGAAACCAGCAGCACCCGGTGACCTGTCATATATCATCTCATTGTCGGCGCTACAGGCAAGGGCACATCCGAGACGACCTACGAGGTACCGGGTTGAGAAGGGCCCGCTGCTGCTGCTGCAGTGGAGGTCGACGCCTGAGAGTTTTCGGCGGGATTATACCCGGGTGCCCACCAGATAGGGATGGTCTGCGGGTCGGTCAGTAGTCGGTTGACATTGCTCACAAACTCGGTGTCTCGGCTGGGATCTGCATTCTGTGGTGCAAGATGAGCACTGTCCGCAGGAACACAGAGAAGGGAGATGAAGCACCTGCATCCAAAACTGCAACGCATAAAGTTAAGTGCATAGAATATATAACGGTGTCGAGGACGTACGAAATGTCTCTGGTTGGACGAAGCAAACTTCAATACATATGTCCGACCCCAAGCCGACTGTTCCACCTTAACGAACGACGCGTCGGTCGGAAATAAAATCAGATCCTACGAGCAAGATAAGTCCTTCAGAAGCACACATGGAACACGTGAATGTATCACGCACCTCCTCCACCTCATTACTAGTTCTGTTCTTCCAAATAAAATGCAGCAGCCCGTCGTCTCCGTTCTGCAAGATGATGGCGCCCTTGGTCGAATCAGCATCGACGAGGTTAGTGCCCTCGCGCCGGAATGCGCGACCAGCCTTGAACGCGATGCGGGGTTCAGCCATGAAGGACCGAAGTGTGCTCGTCGTGTTGAGATAGAACTCGCGGACGCGTCACCACGAATGGTTCGTGTCACGCGTCGAGTATAAAAGTATCTCTCATAGCTGCTGACTCAGCTGGTATGTCCGGGTAACTTAGCAAGTTACTTGGAACCTACAGCAAACCTACAGTATCTCGAGCTCCTCCGGACAGCCCCACAGAACTTTGTTTAGAAGCTGTATAGCCACCGCCTCAACTCAAACGACGCGACTAATAATTTAGTCTAGGTACTCAGGTAAATCTACGTGGCCGGGTGCGTCCAAGTCCCAATCGCTCACAAGTGCAGACATGGATACGTTGCCGCCAGAGCTGATCATCAGCATACTGGAGTGGGCTTACTATGATGCTGGTGCTCTGGCACAGCCGATGGCTGAGCACATAAGTCAGACTTCTACCAAGTCTTCTGACATTACTCTGAAGACACCAGACCTTAGAACTCTCAAGGCGTGTTCTCTCGTGTCACCCTCATGGAGAGAGCCGTCGCAGCAATTACTCTTCCGTTCTGTCCAGTTTGGACACGGCGACTTTGGACAGGCGATCGAAAGCTTCTACTACGCGACTGACCCGTCGACCGGGCGCGGCCGCAGGCTGGGCAGCTTCGTGCGCACTGTCGACATGCTGGTGGGGCACCTGAACGTTCCTCATCACACCGTCAGGGGTTTTCCCATGGTGCTGTCGCGATGCAGCCGACTCTACGAAGTCGTTATCCGTGTCTCCGGAATCCACGAGTTTGACGAGGAGACGATGAGCGAGCTCCGGTGTCTTGCCAATGGTCGATCCGCGATCCACATACAGGCGCTGAGCATCCTACTGTGCGGTATCCAATCTCCCATTCTCTTCCAACTCCTCGGTGTATGGCCTACTGTGCGATTCCTCAGGATAGGCACGGAGCTCAATGCTACTCCCCCTGCCCGTTCTTCCAATCTTAAGCTCTACGAACTTATCCTGCATCGCAATCCGTCTCCTGAAATTGCGCGCTGGCTGTTGTCCAATCCGGAGACAGACCTGCAGATCGCCGAGTTCCGAGACGTCCCGGGGCCTAAGTGGGACGACCTGCTCGCGGAGCACGGGGCGCGTCTCCGCTCGCTTCGTCTGACTCGGTACAGCGCGCATGCACAGGCCGTTCTCAGGCACTGTCCCAACCTGGAGGAAGCTGTGTTCTACCAAGTGTCGCCCTTCCCCCAGCTAGTCGGGCTTCCATCGTCGCTCGAGCATCTGGGTTTCCGCAACCCTGTATGGAGCTCCAGCCCGTCGCTTCGCTCCATCATCTCCGTCATCGACACCCTTCCTAGACTACGCATTGTGACTTGCGATGCTGCCACGGAGACACATCCGGATTTTGCCCTGCTGCAGAGGAAATGCGAGAAGAGAGGCATTGAACTGTGTACTGACGCGCTGCCCGTGTGGACGGTAAGAGCCCCTCGGTTGTACAGTCTGTTGACCCTGGATCTGACAAATTTTCTGCAGAGAGAAGATCCTGTACCTGTTCGCCACTTTCCGAGACGCAAATCGGTTTCGAATTTTGCGTTCATGAACTGACTTCCGTAGTGTACGGGAGAATTTAGAGACTTCGCTGTGTGTTTGTCCAAGTTCGAGAGGCAATAGATTATGATGTGTTATGTCCGATATTTGCAATGCAGAGGCATCAGCGCCGCTTTGCCATCTGCATTGTGAGATTATCAATGTACATCTGCAGAGTCTCGTTTTCCGACGCGAGCTTGTCAACGTCTCTCTGGACACTCTTCACTTTTGTGAGCAGGGCTACATGTTGATTATTCAGCGTAGTAAACGTATCAGAAAAGAAGCCAATCGACGTATGGTTGATGGGACGAACCTCGAAGATCATCCTGGGATGCGACGAGTTCTCTGCGGACGAGTTTGTTCAGCTACGTAGAAGAAAGGTGCAAAAACTAGAGCATGAGCGTACTTGACGAGCTGCTCCTTCCTGATAGCATCTCTTATAAGCTCGTCTGTAGAGGGAGTAGGAGGGGCGCCCCAGCGTGGACTGGTGTCGTCGAGAGCATTGTATCCCAGCATCAATGACATGAAGGGCAGATACAAGGCACTTTAGCGCCCATTAAGGCTGTCCACGACCGCGTGACCCAACGCGTCGCGTTCGTGTCACGCGTTACACGTAGTCACTCCTGATTCGCGACGACCAGTTTGACAATGGCCAGTCTCGAAAAGCTTGCTATCCGGGGCATTCGCTCCTTCGACGACAAACAGATCTCCGTCATTGAGTTCTTCACTCCCGTCACCGTCATTGTCGGCCACAATGGAAGCGGCAAGACCACCATCATCGAGTGTCTCAAATACGCCACCACCGGGGACCAGCCACCCAACACTCGCGGCGGCGCCTTCGTGCATGATCCTAAGATGGCGAATGAGAAGGAGGTAAAGGCGCAGGTTAAGCTCAGGTTCACTGCTGCGAACGACAACAGTATGCTCGTTGTACGCAACCTGTCTGTCACCTTGAAGAAAAACGGCGCAATGACGATGAAGACTCTCGAGAGCATCCTCGCGCTGGCGGATTCGAGTGGCTCAAAGGTGCGTCGCGCTGTACTTATACTTTAGCGTTGCTGACCTGGGTGTAGCGCGGGGTGATCTCCACCAAATGTGCAGAGATGGACGCTGAGATCCCTCATTTACTCGGAGTGTCAAAAGCGGTGCTCGAGAACGTCATATTCTGTCATCAGGAAGATTCATACTGGCCTCTTTCCGAGCCCTCAGCCTTGAAGAAGAAGTTCGATGATATCTTCGAAGCAACAAAGTGAGTGTCAAATTTCACGCATCAAAATTGCCACCAACAGCATTTGGCAGATACACCAAAGCCCTCGACTCCATCAAGGCGCTTCGGAAGGACCGCGTCGCCGACCTGAAGGCTGAGAAGGAGCGCCTAGAGGCCTTGTCTCGGGAGAAGCAGCACGCAGACAAGATCAAGAGCCGCGTCTCTGACATGACAGGCACGATATCTGCCAAGCAAATGGAGTACGACGAGCTCAAAAAGCAGTATGAGTACCTCGTCAAGGCCAATGCCAAATTTTACGAGTCCGCGACCAAGTTTCGCGAGATATACGTGAAGATCGACAATCTCAACGAGAAGAAGGCGCATTACCAGGAGGAGCTCGCCAGCGCACGGGAGAACCTTCAGGAGCTGAGCGGTAACTCTTATTGTGTGCCGTTCTCCAGTGCCGACGATTGATATTGGACTTCGAAGGTACCGATGAAGAGTTGGCCGATCGTCTGCAGAACTTCGACGAGAACGTCGCCAAGCAAAGACAGAGGTGCAGAGTGCAAAATCAGAAGTTGCAGGACGTAAATGATGAACTGGCTGCAGCGAGAAAGGCGCACGTCGACTTAATGAATGAGCAAGGCCGCCTGGAGAGCGATGAGAAGGCAAGGAGGTTCCTTTAAAAAGATCATAGTATTTGCTTTCGCTGACGGGACTTCAGACACAAGAACAGCGTATAGCGGACCGCGAATCTTCCATCAGAGACATCAGTGCCAAGTACCAGATCAAGGGCTTCGATCACTCCCCTCTTTCGCGAGAGCAGATTCAGGACTTTATTGTGAAGCTAGGCGACCTGCGGCGCCGGCAACATTCCGAGACCAACAGACTTCAGGTAGGATTCACGAACTTTCCGGTGACTCTGCACCCTGACACTCAGCGAAACTCTAGGGCGAGAACAAGGCCAAAAACGATGAGTACAACGAGAAATCGAGACATTTGCACACAGAGCTTCAGGGCTTCAAGCAACAGAAGCTCTCCATCCGGGACCGTGTGGTATGTCTCTTTGTAGTAGCTGTTGCTCGGTTCAGCTGGTAACCCACCCTTGGACCCTTGGGTTAAATAGGCAAACCACCAGAGCAACATCACTCGCACACAGGATGAGGTGGACCGAGCGCAGGTGTTGGACTCTGAGCTGCACGCGCTCCGGGCAGACATGGAGGAGAAAGAGCACCGCATCGAAAGTATCAAAGCCGATTTGCGTGCAGGCAAGTACGAGGAGCGCCTAGCGGAAGTTACCGCGAAGGGACGCAATCTGGATACGAAGCGGGAAGAGTTGAATATCGAACTCGGAGCCCTCAGTCGGCAGTCAGATGCAAGGGCGCGTCTGAATCTTACGCGGACAGAACTGAAGAATAGGACGAGTGAGTTGAAGAATCTGTGAGTCTATGCGTTGTCACCGGGTGTTCCTGACACTTATGTTCCCGCAATAAGGCTTGAGTTTAATAATCCGAAGTTCCGTAAGCTAGTCGGATTGGATGCGCAGCCGGACTCCATGGAGCGAGACTTGGAACGAGTTGTCGGGTACGTTGAGTTTTCCCCTCACATTAACGTTCTAACTAACCGCTGTCTTAAGTGAGAAAGAACGGGAGCATATCGACCTTGAGAAAGAATCAAATATCGCCAGCAAGAACCTGCAAGCAGCGGAGTCGAACTTATCGAATCTCAAGTCTCAAGTCAAATCGAGACTAAACGAGATTAAAGGTGAGTCCCATCCTCACCATTCGATGTCCACCTCCGATGTAGCGGCTCACCCCGTCGTCTTCACAGTGCTTGACAAGAAGCTGAAAGATGGGCTCAGCGAAGGAGATGCGAACAACGTGGGTGATGCTATCAGTGACGCGAATAAGGAGATCAGCACGCGCAACGAGTACGTTACTTGCCTGCAAATGGACGATATCCGCTTACGAATGGAGTTTCTATAGGGAGCTTGGTAAATCTGCGGGAGCGCACGAGTTGTACAAGCGACTCCTGCAAGTCGGCAAGACGAAGAAATGCTGCCCCCTATGTACGCGCAGTATGAACGACCAAGAGATTGTGGTGTACGACAGATCCGTTAGTACGCCAACTGCTGATACTCGTTTGCACCCTGACGCCTCGGATACAGGTCAAAGACAGCATCAAGAAATCCTCCCCTGAGGCTGTCAGAGAGATCGAAGGAGAGCTCCGGGACTGGGAGATCGAACTGAAGCGGCTGCAAGAACTCGCTGTCCTCGCTGCTTCGCGCGATAAAGTGGAGACGTCCGACGTGCCCACGTTGGAGCGAGACATCCAGGCGCAGGGAGACGCGATATCTGCCTTGACGGAGAAGGCGGAGGAGGTTAGGCCGCTTATTTGCTTCTACTGCTAGTATAATCACCATCGTGACACTAATCCGCTTCCCTTTGTTTTTGTCTTTAGGCACTCAGGAAGCTGGATGAGGTAAAGAAGGAACTCAAGGAGATGTCGGCGATGAGGCAGCCCGCCGCTAATGTGACGAGGACGCATAAGGAGATCGAACATCTGACTGGCGAGATCAAGAACATCGAGTCCGACCTTGCGGTCGCTGGTTCTACCAAGAACATCGAGGACGTTCAGGCTGAGTTGGATGTTTTGGGGAACGACATGTACGTGCTGCGATCTCGGGCGATGCACAGCGCTTACGTCTGATTCAGCCGTAACACTGAACGCGAGAAGCAGAATTTGCAGGGGGAGAGGGAGCGCCTGACGAATGCTCTCCGCACGTTCGAGAAGGATCACAGCAATATGCGCCTTCGCGAGGGCGAGCTGAAGTCGGATTTGCGCGACAAGGAGCATCTCAAATCTCGGATTGAGGAGATGAGGAAAGAGATGACTTCTGCGAACGAGCAACTTCAGGTACGGATCACTCATGTCAACCCATAAGTTCACACCTACAGAAGTCCAACAGGAACTCGACACCAAGATCTCTGAAGCTCAGGTACCGATCGAGCGGCTTGAACACGAGTATCGCATCACCGAGCGGGAGCTCAGTGCAAAAATAGCTGAAGCCCAGCAGTATTCGCAGGATCTGAACGTAGAATCCGACAAACTGGAAGATGCCAACAAAGGTATTGAACGGTAAGGCACTCGGTCTTCACAGCAATGGTACATATTGATATTTCTGCAGGTATGTGCGGGAGAGACGCGGTCGTCGGCTGAAAGAGTGCAATGAAGAGATTGAACAGCACGAGGCTGATATTAAGGAGCTCGGTATGAAGCTCGAGAAAACCCGTGAGGAGATCCACAAAATGGAGCAGGAGATCAACGAAAGCGGCATGGCGATGGCTAACCTGCGTGAGAACATCCGAGTCCGCAAGCTCGTCAAAGATATCGCTGCCGCACAAGCGGAGATAGATTCATACGACCTGGAGGAAGCGGCAAGAGCCAAACGCATATTTGAAGAGAAATATCAGGTCGAGAAGCAGAAGGAGACTGACGTGCAAAGCCGGGTGCGTAATTGACGTCCAAGATTCCTCCATCTTCTAATGTATCTCCGTGCAGTTTGCCCACATCGGTGGTGAGATAAATGCGCTCCAAGCTCAACTGGAAACGCTGCAAGACGATCAACATGAGTTCCAGGACATCAATAAGAAGTACCAAGATCAACTGATTAAGGTCAAGGTAAATCAGTAGTCTCTATGTACAATGATGTTCGTTTTCAACTTGCCTAGATGTCCGATATGGCCAACAACGATCTGGAGAAGTATGCAAAAGCCCTCGACAAGTAAGCACTGCTCGTCGTTTTGTCCAACTTCGTTCTGAAGGTGGTACCAGCGCTATCATGAAGTATCACTCGCTCAAGATGGCGGAAGTGAACGACACGATGCGGCATCTGTGGAATAAAACCTATCAGGGCACTGGTACGGCGTTCTGTTCGACCCGCCTTGTTCATTTGCCCTAATTGCAACCCAGATATCGACGGTATCAAGATCAGCGCAGACAACGAAGGCGGCGCCACGAAACGAACCTACAACTATCGTGTAAGTAATCCTGCGGGAAGATTCCTTGATACTCAACCCATGTCACCACCCCTAGGTTGTCATGACCAAGGACAACGTGGAGATGGACATGCGAGGCCGGTGCTCCGCTGGGCAGAAGATGCTAGCGTCCATCATCATTCGTCTTGCTCTCGCAGACTCATTCGGGCAGAATTGCGGTATCCTCGCCCTCGACGAGCCGACCAATGCGCTCGACACGGAGAATATCGACGCCCTCGCCTCCAGTCTCGTAGAGTAAGTCTCGTGGCGTGTTTAATTTCCTTCGACTACTGATGCTGTATTCGTCAACAGTATCATCAATGAGCGCAAAGGTAACGCCAACTTCCAACTCATCATCATCACACACGATGAGAACTTCCTTCGCAAACTGGGCCAAAGTAATGTCATGGATTATTACTGGTATGTCGTGTGGTATCTTCACTGTAAATCTCATTCTCAACGGTATCTCCAGGCGGGTCACACGAGACGGGAGACAGAAATCCATCATTGAACGTCACAGATTTGGTTGATCCCGACACTCGCCCGCCGTGCTCTCATACATCGCAACTCTACGGACTATTGCATAATGTTACTCACTGGCTGTTAGCATAGAATCATTTATCGTCACTCTGATATGTTGTCTTCATCGTGAATTGGACCTGAGTCAAGCCCTCCCATGAACATCCACAGTCCAAAGTTCAACGTAAGGTCTTCTTGTAGTCCTACCACCGTTACTAGGGTTAGGGTTAGCAGAATGCAGGGGCCAAAAAAAAAGGCCTGCCCAGCCCGAGGGCCGAAGCAGGACAGGAAAATATTGAGACGGTGCATGAGCCGGAGCCCATACAAACCGCAGGTTCCCCCTGAGGACATGGTCGCCGTGCTTTGAGAGGCCCCTACTGCCCACAGACCCGGTTACGTGAAGGGGCTTGTGCCATCAAGGTAAGTATGAGGTGTTACAACACGTACGCCTCCGTCTTATAGGGTGCAAGGTGCGCACGGACCATGCACATTGTTTGTTCCCTCCAAAGAGTGCGACGCGGTCACGCTCAGCGGCTCTCGCAGACACGCTCACAGTCAAGGTGAAGGGATAGCCTAAGACGACGAAAGCAATATAGCCAATACCAATGTACAACGAGCGTTACTTTTCTACCCCGAGTACCGTACCATCAGTCCTCTTCGTCCCAGTTGCCCGCTTGCTGCGGTATCTTGGGCCCGCCGGCAGGTTTGCTCATGATGATGCTGTCGACGCTGAGCACCGACACCGCGGCCTCCGTCGCGAGCTTGATCGCCCACGACTTAGCCGCCAGTGAGTCGTTGATGCCGTGCTCTGTCGCGAGCATGGTGCCGTCCGTCTCCGCCTGTTGGAACCAAAGTCGGAGTTAGCTCTATTCTATTGAGGGAGATTGACGTAGAGAAGGGCACAAAGCACCTCGACGTCCACGCCCCACGCCTCCCCGCCGGGCACCTCATGCTTCGCCCACAGCCGGCTGACGACCTCGTTCCCCTCTGCACCGCCGAACGCGTTGTCCGCGAGCGTGCGGGGCACGACCTCGAGCGAGGCGGCCCAGCGGCGCACACCATGCTGTGCGAGGCCCTTGAGGCCTGCGCCGTACGCCTCGACGCGGCGCGCGAGCTCGAGCTCCACGGCTCCTGCGCCGGGCACGAGCCGCGCGTCCTTGAGCAGCGCCTTGATCACGTTCACGCCGTCGTCCACCGCGCGCTCGAGGTCGTCCAGCCGATTCGCCGTCGCACCACGCAATACAATCGTTGCCGTCCGCGTCTTCTCTGCAGTTACAGCCGGAGTGGACCCGGCCTCACCTGAGCCGAGCTGCCGCAGGACCGTTACGCGGTCGCCGCCGATCTCAGTCGTCTCGAAGACGTCGACGTAGCCCGCTTCTTCGGCGGTCGGCGCGCCCATGCGCGCAAGCGGTGTAGCGTTCACGACACGGCAAAGTCGCCGGAGGTCGAACTTGGAGAGCACCTTGAGCACGGCGATGTTGAGCCGGTTGAGGTAGTGCATCGTGAGCTCGCCGACGGTCGAGCCAGCGATGATCACCCTCACGCCTGAGTCGGCGATTTCTTGGAAGATCTGCAAGTAGGAAAGCGTTGTACTGTGAGGTGCAGGTGAAAGTAGGAAGAAGGTAGCCGCGGACCTTTTCGAGATGCTGCTCTTCTCCCCGCGTGAAATTGAGCATCTCGTCTGCATTATGGATGAGCACCGTGCCCTTCGTCTCCGTCTGCGCGACGTCCAATCCGCACGTAAACACCGCAACCTTGGCCTTCTGTACCTTCTTGATCATCCCTATCAACGGCACAGGCTCAGCACCACGAATATGCACGATGCCGGTGTCGAGGGGAAGACCTACCTTCCGGCTCGCGGCCGAACACCATGCCGCGTACTACCCTACTCCCCTGGAGGCTGCCGCCCATGATCTTGACGACGCGCACGTTGTCGACGTTGAAGTTCTTCGGGTTTGGCGGCATCACCGCAAGCGCGGCCTCCGCGACGAGCGCCGCGAGGATGTCCTCAGAGCCGTACTGCTTCGACCCAATCGCGGGCTTCAGCGCGGCCGCCAGGCTCGCTTGTGTGAGCGGGGAGGGTAATGAGGACGTTGATAGATCTATGATTTTGTTAACGGGATAGACGGAGGGGGAGTATAGGAGGGAGAAGGGGGGACGCACTCTCAAGTTCGGCGAGGGCTTTTACCGAGGCGAGCTCGTAGCCTTTGATGATCTCGCTCGGGTGGAGGCCCATCACGAGGAGATGCTCCGCCTTTTTGAGGAACTCGCCGGCGAGAATGAGCACCATGTTCGTCCCATCGCCCATCTGCATCGTACACGATACACCAACACCAGATGGCAAGTTCAAATCAACACCGACGGAGAGCGCGTGATGGAGAGAGCACGGACCTCTGCCTCCTGCGCCTGCGAGGCCATGACGAGGAGCTTCGCGGCAGGGTGTACGACCTCGATCTCGCGGATGATGGTCGCCGCGTCCGAGGTAACGAAGAGTCTGCCGAGGTGGTTCACAAGTAGCTTATTCCGGCCTGCCCGCATATCATTGCACACTCTTAGCGGCCGACAACACCTGAGGGAAGGGGACGCACCATTTGGTCCGAAGCTCGTGCGCACGAGGTCAGAGAGCTCAGCGACGGCCTGGATATTGCGCAGGACGGCATCCTCGAGGCCTTGCAAATGCTGCGCGTGCGTGTAAGTGAGGAAGGGCTAACGGAAACTCAGACGAAGTAGAGGGATCGTGCGGGCGCACCTTGTAGCCTTCCTTGAAAAGTTGGAGGCCATTGGCCTGGGGCATTTTTAGCGACATGATCTATTCGTGAAACCTACGGCGCCATCGCGGGGAGATGTATGTGCGTTAGGGTGCTTTTTGAGTGAGGGAAGGGACTTACTGTCGTGGCGAGAGGAGAAGAAAGGTGGGCGCTTTATGTAGAGTCGCGTCTTCCAGTATGCGCCCGTGCAGACTTCTTTCTTCCTCTCGGAGTCCTGTCTCTGCTGCTCGACTCCCAGCTTGCTGGATTCTTTTGCACTTGAGAGATCATTCCTTGACTGCACCGGCTGCGATGCTGTTCTCGTACGAAGATCTGGCTTCTGGCGCTACTAGTAGGACGAAGAGTTTGTACTTGGGAAAACTGTAATTCTACACCGCGGGACGTGCTTGCGATATGTCTACCGCTGGAAATGCAGATGGTGCGTGCTCTACGAAGGTGCATTATATTGTTGATGTTACTGCGTGTTCGCGATCTTTCACCCTCTCATTGATAGGACAACGCTCACTCCAGTGGCATGGGGTCAACTGTGCTTGTCTCAGTTTTTTTCGCCGATGGTACCTTACCTATTCTCTCCTTGATGCATGATGTTGCAAGCTTCAACAACTCCAATCAGTTCATCTGCATCTCCTTGATCCCGAATATAACTGAGACACTGGGTGGGGTTGAAGTACTCCTGGAACATCTTCCTGTGCTTCCTCCATCGCGGCCCATACGGCATGAGGGCAAGGTCGGCATGCCAGCCCATCCTTTGTCCTGCGTCAAGCATGGGGAATCTCGGAAATGATGCTTTTCCAACTGCAAGTCGTCGACACTCCTTGTGAGACCCACAACTGGCATCAGCCAGTGGCTAACGACAGCTCCGAAGTGCACGCAAAACATAGTGAACCTCAAAAGCGCCCAACAGACGGTTATGTCCACAGTATCGCACAGTTTGAGCAGGCGGTTCCGGGGGGTGACTATATATGCTCATCATCCTTCTTCCACTTCTTGAACGCTGAGTCTACGGCTCCGAATTTCGCATTGCGGGCTGTCCAGCTGAGCCCCTCGAAATCCGGCTTGTAATTAACGCTAATCTATAATACTTTCTCGATAGGCATCGTTGTTTTGATCAAAGACTTCCTCACGCGTGGGGGTATCCACTGTGCCATGCTCTCTGTTATGATCTGGGGGTTATCGTTGACGATCCCCTTCCCTTGCTCTTTCTCCAGACGTTGCGCGTAACGTCGCGTCAGTGATGATCGCATGACACCACGGGTGGTGCTTGTTCGCCCATGAATGCATGGGCGAATAGACGCCCAAGAACCGCCTTGCACTGAACATCTGGCTCGGGAGCGATACAACCAATGCAATTTACTCCTGGCTGCTTGGCGCTTTGCTTCTGGACTCTTGTGTATATCGACAGACTAGCACTCTTACAGTACGTAGCCGCTACCCCTTCTCTGGCACGAAGACCTTCCATCTGGAGACATTACTATGACGGGGCGACGAACTCTCATGCGCAGGATTCTACACTGCTAGATGCGCTTGGGACAGGGTATCCCTTTCAGCGCCGGCTTGAGCTGGTCATACTTGTATGACACCGCACGGGCAGGGTGGCTTCTCTGAACGTCATGCTAGCGTCCATCATGCTGGGTGTACGTCCTGAGGCCCTGCAAGCACTAAAACTAGCCGAGTATACCGTGTATGCATGTATGGTAGAGGATATGTTGTATGCCAACCTGAGACGTCCATCCCACGATCGTCAACCGTCGCAGCCCTCGAAACGCACTTGCAACCTGCACCTCATGAACCGCCGTCCTGCTTGTCCTCAGTCTGCTTCTCTCCCTCCCCGCGCTCCTTCTGCTGATCCGCTTCGCGCTCCCTGCCCTTCTCAGCCTCTCCCTGAGTTTTCGCTCCCTTCTCCCACACTTTCAGCCGCGCCTCGTACCACTCCCACACCGCGCGGCCGAGCGCCTCCCCGCCAAGCTCGCCATCATCCGGGAGGCCGCCCTTGCCCTCATCCTCGCCTTCTTGCTCCTTAGGCGGTACAGGCGGCTCCAGCCGGACGACCGCACACTCTCTATACAGCGCGCCGGGCTTGAGCACCTCCTCCGGCGCCTCTCGCTCCTTCTCCTCCCGGGGACTTTTGTCCGACGACGGGGTGGGAGCGGCGGCAGCGTCGGCGCCGAGGCTCGCGGCGAGGTGCGCCTGCGCGCGCTTGAACGGCGTGGGGAGGAAGAGCACGTGGAGCACGCTCTGCAGCGCCGCGCCGGGCGGTTTCGCGAGGAGGTAGAGCAGCGGGAAGAGGAGGGCGTACCTACGAGTTTCGGATTTGCGTCAGTTAGCGTTCGAGTCTGTTACGTGCACTGGGAAGGAGTTTGTGTGAGAAGAAAGAGCACGCACAGGACGGCGCCGAGCGGCGAGGAGTCAGGTACGCCGCGCGATGCGCCGAGCAGGGGTTCGACCGTGTCTTTGCGGCTGAGCCCGGGGCAGGCGGAGACGGCGACGATGTTGGAGGGGTGCTGAGAGAGGCGGCGCGCGGAGTCTGGCCCCGAGGCCGATGCTTCGTTTGAGCCCGAGGGTGAAGTAGCATCAGAAGCAGCGTGTGCTCGATTTGGGAGGGAGTCGAGGATGCGCTGGAGGTGGCGAGTAAGGACGACAGTCCGGAGGGCGCGACGGCCCTCCGCGAGGAAGAGCGGTGGTGCTGATGTGGAAGAATCCGCGAGGGATGTGGCGAACGAGGGGCCGGCGGCGGCGTAGAAGGGATTGACGACGGAGACTATGCGGATGTCGCGGTCGGGAGGCGCGACGAGGAGAGCGGGGAGGAGAAGGGTAATAAGGAGGAATGTCGCGAGGGACGCAGCCTCACGCTCCTTCTCTCTCTGCGCTGGGTTCCGCGAGCGCAAAAGGGTGCCAAGGGACGTGTACTCGTGCGCGAGGACGAGTGCGTCGATGCGGGTGTCTGCGCCGGGTGTGGTGAGGAAGCGGGTGCAGAAGGCACGGACGGATACAGGATCGGCGAGATCGGCATGCTCGGCATAGATGTGTTCGTTGCGGGTGCTCACGCGGAGGAGGGGAACGAGCACGGCGGGTGCGGGGTGCGAGAGAGCGTGCGGGGAGAGGGCGATGATATGAGCGCCGCGGGTGGCGAGAGCGGTGACGAGGGCGAGGCCAAGCGGGTTAAACGCGCCCTACTGGGCGGTGGGGGGTCAGTCATGGTGAGAAGGGTGAGAAGGGGTAAGTGCGCACGGTTACGAGGATGACGCGGGCGTGGAGGTCGCGGTCGCGGTTGGTGGTGCGGCCGCGGGCGAAGGCGTGCACGACGAGGAGGACGACGAGAGCGACGACGGCATGGGGGTAGTACTTTGGCGGGAGAACGGAGGAGAGAGCGGCGTAGGCAATCTGTAGGACCATCGACGACGGCAGCAGGCGGGCAGACGCGCACCACGGGCGCTTCGACAGCGAATCTACAAGCGCGCGTCTTCAGCCTTGTCTGCAATCTTCATCGCCTTCACAATCCTCGAAGAGTGGGCTACCCACGAACGATGGCGACGTACTACACCCCGCCGCGCACGTCGTCTTCGACATGCTCGACATCTGCCGCCATCGCCGATGTCGAGCAACCCGAGCCCGCCCTGGAGCCTGAAGACGAGCGGGAGCACGAACTACAGCTCACGACGCTCGATCTCAGCTCGCACTCCATCTACGTCTTCCCCAACCCGTCCTCTGCGCCCTCCAGCCCGGCGTCCTGCCTCTTTTCGCCCACGCCCACAGAGCTCGCCACCCTTCGCGCCCGTCCCCGGAATCGCTCTCGCTTCGCAGACACAGACACTGCCCTCAGCGATAGATCCACCCTCTCCGGCCTCGTCGACGGCGACGCAGAGCTCGACGTCGACAGCGAGGACTGGTCCCTCGGCTCCCCGGGCTGCTCACCCTTATCACCCTCCGGCTCCACCGACTCCTGGCTGCTCGAGGGCGAGGTCGCCCGCGCCGCCCGCTGGGATGTCCCAGCCCACCTCACTCTGCAGCAGCGCACCCACCGCGCATTCCTCCACATGTCCGCCGTCACCCCTGCCCCACCACCCGTGCGCATCACCCTCGACCACGCGCGGCGCTTGCAGCCCCTCCGCCCGCGCACCCGCACCCACTCGCATGCGAGCACCTTCAGCAGGAGCCTCTCATCCTCTGCGCGCTCGCACCACGCCCGCACCGGGCCGCCACAGCCCCAGCCACAGCCCCGCGCGCCCCTCCCGCTCCTCGCGTTTTTCGCCCGTCTCCTTGCGCTCGACCTCGACGACCCCGCCGTACGCCTCCTCACGCTCGCCGTGCCCGACGCGGACGGCGACGCGCTCCTCTTCCCGGGGTGCAGCGCGCGCCTCGGCTCGTCGCCCCCGTCCCTCTCCACCAGCGCGTCCTCTGATTCTTCTTGCTCGGATTCGCTACACGAACTGGACATCGCGTGCGACTGCGACTGCGAAGTCAGCCCAGAGCCCGCGCACGGCCTGCCGCGCCTCCTCTCCGACGACGCGCGCACGGCCGCGCTCCGCTCGCTGCGCGCCGGCCTCGCCGTGCCGTTCGACTTTGGCGTCGGCGTAGGCGCGGGGCTCTGGCGCGCCGTCGGTGAGGTGTGCGTCCGCAGCGGGCAGGCCTGGCGCGAGGTCTGGTGGGGCGTGTGATCTGCACCTGCCTCTGTTCATTTCGTCGCCGTGATTCCTGTCACCCTTGCACTTGTTCGATGATTAACCTATAATTCGCACACGCGGGACATTCGTCCACCTTGGGACTGTACGCTAGTGGATGGTAAACTTGTAGAACCGGCGTACGGTTATACCACAGTGTGTTGTATGTTATCCCCGCAGCCCCCAAAAATTATTGTATTGATGCACCAGCAGAGCCTAGTGTACCCACAGCCATTAATTAACGCGGTCGTGCCCCGTGTATCGTAGTGTTATACCGCAACCTGCAGTCCAACGCAGAAACCGATTGCAATGAAACGCGTGCCGGCGCGCTACAGGCTGCAGGAGGCGCACGAGAGCATCAACGACCATGAGCGGATGCAGGTTATTATGAGGCATTGTAATGCACCGTCGACAGCGCTCGGCGGGTCCTCTTTGCACAAGGCGGGCCCGCAGCGACGCGCATTCGTGACCAGTGCGCGGTAGTGACGCTTGAATCCCCGCGTCAGGGAATACCTTGCAGGCTCGCAGCGTACCCTCGGGACCACGATCTACGGCCTCAGAGGCAAGCTACGGCCAGCGCATACATGCACGACTGGAAGGAAACGCACGCTGCATGATCGTCAGATGTCGCTGCGGGCGCGCCCTGCGACGGAACGCTCGACATGAAGTGTCGCGACGTCTCGAGCGTGATGCGGCTCGGAGCTCTCTGCCCGCCTACCTGCGTCGGCGAGTCTTGCACTTCCCGCAGATATGTAACAGCTCATGTCTCAAACAATTGCCACAACTGACGTCTTAAAGAGGCTTTTCTCCTGTAGAAAAAACACGTCCATCGGAGCTGAAGGAAAACGACGATGTCGCCTTGAATAGGGCTCAGCTGGGAATCGAACCCAGGACCACCCGCACGTGCCTGAAATCAGAGACCCTAAGCGAGTATCATACTACTAGACCACTGAGCCAGGTCAAACGTAGACGACCCACATAGATATCTTCTCGAGGAGTCGCAAAGGCTGTCGCTTCCCTTTGCAAATTACGAGCTGGGAGCCGCAAAACCATAAATACAAACAAGACTGAAGCACAGTCCTCGTAGGAAACTCAGAGGGAGCTGGGAAGAGGGGGGCGGTGCACAGAAAACGTGTGGAAAATTCACAACACAATAGCATACACCACGCACCGGTATAAATACACAGGTATAACCAAGACCCTCAAGACTCCCCTACGCGCCACGAGCATTATATCTGAGCCCCTCCAGCTCCCTAATCCCTTGTTCGCTTTGAGATATCCACGCCTGCACGGCCCACACGAGGGCGGTCATCCCGCCTGCCAGCGCCCACCACACGACGTCCGCCCAGCCGCATTGAAGGACCAGCGAAAATGCAGGAGCGAGCGCCGCGGCGCACAGCACTGCTGGATGCGTAAGGGGGATAGGGACAGCACGTAGTGGTGGCGGAAGAGATAAGAGCATGCGCCGAAGGCGATGCGTAGGGGGGAGGAGCGTGAGGGAGAGGTTGAGGTGGAGCAGAATGTGGACGGCGCCGAAGAGGACCGGAAATGCGATCGTGTGCGGCGAGGTATCGGGTGGTGGCGGGAAGAACGCATAGAGAGGCGAGAGTTTCGGTTCGTGGAAGACGAATATTAGGTGCCTGGGCGGGTCTTGGTGTCACTGCCAAGGACAAGCGGAAATATACGATAGCGACACGTACAACATACATGAGAGTGCGAGAGTGATTTGCAGTAGAATCAGGTAGTGCACATTCGAGGCATCGCTCTGCTTGCGCAAGGTCTCAATGAGCTCCTCCTGCTCTATGGTGCAACTAGTGAGTGTGTTTTGAAGATTCGGGCCGAATGAATGCAACTACCTTGCTCGTCAAGAACGTGGTCGTCTTCTTCAGCGGTGTCAGAGAATACGAACGGGACTCGCCGGCGGACGGACATCGTTGTCGTAAACAGACTGCGAGACCACGGCGATGTTCTAGTTATCACGTGCCTCACCCGCCAATCACATCGCAGATTTGCGAAATTTAGATCAGATTCCTCCAAATCTCACTCCTTCGATCAGCTGAAGACTCTGAGCTCGCTCTCTGTACCTTCAAATCATCCAGAACACTAGGATATGGAACCCGAGGCTCCAGAGACAACACATGAAATCATCGAGAACGGCCAGTTCGATGATGCGCCCGAGTCTGCCGATCCGGTAGTGCCGTCTGCCCACATCGATCCCCGCACAGGGCACAACTTCATCGACGAAGAGAACATACTCGCGTGGTCCTCCGACAGCGGCGCAGAAGACGATAACGAGGCCGAAGAAGAGTACGACGCATTCGACGCTGAGGAGGACGACCTCGAGGCCGCCGCGTTCCACACCCTACGTGCGGAGGACGAAGACTGGGAGGTCGCCGAACGAGGTGCGTCTCGTGCCGCACGCCTCCTACTACCTGCACAAACGGCCCACAGATTTTACGAAGCAGTACAACCGTGTCAGGCAGCATGTAGCTGTGCGTACTGGTGCCGCGCATGGTATCGCCTCCGCGATGAACACCCGCTCTGTGGTTGCGCCGCTCCCCGCCGTCAATCGCCCACGCGCCGCGAAGGTAGTAGCAAGTGCACCTGCGTCTGCTACGAGTGGTGCAGACCGGACTGCGAGTCAGCTTGAGGCGCTGGCGAAGTACTCTTCTCGCATACGCAACATTGACATGCCGTATGACCTCGGCGTGGGCGTGAATAGAAAAGGTCCGTCCGCGAGTGCGAATGTCAAGGACAAACGCGATCGTGCGACTAGCGAGCAGGTCTTGGATCCGCGCACCAGGATTATTCTGTTCAAGATGATTGGACGAGGGCTCATATTCGAAATTAACGGCTGCGTTAGCACAGGAAAGGAGGTATGTCTCCGCTTATCAGATGTTCATGTTCTAGTGTCGATATATTTGGCCTTAGGCAAATGTATATCATGCCCTCACTCTAGAGAGGAGACATATTGCGCTCAAGATCTACAAAACATCCATTCTTGTCTTCAAGGATCGTGATAAATACGTCACCGGAGAATATCGATTCCGTCGAGGATATAGGTATGCTCTACTCCTTTCAAAGCACCATTGATAAATTCTAATCCCATCTAGCCGACACAATCCCCGCAAGATGGTCCGCATATGGGCAGAGAAGGAGATGCGTAACCTCAAGCGATTGCGCACAGCTGGGATATGCTGTCCCGAGCCTGTCGAGGTTAGAGAAAACGTGCTTGTGATGGGGTTCGTCGGTGATAAGGAGGGATGGTAGGTGTCCCTAATTCATCCTTCGCTGGTCTCCTTCCACTAACCGCTAATATTCGCGCAGGGCGTCCCCAAGGCTGAAAGATGCAGAAATCCCGGCCGCAATCATCCCCGACCTATACGTCGAGCTCCTTCTCATGGTGCGCAAGATCTACCTCGAATGCAAGCTCGTGCACGCCGATCTCTCCGAATACAACGTCCTATACCATGTGGAATCGTCGCCTTCCCCGCCTGCAGCGGAAGACTCTTCCCACCTAGAAACAGAGCCGGGGCCCTTTCAACAGGAGTATGAACCCTCTCAGCAGGAGGCAGACCAGGACCACCGCGGACACCTGTGGATCATCGACGTCTCGCAGTCCGTCGAGCACGACCACCCGCATGCATTCGACTTCCTCCGCTCGGACCTACGCAACGTCGAGGACTTCTTCGCTAGGCGCAGCGTGCACTGTGTCGGGCTCCGCCGCGCGTTCGAGTTCGTCACACGGGAGGTCCTCCCACCCCCGGGCGAAAACGACGGCGCGGAGGCCGTTCTGCGGGCCTGGATGGAGGCACCAGAGCCAGAAGCGGCGGCGGACGGAGCAGAATCTAGGAGCGAAAATGGGGTGGCGGATGCAGACGGTGCTGCGCCGGGGCCGTCCTCGGCTGCCGCGGCACACGAAGACTCGGTGTTCATGCACTCGTACATCCCCCGCACGCTAAACGAGGTGTATGATCCGGAGCGTGACGTGGGCGCGCTCGCCCGTGGAGAGGGTGAGAAGCTGATTTACAGGGATACAATTGGGATCGTTGTCCCCAAGGATAGACGCAAGGACAGTGCGGGTAAAAATGGAGAGACGACAGCGGAAGCACGAGGTCGCGTTCAGATGAGCAAGGTGCACTTCCAGGACGAGGGCGGTGACAATACCGATGATTCTGATGAGAGCGAGGATGAAGAACAAGATGACGACAGTTCCGAGGGGATAAAAAAAGGGTTCGAGGAGCGTCAACCGAGGGGGCACCGACATGAGGACAAGGACGCCAAAAAGGTGCGCATATCGATATGTTGCGAACATCCGCTGGTACTGATGTAACGCTCCTTTCCAGGAACGGAAGAAAGCAGCGAAGGAAGAAGCTCGTGAGAGGCGCAAGCACAAAATTCCGAAGGCAGAGAAAAAACGGAAGGTGAAGGCAACGGCGCGCGGTGGATAGCGGACGTTCAGATTTGCCTAAGCGCTCCCTGTGACATGCTAGCACTATCGTCACCCTCCAAAATAGCATCCGCATATCTTCGTATTTAACGCTTACCCCTTCTAGATTGTATCCTTGGATCATGTAGCTCGGATAATGTTTGGTTGTTGTATCTTCTTTAAGCAAATGCTCACGATCTTTTGTGTAGCAGTAGGATAGAAGAACGAAGGCGACATACAGGGATGTCTGGCGAGACCATGGAGGAATGACTAACTGAATATGCCATAATGGAAACAAATACTTTCATGGAATGGAATGGCCGTGCGTGTAGATCTGTTTAGTATCAGTGACCATGACGCAGGGACGGGAGGAGAAACTTTCAACCATTGAGAATTTGACGAAGTGAGCGCAGCACGTAATAAAATCGGAAACGGCTGTCACACCTACCGTGAGCACCAGACAAAGGACATGCCTTTGACAGGAACAAATGATCCTGGTTCAGCCCCAGTTGACATAGAGATACATTGGCTGACCACACACCTCCAGCATGCGAAAAATACGTGCAGTTGTCCTGGTTGGTGAACCTAAAATTGAAATTAGACTCGTCTACTAGCATCCTGTAGAGATTCTGAGACATGGTATAGCTGACATCTTCCACCAACGGTACAGAGGATCAGAAACACTTACACATCCGGGGCTGTAGTACTCTACTCCCACGGTCATTCAGAACTATGGAAATATAGGTATCTGAGAGAATATAGACAGTTTGAGCAAGGCCATTTTCCCGTCGTCAAATAGTGGGCCTCAAATTCCTGATTTTGATCGCGCGCGCGCCCTGTCAAATTTTACGTCGACCGCGGCGGAAATTTGTCTAAAAGTGGCCGTGCCCAAACTGCGTTAAGCAGGGGAGATATTTCCAAGAACGTCCGATTTTCCGGATAGTGGAACTATCCCTCCTGAAGGATAGAGAAAGGGATTGGATACTCCGTCAAAGGTGTGCACAGTGCAGGAGTCACAGAACGGGAACTGTCACTCACACGTGATACGTCACGCCCCAACTCGGCAAAGAATAAGAAACACTAAGAAAGATACTGGATGCCTTCCCGTAGCGCTTAGGATTTAGAGTGTTTAAATCATAAAGCGGACTACGACATGCCCCACTGTGTCGGAACAGCAAGATTTGCGAGACCGTAACGACGTGAGACCATGATCACTAAATCAAGTTCTAGACGGTCGGAGGATGAACGGCAAGATGATGTAAGTGATGCGGAACACCGAAGATAGGCGACGATGGGGGTTGCGAGGGTGCGGAGATCAAAAATAGAGTTTAGGAAGACGTGTAGAATCTGGAAGGGGGGGTCGACCCCCCCTTTCCAGATATAAGGTATAGAAATGTCTCACTTTGTTCACATGCTCGTCGGAGATCAATTGGCCGACGTGCCGAAGTGATTTAGAATGAAATTTAGCCTTAGAACGTCTCTAAACGGCTACGGGAAGGCATCCACTGAATGAGCTAATAAGACGCGATGACGACTTGTAGGCAAGTACTGTTTTCATATGTGTGTGGGACATGCATATGAGTGAAGGAGTCAATGTAACGATGTCATCTGAATACATGAAAGTGAGTCAAATCAACAGAATGATCGTCTGTCAAGGTGCGACAATATCCTGAATAAACAATATACTCTTCAATACGGGCTGAAGTTGAATAAAATAATACGGTCCCTCTGTTGGAGAATCAACAAGAACCTCGCAATCGCGAAGACACTGGATGCGGGGCCAGTGCATGTGACGGTAGGCTGCCCCTGGAGATCGAATGACCACCAGACATTTGGTCGGAAGTCCGACCAGAAGGACAACCATGACAACCTGCAGACCAACTTTCGAATTGAGACACACAAGCATCGGGATCGGAGCTACAGCGGCTCACCCGGAGGTAGGTAGGTAGGTAGGTAGATTACCGGCATTGGTCCCATTCAGGAACACCGGGTTGTCGCACCTAGACCTCTGCTATGTACCCGTGCACAGTACACTACAGAAATCTAGGATACAACACATCCAGGACAGAAATCGCTCCGATCAATACCTACTCATCTACACAGCTCTATTGTGAGGTTGATCACTACTACTCACTCGGCTGTTAGGCCATGGGTCACAAGCGCATGAGGGGCTCATGCGGTTGGGGCCATATATTTATACTACACAGTAATTCTAGGAGATTCCAGTATGTTCTCCGACATACCTATGTGCTGACTAATATATGTTTCCTGATTGGGAAACCACCAGCCCTAACACTCCCCCTCAATCTGGAAACACCTTACTGTGCTCCCCCCTCAATCCTGGCATCTCCTATGCCATCCAATATATTTTTCCTTTTGACCCTGAATACCCCAAATGTTGTGGGAGCCCTATGCTCGTGACAAGAGAGCCAATGCTACCATCTCGCCAGATCCTTCGACCACGACAACAGAGCCGATGCTCCAGTATTCCCACGGATCCTTCCAATTCGGGAACTCTGTCCCTCGTCCGCGACACACGCGTAATGTTCGGCTCGCCATTTGCACACTGTCTTCAGTTGCACCTGGCTCCAAGGGTTCTCTGCACATATGCTAAATGCCAGTATACCCTGCCGCCATGCTTCACCAACTCCGGCAGTGGCGACCCTGCCTAGTTGCGAAGACTTTCGACTTGACCTGCTCGCGGGGTCCTACCCGTATCACGGTACAGTCTCCTACGCGCCTACGGCCTCGGCGACCTTTCGCGGTACACTCTGTTACCAGATCGGGCCGTATACAAACTATCCCCCGCGGCGTGAATAGTAGGTATGCGCTTGTATTGTGAGGTTGATCACTACTACTCACTCGGCTGTTAGGCCATGGGTCACAAGCGCATGAGGGGCTCATGCGGTTGGGGCCATATATTTATACTACACAGTAATTCTAGGAGATTCCAGTATGTTCTCCGACATACCTATGTGCTGACTAATATATGTTTCCTGATTGGGAAACCACCAGCCCTAACAAGCTCCCAGTGCATCAAAGTTGATTTGGGGGCAAGGGAAAACCCAGTGGAAAAAACCCTGAACTCAGGGAGCTGCTTCAACAGAGCACTGTCCCACGAAATCCATCAAGGATGCATGAGACTAAGTAGGCTCTGCAGCTGTTGTTATATGTGGAAGAAGCGTATGCTTCGTTGTGTGAAACACTTAGGATGTTGTACGTGGATGTGCAAGATATTCTGCACCATACACAAAAAAGCCAGCGGGACATGGCCGCATGTTCACACATCAAGTGTGACACTTCCACACGTAGCAAAGAGCGAGAGCTGCACGTCATGATTTGAAAGAATAATTACAGGTTGCGTGAAGAATGCCAGCACAGTCACTGTGCATACTTAACCACACTCACCACGATGCCCGATGCCCGATGTGCACATGGAGCATAATATGGAAGTGATGCACACTGCTGGACTCTCGAGCTGGGGTATACAGGTAGCGTGATGGCTCGCGGACAAGGGGTCGACAACAGCAATGCAATGGATGAGAATGCTCGCATGCAAAAGAACTGCGCACTACGAAGGTTGCCACCTGTATTCGAGTCCGTGTAGGGGTGGTGTGGCATGTGAACATGATACGCAGGCATCCACAGCAAATTGTGGGCATCCACAAGCATTGGTGGGCATCACCGCCATTGGTGGGTATCCACCAGAGCAGCGGGTACTGTGTATGGATGTTCTCATGTCACGATAGTCCACGGTGTTGTCAGAGTAGCAGAGGACGATATTCGTGAACAACACAAATAGGGGTAAGGTGAGTGACAGGTAGACCACTACCATTGGTCGGCTTCCGCAGTCACAGGCAGGAGCAGTGGGCACTGTGCGTCGACGCTGGTCATAGAGCCATCGGTAAACACTTCCTCACAGTCTGAGGGCATCCACCATCGGTGGGCATCCACCGCCATCGATGGGCATCCGCACTAAAACGCGGGTAGCAGTGGACGCTGTGCGTCGACACTGGACATGGAAGGTACACAACAAATGCATGCCTTAGAAGCAGGCGGGAGTAGTGAGCATCGTGCATCGATGCTGGACATATAGCTGCCATCTGTAAACACTATCCCGCAGTATAAGGGCATCGACCGCGATTAGTGGGCATCCGCGCGAAAAGGTGGGCAGCAGCGGATGCTGTGCGTCGACGCTGGACATGGAGCCATCTTCCGCAAACATGTTGTATACGTTACGATAGTCATCAGTGTCGTTTTAGCAGTAGAGAGCACTATTCTTAAATATCGGGAATAGGGGTAAGAGCGGAGTAAACCTGGAACACGCATAACCAGACGACGAGACCAGGCCTTTGAAATTTAGGGGGAAAGTGCTCCACACCTGTGCGGTGGTAATTTCTTTATCAGGAGAGCGCTGAAGGGAGGATAAATGAGCGTGCAATAAGAATGAACTACCACTTCTAAGCAAAACTCGGCCACGAGAACTGCACCTCATGCATCCGTAACACAGCCTCGGCTAGCATCCTCCACAACTTTCACGTATTTGTATAGTGTTCCTTGGCTGACTTTGAGAGGAGGGGCTTTCCATTCGCTTCTTCTCCGCTCCAATTCCTCAGGTGGAACGCGCAGTTCAAGGGTATTTTTAACGGCATCGACAGAGATAATGTCTCCGTCTTGAACTAGGGCGATAGGACCCCCAACCTGAGCTTCTGGCACGACGTGCCCAATGCAGAACCCATGGGAGCTGTATGTAGGATGGAAGATCAGTAAATGTGAGTTCATAGCACCCGAGGATGACATACCCTCCGCTGAAACGACCATCCGTAAGGCAGGCGACATCATGTCCAAGACCTGCGCCCATGATAAGACTAGTCGGCTTGAGCATTTCGGGCATACCTGCAAGACTGGATGAGTAAATATTACGTTGTGGGACATTGCCCATTTTTACCCGGCCCGCCCTTTGGTCCAAGATATCTAAGTACAGCCACGATTTTCTCTCCTTTCTTGATGGAACCGGTTTCCACAGCAGTAATAAAGTCGTCTTCATTATCAAACGCGCGAGCCTTGCCGGTAAAACCTAGTCCCTCTTTACCAGTAATTTTTGCCACGGCTCCCTCCGGTGCAAGGTTACCTCGGAGAATTCTGCAAGAAAAAACATATATTATGTTATCGATGCTTGGATCCGCATTTTAAAGACTCAAGACTGACCGAAGATGTCCGGTCTCCTTGATCGGCTTATCCAGTGGTCGGATAACATGCTGAGCACTCATGGAGAGTTCACCGTGTTCGTGCGTCCATCTCTCGAGGTTCTCGCCGAGTGTGCGACCGGTAACAGTCATATTGTCTCCGTCGACGAGCTTGTTTTTCAGCAAATAGGCAAGGATTTCTATAAAGCGGAGAGTTTCCAAGAAGTCTTCAGTACACTCGAAATTACCAGGGCTCGAGCACGCACTTGGTATACCACCAAGTTTGTATACATCTTCCATGACGTACTTGCCGCTTGGTTTCAGATCAGCAATAAATGGCGTGCGATCTGAGACATTTTGGAAATCGTCGAGAGTCAACTTGATGCCGACTGAATGTGCTATAGCAATAAGGTGAAGAACGGCGTTCGTAGAACCACCCAGAATCATAGTAAGGACCTATAACAGATCATAAGATAAACGACAATAATCCGCGTGGACGTGCTCACCATAGCATTTTCAAATGCCGAACGAGTCATGATGTCTCGAGGCAAAATATTCTTCTCCAGCAAGTTACGCATGGCAGATCCAACTGAAGCACATTCCTTGGCCTTTTCTTGTGACTCCGCAGGATAGGATGACGACCCAGGTAGCGTCATTCCCATTGCCTCAGATGCACTAGCCATTGTGTTCGCTGTGTACATCTTTCGAGCACGAAAATATTAGTGGCGTCCCATGGATGCGGCGCAGAATTCACTAACCCCTCCACATGCCCCTGGGCCAGGACATGCATGTCGGATGGTGTCGTACCGCTCTGCCTCTGCAGTTTCTGTTCGTCCTTCCTCCAGGTATTTTCCATACGCTTGGAAGGCGGAAACAATATCCAAAACTGGCGTCCCCGCACACGAGCCTGCGCGAATGGTACCCCCATACACCATGAGACCCGGGCGGTTGAGTCTTCCCACTAAAAAAAGACATTACATCGCACAGCTGGTACGAGGGTCGATTCACCTACGGGCCATCAATACGCCAGGCATGTTCTTGTCGCAACCGGGGACAACGACCATCCCGTCGAGCCAGTGGCCACCCGCTGCTGTCTCTACTTGGTCTGCAATAAGATCCCGAGACTGGAGGGAATATGACATCCCTCGGGTTCCCATACTGATGCCGTCGCTGGAACATAATGTCAACAGGTGTCAAAGCGTGCGTAACTAGTGAGGCGCAGACCTGACACCAACTGTACCAAACTGATAACCAATGATGCCGTCTTCTGTGAGCGACTTCTTCACTTGCTGACCTAAACCCAGTAGATGCCGATTGCATCTTCACCATATTGGCACCCTGAACAGGAGGAACAGCCACGATTGTTTGAACTTACGGGTTGCCTTCGTACCTATGCGGTAAATGAAGTCGTCGTATCCTGGCATACGGACTTATACTCACCATACGCTTGCAATGCCGACCATGGCCTTGTTGAAATCATCGTCTGTTTTGATTCCCTCGGTCGCATACAGCATAGCTTGACTCGCGCCTTGAGCCTTAGGCTGGGTGATCGTCTGGCTGTACCGGTTGATCACAATTTTGGCCGAACATATCGCCGCTGATGACGCGTAGCATCTTCGCGAAGTGGACAAGCGGGAAAATCGCCCAGGAAATGCGCGAGGCTTTGCGTGCATGGTGCTTATGCCACACTTTAAGGTATGACCGCGTCGAGGACCGGAAATGCTGTCACGCGTGTCACACGAAGATGATATCACTCCGACGATCTCCGACACATCCAAGGATCGGTGTTTTTCAATTTTGGAAGGAAAAGCAAAACCGATTTCACGATTTCGCAGCAAACACTCAAAGTCTTGCACAACCTGGAATGTTCGGATTATCGATGTTGGAGTTCTCGGAAGTGGGATGATCCTGTACATGCAGCAATGCAATAGTTCCGCTAACTTGGGTCGTCGGTAACAACATAGTCTGTCATGTTCCTCCCCCTCTCCGCTTCACAGAGATGACTCTACGTTTGTCTATGATTCACTTCTCCACCATTTATGTGGTAATCGTGAGGCTGCGGGCATTTGATTGACAACTCAGCATCGCACTGCACGAATAAATCGAGATAACGTTCTGAGCAACTTCTTTGCCGAGATGCATCACTTCTGGACGTTCCGTGATCGGCTTAGTTCATGATAGGAGTCACATGGTCTCAATGCGGCAGGAAGATCGACGCGGAAGGGCTGCGTGGCTAGGAGCAAACGCTGTGAACTGGGTCCTTACACTGACGTTAGCTTGCTCTGTCCTACTTTAGTTTGAAAGGGCGCGCACCAGAGTGTTACCAGTTGAGCGGGCGGAATCGTACAATTCAGGAAGGTGTTTTGGAGAGAACTCCAACGAAATCAGATAGTCGATCATCCGCGTGGCTGGGGTGAAATCAAGCAGGCGCCCCTTTTCACAAAGTTTTGGAGCTTCGCTAGTGAAAAACTGGGATGTACGAATGGAAATGTCCAATAATATTAGAAGGAATCGGTGTAAGGGGAAACGAGAATATGCCAACCTGACCGACAGCCGTTTCCATTAACGGACTAACCACGTTTCAAAAATTCACTCCGCTCGTAGGTGCGTATTGATTGTAAATGGTACTCACCAGGACGCTGAGGTGGACCTCACAATGCTCCCTACGGATCCATACCGGCTCGGTCATTGTTCAGTGGCCACGCTGACCGAGCGCGACAGCGGAAGCAAACCTTAGCGGGTCGTCCACCCAGCTGCCACTTCCGCTACCCGGTTTCCTTGGCCGCCCCTTTGGCCACCCATCCGCAAAATTTTGCCCCTCTCATTTTCTTCCGTTATACCTCCTCGGTGGCGAATGGGCTCCTTACTTGCATTGGTATTTACTCCTCCGTTGCGTCGAGCAAGAAGCTTCCGTCACATCTAGCGGCAGAGATTCGCGAAGAGGGTCCGTTCATTATGGAGCAACGAGAGGAGGGCAAGAGACAGAGTTCCCTGCCAATCAGTCTTATCCCCCACCTATACACAGGACCTCAGCAGCGGAGAAACCCGTCCGGCGAGGCAGCACAGTTGGAAACCACATCGGAGGGGGGGGAGAGAACTGGACGGGAAAGCCCGTACGCATCTCATCCTGTGCCTTCGTATCCAGTCTCCCATGCAGGAACCTTGACTCTGACGCCTGCCGCTTTCGAGGACGACAGTGAACGAGGTAGCCGATGTCGAAGCAGATCGCCCGAAATCCAGGACGTCCACCGCACTAGGTCGCCACGGCAAACTGAAGCGTCTTTCCTCACGCATCCAGCGCGCCCCTTTCGAGCGAATACCATCTCCAGCGACCTGGCATACTATTCCCACACACCGTATTCGGTCCCTGCTCCTTCATTACGGGAGGCCACATGGGGGCAGGGAGAGGCCGGACCGTCGACTTATCATACGAGACAAGAGTCTCGCGAGGAAGCTTTTCAGAGAGAAGCAAGAAGACTTCAGTACTCCAGTCAGTACGCCAGTCAGTATGCTGGCCCAGAGCACCTTCCGCCACCACCCCGCCACTTGCCGGGAAATCTTGCACTTCAAGAGGAGAGTGGCCACTCGCACAACTATGACGACCGAAGGGTATTTGATCCTGCATATGCCGCCCGGTTTGGTGGAGGTAGTACAGGGACGCTTGAACATAGTCATCCAGTAACTCGGGAAGCGGTAGCTTACCGTATGTCCCCTTGCAGCACATTTAGCCTCCACGGTCTGATATTCTTCTGCAGAGGACAGGATTACAGCGCAAACGAGACACATTTTGAACTATCCAGGTCTCCAAACAAGTGGCTCCGAACGCCCTCGAGTACCTGAACATTCGTATGAGCATTTGCACACGTACGGTCCGGGTGCTCAGTTCGAGACTCACGGCATGTACTCTGACAACACATTCTTTCAATCCGTCCCGATCGCCTCCCCGGTACCTCGTCAGAGGATACTTCCAGACATCCAGCTACAACCAAACATTGAGTCCGGGCTTCCTCTTACTCCATTTTACTCGGATACAAGTCCTTTGCCTCTATGGTCCACAACATACGAGGACGACGACCATGGTACAGAAGCAAGCACCAGTCGGGAGAAGACGCGGGATGACACTTCAAGGGAGAGGCAGACTGGCTCCCGCAGAAAGAAGAGGGAACGCGAAAAAACACCCTCACCAGAGGCACCAGAAGCATCAAGGGCACCGGAGGAAAGGCCGCGGAAGATTCCCAAGAAGACAGAAGTGGCCTGTTTTTTTTGTCGGGGTAAGTGCTCTGGAAAATAATAACATGAATTTTTGCGGACCATGACTCGGTGTGTCGTTAATGCTTCATTTTGACGGTTAGGGCGAAAATTACGATGTGACGGTCAGCGGCCTACCTGCAGGAATTGCAAGAGGCGCAGTAACGTTTGCGAGTATGCAACCTATGCACGGCGACGCGGTCCGGGAAAAGCTACGAAGGGCACCCGGAAGTATGGTGCTGGAACGTCGCAGCCTCAGACGCAACCTGGGTTGCCTGAATCTCAGTTCACCTTTACCGGTGTAGGGCCACCGTATCCTACCCCATTCGCTGTGGAAAGACAGCCAGCGCCAAGCCAAGGCCAAGGCCAGCAACAAGACCAACGGCCGCCTCCAGGACAAAGTCAAAGCCAAAGCCAGCGACGACACCAACACGCGCCACCAGATCCATTTGGGGGCGAGCAAGGAGACGATGAAGATGGACCTCCACGACAGGAAGATACTTTCTAAGGTTCTCCAGTGCATTGTGATCGCTCGGTTCGACCAGATTGATATTGAAGGAGGATTCTCCAACAAGATGCACGTCCGGCAATACCCTGCCGCCAACGTCGGATGCCAATGCGCACAACATTCCCATCCCCACCTTCGTTCACGGCTTCTTTGGTCATAGGGCAACATTGATATCCCCTCGGGGACTTTTATTCTATCCACCGGAATAACATTGCATTTTCCCCGTAGACAAACTGGCAGGTACCATCCACCTCGGTTTCCATCCGCCCATCGTTGTCCCCGCCCGGTATCCTACTCTAGTTGATTCGCCTCTGGCGTGCTGTGAAGTATTCTTATTAATATGTAATAATGGGTTGTATTGTATTCCAGACTAGTATCTACGCTCTGCGCTTGTAATTTCTCGATCGAAAAGAGATGCAAATTGTGCACACGAGACACAGCTCGCGGGAGGCGGAGATGAGGCGGAGGATCCAAACGTTCAGCGGAAGCTGAGCCGGATCGTCCGCCAGCAAGCGCCTAATTTCGGCGCCGGCCCTTGTGATGGGAGGCGGTTCTGGAACGACCCCACCCCCGCATATCCGTGCCCGTAGCGGCCCCCTCCGTCGTCTCCTCGCCATGGACCACGTCGACCACAGGGCCCGCCGCGACGACCAGGACCGTGAAGGCACCGCCCATGGTACCCACGTCAAGGATGAATCCGCCGGTACCCGCACCGCCCCCAGTGCCCCCCTTCCCGACAGACTGGTAGGTCCGGCCACTGGTTATACCCTCATGGTTGCTGGTCGGCGGACGGGCAAGACTTCCTTCCTCAGGCTCCTCCTAGATACCAGTCATTTCTCTCCGACAGTCACCAGGGATCAACTTGCGTCGATCGCCAAGTTCGTCCAGGGGTGTAGCGGGCACACCTCGCACATCAGGACAGTCTCCGTCGATATTGACCTGGCGCTTACCGAGAACGACAAGCCTCAATCTCTCACTCTCACCCTCATTGATACCCCCTCTCTCGACTTCGACGACGACACGTCGACCCAAAAGACGGTGTCCGAAATTATCAGGCATGTAGATGCCAGATTCGCTGAGAGCATAGACGACGTAAGTGGATTTGTATTATGTTGCATATTTTCGTCGAATTGACATGTTGACTGCCCATTGCAGGAGCGTCAGGCACTCTCCGGAGACCACCATGTACACCTGTAAGTACCTGCTCTATGGGAAGTAGGCACAATGCCATCTCAATTGTCTATCGCTCGTTGCTGCAGATGCATATACTTCTTGGATCCGGATCATATTGTGCCACCATCGGTACCAGCACCGCCAGTCCCCCCTGTACCACGTGCGCGTACCAATAGTCTATCTCATGCCGAAGGCGAACCGTTTATTCTTGAGCCACCGGTGACTACCAATCCCGCGCTCTGTCGACCAACACTGCCTGCAGCAGACATTGCCACCATTCGACGACTCTCTGCGCGCATCAATGTGCTTCCTGTGGTGGCTTGCGCTGACACACTCACCAACGAACGCCTCGCCGCCGTCAAAATGGCCGTCCGCAGAGACCTTGCAGAAGCTGGGATTGGCTTCGGGATATTCGACTTGGATACTTTCCCTCAATATCCAGGTTCCATCAAGGATGCAGGGGAGTTGCCTGCCCTCAAGTTCCCCTCCGATCCTGTAGTCGGTTACACTGCCCATCTAGACGGTGCCGGTTCCACCGCAACCTCCCCTCCATCTACTCCAGTGTCGCCGTCATTGCTCCGACTCCCCTTCGCTCTGATATCGCCCGATATTTATTCGCACAGTGATGGAGTCTCTAGACCGCCCCCTTCGCGTTACGAACTTGCGCTCCAATACAGTCCTTCAAACCACCACTCTGAAAATAATAGCAGGCCATTCTCCAAAATTGTTCCAGGGAGGTTCGTCAGGAGCTACAGATGGGGATGCCTCGATGTGATGGATGTCAATCATTGTGATTTTTTGCATCTCCGCGGTGCAGTCTTTCACCATATGCAGGTACAGCTTACGCGGTCGGAAGATACTTATCTGGCGTCTCACTGATACAATCTTATCTACCCCTCACAGACATTGCGCAAGTACACTCGAGAATACCTGTTCGACAAGTTTAGAACAGAGATTCAACTACAAGCTCCGACATCTCATCATACTCTACCATCTGGTACAGCACCTTCGTCCGGGTCAATGTGTCGCCCATCAGCGCTTCCTCAGGACTCAAGGCCGATCCTTGCAATTGACACTGCCCCCTCTCATTCCACAAGCAGGCGCTCGTCACACTCTACCTCTCGAGCTGGGGCACTCCACAATGGAGAGATTAGTTCTTCTTCGCTCCTGTCCGCACATCCGCCGTCCGTGATGGAGCTGTCGCCGAGAACTGCAACCTCCTCGAGTCAGTGCCGTCTTTTCTCTACACAGTACGCATGATAGGTTGCCGCATCGTTGTCGCTCGCTTCCATGTGCTTTGGCAAGGGTTGTCACCAGGTTCTGTGCTAATTGATCTTTTGCGCACAGGATCTCAACGACAGCGCACCAAAAAGATCACTGTCGCGTGCAATTTCTGTCGATGTAAGTGACTTTTTGAGTACACCGCTCCCTTATATTCACCGTGCTGCTTAGCTCGTAAGCTCAAGTGCGACGGTGGGAGACCTGCCTGCGGCCAATGCTTCAAACGGTCAAATCCATGCGACTACATGGTAAATCACAAGCGGCGTGGAAATAACGGTCGGCAGCGAAAGCAATACGCGGGCAGCGAGAGCGATGGTGAAGGTCTCGAAGACCCGTCTCCCGAGGCAGACGGTCCATCGCATCCTTCGCATTCTCCAGAGGTCATCCCCCAACCTGCGTCTCGAAGAAGTTCGAACGTAAGCATGCTCTTGACGGAGTCACTGCCGTCTTTAAGTAGCGCTATTAAGCGCCAGGAGGACCCTCGTGCCAGTGCTGTATTGGCGCCCATCACACACTCCGCCACTTTCCTTGAAGTTTCTGCGTCTGACCAGCGCACAGAGCTCCCGCCCATCGCGACGCTGAGCATCCCGTCTTCTAGCACGATGCACGATGAGGCGCAGTCGCTGACCTCTCTGAAGACCGATACTAGCTCCACACGGAGGCGTACATCTTCTGCAGCGTCTGGAAGGAGCCGCACGTCCAACCACCACGGGTCCAAAATTGTGGCATGTAATATATGCAGAGGTATGTACCTTGCGATTGTCTGCACACAAGGTGTGATTTAAGTGATTCTGTGCAAAGCGCGCAAGACGAGATGCGATGGAGCACATCCCACATGTGGGAGTTGTTCGCGGCGATCACTCCCGTGCAACTATGTCACCGACGCTCCAGGCAGCTCAAGAAGCCGCGGAAAAAATACGGGCACGTCGACGCCAGGGCCGTCGGCCTCAACATCCGCACGGTCCTCCCCTACCAGCCAGCTTCATCTCATATCCCCTCGAGCGGCGAGTGCGTCGAATGGGTATATCCGCACCATCGGGGCTGTCGACCCTGCCGCGGATTTCTCTCCGCAACCCAACAAGAAAATGCGTATGACCGACATGGGCGTGCCCGCCATTGCGGTCCTTCACGCACCGTGACAGACTATCCCCTCTGCACCTTAAATTTGTCCCTCTCCCCTCCGACTGATTGTAGAGCATTCGTTTCATTCTTGATTACCTGCATCTATCGTCTTCGCTTTGTTTGGGTTTTTGTCGTTGTGTCGCAAGGAAGTGTATCATAGTATTATTGTTGCAGAGTTAGCACTCATGGACTGTTCGTACATAGGTAAATTGAATGTTTGCTACAGTACTAGTAGAACTTGAGAATGAGTGCTTTGTTGGCCTAAACGGGCAAGGTCAACTCGGCTAGTCACTAAACGTGTCTTTGAATATCGTGGCGGTGCGTCGGATTGTGCTTTGTTTTGTGCCTTAACATCCTCTGAACACTCTGCGCTGGTCGTCATTATACCTGCCTCATACATTCCTTTCCTTCTTTATCTTTTGTGTCTCTGAATCATGTTCAGCTTTCGCCGCAAGCACCGCCAGAAAAGCGTCGACCACGGCGGTCCTCCCTTCATTCGCTCTTCACCATCTCTACCCGAATTGACCACCCATGGTATACCATGGCCAGAAAATCTGGTAGACGTTTCTGCGCTGCCACTGGCGGACGTCGCGCAAGTCCCCCCACAAGGTGCGACGAGAACTTCTTTTCCAACCGAAGGATCCGGTCCCATTCCGTTCCACAAACCGTGGTCGTCTCCAGGGAAAGCATATGACAATCCTGAAAATGGCACCATCTCCTCCATTTACTTGTCGCATCCTCCCTCTGCATATGAGACGCGAAAGTTACCCGTCAGGGCTCGTGTCCCACAACGTAAAGCTCGTAATCCCACGACGTTCAACATCATGGTGTGTGGTTATGTCTTTGTTCTTTCACGGTGTTGACAGCAGTGGCGCCATAGGTGGTGGGTGCGACGGGCACTGGGAAGACGTCCTTGCTGCGGTTGCTTCTAGACACCGCCGACATCTCACCCACTGCCATTCCCGAACAAAGAGTGGCAATGGAGCGCTTCCTACGTGGCCCGTCAAAACGGACAGAATCCATTCAGTCTGTCTGCGTTGAAATATGCGAATCTCGATATGATCGCGTCCTCCTGTCTGTGATCGACACTCCTGGACTTGACTTCCAGGACGGGCATGAACTCAAGCTGGACCGGCAGGTTACGTCGATCGTGAAGTATCTGGATTCGCAGTTTGCAGATACCATGAGTGAGGTGAGTACTCTGTAGATTTTAGCATTCAACGGACGTTCGACGGCAGTACCGGGAGCGTCTATTTACTATCAGAATCATCGATTTTGTAGAGCTAGCTTAACACTGACAATGAATTATCTGTTAGGAATCCAAAGTGATCCGACAAAGCAAGGGAGACCTGCACATTCACTTGTAAGTTTATTGCAATCTAGGGCTTCACCACGTTTATGCCCCATGTCAGATGCATATATATGATCGACCCCGTGTCCATCGTCAGTTCGTCCTCGAGGCGTGCTCACTCGTCGCTTCCCACCAAGACCCGCTCGGAAACGACCATCTCCCACCACCCGCCTGACTTGTCGTCCATATCAGACGACACGACGTCGGATGACACTGAGGAGGACGCACCCGGCGACCTGAGCATGTCCCCTGCCGACATACGTGTAATTAGGCGGCTTATGACGCGTGCAAACGTGCTTCCTGTTATCGCACGCGCGGATTCTTTGACGGACGACACGCTTGCGGCGATGAAACGCGTGGTGCGACGCGACTTGCATACCGCGAAACTCAACTTTGGTGTTTTCGGACCGGTTGTTGTGGAGCCCGAGCCTACGAATCACGTCAATGGTAACGAGACGGAGAATGGGAATGGACGCGACCGCGGAGGCGAGAGCGCTGAAGACGATGAAGATCCATTCCAGGATCGCCGATCTCGCTCGGTGATCAAGTTGCGCCCTACACGACCGTCCACTGCCAGAGCCAGCTCACGCTCACGCTCAAGGTTCAGCTTGTCGGAGCTCGCGAACGAACGCGCAACTCCGGATATCACAGATGCGGAGAGCGTGGCCAGCGTCCGCTTCTCTGCACAGCTAGTCGCCAAAACTGATCTGAGCGAGAATTTGCCCTTCGCCCTGATCACCCCCGAGCATGTCCGCAGGCGACGTCCTCTCAAGGAGCTAAAGGTACTGGAAGACCACCAATCGGTGCACACGGAGACAGGCAGGTCGGTGTCGATGATTCAACCATCCGAAGATGGGCACGCTTCGATCGCCGACTCGATGCAGCCTTCGACGCCCACATCACCCACTGGAGCACAGTCGATCCGCAGTTTCCCGTATCCATATTTGAAAGGACCCCCCGCTGATCTGAAGGGTGTTTTCACTCGCAAGTTCAGGTGGGGGACCGTCGATGTGCTCTCACCGGAGCATTGCGACTTCGCTGCGATGCGGACGGCCGTGTTGTCGACCCATATGAAGGTGCGTACTCGAAAGGCGGTGGATACGACATTGAGTGATGATGGTGCGATAGATGCTCAAGATTCGAACGAAGGAAGTACTGTACGAGAAATACAGGACAGAAAAGCTTTTGGCCAGACGCGCCACTAAGAATATCAGTGAGAGCGAGACGCGCAAGTTGCTGGAGGGTGCGTTCGCATATCTGTTCTCCACTATTGGACTTCAGACTTATTGATATGTCTTCCGCACAGATCTTGGTTTGTGATGTTAATTTTAAACTCAAACACCATGTAGGTGTTCTCTGGACGGATGGAGGGATATGCCACCCATTTACCCCTTGGTTCTTGTATACCTACTCTCTTATGCTTATTCGTCACTTCATTGTATCCCGTGCAGTGCTCGCTATCTCTTCGACTGTTTGCGCTTCGCGGTTTGGATCGTCTGGCTCGGTTTTGATACTTACAGTACTGCCTTTCGCGTCTGCTACGTCCATGATTTTTATCATCATCTATTGAAAGTACTAGTTTCCGTTAACTTTCTTACTGGTCATTAACACATCGATCTGTTCTTGAGACATCCCTTGCAAGCGCACCAATAAATAGTCAACCTTGCAAGAATGGGTCAGACGAGAGGCATGCCAGAGATGGGTTCAACACACCTCAATTTCCTTCGTTAGGGGTATAATGTAGTGCTCATACAACTCTACGACACCATCAATGTCGATCTTTCGCGTCGACTCGTCGCTCAGCGGCTCGCCGTCCGGAGCGAAAGTCTGCGCGAAGACAGTTGCCTTCTTGCGCAGCCTCTGGAGAAGTTTCTTCTCCACCTCAGGCTTGGTAATCAGTGCATCGAGGGCGGCACGATTCGGCTTGAGAATGTGTGGGATGAACGCGACTGGGTCGTCTCGAAACTTCGATTCAGAGACAAACTTCCCTGGAACGGTTGACCGTGTGTGAGCGGAGAAGGCCGTGATGTGTTCAACAAGACGGACCGTAGTGCACTCGTTTGCTGATGGCTTGGAGAACTTCCAGATCGATAAGTGCTGCGCTGCCGTAGTTCCCATCGTCCTCAAACTCCTCATCTCCTACGATACCTTTCGCGCGCTTCGCGGCTGCCAGAGCTACCGTTGCTTGGCGAGTGATTCGTGGGACGATGGAGCGAGTGTAGAAGCTTAAGATGGAGGGATTCGCATTGATCTTGTTCGGATAGAGGATGTCAGGGTATGGGATCGTCTTCAGAATGGGTGCAGGCAATTCTGAAGGATCTGTGAAGGGGTATTCGTCCGGGCTGCGCACTCCATCCATCAGAAACCTCGTGGATAAGAGAAGACGGGCAAACTCACGAAGTGAATCTTCTCGCCTTCGCTGCATTGAGTCGGTCGGAACATCAGACACTGGGAAATTCTCCAGACATTATCAAGGCGAATAGAAAAGACAGACCATGGAAAGTCTCAGTCTCCTTCAAGAACCAGTCTAGCCATGAACCCTTGAAACCTATCTCTAGAAGCTCCTGGAACTCCCCCCGACGGTAGATTTTCGGGTTGTGGGCAAACTGCGCACGCTCGATGAGGGAGAAGATGACGGTCTCCTCCAAGCGTGTCAAGATCGACCTTATCCTATCGAGAGAAAGAGGATCCGCCTCTAGCGTGTAATTCTGGAGAATCATAGACATGATCGTGGGAGGTGGCAGCTGCTATCTGACTCGCTCTCTTGACCACCTATATGCCCGCTAAACGGCTCTGATGGGCTAGTAACGGCTCCGACTCGGAGACCGGCTACAGCCAAGTTTCTCTTCGTCGTTTTGCCTCTGACTTCCACGGAGCAGTGTACGTACCAGTGTTTCCACGGGATTAGTACATTTGAACGACGACTGCTACCGGCACCCTTAAGCTTCTCGGTCAGTTTACTCACCATCTGAACGAATCTTGGTCAGAATAGATTCATGCTCCTCGAGGAGCACAATCTGCGTAGCTGACGAGTGTGCAATTGGCGTTCACGTATTCGAAACCCTCCAAGATCAGTGCCCTCTTTGTTCCGTTCCGTCTGCTCCTGATCCGAGGATATTCTGCCTTCAACTCAACATGGGACATGCATATGGCGTTCCGCACGCGTTCTCGCTCTGTACTTATAGAGCATGTGCCTATGCACGTAAGCTGCTGGCAAATTGGTCATTCCAAGGATTTTCCCCGCGGAGGCAGCTGTTGCTCGTTTGTCACACGGAGGCTGCCGGAAACCAATATGTCGGAGATCCAAAAGGCCACTGCAGCCTCCTTGCACGTTCTACTGTGCTGGCTGCGGAGATTTTTCGATGTCCGACATATTAGTGTCCGGCAGCCACCGCGGAGCCGAGGAGCGGCACAGTACGATCGTCTCTGGCTTTTCGTTTTGTACGGTCACCGGTCACCTTAGACTGGCAAGGTTCTCTTCACTCATTTGAAGCTACAGGATTTTCTTATCTCTTGGGCCTCTGCACTCTGACATCGAGGTCCGGACTTTGCTATATGATGATGACATACAGTGATATCGGTGAGGCTCCTTTTGACGCTGCACATCACGCGTTTATGCGATTGCTGCTGGTTCAATGAAGTATATGTTCACTTCAAGTGAATATTTCACTCCTCGCAGCTATAGCATCTCCATATGCTTGTAGAATTAATGTGGAGATTTCTCTCTATTCGATGATGGCTTCTTCAACCCAGCGTTCGCTGAAGCACGCTCCAATTATTATTGGCGGTCCAATAGTGGTCAATTGCTGCATCTGCAGCCAATCCGAATTGCATCGGACCCACCGCACCGCTCACGAGGATCCGATTGTTGGCACATCTTTCGAAGACTTACCACGGTTACGTCTTCCTCAGGGACAAGTAGTGAAGGCGTTATGCAACGAGACAAAGGTTACATCCACTTATGTTGTTCTCGTTGGGTAGTAGTAGGTCTCCGAGAAGCTATTAGTACGACAGCGGCGGCTCCAGATTAGGGCACCTTAGTCTGGGTCAAGAAGCCTTGAAGATCCTTGTCAAAAACCCTGTTTCTTAGTCGCAAGAAATGTGCTAATATATCTGCTCTATCTTTGAGGCTGATGTTGATACTGTACTGATATATACAGCGGAGTACAGGACATGAACGTGCTGCCTGCCTATTGACTAGAAGCGCACAAACAGATAGCGGAGACTTCGATGCCCCTTTGCTGACGAACCTTGGAGCTCGTGCTCCTTTGGAGCCCTCCAATCCAATGGGGATGGAATGGTATAAAAGGCGCGATGAAGAATAGGGATGCAGTTTTGTCGGAAGCACTCGACACCATGGCCCCTCCAGCCGCTACCCTTTCGCAGCCCGGAGATCAACCCATCTTCTTGGCTAAGAAAAATGGCACGAGTATCGACAAGGCTTATGATGTCCTAGAGGATTATGAGGGCAACTACCGCTTCGCCCCTATCGAGGAGGCGCAGGTATCGAGGGCCATGATTAAGCGGTGAGTGTTACGACGCGAATATAAGTGTGAACAGTTCGCCGACCGACATATATGTTGATAGATACTTCAACATGATGTATGAGCGCGCTGTTTCGGACGTCGTAATAATTGGAGCTGGTAGCGCTGGTCTCTCCTGCGCGTACCATCTAGCGAAGTCCCGACCAGACTTGAAGATTACCATCATAGAAGCGAATGTTGCTCCTGGTAGGTTCTCCTGCCAAGATGCTGGTTCACTTACGATTGACAGTATTGAATAGGCGGTGGAGCCTGGCTCGGTGGCCAGCTGATGACACCCATGGTATGAACCCGCTCCGCCTGCGATGTTCGTCTTACTCAACGTATGGGTCAGGTTGTCCGCAAGCCTGCCGACCGTTTCCTTGAAGAGATCGGTGTTCCATACGAGGATGAGGGCGCCTTCGTCGTCGTCAAGCACGCCGCACTCTTCACTTCCACCGTCCTGTCCCGTGTCCTGGCCATGCCCAACGTTGTCCTGATGAACGCCACCGCCGTTGAGGACCTCATCGTCCGCCAGGACTTCCAGGGCCGTCAGCGCGTCGCGGGAGTCGTGACGAACTGGACGCTGGTCTCGCTCAACCACGACACGCAGTCGTGCATGGACCCGAACGTGATCACCGCGCCTGTTGTTATTACAGCGACCGGCCACGACGGGCCCATGGGCGCCTTCTCTGCCAAGCGCCTCGTTAGCATGGGCCTACTGAAGGAGCTCGGGAACATGAGGGGTCTCGACATGAATCGCGCGGAGCCTGCCATTGTCAATGGTACGCGCGAGGTCTCTCCTGGCTTGATCATGACCGGCCAGTGTGGTTTCTTCTACTTTATGGTTGTGCCGCTGATGTGTTCTTGTACAGGTATGGAGCTCTCGGAGCATGACGGCTCAAACCGCATGGGTCCTACGTTTGGTGCAATGATGGCCAGTGGTATTAAAGCGGCTCGCGAAGCTATCCGTATTCTCGAGTCTTCCCAGATCGTTGATGGTAAAATTGTCGGGTAGACGCGATGCAGAAGAAGTTGAAGTACTCGAACGACACTGTATGGTTATGGATAATTCAACGCATGCCGACTGTAACTGGCGAACAGGGCAAGACTCCGTACGTTACAACAGGGATGGGCATGAATTCAGGTTTCTGGGGGACCTTGTTAGAGCACCTCGAGCCCACTCAACGGATAAAAGTCTTTCTTCGATGTTAATCCTTCCTGCTTCATAGAATTACACTCGCATTGTAACGGTGGGCACGGCACATTTAGATGGAAGACGTCATGAATTACAGAAGTCCGCAAGTCTGACCGGCGTGATCATCCACATGCATTTCGCTTACCTCTAGATCTGGTGAGCCCGAGCTGGTCTGATTTGCTGAGAAAGGTATGGGAAGATATACATGAAACTACTCCGTACAGAACAAGCCTACAGAAAATATACATATGAATGGCTCGGTGGTGTATTTTCATACCTGCATGTCTTTGGTTCCGTCCACCTCTGCTGTCGATTGCCATGACATGATATTGCTGTCTTTGCTGGTGAATCGGTACACGGCGCTGAGAGGCCCGGCAGGTGTTGATAGATTGAGAAGGCAAATCCCGTCTTGGTATAGTGTGCCACACTGCTTTCATTTGCACCATCTCAGGCCGGACACCTTGCAAGCCTGAACTTAAGCGATATGGACGAGTCTTCAACGTATCTGCGGTCAGAGGAGACTGCGCCGTCGAAGTTACGCCTCAAGAGGGCATCGTTTTCGTCACAGACCTCATCGCACACACTTCAGTCGCTTGGGGGTCTACCGACGCGGCTGAAGAGTCCTCTCCTCGAACGCCACCGCTCACACAGCATCACTACCAACGGGTAAGCTTCCCTTAAACCATCCGTTATACATACTTCACGGAACGGGCAACAGGTCAGAGGCTGCCTCGGAGATACTTGCGCCTGTGCCGCTGAGACATCACGTCCTCCAAGTTTCCGAGAGCAGGCATTGGCTCGGCTTTCCCCCACTACTAGAACCATCATCTCGTCCAGTGTCTCCTGTTTCTAATGCAACTACACCCCCACGCCGAAGAATTACCCATCAGCGCACCTTCAGCACTGTTATGGAAGACGAACGCTTGTCGGTCGCGTCGGTCTCGAGTATTGGACATGCACATCAATATGCGGACAAAAAGGGGGAGGGAGAAGGAAGCATGGGCAAAAGGTGGGTGCGTTGGATGCACAAAGAGGGCATGAAGTCTTGGTTCCTCCCTTGCTCGGTGGCTGCATCGGCCTGGGTGAAGTGGGCGGTAGGCCTGGGGTCGTACTCGGGTCAGCTATGTCGTTGCTTTTAGGGTATCGTTCACTAAATAAAGGCCATCTGCAGGACAGGGCAATCCACCAATGTTTGGCGACTATGAAGCGCAGAGACATTGGATGGAATTGACTATTCATCTGCCCGTTCACCAGTGGTATACGTATGAACTCCAATACTGGGGCCTCGATTATCCGCCATTGACGGCATACATCTCGTGGTTATGTGGAGTAGTGTAAGCATGTCCATTTTTTCACTTTTCTGCTATTGATGTATCGATGTTATGTTGTCTCAGTGGCTCGTGGATTGATCCGACGTGGTTCACTCTGGGAAAATCGCGGGGGTACGAAGATGCAGGCAGCAAAGCGTTCATGCGCGCATCCGTCCTCGCGCTTGACATACTGGTCTACGTACCGGCATTGGTACTTTTCACTCGCATATGGCAAGGTACGCGGTCAGCGCGGACACAGGTAATTATATTGCTGCAGTCTTGAACGTCAACTTCTGAACCACACTCACTCAGAACTTTGCCCTACTGCTATTGCTGTTGCAACCAGCATTGATTCTCATTGACTCCGGACATTTCCAATACAACTCTGTTATGCTTGGTATGTATTGTCAACGTCACTTCTTTACTGGGTTGTGTATTAATTGACGGTAGGTTTCACACTATTTGCGCTGAACTTTTTTGCTACGGGCCGGGACCTGCTGGGTGCAGTCTGTTTCGTCTTCAGTCTAGGATTCAAACAGATGGCGTTGTACTACGCTCCGGCTATTGGCTCGTACCTTCTGGGCAAGTGCTTCTACCTAGGTCCTGTTGATGGGTACGTGCACTGAGGTATTGATTGCTTTACCGGACATGCTCAATTCCATCATACAGGCCAAAGCTGTTCTTCCGTCTAGCCGCTGTTACAACTGCCACATTCATTGTGCTGTTCCTACCTTTTCTTCCACCATTCGCTCCGCATTCTGCCATCTTGCATCCAATCGCACGCATCTTCCCATTCAGTCGGGGATTGTTTGAAGACAAGGTTGCAAATTTCTGGTGTGCGACGAACATCATGTTCAAGTGGAAGCTCTGGGCTTCTCCAGATGTCCTGGTCAAGCTCTCTGCTGCACTCACAGCTGTTGGCTTCCTCCCGAGTGCTCTGGGTCTGATGTACCAAGGATACAAGTTGCAAGCCAGTCCTGGCGAGCGGCCTAAGGACCCGGCTCCAGCACCCATAGTGTCCCTGCTGCCATACGCGCTCCTTACCTCATCCATGTCGTTCTTTCTGTTCTCGTTTCAAGTGCATGAGAAGACGATTCTGTTACCTCTCCTCCCTATGACACTCTTGGTATCGGGCGCCGCACCAGACTCTTCTACGTTCGAACTGGGCGTGCTGGTGAATAATGTTGCGGTATTCAGGTATGATCAGAAGTAATGAAATGTTAGTGATAGGCGCTGACAGTCTCACTTTCTCCAGCATGTGGCCATTGCTCAAGAAAGATGGTCTGGGCGTTCAGTACATCGCTCTTTTACTGCTATGGAATAGACTCATTGGATACAACCCACTGCGGTACAGACCACAGAGCCTCCTGCAGCTCTTGTCCGTTGTAGGTTCTTTTACTGTAATTTCCAGACGACATCACTGAGTTCTTTTTTTCAGGCCGTTTACTCAGCCTGTGCATTTTTGCATATCCTGGAGCTCTTAGTGTCTCCACCGGCACGCTTCCCCGATCTGTTTGCTGTGCTCAATGTTCTCGTCAGCACACCCGTCTTCGCCCTAGCATGGCTGTGGAGCATCAAGCATGGAGTGCAAACCGGATGGGCTTTGGGCGGTCTGGGTCTGAAGACCAGTGAAAAGAAGTCCACGGAACATGCCAATGGTAACTCAGTGAAACCGCCAGTCGATGTCGGCGCTCTCCCGACCAACGGCATCGGTCGACGAGCAGGCCTCCGGACGCAGAGTTTGGGTTTTGCGCAGAGCAGACGGAGAGTGGTGCATCGCAGTAGGGGAAGTGTTGATCTGGGATGATGTGTACACTATAGGATGTTTCCTGGATATCAATCGGTTGCATGAATGCGTTGTTCGAGGAGTTGGTGTATTCCGGGCCAAGTCCAGGTCAGAAGTGGGGTGTACATGTAACTTCCACCCCCGAATTCTGCCTGCTGATCAAGCGATTGAGCGATGCTCAGGCGCCGCTGGCGTTGACCAGATGCCGAGTCGCGTGGCAGATACCCCTTCTCCGCATTCTCTCTGCATATTCTCCTGCCGTATCCACCTTCTCCATGCACACAAATCTTCACGCTCATCCTTCACCATAGTATCACCTCAATAATGCTCTCCGTCACCCGCAATACTTCCCAGAAAGGGAAATTTCTTTCTGTAGTCGCTCGCTCGCTATCCACAGAAACAATATCTCCCTCTGGCTCTCAGCTACCTCCACCGACATTACCCCCATCCAAGTCTCCGCGCACTCGCCTTAACCCTGCACCACGGCCTACTGTCTCGCATAGGCACCCCGTCTTTCCCCATCTTCCTCCCACTTTCGGCCGAAACCAGCTACTTCCCGTCGCAGACTCCACGCGTGCGCTGCTCGAATCCATCGTCGCACAGTTCGAAGCACCGATTAGATATGCGTTTGCGTACGGATCAGGGGTGTTCGAGCAAGATGGATATACGAGCAGCGCGCCGGGTGCGCAGAACGCGCCCATGCTCGACTTCATGTTTGCCGTGACGCATGCGGACCACTGGCATTCCATCAACATGAACCAGTATCCGAGCCACTACCCGCTCCATACTCGTATACTTGGCTCATCGTTCGTTGCGAGGGTGGAGGAGGTCGCACCTGGCGTGTGGTTCAACACGTACGTGCCGATGAAGGGTGTGGTAAGTACAGTTGCCTCTATAGGTTTTCCTATGTTGACACTGCTTCTTACCGTGAGATAGACGATCAAGTACGGGGTGACTACCGTGGACAACCTATGCTCGGACCTCCTTAACTGGAAGACGCTCTATCTCGCGGGGCGCATGCACAAGCCAATCCGCATAATCAAGGATGACGCTCGTGTGCGCCTGACCCAGCAGGTCAACCTCACGTCCGCCGTGCGCACTGCGCTGCTGACACTCCCAGACGAATTCTCCGAACGCGAGCTCTTCGAGCGGATATCTGGGTTCAGCTACGGCGGAGACCTGCGCATGCTCCTGCCTGCTGAGAACAGGAGAAAGGTAGGCAATATCGTTCGAAAGCAGGGCCCGCAATTCAAGGAGCTCTACCACCGGCTTGTCGTTGCCCTCCCCGGAGTGTTTTGGTCCCCATACTCCACGAATATCCAGCAGGACATCTCGCCCCACGCTCGTGCTGCGCACTTGAAGAAGCTGCCGTTGAACCTGCTGACGGGTGTGGAGAATCACTATACGTCAGTCCTGCCACCCAGGGAGGCGGACGAGAGCATGTACTGGACGCGACTCGCTGGTGACGAGAAGCTACCAACTGTGCTTGAGCAAGGTTAGATTACTTCATCCCAACTTCTGCGCTATCTGTAATGTACTGATTGACACGCTTTGCACAGAATTGCGCAAGATTGTGCGGTACCCCTCTTCTGTACAAACTGTGAAGGGTGTCGTCAGCGCGGGTTTCGGGAAGAGTTTGCGCTACAGTGCACAGAAGGTCGGCAAGTGGTGGAAATCAGTAGGCGGGAAGCCTTCCAGCAACTCATGATGCGCACTTCCCTCCTTTTCACCACTCATCATCACCATTCTAGAGGCCTCTGTGGAGAGCTCATTACTAGCAGTCAGTATTCCCTATTGAACACTGTATCCACTATTGCCTGCACTATATAATTATCATTACTCTAGAAAATCAGTATCTTGCAGTCATCCTGGCATCGTGGAGCATTCGCACACCACGCGTGATTCAAAATGGCATACAATGAGACTAGATTCCACATGTTGTACAGATAATGCCTCCATCCTTGACCTACGGAGGTCTATAGAGTACAAACTGGTACACGTACAGTCTTATGTCCTCAATGCTTCACAAGGCAAGCGACTCCTTCGAGGAACCACTATCGCGTACCATGTGAGTGATCATGAGCTCCGCCATCGTAGGCTTTGGTCACGAAGACAAGCACACATCAGTTCTGTACTCATAAGCTGACGCATCTGATAACTTACCGCCACCTGCACGAAGAGCGATATAGTGACTGGACTTGCTATTGTCCCCTTGACTCGCACAAAAGTTGTAACTACAGTTAGCAACCATAGAGGGATCGCGCTCTCGATCCAGAAGGGATACCGTTCGTTGTACTCCATCATGGTTTGAGGATCTCCTCGGACCACGACGATCAAGTCCCACTTGGAACGTTTACAGAGGTAGAGCTCTCGGGACAGGAGGGACAAACAGAGAAACATCTGTGGGAAGACGAGAAGCGAGTACGCCGGCTTAGTGAAATCGCGGGAGACCCCGTCCCAAGGCGGAGTACCCCCAAGCTTCACGAAATTGCCAAAGGCATCGACTGAAGAACATAAGTTGTTGCTTCGAAGCGCTATAAGCACAGATGACATACCACTGTCAAGAAGGAGTGAGAGAGACATAATGATCGTAAAGAAGCGCTTATTCCAGAGTGAATGATTCCGGTATATCTGAGAACATCTCAGTAATCCACCACAGGTCTACGCAGCCTTGGAATCCATGCACCATAAATGCGTACGACGAAATCAGCGCGATGGTAGCACTGCCGACAGCAGCGACATGGAGCGGGTGGGACTGCTGCTCCGCAAAGAAGGCAATGGGACCACCAGGATAACCACGCTGTTGTATCCATGCAAGCTCGTTGAACTTGAAGCTGCAGAAGACGTTCGTGGTGGCCGTGGCGAAAAGGGTGCATGCTACTGGTAGCCACTTGAGAGAAGCCATAACCCACTTCGAATCGATGGCGTATAGACACCGGATGAAGACGAACGTATGTATCCCTGAGCGAAAAAGAATGCAATTAACCGCTGTATTCCTCAAAATGCGAGCAGCGAAAGGAAGACCACCTACCCCATGCTACAGCGCCGGCAAAGACGGCGCCATTGAGAGACTGCTCGTACGGAACCTGCCAAGCGTCATTCGTTGCATTCGTGATCGTGCTCGTCGCGTTTGAGATCGTGGCCGTCGAGTTCATAGTAATCGTTGCTTATCTGGTGGGGGGCGAAAGAAGAAATGTCCAGATAAGACATACAAGTAAACCTTTATCATTATATTGTGTTACCATCCGCACGCGCAGCCACGGTAGAACCTATGATAACTGGCCTGATATCCTCAGCAGTCTAACAATACTCATACTCGGGGTGCGAATATCATAACACACACCAATTGCGGCTGTAGCTCATCACATACTGGCATGTACACCGAACTTTATTCTGACTGTCTTCTGAAGTAACACGTTCCTCCCTGACCGGCCAATCGGTTTGCTAAAAGAGAGACCACGACTAAAACGCCGTAGGGAGAAGAATGGGCAGAATGGCGTTCAAAACTAGACGTTTTTGCAGTAATCGATACTAGAACGAGTACACAGCAGATCTGGATCGAGTTTGAGTCGATCAGCCAAAACTCGATAAGGCACGTTAACGTTCGATTGTTGTGTACTCTCCCAGTCTTGCTCGCAAAGATTCGCGGTCCAAATCTCTTATGCGGAAGACCAACAACTTGTGTAAATTCGTACACGCAATAACCGACACATAAAATAAATGGTGCAAAGGAGATTAGATGCACTAGGGTGATATGCTCTAATACCTGGCCTAGCTATAGCCTGTACAGAGAACCGGCGTTCCTGATTGGGACCCAAGCCGGAATAAACCTCCGTCCCTCCCTTCCTCCCTCCCCGAAACGTCTCAGCTCCTACGCCGGCAGAACCAGCTGAGTCACCGCCGATGTCCCCTTGGAAGTTAGTTCTGACATGAGGGTCATGTGTAAATCATCCTCGCGAACCATGCGCGTAATGATAAGCTCGGGGAACACACACTGGCAGTAATGGTCAGGCGCGTATATATCCTATGGAGCGACGATCCGAAGCTTACCGCCATCTGCACGTAGAGCGGCATCGCTAGGAAGTGATTTGCGCCGGCGTCGGCTAAGTATCTCACCCCAAACATAATGAACGATAAAAGGGCGAGCGGGACCACGCTTTCGATCACCACAGGGCATTGCTTCAAGTGCTCGATCCACAGCCTTCCCGGGGTAGTAGGAACGCTCCTCTCCGGCTGCGTGCGTAGCCATTGAACGCGACACAGCACAGAGTTGAACAAGAAATCCATAGCGAAATTGGCGAGAGGACCACACGGCACCGCAAAACGGAGTGTAATTCCATCCCAGGGTCTCGAATTGCGCACAAGATCAACAGCGATGAGCACGGAAATTACTAGGCGACGCAGGTCAATCTGTGAACCAGAACAAGATAGGGATAGACATACTGCAATATAAGAAGAGCTGAACAGCCAGGAGAATGGTGTAGAAACGATCGTTCCAAAGAACATGATTGCGGTAAATCTGAGGTATTTTAGCGATCTGTTCAATAGGTGCATGACCACCAAGGATGCATACCAGAAATGAACTGGAAAGGAAGAGAGCAATGATGGAACCCGCGCTAGCCGTGAGATTGATTGGCATAGCCTGTTGTTCAGCAAAGAAAGCCAATGCCCCCCCGGGATAGTCGCGATGTTGGATCCAACCAAGCTCATTGAACTTGAAACTGCAGAAGATGCTAATTGTGGCTGCGGCGAAAATTGTAGAGACCAAAGGCAGCCATTTGCGAGCACCTCCCTCTTTGTTGCAGTCTATGGAATACGCACATCGAAAGAAAACGATGGCGTGCAACACTGAGAGTGATCTCGATCAGACGGCGTTGGTTTCTCGATAGTGCTTGCTACTCACCCCAAGCCATAGTGCCCATGGAGACGGCATTATAGATCGACTGTTCATACCAAAGCCGCGAAGACTCGATAGTAGTTGTCATACTCACACAACAGAATTGCGGCTGATTGTTGGGAATGCCCGCCGGAGGAAGCGATCCGAGGGCACCCATGGAGCCCGCCACAGCGGGGAATGATTATGTAAAGGAACTTTATTCGGAATGTATATAAAGAAATCTATTTCGGGAACCCGGCTGAGTAATCGGGTCTCACCTTCATCCGAGACATCATCGCGATATTCTCTGGGAATTTACCTAGTATTCTCAACAGGTTATGAGCCCCGGGACCATCTAAACCTCGGATTTATATCCTACTGCTGCTAACAACCAATAAAACTATCTTCACCCACACAAGAAAAACTACCCCTGTTCCGGGCAACACAATGTCGAATGACGACAAAGAAATTCCGAACAGTATGTATTGGATCCATCCTCTGAAGGAGGATAATTGGATGCCATGGAAGAGGTGCATGACCGCATTTGTGGACGAGAAGAAGCTTCTCGGCTATGTCACAGGTGAGATACAGAAACCGGAGCCGAGTGCTAATCCGAATATCAGAGAGACGCGCGATGCCGAGATCCAGAAGTGGGGCAAGAAGGATCAGAGGGTGAGGAATTTGATCATCAAGTGCTTGGACGATGCACAGGTGATTCATACGGAAGGAGTGATGACGGCACATCATATGTGGGATCTGCTTCACACGGTAAAGGAGCCAAAAGGACAACATGGAATAATAGCGTTGAGTCGAGTTTTCTATGATTACCATGCTGATGAAGGTGTAAATATTCTGAAGCACGTTGCCAAGCTCCGGGAGATACATGAATAATTGCAGACGATGGGAAAACAAATAATGAATGCAGATTTTAATAGGATCCTCATCAAGTCCCTGCCCAGCAGCTGGGACTCGTATACGGCATCGTACACTGGCACAATGATTTCTCAGCCAAACTCTCCGCCAATGACGACACCAGAATTGATCGCTGTAGTTATCAGTGAATACAGGCGCCGTCTCGACCATGATCAGCACATCGAGACAGAGCAAGCGCTTACTGCCCAGAGCCAGAAGCGGAAGCAAGACTCAATCAAGAAATGCTTCATCTGTCACAAGATGGAACACACGTGACATGGCTAATGAATGCCAAAACTGAGGCAAGCCCATCTGTTCCAATTGCGGAAAGTTTGGGCACGTCGGGAAAGATTGTTGGGCCAAAGGCAGTGACAAGGAGGGACAAGCACCTTCCAGAGCGGGACTGTCCAATGCCCCATATCGAGACACATCATCAGGAGAACCTCCGTACAAGTGCCGAAAATTTGAGCAGACATGTGATGCTGACAGCAAAGGCAAGGACAGAGCGCATGTTGCACGCGAGAATGATAAAGAAGATTGTGATAGCGATATGGTATCACTAGGCACTAGCTTGGGGAATGATGATTTTGATTTCTTCTATAACTGGTATGCCAATTCAGCAACAATGTCGCATGTCGTGAAAAATCGCAATATATTCTTAACCTACAACAAACCCCTCAAGCATCACGCAATAAGTGGACTTGGCACTGTTCAAGCCTACAGGTGGGGAACCGTACAGCTCGAAGGTAAGGTAGGTAATAGAAAAATTAAGTTCCAATTGCGTGATGTGCTATATGTACTGGGATTCTCATGCAATCTACTTTCAATACCGAGACTTGACGAAGCCAGTGGCCAAACAGTCATGGGGGATCAGCACGCAATCTTAATTGATTGCCACGGTAAAACCCTTGCTGTCGCCAAAATGAAAGGTAGATTATATTTATTACATGCCCGAGTGGTTAAGCCACAACAAGGGAGTGCATACATGGCGTCCGAGAATGACCCGCATACCTCGGAAGAGTGGCATCGATCGTACGGACACATTAGCAAAGCCACGCTACAAACTTTACAGCATGACCATCTAGTCGAGGGCCTACAATTTCTGCCCAGCCCGGCCAATATCGAATGCGCTGCATGCATTCAGGGAAAGGCATCAAAGAAGCCATTCCCTAAAGCGGCAAGCAGGAGAAGCCATCAGCCCAGTGAGTTTACACATACCGATGTCTGGGGCCCAGCGCGGACCACTGCAATAGGTGGGTGGAGATATTTCGTAACCTTCACAGATGATTACACACGACGAAGCACAGTCATGTTTACCAAAATGAAGGACGAAACCACAGACAAGGTAAAGAATTGTATGACCTACCTTGATCAACATTTTGGGAACAAACTGTGAAGACTCCATGTAGACAATGGGTGAGAATATATTAACACCGAATTAACAAATTGGTGTGCCGCCCATGGGATTGAGATAGAGACGACTGCATCGTACTCTCCATCCCAAAATGGAGTTGCAGAGCGTCTCAATTGAACGCTGAAGGGACACATAGCACGCTGAGGTGGGAATTACATCCGTGAAGCGGTCTCACATTTTGGAAGATACTACAGGGTGCTACACGACCGACCCTACTCCGACACCAATTGGAAGCTGGTTATCGGAGGAGGGAATGCTACGAGCCCGAACACTACTTCCAACTCCTCGACTACGATCTGCAATCGTCTCAAAGTACCATCCGCCAACTCGCATCTACCAGTGATTCCGCGCATGACATCGTACAGTTCACGGGCCGCATTGCGCAATGTCTCAACCCGAAGGCACAAGGTTCCTGATGGCGATAAAAAGCTGAGGAACATGATTCCAGGAAAATATGGACAGGATGACCGTGCACCAATGTCAGGGAGACCATCCGGCGGGTGGCCCAAGCCAAAGTCCTCGCGGATGGTGGGGTCATCATATAGAATGCGGGCAGTCAAACCACGAGGAATGACGGCAGGAAGGTGGTCCGCAATCCGAGGTATCATCCAATGACCACCTACTATAGTGCGAGCTGTCGCAAGGTGTATTTCCACTTGGGCCAGGACAGGGATATCGTGCGGAAGGGGCAGGATGATCCCCATGCTGGCCGCCTCAGACTGGGCTTGGACCATGAGGACCTGAGGGGCATGTGAGGGTCGGACAGCGAAGGAACATACACTTGCAGGAGCCTCACCAGCAGGACGTGCATCCGGACTGCCCATGCTTTCCACAGGATCAGATCGAAGGGCTCGGTAAAGATCTCAATGCGAAGAAGAGCTTCCACGAGGGTGTATTTGCGAAGGATGACACTGGCATCCATGGATGGGAGATTGAGTTCAGGATGGGAGATATGCCGCTGAGGTGGGCGGGTGCTTATTAGGCACTCAGGCAGGACTGGTGATGGGCGACCCCTCGGATTGAGTAGGAGCGTGGGCAGACGGGATTGCGAGATATAGTGTGATAGGCAGTGATTCAGCGGAGCAATTGTTAAGCAGAAGCGGGCAGCATCGGGAGGGCAGGAAAAAGGGTCAGGACCGGTTTAAGTATGAGGGCAGGGGAAGAGGTCGGGGGAGTACCCACCATCCCGGAAGGTATGCTTGCGAAAAGCCTCATTCACATTCCCATCCCATCCAGTTAGTGCGTCTTCAGACAGTCTTGCATTTGTGCGTTTTCTGGGCAGTCTTGCATTTTCGCATTTCAGTGTTCTCCTTAGAGCAGTGTGATTCTACTCCGATATGTTTCCAGCGATTATTGCAACTACAGAGATTTTCCTAGCTACGCTTTCAGGCTACCCACCTCATACCTCTGGAATAGACTCTTCTCCTTCATTGCATCTCAGACCCCACACGGACTTGATTCCACTCATACTCCACCTTTCTGGCTTGCGACAGAACTACAATCTTGTCAACGCTACTTGCCCTCGCGAGATCAATGATCTATGCGAAGGATCTACCATGTTATCTATGTGCCGAGGCTGTATCACACACAGCTTACATCAAAAATCGAGCCCCCACCAGTGCGCTCGACCATGCCACCCCTGAAGAGAAGTGGAACCAATCAAAGCCGAACATATCTCACTTATGAGAATTCAGCAGCATCATTTGGGTTCTCACAGAGGACATCGCGCTCTCGAAGCTTGCACCAAGAGCCAATAAATACATACTTGTTGGCTATGTAGACGGGCTGAACACTATTAAATACTATGACAACAAAATGTGTCAAATAAAAACAACGCAAAATTACCACTTCACTAACCAGGATCCATCTCCAAATAACGTGATATTACAACTGCGTGAGGGAGAAGGACCCGATGCCCTGCAATCGAGGACTGCAGATGTGCAGCGCGAGGGGGAGTCTTCAGATTCAGGGGGAGACATGCTACAGTCCTCTGTCAATAACCCGCTAAAGTGCGGACACGAAGAAGATGAGGATAGAGACACACCCAATGAGAATGAGCCCAGGCAAAGCAAGCGTGTAACTGTCAGACCAGATTACCGGTTGCTAAATGATCCCGATGCTGACACCGAAGATAATGCGGATGCAGACGCCGAGGACAATGATAGCGCATCAATCACCGATCTCATATATGTGATGATGAGCAAAGAGAATATGGAGACCAATGAGCCTGAATCGCTCAACGATGCGAAAAACTCACCTGAATGGCCGAAGTGGGAAACAGCTGTCCAAGCGGAACTCGAGCAACTACACAACATGGGCGCTTGGGAGTTTGGTAAAGAAAATGAACAAAGAGGGAGACATAATTAAATTTAAAGCACGTTTAGTCGCTAAAGGCTACTCACAGATTCTGGGAATGGACTACATGGAAACATATTCCCTGGTGGTCCATCTTGAGACAATCTGTGCTATTCTCGGGCTAGCCGCGATTCTCAATTAGGATATCCAACAGATGGATGTCAAGGGCATGTACCTGAATGATATCCTAAAAGAGGAAATTTATATGCACCAGCCAGAGGGATTTAGCGATGAAACACACTGAGTATGCCATATGCGGAAAACCCTCTATGGGCTCAAACAAGCCAGATGCGAATGGAATACATCACCCTCGAGAAAGATGAGGATGATGCAAATGAGGTGCCAAACCGAGACAGTGAATATGCTTCGCTGATCAGATCTCTGATGTATGCGACAGTAGCCACACGACCGGATATCATGTATGCTATCCAAAGACTGAGCTCGTTCACAGCTAGGCCGAACCTGACCCACTGGACAGCTGCCAAATGTGTGCTCCGGTACTTAGCAGGCACACGAGAAGCCATAATAGTATACAGCCTGGTGGACAACGAAGGGCACGATACAGACGTGCTCGTCGGATATACAGATGTGGACTTAACTGACGGAAAAATGGAAATAATCGACTGCCCTACAGAAGATATGGTAGCCGATATTTTTACCAAACCCCTTGCGAAGCCAAGGCACCAAAAGCTAATGGAAATGCTTGGGATGCCCATCGGCCCGAGGGGGAGTGTTAGAAATGCCCGGAGGAAGCGATCCGAGGGCACCCATGAAGCCCGCCACAGCGGGGAATGATTATGTAAAGGAACTTTATTCAGAATGTATATAAGGAAATCTATTTTGGGAACCCAGCTGAGTAATCGGGTCTTCCCTTCATCCGAGACATCATTGTGATATTCTCTGAGAATTTACCTAGTATTCTCAACATTACACGCCCAACCCTGTTTGGGCTGATCAACCCACCTGGAGCGCGAGCACGATCTGGGCTGAGAGAACGCCTGCCAATCAGGAAAACCCAACTTTCACTTAAAGGTGTCCTTATGTGACTTAAATGCACTTATAGGCATTAAATAAGGTAAAAAAAGGACAAAAAGTCCATAAGTCATATTTCCTTAGAGGCTTAAAAGTCGACTTTGGAGAACTTATGAGCCTTAAATAAGGCAAAAAAGAACAAAAAGTCGGAATAAGTCTCATAAGTAAAAGTTGGGTTTTCCTGATGCTGGCAGTTCAGAGCAGGAGCATAGCAAGCTCCTGTCCGAGCACTGCTGGCTAGGTGTCCCCACCGCATTCAGGCTATGTGTGAAATCAGCAGCACTCCCTGTTGGGTATCTGCTCCCATAGGGGGAAGGCGGAGGCACGTGGGCCACGGCGAGCGTCGCCGGCAGTGTTTGATTAGACTTGCATAATCAACGCATTTATTAGACTCGATTTGCGTACTCTCGCTGGATTATTGGAAATTGCATCCAGTGTATGGACCGTAGCGATACGTTGAGGTGGCTGCAAAAGTTGCAGTGACACATCTCAGTACCAGGACGGGTGTGATCTTACCCTGACCATCCTCATGATTCATATATCCCCTTTGGCTGCGATAGCTGAGAATGCGACAACCACAAATGTGAAGATGACATTGACACACCCAGAGTCGATGGAGCAAATCTCAACACTTGACGAATACAGTGCAGCTCTGCCACAAGAGGCCCGCCGTTAAATCTGACAGAGTTGAGGAACCGCAAATGGCCCCGAGCGCTCCTTTCCCTAATCTCAAAAGTCAACGAAGGGTAGCATTTGGTACTGAGAACATTTGCCTCAACGAGGGCACTTGCGTTTCTCCATCGGCTCCGGACAACATTTCAGGTTGAACCTTACTCTGTAACCACTGTATCATCCTTCCCATTTGTCGGAAGCATTATGTCCGCCCGGTCGACAAGACCTATCCGGATTCAATGTCGTGCATCAGGCATCGGAAAGCCGGCCTCAGCCCATACTTCTGTAGAACAAAACAGTGCAGAACTCACCGTAGCCTATAGATCGAAGTCGAATCAAAGACAAGTCATTGCAGCACCAGTGTTCCAGATAACAAGCGTCACGGCAGACTTTAGCAAGCCTCTCACGCAGGACGAGAGGCTGATTTTATACAGTGAATCACATACGTGAGCCGTCTACACACTGTAAATGGGGGCCAAGTTGGGGCTGACCAAGACATATAGATGTCGGGTCATCCAGCAGCTTCGTAGGTTGGAAATAGAGACGGCAGGATCATGCGGACACTCTGGTACAGAAGTATCAAGAGTCGTCCGTCCGCCGGTCAAGCAAGGAAGCTACCGGTCGTTGGGATGTTCCCGCTGGTGGAATACTGTTAAAGTCTAGATGCAAAGGCTGCTCTTCATGGTCGTCGTGACCACGGTGTACCTGCATCATCCGAGACTGGGAGTGCAGTTCCCGAGTTGCGTAGGGTTTAGTAGAGTATAGTTGAGGCAGACTCACCACTTGCATGATCCATGACAGTGGAGCTTTGGGTCAATTTCTGGTTCAGTGAACCAGAATACGATTTGAACATGGTCCGCCATGCCATGATCAGCGTTGTAAGGAGAAAAGTATGGTCCCATCGTGAGGCCTCGACTTTCAGTACTAACCTACACATGTGAACGTGCAACAATCTGAACTATAAGCATGAGAAACACGATACGAGATGTAGGAGCATGGCGCACTCACATAGGTACTTGGCCATGCTCTGCAATCATGCGAATTCAGAAGAAAGCAGAAACCTACCCTAAGACGAGAAAACAGGATCTACCGAAGATATAAGCCCCCTGGTTGCAGGGCGTATAATATAGGGACAGGCTCTTATGCGATTCAACACTTCCTCTCTAAAAACCCATTTCGATCAGTCTGACATAAATACAGCACAGGCTTCGTCCCAACGAGCAAGCGCAGTATACCACAAGGAAGAAGCATACAACAATGATGGATGCCGGCTGCGACGCCAACGCATAGTGCAGAGAACAGGAAAGGGAATCAAGCTGAGCAGACAGATCACCTAATTAGCGGGATCTAAATGCAAGATATGAAGCAAGAATGGGAACAAGCAAAACAAAAATGTCGAGCGTCCTGCGCACTGGAAAGAGTATATGATACGTGAACAGAAACGCTCCCCTGGAGCGCAACGCCACACCCATCAGGATGTATATAAGGTTATTGATAATTGAGCAGGCGCCGCCGCTATACTGTGTGGGTGCTATACCTTCACAGACCTTGGAGCAGCCGGAGCTGGCTTAGCCTTCCCTGCCGTGGGAGTAGCAGCGTTCGCCATCTTCGCGGCACGCAACAGAGCACTCTTGTTCGTACGCGGCGTGATCGAAGGGGGCCGCGCCTTCGCCTTTTCCATCGTCTCAGACTTCCCTTTGCTGCCATTGGGCTGCTTTGGTTCGGCAGCCATGACGCCGGCAGAAGTGGAAGGGCGGGAGACAAATGTAGATCGTCGAGGGGTAGAAGTTGATACTACACGACTATGAACGGGGCGGCTAGTGGTGTGGACCGACGCAACGGACGCGGGGCGCGAGAGGGTGGTGGAACTGGTTTCATCCAAGGAACTACGGGAAGAAGACCGAGATGGAGTCTGCTGCGACGGCAGTCGAACTGTCGGAAGCATGAGTAAATCGGTAATGAGGAAGTGGATAAATAACGATGCTTACACATGAACGACGAGGGTGGAGCGGCTTCTTTCTGCTGGCGCAAGCTCGCGCTCCGGTTGGACCTTGGTGTAACAGACGGAGGTCTGGTGCTCGCCACCGCTATCGACTCGCGACGCTTATGCCCAGGCACACCTTCGAACGTGGATTTGTTCTCCTGGTGGGGGACAGCGCCCGCAGTAGAGGGACGCTTCGTTTTCTCTGGGGGAGCCTGTCCCAGCCTGAGGGCCGCTGCCCGAGTCATGCGGGGTGCGACGACGGGCGGCGCGGTCGATGCGACTTTGATAGTCTCGGAACGTTTATGACCGGGAACATTTTCAAATGTCTTTGCGAGCCGCTCTTTAGTCGGGGGAGTATGCACAGCCTTATCGACCGGAAGGCCCGCACGAAGGGCTGCGGCACGGGACATACGTGGGGCGATATCTGGAGCAGCGTGGGTGGAAGGCAAAGGTCTGGCTTTGAACACCTTGCCCTTGCCTTTGCTTCCTTCAGTGGAGTGGTTGCTGCCTTCGTCAAAGCTTTCTCTGCGCAGCGCAGAAAGTACAGAAGAGGAAACGGAGCGGAGAGAGCCTGCAGGGACAGGATCGCCGAGATCGGGCAATTCGGTCGGGGGAAATGGAGGCGAGGACGCGAAGATGGCTTCGATCTGAATTTCAGCAGTCTGTGCATCCGGAGAGCCCATGACTGCGTTCTGGCTGGAGGAGAGTCCGTAGACGGCACGCAATGCGCTGGGGGTCTCCTGACGAGCGACCTCTGGGTCAAAGTCGCCCATGAGCGTGCTCCACACTTCGACGGCCTTACGGCGTTCGAGGACGTAAACCCAGACAGGACCCCTGTGAGAAACTGCTGTCAACGCTGGTTCGTCCTCTCTCATGCACCAAAGGCGCCCGTTCAAATAGGCTACTTACTCCGCGAACGATACATATTCGTCCCCAAATAACTCAAACAACGTGTCCGGATCCGTCTCGGTGTCGAATTCCATCTGCCTCTCCTTTACGATCTAGCAGGACCATAAATAAGCGTCGACGCGCGCCTGGGAACCAAGGACCACGGTACCTCGAACCCAGCTTCGGATATTCGGTGTTCAATCTCGAATCGATGTTCCAACGCGTGAGTTTTTATGATCGCGACCGTCCTGGTGATTCTACTGTTCTGCGGGGGGTTGATCGAAGTCTCTTCAAGAGCTTCATTCTCCAAAGGAGGGGGGGAAGTGGTGGATCCGAGCGCGGACATGGCGAAACGGCTTGCAAGTAACGAACGAAGGCTGTGGGAGATATCGGTGTACTAACTATTTGACAGGAAAGACGAGCCTAAGCAAAGAAAGATGGAGTAGAATAAGATTGAATGAAGGCGAGATGAACAACAGCCTCAGACCAGCACAGGATGTAAGGCCTTAAGGATTCAAGTTGGTACAAGATAGCAAAGCTGGCGCCAACCGGAGTTGATAACGGTAGACTGCCCGCCAGATTCACGATCAAACACTTCATTTCTCTCTGCATTCTCTGCCTCAACTTTTCTACGTCTGCTGGTGCTCTTGACTGTTCATTCTCATTCGCCGTTACAGAACAGTTTACAATGCGAATAAATGACGTCTTGAGCGCTCACAGCTACCATAGTGAGTTGGCTGACTAAGCAGTACTCGCAGACTCGCAGACTGCTACTACTCATCTTTGCTCCTATCACCATCTGTATTCGTCCGTTCTTGACATGGGATTCATGCTACCGTCACGAGATACCCCGGCTGACAAGGTTCGCGCGCTGATGGCGCGTAAGGAGAACATAGAGGCCGAGATGGACGCACAGGTCTCTATCCTCAAGGCCAATTCTTCTACGCTCAATTCTCCTCTGGTAGACGCGGAGGGATTTCCACGCGCCGACATCGATGTCTGGGCTGTTCGCCATGCGCGCGTCCGGATAATTGAGCTGCGTAATGACTTGGATGCGCTCAGGGACACGATTATGCTAGCATTGCAAGATGTGTATGATCCTGCGTCTGTTATGCAAGCGGAGAAGTCAGCGATGGAGACGGACGTACCTGCAGAGGCGGAATCTGCGAGCAGACCCCATCCATTCGCAAAAGTGAACGGCGTTGCGCCAGGAAGCCCTGCAGCGGTTGCAGTAAGTATCAAATTACGTCTCCTTTGTTTCCAAGCTAATGCATCCAATGTAGGGATTACTAAGGGAGGATCTTCTTGTATCCTTCGGGCATCTAACGCGATCTTCGTTCTCCTCGTCTTCGTTGCAACCTTTAGCGGAACTAGTGACCGCACATGAAAACGTACATCATTTCCGATGGCTGTTTTCTACATGCAAACCTATTGACAATTGATTACGTCACAGCGCGAGCTCACTGTTGTAATATTGCGCCAAGAGGAGACCGTGACGCTGAGTTTCACACCTAGGAGCGGTTGGGGGGGACGCGGATTACTGGGGTGAGCAACTTTCCGTCAGGTTGCAGTGCTGCTCATGTGTAATACTTTACAGATGCCATATCGTACCCTATTAGCACACGCCCCGATTCCTGATTTGGATTCGGGTTGGAGTTCGCGATTGTGGGTGTTTGTCAGACTCGAGTAGTAGTAGTGTATTCCATCCAACCCTGTATCCTTCACGTTTTCACTGATAGCGCCAATTGTAAAACACAAACGAATTCTGCATATGTATCCTGATTGGCCCAGCTGGAGGACATATGAATAAAGTTAGGAAGTCGCGAACCTTTACAGACGCGCTTGCTTGGTAGCAGCATGAGTGCTAGGTGAATAAACGATCTCCGAATCCATCTGGGACCTATCAGTCGGACTAGTCTTTGCTCGGCGGACATTCTCCACTGCTAGACTCAGACCACCCTCCACGACCCATCGTCGGAATACCTCAATGTCCGACGAGGAAGACACTTCAGACTTCTGGTGGGCCCATATGGCGTGTTCAAGAAGGTACAGACTTGATGCGATATGGCTGAAGAGGAACAACGCCGGACGCGGGACCAAAGGCGCAATCGGTGCTTTGTATGTTTGGGAAAGATCGTCGCAGGCTGCGTGCAGGGCTTCTAGGGGCTCACGTAGCTTTCCGCGCAGCGAGGCAGGGCACGACGACAGAATAGTCCTTGCCCACTGAAACAATTATCAGAAGCGATAGCCAGGAAAACAATGGAGAAGCTTACCACGAGGAAGGCGTCTAAAGCCTTCGACTTCGATGCGGCTCTGACAAGGTCTAGGGAAAGAACGGTGATCGTCCCTTCCCAGATTTTCTCGACGAGGGCGTCCTGTATGCACCTAGGAAGTAAGACAGTGGGACATCAGTCCACTCTGTCCGCGAAAAGAAGTACTTACGTCCCAAACCCGTTTTCAACCATGTATCCTTCGCCACCGAGAGCTGTCATGCATTCTTCCATTGCTGCACAAGCCTTGTCAGCGGCGAAGGCTTTAATCGCAGGCGTCAGAAGTCTCAAACGAAGCTCTTCCTCCTGAGTTGCCACACCGCACTCTGTCTTTCCCAGTAGAACAATCGCACCAAAGACGAAATGCACCAGCGCCCTATAAAGGACGCTGACCTTAGCGAGCTCTGCTACATGCAGCGGCTGGTCGCTGAGTGGTTGGGTCCCACTCTTGATCTTCCGGACGGTGGAGTATGCTGTGGCGATGGCGATACATTTGCGTAGGTTTCCAATGGAAGACAGCGAAGAGTGCACACGCGTGATATTCAGGACGGGAGTGATGAGCCTCACGCCTTCACTGAGTTTGCCAAGAAGAAACCCTTCGGCTCCGGCGAGAGAAAGCTCGGCTGTAGGCACAAGCTGGGTCCCAACCTTGTTTTTAAGGCGGTGTATGAAGATGTTGTTGCTCGTGGCAGAGGGGCGGGGTGCGCTGGGCTCACGGAGTAATGGATAACGAAGGGGCACGAGGAAGAGTGAAAGAGCTCGCGATCCGTCCTCCGGCATGCCTGTGCGTGCGAGCACGAGCGATACGTCACTATCTGTCGCACTCGAAAACCATTTGAATCCATCAAGTCTGTAATTAGGGCCATATGGAGTGCCAGGGCCTGTGATGGGCATCGCAATGGTTTCAGTGCGCGAAACATCTGAACCTCCAGGTCGCTATCAAATGAGTCAAATCAGAAGTTCAACACATGATAACCGGTCCAAACCTCTGTCATCCATTGTCCAGCTGTGAACGCGAAGGATGGATCGCGGCTGTCGACAAAATTCGTGTGAGGTTGAGAACAACGGTGCAATATGAGGGCAATTACCTGATAAGACGAGGATATATGTCTCGCTTCATCTCGGGGGTTCCAATGAGCTCGATCACTAAGTTCGATGTAAGACAAGACTAGTGTGGAATTGTGGTGGAAGCTCACCTCTGGCAGCACCATCCGTCATGCTTATGGGACAAAATATCTGTAGATGTAGACTGAGGGCATGTCGCCGAAAAGGAAGGGAGTCACTCATACCACTTGCGTGTCACCAACGGCAAGCAGCATCTTCGCAAAACCGTATACACGGCTATGTTCGCGGAATTTTCGTTCGTAGAATATACCGACCATTCCCTCGCGATGAGCAGCACTCTTCAGCGCACGCCATCCCTCGGAGGCTTGGAGATCATCGACGCGTTGGCCCCATTGGTTGTACTGAACGACTCGTGGAGGGTGCGAAACACCGGTTAAAGCCCTCAATTCTGCCAGTAGTGAAGTTGTTGATATATTCTACTTGCATAACATTGGTTGAGAGACGAACCGGTCAACACAACGTTTCCGAAACGCTCTAAATCGCCCTCAACTTCTTCCAATACCTTGGAAGGGAACAGACGCTTTAAGAGACTGGGAAGGACAGGATCTGCGGCATATGGATTGCCCTCGATGTATGGCACCTATACGTGTCATCGTCAACTTCTGGACACCATGACAGTCGGGGTCCCTCCACGCCTGAGAGTACGCGTCTGCTTACCGGTTGGTATCCCTCTTCAACGCGCATGTCGTGCCTACCAGTTTCAAAGCAACTCTACATTCAGTATTTATCCCTCCTGCCCCATGCAGGTGATACACGGAGTCTGACCTCCTGATCTCTCTCACCTTATCCACTTATGAGCGGCTGCGAATTGGCTGCGAAGGTCAATGGGCAGTCATGTCCTCGGCGTCCTCGTTCGCATTGATACTTGAGTCACGCGACGCCTCTAGTGTCACGACGGTATAGTCTCCCATGGGCAGATGCCACTCCGCTTCAACCCTCGGGCTCAGGAATCAGGATATCCGTGTACTAGTGCACGGCTTGCGGAGATCCCGGACCCGAAGTTGGTTTTCAGACGATGTGCAACGAAGACGAACGTTGATCTCTCAGACTCAGAAGTCGCGCGGCACCGGCCCTATCAGGCCTCAGGTATTGTGAACGAGCAGAACAATTCTATGAAGGTATAGTATACAATCAAAAGGACCGTGCGTGACTCCTTAGGTCACCGAGCTTTTCTTAAAGAACAGTGCTCTCGAGGCTACAATACTCGAGGCTACCGATGTAATACATAGTAATCCTCGTGTAAATACTCGCCGGCGGCGGACCTGCCTATATCCTCTATGATAAAATACGTGAAAGAATGAAAGATGTCGCGATAACGGAAAGCCGTGGGCAATTGTCTCGACGACTCATCAGCCGCACAGCAGCACAGTACAACACCCAGATCAGGGACTTCAGGAGTCCCAGATAGCGCCATAGGCAGGAATTCCACGACTAATCATACCATAGACAACCTTCTCCGTCAACGGCGGGTTCGAAATGACTACCACCGCCTCTGCGTTGAATTCGCGCACCATGCGATAGGTTAGCTTCACCATGTCCGGTTTTCCATGCACACGAGTGTCTGGGATAGACAGCATCAATAACAGTCACACTGACAGACCGTGCGGACAACATACCATAAATGACAGCGCTTGGTGCTGCTTCCAACAAAGAGTCGACGAGTTTATCACCGAAAGTCTTGCGGACTACAGGTGCCGTCCATAACAATTGTATGGCCACCTTCTTCGCAAAAATAACCGGCGCCAGGGGGGCAATTCCGCTGCCCGTCGCAACCAAGAGGACACGTCGGAAGAGAGTGCAAACGCGCACGACACCGAAGCAGGGAACACCACGAATCCAGATTTCTTTAGGCGGGTCGGTGATTTGCCGGGACGTCCAGTCTCCTGCCTTCGAAATAATGGCAGAATATCCAGTCCTGCCAGGGATAGCAATGGTTGCGAATGAGTGCCACTCGAGCAGGGGATTCGACGACATGCGTGTGAAGTGCCCTGGCTGTGTGTTCACTGAGGCGCGTCAGGATGGGGCATTAGACTACTGACAAACATGTACACACCGTAATCGAAGTAGAATCGGACGGCGTGATCGGAGAGTACTTCGGCGTGAACCGGCACCTTCCGAAGACGAAGCCACGAAGACATGATGGAACCAGTAAAGACAACGACGAGCCAGAATGGTGCGGATTTGACCATAGCCTGTCTTAACGACTGTCCCGGCTCACGGTAGTCGTTGATCAACAGGATGACCTGAGGACGTTGATGTCAATATCCATATTTTCAGTGTGGAATGGAATGAAGTGAATTGAAGATGACGAACCTGAGCCCATACAAGGCCCACAGCTGTCCACCCCGCGAAACGATGCGTTACCTCAAAGGTATCATGGAGTTTGCGGCGAAGGGCAGGATAGGCAAAGATCAACATGCCAACAAGGAGGGCTAAAATGACATATGTGACCGCTAAAGTCGCGACTGAGGTCTACAACCACACTCAGTAAAACGACAAGGGAGAAGAAGTAGCGTCTCCCCACCTGTTGCTTGTTGACGACTTCCCTTGTCGCTTGCACGGTGAAAAGAACCAGCCAGATAGTTCCGCTGACTGCACATCCAGAATGCACTGCGAATCGTGTCAATCAGTAATAAGGTTTCAGCAACGCCGATTACTTACGCCCGCCGATACTATATACTCGCGCTAAGGCGCGCCGAATCCATAGCGGCCACCTGTGTGTGTGTTTAGCATCGTCATTCACAAAATGAAGATCATGGTGAGAGCGACTTACGTATTGCCGGGAGCACAAAAGACCGTGAAGAACGCATTGATAACATGGTCCTGACGCATTAGAATCGCGACAAAAAGATTCGCCACCACGATCTCGCCCAACTTCTTCGCGCTGGTCTCTGAGCCACCGTGGACACAGAATGCGATAAAGATGGCCATGTTTACAACGAAGACGATACCAAAGAACCTGCGGTAGAAAGAGAATATCTGGAATTGCAGGTTGCGAAGAAATCGTCCGTGGACCTTGTCGGGTAGAACATCGTCCTGGTAGCCTTCCCAATTGATGGTCTTCTCTGATGGTTGGACTTCTCCCCCAGATATGGTGAGAGGGGTAAGAGAGATGTTGATGACGCCTTTGCCAAACGGTGCCTCCTTGGAACTCATCTGGTCAGCTACTAGCGGAGAAGCCAACACAGTGTTGATCGGCGTCTGCGCCACTACCGGCAAAGGTGTGTCGCTGAGAGGAGGGATGGGCATCGTCAGATTGTCCGCAGCCATTGAAGGAGGAGGAAGAAGACCCGTGTTGGAGAGATGGTTTGAGCACCATTTGGAGAACTGCAGACATATTTAAGTAGTGGGGAGTAGCATGGGTATATCCGGATGCTGCCCGGGCCAAACCCGCGGGTGAGCACCATCAAGACGACAGGACCGTGCCCGATCCATGAACCCTGACTCGAATACATCTGCAGGTCAAGTGCGGGTTCCCGCGGGTGCAGCCTGCCTTAGCGGTAAACATACTCGACTGTTCCTGAGGTTGTTTTCCTCGAGAAATCCTCTATATGGAAAGTAATGACAGATGCCACTGTCGGGGGGTGGCATGATAACACTCACGCGGAGTGAAGGATGCGGTGTCCGGGACCACCACTCGGAGGAGATGCGCGCCTGGCACCGACAGCGTCGATATGATGCTAACCATCATTGGCAAGAGATTGACGACCATGATGTGAAACATAAAGACGACCTGCACGCGATAATATGATGTAAATACACGGTCTGCCAGCCATCGTGAAGCGAAAATACTTAAGTCTGAGTCTTGAAGAATAATTGGCTCACCATTACTCATAAAGATTACTAACGAGAATACGATGACGATAGAGGTAGACGGCCTCCACAAACTGCGGTCTCGAAGTTGAGTGGATTGCTTCCTCCGAAGAAAGGAAGGTAGAGTGTGCGGTACCGTAGACCGTCGGAGATATGCAAAGGCACAGATTCGTGTGACTAGAAGGCATGAACGCTGTCAGAAAAGAACATAGAATCAACCCCAGAACGATTCCGTATTTCGCACGTCTGAATCAGGATTTGGAGATTCGGCTGGAGGTTGTTCTCACCGTTCATGAGGAGTAAGGAAGAGATAACATCCCCGGACTGAACGTGGGCCCAACCAGTACCCTGGTAGGAGAGGCTAGCTGCTGGCCCTCACGATAGAACGAAAGACGGAGTGTGTGACACTTCCCGGTGTTAAGTACCTTTTAGAGCCACTACATGATACCGAACGTCCATGGCACTGTTCTTCAAGTTGTATTCTTGCTACTAACGCGTTCCGAATCACCAGAGCACATGTACAGACACCCAATGTCAATATGCTGGGTGCTACTAGTTGCTGCAGATGTATCGATTGGCCAAGTGCGGTCGTGCTCTCGAAATACCCAATCGCGTATGTATGTTTTTCTGGAGCCTCCATCGTAACGGATACAGAATGAGATCTACTAGTCGGTCGCGCCTATCTCCGGGCGATCTTGTGGCACTAACTCATCGACTCCGAGGGTCACTCCCATACACGGCCCTCATTCCAAGCGAATATTTTAACACTTGTCTTAGCGCAAGCTGTCATTATACCCCCACAGTTTTCACTTTTATTCCCGCTGTGCGTGGAATAAACGGCCACCGTCAATGGCGTTTCCACTGGCATCCATGCCCGACCGGCCGCGTTAGGTACCGGGCCTCGTCTTGCCTCATCATGACAGGAATGTCAGGCTTAGTCGAGTTTGCTTGTCTGGGTGAAGTCTATGTCACCGCATGCAGCATCAAAGATGCGTCTCACTCTGGCGTCGACGGGACGCTCTATAAGTACGATCAGCAAGGCACGACGCGGAAGGCAATGAAGCCAGCAATGAAGCCAGGGGAGAAACATACTTACGCAACCATGTTTTGTACGCGTTACTCACTTCCGGTCGCACAGCTCAGGGTCCTGATATTGCGGGGCAGTTTTCCTGGCCGTCTTAGACGCACGAATGCTTCACCTGTATGGGGAAATATCAACGGGACGCCCGTAACGAGACTGAGCGCCAGGCACTGCTGTTTGAAGTTGGCTTCTGCTCATGTACATCCATGCCCCATGTCCCCGTGTCATACGGTGACTCGGTTTATGTCTGACAATCACCGCACCGTTAGCTGAACTACGCCACCATCAAGGAAGACTCATCAACGCTGGACAAGTTCGATTCAGCCCAGAAGCCCTAGTGCAGACTTCGTCCTGAGGTTTTGTCTCACGGAACCTCACACTTGGGTAACACTGTCTTTCAAGGCGATAGGATGACTCGCTGAGTGATTCGCGTGTTAGTAAATACGTCGTAGACGTGTGCTCGTGGGTGCAGCTACGAGTTCAGGCATCATCAGGCGACGAGGATTGGAATACCGAGTACTTACTTAAACACCGGCTTCTGTCCAAACGGTGAGCGGTGTGTGCGTGTGCTAGCTGCCTAAGTGATCACACAGCTGTAAGCGTGGTGGATAACAACGTGGACAGTGGATGGGAAATCACTGAATGTGGCAGCGAGCTACTTACTAGTCACTACTGCGCTACTACTGTGCCATTACGACCAATCCGGCCAGTCACGCGTCCGAAGGATGTTGGCCTGGCCGGAATCCTATCCATGGACGCAGTGGCCGGACAAACTTGGGTACCCGGACGGTCGGCAATCGTGACTTGGCCGGCCGGCCGGAATGTGTTCATCGTCTACGCGACTGTCCCGGCCGAGTGGCCGGATCATTACAAGGCTGTCCGTTGTCACATCCCCGGCCGGAATGGTCGTAACGGCACAGTATACTGCAGAATCGGGGTTTTGCCTTTTTCGGATAGTTTAAAAAATCTCTAAAATTCCGCTAAATTTTTCTCGATTTATGGGGGTCGTTGAAAACTCGTGTGACCTGTGACCGTTCGGATTGGTCGATTGCAGGCCAAATTCACGTGATCGCGACGCGGTTGGCTGCTTGAAGTTCACACCTCCATCAGCGCTCTGCTTCCACTTGTTCACCACCGAGACATGGCAGCTTGTCTGCGCTTCACACGACGTGTGAGATGAATGTTATCTTTTCCGAACGTTTCATGAGCTACCTCCACCCGTCAGGTATGGAGGTCGTTCGTGGAAAACAAAGGTGTGACGTCTATCGTCTCGCTTACCTGGTGGTTGACTAACCAGCACCTCTTTGCACCTCGTGGGGCCAGGCCACGACCAACAATGTTTTCCTAATGTGCGCGTTTTTATCCAGCGCCAACTCTCCGAGAGTTTTCAAATTTCCTATGATACCATGACAGCTCAAGATCCTCGATGCGAAGCCAGGTGTACTGCGCGCCTCGTTGAAAATTGAGCCTTATAACTGTGCGTCATCCTTTCCATCTTTGTATGAAATCGGGACGAGCACGCCTCCGCAGTGAACCGTGTCGGAGTGAGATAGACCGCCCCGAGTCGCAGTATGATACTAACCGATTCGTCAAGACCGTGCACGGTGGCCTTGTTATGTCACTGACTGACACCCTGGGATCTCTCGCCGTCGCCACGAAGGGGCAGTACATGACGGGCGTATCTGTAGACATCGGCACATCGTTTGTCAAACCAGCGGGTCGTGTGGGTGACGAGCTCATGGCGACGGCTATCGTTACAGGAATCGGTGAGGGTCCTCCTCTGTCACGTTCAGATCAACAATACTGAAACGAGATGTTGCATCTGTAATGTAGGGAAGTCCCTGGCCTACACCCGCGTTGATTTCTACAATGCTGCTGGACAGCTGGCTGCGTATGGACGTGAGTCCGCAATTCATTGGCTGTCTACGGATAGCATAATGAAATTCGCCTCAACTTCAGACCACACCAAATATGTCGGGAAGTCCGCGGGGCACAAGGTATCACACTACTGATATCAGCGTAGCTAACGACTAATTTGAAACTCAGCATGATGTCAAATTCTCTGAGGACGGCGAGGCAATCATTGAGGGAGAAGATATCGACTAGAGACGCTCTAGGCTAGGCAGTCCTTGGGCATGATAGATGTGATTTATGCCTCATCTTTGATCTGCACTTGCAGGATCACAGCTACGCGGAACTGGGCACCCAAGCCGTGTGTCCTTTTTGGCCAGCCCATCAGCCCTCTGCTTTGGTGACGCTTACGGCGCAGGCGCCATAGAAGACAGAACTTCAGTGTTCTTCAGCTCTTGGCACTGGAAGACGACGGAAACTCACTGCACAGAATCACTCTAGTTTTCCCCCCATCTGCCCGCCCCACGACACTGCGTGGCGCACATCTGCCATCGACGCGCACACATACGGCATCTTGCATTATGTTGCGACGGTTGTCCTCCTGTGTCTTTGACAGGCGGGAACATATCGTGGGACTCCTGTCTCAACTCGAACTCCCGAGATTCCACACCGCGAGCGCAGCCGCGAGGCAGTATCACGAACTTACTCGGCCCCGGCAGCTACTGCACGAGGTGCGAAGTACACTAGCTTCGCAGGAGAGATGAAATCCACGAGCAGCGCTTGCGAGCTCCGCAGCCTATCTGCCAAGTCATTGTCGATGTCGTCGAGCTATGATTATTGGCCGGTAGTTCGGCTTCAACCTGACAGAACTGACTGCAGTCTCAGGCATGTCGGTCGCTCGAAAAGCCACCATCAATGGTGGCGTCATATACCAACAGTTTACTGTGAGTGTTGTAGGGACATGGAGAATGTTGCGACCGCGTACCGCTGTCTTCGGACGCCGTTCTTGCGAGTTAGTAGACATAGCACAGCGCTGATGTGACCGCTGAGCGTCATCGAGACAAATCTACATGGACCAGACTTCCCCTCCATCGCTATCATTATTCGACAGCGAGTTTCCAACTGTCAGGACAAATAAGGTGAAATACTGTCTTGAGCAAACCGAAAGGTGGAATTGATGACGTACCAAATGGCCGGCGAACCTGCAGTTGCTGCGAGCTAGTGCTCTAGGCCATCAGCCGATCTAAGTGAGAGAAAATGAAGGTCGTCGGCGATAAACTTTCACAATCGAGACCTGAGATACGATGGGAAAATTGTGCCGGGGTTGTTCTCGACAGTCGAGCAAGCGTGCTAGTATATCTGTTGCGAGAGGGTCTAGGATTTTCATCAAGTCGGTTGTGGACACCTTAATGTCAGGTCAACCAGCCACGGAACAGAATTGTCTCACACCTACCAACGATTTACCCACGGCGGTCGCATGTCCTCGATTCTTACATGGCAGAGCCCGTCAACCTCCGGAAGGAGGAGAGTAGTGAGTATCCCGGCATATACTCAGCTAAAGAAGTTTGACCAAGACCCCGATTCAACAATGATAGGGTTGCCTGCAGGACACAACAAACAGTTCCTGGTTGATGTCAATTATGACTACACCATATGGACGCAACTAGATATCCCCAAACAATCGCTTCCTAGCTCAAGGCTCAGCCCACAGTAAAGACCCAGTCAACGAGAGGCGACTCACAAGGCATCTGGCGCTTCACTCAGAATAGTATGCCCACCTACCATTTCCCGAGTCCAGACGTCCCTGACAAACCAACTGATATGACCCACTGCACAACCCAGCAGATCACCTGCTGCAGCTCTCCAAGTCCCGTTCAGTGCCCAAGCAATGCCAACCAAAGCGAGAGGCAAGTAAGGGGCCGTAATTGTGACCAGACCGAAGAGAGATATCGGAGTTGATGGATGCCGGCGCGACCACATGTATATGGGGACAAATGCGAGCGGAGAAGACAGGAATGGCAAATTCACGAGTGGTGATAACGCCTGGGGCGCATATGTCACGAATATTTGAAGCAAAAAAGTACAAGTGGGACTTACGAGAAGCATGATCGAGGACAGGAATAACAACCAGAAGTAGTCTGCTTTGCGATTCGCGAAGGACGACTCCTCCAACATCCGGCTATATCGCATACTAAGTCATAAGTCAGTAAGACAAAGACAGCCTTTAAATCAAGAGTACTCACAAGAAGAACATGTGGAATACGAAATCCAGAGATATCGTACCGAAGTAAAAGAACGTTGTCAACACCCTCCATGGCTGCAACACCGTTAGTACAAGATGTGGTGAGTTGACTGCAAGCCCGTACCTGCGCGTTGGTAAATACTGCCTTAAAGCTGAAGTATAGTTGCAAAGGTGTGACGAGCTGGCATTGCTGGACCATGACGAGAACAGCAGCTGAGCGTCGAAGGTTCAGACACAGGGTAAGTGATATGCTCACGACGGCCAAGCTCGTCAGGACAGCCAGAATGAGCCATGTTCGAGTAACGGGTGGAATCTGGGTAACCCACGCTTCGATCCCTACAGGCATAGAACGCGAGTGCAAGATGATGGCCTGGTGCCAGTGGACGTGCTGGAGTGAAGTGAAGTGCTAACGCGGCTAAGCGCTCGTTCGATCAAGTTGTGCACGGCTGCAAAAGGCAGTCGTTCAAGTTCATTGGAGGTGCCTAAGCTTTGAAGTACAATTGCCACAGTTCTCCCGCCGGTCTTTCGCAGGTGCTTCAATAGTCCAATCCAATAGGTAGAAACAGATAATCACTCACACACCCGTATGTGATACGTTACCGAAATCATTGTAAAATCATGAACGCTTTTAGAGCCCGCTGACTTTTCCCCCTATGAATTCGGACGCTTCGTTGGTGATGCTTGACTTCCGACGCACAACAGAACGAACAGCCCTGGTCTACATGCTGCAGAAGACTGGAAGTCGATAATTTACTATCCAATCGCATGGGTACTTGATGTCATCTGCTACAGCTCCTCAAGTCCAGCTCCGCGCCTCCCTGAAATCAACAGATGTTCCTCCCCGTCGCAAATTCCTAACTTCCTTAGAAAAGTGCATGGAAACTCGTGGTTTGCGATGCGGAAGCTCTGAGCTCGGACGGGGCTCGAACGATAGTTCTAATTCCCGTTTGGCGATCATGCATAATAGCACGATAGCGGACATTCCAGTTATGAGCATTTGCGGAAAGAAACCGATGCTATCTGCAGAAAATATGAAAAAAATTTCAGTATCTCCTAGACTCGTCTATGATCGGATAGAGCATACCGAGGAGGACACCTGCATAACGGATGTGTAAGCACATCGTCCAACAGGTTAGCATCGTCACTTCTCACCGTCAAAACCAGGGGCATCGGGCATCGTTTTTCTGATCTCCGGTATGGCCAAAACAATGACAAAGATAAATGTCAGGTAACGACGGATCTTTTCCCCGTCGGAGGACAGCCAAGAAACTGCCACGAAACCTATTGTAGAATGCGCCAACATCCAATTGACACTGAACAACAGCATCGTTATCGCACGCGCGACGCCCGGTCTTTGTATCAACAGGTTGAGGTCCTGACTTGGAACGTGTGAGCCATCCGACGCCAGTGCGTAGCTATTGATATCCTCGGGCTGGACGACGAAGCTGGAAGTCTTCGTGATTGTGGTGAGAGTACTGATAGCGATGGGATCTCCAGTGTTATTGCTGCCAGCAGATGTGGCGCGGAGTGTCGTAGTAAGGCGATATGTATCAAAAGGATATAGGTAATCCTCGTGGACATCGAGGACATGATCGCGGCCGAACTGAAACAGCGCTTGAACACTAGAACTATACCTGAATATACTGATCTCATGCCAATTTGATTTCTGCAGACTGACCTCAATCTTTGTCCGGTACCATTGACCACTGGGAACTGAGCTGGATCGTACTTCGCAGCAGGATCCACGTCACTTGAATCACACGTCAGCCTCGCCTGAGACCAGCACTGCGAACACGCGTGGACTTACCTATCGACAAAGATATCCAACGGGATATTTGGGAGACCGCAGGATGAGCTCTCGTGTATGCCTTCAGATCCAGGAAGGACGAAGTCTGTCCCGCAGGCGACGATAGACCAACGAAGGCCAACGGACGGCTCGTCAACGTCGATGTCAACGTTCTCACCAAGCAAGACTATCTGTTGCGAGCAAAAGTAAAGTGAGCCCCTGTCCTCGTGCATGAGACATGGAACAGAAGTAGATATCTATCTACTCGCCCCAGGTTTAGTGAGGGCGATTGTGTCGAGTAGACCCTTGAACTCTGGCTCATCACCGTCTAAGCCCACAAAAGTCATGGAGATAGATGCGATAAATAAAAGTGAAAAGAGAGCAGCGAAGCCAATGATGAAGCTTGGTCGCAGTGGAATAACCCCAGACGTGGCGATATGTAGCGGAATTTCCTTGCGATCCTGTGGTTTTCCGAGCCTTGTGCCACTGGAATAAGCATGCTCAGAAGGAGCTAGAGAGATTATTGAATCGTGTCTGATGAGACCAGTGGTAGAAAGGAAGGAATGGCGCGTGGACATATCGCAGTAGTGAGGTGATGCTCAGGCAAAGGAGCGGCCAAAAGGACGCCAAGGGAGGACCTTAGCAAGCACACTTCTCCAGTGTAAATTTCGATTATATACACAGGTAAACGGCGAGCACTCCAAGGTTCCCCGAGACGTGAGCCCGGTTAGTCAGAAGCTTGCGCTCTCCATCTCTGAACCGAGAGCTTCTTCGTAGGAAAACAAATGACCCGTCACATTATGAGTCACTGCGGGGATGCCATCGAAGGAGTTGATCTTCTCAGCCCTCGGAGCCTGCTGCACGAAGGATTGCTGACTTGTTATATAGCCAATAATATCAGTGAAACACCTCCATAACATACCGTGGTCCGAATAACGCTGGAATACTGAGTGCGTCTCTTCTTTTAAATGACTCCAGGCGAAGCTTCTCACGTGCGTGCGCGCGACCCGAAAATCATTGTCACCGACAGCACAGAAGTTTCTGACTAGCAGGATGATCCATCATGACGCGGACGGATAAAGCCACTCTATTTCCATTGCAGATATGACGCGAGTGTGAACATTACAGCATGTACACTGGAATGTCTGCCAGCCCATCAGCACGGAAATGGAGAGTAATATGGCGGAAAGTACCACACAACCGCGGTCGCTCAAGCACTATCACCGTTCAACAATCCACTCAGAATGCGAATTTCCTCCAGAGGACCGCCCGCGTCTCCTTCAGACCCAAGCACACTCAGAGTTTGCGATGCGGCGCGGAGATAGGATCGGGCAGCCTGTTCCATCTCACTAATCAGCCGCGCCTCGTCTTCTGTAGGAGATTTCATCGCAACAGCGGCATTCCATGCTGTCTTCGACATTTCTAGCGCATGCATACCTGCCAAGACACCAAAAAATATGATCATGTATAGCAAGACGCAACAAACATAGCAACTCACCAATCTGTGGATAATTGCACGGATACAACAGTACATACAACGCCAGTAATGTCAGGCCTACTTCCAGTGCGTCCTTGTATTGTCCTTCGTGCGACGAGCGGCTAAATATCTCAGAGATGTCCGGCAAGTATGACTCATGCAGTAGCGAATAAAGCTCAGCAGGCATGTGTGAGAACTGGCAGTCATTGTGCGGAAGATCCGATGTTCTATCCTGGATACCGAAAACGCAGGTACGCAGCATAGTTTCCAATGCTTCGAGCTGTACGGATCCCCGCGAGGGTGGAGGAGTAGGGCTTATATGTCGAGTAAACGAACATAGAGGACAAGAACAGGTGAAGCCGTAATTCATCCGCAGAGCCTGCTGACGGGTGTGGAAGGATAAGGCAGGGTCCAAGTAGGGGATTGTAATCTGCAGGCAGTCAATATAGATCATTGACAGCATACCATTCACGACGCCATACCTCTTCACCTGCAGCAACTGGTCGTAATGTCACGATCTCCATGCAAACTGATTCGGATGGAGTGATTATGTACCTCGCCACAGCATTTGGTACACAGGAATGGTTGAAGAGTCGACTAGCGAGAGGGAATATGCCATGGGCGTACGGAGTCAAGTGAGAATGTAAAACAAAATTATTGTTGCCGAAACGTGAATAGAGGTCAATAGCGATGGCCTCTGACGCTGCAGAGGCCCTGCTCGAAGCTCTACACAAAGGAGGAAGTCTGATGTCCACATCACTGCTCTTGAGGAGATCGATGAACGTCGAGAAGGAGCTGTCACTTTCAGATGCGAGAACGTAGTCGTTATCGGGGAACATTTCCGCGAGCAACTGAGAGAGGAGAATAGCGTCCACCTGTTCATGCTGAGACAATGACTGATATTCAGGAGAGGCAACATAGCGATTAAAGAATTTGCACATCCTACGGTGATGTGCCTTCCACTGTCTGTTCTGGCCTGGACGACGCTGACGTGAGTTTGTGTAGAACACGGTACTTACTGAACTCTCTTAGCCGCACATGCCGTTCCGCAATACCAGTACGAGGTGCAACCACTGCACTTCTTCAGCTTCAGGTCGGGTGTAGACAACTGGTGACATCCATCACAACGCCGTCCTTTGCCCAACGGTAGCAAACAGGTGGAGAGCGGCGGAATGGATGCTACAAGTGAAGCCGGTCCCAAAGCTATGGCTGCCGTGGCTCTATTTCTCGCGGTTGGATGAGATTCAAGGCGGATAGTGCTTGGAAGAGAGAAAGAACGCGCCGTCACCACCATTGTCGCGAGAGAGCAATGCGAGCCAGCCGACAGCGAGAATTAGCCTGATTTGAGGCCGCTCGTAGTAAGTAATAGCGGCAGTGTCCACACAAGCCACAACATGTTTTGCCACACCAGATTTGTGTAACAGCCGCCGCGAGCATCACTCAACAGCGGCCCTAACATGGCAGAACAACGAACATCTGACGTTGAGCCTCTGTGTCGCATTTATTCCTCCAGTCTTCTCGAGGTCCGCTCAATGCTCGAGTTCAAGAGAGTTCCCCGAAACAGACTCGAGCGTTTCTGTATGGATCTTTGCTTGGTAGCTCTTTCTGTTCGGTGGGAGTGATAATTTTCTCCAATCATCGAACGAAAGTGAATAATTACTTTCTATATTTCCTTCAGGTAGAACTGGCTATTTGTTTGATGCCTTCAGTCTCAGCGATATGGTCACTCCTCCAGTCGAGATGCTCGTGCAAATTATCGCAGCCATGCGTCAGGTCAGTGATGACGCCATCGGACTGTTCCTCGTTCCCATTATGCGCCTCGGGACACACAGTGTGCTCATGAACTGATATTGTTTTCTAGGTCTCGCCAGCGTTCGAAAGTGTGATAGCCATACACGATCCAACCTTTGATCAGCTCTTTTTCGTGAACATGAATCTTCTGCGATTCCGTTGCGGGCAATCCGTAAGCAAGTCGGAAAGCGAGCAGACTTATGCATACCTCGACGGCTGGACTTCCTTTGTGCATTTACTGCAGCCTCCTCAGCTGGTGAGACCTCCATTATAATTGACCATTTCTGCAACGTTGATATGTGCCAAGATGCCAGTAGCACCGGCTCGGGTTCAAGACCTCGCTCTAGAATTGTGCCATGTAAGCGGATTGGATGGTGAATTGCCTGTGTCTACGATGCTCTCCGCGTCGCACCCTCCAGGGATCCCTGATATCGTGTCTTTGGCGGCTGTTCTTCTTGAATATCCAGTGGCATATGTGCCAGCCTCAATGGAAGAAACATCTTTCCTGGCGGGAGTCCGACTCGATGTTTATCACTGCACCCTTAGTTGGAGCCATGCAGATCACCGACCATCGGGATTCAATTCCACAGAACATACCCTCCTGAAGTTTTCGTGTCCATCGATAATTGGTGATGCGAATGCTGACCTGTCGGTGCGACAATTGGTGGAAAGACTGCAGACACGGTTTGATCCTCGCCTTAGGCAAGCTGGGTTCTCAGGTACTCTTCGCATTATACATACAGTGGAAACTCTCGACCGAGTCGCCCTGTGATATAAAGATAGAGAGATCAGGACTACAGATATGTACGTGTACACAGGTATACGCCCATAGCACGACTGCAAGACGGTTATTCGACGTCGATGTTGATGATCTTGATATCCTCGTAAGGTTTGTCCATTTTATTCGTCTTGACGTTTTCAATCGCATGCACGACCTCCAGTCCGGACAACACACGCCCAAAGATGGTGTGCTTCTTGTCCAGCCATGGCGTAGCTGTCGTGGTTATGAAGAACTGCGAGCCGTTGGTGTTGGGTCCTGCGTTGGCCATACTGACCGTGTATGGCCTGAAATCTGGGTGGTCAATACTAGTCAATCTCTGTGTGGATGCTGTCTTACCGATCGTGCTTCAAGTCATCAGAGAACTCGTCCTCAAATTCTCTGCCCCAGATAGATGTGCCACCCGTGCCGTCTCCCAAAGGATCTCCTGTCTGGATCATGAACTTAGGGATCACACGGTGGAAGATGATACCCTCGAAGTATCCACTGCGCGCATGACCCACGAAGTTCTCTACCGCCTTCGGCGCCTGGTGAGGGAACAGGCGAAGGTGCATATCGCCAACGGTCGTGTGGATAGTGGCAGCGTTCGCGACAGGTGAGGGACCGCCGGAGCCAAGCGCAGAAGTAGACGTCGCGATCGTCTGCTCTTCACGTGTAGGTCTTTCATTGAAGATGTCGCGGTCGCCGAACTTGTCATCCCTGGGAGTAGTGTCAGTGTTACTCATGCAGAGAACGGGAATGCACTTACTCAGGCTCAGAGCGGGTAAACAGATAGAACCTCTGACGCTTGTAGCCTGTGCATACGAGCGTAGGGTCCCGAGTTGACTTTTCCGCGAGCAAAGGATTTGCTGATGCTGCCGCTGCCTGTGGTGGTGAATCAATACATGACTCAGAGCGAGCATACTACTAAACTTACAGCAGTAGTCAGGCCCTTCTTCGCAGGCGCACCTTGATATAGTGTAAGATTTGTCCATCTAACAGTTTCGTCTTTACCCAACAGTCGTACAACTCGGTTTGTGAATGTATTCACGACTGGGTAAAATGACGTATTAGTCAATTGCACGAAGTCAAAGCGTCAGAGCTGACCTTTGATCCCGAGCAATGTCGGATATATCACGAAAGCCCCGCTCTCATCCCAAATTACATTGGCCCATCTGCCAGGCATGACACCATCTGGCCCTGGCAGCTCCAGTTCTCTCTCTACGGCTAGACGGCGCCCAAACTCCATATCCTCCACCTTGTACACTGCCGTGCCAGCCTGCTGCATTTCTTGGATGGCAGCCAGTGATTCGTCGTACTTCCGGGTCATTTTCCCGCTGAGGAAAGAAAAGATACGAATCTGGCGGTCAGGGAGAGAGAAGGTGACAAAAGAGGAAGAATCGGGGGAGAGCGTAATGCAAGTTGGAGTCGACTTTGACTGTAGTTTCCAGAGTTAGAGTTAGCAAGAAGTGCGCAGACAATGGCTAGCGCACCTTCTTGAATTCATAAAGGTCTGTGTTACTTTTGAATGACCACAGACCCGGAACGTTCTTGGGTAACTCATATGACTCCGACGGTTGCCAATACTCGACGAATCCACCTTCGTCTGCAGATATGACACAGTCATATCTGTCGCTATACTAAGTAAGACATATCATTGTCAAAAAGTGGGCTTGAGAATATGAATGTGGCGAACCGTCATCAGATGTACTGGGAACCGATGCAACCTATCAATCGTCTCTACAGGCGCCCCGTTGCCGCGTCCATCATATAGACGTATTGTACCACTGTCCCGATCTGAACTAAAAAATTATCATCAATCTTGCACAGCTACTAGAAAGTCTGCTTTACGCACACAGCTAGCAGTCCTTGGGCTTGACCTCGCCGATGCACCCAGCAGCATGCATGGGGCGTGAAGTCCAGTTTGATCATATTAATCATGTCTGTGGGAACGGTGTGAGCATAGCAGCGCTAGAGATACGCGATCGAATCGCACCGAAGTTGACTACGTCGAACACCTTTGCACTCCCATCTTCCGCAATGCTGGCAAACAATTGTCCATCTGCACTCGCGGAAACACCAATAATTGGCGCAAGATGTGCACGGTAGTGTTTTACGAACTCGATCCCTTGCTCCTGCTTCTTCCACAGCTTGAGATGCCCGTCAATAGAGGTAGTGAGCAAGAAGTCCGTTCTATGAGCGAAGACATGTCAGAAAGTGTACACTAGGATCTTTTTTTGCGGTACTTTGTCATGACGCAGAAATTGATAACATCTCTGTGCATAAAGCTCTTGTAATACCGGTCGGCGCTGGGGAGATGTTCCAGGTATAACTTCTCATGTGGTAGCACTGCCCGAGATTTCAGCATTGTCAACAGTTCCAACAGCGTTACTCGTACCTTTTCGTTTCTTTTTTGCCACACCATTACGATTGCTCTCCGCTGGTAAGGGCATAGGTCCGACATCGTCGTCGTCTTCATCGTCTCCTTCCACAGGAACAGCAGCCGCTTCCGTCTTCTCTGCAGCTCTGCCGGTGACACCTTCAGTTTCATCGCGTCCGTTCCGTGTTCTTTTACCGAGGACAGTTGCATCCTGCTCTGAGTCCGACATGCGTGGTGGTGGCTAGGAAGGCGCAGTGAGGTTGTACAAGGTATTCGAGACGCGTTCTCGCAGTTGTGATACCGTGACGCGGCTCGGCAAGTCGCTTTCGTCCCCACATATTCTTGCACAAAATTCGACATCGCAACCCACATGCAATGGTGATACATATATATATATGGTTGTTGTGTCGAAACGGTTAAAGGCTACATCACGACACAGTCGTCCTTCCCTCCCTCCTCGGCCAAAAAAGCCTTCTCCTCATCGCTCAGCGCGATGCCCTTCTTCGCACGCTCTCGAATAGCCCTCTTCCTACTCTCCCGCTCTGCCCGAGCGCGCCTATGGGGTAAAAAATGATACAATCGGATTGACGATAGCAATACACGGTTAACCGGATGCGAAGATAGGTTTCGGAACGAATGACGCAGGGTTCAAAGAATTAGAGGACGCCGAGGTAGATTTGCGTGAACAACATTGAGGTAGGTCATTATCCGATGGTTGAGTAGTTGGTGGTAGTGTACAGGGAGAAGAGGAACTACAGCTTTGTGAGTGATCACTGAGACAAAGCGGGACGAAGTAAGCTTACCTATCGGTTGCTGAAAAGAGATTGGGAGTAGAAGATGAGGCCTTGGCGGAAGGCTGAGGCTTGTTCTGCGTCCGCGTAACACGTGTTGGACGAGAGGGTGGTCGCGGGACAGAGGACGAAGTACCTGACGACGCCATGCCGCGCTCAATGGCGGCCATGGCTGCAGAACTTGCCGCCGACGTCTGAGCCACGACACTTGAGCCTGACTTTGCTGGGGTACTGGAGGGTCTGGGCACAGCTGAAGCACAAGCATGGTCCATCGGGAAACGATGTTGGGGACAAAATTGCTGCTGGCATTTCTACGCATGTAAATCAGTCGAGAACAGCATCAACAGAAACTAAGGTACATACATCGCACCGAATGGGTGAAAACAGCACCTTCTTGCAGTTCCCTCTCGCGCAAACTGGCATAGATGAAGTCTTGCCAGGCTTCCCAGTCATGACGGAACATTGCGTGCTGATGTGAAGTTCCATCCGAATGTTAGGATCTTCACCAGGCGGAACTGCTACTGGCGTGTTGCATAGAGGGCCTGTCGTGTGTTCCAATCAGCCTCCTTGAAGGAAATTGCAAGGGATTACGGCACAACTCACAAGATGGTGCCACGCGATTGTGCTTGCTGGCATCGAATTTGTCGCACTTGTGTGCCTCAGGTAGGAAGTGTTCGCCACAAAACGAATGGTTGCAGTGTTGACATTTGAAGGGTAGAAAGTCGACCAGGAAACATGAGGGCGCAGAGCATTGCTTGCCAATGCTCAGAAGTCGGTCGTCGCGATCAGCGGATGAATTCGACATGTGGGAAGTGCAGAATGTGGGAGTAGGTGTGTGGGGGACACAAGTCGTTGAAAGACTGATGTAAGACCGCTGAAAGGACGCGCGTCCAGCGCGACAGCGATGAACGCGCAAGACCAGAATGTTCTCGCAAGCGCTCGTGAGCTGTCCCGAACTTGCTGAGTCAGATCATCCACGTGATGATGCCTATTTTTGGGCACGCCTTACCGCCTCGTGTCTCCCGCATCGCATCGTCCATGTGCATACAACTGAGATCTACGTCGAGTCACTGGCAGACCTTGCAGATTCGCCGCTACATCTCAGTCGCAATGAGTGCACCTTCGGTTACGTTCACGTTTGTGAGTACATAGTTGAGAGCAACAAAGGTGTCTGATCAAGGATGTATAGATCAGACATGGAGAATCGACGGACAATCTGGTTTGTAGCAGTAGCAGGCGAGAGAACGAAAATATTCTGACATCAGTTCACAGCGCAGCGTGTGGGCTGGATGGAAGGACTCACCTCTATCTAACCATGGTAAGCACAGGTTACTTACAATGAAAGTAACCGAGAACGACTCTGCACGACAGGAATGAATGCAAGTCTAGCGTGCTTGGGTGACGCACACACACTTGACCGCTGAAGCCACATCTGTCCACAGCAAGCGAAGGAAATGGGGAAATCACTCTCTCATGTTCGTTTCGCTGCCATTCATACTTCTCCGCTGAAACGCGCTCTGTGGACTGCCGAAGCACTTCGCCAAGTCCAGAGTGAGCCGAAACCCCCACTAACCACGTCACTCCTCCTACGTGAACAACACTGGGGTATTGCAGAAGGGAAGCCGTGGATTATGGAATTCCTTCCCGGCGTGACGCTAGAACAACACTATGAACGTGGAGTATACCCTGTATTGCACGGCCGAGGACAGAAATTCCCCGAAGGCGAGAGCCTGGATGACTTGGCAGCGAGAGCCAACGTAGCCATCGAAGAAATTATCATGCCGCACATTCGCGCCGCGGCACGGTCAGGGAAGAAAGGGATCCATGTTGCGATCGTGAGCCACGGGCTCTGTATTAGTGAAATTATCCTAGCATTGCTTAAGAGGGATGGGAGCGGGACTGTCCACGAGCGTCACTACAGAGGTCTATTGAATACTGCTTGGTCAAGAGTAACGGTAGATGTTGACGTACGTACATCTCCCCCTGCTTTGTCAGGTGCTAATGTAGGTGGCCAGGGCGCACAAGATAGCGAAGCACTCGAGTTTTCCGATGAAGACACTCCGATTTTGCATATGCGCGTCACTGAAATCAATCGTCACGAACATCTCGACAACGTAGAGGTAGGCTATGCTTGGCTTCTTCTAGAACTTCATTAATGGCAGTATAGAAACGACAGAAGGGAGGGATAGGCAGTTCAGAGTATGACCCGAAGCAGCAAGATATACGTGCATTCTTCGGAGGCGGGGGAACGAAAGCTCAGCCTCCGGAAGAGGGTCGTAGTGTGAGTAATGCCAGAGATGAGGCTGATGAAGATCTTCAGTAGAATTGAACTCGCTACTCTCATCGGACCGTGCAAGATACGGGCATACAGGAGTGAAATGTCTGTAGACCGGGACATGCCTCAATTGGCGCGACGGATCGAGTTGAAAGCAGGAACTCACGTCTCGAACTTGTCGGCCATTCTATGCAACCTCTACTCCCCTCATACACGCGACCCGTAAGGTAGTAGCTTGTTGAGTGTCGCAGTTTGTGAGCCATGAGAGTAAGCGGTTTGTGACAGCGCATTTTTCCGCGCAGAACTCTTGCGAGTGTTCAAATGCTGATGTCCGGCTTTGGGCTGGACGCAAAGTTATGCATGAATATCAAGGGAGGAAACCAGGAGGTCATGCTAACTCGTTTGAAAAGGCCTGAAGGCAGGGACCGCCATCGTTTCTTGGCTCCTTGATGTGTCTTCAACTTCGGATACTGGAGGACAGCAGACGTGGACAACATGCGCGTTGTCGACAATAATCTGAGAGGACATAGCGACAGCATTGTGAGCATAGCGCAGAGTAGCTAGCAAGCCGCTGAGCGCTGAGGAGGAAAACAGCTTCCGGATTTGGCGTCGCGCAATGGGCGTCTATTACATACCTATCTTGCCGTTCAGAGCGGCGAAGTCGTTGCACTCTCAACTTCTCTATTCGAACCTTGATAACGATTGCTGATATGGACCACAACCCTCAAGATGACGCCGACCGTGTATGCTTTCTATGGAGCTTCTGCGATGTCTGGAGCTGAATATTCCTGTAGATACGCCTCAAGCGGTTAGCGAAGCTGCAGTCTGCACCCCCAACGCCCGCGGCGTCGTCTTCCTCGACCCCTGCTCGCGCCAATACCCCTCCTCCGAAGCCTAAGGTGGTGCAGCCCGCACCCCAGAGAAGACCTACGGAGCTGCTTGTCGCGCCTTCGTATCTGCCACCTAAGAAGAAGAGCCCTGCTACCCCGGCGCACCTCGATTTACCCACCTGGGAGAATGAAGCAGTTGGATACGTCTTCAATGTTACTCTCAGCGTGAGTGGAAGAAAGTGTGCTGTATTGCGTTCTGCTTGATGTCATCAAATTTTCAGGAAGATGTGGCGGAGAAGAGTAGCTGGGAGATTGTTTGGCTTAAACACCTCGCCATTGAGCTTGAATCAGAAGACCCAAGTTAGTGCCCCTTGTACACTTGTCCTCACACTTGCATAATGCTTTTTGTCAGACCTACCCAAGCCCATCTCTCTAAGCGGCGACATTGCAGATCGTCTGTTGATCTCTCGCCTCGAGCTAGACCCTCAGGGAATGTCGTAAGTACCATCTGACACTTCCTACGCAGATATGTGAAATCAGTACTATAGAGATGACCTTGGATATCTCTCCGTTATTGCCTCATTGCCTCCGCAACAGACGGTGTTTGAGTATCTCGTTGGCTGCTGGAAACGACTGAACACCACGAGGAGTGCGTTGCTCAAGAAAGTCCGCTCTATCTCTTGCTTGCATTCGTATGGGAAGCATGTCTCACTCTTTTGTCGCAGAGCTACCCGCCAGTAGAGAGACAGAAGGCACTGAACGTCCTAGAGAAACTGCGGGATTTAGTAATTAGCTATGCCGGCCTGACGTTGCAAGAACCAGAGATGTTCCCTCAGCCCACTAAGTAAGTCAATACTGCTAGGTTGAAGTCGAGTATGCTGTGTATTGACCACACACTAGTCGAGCAATCGGTCCGCCTGAGTTAGTCGCTCCATTACTTTCTCTGTCTTCTTTGTCAGCTCCTCTGCTGTCCCACACGACGTCGTCGTCCGTGACACTTGGACCCTCTGACATCGAGCAGTTCCTGCAAGACCTTGCTAAAAGGTTCGAGCCGGACAACGAAATTGATGGCGTTCTCGGACCGGTCGTGTCCCAGCTATGTTTCCATGAGTCGCTCTTTCGACCTGAAGGCCTTGCTGGCGGCGATGCAAGCTGGCGCGGGGTGATCAGTGGATTGGAGGCGCTGGTCAGCATCAAGAGCGTGGCATTAATGATTACTCGGTTGCCCCAATGGAATCCTGTACAAGCTACCGCTCCCATCTTTGAACGAGTAAGTTTCTTGGGGCCTCTTTTACGGTTGGGAGTGTTTGAGAGAGAATGGGTGAGTCGGTGTAGTGTTGTGCACGTTCTCTGAGCCTGATGGCTATCGTATGACAATCACAGCCCACCATCGCGAACACGTATTACTCGAAGCCAAAAGACCGCTCTCCAACTGACATAGAGTCAGCGACGGCAAGTCTCCGAGGGACACTCAAGAGTTTGCAGGTATGCTCCACGATCCGTTGTTCCATTTCTATCATACATATTATAGCCAGTCATCTTTGTTCCAAATTTTCAACAACCTGGTCCGTGCTTCGCCGGAGTCTCGTGAAGCGGTCCTTCAGTATTTTGCTCGTGTTATCTCTTTGAACGTGAAGCGAGCGGGAATGCAGGTAGGATTATTTATAAAATCGCCATCCTACAGTTTTGAATTTGGAGTGCTTGCAAGGTCGAACCGGAGACGGTTGCTTCAGATTGCTTCATGGTCAACTTACAGTCGATCATGTTCCGCTTTTGCGAACCGTTCATGGATGCAAACTATACGAAGGTATGAAGAGCAGCCTCGTATTGGCTTCCTCTTGATGAGCTTGGTTGGCAACTAGATGGACCGGATTGACTCTGCGTACTACGCACATTCGGTTCGTGTTGACGTCAAGGAAGAGACACGTATCAACGCAACAAGCGATGAAGCAGAGAAATGGCGTCAAAGCAATGAAGCACCGGGTATGCTTTCGTCCTTACATTGGCTGCACGAGCGTGCTCATCAGCGTTGGAACAGCCATACCGCCCAACTTTATTTCGGACATATTCTATCTCACGCTCGCGATGAACCATTATGGCTACCAAAAGACTGTTTCGACATTCGATGATTTGGCGAAGCAGTACGACGAGATCAATAGACATTTGGAGATGCTCGAAGGAGATGGTTCATGGAGGGGCGTAAGTATCATATACCGCGAGCACCCGATTTGGACTCTGATTCACTTTCCTGCAGACGCCGTTCCAAGCTCGCACTGAAGCGGCTATCAATGCAGTGAAGGTCTGTGCTGCATCCCAGGATACCTCGCCGAGTTTAGCGATTGCTCAGATTGCGTTGCGAAATTAACAGGTTGAGCAAGACAAAATTCTTACCCAGCAGCTTGCATATCAGGCCCAGCTGGCAGATCCGGAACTCGTGTTCCGATCAGTCAGCTTTACCAATTTTGTTTCCACTTATTTGATCCACCAAGTTGACCGCAAGCATCTGCATCCGAACCCTCTTGTGGAGTAACGGTCATCCTCGCTGAAGCTTCAGCAAAAACACTGACGAAAATTGTAGATTACCGTTGCCGAAGGAAGTTCCAGTTTCATTCAGGATCTTGCCGGAATACCTGGTGGAAGATGTGATTGATTATTATCTTTATGTCGTCCGGTACGTGCTGCTTGTCTTAAGGTATTGGTTTAGAACTCATGCGAACCTTGCGCCAGCCAAAGTCCGGACAGCCTCGAGTTGTCGGGCAAGAATGAGATACTCATATGGTCATTGACATTCTTGACGTCTACCTGGTATATCAAGAATCCCTTCTTGAAGGCGAAGATCATTGAGGTGACTACTTGTTGAGCCTACGTTACGAGTTAATCTCAGGTGAAAACAGGTCTTGTTCTATGCATCGCTTAGTTGGAGTGGGCGTCGTAGTATCCTCGACGCAACCCTGAACTCTCACCCCATGGCCTTGAGATACTTGATACCTGCATTGATACATTTCTACATCGGTACGTGCCCCCTCGTACTGTACATTTTACAGCGACACATCATTACCGTGAGCAGAAGTGGAGCAAACTGGAGCAAGCTCCCAATTCTACGACAAATTTAGTGCGTATCTCAGCCGTTGACGCTTGTTTGGTGAGTTAATTGATTCCTTTCATGGCAGACTCTCGGTAAGCGATTATATATTTCATTTCAACGAATTACTCTAATGGTGGAGCAGCCGCAGCATTGCGTATCTGTTCAGAATTATTTGGAATAACCCAGTACATCGTGAGGCACTCATGAACGAGACGAAGTACGCTATCTATCTTTCGACGACGTCTTGCGCTCACCTATCTTTTAGAAACAATATGGAGCAATTTATTCGCTTCGTAAATCTCATGATCAACGACGTGACCTACCTGTTGGACGAGTCGTTGAGTGAATTGGCCAAGATTCATGAAATTCAGACAGAGATGGAAGACGCTGCTACTTTCGCCTCAAAGCCGCAGCAGTATCGCAGGGAGCGAGAGCAGGCCTTGCGGGGACTCGAGCGTCAAGCTTCGGGCTATGTCCAACTCGGTAATTCAACAGTTGGTTTGCTAAAGACTTTTACCGGAGAAACCAAAGCGCCTTTTATGGTTCCGGAGATTGTAGACCGCCTTGCTGCCATGCTGGACTACAACCTGGACGCTTTGGCTGGCCCCAGATGCCAGGATCTAATAGTGAAGAACCCGGACAAATACAAGTTTAACCCAAAGCAGCTTTTGAGCGATATCCTGCAAGTCTTCTTGAACCTGAGCGATCAAGGAGAGTTCGTCAGGGCCGTTGCTGGGGATGGCCGTAGCTATCGGAAGGAGCTCTTTGAGCGTGCAGCCGGGATTGCGAAGAAGAGAGTGTTGAAGAGTGATACGGAGATCGAGAAATTACTGCTGTTCGTTCTGAAGGTCGAGGAGACGAAGGCAACGCTGGAAGCGGAGGAAGATCTGGGTGAAATTCCCGATGAATTCCTCGGTATGTGGTTTTTGACTCTGTCCAACATCGACTGACGACCCTTCCAGATCCGCTGATGTACACTCTTATGCGCGATCCGGTGACTTTGCCGTCCTCGAGAGTGGTTGTCGACCGCGCTACAATCAAATCACACTTGTTGTCTGATTCGAAGGACCCCTTCAACCGGGTGCCTCTCCTTCTCGAGGACGTGGTACCGAGTACGTTGCATTGACGTGACCTCAGCTGATACTGAAAGTTGATCCAGACGTCGAGCTGAAGCAACGCATAGAGGCATTTTTGGCTGAGAGGCTGAACAAGAACACTGCATTTGACAAGCCGGCGGAAGAAATTGTTAAAATGGATGTGTCGGACTCCTAGATGTGGACATTCAACTGTTGTAACATACTATAACTAGTAGCCATCTGTAATCCTAGCACTGCTACCACATAACTCGACCTTTGAAGTTCGGAAAAGGTCGCGAGTGCGCTGATGGCAATCTATGCAACAATTCGGGCCGGATGCAAAACAATATCCACAACTTCCGAAACACGCTTCTCAACTGAGGACCCAATGCAAACGCACAACATGGTGTGAACAGCACCATAGGCCACAATAGACAGAAGCCCGCAGACTGGCAAATCACTTCTTTTTTCTCTTACCGCGAGCACCAGCTGTGGACCCACCTCGTCCCCTGCTTGCTCCACTACCTCTGCGAGTATATTTAGTCGTCTTCCGCGTCGTTTTTGTGGTAGTCGATGGGACTATAGCAGAGTTGGTGGATGCCACACCTGCAGTAATCGGGAGCACATACCTGGAGATGGTTCACGCATCTCTACATCCTCATCTTCCGCGGACTGTGAGCCCCCATCTGTCCCAGTTGCATAACTCTCTCGCGGGGTGGGGTTAATACTCTCGTCTCCGCTCTCCTGCGTGAGTGCACTGCTGTCGCTGTCTCCTCCTACTAGGCCAGCCATATTTCTCAGCTTGGTCTTTGCCCTTTTGGATTGACGCGCGCCCCCTGCCGATTTGTCGTGATGCGATGATGACGGTCCAGGCGACGACGAAGGGATGGAAGCTGTTGCTCGCATTCGTCTTTTGGAGATGAGGGAATCAATAGACGCATCGGGAGGGAGGGTATATTCATATCTGAAGAAAGGATGTATTGCAAGGTTCTCAGAAGGAGAAGGAGAAGGGACGGGTACTGCAGGGGAGCTGCTTTCTCCTGGGACGTCATAACCATCTGCTTCCTGAAACGAAGAGTGAACAAGTAGACGGGACACAGACAGGCAGACTCACGATGTTCTCCAAGATTTCCAAGTCATAGCACCTCCGCAGCTTTGCCCAAATATCGTCGACAGGGACGAGTCGACCGGTGTCCGCGTAGATGGAGTTGCGGATGGTGAGAACGTGGAAGTGACGATGGATTCCGACCGGTCTTGCACGCGTCACCGCGCGGAAAAGGGCTATTTCCCCCTCGACAGAGTCGAGAAAGTCAAATTCTTCACTGCCTCCATGAATGTTGACCTCGTCGACGTCCATGATGAGGAAGGAGGGCGTCGAGATCGGTTCAAGCTTGAACATCACTGGCAGACGCCGCCAAGTCGCCAGCCTGCCACTGCGGCCATGTATGGAAGGGGAGAAGGATGGCAGTTTCCACCTCTCAGGCTGTTGTTGTTCCACAGCGACGACTGACCGCTAGATGGCTACTTCCCAAATACCTGCTATAAACAAATCTAGTGTCATGTTTTCACGGTGAAGTCTCTCCGAGTTGACTGTAACCGCGACCGCATACATTCCACCTGATACGTGGACTCAGTACTGGTATCGCAGTATCTCAGCTACGGACAACATGTGGAGGCTCTTCAGTTGTTTCATAGGAAATGCTGGTTAGCGGTCGAGCAACGGCGAAACTCAAGATTGTACATACATGGATGCTGCACAGTGGATGTGTGTGCTCAGCTACAACCTCCACTGGTTGCCATGGGCGACTTGGCGCGTCGCGCGACCCTTCTTATGTTCCTACTTTATAGTGAGTCGCTAGCTGTTCGCGGTTACTCAGCCTTGTGAACGGGTTGTGAATTTTGCTTATCCATCTGCTCCTGCTTCGTTTGTTTTCCTCTCGTGTTGGTTGAACATCGATTTGACTGGAACTCCGACGCCACAACACCAACACGACACTTCCGATCTGAACCTTGACTTGGGCCACTTCCACCTTTCCCTCATTCATACCAACGCAAACCACCACCACACACTGGGGGTTGTTCTTTGCAGAACACGCAAGCAAATCCAGTAACGAGTCATTCCTCGCGACCCATACTCCTTACTTTCTGCTATGGCTTCTGTTGAGAAGTCCACAATCAGTGGCCCTAGGCCTCTAAGATCCCGAACCCTTCCTTTGAGGCTCTGCGGACAGGCTACTTGGGATGTCAATTCCAATCTTACCGCCGTAACGCACGGGTTTTCAAGAGTCCGCTGCTCCCTCGTCTATCGAAACTTCGACAACCTGTCGGAAGCCGCGGCTTCACTTTCGAAGGCTATCACTCGCACCCTCGATTTCTCGGGTCATGGCCGTTCCTCCGTGGCCGCCACGTCAGGGTTTCACTCCGCACATAATGGATTGGTGTTTGCGTGTGAGTTGCTGCAGTCCCATCTCAGCACACTGCATCAGGATCTGGACGGGGAAGCGCTGGACATCGCGTTGTCCAGAGCTTCTCAATTGCTGGATGCAACCATGCTTAACTACAGGGGCTTCTTGCGTGCAGTGGAGATGAACAATTTGCAGGTTTTCTCATCCAATGACGTGCAGGCTATCGTGCATCGCGAATCGGTGGAGCAGAACGCTGCTGCAAGTGTACCAAAGTCTCGGAGAAAGAGTGTGCTTTCACGTCTACGCACATTCTCGCTTAGTTGTATGCTCTCGGAGCTCGTCAGCCCGTTGGACGTACTGAATGGCCGTTCTACGGCGTCCGCTATTACGTTGGTCGAGCCGTCGCCCATGTCTATCAAGAGCCGACAAACTTCTTTTCGAGCTAAATGTGGCGACACGAAGAATGCGTCATACAACTCCGATATTACATTGGACTTGGAATATATACGCCAGATGCTTCTGTCTAATGCTTCTTCTGACTTGCATCCAGAAGAGACCATGGACGTCGTTCGAAATGCGGACGGCTCAATTTCCCTGGCCACATTTTCAGAGCTCATCCATATGGCTACCGACCAACGAGAATTTTTGAAAGGTTACCTGGCTGACCTCGTTGATGTGCTCTTTCTATACTTCCGCTCGTTTGCAACCCCAGAGAAATTCTTCGAAATGCTGTTGGAGCGTTACCACGGGAAGGCTGCTTCGGCCTTGGGACAGGAGGACCTACCCCGCTGGAACCAGGATCACAATTTCTCGAAAGTTCAAGTCACTTCCTTGATCTACATGTGGCTCAAGTTTTACTGGAAACCAACAACAGATGAGTGCGTCCGACAGCGGATCATCGAGTTTTCCCACGATTCGATCGCCTCAGACACAGATATTCCCTTACAATTGGTCAAGCTGGTGACGAGCACCATTTGTGAATGCTCTCCCGGCAGGACTGGACATGAAGGGGGCCGCTGGTTGGAGAAGGAGATAACTAGGACGGAGACGGCTGCAGGGACATTCCCGCCTACGGATTTTCAGGCGCGACTGCAGTATCTGGAAACCTTCGGTACGGACGACACATCTCTAGTTAACGCACGATACTTTCTCGGGACTGGGGGTGCGGAGGAGATTGCACGTCATCTGACCATACTGGAGTCGGAGTTATTCCACACGTTCGTACCAGAGGATCTGATCAACTTCGCCGATCGTGGATTACAGTCAAAACTTGTAGCCTGGCGGAAGTTCTCAGATGCTCTTTCGTTGTGGGTCCGGGACTGCATTCTCGAACACAGCGGTGCTGCTGATCGTGCACGGTTGCTAGAGATGTTCGTTACCATAGCCCAGGTATTTAAACGTGTTATCTCCGTCGAACAAGGTCCTAACTCTCATTACACTATAGGACTGCAAAACGATGCGGAACTTCAGTTCGGCACAGATCATTGTTGTGGCTTTGCGGAGTAGCTGTATATCGCGTTTGCAACAGACAGCGAAGGTGCCATATTTCCGTGTGGTTCTGGTGTTTCGTGGCTTGACGATCTGAATCATGCTTCAGGCAGTGTCGCAGCGTTGTCGTGACGTCTATCAGGAGTTGGAAGAATTCTTCGATTCTTCCAAGAACTGGAGCCCTTGTCGTACGGAATTAGTGCAAAACCTGCCCGCCGTACCATTAGCTAGTAAGGACGAGCTTGTCGGCATTCCTGCTTTTGATTATCCAGAGTCTTATCCTTTGCAGTGATCTTCGTAAAGGATATCATCCATTGTCGGGACGGGCTTCCTCGTATCATGTCCACTGTTGGAACCTCTTCCAAGCCCAGCCAAGAATATATTCCTCTGAACTATTACCGTCAGATGACTAAGATTGTTCGCGGTAAGTAATCTGAAAGTACCAGATGACATGCGTTCTAATAGAAGTGAATCAGGCCTTGAAAAGTGTTATGGTTCATACAAGTTGCAGCGTTCGGAGTTTCTTTACGGCTGGCTCAAGCACAACATCGCGAGGCTGCAGCAAGACAGCTACAGCACTCACGAAGGACGTCTGGTACAGAAGAGGTACTTTCTTAATGAGAATGCCAAGATTGCCGGATGTTTCTGACCTTTCTCCCAGCCTACTTCTAGAGCCCAAGTCCTTGACACCCTCCCTCATCTGAATCATCCTGCATCGTGATTCGTTAATGTCCAGTCTTACTGCTATGATATTCACGCGTCTTCGCCATCAATTCGCAGGTCCACCAGCTCTACGTGCTCACGCTCGTTACTCAAATATCCTCTGTATCCTGAATATTTCAATACATTGCTTTGTATTTGCTTTGTCTATCTGAAGAACTATCATTGCCGATTTGAATGCTATGCCGTGCTTGATTGGAACCATCCCGCTCATCTATTTCGCAACATTTCCCTCCCTGCGGGGAGTCCCGTTCATCGTATCATGTGGGCCGTACGTACTGTACATACTGCAACTGCACTTGTTGAACGTTGAGCTTGATTCATTTTGATTCGTGAGTATGCAAATTCCCGAAGCCTGCATCACTACGAAAAATGACAATTAGTAATTGTTGGTCAAGCGTCAGCTTCACAGCCGATCTCGCGCGCGATTCAGATTATATGCTCAAACTAATTGCGTTCTCGCTGAGCTGTCGGTTTACTGCACCAACAAACGAATTGCACGACCTGAAGTAAAGAGGGTTATCCATATGCTGGGCTGATACTTCAGGTCTTGAAATAGCATAACGCATATACATGACGATGATACTTTGCCCGACACCGCGAGCAACAAACGTGGTCCTCACCTGCGAACCTGCGAACCCTCCGGTACCAAACTCAGAAGTTTAATCCCCCCGGGCAGCTTCAATCCGTCTGCGAGCAACCTGTCTCCTGTTTAGCCCAGCGAATGATGATGTCGCAACAACGTCCTTGTCCTTGCTCCGCTCGACCTCAGAATCTGTTGCCGAGAGGATGATCTCGACATGGCAAGGGTGACCCTGGTAGGGGTTGATACGACCATGGGCACGGTACGTACGGCGGCGGGTTTTCTGAGAGAGTATAGAATACTCAGTCAATGAATAAACAACAGGGCAAACCGTAATGGCTCACAGGAGCTTGCTGGACGACGATGTTCTTGATGTAGAGATCCTCCAGCTCGAGGTTTTTTGCGTCGGCGTTTGATTCAGCGTTCTTCAGTAGACGAAGGATAAACTTCACCGACTTCTCCGGCCAGCGACCTTAGGAATCCAGTTCACAGCTCGGATAGGATACCCGGGTCATATCGCGTACCTTGCGTCGTCTTAAACTGCTTTGCCTGGCTTGCACGCCCAACGCCACCAGAGAATCGTCGGAAGGGAATGACTTGCTTGTGGTCTGAAACGTCACTAAGGTATGCGTATGCCTTGGTCAACTTGTAACCTGCATGATTACATGCGCTTCAACACCTAGTCAGATACAAAGCCACAAACAGACAGACCAGTGAGGGCAGCCGCAACTTCGCGCATGTTCTTGAAGTGTGTCCGGAGGTACTCTCCGCGAGCGCGCGAAGCTGGATTAGTGGAAGATAAGCACTCTTTAAACGCGATGTGCAGACAACTCTTGGGACCAACTTTTCTCGGGGTTGGTAGCGAGTGCGGCGGCGGCGTAACGAACTACATACGATCTGAGGTCAACAAGCAATCTCCAGAACATGTAACTGCGACACGCACCCATCTTGTAATCCGGAGTGTGACGTGCGCGGTTCGTACAATCTTCCGGTAGAGGTGAGTGTGGCTGAACTTTGGCAACCACAACTAGCAAGTACAAGGAGATATCCGAGAGATCTTCTCACGCAGGAGATAAGATAGCAAACCATCTTCCGGACTTCCACCTCAGGGACCTTCTCCTACTAGTGAGCAAACGGTGAGTTCTTGAGGCGTCTTCCTTCCTAACGTTTGAATCCCTTCGTCAAGCAGCGTTTCCGCTTATGCGGCCATACGACAGGAGGACTGGCAGGCTTTATCGTCTTGTCAGAGGTGCTGAGCACACTCCCTTCAGGCTGGACATAGCTGATTGTCAACGACCCGCACTTTCCAACGCCGTTCAGCAGAAGAATACGTTAGCTGCTGTGCTAGGTTATCCGGCAGAGTCAATGGCTCGCAGGGTAGCGACGTTTAACGTTGTCTGCGTGGCTTTGGCAGTTGTCTGTCTGTTCATCCTAGCTCCTACCTGTGGCTTGACTGGTTTATTCCGCGAACACATCCTTGCTTCTGAATCATTCAACCCGGATGCACTTAGCACTGTCTGCCCTCAGACGTCGCCCATCTCCCCCTTTGGCCACTCCGCTTTGTTGGCTGCCCTCGAGGAGGAGTATGCGACAACTGACTTTCAGCTGGAGGCATATGAAAGCCTTGGAGGTGCTATACGCATTCCGTATGTTGTTTAGATCTGTACCAACTATGTATCACATATTGAATCTCCGAAGGACTGTTGCATATGATGACTTGAAACCTCCTGGACAGGACTCGCGATGGGAAATATTCAGCGAGTTACATGCCTACCTAAAAACCCGTTTTCCTTTAGTGTGCGTTACATGCTAGATTGCTCCTTTACTTGTGCCAATCATGCTTGATTAGCCATACGAGATTACTAAAGGAGGAAGTCAATGTCTATGCCTTGGTTTATCATTGGCAGGGGACAGATGATTCTCTGAAGCCCATGCTCTTGACGGCACACCAAGGCGTGTACACCCATCTGCTACCATAGACTTTTGCTCAATATCTCAGACCTCCATTCTCAGATGTAGTCCCCGTTGAACCACTAACGCTTGACTCCTGGGTTCATCCTCCTTTCTCCGGTCTTTACGATGGTAATGTATCACAAGTCAGAAATGCGATGAATGTCTCTAATTCGTTCAACCAATGAAGGTGAATGGATCTGGGGTCGTGGCAGCTGCGATGATAAACCGGGTCTTATTGGTAGCTTGTAAGCTCTGTGTTCTCTGTCCATCAAGTCTACTAATCGTTATCAGGACTGCGATAGAGAAGCTTCTTGAGAAAGGATTCCAACCGACAAGGACAGTTGTGCTTGCGTATGGCATAGATGAAGAACGTGGTGGAATCTCCGTACGTCTTCGTCCTCCCCGCTGTCTGTTTTATTGTCTCATAACAGATAGGGTGCTACCGCTATAAGGGACTATCTCTTGGTTACGTATGGCGAGAATGCCTTCTCAATTCTCGTGGACGAAGGCGGTCAGTGTGCCCTATGAGCCGTATTACATATCTATCTGATGCAACTGGTTGACAGGAGGGTACAGTGAGGAAAATGGCGTAATGATCGCGAGCCCATCTGTAGCAGAGAAGGGAAAATTCGATGTTCACATGGAAATCACTACTCCTGGAGGACACTCAAGCATTCCACCTCCTCACACCGTACGTTCACGTATGTAACACGACCTACACTGTCTCACTAACATGTTGGAATGCAACAGAGCATCGGCATACTTGCTGCCTTAATTAAGCAGATTGAAGTCAATCCCCACACACCTCAGATCCGGCGGAATGCCACATACTACCAGTCTCTCCAGTGCCGGGCTGCGTATGACCCAGGACTTCCGAAGAAAATCAGACAGCTCGTCAGAAAGTCCACGAAGGACGATAAGGCACTGCGGGCTCTCGAGGCTGAGTTGGCACACACAGATCGCTCATTTGGAGCGATGGCTGGGACGACTCAGGCGGTCGACATCATTCACGGTGGCGTAAAGACGAACGCGCTCCCTGAAAATGCATTCCTCATCATGAATCACAGAATCGATTTGTCGAGGTCTGTATCATATTTACCGCTCCGTTACTTGGGCCATATTGTCACATGCTGAGAACCTGCGACTTCTAGCTCAGTTGCTGACCTCAAAGCCCGCGTTGCGAACGTCGTTGTGCCTCTGGCGCAGAGCTTCAATTTGTCCGTCGACGCCTTTGGTGTACAGTATGGGGACGTGGAGCGAGGGGCTGCCTTCGGCCATCTTGCTATCTCAGATGCCTTCGGAACTGCGCTGGAACCAGCTCCAGTCACTCCGACTGTTGGCAGTAGACCTTACGAGCTACTCTCTGGCACGATCATGGGTGCATTGGGATCTTCTAACCGCACAGGTTACACTGATAAAGTCTTTATTGCTCCTGGGATGTCCACTGGTATGTCTGATCATTCAATAATTTCGGGCAGGCTGTTGACATATCCATCATGCGCCTAGGAAATACAGGTGAACATCAATAATGGTAGTCCCTGTATCTGTTCTGATTTGTTTCCCAGATACCAAGCATTACTGGAAGTTGACTAGACACATCTTCCGTTATGGGCATATGAACCATGCGGACTTGTATAATGGTGCACATACTATTAACGAAGGTATCTTGTTATTTTGATCTTTAGGTGTGGTTGTTGGCTTACGTGTACTTCAGCTTCGAGAGCAGAGGGCTTTCTGGAAGTGATTAGATTCTTCACTTGGCTCATTCTGAACGGAGATGAATCGTCCCTCCTTGAGTGATAGAGCAGGAGTCGAGATCATCAGCCGCTATGTAGTATTTAGACTTTGTACATGCCGAAATGTGTTCATGTCGAACCGTACTGTTTCCCCAGTTGTTAATCCATATGAGCCCAAGTAGACCTTACGATCAGCGGCATTTCGATGGAGTTCACCAACAAAACCGGGAAAATATTATATAAGGTTACACCGATTACATCGGGGTAGCAGGTGTTGTGTAAGTTACAAAGGACTAGTAACATTCACGCCCAAATTGTAGTCAAAGTAACCCAGGGAAATGTTTGCTCACCAAGTTATGAAGTCGGAAGAATTTCTAGAGAACGTTCTAAGGGACCCCCGAATACCACACCAAATGCAAGCATTAACGCAGAGCTTTCGTCCAGGCCCTCACGGCGAAAAGATCCGAAGCCATTTCGAGACAATGTCTGAGGCAAGTCTGAGGCTAATCTCGATACCACGACTACCGTCCGCAGACAATTCTCGCCACCCTCACTCGCGTATAACTTCGCAGTCTCTCCCGGTTCAATAGCATCGGAGTTCCGTCCAGACGCAAATTCGGTGAACTCGACGGGCTGCGGGGCGCCCCAGCGGATGAGGATGTTGCGGGAGCTGATGTCGCGCACTACGATGCCACGTTTTGTGGTTTCGTAGAGGCACAACAACCATCCGTCCATCTAGTGATATTCCAGCTTGAGCGAAACCACGCTGCAGTTAACACTCAAGGCATCAAGCTCACTATTTGCCAGACCTCGTCGCGGCAGTCCGACCGGCGACGAACTCCATGACATGGGCCGTGGGAGAGTTGTACCTGCAACATAAGAGTGAGAAATGAATACCGAGACAGTGAAAAATGACAAATGGACCTTGAACCATCCGAAAGACCAGGGGATCTCCTTTCCTGCTCGGACAGTCATTGCCAGAATTCTAAGCATAACAAAAGCATATCGTATCCTGAAGAGCGCTCATATGTTGGTAATCGCCAGCCTCAGACCGTGCCATCTCAGCGCCCGTCCATTTCAGCGCAGCGCCCATATACCATTTCATCCACGAGTGAGGCGATCTCGCCTCGTCAAATGAGTCAGGGGGAAGGAAGGTGCTCTCCAGAAATATCTTGATCACTACAGTCGCTTCGGTGGCGGACTTGATCGCAGTAGGGTATGACCCTTCCAGCCTCATTGTCGCTCGCCAAACTTGCCCACGCACGGCCGTTCCTATCCAGAGGGGGTTTGTCAAAGTGATCATGATGTCGGCGAAGGCTTCGTAGAACGCTGTGCAATACATCATCTCTGGCAGCGCACGATACCGGTAGAAGAGACTCAAAATAAATATTGTTCCATGCGAAGCTTGACGGACACCAGCACCCGACGATTTTTAAGGGGTACCGACGGGCATTTTCGATGTATTCGTGTGAGGCTTTACAATGACGGTAGAGAGGCTCGGCCAGCTCCTTGTACTGTGCTTGGTTTTGAGGGTAGTCGAAGAAACCGTCGTCGACTAGAGGAGGCGTGGGCCATGCGGGGCAGTAGAGCAGCAAGCTCGAGGGAGGTCCATTTGAGATAGGGCAGCAGCGATGGAGCCTATTTCGAATTCGCTGGTCGATCGCTTGTTTATGTCTGTGTAGGCGTATTTATGTTGCATCGGTACCTGTTTGCGCAAATCCTTCAAGATCCTCAGGCACGGACCCGGGCGCGCATCCTACTTATCATATTCACCTTTGTTACTTCACTGTACGGCCGCAACGTTAGTGACGTTTATGAACGGCCATAATCCAAGAACATTAATAGCCCGAGAAAGTCTGAAGACGTCTCAAGATTTTCCTACGCCAATAATGGTACATTTTGCGCTGTATTAAAGGTGAATTCTGTCGCCGGTAGATGACCTGAGAGAAGCAGGACGGTCTCGTAACGAGCCACTCCAACTCCGTGCGCTGACAATATACAACTCCACATCGCTGACTGTACGTCTTCCAGATTCGCTGTCATGAGCCTGATCTTGTTCCCTGAGGCAGTCATAAAAAGACGACGGCGACTCGGACTGCCTGCCTGGCTTATACACAGCCTCAGCTGCACGCACTTCCTTCGACAATGTCCACCACTGCTAGTGCGCGTGCAGAAAAACTTCTCGCCATTGTGGATCTTGTAGTAAATGCCGCTCAGGTGGTGATACAAGAGTGGACAAAGGAGGACGCTACTGACGGTCGAAACACCCTCCCGGCGTCCGTAGATCTCTTCAAGGCCCAGCGCACCATCTTGGCTGCCTGCGGCTCCTTCACTGAAATTTTACAAGTGCCCCAGAGACGCATCCTAGAAGTTGCGAACCAATACTTTGAGGCTCGGGCGTTGCACATCGCGGTCGAGCATCGTGTCGCCCGTCACCTTGCCAAGGTCGACCAGGCTGTAGGAATGCCCATCTCTGAGCTCAGCAAGGCCACAGGTCTCCACCCGGAAAAGCTTTGTGAGCTGTCTTTCCCTTGATGGTCGCGACCAGTGACTAACGACTGCGTTTAGCGCGCATCATGCGGGCCCTCTGCTCCATGCACATCTTCGCCGAAGTTCAAGACGGATCTTTCGCCAACAACACCGTCAGCGCGGCACTCGCCACCAACGAGGCCCTTGAAGCACATGTCCTCTTAGTGTGAGTAATCTGCTATCATTGCTAACTCTAGCTGACCGTGCTTAGGGCTTGGGTTTATCATCCGGCCTCGGCAAAGCTGCTGGAGATTGTCGGTGATCCTGTAAAGGGTTGGTCCAATTCTGCGACCGATTCCGCTTTCCAGGAGGGACATGGAACCAAGCTATCTTTCTGGGACTGGCTCGAAGAAGGAATTATACAGCCCGACGGTTGCGTCAAACCGCGGCCCGCCCTGGAACAGTTCACTGTCTCAATGGCTAATAATAGTGGCCTCCTCGGAACCCCGCCCTTCTACTGTAAGCCATAGTTGCCGCTGTGGTTTTCCAGCCATTGATATTGCTTGTGATACTGGCAGACTTTCCATGGGAATCGCTCAGCTCTGCAACAATGGTTGATGTAGGCGGTGGCGTTGGTATGTTTCATATTAATGTAGGACGAGCTTGACTATGATACGGTATATGGACAGGTGGAATGAGTTTCGATCTCTGCAATCACTTCCCACTCCTCAATTTCGTCGTCCAGGATCGCCCTGCCGTAATCGAGAAGGCTGAGCCAGTGTGGCTGCGCGAACGGCCAGAAGCGCTCAAAGCTGGCCGCGTTAAATTCATGCCCCACGACTTCTTCACGGAGAACCCCGTGAAGGGCGCCGACGTGTACCTCCTGCGCCACATCCTGTAAGCATTCTGTACCCTGTCCGGCCTCTCAGCTCTGCTTAGCATCGCAACAGCCACGATTGGGAAGACGACCGCTGCGTCGACATCCTCTCCGCCCTCCGCTCCGTGCTCTCCCCGCACTCGCGCGTGCTCGTGGTTGACTTGGTGATGAACACGACGCTGGGCTGCCCCGAGATACCGTCCGCGCCGTTTCCGCTTCTTGCAAACTACGGCACTTCTATCCGCTTCGCTCACGAGTCTGACCTGAAGATGATGTCCCTGGTCAATGGCGCGGAGCGCGTCCCGGGCGATGTCCTGTCGATCGCTCAGCGGGCGGGGCTCGAAGTCACCCGCATCTGGGAGTGCCCCGGAGACTGCGTCATTGAGATGCGGTTGCCGACCGTGAGACAGTAGAGAGAGCCAGGTTTCTGTTGAATCAATTAGATGGAGATGGGCATTGGCCCGTCAACTTTCTTCTTCAGCCCGTGTACGAATACATTGTGGGTCATTGCACTTTGAGTCTTTGATTGTAGAAATAGTTACAGGGTGCACGAAGTCGTTATATTGGTTGTCGGGCCTTGATGGGGAATGAGTCCACGCCAAGGTCACGTACATAAACATCAAAGGCATGTACTTACCTTCCGTAGACCAAGCGCAAGTAGCCAGTTGTCGGGTGACGGCGCTGTGTGCCTGGAGTACTTTGTACGAAGTTGCGTTGAATCGCCGCTATCACCGCTGAACGCTGCGCATCTCGTCCATCCGGCAGAACAGCACAACCAGATCACAGAGCCTGATAGTTAACAATTAGCAAGAGCCAGGTTCGTAGAAACACAGCGAGGCACGCAAGAGGCACGACACGGGAATCCCGCTGTTCCACGCGATCGAGATTCGCCCAAGTGATGCATAACAGTACTAGTCTAGGAAAAGAAGTGACGCGCCCGCGCCGGAGGTCCAGCTTCGTCCATCGTGCGCTCGCGTTCAGAAGTGCCGTGTCTCAACGTTGAGGGTTGGGTGGACGCCACCGGTAGCTGGGCGAGGACGCGGGGCAAGGTCGAGCCGCGGGAGGGCCGGGTCGCTTCAAGCGCGATTTCCGCTGAGATTCGTTCGATACAATATGTTGTACTGTATGTATCAGAGCGAGAATTAATTCATGTACGTGCAAATGCGAGTATGGAACAAAAGTTCAAAATTACGGGTTGGTGGGTGGTGCGAAATAAATTAGCTAGGTAAGGACTGTGTGCATCAGGAAAACCCAACTTTTCCTTAGGGACTTTTCGCTCTGACAACCCTTATTTAAGGCTATAATAAGTTTGATTTCAGACACTTAATGTAGAGCACTCTGTACGCCTTGTACCGTAGCAGTAACAATAATATGCTGTGACATAATTTAAAATACTCCCGCTATTGAGAATTATGAAACCGATCTGAACGAATCGGTTTCGATCTGCGCCTACGTGCTACAGTGCATACTGAATTTTGTAGGAAGTTATATGAGCTTCATAACCTGGAAATTTCTTCGAGAGCTTATAACTAATTATACCAGTTGGCAACTCTGCAATTTAGCTCAAGTTTACGATGCAATGTATTCGTTGGTGAAAAAATTCCGCAAGTCACATGGAATTACACCTTTATAATCTCTTTGGAGAAAATTCCCGGTTTTGCTGATGTTGAATATTTGAATACTGAACTTGGGACACGTGAGATGTCACAGCCTCACGACTCTTCAATTGGACCCCGTCGTCGGGCACACCTCGGATACACTGTGTCTGCAACGAGGAAACTGTATCGCTGTTCTTAGTGTTACTTTTCTCGAGCACTGTCGAACTGTGCTGCACTGCATCGATCTCCGATGCCAGCTCTTGTGGTCGAGCAACAACCCCAAGCCAGTGCCGGCGGTAGTACACTGCGTTCCACCGAGGGGAGCATTCATTCAACAATTTCTAACTTGACCACAACCGCTATCACCAGCCATCTCTCGAATGCCTCGCCTTCTCACTCAGGGGGAGATCGCGATGGTTTGGATACATCTCTCGAGCTGGACGGGCAGGACCAGGTGAGTAGTCCGTTTGCATTAGTTTGGGTATGATGTGGCTTAGAATACGTTTTGTACCACTAGCTACATATCCTGAACAATCAGCTCAAGGTAGAGAATCGCATAAAGGAAGGTGCCGAGAATCTCCTCCAGATGCCTCTTACAGTGAGCTGTGAAGCTAGTACATCGGGCATATAGTCTGATGGAGGTTCACATTGCGAAGGGTCCCTTACGGATGCAAGTGGAGTCAGAATTAGAGACGGCCAGAAAGAAAATAAATACTATCGCGAAGGCGATTGAACTCCGTACGTTTCTGAGTCTTGGCGGGTGTTTCTATCCTATTTATAAGTTGGTCCCTAGAATCATCCAGGGGTGCGCGTAAGAAAAGCAACGAGCTTGGGAACAAGCGCAAGTTTAACGGCCAGATCGTGCCAGGCGGAAGGGGAAAAGATGGAAGTGATGAACGAGGTACGATGGCACAGAGGGTATTGTGACATGTCGTCTGACACCTCTTCAGACGATTTCCGATCTGTCATGCATCTGGCGACTTCGTGCATGAGATCCCTGTCAGCTATGTCTCGTCAAAACTCTGTTGCTCAGCCCTTCGCAAGCATTTCTCCCTCCACTTCGCCTTCCTCTTCTGCGATACCCAACCCGGCCTCGGCAAATGATGCCGAACTGAATCGTGCAAGGATTGACACGATGGCGCGTTTGATTGACATATTGAAACGCAATCTCCGCGTACGGTATGAATTGGACATTGGGGAGGTGATACAAGCGTGAATATCCCGTTCTATTCATTACGCTGTCTGTCGAAGTTAATCCCCTTCAGTGTCCTTCCCGCGCTATCGGATAAATCATCACAGCAGTGTCGCGCTACTGCTTATCAGCTCATCCGCCACTCTTTGGTCGACATACATTCGGTAAAGCGTTTGCAAGAGCAGAAATTAGATTGGTACATCATCAAGTAGGGCTATACGTGGCATTCTCTGTGCCATCCTCACGGTGTCTGTTGTAGATCACTGACGCGCGACAACAAATATGCAGTTGAGAAGGAGCAGGTTATCAAACTCATTCGGTCAGTTGTCGAGATAGGTTCGGAGCGCCGAACGCCGCGATCGTCCATGAGTTCAGGGACAGTTCCGCTCTCAGAAGCGGTCATGCGTGCATTCATATCTATAGCGGAATACCCTGAAGATCCGTTCAAATTCATATGCCTGCAGACACTGACAGAGATTCGTATGTCCAGATGCTACACGATTCAGAGGAAATATTCACATCTGTTTCAGTACTGATTGATATCGAGCTCATGGCTCGCACCGGTGGAATCAGAGTGCTTCTGCATGCCTTAGCTGACGGATCCCCCGAAATGGCCCCAATGCTAGCCTCTGCCTTTCTGTACATTATCGACTTGCCTCGTACAAGGGCGTACCTACATCTAGGAACTGATGTCGAGGTGAGGCAAAGTTGCCGGAATTATGGGCTTGGCTGACAATGACTAGATGGTTCTCTCAGGTATTACAGATGCCTACGGGAAGGGACCGGATTACGGTGATCGCATGAGAGGATGCACACGGGTGATCGCATCTATGCTGCGCACATGGAGTGGTACGTGTTTCTGGTATGTGCTTTGCATTTATCTCTAATGTCGTTCATGCGGCAGGATTGATGTATTTCTGTCTGGACGACAAGCTGGCTCTGCGTGCTATTGTGGATGGTCTTCGTATACCTTCTCTTGAAACACGAGTAAGCTGGCATGCAGAATAACTTTTCAACCCAAATTTTATCGTCTAACTACTCGCAGGAAATCATACTTAACATGTTCTTCGATCTTTTCAACATCAAACCTCCAGAATGGCACCAGGCATTCATTGACGGTCGCCGTTTGACATGTAAGTTTTATGACACTGTGGACCCTTTTCTTCTGACTATTCGGTTAATCGGTTAGTGTACCGCAAGGCCAGACCAGCTTCGGACCCAGGACCTCCACCTGAGCCGCAGAGACCACAGGCGACTCTCAAACTCACGGATCAATATATCGCTCTGTTGATTATGGTGTTTTGCAAAGCCGGTCTGTTAGACGTTCGTGACGACTTTAACAATTACTGCCGCTAAATGTGCATATCTGATCAAGATTTGGCAGGCTCTGACATCAATGTTTGAGGAGTCTACTGCCGGGTCCAACCTGTCACGGAAAGCTACTCTCCTTATGGCCGAAGTACTACAAACAGCAAACAGAGTTCTGCCTCTGCGCATGGCTGCTAAAATCCAGGCTCGCCTTATGTGTGCACTGCCAATCGCTGTGAACTCATACGTATATGCTTTGCTAGGCGCTGCCTCGTGTGTTCAATCTCGCTTCCGACTACGAATTCAACGAGCATCGAATCGTCGGTACATCTGCGCTCACTGCCATTGATAGTTACAACCGTCATCGCGCACGTCTGCAACCAGCAGCTGTAAAAGGAGACTCGCGCCCCAGGTATTTCATCAACATCCTCATATGATGCCGAACTCAAATTTTACATCCTCAGAGCAAACTCAATCGAAGATGCCGTTCGACGTGGTCAGCGACAGGTGGAACAGGCCAAGATCAAGCTAGCCATGCAGATTGATGACAAGAGTTTCCAAGCAATCCTCCTAGACACGCAGGTAACACTTTCACTGTGGTCTGTCCGGCCGACGTTTTTGATCTGTGCCTGAAGGTCATGCTCACAAAAGATCAGACGAAGTGGAGTTTCGAGACTCTGCTGGATCTTATCGAGGGTCCTCTCCTCAATCCCAAACGGATGGAAGAAGCCATCAAGGTTTCCCGATACATTCGCAGACTCATGTCTTTTTTCCATCCGTTCGCCCATCGTTTCTCTGATCTAGCTAGAGTGAAGGTGCGATACCTAATTCTACCTGGTCTGACATTACCACTCACTCACTCCAGACGAATATTCGTTGGGTCCGATTGGGTTGCCTCCTACTCAATGCGTTGATGGCGAGTCCTGATGGCGTGCGTTTCCTGTCCGAGGACGAGTTTTTGGGCCAGATTGTTGAGGGCCTAGAGCAACTGATTCCCGTGAGTTGTACACTGAAGGAATATGTTTTCCAGCTCTAATACCAGATGAAGTTGAACAGTGCTCCTGTATCTGACCCTATTTTCTCCAAAAAGCGTATGCAAGATACCCTCACTTTCGGATACTTCGAGATGCTCGGTACCTTGAGCAAGCGGAAGGAGGGACTGGAGTAGGTGATTTGATGTTTTGCACATGTTGAAAGGCTTATCTCAGCGCGCAGCCTGATGGAGAAATTCAGACTTTTCACTGCTTTCTACCGCCTTAGTGAGCTCCGAAGCCGCGAAGATCTAATCAAGAGCATCATTGAGAATCTTGACTATAGCATGTACGTCACTCTACTATCCGGTTTCACAAAAGAGGTTCACACGATATTGAAGCGATGGCCATTCGCGGATTGTCTTGTCTAAGGCTCTTACGTCTAGCTACAAGGTGCGTCTCAACCCGCAAGGGTTGTACGGCTCTCCCTTTGACGATGTGTCAGCATATTCGACTGTACGCAACGAACCATCTGAGCGCACTATTGTGTGGAAGTGCGACAGCGAATGCTTGGACACTTCGACTCCTTCTCACCCAGCTGTATGATCCTGCTGTTGAAGTGCGTGAAGTTGCGGTGCGTTTTCTGGAAGAGGCGTGCGAACAGCCGGACGTCCTTCAAACTGTAGTCGAGATGCAACCGACTTTGGATCATCTCGGTGAAATAGGGCATCCTTTACTGTTGAAGTGCGTAAGGCTGCTATTTTATCGCACCCATACTGATGTGTGCATCAAGGTTCATGTCTACGCCAACCGGCTTTCGATTCTTATATTCCGCGGATTATATTGATCGGGAGATGGACCTCTGGTTTCACGTATGTTTTCGCTTGTTCCACTTGTCCCTGATCATTGACAACATTTTCCAGGAGCGCAATCTTCATTATGTGGTACACGTCGAAGTTTTCCTTGCCAAGGTCTTCAACTTTACGTCCATTGATGAAGAGGATGATATACAGTGTGTTGATACTGATTATGATAGTGTCTCTACTCACTTCAATATTGTAGGAAGCTCGATGGGTGCCTCGCCACGCATTTCTATGGCGTATTGGCCAAAACGGAACTCGGTTGTCAAGTCCTACAGGAGAAAGGTCATTTCGCAGAGTTTGCTCAATTCATCAGACAACACGGTATGGAGAGCGAAGACCAGGATTTGATAATGCGATTGAAGAGCACCTTATGGGCGGTTGTGAGTTCGCAAGCATGATGGCCATCGCTGGTCTTGATGTCCTGTGTTTTATGGTCCAGGGAAACATAGGAGCAACGGAAGGTGGTCTACCCTTCCTCGAGGAAGAAGAGATCATCCCTGCAATATTAGAGATTGCAGAGCGATCGTTTGTTCTCTCAGTACGAGGGTGAGACCACTGCGGTGGTTGTGCATAGAACAAGCTTGCTGAAATCTGTCCGTAGCACCTGCTTCTTCGTTCTCGGGCTCATATCTTCCACACCTCAAGGTGCCGAGATTCTTGACGATTATCATTGGGAAGCAACTCTGTCGCCGTTAGGGTTTCCAACAGGGATCTGCGTGCCTGTTGACCTTGACAACTTCCTTTCCGTAAGTTAGCGCGTTCGTTTCGTGGGTTCGCAGATTGACATGATAGTTCATAGTTGCCGCCCTGGGAGTGCGTACCATGTGAAGAAACTATCGACCGGCTTCAGCCTCCAAAAACAGAAGAGGAGATGGAAGTGATGACAGCCATCTACAACCTTGCAAACACAGTGATTGCGAACGCAGCATCACGGTCTTTAGCAAGGTATTTCGTATATTCGTTGGCCAAGAGGATTGTTAGTTTGACAAGATTTCAGGATGAAGTCGCGGCCAGAATACAGGAACATCTTCATATCGCCGACTATGCTCTACCGTGCTCTCCATACGATATCCTCTCAACGATACCGTCTGCCTGTGCGCAGATATATCATAGACTTATTCGACGTTCAACTTGATGCCGATGTCGTCAAAGCTCTCTCTGAGAGAGCTGTTTCTCTTCGCCTGCCGCCCAGTGCTGAACTGCTAAAACCTCCACCAACACAACTCATCACTGGTTTGGATCGTCCTCATCATCACCGGATATCAAATAGTGATGAGGTTGAACTTTCGGACGATGATGGAGGGCTGGAAGTGGCAGACAAACACCCTATGATGAGTTTGCGACCTGTGAGCCGTATTGTCGGATTTGCAGCTTCGTGACTGTGTGTGCGTAGCGGGACTATCACCACAATCTGTCTGTCTTTGTTCATTGTGTACCTGTACTGGGATCTGTATTAATCGTGTTTATGGGATAAATTCCATAGCTGTACGTATATCAATCACAAAGTTTTTTCTGAAGTTTGGGCACCTATGACTTCAACCAACGTACAACGCGCATACGATCTTCGAATATTACCAGTTACCTTTGCTGCGAGCAGGCAGTGTATATAAGTACTAGATGGATCGACTGTCGTCCATAGCTATATATAGTCAGCAGCGGAGACTAACTTGAAGGATAGCGAGACACCATTGAACAAGACACGGTGTAAGTGCACACATATCTTCGACCTTGATTTATATATTGTACAAACCGCGGCAATGAAGCTACTTGGTTCGCATGATACGCAATTTGTTCGGTCTGTAGAGGTAATTCTCAGCGTAGTTCTTCGGGGGGATCCTCTTAACTTCGGGTTGTTGCCTGATAGAAACCGAGACTCAGCTGGGTACTCGCTACCCACGGATACGATTGAGACATACACGTAGTAATCCCAACCTGAACGATGTGTTGAATTTCTAGTCAATTACTGAGAGATTCGCTAGACTCACCTTGCTTCTCCGCGAAGTGGATAGCATCCTCTTTGGACCTGAAAGAAATGCGAGTGCCTTGCATGTAGTCCGCCCTGTGCTGTAGTATTGCATGGAGAGGTAATGGACAACAAATGGTAAACACGTACGAACTGGCCCAGCCCATCAAGGGATTCTCCCACCTGCCAGCTCCTTGCAGGACATCCCAATCAATACGCCAACGGTGCGATTTCCCCGATCCACTTTGGGTCGTGCTACGCGTAGGCTGGAAGATCCTCACAGCACGATGACGAAGCTCGCCTTCCACCATATCAATTTCGCGGATTTTCCTTGTAAACTCGTTGCTCACCTGGCGCACCGCTAATGATGTCGGCGGTCACAACATCTCTCTCGGGGGCGGTCGTAACCTCAGAACGCTGCTTCTCACGAGTCTCCGCAGGAGTGCTCGTTTGATGCGTGTTCAACGCCCTGGAAGATACGTAAAGTGTTCTTCCAACAGCACGCTGGGAAACCGCGCCCTGGCAAAGGCGGAGAGCGAACATTCGGTGATGGTGTTGGGTTGGTGGGTGTGGATATTGCGCCTGGCTGATGCGGTTGTGGGAGCTAGCGAACCGATCGGTTCGCACCACCCGCGGAGTCTTCGCGCGCGTTCGGGGCCAGCAGAGTCACCCGAGCGTCCCGCCATACACCTGTCGGGCACTCCTCGACACCCAGGTTGGAGCTGCTGGTGCAATGGCAACCATACAGCAACGGCCGTTCTCGAAGAACTATAGGTGTGTTTCGAACTTAATTACCGTCTACACCCTACAACTAGTTGACAGACTTTCGGTAGTGGTCTGATCAACCAGTCGGTTATTGCTGGAGTCGTCATAGTGATATGCGTCACATTCTACGAGACAGCGAAGAGAAAGCGGCGAGGAAGGCACCTTGGTGACGAGCTAGGCAGTGTCGAGTCTTGGCACTTTGGCTAGTGAGTCCAGTGAGAACATCCGGGTATGCACACTGACCACCCCAAGTCTATATCAAGGGAGATCGTGGGCAAAGTACGTGGTAAGAGTTAGTCGCTAACTATGTTCTCACCACCTTGTAGGAGGCCTTCTCCACCGAGCCCAAGAGGTTGGCCTCTTTCTTGGGTTCGACAGGTCATCGCGTTCCCGGAAGATCGCTTTAACGAACTTCGTGGTGTTGATGCAACATTATATGTCCGATTTCTCCTCAGCTGCTTCTGGTTCGCGCTGGTGCACACCTTCACGACACTACCGATCTTGCTACCTATCCACATCACTTTCTCTATAGGAGCAATACCGCCGGCGTCCATGGTCCGCGCATCTATATCGTCTCTGGTGAACACGACGGAGGGTTTATCGTTACTGTGGATCCACCTACTTCTCTTGATTTGGGTCACTCTCACCTGGATGTCCACGCTCTATTGGATCTGTCGCGGTGCATTCTCTCTGCGTGGAAAAAATATACTTACTGCACCGGGTTTGGCGGCCTCAGGTCCACAAGAAGAGAAGCAGTTACAGTACTTTCCCCACCTGCATCCTCAACATCTGTTCCATTCTTCGCCTCCTCTCGACAATGACCAGTCAAACCGCGGACTCAGGTTACGGACTGTCATGGTCACAAACATCCCCCCCCTCTTACGTTCTGAGAAGGACCTAAAAGAATATTTCGAGTATTACATGTCGCGTCCTGTCGCGAGGCATGCTATTGAACTCACAACTACCACTCAGCCTGGATTCATTATCAAGTCTCTCGCATTCTTGTTCAATCAGAGCAGGCTTATTCCCTTTTACCTTAGGGAGAAGCACGTTACCTCAGGGAATCGTGACTTAACAACGTCTGAAGGGGTCTTTCAGAGCAGTCAGCCGAAGTCCCAAGACGTTCCCACAATAGATCGTGTGGTGGTAGTGCGCAGAATGACCGAGGTGGCTTCGTTACTTGAACGGCGTGAAGAAGTGCTACGACTTCTGGAGACTGCACATATCAAGCTAGCAACGAAGGCTCTGTTTGCTGTGAAGGAAGCCATGTATCGTTTTAGCAAGCCTCATACAGGTCCTCTCCACGCGGCTATCGCGAAGTTGCCTCTAAGAAACTCTACACCGAAGCCTACCACAGCAGCGCTGAAAGCAGAGAGCACGGCTGGAATTGATGGAGCGGAAGGCGAAGACAGAATGGAACTGCTCATTCACACTCTCGGACGGCATGTCTCATGGCCATCCATGCCACAGACCACGCCACCTTTACTTCCTGTCTCAGCCGCAGACTCACGATCACAATGTGTGTGGGAGGCCTTACTGAGCCTTCCTCGCAGCACACTAGACGTCTACCAGCCTTTGATACATTTGTCTACTCTCTTCCGTGGAAAGACTGTTCCTTCCATTGACTACTACACTGCCAAACTGGACGTCTTGACGTCTCTCATAACGGAGAAACGGGCCAGCGCAATTGGGGATTATGAAGCTATGTCTACTGCGTTTGTCACCTTTGCCGACCCAGCTCATGCAAGGAGGGCATGTAAGCATCTCGCTGTCCACCCTGCGAACCCCCTGCAATGTCTTGTCACGATGGCACCGTCGTACGAAGATCTGGATTGGATCAGACTGATGAGACCGACTTTCAAAGTTGAGGTGCGTGCGTCATGTATCTTGTTCATCGATATGATGTGTACGTCGCTAATCTATAGACCAGTTTGTCAAGGACTGGGTAGTGGATCTAGGTGTCTGGTACGACTTTTCACTTGCCTCTGGCCGTAATCCAACAACGTCCCTGCCTCCAGGGGCTTCATCATTTTTTGGATATTCCCTGTATCGATTTTCGTCGGTCTTGTTTCTATCCAGAACATTAGTGTCTTCTGGCCTGGACTTGTAAGGTGTTACATTCCAGGCCTGGGTAACATGTTGATTTTTCTCCTGGACCATTTGTAGGCGACATATCTTGACAAGCATGAATGGGGGGCAGAGCTCCTGCAATCGTTCATACCGACCATAATGGTGGCGCTCCTGGCTTTGCTTATTCCACTGCTCCTTCGTAAGTATCATACAAATTCCATTTGGTCCAACGCTGACCCCTGACAGTGTTGATTGCGAAGAAAGCACACACGATTGCTACTCTATCCTCGTTGCATGATAGAGTAATGACAAGATACTACAAGTTCCTGGTCGTCAATGTCTTCGTTTTCTTCTGTGTTGGCACAGCAGCGTTACAGTCATTCCTAGTGTCTCTCAGTGCAAACTCTGGGTTAGAAGTGAACCAAATTGCAGATAGTTTTCCGACCGCAGGTCCTTTCTACGTTGGGTGGTGTGAGTATATCACGCCGTAAGTGTTATGCATCGCAATGTGCTAATCTTGAGTCAGTGATCTTCACCATGGCAATGCATGGAGGGCTCGAACTTGCTCTATGTGAGTTTCTGTCTACATACTGGCATCCACAGTGTTAACGCTTTCTCATAATAGTTGGGGTATGATTCACATGTACATCCATGAACTCACTGGTCTGAATCATCTGCACCATCAGCTACCCCTAGTGACGTATCTGTCCACGCAACGGCAGGTGACTCCACGAAAGCGGGCACAAGGTATCCGACCCCGTACCTTCAACTATTATTGTGAGTTGCACGGTTTCCCTCATTGCAGTGGGTTCATCTGTCGTTTGTGGCTTTCAGACTGGTTGCCAAACCATGTACTCGTTGTCCATGTACTGTTGGTCTTCGCCGTGCTGAATCCCCTTGTCCTTCCGTTCGGCCTTGTCTACTTCGGCGTTGAGGCTAGTAAGTTGTGTTATAGAGATCTCCAACTGATTTCGTCTTAAGTGCCTTTCATCCGCAGTAATTGTGAAAAATCAGGTGTGTTACAAGCTTCGCCCCTTTTCTGTGTTTACTGAGACCGAGTTCCCCTGCAAGCTTCTACATGTCTACGCAAAAACCTACGAGGGAAACGGCCGATTGATCCTGATTCGTGTCGTGCGCTATTCTCTTGACGGCATGTTGTTTCGTATCGCGTTCCTAATTACTCATTCTGATGTCATCGTCATCGTGCAGGATTGTTGCTTGCTCAGGTTAGCCAGGTGCTCTCGGACTTCGACTGCTGATTTGATGAAGATCGCAGACTGTGTTTTTAGCTTACATGGTCGTTCTCAAGAAGACTGCCAACGTTGCTGTATCTGCTGTCCTCATAGTCATGACGGCTTTTTTCAAGCTGTCGTAAGCATCCGTTCTTTTCTCACTCAATGCCTTCTTACAATCCACATCGACAGCTTGACTCGGATATGCCGCGCGAAATACGAGCGAGCAGACGTCTTGGAAGCTGAAACTACCTGTGGGACGGAACTCGCCACTCCTGAAGTGCTCCCAACCGAGGAATCAGCCAATGGGTGCCCGTCGCAGAATGTGGAAACTCGCCCCAACAGAGCTAACCACGTGGCCACAACAACGGCAGCTCGTTGGACTTGGCGATTGCCGGTTGGCCTCAACTTCGCCTACGCGACGATACCCACCCGACCACAACGGGCGGCCAAACGTCGACCTAATCCTTTTCGATCAACATATTTTAATCCATGTGAGGATCAATCAAAGCCGTCTTCCCCTACCGCTGAATCTTCACCACTTTCACGCGTGCTGGACAAAGCGGAGGAAGTCATCATACAACCTAAACAGCGGAAAGACTCGGAAGGACTGCAAAAATTTGCACCTGTTACTCGGCACCCTCCTCATCCAGCGTGGGACGACGAACCTTCGCTCGACCATCCATACGATAATCCGTTCTACATGCGACCTGTCGAAGATGTTCTGTGGTTACCGCGCGATCCGTTAAGACCCCTGAATCTCGACGACACTATCGACATGCGTGTCTCTCTGACGAGCCAACCGGCCTCAGGAGCGCTAGGGACGTGGCGGCAGGACGAGCTCATCGCATCAGGTATCTCACTTTCCATGTCGATCCGAAGTGGATTCAGCTGCTTGTTGGACGACGATGAGTTGTCGTTCTCGTCATCGACCATCGAGCGTATCGGGTTGGACGGAAGTGAGGAGATTGACCTTCCATCATCCATTGCGAGCCGTATAAAATCGCCCAGGAGGGACGACGACGTCGAGACTACTGCGACATTGAGGCCTCAGTCATTGCATTTGGACCGCCGTATGCCGAGCAACGGCTCTGGCTCTCGTTCACCTATACTTGGATTGGACATCCGGCGTCCGAGTGCCTTCAGGGTGGAACAGCCTTCCACGTTTCGCTCGTTCTCAGTCGGCGATGAAGCAATTGTTACCCCCTTTTCTAATAGCCTGCCGCCGTCTTTGGAATGCAATCCCAGAGATCGCTCGGTTACGATGGGCTACGAGCTTGGCATCCAGCGTGGACAGAGATTGCGTAGGCCAGCCAATCCGTCACCGTCTGCCCAGCATGCGTTCGAGTCCGCCATGCCAGAATTGGGTGGACGCGGTCAGCACATCTCAAATGTCATCTCAACAAGGGAAGCGGTTGTTGGCGAAGTTATCATGGAAGAGGTGGCTGAAGCGCGGTCACGGTTAAGAGGAGAGGTAGCCGAGTCTGAGTGGGCGCAAGAGCCCGGATCGTGGATGACAAGATGGATGTTCGCCAAAGAACCGTGAACCTTATTATGTTACGACCGTATGACTCCGTTTTTGATTCATGGATTAAACATCTCCAATGACCTGTATTTCTCTGGATTCAGCCTATACGCTGGTACTCTCGACATTCCAATCATACCCCAGCATTCACGCTCCACATTCTAATCATACCCAATATTCACACTCTATACCCTTGTACTCATTCCCCTGCATGTTTAGGACCGGTCTGTGTAATATGTTTATGGATATGTCTCTACCTCACAAGTCTATATCGAGACACAATATGCGGAGGTGAGTTCTTCAAGTCAGTGCCCTTCTTGCTTCACGGCCTCAGCCATATCTCCGAGTGTCTTGAACACCCATCGCAATTTCTCCCCCTCCCCAGCAAGCTGGCCAGCTGTCGCCCCTTCTCTGGCAATCCACACGCCCTCTATCCCAACTTTACGTGCCGGTAGGATGTCATGAAACACACTGTTTGCGACCACTAGAACTTCCTCCTTCCGCACACCCAACTCCGTCTCCAGCCGTTTCAGCGCGTAAGCGAGAGCACCCGGCGCAGGCTTGTAGGCGCCCGCGTCCTCCGCAGTGTACACAGCCGTGAAGGTGAACCGCTGGGCGTCCGGCGGGCCCTCCAGTGCGCGCTGCGTGTAAGCGAAAGAGGTATGATCGACATTGGAGAGCACAGTGAGCTTATAGCGCGTTGCGAGGTAGGTGAGAGCGGGGATGGTGTCCGGAAAGACGGGCCAGCGCACGATGCTTTGGCCAAATGCGACATGAGCGTCCGCACTAGCAGCAGAAACCTCGTCGCCCTTTGTCTTCTCTAGCTCTTCATGCACCAGACCGAGAATGTCCGAGTAGCGCATCGTCGGGAAACGCTTCTGCAGCTCGCGCTCTGCATTGTCGAACGCGTGAATTACTTCGGCCTTAATTGCCCTTGGGAATAGCGGATGCAGCTCTTTGTATATACCGCTCTCCCAGTCCTGCAACGAGCATATAGCGCTTGAGTGGGAATCTCACAGCTAGATGTAGTACGCACAACCAATGTCCCGTAGACGTCAAAGAGGAGGGCTTTGAACTGCGTGAGCTTCACCTCCCCTGTCGCAGTGGTACTAGTAGTACTCTCGGACATGTTGTGGTGGTGATTGTGGTATCTTCCGATCCTAAACGCGTCCTGAGAGACTTATAGACTCGGTACTTCGGTGACCTCTCGGCATCATTAGAGTCACAGTGAACGGGAGAGGCGGCACCGGAGAGGAACCACATCCATCGCATGATTGTCGATACAGTCGAAAGGTTAGTCTGCTTTCTGAGGCGCCTCATGGTCGAGGTCGGACAATTTAGGCGAAGCTCAGAATTTTGTAGCAATTAATAACACGGAGTCTTAAACCTTTGTAGTAACACGTGATGCCCGTGGCGCGGTAAATTTCACTAGAGTCTGATGCTTTGGCTCCACCCCAGTTTGAGTAGGCGTGACGAGGTGCAGTAATAGATATATGATAGAGAGGTGTATTATCCTTCGGTGTGAGACAGAGAAAATGGCGAGTCCTGCGAGACTCAGACATATTGTACCTCTTAAACCAATACAGAGCAGATAACACAGCAAAAGTCCCTGGAACCAGTCTTAAATAATATTAACATTGGAAAGTATGATAAATGGATGCCGTGCAGTACAACGGGGACGTCAGGAGGACTTCTTGTGCTTGAAACACGACGTGTTCGACTTGGACACGATTTACAAGCACGTTGCGCCAACATGTGAATCTCCGGCTGGGCCCTCTTGGGAAGAGGTGCTTGTTACTGCTAACAGAGTGTCAGAGACATGGATATCATACCTACGTAAGAAGTGGCCACGGAGGGTGTTTGAATCAGGAGGGTCTGCATAGGGCAGTAAGAGATGAACAGTAATATTTTGCATGCAGCGTGTTTAATCATGTGCTGGGAAGTCTCATTTTAACTGTGTCACCACCGTGTAATTGTCCCGCAAAATAGTTGGTGGCTGCAGACTCATAGGATGACGTCACCGTGTCGCTGAAATTTTGGTTTAGATTCCTTGAACAGTCAATCTCTTCCCCGTGTGGTCCGATATGCTTAGTTTACAAGACCTGTTGAACATACCGCAGTCAAGACGACATCGACAGTAAAAGTAACCGTGGAAGATGAATACGCACCAATAACACCACACGCTGCGCGAGCACCCGCGTTACCTGTCTTCAGAGACTCCTCATTCCCCCCCTTTCCAAGGTCGTCAGTTCCCTGCGGGAGTCGGTCAGTCTTACAACACCGTACAGGTGTCGCTACTTGTATGACTAACCGCATGAAGCACAACTGTACGTCTAAGCGGTACGAGCAATCAGTTTGGGATGCGACACTATCAAAAGGTGAACAAACCCTACGACGCCGAGCTGTCCACTCAGCGAAAATCCTGCGTCCTCAAAGTCGAGGGTAACGACGCCCTGTGCATTGCTGACAACGTTTCCGAGGTCGCCCGCATGGCGCACAGGTGCGGAGGGCGCGCCGTGTGTGTACCCGAGCGGGTTGAAGTGGGGACCCGCGGAGACGCACCCAGAAGAGAGATCGCCGGACGCGCTGACGAAGCAAATGGGTGTTCAGCACGCAGTAATTTAAAAAGAGAGCTAGACATAGCGAGGACATACTGGATATGAAAACCGCGTAGCGCGGATGGATCAAGTCCACTCAGTTGACCAGTGATTTTGACGGGCGTGGTGGGCGCAGCCTGCGTAAAGGTGACAGTTCCGCTGGCGGAATATCCAGCATCTCCTTTGAGTACTGCTACGGCCTGGAAGACACTTCAGCTTTCCGAGAGCTGGTCCACACGACTGTACATGTAAGATACCTTCGTAACAATTGGAGCTGCAGCGGGAGGGGTCCCAGGCCGAAGGAACGCCGCCCAAATGAGGAAAGCGGCGGCGAGAGTCCCAAGGGCGGTAAGCACGAGCGGCTGCTTATTCTGGCGGGCACGGTACAAAGTGTCCATGCGTGCTGTTCGAGGGGAAAGACTCGCAGGTGGATTGGCGCGAATATCGCTCGGTGGACCCGGATGACTGATGATGGTCGCTATTTCTGTTATCTGCCGGCAGTGCCTGCGATGATGGAAGCCAAGCAGGTCGTCATTGGCGGCAGCAATGAGCAAGTCGCCGTTCTTCAACGTGAACGCCGACCCCAACTCATGTGGTCCGAATATTATGCCTTCAAACAGCTCTGCGCCGTAGTGAACGCACTAGGGAATGCACAGAGCATGCGGTCCAGCCATGAGGTACTTCCATTCGGTGTTGGTGTGGCTTCATGATCAGTTCATGGGCAGATCACCCATACTTTCTAGGCATTAACCCAGTGAATAAGTACAAGGAACAGAGTAAAATCCAGTGATAGGTAACGAGTGTTGAATTAGTATTACGACATGATTTGTGTTGGCGATGTATGCATACGTGACATCAAGACAACACGAATGGTAAAATATGTGGAGGAAAAAAGGGGAACTCAGCAAAGATCGACTGAAAGATGCATATGAGAGCCAAAAACCATTGACAGAACATTAAACTCTAATCTAATGGTATCTGAAGATGTGAGACACGGGAGGATGTAATGACGTCTACTTAACTCGGCATGTTAGTGCCATCGTAGGAGAATCCTACAGTCGAGAAACAGATCAGCATTCAACGAATGAATTCCTGCGACGGGTGAGTTTTTTGGCGCACCTGCAAATTGCGCCTGAACAGTCTGCGACAACTGCGAACCTTCCACCACGCTGTCCAAGGGTTCCTCGGTTGTGAACACGGTATCAAAATTCGACACGTCCTACGGAGCGCAACACCGCCAGCATTCGGTCATAACATTCTCAGGAAGAAGGAGAATACGCACCACAGGACTGGAAACACTGGGCTTGAATGGAGGCTGGATCTTCTTCTGCAACAACTTCTTGAAGTCGATATTCTTCTCAAAGAAGGGGTGGCGCCTAATCTCGTCAGTACCGTTTACACCAAGGCGCTGCGACGGGTCGCGTGTGAGCAGCCCTGTAAGGATGCTTCGAGCTTGCTGCCCGATGTCATCGCCGAACACGAGTGGGTCCTTCAGTATCTTCTCGTACATTTTGTCCGTACTCTCTGCAGGGGAACTTAGCTGCAGGTGACAGAGACAAATAGTAAGACATTGCCATACCGTCATAGAACGGAGGCAATCCTGAAAGCATTTCATAAAGAAGCACTCCGAGCGTCCACCAGTCAATCGTTTTGCCTGCACGTTATTGTTACTCACTGTGGAATCGCGTGTGAAGGTAAGACTCACTATAGCCCTGATTAATCAGTATCTCCGGTGCGAGATACTCGGGAGTGCCGCAAAATGTGTTCGTAGTGTCAGAGTCCTTCATGTTCAGCTTACAAAGGCCGAAGTCACACAATACGATGTGTCCAGTGTAATCAAGCAGTATGTTCTCCGGTTTCAGGTCACTGCAAACAGCTCATTCGTCCGCAGAAGAACTCACGGGAGATATAAATAGAACTTACCGGTAGACGACGTCAAGCTCGTGCAGATGCTCGAGTGCGAGGAGCAGCTCTGCGCTGTAGAACCTGCTACGCTCTTCATTGAAACGCTGCTCGCGTTGTAGGTGATGGAAGAGCTCTCCGCCATTCACAAACGCCAGTACGAGGTAGAGCTTCTGCTCGGATTGGAAGCTGAACTTCAGTGGGACGATGAAAGGGCTGTTCACACGTGCGAGCACCAGGCGCTCCGCAAGCGTGTGAGTGATCTCGCCTCGCTCGACGATGTGTTGCTTCCGTATGGTTTTGAGGGCGTATATTCGCGACGTGTCGCGTTTTCGCACTTGCATGACCTACACAGCCTGGTGATTAACCGCAAACCGCCGAGACCAGCAGGTATGGGGAGAACGCACCCTTCCAAAGCTGCCCTTTCCTATGACCGTGATCAGTTCGAAATCGTCGATTGTCAACGAATGCCCGCTGCTTGGCTTGAACGCGACGCCAATTTGTATCTTGCCGAATCCGCCGAGAAGGTCATACCACTGATCCTGCGCGGATGCATCGTCAAAATCCGGAGTGAATCGCACACCGCCCATGAAAATATCATTGCCCAAGTCGTCAGCAATTCCATCGCCGCCACGTTTCGGTTCCTCCGTGCGGAGATAGCATTGTATTGAAATCTCGGAATGGCGCGACACGTCGCTGTCCCTCCCATCAACTTCAAGCACTCACAGGTTTGGACCCGACGAACGTATGCTCACAAGTTGGTCTCATACATATACAACGGCTTCGACAATTCCCCGCCAAGGGGAGTGATGAGCACCTGATTGACTTCAAACTCCATAACCAGATAGGGAAGCCACCAGCACTGCGTACGCTGCACGCTGTCCCTGTTACTCCTGCGTGTAGCGAGACGGTGCTGCGTAACGCTCGACGGCGACATCGACGCAGCGACCTTGGCTTGCTGAGATGAGAGCGCAGCCTGCACCGCGGGCGGCATGGAAGTGCCACGGGGAATCGCAAGGTCCTCCGCCCATAGCACACGGATCGCGAGCAATCCAGAACGTGACTCAGGCTTGCCAGTGGGATTCGCAGGCGTCGGCGTTGATGACCGCGGTGCGATGTCACTGTCCTGCACACCAAGTGTCGGTTGCTTCTTGCTCTTGCCAAGTTTCCAGGACATAGTCGACGGTAGTTTCACAGGTGTCAGAGCAGATGCAGATTGAGGTAGAACTGATAGACTGATAGACTGTTGGGTATCGCGAGAGCAAGACCGGCTGTGCGCTCGAGTGAAGGTGGTATGCAGAGATCCTGTCAGTGCGTCACTGATGTCCGACGGGACTCGGAATATTGATTGCAGCCTCCCTTGTTGGTGTCACATCCGAATATAGAAGGTGTTTAAGAACGAGGGAAGCGCCGCCTCCTCCTTGCTTGCGACATTTGCCACCGTACAGATTCGAACTTGAGACGTTGCAAGCCGAGTCGGGACTTGTCGTGCAAGATTCAGATGCACGGAAGGAACTGGGGAGTCGAAAAGCGCGACAATTAATTAAGAGGGTGGAGAGACCTTGCAAGCAAGGTAATATTGAAGGACGTACGCGCAGAAGCGGCATCGTTGTCCACGATGATGATGATTGAAGTGGTTATTCAACGAAATGATGCCAGCATTCGTATTCGCTGTCATTCAAACGGTGGTTAGGCTATGTCGTGGCACAATTTGCATCAACACGATCACAATATGTATGTACCTATAGGCTTCCCTTAAGACGGACAACTCATGTGCTGCGGCCCACCGCATGGACTGCGGATGTCGATGAACGATAATAATGTTCAGTGCTGCGCACATTGACATTGACAGCAGCCTAAGTCAGCATTGCTTCTATCTTAGCCTAGATCAAGGTTGGCAGGGCTGCGGCGCCGGCGTTGTTATCTTCGTGACTAGACATTCGGATGCGACAGATTCATAGCGGTAGGACCGCGTCGACCGTGGAATCTCAATGACTCGGAAATTACTCACTCGAGATATCCAGCGAGTATTTCAAAATTTAAAATACCCGGCTGCGTCGCGACAGAACGTGGGCTGATCGCGAAGGTACACACAATGGGGCGTTGCTGCGCACACTGACGACTGCCAGGGAAAAGAGGTAGAGGTAACGACGCACTCATATATGCTTGCTCAAGACTACTATAGTGCTCGAGTATAGGAGTTCGAGAAGCACCGCTACGAGACCCGATCTCACTCAGATAGTGATCATTTCAGGGGCCGGGACTCAACCGAATGGATAGTAGAAGGGTGCAGAAGGATGTACGCGTAGCTCTCGGCATCGCTGTTGGCCAAGAACAAGAGCTGCAGGGCGCTTGACGTTCTGACCATGCGGGCTTGATGCGGGCAATACTCCGCGTTCTGGGAAATCTGGATTAGCTTACGTTATCAGGGCGGCGGGGTCCTCGCGGACACTCTCTTGATCATATCGAGTTTGAGGAACGCCAATTTCCATGATTGGGGGGAGGGCAGTCCGTGAGGTTTTCGTATTGCAGTTTGATCCTTGAATTGGACGACCTTTGCATTGAAGGATTATGTTATAGCAAAAAAATAATACAAAACAATTTTAAAACAATTCTCAAACAAAGCAATCCCATTCATGTGACCTTCTAGCTTTAACCGTAGTCCGCTAATCGTACTCGTTTCCTCGTTTCCTCGTTTCCTCGCAAAATAGACCACTTGCAATGTCACTGAAACTATCTACCCAGAAGATGACCCTTGAGCCTTCCTCTAGGACACAATCTGAGATTCCGATCTGCGCGAACTGGGTCCCACTGCAGACTCATGCACATGTCTGCGACAGTCTGCCAAGCCGTTGAGGTACGTACGAGTCAGTGGCTGTGCTAATTATTTCTCCGACATAGCTTCTCCACTCCGGCAAATTATTCGTATCAGGGGTCCTCGATATTCTCAGCGAGATCGAAAGATCGGGGCGGATGTAAGAAAGATTCGTCAGTGGCCAATCCTCCCGGCATCAGCAAAAGTGCACAATTGTTACAATAGATTCCGACGATTGTAATACTTGCCTGTACGTAGTAAGAGATTAGAACGGCATTGCAAGCCCTCGGAATATTTGGATTGTATTACAACCTCCGTAATCCTTCCCAATGTATTGCAACCCTCAGTAATATAGACAATTCATCGCAATGGCATCGCAATGTGGTGCAATGCTATGTAAGGTAGGTATAGGAGTACAAAGTGCTTGTAATGTTGAGCGAATTTTTGTCAAATCACAGGAGCAACTACGAAGGGAGACCCAAAAACAGTCGATCAAGTGGTTGGCACACGCACGGCGTAAAGTCCAGAGAGCGATCTACTGAACGGTTTGGACACACCGCGCCCTCCGAGATTAGTATTGCTTCCTTTGCGGGCCACCTTCGAATCTCTACGTTCGCTGCGAGTTCTGCATTCCATCACTGTATAGATGTGCCGGGAATACATTGATAGGATCTTGAGGCATCCAGTGCTCCACGTCAAATTTCTCAATGCCGGTAATCTACCTACCTAGCTAATTACCTACAGCTACCATACTCTAGTGGTGAAAATCCAAAGCCCTAAGCCCGTAGCGACTCTTCCCGATTTGGAAGTAAGAGCATGACGTAGTAGCTTGTTTCTCCTTGCATACCTTAACCCTGGCGTATATAATGGACGGCGAGCCCCCTCTGGCATCAAATACTCCCTCTTCCTTCTCCTTGTATCCTCCCGCTTTACTGACAACTTCAAGATATCAAGAACTCCGTAGAATTGGTTCCCGCCAATGCTGCTCCCCTCCTGCCTACGACCGACTTTTCTAGTCCTTCTGCTGCTCTCCAAAAGACCCTTCTCCAGGAGACTTCCTATGAGCTTTGCTTCCAAAGTGATGCATTCTTGCGGTTCTGCTCCTCGCATGCCTATCCGAGTATGGTAGGTGCTAAGTATCTCCGATGTACAGCCTCCCTTAACTGCCTTGACTTCATGCTTTGTGTCCATACAGGGCACATATACCGAGTTTAGGCACCATCAATACACAGCAAGGCGGCGTGCGATCCCCAGAAACTGTGGGGGATATCATGAGTACGTATCATTGTCTGCATGATAATGTAGCTGATGGATTCCTTTATTATAGACAGGCCCTTTGTGTGGATACCGGAGATACAAAGCCCGTTCCTCGTGGCGGTGAGTTTTTGTTACTTGTGATGTTCCAAAATGACATCATAGCTATTGTTCGGGGAAGGTGACGTTACGCGACCTCGTCCGTTCGTTCATCCCGAAGCGTCGTCTACAGCAATGCACACCCACCTTGTTGCCCAGTTGAGCCTGCATGCATCACGCTCATCCTCTTCGCCCTCTCCTCCACAGTGGCATCAAGCCGCGCATTTAGGTGCTCGATCGCATTGGCGTTGCGCGCGCAGTGATACTCCAGATATGTGAGCCTGTGAGTGCCTCCGCGAATTTCCAGAGCATGCGCCATGGCTGAACTCTCAGATGTATCGGAGTGTGATGGCGAGTTTTGGCACCGTGGAGTTTTTCCAGAACTTTGTCGGTCTATTCAACGAACTGGGGAATGCACGCACATAGCTGGATTCTGCTGTTCAGTGGTGGAATGAGTACGTGTTCATGCCTGCACCACCATACTGAATTATTGTGTTATAGTCAAATCCCATGAACCGAGGCTGATGAGAATGATCACGCAAACTGCCGGACGGGGAACGGTCGCAACGGTCTGGCAAGAGAACTCGGTGCCACATACTACTGTCTGCCTCCGTTTCAACATCACTATAGACAGTAAGTACCTCGATGTATGCATTGTGTCCTGTGACATCTTACAGCCTTCTGTGCGGAGACTGCCAACCTCATATTTCTCCCCTCTCGCTGTCTCTCTGGTTGTGGTTCACTGTCACTCGCTAAAGGTGCCTTCTCATCGCCTCTCACTCACTCGTATCTTTCCTGCGTTCTCTCAGACTCCATGCTCACTTTCTCGTGGTTGTCTTGCTCTTCTTGTCCCAGCTTGTGATGTTCAGCTCTCGTGCTCTCTTCGGCTTTTGTGCTGTGCTCCTGCTCTGTTCGGTGTCATGTTGTTATCTCCATGGGCTCATGTGGGCTTCATGGGCTCTGTATTGATAATCACACCTGTCATATGTAATATTGTACTATGATTACTGCATTTCTTGCCCTGCCCGCGAGGAAGAAGTCTGTTTATTTGTAAGTCCTCCATTGGTACCGCTTACAAGAGTATCACAATGCCTTATAAAGCTCGGAATCCATTATAATAAGTGCCAAGAATTCTGTGCATTCGGAATAGATTATGTTGATTGCGAATGGATTACTGAATAATTTAAGACATTGAGAAAAGTTCGGAACCACCGTAGAGAAGTTACTATCCATTACAACTTTGCTCAATAATTTTGATCATTGTAATGGATTTCGTAGATTATAATGTGATATAACCGATGGTAACAAAAGTGCACTTTTGCTGATGCCCGGACACCATTATTTTCTCGTCGTGCGTTGGAAGTGAAGAAAACAATTCGAATCATTGCAAAAAAAAATCGCACAGGGAGCTCGCCTACGCACACAGACCGGGCGGAAGACCAGAAGAGGAGCGAAATAAATTACCCGCCCCGTCATCGTGAGGTGGAAGATGAGTCGTGCCATCTGTCCGCGTCACCTTCTCCGAGAAATAAGAGGCACTCCGCACACCACTCTCAGGTGCTCTGCTGCTTTCATTCTCACCACGTACCTCCCTCTCCACCCAGGCCCCCTACCGTCATGGCCGACCAACCCTCTAAGAAGCGAGGTTTCTTCTCTCGCAAGGAGAAAGGCGATGCGATCTCCGAAAGCCAGCTCCAGGTCGTACCCTCAACAGAGTCGTCCTCCAAGGAACAGCCTGAGGAACCCCCCGAGTCCGCCAATGTACCGCAGTCACAGGTTATCCAGCCAGTCTCTTTTGTTTCACTTTTCCGGTGAGTGCCCCATGTTCTGCCATCGTTACGGGCACCGTCTCATTCGATATAGATTCTCTACCAGGACCGAGTTGACGTTCAACGTTATCGGCGTGATTGCCGCAGCGGCTGCAGGTGCTGCACAGGCGAGTCCGACATGCGTCTCGTTTTGTCCCTGATCGCTCACAGCGTCGTCCCCATACCACAGCCGCTCATGTCCCTCCTGTTCGGGAACCTGGTGCAAGCGTTTGTCACCTTCGGCTCGACGGTGCAGGAGTCCAAGGCGGGAACCCTGACTGATCCGGGCGCCCTGACGGCGGCGGAGAACCACTTCAGGATGACGGCGGCAAAGGATGCATCGTACCTGGTGTACATCGGACTCAGGATGTTCATGTGCACGTATGTGTACATGTTGGTATGGGTGTACACGGAAGAGGTGAACGCGAAGCGGATTCGGGAGCGGTACCTGAAGGCGATCCTGCGACAGGACATCGCATTCTTCAACCACGTCGGGGCGGGAGAGGTGGCGACGCGCATCCAGACGGACACGCACCTGGTGCAGCAAGGCATCTCAGAGAAGGTCGCGATCTGCGTGAGCTTCTTTGCGTCATTCGTGACGAGATTCGTGCTCGCATACGTGCGCTCGTGGCGGCTCGCGCTCGCGCTGTCGTCGATGCTCCCGTGCATCGCCGTGACGGGCGGGGTGATGAACAAGTTTGTGTCGAGGTACATGAAGTGTGTACGGTCCATTCCCATCATGGTTTGATTATATTGACGGGATTTCCATCCAGGCTCTCACTCGCATACGTCGCGGACAGTGGCACTCTTGCGGAAGAGGTGTTTTCGATGGTGCGCACGGCTCAGGCGTTCGGCACGCAGGAGGTGCTCTCGGATCGGTACGACGGCGTGTGGACTTCTAGGTGGCGGTCTTCGGTGGTCTTCGCGGTCTCGCAGTGTAGTAGCAGTGATGTACGAAATATATTCGTTGTGCTACGAGAACGCGCGAAAATTCTAAGTGTAACATCCAGCAAGAATCGTGGAGTCCTCGTTCCCCCTCCTTGCCTATTCTTGTAAAAACAGAGACAGCCTCAAGGGTGTCTCTCGCGAAATGGCTATCTACGAGCTCACCAGTGTGTCCAAATCTGCACAATGAAGATACCACCATTCCGACAGACCAAAGGCTACAATGCATGTTAGTGAAGGACAGCCCAGACAATGTGGGGACTCACCAAGATTGTCCGACGTGCACTCGACGACGACGAATGTAGTCTTCACCCACCATGACAGGCAGAGGTGAATGACAGAGCCCGGGCCATGGACGTTGCGGGCACAATGAACACGGAATCAGGGAATGCAATTGCTCATCCCACTCGAGAGCGTCCCGTGGTCGTGCTGAGTTTCCTCGTCAAACTCGGGCCAGAGAGAATGAGCCGCACTCCTCGTCGGAGGACAATATATACAGTTGTCATCGGAAAAAAAAGGGGGAACATCGAAAACAGAGGCATAGACGTGCTCGCCAGGCCTACTCGTTAAAGGATAGCTGTCAGGGAAAATGATGTCAGAGGAATACAGATAACACCAGTGCAGGGGGGTACTCACCGTAGCCACCCAGGCATCCTCAATGACGACGCCCATAGTCCCCATCGATGTTGACCTACTAGTGAAGGTCATCGTAGGGCAACGACGGCCGTGGAGGAACCAGGGCGAACGGGCTCCACACCTCGCTCGCCGGACGACGATCTATACCGTCGTCATTGAACAGGTCCATGCAGACAGGGAGTCCAGGATACAGGGCGACGTCCACTGCCCTCCTGTCTTGCATCGCTGGCCGGATGGCAATGGTACTGATCGATGTGCGCCGCATGCCGGAAAACAGATGGGGGAACATGGACGCTCTCCGGACGTTGATCTATATTGTCGACGTCGAGCATGGCAATGTGGCACGTGAGAACCCGCTGGGCATGAGCCCACCGAGTGTCCTCAATCAGAGGGAGCAGCTGGAGGAGGACCTTGAGGTGCGAGCTGTGACGTCGATTGCCGGACGACGAAATATACAGTCGTCGTTAAAGGCGATGTTGTGGAGAGGGAAACACCCAAGGCCCATGTGTGACGCTCGCCGGATGACGATCTGTACAGTCTTCATCGAACCAGACTGCATGAGGACAGAGATCATGGTATAAGCACAGCCTACTGGATGTCCAGATGGGCCACGGGTAAACAGAGACATCTGCACGGGTAAGCTCACCGGACGATGACAGCACCAGTCATCTGGTGAGACAGGTCAAAAGGGGGGGAACATGTCACTCGCCGGATGGCGATCCATACCGTCATCATCAGGGGTGACAGCTGAGGAGGAATCAGGGTGAATGGGCTCCGCACCTCACTCGCCGGACGACGATCTATACCATCGTCGTTGAACGGGTCCATGCAGAGAGGGTGTAGGGGAAAAGAGGTGGAACGTGCTGCTCCTCCGTCTCGCGTTGCTCGCCGGATGGCAAAAGCACCGATCAATGTGCCGCACACTGGAGATGAACAGAGGAACATGGACGCTTGCCGGATGTTGATCTATATAGTCAATGTCGAATGGGGCCATGCGCGAGAACACGCGTGGCTTGTACATCAGAAAATCCATGACGGTGCGACAAGGCATTAGCTATGATTGTAATGTAAATAATTTCCGCAATATGCATCAGTCTTGCATTCATTCTGGTCAGGCCTTTTATAGGACAGTTGAGTTGGTGAACATCTAACTGAAGCATCGGCATGCCATGGGGTTATCGGAGTCAGCACAGCTTGCAGTTGTAAGATCATATGCATTTCCACATGGATCAGGCATTATAATTGATCCCACAGAGTGCTCAAAAAGAAAACATATCCATTTTTTGCTGTAATGTAAATCTATCTGCATTATCTATGAAAACCGTGCCCATACGGCTACACCCCAGGTTCCACTTAGCAGGCAGGCATGGGGAGCACAACCCCCCGAATCCGCAGAGTGTACCGACGCAACACCGGCACCTTATAGCTCGACCCCAGCGGCCATTCCATAAGTGTCCCGGCGTCTTGATGGTCCAGGTCGGCCATCCAAATAGTCCTCATCGTCGGCCATCCACAGTCCTCGCAAGTCGTCGCGAGTCATCGGCGAGCCAAACCCTGCGCACCCGCAAGCCGCGGTCCTGGTCAAACATCGGCCCTCCACGGTCTCGGTCAAACGTCGGCCCTCCACGGTCCTGGCCAAACATCGGCCCTCCACGGTCCTGGCCAAACGTCGGCCCTTCATGGTCCTGGTCAAACGTCGGCCCTCCACGGTCCTGGCCAAATGTCGTGCCCTCCACGGTTCTGTTCCGAGGTCAGCCTCCTCACCAACGGGGATGGCCTTCCAGAGCGATCTTCACGTCCGTTGTCTTCGGCCAACAGTGGGGAGCCCGAGCAGTGCGCCAGTCTCGAAGGCAGGGAGATGGAAGCAGAGCAGCAGCGGAGAGGAGAGAGGCTTCGAACCACAGCAAGCAAAGGCAATTGTACTCCGCACCAACTCCGCTCTCGCCCTGGTCCCACGGACTATGTTATGATTCCGTCGCAAATAAATGCTGTGTCTGTGTAGACTAGTTGGTTAGACTGTGAGGCTGATATGTGATGTGATTTAATCTAGAGACCTTGAGTTCGAACCCCACTCATGTATTTATTTTAGACGCTATGGTTATGAAGCTTCACTGGCAAGCCTTGCGGATTTTGTGGATTTTGTCATCGCTTTACAATAATTTTGCTGGATTTTAATATCTGGTCATGTCCTCATCTTAATGATGTTACCTGACACTGTCACATATGAACGATAGTTCCCTACAATTTATTGAATGTCTAGATAAATGCTCAGAGAGAGGTGGCGGGCAGCCGTGTGGTTATCAACTCCGCCTGGTCATGCCTGGGTCTCCCGAATTTGCTGATGTAGCTCCTTGAACATCATTGTTGAGGGAGAGCACATACGGGAGGCACCAGAGGTTCGTGATGGGATGTCAATCGCCGGACAATGAAATATACAGTTGTCATTGAAGGCGACGTCGCGTAGAAGGATACGGCCAACACCTATCTGTGACACTCACTGGACGACGATCTGTGTAGTCTTCGTCAAATGAGACTGCACGAGGAAGAAGACCGAGGGAGTAAGGGAAGTCCACTGGACGTCGATATGAACCACAGATAAAGAGAGATGTTCGTGCAGGGTAGATCACCAGATGATGACAGCACCAGTCGTCACATGGTGAGACAGGCCAGAAGAGATGTCAGAAGGGGGAAAACACGTCGCTTGCCAGACGGCGATCCATACAGTCATTGTCGAACGAGAGCATCCGGGGAGGGAATAGGAGAAGAGATACTCATCGGCGAACGATGAGCGTGGCTGGCAAATGGAAGTGTACATGTGGATGGCCGTCGTCACATGTCGCCCGCCGGACATCAATACATACAGTCTTGATGTGACTCGCATGCGACGTGCGAGATATGTATGTGGCGTTGCTCACCGGATGATGATACGTCCTGCTGTGATACACCACAGCAGTAGAGACAAAGCATCGCGTGCCACTCGTCGAACGACGACAGCACCAGGCTTCATATGGCGCGCCAAGCAACACATGGGGCGTCCACAACAAAAAGATGTGCATCAGCCGTGCACACTCCCACAGGGATAAAAGATGAAGGAGAGTACTTACCCTCACCGACGAAGGACAACATGGCCCACCGACACGCAATACACTGCTCTCCGGATGTCCAGTTTTCATACCGTGACATCCGAGGGAAGGAAGGACAAATATAAAGAGTGTCAGTCACGGGACGGCGATAAATGCCACCAAAATGGGAAGGGGTGCCGCGGCAGCCTGGCAGCATAAGGAGTGGAGAACTGCTTATTAGTACCACGAGAGAGAGAAGCCACGGATTCACTTACCACACATCACGTCCAGCCGCAGGACCAATGGAGGGCGCCAGGATGTGAGTAAGGGAACGGCAACACCGCTCATCGGGCATACAACGTCGGCCGAGACTCATTGACCACCTGAGCAGTCTAGGGACAGAGGCTGTCAATGACGCCATGCTTCCATCATGCTGCTGCACGTGAAGGATCTTGCTGACAGACAGAAAGGGCTGTACATGCAACGGAGTCCATGGGTTGCTCGCTGGAGAACGAAAAATATTGTCTTCTTCACAAGCATGATGGGACATGGAACGATGATGCAATATGCAGCCAGCAAGCTGTTCACCGGATGACAATATGTCGAGGAGGAATTTTGCCCTGTATTTGCACAAACAAGAAAACACTGGCATCAACCAACGTCACGAGGGAATTGAGCATGCGCACCAACGTTGAACATCTTCAGCCATCTTCCCTCCGCTGCAAAATATCGCTCCCCGGGTGATACTAGTCTTCATGGGGCAGGGCACGAATGAACAGGAACTGGCCATCTATCGCACGGAGGTGATGCTGAATGGCGAGAACAAGCAATGCAAGAAACATCAGCACAAGAGACCGAACATGAGGACATTGAGCTTACACGGCATATCACCACAACGTTCGGCAGATGTCAACACATCGACCACAATCAAGGGTGCGTGGACATGAGGAAATGCATCTTATTTAGCGACCGTGCATCGGCCAATATCGTTCAAGCCTGCAAAGACTGCAAGATCAGTCAGATGCAGCGGGGGATGATGAACCGTGCACGGGGCATGCACGCATCATCATCAATGTGGAGAGCCTCCCAGACATTGACGGGGACATCCTCCATCTTATGCTTCGAGCTTTAGAGTGCCGTGTGGATTTCCTGAAAGATTGGGTGTCGGGATCACGCGAGACAAATTAAAACATGAATATATTAAATCTGTAGTACTACTGCACGAAATGAGTGAGACTCCAACAAGAAACGGAGATGCTACTCACTGAGCATTCTATCAGGAAGTGGACGCCGCACGTCCTTCTGCGAATGGGTCTGATACGCGGTAGGTGCGAATGTCGATCACAACATCGGGCATGGATCTTGATGACCAGGCGCACTCTTTGAATGAGGAGACTGTCAGATGGTGAAATAGAGACATGCTACGGCGAACTCACCCGCAAACCAGTGCACATTTGTCCATGTGATGCAGAAATTCTAGGGCACCAAGAGTGCCCCGGTCCAATGCGGGTGCATCGTACAAACCCTGAGATATCTAATATGAACATGCAAATGTGAGCACCAAAAATATATGTCGAGGAGACATGTAAATATAAGTGCTTTGACGCGGTGAGGCTTCGTGTTCGTGTCCAAGTGCTCACACTGCATGCTGCATGCATGCAACGATGTCAAGGCGAGTGCCCGCTGAGCCGAAAGTGACACCTACTCGCAGGGTGCAATTGGACAGCCCACAGAGATTTTTCTGATGATCGCCGATCAGACGGCAGGTAGGGGGAAGGAGAGACAGCAGGACCCCCGACAATTGGGGAAGGTCCCTGAGCCAGTTACGGACAAATTTTGAACTTTTGAGAGCCTCATGCCTGGTATTCACGGACAAATCAGGGGGGTTGACCGCCGGATAGCCTGAGCCATTTCGCGGACATCGGGGAGGCAGCGGCCTGATTCGAGGTCGGACAAACGCTTGTGGAAGGCCGGCGAGGGAGAGCGGGCAGGGCCGAGGAGGAGGCGGCATAGCCGCTGGCTCAGAAGCGCCCCAAATTACCTTTTTAGGGTTAAAACCTGAAGAGAAACGTGGACCGCGGAGGCAAAAAATGTGGTGAGGCCTAATTTTTCATGGACATCTTGGGCCCGAAATGGCCTTTTTCCAACGGACATTTTTGCACTCTCCAGATCAGGCCTATTCACCAATTGTCGGGGGTCCTGAGACAGCCGACGGGGTGTTGCAGAATGCACTACCAGCACAAATACAAGATTTCAAATGCTCACCCTAGACACATACGAAATTTTGAACATACCTTGTTCTGCACTCCCATACCATGACCTCCATGCCTCTGCAATTCCTGAGATTCTGTGGTCTCTCTTCCTCTTCGCATCTTCAGTGAATTCTGGCACCTTTCAATGCAACAAAAATGTCAGAATTGGACAGGTGGTCACGGAAATAACCAACTTACCGATCACCTACCAAAGCTTCCCGCTCCTCGATTTACCACCCCGCACCCATCCACAGGGTTGTCCACAGTGCTGACCACCACAGAAAGGCATCTTGAAGTTGGGAGGAGCAGTAACGAGGGGGTGGATGGTCGAGGGGATGGTGTCAAGATGCATGAGTCGGATGGGCTGAAAGTCGGACTTGCAGACGCGTTGTGACCGGCGCCTACTGATCGATCTCATCGCCCACTTAGGCAATCGTGGTTCGCACTTGACGCCACACCTCCGCATCTTGCATATGACCTATGGACATCAAATAAGTGAGTCTGAGGCTGCAAAACAATAAAACAATGAGCTGAATACTTACACATACCTATGCTGATGCCGTTGAAGTGGGTAGATTGCAGGAGAAGGGGCAAGGGAGGGGTGAGCAGGCTCTGGACTGGCAGCATCAGGGCATGTGGGGGGAGGACAAGCCTGCGGAAGGTAAGCCAGCCTTTATTATCCTCCGCATACTGATCAGAGCTCTTGGTGGCGGTGATGACCCTGGCACTCCCACCACCAGGGATGCCTCAGAGCATCAGCCAATCCAGAAGCTTTGAATTGACTGATGCCCTAAAGCATCCCTGGTTGTGAGGGTGCAGGCGGTGATCTGTTCCGATCAGGTAAGTGCGACAGCGCCAGTGCTCGCATGCAACGGGAGAACTCCACTCCATCAACTTCTATTATGAGCATGTGTCACATACTCAATTACTCCGGCAGCAAATTCCAACTTAAGTCTCAGTGTGCCTCAAGCATTGTAAGAGTATTTGAGGGTGTTTCTAAAGTGATATGCACTGGAATTAAGACTTCTGAGAGACTTAAAAGTCGAAAATTTAGTGGCTAAGCATTTTAAATGGTTCAATTCAAACTTAAGCTTAAGCACTCAATCTCCGGCATCAATGCTTCAACTCTTGATGAAGTCGTGTGAAAATTTGCTCACGGCATTTGCCCATAGTCACTGGATATTTCTCACGATTTTTAAATCAAAATTTTCATCACTTACATATTTTCTGAGAGGTCACAATCTGTGACCCGGTGTGTTTTGTTGACACCGTCGGTGTGAATACTGATTAGATATGATTCAGCTGAATCCTCTCTGATCAGTATTGACATACTCACACATGAACAAAACTCTCGGTCAGGAATGGTCCAGACTGGGAGGTCCTATCATCACTATAAGAACCATTAGTACTAAACCCGAAGATATGTAAATATCTCTGCTAGCTCTACAGTTATAGATGTAGTCGGAGCACTAATGTACTACAGAGCTCATTGTAACTAATTGTATCTACAGTCCTTGCACTCACCTGTTTCGGAGGCCAGAGCGTAAGAGTATCCACTGCATACATAGACGAGAAGCCAGATTACCAGATCAGTCATGTCGCGCGGCGGCAAGCTAGAAAGATGTAGTTGGTCAGCAAACCCGACCAGCGAGATGTAAGTTGTATGCGAGTGCAGATAAATCTGGCTACCAAAGGCAGAAGCATTTCGGGCAGATGATGCTGAATGAGTGTGAACAAAGAAGGAGAGCACATAGTGACTTGGAGGACGGGCCCCGCCGTCACGGAGATAGCATGTACAGATGGATCTGAATATGCGAGACAAGAGAATGGCGGGATAAATGGGCAGAGGATGGTATGGGGTAGGTGGAGAGCAAGCGGAGCATCTGAGCGAGAAATATTTGCGTCGATCTTGAGTACTTCCGTGTTCGAACGGCCGCGGGAACTTGCAAGAGCAAAGTAGCTAGAGACGTGTTGGATCTCGAAGCTCATTCGAGATCGATAGCCTGATGCATCGAGAGAAACAGAGCGCGAGCAGTGCAAGGCCTCTGAGCGAGAGGGACCGGATGCTCGGATCGAGGCAGACACCGAAGTTCAAGACATATCAGACGAAACCGAGTTGTGGCGTTCAGCCACATTTGGCAAGTCTCTGCGCAAGTACGTTCAACTTCAATTCTTCTCTGCGTCTCGCTGCCCACTAAGCCTCTCTAGTCTGCAGGCTCCTCGTGTCTTTTGTTTCTCAGTGCTTGCAAGTATTCCTCTTGTTTACGAATTGTCTGGCGGCACTCGCGGAAGCCGAGTTTCTGGATTCTGCGCTGGCTGTGGTTTTTGCACAGCGATCGAAACCTCGCTCGTTCTCTCGACTGGTGTTGACTGTATGTTATCTTATGTCGTCGAACCGATCACTCTGGCTCATGCACCGGCACTCGCAACCGCTGTAGTGGAGCCTGCGCCGATCCTCTAGCGGTCGAGTATTCTGGCTGTAGCCGTGGCTGTTTGAATGCTCAAGGTCGCGCGATCAAAATGACTTCATCCGACGATCTCTCCTCGTCTCTCTGGATCGTGTATCTCATCTGTAGGCGAGTCCTCGACCGTCACAGGCACAAGCAGGTGCGCACATTATTCTAATTCTTTTACTCACATCTACCCGAATAAATTGCCGCAAGTCACCAATTCCGGGGTGGAGCGAAGCGCGCGACAAAATATTTTTTCTGACGACAACTGCCTCCGCTCTGGACTCTGGAGCTGCGGCTGGCTCGTTCTATCTCTCTGCGTCGCTAAGCAGAGCACGGCGGTGGTGCGAGAAGCGCGGCGGGCAGATCTCGCGATCGGTGAGAAGCTGCTGGAGGTACACGGGGCGGGGCCATGCGATCGCAAACGCCGCGCTAATTTTTTCCTGTTCGCAGATGTCATCGTGGCCGTCGCGTTCTCTCAAGGCAGAATGCCCGCGGTGAATTCTCTCACCGGTGGAGCACAGCGAGCTGTTCAATGCGGCTCGTGCAACGACGTGCCATGCCTCGGCGAGTTTGCATTTACGAGGCGGAGCAGCAGAGGGACAGAAGAGGACGCGGTGCAATTTGCGCCGTATGAATGGAATGTACGTACGTGCGATGTTTGTTCGCGTATTATTTGTGACACTGAACGTCTGATCGCGTTGCGAAGGTCCGTGCGCGGCGCAAATTCGTTACGGCGAACCTGAACGATGCGACGGCATGCCGTTCTGCGTTATTCAGGACTCGTCCGAGCAGCTGCCGGTGTGCCTTTCAGAGGTCGGACTGGCTGCATGCGGGTGAACCCCCTCTCTGCATCGCGGCCATCGCATCCGCCGTTCGATTCTACGAATTTCTACATGGTCAGGAAACGGTGCATGCAGCACGCAGAAGGACGCCTCCGGGGATGAGACGACGACGACGCGCGCGCAAATACGGTTACGAAGCGAAGCGCACGTACGTATTCGCGCACTTCTTCCGTTTCACGTCTTCCCCCTGGCTTCTGACTTGGAACTCCTGGCCCGTCAGACCCTGGATACGGATGCGAGGGGACCGGTGGCCGATTCCAGACGACGGAGCTGGCGGAATTGGGGCGGGGACTGGGACGCGGCGCGGTATAAAAGTCGTGGGTTTGGGCTGCAGAGCTCCAGCTTCTCCCCGGGTTTGCTCACCAGCAGCATCGTTCCGCCTCCCTTATCCCTCCACTCGTGGGCTCCTCGGTGCGCGTGCGTGTCGCTCTTCGATGTCCAAGTCTGCAGGTGAGTACTGCGCGGTTTTCTTGCTGTTCTGGATGGTGACGCACCTTGCTCGTGCCGTGCGAATGACGCGCAACGTCGACGTCGACCCCAGATTGCTACGAGGAGGCTTTAGACGGCGCAGGTGAGCCGGTGTGTATTCCCCGACACTACGGAGGCTGACGTCTTTCGAGTAGGGCCCAGGTTTCGACGTGAGACGCCAGCGTTAGGCAGAACGCGGCCAGAACGTCACAGATGAGATGCTGCGACGCGTTCTCTGGTGCGGCGCGGTGCTGACACTCTACTAGGTGTCGTGCTGCCGACGTGAACCTCGTAGCACTCGGCGTCGTGCGTGAGTCTACGTCGGGCTGGTGGGCTTTGTCGCAAGGCTGGATGTGACGCCGGGTGCTGCTGGTAGTACAGATCCGGGCTGTAGTCTCCGTCGCGGCTCTGCCCGCTGAGATGTTGCCCCGCGGGGACGTTGCAGGTGAAGCCCGTAGCCCTTTCCGCGATGCGGCGGAGCGCTCGCACAGTGAGAACATGTGGGCGTAGATTTTACCGCGTTGGTACGAATTTCAAGAGCGCACATGTTGTCGCGCTCGCGATCCTCGCGCCGGTGTGTCTTGAAGGCGGGATTCGTACGGGGGCGCTGCTGCGTGGATGCGGAGGAGTCTTGTCACGAAGGCAGTGGAGGGTTTCTATGTACCTACCCTAGATATCTCAGAGCCCGGACACGCGTGCTCTACCCCAGTTCGCTACGCGCCTGAACGCGGCGGTTTTCGTTGACGGGCGCGTCTCGAGACGCCGAGTCGATCGTGCAGGCTGTGTGGCGTTCGTCCGAATAGCGATGGCGAGAGCAAGCAGTCGAGGTGCTACGTGGCGCGATGTGTCGTCGCTCGCGCGAGGAATGCGTGTGTAGTAGATTTGAGAAAATATATATTTTTTCGTGTCCGCGCGGTGTCTACGTACGAACGTGCGACAGGACGCACACCTTCGCGATGCGCAGAGGTCATTTGCGCTCGCATACGCTGTCCATGCCGCACGTCCACCGGTCGCGATGCCCTTCACGACGTGCGCGTGAGGGAGACGGCCTCCGCGTTCGCGTGTGCGTATTGTTCCACGCGCAGCCAGCCGCAAATAGCTTTCTCACCGGGCTGCGGACCGCGGACCGCGCGAGTCGTGGTCTCCACACGGGAGGCGGCGGCCGTCGTCTTGCGTGAGGCGTCCCGTCTGTTGTGCGAGGAGGTCGTTCCACGCTGAAGGCAGCAGGCGTAGTCCGCTTCGGCTCGTGAACGCGTTCGGTCGTTCTCTGGGCGTATCGTGCAGAGCCACCTCTCGGTGACATGTAGGGGCGTGCGCGTTGGCTCTGCGGGCAGCGTTGAGAGCGGGGACGAGCCTCCCGCACGGGAGAGGTCGTGCATTTGCTTGGAGGGTCGATGCGTGCGGGAAGAAGCGCGATGTCGTCAAAGTGGAAGGCGGAGTCTTGGTTCTTCTATGCGTCCGGTGGTCCGACACGTGCCGCACTGTCAGCCGTCGTGCTGCTTCTTGCTGAGAGCACGCGATGTGGAAGTATTACCGCGGGGAGGAAGCGGCGAGCGTCCGCCGGGGAGCTTCTCATGTCGATGGGCTGGGAGAGTCGGTGGGAGGAACGATGCGCGAGGACGAAATTCCCTCGTCGTCTTTGCGCGTCCGCTGAACGTTCTCGCCGTGGAGCAACGCTGGCATGTCCTCTGGCTGAGATCCCGCGAGTGGAGAGACGTGCCCGGGCTTCGTGCAGTCGCACCGCGGAGGTCGACGCGCGAGAGTCGGTGGTAGGGACGGGCACTGTGCAGAAGCAGGAGAACGCGGAGACACTCACCGAACGCGAGTGGCAGCTGTGCGCCAGCCGTGCACGCAGTCGATCACGGGCGACGTCCAAGCTGGACGGTGGATGGCAGTCGAGAGCGCCGGGATGTCATCGGAGGCTGGTGGAGCGCACGCCAAGGATGCTGCGGGGAGAGTCAGTCCGCGGAGGCGGGAGACGTCAGAGGACGAGTCGAGTCAGAGTGACGACATCCGACTTGGGCGGAGGGATGGAGACGAGGGACGCCATCGAGCACAGTGGGTGCATGCGCGGGAAGCTCGGCCAGGGGCTCTGAGATAGCCTCGGGACCAGATCGACTGATCGGGGCAGATGTAAGCCAGATGCGTCAGCGGCCAATCCATCCGAACACCGTATTTTCGAGTCCTGCGTTGCACCTGAAGAAATCGATTCAAATATTGCAAAAAACGTCGCACAGGGAGCTCACCTAGCGCACAGACCGGGCGGAAGACCAGAAGAGGAGCGAAATAAATTACCCGCCCCGTCGTCGTGAGGTGGAAGATGAGTCGTGCCGTCTGTCCGCGTCACCTTCTCCGAGATATAAGAGGCACTCCGCACGCCACTCTCAGGCGCTCTGCTGCTTTCGTTCTCACCACGTACCTCCCTCTCCACCCAGGCCCTCCACCGTCATGGCCGACCAACCCTCCAAGAAGCGAGGTTTCTTCTCTCGCAAGGAGAAAGGCGATGCGATCTCCGAAAGCCAGCTCCAGGTCGTACCCTCAACAGAGTCGTCCTCCAAGGAACAGCCTGAGGAACCCCCCGAGTCCGCCAATGCACCGCAGTCACAGGTTATCCAGCCAGTCTCTTTTGTTTCGCTTTTCCGGTGAGTGCCCCATGTTCTGCCATCGTTACGGGCACCGTCTCATTCGATATAGATTCTCTACCAGGACCGAGTTGACGTTCAACGTTATCGGCGTGATTGCCGCGGCGGCTGCAGGTGCTGCACAGGCGAGTCCGACATGCGTCTCGTTCTGTCCCTGATCGCTCACAGCGTCGTCCCCGTACCGCAGCCGCTCATGTCCCTCCTGTTCGGGAACCTGGTGCAAGCGTTTGTCACCTTCGGCTCGACGGTGCAGGAGTCCAAGGCGGGAACCCTGACGGACCCGGGCGCCCTGACGGCGGCGGAGAACCACTTCAGGACGACGGCGGCAAAGGATGCGTCGTACCTGGTGTACATCGGACTCGGGATGTTCGTGTGCACGTACGTGTACATGTTGGTATGGGTGTACACGGGAGAGGTGAACGCGAAGCGGATTCGGGAGCGGTACCTGAAGGCGATCCTGCGGCAGGACATCGCGTTCTTCGACCACGTCGGGGCGGGAGAGGTGGCGACGCGCATCCAGACGGACACGCACCTGGTGCAGCAAGGCATCTCGGAGAAGGTCGCGATCTGCGTGAGCTTCTTTGCGTCGTTCGTGACGGGATTCGTGCTCGCGTACGTGCGCTCGTGGCGGCTCGCGCTCGCGCTGTCGTCGATGCTTCCGTGCATCGCTGTGACGGGCGGGGTGATGAACAAGTTTGTGTCGAGGTACATGAAGTGCGTACGGTCCGTTCCCGTCGCGGCTTCGTTATATTGACGGAATTTCGGTGCAGGCTGTCACTCGCGTACGTCGCGGACGGTGGCACTCTTGCGGAAGAGGTGTTTTCGACGGTGCGCACGGCTCAGGCGTTCGGCACGCAGGAGGTGCTCTCGGATCGGTACAACTCCCACATCCTGCTCTCGCGGCGCGTGGACATGAAGGCGGCGGTCTTCCACGGCTGCGGTCTTGCGGTGTTCTTCTTTGTGGTTTACGGCGGTTACGCCCTCGGTGAGTGTCTGGTTTTTTCAGAGTGCGTGGATGATATTGACTGGTTGTAGCATTCGATTTCGGCACGACACTGATCGACAGGGGTGAGGGCACGGCAGGACAAGTCGTCAACGTGATCCTGGCCATTCTCATCGGCTCGTTCTCTCTGGCGCTGCTTGCGCCGGAGATGCAAGGTATGTTGCACCTGTGTCGCTCTGTGTACCAATTGACCGTTCCATGCAGCGATTACGCACGGGATGGGTGCAGCGGCGAAGTTGTACGAGACGATCGACCGGGTGCCGCCGATCGACTCGCAGGACGAAAGCGGACTGAAGCCAGAGAAGTGCGCGGGGGAGATCACGTTCGAGAACGTCAAGTTCAACTACCCTTCGCGGCCGGAGGTGCGGATCGTCAAGGACCTCACGATCCAGTTCCCGGCGGGGAAGACGACGGCGCTGGTGGGCGCGTCGGGCTCGGGCAAGTCGACGGTGATCTCGCTCGTGGAGCGGTTCTACGACCCGCTGTCGGGGAGTGTGCGCCTGGACGGTGATAGCCTGCGGGATCTGAACGTGAAGTGGCTGCGTTCGCAGATCGGCCTCGTCTCGCAGGAGCCCACGCTGTTCGCGACGACTATTTTTGGGAACGTTGCGCATGGGCTGATCGGCACAGAGCATGAGGATGCGTCGGACGAGGTGAAGATGGCGCTCGTCAAGGAGGCGTGCGTCACGGCGAATGCGGATGGGTTTATCTCCAAGCTGCCGTTGGGTTACGAGACCATGGTTGGTGAGTGGTGTTCGCGGTCTCACGGTGTAGTAGTAGTAGTGTATGTAGTGTGTGAAATATATTTGTTGCGCTACGAGAACGGGCGAAAATTCTAAGTGTAACATCCAGCAAGAATCGAGGAGTCCTCGTTCCCTCTCCTTGCCTATTTTTGTATAAAGAGAGACAGCCTCAAGCATGTCTCTCGCGAAATGGCTATCTACGAACTCACCAGTGCGTGCATTTCCGTGCAAGCAGATCGTCGCCACAAGGACCCCTGAGGATTCATCACTGACCTGGCATCGAGTCCATCCAGTGTGAAGACTGCAGAGTATGGATAGTGGAGGACAGACCAAACAATGCGGAGACTCACTAAGATTGTCCGACGTACACTCGACGACGAGTGGACGTCGTCTTCATCCACTGTGACAGGCAGAGGCGAACGAGAGACTATGGGCCATGGATGTTGCTCGGGGGACGACAATCTATATAATCATCGCCGAATTGGGCCGTAGAGGGAACACAGAAGAATGGAATGCACTTGCTCGTCCCACTCGAGAAGGTCCCGCGCGCATGTTGAGCCCACTTGTCAAACCCAGGCTAAAGAAAATGAGCCATGCTCCTCGAGACGAGGGCACAACCCCGCGACAATTTGTTGCTGGGCCTGCGGCGCGAAGACTGCATTGCATGTTAGTGGACCACACATGAGACTCACTGCGGGGACTCACCGAGATCGCGATGTATGCTCGACGATGACAAATGGAGTCTTCGTCCACTGCGACGGGCGGAGCACAGAGCCCGGGCCGTGGATGTTGCTTGCACGATGAACACGAGATACGGGAATGCACTTGCTCGTCCCACTCCAGAAGATTCCGCACGCGTGTGGAGCTTGTTTGTCAAACCCAGGCTGAAGGGAATGAGCCGCGCTCCTTGCTTGCCGAAGGATGATCTGCACAGTCAATGTCCAAAGGAGCATGGAGAACAAGGAGGCATGGACAGCCCGCCAGGCCTTCTCATCGAAGGAGAGCTGTTGGGGAAAGCCTGATGAATCAGAGGAATACAGATAAGATAAGGGTAGGGGTTACTCACCGTAGGCACCCATATTTCCTCGACGCCACGCGCATCGATGTTGACCCGCCAGGTGGAGGTCCTAGCTGGGCAATGTCCGCGGCCGGATGGCGATCCATACCGTCGTCGTCTGGGGCGACGGCTGAGGAGGAATCAGGGTGAACGGGCTCCGCGCCTCGCTCGCCGGACGACGATCTATACAGTCGTCATTGAATGGGTCCATGCAGACAGGGTAGAGGAAAAGAGGTGGAGCATGCTACTCCTCCATCTCGTGTTGCTCGCTGGATGGCGAAAACACCAATCGATGTGCTGCACACCGGGGAAGAACGGGGGAACGTGGACGCTCGCCGGACGTTGATCTATATAGTCAACATCGAGCATGGCGATGCGGCATGTGGAACGCATCGGGCATACAGCCCACTAGCCCACGGAGCATCATCGTTGAGGGAGAGTACTTGCGGGAGGCACCAGAGGTTCGCGTTGTGATGTCAATCGCCGGACGACGAAATATATGGTTGTCATTGAATGCGACATCATGTAGAGGGATACGGCTAACGCCTATGCGTGATGCTCACCGGACGACGATCTGTATAGTCTTCGTCAAACAAGACTGCACGAGGAAGGAGAATGCGGGGATAAGGGAAGTCCGCTGGACGTCGACATGGACCACGGGTAAAGAGAGATGTTCATGCAGGGTAGATCACCAGATGACGACAGCACCAGTCGTCACATAGTGAGACAGGCCAGAAGAGATGTTGGAAGGGGGGAAACATGTCGCTCGCCGGACGGCAATCCATACAGTCATTGTCGAACGAGAGCATCTGGAGAGGGAATAGGAGAAGAGATACTCATCGGCGAACGATGAGTGTGGCTGGCGAACGGAAGTGTACACATGGAAGGCCATCATCACATGTCGCCCACCGGACATCAATACGTAGTCTTGATGTGACTCGCATGCGATGTGCGAGATATGTGGTGTTGCTCACCAGACGACGGTACGTCCTGCTGTGATGTGCCACAGTGGCGGAGACAAAGTGTCATGTGCCGCTCGTCGAACGACGACAGCACCAGGCATGCCAAGTAACGCATGGGTCGTCCGCGACAAAAAGACATGCATCAGCCGTGCACACTCCCACGGGAATAAAAGATGAAGGAGAGTACTTACCCTCACCGACGAAGGACAACATAGTCCACCAACACGGAATACACTGCTCCCCAGACATCCAGTTTTCATACCGCGACATCCGAGGAAAGAAAGGTCCAACACAAAGAGTGTGTCAGTCGCGGGACAGCGATAAATGCTGTCAAAATGGGAAAGGGTGCCGGGGCAGCCTGGCAGCATCAGAAATGGAGGACTGCTTATTAGTACTGCGAAACAGAGGAGTTGTGGATGCTGCACTTACCACATCAGGTCCAGCCGCGGGACCGACAACACAATGGACGGCACCAGTATGTGAGCAAGGGAATGGCGACACTGCTCGTCGAGCATACAACATCAGTGGACACTTGTCAATGATCCGATGTGAATCAAGAACATACCCAACATTGAATAACATCAATAATATTCCCTCCACCACATAACATCGCTCCCCGGATGGCGATACATCTAGTCTTTGTGGGGCGGGACACAGACAAATGGTGACAGGCCGTCTACTGGTGGAAGGCAATGCTAAAGGGCGAGGGCATGCAATACCGCTGCAAGAAATGTCAGCATGAGAGACCGAAAGAAAGAAAAATTAAACTTACATGGCATGCCACCACAACGTTCAGCGGACGTCAACATATCGAATGCGATCAAGGGTGCATAGCCACAAGAAAACACGTCTGGTTCTGCAGCTGTTCATATGGCCGACATCAATCAGGCCTGCAAACTCTTGAAGATCGATCAGATGCGGGGGGGATGACAAACTGTGCACGAAAGATGCATGACCGTGCATGCATTGTCCTCGGTACGGAGGGCCCAGACTCATTGATGGAGGTGTCCTGCATCTTGTGCTTCGGGCTTTCGAGCGACGTACGGGTTGGCAGGAATATCAGACATAGGGATCACACAAGATGAATCAAAATGAGTATATTAAATCTGTAGTACTACTGCAAAATAAGCAAAACTCCGGAGAAATAGAAATAGAGAGCAGCTATACTCACCGAGTATCCTATCCGCGAAGTGAATGGACACGGACGCTGCGTGTCCTTCTGTGAGTGGGGCTCAACCGCGGTAGGCTACAGGCCGATCCTAGCATCGGGCAAGGATCTTCTCCACTAGGCGCATCCTGCGAACGAGAAAACTGTCAAATAGTGAAATTGCAGACGTGCTACGACAAACTTACCTGCAAATCACACCGCGCATTTGTCCATATGACGCGGGCATTCCTGGGCATCCAAAGTGCCCTTGTCCAATGCAGGTGCATCACACGAAACCTGAGAGATCTAGCATGAACAAGTGGACATGAACAACGATTTAAAAAAAATACTCACATGCCAATTGATGCTGCGAAGCCTCGCATCTGCATCCAAGAGATCTTGCTGCATCCCGCATGCATGCGGCGATGTGGAGGTGAGTGCCCACTGAGCCGAAAAGGAAAACCTACTCGAGAGCATGCAATCGGACAGCCCGAGGGATTTTTCTGATGATCGACGATCGGGCAGCAGGCAGGGAGAGGTCGACAGAGTGTTGCAGAGTGCACTACGAGGACAGAAACACCGTCAAAATTTCGACCACTCGCCTGGACACTTATGAAATTTGAACATACGTTGTTCCGCAGTCTTGTACCACTCGACCTCCGCACATCCGCTGTTTCTGCGATCTCGCGATCTCACTTCCTCTTCGCATCTTCAGTGAATTCTGGCACCTTCTGATGCAACAAAAATGTCAGAATCGGACGAGTGGTCATGGAAATATCCAACTTACCGATCACCTACCAAAGCTTCCCGCTCCTCAATTTACCACCCCGCGCCCATCCGCAGGGTTGTCCACAGTGCTGACCACCACAGAAAGGCATCTTGAAGTCGGGAGGAGCAGTAACAAGAGGGTGGATGATCAAGGGGATAGTGTCAAGATGCATGAGTCGGATGGGCTGAAAGTCGAACTTGCAGACACATCGTGACCGGTGCCTACTTATCGATCTCATCGCCCACTTAGGCAATCGTGGTTCGCACTTGACGCCACACCTCCGCATCTTGCATACGACCTATGGACATCAAATAAGTGAGTCTGAGGCTGCAAAACAATAAAACAATGAGCTGAATACTTACACATACCTATGCTGATGCCGTTGAAGTGGGTAGATGGCAGGAGAAGGGGCAAGGGAGGGGTGAGCAGGCTCTGGACTGGCAGCATCAGGGCATGTGGGGGGAGGACAAGCCTGCGGAAGGTAAGCCAGCCTTTATTATCCTCCGCATACTGATCAGAGCTCTTGGTGGCAGTGATGACCCTGGCACTCCCACCACCAGGGATGCCTCAGAGCATCAGCCAATCCAGAAGCTTTGGATTGACTGATGCCCTAAAGCATCCCTGGTTGTGAGGGTGCAGGCAGTGATCTGTTCCGATCAGGTAAGTGCGACAGCGCCAGTGCTCGCATGCAATGGGAGAACTCCACTCCATCAACTTCTATTATGAGCATGTGTCACATACTCAATTACTCCGGCAGCAAATTCCAACTTAAGTCTCAGTGTGCCTCAAGCATTGTAAGAGTATTTGAGGGTGTTTCTAAAGTGATATGCACTGGAATTAAGACTTCTGAGAGACTTAAAAGTCGAAAATTTAGTGGCTAAGCATTTTAAATGGTTCAATTCAAACTTAAGCTTAAGCACTCAATCTCCGGCATCAATGCTTCAACTCTTGATGAAGTCGTGTGAAAATTTGCTCACGGCATTTGCCCATAGTCACTGGATATTTCTCACGATTTTTAAATCAAAATTTTCATCACTTACATATTTTCTGAGAGGTCACAATCTGTGACCCGGTGTGTTTTGTTGACACCGTCGGTGTGAATACTGATTAGATATGATTCAGCTGAATCCTCTCTGATCAGTATTGACATACTCACACATGAACAAAACTCTCGGTCAGGAATGGTCCAGACTGGGAGGTCCTATCATCACTATAAGAACCATTAGTACTAAACCCGAAGATATGTAAATATCTCTGCTAGCTCTACAGTTATAGATGTAGTCGGAGCACTAATGTACTACAGAGCTCATTGTAACTAATTGTATCTACAGTCCTTGCACTCACCTGTTTCGGAGGCCAGAGCGTAAGAGTATCCACTGCATACATAGACGAGAAGCCAGATTACCAGATCAGTCATGTCGCGCGGCGGCAAGCTAGAAAGATGTAGTTGGTCAGCAAACCCGACCAGCGAGATGTAAGTTGTATGCGAGTGCAGATAAATCTGGCTACCAAAGGCAGAAGCATTTCGGGCAGATGATGCTGAATGAGTGTGAACAAAGAAGGAGAGCACATAGTGACTTGGAGGACGGGCCCCGCCGTCACGGAGATAGCATGTACAGATGGATCTGAATATGCGAGACAAGAGAGCGGTGGGATAAATGGACAGAGGATACGGGATAGGTGGAGAGCAAGCAGAGCATCTGGACGCTAGATATCTGCAGCGATCTTGAGTACTTCGGTACTTCGGTTCGAGCGGCCGCGGGAACTTGCAAGAGTAAAGTAGAAACATGTTGTATCGACTTGAAGCTCATTCGAGAACGATAGCGAGAGGGACAGAGCTCAGCGCTCAAGCACAACGCAAGGCCTCGGAGTGAGAGGGACCGGACGCTCGGATCGAGGCAGACATCGAAGCTGAAGACATGTCAGACGAAACCGAGCTGTGGCGTTCAGCCACATTTGGCAAGTCTCTGCGCAAGTACGTTCAACTTCAATTCTTCTCTTCGTCTCGCCGTCTGTTGAGCTGCTCTTGTCTGCAGGCCTCTCGTGTCTCTTGTTTCTCAGTGCTTGCAAGTATTCCTCTTGTTTACGAATTGTCTGGCAACACTCGTGGAAGTCGAGTTTCTGGATTCTGCGCTGGCTGTGGTTTTTGCACAGCGATCGAAACCTCGCTCGTTCTCTCGACTGGTGTTGACTGTATGTTATCTTATGTCGTCGAACCGATCACTCTGGCTCATGCACCGGCACTCGCAACCGCTGTAGTGGAGCCTGCGCCGATCCTCTAGCGGTCGAGTATTCTGGCTGTAGCCGTGGCTGTTTGAATGCTCAAGGTCGCGCGATCAAAATGACTTCATCCGACGATCTCCTCGTCTCTCGGGATCGTGTATCTCATCTGTAGGCGAGTCCTCGACCGTCACAGGCACAAGCAGGTGCGCACATTATTCTAATTCTTTTACTCACATCTACCCGAATAAATTGCTGCAAGTCACCAATTCCGGAGTGGAGCGAAGCGCGCGACGAAATATTTTTTCTGACGACATCAGCCTCCGCTCTGGAACTCTGGAGCCGTTTCCGGCTCATTCTATCTCTCGACGTCGCTACGCAGAGCACGGCGGTGGTGCGAGAAGCGCGGCGGGCAGATCTCGCGATCGGTGAGAAGCTGCTGGAGGTACACGGGGCGGGGCCATGCGATCGCAAACGCCGCGCTAATTTTTCCCGTTCGTTGCAGACGTCATCACGGCCGTCGCGTTCTCTCAAGGCAGAATGCCCGCGGTGAATTCTCTCACCGGTGGAGCACAGCGAGCTGTTCAATGCGGCTCGTGCAACGACGTGCCATGCCTCGGCGAGTTTGCATTTGCGAGGGGAGAGCACCGGAGGACAGAAGAGCACGCAATGCAATTTGCACCGTATGGATGGAACGTACGTACGTGCGGTGTTTATTCGCGTATTATCTGTGACACTAAACGTCTGATCGCGTTGCGAAGGTCCGTGCGCGGCGCAAATTCGTTACGGCGAACCTGAACGATGCGACGGCATGCCGTTCTGCATTATCCAGGACTCGTCCGAGCAGCTGCCGGTGTGCCTTTCAGAAGTCAGACTGGCTGCATCCCGGTGGACGCCCTTTCTGCGCCTCAGGACGGGCACTGGTGCAATCGTCTTTCGATTCTATGAATTTCTACGTGGTCAGGAAATGGTTCACGCAGCACAACGAAGTATACCTCCGGGGATGAGACGACGACGACGTGCACGCAGATACGATCATACTCGAAGCGAAGCGCACGTACGTATTCGCGCACTTCTTCCGTTTCACGCCTTCCCCCTGGCTTCTGACTTGGAACTCCTGGCCCGTCAGACCCTGGATACGGATGCGAGGGGACCGGTGGCCGATTCCAGGCGAGGGAGCTGGCGGAATTGGGGTAGGGACTGGGACGCAACGCGGTATAAAAAGCCGGGGGGTTGGGCTGCAGAGCTCCAGCTTCTCCCCGGGTTTGCTCACCAGCAGCGTCGTTCCGCCTCCCTTATCCCTCCACTCGTGGGCTCCTCGGCGCGCGTGCGTGTCGCTCTTCGATGTCCGAGTTTGCAGGTGAGTATTGCGCGGTTTTCTTGCTCTTCTGGATGGTGATGCACCTTGCCCGCCACGCGAATGGCGCGCAACGTCGGAATCGACCCCAGATCGCTACGAGAATGCTTTGGACAGCGCGGGTGAGCCCGTTACGTATTCCCCGACACTGCGGAGGCTGACGTCTTCCGAGTAGGGCCCAGGTTTCGATGTCGACGCCAGCGTTAGGCAGAATGCGGCTAGAGCCTCACAGGTGAGGTGCCGCGACGCGTTCTCTGGCGCGGCGCGGTGCTGACATTCTGCTTGCGGTGTGTAGGTGTCGTGCTGCCGACGTGAACCTCGCAGCACTCGGCGTCGTGAGTGAGTCTACGTCGGGCTGGTAAGCTTTGTCGCGCAGCTGGATGTGATGCGGGGTGCTGCTGGTAGTATAGATCCGGGCTGTAGTCCCCATCCCCGTTCTGCCGGTTGAGAGGTCGACATTGCGTAGCCCGTTCCGTGATGCGGCGGAGCGCTCGCACAGACGGAATAAGTAGATCGGCGTAGATTTTACGGCGTCGGCGCGAATTTCGCGAGGGAGCGCGTGTGATGTCGAGGATGTCGCGCTCGTGATCCTCGCGCCGGCGCGTGTCTTGCGATCTTGGGGGATTGGCGCGCTGTTGCGTGGATGCATGAGTGCTGCCACGGAGGTGGTGGAGGGAGGTTGTTATGTACCTACCCTCTGTGGTAGATATCTTAACGCCTGGACACGCATGCCTCCACCGCACTTCGCTACGCGCCTGAACGCGGCGGTTTTTTCGTTGACGGGCGCGTCTCGAGACGCTGAGTCGATCGTGCGTCCGAATAGCGATGGCGAGAGCACACAGTCGACGTGTCGTCGCTCGCGCGAGGGATGCGCGTGTAGTAGAGTTGAGGAAATATATATTTTTTCGTGTCCGCGCGGTCTACCTACGAACGTGCGCGCCAGGGTGCACACTTTGACGACGCGCAGAGGTCCTTTGCGCTCGCATACGCCGTCCACGCCGCAAGTCCACCGGTCGCGATGCCCTTCACGACGCGCGCGTGAGGGCTCGTTCATTCTGCGAGACGGCCTCCGCGTCCGCGTGTGCGTATTGTTCCACGCGCAGCCAGCCGCAAATAGCTTTCTCACCGGGCTGCGGACCGCGGACCGCTTGAGTCGTGGTCTCCACACCGCACGCGGCGGCCGTCGTCTTGCGTGCGGCGTCCCGTCTGTTGTGCGAGGAGGTCGTTCCACGCTGAAGGCAGCAGGCGTAGTCCGCCTCGGCTCGTGAATGCGTCCGATCGTCCTCTGCGCGGATCGTGTTGGGCCGCCTTCTTGCTGAGCCGTAGGAGCGCACGCGTTGGCTCTGCGGGCAGCGTTGAGAGCGGGGACGAGCCTCCCGCACCGGGGATCTCGTACAGTCGGGGCGAGGGTCGAACGCGTGCTGGGGGAAGTGCGATGTCGTCAAAGTGGAGGGCCGCGTCTTCGTTCTTCTATGCGTCCGGTGGTCCGACTGCACTGTCAGCCATCGTGCTGCCTCTTGCTGAGGGCACGCGATCTGGGAGTAGCGGAAGGGGAAAGGGGCGAGCGTCCGCCGGGGAACTCCTCATGTCGACGAGCGGAGAGAGTCGAGGGGAGGAACGATGCTCGAGGACGAAATTCCCTCGTCGTCTTTGCGCGTCCGCTGAACGTTCTCGCTGTGGAGCAACGCTGGCACGGCCTCTTGCTGAGATCCTGCGAGTGGAGAGACGCCCGGGCTTGCTGTTGTCGCACCGCGGAGGTCGACGCGCGAGAGTCGGTGGGGGGACGGGCAGTGCGCAGAAGCAGGAGAGCACGTAGACACTCACCGACAGCGACTCAGCCGTGCAAGTCGATCACGGGCGACGTCCAAGCTGGACGGTGGATGGCAGTCGAGAGCGCCGGGATGTCATCGGAGGCTGGTGGAGCGCACGCCAAGGATGCTGCGGGGAGAGTCAGTCCGCGGAGGCGGGAGACGTGGCAGAAGAGTCGAGTCGAGTCAGAGTGACGACGTCCGACTTGGCCGGAGGGATGGAGACGAGGGACGCCATCGAGCACAGTGGGAGTATGCGCGGGAAGCTCGGCCAGGGGCTCTGAGATAGCCTCGGGACCAGATCGAGCGATCGAGGCAGATGTAAGCCAGATGCGTCAGCGGCCAATCCATCCGAACACCGTATTTTCGAGTCCTGCGTTGCAGCTCAAGAAATCGATTCAAATATTGCAAAAAACATCGCACAGGGAGCTCACCTAGCGCACAGACCGGGCGGAAGACCAGAAGAGGAGCGAAATAAATTACCCGCCCTGTCGTCGTGAGGTGGAAGATGAGTCGTGCCGTCTGTCCGCGTCACCTTCTCCGAGATATAAGAGGCACTCCGCACGCCACTCTCAGGCGCTCTGCTGCTTTCATTCTCACCACGTACGTCCCTCTCCACCCAGGCCCCCTACCGTCATGGCCGACCAACCCTCCAAGAAGCGAGGTTTCTTCTCTCGCAAGGAGAAAGGCGATGCCATCTCCGAAAGCCAGCTCCAGGTCGTACCCTCAACAGAGTCGTCCTCCAAGCAACAGCCCGAGGAACCCCCCGAGTCCGCCAATGCACCGCAGTCACAGGTCATCCAGCCAGTCTCTTTTGTTTCGCTTTTCCGGTGAGTGCCCCATGTTCTGCCATCGTTACGGGCACCGTCTCATTCGATATAGATTCTCTACCAGGACCGAGTTGACGTTCAACGTTATCGGTGTGATTGCCGCGGCGGCTGCAGGTGCTGCACAGGCGAGTCCGACATGCGTCTCGTTTTGTCCCTGATCGCTCACAGCGTCGTCCCCGTACCGCAGCCGCTCATGTCCCTCCTGTTCGGGAACCTGGTGCAAGCGTTTGTCACCTTCGGCTCGACGGTGCAGGAGTCCAAGGCGGGAACCCTGACGGACCCGGGCGCCCTGACGGCGGCGGAGAACCACTTCAGGACGACGGCGGCAAAGGATGCGTCGTACCTGGTGTACATCGGACTCGGGATGTTCGTGTGCACGTACGTGTACATGTTGGTATGGGTGTACACGGGAGAGGTGAACGCGAAGCGGATTCGGGAGCGGTACCTGAAGGCGATCCTGCGGCAGGACATCGCGTTCTTCGACCACGTCGGGGCGGGAGAGGTGGCGACGCGCATCCAGACGGACACGCACCTGGTGCAGCAAGGAATCTCGGAGAAGGTCGCGATCTGCGTGAGCTTCTTTGCGTCGTTCGTGACGGGATTCGTGCTCGCGTACGTGCGCTCGTGGCGGCTCGCGCTCGCGCTGTCGTCGATGCTTCCGTGCATCGCCGTGACGGGCGGGGTGATGAACAAGTTTGTGTCGAGGTACATGAAGTGCGTACGGTCCGTTCCCGTCGCGGCTTCGTTATATTGACGGAATTTCGGTGCAGGCTCTCGCTCGCGTACGTCGCGGACGGTGGCACTCTTGCGGAAGAGGTGTTTTCGACGGTGCGCACGGCTCAGGCGTTCGGCACGCAGGAGGTGCTCTCGGATCGGTACAACTCCCACATCCTGCTCTCACGGCGTGTGGACATGAAGGCAGCGGTCTTCCACGGCTGCGGTCTTGCAGTGTTCTTCTTTGTGGTTTACGGCGGTTACGCCCTCGGTGAGTCTGTGATTTTTTCCCCGAGTGCGTTGGTGATATTGACTGGTTGTAGCATTCGATTTCGGCACGACACTGATCGACAGGGGTGAGGGCACGGCAGGACAAGTTGTCAATGTGATCCTGGCCATTCTCATCGGTTCGTTCTCTCTGGCGCTGCTTGCGCCGGAGATGCAAGGTATGTTGCACCTGTATCCCTCGGTCTACCAATTGACCGTTCCATGCAGCGATTACGCACGGGATGGGTGCAGCGGCGAAGTTGTACGAGACGATCGACCGTGTGCCGCCCATCGACTCGCAGGACGAAAGCGGACTGAAGCCAGAGAAGTGCGCGGGGGAGATCACGTTCGAGAACGTCAAGTTCAACTACCCTTCGCGGCCGGAGGTGCGGATCGTCAAGGACCTCACGATCCAGTTCCCGGCGGGGAAGACGACGGCGCTGGTAGGCGCATCCGGTTCGGGCAAGTCGACGGTGATCTCGCTCGTGGAGCGGTTCTACGACCCGCTGTCGGGGAGTGTGCGCCTGGACGGTCGTAGCCTGCGGGATCTGAACGTGAAGTGGCTGCGTTCGCAGATCGGCCTCGTCTCGCAGGAGCCGACGCTGTTCGCGACGACTATCTTTGGGAACGTTGCGCATGGGCTGATCGGCACAGAGCATGAGGATGCGTCGGACGAGGTGAAGATGGCGCTCGTGAAGGAGGCGTGTGTCACGGCGAACGCGGACGGGTTTATCTCCAAGCTGCCGTTGGGTTATGAGACCGTGGTTGGTGAGTGGTGTTCGCGGTCTCACGGTGTAGTAGTAGTAGTGTATGTAGTGTGTGAAATATATTTGTTGCGCTACGAGAACGGGCGAAAATTCTAAGTGTAACATCCAGCAAGAATCGAGGAGTCCTCGTTCCCTCTCCTTGCCTATTTTTGTATAAAGAGAGACAGCCTCAAGCATGTCTCTCGCGAAATGGCTATCTACGAACTCACCAGTGCGTGCATTTCCGTGCAAGCAGATCGTCGCCGCAAGGACCCCTGAGGATTCATCACTGACCTGGCATCGAGTCCATCCAGTGTGAAGACTGCAGAGTATGGATAGTGGAGGACAGACCAAACAATGCGGGGACTCACCAAGATTGTCCGACGTGCGCTCAACGACGATGAATGTAGTCTTCATCCACTGTGACAGGCAGAGGCGAATGAGAGACTATGGGCCGTGGATGTTGCTCGCGGGACGACAATCTATTTAATTATCGCCGAATTGGGCCATAGAGGAAACACAGAAGAATGAAATGCACTTGCTCGTCCCACTTGAGAAGGTCCCGCGCGCATGTTGAGCTTGCTTGTCAAACCCAGGCCGAAGAGAATGAGCCCCGCTGCTCAAAACGAGGGTGCAACCCCGCGACAATTGGTTGCTGGCCGGTGGCGTAAAGACTGCAGCGTATGTTAGAGGAACGCAGATGAGACACACTGCAGGGACTCACCGAGATCGTGACGTGCGCTCGACGACGACAAATGTAGCCTTCGCGATGGGCGGAGGACAGAGCCCGGGCCGTGAATGTTGCTCATACGATGAACACGGGATAAGGGAATGCAATTGCTCGTCCCACTCGAGAATGTCTCGTGGGTGTGCTGAGTTTCCTCTCAAACTCGGGCCACAGAGAATGAGCCGCACTCCTCGCTCGCCGGAGGACGATCTACACAGTCAATGTCAGAAGGGGCACGGGGAACATGGAGGCATGGACGGCCCGCCAGGCCTTCTCGTCGAAGGAGAGCTGTTGGGGAAAGCCTGATGAGTCAGAGGAATACAGATAAGACAAGGGTAGGGGTTACTCACCGTAGGCACCCATATTTCCTCGACGCCACGCGCATCGATGTTGACCCGCCAGGTGGAGGTCCTAGCTGGGCAATGTCTGCGGCCGGATGGCGATCCATACCGTCATCGTCTGGGGCAACGGCTGGAGGAATCAGGGTGAATGGACTCCGCACCTCGCTCGCCGGACGACGATCTATACCATCGTTGTTGAACGGGTCCATGCAGAGACAGGGTAGAAGAAAAGAGGTGAAGCATGCTACTCCTCCGTCTCGCATTGCTCGCCGGACGGCGAAAACACTGATCGACGTGCTGCACACTGGAGAAGAATGGGGGAACGTGGACGCTCACCAGACGTTGTTCTATATAGTCAATGTCAAGCATGGCGATGCGGCATGCGAGAACGCATCGGGCATACAGCCTACTGAGCATCATCATTGACGGAGAGCACTTGTGCGAGGCACCAGAGGTTCGCATTGTGACGTCAATTGCTGGACGACGAAATATAGGGTTGTCATTGAACGCGACATCGTGTAGAGGGATATGGCCAACGCCTATGCGTGACGCTCACCGGACGACGATCTGTACAGTCTTCGTCAAACAAGACTGCATGAGGAAGGAGAACGCAGGGGTAAGGGAAGTCCACTGGACGTCGACATGGACCACGGATAAAGAGAGATGTTCATGCAGGGTAGATCACCAGATGACGACAGCACCAGTCGTCACATAGTGAGACAGGCCAGAAGAGATGTTGGAAGGGGGGAAACATGTCGCTCGCCGGACGGCAATCCATACAGTCATTGTCGAACGAGAGCATCTGGAGAGGGAATAGGAGAAGAGATACTCATCGGCGAACGATGAGTGTGGCTGGCGAACGGAAGTGTACACATGGAAGGCCATCATCACATGTCGCCCACCGGACATCAATACGTAGTCTTGATGTGACTCGCATGCGACGTGCGAGATATGTGGTGTTGCTCACCAGACGACGGTACGTCCTGCTGTGATGTGCCACAGTGGCGGAGACAAAGTGTCATGTGCCGCTCGTCGAACGACGACAGCACCAGGCATGCCAAGTAACGCATGGGTCGTCCGCGACAAAAAGACATGCATCAGCCGTGCACACTCCCACGGGAATAAAAGATGAAGGAGAGTACTTACCCTCACCGACGAAGGACAACATAGTCCACCAACACGGAATACACTGCTCCCCAGACATCCAGTTTTCATACCGCGACATCCGAGGAAAGAAAGGTCCAACACAAAGAGTGTGTCAGTCGCGGGACAGCGATAAATGCTGTCAAAATGGGAAAGGGTGCCGGGGCAGCCTGGCAGCATCAGAAATGGAGGACTGCTTATTAGTACTGCGAAACAGAGGAGTTGTGGATGCTGCACTTACCACATCAGGTCCAGCCGCAGGACCGACAACACAATGGACGGCACCAGTATGTGAGCAAGGGAATGGCGACACTGCTCGTCGAGCATACAACATCAGTGGACACTTGTCAATGATCCGATGTGAATCAAGAACATACCCAACATTGAATAATATCAATAATATTCCCTCCACCACATAACATCGCTCCCCGGATGGCGATACATCTAGTCTTTGTGGGGAGGGACACAGACAAATGGTGACAGGCCGTCTACTGCTGGAAGGCAATGCTAAAGGGCGAGGGCATGCAATACCGCTGCAAGAAATGTCAGCATGAGAGACCGAAAGAAAGAAAAATTAAACTTACATGGCATGCCACCACAACGTTCAGCGGACGTCAACATATCGAATGCGATCAAGGGTGCATAGCCACAAGAAAACACGTCTGGGTCTGCAGCCGTTCATACGGTCGACATCAATCAGGCCTGCAAACTCTTGAAGATCGATCAGATGCGGCGGGGGATGACAAACTGTGCACGAAAGATGCATGACCGTGCATGCATTGTCCTCGGTACGGAGGGCCCAGACTCATTGATGGAGGTGTCCTGCATCTTGTGCTTCGGGCTTTCGAGCGACGTACGGGTTGGCAGGAATATCAGACATAGGGATCACACAAGATGAATCAAAATGAGTATATTAAATCTGTAGTACTACTGCAAAATAAGCAAAACTCCGGAGAAATAGAAATAGAGAGCAGCTATACTCACCGAGTATCCTATCCGCGAAGTGAATGGACACGGACGCTGCGTGTCCTTCCGTGAGTGGGGCTCAACCGCGGTAGGCTACAGGCCGATCCTAGCATCGGGCAAGGATCTTCTCCACTAGGCGCATCCTGCGAATGAGAAAACTGTCAAATAGTGAAATTGCAGACGTGCTACGACAAACTTACCTGCAAATCACACCGCGCATTTGTCCATATGACGCAGGCATTCCTGGGCATCCAAAGTGCCCTTGTCCAATGCAGGTGCATCACACGAAACCTGAGAGATCTAGCATGAACAAGTGGACATGAACAACGATTTAAAAAAATACTCACATGCCAATTGATGCAGCGAAGCCTCGCATCTGCATCCAAGAGATCTTGCTGCATCCCGCATGCATGCGGCGATGTGGAGGTGAGTGCCCACTGAGCCGAAAAGGGAAACCTACTCGAGAGCGTGCAATCGGACAGCCCGAGGGATTTTTCTGATGATCGACGATCGGGCAGCAGGCAGGGAGAGGTCGACAGAGTGTTGCAGAGTGCACTACGAGGACAGAAACACCGTCAAAATTTCGACCACTCGCCTGGACACTTATGAAATTTGAACATACGTTGTTCCGCACTCTTGTACCACTCGACCTCCGCACATCCGCTGTTTCTGCGATCTCGCGATCTCACTTCCTCTTCGCATCTTCAGTGAATTCTGGCACCTTCTGATGCAACAAAAATGTCAGAATCGGACGAGTGGTCATGGAAATATCCAACTTACCGATCACCTACCAAAGCTTCCCGCTCCTCAATTTACCACCCCGCGCCCATCCGCAGGGTTGTCCACAGTGCTGACCACCACAGAAAGGCATCTTGAAGTCGGGAGGAGCAGTAACAAGAGGGTGGATGATCAAGGGGATAGTGTCAAGATGCATGAGTCGGATGGGCTGAAAGTCGAACTTGCAGACACATCGTGACCGGTGCCTACTGATCGATCTCATCGCCCACTTAGGCAATCGTGGTTCGCACTTGACGCCACACTTCCGCATCTTGCATACGACCTATGGACATCAAATAAGTGAGTCCAAGGCTACGAAACAATAAAACAATGAGCTGAATACTTACGCATACCTATGCTGATGCCATTGAAGTGGGTAGATGGCAGGAGAAGGGGCAAGAAGGAGTGAACAGGCTCTGGACTGGCAGCATGAGGGCATGTGGGGGGAGGACAAGCCTGCAGAAGGTAAGCCAGCCTTTATTACCCTTCGCATACTGATCAGAGGTTCTGGCGGTGGTGATGTTACCCTGGTTGCGAGGGTGCAGGCGGTGATCTGTTCCAATCAGGTAAGTGTGACAGCGCCAGTGCTCGCATGCGATGGGAGAACTCCGCTCCATCAACTTCTATTATGAGCATCTGTCACATCACTCCGGCAGCAAATCCCAACTCAAGTCTCAGTGTGCCTCAAGCATTTTAAGAATATTTGAGTGTTTTCCAAAGTGATATGCACTGGACTTAAGACTTCAGAGAGACTCAAAGGTCAAAAATTTACTGGCTAAGCATTTTAAATGGGTCAATTCAAACTTGAGCTTAAGCACTCAGTCTCCAGCATCAATGTTTCAACTCTTGATGAAGTCGTGTGAATGCTCACGGCACCTGCTCATAGTTGCCGAATATTTCTCACAATTTTTTAATCAAAATTTTCATCACTTACATATTTTCTGAGAGGTCACAATCTGTGACCCGGTGTGTTTTGTTGACACCGTCGGTGTGAATACTGATTAGATATGATTCAGTGGAATCCTCTCTGATCGGTATTGACATACTCACACATGAACGGAACTCTCGGTCGGGAATGATCCAGACCGGGAGGTTGGCACATCATCACTATAAGCCTGGTTAGTCAGTAAACCAGAAGCATAGGTAAGTACTTCTGCTATCTCTACAGCTACAGATGTAGTCGAAGCACTAATGTACTACAGAGCTCATTGTAACTAATTGTATCTACAGTCCTTACACTCACCTGTTTCGGAGCCCAGAGCATAAGAGTATCCACTACATACCCAGATTACCGGATCAGTCATGTCGCGCAGCGGCAAGCTAGAAAGATGTAGTTGATTGGCAAACTCGACCAGTGAGATGCAAGTCGTATGCGAGTGCAGATAAATCCGGCTACCAAAGGCAGAAGCATTTCGGGCAGATGATGCTGAATGAGTGTGAACAAAGAGGGAGAGCAAGCAACATAGTGGCTTGGTGGATGGGCCCCGCCGCCGCCAAGATAGCATGTACGGATGGATCTGAATATGCGAGACAAGAGAGCGGTGGGATAAATGGACAGAGGATACGGGATAGGTGGAGAGCAAGCAGAGCATCTGGACGCTAGATATCTGCAGCGATCTTGAGTACTTCGGTACTTCGGTTCGAGCGGCCGCGGGAACTTGCAAGAGTAAAGTAGAAACATGTTGTATCGACTTGAAGCTCATTCGAGAACGATAGCGAGAGGGACAGAGCTCAGCGCTCAAGCACAACGCAAGGCCTCGGAGTGAGAGGGACCGGACGCTCGGATCGAGGCAGACATCGAAGTTCAAGACATGTCAGACGAAACCGAGTTGTGGCGTTCAGCCACATTTGGCAAGTCTCTGCGCAAGTACGTCTGTACGTTCAACTTCAATTCTTCTCTGCGTCTCGCCGTCCGTTGAGCTGCTCTTGTCTGCAGGCCTCTCGCGTCGTTTATTTCTCAGTGCTTACAAGTATGCCTCTCGTTCACAAATTGTCTGGCAACACTCGCGGAAGCCGAGTTTCTGGATTCTGCACTGGCTGTGGTTTTTGCACAGCGATCGAAACCTTGCTCGTTCCCTCGACTGGGTGCTTTCTTATGTCGTCGAACCGATCACTTTGGCTCATGCACCGGCACTCGCACCCGCTGTAGTGGAGCCTGCGCCGATCCTCTAGCGGTCGAGTATTCTGGCTGTAGCCGTGGCTGTTTGAATGCTCAAGGTCGCGCGATCAAAATGACTTCATCCGACGATCTCTCCTCGTCTCTCGGGATCGTGTATCTCATCTGTAGGCGAGTCCTCGACCGTCACAGGCACAAGCAGGTACGGACATTATTCTAATTCTTTTACTCACATCTACCCGAATAAATTGCTGCAAGTCACCAATTCCGGAGTGGAGCGAAGCGCGCAACAAAATATTTTTTCTGACGACATCAGCCTCCGCTCTGGACTCTGGAGCCGTTTCCGGCTCGTTCTATGTCTCGACGTCGCTAAGCAGAGCACGGCGGTGGTGCGAGAAGCGCGGCGGGCAGATCTCGCGATCGGTGAGAAGCTGCTGGAGGTACACGGGGCGGGCCCATGCGATCGCAAACGCCGCGCTAATTTTTCCCGTTCGTTGCAGACGTCATCACGGCCGTCGCGTTCTCTCAAGGGAGAATGCCCGCGGTGAATTCTCTCACCGGTGGAGCACAGCGAGCTGTTCAATGCGGCTCGTGCAACGACGTGCCATGCCTCGGCGAGTTTGCATTTGCGAGGGGAGAGCACCGGAGGACAGAAGAGCACGCAATGCAATTTGCACCGTATGGATGGAACGTACGTACGTGCGGTGTTTATTCGCGTATTATCTGTGACACTAAACGTCTGATCGCGTTGCGAAGGTCCGTGCGCGGCGCAAATTCGTTACGGCGAACCTGAACGATGCGACGGCATGCCGTTCTGCATTATCCAGGACTCGTCCGAGCAGCTGCCGGTGTGCCTTTCAGAAGTCAGACTGGCTGCATCCCGGTGGACGCCCTTTCTGCGCCTCAGGACGGGCACTGGTGCAATCGTCTTTCGATTCTATGAATTTCTACGTGGTCAGGAAACGGTGCATGCAGCACGCAGAAGGACGCCTCCGGGGATAAGACGACGACGCGCGCAAATACGATGACGAAGCGAAGCGCACGTACGTATTCGCGCACTTCTTCCGTTTCACGCCTTCCCCCTGGCTTCTGACTTGGAACTCCTGGCCCGTCAGACCCTGGATACGGATGCGAGGAAACCGGTGGCCGATTCCAGACGACGGAGCTGGCGGGATTGGGGTGGGGACTGGGATGCAGCGCGGTATAAAAAGCCGTGGGTTTGGGCTGCAGAGCTCCAACTTCTCCCCGGCGTTGCTCACCAGCAGCGTCGTTCCGCCTCCCTTATCCCTCCACTCGTGGGCTCCTCGGTGCCCGTGCGTGTCGCTCTTCGATGTCCGAGCCTGCAGGTGAGTACTGTGCGGTTTTCTTGCTCTTCTGGATGGTGACGCACCTTACCCGCCACGCGAATGCCGCACAACGTCGGAATCGACCCCAGATCGCTACGAGAATGCTTTGGACAGCGCGGGTGAGCCCGTTACGTATTCCCCGACACTGCGGAGGCTGACGTCTTCGAGTAGGGCCCAGGTTTCGACGTCGACGCCAGCGTTGTGCAGAACGCGGCTAGAGCGTCACAGATGAGATGCTGCGACGCGTTCTCTGGTGCGGCGCGATGCTGACACTCTGCTAGGTGTCGTGCTGCCGACGTGAACCTCGCAGCACTCGGCGTCGTGCGTGAGTCTACGTCGGGCTGGTATGCTGTGTCGCGCGGCTGGATGTGGCCCTGGGTGCTGCTGGTAGTATAGATCCGGGCTGTACTCCCCGGCGCTGTTCTGCCGGCTGAGACGTCGACGTTGCGTAGCCCGTTCCGTGATGCGGCGGAGCGCTCGCACAGACGGAACAAGTAGATCGACGTAGATTTTACGGCGTCGGCGCGAATTTGACCAGAGAGCGCGTGTGATGTCGAGGATGTCGTGCTCGTGATCCTCGCGCTGGCGCGTGTCTTGCGATCTTGGGGGATTGGCGCGCTGTTGCGTGGATGCATGAGTGCTGCCACGGAGGTGGTGGAGGGAGGTTGTTATGTACCTACCCTCTGTGGTAGATATCTTAACGCCTGGACACGCATGCCTCCACCGCACTTCGCTACGCGCCTGAACGCGGCGGTTTTTTCGTTGACGGGCGCGTCTCGAGACGCCGAGTCGATCGTGCAGGCCGTTGCGTTCGTCCGAATAGCGATGGCGGGAGCACGCAGTCGACGTACTGCGCGGCGAGATGTGTCCTCGCCCGTGGAAGGAATGCGTGTGTAGTAGAGTTGAGAAAATATATTATATTTTTCGTGTCCGCGCGGTGTCTACGTACGAACGTGCGACAGGATGCGCACCTTCGCGATGCGCAGAGGTCCCTTGTCATTGCATACGCTGTTGACGCCGCACGTCCACCGGTCGCGATGCCCTTCACGACGCGCGCGTGAGGGCTCGTTCATTCTGCGAGACGGCCTCCGCGTCCGCGTGTGCGTATTGATCCACGCGCAGCCAGCCGCAAATAGATTCCTCACCGGGCTGCGGACCGCGGACCGCGCGAGTCGTGGTCTCCACACGGGAGGCGGCGGCCGTCGTCTTGCGTGAGGCGTCCCGTCTGTTGTGCGAGGAGGTCGTTCCACACTAAAGGCAGCAGGCGTAGTCCGCCTCGGCTCGTGAACGCGTTCGGTCGTCCTCTGCGCGGATCGTGTTGGGCAGCCTCTCGCTGAGATGTAGGGGCGCGCGCGTTGGCTCTGCGGGCAAAGTTCAGACTGGGGACGAGCCTCCCGCACCGGGGATCTCGTACAGTTGGGGCGAGGGTCGAACGCGTGCTGGGGGAAGTGCGATGTCGTCAAAGTGGAGGGCCGCGTCTTCGTTCTTCTATGCGTCCGGTGGTCCGACTGCACTGTCAGCCATCGTGCTGCCTCTTGCTGAGGGCACGCGATCTGGGAGTAGCGGAAGGGGAAAGGGGCGAGCGTCCGCCGGGGAACTCCTCATGTCGACGAGCTCGGAGAGTCGAGGGGAGGATCGATGCGCGACGACGAAATTCCCTCGTCACTTTTGCGCGTCCGCTGAACGTTCTCGCTGTGGAGCAACGCTGGCACGGCCTCTTGCTGAGATCCTGCGAGTGGAGAGACGCCCGGGCTTGCTGTTGTCGCACCGCGGAGGTCGATGCGCGAGAGTCGGTGGGGGGACGGGCAGTGCGCAGAAGCAGGAGAGCACGTAGACACTCACCGACAGCGACTCAGCCGTGCAAGTCGATCACGGGCGACGTCCAAGCTGGACGGTGGATGGCAGTCGAGAGCGCCGGGATGTCATCGGAGGCTGGTGGAGCGCACGCCAAGGATGCTGCGGGGAGAGTCAGTCCGCGGAGGCGGGAGACGTCAGAGGACGAGTCGAGTCAGAGTGACGACATCCGACTTGGGCGGAGGGATGGAGACGAGGGACGCCATCGAGCACAGTGGGTGCATGCGCGGGAAGCTCGGCCAGGGGCTCTGAGATAGCCTCGGGACCAGATCGACTGATCGGGGCAGATGTAAGCCAGATGCGTCAGCGGCCAATCCATCCGAACACCGTATTTTCGAGTCCTGCGTTGCACCTGAAGAAATCGATTCAAATATTGCAAAAAACGTCGCACAGGGAGCTCACCTAGCGCACAGACCGGGCGGAAGACCAGAAGAGGAGCGAAATAAATTACCCGCCCCGTCGTCGTGAGGTGGAAGATGAGTCGTGCCGTCTGTCCGCGTCACCTTCTCCGAGATATAAGAGGCACTCCGCACGCCACTCTCAGGCGCTCTGCTGCTTTCGTTCTCACCACGTACCTCCCTCTCCACCCAGGCCCTCCACCGTCATGGCCGACCAACCCTCCAAGAAGCGAGGTTTCTTCTCTCGCAAGGAGAAAGGCGATGCGATCTCCGAAAGCCAGCTCCAGGTCGTACCCTCAACAGAGTCGTCCTCCAAGGAACAGCCTGAGGAACCCCCCGAGTCCGCCAATGCACCGCAGTCACAGGTTATCCAGCCAGTCTCTTTTGTTTCGCTTTTCCGGTGAGTGCCCCATGTTCTGCCATCGTTACGGGCACCGTCTCATTCGATCCAGATTCTCTACCAGGACCGAGTTGACGTTCAACGTTATCGGCGTGATTGCCGCGGCGGCTGCAGGTGCTGCACAGGCGAGTCCGACATGCGTCTCGTTCTGTCCCTGATCGCTCACAGCGTCGTCCCCGTACCGCAGCCGCTCATGTCCCTCCTGTTCGGGAACCTGGTGCAAGCGTTTGTCACCTTCGGCTCGACGGTGCAGGAGTCCAAGGCGGGAACCCTGACGGACCCGGGCGCCCTGACGGCGGCGGAGAACCACTTCAGGACGACGGCGGCAAAGGATGCGTCGTACCTGGTGTACATCGGACTCGGGATGTTCGTGTGCACGTACGTGTACATGTTGGTATGGGTGTACACGGGAGAGGTGAACGCGAAGCGGATTCGGGAGCGGTACCTGAAGGCGATCCTGCGGCAGGACATCGCGTTCTTCGACCACGTCGGGGCGGGAGAGGTGGCGACGCGCATCCAGACGGACACGCACCTGGTGCAGCAAGGCATCTCGGAGAAGGTCGCGATCTGCGTGAGCTTCTTTGCGTCGTTCGTGACGGGATTCGTGCTTGCGTACGTGCGCTCGTGGCGGCTCGCGCTCGCGCTGTCGTCGATGCTTCCGTGCATCGCTGTGACGGGCGGGGTGATGAACAAGTTTGTGTCGAGGTACATGAAGTGCGTACGGTCCGTTCCCGTCGCGGCTTCGTTATATTGACGGAATTTCGGTGCAGGCTGTCACTCGCGTACGTCGCGGACGGTGGCACTCTTGCGGAAGAGGTGTTTTCGACGGTGCGCACGGCTCAGGCGTTCGGCACGCAGGAGGTGCTCTCGGATCGGTACAACTCCCACATCCTGCTCTCACGGCGTGTGGACATGAAGGCAGCGGTCTTCCACGGCTGCGGTCTTGCAGTGTTCTTCTTTGTGGTTTACGGCGGTTACGCCCTCGGTGAGTCTGTGATTTTTTCCCCGAGTGCGTTGGTGATATTGACTGGTTGTAGCATTCGATTTCGGCACGACACTGATCGACAGGGGTGAGGGCACGGCAGGACAAGTTGTCAATGTGATCCTGGCCATTCTCATCGGTTCGTTCTCTCTGGCGCTGCTTGCGCCGGAGATGCAAGGTATGTTGCACCTGTATCCCTCGGTCTACCAATTGACCGTTCCATGCAGCGATTACGCACGGGATGGGTGCGGCGGCGAAGTTGTACGAGACGATCGACCGTGTGCCGCCGATCGACTCGCAGGACGAAAGCGGACTGAAGCCAGAGAAGTGCGCGGGGGAGATCACGTTCGAGAACGTCAAGTTCAACTACCCTTCGCGGCCGGAGGTGCGGATCGTCAAGGACCTCACGATCCAGTTCCCGGCGGGGAAGACGACGGCGCTGGTGGGCGCGTCGGGCTCGGGCAAGTCGACGGTGATCTCGCTCGTGGAGCGGTTCTACGACCCGCTGTCGGGGAGTGTGCGCCTGGACGGTCATAGCCTGCGAGATCTGAACGTCAAGTGGCTGCGTTCGCAGATCGGCCTCGTCTCGCAGGAGCCCACGCTGTTCGCGACGACTATCCGTGGGAACGTTGCGCATGGGCTGATCGGCACAGAGCATGAAGATGCGTCGGACGAGGTGAAGATGGCGCTCGTGAAGGAGGCGTGTGTCACGGCGAACGCGGACGGGTTTATCTCCAAGCTGCCGTTGGGTTATGAGACTATGGTTGGTGAGCGCGGTTTCCTGTTGTCCGGCGGCCAGAAGCAGCGTATCGCCATCGCGCGCGCCGTTGTGTCCGACCCGAAGATCCTCCTGCTCGACGAGGCGACCAGTGCACTTGACACCCAGAGCGAAGGCATCGTGCAGAACGCGCTCGACAAAGCCGCTGCGGGCCGCACGACCATCACCATTGCCCACCGCTTGTCGACGATCAAGGATGCGGACCGTATATATGTCATGGGTGACGGCCTTGTGCTCGAGTCGGGCACCCACAACGAACTACTGCAGGACGAAAATGGACCGTATGCGCGTCTCGTGCAGGCCCAGAAGCTTCGCGACAACAAGGAGAAGCGCGGCGGCAACGGCGGCGATGATGGTTCGAGCGACACCGTCGCAAGCGTTGAGGAAGAGGAAGAAGAAGACTACGAGAAGGCTGCTCAGGAAGAAGTCCCCCTTGCCCGCGAGAAGTCGGGTCGTTCCCTCGCCAGCGAACTCATGGAGCAGAGGATGAAGGAACACAGTGACCGCACAGACAAGCAATACAGCATGTATTACCTTATGAAGCGCTTGGGTGCGATTAACAAGGCGAGTTGGCCCAAGTACATGTTTGGATTTGTGGCCGCTGTCGGTGCGATTATTTTTCACTCCGTGTTGCTCATTGTTTAATTGATTTTTTTAACAATAGCTAACGGGGCGACCTACCCGTCGTTCGGTATTGTTTACGGTATTTTTTTCTCCCTTCTTAGTCCGTCTCTGTCTCATATCCACTCCTCTTTTCAGCCAAGGGTATCAATGCGTTCTCTGACACCACAAATGCCCAACGTCGCCATGACGGTGATCGCGTCTCGTTATGGTATATTATTTTATTTCCATTCTGTAGAGTTATCGTTGACGGCATTCTACCTGCAGGTTTTTCCTCATTGCCATTCTCTCCTCCATCGCCATTGGATTTCAGAATCTGCTCTTCGCTTCCACTTCGGCGGAGTTGACAGCCAAGATCCGAACTCTCACATTCCGGGCCATTCTCAGACAAGACAGTGAATACGATTTTTCTATATTACTTTTCGCTCGGCTGATTGTTTTTGCAGTTGAGTTCTTCGACAAGGATGAGAACAATGTGAGTCAACATGCGTGCTGCGACGTGCCAGCGCTGACGAGTACTTTTTCAGAGTGGTCAACTCACATCCACCCTGAGTGACAACCCTCAGAAGGTCAATGGCTTGGCCGGTGTGACTTTGGGAGCGTGAGTGATATTCACAACTTTGTCTGGTCGACGCTTACTGAGGACTTCGGTTTCAATTTTTCAGCATCGTGCAGTCAATGGCTACTCTTGCGACTGGAACTATTATTGGTCTTGCTATCGCCTGGAAACTGGGTCTCGTCGGCTTGGGTAAGTTCGATTGCTGCACCAGTGTGACAAAATGTTCATGGGTTATTTGAAAGCGTGCACACCGATTCTGTTCTCTGCTGGCTTCATTCGTCTTGTGCGTATTCTCAGCGAGGCACCTTACGTTGCATATTAACGTCTTTCATCGTTAGCGCGTGGTTGTTCTCAAGGATGAGCAAAATAAACGCGCTCATGAGCACTCCGCCCAGATTGCTTGCGAGGCAGCAGGTGCAATCCGGACCGTCGCTTCTCTGACACGTGAGGCCGACTGCTTGCGGCTCTACAGCGAAAGTTTGGAGGGCCCGCTCCGCAACTCGAATCGGAAGGCCATCTACTCCAACGCCATCTACGCGCTTTCGCAAGCCATGTCTTTCTTCGTCATTGCGCTGATCTTCTGGTATGGTTCGCGTCTCGTGGCCTCGTTGGAATACTCGACGTTCCAGTTTTTCGTCGGTCTCATGGTCAGTGATGGCGCAGCCATTATTACATTCACAGCGGCAGGCTGAAGTTGTATGTTCCAGGCCTCGACATTCAGCGCGATCCAGGCCGGGAACGTGTTCTCGTTCGTCCCTGATGTTTCCTCCGCGAAGAGTTCTGCCTCCGATATCGTTACGCTCTTGGACATGCGCCCTGAGATCGATGCGCAGTCGAAGGAGGGCGAAATTCCTTTGACTGTCGAGGGTCATATCCGGTTCGAGGATGTTCATTTCCGCTATCCTTCACGTCCCGGCGTGCGCGTGCTCCGCGGCCTGAACATTACGGTCGAACCCGGCACATACGTCGCGCTCGTCGGTGCCAGTGGATGCGGCAAAAGTACCACGTACGTATTCCGGGTTATACCTGTACTGTCCATGACATTGACGGTTCGAAACCAGAATTCAACTCATCGAGCGGTTCTACGATCCTCTGTCAGGCGAAGTCTATGTAAGTTAACGCTCATGGTTGTCTTACTGCATGTCCTAACTCATCCTTTCGTTAGCTCGACGACCAGCCCATCCACAAGTACAATGTGTCGGAGTACCGGAAACACATTTCTCTGGTATCACAGGAACCGGTGAGCGGCAGCGTGACTTCCTGCATTGGCAACCGTACTGAGAAGATGTAGACGTTGTATGCGGGAACCATCCGATTCAATATTTTGCTGGGCGCCACCAAGCCCGAATCTGAAGTCACACAGGAGGAGATCGAAGACGCTTGCCGCAATGCGAATATCTTGGACTTCATCGAGTCATTGCCTCAGTACGTGTTAACGGCTGGCGCTTTGAGAGTTGATGGACTCACCTATATGTTCAGGGGCTTCGATACCGAGGTTGGTGGTAAGGGTTCGCAGCTATCTGGTGGACAGAAACGTAGGCTTTCCCGTATTCGACCGCTATCTTCAGTGGTCTGATCGTTACTCCAGAACGCATCGCGATCGCGCGCGCTCTGCTCCGAAACCCCAAGGTGCTGCTTCTGGATGAAGCCACGTCTGCCCTCGATTCCAAATCGGAGAAGGTTGTACAGGAAGCTTTGGATCAGGCAGCAAGAGGTCGCACGACCATAGCCATCGCACATCGTCTGTCAACGATTCAGAACGCTGACCGCATGTAAGCAGCTTCAGAGAAGTTTTCGGAGGCGCTTTGTCTGACTTTACGTCGTAATCTTGTCGCAGATACTTCATCAAGGATGGAGTAGTCAGCGAATCAGGTACCCACGACCAGCTGCTCACACTCAAGGGCGGCTACTACGAATACGTGCAATTGCAGGCTCTGAGTAAGACTTAAACGAGCGGACTTTTTTTCTGACTTATTTTATCTTGATCATCTGCATTGCCACGCACTTCTCACGCACTACATTCATTAATTTGCACGCATGGTTCGCGGTACGACACGATGCTATGAGGTGAGCATCATGATGCACATAGATACCTCCCGTCGATCCCTCGTTTGCGCTTTTTTCTGTATCATTGAACGAGAGGGTTGCGATACGAAGCAAATGCTGTATGCACCGCTTAATCATACCCCACCGCTTGGCAGTGACATGTCCCTTATAGACTTAGGATAGGAATGGATGGTTTTGTCATTGAGGACGTCCAGTCGGACGACAGCGATCGAGCAGGAAACACACTCAATTTTTCGAGCAGTATCAGACGCCTCATCTCCGACAAGTATAGCGGGACGGCGCCATCATGTACAAATGATATAGGTGTGCCTTCGACGTGATAACTGACAAAGGATAGGGTCGTCGCCTCGACATGATGTCCCCGTCACAGTGAGTGGTGATACCGGAAGAACACCCCCGAATGCCACCGTGGGTAACCTGAATGCAATACAGAACAAATTAAAAATAAGCACTGGGCCCCAACACAGAACAAGCACCGACGTCGACAGTCAAAGTCGTAATTACTATCCTTCAAGATCTCAGACTTCGTTTACGATTTGTCCAAGCCCACTGTGGGTTACTGCATATCGGCGGGGAGTAGCAGCCGTACATGCGGCATACGTGTAATGACTGATATTGTATTCTGAGATGACCGCGCGGGACAACGTTGCCAGCTGCAGAGAAATCGGAGCGGATATATACGTATATGAGCGGAATATCGCTGTCAAAGATTTGCTAGTTCACATGAGGAAAATAACGAGTAGATCGTCCAGGAGTCAAGGACCGACTAAATATGTTTCGTAACGATCTCTTTTATAGATGGGATGGATGGTACTGTCCGCCATTCAGAAAAGGAGATACACCATGCAAGACTACTTGTCATAGCGCAAAGGGCTACAGAAACTGTCCACTGTGGGGAAATCAGAGTGTCCTGTCGTGAACGTAATATCGGTTTTGCTAACACACAAAATGCGGCCGTCTAAGTCTGATTTAGGCCGGATTTGTAGCGAGAAGGTCACACTGCAGCAGGCTCGCAACTCGCGCTGGAGCAACGCCAGGAACGACATCGTGTAGTGAGGGGCAGTATCTGAGAATCAAGAACGCCGCGGGCATCCGCAGTGAAAAGAGGCCATCTGCGACGATGCCTGCTGACGAATCAGTAGTGGGTATCCTATCTGGCATTGAATGGTACAAGCGCGGGCGGGGGATAATGGCCCAAGAGTCTATCGGGTGGTTGGTGAGCGTCGATGGCTAGTATGACGGCTGTTCAGAAGCCCTTCAGGCAACCCTCAGAAGATCATCTTTGATGTATGCGTCTCTGAACGCAGCATTCTGGAGAGGAAGGGAAGTCCGAGGCAGGTAAGGGTAGATATCGGAAGCAGCTCGTGGGCATTACAGATTCATCCCACAGTCATGCCAGTAAACAAAGATCCTGAAAGACAAGGTACGCACCATATGATGATCCTCCCGCCTGTAGGAGATCGAACGTCGGCGTCCTTCCACATCGCCAACGAACGTACACCACATATGGCGCGTAAAACTGTGGCCTATGACCGCCACATACGCAAGTAATAATAACATAGACACTGGGAGTGTATGCTCATGGAAGTCCCTGTGGCCTGTCAAATCGAGTTCCATTCCTGAGATGCACAGACCTCTTCCGAGGGCAGAGAACGCGCCGTACATGGTCGGTAACGAGATTAAGAGCTCCGAGCATCACACAGGCGACTTCCATGCGTCAGGATGAGTCAAGCAACCTCGCCGAGGGAGAAGAGCTGTGCGGAAGAGCAGCCTGGGCGGGCGTGGCAGGAAGGCATGCGCACTCGGCCAGGCAGCCTGCGCAAAGGAAGCTCGGTGAACTCCGCTCTAAACAGCGCCCAGCACTGTCATCACATCCCTCACTCCATTCCTCTGCAAAATGTCGGTCGTGCTCAACCCGAGCAACTCTCTCGGCTTCAACAGTGCGTCGTACGGTGCTCAGATCCTCGCTGACGTTGTCTGAGGTGTGGTGTTGTTCAGGACCCCTCACTGAGCATGTCAAGCGGTCGCTCTCCATCTCAAACCACAATGCGCAACCCGTCGCATTCAAGGTCAAGACCACCGCTCCAAAGGTTCATAGAGCTCTTTCGTTGCTGGTAGGTGTGCTGATGTGGACATTTAACCAGTTGTACTGCGTACGCCCGAATTCAGGGAGAGTGGAGCCTGGAGGTACCGTGGAAGTTCAAGGTATGCAGATTGGACCGTTCTCCTTGAATTCAATAATGTTTAATCGGTATGCTTCCTTGTGTAGTCATGTTGCAGGCAATGAAGCAGGATCCACCACTAGCTGCCAAGTGCAAAGACAAGTTCTTGATTCAGAGCACTACCATCACTCCGGAGAAGGAGACCATGCCCCTGCAGGATATGGTGTGTTCATCCTCTATTGTCTTCTTCCTTGCCATGCTGATTCATGTGATGTAGTTCAACGATGCGACCGAGGACGTTCATTCTCAGAAGATTCGAGTAGTGTATCTCCCACCAGAAGGGCAGGCAGTTCCCGAAGAAGACGAGCAACCACACATTCAGAATGTTTCGGATGATGTAAGTGTCTCTCATTGCCGTCCCTCGAATCCCACTCACACTCACTGAAGCACTACGAGACTGTTCGTCAGCACCCTGACGCCAATGGTCATTTCACAAGAGACCCCAGTGGAGCAGATGACGTCCCTCCCCAGCAACAGTACGATGAACATGTGGAAGTGCCATCGACACCGCCTCCAGAGCCTCCCCTACATTCAGAATGGCACGAAGACTCTCACCTCGCGGGCGAGGCGGAGGCCGCAGAGCCGATTATTAACGTCAGCGTGCATGCACCACCGTCTCCGCCACGCCCCGCGCCTGCCCCTCCAGCTCCTGTTTTATCAGACCAGACAGCCGAGCTTGCTGGGAGGTTGCACGAGGCACAGGCGGAGATCGAGCGTCTCCGCAACCTCATCTCATCCATGCCAGAGCCGAGCACGGTGCCCACGGCCATCGCGGCGAGCCCGACGGAGGTCAGACGTCGCAGGCCGTTCTCAGACGACTCGAGCACAACATACGACGGCGAGACGGAGGTTGGGACGTACGTCGAGGACACGCTCGCGCAGCCCGAGGGTGTCCCACTGCAAGTTGTCATCATCATTGCACTCGGGGTCTTCATCACCACGTATCTATTCTTCTGAGCCGTATTCTATTTGTCAGGATGTTCCGTGGCACCTACTTCGTGCCGTGTTTGTTTTGCCTCCGTTCGTTTTGCGTATATACGTTTCCTCGCCATGTCACTTTGCGCCGTACCAGAGTAATTCGTGGGTCTCCAGTCCCCACCCCACGTAGCATCGCTACAGCAACCGTCTTGTTGCGATATTTTCACTATTGATAGGCTCCCAGCCTGTACGGGATCGCTCCCCCATCTTGGTTTCTACTTCATCTGTTTTGCTCAACCGTACATACGCTCACGACTGCCATATATATAGTTAACGGACCAGGAGAGATAATATATTGGATGGAATAGTTTACTGCAGACAACTCTGCCATAATAATCAAAGCGGAATAAGTTACGACGTATGTAGAGTCTACTAGTGGTGTTCCTACTTAGGGTATGTACGTAGACAGCCAGAGCAAGCACGAAAGACAAAGGCATTGAACCCTCGCAGTAGCAAAATATTGAATCAGCGGTCCCTCGTCTAAGTAAGCTTGGGTAAGAATATATAGAGAACTTCGACTATTCATCCTAGCAGGTGACCGACCGGAAGTCACCCTTCTCCCTCGTTCCATTAAGTCTTGTGCGCTTGATTTCTTCGGCCTATAGCTCGCCAGAGGCATTGCCTGCCGCCCAGCCTGTAAGCACATGCTTAGCGGTTGCGTGTGCGTATGGCTCGTGGCCAGTGAGATGATGCACAGCACGGCGCTGAAGAAATTGGACGAGCGTCGGGAGGTAGCTGTATATGATTACCAGCAGAAGCACGAAGGGGGTGAGGTACACCATGACTGGATATCGTAAAAAAGCACACCGTGTTAGGTTATTAGCAGTGGACACGGAGCGTAAGATGGTAACGTACGCACGAGTACCTTCTCCCAGGATTCAGCGCTCTCCAATCCGAAGGTCGTCTCGAACCATAGCCGCTTGCGCCAGATGAAAGCAGCGACTGGGCTCCGTGGGGGCTTGTAGGGAAGGCGCAGGCTGAATAGCACTTCCGCCGTTGTGGGCACGGCCTTCCACCGCTCGAGCGAGCACTCTGGCGTCGGCATTGGATATAGGGTATGAGTGGTGTGGTATAGAACGTTATGCAGGGTTTTGGGCGTCCAAAATATGAGGTATAGGGTGCGGAAGAGAGAACAGAGGAAAAGTCGACCTGCGAGCGGTGATAAAATTGCAGCAATAGATGAAAGGCGAGTAAGATACTAGAAGAAGGGCTGTAGTGTGGATGGAAAGAAAGCGTCGAGTTTGAGGAGATCGCCCATATATACAGGGAGCATAGCGGTGGCAGTGTTTCACGTCAAAATCACAGTGCACAGGATCGCACCTATCATTCACTTGCAATGCTAGTCACACTAAATCGCCGGGACCGTATGCGATCTTGACAATTTTACTGTTCGTGAGCATGCCATCAATTCCGATGGCAGTTCGCTACGTCCCAAGATGGAGCGCTTTTTCCAATGCGCGGTGGCAAAACAACCTATCAAGTTTTAGTCAGCTGAGATAGCGAGACGCTACTACTGTATACTGACCGTCCATCCCTGGAAGCTGAGATCAACCCGACTCAGGCCTCTCCAAGCGACAAGCGCACCAGGAGCTCCACGTCATATCAAGATCCATGATGCGGCTACAGAGCTCTTTCGCTGCAGCAAGGCTGTGTAATCGACAACGATATAGCGCCCAGTAGCAGAGCCTTAACCGACTCGCGCGCGCAAGTCAGTTATAGACTTATAGTTCTGCCATCTCCTCAACAAAGGCCAGTTTCAGATCCGAGGTGCCTGCCCCCAGTGGCGCCGTCCTAAGCCGAATGAGCTGGTAAAGGGGACTGTCAGCACAGCCCAATTCGCCGAAAGAGTCAAGGCCAGCCACCTGAATTAGCGCATTCAGTGATCATATGGAGCTTAAAGATGAGATGCAGATGAAGTCCTTGTACAGCCATCATATCAGACTGTCAACTCTCGTCAACTTCAGGCTTGAATCACCATATCTCCTGTTTCCTGATCCCTCGACGACCATAAAAATTGAAGGCCACTTAGCAGAATGCTCGGCCATTGCAATTGATCGCTACTGAATTCTTAATACACCCGGTTGAACATCCTGGGATCAAGTTCATACAGATGCTGGGGAGCTCAATTTGTTGGTTGCAATAGAACCATCAGCTCATGAAGTGCGACCACCAATTTTCATCGAGGATTATCACTCGTGACGTCAAACCTTGTCCCGTTTCGACAATGATATCTTTCTGCAATCAGACGCATCAGGGAAGTAGTCGAGAGTATACGATCGTCTCACTGGTACGGTGAGGCACACATTACGTCGATTCTGTGCGCTGCTCCAAAAGATCATACATTCAGAGAATCTGGCAACGCTTGTGATAAGATGCGACATACTAACACCAAGGCAATTCTACTTACACGCACCAGACAGTCTCAGCGAACACTACACAGAGCAGACCTGCAGAGTCTCATCACGCAGGACGATACCAGAACTGGACGGGCAAGCGATGGAGGAACGGCCTACGCGGAGCAGAAATTGCCGAGCATAATCTAAAGCCAGTGTGCCTCCAATATCGGGGGCTGGGTTTGTGTATAACAAAATCCGAAGATTAGATGAGTAGCCCACAAATGAACTTTTCCAGTGATCGTTCGGCGAGACGTCATGGATAAATCGTGCCGCCATGCGAAGGCACCAAACGATGCGTGCGCCTGCAAATCTTCAGTCCTTCAGACTCGCCAGCAGCCGCTGCCTGCTCTCCGCCTCCGCTTTGGTTATCCTTGCAAATCCACGCGTACCACGCCCCATGAGCTTCTTCGTCCGCCGCATCTCTTCGTTCGCTCGAATGTGCGCCGCAAGCGCAGCGGCACCATGTGTGATACGCTTCTTCGACTCCTTGTAAGGCCCCACAGTCTTCGCCTTCAATCCGACTCCGAGGCGGTCGGATTTGAGCACCGTGGGGAGCGGTGTAAGCAGTGCGGTAGGATTGTGCGAAGAGAAGGTGGAATAGGAAGTCCCGGACAAATCCTCCAGTGACTCGCCTTCTACTTCCTCCTCTTCTTCCGCTTCTTCGCGCTCCGAGTCGGATACCGTGAGGTCAATTACGTCCACCTCTCGCAGTTCACTGATTTCCTCATCGTCCCCACACTTCACTTCGCGCTCCTCCTTCTTGACAACTATCGGCCTCTCCTGCCGATCCTTCTTCGCCTTCGCCTTCCTTGACGTCTCCGACTCCTTAGCTACGGCACGGCGCAGCACCCCAGGACCCAAAGGCTCTCCCTCGCTCCATCCGCTCCGCTGGAGCATAGCGAAACCCTTGTTCGTCGGGCCGAGCGCAAGGAACACCGGCGGAGCAAAGCGCCTCTCTGAGGGCAGCGGAGGAGGCTCGCGCGAAAGAATGTCCGCAAGGGTGGGTGCAGGAGTCGACCGCGTTGTCGCTGGCTCAGATTGAAGCGCCCTCGAGATGAACCAATCTTTCTTGCTCTTCCTCCTGTCTACCTCTTGCCTCTGACTTGTAGGCGGCACTGCTAGGTGAGCAATCGAAATAGACGCTGCCGTGGCAGGTGCTGGGCTGGCTAGAGGAGAAATGGTGGAAGTCACCGTGGACGACACTGCTACTGCAACTGCAGGTGCGCTGGTACTTCGAGCCTGCTGTGTCAGAGATCTGTACCACCCGCTCACATCATTGGTATTGACCTGCTCCGCTCGCGTAGCCGGACCAAGCGAGGTCTCGCTCATCTTATCATTGATCTCGTCGTAGGAAACTATTGCTGGCACGAACCGCGGAGCAAGTGCGCGTCGCTGGGCACCAAACGCTGACTCCGTCTGCCATGGGTCGATCTCTGGCTCAGGCGGAGCCTCTGGGACTTGGCCAGTCGCTCGTTCGAGAGCTTCACGCTGCGCAGGATCATAATGAGAATAGATGTAGTGGGTTACAGTAGCCATAGTCCCGCTAACAGTGCAAGAACAAGAAGAACAGACTCGGAGTGTCGAAGAACAAGTATTAAGCGCCCCATGTATGTGATTTATACTTACGTCAGTTGCGTTCAGACGCCCGATCTAATAAATCATCTCACTGCGAATGAATTGTTGGCTAGTGATATTACGGGTGCGACGTGTCCTGTACAGCGTAGTATAGATACACTACTATCGTAGAGTTACAAGGGAACGGGCAGAAACTGGGAAGGGGTAAAGCAATACGTTAATTTATGCATTCGCGAAAGCAACATGAAGCGTAGGATGTCCTGGGTATCAAAAAACATCATGCACAGAAAAGAGGATGGGCCCCCGCGCTTCGTGCCTTCAGTCCGAGTTTCGATTTTTCGGTGCAGCACAAAACAGCAGCGAAGGAGATCAAACGTACGGCAGAAAGAGGGCTCAGAAGAAGACTGTGTGTCCCGTCAGAGATGATATCCAGAGGTCCTGAGACTGTCGCAGAAGGGTGACCGAACGTCGGTCAAGGTATATATCCAAATCCCTGTCCAAGTCTCCAGACGACGCCATTCTATGTCGTAGCTTCCCCCCACACCCCTTTGACAGTCTCGCACTTGACCTCCGCGACATACATGCGCAACCATTGCACCATCTCCTTGCTGATCTGATGGCAGCGCGTCAGGTCGACGGACTGCAGGCGGTGCGGCCAGACGCGCGCAGTCAGGGCTTGGTTTGCGGAGGAAGTGACCGGCACCCGCGAGAGAATGTGCGCATGTGCGGCGAATTCCGAAGCTGACGACGTCGAAGGGTGCGTTGGCTGTGGTTCTGCGGAGGTGGGAAGTTGGCGGGGAAACGCGCGGGTTTGGGCGGGTAGGCGCGATTCGACGAATGACCGTAAGGATTCCCAGTCAAGCGAGGTGCATCCTTCCAAACTCAGACTTGTTAACTTGGGACAGATCCATGTCTGCGAAGCCGGTGGCGTTGACAGATTCTGGCAATTGAAATCCGTCAATAAAAGCCTGTGCTTCAAAAGCCAATCAAATACCTTCATCAAATTTGACGAGGCGTCCTCCACATCCACCAGTTCGAGCGTAATCAGAGCAGGAAGCCGACGCAGTAACCTCACAAGCTTCAGCTCATTGAAGAAACTGGCTTCGATGCGAATGTGGTGCAACGGCAGCGAAGTCAACGACTGACGCCGCAGATGCTCCACGACCGGAGAGACATTATCCAAGAAGCACAGCTCGATTCTCTGCAGTGCAGGAAAGGAGAGCATGCTCAGTATCGTTCGCGTACGTACAACGCCGGAGTAGTAAAACGACGCCTTCACGAGCCGCGGCAGTTGGATTGTCCTGGAATCGCTGACCCGCACGAGCTGCTCCGGAACCCCATCATGTTCGGGAGGGTCAGTATCAAACGTCGCACATGAGTCCGGGTCCACGTCAGACATGTTTCGCAGTGCAAGCTCCTCCAGCTGCGGACACGCGCGGAGCATCCCCAGGATGACATCCATGGAGGGCGTGAATCCATTCCAGTATCCACCCAACTTGAGCACGCGCAGCCGGTTAACGAGTCTGAGATCCCAATTGAAGTTAAACGAGGTGAACGAGCACGAGCGGAGGTTGGGCGTGTAAGCGGCGAAGAGCGGGAGTGGCGGATGCGAGTAGTGGTCTTCCTGCATAGAATGCGAGACACGCACCGAGAGCACCTCGAGTAGTGGTGCACGATCCTTGCATCGCGTCAGCGCGGCATGCGCCTGCGGGCGGTTCAGGATGGTCAACTGAAATGAACGCCACCGCCAAATCGAGGGACGTAAGAGGTCCATCGCTAGCATGATGTTCTCCGTCGTGACGCTGCCATGCTCCATCCGTGGGCTGAAGTCCACGCATATGTACAGAGGCGCAGACTTCGACCTGTCAAGCTTCAATCGCACTCTGTCTAGCGAATGCCGTGTGCCAGCTACGATCCGCGACCACAACACCGGAGTACCGAGTGCGACCTCTCGCCAATACCGGCAGACGAGCATCAGGGTTGACATCATGAGCGAATCCTCCTCCTCTCCATCTAGCACGCCGATCACGAAGATCGAAGCGAGGAGCTCATTTGGCAGCCGCTGGATGGGCGACTGCAGTCGCACGGCCTGCTCCAGTTTCGACTCGAGCAGATCCCGCTGGGTCAGCAATGACGCCATCTCTGATTCAAGGCTATGCAGGGCCTCTCGCAGGTGTGGGATCGACAGGGGTTGCGCTGGTCTCCGGGAACGGGATGCTCGCGAGATGTCAGCGTGCATCCCACCCATGTCTTGGGCCTTCGGGAACGAACTGAGATTTGGAGGAGGGTCGACTGAATACGTGACAGGAGCAGGAATCGCTGGGAAAACATCATGATACTCGTACGGAGGTGGAGAAGCTAGTTGGTTTGAAACCCAGGAGAAGGTCCTCGAGCGAGCTGGGTCGACTGCAGCGTACGCCATAATTGGCAAAGGGGGTGTGCTGGGCTGCCTGTGTGAAGTGCAGGAATGCAGAACCGGCGTACGGCGCATCCAAATTTAAGTCGCGAGTCCTGCACCTTCGTTGCTTTGAAATCTCCAGTCGCCACACAGTGGATTAAAAAGTGCTTGTTTCGTGAAGAGAGGCGCTCCGAGGTGGCCTTGCTAGCTTTAAATGGGACCCTGAAGAATGGAGAGTGGTCACAAAACACTAGACAATGCAGTGCGGCGTCAGTTCAGAGTCTGAAACGGAGGCAGATGGGTTCGCAGTGTGACGCTAGCTGAAGCTGGTCCGAGAACGGAGGTCGGGGTGGAGTAGCGACTCACCTGAGCATCTGCAACCTCAAACTGAGATGGCCTAAGACTCGGTGGGCTGGGGTGGAGGACGAGGGTGGGGAAGGGGAAGCATATGGGGGAGAATATAAGTTGGCGGGCGATTTGACATTGATAAAGAGTTTTGTTGTGCGGTGGGTGATGGAGGAGCACGAGGCTGGGTGCATGTTCAGTCCGAACGGTACATGCCATTCGAAGTGTTTAAAGCTGACCTGCAACGTGGGACGTCGAACAACCACAGGCAACACGAGGTTAGAAACGAGGCAGAGATGGCGCAAAGTACCTGCCACACCCTTCGGCTCTTAAAGATATCCTCCTCAACCGGCCACGCGGACCCAAAGAACTTTTCCCTCTCTTATCACTCATCCCCGGTCCCCTGGGCTCGCAGCAGCGACGCAGCATTCGCGGGAACAGGTTGTACATGTTTTCATTTTAGCAATTTACATTGAGAACTGCACCAGATCTCTACCACGCTCCTCAGCACCCCGCTCGCCTATGAGATGTGCGCCTATCTATCGTCTGATAGTACATAAACTGGCAAAGCACCTGCAAGAGCGTTTCAGTTGACGGAGAGAACAGAGTTGCATGAACCATCTTACAAAGACGTCCAAGAACACCGTCAAAGTGCTCCCTAGCGCCGCCCACCCGCAGTCCATCAGCAGCGCGCTCTCCTATCGCATACAAGCGGCTCACCGGCAATCCACGATGCATTCGCAATGAGATGCTTCATGTCCATTGACGCCGCCAAAATGGCAAGAAAGTACGTCGTGTTTCCGGTGATTGAGTACACGAACAGGAAGGGGGACAGCCCCGCACATCTGGTGCTGACATTTTTGACTGCGACCACCCGAGATTAGCCCTTCATCATGGCAAAGGAGGTAACATGCGCACCTATCTGTGGTATCCTCGCCCCCACTAAAGCTACTGTGAGCCATTGAAGCGTACATTGCCACGCGCCCCACTTACAAAACATTGCAGCGCTGGCCCAACCCAGCGCCTGGCTCTTCCACTCGAGGACCTCGTCAGGCTTGGAGCTAGACGCACCCTTATGGAAGTATTCATCCACCGTCCATGCCACTACTCCAACGGCTGAAACAAATACAAGGGCACCTGCATATTTTATAACCTCGCGGACCATAGGAGGATTCGCCTTCTCTCCCTGGCTGTCCAGTAGCGGGATACTTTCATCGGGATATTCCGAGGACACTGGTGGCTCGTCAGGTATGAGGAGTGATCCCTTCGACAGTGCAGGGTTTGTTCGGCGATAGTAGTATATCTGGAACAGCAGTATGGAATCGCATACAGCATACTAAAGTAGGGCATACTACGTGAGAGCTCCGAGACGCACTGCGAGGGAAGCATACTCACATAAGCAGAAAGAATGATGATATTGGGAAGAAGGCCAGCCAGCACCGAGCCAGTCAGACTGCAGAGATCTCCGGCCAACCAGATTACGACAAAAGGCACACTGAGACCTTCACCGGACTTGAGCTGGTAGTTTTCGATGATCTGCGGAGAGTACACAACGAGCCTGTCGTGACATCATCGTACAGAGATTTGTCTGGGCCACACACAGCAGCAATCAAGCGAGCTCACCAGCAGGCAATAGATACCCAACCCAGCTGCGTGTGTGATAGTTGAGTGAGAACATCGGCATGCTGGTTAGGTAGTGCTGCATACGACACTGCTCAGATTCTGGTTCCCGCGGGCATCCATAGAATTACTCTTGGATACCTACGCGATATCTTGCGAGGCTTTGACACTGTTCCGGCAATGAGAGCACGATTTTGACAAGCTTGAGAGGCTGCACGGGTCGGCGAGCGTCTGAGTCAAGAAGAAAAGCGTCCGGAAGTTGCCGCGACCAGCTGCCGGAATCTGTCGTCAGTGCACGCGCACCGGCTCACGACGTCGTTGAGCGCACTCTCCGTCTCCTCTTCAGCGATGAATGGCCCAGAAGCTTTCAGACGGTTTGCTCAACAGGTCCAACGTGCAAGCCAAGGCGGTGGCGGTCGTATGCCCAGCGGCAAGGGGCTTACCGCTGGAGGTGGTCTGTTGATCGCTCTCATAGGCGGAGGTCTCGCGCTTAACGCAAGCTTGTTCAATGGTTCGTCTTACTTTGAGCATGTGCTAAAGCTATTGGAGGCTGAAATTGAAAATCGTGCAGTTGATGGTGGTCACCGTGCTATCAAATACACACGGTGAATGGGATATATAACTGACATAAGTCTAGAGGGCTTACACACTCGCGCAGGTTGAACGGTGTGACAGAGACCGTCTACCCTGAAGGAACTCATCTCATGGTACGTTGTTCTACTTGTTTTGTCCCTGGTGCACTGCAAGATGAGAGTACAGATCCCCTGGTTCGAGACACCTATCGTCTTCGACATACGTGCAAAGCCACGTAACATCGCCAGTCTCACAGGCACAAAAGGTATCTTTCTCAATACAGCATATCATGTCGAGTATTACTGACATTAGTGCATAGATCTCCAGATGGTCAACATCACATGTCGTGTACTGTCAAGACCCAACCCCAGTTCGTTACCTACAATCTACCGCGAGCTCGGCACGGACTACGACGAGCGTGTACTCCCTTCAATTGTAAATGAAGTCCTGAAAAGCGTGGTAGCACAGTTCAACGCCAGTCAGCTGATCACACAACGAGAAATGGTTCGTGCCACTGCAAATTACGAGCTAGCTTCTAATCTCAGTGATGCACTCGCGCCCGCCTAATTACTGAATATCAGGTGTCTCGGCTTGTACGCGAGAACTTGACTCGCCGCGCATTGCGGTTCAATCTCGTGCTGGATGACGTCTCAATTACGCACGTTGCATTCTCACCAGAGTTCACGCACGCTGTGGAGGCGAAACAAGTGCGTTACCAACCGTTTGCTAATGTTGGGTTGTACTTACTCTTTCCAGGTCGCACAACAAACCGCCCTTCGGGCCGCTTTTCTCGTTGACCAGGCCATTCAGGAGAAGCAGGTTTGTCTTATCTTCTCTATACACGTAAAGTGCACACACCCTAACCGTGATCTCTTTATAGTCAATCATCGTCCGGGCACAGGGCGAAGCCCAGAGCGCTGAGCTCATCGGAGACGCGGTGCGGTCGAACAAAGGGTTCCTGCAATTGCGTCGCCTCGAGGCGGCGCGTGACATCGCGAATCTCCTTGCAGCATCAGGAAACCGGGTGATGCTTGACTCGCACAGTCTGCTTCTGAATGGTGAGCCAACTGCTCTACCGCGCATCTGTCATTTCCGGCGTGTTTTAGCTTGGCACAATGATACTAATTTCCCTCTGCAGTCACGGAAGATGCGAGTGATCTCCTTCAGTTCAACAAGAAGAAGTGATGGTCACGGTGCGGGAGTGCGGGCTTGACGTGCTGTTGTTTGAGTAACCAACACACCGTATCCCACGTTTTGATGTCGTTGAAGCACAGGATGATAATTCAGTTTGTTCTGCGAGCTCCCGCCTCACATGTGAGTATTTACGTCACGTGCCTCGCGACTGTGACACCGTGACAGACGCGTCCAAGTCCCGCCGCAAGTCCCGCTAACTCTGTTCTGCTTCCTATCATGCCACGGGGGAAACAGACTGGTTTTCGAGCGCAACGGTTTGAACGGAGGACTACCGCGAAGAGAAATCGGATTGAAGAAGAGCCAGTGGATATCAGGTCTGATTCTGAGGAGACACCCAACCCCTCAGCATCGGCAAAACAGGCTAAGAGGGTGCGATGGGGAGGCAGTGTTGGCACCTCTGAGGATACCGAAGATGAGGAAGACGACAATATGATAACTAACGGTGTCAAGGTACTTCTGACTTTACTTTTGATCCCAGAAAGCCCCGCTTGCTCTCATCCTTCTACCAGATATGTTTAGCTGCATCGTGTCAATTGTGCGTGTCTATCTCCGCGAAAGACTTTGGGGCCGCTCTGATATGTCTACAGCGGCAGAATTGGATGCGCATACTATGATCCAGTAAAATGCACGATACACGTTTTCGAAGACACTCAAGAGAACAAGCACTTCGATTTGACGAAGATGAGTGGGTATATGCGCTCTAAGTTCTAGCTGCTGGCAGCTGAAACACGTCTTAGTACTTGGACAAGCTAGTCCAGACATCGCTCTCACCAGTTCGAAGGCAGATGATAATTTCATGAATATTCTCCGCGATCATAGTGCGTTGATGTGCTTAATCTCCGATAGGCCTTCATTCATGACCATTTAGTGGGTGCTTCCGGAGGTACATTCCAGATCAGACCTCACAAAGATTTCTCTACAATTAAAGGTCGCGATCGAGTCTTATCTTTACGCCTTCTCGCGGAATTACCCATGGACAACTTTGATTCTCGTATCACTTCTGACCCTGGCTCAGTTTCTGAGCCAAGAAATGCGTATGATTTTATGCGCAGTAGGGGACAGGCAGGAGTGGACCCCACTATGCAATGTTGGAATGCCTCCATCCGTCTGTCGAACTACGCATCTCTGGAGGGATCGCCTCTCTGTGTGAGTTGATCACAAGGCGCATATTCTCGTATCTTACTCTATATTCGCGTAGCTTGGCTCAATTGGGGCGCTACTTGATCACCTCGCTCGAGTACGCGCGGTCGGCAGCCTTGAGGACGAGGGCGTTGGAGGTTTAGAGGTCCGCGGAATTGAAGCACTCACGCTAGAGCAGACTATGCAGATCAACGCAGATGCCCTTTTCTCGCTGCAGATCTTCGAGGATGAGACGCACGCGTCGATCCACTCGGACAAGACGAAGGAAGGGCTGTCGCTGTTTGGCATCCTGAACAATACCAAGACGACTCTAGGCCGCGCCATGCTGCGTGAATGGCTTCTCCGCCCGTCCATGAGTTTGCCCATCATTAATGCGAGGCACGATGCTCTTGCGTGTTTCCTGCGGCCGGAGAACCAGGTGACTGCGGATGCGATGCATACTCATCTGAAGGGGATCAAGAATGTTCCGCGCATCCTTGCAGCCATGCGAGCTGGGCGGGCCAAGGTGTCGGACTGGCAGGGTCTTGTCAAGGTCGGCCATTTTCTCACCGTGTGGTCTGTCAGACAACCGATTTCTGCTTATTGAGCCAGTTTACCTTCCATACCTTGATGCTGCGAGATGCGCTGTTTGAGCTAGCTCATGCAAGCAGTGTTCCGATTGTCAAGCGAGTATGTTACGATTGCTCTATCGATTAATGCTTCTGACGATTAACAACTGCTCTAGCTTATTGAAGCCTTAGATGTTGCGAGCTCCAAGGAGGTTGGGACAGCAGTAAATGAAACTGTAGGTCACATATACTTCAAGCTTACTATTTACCTCACGTTCCGTCGTAGGTTGACTGGGAAGAATCAGCGAACGCAGGTCGCATTTGTGTGAGACCACACATTGATGAAGAGCTGGATAGGCTCAAGCACATCTACAACGGTATTGATGCCGTCCTTGTGCGAATACAATTAGCCTCCTTATTGGCGTATCCCACTTACTGCTTTTTATATTTCGACAGTCAAGAGTCGCGCAGAACGTATCAGCCAAGGTTCCTCCAGACTATGCCTCGACCTTAAATGTTGTATATTTTCCTCAACTCGGTACGGCTTTGCTGCCCTCACCCAAATGCAAAAATTTACAATCGCTAATACAGGGTTTCTCGTCTGTGTGCCGATGCTGGAAGAATGGAAGACAGAGCAAGGGATCACTGTCTTGGATGGCTGGAGCTTCCAGGTACGTTTTAGATAATGGCGTTTCGAGTTGTCCTCCCAAATTGTGCGACAGTTTTCGTCCGAGTAAGTTATTGGCGTCTACGCGAACACACGAATGCGACTAACATGCGGAAACGAAGATCTCACGTCTACTTCAAAACAGACGAGATGCACGGTAAGATCGAAACAATCATACGTAGTAGTACGACTGTCTATTAACTCTGCTATAAAATAGACATGGACAATCATATCGGCGACCTGCATCCCTCCATTGTTGGTGAGCTTGTTTAAGCTCGTATGTGCACAATTATTGGACATTACCTCGCGACAGACCGGGAAATAGAGATCGTGCAATCTCTCCAGGATAGAATACTGGTATATGATGAACATATGGGCCATGCATGCGACGTATGCGCGGAACTGGACTGCCTTCTATCCTTTGCGCAAGCTTCCCGTGCATGTGACTACAGGCAGCCACAGATGACAGAGGATAATATTCTAGATATCAAACAGGGAAGGTACGTCGGAAGTGCGCCCTCTCTGCGCTCATGTACTCTCAGGCTGAAGGTGGACCAGACATCCCTTACAGGAGATTGTCGTGGATACTTTCGTTCCAAATGATGCGTTCCTAGTCGGTGGCGCCGGAGTCGATTCAGATGTTCCTGAATATCTGAGCGAGATTAACTCGGATGAAATTGAACGCAGGCAGGAACAAAATAGCATCATCATATGCACAGGCGCGAACGCCTGCGGCAAGGTAGCACTTTTTAGCCTTTGACAGCTCATATGCAGTTCATCTGACCGCGAAGCAGAGTGTTTACCTCAAACAGGTTCGTACAATGCAAGTAGGCTATCAACCAGGACAATCTAACCATTTCGCTTAGGTTGCGCTGATCCAGTACATGGCACAGGTACGTCTGTGTTTCTAGTACTCGCCATACCCTAACTGCGACATGGAATGCAGATCGGATGGTCCGTTGTTCCGTTCTTTACTCTTTCCGTTAGTGTCACATCTTCTCCAGCTTCGTCCCAGCCGAATCTGCGACCCTCGGCGTGGTCGACAAGAGTAACTTGTTATGTTCCTTCTGGCTTCTGTTTTTCGTCTCATCTCTTTTCTGGCCAGTTTTCACGAGGATCCAGACTCGAGAGTCGGTCTCAAGAGTGACTATTTCTACCTCTTGCGTCATGTGGCTTGCTCGACTGAACTGGCTGCACGCGAATACTATTAACCAGGTCCAGTCTGCGTTCATGATCGATCTGAACCAAGTATCTTTGGCTCTGAGAAACTCAACCGCTCGCTCTCTCATACTGCTAGACGAATTCGGCAAAGGGACTATATCTGCAGGCCAGTACCTCTTAGGATCTGGGTCATTTGATCTGCATCTCGCATTTTTCTGATCTGCTGCCTTATTTGTATGCTGGTCTCGTTCTTTGTAACTTGTGTACTCCATCCTGGATGCCCTGCTGCAGATGGTGCCGGCCTTCTCTGCGGCGTACTCAAGCACCTTGCGCAACGCGGCTCCGGCTGCCCAAAAGTCCTGGCCGCAACTCACTTCCACGATATCTTCACGGACGCGCTCCTCGCCCCGCGCGCGTTGCCTCTCACGCTCCTGCACATGCAGGTGATGCTCACGACACGCAAAGGTAAGCTGCTGGGTGCAAGTGCAGGCGCGGAGGAGACAGAAGACGAAGCCGACGACGAGGCAGACACTATAGTTGACGAGGAGGAACGCGCTACGCTGGCGCCGGGCGAGCGCATCACCTATCTGTATCGGTACGCTCAAGCTTTCTAAAACTCCAGATGAAGAAATATATCATGTATGGCAGAGTTGCAAAGGGTCTGTCACTGGACTCGCATGCCGCTCTTTGCGCGGAAATCTTCGGTGTCCCGCGGCGCGTTGCACAGCGGGCTCGACACGTTAGGTGCGTTCACTCGCCCCTTCGCTGGTGTTTTGTGTATGCACTGATCATGGGGCGGGTGCTGCAGCAAGCTACTGGCGATGCATGCGCTGGGGCAGCTGTTGGATGAGGAGATGGGCGAGGAAGAGCGAAAGGACTTGCAGGATGCAGAGGATGTGTGTAGGCGGTTCCTCGCATGGGAGCTGGACCGGTATGCGCGTGGATCCGGGAACGAAGATCAGGATGAGAGTGACGGTGTCAAGTCGGTATTGGCCCAGGTGCTGGGGCGCGAGGTTGAAGAATAATCTCTGATAATCTTGCCTCGAGGCACCTCTGTTAGACTGTCCTTTGACTTGCCGGTGCACCTCATGCATGTCATCGTGGTCTCGGAAGATCGAATGATGATGACATCTAACACAACAACAATAATACAACACTACAAGCTCTACTCTACAGGTCAATCGTATAAGGCCTATACAGCTGGTAATTCTACAGTTCATACAAGCCGAGACTCTCAGTGGGGGAAATCCCTCACTCCTTGTGTATCTCCAGCCCCGGTGGCGCGCCGAGCATGTCCTTTATGGCGCCATACAGCAAGAATTGGCCGGACACGAGCCCCGCGGTCATGACCATGCGCGGGCCGAGCCCCGCAAAGAGCCCGCGGAAGCCCGCCTGCACGGCGAGCGTGCGCAGGCGATAGACCATCGAGCCCGAGGGCCCGTGACCTTTATTTATCTGCGAGAGCAGCGTGTCTGCAGGCTGCATGGGTGGGCAGTCAGCGTCTTTCCTTCAGCCCTTGTGTACTTAGTGTGGTTGGACCGGTCGGCGGGAAGGCGGGAGGGGGGGTGGATGGACGTACCTGGCTGAGAATCGCCGCGGCGAATCCGGCGACGACCCCGCTCCCGAGAGCAATGGTGAACTTGGCGCTGCTGCTGAGGTTGGCGCGCGTCTGCTCAGATATGTTGCGGAATACGAGCTCGTGACAGAACTCGTTCACCGTGAACTGTCCGATTGCATAGGGGATTTGTCTGTCCGTATGCGTTTCAGACATGGCTAGCAGGCATGGGAAGACAACGGGGAGTGGGAAGACGGTGGAAGACGCACTTGCAGAGGATGGGCAGGAAGCCAGCATACAGCCCGCGCAGGCCCTCCTCGCGCGTGAGGCGCATGAAGCCGGTCGTGAGCCCCGTCGCGTAGTGCCTCTCCGAGACCAGGCGGATGCGGGTGGCTTCTAGAGGGGTTAAGAGGATGTCCGCGAAGAACCTGCGGGGCGTCCGGACGCACGGTCAGCAAATGACGGTGCGCTACGGACGGAGGGGGCAGACAGACTCTGCCACGCTGGACGCGCCGAGGTAGATCGCGGTGCGGTTGCGCACGGCGGCATCCTGGCTCCCGGCGATCTGCACGAACTGTTTCTTCCAGTATTCGTAACCCGCAAATTTCGCGCCGCCCTAATGCCCAGTGTTCAGTGCATGGGCAATTTCCCTGAGCTGGACGGGACGTACCTGGACGAGGTAGCCGACGGCGGTGGGACCGAAGCCTGTAAGGAGAGCAGACGGGCCCTCTTTGGCGACGATTCTGCGTCCTCCGGAGAGAAGGGATTGGTGTGCGAGGTCGGGGTCGATTTGTATGCGTGTCTTGATGACGTCAATCGCTGCAGGTGAGTTCTCAGCGTGCAACTACTACGTCGTATTAATATGGATGAATTCCGAACTCACGCGTCATTCCTCCATGCGTGATGCTGCACGTTCGGTAAGTTACGAGTGCCAGACGGTGAAAATGCGCTGGCTTACGTGCAGCATAGTGCGCCTGCCAGTGGTACATGAAGTCAATGGCTGTCTAGCACGCACTGGCCTGCTCACCTGCGAGGAAGAACGAGGAATAGTCCTTGGCCGTGAACTGCGGCACCTGAAACGGCGCACTCTTCTCGCTGGAGTCTGCCATATAAACGATAACACTTTTGGATATGCCAATCAAATTCTACTCCGTAGACGGTCTAACTAAATCGCTACAGCAAATATAGAGGAAGAAAGAGTAGAAGGGATTCTATGGCGAACGTGGGGGTACGACGAATGGGTGGGTTGCGTGGCTGTCGCGGCTTTGGAGCAGGCCACGCTCGGCTTGCATGAGAGGCCGCATCACTCAAAGTCAGACAGTCAGACTGCAGCGCCGTCGACGTCATAGCGCGCGATCACGTGCTTTATCGTCACGCGTCACTCACCCGTCGTCACGCACATCTTTGCGAGCCAAGAATATAAAACATACATAAAACATACATTTTGGTGAGTACGCAGTACAGGACTAATGCTATTATACACAGGTAGCAGACAAGACAGGAACAACTAGACGGGAGAAAAAAGATCCATAGTCCACGACGCGTGACGAAAGAGAAACTTCATGCAGCAGATCAAGAGCCAGGATAAAATTCCGAATCCACCTCACACTCCTGCACCTCGACCCGTACTTCAAACTTCTCCTTATCCTCCTCCCATCCCGACCACCACTCATGCTCACACTCGTCCTCGATGTCCGTGCCCTCGTCCTCCCCAAACACAAGCGACTCTGATGGGTATCGGAACACCACCGGGTGCTCACACTTGGCGAACTCGACCGACTTCTGCCGGCGCGCTGACACCGGTACGTCCTCATCATCCGCATCGAACTCGTCGAAGCTCTCATCGACCTCATACTCGTGGGTATGCAGCGAAAGCGGGTAGCGCATCGCGAAGGGTATGCACCGCGAGTGCATGTGCGCAATCGACGCCTCTGCGCCCCGCTTTCCTCTCAGGTATCGGCTCTCGACAGGACACGTCGCCTGCACACGCGCCGGCATCAGCATCGCACCACGAATCATGCGAGCAGCGCGGCGCGGCACTCACCGCCTCGTTGAACTCCATGTTCAGCCGCGCGAGGCGCTCCAGCGCCCCCTCGACGTTCCATATCGGTATGAGCCCGACCTCGCCCGTCGCGATCACCCGCACGCGCAGCGCATGATCGCCCTCCTCCTCGAGCAGCGCGACGCGGTCGTCCGCGCGGACCAAGAGCGGCTCGTGCACGAACGGCGGCGCGCCGCACACGGTCCCCGACGCAGGGAAGCGCTCACGCACATAGTGCACGCCCACCTGCGCTTCCGCAGCAGCGATCACCCAGGGCGAGGTGGGCGATACTGGGGACCGCGGCGAGTCGGAGTCGGATTCTAGCGAGGACGAACGGGAACTCGGAGATAGTGCGGGCAGCGTGCTCGGGTACGGCCGGTCGCTGGGGCTTTCATGCCAGTCGAAGAAGCTGCGGGGGGAACTCGAGGTATGGGGCCCGGACGGAATCTGGATTGTGGTCGTCATTCGGGCGCGGTCTGCTGGGACGGGATATTGGTATGACGAGTGAGTGTGGGTGGGATGGGAGGACGCGCACGGTCCTGGCCGACCCTTTATAGACCCAGCGGACGCAAACAGTCGGGAGGAGGCGGTGGTGCGCAGCTTGCAGGCCCCAAGTTTAGATCGGCTCACTGCCAGCGTCAGAAGGGTTATATACTTGGCTCCCGGGGACACGAATACACATCGCCTCCCTGCGCTCCAAGTGTCCGAGTCCTTCGGGTGCCCGGCGACCGTCGCAGAACTATCAGTGCCGCAAGCCGAGAGTCAGATCCGAGAGCGCGGTGCTGAGACGGTCGAAGAGGTACGTCGGTGCCGCACGCGGAGACGCTGCAGCTCTGAGTAGGGTGTTCGCAGGTTCATGCACACAGTAAGACTATTAAAGGCTTCGAGGAGGGATCAATGGACTTCCACTGATCACTCGAGCATCGCCCCGGAGCACCCCAAATTTCGAGTCCTATGTTGGTAAGCTGATCCCGGCACACGGGTTAGGTGGGCACATGCACTGCGGGGGACGTATCCGGGCAGCGAACATCAGCCTCTTGCGAGACTCTGGTTGGAGGATAGTATCCTCTCTGCCGGCGTATCTGCAATGCTCTCACGAACGCGAAGCTTATTGACGGGCGTGGCACATGATTCTTCTTCATGGCCTGGCCATTAGACGGCGGTGAATAGCCTCGAGATAACGCTCGCACACTGCCGTCCTCGGGCAGATGACATCGACTGACCAAGACACAACGCGCGTCCACAAGCAGAGTGCATATCCAAGCATTCGATGCCGAAGAGGCGAGTACGCAGAAAGTTTCAGCTGCCTGAAATACTCAGATAATCATGTGGAACACATCAGGTATGTGAACGCGAACAGCGCGAAATCGAAACGGAGGTCCAGATCCATATGTCATAGCCCACGTACTTACTTCCTGAACTCAGAATCCATGGTCCCGGTCAATACTTTGCACGCCAGATAACTCGGAGATGTCATCATCTGTCAAATCCTTCAACCTGGAAGATAAACGCCCCTTCCTCCAACAATATCTGTTGATACTGCGAGGCGCTGGTGATATTCCCATCCCATGGAGGCCATGCCGCGATGAACAACATCATCGCACAGATGGGCTTCCGCGAGAACCGTGAAGAGTCCCACTTACTTCAAACCTATCTCCCCCGCGACCCTCCCCCAGCCCAGTACCTCTCCCCAGGATCGCCACATGCGGTCCAGCACACGCAGCTTCTCCGCACGCCCCAGCGCCGGGTCCTCGAGGTCGGTAACGTCCTCCAGGAAACCTTCACGCAGGCGCGAGTTCGCAGGGAGATGCTTCTCCGCGTACGTGCGGAGGTGGCTGAGCGACAGCAGCAGCAGCCCGGATGTCAGCGCCGGGATCTGCATGTCGCGAGGCGTGCTGCTGTGCTGGCGGTTGTGGTGCGACTTGGGCTGCGCGACGAGGATTCGCTCGATCCTCCTGGGAGGGAGAGCCATGTGTCCTGCGTGAGGATGTCAATGAGATAAACGTGGAGACGAACGTACCGCATTTTAAGCCAGAGACTTGCCCTGCGCTTCTTCCCGCCATAGCGCCCGCTGCCTCGTCCACCCATCCAGAGGCTGCGAATGTACCCTACCAGAACGTACACGATGGCGAACGCAGGTGCGACACCCACAAACGCGAACGTCAATTCTTGCGACTTGAGCAGCTTGTCGATGCCGGAGAGCGCTTGGTCGATGTCCACCTAAGACGCAGCAAGTGAGGAGAGAGCTACGCGAGGGTACGCGCACACTAACCTTCGCTTTCTGCACCTGGATGAACAGCGATCTGAGTAGGGTACCTCTAATGACGGAGTTGAAGGGGCTCTTGATGTCCTGCTCGTAGATCTGCATGACAGAGGTCAGGTCGCCAAGCTGAACCTGGCGCGAGAGCGCCTGCAGCTGTGGTACGTCGTAATGCAGCTTCTCCTGCGCGAGTGCCAAAGTCATGCGTTCCAGAGACTGAGCATCAAGGAGACGTAAGTCGCCTCGTCTCAGAATCATGGAGCACCGAAGGACCTACGTTCAAATCCGCCTTGACACTCTCCCGAGTGATAATGACCCCGTCGTCTCTGCTCGCCTGGACGGTATCGATAACGCCCTTGAGGGGCTCTATGAGCCACCCCTCCCAGAAGCCGCGCAGCGTCTTCACCGCCTCCCACGCCACGTCCTCCAGCGACGCTCTCGACGCATACGCCATGCGCACGCCATACAGCACGAGCGGCGGGAGCAGTACGAGGCGCGGCCAGAGTAGCGTGAGCCGCGAGGGGCGCATCAGCCCGCGCGTGTCCACCGCGTGAATCGATATGTGTGTCGGGAGCAGGATGCCCGCGACGAGCCGCAGCGAATGCACCGGGCTGGTTTCTAGCGCTGCGCTCTCGTCCTGCACGGCGCCCTGCAGCGAGCTCGTGAACTCTGCGAGCTTCGTCATGCTCTGCTCCTGCGCACTCTCATCGACCGCTGACGCGAGCAGGTCCCGCATGTCTGCGAGCGTGCCGAGGATCTCGGCTCGCTCGTCGCGGATGCGCTTGAGCTCTTGCTGCTTATACCTGCATTCCCCCTTCGTCAGCTCTAGAGGCAGCGTGATGAGCGCGACGACGCTCCGGGCAAAATCAGAGAGCGAAGTCGACATTGCTTTGAATGCGGATTCCACGCTCGCTCGAGGGGAGGTGGCGAACGCAGATGTAGATGGGAAGTGGGCGGTTGAAAGGGCGATACTGTAAGGCTGGTAATGGAGGTGAGGGAAGAGGGCAATTGTCAGGGGATTGGGGCGGAGTATGTTACTCGAGGAGAATAATTGACGGAGAGATGAGGGCGTGAGGAGGGACAGGTGTAATGGCAGGTTGCGTGTTCTCAGCGTTGACAGGATGGTGTTGGAGAGACGGATAATACGTGCGGGGAGAGCTGAGGAGGATCGATGAGTCGGTTGCACAAAAAAGTGTGGTCTACAATGAGAGGATAGGTGGGCAGCGTGAGGACCAATTTCACAGCGCACAACCATCTCAAGAACAGGCAGTGAGACTGGAAGTCATACACCAAGCATACGGCACTTGCCTGACCAACAGGTCTAACACAACTATACCGCCGCATATTCAAGCAGAACATCTGAAGGCATCCAGGACTTGGGATGGAGAAAAAGAGACTATGCACGTACTCTGCAACAGGTACATAGCCAAATTCACGCGTGAGCGTTCGATATCATTCCACCACTCCAGCTCGTTTTCTGCATCGCTTGCCTCTTGCAGAAATGTGTGCAGCGCATGCCCGTACAGCTCCACGGCCAGTCGCCCAAGAATGGCTCGCTGCAGCGCGCCCTCCTCATCGTCGGCTTGAGCGGCATGGAAGTGCTCGGACTTCGGTAACGCGTGTAGAGAGCCCGTCACTTCATCGAGAGACAGTGGGTGATTGAGACCTAGGAAGAGCGTCCGCAGCGAGTGTTTCTCGTGGCTCTCCAACCCTGGTGGGCTCGGAGGTGCGCTGGTCGTTGGCGGAACGATCCTCTGCGACAGGTCGCGCGTCAGATGACCAACAAATGTTGACATGAGGTGGTAAGTTCAAATGCAGGCTATGTAGTCAAGGCGTTGAGCGTTATAAAACATTTCCGGGGACGTGATCGACTCAAGAGTCAAGTGGGCGTCTGTTTACTCTGTCATCCGTATATAGCGAGAAGGATGGCACTGAGCATGAAGCGCTGAAAGTCGCAACTTAAAGCGCTGAAAGTCGCAACTTAATCCCCGCCAAACATTAATGCTAGCAGGGATGCTAGTATCAGAATGATAGAGTAAGGGTATCAATTCAGTACGGACTGGCGACGAGGAAAGGCGAGCTGGGTCTCGTATGCAGGATAAGTCATAGCAGTGGCGAGAAGTGTCAGTGGAACAGCGGAAAAGAATCTGCGAGAGGGAATCTACGCTGATTGTTCCAGCTTCTGAGATATGTGCTCGAAACCATCATGTCAGTATCTGAAGAGGTAAGGAGTATTTCGGACGTTCATCATGGCATAGCACATGCCACATCAATGCCACATGCTAGCCCGTACCTGGCTTTGGGTTCGAAGAACAAGACTCAAAATATGTTGCAAAGCCACTGCCAAATGTTCACCTCTTATATACGAGCCTGTAGAGATGGTGCCTCCAGCCTCCACACCAAAAGGCCTCAGCATCAACGGAGTTGCTTTTACTATGAGTGTGGGAGTGTGGAGTATTTATTACGCAATAACCAAGGACACACAAGCCCACACAAGTGCCAAGGAGCCCTTCATCACCACTGCACGGGCTGAAACATTTCAGAGAGAGGGATCAAGTGGAGACGAAGAGCAGCTAGAACACATAATCAAAAATATATACTAGCTGAGAGAGGTAGTGTTCGGAAGGCGCCCCCGAGTGGATCATGTCAACAGTCAAACAGAGGGATGGACTATATAGTCAGGTGTACCACACTTCGATTTCGCTCTAGTTTGATAGATGTTTCAGAATGCAAGATGGAACGGAGTCGGGACATCGCTGGCTGCACGGGCAGGTACACCAACTGCATTCGGGTTCCACATGAATGTTGTCAATGCCAACCAGTAAGCACTGGGTAAGGAGTAGATGCGTCACGAAAAGAAAGCCACTGCGACAAAGTATGAATCATCAGCCACGCAAGAAAGGCTCCACGGAGCTCCAAATTGCATTGCCAAATGATCGCACAAATCCATAACACTTAGAATGGTTCGGCTATGCTGTAACATACATGGGTACATCAATAAGTCCAACAAACGAATCACACAAGCCAGCCATGATGCAATAGCGAATTCAGCTACACTACTTCATCTACCTTCGATCTATGAATACAAAATCCCTGTGACAACACCCGTCAGCCACTTCATCACGTAAGGGCAACAAGGGGAGTTAAGCAGTGCTCACCGGTACGACCCACTCGTGGCAGCTGCAGCAGACACCCGCCCAATCATAATTACCCAGCTTCGCGCCGCACTTCTTGTTCGGGCACACGATCTTCCCGGCCATCTGGCCCTCCTCCAAGAACGGTTCCATCCACTTCATCTGCGGGCCAAACCAATTAGCCATCAACAAAACGCAGTCCATAGAACAACCTGAGCTACGAACCGGTTCAACGAAGTAACCTGAACACTTCGGGTTTGCAAGGATCGGTGGACTGAACGGTACCGCCTTGGCGCCATTCGAAGGGCCTGCCGGCGAGATCGGCGACATATTCAGTGCTGATAGCGACGGTCGACGGAGTGCTGCAAGCTTCGGGTTCGCGTACAGCTGCGCAGCGAGGTCCGACGGGTGTGCAAAACTGCTGGAGCGCGATGATGCCGATGGCCGTCTGGCAACAGAGGGAAGGTTTCCTGACTCAGAGGACGAGGACGCCGAAGGCGTGATCAACGGCAGGTTGACCACCGCCGCGCTCTTTCTCTCAGGCTTGGCAGGCGCTGGGTCGAACTCTTCATCTACAGAGTCGTCATCGCCCTCAAGTGCGGACTCAGACAGCTGCAGCGCGTCCGAGAGATCGTGTCCAAACTGCGCCGCGCCGTCAAGCGCAAGTAGAGAGGACTTGAGGGGTCGATTGTCTGCGTTCGAGTTGAGTCGTGAGCGAATCGCAGGCTCGTGAGTGGATGGGCGACGTGAGGCTGGTGGGGACATCGGCGAGAGTGAGCTCCCGGGTCTATTACCAAGCATGGAAGGCCGACGGGAGCCCGGAGGGGAGATTGGGGATAGCGGGGAAAGCACGTTGAATGGCTTTCCGTCGTGCATGGATGGTCGCCGCGACGCCGCAGGAGAAACCGCTGACAGAGATGCTGGTGTCGGGGGCCCAAGCTGACCGTGGTCAAGCATGTGCTCTCGCGTCGCAAGTTCTTGCCTAAACATCGTAAGCCCTGTAACAGCAAGTTGTTGACTGAAAGCACGCACCTGCACATCCTGCACCGAATCCGCCGTCGTGGACCCGCTGGCGTTGCTGGCGCCGAATCTGATGGCGTGCGAGGGTATTTGGCAAACATGTCAGTCTCTACTGAACCGTCGCCGTCTGGATAGAGGAATTCGTTATATAGGAAGAATGAGTCAGAATCAGAATCGGAGGACGTACTCATGACGTCCCGGACTACGCGCTCTAGATAAAACATCCGCGTAGCCTTGTCGCGTCGTGAAACCTTGAACGAAGCCTCATGAAAAATATCCAGTTGCTCCAAGAACCCAGCATTTGGTCTGAAAATGCAACATAAAAAATTAGTAATTTCGGTAACGAAGTACTACTCACTGTACATTCGGTCTCGCTTTCCTGATTACTTCTAGAGCTGATGGGGCGTCAATTTCCTGCGCATACATAAGGTATGCTGCTACGATGGTTGCACTGCGGCCTACGGACGATGTTAGACTTGGGTCGATGTCACTAGACACGTCATGTTAAGACTCACTCAGACCGGCATGACAGTGCACTAATACGCCATGCCCTTTCTCCAACTCCTCTTCGATAAATGAGATGGCAGAGACGAGATGGACGAGGATGTCCGCGTCCTCTGTATCATCGAGGTTGACTTGCTTGCGGATGAAAGTCTACTTTACGTCCGTCAGGCTGTATCTCGGGAAAAGTTGTAGCAGAGGACGTACCTCATGTATAGACAAGCGTCCCCGCATAGCAGTCAAGACACTGTGGATGTTGTTCGCCTTGAGCATAGGTGTGTTGAGTGCGCTTGAGAGATCACCGATCCAGAGATTCTCGATAACCTGGTCCATGGGAAGCAAATCTATACTGAATGGAGTAAACATCCGCAACAAATTAGCTGGAAAACTAGCAAAATAGTTTTGTAAACGAACGTTCACGCAGGGTATGCAGTCTAGTGCCGCCGTCCTATAAAGCAGGAGGTGGTGGGTATGTGGGAGAGAGCCACCACGGTGGGAGGAGGAAGACAGTACTTCTGACCCACGTGACGTGACGTCATCAAGTCCCCAATGCCGATCGCGGCACCAGCCACATGTAAAAGATCTATTGAGCAATCTTGTACTTGAAATGTAAGGCGATTAATGTTGGTAACGGCGAACCAGCACCATAATCGTCGAATGAGACACCCATCTTGAAAGTGAGCAGCAGGAAACTTTTGTATTGAATACAATCACAAAGCATGCATTTGCACATAAATAGCATCATGAATGTAGGATAGAATTGTCATATCTACCTACCCACCTACCCTAAATCACCATGAGGTCCATGTGCACGATACGGACAGCTGTGAATTGGCTACGTGGGGTGGCAGCGAAAATATTGGGATGAAACTCTGCACTTGCATTGAACATCGTACATGATTCCGTTATATCGTGCACAAAGGCAACTCCGAAGTATACAGATTAAGGCTACAAACTGGCACGACAGTCAGCATTCGGAGCAAATCAATGAGAAGCCATACAAACTCATTAACACACCGCTCGTCTGGTACCGGCACTAATCATCTCGCCATTCCACTTGCCCGGCGGCCCACCGGTCACCCCACATCATCCGCTTGTGATAGACCTTTCGCAGCTCCTTGAACTCGCGCACGAAGTCATCGATGTCCTTGCCACTGAGACTCGACGCCGCTTCCTCTGTGGAGCCCTGAACAAACGCTGAGGCACGAGCCTCTGACAAGTCGTCTTGCGCAGCCGTAGCATGCCTCAGGCGCATCAAGAGGAATTGCGGAGAGAAGCGCTGCCACCCAGCTACTCAGAGGATGTACAGCATGAAGTGAGACGTGGAGTTGTACCTGATAGACTTCCTTCTGCTCCTTCTCTAGATCTTTCCATCTCTTTTCTAGCGCCTTTGCTTCATCGAATGCTTCCTGGGTCTCGGTTCGTAGCTTGTAGAGACTATCCTGCAAGGCGAGATTATGTCCTGTAGCCTGTGAAGTCATCTATGTCAGGAGCCAAAGTGATACTTACTTGCTATTGACTCGTTCGCTGAGCCAAGCTCCGCCTGCGCCTGGTATAATGACTTGACCTGATTAAGCGCATGAAATGTCGCCTGGAAGTAAACAGGGTCGACGAGGAGATCCTCTAAGTCCTCTCTCCTGTGTGATGCATGACATCGTCAAGACCAAACGGCGCACGAGTGACACAACTAACTCCTCACGATAATTGTGCGAGTTCGGGAAACTCTGCCATCAGGGGTGTGCTCGCCATGACGGTCGAGGACAAGAGCGATCAGAATCGAATCTGAGATCCCCCGTAGAGTGTTTCACGTCGCGGTCATGCCGCTCGTTCTCCCGGGAGAGCGCATTCCTGCCCAACATGTGAACCTCAAGCTCGGCCCTGGTCTTCTGCAGTTGTCCAGTGTCAAAGAAGACTCATCCATTATATCGACTCGTGCGGGTGAACTACAGCACTCGGCCAACCGGAGCAAATGGTGGATAGAGGGCAATTCTCGGCGGGTGAGCTGCGGCCATATATTCTTAATTTTATGCTTCCTAATACATGGATGTAGTATGTTCCTGCCCCTCAGGAGTCTGCCATTGGAGTCGTCGTTGCACGGAGTGGTGAAAATTGGCGTGTCGACATTGCGTCGGCGCATGTAGCCTCGCTGGATGGATTGGCTTTTGAAGGGGCTACTAAACGGAACAGGCCTAACTTGAAGGTACTCCGCTGTACATCATACCACGAGCCTGTATTTAAAGGAACCAGGTCGGCTCACTGCTATATGCTCGAGTATCGTTGGCGCACAAGGATATGGAGCCAGAATTGGAGTGCTTCGACGCACAGACACGCAAGGCCGAAGGCTACGGGGAGCTGAAGGGCGGCTTTGTGGTCCACTGCAGTCTGAAGATGTGCCGGCTGTAAGTTTTCCTCCCGTCTGCCTGTTTTTAATTCTCATTCGCCTTGCAGGTTGCTTGATCCCAACCATTTCCTCTTTCCGCTGCTGGGTGCGCGTTTCCCATTGGAAACAGCGACTGGACTTAATGGGAGAGTCTGGATCAATGCAAACGAAACAAGACACATAATTGCCGCTGCGCGATGCATCGAAGCTGTGGATCCAGATGGTGGTGGTATGGATGAAGCCCATGTGAAAAAGTTTATCAGTACACTGGACACATAGCGTTGATTACTCGTGTGATTTCTCTGAGTATGGGTGTTGGTACATGCTACAAGAAGTGACTATGGCCATAAGTAGCCCCGGTCAGGGTAGTCCGGTATAAATTATTGATACATAAGGTACACTGCGGCCAGACATAACTTACAGTGGCTCGACGGAGCAGGCGATCTGGATGAACGCACCAATGTCAAAGCTCAATCATCGTCCGCCAACCGCGCCCTCTTCGTTGGCCTTCTCCCCATACCAGCATTCTCCTCCTCACTCATCGGCGTCGCGGTATTCCGCGCATGGGCTCGCTTCTTCCGTTGGTACTCTCTGTCACGGTGCTTCTTCTGTTGAGCTGCAGTGAGCTCCTGTGCACGGGGAGCAGGAGGAACAATGACAGTGGTAAGGACCGGCGTGGACATGCGGGAATGATCTTCTCCTGTTGCAGCCAATTCTTCCCCCTCCCCAGCTAACTCGAGCGACTGACAAAAGCGAGAGCTCAGTGAGTCGAAGTTCATGTAGAAGCGAGAATCACCTTCTTGTATGTCTCGCTGCTATTAGAGAACATCCGATCGCCCGGGTGAATGTCATACTTCCGCCTGCCACCAGGCGGGTTCTTCAGGTATCCATCAAAACCGTGAATGATATTCCCACCACTGTGGGCTGCAGTCTCCGTGAAATAGGATGTTTCTAGACCATATATCTGAACCTCCAACTGCGACTATGGAACGCACTGACATGAGCGTTACAGGACACAGAAAGTAAGGCAACAGACCAGCTGCTTGTCCACCGCTCGCCTCTTCGCCAGCGCGTGTAGGAGTTCTTTGCGCGCAGCATCATATCTAGCTTTGTCTTCGGGAGTGGGAATGTCGCCCGACATGTTAGAGGATCCTGTCCGGGTGGTTGACACGCGACAGACGCGCACCCAAATCGGGAACATCTGAAGGTCTTGCCCGCAATCTCGTCTTTGAATTCAATGCTTACTGCCGCTCGAGCCCTATATCAGATATCCGTCCCTCCAACCTCTCATAGGACTGATTTTGTAGTCTGGCTTTGGAAGACTAGCTCGAGCCTCTCGAAAAAACTGACACAGACACAGATCTTGCCACATGATTACAGGTACGAATTCGCAGCACTTAGTGGTACAGTATCTTTGTTTAGACAAAAGATCGTGCGAGCATGGATGCCTGACAAATCGACAATCGTCCATACACTGTCCCAAACTCGTGGGTCAATGTTCCAATAAACCGAAGTCCATGTAATGGGTGCTATCCAAATGAGCAGTCCGATAGTACAGTGCGCATAGCCCCCGACTTGATCAGACTCATGATGTTGTCGTGGCGTTGTAAATGACCGGAACGGATGCCAGTCCGAATTTCCTGCCCAGCGCACCCTGAATAATAAGACAGCATCAGAAGAGCTCTGACCACGATCTGGAGAGGTTCTGACGTACCGCGCAATCATCCCACTCTTCGAGCACGGTGATGTAGAATGTGCAGTTGGTGCAATTGAAACCGCGGCCCCAACCAGACTCCACTGTAGAGAAGTCCGGCATGGTGAGCTGCGACGGCGGTGGGTTCGTTGGCCACGGCACGGCTACGGAAGGTCCAGATACAGTTTTCAAATCACACAAGACGGCCTACGCTCACCAGGATAATTCTCTTCCTGATACGTCCCGAAAGTGTACCCGCCCATGAAGTCACCCGTCTCGATCAATGAAGTGGGCGGCTCCGTGATGACATAGGCGGTGAAGCTGAAGCTGGAGATGCAGTAATCAGCGTGGGCGTTATAGCTGAAGTTGAATGCAGAGCCCGGCGCTACGGGGGTGTACGGCGCAGGAGCGCTGATCGTCCCGGGTGTGGTCTGTGCGCGGATGAGTGAGAAGAGGGCGACTAATGCTATAGTCCACAGGGTGAGCATATTGACACGATAGATGAATGTGATGTGGTGCTTCAGGTCGGCGAGGAAGCGGTGATATACACTCGAATCTGCATGCTCACCGATTTATAGCTCGGGCGGATCTATTTGTAACGCGTGGGCGAAGTCCCCGGACGGCACCGATGGCCGTAGATGAACACAGAGATCTTGAAGTATAGAGAATGGCCTTAGGCTTTCCTCAGTTCGTGGTGGCTGTGCATCGAGGCACACCTGGGCAAACCTAATAGACACCAGGGTAGGTGAATGGACATACCGATGGAGTCTCTGCAGTACAGTGAGACTGGAGTGAAACTAGACTGCAAGTCGTATTTGCATACCAGTCAAAACGTGCAGAGAAGATGACTGTGAATTCCGCCGCTAGCCGGGCTTCGATGAACACATGTTGCAGGGCTCCACCACATACCCATATGCTTGCGGTTTGTCCCTATCGCAATCAGAGGTGCTTTGGGACACGTGAATCAGTGAAACTCACATGCGGGCTACACGACTTCAGGGAAACTCACAAACCCATTCATGCGCACACCTTTACCCGTACTTCAGCTTTCGAAGTCAAACAACACTTGCGACGGACGATAGAAATGCACGCTGGCCCAACGCAGCAAGGATACGTAAGGCCCATCCAGTCAGCGGCGAAATTCCGAATCACCTGTATGCGATCTTCCTTCTGCGAAATACTCGTGGAATCGACATGATTTATGCATATGCATCATATCATGACACAGAAAATGCATTGACGATAAAAATGACAGCCACAAAGCCAGGTGCACTACATGAAGTAGACGAGATCGTTCTTCTTCTTGCTTTGCACTGGTAGTTCGAATCAATGTGTGCAATCAGTTCAGGCTCTACACAACGGGAGTCCGAACGGACTTACCTTCTGCAATCCCACTGAGGAAGTGCTCGTGGTTCAACTTCGTCGCACCTTCCCGCAGAGCAATCATACCAGCCTCTACGCAGACTGCCTTCAGCTGTGCGCCATTGAACTCGTCTGTGCTACGCGCAAGTTCTTCGAAGTTCACGCCAGGCGATACGGCCATCTTTCGTGAGTGAATCTCGAGGATACGAGCACGGGCAGTCTCGTTTGGCAGCGGGAACTCAATCTTCCTATCCAAACGTCCTGATCGGAGCAACGCGGGGTCAAGGATATCGATACGGTTCGTCGCGGCGATTACCTGTCCAGTGTGTAAGTACTAATTATAGGTAAAAGGAGGGTCATGGCACACCTTGATTCGTTCGTCGCTGCTGAACCCGTCGAGCTGGTTCAGGAGCTCCAACATTGTCCGCTGTACCTCACGATCTCCACTCTTCTCCGAGTCGAAACGTTTGGTACCGATAGCATCCAATTCATCGATAAAAATAATGGAGGGTGCTTTCTCTTTCGCAAGCTCGAATGCGTCTCGCACTAACTTTGCACCGTCACCAATGAACATCTGCACTAGTGAAGGGCCAGCAAGCTTGAGATAGCACGCATTCGTCTGCGCAGCACATGCACGAGCCATTAACGTCTTCCCCGTGCCTGTGGGATTTAATCATTATAAGCTGTAATTACGCCGAAGTTATACAAACTTACCAGGAGCGCCATACATCAAGCAACCTTTCGGAGGTACGATTCCAAGAGTCTTGAATTTATCCCCTTGCTCCATAGGCAGAACGATAGCCTCTACGAGTTCCTCAATCTGCTTCTCCAGTCCACCGATATCGGTATATGTCTCCGTAGGCCTCTCGTCCACCTCCATCGCTTTCACACGTGAGTCGTATTCAGCGGGTAGTGTGTCGAGGATCAGATACGAGTCCTTGTTTACCCCGACAAGGTCCTGCGGTCTGAGCTTCTCGGCGGGGACAAGACCAATGAGCGGCAGGAAGACAGTTTGCCTTGTAGAAGTTTTGATAACTGCGCATTTGCCCTTGCGCATGGAATCCAAATCCCGGTTAGCACCGTCTTCCTCACCTTCTGGGTCGACGTCGAGAATCTGCGATGGCTTAGAATACAATACAGAGCGTGCATGGTACACTCACCTCGATAACATTTCCTACAAGATATGGAAGGACCTTGTTCTGCTTGATTTTCTCCCCGTTCTCCCGAATCTTCTCCTTCATGACATTTTGCTCGTGCTGTAGACGCAATGTCTCTGACCGCATAACCTACCGCCAAAGTGAATAAAGAAGCCTCCAGGTATGGCGAGTAAACATACCTTCAGATCGTTGTCAATGAGACGTATTCTCGTCAAAATCTCATCTGTGCTCAAGTTCATAATGTCCTCTGGTATATCCGCCCATGTCTCTTCGGCAGGTTGGTCCGGAGTGGTGTCCATGGCAGCCTCCTGGGGTGCAGTCGACGTCGAGGGCTCAGTTTCTGGTTGTTTCTCATTGTTGTTGTCGGGTGGGGGGGGTGGGGGTTGTGCTGAAGACATGATGGAGGTGAAATGAGCGTGAGCGCGTCCGAGGACGCGTACGCGCGTGATGACACAACTTAGTTATGTGAAATTACATAATTAACCTCTTACGTGTACCACTTAACTGATAAGATCCTCGCCCATTCCCTCCATGTGCAACACCAGCGTGCAGCAGCCAAAAATAGACGTTCTCCGTAAGGTCGCTCACACAGCAGTGCGAACGCAATGCGTTTCCTGCAAGCTTTTCCCTTTTCTCTACTGGGGCTCGCTGCTCAGATCCCTGTGGAAGCTCCTGTGAAGCTGACCGACACTATCATGTCTGCTAGACCTGACTTTACCTTCAAGGAGGGCTCTGCTGTTTTCTCGCCGAAAGATCTGATTGAGCTGGCTAGACCTGGGACTGGAGTTGCAAATGCATTGGGAGATCTTGCACTTGTGCCCATCAGCAAGTACTCGTTAGACGAGAAGAAGTGAATATTTGGACCATATCTGTGTTACTTTCTCCAGACTGACACGTCGTCCAGGAACTACAAGTCGATATTCATAGCACCCATTGAATCAACCGTGCAGCCGTTGGAGATACCTCTTGCCAATGGCGGCGACGCGTTCTGGCTCGACTCGCGCACGGTTGCCCATGCCGTTGTGGAAGGAGAAGATAACGACAAGGTCACGTCCCTCTACGCGCTTTCTGTCAAGTTTAAGACCGAACCATCTGCGGACATCCTGAGTGTGCCCGATTCTCCCGCCCTCATCGGCAAGTTCCCTACCGCGACTGCTCAAAACTTCAAACTATCCGTGAAGTCTGGCGTGCTCGTATTCTCGGACTTAGTTCATGCGGATGGAGACATCACCGCGGTCAAGAAGAATGATGAGGCTTGGGAGAACAGAGGAGACTCAGCATTCGTGTATGATGAGACGTACGAGAGGCATTGGGACACATGGGCTGGTCCGAAGAGGCCGTCTTTGTTCTCTGTAAAGCTTGCTCAATCTCCGGACAAGAAGTGGTCGCTCGGCACTGAGTATGTGAACCTTCTGAATGGCACGGGTCACGTAAGCTATCACCCATGTTTCGACGTGAAGAGTACTTAAGCGTAGCTGCTTCTAGTACTGTCCTGTTGAGCCGTTTGGTGGAACGGAGGATTTTGACGTCTCGGAAACTCACGTCGTGTATACCGTAAAAGACCCTGAGCTACCTGCATCTTGGCATACTAAGCAGAATGTGGGTCCATGTACTTCTGAGGACAGAATTGGTGACTCAGACCTACTTTCTTCTGGTTCAGGTGTATATCGTTGATCTGAGCGGACAGTCCAAGCCGCGAGAGTTGACGACTGGAAAGTTTGGCGCTACTCACAGTCCCATCTACAGTCCGCAAGGTGACAAGGCGGCCTGGTTGCAACTAGACAACGATGGCAGCGAAGCCGACAGGTATGCTGTACGGCTCGCCCGGATGATGATGTCTGACATGGATGCTCGCAGAGCGAAGATCGTAATACATGATCTGACCAAAGATGTGCAATATACACTCACGCAACACTGGGACCGCTCTCCAGAAGCAATTATCGTGCGTGCCGCCGCTCTCGTATTGGACTCTTAACCCACACGCCGTTCTAGTTCTCCGACGATGGCCGGTCTCTTTATATTACAGCAGGCGAACATGCACGCGTCAAAGTATTCGTGCTGCCCGTCCCGCCTACTCCAGAGTCATATACAACTGACCCAGCTTTTCCGCCCGAGTATCGGAACCCTCTTGCACTTACGTCGACCGGCGCCGCTACAGCCGTCCAGCCTCTTCCCAATGGCCGCCTCCTCTTCACGTACAGCTCGTTGACTTCACCAAACGATGTCTACGCGCTCCGTGGGCTCGAGAGTCTTGACCTCCACTCCTCTACTTCTCGCAAAACTTTCAAGGGGAAGATCGAACGGCTCACCCGGTTTGCTGAGAACGATCTCAAGGAAAAGAGCCTCAGTGCAGGCGAGGACTTTTGGTTCGAGGGTGCGCTGGGTAAGCAGGTGCAGGGCTTTATTCTCAAGCCTCCAGGCTTCAAGGAAGGCGAGAAGAAGAAGTGGCCGATTGTACTGCTCATTCATGGAGGTTGGTGAAGTTGTCGAACTTTCCTCATCGGGTGCTGAGACGGTGAGACAGGACCCCAGGGTGCTTGGGAAGATCAGTGGTCGACGCGGTGGAACCCCAACAGTGAGCTTGTCCCTACAATCCCTGTCATCTGCGTGGCGAAGACATCCCTGAATGCCTCTTCCAGTTTTCGCCCAGCAAGGGTACTTCACCGTCCTCATCAATCCCACAGGCTCGACAACATTCGGCCAAGGTTAGTGATCTGGTAGAGGCGATGAGATATATACTCACTGTGTCGATGCTGTAGAGTTTACTGATGCTATCTCCGGAGATTGGGGAGGCAAGCCTATGGAGGATCTGCGCAAGGGCTGGGCATACATTCTTAACAAATTCCCTGAGGTTCATCTTTCCACTACTCGTGGCAGATTTAGTTCATATTAGCTGCTTTTCTTTGTTCGTAGATAGATGCGGATCGAGCCGTAGCTGCCGGTGCAAGTTATGGTGGATATGCGATCAAGTATGTTTACCCCATGTCTCTCAATCACGGTGGACATCTAATGTTTTTGGTTTAGCTGGATCCAGGGCCACCCTGAGTACGGCTTCGGCTTCAAAGCCTTACTATGCCATGATGGTGTAGGCTCATTCGTTTCTTGGGCGTCCGCTATACTGATCAAGCGCACCAGGTTTTCTCTTCCGCCTACAACGGCTATTCCACCGATGAACTCTTTTTCGTGAGCGTTTCGCCGTAATCTGCTATTATTTCACTCGGTATTCCTGACGATTGCGCGAAGTTCAATCACGAGTGGTCTGGTCGCCCGTGGGAGCCTGAGGCAAAAGCAACTATAGCAAAGTCAGTTCTGTGCTCTGCCTCTAAGACGACAAGTCACTAAAGAAGGCTTCAGATATGACCCCGCAAACTTCGTACATAGGTGGTCGACGCCGCAGTTAGTCATTCATGGAAGCAAGGATTACCGTTTACCGGAGACGGACGGTATCAGCGCCTTCCATGCGTTGCAGCAGTGAGCTTTTTCACTCATTGATGGTGATACGACTGTTAGCTCCACAAATGTTAGACTCAGTGTTCCCAGCCGCCTGGTCATTTTCCCGGATGAAAATCATTGGGTATTGAATCATAAGAACAGGTCCGTCTTTGTTACGCCTGGACATTGACAATCACTGACAGGGTGCTGCAGCCTGAAGTGGCATTATGAGGTGTTCCGCTGGTTTGACAAGTTTGTAGGCAAGGATGAGTGAACGGTCATGTCGATGCCATACTCCAAGTATACTTACGATACCTCATAACACTTGACAGTGTAGTTGTACAATGCTCGCAAGTTGCAGAAGTGCTGCTAGTGCCACGAAGAGAGCCTCGATGGTTTTTAACAACGTAAGTCTCACAACTTGCCCATGTCGGAGAGCTGTGTAGGTTGTGAGTTATCCCTGGTCACTTGCGCTCATCCTTTGGCTATCTGCGAACTCTATGGACAACGGTGTACGTCGTCGAGTCGTATCTGCCGCCTCACTCAGTGTTGTGCCAGTCCTGAACTAGTCGACAACAGTTGACTTAGTTCGAAACTTGTAGACTTGTATACGCAGTCGACGGTAAACCGGTGAACTGTTTACATAATCGTCCTGTGGCTGATCCTGAGGGCTGCGCGACATGCAGAGACTGTGGCTCATCGCGAGAGTAATGGCGGAGAATGCTGCACTACGACATAAGAGATAATATAATGCCTATCTAGCAACGTGGCACCACTGGAAAGCCACTGGTCTAGGAGTACACCATAACATCATCTAATTCAACCTCCTCGGAGTCAAGCCCTCCCACGAGCTCTCTCTGTGTCTAAATCCAGCGAGGACTTCGCGCATGACTGCCCAGTGGCCCAGTATAGATGTTGTGTTAAGAAGGAAAAAAGTGTGACGACCATTTTAGAAGGGAAGAACGTCCAGTGGGGGTCATTCTAGTCACTAGACCGCCGCCACAATTCACAACCGTGCAGGCTCGAAACAAGATATCTTATCAGATCTGTTGCTAGGTTGTATGCTCTCTCAGGCTTTCACGTGATCAATGCCTTCAGCCAATAGGGTGCGACGCCGATAGTTCTGGGAAAGTCTACGAAGTTTACATGAAATCGGCGACTATGCAACGTTAACCGCTAGACTAGTCTACAAGTCGACGTTTAGTCTAGGGCGTCCGGTTCGGGACCGGCACAACACTGGCCTCACTGAAGCGCAGCTGAGCGAGGCGATCCCGACGCGATCACATGACCGCGGCGATCCGAACGGCTGCTGCCAAATAGAGAAATAGCCGTCTTACTACATTGCCGCAGCAGTCAAGTTGAATCGTCTCTAGCTGTGTTCTGCTAGTGTGAGATGGCGACCGGCCTTGAAAGGGGGAGTGCAGCAGCTCAGCCAGACGCGGTCATCATCGATGAAGGGTTCTTGATTCAGCGGACTGGTGTCAATCCTCGCACTGGTGAGGCATGGAAGCCATGTTGGGTCATCAGACGCGATTGTCCGAGTGCCTTACTCACGCAGTGGAATGAGAAGCGTAGTATCGTGTCGTCGGGTTGGTCGTATTCTGTTGCTTCTGTGGAAGACACCACGCTCACATTTTTGTTTTCCTTAGGGGAAGTTAAGCAGGAAGCTGATGACACGCCAAAACTACTTCTTAATTCTGGAATCGATGTTCTTCGCAAGCGTACTGCATCAGTCAGTGTAAAACAAGAGCAGGAGGAGATCAAGGTGGAAGATGGCGGTGATCGCAAGAGGCAGAAGTCCGAACGCTGGACAGCTCCTCAGGTAGCTGCCCATACGTCTTCTCAACCGTCGAAGGTAAGTGTTCAACGTGGCCGTAATCGCTCTACAACTGTTTCTCGACCATCACTGGATCCTGTGCATCCGTTTATTTTGCCAATACATTGAATATCGGCTCTGACTATCGTCCTTGACCCATTCCAGCCCAAATGGGGGCCGTCTAGAAGTGGGGTATCATCTACGGACACCGATTCCGCGGAGCTACCTTCTGGAGATGCTTCTTCAACTCAATTACATTCAGCAGATTCGACGTTCGGTATGCCCTATGAAACTATTCTTCGAAGATGCACTAATCGAATTCTGTAGAATTGGCAGTGCGGCATGAAAACTGGCTATTGTTTCCAGAAATCCGGTCTAAACGAGGAATGCTCGTCGTGATACAGGGCTCGCACGGCGACGGACAGAAAGACGGCTGGTACAATGGTGATCTCGAGGGAGCGCGAGGAGTAATTTTGATGGTGTTCGTTTCTGGGAGCTCCATAATGCCTCCTGTCGCTCGTGTCAAGATGTTGAATCCCAGGGATGAGTCTGAAGCGACCCTCACGATACCCGTGGTGTATCTCTGGCCCGTCGAGCCCGATGAGCCCGGTCAGAACGTTTTGATGCTTCAGGGTGACCACAGAGGTGAGGTGGGCAAGGTCCGGGAGGAAGACGAGATCGGGTGGTTCATCTCCGTCGGAAAGATGCACTGCACAGTTGCCGCGGAGAACTTGGAGCGGATCCTCGAAGTTGATGAGGACGACAATATTCTGAATCTCTGATATTCGCTCTTCGTTTACTTGTGTTCGCTGACTATTCTCCTTTTTCGGGATCTTCAAGTTGATCTCATCCTGGTGTCGTACACTAGAATTTCGACCACGCGCATGCTACTTTCTTACGTTCCAAGTACCCTGTCAGCTTTCATTCATGCTCTCGATGTTTACGCCTGTTTTAGCCTGCTGCCTGCAGTCACGATACACTACTACTCGTCGTCCGTTCTACTCGTGCTCGCCGTCATCTGTGCTCTAATCTATCCCCAACGTACGCTTGGCTTACATGTTCCTTGTCGGATGGTCGCACTTCACAACTTCACATTAATCTTCATGACCCTTCGCAAGACTAGTGCGAGTCGTGATACAACCTCCCACATAAAAGCCTCAGCCGGACAGTATTCGCCGGGGCGCAGAAGGGACAGAGCACGGAAAGTGCTTTGGCAGAACAACGAAAAGCGCGAGGGTATCTTGAAATACTAGTAATATACTCACTCCAACGACCGTTGGAGGACGTTCCTCCATAAGTAGGTTCTAATAAACACATCATGACGAGTCCCATCAATTACAATCACGACCAGGGTCAAACCAAGCTGCAAGGAAGATGCAGCTGAGTGGGAGTTCAAAACACCCATGTTGTATATTTGTCATGACAGGATCTAAACGTGAAAACAAAGCATTGGTACACCAGTGGGGCAACGAGCGATAAGCAACAGTATACGCACGGCTAGGAGGACGACGGCGACCACCACAATAAGGATAAGCATAAGGCACAACGCGCGTTTGCCCGCCCGGCGCTGATATTCATGCGCAGTGCTCAGCTCTTCCGCAGCGCCGGAGGTGTCGACAGCGATAGAGGAGATGTTGGACTCGATGTTATCTGCCGTGGGTCAGGCGTGGGAAGTCACCTAGGGTGAACACAAATACCCACCAAGCATGCCGCCTTGTTCTGAGACAAGTGTACCAAGATCTCTGAAGATCTCTGAGAGCTCATGAATACCCGTCTCAATCTCCCTGATCTCGGCTTCACGCTCTTGAACAAGGGACTCCTGGAAGGCTAGTTCCTGCGGCGATAGCTGGTTATGCAAAATCTGAGCCTGCCGTTGCGAAGGCGATGTACCGGGCTCGGGTTGCTCCCTGTAGCTATGTGAAGAAGGGCAAAACAACCACTGTGAACGCCGCTTACGCTGCACCTTCTTCCTCGATGGCAATCTTCACGCCCTCAACTACTGTCCGTTGTCGCTCTGCGCTGACCTGCTGCGCCCGCTGGAACGCAACGAGGGAAAGTTGGAAATCGTGTGAAGTCTTCTGCAACGAAGTTTTGTGCCGGGGCTAAAGGACGTGGACTAAGAAGCCTGAGACAGAGTCAGCAAATTGAAGCACACACCAAGGTTGCCTGTAGTGCTGCAAGTTTCTTCAGGTCGTCCGACCCACGTTTCGCCATCTCACGGGTCGCTTCGGTCAAATCATGGCTACGCATATCACACTGTGTTAGAACTTTGCGGAGAGGCAAGCAGATGCAAGGCATACAGAGATTTTCTCAATGTCTGCGAATCACGAGTGGTGCCCAACTGGTCCACCAACTTTAGGATTCCCTGTACATTAGAGTTGATCTTGAAGACTTGCAACGAGAGTGACGACTGTAGGCTGAGAAACGCAGCCTCCTCCTGGGATTTTGGCAGACCATTGTTGGGCGAGTATGGACGCTGCGCATGGCCTGCTTCAATGTCCTGGAAGCTCATGTTGAGGATCAGGAAGGGAAATAGCGCAGGGGAGCAGTGGTGTAGTCCCGATGACGGACGGCCGTGATGAAGTGCTGCGCTTGTGGCGAGTTGCCAAAGAGGGAAAGTAGATCACGTGATCGCTCTGTGTCGCCAAAGGGCAAGCGCTGGGAGAGCGCTGCGTAAAGAACATCTATCTGGGTGGCTCTGGTACCCTCAGCTCTGCGCTGCCGCTGGTCCTCTGAAGCTGACTCACGGGCTGTGCAGGGCTTAAATGCCCTCTCTCACGCAAGTCCATCCATTCTTTTGACCTTGCCTTCGTTTCCATACCACCATGTCGTCCCCCACTCGAAGCAGAGCCTCTTCTGTATCCAACAAACTCCTCAATGCCTATGTGCGTATGGGCGCAATGGCGAGACCACGGACGCGTTATTGACGTGTTATTTTGTGCAGCAACTTGGCGATTCCCTCGGTAAAGGCGCGTTCGGACAAGTATACCGTATGTCACGATATCATAGCTACAGGCTGTTCGGGTGCTGCAGCTTGCTACCACAGGCGCTCTAAATTGGGCAACCGGAGAGACCGTTGCTATCAAAGAGATACAACTGAGCAACATCCCAAGGAGTGAGATTGGTCAGATCATGGTGAGTATACCGCTCTTTCAACAGTCACTTGCCATTACGACCGTGTCGCACACGGGTAGTCCGAGATCGATTTGCTCAAGAACTTGAACGTATGTTGCTCTCCTTCTATGCTGTGTAATTGCGCTTGACTGGGACCGCAGCATCCAAACATTGTCAAGTACAAAGGGTTCGAGAAGACGCAGCAGTACCTGTATATTATTCTGGAGTGAGCATGCATATCCCGATTTGCATCGGCCTACCCAGTAATTAGTGAAACGATGATCTAGATTCTGCGAGAATGGATCACTTCACAATATATGCAAGAAGTTCGGGAAGTTTCCCGAGACTCTCGTGGGGGTCTATATATCGCAAGTCTTGGAAGGGCTCGTGTATCTTCACGACCAGGGAGTGATCCATCGCGACATCAAAGGCGCGAATATTCTCACCAATAAGGATGGCTGTGTCAAGTTGGCAGACTTCGGTGTGGCTAGTAGCACAGCCACAGGCGCCGTCCGCGACGATGCAGTGGTTGGCAGTCCATACTGGAGTGCGTAAATTCCTTTACAGTGATTCTGAAGTACCCAGTAATGACTCCCTTCGTAGTGGCGCCTGAAGTCATCGAGCAGTCAGGAGCTACGACTGCCTCTGACATATGGTCAGTCTTCGTTCTGGTGAAGCTTCTCCGTCAGTTACTCATTTATCTCCCTAACGCTTGTTTCAGGAGCGTAGGTTGTACCGTTATTGAACTCTTGGAAGGGAAGCCTCCATATCACTTTCTTGACCCGATGCCTGCGCTGTTCCGCATTGTCCAAGACGATTCTCCACCAATTCCGGAGGGCGCGTCGCCTATCGTGAAGGACTTCCTGTATCATTGTTTCCAGAAAGACTGCAATCTCCGCATCTCTGCCAAGAAGCTACTGCGACACCCATGGATGGTGGCGGCGCGGAAGCAGATGGCCAGTCACCAGGACCGACAAGGAAATGAGGGGAAGAAGAGCGGGGAAGCAGAGAGAAGGCCTCTAAGCAACTACAACTATGACGAGGCTGTCTTGAAGGTACAAGAATGGAACGAGGCATTGAAATGTAAGTCCGCTAGGGGATATCGATTGATATCTCGACCCCTTGTGCTAACTACTCAATGCCAGCTCCCTCACGACCCTCACGAAACCCAGAACGGCACCGTACTTCCATCACTGATGCTCCACCGCATTCGCCCATCCCGTCCCCGATCAATATGCCCAGTTCCATGCAGCCTATGAGCTCGAGTAACTCGCAACCCTCCGTCAACGCTGCTCGTAAAACAGGACCTGTGCCGAACGGTAAAATTTCGGTGGCTGCAGCTCCACTGGGACTCATTCGCGAGACGTTACCTATGCCTTTCGTTTTGCAAGTCCCCGAGGAACAGACGGACAACTGGGATGATGACTTCGAAGAAGGTCCGTCGTTGACGAAATTGCAAGGTAAGTCGCACATTCCGCTGCTCGCGGTGTAGTTATCCCGGCCCATGCATCAGTCTACTCACTTGCGGTATGGAGTTGTAGCTTTGGAGAAGACGTCTGCTGAAGATGAGAAGGTGGAGGCGGACGACAATGCCCGGACCATTCGACCCACTCGCAGCCCCCAGGGCCCTGGCGTAGTTCCTTTGCCGTTAGTATCATTACCAGCCCTTGCAACCCTTGGTCCCGATATAGAGGATTACTCCGATCTCGCCGTAGGTGAAGACGATGCCAAGCTGGAAGAGAAAGTGGCAGATTTCAAGGTATGTCGAAATGTTCTATTGATTTCATCAACGCTCAAGTTCAGGATATGTCATACAGCTGAAGAACTCCTTCCGTCGAGGTCTCTTCCATCCGAATGATATCAAGACCTTTGCCCTGTCGGCACCTCCATCCCCGGGACCGAAGACTGCGCCATTGCCGACTCTCTCTCACAGGTCTTCGCGCCCTGCACTCAGCCCCATATCCGCAGCCATTCCCCCTCCCTCCCGTACCCACACCCGGTCGACGTCCTTCATTGGACCCAGCACTGGGTCGTTTGGGCGCACAGAGTCGCGGCGGTACCCTAGTCAGCCCGAGTTCGGTAAGTATGCGGAAGACGATGACGAAGACTACGAGGATGTCTTTGGGAAAGTGAATGGTGCATGTGAGTCCTGCCTCTTCGTGTCCCAGCGTGGATTTCTGGCATGAACGCCTACACTCTCCTCTGTAAGCTTCGCAACCTATGCAGACTCTCCAGCTCAATACACGTCTGTCCAACAAGTCCTGGGTATGTCATGCTAATCCGCCATGTGAGCCTTCTGTAGCTGACCTCGTTTAGCGCGGCGACGACGATGACGAGGAGGATCCTTTCGCTGAGGTGTGTGTAGCACAACGCCAAGCCGGCAACACGCTGAGATCTGATTCCAGATCGACGAGGGTTTCGATGAGGATGACCTTGAGTCAAATCTTCAGCGTGACAAGTACGCACGTTTGTGCAATGCCGTCACGCAGCTCATCGATGAGCTTACACCCTCGGCACCTGACTTCCAGCTGCGAGATGCATGCGACCAGATTGTGGGTTTCGAAGTCTGGAATATCGTCATGGCGTACTGAAGTGATGTCTGCTACAGCTCAACATTATCATCGACACGCCGGAGATGCAATCACAGTTGGTTTCTGCGCACGGAATGTTGGCTATCCTGGAAGTTCTCGAAGGTAGATCATCTCGAGATGTCATTCTGAAGCTTTTGCAGATTGTCAATGCGGTGTGTACTTTGGGCTCACTATCTTGGCCGTGCTTCACGAATTCTTTAGCTCGTAACAGCCGACATGGGCTTCTTAGAAAGTTTCTGCTTGATCGGGTATGCCTGCATTTCCTCATTCATACCACTGTGCTCATCATAGCATCCAGTGGCATTCCTGTCATTATGGGTGTGTCGTTCGTGTTTATCCGATTTGCGCATGGCCTAACTTACATGCAGGCTTTACATCGAAGAAGTATCCACCTGAGTGCCGTTTGGAAGCTTCAAATTTCATCCGCCTCCTGTGCCATTCGTCCGTATTGACACTGCAGATGTTCATTGCGTGGGTTTACCACATTACCAGGCTGTGTTGTTCCATGCTCACCCATCGCATGCAGTTGTCGAGGTCTGAAAGTTCTGGTTGACTTGCTGGATGAAGACTACACCGAGCAAGCGGACCTTGTCATCCACGCGTTGAATGGAATCTGCAGCGTCTTCGAGTTGCAAAGTCCGACAACGAAGAACGACTTTTGCCGGATGTTCATCCGCGAAGGGCTGCTCGATCCATTGTCTTCAGCACTCCTCAATGTCATGGCCGGCCGCGGCGAGGATGCTGCGGACATGAACAGCAAGATCATCCAAATCATCCTTGTATTCTGTCAGGTGTCGCAGTCGGATATCCATGTACGGAATGCTCTTGGAACTCGGAAGGTTGTGCGACGTAGGTGTGCCAGATATGCCTGAGTGTCTACTACACTCACCATCCGGTTCAGGCCTGCTAAGAGCGTGCGAGCTTCTCGAGCCGCAATATTTGGTGTTGATGCTCAAGGCTCTCAAACATCTGTCCATGAATGCGAATCTTTTGGAGGTTTTGCAGAACGCAAATGCCATCGAGATTCTCGTGAAGATCTTGGACGAACAGAGTTCAGGACCGTATGGCACGGTACGGCGAGCTCTCATTCACTGCATCGCAGTTGCTCATACAATTATCCGCAGGAAATGTCAAATCACATTTTCCAGACTTGCTACAACCTGTGTCGACTGAACAAGTCCAGGCAGGAAGAAGCTGCGCAAGCCGGTATCATTCCAAGCCTGAAACGAGTCATCAAGTCGAAGTCACACCTCAGGCAGTTTGCGTTACCGATCCTCTGCGATTTTGCAGGTGCTGGGAAGAGCTGTCGGACGCTGCTGTGGCAGCACGATGGTTTGGCGCTGTATCTGGACTTGTTGGACGACCCATATTTCCAAGTCAGCGCGCTGGAGTCCATCCTGTCCTGGCAAGTCTTTTCAACCATATTTCTGATGCAGTCGACTAAACCCGCCCGCAGGTTGCAGGAAGAGACAGCGAGGATCGAAGACCAACTCATGAAGCCAGAGGCGCTCGGAGCCCTCCTCCGTTGTTTCGTCTCCGCCAAATCTAATTCCTTCGAGAACCTCCTAGAGCCCCTCCTGAAGATCTGCCGTCTCTCCACCGCAATCACCATCGGCATCGCGAAGTCGCAGTTCTTCAAGCGCCTAATCGACAAGTTGTCACACAGCAAGGCCGTCGTGCGGCTCAATCTTCTTCGTATCCTGCGCGCCGTGTGTGAGGTACACCCGAACCGCGCGATGCTTGTAGAGCGTTACGGCATATACGACATCGTCCTCAAACTCAGCAAGCAGGACGGTGCGGTGCTCGTTCGCGGGCTCGCCGGGGAGATCGTGCCGGCGCTGGCTCCTGCGCTCAAGCCTGCGTCGCACAGGTCCACGCGCAACCCAGATACTCCGAAATCGTCGAAGGGCCTCATCGCACCGAAGAAGATGCGTCGCGCTGCGTCGGAGTCCTTGGCGGGCAGCCCCGCTGGTGCTTCCACTAGTGGCATTAATCTCCGTGCTGCCACGCGGAGGGTCGACGTCTCTGCCAGATTGCCTCCGAGACAGAAGCTGAACGATATTTCATGGCAGGCCGACGAGCGCCGCAATTGAGCCCGTCTTGTACACTAGATCATGTTTCTGGGTCATTCTCGTATTCGTTGCATTTACTTACTCGGCATTGTTCACTGTTATCAACCATACCTTGCATACTCTCTCGCAATACCATAGGCCTCCGCGTCCTCGTCGCGCTCGGTACGTAGAATACGTCGTGATAATGCACTGGAAGACAGCTGGACTGTATCGGTGAATATGCTGGCCATTTCTGGAGACCTCAGAACGTTCGGAACGCGGAACGGGTTGTTGCGGCAAATTTGCTGGTATCTTCATAGGAAATCCCGCAGAATATGATATGTCAGAATTAGATGGCTCTTATCATGGCCATTCGACCATATGTCTCCACCAAAAGCACTGAAGCTATCTATGCTCAGTCAAGCAGTCCTGGACATATCATCAGTTGTTGATGGTGATAGGAGAGCAAGCACAACAGAATCGACTCACTGTCACCGCCGCGCGAACGGAACCTGGAAACCAGAGAGTAATGCCCTGGCAACATTTTGTGCCCCCACACCCTTCGCGCTCGTGATGAGATGAACATGCATGCCGTAGGATTTCGGGTAGGCATCCAAATTAACCTCTATCTGCGGGAAGAAGGCCATGGCTTCTGGTGGCAAACCGAAGGAAACCACACCCGACGCCGCATTGGGGCTGTTGAGCGGGCCCGATGCGCCATCCATGACGAGCCCGGGGAACTCTCGTATTCTGGGCAGGATAAAGTCCACGAGGATACCCAGGAAGTCGTACATTCTCGGGCCTTTCAGGTCAACCTTCACCCCGATGGGCGCGCCTGGCCTGACCCAACCCTGAATGCTCCTCCTGCCTACAGCTAGCTCGACACCTTCCACCGTGTGTTGGTTTCCAGAGTCCTCGTTCTGACCTGAGATCGCGCGAAATGCCATCATGGCACCCAGTAGGTGGCTACGGCTGGAAAAACTCTCCTTGACGTGCGTATGCAGCTGGATGCGCTCGAGTTTTACCACGTTCTCCGGCGTCACCAATGGTGGTGGGCGTTTGAAGTACTGGTTACCGCCGATTGGTGGGTTAAAGCGGTGCTTGGTGTACGGATCCTCGGGGTCGTACTTGGGGCGGACATGGCGGGGTGGTTTGGGGTTCGGCTGGTGCTTGTAGGTCATGTACATGATGTCGTCGCGAACGGTATTGTAGTAGTGGTCGAGCAGGCGACATGGCGCAGTGTCCCGGACGACGAGGTTAACGTGCGGAATGGGTAGACGGTTCTCGTCGCGAGGGAGAGGTCTACGAATTCTCGGAGGCGGCTTGGTTGGGCGAATGCTTCTCACCGCTGGAGAGATACGGAGAACCTGCGCCACCGCTGCACTCATCTGTCTCTGACAATGAATTCTGCACCATTACGCTAAAATATGACTGGAACATACCTCCACCTAAGTCTGAGAGGATGGAATAGCCAGTAAAGAAACGCAACTCGACAAGTCGGCGAATAGCGAGTCACGTGCACCTCCAGACGACAAGTTTTCGGTAAATCTTGTCTGCCTGCGCTCGCCACCACCGCCACCCAACCCCCTTATAAAACAATGGACTCTTCAGGCTCATCGTCTCAGGACCCTACGTCTGTCCTTCGCGGTGCTACCTTCACGCGGAGCGAGGGCTCGCCAGTACCCTCTGATGCGGTCACTGCTTCTGATGTCCTCCTGGGCTCCTTCGATCCTGCTAGACTCCATCCATTAGCTGGCCTAGAGGACAAACTGGACTATTTGCAACTAGAAGATGACCAAGTGAGCAATATGCCAGGCTCAGGTACGGCGATACCTTCGCGAGGGTGGAGTGATGACTTGTGCTACGGGACTGGGACATTGTATCTCAGTGGTACGTATATCGAAGCATTTCGAGTATGGTGATATCGTATGTATGTTTATCTGTTAGGTCTTGCTATGGGTGGTGTCTGGGGTTTACGTGAAGGAGCGAGGAGGCCACTAGCGGTTTCCAACGCGCGATTGCGGGTAAACAGCATCCTGAATTCCGTAACGAGAAGAGGGACCTTCATTGGAAACTCTGCTGGTGTACTCGGTAAGTCTTGTGTGGGATTCATGGTTGTCAAGGTTCTCATTCACATACACGTAGCTCTCGCGTATAACGGCATCAACTCTATTGTCGACACTTTGAGGGGCAGGCATGATACCGTTGGGAGTATGGCTGCAGGAGCCCTTACTGGTGCGTTGTACAAATCGACGGGTATGTCTCTTTCATGTATTAGCCCCTCTATTTTCTGATCGCTTTGGTTCCTCCACATCAGCCGGTGTACGGCCAGCTTTGGCGGCGGCGACGATGGTGTCAGCATGTGCCGGTATCTGGAGCTATGTTAAAAACCGTGTATGACCTACAACTCTGCACGCTGAGGATATCAGGCTGCTCCGTTCTGTACTGCCTCGCTCCCGGCGAACCCATCTATCACCACGGTTGTGTACAGAGCTGCGCTGACTTCCCCACCACATCTCGATTATACATCTCATCTAGTAGCATAGAAACCTAATACATTCAGAGCGCCCAGCGAGAGTCTAAAAGCGTGAAGAGAGAGATATGCGTTGATGGTGATGCAAAGGAAGACACAGCAGACAGAACAAACAAATCAAAGCTCACTCAGGCTGCAGCGTCTCTGCCTCAGCCACGATCACTGTCTCTGTACCTCCGCCGTCCCGTCTAACCGCTGCCATTCCTTTCCCTCATTTCTTCCGGTTGCCTTTCGAAGGGCAGCGTCCTTGTATTTTGCTTTCGGTCCATGGCCCTCACTGCAACTGCACAATCTGCTCTGCCCCACTCTCGCGGTCCGGTGTGGAACGAGGTTATCGTTCCCACTCTTCGCAAACGTCAGTCCTATTGCTCTCTAACGTTTGACTTGCTCTCATGGCTTTCGCGCAGGTCTGAAGGACGAGAGTAAGATATTGGCGAAGCGGATATCAGCCGCTTCCATAGGCTCAGGCGATGACCACTCTTCCGACTACCAATCGAGTGCGTTTTCTACCCCACCCACCCAGTTTTCGCAGTATCAGAGGCCAAGCGCCATACCTCGTCCAAGCCTGCAGCATTCCAGAAATGGAACAGACTCCTCGCAAGCCACACCGTCGCCCCCACAGACCTTCCACCGCGCTCGCACATACTCGCAGCCATACCTCTTCGACGAGTCCGGAGTATTACTTCCTGAACCGACACCGTCGCGGTCGAACTCTCCTATGATCAATGGTACGACCACTCGTATCCCTGTCTCTCGTGGTAGGGCAGGCAGCTCCTCCAGCCACGCACATGGCTCCACGCATGGCAGCATTGGCCGCCCCGAGGGCAGTGGTCATACTTACATAGAATCCTCTGATCTGTATCCAGTCGATGAAAGCCTGCATACCCATTCTACGCGCTCCACTGTCCGCATACCGCCCGCCCAAGGGTCGCGCTTATTTCGCGAACACGCACCGTTTGGTTCCGTCCGCTCGATCGACTATGACCCCCCACGCCTGTCTTCCGACTCCGAAGAGCGCCCATTTGAACATTGGTATCGCGGAGATGTCTCGAGGAACGGCGGCGTTGGTGAGTTGCGCGTCGGGCGGCGCGAAGAGATGCTTGATATTGCGAGCTACGGTCACACGTTCCGCAATGCTTCTTCACGCGCCGCGCTCAGCAGCTATTCTCGCTCAAGATCGAACTCGCGGGGCAGAGACACGGAGTCGCATACAGGGATGCGTTCGCGGGCGGAAGGTGTCGGGGCAACGACGAGGGAGAGCTTCTACCTCGATGAAGACGAGCATACACAGGACATGGATATGGTGCTAGACGAGCAGCCGCTGACGGACCTGGAGAGCGACGGATACGCAGATCAGGAGGAGGTGCTTGATTTGTACAGCGAGCAGGACGTGCTGCCTCACCCCAACGGGACCGTCTCCTCGCCCTCGTTGACGCTGAGTAACGACATCTCTGGACACCGGTACGCGCAGCAGAGTGTTTCGCGAATACCTATGCCCTCGACGCGACACATTTCACCACCTCCCAGGACGCCCACGCCTACGCAAGCTATGCGTAGTATGTCCGAGGCAAGCACCTCGTCAGCCACTTCCACTCCACGCTCGGAGCAACCCTCCCGCATGCAACCCTCTCCGCAAAGCCAAACGCCAGTTAAGTCCGCTCCGTCGACTGCGAAGCGACGCGCGAAGAGTCCTGCGACTCCTGGGTCAGCTACTTCCTCGAAGAAACCGAAGACGAAGCCTCCTCCATCCTCAATGCAGAAAAAACTGCAGCTCAAGGAAGAATACAGGAGATCAGTTGGTGTGTACCCAGCGCCCGACGGCGATAATGTGGTAGATGCTATTCCATCTTGGACCCAGCCCGTGCCTTCTGGGAACTGGGATGATGTCAGTCCTTGTGCTACACGATGTACGTATCTGTATCTGAGCGTCCTTTTTGCACAGGTCGTGCTTCCTGTCGTTGCTCGTAAGAAGGGTCTTGACGGTCACTACGCGACAGCGGATGGAAATCCACGCCCGAAGCCCAAACTTGCTGTATATGAGCCCGTGAGTCACATCTCTCCGATGGTCGCTCGTTATAGTTGTCATCTTGGGGCTGACTGTCATTCAATGAATGTACCCAATGCAGGCACCAGGTACTTTCGGCTATGATCATTCAAAGTATCGGCCCCCAAATGCCAACATGGCACCCCAAGATATTCCCATGGACGAGTTCGGGCAGAAGAAGGAAGTGGAATCTGTTCTGAATCCAGAACCGACACATCAACCCAGTCTGGCACCAAAACCTTCCCCAGAACCAGACAGAGCCCGCCTGCGTCCCTCCCCACCACCGTCCCCTCCCCCCTTCTCCCACTATGCGGAAAACAATGACGAGACTACACTGCACGTCACCCAGTTCCCAAGTCCGCCTCGGCGGAAAGCCAAGGATGGCCGAGCAGACGACGATGGAGGTGCTGGATGTTGTAGGTGCATTGTTATGTGATCTCCGGTGGACCGTCGTTCTTGATTCGTCTTCGTTCTCGTCTCCGAGCATTGCTTTTTTGTACTATGTTTTTTCATCGCCGTGTTGTTCTTGCCCCTTGTCTCCCATCCCCTTCATGATTTATTCACACACCGTCTTCCCCTTTGCATGGCCCTGTCGTCGATACCCTGTGCCTAGGCACCGTCTTTCACTCACTGTGGGCCGTCCACAATTTCCACGGTTGCGCGGTCCTCTCATTGCATGTATCGTTGTGGAACATTGCGTTTCTGTTACATTCGTCCATGGGGTCCATTGCATCGACACTCCGGCCACCGCTCGTTTCCAACACCATACCCTATACATTCTAATACGCTATGATACTCTGCATAAGTAGACGGAATACCACTTTCGCGTTCGTGATACCATAAGCCATGATCCAGATGTCGCAATGGGGAAATACCGGGCTCTGTAATGGACCGGATGGAGCGAGGGAAGTCTATCCTCCATACGGAAAAATCCCGATTCCCTGATGCTCCTTGCACGCGAAAACCACGCGTCGCTATGGCTTCTTTCGCTCACGGCTGGCATGAGCTAGTCACAGCGTATACCACTCTCGACGTAAGGAGGCCGTCCTTGTCCACCCGCACCTCGGGCGTCGTAAATTGAACGTCAACAGTGTACGTCCCGAGGGCGTCCGCATCATCCACTTCTATCCTGGTTTGATTCGCGAAGGTCGCGAGGATATCCCCGTTCTTTGCCCACGTGATCGTGTAGCTCTCTTCTACCTCGACTGCCTCCTCGCGGAATTGGGCAAGCGGAACGAGGTCGAGGCCTAGCGTCCTCTTCCATCTCCCTTCCTCCAGTTTACATCCCGCGTTCAGGCTGTCAATGAGATCCACTCGTTTCAGTAATGAGAGCCAGAGGCCTTCGATGCAGACTTTGCAGAAGTTAGGTGTCGTCACAACCCGCATGAGGCAGTCTTCATTAGTAGGACGGTAGGTTGTCTCGTTCCTCTCCGAGAAGCTGGGGCAGCGTGTTACGAAACGTGTATTCAAGCACAAGCAAAGAGGTCACTCACGTGGGAAAGGCACCGTAATATCCTGGCGTTGCGACAAATCTGACAAGATGCGTTTCAATATATCGGGCGTGCGCAAGACATGAGACCAACGTACTCCGTTTCATCCCCAAACTCCAGAATCTCGGCGCTGCACAGCTGCGCCGTTCCTTCTACGTCTTTGTTTCTGAGGGTAAACTTGAGCTCGTGGACACCCTCACTCAGCGCTCCATTTGGATGCACATCATAGTGCCATCGATCAACGCCAATATCTGGCTGCGGAGCCCACAGGAGATCCTGGCCGTCCAATTCAACCAGGAGGTCACCCATTTGAGGCAATCCCGAGAGGGAAAAGCGGACGAGGTGTCTCGCGTAAGTTCCGGATGAAGAAAAACTGATGCACCATGGAGAGGAGACGTTAAGCATCGTCCACGGATATGCCTGCATTGGCATGATGGATCGTTCAACGCGCGCACTAGTGTGATCATTGTCGTGATCGTGATGGTGGACTGAAATTGAAGAGGCGTTGGTAAGCCAATGAGACCAGGGAATCGCCTTCGATATGTCGTGTGCAGCATTCACCCCAAAGTACGCATAGCCGCCATCGTACTCCTCGCCAACGTCAATAATTGAATGTCCAAGTTCATGGCTGAAATACATGTGCGTCAGACAGAATTCGAAGAAGAGGAGCAAAACCCACCGAAGGACAAGGGCACCATTAGCCAATGAGGGTGTTATCACTCTAATTTCCGGTGAGACTAAGGAAGTGCGCTCACACCAACGATGATACTTACGTGAACTCGCCGCCCAAGCCTGGTCAGATGATGGGTAAGGAAGAGCACCCTGAACACCCATAAAAACACGAACCTCCGTAGAGAGGATCATTCCCTGTCCAACTTCACCTTAGCCCTCGTCTTACACTATCTTCACGCATCGATGAGCTTACCCATCAATATGGGATAGTCGCATCGATCTCCCATGGAGAAACACGCCGCTCGCGCAACGTCCGGTTTGCTGTAGTATACTCCCCGAAGTTCTGTTCCATCCCGGTAGAGACCAAATGTGGTGCTGTGGGCAAGTGATCAATCATTCGCATTGACTACAGAGATCCGTGAACAAAATCACTCTTTCGGCACTCCGCCAGTGCCTATGCCGCTCTACAATGTCACGATTAGTAAGGATCTCGACCATATTAGCATGTACTAATAGCACCTCATTGCTTGGCGAGAAGGCAGCCCAGAAATTTAGCAGCGGTTTGACGGTGTTGAATGTGTGGTTATTTGAGATGTCCATCGCTAAACGCGTCGCATCTGCGATGAACTGATCTTTCTCCTCAACGGTATCTATCGAGAGAGGAATTAGAATTCTGCATTAGAGATACGCCGCATATATCAGTAAGCAAAAAATCTTACGGACATCCGTCGGAAAAGAATACAAGATCGACGCGATTACTGGGATGCCCAGAAGAGAACAGCGGCTCCACTTGTAACGGGGGTGGTGACACCTTTTCCCCAAATCTTCCGGAAGACATAACTATCTGGGCATCACTGTATTTAGAGACGCCTGGAATGTTTGCATCTACAAGCACAACAAGATCCTGAGCTTCTCGTTGTCCACATAAAAGCTGGAATCGAGACCACAAGGTCTCAGGCCTGCGGTCGACGAAGCGCAATCGCTCTTCACCAGAAGTTGTAAGAGCAGTGTCGAGTGTTCCTTTGTCGGAAAGTGTCCTGTAGTTCTGTGTTTCTTTCAGTGCTGCAAAAGAGCATTGCAGGGACTTATGGTCGCGATAAACGACAAGTTCGAAAGGTCGGGTTTTGTCGATGTTAAGAGCAGAGATAAACAAAAATCCTGAAAGAACAGTAGACAGATTTAGAAGAAGTGATACAGTCAAGCTATGGAACATGTTGTCTGCAGGTGCGACCCTACGGTCACTAGCCTGGTCACTCCAACCGCACGATAAGGCGAACGATGTCAGTTACTAAATCGGGAGCTTCGATCACTCCATCACATCACGTGCTCAAGATCCATCTTCCTGCTCAAACGAAATTATTGCCTGCTCTCGGGCCATTGTGGTTCCCCTCCCTCGTGCTGGTCTCCTTCAATAGACATGTCGAAAGCTACATTGATCGACGACCACGTATCTGCGACACAGTCCAAGAAAGCGGTCGATGCGCTGCTCACTCACATGCTGAAGGTGGAAGAAAAGAAAGCCGACAACGAGTTGCTCCCGGGCAAGGAGCAGAATATATGGCTAGTGGTAACGACGAAACAGATGTACCCTGAGAAGAAGCTGAAGCCCTCCAAAATGTACGCACCAATGTCTGCAACTCATTCACCCGATATCTTGACATCCCACTTGTAGTCCACTCGCCCATCCAATAATAGATCCACGGACATCCCCCGTTTGCCTTATCACGAAGGATCCTCAGCGAGAATACAAGGACCTACTCGAGTCTCACAATATTCGCTTCATTTCCCGCGTGGTTGGCATTACCAAACTGAAGGGGAAATTTAAGCCCTTCGAAGCGCGGAGATTACTGCTGAAGGAGAATGGCCTCTTCCTTGCTGACGAGCGGGTGGTACCACTACTCCCGAAGTTATTAGGGAAGATGTTTTTTGAGGCAAAGAAGTAAGCAACTTTTGTCTTTCTTCTACTGCTGTGTCCATATCAATATTTCTTACGTCAAGGCAGCCGATCCCTGTTTGTTTGACAAGGAAAGACCTTAAGGGTGAGCTCGAACGCGCGATATCCTCCACATATTTTCATCAAAATCAGGGAACATGCGTGTGCGTGTTTTTATGCTAATCCCATGTCGGTCTCATCTCACATTATATTTAACAGCTCTATCAAGATTGGCACTCTTTCTCAGAAGCCAGCGCACGTCCTCGAGAATCTGATGATAGCTCTGCCCGCGGTCGTAAAGAACATCAAGGGCTCGTGGGACAACATTCAGAGTTTCCACATCAAAACCAACTCCTCGGCGAGTCTGCCAATATGGACATGCAACTTGGGAAGCGAGGAGGGTAGTCGGTGGGGTGGGTTGATTGTGAGTACTGAGCCAGACGAAGAAAGGGAAGATGCGGAGGGCAAGAAGGTGCGGTCCGTCGAGACGGAGGGCAAAAAGAGAAAACGGGCGCCATTGGAGGAGGAGGAGAGGATGGCGAAGGCGAAGATACGCACGAAGAAGGACCAAGTCGCAGAGCCAGAGAAGGAGCGGGTTACAGCTGCAAAGGGGGTGGAGGGTGAAAAGCCGAAGAAGAAGGCGAAGGTGGACGATCCAGAAGAGGACGAGGATCAGGTCGTCGCAACCACGCTATCATCTACGTTGAAGGAGGTGAGGTTCAAGCGAGGCGTCGAAGGACTTGAAAAGAAGAAGGTGAAGATGGTGAAGGCAAAGCCAGGAACGAAGAGTGCGAAGGCTGCTGTCCTCGGCAAAAGAAAGGTTTAACTTCTCTTGCTACGTATTGAATCCCATCCCCCGTTATGACAATTCAGTGTGGAGACCTCTATCCCGGATGATACCGCCTGCACGACATTCCAGAACTCTGTCTGCCACAGAGTAAAGGTACCTCTTTTTTCGTGTGCGACTCCCCAAAGCAGCGACGTGTAAATCTGACGGAATGGTGTTGACATGGCATTGGCATCGTCGAGAGTCAGATCTTCAGAAGTACTGTCAATGAACAGTGACTATTTCTACGCGCCAAGACCGCTGCATGCATGGGCGCGTAATTTATTCCGGACAATGATAAGTAATCTCAGCGACTCACGTCCAACTCACGTCCATCGCAGGGCCGTAGTTCACACCGACCTTTACTACATCCTTGACATGTTATAGTCTGGACAACCTCCATTCCAGCTGCAGCTTCGTCGGCCACTATGGTCGGCTTTATCACGGCCATCGTGGCAGTCTTTCAACCACGATGGACGACCACTCACCGGTGCAATGCACATGTTTTTTGAATTGGTCAGCAATTTCTCTCCTGAGCGTGAATGAGGGACGTCATCCCAAACAATCCCATTATTCAGCCGCATGATTCGGTGCGCTCCAACACCAACACCAACACCGCGACCTGCATCTCCTGTCACCACCACTGCTACTGCAGAGCGTTCGAGTCGTTGATTGTTCAACGTTCAGCTTCTAGTTGTCACGATTTGAGTGATCGTAGTTCAGATGCGTGCAGTTCTTATCAGGGAGGAGAAGGGTCCTTTGGAGAATCTCTACCTAGGAGAAACCACAAGGCCTTCTCCCAAACAAGGAGAAGTACTTGTGAAGGTGGGTTTGGGTCTCTGGTATAGAGTGTCGCGTTGCTGAGATCCTGCGCCCCCTGGATAGATCAAGGCATTTGGTGTCAACCGTATGGATATCCTGCAGCGAGAGGGCAAGTATGCGCTTCCCGCAGATGCCTCAAAGATTCTCGGTGTGGAATTCTCAGGACACGTGGTTGAAGTCGGCCGCGACGTGGCCGAATGGAAGGAGGGTGACGAAGTGTTCGGTCTTACCAGCGGTGTTCGTGCGATATCATGCCAGTATGAAACAGAAGATACTGATGCAGCGGTTTGGTCCGACATCAGGGTGCTTATGCAGAGTACATCGTTGTTCTTCCGGCCAACCTGTTGAGGAAGTCCCCCAGTCTGACGTGGGAGGAAGCTGCTAGTATTCCGGAGAACTTCCTCACAGGTGAGCGACAAAGCGCTCACAGCTCTACCTGCTGTTGATCGTCATTTTGCATAGCTTTCCAGGCCCTCGTTGTGATAGCCGAAGTGAGAAGGGGCGATGATGTACTTATTCACGCCGGAGCCTCCGGTGTCGGAGTGGCTGCTATCCAGCTTGCGCGTCTGTACGGCGCGTCAGTCTCTTGAGCTTCGATCTTGTGAAGCTGGAGATTACTGACCTTCATCTTTAGTAACACAGTTACGGCGACCGCCTCGACCAAAGAGAAGCTCGATTGGCTCATTTCCATGCCAAATGGTGCGACACATTCCATCAATTACAAGTCGCGAGATTTTGCCGCAGCGGTCAAAAAGATCACCAACGGCAAAGGAGTTGATGTGATCATAGATGCTGTTGGTCAAAGCCATTGGCACAAAAATATCGATGCTCTTGCTGTGGATGGCAGAATGACACTGTTGGGCTTGTTGAGCGGTCAGTATCAGATGTCCTGATTTTTGAAGTTGACCTTATTGTCCGTACACACTCAGGTGGTGAAGTGCCCTCCTTCAACCTTGCACCAATCTTGTTCAAGCGGCTGAAGATTGAAGGTTCCACACTGCGATCTCGAAGCCCGGACTATCAGGCCAAGCTCATTTCACGGTACGTAGTTACTTCAGGGCAAGGGGCAATTTCTATGTTGTTGTAAATCCACAACATGATCATCCAGGTTCAAAGATGAAGTGTTGGGTTTCCTCACGGGCAGTGCTGGTGAGGGCGCATTGCGGACGTACATTCACAAGGTAGTACATCCGTCATTGACAGGCGTTGTTGGTTACTGATAAGAGAATCTTCTGCAAAAGGTTTATCCCTGGACGGAGATTCAGGCAGCTCACCGTGAGATGGAGGCCAACAAGAACAGGTCAGTAGCTGAGCGCTCCGTAGTCGTGGGCATATGTGCGTCGTTCTATGCTGACACCACGTGCGGTTTGTAGCGGGAAGATCATTGCTGAGGTGGTATAATTGAAGAAACGCCTGAAGAAGCTTTCGCATATGTATTCTACCACTGCCACACGTCTGGAGTGTTCGCTTGCGACCTCAGTAATGTACGTCCAGACCATGCGACAAAGAAGAGGACATTCACTTGTTCTCTTTCCCAATCATGGACATGTCTTGCGCCAGCGTCAAATCGGATCTTCGCACTTCCACCAAAATTGATCGGATTTTTGAGTGGAGCCTGAGCTCCAAGGGAATGCATGGGAGCGCAAAGCGCGGCAACAATTGTTCTCCTTCCATTATAGTGGAGAAGGTTTGCCCCAGTGGACCCTGTTGGAACGATGGTATGCCCCCCCGGTCCGGTTGATTGTTCCGGCCATCGTGCAAAATAATCGCCAAGGACCCTGGAGAGGCACCATAAGGGTTCCGACTCGGAGAACCAGACGTCTTCTCCGCGTTCTCCACCGACTGAGGATCGGCGATTTTGACCTTCGGTGTAAATAGACATCAGTTCGCAACTCACGGGCATGAAAATGCTCGTCGTGCTTGTTCGAGTACAGCGAAAATGGTACAAGCTATAATTGAACGTACTCATGTGTCTAGGCAGGAACAAAGCTTCCACCATGTGCTCGGCATTGGTATAATAGTCCACTCGCGTGAAGATCAGGCATACACAGCCCGCTCAGGTACGGCGTCGCAACATATTACGATTGTACTTACTTGTGGACAGGAGAAACCACTGTGTCAACGCCTGTGCTCGTCGATGCTATCGACTTACAAGGCCTTCCAAATCTGTCCTGAGGATCACCGGCCGGCGGACGACAGACATGCGACAGATTGATGAGCCGCGTAATGGTTGACTTGGTGGGCCTAGAGTCATATCAGCGCAGGATCTATTAACATACTCTGTTGTCCGCTGTCCATCCAGGATGCAGTAAGGATCGCAGTCAGGGGAATGCACCGCCACCTGTTCTTTTCCCGTCTTGAGTCATGATGCATGATTGGTCACGCTGATATTCTCCTTACTCTCCGAGTCACCGTGTTCCGGCTGACCCCTTCTGTGCTGATGCTTGATTGTCGCTTTGACAAGCACCTTAATCTGCGCGGAACATGTTCCCCCTTAGAGCTGGATTAGTGGAGGCTCTCCTGAGCTTCGCAACTGGAACGATGAGCTAGTGTGAGTGAGTGAGTCAAAGAATTTTATTCTCTGCGGCTGCCTGTGGTTCGAAGTCTGCAAAAGTTTGGTCATGAGGCGACGTACCAAGGCCACAGTTGGAGACACTGCTTCTACGCTGCAGATGTACTGCATGGATAATATATGGGTGAGCTTTGAGGAAGTAGACTTGTCGCGGTAGCTACTAGTGCCAAATCTCGATATATGTCCGCAACCGGACCCGTGGCGGTTATGGGCGCTCGTCAGCGCGACGTTGTTTGTATCATACCCACTGTGGTGCAAGGTTTCAGATTTCTCCAGAGTTTCACAGATCTGTTCCACATTGAATCGTGAGGCTGTGCATTGAAAACATCAGTATGTACAGCGTGCAGTCGAAACATTGACTTGCAGCTGACTGTCTCAAAGGTTCCTCTAGCAAGGCATCATCGCAGGGGAAATTCGCTATCATCATCAGGAAGGACCAGCGCTAGAAGCACTGTCCGAACGGAGCACAGGTAAGCGCACGTAACAATTCCCAGGTCCCTGGAATACCAGTGCACTGGTCTCTGCGAGTAATGCGATACTGGTACTATCTCGATCCATGACTCCAGCCGCACAAACTTCCCCGCTGGTACTGCGCGTTGCTGCCAATTGAATCGGCGGCTACGCGGCGTCAAGAACCATCCAACGATAATACCTTCGTCAGCGGGCGACTGCGACGGGCTATAAGAAGGCTTCTTCGGATGCCTCTAACCTCATCTTCGCCATAACCAACACTCCACACTCTTGACACTCCCCTTAGTAGTGTCTCTGCGAGTCACCCTCAGTCGTCTACCGACTTTGCTTATACTCCACACTCATCCTCATCTCTTCTCGCATCGAGCACCATGCAGTCGCCTTCCGTCTACCCCATGTCTTTCAACGCCTCTAACACCACCTCGAAGCCATCATCATCATCATCCAGCTCTTCTCAGAGCGTCATACGTGCCACTGCTAGCTCGTCCGGCCCTGTGTTCTTCTGAAGGACACTCGCCGTTCCTCGTCGCTTCGCGACTAATGACGGAGAGTCACACGAGATGCGCAGCATCATAGTCTATGTCGGGCGACGTTTCTGGGGGATCACTGCAAACGCGTCGCACGCGTACCACCAATAATATTCATGGTGTCGATGGGGACGGGCTAGAGGCTTATGGATGATGGTCGGGGAGCAACTATGGTGCACTCGGGCTTCGAAGCATAGATTCCGAGATCTAGAGTTTTGCGCCTCATAGAGTAATATTTAGTAGCTGGTAACTTATAGTCTCATACGGTAATATTCGTATCTCAAACATCTGTAGTCGTCTTCATAATCTCATATAGCCACAGTTATATTTTCTATCATCGTACGAACTGTCCGATGATATTTTGGGACACAAAATCGGACTGTGGTTGTTGTGTGAGACAAATCAGTCAAAGAACAGGACAAAAAGTAATATAATGCGTGCAGAACGGCACTTTCTCAAGTCCTCAAGGAAATATTGTGCGGCAAGAAAAAATGTGCTCCGAGCCATCCTCGAAGGCCTACCGCTGATGGACGTTAATGTGAGCAGGCAGATTTTGGCCGCGCAGCTGGGAAAGATCATACAATTATTCAGGAAGGACGTACCAATTGAGGTGGCCTATTCTAGTCAAATATTCAAGTACGTTATGATGCCGATTAACGAGCTCACAACGAACTGTAGGAACACTCGCCTTCTATATGACGCACTCCGAGCTATGCACGGCACGGTCCTGCAGATCGCAACATGCCGATATATCGGAGTTGTGGGTCTCAGACGCGGGATGGCGGTTGGCTCCATGCCAGGAAGCTTCCAGAACGTAAGTACAGTCTTCTCCCGCGTAAGCAGACGACCGTGAATCCGAGCAGGGCAATGGACAAGATTCATGGGCGTTGATTAGCCGGGAATGTAGCGATCAGCGCAGATCTCTTCGACATTTTGACATGAATGAACCTTGCCCACTTGTGTCGAAAGCTCCCACCGACAGATACTTACACGAGTGCCGCAAAGTAGAAATCGGCGTGCTGAAGCACAAAAAATCAGAGTGTACCAACTTCCGAGGAGGACCGTGCTGGGCTCTGCTACCTTGTCACGGTAAGCCTCTACACGAAGAAAGAGCACTCACTGCTCCTCAGCACTCATATCACCACACTGCTGCTCTTCCTCCGACGACAACATCACCTAGGATAAGGTACAGAGGTAAACCTCCGATTCGGATGTCCGAGTAGGCTGTTCAAATTGTTGTAGCGGGTACCTGTCCGCCCTTTCCACCACAGGAGAACATGGACCTCGTAGATGGTGATTTTGGGCCTTTTCTAGCGCATATAATCAAAAACGGGGAGGTGTCGAGAGACTCGAGCTTCGAGTACCGCATTCTGCAGATGCGCTTCAGCAGAACGAGATCGCCCTGTATGATAGCCCCCTACATTCTTTGGAAACAAAACATATCGTCTGCATACATATAACGATCCACCCGAGGGCGGGGAATGATGGCTGTTCGAGACGGTGAACATTGACCACGATGACCTTTTACGGCCAAGTTTATTGTAGCCACAGAGTATTTGGATGTGTTTGCCGGTGGCAGTCGCTACCTGGAACTGATGGAAATAAACGCCAACAGCTTTCATCGTCTCCTCCTCCTTCTCCTCGTCGTTTGCGTCGAGCTCCTCGTTGTCTTCGTCGCCTTCGTCCTTCGCTAGACCGGCAGGTTCCGCTGGTCTTGTCTAGACCAACGTTGCACGCCCCGTAGAACGTGCCGTTTGCTTCTAGCCAGTATCATCGACTCGACGTCGCTTTGTCAAACCTTTGTATTGTCTCTTAACATGTCTACTCTTCACCCTCCGAGCCCCAGCCCTTCTCCTGGTCCTGTTGGCAACGCCAATGGGAGGTCTCCCAGTTTCCGTGCCTCCATGGGTCCTTCTTCTGTCCGCCCCTCGGTGGCTACTCAAGGATTGCCTGCTTCGCCCCGTCCTGGCGGTGTATCTGGCGCTGGAAGGCCGACAAGTGAGCTCTTGGGCAGTGCTGGTATGTTCCAGACTCCCGAAGGTGGTTATCGTTCCTCAAGTTCTTTGTCTTTGTCACTAACAACATCCTTATAGCCGAAGCTATCGACCAGTGGTTCGAGACCTTCCAAAACTACGAAGTAACGCTGGTGCGCAAGATATATGCTTACCATTTTTGTCGTTTACTGACACGCCCGTGTAGGAAGAAATGGCTGCTGCCTCTTTAGACGTTAACTTCAAGGAAGAACTGAGTGCCATAGAGCAATGTGAGTCCCAGTTATTATTATCGCAATGGTCGTCTTTTCCGACGTCGCTACTCTGCGTCATTCAACTTGCTGCGTTGGAGTAGCAACGGATGACCTGAGTCATGCCTGTCCGAGCATATTGGAAAGTCGTGTGTGACCCTGACAATTGGGGAGGGATCGCAGAGGCGCTTCCTGTAGGCATCAGCTGTCATCGCTGGCGGTTGACAGTTGTGATGGCATGGGTTGTTTGTTATTTATTTCCTGCTTTATGTTGTCTAAATCTTCTACTTGAATGCTAATGAATGTATTTTGTCAGGGTTCAAGGTTTTATCGGAAGCCGAGCGCACAGCCGCTCTTTACAGTCTTTTGCAACATTCTACTCAAGTTCAAATCAGATTTTTCATCACCGTCCTTCAGCAGATGGCCAGAGCTGATCCCATCACGGCTCTTCTGAGCCCTGCAATGGGTAGTAAGTTTCGGTGATATTGCTGTGTCAGAAGATGTGCTGATTCGTTTCTTCTTTAGGTTCGATGCAGAGTCAGATGGAGGCTAAATTGGCAAGCATGAACCTGAAATCGCCTGCTCTGAAGTCTGGCCTGCCTGCGTCACCGACGGCGCGTAACTTCTCAGCGAATAGGCCGTCTTTGGGTATGGAGGCAGGCGTAAACGGATTCCTCTCCCCTGATAGTGCTCACGATCCTGCGACCACCTTGGCTCAACAGCGCGCTAAACTTAAGGCGTCCAACGCTTCTCACCGCATCTCTGCACCGGTGTTGAGCACCACGATGGGTGCAGACAGCCGAACGTGGGGATCGGTCTCAAACTCGTTGGCTCAGGTAGACGAGCGCGCATCGTCTCCTGCGCAGGAGATCTCCATCCCTGTGTCAAATGGCAATGTTGCGTCGCGTCCCAAGAGCACTGACTTCTCTGGTGCCGCGAATGCGTTCAAGTCTCCCAGAGTTGGAGGCGAGCCGGATGGGCTCTCGCCCATGGTTGGGGATAGCTGGGCAAGCATGGTGAACACCCCTCTCATGCCCATGTTCAAGGATACTCGCAACGCGAATCAGAGCCTTGACGCAGCTGCCGCCAAACTCAATGACTGGACAGCCACCGGTGGCGGAGTACCCCTAATCGCAGATCCCCCGAAGAAGTTTAATCGCCTTTCGAAGGGCAGCACGGGTCTTAATAACGACGCTCAAAACAACGGTGTTTATGGGGAAGATGGAAACCCTGTTGGCCCAGGTGGTGCGCAGCAGCATAGTCAGCGCAACGGCCTCAGGAATGCCAGCGGGGCTGGCAATTTGAACGCATTCGGCGGCGCAGGCGGCTGGAACGGTACTCGTAGCCCCGCGCTTTCGAACAACTCGAACAGGTTCGTCGACGAGACCAATTTGAATGGGCTGGGTATTCCAGGATTTGGCATGGGGATGGGCAGCCCTGGACTTGGGATCCCAGGAGCAGGTGGTTTGAATATGGCCGCATTCGCAGCGGCGGGCATGCCGCTCAGCCCCTTCGGCAACATGTTCAACATGTCTAACCTGGCCGCCATGGGTCTCACTCCGGAGCAGATGCTCGCGATGCAGATGGCTGCTGCCGGCCAACTTGGACAGCCCGGCCTCGGCGCATTTGGGATGGGCATGCATGCACAGAACTCCCCTGGGTCCCGCAGCGGACGTGGGATGGGCAACATGCGCTCCCCTGGAAAGTCGCCGAGTGTGCGCGACTCGAAGAAGGATGAGGAGGAGGTGGACCCGAAGCTTCTCGAGGACGTGCCGGCTTGGCTGCGCAGCTTGCGGCTGCACAAATATACGCCCAACTTTGAGGGCATGACGTGGAAGGAGATGGCGATGATGGACGAGGCTGCGCTCGAAGAGAAGGGTGTCGCGGCCCTGGGGGCTCGGAGGAAGATGCTGAAGACGTTCGAAGTAGTGCGCAAGAAGATGGGTCTCGAGGCCCCTGCAAGCGCCACTCTCACCTCTGCGACTTAATTTCATCGTGCTGGTCGGTGACGATGGCGTACAAATTGGTTCAACGGTTCGGACCACATTGCGGCGGCTCAAAATGCTCGATACTCTTCTTGAGAACATCCCATTCATTTCACATGGTTCATTTTGGCTTTGACTCTAAGCTCTCGCAAGTATACATGACAAGAATTATCCTCGTCGAGTATACTGCGGCTTGAAATGGAGGGCCTTCCGTTACTCTGTAGGTGTGTGTAAAGTTATAATATGTCGGATGTACCCAGATTATCTATTATTCCCTCCCCTCTGGCTTCGGTTGGAGATGGCGGTAAACCGTGATGCATGAGCAGACACAATGTAAACCCTTCAAAGGGAGTAAAAATCATTGTTGATGTACCACCCTACGCGCACAATAGAAAGTAACTGTGAGAGTAGGATATCCGTAAACATGCAAGAAGAGCGGTGGTAAAAAGAAACAATGGCACGCCCGTAAGAAATTTAGTTGGTGGACTGCCTTCATCACTAAGCGTACAACATAAGTGAACTTTGATCTTCAAGGGAAGCGAAGACATGGAGCTCAACATTAAAAGTGGAGCTCACGAAAGGAATACACATAAGCATAATGGGCGTTCAGGCGCTCAAGCAGAGCCGGCTAGTCCAGCAAGCTCCCTGGCCTTGCCAGTTCTTCGTTCCACATCACCAAACCATTTGAGTGCAGTCTCGGACCTCTTTTCCAAGTCCTCCGCGCCTTGCACCTCACGCGTCTTCTCGTCCATTGTCGAGCGGAAACGATCCTTCATGTCGTATGAAGCGAGCCTGAGGACCTTCCTGGTCTCCCTGTTCACCCGCAAGACGTTGACGTCTACGAACGTGCCGGCCTCCAGACCCTCATTCTTCTTAAGAAGCGAGGCTCTGATCCGGCGACCAACTGTCTTCGGGATCGAGTTGGGGAGCTCGAGGATGTAGTAGACCGTCAGACCGATGGCAGTCGCGCCGATAACGGGAGCAGCCCAGGTGCGGACCGTCTCATTCTCAAACATGTCCCATACACGGACGGCGCCCTCGATGATACCACGCGCTCCAAGGACCTTTCCACCAACCACGGTCAACGCGCCCATACCGACAGAAGCGATGCCCAAAGTGCTGATAGGGCGCTCCTCATCGTCTTCGCCCTTGCCATCGCCGAAGTGTACCCAAAACTCGTGTTGCACGTCGAACAGGTCGAACAACGTCGTCTCCAGCATGTCAGGGCGTTGCGCGAGACCAATACCCAACCCGAGCGTGCCGCCGGCAACGACAGCGCCCGATAAGCCCTGGGACTTTCTGCGCACGTTCTTGCCTTTGGCCTGGTTGGCAAACATCGCTTGCGGGAGGAAAACTCTGTTCCACGGAGCGACGCCCTCTGGCAGATGCTTCTCGCTAAGCTGCTTGATCTGGTCAACGGCGTTGGTCGTTGTGACTCGCGCTTCGTCCTCTGCAAGCTTGACTGCGAGGTCGAGACTATTCAGCAACGCCTTCCTGACCGCCCTGGAGTAGTCCCAGATTCCAAGCAATCCAGGGTAAGAAGGCATGTGAAGACCGGACGCAGTGACGCCCAATTCGCCCTGACCAACGAGGTCCAGTGCATCTGTAAGAACGAGCTTCGTCCGAGCACCAGCACTGGACGCTCCTTCCTCTTCCACGGACTCAAGAGCCTCCTCTAGTGCCTCCCGACCACTCTGCATCTTCTCCAATACAGGGCGGGACTTAGTCAAGTCATCCTTGGCACGTTCGAACTCAGCCTGGGCAACAATTGCGTTTGCTCCCACCAGTAGATCGACGTCGGAAAGAAGGTGATTAAGATACGTCGACGCGGGCATGAGCTTAGACTTGGAACGCTTCACAAGAACGAATGAACGCAGCGACGACTCAAGCGTCTCGAATGACGGGGCGCCGTTCTGGAAGGCCGTAGCGGAGTCGACGAAGTGAACCAGGTCGTCTGCGTCCTTGTAAGTGGAGGGGCTCAGCTGCTTGATCTGCTCCAACACGAGACGCTTGCACTTGGCCTTATCGCGAATGTGCTCGTACTTGTTCACCACGATAAATACGTAGGCCTTCTCCTTGCTCGCGTTCGTGAGAAACTCTTTGGCTGAGAGCGTGAAGTGGTTTTCGGCCGAGACGACGAACACGACGACGTCAATTTCCTCCTGTCTGGCGAAGACAGCGGTCGTATCCACCAGGTCGCGGTTCAAACCCGGTGCGTCGATGAGAGAGATGTCGACGACGCCATTGGAGATCAGCGACTCGGAAGGCTCGCGCGTATCGGCGACGTAAATTTTGAGTACCTGCTCCACGTGCTCGTTCGCAGATACGATGGAGTCAAGGTCAGACAGGAAAGCGCGAGTGAAGGTCGACTCGTCATCAATCTTGTATGGCACACCGGCCTTCAAAATGTGTACCTCCTCCTTTCCGTTGTTCTCCAACGCGGCATCATGAACCTCGCAGAAGGCTGATGTGCAAGGCTGCTGATCAACCGGCATAATCTCCCGGCGTAGCAGTGCGTTAACGAATGTTGACTTTCCGGCGTTGAGGTCACCGGTGACGAGCACCTTTGACGAGGTGTCCTCGACGCGCAGGCGGAGCTTGTCGATGTGTGCGACGGCTGTGCTGATGCGCTCGTCCAGTAGATTCGCGATTGACGACTTTTCTAGCTGCGAGACAAGAGCGGCAGGCGAACTCGACGATCCGTGGGCGCCCAGCTTGAGGTCGAGACGGAAGACGTGGAAATCTGCAGCATTCGATACTGGGATGAGTCGTTCCGTATCATCCGACCCCTCCACATCTGCATCGTCCTCTGCGTCGGCGATGGACGCGAGGGTGACCGAGCGGGTCATGCCCTTCCTCGCAGGATTGACGACGACGTCCGCTTGAAAAGAGGGGTCGTCAGGGAACGAGAGTGAACGGCGCAAGCTCTTGCGGCTCTTGAGCTTGGACGGCTCAGCCCTTTCCGCCCCTGGATGCTCGTGCAGCTGTGGATATCGGACGGGCCATGACTTGTTGAATGTGCGGAGATCACCCAGGACGGTTTTGGTGTAATCTATTGCGTTGAGCAAGCTGAACGCGTCGAAGTAAGCTTCCTATCGCCTGTATGCGATGCGGGAATGGTGCACACCTATCTTTGCGTTCAACGTATGCCTCCTGGATATCCTCGGAGTGCTTTGGCGCGCTCTCAGTCACTGGCACCGGCAGCTGCGTGCGTGCAGACGAAGGAAAATACGACACAGACATGTCGAATTCGTTCGCTGACTAGAAAAAGGTAGATAGCTGACGAAAGAGCCAGCCAGTCGTCGCCGTCGCCGTCGTTGTCGTCGTTGGGGGATTAGAGGAGGAAAGTTAGACGACCGTCACTCACGGTCTTCCCCGACTGACTAATATTTTGGAATATTTAGTTATTTCCTTTCTGACAACTTCTTATTGAGCCACCGATAACGGTTGTTTCTCCGGATCCACTTCGAAGACGGACTCATCAGTGACATCAGCAATTCAGCATGGCGTCCGGCGTGCAGCGCGTTTTTATTCCTTGCTCCACCCAAATACCGCTGGAGGACACAAGGGTGATACTGGGTTCGACTCTTGACGTCCTTCGTGCACTTCGACATTCAGTACTTTCCTCTTCAAATTGGCTCTCCTGGCCCTGTTCCTTGATTTGTGCCTGCAGTCCTGTCAGCGTCTGGTGTATAAAGGTTCTGCTACTTTTTTCTTCCCCACAGTGTCAGACTGCTCCAGCACTCTGCAATACCCCGCATCGACATGGTCCCCTCGCTTTTGCTGTCTGTTGTGATCTTGCTTTGGTCCTGCCTCGTCCATGCGCAGTATGCGATGGTCAGGGAGTATGTTGGCTCTACATTTTTTAATGGCTGGAATTTCTACAACAACTGTAAGTCGTCATCTGCATAGAAAGAGTCTCGTGTCACGCGTGCTATGACCTACAGACGACAATTTGACCAGCGGGAACGCAGAGTTAGTCTATTTCGCGCAGGAACATCCGTGCAGCTGTCTTACGCGTATCCCTTAGATTCGTCAGCGCGAGTACAGCGTCTAAGGACAACCTCGCATATGTGAACAGCGCCGGGAATGCTGTTATGAGAGTAGACAACACTACTACCATTAGCTCATTCGGACAAGATCGTAATAGCATTCGTATATCGACACAAGACGAGTTCACCGTCGGCAGCTTGTGGATCACCGATATGGTGCACGTTCCTTATGGGGTATAATAGTTCGTATTTATATGTTGCAAGATAACACGTCTCATGAGACCGTCCTAGTGCTCTGTGTGGCCCGCGTTCTGGTCTTCAGCTAGGGCATGGCCGTCCGGAGGAGAGGCAGGTGGTTCAAATCATTAGCTATCCACATAAACTGACGAGTTGATTGCATAGATCGATGTCTTCGAAGGTGTCAACCAGGTTACCATGAATCAGATGGCCCTCCATACCGCTACTGTACGTTTTGGACGTCAGTATATCACTTGAAAGGATCTGACTCGCGCGAACGTCAGGGTTGCTCGCACTCCTCGTCGGCTGTGCAGTCTAGCACGTTGGTTAACTCGACGGATTGCTCAACTGCTGTCAACGGCAACCAAGGCTGTGTGGTGACGAACCCGACTCCTAGTTCGTACGGTGCAGGTAATGAAAATGACCGCTTGTCCCGTGACACGCTAATTATTATATACAGATTTTGCACAGAACGGTGGCGGCATGTTTGTGACCGAATTCGCGACAGACGGAATCTCGTGAGTTATCGCAAAGTAATTGCGCCATGTCGTTAATGCTGGATAATCGTAGTATATGGTTCTTCAATGTAGGTACACGAGATCAATAAGAAGAGCTCTACTAATCACCGGTTTCTAGCGGTCATCCATTCCCCAGGTACTACAAGGCAATGTCAGCACCGTGAACACATCTTCGTTGGGAATTCCCGTGGCGAACTGGCCGTCAAGTTCATGCGACATCGAGACCTTCTTCAATCCGCAACAGTTGGTCTTCGACATCACGCTCTGTGGAGGTGAGACATCATGCTACTACTCTTATTTTCTACTGTGAATCTCCCTGCAGATTACGCGGGGAACACCGAAGTTTTCGCTGAAACCTGCGACGGCATCTGCTACGACAACTACGTCATGGGCACTGGTTCGAACTACGCAACGGCGTATTTCGAGGTGCAGTACGTTAGGGTCTATGGCCTGCCGGATAAAAATACGGTCATCTTGTCGTCAGGTACTCGGCGCTCCACGTCGCTGCGTTCGCTCGCCGTCTTCGCGTCAGTCGTTGGCGCCTTGCTGTCGGTTATTTTTGCTCTCTGAGGCGTATACCAGCTGCACGTCGCTTAGACAGCTCACAATATATCTGTCATCGGACTTCCTGACAGAATATTTCCCCTACTTCATAGATCTACAGCTGTAACTTATACCTTCGTGTACTTACAAAAGTAGTACCAGTCGCACCCGCAGACAGGACAGGACATTCTAGTACACTAGAATAATGTTCTACTTAGTACTCCCTGTTCTTTGATGGGCATACCGGCACCAATGCTTGTTCATCGGATGGTTGCTCGGGAACTGTGACTGTAGCCGTATGATTGCTTACATCGATACTGAGATAACGATGGGTAGGCCCGGACTCAGTAGATATGCTGGCGATTCTGAGTCAGGGCTGCTCCCAATTGCAACCGTCCATGGCTCCCGTAGAACTGTCCGATTTGAGCACGCTCTTCGGGGTAGATGGGCTCGTAGCGGTGGTGACCGGTGGGGCAACTGGTGCGTCGCGCCGTCGCGGTCCAGTGATTGGCGCGAGCGTTTTAGCACGATGCGATCTCGGACTGATCATCCCTCACATCCACTAACATGTATTATGTTGGGCAGGGATTGGATTAATGATCGCAACCGCTCTCGAGAGCAATGGGGCAATCGTGTATATCGTGTCCCGGAACCAGGAGAATCTTGATAGGGCAGTGCGGGAGCATAGCGTGAGTTTCCCGCCGGACGCGTTTTTACCCTACTGCCCGATCACGATCGAATAACTGAACCGCTTTCATGTGCGTGCACAGCACCGCGGAAACCTCATCGCGTTGCAAGGCGACGTCACGGATCGCGAGTCGCTCAAGGCAGTCACAGAGACTATCCAGGCACGGCACGGGTATGTGAACCTGCTCATCAACAATGCGGGGATCGTGCGTAACGTGCTCCCGACTCCACTGCCCCCTCCGGCTCCAGGGGCAACCACGGACGTGGATGGGATCGTGGCGTTGCAGGACTTACTGTGGAACGCGGGCACGCCTGAAGACTTCGACACGACGTTCCGCGTGAACACAACTGCGGCTTTTTACTGCAGCGTCGCGTTCCTTCGGCTGCTGCACGCAGCAAACCTGAGGACGAGCACGTCGCAGGGCGGGACGAGCCAGGTAATCACAATTTCTAGTGGTGCGTCATTCAGGAAGGACGGCCACACGAGCGTGTCGTATTCGCTCAGCAAAATAGCGGTCACACATCTCGGGAAGTCTCTTGCACATATGCTCAAGGACTGGAACATCCGGAGCAACGTCATTGCCCCGGGTCTTTTCCCTTCTGGTTTGTGTTGATCTCCCTCAAACACTGCATTGACGCGTTGAACTTCATGCTGCGCCAGATATGACAACAAATGTGACGGAGGAAACTGTAAAGAGAATGGTGCCCGCAGGTAGAATGGGTGATATCAACGACATCGGTGGTCTGGTGCTCTTCCTTGCGAGCAAGGTCGGTGTCGCTATCGTTGATACTCACATGAGATGCTGAAACCTGGTAATCCCGTATGAACTGCAGGCAGGATCGTATGTCAACGGAGTCGCGCACATTATCGACGGAGGAAGGCTTACGCTGTTCCCTTCTGTCTACTGAGCTAACAACTACACCGCGAGACGTAGACCCTATGTCCGAGTATTGGATATATTAAAGGTCTGTGCAAGATGCTGTAAAGTTGATAATTATGGGGTCGAAGAGATACACCACACAGTATTTACAGATTACACAAGATAAACTAGACGTCTCACGTACGCGCTATATTCTGTATCCCTGTCATGAATCTCCGAGAGATCAAATTGCGAAGGAATCATTTCGAATGTGCATACGTCGCCTCCAAACGGGACTTGACATAGTCACCTGCACAGACGACTTCGTACTTTGCAGGGTTGTCCTCCGACACGCAACTAGGCAATGGCTGTCGAAGGTGATGTACGGGTTGAAAGGGGCTAAATCCAAGGGCTAACTGGCTCACTCACCTCCAGCTTGACATTGTAGTCGGTACCAAAGAATAAGGGGATCGAATATCGCTCGACTCCAGATCGATTGACCGCTCGATGTAGTGTCGACTTGAACACATCATCTGATATGGCATGCTAAGTTAGTCACTGAGTATGACAAGAGGGAGGTTGTGTACTTGTCCACCGAGCAAGCTGATCACCTAAGCTGGATTTCCAGCAAGATCAGCAATTAACACAGTGATTGTCAAAGTCAACGTACTTCACGACAAACGTCCCCGGAATGGGGACGGCATCGATCCACTTCCCCTCGTTATTGCACACTTGCAACGCTTGCACTCCGTCTTGCCACAGGATCGTGAAACACTGGTGCAAAGAAAAATCACATTTGCGAACAACCGATGCTCATGTGGCGAATACCTCATAGCTGCGGGTCAAATGTAACCAACAACCAACAAATATATCTGAATGGACCTACTCCGTATGAGCACCAATACCGACCACTCTGTCGTCCACGACCCCCGTCTGTGGTGGATAATATAGCAGACGCATGATGGCAGCCGGATTAGTAGTCTGTGATGACCGAGTTATAAATAAAACAAGATACAAAGAATATGATACAGACCTTATCGTCAAAGAAATTCTCCGGTAGGTCGAGTGCCAGAGCGAATATCGGGAAGAGCAGCTTGCCAAGTAGCACTGCAGCATGACTTGGAGTCCATCATAGATGTTTGAGTACTGAAATTAGTAGAGGTAGGTGCATAACGACGCCCACACACTTACTAATAGTCGAGGACACTTTCTCTAAAGCCGGGCAGCCCCTCCGGCCAGACGTTATTGCCAGTCATTGCACCGTCGTCGGAACGCGAACCTCCGAACATCTTTTCCCACCCGATGTCGAATCCCTCGTGCAAGTCACCTCGATTCTCCGGGTTCGTGTTTTCGCCCAGGAGGGCAGTGTAACCCTTGAAATTCGCGCTCTTGTGGATGTCCAAGGACATCTTCTCCGACAGCGGCAGAGAAAAAAAGTTCTTTGCAGCCGCCAACGCACCCTCAATGACTGACGGCTGTACGGTATGGTTCTCGACTGGATTGACGGCATGGGCACATGAAGACGCGGTCGGAGAAATTATGCAGAATTGACCGACCGTAGAAAAATCCCACGTTCGTGCACGCGTCTCTAATCTCATCAGCCAGTGCTCTGCGTACCTTAGGGTCCGAGCTCATCAAGTCTTGCACGTCACTGTCCAGGAAGAGCAGCGTCTGTTGCGTGAAAGGTGAGTCACCGACGGAGCGCAGATTGGCCTTACATGACAGGGATCTCTTCGAACGTACTCGTGGTCCGGTAGTCTGCCAGAATGAGTGGGCGACCATTGGAACTACCCTTCTCTTCCATGGTGCCACTGTCAACTTAGGGAAGAGATTGACTTACGCCTGAAATAGTACTGAGTCGGCGCGGTTGAGGCTGGGCGCGATACACGTGACTTCGACGCGCCAATACATGCGACGCGTTCGGGAGATAACGCGCCCTGAAGTCCCGTTTCCGTGCTCACATGCCCCACATTATACTTAATTGTCTATGTGCCGGTACCGCGTATACGTTCGTGGTTTATCCGGGCGGTCTGACAATATCCGGTGGACTGAAAATATGGTGGTTTGTGCGCTACAGAATCTACCGACGGTCGTGTCCTTCCCGAATCAGTTTATCTCAGATACAGCGACCAATATTCTCAAAAGAGATCATTGTCGAGCAACATTTCTCCGCAGCCCGTCAACTGCTTTACTTTGCCTCGAAATAACACTTATTAGCATGATGTGCTTCCAAGAAGACTAGCATTACAGAATTACCTCGACGTCCGGCAGATCATGGGCGGCCCATATGGGACAAGTTCATGATGCGCCAGCTGTAATCTTACAAAGCGCTTACATGTGTCTTATCGCTCCTCAAGCCAGCTTGATGGGAAAAAAACTGGCTACCTGATGGTGCGAATTCCAAAGCCGCGCTTATCGTGGTTGCTGACTTTGCTCGCAGTCGAAGATACCCGGGAATTCTCAGAAGCCAGTCCGCCCTTCTTCTCTGCCGTGATTCTCTTCGTCGAGGACTGTAGAAATGGAGAAGAAACAAGATGTGTACGTCCAGTCAAAGCTCGCCAGCGCCGATGAGGCCCTGCCAGCGGGCATCAGCGGTGCTGATGATGTGCGGCTCGCAGAGCTCGGGTACAAGGCTGAGTTCAGGCGAGAGTTCTCGGTACGACGCAGCCTACGCTATGCCGCATAGTCCTTCCAAACGCTTTCAAACAGCTCTTGGAGACCGTCGCTTTTGCGTTCTCTATCATGGCGGTCATCGGAGGCGTGTCGTCGACGCTGTCCTTCCCTTTGATTTCAGGTGCGCCACCTCTCCTTGCAGAGATCTCGTTGCTGATCTGGACCAGGCGGGCATGTCGGGATGGTCTTTGGGTGGGGCATCCCCTGCCTATTCATCATGTGCATCGCGGCCTCCATGGCGGAACTGGCCTCTTCTATGCCGTGGGTATCTTGCAACCGTGTATCCGCACCTCCGCTGACGATTTCTGTGACGTCGCCAGAACGAGTGCAGGACTGTATTATTTCTCTGCGAAGCTGGCACCACAGAAGTATTCTGCTCTTGCAAGCTGGATCACCGGCTGGGCGAACGTCACCGGCCAAGTAACGCTTGTCTGCTCCATCGACTATACAGTGTATGTACACGTGTGTCTCCGGACGCCTTGCATACTATAACGCTGCGACAGAGCGCAGATGATCACTACCGCAGTGGCAGTCGGGACGGACGGCTCCGTGAAACTGGGCTCTGGACCCACGTACGGCATCCTCATCGCGCTGCTCCTGGCGCACGCCATCATATGCTCTGCCGCGACGAAGATCCTGGCACGCCTCAATCTTTTCTACGGCCTCGTCACCGGAAAGTTGCCCATTTTCAGCTTCCGCGTGATGCACTACTGACTTCCCCCAAGTCGGAACAACCTTGGCCGCGATCATCTCGCTGCTCGTGTGCTCCGGCGACAAAAAGGTTTCCACCAAGGACGCGTTTACGATGTTCGAGAATAACAGTGGGTGGTCCAACGGTACGTGCACCGTCGCGATCGTAATTTCATAATGTGTAACCCGTGGAGCTCCATTGCAGACGGTTGGGGCTTCCTCCTGGCCTTCACCTCACCAATGTGGGCGCTCACTGGCTGTGAGTGCCGCCCTACACCGGCGACGTACCGGTGCTAACTGCAGGTCCCGTCAGACGACTCCGCGGCACATATCTCCGAGGAGGTCTCGGGTGCGGCACGAGCCGCGCCCATCGCGATCCTGGTGTCCGTCGCCGCCGTAGGGGGGCTCGGGTGGATCCTCATGATAGCTGCGTCCTTTGCGACGGCGTCGGTCCCCGCGTTGCTTGCGACGCCGCTCGCGCTGCCGATGGGTCAGCTCCTGCTGGACGTACTCGGGAAACGGGGCATGTTGACCATCTGGAGCCTCACGATCATCACACAGGCGAGGCCCCCATCCCCTCCCTCCTTCAGTCCTCGTGCTGACACGTTCCGGGATGCAGTTCCTGTGCGGCGCCGCGCAGGGCGTGGACGCGTCACGCGTCGTGTTCGCGTTCGCGCGCGACAACGCGCTCCCGGGCTCGCGCTGGTGGAAGCGCGTCAGCCCGCGCACGCAGACGCCCGTCAACGCAGTGTGGCTCGTCATGGTCCTCGCGGCGCTCTGCGGGCTCCTCGGCTTCTCCACCACCGCGTTCAACTCGCTCGCCGGGTGTGTGCCGTCCTCGCGCATCTCTCACTGGTGCATCCCGAGCTGACTGGGGGTGCATAGCGCGTCCGTCATCGGGCTGTACACCTCGTACGCGACCCCGATCTTCCTGCGCGTCACTGCGGGGCGGCAGAGGCTCGCCCCGGGCCCGTTCTCGCTCGGCCGGTGGTACCTCCCGGTGGGCACCGTCGCGGTCGCGTGGGTCGTCTTCATGGACGTGCTGCTGTGCTTCCCGCCAGGGCAGACCACGACCGCGCAAACGATGAGTGCGTACATCTTGTCCCTGTTTCGCGCTCGCGCCACTCGCTCACGGAGGTATGTGCAGACTACGCGGTCGTGATCGTCATGGCGATGTTCATCTTCGCAGGGGGCTCGTGGGTGCTGTCAGCCAGGAAGTGGTTCGTGGGCCCGCTGCCGAATGTGGAGCTCAGGAGCTCGACGGCATCGTCGATCGAGGAGAAGTAGTGCGTCAAATCACGCTTAGAGGTGTTTCGCGATGCGTGTATATTGGGGGATTATCTCCATACCACCTTTAAACTTGCACCGAAAGTCGTAAAAAAGTCCTATACACAGAAGTCCGTACACGGAACGCGTATGTGTTTTTTACGTGGACCACTGAGATGTGACGATCCAAGCACGACACGTCGGCGTGGGCGGTGGTACTGCGAGTGCGGCATGGGGCACCTATTTCTCAAGCCATTGGAGAAGTCAAGAATTACGGTGGGAGTGGCAGGTCGAATAAGGGCTGTAGTAGCATCCTAGCGCGATGTCGGTCGCACTTGTATGCCCGGCGGGTACTGGGTCTTGACTGTGAGGATGCCTAAGCGGTGACCCAACTCAATGAACCTTGTATGCGCGCCACAAAGGAACCCAAAAGGTTGAGACCTGGCGAGATAGGACGGCACTAACCCATCATAGCATTTTTGAGGCAGTCGTTGTCTCGTCGGCGCTAAACATGGCTATAGGATGATGTTCATCCATATAGGATCGTATGCAACAGGTGTCCAACAGCAAGGATGCAATGCCATCATCGATAGGTGACCTTTGCAGCGTTTTTTATGTCTTCCAAACATCGTTGTGGAAGGAACGCGATGGGCTTTCCGGCTCCATATTCTTGCCTGCGAAACGGTGTTGACCAGCGCGTGACAAGGGTGACCTTCCTGCCCTACGTAGCATATTTTGGAGCCAAAACATGGCATTTTTGGGATAAGATGAGTTGCCGGGTCATGCTCCGAGTACGAGTTCCGACTCGGAGTACACACCTCCAAGTCGACGGGACTTTCCCCAAAGTCGAGACGTAGCAACTGCCTCCTCACACTCGTGTGTCCGACATCGGACGTTCACTGTGTTTAGCGACGAACGTTGGGTAAGGTCGTGAGCCGTGACCTCCAACCTTGGATACCTCATGCATACCCGCTGCTTGCTGTCTGCGAACGTTCACCGGGTGGTCTCAGCACGACGCGAGAATGGACGAACGCTTACCAGAAACATGACACACAGCTTCGTAAAGACAGAGTGCCTTGCGGATCACCCTCGAATTCCGTGCAAGTCACACCCTGACAACCCAGTCAGTGAGAGAACAGTCCCGTGGGGTGACAATTATGAGGCCCTGGCCGGTAAGAGCACGCGGAGGAAATACGGGATCAGGTGCAGCCATTGCGAAAGCGCGATTCGTCACCGTCGCCATGTTTGAGGACGCACACCATCGTGACTGGTACCGTGCGCACAGAGCGGACGAATGCAAGGAGTTGGCACGCTCGTGGACATACCGGATCTTGCACGCGTGGGTTCGCTGGAGGTGGTTCCGGTGGCAGATCGATCCTGTCCAAAGCCATACGCGAGAGGTCTTCGGACACGAATCTCCGTCAAGGCAGATGCCAAACTGCACGGTGACAACGTCGACCGGCGGGTGCAGCAGGTGCGGAACTTCAGCTGAAGACGAGGGTCTCAAGCCTCATTAGCGCCCGTGAGCGCTCTTCCCCATTTGTCTGGAACGTATACTCGATCGCAGATTCACTCCCCTTGACGTACATACAGTATAAAATGCCATCTCGCTGCTCGTTTCTTTCTTCCATCTTTCCGCCATCTCGTCGACCGCTTTTCATACCATAGTCTTAGACGTCGAACAATCTGAGCCGAGCGATGGCTAGCCCTACTGGTTCCACTCCCTCCATTCGCACCCCGACCCCATTGCTGGGCTCGGATCCCGCCAATGCTCACCTTCTCGTCCCGGGACACCTGCCCCGCACGGGGAGCGAGCAGTCCATGCAGCGTCTCAAGAATGTCCCCGGTTACACTACGCCAGTCTTCAAGGGGAAGGATGAGCAGAGAGCCAAGGTCCATGCCAACGTCGTCGCAAAGGTTTGTACCAATTGTCTCCTCTTCACCGGGAACGCGGTGCACGTTCCCGCCTTAGCCCCGCTAGACTAGTTGCGACGCTCGTAGCGCGCACTAAAGATATCGCCGTCAGCAGTGCTTTCCGCAAGGACAGCCTCTGCCTGATACCCTCAGGAGGCGCGTCTTTCCCGGATAGATGCCTCTGGAACGCATATATGCACCGCAGACTTGTCCCTGAGCAGATGGTCGCGTATGGGGAAGGCGCGCTGGCTGACAAAATCCTCCCGACAGGGCTTCATCCCACGCGAACTCGTCGCCAACGAGGTGAACTGGTTCTACTCACACCTTGGGATCGACGACACGTACTTCCAGGCCGAGTCCGTCGACGTGATCTCGGACCACATTATCGCGCTCTTCGGTGCAAAGGTACTCGCGTACACGAAGCACGATCCGTCGCAGCTCGTAATCGACCTCGAGAAGATCGACGAGAATGGCAACGGCGCGACATTCATCCACACTAGCTCACCCGGTAAGACCGCGACCGAGGGCCCTGGCGCATCGTGTGAGAATAGGATCGACGCGTTATATCTCGACAACTCCACCCCGAGTAAGGCGTACAGGCTCGAGACATACCGCTCGCAGGGCCTTGTGTCCGCTACCGCGTCGCAACAGCTGCGCTGCTACTTCATTACCAAGTGCAACTTCCCCGCCAGTCCACCTCCTTCGACGCGTACAGATGGGTGCGTAGCTCTCTCTCGTATGCATCAGACTCTAGTCGAACTAAATATGGCTCGTGTTACAGTAAAACGGACATCCGCACCGTCTCTGATCCAGTCTTCCTTGAGAAAGCCAGCGAGAACACGCTGGAAATCTACCAGAACGTGATGTGGAACGTGGAGACACGTTACGGGCCTGTAATCGAGGTCTTCGAGGTGGAGGGCAGCCGCGAACGCAGGCTCGTTATCGGGTATAAGATGGGCGGCACGAGCAAGTTCTTCAGTGCCCTCTCGAATCTGTACCACTTCTACGCCCTCTATTCCGCGCGCAAATACGTCGGTATGTAGCTCAAGCACGTTCCGTCTTTGGGCGCTCACAGTTCATGATTCACGCAGAGCAATTCTCGAATGGCATCACGATTATATCCTTGTATCTTAACCCTCTCCCGAGCGCGCTGAACGCTCCCCCAATCGAGCATTCCATATTCCAAGTGATGAAGGAAGCCTCGCTGTTATATTGCCTGCCCGACAACCCCTTCTTCTACGCAGAGCCCGGCCAGAACGGCGGGCATGCCGTGCAGGAGGCGACTTATGCTTGTACGTGACTTTTGCGTCTCACTCTTAGGTGACGTCATTATATCTGAGTCGCGTCGCGTCTGGGACACAGACTGCGGTTGGGTGTTCGCGCAGCACTTCTGCAACCGCCTTGGGCCGGCATACCTCGCATTGAAGAATATTCTCGACGAGTCGAACCCGTCGCACGCGGAAGTGCTGAACGACATCAAACGCCGCTTCAGGGAGGAGACCTTCACGCGAGAAAGCATCGCGCAGGTCATCCATGCGCATGCTGACCTCGTACGTCGTGTTGTGCCAGTTCGTGTGGTGCTGCAATTCATCGCGGTCGTGCGGGCAGATTAACTTACTGTATGTTAACTTCGCGATGGTGCACTACCCCGCGGCGGACGAGGCATCGCAGTTGATGTGCGTTCCCAGCTAGTGTATGCCGCACCTTATGTCTGACGCGAATGCTGTGGCAGGCCTACGCTGTCATACCAGCGTCTCCAGACCCAAGTCCCACTGTCCGACGAGGACCTCTACGACAAGATCAGGAAAACCGTGCACAACAAGCACGAGCTGCAGGTCCTCGAGAGCTTCTTGATCTTTAACAAGTGCGTTCAACCCCCGTATGTACGATGTGTGCTACGCTAGGCTGACACGGGTGACTGGATAGGCACGTCCTTAAGACCAACTTTTACCAGCCGACTAAGGTCGCACTGTCGTTCCGCCTCGCGCCGGACTTCCTGCCTGAGGTGGAGTACCCGAAGAAACCGTTTGGCATGTTCTTCATCATTGGTGAGGGCTTGGGTCTGTGCAGCTGGGAGTGTTTTTGATTGGTCGCGTGATATGGGTGTAGGCGGTGAATTCCGTGGCTTCCACATCAGGTTCAGGGACGTCGCGCGGGGAGGTATCAGGATTGTCATGTCGAGGAACAGAGAGTGAGTGTCTCGCATACCTGCTTTCACTTCGTCTGGCTTACCGATGTCTGTGATAGGAACTACTCTATTAACCAGAGAATGCTGTATGCATCATATGCTCTGCAGGGCCCACTGATTCTGATGCGGTGTTTGGCAGGTTCGACGAGAACTACGGCCTAGCGTCGACGCAGTCCCTGAAGAACAAGGACATCCCAGAAGGCGGTGCTAAGGGCACGATCCTACCTTCGTACGTTTCGTCTTCCTTTCTTCCATTTCACACTTGCCGTTCAGGCACTGACAGCCGCTTGTCCTGCTTCGCAGATTGGGTTCAAGCCCAAGATTGTGCTTCGAGAAATACGTGGACGTAAGTCGGCGCTCCAGCAGTCGTTAATGTTGCTGAGACTAATCCTTGGATGCAGGCTGTCATCGACCTGCTGATCCCTGGACAAAGCCCTGGGATCAAGGAACGTCTGATCGATCTGTATGGCAAGCCGGAGCTGCTGTTCTTCGGTCCGGATGGTGCGTGCCTGTCACCTCCTTCTGACCATTTCATACTCACTATGGTGGTGATAGAGGGTACTGCGGACATGATGGACTGGGCAGCTCGTGAGTATCCCCGAACTCTCCATCCCAGCACGCTATCCTGATGCAAGCTCTCTGAAAGTGCACGCACGCGCCCGCGGCGCGGAGACGTGGTGGAAGTCGTTCACGACGGGCAAGAGCGCAGAGACGCTCGGTGGCATCCCGCACGACCAGTTCGGTATGACGTCGCTCTCGATTCGGCAGTACGTGCTCGGGATCTACAAGCAGCTCGGGCTCAGGGAGAAGGATATCACGAAAGTGCAGACTGGCGGACCTGGTGCGTTAGTTTGAGGCTCGTGTCGTTTGATCGCGATTGCTGATCGGGTCTTGCGTGTTGCGACAGATGGTGATCTTGGCTCGAGTGAGTATATGCTCCGTTGCGACTCCGTGTGATTTCGTGAATTGCTGATGTGTTCGTGTAGACGAGATCCTTCTCAGCTCCGACAAGACCATCGCTGTCATTGACGGTAGTGGCGTCCTTGCGGACCCCGCCGGTATTGACCGCGAGGAGCTCATCCGACTGGCGAAGCTGCGCGTCCCTGTCGCCCACTTCGACAAGTCCAAGCTCAGCAAGGACGGATACCTGGTGCGCGTAGAGGACCAAGATCTCAAACTACCATGTGCGTCTGAATCACCTGATGATTTGCCCGTAGGTGCTTACTGATAGATGGTACAGCTGGGGAAGTCATTCTCGACGGTACTGATTTCAGGAATGGCGCGCACTTGCGGTTCAAGGCTGACTTGTTCGTGCCTTGCGGTGGACGGTCGGTATTTCAACTCCGTTACGTGTATTGTTGTGTGCTCATGTGGATACTCTAGACCCGAGGCTGTCAATATATCGAATGTTGCCGCTCTGGTGGACTCAGAGGGCAAGCCGCACTTCAAGTACATTGTCGAGGGTGCGAATCTGTTCCTGACACAGCAAGCGCGTCTCTACCTCGAGAAACGGAAAGTCGTAGTGTTCAAGGACTCTAGTACCAACAAAGGTAGGATCCAGCACATCATATGCACACCATTAAAGCCCTCATGTCGTCCTTTCAGGTGGTGTCACGAGCTCATCGCTGGAGGTACTCGCCGGGCTCGCACTCTCAACACAAGAATATGTCGACCTGATGATCTTCAAGGACGGGAAGCCATCACGATTCTACCAGAGTTACGTGCGTGACATTCAAGCGAAGGTTACTGAGAACGCTCTGGCGGAATTCCAGTGCCTCTGGCGGGAGCACGCGCGTGCGCAGGGCGCGAAGGCGCGCACGCTCATCTCGGACGAGCTCTCGATCACGCTCAATGACCTGCAGACCGAGTTGGAGGGTTCGGACCTGTACGAAGATCCTGCGTGCCGGCGGGGCGTCATGAGCCAGGCGGTCCCCAAGATGCTCGTCGACGAAGTTGGGCTCGATACCGTGCTGAACAGGCTTCCCGAGCCGTACCAGCGTGCGTTGTTCTCGAGCTGGATGGCGTCACATTTCGTGCGTGTTCTCTCCGTGTGCCGCTTGTTGCGTCAGTCAAACTGACCATCGTGTTCGGTTGTGCGCAGATCTATAAGTATGGCGTCAACGGCTCTTCTGTAGACTTCTTCCACTTTGTCCGCGATCTTGCAGCTTAGAACGCATCATATCATTGTAATCCTTGCATTATCCGTCATCAATGGACCTTGTTGTCTAATCACATAGTTGTCATCGTTGCGTATTCGTATCGTATAGGGAAAAGTATCGATTGCTTAGAGGTGACAATGGCTTGAGCTTTGCAATGGTGCGAGAGATGGCAAGTCCGTTCAACACTACTTAGTCTCACTCTGAACTTGAACAATATTGCGCACCTGCTTTCTTCGCACCACATGCGTTGGAAATGCGACGTGTAGGGTAGAAGAATTGTGCTTATCGATTCCAAAGGCATCATGCATGATTCATTAGCTTTCAGCGGCTCTCCGACTCATCAGCGATGGCTTTCCGAGGGCCATAGGTAGAGTGCAATGGTCGCGGCCGAGTCGCGGCATTTTGAATGATCTCTGCTGGATGTATTACAGATGTGATCTGGACATGACGACGGGAATAGATACGACATTTTTTGTACCAAATCGTATGATAATACTACCTAATACTAGGGAGACATGATACCGCGCCGTCTCACACAACTTGTTCACCCTAACTTCGTCACCGGCTGCTTGAGAACGCGTGTAGGCGCTTATCTCCGCGGTGGCTTTCTCTCCGTGACTAGTATGACGTCCTGACCACCATGACGGTGAGGGTAGGGACAGGGTATATTACCGGCATGGGTCCCAGTGGAGAAGCTGTTGCGACACCAACTGAGCTCTTTCCTTAGGTCTGCTACTCTCTACGGTACGTGACACATCTATCTGGCAGCGCCACCGAAAGGAATCTCGTTGCACAGTACACAAGGCTGAGAGCTCTAAAGGGTACCACAAGATACACAAGGAGATTTAGCGCATGTTGGTTTCCCCGCCAGCGACAATCGCAGGCGGGTACTTATCCCGAGGGCCACGAAAAGGCCTGCGCTAGGACCGACGGGCGAGAGCGCTCGTCGATCCGTACCTCGGGACGCACCTTGTAACCTCTACCTAACTCCACTCGGTCTCATCCGAGTCTGTACGTCGTCTTCTTCCTGTCGTCGAACCGTTCGGCCGTTTTCCCCCTTTTCTACTTCATCTCATGCCTCCACTGCTCTCGTTTGTTTTTATGTTTCATCGTCGTGTGCCTTTACTGCGCCATTTTTTCATCGTCGCACGTGTCTTCGCCCGTCTTCTGCTTGATCGGGGTGTCGGTGCTGTCTTCTCCGTCGTGTACCTTTGCTGCCCTCATTTTTTCCGTCTCCTCCGTCGGATACCTCTTCGCCCACCGCGGGTCCTTGATCTTGAACTCGAAAGCTTCTTGACACCGATGCCCGCCCCTTAAGAAAGTCGGAACTGTCGGCGTTGTTACTCTTGAGCGTGTTCGTGTTCGGGTCGTGACGGTCTTTCAAGCTGCCCGCATCCACGCCACTTAGTGGACACACCTCGATTTGGTCGTGGCAAGACTGCATATTCGGGAAAATAGACAACATGGTTTGTCAGTTGCAGTTGACGGCATACCAAGACGGGCATACCTTAATGTCCATATTTGTGCGTAGCACATCTACAAGGCGGACGTTTTACGAAAAGAAGAGTAAGGTTAGGTGAGTGGCCTTCAATGAAAATAGTTTGAACCGACAAAGAACATACATTCTTCCACCAACAAGTGCCGGGAGAATCTCACATTCTTGCTGACCGATGCTTTGATCCTACTATGCCGCTCGCTGTCTTGATCACACATATCTTCGCCGCTGGGCCATTGCTGGACTGTCGGTATTGTTCTTGATGTCACACTCTTGCGTTTATGGCCTGCATCCATTGTCAAGTCAGCCACACGAACGTCCGATGGTGGTTACAAGGTAGTGAACGTACCTGTCTCTAGTACGCTGATATAGTGTGGCGTAATCGTTGGCGGCAACGTGCAAAATGAGAATGTCATTCATAATCGTTCGTGGTATGTGCCGGAAAGACGCACCTTCATGGCCATCTGTGCATAGCACACCTACGAGGGTGGAGGGACTAGCGAAGATAGTCCGCGCTTGGTGAGCGGTGCTCGAGGTACAAGAGGGAAGATAAGGACGTACTTCGACAAGATCAAGGCGCATTCGGAGGAACGACTCATTGCTCTGTCACTGTTGTGGTGTCTTGGTCGCATCTCACATCTTTCTCAGTCTCGATTGCGCCACAGTGCTCTGCCGGATGCTCTTGAGGATCACGAATTTTGACGGTCGAACTCCTTGTGTATGGAGGCGAGCTTGCTCTTGAAGTCACGCTGTTGCTCTTATGGCCTATGTGTGGACATCAGTCAAAGACCTGAGCTTCCTGATGATGACGCCACACTGTGGACATACCTCTCTCTGGTCGCGTGGCACTGTATCCGAGGGAGCACGTAGGTCGACAACGAAGTGGACGAAGAGACGACAATCAAGGCGTGATAGTGTGGCGTCGACGAGGAGGACGTACCTCGGTGGCCAGCTACAGGAGGACAAGGTTGAAGTTGATGAAGAAGAGAGAGGACGAAGACCTTGCGCGGAAGGGAAGAGATGAACGCAGGTGAGTGGCCTTGAATGAGCAGGTGGAGGAAGGGGGACATACAAGTTGAAGGACAAGATGCGCTTGAACAATCCGCGCCGCCACTCAGCCTTTTATACGCACAGGTATGGCCGCGGCCGTTTCCGCTTCACTGGCGCTCGCGGTGGCCCAAACTGTGCGTTGTGACTCCATACGGACACGTTCTTCCATTTGGAATGATACGCAGTGGTTGAATGCTGTTCGCCATCGTCCTGCAGGTGTGCGCCACATTCCTGCCACCGTCATGGCGGTTTGATCTGTGGTCCATTCTATACGGGTCCCGGGCCACATCTCGCCACCATTGGCCACCGGGAACGAAGTCGAACTCATCCACCTTTCCGCCACTCTGCTTCGCCACACAGGATTGTGGTCACTGGAAGGTGGTTTATGGCGGCTGTTCATATTGATAGGTCGCGTGGATGGCGCCGTTCGTGACACACCGTGTCTGTCGGTCACGCTCGTCACATTTCGAGAATCTGTTCGGTCTTGTTTTCGCCTTTCTCCGGGATGTCGCTTGCTAGTACCTTGTTTCTCAGATCTGATGCTTTACCATTGCATGGTCTACGCAGAATCTCGGCCCCCTTCTAACTTGATGCGACCATGGCGACACCTTTTATGTGGAGCGTCAATTTGATCTGCTTGTTGTTTAACAGCCCTTATCGAAGCCTCTGCATGTGAATCGACTCCTCAATCCGCCTTGTTTCTGTGAGTCTCTTGGTGCAGACTGGGGTCGTCATAATAGGATCCACCGTGCAATGCATTTGAATCGTCTGTGCCACTGTTGTTGTGCTGACTGTACATTAACCGAGTTGATCTTTAGTGCTTTAGCCATCTAGCAGGAGAGAGTGCATGTGTATCGCGAAGACCACTTGTATGTCAATATCTCGAGACTCGATATTACAATGGCGTCAGAGAGCGAGGCGGCACCGTAGCTGAGCACCCTTAGCAGCTCGCATCACCAGTTACGTTCGCTGGCTAGATGAGCGGTATGTTCAGAGTTGAACGTGATGCACTGATCAAAAGGTCAGGCATGCGCTCATGATAGAACTCAGTCGTTCCCGGATCGCTCTCGTCTTCTAACTGCGGCTGGTCGGTCGTTACTGATGATTTTTGCTTGGCCTTTCTTGGATCTCAGATCTCAGCACGGTCGTGGATATCTGCGCCTGTCTCACTTTCGTCTGGTGTTTATTGCTTGACTCGCGTGGCTCTCGGTCATTCCTTTGCTGACTTTGTCTGTTGTGTACGTGTGGGATGATGTGCACCAGTGCACAAATTCCTGTGCAAACTCATGTGGAAAAAAGAAAGACAAACGAAATGGTGCGATTTAATCATCTATGAAATGGTTTCCAGTTCATTCTGCTGACGATATGGATCTATTAGGTGTCTATAATGAATCCTCTCGTGCATGGACTGACTTGGATACCCATATTTCAATATTGATCCTCAGATCTCAGACGTTGACGTTCAGGTTCAAACGTTCATCGTCGTTCAAGATTCATGCTTAGTAACTGCTGCAGGCTGGTCGTGCGTTTCCAGTGTCTCTGCCTGGTGTTCGATCTCTCCGATGACAATATTTGTTTCTGCCCGATATGCGACTGTGCCCAACTTTAAGTTAACATCTTCGTATGCTTATTCTGGCCAGGGATAATGCAAGATCTCATTCCCAATTATCTACGTCTATCATTTTTTCGTCCGTCCATTTCTCATCTTGTGTCAGTCTCTGTCATTTCTTTTTGGCTTTGTCTCGGACCGATCCGCAGAAATGCTCAGAGCCCTGCCACAATATGGGATCCACCGATATCAATCCTTAAGATGCTCTGGACTCAGAAAGCGTACAAATGATGCCACACGCTGGACAAATTCTCGTGCTTTGTGGGGTGGTCGCAGATCACACAGTGTTTTTGGCTCATTTAGGCATGCGTTATATCTCGTCTGGTCACATCCACGTCTGTGAGTATGTTGCATAGTTATGGAAGCCACCTTGCTGTATGCTGTGCATTTGCAGAACGGAGGTAGGATATTTCCTGGGAAGTTGCAAGGGATACAATAGAATGATCTTATTTACATTTGGACGGATGTACTACGCGTGACGACATCCGACAGTATGTTACTTCGAGACAATGCGGTTGGGGCGAACTGTGATCAGGAATAAAGGGTGCGAGTGGTGCTCATAGCACAGATGTGCTTGACGAGGCGCCGTAGGGATTGTACGACGAACTACTGTCGGAGGAACCTGTGCGCCGCTTCACGACGCGTTTCTTCTTCTCTGCACCGGCAACTTCAGCATCTACGAAGGACCGATGACAAAGCGGTACTCACTCCGCCCATCCCTTGTCTTCTGCTTCGGCTTTTCCCCACTCGCTTCCTGCTCCTTTTGGTCCTCCAGCTGCGCCCTCGCATACGCTACGGTCTTCCCACACGACGGGCACGTACACCGATTTGGAGCCTCGTTCCCGAGTCGCGAGAGCCAATACCTCTTCCGCACGTCATCGATTTCGGCCGCGTGCACGCGCGAGCGGGGCGGCGCAGGCTGTTTGTCGAGTGCGTGCTCGAACGCGACGAGTGCCTCATGCGCGACGGCTCCTCCGCAGTGCGTGAGGTCGGGCTCGGGGAGGAAGCCGGTGGTGTGGAGGTATGCGGCGAGAACGTTCGGGACGCTGAGTGATTTTTGGGAGGAGATGACGGAGGAGATGGCGAGTTCGAGGCTGGTGGGCATGGTCCGTGCGCGTGGAGTGGATGATGGGGACCGGATGATCACCGGAATTCTCTGTCTTTATATTTGGGCTGGAGAAGTGACCTGCGGTGGAAGGCCAGAGATCGACCAAGGGAAGCTCTCCCGCTGAACCACGTACATACATGCCCGGTGAGGACCGCGTCAGTCAGACGCGTCAGGTCACACCGGCACGTGTAGTCACACGTGTGAACTTCTGTAACGTCACGTACGTTCAGTGGTTTTCGTGCGCAGCCTGGGCAGAGTAATCGCTCTCCACGGCTCTCTCGTAACGCTGTGTATCCGACGGTGTATCTGCACCCGTCGTCGAGGCGCGAGGAGCACAATCTAGTCTAAATCTTCAGTCTTAAATGGCGACGTTGTAATTCTTGGACCGGTGTATGTTAAAGAGTTGAAGCGCCACCTTCACGGACCAGCATCGAGAACACTCTTTGTTTCGTGGACACGTTCTTACTAGTCTCCCGTAGGCAGACTACAAAATGATCCCTATGAGTGGGGGAGGACGGGATCATATAGCGTTCTTACGGCATATGAATGGACAACACCGACGACCAACTGCCGAGACCACTTCCCAGCGACGACTTTCCCCCGCGAGCACATCTCGTCAAATCTCTAACCTTTTCTTGGCCCCCTCGTGCATCGCCGACTGACTGATGAGCAGCACGCTGATGAGACCCTGTGTCTCACGGCGAGGGTACTGTACTCGGAGGAACTTCGGAGTTGTCCCCAGACCTAGGTATTCCGGCGGGAAGGGTTCAGGAAAGTACGATGTCTACCTGTCTTCTCCAACATGCGCGCGTTCTCGTGGGGGAGTAGGGTGTCGTGTTCGCCGCCCGTCGATGGCGACGAGAGGGCTGTCGAAGTCGTTTAAATGTCTTCGTGAAACGACGCTCGACTGAGAGCGCCACCTCAGGTGGACGGCGTCCGGATGGGCACGAATCCCTCGGTCCGCATGTCCGCACGAATTCATCGGTCCCATGTCCTGTCGGTGTTAGTAGGCGAGGCCTGCCGTATGACGTGCTGGACTTGCAGTCAAAACCCGCGGTGCAACACCATTGAATCTGATTATCTTCTCCCTCTCCTTCTCTTTACCTTCACTCCAGTCACCTTGTTTACGTCGCTCACCATGCCCACAACGCAAGCGCGCATTCACCCCCTCACCACCAGCTGGCACTGGAAAGAGCGCGACACCGCGCTCCCGTCCGTCAGTTCCGAACTCGACTTCGCGGGGCAGCAGTGGTCGCCCGCGAAGACGTTTCCGTCAGAAATCCACGCGGAACTGCTCAAGGTGGGGAGAATACCTGACCCGTTTGTAGGGTTCAACGAGCATCGGGTGCAATGTGCGTCTTATGCTTCTGATTTTTACGTGTCGCCATGCGCTTGTATACGCATTGGTGTAATATGTTTGATTAGATGACAATAGGCTAACTGGTTTGTGGTATGTTAGGGGTTGGTGAGCGCGAGTGGCTTTATTACACCACATTCGACTACGCGGGCGCAAAGGATGCAAACGCGGAATTGGTCTTCGAGGGCCTCGATACGATCTGCGACGTCTACCTTGTGAGTACCTCCGCTGCTTGTCATTCTTCTCCAGCACAGATCGGGCTGCGTTTCATGGGAAGAGTCAACCAGAGAAGTCCCTGGCGTTTTGTAATTCAGGCGATGGCGTAGTTCGGCGCCATCGCCTGGGTCACAAGGCGGCTACGCGTCCTGCTTCTTCCTGCTTTCGTCGTACGTCGTTCCGCCCCCATGTTAAAGCCTCCCACCCACATCCTCATCTAATACTAAATTGATAATGATCTCCTTCCTCCGGTAGAACGGTACGCGCATCCTCTCCGCGGACAACATGTTCCGCACATACACTGTCCCGCTGGACCCCGCGCGTCTCAAGGACTCAGGCAACACGCTCCTCCTGCACTTCCAGTCCGCAGCGCGCGTCGCGAAGGCGCTCGAAGCGCGCTATGGGCGCGTGCGCGCAGGATCGGCGAACCTTGGTGATCCAAGCCGGGTGTATGTGCGGAAGGCGCAGTATGGCTGGCGGTAAGCCCTCTCTCCCTTTTTCTCGGTCTATTTCACTCGCTCACGCATGTATTCCGATCTGCAGATGGGACTGGGTGAGTCCCTCGTGTTGCTAGAATTTCGTAGTCGAGCTGACGGGTCTCGGTGCAGGGCCCCGAGCTGATGACTTGCGGCCCATACCGTCCCATCAGCCTCATCACCTATACCACGCGCCTGGCTGCGCTCCATACGCGCGCACACGTCTCCCCTTTCCCCGCTCTCTCGCCCTCTCTCAAGCTTGATCTCACGCTTTCAGGCTCCACCGCCTCAGTATCCGCTGTGCGCGTCATCCTGACCGATTTTGCCACAGGCGAGCCGATCAAGGAAGAGACGGTCACTCTCGGCGAACTGGCGGATGCAGAGAGGAGGGATGTTGTACAGTGGGACCTCGCAGGGCTCGTGCACCTCTGGTGGCCTGTGGCGTATGGCTCGCAGACGCTGTACACTGTCGAGGCCGCGCTTCTCGCGGTCGACGGCACAGTGCTGGATGTGAGGGTTCAGCGTGTGGGGTTCCGGAGGGTCGAGCTCGTGCAGGAGCCGTTGGCAGTGGCGGACCGGTACGGGAAGGGTACAACGTTCTTGTTTGAGGTGAATGGGGTGCGCATCTTTATGGGCGGTACGTCACCGAGCTGCTCTAGAGCGGATTCACGGTTTCTGATCATGGATTTTGTGTGTACTGTGTTAGGCTCGAACTGGGTGCCGGCGCACAGCATTCAGACGGAGCTGACGCCGGAGAAGTATCGCGCATGGCTCACACTGATGCGCGACGGGAACCAGAACATGGTCCGCCTCTGGGGTGGGGGCGTGTACGAGCCCGATGTGTTCTACGATATTTGTGATGGTGCGCCCGTTTCCAGCTTGCACGCGCTATCGAACTGTGCATACTGATTGCTTTGCATCTCGAACAGAACTCGGCTTGCTGGTATGGCAGGATTTCCAGTTCGCATGCGGAGTGTACCCCGCGCACGACGAGTTTGTAGCGAACGTCAAAGCGGAAGCGGAGGATAACGTCAAGCGGCTCCGGCACCACCCCGCTATGGCGCTGTTCTGCGGGAACAACGAGGACTACCAGCAGGTACTCCAGTGGGGAGGTGCGTCTGCTTTCTGCCCTTCACCTGCAACTCATGAATACGTGCGCAAACAGGAATCGGTGAGCTTCCCGCGCGTCTCATCTACGAATCTGTGCTCCCCGCGGTAGTGGAGAAGCTCACTGACCCGCCGATCCCCTACCATCGCGGGTCGCCGTATGGCGGTAAAGACTGGGACACAGCGGACCCGACAGTTGGCGACGTCCACCAGTGGAACGTGTGGGCTGGCGCGGAGCGGCCCTGGCAGGAATACGGCGATATGAGTGGGCGATTCATCAGGTACGTTGGCACTGCCTATGCTTCAGGTGCGAGGGCTGGCTGATAAGGCTGTAGCGAGTTTGGGATCCCATCGATGCCGGACTTGCGCACAGTCGATTATTGGCTCGACGGGAATATCCAGGAGCGTTGGGCGCAGTCGAAGCTCATGGCGCAGCATAACCGCGCAGGGAACCACGAGCGCCGCTTTGCGATTTTGATGAATGAGAACTTCAGGTTGACGGGCGACCTAGAGACGTGCGTCTGCCTCTTTGCTGCTCGGTGCAAGTGCGGTTTGTGCTGATGACGTGAGTGTCCAGCCATGTATATAATACTCAAATCATGCAGTCTGAAAGTGTCAGTTTTGCGTATCGGATGTGGAGGCGGGAGTGGAGAGGTAAGGGGAAAGAATATGTATGTTGAATCTCTGCTTCTTGTGCGGACTACGTGTTTATCCTTTTTTCAGACCGCCGGAGCTTTGGTCTGGCAGCTGAACGACTGCTGGCCCGTGACATCGTGGGCCATTGTGGACTTCTTCGTAAGTAACTTTTCTGTACGAGTCGATGTTGACTGACAATTTGTTGCACTAATGTAGCTTCGTACAAAACCAGTCTACTACACGATCGCCCGCGAATTAGCACCACTGAGCGTCGGAATATTCCGAACTGTGTGCTTCCTAAATTCTTGCGCATTCGATCGACACTGAGCGATAAAACATAGGTAATGAAAAACCGATATAACGACAGACCAAAACAAGTACGCAGTCCTCATGCGTCCTAGCCTACTCACGCTTATACGTTTCATCGAGTTCTATGAATTCGGTGCATTTCTCGCAACCGAGGCCCACATCGAAGTATGGGCAAATAGCGCCCTGCTCCAGCCCCGCAAAGTCAATGTTGTGCTTAAATCCTTCGACCTCCTCTCTGACTGGACGCACGAGCAGACCACTGAGGCGGTCCTCCTGCCGAACCAGTCCACAGAGCTCCTGTACATTCCATGTCCGAGTCCGCCAGTGTCGGAGTCGGCCGGGCCCCTCGTGACGCCCTCGTACTCTGTCGTGGTCGGCGCGCGGCTGGTAGACCCAACCTCGGGCGAGGTGCTTGCACGTTATGCGGACTGGCCGCAGCCGTACAGACACACGGACTACTCCGATCCTGGACTACAGATTGCCATTGATGGGGAGAAGATCGTGATTACTGTGGACAAACCTGTGAAAGCTCTTGTCTTGAGCAGCGATGACGACGGAAAGCGTGAAGAGGTAAAATGGAGTGATAATGCACTCGACATCCTGCCTGGGCAGCCGCAGACTGTGCTGGCTACAGGCCTGAATGGACGAGCACTGAAGGTGGCATACATGGGTAAGGAACGAGCGATGAGGATATGATAATCGCTCGAATGGACGTCAAAAGTCCGCTGTATATCACTACTGGCGTCCGGTCAACCAGGGTATGATAAGTACTTGTACGGTGATCTGCGCTACAAACGTGTCGGTTCATTCAAAGTCTGCTCGACGCTCTGGTCGCTGCGTGTGGTGCAGGTTCTTCAGTCAATACTTCCCGGATTGCGTCCGCCAACCCCTTCGGCTGCATCTGTGGAACCTGCGAGTACCATCTCGTTACTAATCGGGCGCTTTCGGTGGGACTGTTAACTCACCATATGTCCTGATCCCTCAACGCGTCTAGCAGACGCGTACCTTCCCTTCGTACCGATATTGAGAGTATAGTCTTGCACGATGCGTGGCCTATATGTCATCAACATTCTGGTTAGACATCCTCAAAGAAATCTCAGAAGCCTACAAGAAATCGTCAACGGCGCCGTATATGAAGTGCACCGGGATCTTCGCGCAGAGAGTTGGCAGGTAGTTGTAGGCCCTTCGCTTTCCTTGCTCATCCTTGTAGCTTGCCTGAAGTAGCTGAGTGCTGGGGAACGGTGGAACCAAAAACCACTCACAACTTCTTGCGCTTTGCTATACTTCAAGGTTACCCCGCTCTTGTCAGGATAGTAAGTGGTGGGAAGGTCCCGCAAACCATGTTCCTATATTCCAAACGCTGTCAGCCCCATGTCGAATTCAGTGGGCGACATTTCCTACAATAAAAATTTGCAGCACTCTAGCATCCCAGGCCTTGAACGAAGAACGTGCTTGACAAGCTGCAAGGGCCTCCGCACGCGAAGGCCATATATCACGTCGAGCATTAGTTGCTGCCAGCAGCGGCCCAGAAATGTCTCTAACACCTCTAAGAGGCGGGTGCGGATACAGCACGGGATCTACCAGGATGACAGAGGTAAATTTGAGCTTGGGAACGTACGTTCCTGCAAGAATCCTGTGCTTCGGTGAATAGGGCTGCGTCGTGGTCTGGCGGTGGTAAATTTGACAATGCGCACATTGCAATTGCTCCCATGGAATGCCCGATGCCAACAAGCTTACGGTCACTGAAGTCGACGTCGACGCCTGTTCCTAGGCCTGTAAGGAATATGTGCACAGCGCGGGCATACTCCTGCCAATCAACTGTCGTATGATCAGCTACAAATGTCCCGTTGGTCTTGCAAGAAATACTCTTACACACAGAATAGTCCTGCAGTAAAGTCTCCTCGTTCAGTACTGCCGCGTCTCCGCCGTTTGGAGCGTCGATGCTCCAAGCTTCTCGTATCATTCGAGGCTTTCCTTCGCGGCGGACACTGTCGTACAGCTCTTCGATGGTGGGTTCCCACTGTTCTTTGTGAAACCCGGTTCCATGGGCAAAGACAAGAGTTAGCGCCTCTGGATCTTCCGAGGTATCATCAGGGATCCAGTATCGTTTGGCTGTGATGAAAAGAGGATAGTTCGGTCGAGGGTCGCACACGTACGCTTCGCAGCTGAGTGTAGACATTCCGGACTGCGCTGCAGCAGATGCGAGGACTACAATACAGACCTCCGAAGCAGTGGTTACTCAAATCCTTATAAAAGGTGCATGAGGGATATGCTCATGATTTTGATGCGGTCTGTGAGCTTGCTCGGGCTTTGTGCTCGGTCCGAGCGAACTTACTTGGCTCGATTTAGGTCGGTTGCATCAGCAAAAGTCAACTTTTGCTTACCGGTGTTATTCCCTTGATTAAGGAAAAATAAGGAGATCCCTTCTCTTATTTCTCCATTATTCACCCCTATTGGCTTTAATTGCCCAAATAAGAACGGAGACCTCCTTAATTAAGAAGATAAGGGAGCTAAATGGAGTTGACTTTTGCTTGATGTGTGGGAGCCCACGTGGCCTGAAGATCTCCTCGGATCTGAGCGTCGTTGACTCGGAGTCGACCGCACGATGTCCTCCTGGAAAACCATCTCTGCTACGGACAATGTTCCACAATATTATGTTTTCACGGAAGCGTTGCAAAGGCCCGATCTTGATGACAGAAAATATCGAGTGATCCAGCTGGATAATGGTCTGAGAGCGATCCTGATCAGCGACCCAGCTGCGGACAAGGCAGCGGCTTGCGTCAACGTCGCAGCAGGCTCAATGCAGGATCCAGTGAGTTATATCCCGTCTTCTGGTACGAAACAACAGAATAATATGTACTGCTTAGGGTGACTTGCAAGGGTTGGCCCATTTTTGCGAACATATGTTATCAAAGGTGATTACGGTTTCGTCGTACTCTACAAATATCTCACGTACTACGCAGGGATCTATTTCATACCCCGAAGAGAATGATTTCATGTCAGTGAGTGACATTACAGTACTAACTCAATTGCAAGAATCGATTTAGTGTTTCAGTTTATCACATCCAACGGTGGTTCCCGGAATGCTGCCACAGGTGGACCAAACATGTACTATTGGTTTTCTATAGCACCGAGTCAAATATCCGGCGCATTATCTAGATTAGCGGCATTTTTTCACTCTCCTCTGTTTACAACGTCTCTCACCGCTCGCGAGATACATGCTGTGGACTCAGAATCCAAACGAAATGAACAGAACGATTCTCGTCGGATTCTTCTCGTTAACAAGCACCTCAGTGTTGCAGGTCATCCTTATCGACAATTTGGCACAGGTAACTACGAGAGTATTACTGAGGCCGCCAGGAAACTAGAGAAAGTTGGCCGTTTACCTCCAGGTGGCGACGGCAACGATGGAGATGGAGGTGCAGTGGGGCGTGAAACTCGACGAAGGCTCGTAGAATGGTGGAAAAGCGAGTACTGTGCTAGCCGCATGACTGCAGCCATTCTTGGGAGAGGTGAGTGGACTGGTGTTCGCAATTTATGAAGTGCTGACATCTCGTTCAAAAGAATCGCTTGATGACTTGGCAGATATGCTTGTCTCAATGTTTTCTCCGATCCCGAATCGAGGTCTGGACCCCCGTCCTCAGAATCCAGGGCCTATCTGGGGTCCATCAGAGATGGGGGTTGGTTTGTTCTACATATGTACAATGGCAGGAGACTAATGTACTGTATTATGCAGTCTATCCTGTTCATCAAGACTGTAGAGGATTCCTATGGTTTGACGCTTACCTTCCTCATACCCGACCAACAACAACATTATACGACGAAGCCTGCACAGATATTGGCTCATTTTCTTGGCCATGAAGGACGTGGCAGTATCTGCGCGTACCTCAAGAAGAAGGGTTGGTTGATAAGTCTCAGCGCTGGACCGAGCAGCTATCTCCGCGGCGGGTACACTTTCAGGGTAAATGCAAGGCTGACGAATGAAGGATATAGTATGCCGCTTCATTACACGCATCTCATTGGAGACTAACTAAGTCATCTGACAGCCCACTACCAGGAGGTCCTCCTCACGACCTTCAACTACATCTCGCTCCTACGATCTTCAAATCTCCCTCCGTACCACTTCTCGGAGATCAGCACCATATCCGCGCTCAATTTTCGCTTCCAGGAGAAGGTACAGCCTCATCTCTGGGTGAACTATCTTTCAGCCAAACTCCTTGAGCCGTACCCTCCCGAATGGACGCTCAGCGGCGGCTCGCTGAACCGAGAATGGGACGAGATCCTCGTGCGGGAGACGCTGGCAGCAATCGTCCCAGAAAGAGGGCGGGTGACTCTGCAAGCGCAGGAACATGATGAGCGTGTCGTTGGAAAGGACGCGCAGTGGGAATCGGAAAAATGGTATGGCACACAGTACTCTGTCCGGAGGATCGATGCCTCGTTTATAGACAAGGTGGGGGATGAGTGTCAATGCTCAACAAAAGCTGAATCATGGTTGTAATATCCGCGAAGGCGCAGGCGCCAAACGAGAACGTAGAGCTATTCCTACCAAGTCCCAACCTGTATATTCCCGAGAATCTGACGGTTGAACGACTGGAAATCTCTTCAGTGAGTTGCCATGGGTAGCCTTAGGTTCTCTATTAATCATCAGACCTCAGCCGGCCAAGTTCCCCACTTGCATTCGGCGCACGGCAATATTTGCACTATGGTACAAGAAAGACGATCAGTTCTGGGCACCGAAAGCAGAACTCAGAGTTGACATCCGTAGGTACGGTTCTCGGGCTGCCAGTGTCGACTCTAACACCGGACTGACGTGCCTCCCCACTACCTTTAGTCCAGTAGCGTACGGGACGCCTCGACAAGCAGTCTTGACTCGGTGCGTCCCATCGCACTACGTTGACGTCAAATCTAACATTGCCTAGTCTCCTTGTAGACCTTGTAGAAGATGCGCTTTCGGAAGTGACATATGATGCCGACATCGCTGGATTGTCGTACTCTGTGGGGAATCACAGAAAAGGTATTCAGATATCCGTCAGCGGGTTCAACGACAAGCTCTCCGTCCTTCTGCGGACCGTACTTGACAAGCTCACTGGTCTCATCATCGACTGCGAACGGCTAGCCGTATTCAAAGAACAGGTGTTTATGATCCTACAGTCTTCACGACAAACCACCTGTGCTAATCTCGTGCGGATGCGTCTTGCAGGTAGGGCGGGAGTACAAGAACTTCTATCTTGGACAGCCATCAAACCTCTCTGAAGCATTTGCGGCTCGTCTTCTTATGCCTATAGTCTGGACGCCTAACGAAAAATTGGCGGAGTTGGCTTGTACGTTCCGTCGGTTTGAACTTTGAAGGCAATGATGCATCTCCTTTATAGCCATCAACGTATCTGACGTGGAGAGACACAAGACGGAATTGCTGTCTAAAGTGTACATCGAAGCATTGGTGAATGGCAATTTGAACAAAGAGGTGGGTCAAGAAACTGAGTGCTGGTGTTTTGGCTACTGATGAGCCATTTTGGTATAGCAAGCCATTCAGATTGTCGAAGCAGTGGAGATCTGTCTCGCAGCGCGTGCCCTTTCTGACAGCGAGCAACCACGCACTCGCTCTTTAATATTACCTGCAGGTTTGTCAGTCCTTCTTCGTCTTTCTTCCTCGTTCTGATAATTTGATCTACTCAGGCTCGAACTTCGTCGCGCGAGAGACTCACGTCAATCCGGTCGAGGCCAACAGCAGTCTGTCGTACTACTGCCAGTTTGGAGAGCTCGTAGACGTCCCCTTACGAGCGACTCTCGGCCTGATAGTACATATAATCAAGGAACCATGCTTCTCTCAATTGAGGACCCGTGAGCAGCTTGGGTAGGTTTCGGAGACTCTGGTACCATGCACCATAATCTTACGAGACTTTCAGATATGTTGTTGGGAGCTCGATGTGGACTGTCACTAGTTCAATGGGATTGGGGATCAAGATTCAGAGCACAAAAGCCTCGTGGTTTGTCGAGGAAAGAGTAGAAGCCTTCCTCGAGACTTTCCGGAACACGCTTGCAGGCATGTCTGCGGAAGAATTCGAAGCGCAGAAGGAAGGTCTGATCGTGAAGAAGTTGGAAAGGATGAAGAACTTGTACGAGGAGACGGCGCGGTTCTGGGGACATATCTCCTCCGGGTACTATGATTTTGTACGACGTGAGTACACTCTATTTCCATCACCGCATCAATGTTACATCGCTCACGCTGGCACAGATGAGACCGACGCGGCCTTCATTCGTACTCTGAAACTTGAGGATGTCGTGGAGGTCTTCGACAAATTCGTCCGGCCTTCTTCTGCCATAACCTCACGCAAGAAGATATCAGTACACCTCGTATCGCAGCAGATGAAGGATACGCCGCGCACTACCGACGGAGCGAAGGTCATCACGAACGAGTCGGAGAGCCTGTTTAAGGCTGGCTTGGCGTGCTATCCAGCCGCAGTTCCTGTGGTGTCCGAGGCGTTTGACACCAATTCGCCCATCAGGAGCATGCTATAATCTCCGTAACATACATTTCCGTGAGCGAGGAATGAGCGGAAAGCAAATCTTGGACTTTTCGGAAAATTCGAGCCGTCGGGAAGTAAAGATTGTAGCTCCTGTGATGCTCACTGGAACTAATGAACAGACTGAAGAGTCCGTTCGTCGACTCTTCGAGACATAAGTTCACAACAAGATGGATTGCAGACCGTGGCCTGTGCACTTCTGAGTCAACTGCTTTGAAGCTTCCGCTGCGTATATGCGCATGTATACAGCAACTATTCGTGGATCTCAATGGTTTTATCGAGACGCAAGAAAAACAAATTGCAACGAAAGCATACAGCTACCTACTCTACAGTCCTTTTTGACTTCTTCCTCGAGCTCGTTCCTCCATCTAATGAATATATACACTGGCACACCCTCGCCAAGCAGACTTCACATCAATCGAGCTGTGCCAGCCCGTCCTTAATATACTCCTCGAACAGCGCCTTGTAGTCCCGGTGCCACCTGCTGAGCGCGGGACGGCCCTCTGCGACGTCGCCTGCGGCCCACATGATGCGGAGCTGGTCGACCTCGCGGCGGGTTTCGTTGTCCGGGCAGACGATGTAGAACTTGCCCTGGCGGACGTGGTCGAGCTGTAGAACACCCGGCTGAGTAAGGAACGAGATTTGCGATACGGCCACTGACCATGTAAAGCACGGTTTCCTGGGCGGTCCACGCACCGGCGGGCTTCTCCTTCTCGCCGTTGTCGCCCGTCATGCCTGTCCATGTCCATCCAGGACTGCGTCGATCGGATGAGCAGCGCACACGGTAGATAGGACGATGAGAGACTACGTACACAAATAAGTGCGCGGTGAGGTTTGCGGATGGCACGTTCCGCAGCTCGTGCGCGAGACCCTCTGTGAGCGACTTCACGGCAGCCTTGGACGCGTTGTACGCGGCGTTGCCTCTGCAGAAATGTCACAGTTCAGATAGCGTCGCGGGGAATATGCGCGGAAACGCGGAGACGTACGGAGGGTTCGTAATGCCCTGCTTAGAGCCGGTGTTTATAATCACCGCTGGGTTCTCCTGGTGGAGCATAGATGGCACGAACGTCTGCTGGACGTTCAGAATCCTGGTGTGGGTCAGTGGGTAGGACAATGACGGAACATGACGGCGAAACTCACCCAAAGACGTTGACCTCGAAGAGCTTATGCCAGCTATCGAGGCCCTCCCAGGAGGTGCCGGTTGGGCCGATGCCGGCGTTGTTCATGAGCACGCCAACCTGGAATGACGAGCACACGACACGGAAAGGTCATTACAATGCACGCGCGAGACACATGCAAGCCCGAGCAGCAGCGGCAGCAGCATAGAGAGGGATGGTCGTCGTCGCACGTCGCGGCCGAGCGCTGGCTTGCCCGGCTAGCTCACCTCGCCCCACGCTTCGTACACTCGGTCGCGCAGCCGGACGACCTGGTCGAGCTTGCTCACGTCCGTCGGGACGACGAGCACGTTCGCCTCGCCGACGACCTTGGCGACCTCCGCGCCGATTTCACGGAGCTGCTTTTCGTTCACGTCAGCGACGGCGATTTTAAGGCCAGTTCTGCACGCAATAACGGGCCCAATGAGTCGGAAGAAATATGGTAATTCCGATAGATGCTTACTTGGCAAATTCCAACGCTGCTGCTCGTCCGATACCACTGGCAGCACCGGTGATTACAGCGACGCGACCTTCATGGAAGACAGGGTGTACGTCCTTGCCGAGAGTTGGATCCATGGGTGTCTCAAAAGCAAAGGAGGAACCAGGACGGAGAGGAGACGGACGACGGCTGGAATCGTTTGTTCGGAGGGCCATGTTCGGAGAATAACAGAGTCGGCCGATTATCGACGGGAATGGAGGATCTGCAGTCTGGGAATACTTTCTCGCCTTTATATATTCCTCCCTTCCTCCGTAACGTGACGTTGAGGGGACCGTCCCCGATCTCCTCATGTTCCCTCTCCACATTTCTCTCCTTTCTACTCGTTCTAGACGCGACAGCGGCCGCCAAACATCTTCCTAGCGATGGGACTAACGCCGCTCGTGTTCTTCGCATTTTTGCGGATTTTTTGGCACCGAACTTTCCCAGGTTTCGCCGTTGCCCAGATCCTCACTGCATTATAGTGCTGGAGCTGACTCGTGAGCATTTATCCCACCTGATCCATCGCAGTGCCCCATTTTTTGCCCCTCTCACACTCTGCCGTCCAGTGGGTACCACTTTGATTCCATAACCCACTGGCCGAGCCACACCGGAACAATGTACCGGTCCAGTGATACTGCGCGGTGTGAGTGTGAATCTCCATGAATCTGTGCGATGAACGTTGCTCGCCATGCGGTAATTCATTGACAATATGAGGCAAGGTGAGCAATCTTTACATCTTATGTACATCTTATGACGGTCCACTGCAATTTCCTCGCCAGGCCAAACACTTTGCAGCTCACATCTCGGATCCCGATACGGCGCTCGTCCTGCAACCCGCCGGCTACTCGCCCCCAGCGAGACGTTGTTGCGACACGCTTGCATGTCGCTCTCCGTTGTCTGCACGTTGATCAACCTCCATCTGATCCATCGATTAGCCCCGATGGCATGTAGTGCAACAGGTGATAGGCATGCCGCTAGCCAATTGCAAGACTCTAAAGGGCTGTTGAGTGGCATCATACATATGGGCCGAAGGTTTCTGACTGACCAAGACCCCCGGCGTATTGTCGACCAAACGCACATCTACGCAGCACGATGCTCACCCGTGCGGTCTCGAATGAGCCGACTCAGTTGTTCCTTGATCCCCGGAGATGCTTATTACTGGTGCAGGTCTTCACACTCGTATCACAGTCGTGATAAACTCTGGCCCCCGAAAACAACACGTTGACGAGCTGCTGTTCAGTCACAATAATATACAATTCTAAGAGTAGTTCTCTGAAATGGCGAAGAAATCCGGCTTCGATTGTAGTCGCCTCGAAGGGCGGCATCGACCTCCATCCATATCATACATCCACAACCTACTAGGTAGTGCATATATCGCTCTTACTGCTGCCGCATTTCAGTCTCACGGCGTCGACTCTGTTTTTCCACCGGTGGCGCATTTGTCGATTTGGACTCCACTAGTAGTTTGAGCACATCTCTCCATACCCGACCCAGCGCTGCGCCCCTCCGCCGTAACATCGAAAGGTTCTTGACCGTGCGCTCCTCTGCCTCCATCATCCCCTCTAGCTGCAGGCCGGGAAAGACGTACGCGACGAACGCGGCGGGATCGCCTATTTTCTGGGCGGACGAATGCCCTATCTCCAGCATTCGGAGGCAGTGCGCTATCACGCGAAACGACGACAGCGAGGTTGTGCTCAAAGGTTGAAAGTCGATGATCGGCAGCGCGAGCATCCGCAAAAGTGCGGGCAGAGGCGCACGAACTCTGCAAGAGCTTGCAAGCTCACGAGGATCGCTCCGCCACCTGGGGAGTACTTGAGCGACGTCAACTTCGGCCAAACTATCGCGAAGCTGAGCAAGGTCTCGGGTGAGAACTGGCAGAGGCACTGGGAAGGAAAGGGTGAGCTCCTCGAAATCGTGCAGGTCCATGAGTGGCTGCACGACCGATTGCAAAGACGAGCTCGGCCGGACCACTCACTGCCTGAAGGGCAATCTCGGCAGAAGACGTCATCCTTCATCAACTTTGACCGAAACGGTGCGCAATAGGGAAAAGCGAGAGGCGAGCAGAATCGGTCCTCGTGACGATCCGCACCGCCTAGAAGCGTAATGTCGACTGAGTGCACGTCCGGAGACGTGACAACGTCAATGAAAGTTACGATACCCTCTTGCCTCCCTCTGACGAGTAGGTTCTGCAGGATAGGAAACCCTCACCAGGAGGACAAGTCCTCGGGCGATCAGGCCCCCAAAAGGCACTGGAATACCACCAATGGTTGTAGGGTACAGAAAATCCTGAGCTACCGTGAACTGTAACGATCTGTGTCAAAAGTGACTGTACGCAACTGTTTGCAAACAGTGATTAGTGCCAACGATAGCGGATGACTGATTCCGCAGGAATGGAACATCTGCTGCAGAGGCGCTTTCGTAGTAATGGTACCGAGCAGTCATGCGAAATGTCGACCTTCGGCGCAGAGGTTGTGAGACGCATAGTGCATCCCTGCGTATCTGATCGTCAAATCTTGAAGCCGACGGAGAAACGAACGTTAGGATTCCCCACTCGAAAGAATTGACCTGCGCCCAAACGAGAGTCCGAAGAAATGAGGCAGAACAAGGACTTCAGCGGTCAAGATGAGGGTGACAATTTACAAAGGGTCGGATGGGTCAAAGCTTTTGCCAGAGTGCTCCGCGCATCCCAATGATACACGCGCTTAATCTTGGGAGTGCATTGCGTCCACGTTTGCTCATGTGTAAATATCTTTTGCTACGAGGATCAAGTCGAAGGCATGCGTGAGATACATGACGATCAAACGCCGTATCGACATTACACCGTCGCCGTGATATGACAACGCAGAAATAATCGGAAGAAGGCACAACGTACGAAAATGCTCCTTCAAGTTTTCCGGAGCACACAGAAGACACAACATAAACGAAAACGACGTTCCATCCGATAAATCGTGACAAAGACACGGATATAGCCCCAAACCGACGACTAAGGACGTCTTTTAGGCATGGGCAAGGGACACTTCAGCAGTACGTGCGCTTACCTTTACCACGCATACTCGTCTTCGACATCCATACTGTTCTCTTCCTTTCGATAGGCCGCCAGCACCTGGAGCACGTTTTCCCAATCGAACTGTTCCGTCGTCCAACGTCTGGTATGTTCAGATCTATGCTCTTCATACTCCAAGCCGTCGTTCAAATCAAGAGCCGGGAAATATTTATGGAGGAAGCGTGCCACCGCATCGACGTCCTCGAGCGTAGAAAACGTGCGGTGCCCCAGGTCCAGCGTTTTAAGACTGTACGAAACCGGGGCAAACAGCGGCAAGGGAACGAGCAGCTTGAAGTCGACCGACGGCAGAGCGAGATTGGTCAAACTGGGGAAGAAACTCACGAAATCGACGAGGAACCTAGGATCAATCGTGGTGCCTCCGTCCACGAACTCGTACATTAAACGAAACGACGTGAGCTTGGACCAGCTCTGTCCAATCTCGACCAACGTGTCCGTCGATGGTGACAAGGGCTTGCGGAGAACGAGCTCGATGTCGCGCAGATCGCGTAAAGCCATGAGAGGCTGCATCGTGGCTGTGAACGCGTTTTCGGGATCCACCAGCTCGCCCTCGATCTCGATATCTGCGTCGAAATCGAGCTTCGCATAGACCAAGTCCTGCAGCTGCAGCTGCAGCACATGTAAACCGGGAAACTGTGCCGCTATAGTAGCGGTGCAACGTCTCCAAGGCCTAGAGAAGTCATTACTCCGTTCTTCACCGACCATGCGGAGTGTACGAAGATGAGGGGATGTGATGGCTTCCAGCAGCATGATGACATTTCGTAACGGCCCATTGGCAGTCAGCACCCGCAGAGAAGCGAAACCTCGGCGACAGACAAAATTCGCGCCCAGGGAATAAAGCTCGATTTTCAGAACTTGAAGTTCCTCAAGGGCCGACAGTGCCCGCATGAGATCAGCATCGCAGTATCTCGGGTCGATCTCGATGTTGGTGAGATGCCGGGAGGCTGTTATTGCTGCTAGGGAGATGGGATGGGGAATGCCGCTCGAGTAGAACGTCTTGAGCTGAGGGGCTTTCGCTGACACTGCGGTGAGCACAGATGAAAACGCGAGCTCAGGCCGTCCAAATCGTTGGCCCTCGCGCGATTGGGCCTTGTAATAGAGTGCCAGGTATTGGAGTGATGGCGAGACAAATGACAGGATGGTCGTATCGTAAGGAACGGCATGCACATAGTACAGACGCTGCAGAAACGGGAACAACGGTTGATCGCCATTCAACTCTGTCAACTTCATGAGCACGGCGTCCCGAGTGTCCGGGGATGGGCCACTGAAGAAGAATATCTTGTGTACTCGGTTCGCATAATAATGGAACCGTGCCCATCGCTGAGGAGTAATATCACTTTTCAGGTACTAAGCGAAAGAAGTCAGGGTGTCCAATGTCGACCGAGAAAGAATCAAAACTTACATATGAATGATCATCAACACGGAGGTCAATCAACGGCTCAGCAATTTCCACGGCTGGAAGTAGCCTCAACGCCGGCTGAATAGAGTCCAGCTCATCCCAAAGCACGTCTAATGCCGGGTCCAAAAAAGCGACGCAAACGCGCGCAGCGCCAGACAACGTTGTTCTATTAGCCTTGATGACCTCGACGGGGTCGTTGTGAGAACCAGAAGTCGGCGCGATATACTGAAATATTTCTCGGAGGATATCATACACTTGCAAGGCTCGATGTGGGGGCATTATGCGCTGTGCTCTCAAGAGGCGGCGTCGACTGATCACTCCTGAGCTGTACGCGAGCGCCATTGAGCGGCAACCCCTAAGTTGAGCCCCTTTTGTCACGGGACTTCACGTGCCTCGATTAGCGCAGATCGCGATGGTGAGATCGAGACAAGATCGAGGACTGACGTAGCCGTCACGCGCAATACGTTCGTACGTTCGTTTGTTCGTATAACAAGATAGAAGAACTCACAATATTATCACAAACCTTCATCGTATAGTTTCCTACACAACGCGATATAAAATCTCTCCAGGTCCATCTTCGTAGCCAAGTCACTACGGTCTGCCTGCTTCTCGGTCTTCTCTCGATCCGTTTTGCCCGCCGCCGATGAAGGAGCATCTCCACTCTCTTGCCCCGAGGAAGGTAGCAGACTGAATGACCGCTTCGACGGCACCTGCTCGATAATCCAGTCGAAGACAGCGGACACCTTGTCAGTCGACGACTTGACCACTTCGTCTGCCTCTGCCTTCCCCCCTTTACGCCTGTTTGCTCTTCTCTCTTCATGTGTTCGCTGGCTGATTCCCGCTGCGGCATCTTTTGCCGCTTCCTTCTCTTCCCTTTTCCACATGCGCACAAACTTGCGCCAATCCGCTACGCTCCAGCTTTCCTCCTCGTGTTTTCGGGCACTCTCCTCGGTCTTGGGCTTCGACCCGCCCTTCCCAATGTGCAGACCAGGCACAGATAGTATGTCTACGTCGATCCCGCGCGCACCGCGCACGTCCCAGTGGTCGCAGCCTTCCATGATGCCGAGAAACTCGCCCCACCTGGCGCTCTGCACGGTGACTAATGCATCGTTTCCCCACTCATCGGAGCGGTCCCACCGTGGATCATCCCGTAACCGCTCCCGCTCCTTCTCTTCGAAGCCGTCGAGTACCATTTTAGGCAGCCAGAGTGGATGCCATATGCTCAGGTTGGTAACGCGACCTGCCACACTGAAGTATTTGACAGATGGGTCATCTGGCGTGGCTGGATTAAACACGTTGTCAAGATATGCGGAAGTGAGGTTCGCGTAAGCAGGCGAATCAACGACGGAGAGTAGGAGCGTGGTAAACGAGGATGGAAGTGACGCGAACAAGAGCGATGACTTTGTGGAGTTAGATGGTGGTTTACTTGCTGACGCGTCATGGTCGTGTCTGTGCACATCCGCATCCTGCGGCGGCTTCTCTTCAGAAAATGCGTTTGTCTCCGAGGAATGTGCAGCAGACAAAGCGCGCTCCCTGTGACGGAGTCTGCCAATACCTGTGTTCTCCTGCAACGCGATGTTAGCAACGTCTCAGTAACTATATTTGACTACGTACTTCGCACCAATCCATAAATGGACTTCCGCGGTGAGGGGTCGCAATGCTCGTCAGCGACAAAGGCGTATATGCGGTAGGCTTGATGTGTGTGATCAAATGGCGGCAGTCGAGGCCGCCCATGGAATGGGCCATGAAGTTAATTCCTCTTCCATGAGCCTTTTCGCGCAGAAAGTGGTCCATGCTCTTTGCACGAGACTCGATTGACCCTGTACTGTGTGCAGGAGCCCATCAGTACGAGAGACAGTATCACTTTGGTAGTTTAGTACTTTCGTACCTCGGTACCGATGTAACGATGACCTCCGCACCTACTTTCTGCCTCAGAATGTTTAGAACGTTTGTCCAATAATGCATCTGGAGGATGGGAAACGCGGAGGGACCGCGCACGTCAAAGCCATAGAGGCCTACTACTGGTCGGCAACAAGCTGGTAGAGAATCAAGGCCAGCCACATACCATGGCAGAGAGCAATGGGATAGCGAGGTGTCCTCAGCGGGTCATACAACACGGGGCTACGTATCAGACGATGGATCTCATCTGTTGGCTGCTTCGGCGGTAAGTGGTGGTCGGGCAACGAATGCTCGCTCGTAGGTTCGACGCTCGCCGTAGGACGCGACTGCACATCGTCTAAGCTCGTAGCCTGGACGAACCCTCGATCTTTGCTGTACCAAGCCGGTCTGGGGAACGCACCCCACAACTTTGTCCGAGAGTCTGCGGTGGAGGTCGGGGTGGTGTCACCATCTAGCTGCAGTTTGCGACGGAAATAATGATGAGAGATGGACAGAGGGAACACCACATTCACAACCCTGCGGAAAAGTAGGGCCACCGGTGCAGGGAACCATACCGTATGCATGTCGGGAGGAGCAACGGAGGTTTGAGGACTCAGGAAATAATGCCACCTCTGCCTCGATCAGGTGATCCAGTCAGGTCATTTGCTTAAAGTATACAAATGATCGCCGAATTAACTTTTGTCGCGGGTCCACAGAATGTTATGTATCTAAATTGAAGTCTCATATTTTTCAGTACTTAGCTTCAAATATACAAACGCCACCGCCATATTATGGCTGAATTGTCCCTGATGTTGCAGGAACTTGAGTTCCTTCGAGGGGTGTAACCCAGGCTTAGGGTTTCAGCCCTAAACCAGGCAGTTATGTATACACCCTTGTTCTGATGATCGCTCCCTCAATTCTCTGTCACTCTTCTTGAAACTTGAGCAGAGAGTAGCAGATACACTTTAGAAAATTTCTGTCTGCTCAGAATTTCTGTTATATATTGTGGCCACAGATGACATTAAATTTTTGTTTTTGGTGTATAACCGAGCAGTTGATGACTGTACATACAGACCGTCACAAATATAATCTGGAATCCGTGCGTCGTCAACCCCATAGCTCAATATTCTATTCTCTTGGAGAGTTCCTCTATGTCTGATGGTTATAATAACTCTATTCTCAAGGGCACAGTAATATAGGACCCCCGCGAATCAACTAAGAGCTCCGATCCCGGCGACGACATTTCTCGGGGGTGGCCAACCACCCATTTTCGGGGGTTGAAGATCAAACATTTTGCCTCCGGCGGCCCATTTTTCGGGGATGGGTGCATCGGAGCTCTCAGTGGATTCGCGGGGGTCCTAGTAATATGGGGTGTTTTCATGCCAGACCTCTCAACATGCAACCTTCTGCCTTCAGCTGTAACTCAAATGCAATTTTGCAGTCGTTTCACCAGACTGCATGACCATTTCGGGAAATCCAGTCTCTCCACCGTCACATCTCTAATTAAATTAATTTGCCATGCGCACTACACCTATAGTTAGAGTGCCCTTCACCACCTCAATGGTGAAGACCTTCGAGAAGTTTACCACTCTGAAGATGATGTTCTCCTAAACAGAAGTCAAGGTGTCCAAAGGACACAAACTTGTGTTAAATAATGCTACCGTGGTGCTCTGAGTCGATCTCTGCACTGCACTTTCTTCAGGTTTGACACGCGCTTTGACGACATTGTAGATGCATATGCAACCGTTCTGCTGGGCCTATTTGATTATTAGAGCTATATTTTCCGCGCACTAGTATTGGCTGACCCTGTTCGTGTTTGCTTGGATACAGGTTGAATGTGGATCTTGACCACTCGTTCTAACTGTGGAGGAAGGTAGTCTCCCAAAGGCGGACTACAAAATCATCCCTATGAATGGGGGAGGGGACGGGAAGGAGGAAGGGTGCAATATTGTTGCCGATTCCCGTCGGGGATGGTGTGCGCTTCACCAACATCTGGCTGCAACAAACCAGTGGCCTGAAGAATTTCCAGATAAGTATCCCGCCGCCGCCTTCAAATCGTCTTGAATGGTTGCAGGCAACGGCTGAAGGGGCCAGACTTGAATTTCTCATTTATAATGGAATTATGGATCCCCCTACTCCCGCCTCGTCCCCACAAAGTGGTAGCCTAAACCCACTCGCGCATGAATTTGTTACCATTGTGTCGTCTTCGGTGGGCACAACCGCCGAAACATTCAGAAGCCGTGCGAATAGTAGACTTCCATGTTCGCTTTATCGAGAACAGGAACTATCCAGTGCGGTTGTAGCGGCGGACGCGGGCCCTCGGGAGGTGGGATCGGATATGAAGGACACGGGTCAATAATGTGCGGAGATATGACTACACAGCGATGTTGTGTCGGCAACATGTGCTCCACGTTCCTCTTTGCGTAGATACTCACTGGTCGTACAGCACCTTCCTTGCCTCCTTCTCGTCTTGCTATCCCCATAGTCATCTAGATGCGTCTGCGGGATTGTTCATGTACGTTCTCGAGCCACTCTATGTCAGTGATTCAGGCTAGTGCTCCTGAGGTGTGCCATCGCTCCTGTCGGGGACATGATCCCGCACCCAGCGCACCGTCTTATCCTTCGCATTCCACAGCGCGTCTAGCTGAGGCAATTGCCAACTGGCATCTGCACTCGGCGGAATGAGGGCGAGGGCGGCGAGGGAAAGATAAGTATGATATGGATCTGTGTGCAGACAGTGGAAAGGTCGTTGGAAGGTCAGAGCATGCAAACACGCGTACCTGAGCGTTCTCCTATAGCCTTTGCTATGCCCCCAAATTTGTGCTGACATTGAGCCAAGAACGACGCGAGAGCCTCAGAGTCTACCAGGTCACTAGCGCCAAGGATCTGTGGAACGCTTCGTTAATACCCGGATGTCGCTATAAACTAGAGAAACGTGCACGCATACACCGAGCGAAGCACCACACCAGAAGCAGTAGCATGCGTCTGCATCTTTGTTCGTCCGGCCGCGGAATCCTCCAGAGGCTGTCTGATTCTGGACGAGCCAGCGAACGGTGCGAGACCGCTCAGACGGAGTGACGCGCGATTCGCGTGGTGAAGAGGGTGTTGATGGCGCAAGGTGCAGCGACGCCAGAGCACAATACGTCGTTCCACCTGTGATCATCAGACGCTGACGTACCAGAAACGTGAAGATACGTTACCTAGGGCCTCTCCAAACGGCGTCTGACCGTATCCACCCTCATGGCTCTGTATTCTGGTTAAGTGAATGAAGCGACGAAAGGAACAATCCTCACGCTGCACTTTTTGATGTACTCGACAGCCCGGTCGATATCTATGCCAGACCAGTCGTCTAGCATGCTGCTGACCACAAATGCGCAGTAAACAGCCCGAAGGTCAGACTCAGCTCCGCTAGGCAGCGCAGAGAAGCTGGCAAGATGCCGTCAGCAAAATATTTCAGTGGTGCGTTGCCGCTAACCTGCCATCGTCTTGTTGACATGCTCGGAGAAACTTCAAGATACCTGGCCGGTCAAGCTTACTGAAGTCGTCTCGAAGAATGGCCAGAGAAAGAAGAGCGGTGTACGTCATGATTAGATGCGGAGTGTCGTATTCCGAATATTTACCCTGGATACAGACTGTAATTAAGTAGTTCGCATCTCTGTGACTGAGCATACCGGAATTTCTGCTGGTGTCATGTATGCGCATGGTCTGAAACCATTCCCGTAGTTTCCGCCTATAGATAGGGAAGGTCTGTCAAGGAGCAAGCAGGAAAGTGTAGAGACGGACTGGTGTACTGCTCCCAGATCCAGTCTTTCCAGAGCTGCCGTTCTGCGTCATTCGTCTTCACCTGCATAGTGTCAAGTACGTCCAAAATCCCAATGCAATAGAATACAAGGGCCATCCTGTCCGTTAATATTTTGTCAGGGACATGCAACCACAGTCCACAATCTGGCTGTACAGCCTACCGAGAGGACTCGAGTTCTATTAGCGAATCCGGAATTCCGGAAAGGCATATTTTGGCGTGCGCTGAATGACTGCTTCTAGCCAACCGAGGTAAAGGAATATATTCGGCCATTGTATAATCACTAGATCGAATGTAGGAAGACAAAGTGTGGTCTGAGAACGCCAGATCGGCGAGATCTTGTTACCTTTGAACACGTGGATATCATAACTTTGCAGAAGAACACTAAGTTACATCTATGGCCTGAGTGCCGATGGAAGTCATGAAACACAATAGGCAATGATATGATTTGAACAGTATGCCTTACAGATACAAGCGTATAATAGCTCGATGATGGAAAAGACATTGACAGAACCGGGCGAAAATCGAAGGAGAGTAAGAAACGAAGAACAAAAATGACAGGAAGGTGAGGAAGATGCAAGTGGGATGAAGGTGAATTGTTCATCCATGACTCTCCCCACCAATACACAAAACGTGGTTAGGCAGTGGGACAAACCAGTGAACAACTCGACTTTCCGTATGCGGTCTACAGTCCGTACTCACGGTGGCCTCATATCGCACCCATGCCCATCCCCTGGAACGCTCCTACCCTCTGCTGCGCGGGCTGAGCCTGCTGGTGCGGCTGCGGCGCACCCATCGGGACCTGCTGTCCCTGTTGGAACACTGGCTGCTTCTCCTCAAGGTCCGCGTACAACACGACCATCTCCTTCCGCGCCTTTTCCCAATTCTCCGGGTCCCAGTACGAGTATGAGCCCTGTTCACCGCCCATCACTTTCTGCGAAGGAGTGGTGCCCGTCTCCTTCGTTAACCACAGCCGTAACTCTTTGTGATACCGCCAATTACGGTTCCATCTGCAATAGCATAATTCAGTGAAGAATTATGGGTAGATCGCATGAGGACCTACAGCTCTTGCGCGGCTACTTCCTGCAGTACGTCTCGTGGAGAAGAGTAGAACATGAAAAACAGTGTCTCGTCACTGAAGGCCTGTGCCTTCTGTGGGCCTGGTGGTGGTGGCTGCACGTTGTAACATGCAGGTAGGTGGAAATCTGGCTCCACTGTGTGTGCTGCTGATGAGTCCGCCCATGGGGTGATGAAAGTCGAGTACAGGCTCCTAACGATAGAACTGATGAGCACAAACCCGTGAAGGGACTTACGCAAGGAGCGGATCCAATCTCACCCCGGGGTCTGCATATCGAGGCCCATCGTCCCCAGGTCGGTACCAACAGACAACAAGTTTTGATCCGGATCTGCACTCTTGATCATCGCTAGCAAACCCAGTAGCCCCCATCTGTCTGCGGGCGACATGAGTACTTGCTGCGCAGGGGTCTGTGGTACTGCACTCGACGCGTGCGCGGGGCCTTGTGATGGATGGTGAGCTGTGTCGCCCCCAGCAGTCCCGTTTCCAACGTAAGGCGTCTGCTGTGGTGCTGCTAGTGGTGCACCTGACTGCGTCTGCGTCTGTTGTTGCGCAAAGGATGCAGGAGGCGGTACACCCGGCGGGGCATTCAAATGAGGTTGTTGTGGTTGTTGCTGAGGGGGCTGCTGCTGCGAGGATGGAATATGATTTTGGTTGGCACCATTTGGTAACGTCGCGGGGAATGTGCTGGTCTGCTGAGTCGACGGGTTTGCATTCGGCGAGCTCCACGCTGCAGCTGCGGCAGCGTGGCTTCCTTGATTTAGCTTGAGTGCGTAATTCTGCAGATCGAGTCAGATTGTCGCGCAGTGCGGTTCTTGGAAGGCTTAAAAGCCTGAAGGAGAACGCACTCGTTGCTTATCCGCCGCATCAGACTGAAACCCTGGATGCACGTTCCTCGCCTGGCCCAGGTTTAACAGCCCAGGTTGCTGTTGCCCCGTTGGTATTGATGTCGGCGCACCGCCTGTTAGTGAGCCCAAGAGTGCTTGCCGATGTTGATCATTCTGCTGCTGGAATCCATTCAGACCCGGTGGATGGCTTTCTGCAGTTTGCTGTACTTGCTGGGGCTGCTGTGCGGATTGTGTCTGTCCTCCAAGCGCTGGAAAATCGTCTGGCGTGAAGTCCCTCGGCTGGATTGCCCCATTCCCCACCCCCGTTTGTGCACCACTGGCTCCGGCACCTAGTTGCACTCCTGTTCCTGCCTGACTCGCGTAACTCGTCGCATTCGCACTTGATGTCGCATTCGACTGATTCGCAGGCGTTGAACCTAGCGCGGGAAAGTCATTTGGGTCAAGGCCGACTTCGCTCGCAGACGACACTGATGGCGCAGTCCCCAAACTAGGAGGAGGGTTTTGCGTCAGATGCGGTGGGAGACTCGGTCCTGGAGTAGCGCCTGTCTGTGGGGGATGTGGAGTGTGCGACAGTGGCCCTGGCGTTTGCGATGTATGCTGCGCTTGAGGCTGCTGTGATTGCTGCTGCTGAAGAGCACCCCCACCAAAGGGGAAATTACCTTGACCTCGCTGCTGTAAAAAATTGGGTGACGGTTGTACCATGCTCTGCGCTGCGCGATGATTTGGCAGCGAAGGGTAGCCTGGCATCACATTTCGTGGTGGAATCCCATATCCTGGGCCGGGATATGGGCCCCGGAAGGGGGCACCGAGTGCAGGGTTCGGACCAAGGCTTGGAGGTCTTTGAGGGGGTTGACCTGGACGCGAAGTGAACAACTGCACAGCCTCGCGCGAGTCCCAGCGATTACCTGGACGATTCATAGCGTTCTTGTGCGCAAGAGGGTCAATGCTTGGTTGAAAAATGATACGCAGACGGTTGAGCGTAGTAGCTCGCTGTCCAGAGAGGTGGCGGGAAAGCTAGGGGAATAATTTACGGTTATTGTAGTCACGTAAACTACTGTATAACTCCCACAAATATCCTTGAATATCCTCCACCCTGAGGCCGTTTGTGAAAAACCATCGCTCTCCTTGTACACAAGCATCTCAACAGAGCCGGCATGCGTAGCCTGACATCTTAATTGTCCGAACTGAAAAGCGGATTGCGGCGAGGCATTGTGTTTTCCAGGTTCCGAGTGCAGTCATTGACCTCTGGGCGGACAACATATGGAGGTTCGTTCATTACCCGCACCTGCTCAATAGTACTAATGCGCGCTTAGGTTCTCAATCAACGGGCTGCTCTCCTGTCCAACTATGAGGTCCTCACTCTTCTGCGTGAACTAGAGAGCGACCATCTAGCTCGCACGAAGACTGCGCTGAGAATCAAGAAGGAGGAAGAGGCAGCCGGGAACCTCGCAACAAAGACTCAAGCCCCCGTGGAGGAGATATGTGAGAACCTGAGGACAATCGAGGTGGAGGTGAGTTTGTGCCCCTTCTCGAACAGGCGGATCCTCAATTTACGGCATCTCAGGCTATCCAGTATCTTTCCGCGGACTACCAGCCCACCTCGTCCCAAACAGATGCTGGCATTGTTCAGTTGACACGAGCCCTTTCCACGTATGAACTAACGAAAGCGGAGAAGCTGCAGATCGTGAATCTGGCACCGACGGAACCCGTAGAGCTCTATGTGGTATGCACAATGTCCTGGTCATTCAAGCTGGTCTGACTTCTCCGCACAGATTGTGGAAGAGCTCGAAGACCGTTTTGAAGACAAGATGGAAGAGATGCTTGGCAAAGTTCGTTCTTCTCTTACCGAGCCAGCCGTCGCAGCGATGAATGACCACGCACACGGAGGTCCGCGCACCAATGGTGACACTATGCACCGTGCTGCAGACGCACAGGTCTATGGGAAAGACGATGGGACATGGGACTACGACGAGAATGAAATGCTGTTCGATGACACAGGCGAAGGCCACGGTGTAGAAGGAGACTTGGATGTAGAAGATGATTAAGTCGCCGTATTCAAGACACGTCGGACGCGTTTACTCTGTTACACGCTGTCGCATTCTATTGCACAACATGATTTAGCGAGACTGTAGTGTAGTACCTTACAACTTGGCCGAAAGTCCGAGTGTCTATCAGGTATGTTGCAAACGAGTGTCACAGAAGAACGAGCGAGGGAATGGCAGCTGACGATACAGTGGGTTGATGGAGTGGGAGACGAGTCCTTGTGGGTCGGGGGTAGCGCAAAGAAAAATAGTTATCGCCTAGGGACAAAGATGGCCACCAGAACAATGAAGGGTATGTAGGTGAGGAATGACACGGCTGACATGACGCGACACCGAAAGCGCCAGGTCCTTGCATCTATAATCGTGTCATTGAAGAGCGGGTATGAGAGCAAAGCGCAGACATACCGTGTTCAACCTGCGGATTGTCGATCGTGACCGCTTTTTCCGAGTCGGTACCTCCGACCTCGCGTGTCTTGGGAATGGGGCTAAACGAGGCGATCCACCAGAGCGGGAACAGAATGAAGCCAATAAAGAAGCACCATGCCTGCAGCGGTGATCCTTCCTCATCCTGGGACCTGAACCGCAGCGCCCATTCCGTCGGCATTACCCTTGGGGGCTTCCGGGGATCATGCATGTGGTATGTGCTCGACATGCTCACGGACGGTGCATGCGGAGCAACGAGAGCGCTGATGGGGATGGATATCTCAGATATGCTGCGCCGTCGGTCGCGATCCGTAGCGGACTCCCCATAGTTGGACCTCATAGAAGCGGCTTTGGGCTGCATGCGCGAGAGACTCTGAGGAGGTCCACTGTTCCGGCTGGGCCACGATGATTGTTGCTGAACGGAGCCTGGTCTCGAAGGGGCGGGGGACGATGTCGGCGAAGATGAGAGCCGAGCGCGCTTACGGTGGTAGGAAGAGGGTGCACGCGAAACTTCAGATGTACGATGTGTGCCTGCAAAGCAAGCGTATGAGCAGCCTGACGTAAAACGATAAGAACACTCACGTTGACCTTCCTCGGGTATAACAAAAGTTGCATGATGGCTCCTCAACTCCGGAGGTGTCGTGTCGAGGTCTTCCGCCTTGCGCTTGCCTTTGCCGTTGGTAGGTGTCTCGAGGACAGACGTGAGTCCAGGTTCGCTTGCAGAACGCGTAGGTTTCAATGCAGATCGAACTCTGCCTTTGGGGGCAGGAGGGGTAAGAGGAGGAGGGATAGAAGGATGGAGTCGAGGAAAGGGGCCAGCCTCCTGGGTTTTTGAAGTAGATGCGATGGATGCGGGCATGCTCGTATGAGATGCACGCTTGCTGCGAGGCTTCTTCTTGGCAGAGCCACGAGCAGAATCACCTGTGCTCTTCTCCAACGTGTTCCGCGTCGTGGCGTCAACTCGTTCCAACATCCTGCTATCTTCCACGAGCAGAAGCTCCTGCTGATTCGGACCAGGGGTATATATGCGCGACCGTGATAAGGTACTGCTGGCGCCCTGGGACTCAGCCGCTGCAATGCGACGTTTTCAGCGGAAATCGACACATAGACGTAAACAATGCGTACCTGCTAATGGTGCAGACGACGGGGGCCACTGGGGGGAAAGATGAAGAGAGGGTATACGAGGAGACGAATGACAAGGACATGGCGTTTCTGACTGGGGGACCACATGGGGTACACGAGGACCGGCATCCTCCGGGAGCTGGCCGGCTCGGACGGCGCCGCGGCCGGCGACCTCCCCGAGGGAGAGCTTCAGAAAATGTTGAGTGACTTCAGCAGGCCATCCGTACTCGCTTGGAAGCTGCGAAGTAGACCCAATAGTGGCTTGATGAGCGCTCCAATCCGCACTGGAACGTCTCAGGGATAAAGAATTTGATCTATGGGTAGACAAGGAGGCCTGACGCTCCATGGACGAGCTCCGAAATACTCGTTCAAGTCTCGACAGGCTCGAATATTTGCGCAAGGGGCGGCCAGAGCCAAATGCATCTGTCGGCTGCCGTGAACGGAAGTATGTATCTCCACTGGTCTTGGAACGACGCCGTCGAGAGGGATAAGTATTTCCTACCGCTTTCAAGGAGTTGAGATGCGTACTGGAGGTTGCGTGGTAGTTCTTTCTGGACTGAGAGCGAGATAACAAGGTTGAGAGAAGTTCCGGGTGGTTCAAAGGAGGCAAAGGAGGCGAGAATGATGCTGCCATGGAACGATGACGAGACGATGTGCTTGTATGCCGTCGTGAGTGGCGGCCAAAAGTGCGAGGGGAGTCCGATCCTTGAGTTTCAGCAACCCCAACAGAATCGCTTACAGGGTGAGAACAGGACGATCTCGAAGAGTGAGGCGTAAGAGCTCGGGAATCTATACGGGGGCTCGGTGCAGAGTTATGATGGGAAGAACCGTGACTTGTAGCTGGTGGAGAGGGAGAATCGTCATCATCGGCAAGTTCAGAAGATTTTCGACTGGGAGAGGGCAGATCAGATTGACAAGGTATCGCATCCGAAGATGCCAATGCCGTGGATCCATGATAATTTGTCGATATACTAGGAGCTCTGCCAATCTGCGACCTACGGTCCCTCTTGCTGAGAGAGCGCCGCGGGCCATACAATTGCGCATCGTCTGGACGGGTGGCAGGTCCCGAAAAGTCATGTTGGCCGAGAATGGGAGAGGCAAGCGGTTTGTCTCTACCAAATGTGGACCATGGCGAGATAGATGCGAGCTGGGGTAACTGCGAGCGAGGATCTCCAGGCGTCATAGGGGAAGATTCTGTCACCAATTCGGAGACGCGAGGACTATCCTTGACAGAAGAAGCGAGGGGTGAGCTGGCATTATTTCGAGATCGATAAATAGAAGACGTGGATGATTCATGAGTTTGAGACCGAATAGTACCCACCCCAATTACCGATCTCTTTCTTGTACGTGGAGGCTTTAAACCTCGATGAGTCGACTCAGTCTCCGGACACGCCTCTAAGAGACTGGCTATGTCCTCCACAATCCGACGATTAACAGAGGGTATGAGCGGCTCATCATTAGGGGAGCTGAGAACATTAGCCGGTATCATTGATGAGACATGCATTGATGTAGAATGACTTGGATCTTGTGAAACATCTCCTGCAGAGTGGTGCGTCTTGCGACGTAGCCGTGCTAGTAGAGAGAGCATCTGCAGTTCGTTTCATGAGGCAAATTTTCAGCTATCTAGAACGTCAATCTTGTATGCTCACCTTCCCTGTCTCGGTTCTCTTTGGGCTGCCTGGAACAGATTGCCCGACTCGCTCCCTGGGAGGTGTAGGACAAGTCTCAACTCACCGCAGCCTTTCGACCACGTTCAGTGCAAGTCACACAAGCTGTCAGAAGGGTTTGAAATCAGTAGTCCAGGCTGTTGTCGAGTGGAAAGTCACCATAACATATTGGAATCATGACGGTGTCCGTCAACGGTCGGGCACTTCAACTGCAACTCCCATATCAAGACCAAATTCGCCCGATAAGGAAGGATCGTTCCATTTTCGGAGTCCGACCTCCCGCAGCCGTCGTACACGCGCAAATGTTCAATTTTCACCTTGTGGAGGTCTACACCAAAAAGTGTAACGTAAGAAGCCCATAGATAGAGAATGAATGACGGAGGTGAGGTTCAAGTCCGTTTCGAACGTTTCTACGGTTATCGGCCTGGAGGAAATCAAAAATAATGTTTTTGCTGGAATTTCGTCCGATAAGTGGTCCGATGGTTGCGCCGAAGACATCACGAACAATCTGTTCAGTGTCACCACCGTCTCCGTCCCCGAGCAACACTCTGCTCACCATGGATCGTCTGGAGTCCCTCACGAATACGCTCTCGCAGATTACGATGTATGACATCAAGAGCATGTACAATCAGGTGGGTACTGCCAGTGGGCGGTGCTTCTCTGGAGCGATCATGACCGACGCCGCGCTGTTCAGGCGAAGAATGTTGTCTTCAACGTTAGCGAGATGGAAGCGAAAGTTAGGGAAGCCACCAATGATGATCCTTGGTGAGTTGCCTGATTCCGGAATATGAGATGCGAGAATGATAGGAGTTGTAGGGGTGCAAGCTCCACGTTGATGCAAGACATTGCTCAAGGGTATGTTTCACGTCCACAGAGTATGTATAGGGATGCGTTTGACTCCGTGCGTCGATGTGCAGGACCTACAATTTGTAAGCCCATCTCCTCACGGCGTCCTTCCATAATGCTAATTACATGCAGTCAAAACTTCAACGAGGTTATGCCAGCTATCTACGCACGGTTCATGGAGAAGGAGGCGAAGCAATGGCGGCAGATCTACAAGGTACGCGACAAGGCGACATCCTTTCATGACACCAACCATACAGGCAGGCACTTCAACTGCTCGAGTATCTCGTGAAGAATGGTAGTGAGCGGGTAGTTGACGATGCCCGTTCACACGTAGCTACTATCAAAATGCTCCGGAACTTCTATTATATCGACGATAAGGGTAAAGATCAGGGTCTAAATGGTGAGCTACCCACTAGTATTGGCGATGAGCCTGTTCTCAAGGGACTTGTTGCGTCATGCCAGTCCGGAATAGGTCGCGCGAACTGGTGGATCTACTGAGTGATGTCGAAAAGATTCGAACTGAAAGACGAAAAGCCAAGGCGAACAAACACAAATACATCGGGTCAGGAAATGATGCGATGAGCTTTAGTTCAGGTGGAAGTCGCTATGGTGGTTTTGGCAGCGATAGTGTAGGCTATGGAGGAGGTGGGAGCTACGGCGGTGACGGGGACTACAGTACCCGAGGTCTGACCCGTCTTCGTCACTCAATCATGCGCAGGTCTGATCTGGTTTGACAGATTATGGGGATAGCTATTCTGGTTCAGGCAGCGGGAATGGTGGCTTTAGGGATAACAACACAAGAAGATTCCAGGAATATGATGCCGGAGATGACGAGATTCCACCGAGAAGGTCGAACTCACTTTCACGGTCATCTACAGCCTCCGCCGCGAGTCCACGACGCGCTTCTACACTCCCTACTCCTACTGCGACTTCGCCCGCAGTGCCCAAAGTATTTGCGCCTGCGCAGAACATTGATTTGCTCGGAATGGACGATGATGCCTTTGGTGCCCCAGCTAGCAACCCCGGAATGGCCACGAACAAAGCATTACCTACTGTGACCCATGCAGCGGGGGAGGGTATGTCAGTCTTGATATAACCGACTTTCATTTTCTGACGGCCTTCTCCAGGTGACGACGAATTTAACGATTTTCAGACTGCCCCCCCTTCTGCGAGTGTTAGCAACAGCAACAATCTTTCTTTCGTCGCGAGTTCAGGCCCATCGCAAGCGCCGAAGCCTTTCACTCCTGCCATTCAGCAGCATGCGCGAACGTTGTCCATGGGTTCTCCGATGCAGCCGTCGATGAATGTCATGACGTCTATGAGTGCCATGCAGCCCATGAATACCATGCAGCGTATGACCTCGCCGATTCAGCCGGTGAATATGTTCGGAAACAGCGGATACAACACTTCGTCCGCTCCAGCCTCTGCTGCCCGAACACCCTACATGTCACCTACCGCGGCGCCTCTGCAGAACCCCATGTCCCCAGCACAGCGCGCCATGACACCTACCCAAGCTGTCCGGGCGTCGGCGACTTCACCGTCCATCGGTGGGACGACGAAGCCAGCTGCTAGCGCCAACTTCGACGACCTGTGGACTATGTCGCTGGGCTCAAAAGCAACCACCAGCAATCCCGCGGCAAGTCCTACTGCTCCGAAGTCGATCAAGGACTTGGAGAAAGAGAAAGCACAGACAGGTATTTGGGGAGCTGGGCAGAGTAGGCCGCCAATGGGTGCTGGCTTCGGCTCGTTCAGCAGTGCTGGCGCTCCTGCTCCTGCTGCAGCCTCTTCCTCGCAGGGTGGAGGTCTGGACGATCTGTTGTTCTGAAGAGCTACAACGATGTCTTTCTTCCATGCTTGTGTTAGAAGGTCGCATGATTACCTACCGGTATGGTTATGTAGGCACTTCCTATGATGAACAGGGCGCAGTACATGTAGGTCTGGCAAAATGTTCCCTCCTTAATACATTGTTGCTGTCAGCTGAGTGCGGTTGGAGATAAATATTTGTGACGCGCTGACAGTCGCGATGGACAGTATCTATCCTCGGCTGCGACGGCGGTGCCTGTCTCAGCTAGCGCTGTTCAACGTCTACCACCATGATGCTCTCGATATCCGGTGATGCATCAACGACACAGAGCTTCGATAATGAACTACGAGCATGTGGACCCTTCACGCCGCTCAAGTTCATTGGCAGGTCACAGCTGCCGCGCCTTCGCCCCGTGAGTAACTCTGTCGACAGATTTAGAGACGACCGTCCTGATAGAGATTCACGGGGAGACATGTCTAATCTAGGCGATGCCCTCCGACGTGTCCGCTGTCTCATCGCCTGGTGGTCCGAGTCGAAAGCCCACGCGTGAGAGATCATTGTAGCGTTTGATGGTTTTCCCTCCCGGAAGACCTACAAGAGCTTGAGTGCGGTCTTCTTGAACTCTGCGTGTGCCCCTGTCCAGTGTGCAGCTCTTGCCCTCCATGAAGCTGGCCTGCATCGCTGCTGCCTTGACCGCCACTTTCGCTCCGGTGCGAGCTATCTGGCCGTTGCCCCAGAGCCTCACGAACGGTTCCACGGCGCTGCGCCTATCGTACGGCTTCCATATTGTTGCGGACTTCCCGCATGCAGCGTCAGACGTGTACGATGCCATCGAGCGCACAAAGACTTACCTCTTCACGGATAACCTCGAGCGGCTCGTCGTGGGACGCGGTTCTGGCGATGTCAGCTCTTTTGAGACGTCGCAATACTTGAACCAGTTGCAGCTCTCGCTCGCGCCTGGTTCGTCCGTGCTCTCTATCACCGAGGAGGCTCAGAAACCGCTTGATGAACGGGACGAGGCGTATAACTTGACTGTGCCAAGTGATGGTTCTCCAGCTACGATCACGGCTACTTCGACACTCGGGCTGTTCAGAGGTCTGACGACATTTACGCAATTGTGGTATACCTACGATGGCACCATCTATACGCTGTCTACTCCTCTACAGATCGAAGACTATCCTGCATATGTACGTGGTTCGCCTAGTACTCTGCTTTTGATTCTTATAGTATGGCACTCAGCCATACCGCGGTTTATTGCTTGACACCGCTCGTAACTAGTGCGTGTTCTCAATTGCTCATTCGAGATGTATGCTTAACTTGGATAAGTTTCCCCGTGTCCGATATTTTGCGTACGTTGGATGCTGCAGAATTGGTCAAGGTTTGTCGCTTCCGGCTGGCATGGTTGCATCACCAACTCACAGTTACCTTAGATCAACCAGTTCCACTGGCATGTAGTCGACAGCCAGAGTTTCCCGCTCATTATTCCTGGCTTCGAAGAGCTTGCAACCTACGGTGCTTATTCCGCATCGATGGTATATACCCCAGCAGACGTGGCGAACATTATCTCATACGCTGGCGCAGTGAGTTGTTCAAGCTGGTTTATAGAACTTGGCATCCCTGACTGGATGACTTGCAGCGCGGTATCGATGTCATGGTCGAAATTGATACTCCTGGCCATACTGCGGTTATCGCTGATGCTCACCCGGACTTCGTTGCGTGCAACCAGGCCACCCCTTGGGCTTCATACGCAAATGGTTGGTATCTCACTTCGCTTGGCTGAATTTTCTATTCACATGAACACGCAGAGCCTCCCGCTGGTCAACTACGATTTACGAACGAGACAGTCGCGCAATGGACGGCCTCGCTCTTCGCAGAGGTCGCCAAGATGTTCCCATCTTCCATCATCAGCACAGGTGGAGATGAGATCAACATGCCATGTTACAACGATGATTATGAGACGCAGCTGGACCTTAATACGACTGCACGCACGTTCAACGATGCTCTGGCCAACTTTACGGCGGCGACACACGATGTCATCTATGCCGCTGGCAAAACGCCTGCGGTCTGGGAAGGTTGGCGAGGGGTATTGTTTGTGGGGAATGGCGGCTGATTATTTCTGTTCCAGAACAAATTTTGAACTACAACTTATCACTTCCGACTAATACTTACGTCCTGTGAGTAACGCTCTACTAGGGTACATAAGCCCGTTCTGAGCGCACACCTTTAGGGTCTGGATTTCCTCCGACGATGTGCTCGCTGTCGCAGAGAAAGGATATCCGATCATTCATGCAGCTTCGAACTACTTCTATCTTGTCGGTATATGTGCTGTTCTTGTTGCGCGTATCTGACTGACTGGCCTTTTGTATAGGACTGTGGAGGTGGCGGATGGGTAGGAGATTACCCGGCTGGGTTTGTAGCCATTGTCTTTCACGTTTGTCTGCTCTGACAGTGTTTGCTCGTTAAACAGCAACAGCTGGTGCGATCCATTCAAAACCTGGCAATACTCTTATTCGTTCGACCCCATTGCAAACCTCACGGCTGAACAAGCCAAGCTTGTGAAAGGCGGTAGGGCCATTTCCATATCTCTGCCAACCCCCCGTCGTTGATTTTGGTATCCATGCGTTCAGGTCAGCAAAACCTGTGGACTGAACAGTCGAGCCCATCCAACTTGGACCCCGTCGTTTGGCCTCGCGCTGCGTCCTCGGCGGAGCTCTTCTGGAGTGGGCCGTTTGGCAATGTTGACTTGGCGCTGCCTCGCCTGCACGAAGTCTCGTTCCGTATGCAGCAGCGCGGTATCCACACCATTCCGCTGCAACCCCTCTGGTGTGCGCTGAGGCCCTACGCCTGTGACCTTACAGCGTGACGTGGATATTTCTATCCCATAGCGGATTGTGATGGACTTATGGACCTTTCCCGAACTCTTGGTTTAGTTCAGACCGGGACTTTGAATGCATATTTTCGGTTGCTTTGCTCATAGGATAGACCATTGACACTACTAGTTCTGGTGTCCTTGAAGTTGGAGGAGTTCTAATCAGAAGCATTCTCTGCTCTGTCGCGATTCTACAGTCACATACATTTGGTCCCCGAGCTGTAAGGCGTCTAACGCGTCGCGGTCACGTGACCGTGGCGAAAGGACGTCCGAATTTCACCCGAGACTCCAAGCGTTCGCCCACCATGTGGACCTTCGCAATGCCGGCTGTGCCCTCGGAAGCTGTAACTGTGTCCATGGTGAGTCGACGGCATATATAAATTGGGATGCTGCTGATAACAAACTCCAGTCTAATTTAGGACAGTGATGGCCTTCGAACAGCGGTCATGAGTCTAGGTTCTCTGACTCGCGAGTACACGCGATGAGAGATTATGTCGATTGGATTTACGAACAGGTTTAAGGTAGTAAAGAATAAGAATGCTATCTCCTGGAGCACGGATTGAGTGTCAGCCTCTTTCCAGAACCCACCATGAAGGTCCTCGCAGCTGCAGCGCTAGTGGCCTCTCTTGCGCCAGTGTACGCCCTCTGGCCTCTGCCTCAGAGCGTGGTGAACGGCTCGAGTGCGGTTCGCTTATCGTACGGGCTCGCTATTACCACTAATATCCCTGATGTGCCCGATGACGTGTACGATGCTATCGAGCGTGTCAAGACGTACCTCTTCACGGACGACCTCGGGCGCCTCATTGTCGGGCGGGGAGCTAGTGATGTCGGCGCCTTAGAGAGCTCAAAGTATTTATCTGAGTTGACTTTGTCGCTCGTGCCTGGATCTTCAGTACTCTCTATCACCGAGGAGGCGCAGAAGGCGCTCGAAGAGAGGGATGAGGCTTACAACTTGACTCTCCCTTGCGATGGCTCGCCGGCGACGATCACGGCTACCTCGACGCTTGGGCTCTTCCGAGGACTGACTACGTTCAGCCAACTATGGTACACTTACAATGGCACGATCTACACGCTTTCCACGCCTATGCAGATAGCAGATTACCCTGCGTTTGTTAGTACACGTACACGGTACATTCCTTTCGGTCGCTCACCATGAAATGTCCAGCCCTATCGCGGTCTTCTGCTCGACACTGCGCGAAACTAGTACGTACTTTCACCTTCTACGGTGTTTTGACTGCTTATGTCAACCGTCCATCAGCTTCCCAGTGTCTGACATTTTGCGCACTCTCGATGCCGCTGAACTAGTCAAGGTCTGCCTCATCCCTCGAAATTCTACTTATATGTCACAGTTGTTGTAGATCAACCAATTCCATTGGCATGTCGTCGACAGCCAGAGCTTCTCGTTGCAAATTCCAGGATACATGGAACTCTCCACTTACGGAGCGTATGCTCCGTCAATGGTGTACACTCCGCAAGACGTTGCAGATATCGTTACATATGCTGGTGCAGTAAGTTCGTGTTAAAGGTGTCAGATGCGGTGATTTGCTCACATACGGATGCTAGCGCGGGATCGATGTCATGGTGGAGATCGACACCCCGGGACACACAGCAGCCATCGCAGATGCCCATCCTGACTTCGTCGCCTGCAACCAGGCTCACCCTTGGGCTACCTATGCCGCTGGTTTGCTCACATCCTAGTTTCTCTTGCATTCACTCCCTGACAGCCACCTTGCCAGAGCCCCCAGCAGGCCAACTGCGCTTCACGAACGCTACTGTAGCGAACTGGACTGCAGGGCTCTTCATGCAGGTCGCAAAGATGTTCCCGTCGACGATAGTCAGCACTGGCGGTGACGAGATCAACATGCCGTGTTTCGACGACGATTACGAGACACAGCTCGACCTCAATATGACTGGTTTGTCGTTCAATGACGCGCTCAGTGACTTCACTGCGCAGACCCATGGTGCGCTGATAGCGGCAGGCAAGACACCCGCAGTCTGGGAAGGTGAGCCAGATTCTGTATTTTCATTTTCAGGAAAGTTGGGCCGAAATATGATGCAGAACAGGTTCTGGACTACAATCTGACCCTTTCTAACAACACGTTTGTTCTGTGAGCTTGCGCCTTCTGCCTATCCGGTTTGTGGTGTTGACTGAGTTGGCCACATAGGGTCTGGATATCCTCAGACGATGTTCAAGCTGTAGTCGAGAAGGGATTCCGGGTCATACATGCCGCATCGAACTACTTTTATCTGGTCGTTATCACATTACCATGCACCGGCTCCGCCTGTCTCTGACCTTTCTGTTCGTCAGGACTGCGGCGCTGGCGAATGGATAGGTGCCGACCCGTCTGGGTGCGTATTATGCCTAGTCCACGCAATCAATTATTTCTGACCCTGTATACTTCACAAACAGCAACAGCTGGTGCGATCCCTTCAAAACCTGGCAATATGCGTACACATTCGACCCCGTCGCCAACCTCACCGCAGAACAAGCCAAGCTGATCATGGGCGGTGAGTCTTCCGCTCTTGCTGCATCCATCATATCTTGACTGTTGTGTATGCAGGCCAGCAGAACCTTTGGACCGAACAATCGAGTCCGTCGAACCTCGATCCGATTGTATGGCCTCGCGCGGCCGTCTCTGCAGAAGTTTTCTGGTCCGGAGCAGGCGGAGACGGTGACTCTGCTCTCCCCCGCCTGCACGAGGTCTCATTCCGCATGCAGCAGCGCGGCATCCGCACGATCCCACTGCAGCCGCTTTGGTGCGCGCTGCGGCCTTACGAGTGTGATCTTACCGCGTGACTCGTATTGGACCGGGGCCAAACGTCATGTTGATGGAAGCTGGTAGAACTATGTCGAAGAATGCATATTGGATTGGACTTTTCGCGGCTCGTCATTCCTCCGCCACGCTCAGGGAGACGCGTCGGTGGCGTTCAATACACGCGTCTCGGTTCACATGACACGCCTTAGTACTCACGGGGTTCCTACCTGAGCGGCAGATATACATGACTAGTTTTGACGTTTGTATTGCTATCATATATACTCGCGCTAGCTGAGCTGCTACAAGGTTTCCAATCCTCAGCAACGCTTCACTCGCAACTGCAATGCCAGGCAGGATATTGATCGCCGACCTACTACTGACGGAAGATTTCCGAGGGAAGTTCGAGGAGAGCATGACCCCACAGCAACAGGAGACTACCGTCCGTGCCCTGAAAAATATGATAGAGCGCGTGCGCCATGGCACAGACGGGGACCTACTTATGATGGGTGTGATGAAGCCGGGGGATCTGCAGGCACAGAAGGGCAGGAGAGTGGCGGATTGCCTCAACATGTCTTATTGGCAGATGGCATTGTTCCTCAGGGTATGTAGCTGTCATGAATTTTATTTTCCTCCATTTCCATCCCAGCTTGCATCCAACATTTTCCATCGACTGGCCTCGCCATCTGAATAGAAAGGCTGTGCTTACCGGATACCGCCTCTACCCCGCAGTTTTCCGTCCCAACGCGCATAGCTGAGGCGGAGCCTTATCTGCGCATCGTTGTGCGCGATTTCAACGATATTCACCATGGTGAAATAAAGGACGCGCTCCCCATGCTCTATCTCGCCAGTTCTATCCAGAAGGTCCTCGGAAACGAACAAGAGGCGTTGGAAATCTTCCGCGAGGCCTTCGATTATTATGAAGGTCCCAAGGGAAACCCCATGGGGTACAAGTCGGAATTGTGGGCGCGGGCAAACTTTGCGCGTCTGTTGAGGAAGATGCGCAAGGTCGCCGATGCAGAAGAGCAGGAGAAGAAGATCAGGTGTGTCTTGAGTGTTTGAACACGATCATGAGTCGTTGATCTCGCCTTCCAGGACCTATATGGTCAATCACCCGTTCGGTGTCCCGCCGAGCGAATACCGCAAGGTCCTCGTGGATGATACTGAGGAGAACAGCCTCAAGTATACTTGGGACCATCCTCTCGTCCGCCGATCGCTGCGACACATCGGAGAGATGCCCAGTCACATATCGCCGAATGTGCCATTGCATGAACAGATGCAGGCCGTCGGAGGGACAGGCGAAGTTCCGAAGGTGCATGAAATGAGTCACGCCGCTCCTAAGAAACCTAAACGACGCCGGGGAGGACGACGCAGTTAATGTACGCTACTTAGAGCCAGGCGATCTAGGCAGTGGAATTGCTCATTTGTCTCTTGCATATTCATTCCTGATCTCTAGTCGTCCACTTAGTATGTGCAGTATAGTTATTAGTGCTCATTCTTCCATCCGTCAACGTGAGGCGGCTGCCGTTACCGCGTAAACTCAGCCGTGAAGCATCAAAGCTTGAAATTTCACACTGGTGCTTACGTCGTGTGTAGCTCAGATATGACAACAAATCGCCTGAGGGAACCAGCTTGGTGGCATTATCTACTCCTGTCGGCCTTCAATACCTTGTGAGGAATATCCTGAGGCTTTTGAGCGCTAATTCGACTTTGCCATCAGGCGAAGTCGATCAGGATGACCGTGTTCAAGAACACGATTTCCATGATGCTCACGCCCGAATAATGCTGCGACGTGGTGATATTGACCTCAGAGTATATTCCGTCAGCCTATATACTGCCAGTTCCAGGCTGGAAAGTTCCTCAATATGTGGTATTCCACATGTACAGCATTGGCTGAGGGACACACAGGTGCTATTCCAAAGATCCATGAAGCGAAGCATGCATAAATTCAACACCATTCTCCGTGTGAGCGGGGTTGTAAAGCTAGCGAGGACTCGGACGCCACTAGTAGGACTTCACTCGTCGACTCGGAACGCGTCAGTAGCGGAAACGCCACAATTCACGTGACAAACGCGTCTATTGGACGCTGTGACTTACTCCTGACTTCCAGCTCTCGAGTCCGTCCCTCGCCTCTGCGCATCTTCGCCCCATTATTCCAGAGAACATATGTCGGCCTTTTATCTGGAAATATTTAGTGATGATTACCGGGAGAAGTTTGAGGAACACTTCAGCGCTGCCGACCAGGCGAAGGGTATCAACGAGCTCAAAGCTATCATCGCGATGGTCCTCGACGGCTCTGAAGAAGACTGGCGTGCGATAGGTGTGCTGACACCCGAGGTCACCACCTCTGACCAGATGATGTACACGGTCCGGTGGTTCCTTGAGAGGTGCTACTGGCAGCTCTCCAAGTTGCTCAGAGTGAGTACATAGCCCTCTCGGTCCAGTATCTGTAGTTTCTGTGCCTGCCGTGTGAGATATTTTATCCCTTGCACTAGCCGATGTCGTAGTCTCATCAGAGGCTCACCATACCCCTCACAGTTCTCCTTGCCGACGCGCATTGCAGAGGCCGAGCCATTCCTGCGCCAGATGCTGCGCGACTACACAGAGCAGAACGATGCAGACGATCGAGATGTCCTCCCCATGCTCTACCTTGCGTGCGCCATCCAGAAGGCACCCGAAAAGGAGCAGGAGGCGCTGCAGATCTTCCGCGATGCGTTCGAATACTACGAGGGGCCCCTCCAGGAGCATAAACTGGGGGTGAAGTCGGAGCTCTGGGCGCGCGCGAATTATGCGCGTCTCCTGCGCAAGACGGGCGCAATCGCCAGCGCGACAGCGCAGGAGAAGAAAATCAGGTACGTTTGCTTCACGCCGCAGAGATGCGTTGTTCATGTCGTGCCCGCTGAATAGAGACTACATCTTGCGTAACACGCCGGCCTACCCTCCCAGCTTGTATCGCAGAATGGCAACGGATATGAGGGAGCCAGACAGCGTGAAGTATACTCTGGAGCACCACGCTATTCAGCGCGCATGGCGGGGTATCGTAGAATTTCCGCTGGTACCGTTGCGCATGGAGGAGGGAGGTGTAGGTGCAGTTCCCAAGGTGCATAAAATGAAGCATGCATCTAGGAGGCGCGCATCTCGGCGGTGAGCTTGGTATACCTATATTTGATTGAATCTAGCAGCTATTGTTGGCTTGTAGGATAGCGAGAAGTGGCTGCTTCATTTTGTATTATCACTTGGACGACAGTTTGGCTTGAAAGTGGCTTCAGCTTGACCGAGGCTAGACACAGTGGCGATCATTCTGTTGCCGAGGACTACTTCAGTGCTACTCAGAGAAGACAAAGCGTCAGGTGGGGCCATGAACACAAAATCCAAAAGAATTGACTGAGAATAAGTTATTCACAAGAAAAATGTAAGACACCGGGTGACATCAGTGCTACCGCGCACTAGCCTGCTCGTTCGAAGTGATGCCTTCTGGGAGCGATTCATCCTGGGGAGATTTCCCTTCCTGAGGCGATAACCATCGACCAGTAATCAGACGGAGCGCGTCAACTACAGCATATAAGACTCACAGCGGCTCGCAACTCCTCTTGCAGGCTCCGGAGGTCGCTCAAAATTCGCTGCACAACCTGACTCGCCATCACCTCTTGCTTTCTGAACTCCGACGAAGAAAGCACATCCAGAGAGTGCTCAAAGACTTTAAGGAGAAGCTCGACGAGGCCTGCCGACACCAAGCCGGCATCCCGCCTCCCGAGCTTGACTACGCTCGGGAGGAAGCAGATGAACGAAATAAGGTTTGCGCGATCGGCGATGACCTGCGAGGCGGGGACGGACAGGTAGCCCTCCAGGGAGTCGAGCATGTCCTTCAGTTCGCCTCGCAAGGACTTGTAGTCGTCGTCCTTTGTTAGCAGCTCGGAAACGTGCAGCCCGGCGAGACATGCCCGAGGGTACGCTGGGCCGTCGTGGACCTCTCGGATGGCCGCCGCGTACGCAACGATTGCTAGAGCATCTGTTGGAACACCGTCAGCGATGATCAACATCTTTCCAAGAGATCGCTGACCATCTTTCTCAGCAGCGTCAATCTGGTGGTGCACTGCCAACTTGACGATCCATGCGAATGCCGTTTCACGAATGGCAGCGGCGGCGGCGACATTATCCCCCAGCATCTTGGTCAATATACCTAAGAGGCGTCCGTAACCCGCTGGGATTCCGGCAGGTCTTGCTTCAAAGAGCCTGTCCAACAGTTCAAAAAGACGTTTTTGATGTGAGACGGAATCATGATCTGCGGAGGAAATCCGAGATAGCATGTCAATCGTCATCTGCCCCATGGTGACGATGGCATGTCCGTCGTGTTCGTCACCGTTCCAATCTGGGAGGTTGTCCTTGAACCTGTGCGCTCTATATTGCAAGATGGAGTAGTAGCAGGGAAGCGCGTCCTCGAGCGCGATGTCTTGGAGACAGGGTCTGATGACCTCATCGAGGAAAGTGTCATCCATCATTGTCTCATCCGCCTTAGCCAGCGCATAGGAGTCGATTGGAGAGGTCAGCGAACGCACGTAGAGGATCTCGCGCTCGGTCCAATTCCTATATGGCCGCACATTGAAGAGGTACACCGGATCTGTAGAACCATCGTACGACTCCTGGCGCACAATCTTGTAGAGAATGGTCCGCAACCGATGCTTCAGGTATCTCCAAGATGTGGCAAATGTGATATTGGTCCACCGAGTCACGAGAAAGAACCACCACGCCGGTGCTGATTTGTATGGGGAGTCGCAGGCAATTGCCGGGAGCATCACGGTGCTCGAGGTGAAAAGCGCCAGGGACACCACAAGCGCAGTCGTGGTGCTGGCAACAACTCTGTTCATGTTCCAGAGGATAAGCAATAGGCCCAGGAAGAACAGTGAGAGGGCAGTCTGTAGTAAAACAGGTAGAAAATTCTTGATATTGACGACTCGCCATCTGATTAAGCCACGATACCGGAATTGTCGGATGCGAACACTCTGTCGAGAGATAGTGGAATTGCGTGTAGTGTAGTGATTCAGCCATTGCTTCACTGAGATACCGATGGATGCCGATGCGAGACTACAGACGAGGCTCGCGAACCACAGAGCATTCGCGGCAACATATGTAGGCGGAGAGGAGTTTGAAAGACCCCCCGACCCGTTACCAGAAAATGCAGCCTGCACGTTAAATGCTGTCAGGACAGCAGAGAAGAGACCAGCCTGTTCCAAGTATATCAGTCAGGGAACCCACCAGCCGTGATGTTGCGGCAGGGTAAATTTTGGAATATGAGCAATACCCACAAAGACAAGGAGTGTGTCAATCTCCTCCTTCCACTCTTTAACAGCAGCTTCGTCATGTTCCCAGAGATCTTTGGCACACTTGGCCCATGCCGCAGATGTATCTGGATGATCGTCCTGGAGTGGTGGTGTGGGTAATTTCACAGGCTGCACATTTAGTTCACAAAATTAGCTTAGAAGCACGGAAGAAGAAATCTGCCTCACTTCATCTTTACTTTCCTCCTGCACTTCAACGGCAGAGATATCAAAAGTGGAAATTCCTTTCTTCGAACTTGAAGACTTCGAATACTTTGAATACTACTCATGAGTAAGACCTCGATGGTCACTCACATATCCATCAACGCACCGTTGTGTTTCCCGTAGCTACACGAGGAAAGAAGGGGGACCGATGACGTGGATAACTGGATGAATTTGTTGGCCGGTGATTCTCCAGATTACTGCCGGCGGGTCTCCGACTAGAAAGATCTGAGACATCTTGAAGGGAGCTCGTCTCCATCTGCCAGTGACCACTTCTAGATCTTTCAATGGGAGAATCATTCTACACCGTACCAGATATGCAGTGATTAGCACACGATACAGCGATGCATAGATACGGTGATGATACGTACGCTGTGAAATAGGAAGGAAGCCAAATACGCCCCTTGTGGACGGTCCATTATGGCTCACACAGTTGGGAAGATGACGACTCGGATAGCACAAAATAGCACATATAAAGTCTCGAGCTTTGCGTCAGCGTTGGGGCTATGCAAAGGCAGTCCACCATAGTCTATTGCCAAACCTTTACTATACGAACAATTTCGACAGATTCCTCCCACCATTGACCTTGAATGGTACATTGGCGGTCGCACGTGCGTCCGAGTCACGGTTCAAGCAGCCCGGAGCCTGCACTGGCAAGGCACGGCCCTGTCAACGTCCCTGCCATCACTACACAGCCAACGACAGTGACTAGTCAGCTGCAGATTGCACTTCATTGTTATACACATTACTGGTGCGGAGAATCACTAATGGCAACAAAGTTTGAAAGCATGTCATGACCGAGTGCCTAAGGGTTTGGGTTTTCTTGAGACTTGCAGTTGATTGTATTGACTACTATAACTGCCTTGTTTATCAATCTGCGCTCTAGATCGATCTCTCCACCACCACCATCATATACCATGCTTACTCCCACAGCCCCGCGTTGTGTAAAGTTCAGCAGAGCGGTGATCTACTTGAATAACATGGGTTTATACAGCTCCTACAATATCCATTGCAAGATATTAAATTACTCAACTTCTCTACGCTTGGCCTTCCCCTTCCCTTTGCTCCGCGAAGCACACAGCCGTCTGAGCACCTCCACGACCTCATCTGCGTCCTCAAAACCATCCTTGCCCTTCCCCCACGCTTCCGGCTTTACGAGGAGCTTGATGCCCTGGATCCGCTCGTCAACGCGCGCTTTGTAGCCGTCGTGCGTGGTGCATAGTGAGTGTGCGATAAATTCGAGCTCACGCGCTGCGTTGGCGAGGACGTTGTTTCTGTTTAGTACGCAAATAAGTAAGACGGAGTGAACGAGAACCCATCTTTTTGTACCACGTACCTCTTGTCCAGGTCGGGGGAAGGCATACGTGCCTTCTTCCACAGCGCATCTCCGGCCTCATCTTGTGTGAACACCGCGTGCAGTGCTCGACGCAGCGCGATGAACGTTGTATCTCGCAGTGATCTCTGTGAGAGCAGGTTGGACAAAAGCTTTTTTTCACAGCCACGACCGGTGCGCACCGGTACTTTCTGCGAGAACAACGCGTCTAGCTCGACACTGGTTTCAGGCAGCTGCACAGATGATGCTGAGGGGAATGAGCAGCGGGTTCAAAGTCTCGTTCTGGAAGACTGGGGAACGTACACGATGAACTGACGTCGAGGTTTTCTTTTTCCTCGTCATCATAGTCGATGCATATAACTTCTTGTTCGGGTTCTCGTTCGGGTTGGGGTTCGTATATTGGCTGTTCTTCGTGTTCCCCCACAGCAACTACGCAGTCATCAAATTCATCTGCAGGCTCCTCGGGTGGACTAGGCGTCGAGACGTTTTGAACGCGGCTACGTGCCGGAGGTTTCGCCTGCTGAGGACGCTGGACTTCCAACAGCGGTGACTTGAACGGAATCCTGAACGGCTTGCTGATGGTCTGCCTGAGCTTCGAGGCTAATATGCCACAAATCGAACCAGTGAGTACAGCTCTCGCTCACGCAGGGTCAGACTTACACATGCCGAGGGGAGGCGGGGGGTGATCGACCTTCGGTTTCTTAACCGCACCATCGTATTGGTTATGCGCAGCCGAAGCCCCCAGCGCAGACGAAGGCCGCTTGCTCGGACCCCCACTCTGGCGTCCTCTTGCTGTGTACGCGCTGGGCCCCGGGCGGCCGGTACTACTGCCAATCGAACATGCACGACTGGTGCTAGCACTCGCACTCTCATGACCAGCTAGCGCGCCGTGCCTCGTTGCAGCAGGAGTAGAGTCACCACCATCCTCATCGGTGTCATCTCCGTCTCGGAAGTTCATTTTCCACCCCGAATCCGTGCCGGAGTTCGGACGAGCCGGAGCAGACTGCCTTACAGGAGCCTGGACACGCGGGTACCCATCGTCGTCCTCATCGCTCCCGCCGAGGGCCTGAGAGCTGGCGTATTCCTCGGAGGAGAGCCCGAGCTTACGACGTTTTGTCTTGTCGGGGTATTTGCAGACCTGTGTATCATCTGTCAGTGCAAAATTCGGGGGGCGGATGGGCCTCAGTCGATTCTAACGTACGTCGCACATTCCATCACAGTACCGCTTCGCGACAACCGGGTCATTAGTGTCAATGCTCTCGCCAAAGTACCTACACACGGACTTAGTGGCTCTCAGTCAGATGTGTCCACCCTTCATCTGAACAAATGATCACTCACAACATGCCGACAGACAGTCACGCTCTCCGAGAAATTGACCAGCTATGGGTCCGCGTGAGCACTCCGCCTGTTAAAAGTAAGGAGAGAGGGAAATAGCTACAGCGGTGAGACTTTCCACGGCCCTCTGGCTCGGTGCAGGGCCTTGCATCGATTCCGCGAGTACGACCCGCTGGGCGTGTGAGCCGGAGATCAGGCGGCGGACCCTGACGGCATCCTCCCTAGCTGTTGCGCACATCGTAGATTGAGTCAAAGGTACATCAGTACCAGCAGGCTATGACTTACAGTAGAACAGTATGCATTTTGATGGCTGTACGAGGATACGTATTATGTTTGGGTCTGTGACAATGACACAATGTACGACACTCACTGAACCGTCGCGTCCGGCTCTTCCTGGAGTAAGATCGAGGAGTGTCGAATGAATATTAGGGTGAAGAATAGATAGGCGTACCAGTTTCCTGATAGTAACCTGACGACGTCGTTCAACATCAGCGGCCTCAAGTGATTATTGAAGTCGGGCAGCACACCTTCGAAGCTCTTGGGTAGGTCATAGTGTATGATATACCTAGCAGAGAAATTTGGTTCAAGCAATAATCACTCGAGCGGTGAGATGGCAGCATACCGGACGTCGGCCTTGTCGATGCCCATGCCGAAGGCGATCGTAGCACAGACCTATCCAGAGAGGGTGAATACACAACACGTCAATGAACTCGCGCGTGAGCAACGCCAGCAATTGCGAAACATGCAGTACGCACAACGTCGATGCCGCCTTCCCCGCCGCCACCGCGCTCCCACTCTTCCATCGTCTTGTTAAGCATGTTGGCCCTACATCACACTGAACCTCAAAACTATCATAAAAACCGTCAAACACATACTTGATCCCGCGGTGGTACGGTCTCGCATTCAGGCCCTTCCCACGTAGGTACGCAGAGAGCTCGTCGCATCGCACGCGCGTGCGGCAGTATATGACGCCCGACGAGGGGCGCTGGCGCCGCCGGTGCAGGGTATTGATGTATTCCAAGACATCGACCATGTGCGCGTTCGGGTCGGGGGACGAGACGTAGCGAACCTCCGATGCGCCATGAGCAGATTGCCAGCGCGGTGGTGACAGGTGGGGAAGGTGCGTACCTCGTAGAAGAGGTTCGCGCGGTTAAATGGGTGCACAGCTTTGAAAAGGTTGTCTGTCGACATCTTTAGGCTCCGCACGATGTCCTCTTGAACTCTAGAGGAAGCCGCATGAGATGTGGGCGTGCGAGTTGTGGTACGGAAGTGCGTACGCCTCCGTAGCGGTAGCCGTCAGCGCCATTATTGGGACATTGGGATACTTGTCCCTGAAGGAGCCTAGTCGCCTGTACTCAGCGCGGAAGTCGTGGCCCCATTCCTACGAGACGTCAGTACGTGCACCCAGAGAAGCAGGCTTACAGACTGAGATACAATGTGCCTGGTCCGAAGACGTCGGTAAGGCAGCAAATTGGGCGATCGCGATGGAACGACGTACCTCGTCTACAACTAATCTGTTCAGCTCGCCCTGACAGTAGACTCTTTCGAGCAACTTGTTGAACTCCGCCATACAAAATTTCTCTGGGCTAACTGCAGAAGGTCCGTCACGAGCTGCTTTCTATAAGAACACAATTGACAAACCATAGAGGAGACGGGTGGCTGGATGTCCCGACAACAGGTCCCTGGTAATCTACATCGTCGTCAATACATGTTTTCGATTCGACCTCGTATGCGCGACCTTGCCTCTTGCTTCTCGTCTGGTGACGTCTCAGAGGTGAATGCAATCACAGGAATGTCGAGCTTGCGCAGTTTTGCGACCTCTGTACTCGAGTCAGCCAACTCAAGATCCGATACATGAACCTTACGCACGGTTGTTCATGAGAGCTGTGATGCATGATCAAATCAGAAAAGGAAACACATGTGAGACGCGTTTCTGGCGCACATAGTAGAGGAGAAACGACAACAGTAACTCCATGCTGAGTGATAGTGACATGAACATTCAGTACACCGTCCTTCCATGCATGATGTCTGTGGAGTCATACACGATTGCCTATAGCGGGAATTTGGAAACACAGACTCTAAGCGAGAACTTTAGTGCGCCGAAAGTGCCAGCAACAAGGATACAAACAGACCTTCCCCATTCCAGTTGGTGCTAAGACAAAGACGTCGGCGCCTAGGTTGGCCAGTGAACATGATGCGAGCAAAACACCTTGCAGATAGACTCACCCAGTACCGCTGCTTCAATAATCTCTTTCTGCTTTCCCTTGTATTCCGTGTGTCCGAATGCTGGCAACAAGTTCGAGCATCGCAGGGCGAGATAATTGGGAACCTGGCGCTTACACTTTCTAAAGACACTGACCACACAAAGTGTCAGAAGAACAAAGACATTAGTGGTGTATACGTACTATTCACAGTCAATTACGGCACTGGGACCTCTCCTCAGCGTACTCGGCTTCATGCTCCCTTCTGACCCGACATCTTGATAGCTGACCACTGACGGAGGTGTTAGTAGCAAAGACGACGACACTGCCGGATCACAATCTTCAAGCTCATCAAACGAAAAATGGTGGGAAGAGGATGGGAGCGACGACATCGAGAAAGGATATGCAACCAAGACATAAAAGGCGGGGAATTCGCGTCTCATGCCACGCGACAAAACGCGACGCGATCGTGGCACGTGACACCGGCGTGGCAAGCCCAATCGGCCACGGTAGTGAGCTAAATTTACTCGGTCTACTTTAGCAACGTGTCCGGGCGTGGCGCTGTGATAACGAACTGATCCCAAACCACCAATGACAGCATCTGATAGAGAAAAGATGGCATCTCTTCATAGAATGAACCGCTCATTGTTATGGTTCACCATTGACCACGAGGGAGCTCCACGGATTCGATTTCTTAACCAAGTCCGGAGAGAATTTCTTGATCACATCATGCACAGGCTTTCAAGATCGGATCCGCCTGCACGCCGTTGTGTTGCAAACATATAAGTTGGACAACCCTTTGCTGTTGCCTACTCCTGCATCTACCGTTAACGGTGACCATGGCTGGTGGCCAGATGTCGCTCGCGAGGGCGTACCTCTCCGCAATCTGGCTGGAGACTCTGTTTTATGGTAAGTATTCGAGTTATTCCACAACTCTCCCCTTACACATCGCCTCGAATATTAGGCATGAACTTTGTGCTGTTCTAGTCATGCATCTGCATCCTCACAATCCGTCGGCGGAGTCCAAAAGTCAACAAGCCTCTCGTGGTTATTGCAACAGCAATGTTCTGCTTTTCCACCGCGCATGTCTCGCTGGGCTTTTACAGACTCATCATGGGCTTCATCGTGCTTCCAGACCAGCCAGGGGGTCCGTCGGCTTTTTTCTCTGACGTCTCCATTCCTGCCAACGTGGCCAAGGTGGGCTTGCACACCGTCAATGTAAGTCCGTGTTCCCCTTCAAAGGATGAATTCACGCTTACACAGAGGTAGTCAATTGTAGGCGATGGTGTCGTCGTAAGTATGATGATGGTGTCAGAAATACCCTTGTTGATTCTGACACTCGCCAGGTATGGCGCTGTTATCTCATCTGGACCCGAGAATGGAGAATGTGCATCATTCCAATCCTTTTGGTAATTGCTTCCGCTAGTGCGTTTTGTTTTATTTCAGAGTTAAAATCAGCAGTCAATGTATTTTTTTGTTTCAGCCTGCGGTTTTGCACAGACGGTATTCTTCGCTCGCGGGACAGACTTGCACAGCGCCTTCTCCCCAGAACTTAAGATCTGGAACGGCGCCCTCTTCAGCTTGTCCCTTGTCACAAATGTCATCGTTACCTGCCTCATCGCTGTCCGCGCATGGTGCGTCCGTCCTCCTAATTGAAGTCTGATGACGCGCAGGGCGCTGAGGCGCTGATGCGCCTTTAGGTATATGCTGAACCTGAGCGGGGGCACGTCCAGCTTCCGCTATTGGCGCGTGCTCGTGATGGTCATCGAATCCGGCATGATCTACTCCGTTGCGCTCATCTGCGAGATCTCGCTCTACTTCCTCAACTTGAACGCTTTCTACATTGTATATGATCCCATCGGCCAGCTGACGGTGCGTGCCTTCACCTTGCTCCGCGCACTCGCTCTCTGATATATCTATTGTGTGCTGGCGCTGGTAGGGCATCACGCCGACGCTGATCCTCGTCTTGGCCGGCCTGGAAATGACGACCAACGATGTGCACTCGCGGATGACGAAGCGCACGCTCACGAAGCCACACTTCCGCCCGGGCGTGTCGGACACGGACACTTCGGAGCCCACGCAGACGGTGCCTCTCGACCGGGTAGACTTGCGCATGGCGAGCAGCAACTCAACCTTCCGCGGCAAGTATACAAATCTCAGGCCAGATGAGAATGTCGACGCGGATCTGAACTTGAACGTGAAGCCGCCCGCTGCGCCGCTGGACGGTGTGTGAATTTGGGTGTTCTTGCTTCTTTCTCGCATGCAGACTCGTTCAGATGCAGTATTTATCTTTCTTGTGTAAGATTGAATGTAGGCATGTATATTAAACGTAGGAGTTAATATGATCTAGAATGTGCGCCAGGAATTTGCAGACGAAATCAGCACAGTCTGCAGTACGCACTGGCACGCGAAAGCGACAGTCTGCGTGCCGCCAAGACATACCCATGCTCCCGTACACACCGCGGCATTCAAGCGAGATAGGGTGGATCGGAACACCAATCGCCCAGATACGCCGGCCCATGGCGGATCTTCAACGTCGGACGCATCCTCCGGCTCGGAGTCTAATAAGTACTATCCTAGGCACAGTTCTGCAAACTCTTTCAGTGTGCTGCTCATAGCGCCCTGACAACTTCATGAAATACCTTGAAATATGCAGTCTATGTACAATAATGTCCCCTCTACAAGGTTATCAAAGTAGCATGTTAAAATTCCCAGAACTTATGTTCTCGGAAACCTTCCGGTGACGAGAGTGCAAGTGCGCAGGGTAATGCAAAATCGTCACAAGCCTGTCACGATGAGCGCCCTTCGGCATGCCCGGCAAATTTGATGGCTCGGTCAACGCAGAGCGGTGTGCACAGCAAAGCCGCTTTGGGCGACGGAGTCTGAATTTCATCACGCTGTGGCGGATGGATGTAACGCGTCTTTCTCGCAACATAGCATAGAGCAAGAACAACTTCGCATGGCGTCAATCGGGGTCACTCTGAAGGTAGCTCCATGTTAGAAAGGCTTATATTATGGGTGGCAAAATTTTAGGATGAGTACTGCAGGAAGGATCTCCATATCAGCTGTATTTCCGGCACTTACATTGGGGTGCAAAACCATGCAATCGCTCTTCTATTTGTTTCTACATCAACAAATTATCATACACAGGGTTGAAACATGTTTAGATAGTGTCTATACAACTACTAACCAAACCCATTAAAATATTTTTGAGAATTGGACGAGATATTCGCATTTTGCATATTGATGCGCACTTTGCAGAACTGTGCCTAGGATAGTAGCAGCCTTGCAGCCCACTTACTGTCCACTTCACCCACTTAAACTTGGCCTCCTGTGACCTGCCAAATACACCTCTACCGCTACTAGTACCAAGCAGCCATGGTCGGTCAACGCCTCCAGCCGCCAAATTCGAAGAGTCGAGGCGACGCGATCACGGCACGTGCCGCGATCGAGCTGTGTGTCCCAGTCCCAGTTTGGGAATGTCGGCATCTGCCGCGAAGACTCTCGGCTCGAAATATGGGATTTGCACAAATGTCCAGTAGGACCCCCGACAATTGGGGAGGATCCCTGAGCCGATTTCGGACAAATTTTGGACTTTTGAGAGCGCCATCCCTGATTTTTCACGGACAAATCAGGGGGTCAACCCGTGGATGGCCTGAGGTTTTTCACGGACAGACGTACCGGACATCATGGATGCCTGATCCCCCTCCGGACAAAGTTCGACCCCGGCCGAACCTATCTACGTATGAGGCCGGCACCGGGGCAGAAGGGGGCTCGGACTTACTACTGCCTTCAAAGGCTCTTTAGGTGCTGTCTGGTCGCACAGACACGCCGCTTCGAAGTTTGTAGTTGACATCTCAGCAGCCTCACATAAGTGCCTTCCTGAAGATGGAAACTCGCTAAGAACAGTAGAAGGTGCTTACCTTATGATGTCACTATCGTAGTAGCCTTGAATTCTGTCTCAAGTAATAGACAGAATGTGTTACACAAAGGAGCATGCTCATTCCTTCATTCTCGCAGCTCGGAAAGCGGTTCTGAAATTTGGAGCCTCCCGACTCGGACCTGATTCGTGAATACGGACAAGATTGGAGCCTCCTGAGGCCTGATCTGGGAGCCCGGACATTTCTGTGATGAACGGATGCCTGGTCCAAAACCCGGACAAATTTGACCTCCGAGGGCCGGAGGCCTGGTTTTTCGCGGACATTTCAGGCCAGAAATCGGCTTCTGCTAACGGACATTTTGGGCTCCTCAGGATCAGGCATTTCCACCAATTGTCGGGGGTCCTTGTCCAGTGCGCCTCGGAAGGGCGCGCAAAGCGAGATCAGATCCTGCACATTTGCGCCTGCTAAATGGTCGAACGATCTCCAGCTGGGATGGGCCCCGGGCTGGGGCTTAATTGTGCCTTGATCAAGTTCATGTGACAGACTGATAGTCACCCAGAAACCTGCAGCCAGGAGGCAAAAAGACATCTTTGCCAGTGAGCAATCCTGGGACGATGCGAGGAAAAAAAGCTATGGTGAACTGAGCGCAATCAGTGGTTACTGTACACCCTTGACTCTCCGACAAAACGAATAATAGGTGGCCATATGGGCACAAGCTGAGAATTCGAAAAAAGCGAGGGATCCGAATTGCCCGAGAAGCTGCCCATGGGTAGTGGCACACGGCAATGGCAAATTTGCTGCGGCAATGCACATGGGGCTAGCACGTTATTGCATGCGTGTGCAACTGATGGGTGGTCTGAAGCATTCTCGGGGATACGCACCACCGGAGACGGCTCCGTGGGCGGCTGGTTAGTCAATGAAAATTTCGCATGCCACCTAATATACACTTTGGAAAACAACCACTCACACGTTAACAAATGAAAAATGAGAGTATACACACTACATGGGAGCCAAACGCAAAGCGCGACCCCAAGCCGAGCCAGTCATATCATCAGCGAAACAGCGGGAATGCAGTCTAAGGACAGAAATGGGAACGACGAACGCGAACGCGATAAAGCAAAAGAGACATGGCGGACCGTAGGCGACAGATACGAGGTACAGCATATCGAGAGCGGGTATACGAGAAGGCGGGAACGACGATCACCAGCCGCTACAGAGCAGCAGGCTCGGCAACCACCACGTTGTCGAGAAGCTTCTATGTCGTCCCTGGATGCGAGACGTCAACCCCGGCCACAGGGGTGATAGCGGCGAGGACATGGGCGATGTGTCTTATAACACCGATTTTCGGAGGATGACCATGAGACCGTCGGAGTGGGCAGAGAATATTGCGTCAACCACTAGTTCGTCGTGCTTTGCACGCCCTCGAGTGCGATGTGGACGCGATGGTCCTGCCGGTGCGCCGTGAGCCCGCGTATGTGTCTCACGCGTTGCGGCGACGGTGCCTCGGCGTTGGCGCGCGGGAGGAGGAACCTCCGGTTGACGGGCGCTATTTCCACGGTATTAGTACTGCGGCGACCACGCAGACGGCTAGATACAAAAGGACAAACCTCGAGTCCCTCCCTTCCACGCAGACAGTAAACTTGCCGTAGCCAAACCCGCCATCGCTGGGCTGCCCGCGCTCGTTGACCCCCCAGCCCTTGATCACATCGATCCAGCTCCGTACAAGCTCTTCGTCCTTCTTCATGACGAAGTCGAAGAAGCTCCGGCCCATCGCCTTCGTAGTGGACAAGAGGCTGTCGTTCGTGCAGTACAGGATCCCGCAGTTGACGGAGAACCTGTCGAGAATGAGGGCAGTTCGGACGGACTGCTCGGGTAACGGATCGAAGTGGATTGGCGAGGCACGGCGGTGCTCGCGGACTGGTGTGCTCGACCTACTGCTGGTAGGGCTTGAGGCTTCTGAAGACGGGGTATGTGCAGGAGAGTCAGGAGGCATCGGATTCGGATCATTCCACCGCTATTCAATCGGTGAGCGGACGACTCTAGTAGGAAACGATCCCTGGAAGAGCACTCACCCTGAACTCGAAGTTCTTCGCGGTGGGAGTGATGATTGTTATTTCCTGCGCAGTGGAGGCATTGTGCATGGCCTTGGGACCGGGCGAGGCGAAGGAAACACTGCCTACGAGCACATTCTGGCAGACGGTACGCGACTATGTGCGTTAAGTTTCAACCGTACGACTGACGCCGTCACCGGAAATGGACACATACAATAGCACAAAGGATATAACCTTTGTCCGAGTCTTTGTGTTTCATGCGCAAGTATGCAAGCACCGCTGCTTGATCTTGAGATATTGTCGAGTAGTGCATATGCTTTACCCGAGGGAATTCGTCTGGGTGAACGAGATTCAGCGAGGAGGTACCGATGAGCTCATGAGGCTCAAAGCCTATCTTCGGTCAGCACCGCGCATAGTGGTCATCAGAAGGTGCGTGCACATACCTAGTAGGTCGAAGGATGACTCTGACAAATAGACCCAGTTCGCCTACCATAAATTCAGTATCAAAATTTGGGGCATCAATAGTAGTTCCTTCACCTTTTCCGTAAAATCCACAATCCCGACTATGATAGGTACATCCACATACATCAGATCACGGCACAAAGGATAAACAGGCGCCACGCACTGAACGAGCATGCGGTCGGGTCTGCGCTCGGAGTTGATGTAGTCATGGCGGAGAAGGTGGTGGTGGAACGGGTCGTCGGGGAAGAAAAATCGAGTCAATTTCAGAAGCGCACGCTGAGTGTGCCGCTCTAGGATACAGAGGTTATTCGGGGTACGCTAATCTCGCCAACTGAATTCCGATACAAATATGAATTCTAGGAATGGCTGGGAATAGGACCGCGGGTATCACAGAGGGGGAACCCGTTGGACAAAATGAGAGACAGGACGGAACATGAGGCGATACACAGGGACCTGAGTGGGAACAGAAATTGGACAGATTGCTGTCAAAGTTTTCGGTCGTTGCCTCGGCGCGTGCCACGGAGAATTTAGGGTGATGAATTCGAGCTCGATTTTTGGATAGAAAAGTAGAAAAGGTTTCGAGGTGTATATTTCGGACGAGAGAGAGGGGGAAAGGCAAAAGACGGAGGGAAGTCATCGTGGGGGCGCGGACACTATATTTATGGCACGTCCACGGCACAGGCGCCTGTGTCCACCCAGATCCATTGGCCATAACAAATCTTCCCACCCCATTTGGCGATTGGCACCGCTTTGGCACCGTGCCGTGGACCGACCTCAGGCTGAGGCTGCGCTTTCACTCAGCTCATATCGTGCCTGCGTGAGTACTGAAACAACGTTTGTAACCCCATCAATTGTGCTGTTTTATGTTGACTCGTCTGCGGATCACTTACCAGATCCACGTCTTTGAGTATCTCTACTCCGCGAGACATGTGGTCTATAGCACGCGAGATCGCAGAGGGCGACCTCGTAATTATCTGGCTCGCAAGTAGTCTCCTGTTTCGCCGTACCTTTACCTTATTATCTGATCTGAGTCGTTTTCTGCTCGTCAGACCCGTGATGTGATCCAACCCCTGGTCATTACACCGGGAAAGGAACTGAACAGCAAATTTGGTGTTTACCGACACACAGACCTGGTCGGCGTGCCATATGGCTCTAAAATCGCTTCACGCAACGGAAAGGGCTTCGTACACGTCCTCAGGCCTACCCCCGAATTATGGACGCTCGCCCTGCCACACCGCACGCAGATCCTATATCTTGCTGACATTGCCTTCATCGTCTCATGGCTGAACATACGACCCGGCAGTCGCGTCATTGAAGCTGGTACGTGTGATCTTAGATAACATCCAGTACTGCATTTCCGCTCGTTGTGCGTCCATGTGGGGTGCAAGCCCGCAGTATCTTCACGAGTCTGTGCTCCACATAGTCTGGTCTAGTCTTGATCACGCGCTGTTTCAGCGATTCTTTTACACTATGTTGGCAGTTTCTCTAGGGATATCTTACGATTTATCGGTCTCTCATGTCTCCTTTCGCCTCAATCTTTTCTTTTCAGGTATGTAGCAGCCCAAAACGCGCATCTCGCCATTAACGTGAGGTCTGCGTGCCACTATCGCACCAATCAATAGGTACTGGCTCGGGTTCCTTCTCCCACTCGGTCGCTCGCACGATAGGCAGCAGCGGTCATCTGTGGTCATATGAGTTCCACGAGGCACGGGTCACCAAAGCCAGGTGCGTTGTGTTGCCTCTCCACATGAGTCATATCCGCTATGTATGCCTTGTATTCCGTTGATGGAGTGGAGAATATTTGTCTTCTGCGCTTTTTTTTGCCCACAGTCGCCGCTGCTCTAGTTTCTCGACTGAAGAACAATTGTTACGTCCTTTCCCAGGGAAGAATTTAGCCGCCATGGAATGGAAGATATTGTCACTCTCACACACCGTAATGTTTGCAAGGATGGCTTCACCGTTGAAAACACGGTAGACGCGGGTGAGCCACTCTACGCTCGGAGTACCGACGATCTAGTGCTGTTGAGACTGATCTTGCGGCCTTCCTCAGTCTTCCTTGATTTACCTGCGCCATGGGAGGCGGTCGAACATGCAAAAACGGCATTGCGGGTACGTTGTCAACCAATAACTCAAAGTAATTGTTGTATCTACCCTTATATTACCAACGTTCCCTCCAGAAGGACCGCATAACGCGAATATGCTGCTTTAGCCCATGTATGGAACAGGTCCTCCGAACAGTGAGCGCCTTGAACGATGCAGGTTTCACGGGTGCGTGCGCCTATTCCTGGACGTCCGACAGTCGGCGATCTCACTTCGTTTTGTTCTACGCAGACATCACCATGTACGAGACGCTCATCCGCCCGCACCAGGTCGATGCAGTACCGCCGCTGACCCCGATAAGCGAGATTGGCGAGAAGCTGAAGAAAACGGAGGCGCGAAGAGAGGAGAAGCGCCAGCGCCAGATCGCGAGCTCTCGGGCGGCGCTCGCACGCCGCGAGGCGGCATCCGGGAAGCGGAAGCGCGGGGACGACACTGGGGAGGCGCCTGTCGACGACGCGGAGGGGGGGATCGCGGGGAAGAGAGCGAAGACGGACGACGAAAATGATGCCAAAGACACCAAATCAATCGCGGGAGACGCTGTCGTGTTCAAGGAGGAAGAAGTCGTTCCAGCCGTGTCTCACGATGTGCTACTCGAAGCGTCCATCTTAGCGGAGACGGCGCCTCCAACGAAAATCAGCGTGTCGAAGGCGTTTCCCGAAGTGCGGGGGCATACCTCCTACCTCACCTTCGCCTGTCTCCTGCCCGCGTCCGTCAGTGCTGAGAATGCAGCATCAGGGTCCCAGCCAATTGGCACTTCAGGTGGAACGCGGTCCGTTGAGGTTGGTTCTTGCATCACTCGTAATAGTGGTTCCTACCCATCAGCTGACGACTTCATTAATGAGAACGCGGAAGCTTCCCCAGCCACGGGCACAATAATTACTACATAAGGTACGGACGATTAGCAAGTGTGTATATCCTACTTTGTCGTCCATGGCCGCATCTACTCCGCAACAGCCCTTCGATAAGCCAGCTCCATATCCTTCTCTTCCTGAACTTGAGTCGCACTCTTGGGCACCCGTGTACGCAGAACACGGTCAGATGATCCCGGAGCAGAGGCTCTTGTGCGCTTTGACGGTGAAGCTGTAGCTATCTCTGGCTCCGATTCTGCATCTTCATTGTCGGCGTCTTTCCTGGGACGTTTCCGAGACCGACGCGGAGAGGGCTGAGCTGACGCTTTAGCTTTCCTCGACGTCGCAGCGGGCGTCCCCGTGCCGCTGCGCGTACTCCGAGCGCTTCTGCTCGGAGTGCTCGTGCCCTTCGTGGCATCTGATTTGTTGTCCTGGGCAAGTGAGGACACGGGTCGAGACTCCTCTTCCTCGTGAGAAAGGTCCGCCTGCTGCCTTGCTGCATCCTCAGCAAGCTCTCGGATGCTCTTCGGAATCGCCGTGCCAGGTTGCATATGTATCGGGACCACGATCTCTTCCAGATCCTCATCTTCGTCGTGGTTCTCGTCGAGGGTTAATGTGTATGCTGCAGCAGGCGTTTGGACGTCCTCCACCTCGTCAAGCTTGAGGCTGGCACTGCGTGTATCGCGGCTGGGAGCCAGTGATATGGTGGTGGACGTCCTGGGCATTTCATGCAGATTCTTCGGTAGCGTGAATGGCTGAACCACATCGTCTGCCCCCGTGAGGAAGCCCCCTGCTTCTAGCTGCGCATCCTGTGATCAGTTAAACGCCGCATCAGAATGAACGTTCGGCCTCATGTGCAGCCCACAAACCTTGTTTTCTTCTTCCTGCACGATCGAGCTCTCACGTACGTTGTTATCAGCATACTGTTCCTGGAGCCGCTGGCGGATCCGGAGGCCTTGCACGAGCTTCGTCCACCGCTTGAGGACCTGCTCCTCCCGTTTGGCTCTTCTTTTCTCTTCGGCATCCTGTTCGGCTTCCCAGAATGCCTGTCAGCAGCCAGTAGTAGGCCCAGTCATCAGCATCCTCGTAATCACAAGCAGAGCACACAATGCCAGGAAGGCTGCTTCTGCCTCACCTCAAGCACGGTTTGTTCATTCTCCGCTGCGACAACGATACCCGAGATTATGGGGAAGGCTCGTCGCTTTTTGAATTCAAAGCCCGTCTTCAGCGAAATTGTTTCAGCGTACGGACTCACTTTCCGAAAGAAGAAGGGACATACCACTGCTTCCGCGAAGTCAAACCCTAACTGCCGCGCGACTTTGGCAGCGCCTTTGTCTACGTAAGCCGTAAAGAGCGTCATTGACATCCTGCATGCAAAGCGAATATATGGCGACGCTCACAAGGAATGTAGGTTCCCCCAGCGGGAAGCATGGAAGGTACATAAAGATCGATATTCCCGAAGTCGTTCTTCGGTACTCTCCCCTAGTACACTATATCAGGGACATTGCGAAGTAATAGCTAAAACAGATCGCACTTACGTCGATGACTGGATTGGGAACGTACAGTTCAGTTTGATTTTCCGCGTAGAGGCCTTGCATCACCCCTCCCTCACTGGCGAAGCCATCGCCCCCATCCTCTTCGGCAGCTGCGTGCTTGTCCTTCTGCTCCGCCAGCGCCATCTCGATCGCGCGTTTCTTGTTCACAGTCATGGCCCGCTGCTTGACCCATTTCATCGGCTGGCACCCTTCGCGCACCTTGCGGCCCTGGCGCATCCAGTTCTCCGCGGTCTTGAGTGAGAGCACGGCGGAGCGCGAGTATACTGGCTCGCCTCGGAACTTGCCAATCTCTCTGAGCGGATGGATGACTTCGTCCCGCCTTAGATGCCGAGCTAGGACATATCTGGGCGAAATTTCTGTGTCAGTTTAGTATCTCGCGTTAAATAGAATGGGCTTACAACGGATGGTCCTTGAACCCTGTCATGGTCGTAGGCATCCGCTCTGTAAGTTGATCGATCTGCAGCTCATCATCTTCAAGATCATCTCTATTCTGAGGAGGGTCTACTGAGCATGCTGTCCCTATTGCAACGGAAGTTCGGCTCGAACGTGGGACAAACTCACCAATCTATACGGCCTCGTCACCAGCCCAAGTATCCCCTCCCACCACTGCTGCCTGCCCCTCCCCCCCTGCTGTACCTTCGCGACCTTTGCGCCATACTCCCTTGCGTACCGCGGCGTCACGTCGCGCGCATACCCGTCCTCTTCAAACGCGAGAACGTAAACCAGCCGGTTTTCGACACGCACGGGTCTATTGCGGTCCGACTTCGTGAGCGCAGAAGCATTAGGCGTGGGATCGAATACCTTGCGCCTGTTGACGATGCACCGGACGGGATCGACGGGCAGCCAGCGTGCGTCGGCGCGCGAAAACACCTCTGTCCAGAACACAGGCGGCGAGGTCGTCGGGTCGGGAGTGCGCTCTCCTGCAGCCTAGTCGTGAGACGGGTGAGTGCGTGAGTGCGTAGGATAACGCACGTCGTGGAGGTCTATTAGGAGCTGAGCCAAGCTTTTTACCGCGGCTTTTTCGCAGGTTGATGATGGGTGGTGCCTTCGCCTTCCCTTTATCTTTGGGTGTTCCGTTTACCGCTGGGATACTGCCCCCGTCTAGGCGCTGGCCCCCCACAGGGAATATGTCGTCTTCCATTGCTCTCCCCTTGCCTTTGTCGGTTCCACGGTCAGACATTGCAGACGCACCGGCGGGTATCACCACCTCTTCCATGTCATCGTCCTCCGCAGTTTCCCCCTCTTCCGCTTCCCCGTTTACCGCCTTCTCCTTTCCCTTCCCTTCCCCTTTCTCTTTGTCATTCCCCTTACCGTCTGCCTCCTTGCCCTTCTTCTTCGCAGTGGACTTGGACTTTCCCGCGTTCGCCTGCCAGGGCACGCTCTGTAGACTTACGACCAGACGCGCCGGGATGCCTAGAGCGCGACAAAGGGCGGTGAACAGCTGGGCACTCGCATCACGCGACCCGCGAAACATCAACGCGTGCTTCATCAGGCTCTTCTCGCTCCTGATCACCTCCGCGTCCTCTTCATCCACGTCGATCGCACGCTCCTTTCCCTTCGCTCTGCGTCGCGCCTCCGCGGGGTCTGCGGAGAGGGAGAGGCCGAGGCGCTGCTGCACGTCTTCGAAGGTGCGGCTGCGAATGTGGCCGGTAGGATCGACGCGGAAGCTCGCGCTCCACCATTCGGTGAGGCGGTTAATAGCTGCCTCAAAGAGCCGTCCTCGCTGGGCGGCCTCGGGCACGCGCGACTTGTGGATCAGCGCGAACGCGTTCTGCAGCGAGAGCGGAGCGAGGGACATGAGTCGCGCCTGGTGGATGACGTCCGGTGTGAGTGCGGGAAGCAAGATGGAAGAAAATAGATAGACTTGGGAGATTAGGGTGACCTACGTGCAGGAGAGGGTCGTTAATCCATTTGTTACGTGTGCGCGCATTGGCGAGGAGACAGACGGTGTGTATTTTGTGGCAGTCGAGCCGCACCAGACGCTGCGCGTACAGCTGTTCCCCTTTCGCGCTCTTCCTGCCCGCACACGGCGCTCACAATCAGTCTACGCGGACGAAAGAGAAACGACCGGGACGTACTTCAGTGGACCTTGCTTCTTCGTCTTTGCCTGGATTGTGATCTCTATGTTGCCCGAGGGGCGTGCAGAGGGACCTTCCTGCACGTCGTCAGCAACAGTTTGAAGGACGACAGGTTCTTCCACCGCCTGAGCCTCGGGCACAATGACCTCCTCCCAATCAAAGTCATCCTCGCTCTCACTGTCGCCTCCAACGACTGAGCTGCTTTCAGTGAGCATGTCGAATCTCGCTCCTTTTGCTCTTGAAATCAATGTAGAATACGCAGCGATCGTTGTACCTGAGCCCAGGGCAACTTCTCTGATGTTAGATGGCGCGAGTGCGGTTCGCGGAACTTGAAGGCGTAAGCTCAGACGTTGTGCAACTCAACGCATGGATTCAGGCCAGGGAGCCGTCGTCCGCCCAGAGAAGGGTCGAAATTCAAGATGCAAGTTGACTCAGCTGACCGAACGCGAACGCGCTGCCGACGCGTTCAAAGTCACGGTCACATAAGATATCACCACTCACGGGCGTCTAATATCACGCTTACACCAAAATGGCGGGCGAAAGTGCTCGCTGGTCTCTTCCCACAATGCCTTATCGGAGATGTGCTCCATGGGTATTGTTAATAAATTCCTTCTCGAATATTCCCAGGGATCACATTTTTTTTATTTCGCCCTCGTCGGAGAGAAATACGGCCGGCAACAACCCACAGTGAGCAACGACCAAACAAAGCCAATGTCGAGCAAGCGAATATTTGGCTGATAAGTGGGCCCTTACCACATCATCCCATACCATATCGGGCATCAGTCATTGACTTGCTCCCAAATCAATGGCATCACTTTCGGGCAACTGTCGGGTCACAACCTTGTCACGGCGCTTAGAGTGGTTGGTAACTATGTCACGCTGAGCAATGCACCCAACCGCGATGGCTAATACGTCAGCGGTATATTGCAGAAGTCCAGACAGCTGCGGGGACATGTAATCTATGCTAGTGTACAAAATTCGAGAATGCGATCGAAAGCAAGGCGGAACGATACTATGGATACACGTAACTTACAGTGGATGTTCACTGCGACTCGAGCTTGACCGTGAATTTGAGCTGCAGCTGCTCGCCCTCGCCGACGGGCTCGCACACGATCTGGTTCATCGTGTCCACAATGAAGTGCGCGCCGCAGTTCTCGATCTTCGAGCGCTCGTGGCTCGTGCAGACCGCGATCACTGTCGCGCCGGACGCCACACCTGCGCGGATCCCGGAGGGTGAGTCCTCAAAGACAACGCACTTCTTCGCGTCGAACCCAAGGCACTTGGCCGCGAGCAGGAATGGGTCGGGCGCCGGCTTGCCAGCCTTCAGACGCTTGTCGTCCGCGGTGATGGTCACCGGGGGAGGGGTAATGCCGACGCGCGTCATGCAGCCGTAAGCTACAAGGGAATGTCAGTTACCGGTGATTAGAAGCACGATAAAATAGATGTACCATATGTCTTAGCGCCAGAGGTGGCCACGGCATAGCGGCCTTTGGGAATGGACGACATCATCCTCTTCACGCCGGGGAGAATGCGCACGGAGCGGTCGACTGCAGCAGCCTCAATCTGCCACGCTTGAAGCTGATCCTTCACCTCCTTCGCCGGTGCTGCGGTGACGTAGTCTTCACCGTCGCCCTGCTCACTAATGGGGTTCTCGATCTGGACGCGGTCCGGCTGGGGCACCGACGACATCGCAAGCATGGTGCTGACGCGGTGGAGGAAGGACGGGCGGCGGAAGGCGGCGAGTTGGCTGAGGCTGCCTACGAATGACGATGCGCGGGAGCTGGTGCGCGACGATGGGGCCGAGCCGGCGGGCGTCAGTGAGGGCGTCGCCGCCGATGAGGAGACGGCTGAAGACGCGGGCGAGTTCTGGCGGGAGCCAGGGCCGTGCTTGTGGTACGCGTCTGCAAAGTAGAGGATGGACTCCTCGAATGCGGTCACCTCGTCGTCCATCTCGTGCTCCTTGATGTGAGGCTTGAAGGACGAGAGGTTGTCGACGGCGCGCTTGCCGTGGGTCGCGGCGATGACATAGGCCGGGTCCTGCCCGATGTCCTTTGCCACCTTGCCCCAGGCTGCCTCGACTGCCGCGATAGAGTCGGTGAGTGTACCGTCCTGTCAACACACTATCAGAGTTAGCGACCGTTCGACAGATGACGGGATGGGGGTGTGGAATGATACACACCATGTCAAAGAGGACGGCATCGGCGTAAAAGGTTGTTTCGGTGGACATTATGGCGGTGCGAGTCGGAGTGAAGTTCGTCGACGACAGAGAAGGTGATCGAGTTCTGGGGCACAACTGTGTTTTCCGAGACTCGAGTATGTGGCGGACTGATGCAGGTCCCAGCAAAGGAGAGGGGTCTTATATACCGGAAGGCCAGTCATTTCCGTGGCGCGGACTGAAACAAAATTTCCAGTGCGGTAATGGTGGAGCGGCACTTTAGTTGGATTGGAAACGATGCCAACGTAATTCCAAGCGGTCGGCGGCGCTGCGGTTGAGAAATTTGTGAGCGCCCCAATGTTCTTCCACCCCCGGGGCGCCTGCCAAATATGGACGAAGGTGTAAGAATCTGAGCATCGATGCTGGCGTTGAGTTGCAAAAGGCAATGCCCTCCAAAAAGTCCGAACCCCATCAATGTTCGAGCTCCAACAACTCCATCCGGCAATCGCGGGAGCGTCGGCCGCACCCGTATTTCCAGGGTGGATCCCAATGTAAGACATATTCGTTGTCAGGCCGGGGTGAAAGATCCCTGCGGCTAGTTTACGAAGTGACCCCAGAAAAGCAGTTACACAGTCAACGTCCATGACACGTGCAGAGAACCACCTTGTAAGAGCGGTAGACAAGGTCAAACGTGCGCTCAGGCTGGCACTTGAATTCGGACGAAGGTGGTGGCGGTGGCTGTACAGTTGCCTGGTTTGTATGATCACCGTTACATGTCTGCACCGACCCAGCATTTATTGATCAACAGAGTTCTGAACGCCCTTTTGCAAATATCATGCAATAACTGCTTTCACTATTAATCCTGACGTTTTCATTTTCTCACTGATCTACCCGTTCAGCCGCGTGGACTCAACGCTGCTTGGCACTCCTATCTCTAGATAAGGTGATGAACTGACGCCTCATCATCCTCATTTTTGGCCCTATCGCACGCCCATGGTTGCTGTCTTGATGAAAGCTGCTCTACTTCTTGTAGGGGTTTGACGAAAGCGGCGTGCGCGATTCCGGCCCAGTGGAACGCATAATTTTACTCCATTGACGCGTTAAGACGCGGGTGCGCGTTGGACGCCCGTACGGCTCTTCCGACGTCGCATGCAGTGCCCGGGATAATGATCGCCACCTCCACGAGCTGTATTTGGATACGTCGTAGCCATTTCAACGCATCTTCCTCAATACTTACCTGTCCTGCCAGCTTGGTGTGGCATCTCCACGTCGTTCCAGGGTGCCTTCTTAATAACAATCATATCGCGATGGCTTACTCACATGCGTACTCTTTAGCGATGCTTTGTGGGCTTCCCTTCTCTCCACACTGGTGTATGCCAAGTATAGTTAAACGCACTCGGCGCTCGGCACGACGCGCGTTCGCGTTCGTCAGTGGCTTCGAGGACGCTTACAGGGACGGTCGCTATCTGGCCGCTTCCTAGCGCACCGCAGGTGTCCGGGCTGAAGCTTGAAGGCTTCCTCTTCTGGTTCCGCTGTACCGCTGACAAGGATGACCCCCGTTCTCGCGTCCTCGTTCTTCTCTCTCCTATGCTCAATGTGCGGCTCCACTTCGTAGAGATCACAGGGCACCTACACAACCGCAGATATCGATGCACATGTGTATTAAGCGATTCCCGGGTTCCGTTGTGTTGGGTCTACGTACATATCAGCTTGCGTTTACTGGTCTCTGCGCTCCGTCGCAGCTGCCGTCGCTATCTTTGTCCCCCTTTCGTCAGCGGTCGGGGCGGCTCTTATGCATCTTCCTTCGTTTACCGCAACCCCGTCTCTATTTCCTGGAGGATTTATGCCTTATTACGAGGAACGTGTCGCGCTATCTCGTCCGTGCGCCCATATCGGTGTCCTTCAACCCCGGTGCGCTTGTGCTGTGCCATGCTTCTGGTAGACTCAGTGGCTACGTAACTACCACGCATATCTCCTTCCATTGTGGTCGTAGCTTCCCAGTCTTCTTGCCGCTCGCATTTCCAGGGACCGGTGTGGAAGCAAGATCAAGCTTGACCATCGATCGCTTTACTATATACGCCTCCTGTGTGTCATGTATTGTGAGTGGTGTAGCGTTCATATCTATGTGCTAAATGTGCGTGCTGAGTCACACTGAGCATAGTTCCACACATTGTTTTCAGTGCTGCGAGAGGTGTGCTCGACGACTGGCAGTATTCAGCAACTCATCTCGGGCGGACCATAGAGCAACATTCCCCCACACGTTCTCAGTTGTGTTGGCAGCATCCTGAAGAACGCCGGATCTTGTCGAGGGAACTCCGCGCTTCGCAGACCACCGGCGATTTCGGTCGTGCGAGTTTACGGTAGGCGCTTGTCCGGAGCAGGTCATGCTTCCTGGTCGTTAATGAATTGAGTCTCCCACATACAGTGCGTCGGCCCGGCGAAATTCGTCTCCAGAAGAGCAATAACGTCCATAGACGCAGATCGTACCCGTCATTACCTATGTCAGCTCTTCATTCCGCACGAGTCGCTGGGAAGGTCGCGAGTTCCCTTTGTGCGCACTCTTCCAAGTCCTTGGTTATCTGACGACACTTCTAACGCACCTCTCGCTGTGAACGCGGTGAGGGACACGTTCTACAGGAGGCTCGGTACTGCGTCACCTCTTATGCCCGACAACGCCTTACCGTGGGACATTACTCAGGACGCACCGCTTCGTTTCTTGTCGCATGCCGGTGGCATCTCAGTCCGCATTTGGGATTACGTTCGTTTGCACGGCATCCAAGGTGTTTCCGTGTGATGACTGCCCGGTCTTCCGTTCATCTGTGTATTCGGAGCTTCGGACAGATGTATGTCCGGAGGGTTCTACGGTAAGTGTTGAATTTACACGGTGTTACGACGGGGGTAAGTTGCGGCGACGTGGCCTAGAGATACTGGGATTCGGTGGAGATGCTGTTGTATCGTAAGCCCGTTGTGTTTCTTGGACTACTTACCAGTCAGTCAAATGCAGATTGGTGCACCCTATATTCTAGGCCTGCGCTGACCACAATCCTCGTCTTGCACTGTTTCCACTCGTGCTGGGCGTGGTATGACATCAGATATGAGCGCCGTCAAATGGTGCCAGACTCATAGCCTGAAGTAGCAAATGATAGCTCGCCGAGACCCTCGAACGGTACGTAAGTCATGACAAAAGATCAGAGTCGAATTGAACGCACGAAATGAACTTCATATACAGCACGTACTCGGTACTAATACAGGCCTAGAATATCGCCATATACTCCGCATCGTCCTACCGCTGAGCCTATTCAAACACTTGAAATATCCCCCATTGGCTCCGACCTGAAATTCTGCATCGCTGCCCTGGCATGAAGAACATCATCGTCTTATACTCCGTATCGTCCTACCACCGAGCCTATTGAAACCCTTGAAACATCCCCCATTAGCTCCGACCCGAAATTCTGCATCGCTGCCCTGGCATGAAGAACATCATCGTCTTATACTCCGTATCGTCCTACCGCTGAGCCTATTCAAACCCTTGAAATATCCCCCATTAACTCCGACCCGAAATTCTGCATCGCTGCCCTGGCATGAAGAACACCGTCTTATACTCCGTATCGTCCTACCGCTGAGCCTATTCAAACCCTTGAAACATCCCACATTGGCTCCGACCCGAAATTCTGCATCGCTGCTCTGGCATGAAGAACATCGTCTTATACTCCGTATCGTCCTACCGCTGAGCCTATTCAAACCCTTGAAATATCCCCCATTAACTCCGACCCGAAATTCTGCATCGCTGCCCTGGCATCAAGAACATCATCATCTTCAGAGGTGCCTCTGGAATGCGTTGAAGACTAGGAATTCGACCGTGATCGTGTTGGGGTATCTTTTTCGGCCTCCCCTTTGATCTTCTCAAGGAGGTATTCGCGAAATAGGTGGAGATTTTTCTTTATTATGTCCACTGGGAGCCAAGGAACCGGGCTGTCGTCGACAAATCCTGGAAAGTCCATGACGAGACACTTCAAGCTCGTCGCAAACTTCGACTCTACCAAGTCGAATGTGTTGGGGTAGGTAGTCAGACATCCCCAACACGCGACGGCCCGAGACCCGATCGTTGTACTTGAATGTCCCCAAGCTAGGCGGTGATATAAGATGAAGGAACACCGGCATCTGCGCAGGTAGACCTGAAAATACCAGATCTTCCAGGACAGGAATTCCGAGGCAAGAGGGTACACTGTAATCGTCGCTCTCACGGAGAGACACTCAGGGTTCTGTTCAGGCGGCCAGGCATAATTTCTGATATCGATACGCCCTTGGAAAGATTGTCGCGTGAGATTCGCTAATGTTGAACTTCTCGGTCGCGTTTTTTTTTCGCAGATGATACAGCACGGCTGTACAGACAGGGCAGCAAGGTTTGGATACCCCCAGCATTTCTGCACATTGTGCCTCGATAAAAAGTTGACCTTACATGATAATCGGGATTGCTGTCGAGGATGCTTGCTACACATGCTTCCGCGTGCATTGCCCCATCGAACACTGTCCCAACCGATTCCCCGAGAGGTGGATGCCTGTCGAGGTAAGCTAATGCTACATTCTTTTCCGCTCCGTCCTCCTCCTGGTACTTACGGCCTGCCAACGAGGTCACCCAATTTCAGCACGTCCTGGCCTTGTCGCCAGTGCCCTGCGGTAACCGTCAGTTTTGAATTCACATTGGATTCTCTTATACGATTGACCCGCAAATTATCGTAGGATGTGGTTGGGATGTGGATGGCCTCGGGGAAGGTGGCTTGCAGGACATACCATTTCGCAAATGCCGTCTTCAAGCTGCTCGGCCTGGCTCCGGGACCTAGTGAAGAATCTCCACGTCCGCTTCGCCTTCCAAGTCCTCATATCTTCCATGCCATCATCTCCCAAGCCACTCTCCCTTGTCGCAGCCGTGCGCTCAACGCCACCTTCAACTTCGTGGCGTTCGGCTACTAGATCTATGATACTTTCTTCACCTTCGTTTAAACACCCTTTACCGTTGCCTCTGCCTGTATTGCTGTCATCCTTTCAATCATCAACAGGCTCGCTCGCACCAGCACCTATCCACTTCTGCCGCGCAATCCTACAAGCTTGATACCCCTGCTTGAATGATTTCATCATGGCTTCGAGACGAATGCGAGATGCTTCTTGAGTGATATGGAAAAGGTCATACGATGGAATTGGATAGCAGTGTCCAGTACTATGCTAACTACAATTTCCATGTTTTCCAGGGCATCTGACTCGTCCCTGGAGTCTGGTACATCAGACTTGTTGAGTTCATCTATCTCCCACTTGTCCAAGGGAAAATGAGGGACCGCAGGGTCTGGGTTCTGGCTGTCCTCCCACAGCAATGGTCACTACCAAGTGTCTCGGAATGCTAAGGTGGGCCGTGGCCTGTCGATACAATTTGAGGGATCTGCAGAGCTTGGCGTGAAACTCGAGACAACACAGGTTTCTTAGATCTGGTGTAGACGACGGCACGGTATTCATGCTCTATGCGCAGCTCTGCTAAGAAGTAATCACCAGCACAATCCTAATATACACTTCATCATCCGCTCATATACATATTTGATGAACCAGCTCCATGAAACTGCGTTTCCGGCAGGTACAGCCATCTCACAGTCACTGTTTCAAGAACTCAGCGACGACCTCCACGTAATGCTCTCTCTCGTCCCAGTGCGGCATGTGGCCGGACTCCGCGAATGTGTACCATTTCACCTTCGAAATGCCCTTGAAGAACGGCTGAACGCAGACGTCCTGCGCCTCGTCGTAGCGGGCGTTGAGGAGCAGCGTCTGCACGCTGATCTTGTGGAGCTCGTCCAAAATACTCCACCCCTTTAAGGTGCCCTTCACATGGAACTCGGACGATCCCCACCTGTAAATCGTGATGCCCATCATCAGCGTACGCTCTGGGCAATCAGTGGAAAGCGTACATGGTCATATACACAGTCGGATCCTCTTCCATGAGCCCAAAGGCCGCTGTGAGCGCTTCGGGCCACGTCTCAAGCCTACACATGTACTTCTTATAGAACGCGAACACGGCCTCCTTGTACTCCGGCGCGTCGTACGTCCCGGCAGCCTCGTGCTTAAGCAGAGTTTCCTGCATTCTGTTCAGACGAGTCACTCGGTAGATGATTTCGACGACATGCCTGTGTCTCCTTAGGCAGCGTTTTGAGCAGTACGCTGACCGACTCGACCCACAGCTTTGCAGCCGCGGGGGTGTCGGAGATGATAAGACGACGCAGGCCCTTCGGCTGGCGCACCGCATGACGTGCACCGAACATGCCGCCCCATGAATGCCCAAGCAGGTCATAGTTATCCTGTATCTCCAAATGCTTCAGCAGCGCATCGAGCTCGGCAAGGAAGAGGTCCTCCGTCCAGAACGCGCCGTCCCCACTCTTCTCGGGCAGGTGTGTGGAATTTCCACACCCGAGCTGGTCGTAGAGCACAAGCGGGATCGCGTACAGAGCGGTGAGGTCCGCGAGCGAGATGAGGTAGTCGTGCGGAATGCCTGGGCCCCCATGGAGGGCTACGAGGGGGGTTACGCCTGACTTGAGATCACCGTAGACTTTGTACCACGTCGTGCAGAGCTTCCCTGCGCCGGGGACGTCGCGCTCGAGAGTGCCTTCAATGGTTGATGCTGCCATCGGAGCGATATGGGAAAGGTGAGAATGAGTGTCGACAAGGAGACTGCGAGTATTTATACCTGAGTCGATGGCACTGCTGATTGACCCATATAGAATGCTCGAATAGTTTGGTGCCCGGTTACATGTAATTTTGATCATATGCTCAGCGGCATCCGGCTGCACATATTCGATCAGCAATACGTGTAAGAAAGCTAGGTATCAAAGTGGTGGAACGCACTGACTTCGCATCACAAAAAGCGCGGCCAGATTTTATCCATTTTGAGTGATAGAAGAATTTTATCCGTTGTAACAGAATTGTAATAGGATTAGGATCGTGTGATAACGTTACAAATAATGTTATAACCTTCTATTGGAAACGCGAGATTTTGGCGCCTGCCAACAGCCTTCGAATCTCGTTCCGCCCGCCTTCGAATCTCCTTGTGATTGGTGTACGACATTCTAAAGCCTTTTCATCCTCGCTGCCTCTGAGCGTCGTGGCTTGCATCCGACCCCGGCTACTTCCGATAACTGTACAGCTGCAGGCTCGACAGCATCTCTTGCTGTTCCCGGTGCTGCAGCCTCTCTTCAATTCAGACCTCGCCGCCGCTGTCGATGGCTCTTCTCTATCTAGCCTTTTCATTTCGACGAAGGCTCAATCTTAGATCAAAATTTTCTCCTAATCAAGGTGCATTCCGGTCAGGCTTGTTATATCTGTCTCGCACGGCGGCTCCGTAAATTCATCCTAGTCTTCTGCACTCTCGTGGACTGTGACCCTGTTCTGCCTTGTTTCTTTTTCTTGGCATAATATAGTCTCTAGTTATATACTGGCATGGCTTGAGGCTTCTCAGGACTGCAAGTGCCTTATGTTCTCGCATGGTGACTCGTGCCCATGGATCGGACTCAAACAGCTTGCTGAAGGGCCTAGCATATTATTGGGACAGCGCAATACTAGAAGCAAGAATACACCCGGGGCCCTACATCAGGATTTCACGAGTGCGGAACGCTCTATGCAAGACTCTTCATCAAATTCCCGTGCACTGGCCACAGTTCTGCAGCGCCGACCTCTGGTGAATTTTAATTGAAGACGTGCCTGAAGAATACCCTCCAAGCAACGCTTGCGGCCACCACAGCGAGCCTGTGGCTTCAACAGGTTTTGTGGTGACTAGTCGCTTACTGCGCCTCTGGGCACCTGACACCACGAAGTGATTCGTCTTGTTTTCTGTGCGAAGTTCAACCTCAACATTCCATACACTGGCTACAGGTTCCCGGTGCTGTCTCTCACTGCACATTATATGGCATTCCCTGGCAAGGTCACTGTCTCCATCATCATCCCGTTCATGTACACGGCATCAGCGGTGCTCCGTACGGATATTGACATGTACCGGTTATTGCAATGCCTGTCATGGGGGCCAGTCGTGCCACCGTACATCCGGTTCGTCGTCCAGTGACTAGGCCTTTGCAAGGGCTCAAGTCAATCGTGAGGGGTCCGACCTCCAGTCATAGCGATGACCAGAGGTCGGCCCAGTAGAGCAGTCTTATGAACACTTGGCCGCTGTCTGTGGACCAAGGTCGATCTGTCGCACAGATGTAGATGGTAAAACTGGTTGATGTGTAACCAGGACAAGATGGGGACTCCAGCTTGTCCTGTCGGTCTTATATACAAGTACAGGCGTCTGTCTACCTGTGATACTAGAACTACGATTGGTTCATCGGTATCAATACAAGGGCACAGGGTTCGTATGCCTGTCCCACGGTTGTGAGAATGCTGACTCAGTCATGACTCTGTGTGAGAGACAATCTGTCCATATGGGGATAAGGTCGTGCTGCAAAGACAAGGCAGCAGCGAGGTCGTCGTGCGTCTAGCGCATGTATCAGGGTCTAGGGCCATGCCCATGAGGTTCGGTATCTGTATCGTAAGAGCAAGGTAAAGGTGAGGCAAACATGCCTTTGTCGCATGTGTGATAGGAAGTGCGTCCTAGGTCTGGATCTCACACATGAGGTAAACATGCCTTGAGCACAAGGCACATTTCAGATGATCTTGTAGATCCGGTACAGCCCTAAGATAAGGGTTCTGGATAGATAAGCACGATGACCATGATGACATCATGGTCATGTGGTCAGTCTAGGCAATGTGATGTCATTGTCACATGATCGTTCAGGGTGGAGGCGGAAGTTGTCCGTGCGTTCCACAGGGAAGAGCTTTGTAACAATGCCCGCCGCAGCATCAACTCTCCTGCAGTGGCACCCCGCCGGCTAGCACCAACACAGCAGCTGACACTCAAGCACTACTTTTTGCAGCCCTCGTCCGACGTTCTCTGCAAGCCACGGCCCACATGCATGGTGCAGGACAGCTTCCAGATCCTCTGGTGGTACCTGGCAGAAAACCTACATGAAGAATACCTGCCCCTCCATGCAACCCTCGCGAGCGCCGGCGGCGCTCCTGTGCTGCCTACGTCCCTATGGGTTCCCTCCTGTCGACGGTGATTCATCCCTCACCGATGTGCTCCAATATATTCCCAATCGTATGCAGTGCGTTGCTGGCTATTTGTGTGGTTTGACGCACCATAGCAGTTTTGAGTTTGCTGTGATCAGTCTACTTTTCATCGCCGTTGGCATGCATGCATGTACCACAGTGCAAATGTGTGTACTCATGTACTTTATAGCCTCACAATATATATGCTTTTTCCCTGCTATCTCTTATTGTATCCTCCGATATGCAAGATATCGAGCAAATTGCGGCAAGCAGCCCGGATATTGCACGCGCAGCGGGCGCAAGCCTTTTGGACATTCTAAGCAGCAACATACTTTCGCCCATTGCAATGGATACATGATGGGATTTTATTGGCATTCTATTCAACTTCTAATGCTTCATTGTTAAGGCTTAATGCCATTTTATTCATTCCGGTTATTCTGATGATTTTATCCATTCTAATGGCATTCTATTGAGATACACTGACGGACAAAAGTATCTGGACATGCATACTTGTAGAAAATTATCTATGTCTCCACAATAACTATCATATTCAGTTTAAGTTTGGTGAATACATGTCAAGTGTCTCTTGTTTAATATATTCTGCACTTGGATTTCTACATGACTTCAATATAGAAGAACTAGGCTGGCTATAAGTTATGACCTTTTGATGGTATAAAAACAACTGTTCTTGCATCCACACCACATCTTCTGGTTTTATATTGATAGGCAATACAAGGACTATGAAGGGCCCTCTTGTCATATCTTTAAAAAGATCAGACATTTCAGCTGTAGTTATTTCACAATTACTGCAAACAATTCACATAATTTTTTGTGGCACAAGTACATTTAATAACATACAGCTTGAAATTCATAGCCAACAGTCCATGAAACTTGGAGTAAGGAATGAATAGGGCTTAGAGAATGTATTGATGATATTATTATGTAGAATGTTTCGGTTTAAAAGCAAGTTTCTTCTGAGCAAAGTTTTTGGCACACTGTTTTATTTGGATTTTCTTTATATGAAGCATCATCATTTCATCCCTAAATGTCATATGATAGGCAAGAGGAGAGTATAATATTTTATAAAAAGTAATTGTCTTATTTGCATCCATGCAAGAATTTTTGCAGTTTAAGTCAAGGTCAGCATATCAATAGTAAGCTGCTTCACTTGACCATATCTTCTCAGTTGCTTTGCATCAATAAATTGTAAACCCATGGTACAATATTTGAGAGATATACTATATATATTTACAAACTTAGAATAAATCTCCCAGCCATCATGAAAGAATGAACAAATGTTTCTGGATATATATGTCCAAATACTTTTGTCCGTCAGTGTATAAGGACATTATAAGTTCCGCGCCTTTTTTGTGATAGGCTCTGCATTTCAAGTGACGATAAGTTATAAGCGCCCATGCTCGGCACTTACAATAACTTAACAGTAGCTGAGTTTGGTTTTCAGTTTCTCCGTACGCCGACGTGAATGAGCAACGCACCTGGCCACCTCACCGTCGTCAATCAGTCCAAAGTCATGTGTATGTATGTCTTTCTTTCTGTATTTGTATGCTGATGATCGGGCTGTAGTTGCGGCGATTCAGTCCGGTCAGGGCGTCGAAGCTATGCTTGCTTTACTGCACACAGTAGACGCCAAGATTGACTGGCTAATTGCCAAAGTCGACAAGCTGAATGCTAGAGTCAATGACCTAGATAATAACGTCGACGACCTTAACTCTAAGGTCGATAACTTGGACACCAAGGTGGATGACTTGGACTCCAAAATGGATGACTTGGACACCAAAGTGGATAACCTGGACACTAAAGTGGATAACCTGGAAGGTAGAATCGATGACCTGCATACGGCAATCCAACCATTGACAACCCATGGAAGTCGCTGGAGATAATGTCAGCGTTCAGCGAAGTGATATGTTCCGACATGCCGGTGAGACGCTTGAGTACGTCTCTTTGAGTCAGAAGTTCTAATATATTATGCATTACCCTGTGAATACCTGTGCAGGGTATAAAGCATTTTGAGAAAATTAGCAGTGAGAGGAATGGTGTGACCAATCATGTCATACATAGAACTTGGAGAGGCAGGTCTGGGTGCTGATGTTGCTCTCTCTCCAAGCTCTTTCGTAGTGACCATGATGATCTCAGATATACCACCTAGAGAATTTATACAATGAAGACTTCAGAATCTAATCTTTGCGGAGGATTCACGCACGAGAAGCATCAGCAAAACCCAACTTTTTCTTGCAGAGCTATTTTGACTTTTTGGTCTTACAACCCTTATTTAAGGCGATAAGTCTTCAAATAAGTATCAATAAGTCTGATTTCAGACACTCATGTAATATGCATTAGGCCCTTTTTGACCTTATATCCTTAAATAAGGACCATAAGTCCATTTAAGTCATTTAAGTACCCTTTTAAGTAAAAGTTGGGTTTTGCTGATGAGGTGGTTGCATAATACGGCGCATACTGTAATATATCTGTATATTCCAAGATTTCAGTCCTCACCATGATTGTATATTGATGTTTTTCATCTATTTAGACCGATAGACAAACGATAGAGGACATTCTGTTATTGCAACTGCATCGCGCAAGCCTACCAACAAGTAGTTGCTATCGGCCAGGGATCTGTGACTACGATGCATAGTTGTATGCCCGTACAATTTATGACATTACACGGGAGAGCAAAATTGAAAACAAAACCTCACAGTAATGTTGAGCTTGCTGGCGGCTGGTTTGGAGTCCATCTATATAGCACTTCGCTTACCAGACTCTGCTAGTGCAGAGCAGGGGTATACCCCTGGGTACTTTGAGCTGTACCCCTACCCCTACCCTCCAAGGGTACATACCCTTCACCAGGGGTAAGGGTATGGGTAAGGGTACCAAACCCTGAGGGTATACCCCTCAATATCTGCCTTATTTGAAGGAATAACAATATAGACATTAAGTTTAAGGCTTGTAACAGTCTTCTTTTCCCTTTGGAGCTTCTGTAAACATAGTTTAAGGCTGTATCTACACTGTACTTAGGCTTTATTCATCATACAGTTACTGCTTACATTATATATACTATATGCAGTGATACCCTCCAGGGGTACAAGGGTCTGAAAGTTCATACCCCTACCCTTACCCTCCAATACCCTTACCCCTGACCCTTGAGGGTTATCCATACCCCTGCTCTGCACTAGACTCTGCATGTGCTTCGTTGGCCCTTTTACGCTGTGGTTGCAGCTAATTCTGCACACATAGTTGGTCCTGTGTGGGCTCACCACTTACGGTACACATGTGAGTTTGAGCAGTACATTGAAAGTTCAGAGCGTGAAATGCTGATCGATCATCACGGTGATCATCATCATGTCACGGCACTCGGACGCGTCGCGATAACGTGACCGAACGCGTCTTGCGGCATTTGCCGAAACTGAACGCTATTGTGTTCTGTTCTCAACAAGAAACGTTGACCTTAACAGTCACCTCCATCCAATGGCTCAACAAGTTGCAACCTATCCTCGCGATATCCCAACTCTTCTTGACAAACATCCTGGTATTCCGATACATTTCGTTCATACACTTCACCTCGATGAACCTATTGCCGCTGGAACTCCGGTCGACAGCAACAATGCTCGGGTTGCTGAAGCAGCTGCACAATCTCTAACAGCACTTCAATGTGAGTGACGCTCTACATTGAGAGGGGTATTACAGTTCTCTTACCTCGACACAGATGACCCAGTTATTACAGAAGACATAGTGGAGACTGCTGTCAATCGGTCCAAAATCATACGGTCCATGCGTATGTAATACTTCCCGAATTTGGACCTGTCTAAGCTGAGGATCTGGCTGTAGATGCGGAGATCCAATTTGACCATGGCATTGGTGCCGTCCTCGCTTTGTTGCAGGCGATGGATGCTAAAGTTGACGGACTGCGCGCGCAAGTCGAGCAGACGAACACGAAAGTCGAGCAAACGAACACGAGAGTCGAGCAAACGAACACGAGAGTCGCACAATTAACCACGAGAGTCGCGCAATTGACCACGAGAGTCGAGCAGCTGGACGCCACGGTTAAAACTAGCAATCAACGTATGGACAAGTTGGAAGCCGCAGCTGATAATACCAACATAACTCGCCGAAACAAGATGCTTCGACGTGCGGCTGAGCCTTTCCTTTGGCGCAAGAAGCAGGTGAGCAGGCTTCCTTGTGTCGGCACTGTCGCTTGTTTTCACATATTGTGTCAACCGTAGATATCTGGTTCAGGCAGCGCGCATTTTGAGAGGATCAACGGTGGACGGGAGGGAGTGGTCGATCGTGACATACAGGAACTTGGAGGGGCTGCTCTAGGTGGCACGTTTACCAACCCTCCTAGTCCTTACAGGGCTACGCAACGTGAGTTATACCGCCTGATGATATTCTACAATGAAGACTTCGGGATTGTCGCGGAGGACGCACTCGACGTTCGCCGCGACAAGCTTCTTCTGTGGCTCTCAGACAACTGATAGTTCATATTATGCAACGGAAGTATGTACTGGTGACTGGATGGGATTCCATGTATGATTTAATTCATGATGTATAGTTTGATAGCCAGATGTTACTACTGCAATGCACGAACCCATGAACAACCTTAGTAGCCATTGGTACTTACGCTGTAGGCAGTGAGGCACATACTAATAGCTACTAGTCGTAATTCTTGTCCATATTAATCACGTCCTTTTAGCAGTACTTGGCACTGGGAGAGTGCATGACTTTGCCGGTCGTGTGGCACGAACCAACGTTGCACATTGTACCGAAGCGCTTATCACTCTGATGCAGCCATCTATGACAGATGTCCCGTCTTTCCGTCGTTAAGTCTACTCTCCCTTGCAGTGCCGTCAGCATGTTTGGATGTGCTGACTTGTTCAAAAGATAACATCGGTGAGAGTCGTGGAGGAGGGATATATCAAACAGGTGAGCTATAAACTCCAAACATCGGCTGTGTCAGGGAATGATCAGAGCCTTAATGGTTGCGCGAAAGAGTCGGTGGAGCTTCATCCCACTAAGATGTCCTTGAATTTTACTGTCTTGAAGCACAGAAGCATTTCTCTGTGAACCCTTGCCGCCGCATATGTCGACCGTCCCTATCAAGTCTCTGTGAATGACGCAGTATTACGCGTGAGACAGACGGTGCGCCAAGCTGGACTGCGATATATAGTATCCGGAGAGTTCAGCTTTTTTTTGTGCTTGCGCTGACGATCGATTGAGTCCTTGCCGTCAAGTTTGAACGGGAAATCTGAGAGATCTCAGTCACCGAAATGAAGAATAATTGACGGTAATCGAGAGGCACAATCAATAATTTACGGCGACGATCCAGGACGGACCGTCCGAAGGAGCCAATCAGAACGCTCACTGGGAAGATTTGGAATATCGGGTGCATGATCATGCTCGACCAGCCCTCGGGCGACTCCTGCTTCTGATGCTCTCAGCAACAGGTTCTGCGGAATGCCTCGCCCGTAGTCTCTCTCTCACAACCTCCACTATCCCCTCTTCGTCGCCCGCGTCCGCGACGTCAACTCTCTTTTCAATCACATTCTTTACCTTGACAGACACGGATTTGGTGCACGCGCTATGCACAAAGTTTACAGGCGAGGACGGTGGCGACGACATACGAAGACTTTGGAAAAGCGTGATCCCTCGTTGATCGACCTTCCCTTCCCTCTTCCCTCCATCCCAGTGCTCACACCCTTGCTCTCGCCCTTGCTTTCGCCCTTGATTAGCGGGACCGACCCGGAGGCTGCAGATCCTTCTTCCTCTTCGTCATCTGAAACCGCACCTTCGTCTGCCGTGGCTCCTGGTTCAAGTCAGAATTCAAGTCCAAGTTCAAGCCCAAGCCCAAGTCCAAGCTCAAGCCCAAGTCCAAGCTCAAGCCCAAGTCCAAGCTCAAGCCCAGGCCCAAGCTCAAGCCCAGGCCCAAGCTCAAGCCCCAGTCCGAGTCCGAGTTCTACTGCGCCGGCTTCTAATCCCAATGGAAATGGGGGTCAGTCGGTTTCTGGGGGATCATCTGACGACAATGGGTCAGGAAGTACTACGGGAAATGGTGGTGGAAGTGGGGATGGGACATCCGGCAGCAGTGATAATGGTTCCAGCGAGAGCGGTTCGGCAAGTGGTGAGGATCCCGGCTCTAGTGGGAGCTCGAACGGTGCGGCTGGCGGCAACGGCAACGACCGTGGGACTGCAGCCAGCAGCTCCAGTAGCGACGACGACACCGGTACCTCCCAATCATCGACCCCATCCACCGGATCAGGTTCAAATACTTCAGACGAATCACCGGGTTTGAATGAGGCCAGTGGTGTAGCAGGCGATGACCAGAGCAGCAGCTCATCTTCTTCGTCTCAAGCAAGTGGAATTTCTTCTCAATCCACCGGCCAGACGTTGGCTGCCGCAGGGACAGCAGCCGCTTCTCCTACGCCCTTCGAAGGTATTGTCAATGCAGAGGTAGATGGTAGCTCTGGTGGAAATTCCACGAGCTCTGGCAACGGCGCTGTAGGAGGTGCCAGCGGTGGCATATATGTCTCTGTGACTTCAGGCCGCTCTGGAACTGCTACCGTGTTGTATTCAAACGGTGCGCCCATTTCGACCGCGACCGGTGCCATCAATTATCCTGGTTCACCTTGGGTCACATCTGCTCACCCTTCCAATCCGTCTTCCACGGAAAGTGGTGGTCCCAATTCTTCGTCGTCAGGTTCCCACGGAGTTTCGGATTCACATCATGGACTCTCGAGGGGTGCAATTGCCGCTATTGCGACGGTTGCTACCCTGTTGTTCCTCCTGCTCGTCTTCTGCCTCTGCCGCAGGCGATTCATTAAGCGGCGTCTCAGCACTCGGAGGCTTTGGGCCTTCGGTGGTAGATATGGAAGCACTGGGGTTCATGCTGGAATCAGCAACGTCAGCTATTTTGCTGCCCACTCAGACTCTGGCACCTCATCCCTACGCAGTAGCGTCAGCAGCTTCGGCTCAACATACGACCGTGACCATCTTAATTTGCCACCGATGGTGGAAACTCTTGGTGCACCCCCGGTCGTCAGTGTGCCACTGCCATCGCCGTCGGTTCGGACGTCGATGACGCAGGTATGGCCCAGCCGTCTGAGTGGCTCGATCTGCGTACCTCCTCTTGCCGCCACACTTATGAGCGAACCGTCGTCGACCATCAGGAGCCCCGATCGTCAGACGTTCCGCTATAGCAGCAATAGCCCGAAATCCGGTCACTCAGACGAGAGCTGTGGGGAGCCGAGTCCGACGACACAATATCGCATGGTGCCTCCTCCTGCGGCGGGGAATGGTTCGCCGTGTAGTCAGGAACGCTCATCTCCCATACTAGTGCGACCGTTCTCACCCTCCGAAAGCTGGTCCTTCCCCAAGCCTCCGAGCGAAAGTGTGCAGCGCCAGTCGCTATTCCTAGGCGTGTCTGAAACGGCGCGTCATTCCGACTATGGGGCAGCACCGGAGAATCCCTTCGCAGACTTCACGAGCGTGGAATCGCGGACCGAGGAGTCGTGCCTGAGCGTAGACACCGAGACGGCGTCGCACTTCGCGGTCGTCGAGACCATCCGGCGGCCGTTCATCCCCACGATGTGCGACGAAATGGCTGTCGCGGCCGGCGAGCGCGTGCGGATGCTCCAGCGCTTCTCCGACGGGTGGGCGTGCGCGGAGAATGTCGCAAGTGGGAAGCGCGGGCTCATCCCTATCGACTGCTTGCGGGAGGCGGAGCAGGACCTGCCTGCATTCCTGGCGGCTAAGCGGCTGAGCAGCTATAATCGCCCGCCCATCCCCGATTTCCAGGTGATGGCGATATAGCTTGTTTGACAGCATTCTGCGACTATGACATGATCTGTAAGTGTGCGATTTTTTGACTCGTGGCAGCCTGGGTATTGACTCGCCTGTCGCAGCCCAGCTGGTCTGAGCTTCTCCCATCGCTACTCGCTCTTTCTTCCAGTACCTATCCTGTCAGTTTTAATCGGTGTACGACTTCCAGCACACACCGCTGCTATCCACGATGTTCACCTTCGCTATCCAGTTCTTCTTCGCTGCTTTCGGACTCGGTGCTCCCACGCAAAAAGGCTTCGCCATTTATTTAATCTTCACGGTGACATGCAGCTTCGACCTGTCCATATATCCCGTTCGTTCCATTTATCATACGTGCATGCTGCGCCTTTTGCTTCTACATAATCCTGCACGGTGCACACTGTGCTTGTCGGACTATTCTGTCTGGACCTACACTATTCGCGTTCGGCGAAGCTTTGTCTCATGTTGTTCCGTACAATGTTCGCCGTTCGGGTCCGCCTCGGAGAGACGATGTTCTAGTTACTACTGGACTATATACTGTACAACAAGTAGATCTTGTTCTGGAGGTACCGCATATCCCTCGCGAGCGTTGTCAATTGTCAACCTGTTGATAAGTCACTTGACTGTATCATGCGTCGAGCTTAGGGCAACAGACGAACAAACTTAGTCACTGAGTCAAACCGACATAAGACATATTGGTTCATACAAAATCATAGCAAAGATGTAGGCTCCACATACTACCCCAATTTCCGGCACGGTCCTCGCATCGGCAGGAGTCCCCACATGAAGCCCGTCAAATACCACTCGACTTATTACTGTCGCCTCGCACGAACAACCAGCACAGGAACGCAAGGACGGTAAGCCGTCCTTCGCGCCCGACTGTGGGGCTGACGACCGGGTCCCCCGCAAGGTGAAAGCACCGCAAGGATGGCCCTGCGAAGGACCGAGGCAAGAGGCAGTGGAGGAAGAGCAAGAATTGAAGCGATCAGCGAAGTGTTAGCGTTAACCTGAAGAGGCGGGGTGAAGAAAATAAGACAGCCGGGTATCCAGTTGCGTCATAATCTGTCATGGACATTAGGAATCGTAAGTTCTGCACAACAACAATACCACCATCTGAAATATACAGTACAACCCCCAAAACAACAGAGGCATCGGAAGTGATAAGACGCAAAGAATCAAACGGGCACAGCGAAAGCGAGAGAGCAGGATCGAAGAGTTGCCGACGGTCCACGGGTAGCGATGAGGTGAGGGGTCCTACAGCTGGGCGATTCTCGTTGGATGAGTAAAGAGGAGGAATCAGCGTTCCTCTGCAGGAGGGAACGTCCGCGTGTTCGCGCGCCCGTTCCGCCGCCCACCACCGTTGGTATACGTGTATTCGGTGTGATCTGGAGCGGCGGGCGGGGAGGAAGCGAGCGGCGGAGCAGGGTACGCGTTCATGATACTGGCGAAGGTGGCGGGCACCGGCGGCGGCGACGGAGCAGGCATAAACCCCCGCGATGTGCTCCCGCCCTCCATCCCGTTCCCGCCGGCATTGGGCAGGTATGGCGAGCGATGATGCGAGGACTGCGAGGACGAGTGCGAGTGTGAGTGCGATGGTAGGTGCGGCGGCGAAACATAGTGGTCCCTTTCCCGCATGTCCTGATCTCTATCTCTCTCCCTCTGTCTCTCCGACCTGTCCCGCGCCATGACCGGCGAGACCGACACTGTTCTGAGCGGCGGCGGCTCGGGCGAGTCCGCACGGATTGGTGAACGGTGAACGTACTCGTCATACGCGGGGATATTCGTGTGCGAGTTCCGGCGCTCGCGCTCGGGCGGGCGCACGTACTCCTGGTGGAACGTAACGTTGTTCATCGTCGGCGGGGCCGGGAGAACCGGGCGGCGTCCTGCAATGTCCCCGCCCTCGACATGGACGATCTGGGGCTCGAGATGCGTAAAGAATTTGCCTGAGGGCACCCTCTTATATCCGTTTCCATTTTGGTTTACAGTCCCACTCCCGCCACCCACGCCGTCTCCCTGGCCCACTGTGCCCTCCTCCTGTTCGTTTTCGTGGTCGTGGTCGTCAGGCAGCGCGGGAATGACCGCAGCATGTCTCCCGCCGAGGTGCCTGTAGTGGTGCAACGAGTCATGAGCCAGATCTCTCCGGGCGCGAGGCCTCCGGGCGTGGTAACGTCACAGGCAGCGCATAAACGAGAGAGACAAGACGCTCACCCTCCTTCGACAAAGTGCTGCCACACATAGTCCTTCAGCTGGCGCGCGTTTGGCAGTTCCTGGATGAGGTGCTTGATCGTGTTCTGCCCCAGCCCAAAGAAGTCGGGGCCAGAGACGCTGTTCGAGTGCTGCCGGTTTCGGACGTGGTTAGCCGCGCGCACGATGACGGACCAAGCGCCGGTCGCGGTGCCCGCGATGACGGGCTTGTCGGGCATGTCAGACGCGATGATCTGGAACTTGGGCCCGTCTCCGCCATCGAGGATGGTGCAGTGGTACACAACCTCTGCGGCCGGATCCGTGGTGGAAAGGTAGCGCCTAGTGGGAAAAGCATAAGTACACATGCACTTCCAAGTAGCATATACAAACCTTGTGACCTCGTAACCCACAGGGAAAATATACCTTTCGGTGTGGAAGTGCTCCCGCATGCATACCTCACCGAGATGGAGGACGGTCATAATGCCTACATTGAGCGGGAGCAGCGGCTTGCCCTTCTTGTCGCGTGGCACCATCGGAATGCTGAAGCTCTTCGTTGTCACCGTATGTGCCTTCAGCCGCTTTGGCTTCGCGTGTCTCTGAATATCCGATGGCCTGGCTGACGGCGCCGGGCCAGGTGCATTGCGGAGTGTCATCTGTATCTGCGGTTGATTGGGAGGAGGCGAGGTACGAAACGGTATTGTATTGGAGCCAGGTGGGATGCCATAGTCGTCGTGAGGCGATTGCATGGGCGAGATCGGTGACTCAGAGCGGCGCTGTGCATGGTGAGTACCGACAGAGCTGTGGTGTGACCGACCATGGGCGTTAGATGAGGGTGCTGACGGCCCTGGCTCTTCTGAAGGAGGGGCAGGCGGCTTCAGGCGCAGTCGAGTACCGGTGCTGGACACCAGGATGGGCGGGGAAGGGATGTGTCCACCAGGGGCGGGCGAGTGGGGCGGTGCAAAGGACATAGGCGTGCTGATGTCTTTGCCCTTCTGCGGGGCTGCCCTGGGCCGTCTCGCCGCCCGTCGTGCCTCTCTCGCTTCCTCCTCTTGCCTCTCCTTCGCCTCTGCCTCTTGACGCTTGCGCGCCTGCGGACCTATGTGCCTCGAGACCAGGAGAGGATCTATGTCAGGATCTTCGCGTTGTGACTCCTCAATCGCAAGACGGAGATTGCTGACGAAATTGCGCTGCCCGCGGTTCGACAGCATGGAACGCGGGTAGGCGGAGAAGGGGTGCATCGGAATGGGTGCATTGCGGTTGATGGTGGGGTTTGTCTCCAGCTCAACGATGCGATCGAGCAACAAGCTGTTTGACTATAGGTTGAAAAACACGATTGGAAGAAGTCAAGAGGCTCACGCTCGCTCAGATCTCCACTTTACATTGCGTTCCCCCGACGTCTTGAGCTGCAACATGCTCTCTTTGTGTTTCTGGCGTTTGTCGGTGGTGACGTGGATCAGTTGTTCGGATGGGAGAGGCCATCCAATTGAGCACGGTGTACCTGAGATGTTCAGACGACATATAAGAACTCACTTCTTCGAGTTCAAAGTACTTTCTCTTCAATCGCCTGTACTTTTCCGCGACATCCTGCGATTCTTTAGGTTTTTGCGGGTCCGGCTGCGCAACTTGGACCGGTAAAGGTGGAGGGCCCATGACCATATCCTGTGGAGGACCCATCGGGGCGGATGGTCGATTTGGCCGACTCATTTGGACGTTGTGGCGAGGAGTTGGTGGGAAGAGGAAAAGAGGGAGAAGAAGTGGGGTGCCAGATAATGTAAGTCAGGGGAAGCGACTCTGTTTGGTCCGATATAGATCCCACAAATCCTCCCTCGCATGCGCCAGATACCTGGCGTTTCATATCTCTCTGCTCTTCCCTTCGACAACTAAAAATATATTTTATGCGCTGCATCGACTGACACTGTATCTAAGACGATTGCCAAGTTATGCTGGAGGCACAGAGAATGGGAGAAATAAGGAGAAATAAGGGTGAAGTGATGGAAGGTACACCGCTCTCGGCGTGGTGTTGATTGACTAGTTTGGGATTGCCAGACGCCGAAACCTTCTTCCCACTACGCCCGTCGTAATGGGACCCCGGAACCAGTCCACCACAACATACCACACCCTCTGTCAGCCATATATCACTCGCGTCGGCGTCCCGTCCTATCCACGCCTCTCGGCCACGCAACCACCTCATCCTTCCACCAGATTTCTCTTCTCAACAGACCACATTTCTCGGAACCGCTTCAACAGCTGATCGTTATAGAAAGAGCAGGCACGAAGCGGTCTAGTCATTCTGCCGCTCGCCCACGTTGCGGCTCACACTGACTCCTCCGATTGACAGATTATCGCCTGTCGCTATCGTACGTAATATCCTCCGCAACTCCGCGTGCAACCCTTTTTTCCATTTCGGGCAACACACCTGCCTGTTCAGGCAAACTGATCTCTTAAGTTGAAAACAAATAACTTTGTCTTCACCGATATTTTTTGTAGGTCCATCTTAATTTAACCTGAGATCAGCAATTGGATGCTGTTTATGCAATATTTTTTCTCTATCTTCATCCGTTCATGACTGACCAGAAGTCTGCACAACCATCACAAACAAGCCCATCGGCTTTGTAAGTAAGTCGGCAGCTCGTCGATACAATCGGAGATCAGTAGCCTTCCTCTTGTGCGCATCAGCCTCAAGTCATGTGAGTATGTTCGAACTCCACTGGTAGTTCATGGACTGAGACGGTGCTAGACTCTCAAACGGGCTGGGCAGTATCTTCAACTTCTCCATAGCTATGCTCTGCGGCGCCGCTCTGGCAGATGCGGCACTTATTAGCGTCTACTTGAATTTCAGACTCGGGCGCAACAAGCGGTGGTACTTCAGATACTCATCTTGCCAGTTGGCTAGTACGTATACTGCACGGGCACCGGCCCACTCATAATCACTTCGGCAGGACGTTTTGGTCGATAACGAAGGAGGCGATCAACTCTTCGTGCGCATTCGATCAGCAAGGAGCAGATTTTTCGCATGCTCGCGTCTTCCAGATCTACAGCGTCCAGTATGGCTGTGGGCTAGACTTTGACACTGCATACAGGACAGTATGGATTACCAGTTTCAAATGCGAGCCAATGCGAATGAAGGTCACACAAACACACCGCGACATCTGGATATGATCTGCGAATTGTCTGAGCCGACCTGCCACGTTCATCTTACTCGGATATGGATCACACGCGGTGTCCGCAACGCTTTCATCCCTGTCCACGAAGCCGTCGAACGTCACCGACTCAATACTATGTCGGCACTCGTGCCATCATGGAACCGGAACACGAGTGGTCTGGCGTCTAGATACAAAGTCCGTCGGATGCAGTACAGTAAGTGATGTGCGCCTTGCAAGATTACATCGTGGTTTTCTCTCTTGGCCATGGAACAGCATGGAACGTGTTACGAATCCGTGCCAGCTGCGCTTCGTTGCGTTCAAGTTGCGGTGCTGTTCCCACTGGAGCACTGTGTGTCCGAATGTCGAGCGCCTTCCTGAATGAAATGGAGATTTCTCGCCCGGTCAATCTCCGCGTGCCAGCCTCGCTGATCGCGTCATCGCAATGTCTTACAATTAAAGTACGTGGGTCCGTACGTCCATGATATCATCCTGACATCGACACGCCCCTTGTGGCGCCAGGCGCATGTCAATTTGTCACACAGCATCAGCAACATGTGCAACTAACGACTGGATGATGACATAAAAGACTACACAGCCCATGTCATCGTCCTGCACCAGCCATGACGGCCTGATGCTTTGGGCGGATATGGCCAACGATGGAACTGACCGCCGCAACGCGTGCTACGAAAGCGATCGGACTCGTGTGCAAAGCAGGCTGAATGCAGTGCAAAGGTCATCATCGCCAAAACTCAAACGACTGAAAGCACGATGTCGTCCATCACCTGCGCAGGGAAGGTAAGTGCACACGCTCGCCCCTATCGCCCCGGACAGCGAATCAAAAATATTCGGGCCTATCCTTCACCTACTAGCCTGTGGAGATATCCAAGATTACCAGAATGTACATCGCGGTTCGAGTACACTGCTCCTCGGGGGATATTCCATTTATCATGCAGGGTACTAGGCTACACGCTGCGCCATGAACCCAAATGCCTGCTGGTCGCCGATCGGCGACGCGTGCGATCTTCCCCTTCCAATAGACTAAAGCTGGTCGACCCGAGAATTATTCACCCGGATGCAGGAGAGAGTACTTTCCGTCAAGGTGGAGCAATCCAGTGCGTGTTAATTGTTGTCGGTCATGTCAACCCTCATGGCTGGATAAGATCTGCACTCCATGAGGGGCTCGCCGTCGTGTGGCCTATCTGCGCATATCGAGGTGGAGGATCTCAGGCTGCGGTAACATGTTGGTACATGATTATCTGAAGTGTTTCTTGAAATGGCACGCGCACTCGAGTGGGTTCTCGTCGCGGGCTCTTCGAGGCGGCAGTGCGTCAGGAAGCAGAGGTTCTGTAGATCCTTGAGGTCTCGGCGTTTGACCTAGCAGTCCTCGTCGATTTTCAGCAAGGAGTCGACGAGGATTCTCTAGACAACAACTCCTTCGGCGCCCTGTTGGAGGGACAGTATTTATTCGGTCTGTGCTATAACTTGCCTGTTCCGTGACTTTTTCTGTCGAGCGTGAGAGGTCAGACTGGAAGGCTTTTGCTTTGAGTTGGTTTCAACCTATGGCAAACTTGGTTCCATCTCATTGTCGCGCATCAGAGTGATGGAACCCACCCATACAGCATAATAGAAACACATATTCACTTACGTATAGACATACCGCGCATGTTAAAACCGATGAGTCCGTCAAAGACGTCGGGTCTCTCCTTCATCAACCACTCGCAAAACCCCAGCAGCACCACTTCCTGCCTCAACTTCCTACTTGCATCGCCGATCCCCATGGAAGGCGGCATCAATCTGAACATGACCGCGAAGAAACGGTCGGAATCTGCGTGAGAAAGGGAGTCGACAAGCTGTGCTTGCGCCTCAGTCGGTTTCGTCAGTGGGTCCAACAGAAAGGCGAATGTCTGCTGCAGAACAAACTTTTCCCTGTGGTACAGCGCTGCGAACGGGATCGCGGACTTGGACCGACCCTTGATCAAGGTGAAGAGACCATGGACCGCGTCGTAGTGAGAACGGGATTCCCTGTCTGCAGCACCAGAAACGATATCGTTGATCGTGGTCCGGACAAGCGTCTCGAAGTCAACTTCGACTGCTGTGCCTATGTCTGCTTCTCCTTTGAGACCCATAGTGAAACTGGACTCCCACATACATAACTCCTTCAGCAACGGCTCGTGTTTCGCCCAAGCTGTAGACGTTGCATGAGCTCGGTATCTGTGCAGGGTGCGCAACATAGATTCCTTTGAAGTGAATGTCAAGGAACCTGTGTCCGGAACATGCTCGAGCATGAGGGCATTGACTGCTTGCGTCTGGGAGACCGTAAGTCTCGTAGTCTCGAAATCGAACATGTCATCTGTCTTGTTCACAGCCTCCTCCAGGTACCGTCTCTTGGCTTCCGGGGTCATCTCCGATGGTCCGCCATCCGCATAGGTAGGCACTGGCGACTTGTGTGGAATGTCTCCAAATGGACAGCCCGGGTCGAGTCCAATACTGCCCATCAGAGATATTTCGGGTCTGAATACCTGCGAACTCAATATTGCAATGGCACGCGGGCTAATGGGATAGAGGCAATGGTCGGCTCCTTTTCTGTGAGAGAAACTGTTGGAGCTGACTATGAACTCGTCGCCGATAGCTGCCTCCCATATGCACAAGAAGTAACCCTGTGCGAGGCTGATGTATTCTTGCGCAGGAAAATGGGAGTCGTCCGGGTCGATCTCGACGTTACCGGACACGAACGTACTCACAGTTTTCTTCATGGGTTCCGCATCCCGTATGATTTGCTCGTGCGAGGTGTCGAGATAGTAGTTCAGGACGTGCAGCCACACATCAGGCGCGGACTGGAGATTGTGTATCCTTTTGAACTTCCTGATCCATTTGACGAGAGGCGCGTTCTGTGGGAGGTCCTCTCGGAAGCTGTCAACAACGCGCTGATCCCTGCGATAGCCCATGACAAATAGGTATTTGCGCAAAATATTCAAGTCTGGGCGTCCAATGCGGAAACGACCCTGGTTCATGCCTGCGAGTATCGTCCCAACTATTCTTGCTGCGTGTCCTTCAAGCACAGAAAGTTTCCTTTCAATGTGCTGCACGTTTGCGGGATTGGTGACATCCTTGTAAAGGTTAATTTCACCGTACACGCTGGAGATGGGACGTTTGTCCAGGCTAGTGTCTGTTAGGCTGTAGAACAGAATGTCATCGTTCACCACGGGACAATTTTTATAGTCCTTCGGTTTATGCCTGTTCCCGAACGCGGACTTTTATGAGCACAGCTTTCATATAAGACTGCACTGGAAACAAACCTCCTATCGTCAGTCTGCAGCCCCGCAGTCTCAATCTTGTAATTTCGTAAAATGAATCTCGGAATGTAGTGATGGTATTGGTCGTTAGGGTGCGGAGGTGTGGACGGATGCAATGCCATGTCAATCTCTGTAGCCTCTCTCTCCGTATTGAAGCGCCGGAGACCTGCAGAAAGCGCTACCTTCTTGCGATGTCGAGCCCCACAACTGGAAACAGTAGAGTGTGCGCAAACTGACCGCAGACTGACAACGAATAGGTTGGAACGACGCATAGCAAGTGTCATTGAATAACCACGCCGATTGTGGGTCCGTTTCTGTCGTAGTATAGGCCTTCAGGACAGCAGTCATGATGAACCTTAACCTTGTACTGTAGCTGGCCCCTGTCCAGTAGTTAAGGATCCACAACGAGCATGCCTCTACACAAGACTAGCAACTTCAGCTCGAACCTGAGGCATTGAAGGTCTAGACTTACAGCCAAGATCGCAGGCACATTTCTCCATCCACTGCGGCTCAAAAAAGTGCAGCTCAGCTCGTCCGCATATATGAAGGTTTCAGAGACAATGCGAACCCATTATATTGCTATAAGTGATTAGCAAAGCGTACTCTGCGGCAACTCGGCATATCGTGCATGGGCCCATATACATACGCGCGGCTTGGGATAATAAGACAGAGGAGGGAATGCTCAAACTGCGACCTTTTTACACTCACCGCGGTGATGTCGGTACACGCGGGGTCAAGAAGAAACAGATGGCGAGATGCAGAGACAAAGTCCAGGTGAAGAAAGTGACGAAGGCTACAAAAGACAGGACGGACAGAGACGGGCTGCCACAGTGCAGGGGAGAGGATCTGCTCAACAGTCTGCCGACGAACCATTAATCAGAGTCCTCAGTCACGAATGATGCAGAGTGACCTCACCCGGAAGATAAGCATACGGGTCAAGATGTTATCGCTGGGAGAAGATCTCGTTGATCGTTCGACGGCGCTCCCTGCGTGCCGAGGAGGACAATGAAGAGGATAAGATGCTCGATGCACTGCTATCGACACTCCCGCCCTCCTCTCCAAATGCGGAATCTAGTGATATCCGGCTTCGAGCACCTAGTGTTCTCCGCTTCTTATCTCGTTCAGTTTCAGATCGGGAAATAACGGCGGCCGGGGCTAAGTAAATTGGTTCTTCTGCTGCTGATATAGTAGAACTAGTTCGTGCTCGAGTGTCGCGGTCGAGCTGCTGCTGAAGACCATTCAAAGTGGAAACGGAGATGGTGGAAGGGCGGGAGAATGTCACCCCGTTGGTGCGTCCTGAGCCAGACGACTCACTTCGCAGCACGGGGTAGCGGGTATCAGGCGAATTGGATACAGTAGCGTTGGTCAAGGCAGTGGTGGGATTGGGCGGCTTGATGACAGAGTTGATGGTGGACGATTCTGCGCGGACGGTGATGTTTGAATTACTAGAGATCTTGCGACGGCTAAGCTTATCTGTGTCAACGGTGCTGGCACAGCTCAGCAAGGATTCAGATGGCAGTGTCGAGAGGGAGGGCGGTATTGCAGTACGAGGACGCTCTGAGAGTGCAGAACGAGAATGTCTTGACGTAGGGGTCGGCGATGGTTCATAGGAATTGGTCGTGTCTTGAGAATCTAAGGACGTGATGATGGGTGCAAGAGCAGAATCCTGCTCGGGGGTGCCTCGCCGTTCCCTTGTGGTGAAGAAACGGCGAGTGGATGAGGAGGCAGGGATGGCTGTGCTGTTGTTTCGCATTGCAGGTGGTGTCTGCTCGTGAGTGGCGTCGGCACTCCTCCCGTCACTACTGGACGTGCCTGGTCGTCTCAGTATGTTCAGGGACGATGCTGGACGGGTGCTACCGACACTCCTCTCTACACTCGACATCGTCAACGTTCGAAGGTCTTTCGCATCCCAGCTGCGTCTGATCTCTCTGCTCTGTCTCCCATCCAATGGCCTTGACCCACTTGCCACGCGGTCCCCATTCACATCCGGACTACCCCTCTTCGCGGCATCATCGTCCAAGCTCACGCTCCGTAAGTGTTGGCCATGCAATGCGCTCGCATCTCGCAGCACCTTCCCTACGCCAAGCAGGAAGCCGGTCATGTTCCTCACGACCTCATCGCTTACCCTGAGGTTCTCTCTGTGGTCCGCACCGACCTGCCGCCAGAGATTCACTGGGTCCACTTCCTCGGCAGAGTCCGCGACCTCCGCGTCGATCTGCGCCTCCAACGCCTTGTGCGTTCCCGCCCTGAGCATCCCATTCATCTTATCAAGGGTGTGCACGAGATGTTGCGCACTCTGGAACAGCCCTGGGATCGTGTTCGTGGTAGTCTGTCCCATCGGAGGTAGACGAGAGAGGTGAGACTCGAACATGCCCAGTGCCTCCAGCATCAACCTCCGATGTTCGGCGTTTGCATCTTGACCTTTGCTGGAAGGTGGCGGAGCTGTGGACGATCGGTGACTGGCGTAGCTAGCAAGAGGAGACGAATAAGCGAGATCGGACGAAGTCTGCACAGGCTCCTGACGAGCCTGGCGCGAAGCAGGACTGTCTCTATCGGGGAGAGGACGGACAGACTTATATGTACGCAATGCAGGAGGCGCTGTTCGCGGAGGATTGTCCGGGCTTTCATGATGCAATGCCGCCATTGACGTCCCAGGCCGTATGGGAACGCCGCTGTAGCTGTTACGATCACCACGCCGCTGCGAAGTCGTCACTGGCGTGCGTGACTCGAAGTTATTAGACCCTGGGGGACCGACTCCCTCGGAAACACGGGTGCTGAGCCCAACACCCTTGCTCTGGCCCAAAGACGCATCTCCCCAATCGCCGTTGTTGACAGAGGCATTGCCAGTGGACTTGGTGAGTCGAGGAACCACGGGCGTGGTCGGGCTCTCGTCGGTAAAAACGTCGTCACCCGCGTCCCGACGCTTCGTCAGACCTGCCGCACGCAAACCCTCGCCGAGCAGACTGCGGCCGCTCGTCGACACGAGCAAGCCGTCGGAGCTGCCACCGCGGTGTCCCTGGCGCCTGCCTGGGACGCCGCCGCTCCCGGGCGTCGGCGAGTTCTCATCCCCATTCCCATTCGAAAGATCCTCCGAGAGCCACCGCGTTTGGTGCTTCCGCGTCAGCTCACGCACGGTGGAGTACCGCGCTGTACCAGAACGTCGCGGAGACGTCTGCGGGTTTGTGGGGATCATCGAAGTCGATGCATGGGGAGAGAACGCAGGCGAAGAATATCTCTCCGTGGGCCGGTGAGGTGTCGACGGCTCGCCATTCGCCTGGGGCACATGTCAGTCAATGCATATACCCAGCGACCACCAGACCTACCTTGACTTCAGAGCTCGGTCTTTCACCCTCCCGGAACTCTCTGGGAAGAGGCTGCCTATTCCTCCTACTACTGCCGTTCGTGCCCTGCGGGCTCCTACGCGACGAAGCGACGGCCGCAAGTGCAGCAGTGGTCACGTCCTGCTCGTCATCCCGCCAACGGTTGCTGCGTGTCTCGTCCACGGACATCGCCATAGACACCCTCTTCCGCGGCGCACGCGAAGGACCGGGAGATGGGGCCCGATCCCCGTCACGCGAAGGACGCACAAGACTGCCGGGGATAGCAGGTGCCGAGGGTCGCCTCTCGCGACCAGGAACAGGCGTGTGGATTTCCTGAGGTACAGAAGGGGGAGTGGCCGAGAGATCGTCCGAGGAAGAGTAGTAGTTTGAGATCGACTGGCTCTCACGTTCCGTTTCAGAGCCAGAATCGAAACGACGCAAAGCGGCATAGCCATTCATGGACACGGGACGGACATGAGAAGAAGATAGGCGAGAAGACGACGTGGACGAAGAACTGGCATTGGGAGGGGAAATAGGAGGATGAGAACTATTCGTGGGGGCGGGTGAACTTAGGCGGGAGATCGAGGTAAGTTTGTCGAGAACCTGCGGTGGAAAAAACATGGTATTGGAGGGATAGCGAGTACAATGAGAGCAATGTAGAATGTTGTCGAGGGCGTACATGCGTGAGTGCATCAATGCATATATCGGTTCAGTGAGGGGTGGAAGCACAACAGAATGAGATAAACAATATGTGTTCAAGGACAACGCGAGTTTGATGACTTTTTCAGCAATTAAAAAAAGCAAAAAAACCAACTGGACTCACCAGGCGATTGCGCTGGGTCAGGTTCTTCACTCTCTGCAGTGTGGACATATTATCGACGGAGGCATGCTGAAGTCTTCGGCCATTGGCAAATCGAGCAGTGTTATCTTCCTCATTCTCGTTCTCAAAGGCGTCATCGTCGTCGGCGCTGGCCGTTCTGTTCCTATTCCCGCTGCTGCGAGACCTGTCGTAGTCGCCCTTGACCATATCCGCAGCGACGCTCGAACGCGACGCAGACCGTTGACGGAGACTGCCGGCGCTGTAGCTGTGCTGATATCCAATGCTACCGCTCCCCGTAGAATTCGTCGCGGGAGGCGACGGGAGACCGGATCCAGTTGAAGACGACGGGCTGGGTGGTTCAGGCAAATCGGGAATGGAAGGAGGAGTTGAGTTGGATGAAACAGACCCGATGAAGATTGCCGACAAAGGACGAGAGTGACGGGACTTGGAGGGCAGCGGGCGCGAGGTCATCGGGCAAACTTGTCCTGGCTGCAGATCATGAAGCAGAGACTAGGCAACAATCGTGGACGACGCCGTCGTCGTCGCCGTCGACGGCCACCAAGGTGGAGGTAACAAGTACGGATTCAAGCGGCTACAACTGCAGCAACACGCGGTAACAGCGAGGTAACGCTTCCAGCGCTCCACACCCTTCGAACCATTCAAACGAACTTGGTGCGATTGCTGTTTCTACATCATCAATTTCATTGCCAGGTCTTTGCAAGGAATCTTCAATTCGCCATTTTACTCGTTTTTACGTGCCTTGGGCAGCTAGAGCCTCCTACATACCATGCCCGTATCGATATCGCGCAGGCCCGTTATGAGCTTTGACCAAAATAGCTACTCTCAAGGAATATCGTGCAAAGCGTTGTACGTACTGTATGTATCATGGCATTTGACAGCTCATCGATCATCCATGGCACCGAAGCTGGTACGTATACTCAAGATAGAGTTTTCGTGCGTAGTTCTATCTTTCTCAACTGAAACGATGCATTCCACCAGAATTCTGTGCAATGTCCAGGGTACCCTTTGGAGTTCCCATCCTTCCATGGAAGACCGCATAACACATCCCTGCGCTCAGATGGACCGGGACAACCTGCTTGCGCATGTCTTCGTGTGGCCCCGAGACGTCAATCAAAGCCTCTTCCCCTGCGGCATCTCCCAAACTTTACAGCTAAGTTTGGGTTACTGACGATCATTGGGCGCTGGATGCCCACAATTATCGACGATATACTGTATGTTTCATTCTTGTCATCAGCATCGCCTTTGGTACATGTCCGTACCATCTGAGCTCCGCGGGGCCGAGGAAAATCGACCTTTGATATAAGTATCTCATTCGTCTAAAGGCTGCTATCCATAATTACTGCACCTGTTATTGGCTCACGAAGAACGAATAGAAGTGTTCATGTTTGGTGAACGTTGTGTGTAGATCAGTGCGCGACGTAGAATGTCATGCAGAGAATATTTACAGAGCGAGGTCGTCGTTGAACGGTGGATATCAGTGTGATAGCCTACGTAGTGAGACCTCGCGCACATCATTCATCTTTAGAAAACGGTTCGTTTATTTCTTTACGCACTGGATTGTCACATACACCAATCTAATCAGCCTCCAGTCCCTCCGACCAAGACTCATACTTGTCTATCGTCTCGGTGAGGCCATTTACGAAGCCCCTCACCATAACTATGCAATCTTTTCCCAGTGGGAACTGGAGCGGCGGCTCGGGGATCCCTGCCACTCTATAGATCACTCCAGCTGCCTTCGTCGCATCCCCGGCCAGCTTCAAGTTCGGCTGCATCAGGTGTGCGCGCATGAGCGCCGCTACCCCGCCCGGCTTGGTGTACGCGGGATGCGCAGGCAGGTGTACCATACTACGCTCAGCGGCGTCGGTGTTGAACGCGCCGGGTTCGATGATCGTGACCTTATGTGCAGCAATCAGCACTGACTATATATCACGACATTGCAAAGGAACTCTACCTTGATGTTCCACTCCGGATCGAGTTCTGCTGCAAGCGACTTGGTGAAGCCGTCGATAGCTGCATGGATTTCCGATCGTCAATATACATTCACTCCCCGCGAGCACTACCCACCTGTCTTTGTTGCCACATAGTATGACAGAACCGGAATACCTTTGAAAACGGAGGTAGCACCGTTCTGCAGTATTCTGCCCCCAGGAGGACTGTTGACCTCGCGGAAGATGCGCACGGCCTCCCTGCTGACATTCGCAGCGCCCCAGAAATTGACGTCAAACAGAGCCCTCGCGACTTCTTCCGGCGCTCCCTCAGCCTCGCTCAGGACGCCGTACCCAGCATTATTGAATAAGACATCAACGCGCCCGAAGGCCTCTATGGCCTTTGCAAACGCGACAGCAATTGCCGGCGTGTTCGAAACATCGAGCTGGACGACGAGCAACTTGCTCGCGGGATATACGGCCGAGAGGGAGGAGAGCGCGGATGGGTTCCTCAGAGTGGCAACAGCAATGTCACCGCTCTTGAGGACGTACTCTGTTACAGTGCGCCCGAAACCGGACGAAGAGCCAGTGACTGAATATTCCCCGGTGAGTGATCGGTAGAATTGAATTGTTGAACGAAGCTCACTCACTGAACCAAACTCTAGGCGACATCTACAGAACGTCTGAAGGATGTATGGATATCTGTGAAAGTGGGCAGACCTTGAGCAAGGATACTCAGCCGATGATTCTCTCTGCAACATGGAGGCCATCTTTATACTGTGCCGGTTGTTCCCAAGCGAGTCAAAGTACACATACTTCACAGCCGATCTCGTCATTGCGCGAGCGGCGTGGGTTTGAGTATCCTCATACAAGCTGTAATGTGAGAGTATCTCCGGTATATCGGGCTTTGTACGCATATTTGTCAGTGCTTTGTTAAGGCTCGGGGTAGGACACCGGCGACATTGACTAGACAATGCTGCCTGGCATTCGCTCCTTCGATTCCGGTCTCGAGTTCAAGTTTGATTTGTACGGCTAACACACCCCCAGGCACGTCGGCCTGTGGAACCTCGTCAGCGAGCTCGGGTACGCCGCGGTCGCGTATACCCCTCTCTCATCTATATTTGACTGTTGCCTGAGCGAGTTCGTGGGCGTACATCGAGCGCTGTCCACTGTCTGGCGCGAGGACTCGGCCACGCGTGCGTTCTCTTCTGCGAGGATGGAGAAGGGAAGACGGGTGGCTGGGGCGAGAGTAATGAACAGATGGATGTGTCGTCCACACCCAGATGCATGCCATAGTATTTCAGTGTGTTGGGTAAGCATGTTGTCCGTGGCTTTTGTCTGGATATGTGACTCAGATGGCTCAGAGCGCTATGGTGCTGAAGGTAACTTTCTATCCAGATTTGACGCTTGACTCACTGACGTTGTGACCTCATTGCGCCGGTAAAGATGAGATATCCGGGTCTTACTCTTCTCAGAGGAACTTCGTCTAAAACAATCTGCATGGTATCGAATAGTCGAGCTGTGCAATAGCTTTACAGCTCGAACTGGATTCAAAGTCACATCGGGGCTGCGGAACTGGATGGTGTAACTAAAGTAGATAGTGGTGGCGGTGGCGGCAGAATAATGAGATCGATCGAGAGTGTAGATTGATAAACAAAGCAGTTATAGTGGTCAATATAATCAATCCGATGCAACCTCGACGAAGGCAACACATCTGTGCTGGAGTACAGGTTTCAGCAGCTGACTTTGATGTATACTGGGTATCTTCCTTGCAAGGTCGCTCCCCTGACATATAGCACACGGACTAATATTCACTCAGATTCGAGCGTTCGGCCCATAGGACGACAGTTGCCCGTCGTGATCAAGCGGCAGCCCGACAGCAGGAAGTAGTGTACACAACATGCTTAAGAAAGATCTGGAAAACTCGATTGGAATGGAAACTTGCATTGAACAACATCAGCTATTTCTCACCTCAATAACTATGTTGTGTCCTTCTCGACGCCAAGCACGCTTCACGATGAAGAGGCAACCCATGGAAAGGCCTCTTGTGCCAGCCTGCGACTGTCCCAACCCTCCAGCTCACCATCACCCGCATGATCCCGCACGTAATCTTTGCACAGCTTGAAGCTATCCAGCACATACACCGGCAACCGCTCCAAGTCCGCTCCATCGGGCTTCTTCGCCAGCGCAGCAACGACGTCGTCCCATCGCCACAGCTCGTCCTTGTGTTTGCGAGCGTCGAAGTACCAGACCCAGTTCATACCACGGCCGACACCCTCCCCGCACGTCAAATACGCTTGGATCTGAGCGCCCGCGCCGAGAAGGAGCGCGGCGAGCGCGGAAAACACAGGGGGCATCGGCTCCGCGCCGGAGAATAGACCCTTCATCAGCACGTCCTCAAGCACCGGCCACAGCCGCGGGCGAGCGGAGGGTACCACAACGAACGCGCGCGCAAGGACCGTCGCGTAGACGCTGCTCTCCGCGTAGTCCGTAAGCGGTAGGGCTCTGTCGTTCTCCTCGTCGGGAGTCACCACACGCGAGGTATGTTCCTAGAGGCGCGCGTAGAGCGTGTGTGCGAGGTGCTCGTAGAGGACTGCGGGCCCGCGAGCAGGGTACAGTGCCGCGGACCCGTAGTGCGCGGGCCGCCCTGGCGTGGACACGCCCGAGTCGATCTGGGCGGCGGTCGACGCCAGGTGGGCGATGTGCTCATCGATCTGTCCTCGCTGCACGAATGATGCGTGCAGGACTTGGTCGATTACGCCGTGGAGAGTCGCGCTGAGCAGATCAGGGTCAAATTGCTCCTGGATGAGGGAAGCGAGGTTTTCGGGGCTATTGGAGAGCATCGTGATGTGGGGGCCCGTAAGTTCGCTATGAGCACCTGGGCTTTGTATGCGAACCTTGGATTGACCTTCAACTGAGAAGAGCCTGGCACGCACCTTCCGTTGGTGAGGACGATCAACGTGGTGTTGGAAGATTGTGACGAGCGCAGCGTCCGACGCCGACGCTCAAATATATGCCGCGTTCACAACTTCGCATGACCGTAGCGCCTAGCGAAGACCAGAAACTTCGGTAGTTGGATGAGTGATCAATATTGTCAGTTGCATGTAGCATGATAGGTTGGCGGAAAACATGCAAGTGTGCGTTGGCGACAAAAGCTTCAATAGGATCCTCAGATCATTGTGACGTGAATCGAGAGCCTGGGACTCTGTCGTCTGCGTACGATGGACAATATTTCTTACGCAGATGACAGGGAGCCAGGTAGCCGATGTGCAAACAATATTTTCGCAACTTGTGCCAGACCGGCCCTGGAACTTAAGGGCAGAGAGGTTGGTGTACAGTACAGGATTCGATTCAACTCGTGCACGGCTGGGGTGCAGGGCCTGAAGACTTAGATGAAACAACGCGCCCATCTAGCTCCCAACCTCGAGTAGGTTGGCGCACACAAACCTAACACGACCTTGAGTCATCTAAAGTAATAGTGTATAGCTCGCGAGCGCATTTTTGCCTACCCGAGCAGCCAAAGAATCAGCCATCACGACGCAACTGAGGCCCGGGCGTCCGACCCAGACGTCGACGGTATCGTCCACACTTCGACCCCCTCCGCCCGCCGCCCCATCGCATGCAGCAGCCGCGCCCGCCCAGAGTCACGCCGCATGCTAAACAGCGTCGATGAGCCAGCAAACTTCTTTCCTGCGAGAGTTCGTTCAGGTTTCACCTAGTACACTACAAATGTTAACTGAGATGAAGATGCGCACCATCTTCCTCCCCACACCTGTTACATATTACCACGAGTGTCTCCTTGCCCTCTTCATCTGGTGCTTCCGCACCGCTTATACAGGTATCAAGCCCAAAATCATTCCGCGCCCACAGCGGTCGCAGCCTTGCCACCCAATAGTTGATCGTGTGTGAATCGCGATCGTCCCCATCGTCCTCCTCCCAGCCTGACTCGAGCCACGAGTTGAGCAGGACGAGTACATTGGCCTTGCGTGCACGGCAGTGCTCCGCGAGCTCGTACGGCCCCTCCGCAAGCGTCCACATCGTGGGCGGTTGCGGGTTGAGATCCATGCAGATGCCCAGCGCGAGTGTGCCGAGCGGGGATGGGAGTGTGAACGTCGCAAAGCCCGTGCCTACGAACCACGAATGCCCTCCATGTAAGCATGCAATTCGCGGCTGAGATAACACCATGATGAGGGACGGCGAGGGAAGGGATACGCACCCGCTTTTGCCCATGTCGTGTCCGTCTCGAACAAGTGCGTCTTGCGGTACACATCGCCGACGCGTGCGCCGCGCGGGTCGTATAACACCGCGCTGTTCGCGCCTATGCGTGTTGCCGGGGTGCCATTTGCATCGGGGGCTTCTACAACTTCGTGCGGCGCTAGGCGCTCTGGAAATCCCCCGACGACGTAGCAGTGCAGCCGGGCTGCAAGCTCGGCACAGAAGCGGGATGTCGGGCCCGAGTGTGGATCTTCCAGATACGGCGCGATGGCCGCGGCGTTCGGAAAGAGGTATCCTGGAAGTGTGCATATTGTGTCAAAATGATGCATTCAGGCATAGATAGAGGGAAGCGCGCCTGTGAATGCCATCTCGGGGAGGCAGAGGAGGTCGATCGATCGTGGTTGTAGCCTACGCAGCAGTAGCGTTCATCTCCAGCGCTGAGAGCGGACAGACGGATACACACTTCTCGCAGAGCTTTGTCACTTTGTTTATGTTTTCTTGCACACGCCCTATCTTCCATCGACGGGAGAGATGTCGAGATACATCTGCATTGAACATAAGTAACCGACGACTTGATCATCTCACTGACCTTGGGCGAGTACTGAACCATGGCGACTCTCATCGAGGAGAACGAGGTGGTAGAAAACAATCTGTAGGTGCGGTAGAATGTAAGTGCCTTCACGGTGTCGTGTCTGACTGTGGGAGAGATCGCGAATGGTGAGTTGTCGGGCGCCCAATTAATTAATTAATTGATCTAATCTAATCTACAGACATCTGCCAGGAGGCAAGATCTGAATCGGGGACACTTGTGAGGTTGATGACTCTATGATAACTACTCACAAAACCTCTCTCGGAGCTTGACGACATATATCCCGTTTTCTGTAGATCTGAACAAATACAGTCTCAGTTTCTCGAGCTGAGCGACGTGCCATTGCCTGTCCAAAACCACGTCGGACTTTCAAAGTTTCTCACTTTCACTGCAATTTATTCGCTCTTAAATATCGACCCTCCTCAGGCTGCACCTTTGCGCCGATGCTTTCCTGATACAGAAGACCTACATAGAATGTGGTAGTGAAGAAATTCCTATGTATTCTGATGTTTTATGGGATGGTTTGAGGTAGAGCTGGGTTCATCAGTGTTAGCCGGAGGTCAGTGTCCGGGATTTTAATCTTGCTTGTTTTGACCTTCATCTGTCTACTCCTCACCAGTCTTCGCCGTGCTTCACCTGGATGGTCTTACTTTCTCGCAGGAGGTGCGCGCTGTGAAGCGTTAAAGACCAACGTACTTTCTCAAAGAAGCGTCTCCGGGCCAAAGCCCACTGTGGCTGTCCAGGAGCTGGCTATCACTCCGCAATAACAACATGTGCGTACGTTGCATCAGTGAGTCAGAGCACATCTCACTATGCCTCAGAGCCTTGTAGGCGGCTTCGGGCATGCAATCATCCCCTCGGGCTTCTGATTCGATGACGAAACCTGTTGGGTCAAGGTCATTATCTGTTGTCCTGCCCCTTGCAGTGCAGCTGTACGATGTCATTATCCAATCGTCGAATAAATACTTACTTCCAGTTATTCATATGTGCGTAGGTCCAACGAGAATTCTCACCAATTGGGCCAAATGGTCCTCGAAACTGGTGGGCAGATAATTCCGTGAACTTTGGCGCGCGGTCTCGAATCAAATTCTCGAGCGGCAGTTGCAGCACAGCGTCATAGTCTCTGCCGAACGCATACGTAGCCGTTTTCTGTGGGCGACGCATTCATTTCGGCTGTGCGCGCCTGGCTTGACGAGGCATAAAAGCAGACGATTCGTCCAATGTGACAAACAACCCAACTTCGTCCCTTCATACCAAGGCAATGTCTGAAAGTATTGTCATCTTGTCCTCCTCAGCCTTCGATATGCCCAAAGAGAGTTTTTTGGTGCCTGCTCCGCCGCCTCCGACCAACCTTGGACGTCACCGCCAACTGGCGCCTCGCGCTGGCATTCATGTTTCCCCCATTTGTTTGGGCGCTATGAGCATCGGAGATCGGTGGGACACCATAGGGATGGGGTCCATGGACAAGGCGCAAAGCTTCAAGCTTCTCGATGCATTCTACGATGCCGGCGGGAATTTCATCGACACGGCGAATAATTATCAGGACGAGACGTCGGAGAAGTTCATCGGTGACTGGATGGAACAACGGGGCATCCGTGACCAGATGATCATCGCGACCAAGGTAAGGGCTAAAGTACCACGTGTGGATTTTGTCTTGACATACTGTGCGATGTGTAGTACACGTCCAACTACAAGCGGTCTGCCACTGACCTTAAGCAGAAGTCTCATTACACTGGCAATAACATCAAGAATATGAACCTCTCCGTCGAAGCGTCGCTGAAGAAGCTGCGTACGTCCTACATCGACATCCTCTACGTTCATTGGGTGAGCACTTTATGGTCTCATGTGTTTGTAACGTCGATTTAGGTGGCATATTGTTCTAGTGGGAATGGAACACCAGCATTGAAGAGGTAATGGACGGCTTGCACAACCTGGTTACCCGCGGGCTAATTCTCTACCTCGTGAGTCGTTCCTCTCAGTGTACATCCTCTCGAGGCAGTGATAGAGTCTGTTGTAGGGCATATCTGACACCCCGGCATGGATCGTCTCGAAAGCGAACACGTACGCACGGCTGATGGGCAAGACACCTTTCGTGATTTATCAGGGAGCGTGGAGCGTCCTCCAGCGCGACTTTGAGCGCGAGATAATACCTATGGCTCGCTCTGAAGGTTCATTCTGGATGCAATCACCGTGTTCCAGTCCCACTCACCGTCGTCCGATACTCAGGCCTAGCACTTGCACCGTGGAATGTGCTTGCATCCGGAAGAATCCGCTCAGATGCAGAGGAGCAGAAGCGCAGAGAGACTGGCGAGAATGGTAAGCTTGTTTTGTACGGTCGTGCGGTTTAGTACCAATAAGCGTGATTTCAGGCCGCCTCCTGTTGACCAATGACTGGGTACGTACGCCGGACGAAAAGAAAATGTGCGATGCCCTGGAGGAGGTCGCTAAACAAGTCGGCGCAAAGAACATCACCGCAGGTATGAGGGCACAGCTGGCAGAGGGCATCCACTGATTGGGGTTTAAATAGTGGCAATTGCGTACGTGATGCAGAAGACCCCGTACGTCTTCCCGATCATCGGGGGGCGCAAGATCGAACATCTCCAGGCCAACATCGAGGCCCTCAGCATCGCCCTCACGCCCGAGCAGATCAAGTATCTCGAGAGCATCTTGCCCTTCGATGAAGGATTTCCGAGCACTATTTGCGTGAGCGCAGCTCTGCTCGTTGCACTCGTGCTTGCTCACTCTATGCATTGTAGGGCGACGGGACAGCCAACCGCTTCGTGTTCACCTCAGCGGGGAACTTTGACAAGTGGCCGCTCCAGCAAGCGATCCGGCCAGCCATACTGTGAGGTCTGAAATTTGTCGGGCGTTATAGCGGCTTTCTCTGCTCATTAGTACATGGTCTACATTTTTACCGCTGCGAATGCTAGATTGCCAGTAGTAATCTAACTGTGCCCACGAAATGTTCTGTGCCAAAAGCCTAGTGACGCTATATATTACTGATGTATGTGACATGACAATACATGCAAGGTGATCATACCATTTGAATGCGTAAAATCGTCTTGGATACCGACCGGATGTTGTGAAAGCACGAATAATATGCTCTTGGGCTTTCCAGCCCCCATTTGCGATGTAACCGCCCCAAAAAATTAGCTGGCAATCAGCTCATTTCCCACCACGAGCGTCGTCGTCTGCACGGAGCGAACCTACGAGGCATGCGATGGACTGCGTGGTAAGGTGGCTGAACTAGAGATACACAGATCGATCGATGGGAGGCTAAATGTCGGCTTCCCAATCAAGCAATCCCGACGTCATGGGGCGATATTCCGACGCTGCCGTTCGTGGCGGTGGTCGGTGGCGAGTATATAAGGGCGGACACTGGGCAAGGAAGCGTACCCAACTTTCTCCTTCCTTCTCCCACCGTTCTGCCTCCCGACAAAACAGCGACCTTACTTCTTGCGTTCCCAATGTTCGGAATCGGCGCTCGTTTTGCTCACGGTCATTGAGAGTTCTCCGCCTTCTCACTGTAATCATCGTCAGACCGCATGCATATGGGCGACGCTGGGCGCGGCGGTTGTGCTCGGCAACGGTACTCGACAACTGACGCAACTCGGACGATCCTCTGAAAAGGGATTAGTCTCCCTTAGTCCACCCACCATGCCGTAATAACCCCTGATTTACTTGCGCCCTGCAGAACAATCACGCTACATGGAGTTCGCGTGCGTTGGGAGCTTTTGTCTGATACAGGTCGACAATGACGGAGAGCCTGAGGAAGGGAGTGGCGAGCACGCGTCGGGGACAAATAGGTGCAAACAGAGCTCGAGGAGTCAAGCGTCGAGGAGGATCTGCCTTGCTCTGTATTTGGTGGACGACCGTGTCCGTGTACTTTAACCGTGCTCTTCCTCTAGCATGGGCAACACTTCTTCCAACCCCGCCGCTGCCGCCAACGCTGCCAACCCCCAGAACACCCCCTTCCCCGTCCGTCTTGGCAGCCCCGCCCCGCCATCTCCCAACATCCAGCAACAGCATCGCGTCCACCGCTCCCTCCGCTCAAAAAAGAAGTCTCTCGAGCTGCCCGACCTGGCGTCCCTCTCGCTCACCCCCGCCTCCTCGTCCCCGTCCTCGGTTTCTCCCCATCCGGCCTATCGTCGCCCCCCCGCGTCGTCGCCGATCCCCATCCCTACATCCGCGAACCCGCCTCAGCCCACGTTCCGGCCGCAGAACAATCTCCCGTCGGCGGCCCACATCCACATGCACGATGGCTCGCAGGCGAACGGACATCGACCGAGACACAAGTCTTACCTCAGCAGCGCGTATCCGTCCACGCGCTCGTTCATCTCCGGCGGCGACCAGGCTTCTCCGCCCCGCGAGGAGCCCATCAGGCCCGTCTTCGTACCCGAAGTCGTCTACAGCACGCTCCCGTTGGCGCTGGTCAAGGCGGAGGAGGAGACAAAGCTGGAGCCGGTGGCGGTCAAGATCATCTGGCGAGGGGGCGGCAAATCGGTCGTGTTGGCTCGCGCTGGGGACGACAACTGGCAGGGGCGGCAGCCGATGGACTTTGAGTGAGTGAGATCCGATCCTGCCCTGCTTCTTTGTCTGACCTCTTTCAGCCCGCAACTCAACCAGTGGTTCACCTACGTCCCTTTGTTGCCCGGCACGCACCACCTGAAGTTCATCGTGGACGACCAGTGGAAGACCGCGGACGAGTACCCTACCGCGTCGGACGACCGGGACGGCTCGCTGGCGAACTACGTCGCGGTGCCGTTCCCTGCTGCCATATCTTCTCCAAACGTCGTGCCCGCGTCAGGCTCAGGCTCGTGCACAACTTCACCCCTCGCGAGCCCGCACCACAGTCACCCGAACCAGTTCAACAGCTTCTGGAGTGATGCGAGCAGCGCCGCGGCGAACGGGGTGCCGGGCCATACCGAAGGCAGGGGCAAGGCTGAAGCAGAGTGGACGACGACAATCCCGCCCGAGCTCGTCGCTGCCGCCGCCGAGGAAGAAACGTATCTCGCGTCCGCGGACTCGCCCGCGCCGTCACACTCCAGCGTTGGCGGCGGTGGCGTCCCAGCGCCCAACATCCCGCCGGCGCCTGTACTTCCGCGTCACTTGGACAAACTGATTTTGAATGTGCGCCCTGCGGCCGTGACAGCACCCACGCTCGGCGCCTCGGAGCGTGATCGCGGGCGCCGCGGAGGCCGCGAGCGTGAGCGGAGCCGTCGCGACAAAGACAGCCGCGCTCGCCCTTCGAACCTCGGGATGACGTCGAGCGCTGTCCAGGAGGATGCGGAGCACCCCGCATCGCTCGTGCTTCTTCCCGTGGTGACGGCGTCGGGCACGGATCTCACGGCGGGCATGCCTGTACCGCTGTCCTCACCGGCGGGCGAGGCGAAGGGCGCGGGCACGCGCCTCGAGGCGACGTCGGGCGTGGCGGACGACGCGAGCGTGCTGCCCGTGCCGTCGCATGTCGTGCTTCACCACTTGAGCACTAGCGCAATCCGGAACGGCGTGCTGGCCATCGCGAACACGACGCGATACAAGAAGAAGGTGCGTTGGCGCTGTTTTTTTTCTATTTTATTTCTTGTGCTGACACCTTTGTTGTCGATCAGTACATCACGACGATCTACTACAAGCCTACGTGACGGACGCCTTCGCCATTTTACATATCTCGGCTCTTCTCTACCCAACTGACGCCTTCAACACATTATGTCGCTGTTCACCATTCATCCCTCTACCCTCGATATAGACTTCATTCGGAATTTTCTTACCTATGTATCGCTGCCCATTATTGTACTCCCATTCACGACCACCCGCCCTCGCGCCAGGACCCTCAGACCGAAAGACCGGCGTGGAAGAAGAACCGCCGCCCCTGGTCCCCGCCGTCGCGGCCATTGTTATATTACTTAGATGAGGAGTGTGAAAGGAAGACGAAATGCGGACGGGAGCCGCTGCAGATCGATATTAATGTACTCTTGTATTCTCTTTCTTGGAGTATCATCCCCGCTGAAGGTGTGCACCACTGCTCATGCCATCGTCTCGAAGCACTGATGAGCCAACGCTGGGCGACAGTTCTGCTACCGGTCTCCGCTCGTCGATGACGTTCCTCGTGCCCGTCTCGCGCGCACACGCGAGGCTGCGCAGCGACGTCCATCCGTGTTCGACGAAGTGAAGCGCAAAGATCTAACTGTATTCTATCTATTCCTGCATATCACATGTCGGTGCCGCCGTCCCCCGCCTGTACATACTCAGGGCCACACCCTAGAGCGGGTATACGCGAGTCCGCCGTCCGCCGTGCGTCGTGTTTCTCTGTCCATCGTCCCCGCATCCATCCACACCGTCAACGCCACCATCACATTGTCATTGTTCTCGTTCTGGTCCCGTTCCGATTCTCGTCTCCTATCTTTACTTCTGCGCCCGCTCCTCCCTCATGTTGTGTCCAGTCTCGCTCTTGGGATTTGCCCGTTAGCATGTAGCCGTTGCTGTTGTAGCTGTTGTAGTCGTCTGCAGCGGAATAGAATTGCGCCTCATGCTCGCAGTGCAGTGTAATTTTGTCGACGATGCGCTACCCCATACGAGCTGCCCTTGTTGGGAAACAAAGGGGGTGCACTAGGTACGTATGACAAAGGCGATCTTGCCCGGTCTGAACTATGTGACGCGTTTGAATGCAGAATCGCAAGGCACTCAACGTTCTGTGAGAAGGCGACGCAACCTTAACGACTGTAGGTGCTTTGGTAGAATGCCTCTACGCGTTCTTGAACTGTGTGTCCACTGTGGTAGTCTTGTGTGTAAGTGGTGACACAGATATCAAGAAGACGTACCATCATTAAATGCTTTATGTATTTGTCTCAATTGTAGGATGATCGAGGCTGATGAACGAGTCCTTCGGCTTGTGAACTTGCAGGAGTACGACACCTATCACTCAACGTGTGAGATGGCATCTTCCTTGCAGTTCTTTGAGCAGAAGTTGATGTATTTACCACCGTCCTTCATTTTCGGCTCGAGCCCATAGCTGTTGCTGGCCGTGAGACTAGGTAGACGTGCTGTATTTGCTAACGTGTACAGTAAACACTCTTCTGCTTCTCCATTCTGTGCGGCCTGGCTGCTGAACGCATTGTGGATGAAGAGTAAAATTGAATGCGAAGATTACGTACCGGCGATGGGGGAGCAGTACTTGCTTGAAGTTCCCTCTTGGTCGACATATAGTACGGGACGGCTGCAATCAATGAGCCCGCACTCGTTTACGATGCTTGCAGGTCGAAGGTGACGATTGTATTCGGTTGCGATAGGCGGTTGCGGAACGCCTTCTACATAACTCCAAAGCTGGATGACCTGTGATTGAGTGCTACGCTGTCATGATTGTTATAGGATACCTATGGCGGCCGTAGAGGAGGATACGATAAGAGATAATCGATTGGCGGCGTGAAGCTTTGAAGAGCCGCACCGACTCACCTTCCAGAGGGTCTGATCCCGTCAGCCGGCGTGGCATCGGTCTATGCTGATTCCTGAACTCGAAACCACTTACGCCGTCTTGAGGAACCTGAAACGATCCGCTGGAGTCGTGATGGGGCGGACGGCCGACGGTTGTACGCGTGTCGGACAGGACGCTGCGCTAGGTCTTTTAAGTTCTACACCTTTTCGGACGGCTCCGTCCTTGGGTCAACTTCGTCGCATGTGACGGTGTTCTCTTTGTGCAGGGCGTCGTTCTAAGTTGTGCCGGCTTGGGCTGCGGGATATTGTTTGTAAGTAGGTTCAAGAACCTGATGCACACGTTGGTTTACGAGCCGAGATTCAACCTTATTGCACCTTCAATAGATTACGATGGATGCCTCAGCATGTGGGCAGTGCGCACCCCCTCCAGCTACACTCACAGCAGTTTCCGAGTCGTTACTATCGTCGTCGCTGCACATTATCCACCCACTTTTTGAACCCCTCAATCGCGATCAGTCTGCAAAAGAAGCTAGCAGTATCCTTCTACGCACGTACGTCTCACCTAGCATCGTCGTCAACTATCAGCCTATTTACTTCAAAGCAAGCACAGTGGAAATCAAGCGGGCTTGAATTCAGATGGTGGATTCCAACCCCCGGCGCGATCCGCTTCAACTGCGGCAGGATGAGCCCAGGCGCCAAATTCGGGACGCGGCGCGATTTCCACTTCTTCGCTATACATTTGGTCGTTTCCTCCCAGATGGTTCGTTCTCATCCGAAACATTTCTTAAAGACACTGCAGCATCCATCTCCTGCCACAGCATTAATTGCCGGCAAGTGCGACTAGAAATCCGAATCTGGTTTGCTAACGAGGATGACGACCCTATGATTTATGCGTTGCAGGAGGTACTTGCAAACTCATGGATCTCTGTGTTATATACGCCTTCGAAGATCGAAGCCTTGCTCGGAAGCCGAGCAGAAAGTTGTTCTGTGGTCTTTCTCAAAACCAACTCCCCCCCCGTGTTCTTGACAGAATCCGACTCTGACGGTTCTGCACTGTCTGAACTACTTGAACCCAGGCCGGAGCGCATATGGAGCCCCTGGAAAGATCAGCCTATGCCGTCCGGGTGTCACAGTTTGATGCTGGAGTTCAGTTGTGACTCAGATGCGGAGGATTTTATCTATGCATGCCGCAGTGGTCTGAGCTTGGATTATTCTCCGAAGCCTAGCATTCGTATTCGCGACAATCTCTTTTCTCCCGAGATCTTGAAGGACTTGGACAAATTCCTTTCCAAGCTACAGTTCGAGCTTGCCTTTGAGATAGAGAAAACGATTACACGGTCTATCCTGAGTGCCCTCGAGGTCCTCTCGATGAAGCGCGAGATCACCAACCTTCAGCGGGACCACGGCCATCATGCTTCACAGATATTCCATTTGTTCGCATCTCTGGTTGAAGATGGAGGCCCGAGTGGCAGGAAGCGGCGGAGACCTGCCTTATCCACTGCAGCTGAGCCGTGGGAGAACTACCAGGTAGCTTTGACTTTGCTGCTCCGTCAAGCCGTCAAGCATTTTGTCGAGGAGCAGCAAAGACCTCGTCCCGCTGTGGCGTTACCACTAGTTGAGAGTACAGTGGACGCTGCATACCTTTGCTATCACCTTATATTTACGCCGACAAGGCACATTCTGGAGGGGCCTCTTCCTGATCAGTCCAACAGTGTACTCCGCCGCTTTGGGCATCACGAGTGTTTTCTGCGGGTCTCATTTCAGGACGAGAATCAGACGAAATTGCGTCGGAATACCGAGTTCTCTATCGTTGGGTTGCTCAGGAAAAGGTATCACCCACTTCTGCTCAATGGGTTACGCATCACTGGGCGTCCATACGAGCTGCTCGGATACTCCATGAGTGGGTTGCGCGAGCATTCTGTGTGGTTTGTCACCCCCTTCGAGGACAGAAATGGGCAGCGGCAGAATGCCCAAACTATTCGGAATAGCTTGGTAAGTCCCTCCATTTCACAACCAATGAAACATGACTGGATTCAAGAGCTGTCGACAGGGAGACTTCTCCCGTAAACAGGGACGACCGACTCTTCTCCTGCGTCAGCCTGCACGCCTAAGTGCACGATGGGCTCAGGCTTTCTCAGCCACGGATCCATCTGTTACTCTTCGCCCCGACCAAATAGATCTAGATTTCCCTGATAAGATATCAGAGACCGGTCAACTTATGACGGACGGGTGTAGTCCTATATCTGTCGACTTAGCTCGCGACATCTGGAGGTCTATGCAGATAGCCAAGAAGAGGTCTGCCAAGTTTCAGGGTGTCCCTTCTGCCTTTCAGTTTCGTCTTGGCGGAGCCAAAGGCGTTGTCGTACAGGACCCATCTATTCCTGGCAAGTGCCTTCGCCTTCGGCCATCTCAGATCAAGTTCGATGCCCCGGATGACCTCACATTTAATGTTCAATCGACGTCATCACAGCCGAAGGCCATGTTCCTCAATCGACCTCTCATCGTTCTCATGGAGTACCTCCAGGTAGATTGTGATCGTATAATTCAGCTGCAGGACAATGCTATTCGCAGAGCTCAATCGGTTCGCTCGTCATTCATCAATGCCTCAAAGGTCTTCGAACAGCATGGATTAGGCGAGACATTCCACTTACCAACCCTCTTTCGTAATGTGTCATCCATTTTGCACCTTAGGATGATGGACGGCATAGAGGAGGGAGCTCTTGGCTGGGCTAATGATCTTGTTGAGGGCTCCTTGCATTGCGCAGAGACACACATTCTCCGCGAGCTCAAATATCGAGCGCACATCGAAGTCCCGGGATCATATACCCTGCTTGGGGTGTCAGATGAGTGGGGCTGCTTGAGGGAAGGAGAGATCTATGCGACAGTTCATGATCCGAAGACCGGGCAACTGACGCCGATAACTGGATCGGTTGCCATCACGCGCAGTCCCCAAATTCACCCTGGTGACCTTCAAGTTGTCCAGGCAGTCATTCGCCCGGAATTGGAACACCTGACAAATGTTGTTGTGTTTTCATGCGAGTCAGTCATTTTTCCCTCGCCAAAGTGATATCATTTTGACGGCTGTGTATAGGGGCCAGCGATCACTCGCATCATGTCTCGGTGGTGGGGATCTTGATGGGGATGACTTCAATATCATCCTTGACGTGAGTTCCTGTTTTGCCTCAACGTGGTTTATATACCCATAAGCTCATACTTCTCAGCCGAAGCTCATCCCTCCAACGGTAAAACCTCCTGGAGCATATGAAAGTCTGCCCATCAAAACAACTGCCCGCGAGTGCGGAATTGCTGACGTGGTAGACTTCATTTTTGACTACGTGCGTGAGCAGCTTTTACTGCACTGACTAACCTTGCTCACTGAATTGGCTGCATAATGCAGATCGAGTCCGATCTTATTGGTTACATCGCTATCTCCCATCTGAGATTCTCGGATCTCAAAGATCCTGGCTGTGACGAGTGCCTGCAGCTTGCCAAGTTTGCCTCGCAAGCCGTTGATTTTCCGAAGACGGGCACTCCCGTTAACTTCTTCTCTCTCCCGAGAATTAGGAACCAGCCCAGACCTGATTTCCTCGCCAGAGAAGGCGATGATCTGCAGAGCAATCAATACTACACAAGCAAAAAGCTGCTTGGCATTCTTTCCCGTCGTGTTCCCGTGAAAACATGGTATCCAGGGTCGTGGAACAAGAGTTACCCTCCCTCTGATTGCGCGGTGATCATCCGTGCGCTCTCTAGCATAAATCTCCCCAATCTCGGACTTCCAGCTCATACCAAGCCATCCAAGGAGCTCTCTGAAGAGATGCAACACCTACTTGATGCATACTGTGACCAGCTCCTCGCCATCGCAAAGGTGCATACTATCACCAAAACCAAGGACGCTTACATTTCGGAGGCGGAGCTGGTGAGCGGAACAATCATGGCGAACTGGTCCGACCATCGTCGGCAGAAGGACGCTGTTTCCGCGATGAACCTGCAGGTGAGTTCAGACTTCGTGGGCGACAGCAGGAAACTCATGCAAAATGGTGCACCAGACAAGTAGGCTTGTCCGGGCAGTCAGGGCGGAGTTCCAGGAAAGCGGGTCAGCTGCTGCCAATGAGGATAATTATAAAGAAGACTACGAAGACCGAGCCTTCCGAGAAGCGGTCGACGATGACGAAACTCCGATGATGTTGGAGACCTTCAAGCGCGCCTGGGCAGCATGGTATGTGGCCGAGATATCTCTTATAGAATATTCAGGTGCTTTCGGCCCGCAGAGTTTTGGGCTGATCGCGTTGGGCAGGATGCTTGAGATAGTGAAACGTTGTAAGAGTAGTTAGTTTGGCGCAGTGTTTGTTGCATTGGCTGAAACAATTCCTGTGCATGAATGAGGTTTTGTATCCGGGATCATACTTGTTGTAACGTCGGTCTTGTATCGATCATAGATACTTTCGCAGAGAGCACTATATGTCAAGCGTCGGCGAGCATCGAGCCGCATGGAGCACAGGCGCACCGTCATGCCGAACTTAAGCTCACGCTCAAACGTCAACAGTGAGTAGATATTCAAAAAAGGATTGTGATCATATACCCAGAGGGTGTACATGTGAAGTGCCGGGAGACTATTCGGATAGGCTATTCGCAAGTCGGAATACCCACTAATGAGTTCGCGCTTAAGCTTAAGGACTGAAGGAAAATATTACTTATGAACATTCGAATTCCATTCACCCGCGAAGTCTTTGTTGTGACCAAAGCAGAAAGTATACAAGACTTTGGTTAGTGACCTACTGCTGCAACACGATGCACTTGGCTTTGCTAGGCAAGGCTCTGAGTGACGCAAGCCGCTGCGACCTCGAGGTAGCTTGAGCTGAAGGTGACCTTAAGCCTCGGCTTGCAGCAACACTAATGACGGTGCCTTGAGCAGAGAACGATCCAGACCATGCATTCCAGCGGCAAACTGCCGTCCGTCTTGCCGACAACAGCCATGTACTGAAACGCTGAGGCGCAAATCCTCCTGCTTGAGTGGATCACCCGTCTACGCCGCCCACTGAAACCGATGAGGATCCTCCGCCAAAATTTCCGCGCGGCGTTGTGAGACGTACGCGTGTGTCAGGCGTTGGTCAAGGTTGGATAGGGGACGACCGCATCATGAGTAATAGAAGTGTAAGGGAAACGTCGCGAAGCCGGGGGTGGAAGTGCATACGTACTTGCTCCGTATTTCTACGAAGGCCCGCGTGTTGGTCGCGCTCCAGGATCTCTTCCAAGTCTGTCAAACGGAGAGACCTGCCTTTTCAGGGAGGGCGCAGATCGGGATCGGCGAGCGTTTGGCTCCCTACAATACTGCAAAGTGGAAAGCAGCTCGGCCCCAGTCAGGTAATTGGGAAGACCGTTCGTGACGATGTCGACCTGCCTCTGGAACAGCTGTTCATCCCATTCCGGTTCACGGATCTGGAAGACAACCCGAAACTGTGGGCGCGTCTGCGCGATACTGATCGGAGTATCATCCGTCTCCATCCATTCCCGGGTGTTTTCATTGTCAAGCGATATGAGTTCGGATGGTGATGGTTATGTAGATGTGTTGCAGCTGGGTGTGGACAGGCTGGATGAGAGAAAGCAGGAAACAGGACCACAATCAGGATCCCGTGTGCTGACTTCGACCGAATAAAGCGATCTAGCGCAGCTTCGCTCCTAATGGACAACAACACCAGTTGTCAGCGAGAGAGTATTGCTTGCACCCACAGAGACTCTCGGAGTGGGTAACCAGGATTCTCGAACATGAATATGATTGCTCTAGGTGCGTCACTGATTTCTCGAGAAGCCGTAACAGAGCGGCAGGCCAACTCGAAGGAGATATGGTCTTCTGGAGTCTACGAAGTTGAAATTTGAGCGATCCGTCGAGTATACAGGCAGCAACAGTGGCGGAAGCCCGGCCATGGAGCCTGAGCGTGTCAAAGCCCAATGCTTTATGATGCGGGGGATCACGTACTCAGACTCCTCTGTGTCCTTCGTCACATAGATGTCAACCGTGGAAAGTGAACATAGGTGGGGACATGCAAGGATCAGAGTCCCCACCAAATATATACGCGCGACGCAGACTGACAGGGCGATTGTCCGAAGGTCCTCGCAGTAAATGCCTAACTCCGCTCTGGTAGCAGAAGACAACTTTGTCCCGCACCAGGATCGCACTCCAGATGCTCGATGGGTGAGCTCAGCCAGCACGCGGCCGCGTGGCAGCTCGTGATCGACTCCAATCGACGTGGTATCATGATTTGTCTTCTTAAAGATGATCCGTCGGATGTAATTTGCGAGATAAGGAGACTTTTTGAGTAGCCTCTCAAATGCGAGGTAGCCTGCAGCATTTATAAGGCCGACAGAGTTGAAGAGGTAGAAACACGTCCTGGGGAGCCAAGCTTGGCAGGTGAGACTGTATGCGATGACGGTTATCCTGGGGCTGGTCCAGGATAAGTTCAACCAACTCGGGAGGAGCGCGACGTAGAGTAAGTCAGTATTCCTTGTTTGATCCAGTGGCGCTTCCGGTCCACCCCTTGAACCGAACGATGAGCGGCGCCCCTGTGCAGTTCACGTTGGGCAGCATCAGGTTATACACGGCCAAGGTGAAGTTATACATGATGTGCGAGTTGCAGCCCCGTTAATACCGCAGCATGGACCTGAAAACTCGTCACTAGAATACAGAGGAGATGCTGAGATGAGGGCAGCCAATGGCACAAAAGTGAAGAGGAAGAACGTAGTTGGAGGACGAAGGATAGGGTGGGTGACGAACCTCAAGTCGTCGCATGGACCTCGACAGATGTTCATGTTATGACTGGACCCACAGTGCTCACATACACATCTGCAACAAGGACATACTGTGGGTCTTCCTCCCCAGCGTCGGCGGAACCGGAGCCGCCAGTTGTAAGTTTGACTGTCGGAGAGTAAGCGAGCATAATTGCGTGCGATGGCCCACCGCGTTATCGTGTGCACCGCCAGGACATGCTGATTGAACCAATGTCGTACCCTGAGGTGCGTCATGGGAAGATCTTTGTTGAACTTTGGCGACTTCCGACGAATACCCTGCGCCAGGACTTTGATTTTCAATTCCTCGCCCACTGCACCGACGCCAGTATGCTTTCATCCTCCATCATGATCTGGATATTCCCCCCAGCCGTGCGCGTGATGATTGTTGACACTTTTGAAACAATGGGCGATGGCTCGGAGTACGGTCTAAATCACCGTCACCAGTTGACTTATATGTTCTCTCGGCTCGAGGTTGGCTCATCGAGCCGCCAACTGAGGAAAAATGGGCCTACGGGGGAAGAGGAAGGCGGATATCATCATACTGCTCCGAGTCGCTGCTGCCGTTGCACGCAGCCACAGACAATAATACCAACGGCTACCGGGTCCTTTCCCAACTCGAAAGGCCGCCAGGCGGCGGAGGAACTTGCTCGGAGACGAGAGCGGACAATATTGCCACAAAACAAATAGCGCACAACAACTGTGTAAAAAGGACACTTTCACTTTTGGGTCGGGAGAGCTTGCTCTCCGAGCAAGAATATAGCAGGTGGAGTAATTGGCCGCGAGCGCTTATCGGGCTCGATTTTGATCTTCTTTTGCTCTTTCTTTTGCTTCCGCCTCGCAGCGGTCCGCCTCTGTACTAATTTTATTTATTGCTCACGAATCATAACTATTAGCTCTGACAAAGTATATCATTCCTTCAGGTGGAAAAGCACAGCCTGCTCAACATATATTGTATGTCGTATCCACGCGTGGCATTGCATTATGAAGGTGTCATCCATGGACCACGCGCAGTAACTGGGCTGTCTAACTCGTCTGGACTCGGTCTTTCCCAAGGACCTCCACGTCACGACGTATCTCGCCCTATCATCTGGGAGTACACCGATCTTCTTCAATTATTCAATCAGGTTGTTCTGGTAGTTCTGCGCCTGTGTGTCTCCACGGAAGGGACGGTGCCCGACGTGGTATGGGTCGAGACCACGCGCACGGAGGTTGTCCTCGTGCTCGGCGAGCTCGTCTAGCATCCCCTCACGCGTCGGCAGCGACGAGTTGGCGAGCGCATGCACGATGAGGAGGCTCTGAGCGATGTCGGAGGGGCAATTCGCGACGAGCACCGGCAGCCCCACGAACGCGAACGCCGTTGGTGGGTAGCTCGACGAGAAGCCGAAGATGTGCCGGTGCAGCGAGAAAATGTAGCGCAGGTCGGTCGTTGAATTCACAGCCATCTCCGGGTCGACAATGAGTCGACACTAGTCAACACCGCACCGTCGAGGAAGATGACAGAGTCCTTCGTGAAAAGTGAGATGCGTGGCTTGGCAATGACAGATGCGCCTGGGGAGAGAACACTGCTGGGGCTAATCGCCTGCATCGTTCAAAGGAAGCTGTCAGCAGTCGTTAAACGCTGCGTGATGATGACCGTACCCCACGAGCGAGTGAGCTAGCTTGCTGGCCGACGTCTCGAACATTGTTCGCTGTGTACGGGCGCATAAGTGAGCCACTCTCTGACTCTTCGCTACGGCGAAGTAGGGGAGAGGGGAAAGGAAGTGAAGCGTCTGTGTAGCTTCGCGCGATACAAACAAAAGTCTTTGACACAGCGTTCACGAATATCGGGACCGTTCGAAGCTTGCTCGATTGTCGTTCATCTGTAAGGAGAAGCGATCGAAGAAGGGCACACATGCCTCGCCATTGGCGGAGGGGACGTGACCTTCGGAGCATTTTTCTGTCGCACGAATTTCAACAGCAGTTACGTAACAGGAAGAACAATTTGCACTCACCGATGGTGCATTTGCCACCTTGGCAGCTCACGGATTCAACGTTAGGGATTACACTACAATCTCTTCCACCGTCCTCAGCACGTTGGCCGAGAGGAGAGTCGCTGCCGGCACAGCCACCGCAGGACTCGAGATCGTTCTGTATGTCGACGCATTCGTGGCCCCTCAGACCGGACATCCCATAGACGGGACAACTCTTGTGGCCCCTGGGACACAGCTGACGTTTAATTGCACGTCGCTTAATCAGGGTCGTCGGAAGTAGTGGCGGAATAATGGCCGCTAAATACCAGAGGACAATCAGACGGTTGCACAAGAACGAATGGAGATGGTCACGTACGGCATGTGGTGCCTGACATGGTGCACGAGGTAACGTACCCAGTTCCAATTATACATTGGGAAGACGACGTAGAACCAGGAAGAGAATATGGGTCAAGAAAATTACATTGAGTGCAGGAACTCGCCCCTTGCATCTGTGGACAGAAACACGTTCATACAGGGTTCATTTGAGCGAATAAACGACACTAACGGAGTAGAATCCAGCACAGCTGGGACCGTCATTAGATCATGCTTTGCAATGAGAGGGGACGAACATACCACAGGCAGCACGACGTCGCACCAGTCAGACTGGTGAAGGATCCCGCGGGACAGTTCTGGCAAGGCGTGTTACCGGTCAAAGAAAACGTTCCTGGACTACACGCAGTTTGCGCGCGTCCAGAGATCGGAGCGTAAATGAGAGCGAGCACTGGCAAAGTGAAGATGGCCATCGCGACAGGGCGGTCAGTAAAAGGCGGCATCTCGCAAACACGAAGGACACCCAACTTTCACTGCTATTTCCCAACTGCTTTATATTATTATTACCTCGGGAGTCCGGAGTGATCGAGCGCAGCCGGCGTCGGATATGACATCCGACTCAACCTTCCGAGCCGTCGGAGATCTCTGGGCACTTCGTCCTGCGGCATCGCTGGTTCTTGACGATCCGCACAAGACACCACTATATCGTTGTAAAATAAAATAAAGTCAGATTCATTACAGCAAAGTCGGAAGTGCTAAGTTACGGTGGCGGGCGTGCAAAGTCTCACTTTCCCACGGTCCGCTCACCGTCGTCTGCAGTCGGTCCTGTCGCCATAGTCACGGTGTCGTGCGGCGGCATGTCCTTGTTGAGCGACTGACTTGAAGCATGCAGATTTAAGATTAGTTCCACCTGGTTCCGCAAGGACTCAGCACTCATGGAAAGGGCCAGAGCTGCAATAATCTTTGACAAATTCTCTGTAGGCATCTTAAGTACAGCTCAAATCTCCCAGCTACTGCTCGGAAAGATAATGTCTATTGCCAATTTTTTTTCCATGTTGATATACATTCCAAAGTCACCCTGGAGGGAACTTACATCAATTATTCACTGGCATCCGTTCATGGCATGCAAGAAGACACTGTACTCGCTCGATTCGGGACGGCGGCTTGCTTCCCGATTTGGGAGGTTTCGGTGTGTGCCATAACTTCGCACCCCCCCCCCCCCCCAACAACTTAAAGTTCGCCGCACAACTGCATTTCAATCTTACTCTGGAGAGCGCGACTACGACCTGCAATCAGCGAAAAGTAAGGTCATACATCAGACTGGCCTCGATGTCGATTCGCAGGTTACAGAATTTATTACGCACTCGTAGGCTGCTAGACGTGAGGTTGCAGCGGTTTCACACCGTGAATTATTCACCCGAAGATAATGGTTCATACGTGTTCGACCATTCACCCAGAGGTGGATTGCAAGAAGCCGGTCAGGCGGGGATTTGTCGATGTGTTGCTATTTCCCGTCGACGAAGATCAGCCGCGTATCGTGCGAATGTCCTAGTAGCGATGTCCTCAACAATGATGCAGATGCCCTATGACACGCCATATCACTGGACACACAAGAAATGCATTGGGAGTTCCATCTACATCCCCAACGGGCATCAATTTGCACAATAATCGAGAAGAACGGCAGGGATGGTCTGATATTAGGAAGGAGACTCGAAATACTGCATGCTCTGACAGGGAGCGTATTTCCCCCAAGCACGCAGTTCAATCGCTGCATCGAGCGTCTTACGGGCGGCTTGGATGTGGTATGGGAATGTCGTCGTGTCGAGGTCGGTAAAGACCAACATGGTGGTACCTGACGATATGGCAGAGGAGTTTGACGACGCGACGATGGAGGATGTAGGGCCCATGTTGTCGCCCTTCAAGACGTCATTTTCCGGCGAGAAGCAGGATGAACATGATGTTGGGTTTGGCTTGCCAGGATTTGGAACCATTGTCAAGGCGTATAGGTAGCACTCCGTCCATCTTCTGCAGGGATTCAATTCACATTGTTCATTGTCAGGGCATATGGATGCCAGTGATTTGATATGTAGGACAGTGTACATGCTCACGGTACGCTATTCCAGCAGTCGAATGAACCTGATTCTTATCTCAGAATATCCAGGTGGAGCAGATTCATAGGCGTGCTCGAGTGTTTCGTTGTCTTACATCTGTAAGAGTATTTTTTGACCTGGTCATAGTATTGATCTGTTATGCACCTGTTTCCGGCTATCCTCGTTCCTAGCACGAGCAGAAGGCCGGCATTCCCAGGTATAATCAGTATGTAAGGATGCGCGTGTATTAACGAGAGCGAGCTCTGTTCTGCTCAAAGGATAGGCCGATTTATCAATGGCTGTTATGACAAGTCTGAGTGAGTGACATGTCAGTGAGTATCCAGCGCACTCGGCGCACCCTTCACGTTCGAATAGAACAAAAGCATAATCCGGTCTGCACCTGTATACGACATTATAAACATATCATGGGCACAATTTCACCGCTACCTCTTCTATCAACTTTCTAACATCCTTCTTCTGCACACCCTCCGGTCCACACCCGCCCTTCACAAGCTTGCTCTTCAGGGTATCGCGTGCTTGGAGGACCTCAAGGAAGGGAACCAACTGTGTGTCATATACAGGCGAGAGCCGCAGCAGGAATGCGACCGCCGCAGTCAGGCGATGGACTGATACAAGGACATCGTAAACACAGCTCAACACGGCAGAATAACGTGGGTACATACCAACTTCCTCCCTCTGCACCTCGTTCGAAAGCGCCTCGAGCACGGCACTTACCAGTTCCACCTCCCATTCCCCGTCTTCCTCAGCATTTCCCGTGGCGGCGATATTCGCACCTCTCAGTGAGTTCACCCTGCCCTTCTGCAAAAAAGCTGCAACGTTGAACGCCACGCTCGCAGCAGCAGTGCGCACTGCGGCATCCCCGTGTAACAGGCTTGAGACAAGGACCTTCGTAGTCGGTGCGCGATTCCCAAGGTTGCCCGTCGAGAGCACAGTACGAGCCAGGGTAGTACTCACAAACGCGTTGGCGAGCATCCGCAGAAAAACGAGGACGTAGTTACGCGCGTTTGCCTGCGCTTCGTCGAGAGCTCGAATGGCATGCCCGAGGAAAATGTGGACGGGGTTCACCGTAGGCGCAGCAGTGGCGCACCACGACCCGACAGTCTCGTCAAGCACTGCCAGACGCCACATGTCTACAAGGGGAAAGAGCTGTGCTGGCGAGAGCGCGCTCGCAATGACGCGCGTTGCCTCTGCCCAGCGGGACACCTGCTGTGGAGTTGCGGGAGGAATTGCCGGCTTCTTTGCTGAGCCGCTGGCGGTTGGGAAGCGTGCCTTCAGATAAGGGAGAAGGGAGGTAGAGAGCGTGTCTTTAGCCGCTTGTGTATGAGATGGACTCGAAGCATCAAGGAACGAGGAAAGCTTCGCGAAGACACTATCTAGGGTAGGAACTTGCGTGAATAAGATGGGACTTGTGGATAACGCCTCGACTGAGGGGAGTGAAAGGGAGGTATGTTTGTGGGCTAAAGGCATGCGTGAGCACCATATCCCAGCGGAGACTTTTAGAGAAGAACGTACGGGGGAAGGCTTCGAAGAGCAGAAGATTAACCTGCGTCCGCAGCTCAGGCGCATTTGCGCCTTTAAGCTCGTGGAACTAGAATTGCAAGTGTCAGTTGAGCTACAAACAGGCATACACAACAAATCCACCTTCTTGCCATCTAGGAAGAACAGAAACGTTGGAGTAACTCTCACTCCCCATTCGGCGCCGACCTGTCCACCAAGGCCCACGCCCATGTCGACCTTGGCAAACGCGGTCCCTGACGCGTTTCCATTTCCGTGGGTCTTCTCGCGAGCAACCTCATCCCAGACTGGTTCAATCATGCGACAGGGCGGACAAGTCTTCGAGGTGAAGAACGCCACTACAGCACGATGCGACCGGAGAAGGGAGTGCATCGACGATGGATTGGAACACATGTGTACCGGTGCCGTGAGCGTGGAAGTCGCCTGTGCGGGAGCGGGGATGGCGGAAGACATGGTCTGAGAGAGTGCTTGGCTGGCAACGGCCTGAAGGAGAGAGGCAGTCAAGGCAGGATCTGGAGACGCGGAAATCGGCGCGGACGTAGCAACTGGAGAGGACTGCAACGTCGGTGGTGTAGCCACCACGCCAGGAGTGGGGCGGCGGAACATGGCATCGATGGTAGGACGCAAAGCTGCGCCGAAGGGTGTTGACAGAAAGTCGGATGGCAAATCTGGAACAGAGCTTTCAGCATGCCCAGAATGCATCAATAATAAATAACCGACCCTTGATCCACTCGGGTACAGAATTCCCGGTGAGGAATCCGACGCAGTCATTCGTGAATGAATTACAGTTGAAATCTGGCAGGTGTGCTCGCGTATGAGAAGGAAGTATCTCAACGATAAATCATGCATACCTAGAAGGTGATACTAAGAGAGCAGGGATGAATCAGTAGAGTTGTGGTTGAAGGAGACACTTGTGGTCACCTTGTCGGCCGTGTAGAGACTTCGCATCTCATTGAGGTATTCCTGCCAAGTCGCCTCGTCTATCTCTGTCTCTCCAATGTCTATAATCTGCAGAGGTCTTCCATGCTGCAAAGAAATACATGAGATATATGTTGGAAGATCGCATGAAATGAGTATCTACGCACATGTGACTGTCCCGGTGCTGTTACACAGATTCCTTGGCCGTAGAAATGCTCCTTTCCAAAGATTACCAGAGATGTGTGCCTATGTTCAACATATGAAGCTGACGTTCGTAGAAACATGAACGACTCGAGTTACGCGTACCAGATGCCGTCAATCTGCCTCCCCGTAAGTTGGAGAGACATTTGTCGCGCCAGACCATTGCTGAGATCATAGACGTAGAGCTCTACTTTGTTAGGCATATACAGAGAAATTACAAGAAGTATGGCTAGCTGACAGGAGCCCTAGTTAGCGGGGATGAAGCGATAGAGAGCGATAGAGAGACGAGGCGCATCATTGCACACTGCCGCCAATGACGCGTCGCGCGTATGCGGTCACGTGACACTAGAAAAGAACTTTCGCGAATTGTTCGCGAACGCGTTTGTTCCTCTTATGCTCACTTTATTGATTGCTGGTATACAGCGGTATGCGCATGAGTTACACGAGCGATGACCAGGATACAGTTTTTCTTCTACTGGTATCAGCACTGAAGAAGTTCCTCTTCACGGCTTCTCAGCAATACATTCAATTTCAACCGATGCACCAAGTGGAAGTGCAGCAACGCCGATGCACGTACGCGCAGGCGGCTTTCCAGGGAAGTACTGGCATAACGAGGCCGGTCAGTTGCTGAGTATCTGTAAGACGTCTTGTCAATGCATGCATACCTCCAAATAGGCCTCGCTCATGAGAGGAAAGTCGTTCATATTGGTCAGGTAGACGTTGGCTTTCACTATGTGTTCAAGATCGCTTCCCGCAGCTTGGAGGACCTTCCGTAAGTTCTCAACGGACGCGCGCTACTCCCGCGAAATGTCGCTTCAGCGGGAGAAAAACGAACCACGGTGACTGCTCACAGTTTGTTCTTTGATGTCCCCTACGATCTTATAACTCTTGTCACAGCCGATGCTACCGGAGACATAAACCATCCCATTACAGACAGTCGCATGAGCTGCACGTCACCCTGAGAATTAGGTCAAGGTAGAAGAACGAATGGCCCCAACGCACAAAACGCAGGAAGAGGGGGAACAGCATCCGGGGCGTTCAGGATCGTCTTCATGGTGGCAATGATTGTACTGGTGGGTGGACAGATCGCTTTTTTCTAGATGTGCCTTCGCATTTCATATCAGGATTTATAGGAGCTTCCGTGGCTGTGTTGTGTTTCCGGCAACGACTATGGCGCCCGATACTAGACCTAGTATCTGCATGGCGCTGTGTCAGGGATTGGTCGCTGAGGGGAGAGCTAACTGGTCATTAACATTTGAGAGGTGTGCATGTCTTGCGAGGATCTGAAGTCTGATCACCATCTGAAATACAGTATCGATATTTCAAAGAGTGCCTGAAGTTTAACACGGATGCCTTTGCAACTTGGTGCGTCTTCATACCTTATGTATACGAATGGAGAAAACCCCCACTATCTCAAATTCGGCTGAAACGAATCAATGTGCGCTGCCTGTATCCAATCCATCAACCACCACGTTGAAGAAATGCGGAATCCCGATGTTTCCTTCGCTCGGGCCGGGAGTCCATGGTTCAGCGCGTCCAGCTTGCATCCCTGTATTGTCGCAGCATGCAATTGCACCCTCCGATTGGTGTCCATTCCATGACTGCTGTGATGCAGTGTTTCTGCGCAATATTTATTTGACCAACCCGTTCGTACCTCCCTGACACATCCAACAAGCTTCTCTCCCTATTTCAAGGCTTCTCGGCGATGCACTCAACCTCAACCTCTGCACCTAAAGGCAGAGCAGCGACTCCGATGCACGTACGCGCTGGCGGGTTGGTGGGAAAATGCTACAAGTCAATAAATCCAATCAATCGAACGTCTCTTCGTACTGACGACGCAACGAGGTCACATACCTCATGATACACCTCGTTCATCAAGGGAAAGTCCTTCTGGATGTTCGTCAGGTACACGTTCACCTTCACTACGTTCTCGAAGTCGGCTCCTGCTGCCTGCGAGATCTTTCGCATGTTTCCGATAGCAGCGCGCTTGAGCCGTACAGGATCAGCGTAAGGCGCGAATCGTCCTTCCGAGTACTCACTGTTTGGTCCTTCACGTCACCTTGGAGCTTGTATTCTTTGTCGCAGCCGATACTTCCCGAGACATACACCATCCCATTGCAGATCGTCGCGTGAGCTACGCGAATGGCAAGATAAAAGAAGTCGTCAGGCATTGTACGGAGCTTTTACATCCGCAGCATGGACGGACGCACAATACACGGGAAGAGGGGGGACGGCGTCTGGGTTATTCACGGTAGTTTTCATGTTGTCTTGTGTGTCAGCGAGTCTGAAGAAATGCGAGTTGAGGAGGCAGCATTAGTTAGCCTCACGCGGAGAGCGCGATCGATACGAGATAACCTTTCCAAAGAACCCTCTGATCATGAGCTGCTATGGCAAAGACTTGATATACCACCTCTTTCATCGCCTTGTCCTCATGAGGATTATCGATGAACTTCCGGCGAGGGGCCTTTCCGCAAGTCAGCGACATTATTTCGAGGGAACGCATCGCCAGGTGGATAAACCGGATAGACTAATTATGTGACGTGCTGCGATCGAAAGAACAGCGTACCTACTTCAAGTCCGTAATGGATCGCGCCCAGCAAAAGGAGGCACCTCAACCATCTCCATATCCGCATCGCTATCCTCCTCGTCCTCCTCGCTCGCACCGGCGCCAGCATCACTCCCGTTCACCGCCACCGCTGCGCCCACAGAAGCACCGCGGACGTCCTGGAACACCTCCGGAAAATAGTTGATGTCCGTCGCCACACCCTTACCCTTGCCCATGCTGATCAAGACAGACTGCATGTCCTCCTCCCCCTCCTCGTCCTCCTCATCCGCGTCGCCGATCTCGGCGAGCTGTGCAGCCAACAGCGCGAGCTGGGCTTGCAGGGATGCGCGCTCGTCGTCCGTCAGCGTCGTGCGCTGCACCGCCGTGCTGGGTCCTGCAGTGGTGTCGAATCCCATCCCAGCTGTCACGGGTGCGGAATGCTCGGGTGGGGATCCAGGGCCGTTGACGCTAGTCGACGGTCCCGCCTCTGGCCCATCACCTGCTGAACCCAACGGCCCGAAGTTGATCGCGCTCAGAATATGCTGCGCGGCTTCCCACGCATCATCCTTCTCCTCGTCGGCCTTCGAGGTAGACGATGCCGTGGCGGCAGTAGACGCTGTCTTCTCCTGTGCAGCTGCCTCCCCTGGGGGTGGCGGTGGCGGATACCGGGGATATCCGGGAGGTGGTGGATACCCATGGTAGCCCGTCTGAGGGTAACCGTATGGATAGCCGGGGTAAGAAGCAATGTGTCCTTGTGCAGCGGAGCCATTTGGCTGGGAATACGGGTTTTGCGGCGGATGCGCGAGTGGCGCACTCGTGAAGGGAGACGAGGGCGGCTGCGGGGGATGGTGCAGCGCGTACGTCGTCTGAGCGAGTGTTTGCGGGCGCCGTGTCGTCCTCCTGGACGTCTACAGCGCGTACTCTGGTCAATAAAATCCACTCGCTTGGGTAGTGTCAACACTCACCGCACCCCCCTCCCAAGCGGCGTTCAGACGGTACCGCCCGCCGGGCCTCTTCTCGAGCCTGCCCCGTCTGTACGCCTTCTGCAGCGCCTGGCTCGCGCTCGGCCGGAAGTTCGTCTGCAGCGGGTACCGCGCTGCCATGCACGCGAACAGCTCTTTTGGCAGCGCGCCTTTGGGGTCACCCGAGTCCAGCAGCGCCTCGACTATCATCTCCTCATACGAGGGGAGGTCCTCCGCCGGTAATGGATCCGCAGGTCCGGACGGCATATGCGGGCGCGGATATGGGCCTGGGTAGTGCGGGGGAGGCGGCGGGGTGGGCGTATGGTACCCGTGCGGAGGTGCGTAAGGCGAGTAGGGATACGGCGGGGGATATGCGTGCGGGTGCGATGGGCCAGGCGGCGCGTAGTACGGTGCATGCGGGTAGGCGGAGTGCTGCGGTTGGGAGGGCATCGCGTACCCATAAGGCATGTAAGGGTACGTGGCTGGTGGTTGTGCATGCGAATGGGGTGTGGACGGCACCATACTGGCCGACGGTGATTTCGCTGAGTACCTTGCAGGCTGAGGTTGGGTACCCGGGTTTGCGTTGGTACCTGAGGCGGAATCGTTCGACGCTAAGGGTGAAGGAGCAGGAGACAACGACGCCGACAGCCGTCGTCTCAGATACTGCTCAGCAGACGAACGCGGTGCCTCGGTTTGCAATGCAGAGCGATATTCCGCAGGGTCGTTCAACGAAGCCATCGGTGGACTCGCCTCTGGTTCAGTCTCTGCCGTGCTGTCCCTAGAAGGCTCCCCTGGAGGATGCACTTCCTGTGAAGGCACATCTGCGCTGCCGTTCGTTCCGACGACTGGCTCAGCCTCCACAGACTGCGTCGAGGACGCGCGTGGCATACTGGGGCCGTTAGCTGGCACCCTTTTGAGAGCATGGATAGCGGCTTCGAGATCCGCGGGCCACACTGTGTCGCGGACGTGTAAAGGGACGTGCGGTTCGAATGCGAGACATATCTCGACGATCTGCACTGGAGGAAGAAGGCTCAAGTAAATTTTCTTAAGGCCATTCAGGGCTTCTTCGTCTGTGGCTTAGGACGATATTAGATCCCCTGTTAGAGTGATCACAGCATATGGGTTATGACATACCTGGAGGAGGGGACAGACGGCTCGCCGCCATCGTCCGGTGTGTTTTGGAGCTGTATAGTGGCTGCACAGTTTTTCGACTCAAGATTTTCAGCCACCCGCCTCGGGCGCCTACTTCATGATCACGCCCACGTTGATCCGTCCTGTCCCTGGAAGGCTTCCGAATCCAAGCTCGCGTTTTGTCTCACTTTACTGCCGTTTTGCTTCAAAAAATTTGTGGAAACAAGCTTAAACATGAAACTTTCGTTCTACAAAAGGTCCGAGAGGTTCCGGCCATGGGTGGAAAGATGGGAGGCCGAACTCTGAAGAAGTTGAATTAGTGGGCCTCTATGAAGAAATTAATGTGTCTTGTTGATCTTGTGGCAAACAAAATATGGAAGCTGGCAAGGATCTTGCTGTGTCATGCTGTTATGTATCTATCCACAACTTGCATTTCATTGTTGTGGTTGTTAGCATGGGCCAGATCCGGGATGAGGTGGAAGTTAGACTGCACACATCTACGCATGTCCGATTTATGCATCACCAGGCGGAAATGCAGCATTATGAATGGGTTGATGAGAGAGGGGCAATTCTGCATAGATCTATGTGTTTGAAAAACCTGGTGATGGCAATGATGGCATGCACTCATTGAATTTCCACACCCCATCCCAACAATGTACGTTCACTAGTACACATCAAATTATTTCATGTCCACAATGCATTCAAAGAGGTGGGGCACAGTGCTATATATCCCGGAACCATCTATCAATCAAGGTCAACCGCAGACAGAGGGTCTACAACCGGGGGGAACAGAACGAAGGGGCCTGGCGGGACCTTTTTACACTCACGATATGGTGCACTAAGCGCGACAACTTCGACCGTACACCGTGCATATGAATGAAACACATCAGCATCGAGAGAAATCATGGGGTGCCTTGTTACTATGGACCGTCAGCGCTCCCGACCAAAAGCAAAACGTCCGTCGTACATGATAGAACCATAAGGATAAGGATATACTCGCAGGCTGGTACAGGACACAACGGCCTCTCATAATACGAAGCAGGTCCACTCGCGGCGCTGCTCAAATATGGCATTAGCTAGGGTGCCTCGAATCAGCGTGTCCGACAGTCCCAGAGGTCAATCCTGTTGCAACGTGTGTGTCGAATGTTCGACGAGACGAATGTCAAGCTAAGCTGCGCTAGGATACGTTTAGAGAGGCTGCAGCCAGATGGGCTGAGTGAGCTTCCCCAGACGGACGGTCGCCGAGTAGCCGGAAGAGGCCGAGTGCACGCCCCGAGCCAAGAGCTGGGCGACTATAACTCTCCTTCCCCGGGTCCTCCCCGCACAGCTTCACCCCAGCTCTGCGCTTCTACATGTTCTAAAAGTTTCTGGACTCTTTCTAGATATCTGTATTCGTCTTTTTCTCACCTAGCGGCGCTCCGTACGATATCCTCGCGGCCACAGGATTGCTGCAGCATCTCATAAATTCCGTCGGTTGACGACCATCTTATGTCCAAGACATACAAGACATTGGCTGGTTCCGTTCGGTCATTTCGTGCATTGGTAGGTTCGCATTTGTCTGTGCTTCGCACACGTGTCCCTTCTGCATGGTTAAATTCATTTCTGAGTGGAGACTTGACGAGACAAGCCGCCTGCGCTGTTCACTGTATTGTCGTCGCCCAGGTGTTTCTATGGGGAGATCGTCCATTGGGAGCATCCGTTTGGCCCATCGGCTCTCAGACGGAAGGCCGACCTGCGGCCTTCCGTCAAATAGATGCGAAGCCCCAACGGTAATATAAGGTCCAGGGAATCCGGCCAAAGCCACATATCGGACGTACCCTGAAAAACTGTTCGTGCGGCTTACGCTCGGTTCATGAATCGTCTGCGAGTCGCAAGTTACCTGAGCAAGGTGCGGACGTGTACCGGCTCTTTTCTGCGCGTCGTACGCATCACGTGCGACGCGTCTCCGTGTGCTTCTCCCCTTCGCGGGCAACCCATGTAGCTGTGACCTTGCGAAACATGTCGTCTTCCGTTTCTCACCACTGTCCTTTTGTAGCCTCAAAGATCAGTAATGGTACGGTCTCGCTGTTTCAAATCGTCTGCGCCCAAGAGGAATGCGGTTCCCCCACCAGGCTACACCGCCGACCCGACGGCGGGTGCCATGCTGCGCTTCGAAGCGTCCTTACCCCAACTACCCGTACCCACCCTCTCCTCGACAGCCGCAAAGTACCTTGAGACCGTCCAGCCGCACCTGACGCCGTCCGAGTTCGCGACGACCCAGGCCGCCGTCAAGACATTTCTCGAGTCGGAGCAGGCAAAAACCCTTCAGGCGCGGCTCGAGGCGCGGGCGAAGGACCCGAACGTCAGGAGCTGGCTGTCGGACTGGTGGAACGACGTCGCGTACATGGGCTACAGGGATCCCGTGGTCGTGTACGTCAGCTACTTCTACTTGCATAGGGACGACGTGCACAAGCCCGGGCAGGCGAGGAGAGCCGCCAGTCTTATCAAGGCGATGCTGCCTTTCAGGACGCTTGTAGAGAGGTGAGCAGCGCGGGCCGGTCTTCGTGCTTATTCTGAGATCGTGATGCAGCAAACAGCTGGAGCCCGAGAAAGTGCGTGGGATCCCACTCACGATGGAGTCGTATCAATGGCTGTGCGTACTGAACTCAAACTTGTGTCGCTACCCTACGGCTAACCCACTATCAGCTTCCACTCCTGCCGATACCCAGAGAAGCCTTCCGACGTAGCGCACAAGTTTGACGCCAGGGAGAACAATCACGTCGTGTTCATCCGGAAGAACAAGCTCTTCAAAGTGCCGCTTGCAGATGCGAGCGGTCGGGAACTCTCCTCGGCTGAGCTGGAGGCGCAGATCGAGAAGGTCATCGCGTTGGCAGGCACCGACAAGGCCGTCCCTGTGGGTGCCCTCACTTCCGAGAACCGCGATGTATGGACAGACGTGAGTGACGGACAAGTTGTCTACGAGAGATAGTCTGAATCACGCCTGCAGGCCCGTGCCACCCTCCTCGCGGCCTCGCCATCAAACGCGGCTAACCTCAAAGAGATTGAGTCTGCTATGGTGGTCGTGTGTCTGGACGACACCGCCCCCGTCACGCGCGAAGACGCAAGCTGGGCTTGCTGGGTGGGCGACGGCCGGAACCGCTTCTTCGACAAACACCAGCGTGCGTGTGCCGCCCCATTTGGCCTGGGTTTGCCCGCGCTCACATCTTTGATTCCAGTGATCGTCTTCGAGAACGGCAAGTCGGGATTCCTCGGCGAGCATTCGTGCATGGATGGCACTCCCACTCTTCGCCTGAACGAGTTTACGCTTGCGTCCCTCGCTGCTGGCAAAATCGACCTCGGCCCTCCACGCACGGCGGACACAGGCGCGAACCTGCCCGCGCCAAAAGAGCTGCACTTCGTAATAGATGCCAAGACACAAGAGTACATCGCAAAGGCCGAAAGCGCGTTCGATACCCTCGTCGGCCAACATGACATGGAGGTTCGTTCACTCGTCCATTCGTCCACTTTCCCGTGCAGTAGAATGCTGAGCATGCGACGGTGCCGTTGACAGGTCTTGCACTACGAGGGCTACGGCAAGGAGTACATCAAGAAGTTCAAGGCCTCTCCCGATGCGTGGGCGCAGCTGGTGAAGCAGCTCGCGTTCCACAAGATGTACAACAGGCCCGGCGTGTGCTACGAGAGCGCGCAGACGCGCAAGTACCAGCTCGGGCGCACGGAGGTCATCCGGAGCGCCAGCAACGAGAGCAAGGTCTGGGCGGAGGCGATGCTCAACCCTAACGAGACGGTAAGCACTGTGGTCCTATTCCCTCAATGCGTTATGATTTCTGAATGTGCATTTGAAGGACGAGCACCGTGCGCTCCTCTTTAGACGAGCGGTGACCCGGCACTTGCAGTACGCCGCGTGGGCTGCAGACGGTCAGGGCGTCGACCGCCACCTCTTCGGGCTGAAGAAGATGCTGCGCGAGGGCGAGCCCGTCCCCGCGATCTACACCGACGCGGCGTTCTCGAAGACAAACCACTGGGAGCTCTCGACCTCCAGTCTCTCCTCTCCATTCCTGGACGGCTGGGGCTACGGTGAAGGTGCGCAACCGTCACTCTGCTTCTCATGGTCTGGCCTGTACTCACGTGCGGTTCTCCTGCAGTTGTGCCGGATGGCTACGGCCTGTCGTACTCCATCGGCGACAATTACATCCGCTGGACGATCACCAGTTTGAAGCGGCGGACGGCCGAGCTCAAGCACTACCTCGCGGAGGCGGCGACGGAGACGCGGGCAATGATGGAGCGCGCCGCTGCCGCTGCGGAGGCGCAGAAACACAAGGGCGACGGCGCGAAGGCCAAACTGTGATCTCACGAGATGTTGTATATACCGGTGCATGTCGCGCTAAATCTATACTCGTTCGCTAGGTCTCCAGCTGGTGTCGCTGTACGGTAGTACCCCGACGCACGTCGTTCGGTGCGGTGGTTCGCGCTCCAGCGCCTGCTTTCTACATTAGATGTGTTGGCTATCATTCGGAGGGCAGTGAAATGCCTGTAGCCCTCGCAATCGTCGTGGTCGTATTGCAGTGCACTACAGCAATACGCTGAGTTCTTGGCATAGACCGGAAGATGATGTGGGACAATTCCGTAATTGTAGACTGTGGATAGGTTTAGACCATGGTGGGAGGCGGTTTGGAAGTGATAGACTTCAAGGTGAGTTTCCCAATGGCTGGATCGGATGAACAGTGGACGGACAGGACCTCGGAGTCGTATATATCCCTCATCGGCCAGACGGGACATAGAGAACGTCTTGCGCGATCGTATGCACATACCTACATAGATAAGTACAGCAGATACCATCACAATTTGGCAACCAGGTCATCACGCTCCGGTGCAGGAGCGCTACCCTTCTCTGACCCACGATCTCCGAGCCCGCTCACACTGAGATTCGGACCGGAGGTCCCCACGAGCACCTCGCGGTTCTCATACCACCACCGCATGCCGAACGCCTTCTCCGCGTCGCCGGTATTCTCGGAGAGCTCACTGAAGAGTCTGCGCACGAGCTCGGTCCTACGCTGCTCTGGCGCAGACGCAGAGGCGGATGTGGAAGGCGGGGAGCGGTCCACCGGTGACGAGGAGTGCATGATGAAGTCCTTAATTTCGCGCAGGACCCTGGGGAGGAGCGCGAGGGACAGGCACGGCACAGTCGTGACGAGTGCCAGGTGGAGACGGTGCAAATGCTTCGCCGCGGCGCCCGGGGCAGGGGCGGGTGCGCCTGCGTTGGCGTCGGGAGAGCGTGAGTGCGAGGCGGTCTGGTAGATCGCGTCAAGGAGTGTGTCGACGCAGAGCCAAGCGACGGCGTCCCCGTCCTGTCTCTGCGCGCCGAAGGCGCTTGCGCTGCGGACGACGGCAGCATACGCCAAGCAGAGCTGCGCCGTGCTCATTTTGCCCTCGCCAGAATTCTGGGGGATGGTTCAACCGTTAGTTTGCTGGAGGACAGAAGGGGTCCATAAGTTGAAACACGTACGTCGATGAGACATTGCACGTAGAACGGAACCACCTCCTCGGCGAATGCGGACGCAGACTCTGCACCAGATCTAGCGGCAGAACCGGCCGCCGACCGCCCTTGACGGCCGCGCTCGCCCGCCTTCTGCGCATGCGAGGCGAACACGGCGAGCATGACCGAGTGCGCAGACTCATACGTCTCGCGGTGGCTCGGGTCAAAGAGGTGCCTGAGAAATACATGTGTATAAGTAACCGTCCTGTACATAATCAGGGCTGCAGGCACACTCACGGCAGACACAACGGGAAGACGTCTGCCTTGATACGCTCGTCGCTCAGCACAGGTACGAGCTGCTCGATACAAGCCAGGGCATATGCCTTTTTCGCAGGTGGGACGGCTACATAACGCGGAATAAGAGCTGAGAATCATCATCGGATCCGGACAAACCCCACCTTCCGCTCCCTTGAACGTGTCAGATAGATCGAGCACGAAGTGCTCGCTCTCCACCGGGCTCGCCGACAGAACGTCGAGCGCCATGTAGAAGACCCTCTTGAGCTCCGCAAATCCACCTTCCGAGGTAGAGGTGACACCGCCGAATTGCTGTATCACAAAGGACAGGTGCGAGAGTGTGCTGAGCGCGGTCGCAGAGAGCGAGAACGGAGAGAGATCCCCCGATTCGTCGGACGGCTCGGGAGCGGTGGAGAGCCTTGTGGTCGGATGGGGGACATATACAACGGTGGACAAAACGGACTGCGTGATCATAATAGTCATGAACAGCTCGGTCTTCAAGATGGTCCATACAGCCGTAGTCAACTCGCGAGACTCGGGCGCTGATATTCAGAGAGCGTCATGCTGGCGGACGGCAGCAAAATGATGAACGGATACTGACCAATATCGTTCTCATCTGTGACAGCAGCGAGCGGACAGACGATCCAGTCCGCTTCAGCCTTCTGCGCGATTGATTCCATTCTCCACATCGCCTGCGCCATCACTGGCCACCCTCGTAGCGGTCGGGACTCTGCGAGCACCGATATTACGAGTGCACAGAACCTGGAGAGGGGGCCCATGGAGGAGAGATACTGGGACGCTGTGATGGCGCGAATATTGTGCGCAAACAGAGAATTCGGCTAGGAGGAGAGTAGGAGATCAGCTTTGATAGCACTGAATCCGTGCATTGTCACGCACTGCGAGCACCAGTTTGCCATCCTTGTCAGTGGAGATGGAGGAGGATACACCGGAAAGAAACGTCCCCTGTTGGAACGTAGACTCGATGGTCGAGGCAATTAGGTCTGCTAGTAGCTGCCATGATAGGTTACAAGGGGTACACGGAGGAACACAATGAACCATACAGGTAGAGGTAGCGTCCTCAGTCTGGGAATGGATACCAAAGGAACAAACTCCGACGAAATCAGGAGAGTTAAAGAGAGTGGATCTACCAGAATAAATCAGGTAAGCCCTGTATTTCGCGCACATAGAACAAGTAACACGAACCTTCACTGTCCTGCCCTTCTGACCTAAAGTCCTTCTCCCAATCAGCCGACGACTCCTTGCGCGAGTACGTGTCGATGACTTCCGCCAGAGCAAGTACGATCTCTTCCTCCACCTCCTTGCGCATCTTGCCCTCGCGCACATGCAACACACCGTCCAGATCCTCCATGCCGAGCAGCAGGCCCCCACAACACACGAGGCGCATGACAGGGTGCCCGCCGCGGAGGCCCTCCAGCACCCACCCGACCCACTCCGTCGTCCGCGCGCCGACGCCGCGCACGAACACGCCGCGCGACTCGGCGCGGAGGAGCCCGACGCGGATACGCAACGCGTGCCGAAGGGCAGTACAGAGCGCGGCGAGCTTCGCGTGCGCGAACGGGCGGAAGAGCGGGCTGCCGACGAGCGTGCCCGCAAGCGACGTCGGGGTCGGCTGCAGGTGCGCGAGGTAGTGCGCGAGCGAGGCCTGCACGGTCGCGAGCGGGAGCGTGCTTGTCGGGCGGTAGAGGTGGTTTAGCAGGTAGACGTAGCCGCGGTCCGTCATCTATCTATGTACCTGCGTAAATTAGTGCTCGTAGGTGTGCTATTTGTGATGCTTTTCAGCTTTCTGGGTGGTCTGCAAGTCGCTGAACATTCGAGGGGACAGACTAGACAGGCGCAGGGCGAGGAGAGCATGCCTGCATGTATTAACTTAGATACTTTCCGAAATGGTAAAGCCTAACTGGCACGTGCCCATTAGCATCCTGGTTATTTATATTTTCGGAGATGAGTCGGTCTCAATAGTACCCGCTGTGAGACCGTCTGGATCCAACTTTCATGATGAACAGATGACCAGAGACCGTCTTCCAACTTCACGATGAACAGATAAAGAGGTGCACAGCAACGTCCACCTGTTGAAACATCGGAGTCGGAGATGAGTCAGTGTGACACGTCACAAACCTCACGTGTTTTGATTCAAAACCACCGTCACGATAGCTATATGTGGGACGTATAACCGTCGGACTTGGAATTATGGCTCACAACGCATTTGAACGCAAGACATTGCAGACGTAATGGAGAGTAAGTACCATAGAACGTGTTTCCGACACGATGACGCCACAAAGCAGGCAGGGTCGGGTCAACATCGCCTATTCACAGGAGGTACTGCCGAAGATCTGACGTCTCAAACAAAGGGACAGGGACATCGCGAGTTAAATGAACGTGAAACTCTGCAGAAACAACACGCGGCGGAACGGCGAACGGATCACGATGGCATTGAAAGGCGCGGTGCACGGTCGCAGGGTGCAGGGCACGGTCCAATACGGCAGAAGGCTTGAAGCTTTAGAGGAACTAGAAGCTGAAGAAGCTGGCTGTAAGTGAAGTGGGCACACCGGCGCGAGGCATGACGCCGGGGGTGCCGCGCGCACGGTCCAGGGCGTCGCGCAGAATAGGGAGAAGGCAGACTTGGCGAGAGATACGGCCGCTGCAGGCCGTTACGCCCGCTCGAGCGGGCGCGCCGGGACCAGGCTCCGCGAAGGACGAGAATTATCATTTTTTACAGAGTGACGTTTGATCACGACAGCCTTGAAGATTAATTGACGAAGCCACCTCGGAGCCGCGTACGTACTGCAGCACATCGTGACACGCGCATATGGATATCAGACTCGGCATGCGTGTCGGAAAAGTGGGTAGCGCGCATTGATATGAGCAGAGCGCAGACAGATGGTTGCTGTCCAGTGTCCGGAACGGACTGCGCAGACGAGGACGGCGGTCAAACCCATCTGGATGGGTTCCTGTGGCTCTAGGTTGGAGGGTACCTGGTGGAAAATGTTTCGCTATGACTTGGTGGTCGGGGGTAAATTCGGTTGGTGAGCGAAGGTGTCGGGGTTAGTTGGCGTAGGCTTCGAGTCTTGAAGAGAAGATTATTTAAAGCGAAAGTCGAGCAGAGAAGGATTGAGGGGAAGACGAGCACATTTTTCTGGGGTACTTACGGACTGGGATACGCGTGAGAAGAGGCCGGAAGCATTGCGACCGCGTGAGCAGCAGTGCGGCGTCGACAGGGCTCGCGCTGGGGACGACGACGGCGACGAGGAGAGGGAAGTATATTCGCGAATTTTGAATGGATTGTCAGAGAAAGAAACGTATTCGGCAGGAAATGAGGTAATAAGATGAATATATTTGGCCGGGGAAGGGCCGAGTCGTGGTGTGTTGGAGGAGAGACTCCCAGGCTCGCCTTTTCTCTGATGTCGACTCTGTCCGTTCTCCTCTGCTGACCGCCCTTCTCCCGTCGCCAGCTCCTTCTCCTCCTCGTCCACTTCCCCGGCGACCTTCTCCCCTCTTCCTCATCGCCCATCCTGGAGAATGCGAATCAGTGCCCGCTCTTATCCCACCCATTTTCCCCATCGTGTTCCACTGATTGCTCTCCCTGTGCCCAAGCCCTCTCTTGCCGACATATGTCATCGAGCTCACGAACCCTTACTCCCGCCTGGCCAGCACAGACCCCATCATCCAGCTCCTCTTTTCCGTCACTAAAACGGAGGAGACAGCTGGACCACAGGTCGTCCTCTTCGACGCCCTCAGATCGGGTCGACCGCCACGCGCGTTCCCCACATTTTCTCTCTAGAGACGATATTGCAGATCAACAGCAAGTCGGTGTGTATCAGTTTTCTCGCCTTCCTCACCCTCTCCAACGCATCAGTATGCCACTGCTTCCCGCCGCAACGCGTTACGTCGCTGCCGCTCCATAGCCAAGCTTTCTGACATTTGTCGTCATCCACAGCCGCTGCTAAGAATACATGTGAGGACTCACCTAACAATGTAATATCGTGCTGGCCCTTGGAGAACACCACCGTGCCGCAGCACGAGTGGGCGACCTTCGTCTGTAAGCACCACCGTAACCATCCTGGCTCCGCAGCGTCTAATTTTTTCGTTGCAGGGAACAGTCGCCTCCCTCAGTATGCACAAACCAATCTGGTCAATATCTATCTTTATCACGGGGATTCGCAAGAACTAGTATTTTCCGAATTTAATATCGCCAACCCGACAAACCAAGCCGGGTCATACCCAGCGCAAGTCAACGATACGTGGTTCGGGGCGCGTGGAGCGTCATGGAATGGCGATAACATCTCTTTCCCCATGTACTGGATAATCACCTCGAACACCAATCCGTCAGACCAGAGCCCTTTGCCTCAATCGACGTTCACTGCTGTCCGTGAGTGTTTCATCCTTGTCTACTTTGCTGATCGATTACTGACGGCGCGCTTAGAGACAACATATGCCGATTCTGTCGTCGCCTACATGTCCTCTACCTCCGCTGCTGCGGCGTCCTCAGCATCAGCGGCGTCTGCGGCGTCCTCGGCGTCAGCAGCATCGGCAGCATCGGCAGCATCAGCGTCAGAAGCGTCCGCTTCTTCCGCTGTTGCGGCATCCCGCTCAGCAGCGTCCGCTTCATCCCTTGGTGCGTCGTCAACGGTGTCTGGTGCACAGTCATCCACTAGTGTCGCCGGCTCGGGATCTGTACAGTCCGCCTCGAGCCCGAATTTCCCGCATTGGGCGATCGCGGTCATCGTCGTCCTCGGCTTTCTCGCGCTCGTCGCCGGTGGAACCCTCGCCTTCTTCATTACGCGCCGCATACGCAGCCGGCGTACCAGCATGCTGTCCCACCGAGGATCCATGGGCTCGTCAACACCCATGATGACCAACGCGGGTAACGCACCGCTATCGCCGGTGCTGGGCGCTACCGTGTTTGGTGGCAATCGTCCGCCCACGCCTACGGAGACCCACGAGATCCACGACGGTGCGTCGACAGTGTCGCGAGCGAGCGACACGGCACTGTTTTCAGGCGCGGACGCAGCGATCATGGCGGATGCGTTCCGGAAGGCGCTGCGGAAACCGGACTTCGCGAATCAGACGATGGAGGAGGGAGACAGCCCGGAAGATCCGAACATGGTCGAGCAGCACCCCGCCGTGCTGCTCAGCCAGGAGCTTGCAGAGGAGGGCCGGGACATTCGCAGCGTGGGCTCGTCCCGTGACGTTCGGGTGGAGACGCTGAGCGACGACGCGGCGACGGCGACGGACCACCCACACTAGCGCATGGCCCGCCCGCGTGTTCTTCTCTCTCGTCGCTCTGGGTTTGTTGGGACGGATGTCACTTGGCAAGTCACTTATTATCGGCTGATTCCCCGTTCGCATATCTGTATCGTTTTTGATGTTATTGCCCCGCTTTTCCTGGCTGTGTGCACTATTCCCCTTGTCCTCCACCTCCTTCGCCCCCGGTCGGGACTCTCTCCCTCCACGGACTCGGCCGCCATTACCGTTAGCTACGCATACTTCGTTACTTCTGCGGACCGTTCGTCGTAACCTTACATTTTCTTGGAACCCGTCGCATGCGCACGCCTTGGGCCGCAGGCCCGTCCGCTCTTTACACACCACACACCCCGCGTGCCATCCCGGCCGCCCGCCCCGTACATACGTCGTACATACTGAAGCCTGTCTGTCCTGACCTGTCACTCTTATGGCGTATGGCCCATGTCCGCTCCAACGCGCCGCCGCTGTGCCGCCGCGCCCCACGCTCGCTGCTCCCCCTTCTGTGTGAATGGTGCCGTGTGTTCGAGACGAGCGTGGGTGGTGGTGCGGGCTCCGTTCTCGGATGCGTTGGCCCAGTACCCACTCTGTCCTAATAATCGTGTCAAATACCTAGATTTTTTGGTGGCTCGTGAACCTCGTGCCCTCTGTAGTGATGTATCCTCATCGTCATCGTTCCCGGCGGGTGCTCGTGCCCTGATGACTGTATCCTCAGGCACAAGCTATTGACAAGTGCTCCACCGGTAATTGGCCCAACCGGCCATTTCGATAGGCCAACGCACACGGTGGAATGCCGTCGAGTGTAACCTCGAGGTGAATTTGAGCGGTGATATATTTCAGGCAATGAGAAGCACACCCGACTGGCGGTGGACTCGGTGAACCCGGTGCCTAGAAATTACAGGACGCCCCTCACTATACTCACTACGCTCACCCAGTCTGTGCCGACGTAAATCGTGCAGAGGCTAGAGAGAGCTAGACAGATGTCTATGCCTCAGCGTTAAGATGATAGATAGCTTTCGACATTTGCACAAACTGTAACGAACAGTCGGCGTCAGCGAACATGACAACACCTTCGTAAGTGACCAGCCACCGCACCTGGGCACCAAGCGACTCAACAGCTCGCAGCACGAGATCCCTCCGGACCAAGGCGCCGCCCAGCACAAGCGCAGAGGCGACCGCTCCGAGCGTTGCGAACCCGATCCACCTCTGATACGCCTCCCACCGTGCGCCTCCCACCACGGTGTAGTTCCCCCACGCAGGGCTGCGGAGCAACCACCAGAACTGTAGGATCGAGCCGGGGAAGATCCCGAAGTTCTTGCCGTTGCCGCCCGTGCGATACCACGAGTGGCACAGCATCCAGTCGCTCCCCGCGATCTTGGCCTGCAGCCACGCGTTGTACGCGTCGCACGCGCGTGCGGTCACCTCGAACGAGGAGGCGAGTCCCCGGACGACCGGCGCAACGAGCTGGATCGCGTAGTTGATCTGGATGCAGGGCGTTAAAGCGTATCACCAGCATGAATGCGCCGTGCGCACCTCCACCTCGTGCGTGAAGATATACGACGTATTCGGCGTGGTTGTATTTGGACCTGCCATGACGCGTTATATATAGATTCATATTGACCAGTAGATGAAATCTAAGTTACCTCCAATGATGTAGAAGTTCGGGAATCCTGGCACAGTGACGCCACGGTAGGCGGTCGGACCGCCATGGGCGGCGCTGTACTCTTGCAGCGTTTCTTGCGTCCCTTTGATAGAGACAGGGTGCGTATCCTACCGCAACTACGTCAATAGACCAATCGAACGTGCAGGCGTAACACTTGCAGTTGAGAACCCGGTACCGAAGATAATGACGTCGAAGGGGATAACCTCTCCTAAATTTGCACAACTCGGCGACAAACACGCTGGAATGGGAGGATGCGCCGCGCACCCGTCTTAGTGAGGATCCCATCCTCGGTAACCTCGGCAATCCCGTCCCAGTTCAGTGAGATGTTCGGACGATGCAGAGCTGCTAGATATCCTGGGTCCATCACTAGACGTCTACATGCCGCGGCTTCAAGGACCAGAGTCTCAGGGTTCCCATTCACATCTCACCCTGTTTAGAACACGCACGGTATGTCGGTATCAACTTGTCATGATACTGAGCAGGCGCCCTCTGTTTGATAAGGGCTGTCGAGACCTGCACTCATCGTTGGGATGTGGACAAAGGAGTTGATAGTTGACACTTACCTCTTCTACATGGGCTGTACCGCGCAGACGCCGTAGATATGGCGGAAGAATGTAACCCTATACCAGCATCATCAGTGCTAATGAGACTTTTTGGGAATAGCCAAACACACTGTGATGACTAGCCAATTACGATACAGTCGCAGAGTGAAGGGTACATGCGCGAAGATCCATCTCTGACGATCGGAGATGGGAGTGATTTTCTGCACGTTCGTAAGATCAGCATCTACTCCAAGGCGAAATCTGCCATACTTACAAGGTCTACGAACCAAGAAGGCGTCTGGCAGAAATTCACCATCTGTACCGTAGAGTCTTCCAGTAGGATGGGTATGAACTGCGCGCTGTAGTTAATGTGAATGAGTGCCCCTGTAGTCTCTTCAAACACAGATACGTACGCCGACGCCCCACATCCTACCACACCTACGCGCTTGTTGTGGAAGTCTACAGTATGGTCCCAGCGCCCGGAATGAAACAAATCACCCTTGAACTTGTCCAATCCCCGCAATCCCGGCGGGAAGATGGGGTCCATCAAGTATCCCACGGCAGATATAAGGATTTGTGCTGTCGTGAATGTCCTGGTGCTGGAGCGCACATCTTCGAGTTTGATGTTGTACAGCTGCTTCTCGGAGTCCCATCCCGCGGACACGACCTTCGTGTGGAACACGGTGTGCTCGTACAACGCGTGCTTTCTTGCGAAGTGTGTCCAGTACTCCTGGAGCTCAGATCCTGGCACGCAGGTCGATGTCCAATTCGGGTTCAGTTCCGTGGACAGGCTGTACCAGTGGGAGGGCGTGTCAGAATTACATCCCTGCGTTTGTGCGTTGAGCCCATATGCTGATAGATGGGCGTAAAACACACCGGATACGTGTTATCCTACGGGCCTGATCAATTGGTTTGAACGCGTGAAGGACGTGCAATATAACGCACCCTCCACGTCCCACCAATTTCTGCTGCTTTCTCGTATATCTGAAGAGGATGAGCCGAGGGGCATAATAGCAACTGCAGATCGTGTTCTTACAGTAAAGTCTTCGAAGCCGAGTTGTTGCTTCAAAGCAATGCCAAACGACAATCCTCCCAAACTGTGAGCGCATTTCATATGCTTCGTATCCTCTGTGCAGATGCAATCGTACATAATATCTACTTACCCTCCACCGATTATGGCAACCCTCGGTCCTCCACAACTGCTCTTCTCCTGGATCGACATGTCGATGGTGAGAAGTCGGACAACAAGTCCACAGAGTAGTTCCGAGCGAAATTAAATTCCTGGGTAGCCATCATCGTCCACGTCCACGAAGAAGATAAGCTTGGGTTGAGATATCAGCCGGACGACCTAGAGGTCTACGCGGGCACGCAACCTCGCGCAATTGGACTCGCGCTATCACGTGCTGGAGTAATTGACGCGTCCCTCGCGTGTTCATTGTGCACCGTGTCTGGATCGACAGAAACTTTAGATGGTTCAATGAATCTTTCGCGGCTCTGGAGAACGAGAGATGGGATTTCCAGTCGTCGCGACATTTGAAAATTTGACGAGGCGGGAAGTTTTCAGAACAGTGTCTCTCGCGACACAATGCATGAAAATTAGCGGTGCCATCTTAGCGGGCACCTGTAACAGTATGGAACAAGATGAATGTTAGTAACAGACAATGGAAAGAGCGTGTGGTCTATACTACAATGCCACGTCCGGCGACCAAGACCATCTAGTGTGCATACGATGATACAACCGTATGTCATGCGTACACCCGAAAAATAACTTCCTGTCATGACCCCTCGGCTTCTCTTGCGCTGAGGTATCGCATTACCAGCTCATAGCTAGTTAAGAACGGCGCATGAGTACAAGGATTAGTTGTGTAAGTGGTACACTCACGTTAGCATCGTAACAGCACTATTTGGTACAGTGCGGACTAGATTAACAGACAAACCCCGATACAGCCCTCTCCAACCCTCATGCACGATGATATTCTTCGTTGTCTGTACGATCCCCGCTGGTGGGTATTGCGATACACTGCCATTTTGTGACCCATTCGAGACCAGCGGTCTCTTCTGTGTTTGCAATCGCGTCCGCACGACTTCGTGTGGGTATGTTGCAATGGATGCTGTCATCTTCGAGATGGCGGAACAAAAAAGAATTTTCCGTGGTGGTAGCGGATCATTCGATCCCTCGTCTGTGAGCAATCATGTCGTTATCAGATAAATTTTAAAGGGAACGAAAACTGTTGCACTCACGAGCCCACCGCTTCAACTGTTCGTACAAGGGAAACTGGACAGCGACATGCGCTATGCCCATTAGGCTCGGGAGGAGACCACGAAAAAAGGCTCGCCAGCCTTCCGTCCGATAAATAGTCAATGCGGCATCCAGTGTATGTCGATACCTAATTTCTTGCCGTGGTTGAGTCTGGACACATCAATTTGCATCCAATGGTCGAGGGGAAGTGCGAGTGCAGCGTACCATAAATCGAGTCTTGATGACCCACAGCGGATTTGTGCACATTGTGCTTGTAGCACCTGCAGTCATCGCCGACAGAATATGCAACGACCAGGGATGCTCTCGCGTGACAGGTTGATAGCCTTTCGCTTGCGCAGCAGGGTATAATTGTCGTGGACTCCCCAGTGGCTTCTCCCCGAAGTAGTCCTTGATCCCATCGTATACAGCAAAGTATATTGCCCACGTTGGGAGGTAGCCAATAATTGTCGGACCAAGACCACGATACATCCCGCGGATGCCGTCATGCCTGAGGATGGACTTGACGGTGCCTGCATATGAGATGAGATAGGACGTTAAATCTTCATTGGACTGCTGCTGACAGGTCGAGTGAACGCCTCACCGACTACGCCCTTGTATCCCTTCTGCCCGTTAATCGCCTGTTGTGCCTGAAGCTTGGTCTTGATCACATCCAAAGGGCATGTCGCTACGCTGGCAACGAGTCCGCCCCCCGCGCCAGCTACAGTGGATTTATTGTCCAGTGTTCAGGACATAACAGCCAGGGATACTGAGATGCAGGCTCACCGAGCATGCTGGTTGCGCTCGACGGCATCGCTCGAGCTTGCGGCCGCGAGGGTGTGCTGTTCAGGCAGTCGCGCTCGACTTCAAGTTGGACAGAAGAAAAAATGTCGACTGAGGTGTTATATGTATATTGGACGTGATTTAGCCGGCGGGGCACAAGACCTGCGACATCACTGGCGGGCAACCGGTTCTTCCCGCACAGCGCTGTTTCTCTCCAAACAAATTCGGCTTTCGAGTCTGTGGTAAAGACCATGCAGTACATCTACATGACACAAAGCTAAACCAAGTCCAACGGCGACAATCCCATAATTTTTGAGTCGGAAGCAGCGAGATGACTGTGCGGCTTTACACAAAAGCAGATCACATGCTGTCCTCACGTGAATATTGTGGTCGTGGGCGCTTCCCGGACTTGCCAGTTGCCTGCTTCTCGGTCATCGTTCAGCTGGTTCTCATTTGCGCAAGTACGGCGGATAATTGGCGTGCTATCACCGCCATACGTAATTTCAGTTATGTCTGTATCTACGACCACGAGACGGGTGATATTGGACGGTGAGTTTTAGTATCAATGGCGCATATCATAGACTTGTGCTGAAGACGCTTGTGTATCGATCTCAGTGGTGTTATTTGCTGCTTCTCAAGTGCGTTCATTTGTCTTCTGCTAGAGGGTCTCAACTAAAGGCAATGCAAGGTAGCGTTATACTACACCGTCCGAGTAAGTCACTGGTGACTGTGCAAGAATTCCTGAAACTGATACATGGGTAAAGTGGGTTATGGACGGGTTTATGCCCGGGGAGAAGAAGGAGGTGAATGCAAAGAGTCTAAAAGCTTTGGAAAAGATGGGGCATGTGGACCTCAAGCTGGACGAATACGAAAGTACGTTTCTATCTATATATGCTTTCGTCGGCTGACGGTTACTATCGGTGCACGCAGAACAAATAGCATCTGAGGTCATACATCCGGACGACATTGACGTGCAGTTCTCAGACATCGGTGGTCTGGAGCCGATCATCTCGTCCTTGCGCGAATCGGTGATATACCCTCTCGTATACCCTCACCTCTTCTCCTCGTCCTCGCTTCTAGGTGCGCCGAAAGGTGTGCTATTATACGGACCTCCAGGATGCGGAAAGACCATGCTCGCGAAGGCTCTTGCAAGGGAGTCGGGCGCTACGTTCATAAATATTGCGGCGTCTGTGCTGACCAACAAGTGGTACGGCGAGTCCAACAAGCTCGTGGCGGGGCTGTTCTCCTTGGCCCGCAAGACACAGCCGAGTATTGTATTCATTGACGAAATTGATTCGTTCTTGAGGGAGAGAACGAAGGGCGACCACGAAGTAACGGGAATGATGAAGGCAGAGTTCATGACGTAGGTTGTTCCTGTGCCGCAGTATTGGGCGATAGACTCACCTGTTTCTCAGATTGTGGGACGGCCTGACTTCGAGTACGGATCGGATATTGGTCCTTGGCGCCACCAACCGACCAAATGATATCGACTCTGCAATCCTTCGACGAATGCCGAAGCGATTTTCTGTCGGTCTCCCTGATTTGGACCAGCGGCAGAAAATTCTAAGCCTCGTGAGTACCCTTGTGTAACTCATGTTGCACCTTTTGTCAACGCGTGTCGTAGATGCTCACAGACACTGAGCTGGACCCGAGCCTGTCTCTGCGTACATTGGCTGTGGAGTTGGAAGGGTTGTCGGGCTCAGACTTGAAGGAGTTCTGTCGCAATGCCGCTATGAGGCCAATGCGGGAATTCATACGTGAAGCAGACGATAAACAGGAACTACTCGACCGATGTAATGAAGAGGTATGTTATTATGATCGTTCATTCATCCAAATCTCAACTGTGCACTCCTGTAGGGATTCAAGCTACGACCATTGACATTCGAAGACTTCTTCCATTCTGACAATACTAGTTCGTTGGCGTCGACGATAGTGGAGGAAGTCTCATGATAACGTCGGATTACAAGCACAACGTTGACGCCGTCGAATGTTAATGGAGCTCACGATTTAGATGGCTCTAAGGGAGCTTGTATCCGTATTTCGTATGATAAATCCTAACTAGTTATCTACAGCGCTTTGCAAGTATATGCGGAATCGTCGTCGATGGATTTTTGGCCTCAGGCGCCCCGAGCTTGCCCCGAGCCCAGGACCCCAAACTGTTGTAGTGGCACGTTACTACCGGAAGTCTAGCGGAGGATACCGGGAGGGCCATCGGTGACGCGAATTTCCCAAAAGCAGTTGTCCGAGGCATGCCCGAAGCTTGTCTAAGCTCCTGCATTAGGATGCCGTAGAAATCCCACGTGGGGCGATTGGTTGATGAGACACTCTGGGCACGGTCTCTCTGGTTTTGGCTAGGCTCGGACTCTCGGACCTGATCAATTGGGCAATTTACTGGTGGCTGCAGTGGCTGAGCGGTTTCGGGTCCTGAGCTCGGCGCAAAATCCATCGACGACGATTCCGCATATACTTGCAAAGCGCTGTAAGGCAACGTGAATCTGCACGGATGGGAAAACTATGACGCGTAAGTCTCACGGCCATGGCTGCCAGTGCCGGTGTCTTGCTCATGCAGCATCATTGAGGGGCCAGCACAAATGTCACCGTCTGCCAACTTAGATACGTTTCGTCGGGTTTTACACCGGAGCAAGAACATCGTCGCCATCGCAGGCGCAGGGCTTTCCGCCGCTTCGGGTGATTGAGACGTATTATTACGATATTAAACTAATTCCACCACTGACGACGATGTACAGGCATCCCCACCTTCAGAGGGGATGGAGGACTGTGGAGGTCCTATGACGCCATGCAGCTAGCTACACCCGAGGCATTTCAGGAGAATCCAAGCAGAGTGTGGCAATTCTACCACATGAGACGAGAGAAGTAAATCAGCCCGCTCTATTCGTCCTCCCGATCACAGATCTGTTGCACCGTATCATTGTTTTAGAGCACTGAAGGCACAACCTAACGCCGCTCATCTCGCATTGGCGACGCTGGCGATTCCCGAACGCCTTAGAGTCATAGCCCCCCATTCCACATTCACGCTGATCACTCAGAATGTCGATGGTCTGAGTGCCCGAGCACTCGAGGATGTCTGCAAAGTCGAGGGTATCACCGCTGAGAGTTCCCTCAAGGCGTCAAGCTTGTTCGAGATGCACGGCCGCCTCTTCGAAACGATATGCACTGTCTGTGATGATAGGATGGCAAACCACGACAGCCCTACATGCCCAGCACTCGCTGGGACGGAGCTAATCATGGAGCAGCATGCAAAAGAGCCTGAGATACCCATGGACGACCTTCCGCGCTGCCAAAAACCGGGCTGCGGCGGGCTGCTTCGGCCTGGTGTCGTATGGTTCGGAGAGGTCCCGCACCACTTGCAGGAAATTCAGGAGGTTATCGATACCGCTGACCTGGGACTCGTTGTTGGGACCTCGTCCACGGTAAGATTCACAGGCTGCGCGAGAAGTTATTGAAACATGACCGATCGCAGGTATATCCCGCCGCCCAATATGCTTGGGAGATAAAAGCGCGTGGTGGAAAGGTTGCCGTCTTCAACATAGCTCGCAGTGACGGCGATAATGATGCTGATTTTCTCTTCCTGGGACCTTGCGAGGAGAGATTGCCTTTCGCTTTGTTCGGAGTGAATATGTAACAGGCGTGACGGTGAAGCAGACGCCTTCTGCGTTGCCCACTTCTCCGATAGTCCCACCAGGTCCCACCGCCGCTAGCACTGCGGTACTTTGAAAGTTAGCATGGCTACACCGTTCTTACGTATTTGGAGAATCGCTGTACATATCGAGAGTCGCACCAATATTTTTTTCGCAACTGTGTAATATTTTCAAGTACTCTGACCTCCTGTAGAGTGCATTCATGAATACACGGGGCAATCGTCCAAAAATGCATCGTCCTATGATGCACAGTCCAAGAATTCATCTTCGGCATTTCTAGTCGTTTTCTACTAAACTCATCCCAGAATACCAATAATCACGACCACAAGTCCCACCGCAAACGTCATACAAGACGGAGCAGATGGAGCGCTCGACGCTGCGTTCTTAGTATTGCTGGAAGCTGGCTTCGTGCTGTTCGCAATGGCGAGCAGGTCCGGGCAGTCTGGGGCAACCAGTATGTGGCCATACGTGCTTGCCATCCAGAGTACCACACCATTCGTCCACCCGAATCCTGCCTGCAAACAATCCTTGTTGGAGCGTGTCATTAAGTCGATCCCGCGCAAACTCACTTGAACAGTGTACTCTCCGCCACTTCCGGAGGAGTCGACGTCGCTGATCGAGAACTTTTCGAATATCTAAGGTTGATGTCAGTTGCATTGATCGCTGGGCAGAGAGCGTGCACTCACGTTGCCAGTATTGTTTATGCTCTGGGTGACATTCAACTCCGCATCCGATAGCCGCGGCAATACACCAGGGATCGACCCGCCAGTTGCATGCCTATAATATAGACATTAACCTACTGTGACAAGAGTGAAGCAAACCACTCACCAACTGCACAGTGCACTGGCGAAGTAACGGTTCGCCAGCTCCCTCTGCAACGTCGCTGCCCAGCCTTCTCCCGACGTAGCATTTCCGCCGTTCACGACCGTGCCGTTCAGAGTACTCACGTCAGCTGAGGGACCAGTCTTCGTGGCATTCCCGCCGGTCCCAATCATAGGTTGTCCAGGCAGTTCGTCCTCGGATAAGCCAAGCTGCCCGGACGGAATGAGGTCGTAGGTGGACTGGTTACCGGAAGGTGTGGGCAAACCCGCGGCGGCAATGTCAACTGGGAGTGAATTGAGGGCCTGAAGCGCAATGTACTGATGCGGAGGCCAGGCGTTCGGAGCGTCCCTGCGTAAAGGAATACGTAAGTTATCCACCCACACGTGGACGCAAAGCATGTACCATTGGAGTCCGGATTCCAAGAAGGTCACCGGCATTGTACCGTTGTATCTGTTCATGACCATATTGAGAGCGGCGAAGAGGCCGAACGCGCTTGCGTTCGAATTGAGGACCTCGTCAGGAATGATACCGTTCCACAGAGGATAAAAGGTGGCCGTTGTGTAGATGCTGTTGCGGCTTTGCGAGGTGAGATTGAAGTCGTAGAAGGCTAGCTTAGATGGTTCCCAGAAGAGATCGAGGATACCTGCTCGGAGCTGCGACGCCGTCCAAACGTGAGAGGACGCCAACGAAGAGTTACTGTACCCTCCCGACGAATAAAAGTTCGCAAGAATACTATGCGCCTTGTCTGGCACGCTTCATTAGCTTCTAAACGAGATATAAGAGCCAATGGAGACTCACAAAGAATGCTGTTGAGACAAATGGGTATGTTGTTCTTGACATTGAGAGCGCGTAAGGCAGTATTAGTATCATTGGAACCACCGGCCAACGGGTATTTGACGAAGCGAGAAGAGTAATCCCAACCGGTTTCCGCACCACTGGCAAGCTCCGAATATAGCTCTGCACGTTCACTTTCGTTCAGAGGAACACTCAGTGTAGGATCATTAGCGGTCAAATAATCTAAAAACAACCAGCGTCGGGATGAGCTACGCTAGGAATGCCTAGGAAATACTAACCAGTGATGTACGATTCTGGACGAGGAGCACTGTTGTTTACAGCGTAATGCGCCATGGAGTATGTCTGATTGGTGTACGGGCTGGTCACATTCAACGTGCGGTTGCTTGCCCACCAACTGAGCTCTATCTGAGAAGTAAAATTGAGCACCGTTGCACATTCTTCACTACGAGCGCCTACCTCAGCCAGTGGGAGGGCACGAGCAAGGATGGCGGTATCATTCGTTGCGGAGACATAGTCCGATATCATCTGTAAGCGAGATTGGGAACGAATATCTAGGGCAGCTAAGTCTTAGATCCACACTTACACGGACGAACAACGGAGGCTGTGAGCGGTCCAGATCTTGTGCAGACACGTCAATATCGTTAGAATACTACGGGGGCTCTAACCCTTACAATAGATTCGCCCGCCGTTCGGAATAAATCCGAACAGCTCAATCTCGTCCATGAAGTTTTGCAGAGTATTGTTCGCGATATCGTACAGCTGCGATTGAATCAATCCCTGTATAATCCAATACGAGTCCCAGTAGTCTGAGGAACAGACACTTTAGCCATTGCATGCTAACACTAATGGTATACACTCACATTGCTCCCGGAATCGACCGCCAGGTATGACGAACGTGTGATTCAATGGGATGAAGCTGCTCTCACAACTTCCGCTTTCTGTACCTTCCGGGCAGAGCGCAGAGTCGTTAGTCGACCTTACGAGCTGCGTCCAAAATCCGTGCACGGTTTGCGTCCAGGCCTTCAACAGGGGATCCGTTACGTTGTCCAGAAATGGCGGGGAAGGATTGAAGTTTGGCAGCTCGACCCCCTCGAGCTCCAATCCTTCGCCACGGAAGTCTTTGTCCATGAAATTCACGATGTCACCTTCCGTGATGTTCCCGCTTGCGAACGCTTTGAAGTCTGCAACAACCTGCTGCGACGTTTCCGATGTGGGTTTGTCCACGATGGTTTTGGGGTCGCTGTATACTTCAGCCAGGTTGACAGTCTGCAGTAACTACTCCAATCGACGCGTCTGAGTATTAACGTGACTGTCATTAGAAGAGATAAACGTACAGCTCCTGCGCAGAATATGTTGCTTGGACACCATGGTTGCACGGGTGGCAAGGGGATCTGAGAAGGTAATACAGCCGAGGGCGAGCCAGAGGCGCTGGCTACTGCAGTCGAAATAGAGACCACGGGCACACTGGTACTCTCTGAGGGAGGTGCAGTCGCGCTAGAGGCCACCTGGGACAGTGCGTAAACAAGTCGAGAAATACACAACGTCGAGAACAACGCTGCCGTCAACATCTTGAACGACTTCGCACCTCGCAGCTTCCCGACCGGCCGCTCACCGTCGTCGACTTCGTAAAACGGGGTGTACGCAGAAGATTTTATAGCCGCTGCTCGTGCCGTTCCCCATCTTCCCTAGCGCTCATAAAACATAGGTCTGCTGACCCTTTGGCAATTGATGTGGACCGATGATCAAGCGGAGTAATTGCGCAGAGCTTTTGTGTGGAGGACATCTTTCAGGCTGAGCGGATTTGCTATGGGCGACGTGGAAGGAACTACGTCCAGGTTACTGTATTGCTGCTGTAGGGATTCTGATCGTGCGTTTGGGTCGCGTCAAGAAAAGAGATTCCAATTCAGATTGTTGCCATATTCAACTCAGGCTTTGACGAGGTCGTGACTCTGCAAAAACTCTCATCTGACAAATTCAACGGTTCTCGGTGGTTTCTAACAGTATTGCGATGTCCTGCTTTAGTTCACTCGCGATCGCATGTACGATATTGAGGCACTAAGTACTACTAGAATATGAAAACATGTGGTAAAGTTGAACGTTTGAACAATCAAGCTGAGAACGACAATTGGATTCTGCGGATCCAAGGTGGTCGATGATGGAAGACCGTTGCACTCACCTTCAACGCAGCAACGAACTGCCCATCCTGTTGGAGCGAAGGACACAGCGCAGTGAAAATTGAGCTGGTACATAGGCATGACCAAGGGTGACTTTACTTAGGTCTAAGGTGGCTGGGGAGTCAGTTTGTCCGGCGACTCAGCGCTCAGTGGCACGTGGGCTTCGGTGACCCATCAGGACCTGAACGTTCTGAACCGGACAACGTACAGGTCGAACTGCTGTCATCTAAAATTGTGCACGCACCTTCTGCGAATCAGGATCAGATAGCATGAATTGTGCCACTTGCTCCGAGAGTCGTACAGCCTCAGCCAATATAAATCGGCATACGAACAATGATGTATTTACTCACCACCACTGACACTGCGTTCAAGGAAGACACGACTCGGAGCAGCACACCCCATGAAGTCAGGGAGAAGAATCTAGTTACACCAAGACCTGGTGGGTCATCCTCCATCACGCGGAGGCGCACGAGTCAATGTAACTCAAATGGCAGAAAACATGGCGACTTAGCGTGCAGGCGTGCAACCATCCTCTCGCAACTCAAAAGGGCATTGATGGGGTGAGACAACCTCATAGAAGGTACCACAAAGAAGTAACATCATCTACATTGCCATGGGCTGATCGAATATGCAACTCACGACACAGGCTGAACACAAAGCACTCGACAATCTTCGGCTCCGCCTCTTCTGGCACACAGTAGCACGCAACAACATAGCAAAATCGACGTGGAAATCTTGTACATCTTAGCAGAAAATAGCTGATACTACGCAAACGCACCTGCCCCAAACACCAGAGGCGAATTCAAATCGTGCAGCGGAGTCCTTGTGAGACATAACCACTGATTGATCAATCGACCAACATTCTCTCTGTATGGAGGCCTTCACCATACGCCATACTTTCGAAGATGATTTGTCGCCAGATGCTGATTGCGAAGTCAACTGCTTCCTCCTCCAACACCTAGAAAAAAAGGACAGATGAAAACATTCAGCAGTCGGAAGGAAAGTACACGCGCTTCACATATGGCCACGACACGCAGAACTGAAGACGCACCGGCTCAACACCCTCGATCAATTTATGAGGACCTTTGTGATCCTTGAGATGTTCTACAACGAACATGACAAGATCATCGTCCTCCAATTCTCCCAAATACTTTGTCATCTGGTGCTTGACAAGTGGTTCCAGTTTGCGGTCAATCATAACCTGTCCCAATCAGTGAGCATGCAGAGGTATGATCGGATGTTGCAAGCACCCACATCAGACAACCCATCCCACCGAACCTTCGCCTTGAACAGGGTTTCCCTGTCCCGGGGGACAGACGCTCTGATTTTCTCCAGCCTCTCCTTCGCCTTCTCACCACCTTCCGCGAGATCGAGCTTGGGAAGAGGCGCCTTCCTCTTACGTATACTCTCTTCTTCCTCCTCCTCCTCCTGCCCAAACACAGTAGCTTTCTCTTTCGGACCAGCCTCGGCCTTCGGTGCAGCGGCGGTAAGAGAGACATTCAGCTTCACTGGGGCACCATCGTCTAACAACATTCCAGCCTTCCGCTGTTCATCTTGCAGAGCCTGCATCTCATCCATTTGTCGTGCGAGGAACGCTTCGGACTCGCGGCGCAGGTTCTCTGCTTCACGTTGTTCATACGAACGCGACTCCTCGTCAGCTGACTGCTCAGCAGCAAGTCTCCGCACGCGCAGACTCCGCCATCGTGCTCTGGCGTGGCTTCAGAATCATTGACCACCTCACTTGAAGAGTGTTGATCTGCTCACCGGTCTGTGTAGAAGAGCTCGTCGCTCTCGTCATCATCCCATATTTCCAACCGTGACCGCATCTCAATTCGATCTCGCTCCTCCGCCTCCTTTGTCGCACGTTCCCGCGCAATAGCACGCTCAAGGGCCTGTATTCGCGCACGCTCTCGAGGCTCGTATCGACGCTCTCGCTATTGCAATATCGAATCAGGACTATAGCTCCCAAATATAAAATGCTTACATCTCTGTATGAATTTTCCTCGTCTCGTCTCCTCGTCTCTTTCCGGTACTCTTCCATCTCTTCGTCAGTCTTGACCCTTGGAGCAATTCTGTGATCCGGCACTGGAGATCGCGAGTCTTCTTCCGCCTTGACAAATCCAACCGGCTTACTGTACCCTTGTATGCCCTGTCCGAAACCTTGAGGTGTCTTGGAAGCCGCTACTGGCGACTCTTGCTGCCCTGACAGCTGCGGCTTGCCCCATTCCCTCACCTTCGGGCCACTGGGCGCACCCGGAACAGCAGGCGCACTCTCTTTCGCGTCTCGCATTTTCTCTCGCTCGCGTTTGGCCGCACGCTCACGAAACTGCGCAATCTCAGTCATGACAAGACCTCGCTGCGTTTCGGGCAGGTCTGCTTCCTGGAGATCGTGTAGATGAGGAGGAATGACATATTTCTCTTTGTCAATAAGCCCGCTGTTGGCCGCTTCCTGAGACTTTTTGTTGATTTCTTCAAGAAGAGTGCTAACTTTAGCTCTAGCTTGGCGCAACTGCTCCTCGTCCATCTGCAAATAACGTCAATGTTTAAAACCCGTGAAAACCTATGCGTTTCGACGCACGTCAGTCATCATTTTCTGCGCCTGATAGGCATCGAGAAACATTTTGGTCTTCTCGTCTGCTTTCACCTAGTTCATAGTGATAATTGCAAGATCAGCGGGAAACATAGAATCAGGGATATTCCGCAGTAATCTTTGGGAGAGACTAGGCCGGAACTCCGACATTATCATAAACCTGGAATCGTCCTTGGGAAACACGGCTTGAACACAAGCCCACGATACTGCTACATCATCGAAAACAGTGATAGTCATCGGTACGAGCTCGTGTGATCCGCAACGGCGAGATCTTCACAGGCCTGAATTATGTAGCATATAACAGCCCAGCGAACAGAGGAAATGGATGCGCAAAGAGAGATATCAAGATTTCTGTTCCATTTGGGTTGATGATGTGGGTACCAACAGCAAGCTGGAGGCACACGTAGATCTTCTCCGACCCAGCTTCTCACAGGAGCAGAGGGGATATATGAAAAACTCACCAGGAGCTTCTTATTTACGCAACCGTCCTCTAAGGCCGGTAGCTCAACGCCATTTAGTAGCGCCATCGCCCGCAACGCAGCATCCGGGTCCTGAAACTCAGCGAACCCAAAACCTTGAGGCTTGTTCGCTGGGGTAATGAGGCGCTTGAACGACGAGACTGATCCGCAGGCCTGCACACCAGTCAGACATACGCTCGAACGAAGGTCGTTTGACAGACTTACCCCGAGCAGTTGGTTCAAGAAACCATCGGTGATACCGCCAGATATCGAACCAATGAACAACTGCGTCGCTTTTGGCTGCGGTGGTACAAATTGCTGATGTAGCATGTGCTGCTGCTGTGCGAGAGCTGATATTGAGGGACCCTGGCCATACGAAGGCATAGGTGGACGTAGACCGAGTCCTAACCGATTCGGCATTGGCTGCATGTTGTCTCTCTTTTGTAATTTGAGGTAGACGGGATGGTGTTGTCAAAGGCCTCAGAGTTTCAGGCTAATATCCGTTGTGGGTGAGCGCGAAGAGGTCAGAAGGGATTTTACGGTCAACGCAGCGCAGACGATGAGGTCGTGAGGCACAAATTTGCGACCTGTCACGCTTACAATACATCCGTCCCTATTGTTTGTAGGCCATCGTACCGTACGTGACATTTGCTACAACGAGTTGTACCCCTAAATAACCCTTAGATTCGCCGAGGGTAAGCCGAGGGCGCTCTATTCATTGCACCCCGACATCGACTGGCCAACCTATCCCAGGCGGTCGTATGAGGAACTAGGGTGGTATCTCTAATGCTGTCGTGTTCTCTCCTCCCTGTGTCACTTTTGGCTCTCATCTTTGCTTCTCAAGCTCTTGCAGCACCGACGACTCCCAATGATCCTTTCCATGACATAGCGGTGCTCATCTCCAAACAAGCCGAACAGCCTATATGCTGTCTTCGCCCACTGGAACCGGTGGAAACGACTACAGAGGAGGGTCTGCTTCTGTCATTCGAGGATTGGAAGGCGAAACGATTTGCGGAAGACCACCAGCCTAGCGTTCACTCGCCTGCTATCTCTGGACACAGGCCACTCCCTGATGCCATGTCAGAACCTACAGGCTCTAATGGTTTGGTTGCTCCAAGTCAAGCTGAGGGTGCGGCATTGAATGCAGTTCAGCAAGAGGATAGTGGAGTACCGGACGAGCGCTCCTCCCCACATTTCCGCATACCACTCACAGATCGCTTCAATTACGCCTCTCTAGACTGCTCAGCGCGCGTTCATACCGCGCATCGGTCGGCAAAGTCTTCGTCGGCGATTCTTTCAGACAAGAAGGACAGATATATGCTCAGTCCCTGCGCAGAAGAGAAGCAGTATGTGGTGGTAGAGCTGTGTGATGACATCAGGATCGACACGGTGCAGCTGGCGAATTTCGAGTTTTTCAGCGGCGTGTTCAAGGATTTCACGGTTAGCGTCGCGAAGACCTACACTATTGATCCAGATGGGTGGACTATCGCGGGCACGTATCGAGCGCGTAATACCCGTGGCGTGCAGGTGAGTACGTTTCAACCAGGACTTAGTGGCTTGATGCTAGCTCTTACACATGATCAGTCATTCCACCCTCCGACTTCACTGCGCGACTTCTACCGTTTCATCCGGATCGACTTTCTTTCCCATTATGGCAGCGAGTATTACTGCCCCGTGTCCCTTCTACGAGTTTATGGTCTCACTCATCTCGAACAGTGGAAGTGGGACATGTGGGAAACGGAGAGCAAAGCCAAACGCTCTGCCGAGGAAGCCAGCGCATCTGTGGAGATCGCGGAGTCCCCTCAGACCGTTCATATTCCCATCGTTGAAGCCGTAAAGCCTCAGGAAGTGATGGATGAAGTTCACGCTTCAATTGCCACAGTTGCGACTCCGACACCACATTCGTCTGTGCCATTGTCGTCCAACGAGGCAGACGGAGCTTCTACCGAGAACAGCACCGCCGACAGTGAAGATGCTGTCATTCACTTTACAGAGAAAATTGCGTCGCCGCGAAGGCCATCATCCAGTTCTGGCCCCTCTACTGCAGTGGATGCAAATGGAACGGAGCCATCGGACATAGGCGTAACGACCTTCACGTCCACTGTTGACGAAAGTTTACAAACACCCGAAACAGAGGAAACACACGAAGGGCATATTTATGAGGACTCATTGTACGATACCATAATGGACATCCCTCCGGTTGATACCGCGGCACCTTCAGCATCCTCCGCGTATCTTATCCATCCACCCTCTCACTCCCCTGATTCATCCAACAATGCCCCACCATCTGTACACTTATCATCACTCACCGCCTTCTCAAGTTCTACGTCATCCATCCTCACTGTCACTGGCTCGGCCTACCCTCTTCCCCAACCACTATCGCCCGTTGCGACAGGCGGGGAGTCAGTATACCGAACTATCATGAACCGTCTGATGATGCTCGAGGCGAACACGACTCTATATACTCGGTACGTCGAAGAGCAGACGACCGGCGTTCGAGAGGTCCTGAGGCGCTTAGGCGAAGACGTTGGACGGTTGGAGGGTATCGTGAGTTGACTGGTCGCATTTCGTCCTCCCGGATTCTGCCTTGCTCATTTGTTGTCGGACCTCAGGGAAAGGCACAAGCTCAAATATACCAACGTTCTGTGCAAGATTTTGAGAACTATAGAAGGCATTTGGATACCGAATACTTCGAACTACTCTCTAAGGTGAACCACTTAGCAGATGAGGTAGTGCATCGGCCATTTATTCGTGGATTCGTATTGAATAAATATTTTTACAGGTGATTCTAGAAAAGCGCCTTGGCATTGCGCAACTGTGTTTGCTGCTCGCTGTCTTGGTGTTCATGAGTTTGACTCGGGGTTCTAGAGGGGAGCACGTTCATGGCCGACCGTCATCCATGCGTGACTGGGGTCGGAGGACGTTAAGTCTTAGCGGTGACTGGATGTCCCGGTTGAGAACTCGCAGTTCAACCCCTCCGCCTCCACAACCTCCAAGCCGCGCTCTGGATGAGTCTTTTGGTTCGTTACTTCCCACTTGCGAACAGCATTAAATGAACTCATACTCACTGTCGCAGGAATAGTCGAATTTCCCTCGCGAGCTCCACAAACAGCAGAAGAGAAGCCACTAACCTTACAAATCCAGCCAGTATCGTCGGCCCATAAGGTGGGTGCACGCCCGCGCACTCCTTTGGCGCTACGAACATCGAATTCGCGGCACAATATATTCAATCGCTCCGTGGCTCACGGAGGTGTCCATGCCTCTCCGTCCTCAGCGTTGTCGCGCCCACAGATACAGCGCTCAAGCTCAGGGCACGGTTTTGGCGGCATTGGACCCGTGCCAAGGTCGGCCAAGAAATTGGCGCGGAGCGCGCATTTGCATGAGGTGAAGAGCACAAGCGGCGCGCCAAATTCAGAGTGCAAGACGATGGACAAGAACACGGGTCATCCTTTATCGGAAAGGGCGCGGAGACCTGAAGATGTCACTGATACTTCGGTCGACATATTTAGTCCCCAGTCGCATACGGCCGTGCTAGAGACTCCTTCTGTGGACGCTGCTAGGTCAAAACATCCAGACGATCGGCATCCGCTGTCACCATTGCGCTTGCCGACTGCCAATGATTTACCGCATGGATGCGCATGCGAAGGTCCCCTTCCAGAGGGTGATACTAGTGAGGCAGACGGTTGGGTAGACACGGATGCGGATGGATCGGAATCCGAGTTGGGTTGAGACAGGCGAAGAGGCATTCGCAATGCCTAACTTTACTGGCCCTTGCTGCAATTGAGACCTCTGGATGTATATTATTACTTGGTATGATTCTTGCATATATCCCTGGACACACGCATTTGTACACTTACACCTCACTGGTCTTGGAACAGTAGATAGTATTTATGTCCACAGCTTTGGAAATCCTATGCATATTCGCTGGACGCGGGAAACAATGGTATGATATACCAGATGCGTGTAGCACGGAACATTGTCGAGAAAATGGCACCAACACAGCAAACCTAGATAGACTACAGGTGAAGTAGGGTTGAGTGGAGACGGTTTCCTCTGTGGCACGTCTCTTCCCTCTGCCGATGTGCATCTAGCTTGGTTGTCCACCTGGGTTTATACGGAGCACTACGGTCTGATGTTAGAGAACACATGAGAACAATTGCACAAAGGGTCGACGCACAACGCCAGCCATGTCCGATGCTTTCGAGTTCATGATAAGCGCGACGATGAGACCTACGCGAGTCACAGTTGGTCACCCTTCTCGCGACTGAAGTGTATCCATTACTCACCGTACAGACCCAGCACTTCAGCGAAAATGAGGATCAAAATCTAGCGGTCGCGATTGTCCTTAGTTGTCGTGTATAAATCCCCAGCTGATATGCATGCTTACCATGCCCACAAAGAGCCTTGGTTGCTGCGCAGTTCCCCGTACGCCAGCGTCACCAACAATACCGATGGCAAAGCCTGCTGCTAGTCCGGCAAGACCCACGGAGAGGCCAGCACCCAGCTGAACGAATCCTTGGAATAATGACATGTGCATAGTTACTGCGAAAGTACGTTCGTGTACCACTCGTGGACGAAGCTAACTTCACCACTCACGTTCTGCCGAGATGAGTACCGACACGACAAGACCGTAGATCTGTGCTGTCGTCAATGAGGATAGACGCGTACAACTACAGCACACTGACAGCAATGATACCAGCCATGATAACTGGGATAACACACTTCATCATTAGGTCAGGTCGGAGGATAGACATGGCAGATATGCCAACTCCGGACTTGGCTGTGCCGTAACTTCAATAAGTTGTTAGCCCTCTATTCGCCCTGGTTTCAGCCTCACGTATCTCACCTCGCGCCAATGCCTGGTAGTTCACGGCACAATGTGAACAATGAGATGCTGCGAAGCTTAGTTGTGAAACTCACAGGTAAAGACGATTGCACTGGTGCAACCCTGAAGTGACAATTCCAACGTTAATGGGCAGTACCCCCTCAGTGCTGTCCACTCACCATGGCACCGAAGAAGGGAGCATATACTGGGCAAAGATCAGACATGTCGGCTGATATGACTGCAGAGACGGAGGATGGAATCTTAGGATTTTGGACTGCCTCAACGACGACAGCAGCAGTGGGCGGGACGAAAGATGCGGCAGTTGCCGCGCTCCAACGGCGCCGCTGATCAACTTTCAAACCCAGCCAGTCTTGTAGTGTGGCACGTCGCGGTCAAGCACACGGTGCATATACTTGCTTCAGTACCACCACGTACTGACCACGCATCTGTGCCGTTTGACTGCATAGAAACTTGTTTCACCTGTATTTTTCTTGGGGGCAATCAATGGTGGAACAACGTGGCGAGTCAGCAACATTCTCCGGCGGACATGTTCGAGCTCTCTACCCTGGGCTAGCGTCGCCTAGTGCTCCCATTGCGAGCGAGCTGGAAGACATACCAGCATGCCATTCATGTCTGTCTCTCACAATTTTAATCTTACAGGTCACTCGGCGTATCGCAAATGCTTATACGCAGTGCGCACGATTCAGACGCGTGAGTCACATGATCGGCTGCTAATCACTTGACTAAGTTTCGTGACCAGCCACGACCCACTTTATAAGTTCGTCAACCTTGTTCCTTTTCTTTCGTCCTGTTCTCCTCACGTAAAGCCCTTACCCGGGCTCTGCATATCAGCGCCGCCGCCGCTACTACGTACACCAAGCCAGTTCGTCATTCCAGCATGCCTCCCACTATGAACGGAGTGAACGGAAAGCTCGAGAAAAGCTCGAAGATGCACTCAAAGGTGGTATGTATGCTGGGCAGATTTCTGCGGAGCGATGTGCTGATCGTTCGCGATACAGGTGATCATTGGGTCGGGGCCTGCGGGACACACAGCTGCCATCTACCTTGCTCGAGCGAACCTGAATCCGGTTCTGTTCGAAGGTTTCATGGCCAATGGCTTCGCCGCCGGGGGTCAGCTCACCACCACCACGGATAGTAAGTGATCTCTTTTTACATTGCACTATCACTCATGGTACGGTCTTCCAGTTGAGAACTTCCCTGGGTTTCCGTCTGGCATACTCGGTCCTGAACTCATGGACAAGTTCCGCGCACAGTCCTTACGGTTTGGCACGAAGATCATTACGGAGACCGTTGCTAGAGTCGATCTTTCCTCACGGCCATTCTGCTACTGGCGCGAATTTCAGGAGGACCAAGAGCCGGAGACAGCCGATACCATCATCATTGCGACAGGTGCCAGTGCGAAGCGACTGGGTCTCAAAGGTGAAGAAACATATTGGCAGAGCGGAATCAGTGCTTGTGCGGTGTGTGACGGCGCAGTTCCGATCTTTAGGTGAGTCTCGCCTCTTTCTTAATCGGTGAAAGCAGCATCTTAACACCGTTCTTCTCAGGAATAAACCCCTTGCTGTGATTGGCGGTGGTGACTCTGCTGCAGAAGAAGCAACTTGTGAGCGTCTGCATCCTTTGCTTGGTCACGTGGTTGCTGAGGCTCGTATTTCTGCAGACCTAACGAAATACGGTTCGCACGTCTACGTCCTTGTCCGCCGAGGAGAGCTGCGTGCGTCGAAAATCATGGCGAAGCGGCTACTGAATCACCCCAAGGTGACGATACTGTGGCACACGGTCGCGACGGAGTGCCAGGGAGACGGCGACTTGCTGAACAATTTGCGAATCAAGAACGTTATGACCGGAGAAGAGAAAGATCTGTCAGTCAATGGGCTGTTCTACGCGATTGGCCATGAGCCCGCGACCGCAATCGTCCGCGATCAGCTGCAGACCGACCCTGAGGGTTACATCATTACAGTGCCCGGTACCACCCAGACCAGCGTCAAGGGCGTCTTCGCAGCGGGCGATGTGCAGGACAAGAGGTTCCGACAGGCCATCACAAGTGCAGGGAGTGGATGTATGGCTGCTCTCGAGGCGGAGCGACTAATCGCTGAGGAGGAAGAGGGCGCCGAGGATTAGACGGGCTTTTTGCATGCATATTAGATATACTTTCTACGCGCAATACCCGGCTTTAGAACACACCACTGGCCATGGCTCTTCCTGGCTCTTCGTGCAGCACGAATTATCCGTGCGGAGTCTCCATTTTCGTGTTCTACCGTGGTTTTACTGGCGTTGGCGAGATGGGTGAACGTTGCATATATGGAGTAGTACAGTTGGATTGACAGTGGAGTCGATCCTTTACTTGTTGACGAAATATTCTTCACGGATGTGTCAACTGCAGGGAGGCGGGATAGCAACATTAATATTAATTGTCCCACCTCAGTCGGTGCCATACAGTTGAAACTCCCAAGGCAACTTCTGCCTTGGGCCTTCTTCACTGAACCAAATTCTGCGTACCCGACAGGTGGCGTAAATCTTGACGTACGACACATGAGAGTATGGCCCGCTGGGCAACAAAGCGCCTGTATTAGGCCGCCCACCGCTACCAATGCAGGGCCGGCCGTCGTCATCGGATTCTTCGTGCTCTTCTTCATCGCTACGGGACAGGGTCGCAGAGGAGAAGTATGGAAGTAACGAGGGTAAATTGATGGCGATGGTGCACCATGATGTGAGCGGGTTGGAGGATGACGGTGGGAACGACAACGGAAGATGAAGCAGCGGGGAATTCGCCAACTTCAAGCGGGGTTGTTTCTGCCGGTAAAAGGTTAGGCTACATAATGCCACACCACGCAAAGATAGCTAAAACTCAGTGCATTCAAGGTATCGCTGCAACTATTACCAGAAGTCATAGCAAAATTACAAGTGAAAGACAGCACCTGGAACGTCGAGCATCGGACGATGCCCTCCCTTCCTGCTTGATCCACGATCCCAATCTCAAAGGACCATTCTTTGCCGAGGTTGCGAACTTGTAGACAGAGCCAAGGATGCTGTATCCCAAGTTCATTGCGGCCGGAACGACCGGCGCTCCCACGGAGGGCTTCCGAGCCTGCGAGCACTGGGGGGCAACGCACATATGTCGTCCTCAGAGTGGGCGACTGAATATGGAGTACAGTCTGTGTCAACATATAATCGGGATTCGTACTGTCCTCGGTGGGATCGTCAAGTGAAGATCGAAGGGTTGCCGGAGGCGGTGGTGCCGGAAGCCTCGTGTAATCTTTCAGAAGACACATGAAGGAGTCAGACGGAAGAGAGGTGTCCGTATGAGATGAGAATAAACCGAGTGGGTCGCTTCCCGTGGACGAGAAGAGCGACACCAGGCCTGGCTGAACGGCAGAGGAGAACATGAGAGCGTGAGAAATAAGTGTGTCTACATTAGCGGCGATTTATCTAGATCTTGTTTGAGCAGATCACTTCGCACAAAGGCTACGATATCGATTGGAGTCATTGGACAGAGGGTATTTTCTGGTATGGTCTCACTGTGTACTAGTAGGACCAGGCAGAAAGAAAGGCATTAATTACTCAAGTTCTAATTTGCAGCAATAGTCAAGCAATAGTCATCGCGGATTGAGGCAGACTTGTACTAAATAATCAAGGGGTGAGGTCGTGTAATTGCTCCGCTGTGAGCAATTGAACAGGGCCCTCTTCTCCACCGTTCAAACGCATACCTGGTCTTACTCCGTTCCACCATTCTTTTGCGCTGATCAGCGAACGATCTTGCTGTTTCACCTGTGAAAAGCCAGATCATTAACTCAAACGACGTAGACCAGGTAATTGAACATCACCTGCGGAACGGAGAGTAGCGTATCTGACGCACATCGAATGAGCAAATTCTTGGAAGGCGGGTGAAAAGTAGCTGTCCCAGGTTCCGGTAGATAGCCTCGTAATCTTGATGGCCATTCAGCAAGACTAGTCGGAGAGTGCAACTGAAGTGTTCTGTTCGTCTTCAGGTATGCCATAATAGGTTTCTGGAAGAACGGCGAAGACACGAGCAATATAGCGAGCAGCAGCCATATGTTATGATAGGCAACCGCACCTGGTGTGAGATCCCTCGGTAGCATCTCACGATATCTTCCGCAGACATCGTCTTGAAATTTATGACGGTATCTTCCGCTTTGATGAGGGGGGCGCGAGGAGCGGCTGGATCAAACGGCTGAGGTATTGAGTTTGCCTGAATATTACAGTGAGGCACCGCTAGCCACCACGAGCAGTAGATTGCGCACCTTCCCTGCCATCATATCGCGGAGGACCGACACCAACAGCTTCCCGCCTTCCAGTGCTAAACGATCTCTCAATTCTGGAAATGCAATATTGTCTGGTATTGGCTAGACGCAAGGTCAGCAGCACTCTCCTTTTCAGTTTCTTGTCAATACAATCAATTATAACTTACCAGACGTTTACTTCCCCAGATATCTCCAGAATCGATTCCCTTCTTAAACTCCGTCATCTGTATGACGCATACTCCTGTCTCTTTTCGCCCTTCGATCAGTGCATGCTGAATGGGTGCCGCACCACGGTAAGCAGGAAGCAGAGAAGGGTGTACATTAAGTCGTCTTGAAGGCAAGAACTGGTACAAGAGTGACGTTGGCAAGATACGCCCAAAGGATGCCGTAATTAGGAGATGAGCCGCCGAGGGAAGTGACTGTGTGGAGGATTCTCCAGTTCCGAATGGTTGCGGAGGCTGAGGTAGATGCAATCGTTGGCAAGGTCAGAAGAAACTACTAGTCGGCGCACCTTCCAACTCCTGAAGCCGGGCTTGTCCGGCGGTATTGAATGTACAGGAAGGTCCAATTGTTGTCCGAGAATTTTCAGCGGTGCTGGATGAATTTTTTAGAATAGAATGACAAAAGTGATCGCGACAAATACTACTTACATACAGATATTTTAGAGCCATGTCTGCCTGTCTTCATATCCGGCTGTGTTACGATCTGGATCTCATCCCATACGTCTAAGTGTCTGCAAAGTTGAATCACCAAGGCTCCAGACCTATAGTAAGAGCGTGGCATAGAAACTGACCTTCCGCTGCGTGAAACTGCTCGAGTACCAGACACGAGAATTCGTCTCTTCCAAAAAATAATACTTTGAAAGGTCGACCGGTCGGCGACGAACTGCGATGCAAACCTCGAATCCCTCTAAAGATTAGGTGCCGATGCAGCTGCCAGTTTCCCCAACGCATTCCAATGTGATACATAGTCAAGAGACCTCTGCAGCCTGAGGCTCCACGGGCAGGTGGTGACGAGCGCGTGATGTCACGCGTTCAATTAGCCGGTAAATTCTCCGACCTGAGTTGGTTTGGCACTCTCAGATGCATCATCACTACATCAGTGCAGATACCCAATGGAAGTTATATACAAATACAGGAAGTATACTACAGGAACTAAACCAAAAGTTTTCGGAATTAGGCTAAGCATAATGTACACCAACTCAGGTGGATAGTACTGTAACTTCATCGATACAATGAATGTGAGAGCGAACAGGTCTAGAAAAAGGCAGAGCATTGACAGCAAATGTATAGTTTGATGGAGGGTGAGATGAAAGCATAAATGTAGCAGCTGATAGGGATGTTTCATGTTGCAAAGATTAGTGTACGATAGCAACTTTAGCATGGTCAGGTATAATAGAATGGCACAGGCATCGTATTGGTACTTCCTGGCTATCTCAGCTTCAGTGTCATAACACATTAATGATCACTCGCCAACTCAAAATTGTGCATCATTGGTCAAATAAAGGATGCGGTTACGTTCCTCCTCTGTTGGAGGGGACACGCGGGGTCGAGTGACTCTTTTCTTTCGCGTTGTCTCCTGTGGACGGATCCTCAGCTGCCTCTTGCTTGCAGTAGGATGCAGCACATCGGCAACAGATTTTGGACTCAGAGCAGGACCTCGACTGCGGTCAACATGGGAAGAGGAATTTGTGTTATCCACAACAACGGCGAGTGTGGAAAAGGTGTTCACAGGGGATTCAAATCCAGGAGAACTGTCATGCACAAACTGTGAGAATATTTCCTCGTACGAGTTGCACTCGTCTGGGATAGCAGCCGAGTTACTCATATCTGCGGTAAGCCCGCTCTGGACTTCCAGGCATCGGTGAGCGACACGAAAGCCATCAGAACGAGTACTCACCTCATTTGCCACTGAAAATGAGTTAGTATCGTGACCAGCCGCCAGGTCGATATGCGCGGTACGTGCTTTGAGGTCACGTAGTTCTGCATCCAGCCACAAAAGCTGGTTGGTGAGACTCCCAATCTCAGAGTCCTTCGTTGCGACAGATTCTGCATGTTCCATCTCCAGCTTGGTGCAACGCGCCTTGTAGACCTCAAGCTCGTCCAGATGGTCCTGGACAATGTGCCTTAACTTCGTCACATCCTCCGTCAATCGAAGTGTGTCTAGACGGGCTTGGATAAGCTCGTTCTCCGTGGTGCGGAGCGCGTCCGCTTGGGCTTTGGTGCGCTCGACGTCTGCCGGGCCCGCACGCGCCCACGCCTGCGCAAGCTCAGTCTCTGCGGCGTGAGCCCGGGCTTCCGCGGCCTTCACGCCAGTCTCTGCGGAATGCGCACGTACGAGAGCCTCTGTGAGAGCTTTGGTAGCGATCTCTTGAGCGCGTCCAAACTCAGCCTCGCGCTCGGCATGTTCCTTCTGAAGCGCATCGCGAACCTTGGCCTTCTCGCACTCGACAAGCGCGACCAAGGCGTTTGCTCCAGATTGCACGGAGGCTGACATCCTAAGCGGGGGCTGCTGCCGCGCGTCTCCACGTATCTGTGGAGGGCCAGGTGGCTGCGAACATTATACTTAGCTGTGAGGCGTGACCAAGGATTTCATTGATGGCTGGAGAACACACCAGTGGTTCTGAATTCATTACAAATCTTGAATAAGGATATTCGTAGCGTACTGCGAGACGAAGGAGCGCGTAGTAGTAGTATACAGGAAAGGGCGAATCGATCGAGGCGGAGTAGAGAAATCGTGAGCGAATCTCACTTCATTATTGGAAACCGTGACGGTTCCCGCGGCGCTTGCAACTGCTTGCTGCCGCTAATTTGCGGGATCGACGTACATTGTATGGACTGTCATATTCGACTGTGGTGCATAAACGAGGACAAAGTGAAGCAGTTAGGTAAGATATGCGGTGAAATCTACGAGAGGTATAATGATCACATCCGCATCGAAGGGTGGCTGATACCCAATCCTATCGAATCAGACCGCATGATATGCAAACGCTCCCACTCATCGTCCGAGGAAGGGAAATAGTCTTCCCTATCCTCCCTGAACACCCCACTGGATGACAACCTTGTCACTTCAGGTCTGATCACGGGGCGTACTGACCCCAATGCGCCCATGATCCTCTCCGCATCCGCCCTCACGTCTTCCCCACTCAGCCTGTACTGCTTGGGCATGATACCCTTCCCGAACGTTCGCGTGACATGGTTCGCGCAGAGCAGCGCCACCACGATGTTCAGGACGTGGATCGGAACGAGCGCGAACGTGGTAGACCAGATCAGCCCGAGGTTCTCTCGCTCGAAACGGTATAGCTTCCCCTTGCATCCGGGCAGAGGCGTCCTAGGGTAGCAGCGCTTGGAAGGCGTAGCCTCGTGGAGCGCGCTATAGTACCCGCAGCAGCGCAGCGTGTCCTGGATGATGAGTCGTCCAAGGGGCGTGTACCACTGACTCCACGCGAGGTTGAGTTTGCGATCCAGCGAGAATGCCCATCGCTTGTAGGATGTATAACCAATCACGAGCATTGAGATGAATGCGGGCCACAACAGGAGGGCGTAGATCGCAAGTATGGGGCGGGAGTTCAGGATGGTACCGCTTATCCCCACCAGGAACGTGAGCAGGAGAATCGAGGACGCAAGTGTAATAAGAATGAGAATGTCGTTGTCTGCGACATACATCACATTGGCCATTTCCCATGCTTGCAGACACGTTATTTAGTGACACTGTATGAGGACGGAAGACAGACTCACTTCGCCACCAAGTTACAATCGCACAAACCAGGCCAGCGAGGCCATATACGAACACTGTACTGACGGACAGTACCAAGCACCATTTGTGTGTCGGCCACCGATCCACTCGGTCAATCCCAAGGCCCTCTCCTTCTTCCAGCATAGTCGCAGCGAACGCAGACTTGTGCCCGGACCGGCCGCCCTCGAAAGTGGGATTCCTGATGGAGCGAGGTCTGGGAAACTTCTGTGTGAACCTGTCGGTGGTACTTAATGACGGTAGCAGTGCAGGTCGTTTAAGCAGAGTTGTCGTGGACAAACTGGAATCCCCTGAACAAGTGGACACGGCGGTACTGCCTTCCGACACATCAGAGAGCGTGGTCGCATTACGATGGTTTCGTGGGCGCACGTCCGCAGGAGCACCCGTCGATGCGCTCTGTACTCCGCGCACAGAGAAGAGCCGAGGAAGGAACGATCGGATAACACCACCACTAGTACGAGACGTGAAGTCTGGAGTAGGCAATCTAGATATCTGGGACACGGACGTTTGCGTCGTATCCGTAGTACGCGTGGATTCATTCCTTGGTGGGGCTGCTGGTCGCGGAGTAAGAGGCACCGGGCTAAAAGCCACCGGTGAATCGCAAACTTCATCACCCGCCGCCTGCGCTCTTGGGGGGAAACCACTTCCGTAAGACCGGTGAGGGTCAAGGGAAAAGTCTGAAGCCGCCAGCAGTGGCGATCCATTGGAGATCCCTTGCAAAGGGGGTAGGTTAGGCAGCGGCGGTGAGACTCTGGAAGGCCGCACTAGCAGAATTGTGGGTTCGCCCCGGAGGTCGTCGGCGTCTTCTACTTGCACGGTAAGTGTCCCTTCGTGGAGTAAAGAATCTCTACGCGGTCTGTAGTGCGGCGTCAACCCATCTGGGTTGGGACTGTAAGCGCCAGAGCGATGGCGGATGAACGAGTCCCTTGCCAGTGCTGAGGACGACGAAGGAAACCGGCGGTCCATGGTGATGTGTAGGAACGAGTGAAGTGTCAGCCAACGTGTCACGCTATACTCACCTTCTGTCATTGCGGGCTGGTTTGAAATCGACTTAACGAAATTCCACAGTAATCTGGGACCTGGGTATGTCTCAAACTGAACTGAGCTCCACTGCTGCAGCTCATAGATTCACTGCCGATCTCGTGGTCAGTCAGATGGAAGGGATATAAAGCGGACATTTACTTGGGGTAATGATACTTCGACCGAATAGTTGAGTTGATCATCACAGTTCACATTATCAATGTCATAGAAGCCAACGTGAGACGTACTGATATGTCAAGTAAAACCATAGGATAGGAATATCAAAGTGCAAGTCCAGAAGATGCATGGATGAGCTATATCACGAATACGATGTAAGAAGTCCGTCGACCAGTCCATTCGCGACCATAAAGCGGGAGTAAAGATAGATGTTAAACGTGATAAACATGAAAAGTTCACCCGCGAAACCTCAAACAGAGTTTAACGATAACGTGATTGGACACGATGCTTCAGTGACCGCAGCCGAGGTGGACTTCTTACCCACCAGTCCAATAATCGACATGTCGAGAAAGAAGTTGAATTGCACGGCTGGTACATGTTAGATGCTCCTTCGCCGTCTCAATTGACGGAAGACTCACGAGGGCGTGATCCTTCAGTGATCGCGGCTGGGTTCTTGCACGCGTTGTACCAATTTGCCCCTAGATTAAATGGTTACCATGGAGTTTCTAATTTGGAATATCGGAGGACGTACAGGTCTGGTCCGAGTCGTTTGAGGCAATATACGAGAAATTAAGCGGAACTTGGATATACGGATACGCCTTGGCTGGCAATGTAAGTGAACCGGTATGGCCAGTGGCGACTTGTCTGCCGGTGGTGAGGTCGTAGACAAGCGCGTTCATGCTCGAGATATGTAAAGGGATGAAATTCCCTTGAGTGTTGACTTGTATGTTCGCAACGGCTGGAAAACTGAAATTGGCGGGAGAGCGCGAGAATTCCGTAGGGATCGTCTCGTTGAATGGGGCAGTAGCATTTCCCAATGGAGTGGTGTTGCTAAACGCGAAGCTTGGTACTCTTGGGATAGTAAATGCAAGGATAATCCCAACGCTGGACGACCGCTGTCAGCGAGCACCCGCAGCGAGGTAACCACTAACTTACACGATACACAAGCCAAATACGAAGTATACCGTGAACCGTCTTGTGCCGTACCTCCCACAGCATCCGCGCTCGCCCCGATTCCAGGCAGTCCATTTCTGCGCAAACGACTCGCGTGCTTCCTCTCGCCGCGCCGCCTTCGTCATGCCACGAAGTTCTTCGGCTTTCCATTCTGGACCAAGCGCCGGAACTGTGACCAGTTCAACAGGTGCCCCGCTGTTTAAATTCTCTTCCAGCTTGAGGGGAGACGGTGAAGGAACTTGGCGGTATCTACCACGGACGGATGAATGACGAATTGGCATGTTGTACAACGTCACTTACCCAGAATCATTGCTGACGAAAGCAGAAGAGTAGCGGGGACCGGCATTGTTAAAGTCCGCGTAAATATCCCAACCGTCGTCCTTCGACAGCATGCTCTCCTCGTCCGCGCCTCCCTTCACGGGTTCCTCTCTCCCAGTGTGAATGAACGACATGCGGTTGTAACCGGCACCACGTTTACCACCGTGCACATCTACGCTGGTACGAGGGTTTGGATCTGCATTGTAGAAGGACGATGCAGAATCAAGTCTTGTGTGCTGAGGCTGGCCGTACTGGGGTGCCGATGGAGAGAAGTCAGCATTGAGGGCATCTGAGCTTTTGCGACCACCATAGAAGGATGACACTTGGGACCGACGATCGTAGTCCATCCCAGACATGAATGCAACTTTGAGGGGTTGTGAACGAAAGATAGGTGTATGTGGGGACGGCGAGCCGCGTTCTGGAGTCTGGAAGCCAGATGTGGCTGAAGGGTGACGGAGTTGCAAGATTATTGCGCGGAGCCAGAATCCAACCAATTTTATCAGATCTCTAGTTTCCTTCTTTCCACCAAATCCTCCACCGAGAACCACAGCTGGTAGTTGACCACGCCCATGCAGCCATTATCACCAAACTCAGGGCAGCCCATAGAAATGCGTCATATCCTCCAAGTAGTCCCGTGCCTGCATGTCCCCGCAATCTAGGTACATTTGCTGTCTACCCATGGCTGGCTGTGTACGACGACTTCCAAACAGACTTTGCACAGCATCTGGATAGTGAAAATGCCCACCGGACTCTCCGACCGACACTAGTACTTCATGACCAGCACAGCTGTGTACTTCTGTTCCGGCTTTTCCTCTTGGTGATCCTAACCTTCCGAGATACATTCATAAGTGAACCCTGCTCCCTCGCGGCATGCTGGCATACCTGGGTATACGCGCGCTCGCGATGGTGAAAAACATTGACGTCGCGGGTCTCTGAAGTATTGCACTGCCTGGACACGCGAGACAACACGGATTGGCTCAGGAAATGAGGTATTTTCTACTCTCCAGAGCCAAGTCATTGTGTGCCAGGCGCCTTGGACTGCGGATCCATTCTCCTGCGCGTCTTACCGCAAGATTTAAGTAGCGCTACTGTCCTCGATTTCCAGGCTCCCCGACCTCACATTGTCCAGTAGCCTCCCGTGCATTCGCAGAGAACCCTTACTCATCGCCCCGCCATCTCTCCTTCTCCGACCGCTACCATGATGGTCAACATGTCATACGTTTCGGTTGCCAGCCGCGATGATAAACCAGCCTTACGGCTGAATGTGGAGATTGTCATGGTTGCTGCATTAGGTGCGCTCAGAGCAGCAGTATTTTTTGAAGTACACTCCGAAAGCCTGACTTGACGTTGTCTTCGGTCTCCACGCAGTTTGTTTTATTATGGTTATTATTGCGTTCGTCTTCGTCGCATCCTCTCGTCATCACTCCGCATCTCCGTCGACAGACGTCACTGCGACGTCACATCCGCGTCGAGGGATAAATATCGCTGCCATTGTTGCACCCTTTCACCGCGACACTTCTCCCAGGGACCCTGAGTCTGATCATAATGAAGCTCAGGCACACGACGACGTCAGCTTGGCGACATCAGTAACCACCGTATCGCGTCATCCTTCGACCCTCTCGGGATCCACAGCTGTTGAGGGAATACAGAATCACGCGGTCAGCCCATCTACTACAAAAATGGAGGAGGTAGATGCAAATTCGAAGTCATAATCTAGGCAGCACGACTGCTGGCTCTGGCGTATACAGTAGGACGGCAGGGCCAGCGGAATCCGTTATCCGTTATCCAGGCTATTGGCCTGTTAACACCCTTTAGCGTATTGTTCCATTAGTTTTGTTTCTCCTCTCTGGACTGCCACCTTAGGAAACCCCTTCGGATTTGGATACCCCGTATTGGGAACCCCTTCGGATTTGGATACCCCGTAGTTCGACCTCTGTCCGACGTTGGAAGAGTGGATGGGATGCGACTGGCCTCCCGTGTGATCATTTGTTTTGACCCCTACTAGGTATCTTCATCCCCTTTAGAGGGCTCGTACTTGGTGCTGTCTTTCTAAGTGTTACGAAGTGCGCGGCTTGTCGTACCACCGCGTCCTACCCACCGTGAAGCATCTCGTCGATAGCGCAGCTGGCGGCCACAGCCCCATTAATAATAAATATGCGATGCACAGCCTCTTCCCTTCTGTTTCGGTATCGTAGAATATTGAAGAGATACCGAGTCGGCCTGAAAAACGGTGGTACTTAGATATACCAAATATAGAAAGTATCCTTCCTGATTCGACCAGTCCCTAGACCCCGGTCACCGGATGGCTTTTTGACTGCGACCCGTCATTACACCCGCGGGCTAATTCACCACTAGGACTCTCGCGGTCTGTATTAAGCCTCACATTCTGTTGGTCATGTCTTCAAAAAAACGCACTGTCTCTGAAGTATTGGAAGATGACTCTGACCGTCAGACACGACGTCGGGCAGCGGTGGAGACTGTGCCAGTGCGCGATCACTCGTTAGCATACCCTTCAATATTGGCGTCGGCCAAACCGGTGCCATTCCAACAACCCCTTCCTTTGTTGACGTTTTCGTATACCCCGGATCGACTGCTGGAGTTCACCGATTCTGCGCTGAGGTACTATGTCGAACCTCCAAAGCGTGCGGAACTCAGATATGGGTACGAGAGGTGGGTGCGTCGGCCAGAGGAGAAGGGCAGGCTGGATGGTTTGCTGAAAGCTGTGTCGAAAGTGAGGACCAGGATGGATGCGGGTGGAAGTGACGGTGGGGCCTGGCTCAGAGATGTCGGCGTCATCTCGTGGAGAGGCGTCATGACCAAGTGAGTGATGCCAGCCCCAACGCTACTGTCGAAAGCTTACCACGGCACCCTGATAATGTGAGAGAGAATTTTAACAGCGCCATATGAACAGCGAGACGGCTGGGAGATGAATGTGATGGAAGTCAATGGCACGTTGTATTTGGAAGAGCATTTGTCGGATGCCAGACTTGCAGAGAAGTATGCATCCTCATCCCGGGCTTGTCAAACCGTTACTGAGCGCTATGTATACAGGAACGATATTGTGCCGCACCATCGATTACAGTCTTACTACGGGTATTCGTTTGAGTCCTGGTCAACCTCATCCAAATCTGGTCCCAGGGAAACAGTGGAAGGGCATCTTCCAGGATGGGGTGGAGACGTGGACACCAACGTGCAGTGGTGTAGTGTTGTCAAGACCAAGCTGGGGGATACACGAATAGTCATAGGGGGTGAGGTGGATTGTGTGAGGGGTAAAACTCAAAATTTCTTCATGGGAAGCATGGGACATCTTATGATTTTACGCCGTAGGCACATTCACGGGGAAGACCGATACGTTCGTTGAGCTGAAGACTTCTCTGGCTATAAGAGGACCTCAGGATGAAGCTAAATTCGAGAAGTGAGCATTCATGCCGTTTGTACATACTGCTCATATAATTATTAAATTCACTGCTCTACTAGGAAGCTTCTCAAATTCTACTTCCAGTCGTTCTTGTTGGGCGTTCCTGTGAGCATTCCCATCTTATTTTCTTCTTCTTCAGACCAGTGATCTCATTTTTGTGCTTTCAGGAAATTGTTGTCGGCTTCCGGACACCCTCAGGTCAACTGACCACGTTACAATCGTTCAAAACAATTGAGATTCCCCGCCTTGTCCGTGGTAAACCGGGTGCTTGGGATCCACTGATCTGTCTCGACTGGGGATACCGATTCCTGTCTTTCCTCAAGTCCGTTATCCATCCGCGATACGATGATACCGCTATTCTTGTGGGTAAGGGTAACACCGAGGAAGCAAATACGAAAGCTCGTGTGTGGCGAGTCAAATTCGTTCAGGGTTCCGGCGTCAGCGTGTCACCACTCGACGACTCTGGCGTTGGCGAGGTGGAGGGCGACGAAGACAGAGTCGGGTTTCTTCCGAAGTGGTATTGGGACGGACTTCAAGTACCTGATCCTATTCACAACAAAGAGGAAGATGTTTCTGAGGAACCGCACAATCAGGATCTGGAGAGAACGACAGCGACTCCTGCTGTCAGTCTGCCACGGGGATGGCAGATCTAATCTGCGGGGTAAGCTGGCTTCTCACCAGCCTCAAAAGTTGGCGTTAGGAGTGCTACTTGAGCCTTCCATAGGTTACGACAGGTTGTATCGATCTCCGCGGTTAGGATGGGCTTACGCCTTTTCTCTGTCAGCTCGTACGGACACCGATATCGTTACCACCGTATCCTACGTTATACTAGGGGGTGTCCAATATCCATGGGTTCCATAGCTGAAAGGAAGGCATACGCAGTATGATCTATCTCAGAAAAACTTTGAAATTTGACGGCACATCTCAAGTACAGCTGGGCGACAACATCTTCAGGCTGTTCCTCAGCAGTCGACGCGCAGGTGAGTCACCTTACGGCGCATTCAGCACACGGAAGTCATGATGAGGACCGATAATCTCCGTTCTGTCGTGCCATCTAGTGGACAGGACCATTATAATACCGTATTACTGGAATGTAATGTGCCTTGGACAGCACTCGAACCTAGTCCCTTGCCAATTTTGTCTGCTCGTGCAGTGACTAGCCATGATCATGATGCACGATGATCGATGAGCCACGATGATCATCTTGCCTTACCACTGGCATCTCTTGCTCTGCTCCAGTTTCTCTACCTCGCCCTGCGATTTGTATCGTAATGGTTCTATTCTTCAGTTCAACAGGCGAGTCACCTTCCCGCGGTGCGAAGTAGCCTGGGCTTATATACGCGTGCAGCGGCGAACCCTCCCGTTGTCCTCTACATGGGTAAGGACAAGGTCGAAAGTAAGCATCGACTGCATGTACTGTATGGATTCTCGTCGTGATCCTCAAGATCCAGCGTCGATCTCTCGCAGATGAAGACCTCATCAAATACGCATGGCCACAAGATGTTTGGTTTCATGTCGACAAGCTCTCGTCTGCCCATGTGTACTTGCGAATGCCGGAGGGGATGTCGTGGGAGAACATACCAGAGCCCCTCCTCGTAGATTGTGCTCAGCTTGTCAAGGCGAACTCGATTGAAGGTAGGTTGATGTTTTGCAGTAGCGTGCGATGTGTGATTTGAATTTGACGCCGCAGAATACAGGGAACAAGAAGGACAACCTTACGATTATATACACCCCAGCGGACAACCTAAAGGTTCGTGTGGACACCACTCCTTCACTTCCTATATAAAGTCTGTCCTCCACAGAAAACTGGTGACATGGCAGTTGGCCAAGTATCATTCCATAACGATAAGCGGGTAAGCTAAAACCTTGTTATTTTACTCGCTCCATGAAACTGACGTACGCTGGAACAGGTGAAGCGAAGTACGATTATTTTCGGCATCTATGTCAATGGTATGGCTGACAGCGAAACAGTCCACGTCGCGAAGCGCGAAAATCCAATTGTGAATCGGCTCAACAAGACAAAAGTCGAGAGAGAGGTTGATCACGAACAAGAGCGCGTTGAGCGTATCAAACAGGAGAGTGCGATAAGAAGGGCAGCGGCGGCGCAGAAGGTATGCCCTGCTGACACCGTGTGCTCGCTACATCTTGTTCCTGACGTTCGTCGACTGGTCATGTAGAAAAAGGCCGACGTAGAGCTTGCTCGAGCACGGGAAGCAGAAAAGGCAGCACGATCCTACGACACGCTGTTTAACCAAGAAGCCGAAAGTGATGAAGAGTCATCTGGGCCAAAGAAGTCTGTGAGGGAGTTGGAAGATGACTTCATGTGATTGTCGACGTGCTATGAAGTGCGTGTACATGTCAACGTGGCATTTCCAGCATACCCCTACTGTCTTGATGTTTCCCAACCTTGGAATACCGTCAGGCTCTGTCTTTGGATCGTTCGGAAGGCATAGTCGGACGGTGAGGTCATCTACCTTTTTTCTTCGCGCTCTCCACGCCGAGCACATTTATTCATTCCACCAACATGGATGGTTGCGGTGTGTCATTTGCTGAGCCGCATTTCTGCTGCTGGATAGACTCGTCTTACTGATGCTATGACGTGATGATGAATACCGGTTCACCTCAAACGTCGTGAGCGTGATGCATGAGAACAAGGTGTATATGTGCTCGCGACGAAGCCTGCGGCTCCTTCGCAACACACTTGGAGCTTACTGCCCGAAGTCCTGAAGCCACGAGACCGGCACTTGACCGGTCATGTTATGGTCGGCGAACCGCGAACTATCTATTACAGATCGCCGGTGAAGGATGCTGTATCTACGCGAAATATGGTTCCTCATACGCCAGAGTCAGAAAGATCCGGCGGAGACTTCGTCCGCGTCGTGCCAATCCCCTATATCGTGTCTGCGGATAATCATGATAGCATATCCATACACACGGTATATCAGACCTAATAAGTTCAGGATGCTCAGGTCCAAGGCGTTTTCCCGCTTTTCCCCCGCTACTATTTGCCACTGGTAGCTACTATCTAGAAGCTATGGCTGACCGTGTTGCCTCGTCGAAATGGTCTGCGTTCATGAGGGACTCGTATGTCAAGCGCAGAATCCCTGTTGGCGGTACAATTGATGTCAAGAAGCTCGAAGAAACTGCACGACAGAAGCTGAAGGATCGACAAGGTGCGTATCATTCCATGCTTGAATAACTTACTCGGCTGACTGACTCCGAATCCCCATTCAGATGCATTTCTCTATGCCTTCGGTAGTGCAGGAACGAGTTCTACGTGTGACGCCAATTTAGTAGAGTTTACTAAGTGGAGGATCATACCCCGAATGCTGCGCGACGTCACAATGCGCAATTTAGAGGCAAGTACATCATCCGCATGCCTATCTCACACGTTGTTGAATCAGGATTCCGCTCCACAGACCACTATCTTTGGAGTCAAATATCCATCCCCTCTGTTCCTATCTCCAATCGGTGTCCAAACCCTTTATCATGCTGATGGAGAACTTGCTTCTGCTGCAGCCGCGGCGCAAGTCGGTGTTCCCTTCATCATGAGCACCGCTTCGACCCGCAGTATCGAGGCGGTCGCCAAAGCCAGCGGGTCCGGTCCCCGCTGGTACCAGCTGTACTGGTGAGTTCCCATTACTAAACTTCTAGTTCTCCCCGCCTTACGATGTCACCTTGCAGGCCCGTGTCGCCCGATCTGACACTATCGTTGATATCTCGTGCAAAGGCGAACGGCTTCAGTGCGCTCGTGATTACGCTCGATACCATGCTTCTGGGTTGGCGCCCACATGACCTTGACACCGCCTATTTACCCTTCTTCCACGGGGTCGGCACGCAGATTGGGTTCACGGACCCGGTGTTCATGGCGAAGCATGGCCTCCAGCCGTTCCCGGAAGACGATGCACCATCGTTTCCCTATGACCCAGAGGAGATGGAAAGGCGTATCAAGGCTGGGGACGAGACGTTGAAGCAGCGCGCGTACTTGGGCGTGAAGTACATGGGAGAGACTGCTTCGGGCGTTTTCAGAAGCTGGGACGACCTGAAGTTCATCCGTGATAACTGGGATGGACCGCTAATTTTGAAAGGCATCCTATCCGTTGAAGTATGTGAACAGATCGACACCCAAATCCACCTTTGACATATTTCTCAGGATGCAGAGATTGCAATGGACAATGGCATTGATGGAATCGTCGTGTCTAATCACGGCAAGTAAAAAGGTTCTTTATTCCATTATTCTGTCTCACTTGTTCTCTGCAGGCGGCCGTCAGGTCGACGGCGCCGTTCCCGCACTGTATGCGCTCGAGCAAATCATGAAGAGCCCAAGGGTGAAGGAAGCCCAGGCAAGCGGCAAGTTGACAATTCTCTTCGACTCCGGCATCCGCACCGGCAGTGACGTCTTCAAAGCGATTGCGCTGGGCGCACAAGGTATTTTATGTAAGTTTGCGCCCCGCCCTTCCTATCTTTTATGACAGTCTTCTCATATCTTCTATTTAGATGCAAGGCCGTACATCTACGGGCTCATAGTTGGCGGCCAAGCGGGCGTCGAGAACGTTCTCAGAAGTGTTCTCGCCGACACTGAGATCACTCTCGGTCTTAGCGGTTATGAGAGTTTGCAGCAAATACATGGGAAAGCTGACAAGGTTATGGTCAAGCTGGGGTAAACCGAAGACAATTGGAGTGGCAGCATGATGGCAGCATTTCTGGATGTCCGGTCTGAAACACATGCTATACGATTAATTGTTCGATTACGCATCACCTTCACGAGATATTCACAATCGTATTCAGATGGAAAGGTGGCGGGACTGATATGCTGGTAAACCCATGTCTTTGGATGACCACTTACGCAAATACCCATTGCTTCCACCCACTCGCGTTCCACCCCTTCTCGAACTCCTCCTCGGAGAAGCGCTGTACGGCCCAAGTCCTCGCGCGAAGCCGCAGGGCAGCCTCGGCTTCAGGCGGTAATGTCAGCACGGTATGGAATGCCTGTGCGAACGTTTCGGGGGTGGTTGCGTGATAGCCTGCAATGAATGGGTGGTCAGACGCTGACTCAGTATCCGAAGTAAGTTATCTCCATCTTACCCGTGGGTTCGCCGTTGAACGGCACTACGATATCGTTCAAGGGCCCTCCTGACGCGTGAGTCACTGGGATTACGCCAGCTGCCTGATGGTGACGTCGTCAGCAGAGTTGCCTGGCGGCGGCGGAGTTATCGTACTGACCATGTATTCTACTACATTGATGCCGAAGTGTTCATCCACCATCGTACTAAGCCCGATGCTGGCACGCGAGAGCCAATTGAGCATCTCTGCATAGGAAGCGTTCACCACAAATCGCACGTGCTCCTGACAGTACAGGAAGCCAAGAGCGTGAAATGAGTATAATGGGGCGAAGCGGTGGTGTAACAAACACACCTCAATACCCAGCTCGACGGCGAGCGAGCGCAGGCCTTCCACACGCGCAGCGTCTGCAGCATTGCGGCTCCCGCCGACAAGGGTAAGCTTGACTTGCAGATCCCCAGGAATGCCGTACTCAGGGTATGCTTTGAGCAACTGATGGAAAGAGTGCAACTGCGCAGCGTGATCCTTCTCCGGGCTTATCGAGAGACATCCCCGTTAGGACATGTTGTAGCGGCCACGTAAGACACTGACCGGAACTGTGCGACGCTCAGTATGACACGTTCGCGCCCTTCGAGGGGGAACTTGGCCATCTCGCAGGTGTCACATGGTGGATAGACGATGTGCGCAGACTTCGGTAGATCTGCCCGTCCCCACGAGAGTAGCCGGAACAGAGTTACTGGTGTAAAGAAATGAATGGCGTCAAGGAGTGGGTCGCTATGTTGCAATATCGCGTCAACGTGGTTCTTGGTCCAGGACGAATTCACCATGAGGAATGACGCCTGCCGGAGAGAGTAGGCATAATAATACATGAACACGCGATAGTACCTGCATTAAGATAAGGGGAGAAAAGACAGGAATTGGTTCTCATGACGCACAGGAGCTTTCCTCGGCTAAGGACACTCGAAGAACTGATGTGGTCCGAGTTCGTATGCCATTTCTTGCGTGACTTCACCCTAGCCAGCATATCTGTGCTGATCGTTGGATAGTGCACATAAGCACCCATCGGGATATTGCCCAATATTTTCACAACGTGAAAGGTGAAGGCATATCCCATGGTATCTACAAGGCTTCAGCTACCAATGTCGTGGTCATTGAGGGATATCCACATACCAATGAAGAGATCCGGAATAAGTGAGGACATTGCCTCCCATGCCAGAAACATGGAGCCAAGACTTTGACCCAGAAGGGTGAATCGAGGCCATGTCGAGTCTTCGACCAGATTGCGAGAATGAAGGTACACGAAGTGGAGAGTTCGTGGCGATAGGTCAATGTCGAACCGAGACTGGGAAGATGCTCGTCGAGACACCACAAAGTCACGGAAGACAGGACAAACCTTAACATTGGCAATGATATCCGCCTTTGTGGCATCGACATCTCCGGTGTACACCACGCTCACCACTTCTGGCTCCGTTCGTTGCAAGATTGCAATCGCTGTCCACAAGACGCGCTCTCCACCTCCACCTGCATTACTTCAGTGCACTAGGTAAGATCAGAGACACATTCAGTGGACACCACAACCCATCTTACCAATACGGATGGAAAAACCCCACGAGTATGTGGTTGCCGGATAGCCTGAGTTCACCGAGCACACGTTTTCGACGGCTGCTGTTCTCTATGCGAAGGTTGCGTATGAAACCAAAGAAAGTCGCTGATACGAACAGCAGTAGCAATCCTAGAATGAAAATAGCCATGGACTTGGAGTGCCTAGCAGTACATAGCCTTGGGCAGCTAAGCGGTAAATGCCGATGGACCATAATGCGTCTGGTTCCGAGACTATCGGAGAATCTATCTCGATCGGTGCAAGACCTGCACGATCGCGCATAACCAGGACCCCCGACAATTGGGGAGGATCCCTGAGCCGATTTCGGACAAAATTTGGACTTTTGAGAGCGCCATCCCTGATTTTTCACGGACAAATCAGGGGGTCAACCCGTGGACGGCCTGAGGTTTTTCACGGACAGACGTACCGGAAATCATTGATGCCTGATCCCCCTCCGGACAAAGTTCGACCCCGGCCGAACCTATCTATGTATGAGGCCGGCACCGGGGCGGAAGGGGGCTCTCAGACAGGCTCAGACTTACTACTGTCTTCAAAGGCTCTCTAGGTGCTGTCTGGTCGCACAGACACGCCGCTTCGAAGTTTGTAGTTGATATCTCAGCGGCCTCACATAAGTGTCTTCCTGAAGATGGAAACCTACAAAGAACAGTAGAAGGTACTTACCTTACGATGTCACTATCGTAGTAGCCTTGAATTCCATCTCAAGTAATAGATAGAATGTGTTACACAAGGGGGCATGCTCATTCCTTCATTCTCGCAGCTCGGAAAGCAGTTCTGAAAATTGGAGCCTCCCGAGGCCTGATTCGTGAATACGGACAAAAATTGGAGCCTCCTGAGGCCTGATCTGGGAGCCCGGACATTTCTGTGCTGAACCGATGCCTGGTCCAAAACCCGGACAAATTTGACCTCCGAGGGCCGGAGGCCTGGTTTTTTGCGGACATTTCAGGCCAGAAATCGGCTTCTGGTAACGGACATTTTGGGCTTCTCAGGATCAGGCATTTCCGCCAATTGTCGGGGGTCCTGCATAACCACACCGCCGTGTACCTCACCACCATGGCTATGGATGGATATGCGCATTATGTTGCTGCGACTGGGTATTTAAGGTGTAGTAGAGGAGCTGTAGTGGACGATAGTCTGCATAACTTTCCCCGCTGAGTAGTACTTGACATACCCTGCACGCTGAAGCCAATGTCACCCCTCCCTACCATTGGAGACTCCGATCCTCAGCCTGCTGTGGACATGGACATCTCTATACCTTCCTGTAACTCGGAAGGTACGACTTCCAGCGCAGGCATACCGCCTTTGTATGTCGTGGTTTTAGTGCTGGGGACGTTAGGACTTCTGGGTAAGATTTACAATCCCTTCCTGGGCTCCGATTACTCATGAACACCACAGCGAATTTCGGCTTGCAATTGTGGAGCATTCGTCAATCATTCTTGCAAAGGCGGAGCATTCACCAATCATCCTTGCATGGTGAAGGTGTCTCAAGGAAATCCATGGACCGTCACGAGCCGAGGTCTTGCATGCACTGTATGCGGCATATTGAGGATATTTCCTCATATTCCAACTCTGTGGCAATGCCTCAGATGGCGTTCACTCCGTTGAATTCTGGCGTGCCCTCTGCATCAGTGCCTCGGGGTCTCATCACGCCAAGCACTAATCCTGCACCTGCTTCGTCAAGCCTAGATGACCTTACCGGGCTAGATACTCCGAATACTGTTCCATCGTCATTCTTGTCACGCTTTGGAGAACAATAGGTGGATACTCGAGCCTGACACCACTTTCTAGTGAGTAGCTCCATCCCCCCTCTTTCCAAGATGTTCTAACGTGTAGACCAGATGTAGTCATTCCTTCATAACGATACTACCTCGAAGTGTTCACACTTGTCTTATCAGCTTTTTACTCCGTCTTGTTAGTCCACGCATCCTGGTGATGCATTTCTACGCAAAACAGATCCTTGAATATATAACATACGTACATAGGAACCGGTCATTAGTCGTGATCAACCAGTGGCCACTCAGATACTGTGTTTTCTGCTGCGTCTCGCTTATGCCCATTCATAGATACCTTTGGTCTTAATGCCAGTACATATCCATTCTGTTTATGCCAGTACCTATCTATCACCGCGGAAAAATTGACTGACACGCTCACACCATAGCCAGTGGTACAATGACTTCTCTAGAACAACGATCCATATTGATGCACGCCTACTCGACGTGGTCTCGCGAAATGAACCTATCAGAATATACTGTTGCTATCACTGTCCGATTCACCATCACCCAAAATCACAAAAACACTACTCGAGCTCGCCGCAGCTGAAGTACTATGGAATCGGACAATGGGTGATTCCTCGACTACAACATCCGGAAGATCTCCCTCACCCCCTCCTCTCGAATCGTTGTCATTGGCAGCTCCAGGGATGTTCCCTCGATCTCCTCGACTGTAGGCCGGCGGTATCGTACGGCTTTCTCCGATCACCTGACATACACGTCGCACAGGTGTTCCGCGAACGTATGCAGGAGGTGGCGAAAGAGGCACGGGAGAAGCTTCGCTCCACGTGCACCGTGTCTTGGCCTTGGCGGACGTAGGAGTGGGAGGCACATCGTCATAAGACGGCGATCGAGACGAGATCCACGCAGCGGGAGGTTTCTCCGTGTGCTTCGAAGGGGAAGGACTCGAGTAGAGGCTCTCGTCCAGCTGCGTGTAGTGTCGTCGGTGGATAGGGGTATGCGGAGAGTTAATGCGTGTGGCCCCGCAGAGACGTTGATTCACCCGGGACCGTCTGGGCACCTTCGGTCGCGTAACTGGGAGCTCAACGTGTCGTGTAGAGGGCAAATACAACGACCGTAACACTTCGCGTTTCTTCGGAGGTGTACCGCCGGCGGTCTTAGTCTTGAATCTACCGAAACATGAGGCAGATCCAGACAAAACGGACGTAGATGGGTGTGTGGATGATGATCGGGGGATAGGTCGAGGAACAGAGAGTAGTGTGCGTTTAGTGTGAAGAGTAGGCCTCCGTTTACAGAATAGTAGCTGGTAACTGATGATCAGGCCGAAAAGACACACTAGAAATGAGAGGGGAAGACACGAGGCGCGGTCATTCGTAATGTGCTCGCCGTACGGAAGAAAAATCACTCACGAACACCGATGATTAGCCCGACCGCTGTGCTAATGGTTATACGCGACGATTGCACCTGCGCTTTACCATCCGATGCCCCGCGTGGAATGACCGCCATCAGTGCCACTCCAAACTATCAGATAGAGGATGGGTTCAGATGACGAGAGCGGTGCAGGATCGAGAGCACGCGGAGCAGCAGGCTATCACGAGTTGTGAGTTACTTATCGACATACTCATACACTGACCCGGCATGCGGCGTTAGTGCGCGAGTATGAGATTCGTAATGCCAAGACCATGATACTTCTGAGCTGTTCCGACAAAGTTGCAGAGAATCGACCATGTACGTCCGGGATGAACGATCGAAGTGTCGGCAAGGGCGCCGCTCTGTCCATCTGAAGTTCTGGAGCCTGCATAAAGTTCAGGATTGGGGGGCCGACTTTGCATGGATGCTGATCTGTTGGGTATGTGCGAGCCCCGAGTCAACAGAAGATGACCGAATGCAAAGCATGTGCTCAAAGCTTCGGGCGTGCAGGATGCAGACGATTGGAATCATGAATAAGCCGAGGATTATATGAAGATTGGAAGACTGCTAACTTCATGCGTACACCAGCGCCTCGAGCTCGAGGCGGCGAGATAGCCAGTCTGAAGCTCAACGGCTTGATGTGGTCACCCGGGTACTCGCACAGATGACGAGTACTGAGGGAGAACAGTCTCTGTTCCTACGAGAAACAGAAGCAGGCGAGCATGATTCAGACATTCCTATCGTACTGCCCCGGATGATGTAGTAGTGCCTGTGACACCAAAACTCCTTGGATGGCTGGAGTATTCCATAAATATCGGTGTCGCCAGGACGAAAATTGAAGCAGAGTGTCTATTCTGCCTGGGGAGACTATGTGTCGTCCTAGAAGCTGTGAGTAATACACCGCAGAAGACATATCCCATGATGGTGAGAAGCTGGAAAGAACAAGTTCAAGTTCATGAGACAAACCACAACTTCCTTATTCGGCAACGGGCCCCTCAAGGCGCTTCTCGAGTCAGCATACTTCGACATACACATCTCATAACAAGTCTCTAGTTGCAGTTGCAAGGTGCCGAAGATTGACGAAGTAGTCACTGGTCATCTCTCTCACAGTTCCATGCTTCGGAGCTCATTCTTACTCCCTCTGACGTTCCCGACCCAAGATACAAGCGAACTGGACGGAGATTTCGTGGATTTAAGTTGTTGCTCGGCCTCGCCATCATGTCTTACCTGCTGGGAACTCTCATCTACCGCTTCTCAAGACGGCAAGTCTGACAGTGCACTACAAGGGGCTGCTTTCGGTTGTGAAGACGGCACATTGTATGTCTTCCACGTGTCCCCACATGTCGGCCAGCATGAGCGTATCAGATATATCCAAGAGATTGTTGGAAGTCCGAGACTTACCAGCCGAAGCCACGTAACTGGATTGGGTCATCACCCATCTCGTTCCGTTTCGCCGTCTTCCACACATTCCAATTTCTTGCCCTTCCCTGTCACCCAGTCTCGTATAGTGTCCTCAGTTTCTAAGGAGCAAGTGGAGGCACCCAAAAATTATGTTGATTTTGACGAGGAGCCGGACAGGCTTAGAGGCATGCTCAAAGGCAGGGGTGTCAAAGAGAGGCAGCCTAATGACCCATCATCACTCAATGTCGACAAGGGTACTATTGGAAGGCCATCTCCTTCTTCTGGAAACAACTTGAAGCCTGTACTTGGATCCGGTGCCTCTTCAGCAAAAACTCTGTCGGGCCCTCCATCTCCAGCTCCCGATGTAGAGTTGCAAGAAGCTCCTTATCCATGTCTTTTATCACTCAAGTATCACATCTTACCTCCGTCATTCGGTTCGGGGCATGCTATCACAGCTCTTAGAGTTTACGACAACAATCGTCATATCATTGCATTGCAACAGACAGGGCAAGTAAATTGCCTTCCCTTCGCTTATCTGATTGACTGTGATTGTTGCAGCGATATTGCTATATACGCCACGATAGACGGGTCGTGCGTTGCATCAGTCCACTTGGATGACGGGGATATTCCAATTTCTTCCGTCAGTAAGGCCAGCCCAGCATCATCTGCTATCTGGGTGTGGAAAAGCCTTAACATTGCCGTGTGCGGCGAGGTGCGAGGGATTTCCGATAAATCATTGCATACTCTCTGAATCTGTCTGCTGTCATTTCCTTGTATGTAATCTGAAGTCATTTATTTTGATCGCTTGTGCAACTCGCGACGTTCTCTTTTCTGGAAGTCAGCATGAAGCTGACATCGACATCGAAGACCAGACACGGATCGTTATGTTTGAACTTCGAACCACGTGCAAAAGGACTCCAAATAGTGCGAGCCTTGAAAAGATAGGTGACTGGACTGTCGCTGGACCGGTGGAAGGTGTCGGCCTTCAGCATGAGGGAGATGGTGAGTCTGTGGGCTCCTTTGGCACCCTTCACCATGCTAAGAACTACTCCGTAGGCAAGCTGACTTTGTTCCACGTATTATCATCGCGCCGCCTCGTGTTACAGTCCTTGGCGCCTTCCGTAAATTCGGCCGACAGCGGCTCGCAAGAGCCAGATTCTTCCGCCGCTCCTCCGTTATCTAACCCCTTCAAAGTGCTCAAGTCGTTATCGAAGGCGGGCGCTCCCGAAGACGCTAAGGGCAGCTTTCGGGGTCACTTCCAAGTCAGCGAAGAGGTTGATATCGGAGATATCCCGCTGCGGGGAAGGATTCTCGGATCGCGAGCCACCTCTTGTGGCGCGGGAGTCCGCGCAATTTATTGGTCCCAGTCAGAGCTATCGGTAGGCTCCTTTGTCCCAGCAAGTACTTTGTGTCTGATCGCTATTCGCAGGTTTTTGAATGGCACGGTCATGACTTGAGACACCTATTCACACAACCGTTGTCTGGTATTCGTGACGTACAGTGGACCAATGAAGAGTCCTGCACCGTTGTTCTGCCGGTATGGCGCATATTCTCGCTTTCCCATAAGGGTTGATTCGATGCACGATATGCAGGATCGAATAGAGACGATCTCCCTCATTGAGGTGGATGCAAACGGCTCGCCATACGCAGCCGTGTCAGATACACAAGGACTAATGCAGTCAGTTCACCATTTTGGTAGATAAATCTGGGTTAAACGTTTCTCACGCATTGAATCATCATCTGACAGACCATTGATGCTGCAGTCTGCGTTACTTCCTCCGTTAGATGCATATTGCATCCCATCAGAAGGACATGTGGTTTTCACAAGAGTCAAGAATAGGAGGAGAAGACTCGAATACATGTCAGTTGACGCCGGCGAAAATCCCAAGCCTCGTTCTATCTGGAAATCTCGGATATTCCCGTCCGCAATAAACTCAGCAATCCGCCTGACGTCGCTGCTACCCATTGAATTGAATCACATCATCGTAGGTTACAGTAAGTTTTCCATTGAATGTCCTGGCGCCTTCCGCTCAGATACGTTTAAGGCGACGGCCTGCTTGGCCGCACCTCTTTCCGGTGCTTGATCAGTAGCCAGGGTACCCAGGCATCTGAAGAAAAGTCCGATATTTCTCTGTCTGATCACATCCATGCACTCCATCTGGTCGAGAACGAGCGAACAAAGAGACGGTTTGTTGTGGGCGGCGGAGACGACGGCTCTGTTGCAATATGGACGCTCGAGTGAGTTTTCCTTCTTCGTCCAGCGCTCGTGATGGTATGAGTTAACTGGCGCATAGCTCTCTGAAGCTCTGCGCGCTCTGGACAATCTTCACTACTCCTCTCGCGCAAGTTATCCAGCTCCATGATGAAGAAGTGGGACGTCTTCAAGACTGCATTCTCTGTATATCGCAAGACGGTGCCATCGCAGTTATCGCAGTTGACGCGGAATGCCAATTGTACGTCCATCGACCTGCCACGCTGGCTGTTTACTGAAGTTGTGTTGCAGTCTTTACTTAGTGCCTGCGTCGGTCGCGCCCTTAAGGCGGATTTGTCTTGGAGAGGGAAATATGCTCCTTGTGTATGCAGATGGACGAGCTCGCCTGTGGGACACTACAACGCGAGAATTCTGGCGATCAATGGCCGCGGACAAGGCTGACGCGCTGTTGAGAGAAGGTGGTTGGAATCACTGGTGATTCCGACCTTATCTTCAACCTATTGGTAATTGACCATACTCGCCAGGTCCTTGGAAACAGCAGCCTCGACTTCGACTTCGCAAGTGCTCTCTGCACTACCAAGAGCTTCTGGAGTCGACTCCAGTAAGTATATCTCCTGAAACACGCGAGTCGTGCCAATGAACGTTGTGATACCCACAGCGGCCACGCTTCTACTTGATGTGGAGGCTCTATTGCAGCAATATGGACATGGACCGCACTCAGCTGAAACTAAAGCCTCTGCTACCAACTTGGATCGCGAGCGTCCATACAAGCAGCAGCAGCTCCGGTCCACACTATCGTCGTTACTCACCTTCGGATTGAGTGAGGAGATTGATGCAATATGTCGGACGAAACTTGGCATCAATGCGTCACGCGTCCGTGTTGGCTTGACGTCGGAGTCGGTTTTGGTTTCCTGTTTGTCGTTATGGAACACGATGCTCATTGAGCACTCTTACAGATGCAACGCTTCGTCTATATTCTCTGAACATGCACCGCACAGTCCATGGTGCATCTCTTCGGAAGCTTCGGCGATGAGAGCATCTGCCGTCGTGGCTGTCTTACGAGCATTGGCATACGATGATGGTATGTCGTCACATCCAATAGATAACTCACTGACGTCAAAAGTAGACCTTATGCAAAATGCGAACACAGTAGCCGCTTTCTACCTGGCTTCTCTTGCACAAGCTGTTGGAAATTCGTACAGGCCGCCTTGCCTTTCCATTTTAGCTGAGCGTTGGCTTCGTACCTCCGGTAAGTTCTGATGTTTTCGATCCTGACATCTGTTCGAATAGTAGCATCCAGTGATAGAGTTGCGCCATGCGTATCGCGTGTTATTCGACGCTGGAGTCGCACAACGTTCTGATGCCGAGACAATCCAGATGGTAGAAAAGTGGCAAAGTTCCCGTACGGATACTATCTTTTGTGCCTGGGTATCTGACCTCACGTCATACTCTTCAGTTCCTTGTTTGCAATTGGAAGCAGATCGCGAGTCAGTGAGTAGTGCGATGGCTCTATTCATCTGCGGCTTCATTGCAGTAGAGAAGTACAGTTTTCTGACCACGAGGTATGTCTATGGAACCCGAACGTGTTCCTGCTAACACATAACATCTTAGCTCTCTTGCTGACATCTCAAGATCAATCGCTCTGTATTTGCACGATGATACATCTCCCTATAGAGCACTTGCCATTGAACTTTGCTCTCGCGGCTTCCCTGTGTGGCAACAATATGTTGACGCGGTGGAGATGCTGCGCGCACTATTCACACTGGCCATGTCATCGAAGAAAGAAGCGATTTCTGTGCACAATGTCTGGCTTCTGGCACGCACGGCAATTCTGCAAATCATGTCGAGTAATACTCCGCTCTTCATGACCACACTGACCATTGATATCCTTCATCCTCGGAGCGTTCAGCATCGCAGGTCTACACTGCAACTTGTCATTTTCCTAATCCGCAAGGTAGGGACCACCCATCGATGGGCGGACACCACTGCTTAGTCCTACATTCCAGAAACCTCTGGTGCTGTACAGCAACTTACCTCGACTGGTGGAAGCAGTTGTCAAATCTCTTGATCCCAACTCAACAGCCAGTCGAGATGCGGTACTGGACTCTGCCACGGAGATTTTGGGTCATATCGTACAGACGTCAGCAGAATATGTCACCTATGTGAGTCTACATGAGCTCACAACCACTTGTAGCTTTCCCACGGTGGACTTCCACATGGCCACTCAACGACTTGCAGTCGGAACGAGTGAAGGTTCAGTCGTTATGTATGACCTCAAGACAGCAACAAGATTGTACGTACTGGAAGGACACAAGAAGAGAGCCACGGCGTGCAGTTTCTCGCCTGACGGGCGACGTTTGGTGACCATGTCACTCGAAGAGTCTGTTGTACTTGTGTGGAAAGTCGGGTCGAGCTTCACGAGCTTCTTCAATCCTGGAGCACCACCACGACAGGGACATGGAGGCTCCGAACCTTTCAAGAGACTTGATTTCAATGTAGGGGAGGAGGGTGAGCCGTTACTTGAATGTGCAGCGTTGTAACAAATGCTAATCCTGAGGCAGCGCACATGACGCTTGAATCCACACTCGAATATGTTCGATTCGAATGGCCGACTGAACGCTGCGTGAAGCTAAGGATTCGGGATAGCACCTTGACATTCTCTACCTAGTATTTGTCGAATCATACATGCATGTACAGACGCTATCGTAGGTGTACCGACATAGCTGTGGCATCAATCTCTCGGGATGTACATCCATATTTGACCAGCTATTACGGGATGAGTATCGATCAGTGCTACGCCTTTGTACAGACGTTACGACATCTCCTCGGGAAAACCCAGTATGTCACCGACTTCGACAACATCCCCCATGCAGAAGACACTAGCGTCCGTGTTCCCCAACAAGGATGAAAACACCGCCGGTGTTGTTGTGCATTGCAGACTCAGCTGCGGTCAAGTCGAGCACCAATTGCAACCAACGGCGCCGGCCCGGGCTAATTCCGGTTTATGTACTCAGTAGAATGCCAAGCATCTTAGCGTACCTTCAGCTTTTGATCAGCTACCCTCGGCTTGCTCGTATGTTCTCTATCAAGAACGCTACGTCGTCCCCAGGTCGGATGCACACGCGTTATTCCGAGGTGTGAGCTTTTCAGAGATTATGCGAGACACCGATGGCTGAGGAAAGGAGTCAGTGACTTCCGAATTTCATTAGTGATCCTGAATTGAAGTACTCAGGACTCCGGAACATCCACTGCTTGTCAGAGCACGATTCTCGATGTTGGCATATATCAAATCTCGCCTGAATTTCTTCCGCATCCATCTACTTTCTTTGTGAGCCAGTTCCCTTTACCCAACATGAGTCGCTATTGAAGAACGTTGCAGTCTCATAATCCCTCTTCTCTTTGCTGTTATCTTCTGGGCTTCTAACGGAGAGTATAAAATAAAGTTTATAGATGCTCTATTTGTCTGTTACAGTGGGGTCACTGGTACTGGGCTTACGACCATCGACCTTAGCTCTTTGACAATATGGCAACAGACAATCTTGGTCATTTTGGAGTTAATCGGAAATCAGGTACGTTGACGACAACATCATACTTTTTATTTCAGCTGTGAAGTTTTCGCGTTAGGCCTTTGTTGCATGGGTGGTCGTCTTCGTCCGAAGGTTTGAACTTGTTCCGACGTCCTCGAGCTCGAGTGACCGCGATATTCTTTTAGATTATACTTCCTGAACAGCCTGGAGCATATCGTAAATGCTGAACTAGATCGAAAGCCAACGTGGCAATCCACTGGGGAACATCCTCCGTCTTTGCGCCTTGGGGCCGTTGAGGAGCAGCATCGGCCGGATAGTGAAAATGCTCGTGAAGGTGATACGCAATGGAAGAACAAGTCCGGTACTCCACTGAAGAAATTTCATCCTGGCATGGTCCGCAGAGTGGACATCGCGCCGCACTTGATCACTCCGACGGGCGTGCGGTCTATGCAGTCAAAACCAGCCGCCGAGGACGATACACATGCGACCCGGCATGTCGTGCAGGCCTCAGGGGTTGACCAGCTATCCCGGGTAACCAGCAGAAGGTCCACCATAATTCGCGTCCCTCCTCCTGACAATGCGTCAAAGGGTGATTTTGGCGGGTTTCCGGGCGTCTACGACCTCATCTCACGGCTGTTCCGTCGGATGTTCCCTCGGTTGCACAGCAAATTACGCCGGACGATGACCCTGCCGAGAACAGAGACTCTGGTGCCCCACAGAGGTGACAATTTCGTTGATTCTGCCGGTCCTCAGGTGGCGAAACGCGTTCCCTATATATCATTTCGAGCGATAGTTGGCAGAAACTCTGCTTTTCGAGGGCTGTCTCGCGAGAATATTGAGGAGCTAGGTGGCGTGGAGTATCGCGCTCTTACTTCGTTGTTGTGGATCGTACCATTAGTAAGTTCAGTGCAATACGGTCGTCCCAGCGCTCATGTCCGGTGTACAGTATTACTTCGGATTGTTGGCCATATCCTTCGTTGTGGTAGCACCCACCATGGTGCAATCGCGCTGGCGGAGCAATTTCGAACCACCACAGCAGCATAAAAAAATTAACCCTGTCTGGTGCGCGTCATGGGTTTGTCAGATGTCTCGTCACTGACGTTAATAATGTCAGGTTCTCTGCGTTCCAAGTCGTTGGAGCATGGGCTAACACAGGAATGTCTCTCGTCGACCAGAACATGGTGCCTTTTCGCACCGCATACCCCATGATTGTATTCTTAGTGTTTTGTGTACTTGCCGGCAATACCCTTTTCGTAAGTCGTGCACGGTGTCTACCTACTCTTCCCGCTGAACTACGCATGTTTTATTAGCCTGTCTTGTGAGTTCCCCTTCATCTTCCTCCTTTCTAAAGCACTCAATCTTAGATCACAGATTTCGCTTGGCTATGTAAGTTTCAGCTGCTCACTATAGACAGATCCTGTGTAACAGGCATTTATCTAGTTGGATTCTGGCCAAACTTTATCCCAATAACTCTCGCACCAAAGAATCAATGCAATTCCTTCTGGATCATCCTCGTCGTTGTTTCATCTACCTCTTCCCCTCCCACCAGACCTGGCTTCTGTTTGGCATCACTATGCTTCTCAAGCACGTGCATTTCACTTTGTAGATAGATGTTGTGGAATCCTAACCTTTCTGTACAGCGTCATTGACTTTATGTTTGATCCAATACTCAACATCGATAACCCATTCACGGACGTTATCCCAGTCGGAACGCGGATTTTCGACGCCATTCTTCAGGCTGTCGCAGTCAGGAGCTCTGGATATCAATCTGTCGCCCTGTCTTCGCTAGTGCCAGCCGTCCAGTAAGCCCCATCCTCTTGTACAGAGCCCAATCTTACGTTGCCCGATAGGGTGCTGTATGTTATCATGATGTACATAGCTATCTATCCTATCGCAATGAGGTACTATCGTACCTTCCTCGTCGTCGCGTGATACTAACCGTTAGGCGAACAGTGTCCGGTCGACTAACGTGTACGAAGAGAATTCTCTTGGGATCTACGAGGAAGATGACGATGAAAGCGACTACGAGGCTCTACTGACGTCTACCGCTGAGTCCCGTGTCTCGATCTGGGGTAAGTACCTGTTACGTCATGCGCGGAGACAGCTTGCATTCGGTAATATGTCTTTCCCCACCTGCTACGCCCCAATTAAATCTTTCTACTTGTAGATATGTGGTGGCTTGCACTATCTGTGTTCCTGATCTGTATCATTGAGGTAATTACATATCCACTCATTATGCGGAAACGTTTATAATCTTGTGATGATAGAGACCAGGTCTCACGAACACCGCAAACGCTACATGGTTCAACGTCTTCGCATGTAGTAGGTCACTGGTGTCTTCACAAGGATGATGATATACTGACTTGACTCCAGTTTTTGAGGTTGTGTCCGCTTACGGGACTGTTGGGCTTTCGCTCGGTATCCCAACGGTGAATAATTCCTGCTCGGCGCATCTAGGCAGCTGAATGAAAGATCGTGGTTGTAGGCGAATTACTCGCTTTCCGGTGCTTTCCATACATTGTCCAAGCTCGTCATGTGTGCCGTGATGATCCGCGGGCGCCACCGTGGTCTTCCTGTCGCACTCGACCGCGCTGTGCTCCTCCCACATGAATTTCGGCCACGCACGCAGCCAGGAGTGGGCGAAAAAAATGAAGAGACTCCGCGGGTAGTGGAGGAACCAGAGAGCTCGTCGCATTCATCGCAGGAAGGACAAGACCCACCAGAAAGTGTGGGGATGCGAGAACGTACTAGGACGCTGAGTTTCGCGGGTGACCAGGGGATACAGGTGACACGGACGGGAGACATGCGTCCTTACATTGTGAAGGAAGAGCCGGAGTATAGTGGGTCGGCCGTGTAAACGTTTTCATGACTACATTCATCCTCTTATACGGCTTTGTCACACGTGAGACACCATGCAAACTGCTTGACACTGTTGACCGGTAGCCCATAGTATGGATGCTACGGAGATATCCCGAGTTCCTGATGTATTATCACAACGGATGTGGTCACTAATAATATACATGGTCCACTGTTGAGGGAGTAACCATGGCATACGGCGCAAGTTATGATTTAACAGCAGTGATACCGGCCTCCTTGAGTTTCGCAATCAACTCGTCCACATTTGCGACCTAATACCGTGAATTCATAAGCATTCTGGTGACACTTGTGAAGGCAGGCAGCATCACCTTTACACCACCAACGCGTTTCGGAGGCTCTGTCACCTTCAGCGTCTCTATCCGGGGAGCGAGATCCACGCTGAGATCCTTCGGAGTGAGCTTTTCGATGGGTTTCTTCTTTGCCTTCATAATGTTGGGCAGCGAAGCGTATCTCGGTTCTGATCTGAGAGTCAGTATCGCCGCTCACACTCCGTGAATGTGGTGCTGCTCTTACCGTTGAGCCTGGTAAAATACAATTCAGATGTTCATAAACTGTCTTGATAGCACGTGAATACTCACCGGAGATCTGTGGTGACGACCAGCGGCAGCCGACACCGCAGCTCCTCTAACCCGCCGTCAATCTCCCTCGTAACATTCGCTTCATTCTTTTCCACGTCCAGCGCAACCTTGCTGGCAAACGTTGCCTGCGACCAATCCATCAGCCCGGCGAGCATCTGACCCGTCTGGCCGGCGTCGTCATCAATGGCCTGCTTTCCCATGATGACGAGGTCCACACCGCCCTTCTCGCGCTCCCGCTCAATGACCGCACGCAAAGCCTTCGCGATACCAAGGGGCTCCGGTGCAGGTGCAGAGTCGGGGATCTCCACGTGGATGCCGGAGTCTGCACCCATTGCGAGAGCCGTGCGCAGCGTCTCCGAAGACTTCGGTGGACCAATGGTGACGACCTTAATGGATTTGACCGCGTCCTTGAGCTTCTCCCGCAGCCGCACGGCTTCCTCGACCGCTGTGTAGACCATGTCATCGTTATCCATGGGTAATAGCGGGATAGCCTTACGAACCGATCTCGTCGAAGGGGTTCTGCACGTCGTTGGAACAACATAAAAATACATCATGACCACGGTTCCAGCGTGCAGACGTACCATTGAATGCTTGACGTTGAGATCAATTCCCTTCTGGTCGGGATTCACGCGAATCTTCACCGCATAGTCCACAGTCCTGCAGACTCACTCGAGTCAATCGGGTGATATAACAGAAAATGCAGAACTTACCGCTTGATTGGAACAAGAATGTTCAGTAGGCGCACTGCGGAAGGTCTCATGGCGACGGAAGGCAAGTCACGAATCCTCCCAAGCAGAGAGTGAAGGAGTCAAGAAGCAACGATGAAATTAACAAGTAGAATCCGGGTGTGGGGAAGCCGACCCCGGATTCCGATCGGTATGTGTGCATCCTTTTCAGGCAAGTGTGCAAGATGCTCGCCCACACCTACTTATGAATACTACACAGGCAGGTCACCGTATTCAACAAAATGAGCCTGGGGTGGAAAAGGGAGGGGCGGACCTCAGTCTATCGGGCCCTCGGGTTAACCTGGGGCTCATTGACAATGAGCCTCAGGCCTAAACGGTCGCTAGGTCACATGCTCACAAAATTTTTATTTTGTCCATTCTGTACTTATTGCCTCGTGAAATATGCTTATATGCAAAATAAATATATTGTGTTCTATATGTACAAAATTCTCTACTGCGTGCAGAACCGTTGTTCCCAGCACCCCTGTATCCATGTCCAAGCCACGCGCGAGTTCATTGCATGTTGTAATGTCCGCGGAGGAGGCCACGGTTGCAGAGATGCAGATCATGCACGGCATGCAAATCCCGTCGCGGGCGGTGGTGCATCGGATGATAAGGAGAAATGTCCGAGGGGGTTCATGACGAAATGGTGGTCCATACCCTCTGTAGAGACATCAACACTGATACCTGTGACACAGATGTGAGAGAAAACACATGGAGAAGCCGCACCATGCTCACTGCTACTGCGAGTGATATAGTACGACCATCAGCACGGTCAGTCATCAGGAGATAGCAAAAATCTTGTCGACGCCCATGATGCTGACGACGACGACGAGGGCGATCGTCACGGGCTGCGTCGTGCCGCCGCGCTCGCCTGACGGTGCAACGGGGTTCTCAATCGCCGCGACGAGGTCCGCGGAGGTCTGCATGATGCTGCCGCTGTACGACGCCGAGGAGGCGGCCGCGCTCACACCGGAGGGGAACGCGTTCCCCGGGACGCGCGGCTCCTGCTGGCCATCGGCTGGGTGCCGCGAGTGAGGCCGCAGCGCTGCAGGCACTCGTCTGTGCCGAGGACGAAGTGTCGGGGATCTGGTACCGCCATACCCTGCGAGTGATATAGTACGACCATGGTCAGTCATCAGGAGATAGCAAACACCGGAGACGGGGACTAATATCTAAGTTCCTTACATTGTGGGAACATCCGGCCTAACATTGTACATGTATGACGGCCCGTATGTAGCTCCGACGGTCGAAAATATGTTTACAATGTAAGGCCTGATGTCTGGGCATGCGATACCCAAATCACACATTGATAATGTGTGATATTGCGACATATACAATGTTCGCAAATGGCTATGTTACCATATAACATTCGTCCGAAAATTTTAGGTCTCGTTCGGCATGTCCGGCGGGAAGAAATTCTGATCGACATTATGCCTTTCAGGGCAGACAACAGATTAAATATCGAACTAGTATAAGGGCGACACAAAGTTACAATGTATGATCATTTGACATTTGACATTAGAGTCTATATATGAGGTGAGATGTCAGGGCCTCACACCCTCGACCTAATATTCAAACTGTAAGGAGGTCGGACACCCATAGCGCCGCTAAGCGGCTTGATGAGTGGCACACTCGATGGCCGCTTAGTGGTCATTGGATCGCCAAGTGTACCGCTCAGCGGCTTTTCAACTGGTCGTGGGAGATCGCACAAGCACAAGCACAAGTTCGATCAAAGGAAGTACATTAACTGTATATAATGAGAAAGCGGCAAATGACAGGACATCGACAAACAGCGCAGGATGCAACGACGAGGGGCAAGGGACAGGAACAGCACGTAAAATTACGAGGAAACCACTTATTTGCACACAAGCTGGGCCAAGTCATCCCTATCCACCCTAAGCGTCCTGCCGCCTTCTTCCAGTACTAGAACAAGCGGGTCTGCCACGCCCCGCATCGTTTTGCCGTACGCTCCGAAGTTGGGGCCACGCTTACACACGATCGCATAATCGCCAGGGCCTGGTTGCAATATGGCGAGGTCTTGGAGAGAGACATCGGCATATTCCAGCTTTCGCGTCCGGTATTCGCATCACACCTTGCCGTCCACTGGGGAGGCTCCCTTCACCGTGGTCATCAGCTTGTCTCGGAGTTGATCGGCTGTGCACATGAACTTGAAGCGATAAGTATGGAACGCAGGTGCCACAGCCGCATCCAGCATCCATCCATTGGGTCCTGATGTGAATTCAGCGGACATTTTGTGTTGATGATGAGGCTACGCACCATTAGGTTCGACTGAAGACATCGATCCATCGGGTCCTAATGTGGATTCAGCGGACGCTCGGTAGTGGCGGCGCGGTTACGCACCATCAAGTTCCACCGAATACGCCCACGCCGAATCTGTGTCGTGTGACGCGGGTTCTAATTCGTGGCCCAATGGGGTCCGAGGCCGCTCAGAGAGCGGACCACGCTCCGCCGTGTCGATGTTGCCCCTGCAATGAGGCAGTTAGATATGACCAGAACTACAAGTAATGAATCTTACCTTTCTTCTGACCGGAATGCGATCTCGGGCTTTCGGAACAAGAGGACGCCCCTCGAGGTTAAAAGCTTGGCTTCAAGCTCAACCTCGTAATCGCCGTGGTACGTGACGTTTCGCAATGTGCCCACAAATCCCTTCAAAGGGCCTTTGATGACACGCACCGCTCGCCCGATGTCGGGATTCCGTCGGTCAGGATGCTTGAGGGCAAGCTCCATCTCCACCTCTTCCTCCGTTTGCGTCTCAGAGCGTGAGGGGCGCTGCTCTCCCGGCCTTGATACTGTCACCGACGGCTGTATCGAGGTCCATTCCGCCTCGGACTCTGTGAGTAAGAGATCCCAGGGTAACACATGATGCTATATCGAGTTTTGAGCATCGATAACGTCGCAGGTGGTGGGACATACCTCAGAGGTTTCCAACACAGAAGAAGTATGAAAGACTCCCGTTATTGGGTTTCTAGTTCGCTGAGAAAAGTTCAGTACTTGGAAGCATCGTCGTACGTAGAACATACATGCTGAGGAAAGTTCCGCTATTAAGGATTGCAATTGCATGAGAAGTGCACAACGTACCTCGACTTTGTTCGCGTGAACAATCGTGACATCGAAATCATCCACAGCAATCACTTGCCCTTCCAAGCCCCCATGGAGGCCCGTCTTAACTTTGACCGCATCGCCAACTGCCCAAAGGGGGTGTAACTGAGTTACAGGTAGCACGAGAGACGAAAGTTCGTCATCCAACTTCTCGTGGTAGAGATTGGTTAGCGTAGCCTGTCCATTAATGACTGAATGCACGACACCGATGAGGCCGCATTGCTCGCCCTGTATAACGATCACACGCGTGCCTGCAGCCGGTTCGAAGTCAACACAGAATAGAATGAGCTTCGCTATCGCTGTCTTTGGCACGAATTTCGCCGCATTAAAGACGAATACGTCGTTTCGAGTCGCGTGGACGTCGAAAGTCACCCGGTCCAAAGTGAGTTCGAGCTGCAGGAGGCCGCCTTTGAACTTCTTGCCCTTGAGAATATGTATCAGCCGATCACCTTCGCTTTCTGTCACAGCCTCTCCGAACAACTCCTTCAGTAATGCTGGCGGCATCGGTTGCTGAGAAGTTCTTCCGTGCTGCCGCTTTTTTGTAGTAGGCAAGCACGGAACCACCCAGACGCGGAGGAGAGAGTCCTCTCGCGACTCCACGAAGGCCACATCGTGCTTATATGTACCACGCGAGATGCACACCCAAGGAGAGAGGAAACCATTTTCCGTGGCTTGAAGGTGGATTCCATCGGGGGCAAGAGAGATGACTGCGCCACCCGACTGCGAGGCCCGCTGTGCACGTCTAGCTGCCATGTCTCTCTCCGTAATAGACCGGGCCATGGCTTCTGCATCAGCAGCATCGTCGCCGACACATGCATTATCAAGACGCACCCGAGCTTGTTGAGTGCGTTGGACGTCGGCGAGCAACTCGGCTGGAAACAAGCTGTAAGATATATCCAATAACGCAGCTGAGACACTTACCCAGTTCCTCCTCCTCTTCTTCTTCTTCCTCCTCCTCCTCCTCCTCATCGTTGTCGACGATAGCCTCGATATCCAAGTATGGGTTCTTGGCATTCCATGCGTGAGGATTGAAAATGTAAGAACCGACTGCAGTACTTACCGCTTTCCGCGCACGCTTTGAAGACATGGCAGCGTCAGTGGTATCGAGACGTCAGGATAGTGTCCGTTAGATTTGAGCAATCGTATCTTATGAGACATCGCTTGGAGTACACGAGGCTTCGACCACGAGGCGTTCATCACCAATCAGCCCACATGTACAATTACTTCCGAGTAACACGCGCAATGTCCTTCAACGTCGCACTGCTGGTGATGAGGTGTCACCGAGAAGATTTCCGACGTAGCGGCTGCTCCTGCAGTTGTGCGTGAGCATGCACAAGTGCCGCATTCTCCTATACATTGAGAAACATGTCAGTATAGCTACACCGCCCTTCGTCCATATCGTGCACATACATTATTGTCAGCCTGTCAGCCTATCAACCTCAGCGTGTACAATCGACCTGGTGCGATCTGGCTGTAACCGCACGGGTGCGTTAATGTCAAGGGTCTTCAGAAATTTTTACGCGTAAGGTAATCAATAACCAAATCGGCTGCAATTCGATTGTATCTCACTCTGGTATGCAACCGGCGCAAAAGGGCGATGAAACAAACCGTCCGGCAGCTTGGCTACCTATACTATAGCTAAAGATAACGAGGACCCCACAAGAATAAATAACAACGAAACTACAAAAGAGAGCGAACTACACTACAACGTTACTAAAGGCTCCAGGCCACATAGCGAATGACAAGTGCTACGGCCGAGAGATGGTGGTGGAACGAGAACAAGAGGAAAGAAACGCCCATTCCACCTCCAGCGGAGTTTTGACGCATCCCGTCGCTTTGTCCCGCGCAAATAAGGCAGCCACACATCACGGGCCACTTGTCACGAGCCGCTTGTCATGAGCCGCTTGTCAGCCTCTGTTTGTCTCGCACAAATAGACCGCGTGCGCCATCTGGCCGCTGTCCAGAATTTGGGCGCCTTCTTCCTTGCCTTCGAATTTCCATCATCCCTGCGATATCGGCCAGTTCTTCCGTCGCCGTGTCTGCCTCCTCCTCCTCGCCCATGCCCTCCTCGCCGTTGTCGTTGTCGACGCCATCGCCCTCTTCCGCTCCAGTGCCGTCGTCGCCGCCCTTTTCCTTGCCCACTTCGATGCCCTGAGGGCTTCCTCGTAACGCCCTCTTCTGCGCAGGTGCCCTCTTCCTCGCTGAGCCGTTCTCGTGCGCGCCGCCGCGCCTGTTTGAATTAGGGGCCGATAGTATACATTGTATTAGAACCTGTATCATAGCCATCCGAGCCACATCTCTGATGATTGAGCGCCATATCGGGTTTGTACCAAACATAAACATAAGAACCGCGAAAACGCACCATTAATTGGCACCTGAGCCGCTAGAACAACCCACAGGCCAATATTGGCTCTGCTTGAAAGCCCGGAACCGTACATTGTTGCCCATGGACGCATCGTCCACGGCTCACTCTGGCTATACAGATATTACAGATGCTACATAACGATCACTCGCAAATACCGGTCCTTCGTCAAGGTCTCGACGTCTCCGCTTTCTACAATACCTGGCGCGTATTCATGGAATGGTCAGAAATTACGAGGATCGACCACCTGAGCGTACCATGTGAGTGCTTTACGCACATCGCTTATATGAATTCCGTGCTGACGCCGTGCTTCTCGTTGACTTCCGCGACAGGTATTCGTGGAACCATCTGGCACGACGCTTCTAATCCCAGGTATGTTGCCTTTATATATCCTGCCTGCTGCTGCCAGGCTGATAACGCGAACCCATCGTCATCCGTCCCGGATTTCGCTGTCCACGCTACTCCCTCAGAATTTCGAAAAGTCGGCCGCAAATATGTCAGACAAGGTGGATGCGGAAGTTCGCTGTCCACATTTCAGTTGCTGACGTTACTCGCCTACAGGTCTCCATGTCCCCGGTCCAATGTCCAAAATCTAGTACCGAGACGGACGTGGCGAGCACATCCCATCCGCCTTCGTCGGACATGCGCACGTCCTTACTGGAGGAGATCGAGGACCTGAAGCGTGAACAACAAAAATTAATGCAGCTGATCCTTATCTTAGAGAAGGAGGTGAAGACCATGGAGCTCCGAGTCGAACAGTCGGGACGACGTGCAGTTCATGTTCGAGAGTTTGCAGAGGCTACAGCCGACCTGGCTGCGCTGGTCCGCGCCGAGCGAGGATCATTGAGCACCCCTCCCCCTCCCCCTTACGGTGCATACGTGGATCAAAATCCTATTGATGACACCTGTATTCACTATTCCCAGGTGCCTGAGCTGCTTGCGGGGGGCGTTGGTTTCGCTGTTCGTGTCGTGTACCTCGCTCAATATTAATGTATCTTGCGCTCCGTTTGCGGACGGAGAATTATCTCTAGTCCTTCCATTAGGCGGGCACCCGTGAAGGCTGCGAAGGTCACGTGTGACACTCGACAGGATAAGTATAGACCACGAAGGACCTCGTCGATTCATTCTGCCAGGCCATCTGCGTGACTCGCGACGAGAAGACGGGCGAGGCGAGGTACATGCGTGCGCAAAGTGCCGCTCGGCGATGTGGACATTTAAAGATAGATTAAATAAGTTTTCTATAATCCTTGCTGAAAATAAATTCGTTTGAAGTGGACATAACTATACCATAAGTCTGAAGCCGCCATAAGTCTGGAGCTACCTTTCGAGGAAATGCGTCTATTGTTTTGGATCTGTCAGATTATAAATTTCGTGGCACGTGGGACCCATGAGGGGTATGCCTATATATATTGCGGTGTCTCCGAGTCTTTCCCCATCTCACGTTCGGAGCATACCACCACCACCACCACCACCATCCCCCCACTACTGTCCAAACTGATCCTCATGGCTAATCGTGGTCGTAAGTGATGATTATACATTTTGACGTGAATCGATATTAACATTGTTTGCACTGCTGTGGCCTCAGCACCCTCCATCAGTGACTTACAGAACCAGATTCGGGCCCTTAGCGCCGACGTAAGTCAGACTGAGGCTATCGCGCTGAAGGTGCAGCGGGCCGTGGAGATCATTCGTGCGGCCCTTGGTATCAACACCGGAGGGGCATCGCCCTCCGTGCCGCCCTCCACCGTGCCGCCCTCCACCGCACCGCCCTCCGCCGCGCCGCCCTTCTCCAATGTTACTGAGGCGGTCTAACGTAAGTCCTTAAGATGAGTGATTTATATCGGTAGATAACCTGACTGATCAGATGTGCACAAGGTTACTGGGAGGCAGTCGGGTGTGGGGCATTCCGCGGGGGTTCTGTATGATTGTCGGCCGCGTTTGTTGTACTTTTGTTTACTGTGCCTGAAATGACCTTCGGAAGTTGTGGAAAGTCTTAAGGTTGGAGGCTGATCTCGCAAGACAATCATCGTGATTGTCGGCCGCATTTGTTGTACTTTTATTTACTGTGCCTGAAATGACCTTCGGAAGTCGTGGAAAGTCTTCAGGTTGGAGGCTGATCTCGCAAGACAATCGTCGGCAAGCTCAATGGCATTGACTTCTTTACACATACATGACATGGAAATACGTCAGATCTCGCGCTTCCAACACTCCGCCAGGTGCCTATCCCCCGCATACATCGATATATCTTCTAGGTAAGGACAAGCACGATACAATTGAGTGACTTGTGCACGTCGATTGGCGTCTAACTTGACGCTGCGCCCCTCGACTATATGCAAGTGTCGTACCGAAGGAAAGAGATCTAGCCACCCCGGTAAGCTGTTCTGTGCTGATGTGAATGGCGGCGAAGCAACGAATGAAATGGGCAACTTACAAGAACACTCAGATGAGTTGAAGATAAGGTAAATTCGTCTGCATCCCATGTAGCGTGGATGGTGATCGTGCGCACGTTCGAAAGACCGCGTTCCGTGCGAAGGTGTTGTGGGTCGTCTACAATGAAGAACGAGTCGGATTCTGGCTGTGCGATGTAACCACAGGGAAGGGCGATGTCGAGCTCTTGGAGACGCGTACAGCGTCGAGCACTGTTTATCACCCCTCGGAGCTCGGAATCGAGAAATAGGCCAATCGCGGAAGAATGATCCGGTATGACTGCAAGACGCTGCAGTGCAGGAAGACCCCACGCAAGTAAGGGGATTATGTAGTCGTGAGAACCCGCGAGGACTTCGAGGTGGTCCATATTAGGTGGACGGGCAGCGTAGGGGAGGAAACCAGGGCGAGTAAAGCGACCAATCCGGAGCTCACGTATGCTGGGATGATGAAGGAGGAAACGGAAAATTGTGTTGATAGGTAGCACACCATCGATGTAGAGGGTTTCCAGATGCTCCATGTGGAGGTGAGGTAAAATAAGACGCCACGATGGTGAACCTCTGTTGTTGAGCTGGAGATCGAGCGCAGTGAGCGCTGCGCTGTTGAGGGTGTGAACCGTCCAACTAATGTACTCCGCGGAGAAGAATACGGCAGATTTGACCTGCATCTTCTGCAGACGAGGATAAAATAGACCGGAGTTGACGACAGGGATGTCTTCAGGAGACTCGATAGCTCGAAGATCGCTAGACAAGCGCGACTTCAGACATAGGTGCGACACCCCTGACGAGGCCACAGTCTGTAGGAACTTGCATGTGGCTAGAGAGAGCCGCGCGTTGTGGAGCTCGATGACAATGTTGGATATAGCGAGCTGGGTACGACTCGAGATGAAGAATCCCACCAACCCGTAAAGCTGGTGTTTGGCCATTGCTGCATTCGCGATGATACGGATCCACATAGATGGGGGAGTAGGAAGGCCTTGCATGCCACGCCACACGATGATGGGCCGTGTGTGCTCATAAGTTATGACTGGACCGACATTGTTCGAGGAATCAATGAAGCCTGCGGCCTTTAGATAGAGCGGCAGTACGTAGACTCGGAGAAGCCCAGACACAAGTGAAAGTGTGTATAACGTGTCACGATCGTTCGCCAAAATATGGAGAATGATATTGCCTAGCTCGACCGGGAGCATCAAAAAGGGAAATACGTGCTTTGAATTGACTGGACGATGTGTCTGAGAAAGTGCGTCAGTCTGAATACTGACTGCACGATGCAGACCGTACCGCATGCACAACAATCCTCTTATCAGTCTGTGAATTGGAATCGTCTTCTTTAAGTTTCTTGTGACGCTGCGAATCGTCCTCCTCATGGCGACGCTTGGACAAAACCTAAAGGTTAAACAATGAGTACACTACCGGCATGAAAAGCATAGAACTCATACCTGGGCATCTTCGACAAATCCACAGCGCTGTTGCTTTGTGCAACGGTTCAAGGCGCGCAAGAACTGTGATCATTGGTATATGTGCTTGCAGGTCAGAGGATGCAGAAAGCTTACTTCTGACATGAGCCTTTTCGCTGGCGGTGCGTCAAGAGCATCATCGAGAGTAGACCGTTTCCCAAGTATGCTTGGGGAACCGGAGCGAAGCGTGCTATAATTCGAGCCCATGGGACAGTGTGGGATGGAGATTCTTTCAAAGTTAAATATGCTCGAGAGCGACCAGCACATAGCGCATCCGAGACTTCAGCGGGGTGAGTGACGAAGCAGTGAGAACAATGGAGATCTGAAGCGGACAATGGAAGACTTACCATTGATTCACCACGGACAATGCACAACCGGTCCAGCAGTGCCCATGGTGGCACCGAATGATTAGTTCACGAACAGAGCATGTGAACAGGCACATCAGCTCACCTGGGGATCCACCATCGTGTTTCAGCCAATGACGAGAACAATAACGCTGCATATCTGGACGGGACCGATAAGGGATAATGAGATGGCGATGCGCGCAGAATCATTGACCGTCGGATCAACTTGGCAGCTCGGGAAGCTTCAGAACTCAGAATTCTCTGCACGGAGCTACACATGACAATAGTATTTCGATCAATTACTACAACCGATGTGATCTGTCAGCGCATCCGCGATCACCGTGGAAGGTAATTTGCCTAAGTCCGTATCATTAGTTTCTCTTCGCCGCGAATTCTGGCTATGGTTCACACGTGAGCCAGCAAATGACGACACACAAAGACGCTTCTTATGAGGTCAGGTATTTCGAATGCCAGTTTGAACCATAGGGTACTGCGCTGAGCACGAGTGATAGTCTTCATCCAGTCGGGGTTGTAGAAGTTCTTCGGCAACTGCGTGATCAGCTTTCTCTTGGACGATGACGACGCATTTGCTTCAAAGATGCGAGACAGCGAGTAATTGCCTTGTTCCGTGAGATGAAGTGGGTGCACATCCTCATAAGAATCGACGTTCCTGTAAAATGCAGCAAGAGAGGGATGGCGCCATGGCAAGCAAACACGTCGAACTTTCTTGTCGTTGCGACGAGTATACTCGCCATTGGTCTCATCCGAACTTATGCCTCCTTGACCTAAGGCCATGTGGATAATCTTGACTTTTCCCCAGATTGCCGGATTGTCTTGAAGGTTGACCTCGATGATGTCACCGCGCCGTTTATACACCTTCAAATATATATAAGTCAAATCGAAATCAAAGACTGAGATGACGTACCGTCTCCCTGCGACTGTTCTTCCTACGTTGCTTCTTCGCAGTATTCCTCGCTGACTCCACTTCTTCGTCCTCCATTAATTCCACTTCTGTGAATCGCTTGTGAGGCCCGTTCTGCAGCTTGTGCAGGCAACACTGTGATGCCGTCGTGATTGTCCACGCTGGATCGGACACAAGCGGTGGGTGCTCGCCTCCTGCTACCTGCTTGAGAAACTCCTCAGTGACGATGTGGATCACCTCCTTGTTCCACGCAGAACTCAGCGGCAATGACCACTCGATCAGGGGAGTGGTGACATCGGGACCATCCCCCTCGCCATCGTGCCATGCTTGCATGATTTCCGGCTTCGGGACCAGAGAGAGGGGGCTGTCTCGAGCCTTCGGCAGAAGACCTTTCACCTTCAGGTATTCTCGAAAGCGATCCTGTAGGTTAATTCAGAACGAGAATAAGCTATAAGCGTGCTACTCACATGAAAGACGTTATCACGTTCTCCTCTGGAGCGCTTGACACGCGAGATCGGCGCATCATCGCAATCGTCGTTATCCTCCTCTCCGCCATCATATTCACCATTCGGCGTGGAGTGGGAGACAGTGGACCGCCCTTCGTTCTTGGCAGATGTCGATGCCCGCGCCGACGGTAAAAGCGTAGCCAGAGGGGCCAACTGCCTAATGATCTCGTTCTGGCGTTCGAGTACCGGAGTGAAGTTGGAAAGTGCCTTCTGCACTGATTGATCGACAGCGAGGCCGATAAATTCGACCAGCTGTTGCATGGCTGTGACCTCAACTGTCGGCGCAGGTGCCAGGGATTCCTTTGCCATTCCTCCAATGTTTGCAGGGGGCAGAGTAGGTTGCCGCGGCTCAATGTGATGCGTAGGGGCAAGCAAAGGCAGGGATTTAGGACCGACAGACCCTAGCTGAGGGACTGAAGCATCCAAGCCAGGAGGAGCGCCTTGTGCCTTGTCCACCTGAAGGGGAGCAGGCTGCACTTCGTCCATATGAGTGCTGGTGGCGAGTCCCTCGCGAGAATCTATGAACGACCCGGGAATTGTAGGGTGGGGACAGAGCATTCTCTCTACACCAGGGGCGAACAGCGTTAAGTTCGACAAGGTCGTAGAAGAGAAATATTCTTACCTACGGTGAATTCCTCTGCCAAGTCATTCCGCAGAGCCATACTATCGTGAATGTAAGCCAACGTACCCATGCGATATGCGACTACACTCACAAAGTTGACTGGACTCCTGCATCTGTATTGACGGCTGGCCTATACCAGCCGTCCTTGTCGGCAGTGAGCACACTGGAAGGCTGCGACATCGCAGGTGACTTGCCCGTCCTCTCACGTTCGCCTGCTCATATCTCGCACCACAACACTGTGCCTTGTGACCAGCGACTGTCAAACTACAACGCAACAATGGGGAACTTATCGGAAGTTCGCATGTCTATTCGACCTTCTCAGCCGCTCCGTGAACAATGGATGTAACGAGATTAGCGATTTTCATATCACAATGCAATCGTGTAAAACTTACGCTAAATTTGCTGCCTGTCTATAAACACGTGTCTATAAATATCACGAGCATCTGCCCCTTAGTGATCCAGCCCTGATCCCATGCCCGCGACGAAGGGTGCAGGCCGAGCACGGCCATGCTACTGCAAAACGTTCAACTGTCAGGGTCAGTTTAGAGATTGGAATATGCTCCGCGCGCATCAGAGAGCAGACGGAAGACGCAAGAAGGTAAGCAATTAACAAAAACACATAAGAAATATTTACTTCCAAAAGTACCAGACGTCTTCTGTGCTCGAAGGCATCTTTGTCAGTTATGAAAGATAATCTTTTCTATCAATAAGTAGCAAATTTTCATAAGAATTGCCACTTTTAAGTAGACTTATTTGTAGGTGCATAGATTAACTCAGGATAATCTTAATATAATCTTTCAGATAATCTGAGGATAATCTTTTGGATAATCTGAGAATAATCTGAAAATTAGCAACAAAATACAATTTTAACTTTGACACCAGCCAGGATTGAACCCTAGACCTTAGGTTGATTTTATAGAATATAATTCCAAGTGACACTTTAGACCACTTGACCATTAGGCCATACATCACAACTATCTTATATTAAATTAGACATCTTTTTCTTGAAAAAGACTTAGCCAAATTCTGTCTATTAAAAAAGAGTAAGTAAAAGACACTTGACTTTTATCATAGATAGACAAGACTTATAAACAAACATTACTCTGAGTCTTATAGTCTTTTCTAATGCTTGCAGCCTTCATATAATGTAGTATAATATGTAATTAATAGAATATATGTTTCTACAGTTACTTCAGCAAAACAGAACTTTGCTATACAATTAGAAGATAGCTATAAAGATCTTGTATATATAAGTGCTCAGTCTATAATATAATAGACTCTAGAGTATAAGCCTAAATTGAACAAATAAAATACTGTCTCTCAATAACTTGTTATATATTATAGATGACTATATTAAGACACTCTATGATACTGCATGATAGTTTATAAAAACTGTAAGCTGTAGAACAAGACTATAATAAGATGCAGAGTACTGTTTGTCTATAAGTCTTGTCTATCTATGATAAAAGTCAAGTGTCTTTTACTTACTCTTTTTTAATAGACAGAATTTGGCTAAGTCTTTTTCAAGAAAAAGATGTCTAATTTAATATAAGATAGTTGTGATGTATGGCCTAATGGTCAAGTGGTCTAAAGTGTCACTTGGAATTATATTCTATAAAATCAACCTAAGGTCTAGGGTTCAATCCTGGCTGGTGTCAAAGTTAAAATTGTATTTTGTTGCTAATCTTCAGATTATTCTCAGATTATCCAGAAGATTATCCTCAGATTATCTGAAAGATTATATTAAGATTATCCTGAGTTAATCTATGCACCTACAAATAAGTCTACTTAAAAGTGGCAATTCTTATGAAAATTTGCTACTTATTGATAGAAAAGATTATCTTTCATAACTGACATCACTGTCGAAGGCGACGAACTAGCAGACCGGATCTTTGAATTAACTTTGAAGGACGCACTCACGGATGAACCTACCGCAGAGTCTGCACTGCCGCCACCGCCCCCACCACCGGCCCGGCACCCATCTTCAACAGTGCCCCCCTCCCAGCCTACAGTGTCCCCCCTTCCACCCATTCCACCCCCGCTCACTTCCCTACCTGGGCTCTGGATTGTCGATTACGAGATCTGAGACTGTTTCTTGAGCACTTCGCGTGTAAAAGATGAGGGTATTGTGGCCCCCCAAGACAGCAAAGCTGCTGCGGCTGCCTGCACTACACTGTGCGAGGAGCTGGCTTGGTTTCAGGAAACCTGCACCAAGCTAGAGAAGTTGACGTTGCGCGACCAATCAACGATCATTTTGCGCGATGCAATGTTAGAACGGCTCACCTTGAACATTTCAGACGTGCAAGAATGGATTGAAAAGGTGAAGGGCCCTGCAGCACCGCCAGATGCGATCACCACAAGTTAGTGGTCTCTCTTGCTCACTCAAGCCAGTATCACTCACCGACGTTAGGTCGCTATTTCGACCACCCGCTGCAGCGCGGAGATCCCCTTCTGCTCTTGGCGGTGTTCATAGTACTGATCCTGAAGCTGCTCGGTCAGGTGCCGCGAACGACTTGTAACTTCGCATTGCAGATGTTGAAGGTTTTGCTGGACACTGCGCTGCGCCAAGGCACACGGTCATTATCCTACCGTGAGGAGCAGATTTTAGATCATTTCCCCCGCGACATTCGTGGCGTGCGGAAAGCCTTCGATTTGGAGGCTGTTGTCATAGTTTACGCAACTTGTCCGTCATGCTGCTGCACATATGCGCCTTCATATCAAGACGATATACCTGTTTATCCGAGTCGTTGTCAGCATCGCAGCAGCCCACGCAGCAAACCTTGCAACTCACGATTGACGACTACTCGCGTTCTGGATGGCGAAAGCGTTCGCTCTCCTATACGCCCTTTCGTCATTCAAGACTTCCATGCATTTGTGGGTGGGCTTATCAGCCGACCGGGGATGGAGGAGATCCTCCGACAGGGGAAGGCAATACGAGATCGCTACAATCTATGCGACATCACCGATGGATCCGCCGTCGCCGACATGCAGGGACCGGACGGAAAACCCTTCGCCGATGCAGCTGAGGGCGAGTTACGCTTACTTTGGGCCCTTTCGGTGGACTGGTTCAACCCATATCTCAACAAAATCGCAGGGTTGTCGATTTCGACGGGGTCGATGGCTATGTCGTGTTTATATCTTCCGCCGAGCATGCGATACAAAACCGATAATCTATATCTCGCGGGCATTATTCCCGGACCCAAGGAGCCCAAGCTCGAGCGCACTAATCACTTCCTCCGCCCGCTGGTCGACCAACTGTTAGTCTCCTGGGAGCGCGGCATTTGGTACAACAGAACTTACGACTATCCTCGCGGTCGCCGTGTACGCTCAGCGCTCGCCCTCGTCATCACTGACTTGCCAGGATCTCGTAAGGTTGGCGGATTAGCCAGCCATAGCGCAGGGTGCTTTTGCTCGCAGTGCCATTTGAAGAAGCAGAGTATCAATAACATTGACATGACGACTTGGAAGATGAAAACGGCTGAAGAGATCTTGGAAGCCGCTGTCCGCTGGCACGACGCTGACACGCAGGAAGAGCGAAAACACATTTTTAAGGAGTTTGGCGTTCGATGGTCCGAACTTAATCGCCTACCATATTGGGATCCCATTCGGCGCATAGTCATCGACGGGATGCATAACATCTTTCTCGGAGTAACCCAGTTCCACAGCAGAAAAGTGATTGGAATGGACGTACCTATAGGGGACTGTGAGGATGCTGGAAACTCGCGCAAAATCAAGGAGAACGACTTGATCAGCCTTCGATGCCTCCTGCTGAAGGACCCCGAGCCTCGCTTGTTGTTGCGCTTCAATAAAGTCACCCTGGGACACATGTGCGGGGAGCTCAGCTTCTGGTTACCTCGCCCTGTTCACGAGATGAAAAAATCGGTGCTCGCCGATGTGTTGGTATGCACTCACATTGAGCTCGAATGGTAACACTGATCTCACATCAGACTCGGCGAACGGGTTACACACAGACGCATGCGACCATTGCTGTTTGGATTCGCCCTTCCGCTTCTGCTACAGACCGCGCCCCACTGACAAGCACCCCCGATACTGCAGAGCTTGCACCTCAGACTCTGATCGGAGAAGCGTACACAGCAGAATGTGCAGCTGAACATGCAGCCACAGCGAAGCTTGCAGACAGACAGGATGAAGTTGACAGCTTGTCAATACGGGCTTTTCGCAAATGAGATCTCAAACACGTACAGGCTGACATTGCCGAGACATCCCGCCCCGTTTATTCCGTTGGACCACCTGCGAACATGGGTACGAAAGGCCAAGGCAAGCTCAAAGCCGATCACTGGAAAGCTGCAATAGAATTCGAATTACCTGTCTCGCTCATGAAGCATTGGCACCGCGAACGACTGGACAACTTATCAGACGAGTCTAAGCACCGTCATGATCTCGCTCACTGCACGATGCGGCTGGCCTGTGCAGTTCATCAAGCCACTTCATATCGGACTACAGAAAATCATCGCACCAGATATACAATCCATATGCACGCTTACCTCTCCGACATCCTGGAGCTCAAGCCCGGGCTCACCCTGGTGCCCAATCACCACAATGCACTTCACCTCGGTGACTTCCTCATGCGCTTCGGTCCAGTCCATGGCTGGTGGATGTTCCCCTTCGAGCACCTCATCGGAGTGTTGCAGCAAGTGAATACAAACTACAAGCAGGGTGAGCATTTGTCCTCTTAATTGTATAAGATATCCACTCACTTGTTTGGCAGGGCAATTCGAGAAGACTATGCTTGAATCTTTCTGCGCCGCGGCCAATGTCAAGGCATTTCTGAAGCGGGATGACTGCCCGAAAGTTCTGAAGGACTGCGCACCCATCATCCAGTCATGCTTCGGAGGCGATCAGCGAGGCACATTGATGACGGACATCCGTACCTTGGGCGAACAAATTCTTGACGGCCCTTCGCCAGACACCGGTGCAACTGTTGACTGGACTAGTGTCCGCTGATTGGAACGCGAATTTTACGATGTCCTCGCGGCCCGATCAGCAGAACTGAACATTCTGGTCCCAGGCTGGCGACTCACCCGACATTGCTTGCTTCATGGCCATCTCACAATCCACAGCACACGATATTCGACTGTCCACTCTAACGAGAAGAACAGTCTCGTGTTCTTCCAAACATCTCCCACGGCGCCGCCAGTACCAGGTGTCATCCGGCAGATATTTTCGGTCGTCGGTCACAATGAAGATGATGGTAACAAGAAAGATTCTCAGCACGCATTTCTGGCCATCCACCAGTACTTACCTTTGCCAGATTCCGCGCTCGATCCTTTCCGTGCATATCCAGACTTTGGAGCAAGTATCTGGAGTAAAACGTGTACCGAGGAAGTCAGCATCATCTCAGCATCAGAACGTGTTGACCACGCGATCCGGATGGAATGGTCAACGGAAACCTATGTGTTCAAGTCCCTGCAGAAGGTAACTCAGCATCTACAGCGTGTAACTGAAGGCTGACGTACCATATGCACTGGTCACAGGAGTATTGAGGCGATGCAGTGCGGACAGGATCGCCCGATTTTGAACCACTTGGGACGGGAAGCGGTATGCTTTCGCGTCAGTGAACATCCTATGAATAGCACTTTCATGATTATGCTATACATTCCACGCTATCCACTTTGAGTGATTCTACTTGACACTGCTACAAATATTACATGTCATCATCACCGTCTCCGTCATCATCCTCGTCTTCACACACTGCATCTAACCAATCGCAATTTACTACCGATGTTGCCCCCCCGCTGAATGCACTCGTCGGCACTACAGACGCTCCCAGTTGCGACTTCGACCTGACTTGGTCAAACATGCTACCCATGACAGCTTCCCAGTTCACAGAATTAGCTGCATTGACAACCACAATCGTGAGGATGACCGTGATTACGAGGTGCCACCATGCGAGTCTGACATCAGTCTGATGCCTTCGCGCCTCATCTCGACGATGAGCGACCTTCTGTGAATAACGATGTTGTTGGTGGAGCCCGCTAGAGATAATCAGCACAGCTCACCTGCTTCCGCTGCCATATCTTGATACAGCATGAACCCTCACCGGAAGAAGCTGTCGCTACCTTGAATTCACTCTCCGTGCTATAAGCCTTTGCAAGTATGAGTGCAGCCTCATGCCTCCCCAACGCCACTCACTGTTACTACCTGTACCAATTGCCCTGCTAACGTCAGATTAACGTCACATGTCAATGAAAATAAAATAAGCCATACCTGCACCATGGTGCAGCGTCTCAACGTTGTGATAGTTCGTTGTGTCGAAAATCCGTACGACACCGTTATCACCGCCTACCACAACTGACGATTCATGTATCACGACATGCACAGGATAATTGTTCACGATCCGGTAGGGATAACTGCGAACACGCTCCATAGACGGAAATCGATACTGGTCGAGCCCATCACATAGGTTAGTCACCCAGAGACTTCTTCCGTCGACGGATAAATCGGCATATCCGCCGTTGATGAAGTATTAAATCCATGCTCCAACAGAGGACTAAGACTCACATTCGAGTGGGCAAGATCTTCGACCACTTTAATCCGAACGGCTCTATGCAGTAGCAGCAACTAACTGCAATCATTATACGTTCCCCGAAAAGCAATAGCGTGACTTACATCTCATGTGATTCCACATAAAAAACTACAACGCTTGCGCCTTCATCACAGAAGCGCACTGCTCGAGCCATGTAATCCTTACGAGGCTTCGTTGCCCATACAGCAGATATCAAACCTGCGCACACCGTCAAAATGCACGACATTGGAATGACATCGTACCACATACCTTCCGATTCAAACCTCCACACTTGAACTGCTCCTTGTCCAATAGTGACTAGTCGACCATGGCTGGGATCAAATCGAATATCCTCCACGTATCCCTCGTGAGTGCACACAAGTGAACGAAAAAGAAAGACATCCTGCTAACGGATGAAACAGATGAAAAGACACTTCATGAATAGCTTACAGTCGCATCATCTCGCACATACAAATGTATTGACCCATCACCACAACCGAACATGAAGGCTCGATCCAATCCGCCCCCCAGATCAACCCACGCGATCACCCCAATAGGCCCGTGGAACGTGCAAAAAATTTCTTGCCGCTGTTCTCCCGATCGTAAACTCCATATCTTCAGCACGGCATCATCGCCTGCAAATGAAGCAACATAAGTGAATACCAGAAATGCACTAACACACAACGTACTGGCACTGAGAAGTAGACTACCATCCTGGGCGACAAGCATAGAATTGACTGGTTTCGAATGACCAGACAGTGTTCTTTCCAAAGCCATCTCTCCTCCTCGGGTCTGCGATAGTTGCTCCATATACACCACTGATCGACTGGAGGAGAGCACGCTCCAGATCGGCGTCGTTACCAGCAAGCACTCCACGTCATCCTAGATATAAAACCGACTCAGACAATAAGCCGTTGGAATGAATAGGCACAGGCATCACATCACCTGAACACGTCTATACCAATTTCAGACAAATGGCGGCCGCGTTGCGGTTTTTTCAATTGCTTCATGATCAAATCCGCAAAGATTTCCGACGTAGCGGCTGCTCCTGCAGTTGTGCGTGAGCATGCACAAGTGCCGCATTCTCCTATACATTGAGAAACATGTCAGTATAGCTACACCGCCCTTCGTCCATATCGTGCACATACATTATTGTCAGCCTGTCAGCCTATCAACCTCAGCGTGTACAATCGACCTGGTGCGATCTGGCTGTAACCGCACGGGTGCGTTAATGTCAAGGGTCTTCAGAAATTTTTACGCGTAAGGTAATCAATAACCAAATCGGCTGCAATTCGATTGTATCCCACTCTGGTATGCAACCGGCGCAAAAGGGCGATGAAACAAACCGTCCGGCAGCTTGGCTACCTATACTATAGCTAAAGATAACGAGGACCCCACAAGAATAAATAACAATGAAACTACAAAAGAGAGCGAACTACACTACAACGTTACTAAAGGCTCCAGGCCACATAGCGAATGACAAGTGCTACGGCCGAGAGATGGTGGTGGAACGAGAACAAGAGGAAAGAAACGCCCATTCCACCTCCAGCGGAGTTTTGACGCATCCCGTCGCTTTGTCCCGCGCAAATAAGGCAGCCACACATCACGGGCCACTTGTCACGAGCCGCTTGTCAGCCTCTGTTTGTCTCGCACAAATAGACCGCGTGCGCCATCTGGCCGCTGTCCAGAATTTGGGCGCCTTCTTCCTTGCCTTCGAATTTCCATCATCCCTGCGATATCGGCCAGTTCTTCCGTCGCCGTGTCTGCCTCCTCCTCCTCGCCCATGCCCTCCTCGCCGTTGTCGTTGTCGACGCCATCGCCCTCTTCCGCTCCAGTGCCGTCATCGCCGCCCTTTTCCTCGCCCACTTCGATGCTCTGAGGGCTTCCTCGTAACGCCCTCTTCTGCGCAGGTGCCCTCTTCCTCGCTGAGCCGTTCTCGTGCACGCCGCCGCGCCTGTTTGAATTAGGGGCCGATAGTATACATTGTATTAGAACCTGTATCATAGCCATCCGAGCCACATCTCTGATGATTGAGCGCCATATCGGGTTTGTACCAAACATAAACATAAGAACCGCGAAAACGCACCATTAATTGGCACCTGAGCCGCTAGAACAACCCACAGGCCAATATTGGCTCTGCTTGAAAGCCCGGAACCGTACATTGTTGCCCATGGACGCATCGTCCACGGCTCACTCTGGCTATACAGATATTACAGATGCTACATAACGATCACTCGCAAATACCGGTCCTTTGTCAAGGTCTCGATGTCTCCGCTTTCTACAATACCTGGCGCGTATTCATGGAATGGTCGGAAATTACGAGGATCGACCACCTGAGCGTACCATGTGAGTGCTTTACGCACATCGCTTACATGAATTCCGTGCTGACGCCGTGCTTCTCGTTGACTTCCGCGACAGGTATTCGTGGAACCATCTGGCACGACGCTTCTAATCCCAGGTATGTTGCCTTTATATATCCTGCCTGCTGCTGCCAGGCTGATAACGCGAACCCATCGCCATCCATCCCGGATTTCGCTGTCCACGCTACTCCCTCAGAATTTCGAAAAGTCGGCCGCAAATATGTCAGACAAGGTGGATGCGGAAGTTCGCTGTCCACATTTCAGTTGCTGACGTTACTCGCCTACAGGTCTCCGTGTCCCCGGTCCAATGTCCAAAATCTAGTACCGAGACGGACGTGGCGAGCACATCTCGTCCGCCTTCGTCGGACACGCGCACGTCCTTACTGAAGGAGATCGAGGACCTGAAGCGTGAGCACGCGCGTACGCAAGCGAATGCAATGCAGTTAGTTGCAGATATTCGTGCGATGCGGAAATGTTTAGACGAGTCAGAACAAGACACGGAGGAGCTCAGCCAAATAGTAGATGCCACAGCCGATGCCGTGGACTCTCTCTGTGCAGAGGTCATTGCCGACAGTGCGTACACGCGTTCAACCTTGTACTGATGTAGTCTTTATTCACTTCCTCCACTAGTTCGCTGAGCAACCTTTAGGGGTTAGCTGTTCGTGTGTTGGGTCATGTATAGTTTGTCATCCGAGAATGTATTCATTGTTATCTTGCGCTGCATTGTCGTCGGAGAATGTATGTATTCGTTATCAAGTTCTTTCATCATGTGGGCGCCGGTGAAGCCTGCGAAGCTCGCGCGTGAGACTCGAAAGCATATGGACCCTCTTCCACTATCCCATACCCAGCACACAATTCATTGTGAATTTAAGGTAAAGATTTATAAAACAAGTTCTTTCCCGGCCATTGAAAAAAAGGGTTAGATTTTCACACTGCTTCTGTCATCGCTAGAACCCTTCAAAGCTTCACAGCTAAGTAGGAATCGGGATAGTGGGATTTTGTATAAAATTTTGTATTAAAAGTGTCGCGACATGCCGATGATCGGAGGAAATATATTGTGCCATGTTGCCTGACTGTCTTCGGCTTCAGATATTTTTTCTGTAGCATATGGAATGCTCAAACTGCATAGAACGAAGTATCACCCTTCTGGGGCATGTCAGTCACTAATAGTATTCCACCTATAATTATATAATAGGGTCTCATGACTATGCCTATATATATTGCGGTGTCTCCGAGTCTTTCCCCATCTCACGTTCGGAGCATACCACCACCACCACCACCATTCCCCCACTGCTGTCCAAACTGATCCTCATGGCTAGTCGTGGTCGTAAGTGATGATTATACATTTTGACTTGAATCGATATTAACATTGTTTACAGAGAGCACTTACATGGCCTCGGTGTCCTCCATTAGTGACTTACAGGAGGAGTTTCGGACCCTTAGGGCCAGCGTATATCGGACCAAGCAGCTCGTCGAGGATGTAGACCGGTCCATGATGCTCGTTCGCGAGGTCTTCCCTGTCAGCGGCAAGGAAGGTACATCGCTCTCCTCCGCACCGTGCTCCTGCAATGTTACTGGCATCTAACGTAAGTCTTTGACGAGTCGGTACATTACTTGACTGATCAGATGTGCATGTAGGTGCCATAAGGCTGTTGGGAGGCAGTCGGCTGTGCGTGGGGCGTTTCGCTGAGGGACCGTATGGAGCTTGTCAGTCGCGTTTGTTGTCTACTTATAAATTCAATGTATCGTCTGCTCCCGTCGTGGAAAGACTGAAGCTCGGTGAAGGTGGAGGTGAATGTGTGCTGCAATCAATACTATGGCTCACAAGATCGTCGGCATGCCCCCCAAGTCGGCACCTCGCTCAATTAGCCCTTTCCCCTGCCTCTACCACTTAGTTATCTCTTATATGTATGACTTTATAGTACTACAACATTCTTGAGGTTGAACGAGCTCAAACGGATCGGTATTGGAGGAGTCCCTTCTTGACCTCCAATGTAACGCAGACTCACGCTGGCTAGTCACTGGCCGAAGTCTGCCGCGAGCGTCGGCAGCGGGGTTTCAAGTGGTGGCGTTCACAACGACACGGTCACGACCTTCGCGCATTAGGCTGCCGAGCGGAGTAACAAAACGGCACGTGTTACTGTCTGTGACATATGCGTTACTTTTGCGTTACTGCCGACTGGGCATGCCGACGATCTTGTGAGCCTTAGTATCCCCCGTTCAGGCAGCAGCCCGGGACAGCCGACTTATAACTTTACTGACCATTGGTGCAAATGGGGTCGACTCGTACAGCGCAGATCTGGAAACAACATGGGATAACGCTACATGAGCGCATGTAGGGCGCCGCTCGAATCCAAACAATCGAGTCTACATTCATGACTAAAATCGAGAGCAGTACAACAATGCAGGATATTTTACAACATGGCCGGTGCAACCTGCAGACAAATAAGCATCGGTCATTTGAGGTTCAAACTATACTTACAGATGCGCGGGCCTCCTGCTCCTTCCCCCTATCCTTCTTGGTCATGTAGGTCGTGTTTCCTAACTTGGTCTTCAGAACGTCTCTGACCAGCCAACTCTTCTCGTAGTGCGCGAGCTGGGGATAGAGCTTCGTAGCCTGATGAAGTTCTGTAACCGTCAGTGCCGATCGCGTATGCAACTACCCGACGTACCTGGGCATACACTGCGTCCAACATCGTCTGATTCTGTTTCGAGATTGTCTTGTCCAATTCCAAATACCTGACTGCCAAGTCACCGATGTCCTTCTGTACTTGCTAGTCAGCTACAGTCTTTGAAAACATTGCAAGATATGCTTCATACCAGAAACTTGTCATACTTCGCGGTATCCCACCCGTGTCTCCCTAACTCATCGCTAAGCGTGTAACCTCCTCGGCCTGGGCGACCTACTTGGCCGTCAGGCTTAGGGATGACGGGTTCTGATGCTGCTGCATCAGCTCCTGGGGAATGCGCGTCGCTAGCAATGCTTTGGCGTGTGCCAGCCTGAACATCTGATTGAGGCTTGATAAGGTGGAATTTTGACCTTGCCGATGAGGGAGGAGGAGTGAGAAGGCATTTGGCATCGAAACGCACGCGTCCCGATGAGGGTTGGTACTGGCGCTGGATGCGATGTTTCTTTATCGGCAGTTGGGGCATGCTGGTCGTGGATGGGGAAGCTCAAAGCCGGGAGAGGTCGCGCCTTCGCGCTAAGTCGCGGTGGACAATAGAACAATAGTCTTACCAATTCAAGTCGCACACTCCATAAGGATTGCAGGCGACTGACATATCCAAAAGAATCAGGCAACCGTAGACCGCTGACCATGTTCGACCTCGAACGAGCCGAACAGACACTGCTACGGAAAAAGTACAGTAAATCAACTTTCAGCAGGTACACGGTGGACATACTTACAAAACTCTGCAATAAGCACAATTTAACGGTCACACCAACTGGCCGGTCGAACGCAGTAAAGCAGGACTACATCGATGCACTCTGGAAATATGTGAGTAAATCTCACAGCGAACATAGCAGAAGGCACTTACAGTAGTCAGCGACATGCCCCTGCGGCTCCAACGCTCAGTCCTTACGCACACGAGGATACCGCAGCCTCAGCACCTCTTGAGAAGTCGACGTCGGAGATCGCACGCAAGCGTAAATCGCCCGAAGAGCGCAACGCAGAGCGACGAGCAAAACGAGTGCGTCTGACATACAAGCATGTAAGCCTATGATTGCAACGTTCAACCATGTGGTGACCAATGTTATAGTCAAATGCACCCGCAGACGGTGGGACGGTGGCACGGCCAGCCAGCAAACGTGCTCTCTCGGGAGATCGGGAGTGATCGCAAAGCCCTAAACGAGCTCACCTGCAACCCTCTGGCATGCCTCCTCCAGCCCCTTCAGGCCTTCGCGACCGAGACGCTTCGTGTATTTATTCCACGATCGGTAAACGATTGGCTCCCGCAGAGTTTACGGAAAAAGATGCGAGAACTAACAAGAAGGCTTGCGAAGATCAGGTATGACCTCTTGAATTGCGGTGAGACGAGAAAACGTACTGACTCACCTATCGCGGAGAAGCCCAATGTAGTCCTGCGCATCAAGATCCCAGCACGGAAGCTGAACGATGAGCAGGCCAAAGTCGTTCATATCAAGCTCTTTGCGAAAGCTAAAGACTGGAAAGCTATACGGGAAATTGAATGCCACTGCTCCCAAGACGGAAGCCTGAATCTTCTTCAGGTCGCAGCACAGCTCGGTGTACATGGCAAATGTCGTGTAAGTGGGGTGCATCGCGGTGGGACTAGAGCACTCACATGGTATGCTCAGGTGGTCGATCCTCGTAATTTCCGACCATTCCATGAATACGCGCCAGGTATTGTAGAAAGCGGAGACATCGAGACCTTGACAAAGGACCGGTATTTGCGAGTGATCGTTATGTAGCATCTGTAATATCTGTATAGCCAGAGTGAGCCGTGGACGATGCGTCCATGGGCAACAATGTACGGTTCCGGGCTTTCAAGCAGAGCCAATATTGGCCTGTGGGTTGTTCTAGCGGCTCAGGTGCCAATTAATGGTGCGTTTTCGCGGTTCTTATGTTTATGTTTGGTACAAACCCGATATGGCGCTCAATCATCAGAGATGTGGCTCGGATGGCTATGATACAGGTTCTAATACAATGTATACTATCGGCCCCTAATTCAAACAGGCGCGGCGGCGCGCACGAGAACGGCTCAGCGAGGAAGAGGGCACCTGCGCAGAAGAGGGCGTTACGAGGAAGCCCTCAGGGCATCGAAGTGGGCAAGGAAAAGGGCGGCGACGACGGCACTGGAGCGGAAGAGGGCGATGGCGTCGACAACGACAACGGCGAGGAGGGCATGGGCGAGGAGGAGGAGGCAGACACGGCGACGGAAGAACTGGCCGATATCGCAGGGATGATGGAAATTCGAAGGCAAGGAAGAAGGCGCCCAAATTCTGGACAGCGGCCAGATGGCGCACGCGGTCTATTTGTGCGAGACAAACAGAGGCTGACAAGCGGCTCATGACAAGCGGCTCGTGACAAGTGGCCCGTGATGTGTGGCTGCCTTATTTGCGCGGGACAAAGCGACGGGATGCGTCAAAACTCCGCTGGAGGTGGAATGGGCGTTTCTTTCCTCTTGTTCTCGTTCCACCACCATCTCTCGGCCGTAGCACTTGTCATTCGCTATGTGGCCTGGAGCCTTTAGTAACGTTGTAGTGTAGTTCGCTCTCTTTTGTAGTTTCGTTGTTATTTATTCTTGTGGGGTCCTCGTTATCTTTAGCTATAGTATAGGTAGCCAAGCTGCCGGACGGTTTGTTTCATCGCCCTTTTGCGCCGGTTGCATACCAGAGTGAGATACAATCGAATTGCAGCCGATTTGGTTATTGATTACCTTACGCGTAAAAATTTCTGAAGACCCTTGACATTAACGCACCCGTGCGGTTACAGCCAGATCGCACCAGGTCGATTGTACACGCTGAGGTTGATAGGCTGACAGGCTGACAATAATGTATGTGCACGATATGGACGAAGGGCGGTGTAGCTATACTGACATGTTTCTCAATGTATAGGAGAATGCGGCACTTGTGCATGCTCACGCACAACTGCAGGAGCAGCCGCTACGTCGGAAATCTTCTCGGTGACACCTCATCACCAGCAGTGCGACGTTGAAGGACATTGCGCGTGTTACTCGGAAGTAATTGTACATGTGGGCTGATTGGTGATGAACGCCTCGTGGTCGAAGCCTCGTGTACTCCAAGCGATGTCTCATAAGATACGATTGCTCAAATCTAACGGACACTATCCTGACGTCTCGATACCACTGACGCTGCCATGTCTTCAAAGCGTGCGCGGAAAGCGGTAAGTACTGCAGTCGGTTCTTACATTTTCAATCCTCACGCATGGAATGCCAAGAACCCATACTTGGATATCGAGGCTATCGTCGACAACGATGAGGAGGAGGAGGAGGAGGAAGAAGAAGAAGAGGAGGAGGAACTGGGTAAGTGTCTCAGCTGCGTTATTGGATATATCTTACAGCTTGTTTCCAGCCGAGTTGCTCGCCGACGTCCAACGCACTCAACAAGCTCGGGTGCGTCTTGATAATGCATGTGTCGGCGACGATGCTGCTGATGCAGAAGCCATGGCCCGGTCTATTACGGAGAGAGACATGGCAGCTAGACGTGCACAGCGGGCCTCGCAGTCGGGTGGCGCAGTCATCTCTCTTGCCCCCGATGGAATCCACCTTCAAGCCACGGAAAATGGTTTCCTCTCTCCTTGGGTGTGCATCTCGCGTGGTACATATAAGCACGATGTGGCCTTCGTGGAGTCGCGAGAGGACTCTCTCCTCCGCGTCTGGGTGGTTCCGTGCTTGCCTACTACAAAAAAGCGGCAGCACGGAAGAACTTCTCAGCAACCGATGCCGCCAGCATTACTGAAGGAGTTGTTCGGAGAGGCTGTGACAGAAAGCGAAGGTGATCGGCTGATACATATTCTCAAGGGCAAGAAGTTCAAAGGCGGCCTCCTGCAGCTCGAACTCACTTTGGACCGGGTGACTTTCGACGTCCACGCGACTCGAAACGACGTATTCGTCTTTAATGCGGCGAAATTCGTGCCAAAGACAGCGATAGCGAAGCTCATTCTATTCTGTGTTGACTTCGAACCGGCTGCAGGCACGCGTGTGATCGTTATACAGGGCGAGCAATGCGGCCTCATCGGTGTCGTGCATTCAGTCATTAATGGACAGGCTACGCTAACCAATCTCTACCACGAGAAGTTGGATGACGAACTTTCGTCTCTCGTGCTACCTGTAACTCAGTTACACCCCCTTTGGGCAGTTGGCGATGCGGTCAAAGTTAAGACGGGCCTCCATGGGGGCTTGGAAGGGCAAGTGATTGCTGTGGATGATTTCGATGTCACGATTGTTCACGCGAACAAAGTCGAGGTACGTTGTGCACTTCTCATGCAATTGCAATCCTTAATAGCGGAACTTTCCTCAGCATGTATGTTCTACGTACGACGATGCTTCCAAGTACTGAACTTTTCTCAGCGAACTAGAAACCCAATAACGGGAGTCTTTCATACTTCTTCTGTGTTGGAAACCTCTGAGGTATGTCCCACCACCTGCGACGTTATCGATGCTCAAAACTCGATATAGCATCATGTGTTACCCTGGGATCTCTTACTCACAGAGTCCGAGGCGGAATGGACCTCGATACAGCCGTCGGTGACAGTATCAAGGCCGGGAGAGCAGCGCCCCTCACGCTCTGAGACGCAAACGGAGGAAGAGGTGGAGATGGAGCTTGCCCTCAAGCATCCTGACCGACGGAATCCCGACATCGGGCGAGCGGTGCGTGTCATCAAAGGCTCTTTGAAGGGATTTGTGGGCACATTGCGAAACGTCACGTACCACGGCGATTACGAGGTTGAGCTTGAAGCCAAGCTTTTAACCTCGAGGGGCGTCCTCTTGTTCCGAAAGCCCGAGATCGCATTCCGGTCAGAAGAAAGGTAAGATTCATTACTTGTAGTTCTGGTCATATCTAACTGCCTCATTGCAGGGGCAACATCGACACGGCGGAGCGTGGTCCGCTCCCTGAGCGGCCTCGGACCCCATTGGGCCACGAATTAGAACCCGCGTCACACGACACAGATTCGGCGTGGGCGTATTCGGTGGAACTTGATGGTGCGTAACCGCACCGCCACTACCGAGCGTCCGCTGAATCCACATTAGGACCCGATGGATCGATGTCTTCAGTCGAACCTAATGGTGCGTAGCCTCATCATCAACACAAAATGTCCGCTGAATTCACATCAGGACCCAATGGATGGATGCTGGATGCGGCTGTGGCACCTGCGTTCCATACTTATCGCTTCAAGTTCATGTGCACAGCCGGTCAACTCCGAGACAAGCTGATGACCACGGTGAAGGGAGCCTCCCCAGTGGACGGCAAGGTGTGATGCGAATACCGGACGCGAAAGCTGGAATATGCCGATGTCTCTCTCCAAGACCTCGCCATATTGCGACCAGGCCCTGGCGATTATGCGATCGTGTGTAAGCGTGGCCCCAACTTCGGAGCGTACGGCAAAATGATGCGGGGCGTGGCAGACCCACTTGTTCTAGTACTGGAAGAAGGCGGCAGGACGCTTAGGGTGGATAGGGATGACTTGGCCCAGCTTGTGTGCAAATAAGTGGTTTCCTCGTAATTTTACGTGCTGTTCCTGTCCCTTGCCCCTCGTCGTTGCATCCTGCGCTGTTTGTCGATGTCCTGTCATTTGCCGCTTTCTCATTATATACAGTTAATGTACTTCCTTTGATCGAACTTGTGCTTGTGCTTGTGCGATCTCCCACGACCAGTTGAAAAGCCGCTGAGCGGTACACTTGGCGATCCAATGACCACTAAGCGGCCATCGAGTGTGCCACTCGTCAAGCCGCTTAGCGGCGCTATGGGTGTCCGACCTCCTTACAGTTTGAATATTAGGTCGAGGGTGTGAGGCCCTGACATCTCACCTCATATATAGACTCTAATGTCAAATGTCAAATGATCATACATTGTAACTTTGTGTCGCCCTTATACTAGTTCGATATTTAATCTGTTGTCTGCCCTGAAAGGCATAATGTCGATCAGAATTTCTTCCCGCCGGACATGCCGAACGAGACCTAAAATTTTCGGACGAATGTTATATGGTAACATAGCCATTTGCGAACATTGTATATGTCGCAATATCACACATTATCAATGTGTGATTTGGGTATCGCATGCCCAGACATCAGGCCTTACATTGTAAACATATTTTCGACCGTCGGAGCTACATACGGGCCGTCATACATGTACAATGTTAGGCCGGATGTTCCCACAATGTAAGGAACTTAGATATTAGTCCCCGTCTCCGGTGAAAAGGACTCTTGTAACACACTCGCCAAACATACACACTCTGAGAGTTGTTGAGTCACGGTGTTGATGCCGCTGCGCATGTTTGGAGCCATGGCGGCTAGTTCCGATCTACTTGAAGGTCAGACATGGTCAGTAAATCAACATAGTGCTTCCTTCATTAACATGAGGTCACAGGCTCTCGATGGCATAAAATCGAGGTACTGGTACAGAACACCAGGCAATGCAAGCATCACAGGAAAAGAACCGGAGAAAAGAAAAAACACGGTTGAAAGCCCGACAGATGGGCATACATGCAAACAGGTCTTCAGCAGACCTTAAGATATGCAGAGACACAACATGAGTGAGAAGGGAAGGGGAGGTGAGTGGGACGAGGGACAAACAGGGTCAGAGAGAACAACTTGGGGCGAGTTCATCCCGCCGCGCGCGCCTTACAAGGCAACAACGCCATACCAAGGGTCCGGACCAATTGGTCGACCAATTGGTCGGATTGGTCCTACGCGTGACTTTGGACCAATTAACCCTAACCCCAACTGACCAGTCCCACACAGCAGTATTCACATAACTCCTCAAGAATCCGAGCCAGCAATGATTCAAAAAATATATTTTATACTACAAAACAATACAGAATATAATCCAAACAGGGGGAAAAGGGAGGGGAACACAGTTGCAGGCAGGGAAAGATGAATGCTCACCAATATTGTGATCATTATGACTGGTGACCGGTGACCAGCGGCTGCGCATGATGCGCGCAAGACTGTGAGCGGCACGCGGGATACAAATGATGACGTGCGTGATAAGCACGCATGCGCGCCCATCACTTTAGGGGACCGACGGAGGTACGGGAGAGGGCAAGATGTTTCCGAGCAAGTCGACCTGGAGTGGAAAACATGGTGTGAAATAGGCTCGGGCCATTCTGACCACAGGTTGAGGGGCAAGAGGAGCACATGGGGGCACACTTGGACTGCATTCGACAAGAGGGAGCACTTCGAGCCCTACTGCATGCGCGATGAGGCAGGAGGTCTGGATCGGGCTTGCGATGGCGCAGGACAGAAAGGCACGCATACAGGCGCGTTAGCAGGACCCCTGACAATAAGTGGAGAGGCCTGATCCAAAATTCCGAAAATCAGCCCCAAACATCCGGAGAAATTTTGTGATTTTTTGGCCCATACTTCCGGATGAGATCAGACCTTCGTCCAATTTTTGGGTTCCTGTCCGGGTACCACATCAGGCTTTTCGGCCACCGACGGCCTATATAAGGCAGGTATGGGCGCTTCTGAGAGGCGGCGGCTCCGCCGCCGGCTCGAGGTCGGCGCTTGTCGGCTTCCGGGGCGTGGATGGCCGGCTGAGGATCAGGCCTTCGCCGAAACTGACAGGAACTGCCGGACATGAGATCACCTCCGGAGGCCTTCAGGGCCCTCCGACGTCCGGATGAGATCAGGCCTAAGGCCTCAAAAATCCCAAATTTCGTCCGGATAAGTCATCAGGCCTCTCCACCTATAGTCAGGGGTCCTGCGTTAGCGCGGGAGCGAAGGCGGGTAGCGGCAGACTCGGTAAATGTCAGCGTCATGAGAAACGAAGAAAAAGACATTTAATTACTTACCTGGTGTCTGCTGATGGAGTGCATCATCGAACTACTGTTCGACAGCGCGTGCTGGTGCGAGCGCTGAAGCCTAAAGCATTGAGAGGAGGTTGGAAAATCATACACACAAGGGTTAGAAGCCTTCGTGCGGGAGGGTGTAGACTTTCCGTCAGCCAGAAGATTGAGAATAAGATGTTCTCGCCGACGCGTCGGCGAGAAAATCCTGGGTACTCTTTTGGCACTTCGCGCCAAAAACCCTGGGTAGCGCAGCGGCCCGCCCCCGCCGGGGAAAAGCCTTGGTATGACCAATTTTCCCCTTACAATGGGAACGCGTGTCACATGATCATGGCACATTGAGCCCGGGGCTAAGTTTTGACCGGGTTCAACCCAGGTCAACCCTCGGGGCAGGCCTAACTCATTTGCAGTATCTCGCACTCAGGGTATTCACGGGTTAGACTCAGGCTCACTTGGGGGTTCAACCGTGTTTCTAATTCGTTGGTTGAACCCAAGTCCATCTGGAGCTCTGGCTGTGTAGTCGCGGCTCTCCCTACGAACAGCACTCCTATGGACTCATCGTGAGGATTCGAACTCAAGTTCCAAGCTTCACCTGCTTACATACTTGCGAGTACACGACTGTACAATATTATGCAGGAAGCAATATTGTCTGGGATATATACACTAGCTGTCCAGAATCCATCGGTATTGCAGACCACGCACGAGCATTGGAACTACTGCAGTTGTGTCGTTCGGCTTTGTGAACACTGAATTCACACAGAGGAAATTAGCCCCACTTAGTCTATCTAGGAAGACAACGCAAGCAGCTACTTTTAGTGACAACTTGATCGTCCTATCCGAGTAAGAGTAGCATGAGCAGATTCTCGAAACGCAAGGCTCGAAGCTTCGCTCACAAAGACTCTAGTAGAGTAGGGACGACATATCTGCACGAATACGGTTGTAGTCCAGCAGACCTTCGATGGGGCCGAGGGCGGCGATGGCAATCTTGCGAAGGAAGTTAGATGTGAGCGGCATGCGACAAATACGGGCAAAACGACTTACATCCTGATCCCACAAGTATTTCTGTGCAACACGCTTGATGTCTGCCGGAGTGACAGAGTCAACAGCATACTCGATCTGCTGAGGTGTCAGGCGGCGACCGCTTGTCACTAGCTGTCTACCAATATCCTCCGCAACCGCGGTCGAGCCGTCCAGCGTAAGCAACAAGCTCGCCTTGAGCTGGCTTTTGGCGCGCTCGACCTCAACGTCTGTTGGTGCAATGGACATACGAGTCCACTCGCGCAGGGTGAAGTGCGCAAGGTCGTCCATATTCATCACGTTCTCCGTGACGAGATAGATACCCCAGAGACCGGTGTCGGAGTACGACGTCGAGAACGACATGAAGCTATTGGCGAGGTTGTTGCTGGAGATGATGTGCGACAGCCGCGAAGACATGAGGCCCGCCGAGCCGAGCGAACGGTCCCAGTTGCCGAAGATGGACTGCATGACCAGCATTGGGTAGTAATCCGGTGAGCTCCAGCTGACACCCTCAACAGCGATCGCGAGGTGCGCGGTGGGCAGTTCGTCGTCGCGGACACGAACCTCAGAACCGACGAAGTTCGTCTTAGGGTGTGCTAGCCGTCCAAGAGGAATGGGGTTGACAGACACCGGGAGACTCGAGAAGTGCTTCTCCGCCAATTTAACAAGCTCGTGATGATCAACTCCTCCCGTTCCCACCAATACCATGCGGTCTGCGGTGTAGTTCGTCTTAATGTAAGACGCGAGGTCATCACGTCTGATCGACAAAATGTTGGCCTTCGGCCCAAGAATCGTCCTACCGAGAGGTTGGCCTGCAAATAACGATTTTAAAAGGTGTGAACCTCGCCCCCAAAGGCATATGGACACACCTTGGAACGCAACAGAGTGCAGGTGGTCGAAAACGACCTCCTCCAACTGCTTGTCAACCTCCTGCTGCTCCCGCAAAATCACATCCCGCTCACGCTCAACTGCCGAGTTCTCGAGCTTGGAATTTTGCAGGATATCACTAATGATGTCGACTGCAATTCCGACGTCCTTGCGGAAGCTCTTCGCATAATACACCGTCTGCTCGCGGGAAGTGTACGCGTTCAAGTGCGCACCGAGGTTCTCAACCTCGAGCTCAAGCGCGTGCTGAGTGCGACGGTTGGTACCCTTGAAGGCCATGTGCTCGAGGAAGTGGGCGGTTCCATTCGTCGCATCCGTCTCCGCCCGCGAACCGGCATCAATCCACACACCCACAGTCGCAGTCTGAGCGTGCGGATTGGACTCTGTCGCGATAGTCAGGCCATTAGGGAGCGTGGTCGTCTCCGTGACCGGGCTAGGGATGTTGACTGCTGTCGCAAATGACCGCAATGCTCGCTAAAACTAATGCTCACAGCTCCGTTCAAATTTGTAACACGTTGAACGTACCGGTCTCCGCGCAGCGCCGCGAAGAGCGCGCCCAAGCGAGGCAGGAAGGGCTCGTGGAACCATGAAGGTTGAGGAGTCGAAGATTATTTCGGTGACAGAATTGTTCGGACAATTACGGTCGGGCAAGCGCTGGGTTCAAGCTCAGCGTAGCTCCGCTCAAAGCTCCTCCGAGCCCTCAGGCCTCACTGGCCAGGCTGTCGATGCTCGCACGACTCCTCCTGTGTAATTCTATGATCCTTAACTTCGACGGCTTTGAAGGCAAGGTCAACAGCGCACAGACGCCGCCAAAATCTCATATTTTCATCATCCATATCGTAAGGAAGCGTTGTGGGAGGGTGCCTGCCGCCCAGTGAGCGGCTCTCGCATCGGTCGCATCGACTTCTGAGCGGTCGATCCTTAAGCTTAAGCTATCACCTCTGCAATCTGAGACATGACCAACCCTGTAGAAGCTGTACGGTATCTATGGGAGAGTGCGAGTTTACCCTCTCAAGCTCTGTCTCGTTTGGTGTTAAGCGAGGACCCTGATCCTTCGGTGAACTCGTCATTCAAGCTGGGAAGCGCTGCCCTGGCAAGTCAAGTACACTCTGTTAAGTCAGCAATAGCTCTCTCCGGTTTGTCTGTCGCATAATTTCATCGACTCCGATCTGGCACAGAGCAGACTGTCGCGGTTGATGCACGTCATGCCGTACTCGAATTCAGTCCGTGATTCAGTGATGATCCAATCCACAACTTCCCCAACCATTATTTGCCAGGGAGTGAAGCTTGGTATATTGTGAACGGCAGGCTTCCTTCAGGTTCTTTGTTCGACGATCTCGCAGGTCTATACAAGACCAAAGACAACAGCTACGTGCGACTGCACACCAATTTCCCTCAGTGAGTTCACCATGTCGCGTCTCAGATCATGATGATGTGAATACAGACCATCCCTGTGTTTAGCCATCGACAGGGCATCCTGGATATTCTCAGATGTGAACCAACCAAGGAGGCAGTCGCCAATGCTCTGTTGCAGTGGAACGCTGTTGACTTCGAAACTGAAGCCTCTTCACGGAAGATGGTCGCCACGGCCGTTCGCTCGTTTGCAGAGTGGGACGAGCATCCTCAAGGAAGAGCCTTGGCAAATACTCTTCCAGTCCAACTCATCAAAGTTGCAGATGCACCAAGGAGAAAGATAGCGGGAACTCATGGTCATCCTCTGGATGGTATCCGCGTGTTAGAATTGACGAGAGTGTTGGCTGGGCCTGTCTGCGGACGAACTCTTGCCGGTTGGCCAATACTTACCTCTCCCTCGTGCGAAACCTGAAAGCTGTTTTCGCAGGTCATGGTGCCGATGTCCTGTGGATCACATCTCCCAGCCTTACAGCCCTTCCCTTACTCGATATTGAAACGTCGCGAGGAAAGCGGACAACACAGCTCGATCTAGCTAGTCTCGAGGACCGACAGACGCTTGCTGGCCTTGTCAAGGAAGCCGATATATATCTGCAGGCTTATCGCCCTGGTAGTCTGCACGATAAAGGCTTCGGGGTGGATAATGTAATGACTGGACACCCAGGCGTCGTTTATGCTAGTCTGAATGCATATGGCTGGGAAGGTCCCTGGAAGGACCGACGAGGCGTGAGCAGATGCCATGGCTACATTGCCCTTCTTATTGACTGGCTAGATGCATCTAGTTTGAGTCCTTGGTGCAAACGGCTACCGGTTTCAACCTAGGCGAGGCGGAGGCTCACGCGTCTTACGCTGGGGAAGATTCAGCGCATGTAATCCCGAGAGCTTTCCCCATGCAAGCGTTGGATCATGCTGCAGGCTATCTTCTCGCATTCGGCATAAATGCAGCACTGTGTAAAACAATAACGGTAAATATTGTGGCATATTTCCTCATCCATTATCGCCGTCACTAATTTGTTTTGTCCAGGAAGGAGGATCCTGGGAAGTCCGCGTCTCTCTTGCTGCTGTAGGGCAATGGATTCGCTCTCTAGGCCGTCTGGATCCAATGGTGGCCTTCGGCGTGGGCCGGCCTTTCCCCCCTCACACCCTCCCCCAGGATCCAGAGATTACAGTCTTGGCGACCGCGGTGATCCAGTTAGCAAGCGACAAACCTGCGATTGAACACCACGATATGACAGCTATAAGGCATGCTGCGATTTTGTCGAAAACTCCTGTCATGGAGGGTCAGGCCCCGATGGGTTTGAATGTTCACGAACCTGTCTGGTTGCCTCGGGCTTGAAGCGAGTTGGCCTTTTGTGTGCGCCGTTGTGTACGTTGTACGTACCATCACAAGGATTCTAATCAGTTGTACCTCATGAATAACGGGCATCGTTGGCCTTACCAGATTTTCATGGTGCTCTGCTCAAGCATGGAACATCGTAATAATTCTCGTGTATTGACTGGATTTCTGTAAAGCGGCTCTCTGACCAACAGACGCAAACCATAAATTTTGTCCCAAGTTGTGTAATAAACACGCCACAATGAAGTGGGCGCTCCGCGTTAATCCAAAAAAGGAAAGCGCCGTGCCGACACTGATACGGTCCTCCCGACTTTATTATAAAAGCCGCTCGCTCACACCATTCCTATCCTTACCTCTAGCTATTGTAGACCATGCCTGTCACTCGGCGCCAGTCAGGAAGACTACCTCCACCCATTCGGAGAACACTTCAAGTCGTATCTGTCATTGATGCGGATACCACCGACGGAACTGAATCTAGTGTTACTGATCTGGAACACGAAGATGAAGACGAAAGCGCCAGTGATTGGGATGGTGGCCGTCGGTTGAATTTAGGGCCTGTTGAGCAACATAATCTAACTGTCTCTACAGGAGTCCAAAGGAAACAACCTGAGAAGAAGCGTGCTAAGGTCACTTCGCCGAATTTGAAAAAGAGTCCTAAGCAGAAGTATGTCGCTGCGTTGACCATACTGCCCACGATGTCTTTGGACATTCTCTTTGAGGTGAATGACGAAGTTTACTTAGAGTTTGCCATTTCTACTCACGTCTGCACCTTGAGATATTCTGTCTGCTGAATCCAGCCACTCTTCTCAATCTTGCACGGACAAGCAAAGCCTTCAGAGATACGTTGATGACTCGCAAAGCAATCACCGTTTGGAAGCACGCTTGGGTGTACAACTCAGACGGTGCTCCCGCATGTCCACCTGATATGTCCGAGCCGCGTTGGGCAAACTTACTGTTCGGCGGAACAAAATGCCAGGTGTGTTTCATGTATCTTTCGGCCTCAGTAACCACTGATATGTCATTTGGCACAAGGAATGCGGTGCGAGCAGTATCCAAAAGATTGACTTCGCACTACGTCGCCGTGTTTGCAGCAGTTGCTTAAAGAAGAAGTGAGCTTTGTCTCTTCACCGCGGCAGGAAATTCTCATCGCTGCCGTGCGGAACAGTTTAGTGTATAGTGTTAGCTTTCCAAAGCGATTTCCAGATTTCGATACTGCTATACTTGAGTTGATTCCGCACACAAATGGTTTGTCAGTTCAGTTATCCTCGAGTTTTTGTCTGCTAACTTCTAGCAGTTGGAGGCTGGTCCCATGGTCATGCTTCGGCCAGCAAATTCTACTGGGAAGCTGATATTTATCCGATGGCCCAAGAATTTGGCCAGTACCAAAGGAATGTACACATACATAAGCCCGGTGCCAAGGATGCCTTGAAGAAGTTCAGAGAGTCTCGGATGAAATTCGTAGAAGACGTCTTAGAGGTATGGCTGAATATTGTATCATTGGAGCTGAATCATCTGCTCAACATGCCTCCGTAATAGCACGCGGAAGTCTGTAATGAATGGATAAACAACATATACGAGAGTTGTAGACAGGATGCGGAGGCGCGGAAGTGTGTGCGATATGATGCGTACGATTGCACGCTTCACTGCACTAGCTCATACTGAGATTTGCTGCAGGATCGTTCGGCGCTTCAAAGATTTGGGATATGAAGCCACTGACATCTCTGACATCAAATACTTGCCTCAGGTTAATGTCGATAGGGAGCTCACTTCCCGTAGTAAGTGCACCTCAGAACCAGGCAAAGGCAGAACGAAGGGTCGACTGACGTTTCAACATTATCACAGCCTGGGCACGTATTCAGCCGCAGCTTGAGCCACATGTACAAAGGACGAAACAACGGCGCGTTGCTCGAGAACGAGCTGCCCTTTTACATGAACGGAGGAAGATGGTCAAACAGGTATATGGCAGCTACAAGAAGACACTTGTTCCGATGCAGTGGATCTATCTTCCGACCCTAGAAGAGATCTACTTGATGCCGGACTTCGCGGATCTCATCAATTCCGCTACTGCTGAACCTCTTCGTGTCGAAACCTGTACCGGTGCTCTGCGGGCGTTGCCTGGCTATCTCACTACACGCGCCGACCGCCTCAGACAGGAAATGCTTGCAATGCTGCCCGCTGAAAATGGCAAGGAAGAGGGTGAAGTGCTGGAGTTTTCTTCATCTGAGACCGATCCCGTGTTCCTTGCGAAGTCCGTCTTCATATGCACTTCAGCTTCCTGCAAGTCCAATCGTGTTCTGATCTCGTGGTCCGGAGTGATGTCGCATGACTGCTTGATCGCCAGCCGGACTTCTTACAGCTACATGTCAACCTACCACGTAGACCCAGCATTCAAGGGGTTGGAGTTCGGGTTCAGCGAACGTGGAGCTGCTGCCGTTTCTGCTTTGGTATCGTTACTGGAGCCCAAGCGACAACTAGACGAGATATCAAGCAAAGATCTCGATGACCTGGATCCCCGTTTTGTCTGCATGAATTGTCCGATTGCTAAAGCCAGGGGTGTGCACGGGCGATTGGCCATGTCATGGCGACAATGTGTGAGTTTGGTTCATTTGGGGTGAGTTATTGCTTTGGCATTGACTCTTATATTTTATAGGTGTTGCATCACGTGGAACGCAAGGACGAGACGCACGTGTTGTCTCAATGGATGATCCTACCAAAGGACGATGAGCAGCGCCTCAAAAGGCAGGAAGGAGGCGATCCATCGTACAATTCTCTGCATTGGAGTTGTAACCATTGTCCAACCCATCTCGACAATCTGCAGAGGCGCAATGCTGCCATTGAGCACGTGAAGAAGATGTCAGTGAACCAAGTTTTATTCTCTTGATTCCATGTCCCTTTCTTCCTAACGATCTTGTTCACACAGGCATGCGGAGGCTCAACCACGGGAAAATAAGGACTTCTTCCACGTGAAACCTTCACAGCGTACGGGACCGCTGCCCCAAGGTCTAGCGATGGGCCCGGGCGCGTCGAAGGATTTCCGATGCTTGATATGTAGCAAGAATTCTCGAACATTTATCGAGTCCGGTGTGAAGGCTCACCTGAAAGACAAGTAAGAACCATTCCGGTGTCCGCGGACTTCTTACTTACCTCGCGTAGGCATCAAATCATAACACCCGTGCAGAATGAGCACTACAGCAAGTCTTAGTGTCTGATTGCTGTAGAAATTTTCCAGCAGTATCACCGTCTTGTCGGCTGGTTATCAAGTATCGTGTTTTTTTTCCAAGCCGTATATGCTTGTCTGTGCGGTTCAACGCCAGCTCCTACACCTACCAATCTGCGTTAGTTCACGGTCCCGTTAATACTTGCTTTTCACATTCTGTGCCATCTTCTCCGAACTAACCAATTGATTACGTTCTTGTGCATTGCTCAGTTATGACAATAATGTCCCTTTGTCTGCACTTGTGACACACTTGAAGGTGCTTACAAGTGTACAAGGTGAGGGCGCTCTTGGCTCCGCCCTACGCCAGAGCGGGAAACCGCCGTCTCCCGGATCGCGGTTGTGACATTCAAGTAGTCTTGAAATCTTCCACCTTCCAGCTGTATCAATGTTCCACAACCACCATGCCTGTCACTAGAACCCAGTCTAGGAAGTTACCTCATCCAGGGTCCATCTTAAGCCTGGCACCGATGCAAACGGTACCGACTCGAGTCTGTCGGGCTTGAAATACAAAGAGGAAGACGAGAGCGACAGTGACTGGGATCCTGGCCACTGTGAGTCCCCTTTCAAGGTGTACTTAAAGACATAATCCGACTGTTTCGGCTGTGTTCCAGGAGTCAGGAGGAAACAACCCCAAAATAAGCGCGCTAAGGTCAAGTCGCTAGCGTGATGAGCGCTGAGCAGGAAGTCGTTCACTTCAAGGAATGCGGCGCGAGAAATATCCAAAATATCGATTTTGTTTTGCGTCGTCGTGCATGCACTAACTGCTTGAAGAAGCAAGTTTCATCTTTAATGTTATCTCACATGTTCAGAACCAGTGAATGCTAACATAAGGAACATCCAGTCTGGTTGGTAGTGTTAGCTTTGCAAAGCACTTTCCTGACTGCGACCCCACCATACTGGAGTTAATTCCTCATACTTGTTCGTCGATCTGATTGTTTTGAGCTGTAATCCCTCGTGCTGATTTTCAGTAGCTGGATGCCGGTCCCATAATCATGACTCGGGGAGTAAATTCTATTGGAAAGCTGATATCTATACGATGGTCGGGAAATTCTGTCAACACCAAAAGCATGTGGACATGCGTAGGCCCTAGTCTCCCGAAGGCAAACCAATAGTGACCTTGCTGAGGTGGGGAGGACGGTCGTAATATATGTAGACGTAACGTAGGCCCGTAGGCCCGGTGCCGAGGACGCCTTGGAGAAGTTCAGAAATTCCCATATAAATTATGTCATGAAGGTATAGCTCAATGTTGTAGGATATGCAACCTTTAGAACGTCCTGGGAATTTTCAATGGTATACTCACCGCTGCTTGCCAACAGCCCGTGGAAGTCTGTGATGAGTGGACTCGTGAAATGTTCGCAAGCCGCAGAATCGCTGCAGAGGTGCGAGAGGAAGCGCAATACAACACGTAAGCTTGCACACTTGGCGGCTTTAGTTTCCACTGAGATTCTCCGCAGGATCGTTCAGCGATTCAGAGACTTGGGATACGATATACGATAAGACTGATATCTCTGTCGTCAGATACTCACAACAGGTCGATGTTGATAAGGAGCTCACTGAACCCAGTAAGCATACTTTCTGGTATCCAGACACGACCACAGGAAAGGGTCGACTGACGATTGAAAACTTAAACGGGTTGGGCACGTATTCGGGCGCAACTCGAACTGGACATCCAGACTCAACAGGAGACAACAGCGCCTTCTTTGCTATGGAAGGGAAGTTGTGAAGCAGGTATATGACAGCTACAAGAAGACACTCATTCCCCGATCGTGGAACCCCTGCGTGTGGAGTCTTGTACCGGTGTTCTGAAGACATTACCGGGTTATATCTCCGCACGCGCTGACTGTCTCAGGCAAGAAATGCGCGCCTTGCTTCCCGCTGAACCTAGTGGAGAAGGGCTCGTGTGAGATTGAGGCGTCGTTCCTCGCGAAGTCCGTCTTCACATGCATTTCAGATTTCTGCACCACGGATCGCGTTCTTTTCTCGTGGTCCTGAGTGATGTCGCATGACTGCTACGCCAGTCACCACAGTTCGTATGAGTATCAATTAGACTACGACGGGACCGTCGCACTACGGTCTGATACTACCCCTGAAAACAAATTTCCGATGCTTGGAGTGTTGCGGCAGCAGTCGTGGATTCGACCAAACAGGCGTCATAGATCACTTGGTGCAGAAGTAAGTTGAACAGCTGTTCCTGCGTACGTTGTGCTGAATACTTAGGTGTCTAAACACCTCGAAGACTTTCCAGAAGTGAAACATTGTCTTGTTGGTCGGCGATCCAACTCCTACATCGTCAATGTACGCGGAAGCTGAAGCATATCTTCGTTTCATTAATTGCCCTGTTCACCTCTTGTGCTATCTCTTTCACGCACAGGATTGGTTACATTATTGTAAATTGCGTAGTTATGCCTGTCTGCAACTTCACTTTACGCGCACACCGCTAATACATGCATTCACATCTGCATACAGTGGTTCATCTTACCCCTTTGATGTTATCCCATCAATGATTTCACTGTTCAAAGCTGGCTGAGTCACATTTGGGCGGCGAGAAATTCATTGTGTCAATTTGGCCATGGCCGTTATTAACATGACGAGGCCCCGAGACAAGTCCCACGATATCGCTTATTCCTGCACAACCTCGCAACACTCCTTCGTATCGCCGATAGCGATCCTCAACCCAGCCCAGATAGCATCAAGCAAGGCCGCACCGTTCGCCATGCCAAATACGAGCGTCGATGCGTAGAAGAAGTTCGCGTTCCCCGTTCCCTGCGCAATCCAGAGGTGGTGAAAGAGCGGCAGTAGCAGCGACGCATGCAGGTGCAGGAGCGTCGTGACTATCGGGTGGCGAAGGTCTGGGGCCGGAGTTCAGCGGAAGTTGAAAAGGGGATGGAAAAGCTGGGGAGGGGGAGTGACTTACAGGGGAACGTCTCGGGAAAGACGGCTATCATACTGAGGAAGAGGCCCGGGTCTGAGAGGGTGGGGTAGGCTTTGAATGTAGCGAACACTCCCAGGAGGAGGAAACACGCGTAGAGTATGTCATGCCTGAATCATATTCAGCATTTGTGCTATGGGTCAACTGCGCTATACTCACTGGAACTTGATGCAGATAGGTGCTACGTAGATGAGGAGATGCACCTGGCAGGAACTTCAGCGTCAGCGCAACGTTGGGTTAGGACCAGATAACCTACCGAAAATACCATTAGGAAGAATGGCCTGAAGTGGTCAAACATCTCAGTGAAGAAATACCACCAGAGGCCAGGGTTTGGCGTCAAGTCGGGTAACATGAACCTGCAGCAACGTCAATTGGCGCATACTATGTCGGCGTACGATGTCTTACTGTGCTCCCCACGTTTTCTCCACCCATGTCCAGTTCCCGCAGACAAGCGTCGCCGCTATGCATAGTAGGACGAAGCACCCCACAAATTGTGCCAGTATTGGCAGTGTTTTCCGACTGTCTGCGGGGAATGGCCTTGGTGACGCTAAGCGCGACGCAGGTCCTGATAAAATCAGAAGGACCAATGGAAAGAGTAGAAGAATGGAAGGAAGAGAGAGGTGAGTAAGAAAGGCCAGCGTCAGTGCTGCAGCCGATGTTCGTCCTACCACAAGAGACGTCACGTTTTACGCGGATGTTTAGGGAAGACAGAACGTACCACGACACGCGAACATCAATGATAGCAAATACAGCATGTTTTCAAACGTAGAAGTCGACAGTGCGAGTGATGGGAAGAATATATATGGGTTGAGAAGGTATCTAGGCCGGCATTAGACAGGTAACACGAAGTGCCTGATATGCCTTGACCCACAACGCTGCTAAGAGCACGTCTCTTGAGCTCGCCGACACGTTCTGCCGGGATCTCCATATTCTCACCAAAGCCCATGCCGCAACTGCATCGCAGGCGGTCCAAATCAGCGGTGAGCTGTACTCATTCAGTGGGAGAACAGTCGAGAACAGCGACAGCAACAAAGGGGACTGGCTGCGTCGTTAGTGCACTTCCATAGCAAGGAGCAGGATACCTCTTACGTGCCGAAAGGCCCCCCCAGAATACGGATCGATACCGTGTCGAAACAGGTATATACCCTCTTGTACTGTGCGCAGCTATGAGCGGTGTTTCGGGTATGAAGGCCAGACAGTGGGTCTCGCACATCGTGGGTAGGACGTCAAGGGTGAAGACAGCTGGTGGTCGTTCCTGATTGACCAAGGCAGCGGCGCAAAGGCAAGCAGCAGTCTTCCGATCACCAGAGCGATAAATTTAGAGTCCATGTGTGGGTATACCGAGCCGCTCTGAGCTCAACTGCCGTATGCTGCGAGACCTGTAGTGATAACAATAGTGACCGTCAGAACCAGCTGGAAACTGTAAGGCTGATGCGGTTGAGAAGCAATAGCCCGAATACGCCTGAAAACAAAGTGTGGTACGTGGAAGCTACGTGCCCGGGGGTGTCGAATGTGTTAGACACTGGAGCCGTTGCTTGACCAGCCGAAAGTAAATGAGTTATTTGATTCGAAAAAACGCCAGAAGGTCTGCGTGGTTGTGGCACAGATCTGCTGAAATTGAAGGTCCGAACTCAACGCGGTGGAGAGGGACGTGGTAGCTGCGAAGTCACAGGTGGGCGGCCGCCACTGGCGCGATCGCGTCGAAGTGCGCGTGTCGACACGATCATGGACCCAAACCACGCAGGCCTTCGCGACTCTCCCTCAGAAATACCAGCATCCTTCATCAAATACCACTTCCCGTACTTTACACCCGTCGAGCTTGAGCGGCTTTCGGAGAAACAGCGCGGCAAGCTCTCTGTGACACAGGAGGAAAGGGCAAGGCAGCAGGCGTGCGGATTCATCGAAGCTGTGGGCGCAAAAATTGGCTTGTGCGTGCTCTGCCCAGATGTCCTTGCAGTATCTTAATAGAAAGATGTGTGTAGCCCTCGCAAGACAATAGCTACTGCACAGAACTTGTATCACCGCTTCCACCTTTTCTTCCCTCGGAAGGATTTCAGCTACCATGTTCGTACCGATACATATCTCCCTCTGCTGGGTGTCTCACGCAATACTTTGTGACAGGATGTCTGCCTTGCAGCTCTATATGTCTCTTCCAAAATGCATGACACTCTCAAGAAACCTCGGGAGATCCTGATGGTCGCATATGCCGTGCGCTTCCCAGAACTCGCGGCAAAGTCGAAGTCTGTGGCAGGGGAAGTCGACATGGATCCAGCCGTATGTATTCCTGGTGCGCGATATGATTGCACCAGTGACATAGTCAATACCTTCAGACGGTTGAGCACGACAGACAAAGACTATTGGCCGTGGAACGGCTGTTACTCGAGACTGTTTGTTTCAATTTCACCTCGCGCATGCCCTTCCCGTATGTCATCAAGATAGGAAGATCCTTCAAAGGTGCGTCTTACTCCGGCACAAGTGATCGCTCACTTGACATAAATTTAGCTACCAAGAAGTTGACGAAGCTAGCGTGGCGGCTGGTTATCGACAGGTAGGTCCCCAGAATGAACCAGCTGAGCATATTCGCTCACAAAACTAGCCACCGGACAGTGGTCAACCTTGAATATCCTCCACATGTTGTTGCACTGGGCTGTGTATACCTGGCAGCTTTGCTGTCATCGTTCGAGCAGGCAACTTCTCCAAAGCGGGCTGGTTACAGCAGCGGTGATCAGATCGCTGCTGCGCTAGGTAAACCTGGACACTGGGAAGAACAATTTCAAGCCCACGTTGAGGATCTGGAAGGTGGATTTTTTTGGGCTTGTTCCTCTTCCGTCATCCTCACTACTATCTCCTTTTTCAGAGATCGCGCATGCCATCATCGATCTGCTGATAGTTGCCGCGCAGAATCCTTTAGCCAACACGTCACCAACAACACCCTCGTCTCCATCTCCTCATTTATCTCGGAGTCAGCATACACCCTCTGCTGCCAATGTGCAGCTGCCACCCTTGCCATACAAGTCAGACCAGCTGATCCGTCTGAAGATCGTCATGCGGGAGTCGGAGCATGCGCCCCGACAGCGGCAAAGCGCAGCTCGGAATGACATGTACGCCGAGGTTGAGGCGTCGTTGGGGCGGAACGAGGGGACGGTCAGATTCTTGTTCGGGCCGCCTGGGTCTGCGGATGACATTGTGTAAGATATCTTTGTAGGACATAAGCATGCCGGTGAGTTCATCGAGTCATGCACCAGGGCGATATCCTCCATCGGCCGGTGGGAGGAAACAGAGGCCTTCATGCGACATCGACGCCGACGTCAACATCACGCAGTCGATGCAGCAACGAGTAAGGAATGCCCGAGCCCGCCCACCGGTGACGCCGACCCCACATATCGTCGAGGTCTCATCAGAGTTCCACCGATTGCAAAGGCAGATTTCAGCAGATTTCGATGGTCGCGCTGCAACGCGAAGGGAGAAGAAATTGCCGTGGCGTCTGGCATGGTCGCGGGCTTCGAACGACGCCTGTGATCGTCTCTCTGTCAAAGAGGCCTGCGCTAGCCAGCGCCCTTTGGGTGTTCCATTGCTGTGACAGCCCTCGCCGCGCAGACTCCGATCAGAAGAGGACCTTTCTCAGTGAGTAGTATGGAGAGGCCACTTCGAACTTCTAGTGTGGTCGCCGCGGTCAGGAGAGTTCCATGCAGAGAGGAAAGACAAGAATTTGGAAGGTTCAGCGTGACACGGATTTCAAACTCGCGGGTGTAACGCACCGTCACAGAGTGTCACGCATATGTGACAGGAAAGTCAACTGACATGACTTGAAGACGGTTGGACTCGAGTCCCAACGACCGACGTCGAGCGCGATACATGCTGTTCGCCCTCTCTGCACCGCCGCTCGCTCAGTAATTCTCGGAATTTTCTGTATTCTAGTCGCGTTCACCTTTCTCTCTAACTCATATTTAGATTTGTCTCAAAAGTAAGCCTCGTTGGACCCTCGAGGCTCATACGCGTTTCTCTGCGTTCCTCGCATTGCACGATCCAGTGTCCTTTCCAACCATATCGAGGTCGCTTTCTACGGATGAGGGATGTCCCAAACACGTCTTAAGATCGACACGTCGGTGGCAGGGATTGCTGGTCCATCCTTCGCTCGGGGCCTCACTCCTGCATCGGCGCATAGCAGTGCATACAGCAGCAGGTCTCGCAGTGCATCCTCTGCCTCCGCATCATCGTCCGCATCAGGCACCACACATGCTGTATCAATATCTACCACCCCCTCCTCCGTCGTTTACGTGGGCGTCGCGGATCCAACCGCCTGTAGTCCTGCTGGGTCCTCAGACTCGTTGACCATGGATACTGTCGGGGAAGCCAACGAGTATGTCCTCGCCATGCATGACTTCGCACCGCAACACCAGAACGTGACGTGCCTCGCGTTTCGAGCGGGACAGGTCATTCACGTGCTCAACCGCGACTCAAGTGGATGGTGGGATGGTGAGCTAGACGGGAGGAGGGGTTGGTTTCCGAGTAACTACGTTACTTCTGAAGTCAGTCTCCTGACAGAAGAGGAACTTCCAAATCACATGGTGAGTGCTTCTCATTTTCTACCGTTGCTGATATGAATCATGCCATATGGTAGCGCACTCGTCCTGGACACTCACATTCCATGTCTGCGGTATCGGCAACCTCGTGGGATACCACGGCGTCGCTAAGGGAGAAGACGTTCTACAGGACTGATCACCGCCCATTAGCCGCGGAGTCTGGTATGGACACGTACTGTCTACCTCTTATGGTCCCACTCCTGCACGGACTGTCCCTGCTGCAGAACGCTGCACAAGCCAACCGAATAGCTCACTTCCAACCCTCTACTGCCTGCATGATCTCATGCGTTCGTGCGATCTTGTCCGAGGTCGGGTGCCTACCACGCGACTCGCCCGTGCTGAGACGGCACGGCGTTCTGGCGCAGGAGCGCAAGCGCATCCTTTCAGATCTTGCGTCGCTTGTCTCGCAGTCAAAGCGTGCATCGGAAGGCATCACAAACGAGGAGCTCAGGGAGCTAGAGGCGGAGGCGATGGTACGCGTAGGCGGCCAACTGTTTGCGCACGTCCGGGGCTTTCTCGCCGTAGCTGTACAGTGCGGGATTACCCTGCCTGCGCAGGAGCGACACACTTCGGGATCGGGCGGCAATGGGCCCTGGGACAGCCCAGAGGGAACTTTGGTTCGCCCGGAAGATACAGTTACGCCTCTCCCTGGTGAATACGATTCTTACTGGGAGGTATCAGAGAAAACGACGAATGCGATCGAGCGTCGGTCTGTCATGCGATATCGAGAGGATTCGGGCAAGGGTAATCCTCTCTCCCGTGCGAAAAGCATGGGCGATCTCAAGACCCGCAGACAAATTGGGATTGGTCTACCTTTGGGGCCACATAACAGGTCGATTGGGAGCACTCCTCCACCAAGACGGGACCGGGCAAGCAATGCGAGCCGGATTGTCAAGACCATCATGTCGACTCATAAGTCTGGTCAGTACTCCGTCAGCAGCGTCTCTTCAACTTCTTCCTTTTCGTCTGGCGAGTCCATTGGAACGCCTGCTACGCCAGTGTTTCCCTCCGGCCCATCCAACACAGCCGAGGTTATGGAAGCGCTGCGGTACACTCACGATCACTATTTGTCTACTATCGCCGCATTCATCGGACACGCGCACTCTCACTCGCGCACCTCTCACGCGTCGAGTACGGGACACATGTACGATCTTGTACGGGAAGTTGTGGACATGGTCTGCAAACTGCTGACGATCGTGGAAGCGGTCTTGAAGCATCCCGATATCCCGGCTCATAAAGCTGAGAGCTTGAAAGCTGCAAAGGAGGGCCTGTACAACGTTACGAGCAAGCTCGCCGATTCTGTACGGCTCCTCACGGTATCACCATCTCCGGACGTGTCTGAAGAGGAAGAAAAGGAGACTCTTCTGCGATGCGCCACCAATGCGCTGAAGGCTGGTTCCGACTGTGTGAGCGCCGTCAAGAAGTGTCTGCAACGCTCTATGGGCGAGCGTCCGTTCATCATTCAGTTACCGTTACTGGGAGATACAGATGCGGCGAACTTTACGCCACGCAAGTTCACGCAGCAAGCGATCGGTCACGTTCAGCACCTCAGCAAGTCGTCCAGCCTCCACGCGTTGCATGAACTCTACACAATGAACGACGTCGAGGGCGAGGACGAGGACCTCACCATTCAAGCACAGACATTCTCGTCCGTCGAGACACCGATACGGCCAGAGAGGCGGTCTGCTGACATCCCAGAAGAACCTGCTGCAAGGGCAAAACTGGAGATTTCTGAGGAGCAAGAACCGATGTCTACACTGCAAGAAGATAAGCCTCTTCCGCCCGTTCTCATCACTACGGAGAGCGTCGAACCTGATCCTCCTTCGCCCGTGTCGTTTGCGCCTACTGATGACGACAGGACAACATGGGAAGGAAGCCAACGACAGCTGCACTCGCCAAATTCGCTCGAGGAGAAGCTGCTGAACGGCGATCTCCCTGCAGTACCCAACGCGTCATTGTTGACTGCTACCCCAGTGCCATGGACGATCTCGCATGACCATACTCCAGACGATGTAGCATATAACGGAGATGGGCAGCTCGTCGGCGCCACACTGGCAGCCCTCGTCGAACGCATGACACCGCATGATTCGCTCGTGGAGCCGCCGTTTGCCGCCGTTTTCTTCCTGACTTTTCGGTTGTTCACTACTCCCATAGAGCTTGTAGAAGCCATCATTGGCCGATATAATATCCTACCTCCTCCAAGTCTTTCGGATGAAGATCTGTACGCCTGGCAACAGCGCAAAGGTCTGCCCGTGAGGCTGCGTGTGTCGAACTTCGTGAAGTTGTGGCTGGAAAGCTACTGGCGGCCAGCGACGGACAATGTAGTTCTCCCAGCGTTGGTGGACTTTACACGGGATGCTTTGTCTGGGATGTTCCCTGTTCCTTCGCAGCGCATTATGGAACTCATCAATCAGTGGGTAGTAGCTAGCGAGAAGGGCGTTGATCTCAAGGTTGAGCGTGTTAGAGATGCTGGAATCCCTCTGAATCCGCCTTCCATTGCTCCTTCGGAGGTCCCGCGGCCGATCATGACGAAGACGGTTCTGAACGCCCTCCGCAACAGGAACTTCGCTTCCATCTCTGTCACTGATTTCGACACGTTGGAACTGGCGAGACAGTTGACGACGATGGAGTGCACGCTCTACTGCGCGATTCAGCCTGAGGAGATCTTGGAAACGGGACAGCACGGCGGCACATCATCTGTCAATGTCAAGGCCCTGACCTCGCTGAGCACCGTGATTACTGGTTGGGTTGCGGAAAGCATCTTGAACGAGCTTGACACCAAGAAGAGGACTGCTCTGGTGAAATTCTTCATTAAACTTGCCGATGTATGTTTCTTGTTACCGTGACTGCTTCCTCTAGTTCTTACTCTCGTTTAGCGTTGCGTTTCCTTGCAGAACTACAGCACCCCCCGGTCAATACTTGCCGCGCTAGATTCCTCCACCATTTCTCGTCTCCAACAGACTTGGTCGGTACGTACAGGCCTGCTGGAGTTAGGAGAGTGGGCTCACATTACTATCTGTAGGGCTTGGCTCAGAAGAATAAGTTGCAACTTGAGGCCTTGCGGAAGCTAGCTGACCATGCTCGCAACTATTCGGAGTATCGATCACGTTTGAGGAACACTGCACCGCCTGCAGTCCCTTTCTTGGGTAAGTTGATTGACGGAAGGCACTTGGGTGGAAACGGGGTTGTTGATTATGCCTTCTGCAGGTCTTTACTTGACGGACGTGACATTCTGTCGCGAGGGCAATCCCTCACACAGAGCCTCGCCGAAGTCACCTGAGAAGAAGCTATTGAACTTCAACAAGTACCACAAGCTCGCGCGCATTGTTCAAGGTGAGAAATGATCGACGAGACGCATGCATGTTTCTCAAAGCCCCCTAGACATGCAGCGCTTCCAAGTCCCGTACAACTTGAAGTCTATACCGGAAGTGCAAGAATTCCTGAAACATTTATTCGAGCAATCCAAACACCGAGGAGACCTGCAGGACCTCTACCGCCGGAGGTTTGTTCATGTGCCTTCACTCTCTTGATTCCATCTGACACCAGCTGCTTCAAGTTTGATGATTGAACCTAAGCAACCGGCGGACACTGCTCCGGCTAGCGATGTGCGACAGCTCTTTAATTGGGCGAGCCGGTCGCAGCCCTCTCAACATCCTACCCCCACTTCTGCATCATGACCACGATCGTATACCCGCTGCAATAGCTTCACCTGACTCGCTTTGCTTTCCCTGGTCTCTAGCATCGTTTTGTACGCATGGTGGTGTTCATTCGATCTTTGTCATATCTCTCCTGCATTTCCTGCTCAACTGACTCCTGCATAACTTAGCCCTCACACTATCGTCATTTATTTGCTGTCTATTTGTTTGTAATGACCCTCTGCCATACCCAGGGACCATAATGTAACTGCCATCTCGTGTTCTTAGTCCACAGGATCTTTCGAGTTTGCAATGGTGACATACTGGATATCAGGATTACCGTGTACGGGCGTGGCTGTATTTCGTTACGTAGAACCCGGCGCCGCTCTTGTCGCGCCTCTTGAGACCTTCCTCGCGATAGTCGCGATGCAGCCTGGGATACGTCTCTTCCTTGAGATCCGGGCCGAAGTCCAGGACAAAGGGACGCGACTGTGTTGCCCCGAATAAACGGGAGCTCTCCAGAATGACAGAATAGACAGGCGACGAGTCGTTTCCTGGCCCATGTACACTCCAACCGCGAGTAGGGTAACGAACGTCCCAGAATGAGACGACACTATGTCGCGCTGTTCCTGCTGCAATGTGGCTTGACGATCCGCCGCCGCAGGATACAGTGTATATGGGCTCGAAGGTCCAGGGATCATAGACTGACATGACGGGGCGCAGAGGTTCAGGTTCGGTTGATGCGTTGCCGCTACTACATGCACGCGCGCAAGAGCGCAGATCGTGCACGCGCACGACCCCGTCGTACCAACCAGAGACGATAATCTGGTCGGACGAGCCCCATGGTGATGATGAAGGTGCACCAGAGATGCCATAGACTGCAGAGGACCTCTCGGGTTGTTCGAGAGACTGTGTAGATGCGAGGACAGCGGATGGATTTAGGGACACCTGTGACGTACATATATTATGGACAACAAGTGGGGACAAGGACGATGTTCCGAAGACAGCGTACGGAGTGGAGGACTTCGTGGAGAGGTATGTCGCCCACCCTCGACCCTCCAAATTGATGATTTGCGCCTCCTCAGAGTGCGCATGATAAGACCGGTTGAAGAAAACGGCAGTGCCGTCGTTAGATAAGGAGAGAACGTGTTCCCCAGTCGAAGAGAGGCTTTCCACCATCTCGTTACCGTGAAAATACTGCTTCTTTCGCACCGATGGTTCAACAGTGGTACTCTCCAGACCTGCCCTACAGGCTGGAAGTGTGACGCGTTCCAGAGCTCCGTCGGCGTAGCCAACGTATAGCGTACGGTCTAAACCTTCGTCTGACACACAAACTAGGCTAGACAAGTCATGGCGAGCCTGCAGCTGGGTGCTGGTTGTATACATGGATTCAAGCCGAATGCCAGGCGAATCGGTAGGCTTCGTCTGAGTGAAGGCATACGTATAGATTGTGTTACCCGCACCAACAAATAACCTGGAGGAGTTGATTGCCAGTAAGGACCGAAACTTTCCAGTCCATTTGAGAGATAGAGGCCGCGCCACGGACTCGGCATAGACCCAGTTTCGATCTGTCAAGGTGTTGTAGCTGTGTAGCGCATATATGCAAGGCAATTACATAAGTGAATAAGCGCCATTGATTTGAAAGAGATGCTTACCGGGCCTGTGAACGGAAATCCCAGGAGGAGAATGACTTGCGCAAGCTATATGAGGGCCGAGAATCCAATCGCACATAGGTCTTCCAGCCGAACTCCTCTATCTGGATCAATGTGTGTGAGCACGCGAACCAATGACAGACAAAGAACAGCGTACTCACCAGTGAATGCAAGAACTTGCAAACTGCAGACAACGATGCCAGATCTCTGGTAGACAGAAATTGCATCAGAAAGATGATAACATCGCTAGGAAGTGATTGTATGTTCATGAATGCGAGTATCAATGCCCCGAATGAAGCCAGATAGTGTGGGCCTGCTCAGCGTTGTGGGATCGTGTAGAAACTGAACTGGGACGGCGACGTTCTGAAGTTGCACATGTGGAGTCACGCAGACATCATTTGGAGAAAGTATAAGAAGTGAAGAGCTGATTCCGTTGCCGGTTACGTAAGGCAATGAGCCGTGATACCACGCGTCTACACTTACAAGCAGCGCGCCGCGTCAGGTCTCGTTTCACTTCAGTGCCCCCTGGTTTTACGACAACGGTTTTCGTGGCATATAAGCTTAGGTAGGTCATGAGGAGGGATGTGCGAATTCTACTCGTCGGCGACGGTGAGCCAAGTGCGTATTCGACGTGTTGCAGTATTCACGGTGAACTAGAGGGCGTCGGGAAGAGTACCATCGTCACCTCCCTCATCAAGGAATCCTTCGTGGCACATGTGCGTTCTTGAACCTCTTCTGTACGGTATACGTTTACAACGAGTTCTCTAGGTTCAGCATGTCGTTCCCGAAGTGACTATTCCTCCAGAGGTTACCCCAGAGAATGTCACAACATACATTGTGGATTCAGGCAGTAAGCCAGACGCGCCTATCAGATGAAACCGTCCAAAAAATTGCGTTCGCACTAGGTGGACCTCAGGATCGACCACACCTCGAGTCTGAAATTCGCAAAGCTCATGTAATCTGCGTGGTGTACTCGATTGACAATCCCAACTCGTTTGACCGAATACCGGCGTATTGGCTGCCATACTTCAGACAACTTGGTGTCAATGTATACCTAGCTCACTTCTCTACTATTTGCGCCACATTTCACATCGTATTTAGGTCCCCGTCATTCTCGTCGGCAACAAAATCGACCTGCGTGGCGGAGAGGTCACTAACGAAGCGCTGGAGGACGAGATTGTTCCTATCATGAACGAGTTCAAGGTATGTGAACGTACACGTGTGTTGTACCGGAATGCGCTCTAGCTCTAACAGATGTTGATCAGGAAGTCGAGACCTGTGTGGAATGCTCTGCGAAGCTCCCACTCAATGTGTCCGAAGTCTTCTATTTCGCACAGAAGGCGGTGCTTCATCCAACTGCCCCTCTGTACGACTCTCGAGATCATGTCAGTGCGTTATTGGTATCAATGGCTACCTGCTGAACACGTTTTGTGGTGGTAGGTGCTCAAGAAGGAATGCGTTGGTGCCCTTCGGCGCATCTTCAAGCTGTGTGACATAAACAAAGATGGCTTGCTTGACGCTTCCGAGCTGAACGAGTTTCAGGTTCGTGTATCCTCGAAGCTTCGTCATGGAAAGACTTGCTCATGTAGTCGTAGCGGAAATGTTTCGACGCCCCCTTGCAACTACAGGAGCTAGAAGGTATAAGAGAAATGGTTCGCGAACACGCAGAAGGTGGAGTGCGCGATGGTGGTCTCACTGAGGCCGGTTTCCTCTACCTGCACACTATCTTCATCCAGCGGGGTCGCCTCGAAACAACATGGACCGTCTTGCGTAAGTTCGGCTACGGCGAAGACCTGCGATTAACCGAGGCTTTCTTGTACCCTAAGTGGGTTGCGGTTTCTTGCTATTCCGACACGGCTTAACTGGATTTCCAGGTTCGACGTGCCGCATGACTGCTCGGTCGAGTTGAGCCCACTGGGCTACCAGTTCTTCACAGACATATTCGAGACATTTGACAAGGTCTGTTCTCGGGCTTAAACGGTTCTTGTCATATCTTGATTGGCTTTCGCTAGGACCAAGATGGGGCGCTGAAGACGGAAGAACTCGATGACCTATTCAGCACGTCACCTGCTAACCCATGGGCGGGACAGAAATTTCCCGATACGACTGTCGCAGACGACACGGGAGCTGTAACATTACAGGGCTGGCTAGCTCAGTGGAGGTATGCTTTTATGCCTTCTTACGGTCGTGCCTCATCGCCCCGTGATGACAGCATGACGACTCTCCTCGATCACAAAACGACCCTCGCGTATCTTGCATACCTGGGCTATCCAGGCGAGCCACGAACCAGCGCACTGCACGTCACACGGCCGCGCAAGGTAGATCGTCGAAAGGGCAAGGTGACGCGGAACGTCTTCTTATGCTATGTCTGTGGCGCTGCTGGGTCGGGCAAGACATCTCTGTTGCGTGCTTTCGCAGGTAAACTATTTAGTGAGATATATGAGCCCACGAAGAAGATGAACAGTGTTGTCAACTCGGTCGATATCGATGGTTCCGAAAAGTATCTTGTTGTGCGTCCCAATTTTCTCCAATAATGCACTGACGGTGCTTATGTACCGCAGCTTCAAGAGTTTGGCTCGAAGTATGAGGCGGAGATGCTGCGTAATCCTAAGAAGACGGACCTTGCGGATGTAATGGTGTACGTGCATGATTCCAGCGACACAAATTCGTTTTCGTATATAAGCAATTTGCGGGTGAGTCTTCTTTCATGCCTTACGCAGGGTGCGACATGCTCATATATGTGCAGCAACAATACAACCTCGACCATATACCAACCTTGTTCGTTGCAACAAAATCCGACTTAGATCTTGCCCAACAAGTGAGTCACGACGACTCACCGCTGCGAACGTCACGAACTGAGCGTGACACAGAGGCATGAGGTGCAGCCTGACGTATACTGTCGGCGTCTGGGCCTCCAGGTGCCTGTTGCCGTAAGTGTGAGGACTGGCCAAACGGCGGATGTTTTCCACGCTATATGCAGCATCGCCATGAAACCGTGAGTTCCTCTTCTCTCTGCACGGGACGCCTGAACGTGACCCCACGGCGTTGCAGGAACAACGCGCTGCCAGGAGGCTCTGATCGTGCATTGACGGCAGCAGCCCGTCTGCGGACGTACATCACAGTTTGCACGTTGATTGGGGGACTCGCGACAGGGCTCGTGCTTGTATACCGGACTTTCTCTCGACCTGGAGGGCCATCCTGGGGCTGGGGGCAGTGGGCGAGCTGGCTGCTGGGCAGCTCGAGGAAGGAGCTATAGCTGCGCGGTCTGCTGTATGTAGACTCCTGGAGGGCTTATGAGATAGATGGATAACTTCATAATCTGCTCCCGGCTAATCTTGGCGAATCTGATGCTTCAACTGGGAAGGCAACTCGCTTGGTGCTTGTGCGCTCACAACGCAAGACACGACGGAGGTATCTGTAGGTGCGCCATCTTATGCTTATTCTATTGGATTCAGACTTTTACCTAAACGTTCAACAGAATATGACCGTGCTTCACCGCCACCACAGGAATGGCCCCTCTCAGTCTCAACAGTAATTGACCGTTGCGCGCGGCACCCAGCTGATACGGTCGGTGCTCTTTCATGCACCCATCTGTTCTGAGTATGCAAAGAGGTCACGGTCCGAGCCGCTGCACTACCATGTGATGGGGCTAGCACTACTGCACCCAATTTTTTCTCGAAGGCTCACACCGTTTCTATGCTTATAATAGGATTGTCAGGCGTCCCAACGACCGCTGGTGTGTTGCAACTTGCAGGGAAGCCCTTAGATCCGAAACAATTGCTTCGGATCCAGAATGTGGTTCATCGCCATCTAGACTCACATTGGCTTCCCTTTGCATGCAGTTTTTCTTTGCGGCATCTCATCGATAGAATCACGCAGGATATATGACTGTAAAAGTACGAGCGTAAGTTGCTGCACGGAAGCTGGACGGGAATTGTACAATTAATGTTCATGACTCGAAGTAGCCCGATTTGGGACGTTTGCCGCGTACGCGCGGTTACAGCATGTCGGAATGACATATGGCCAGTGGCCCTAGCTCCGTCTACTGTAGTTTTCTCAATACATCTTAACTCTGTACGACCACCATCGATTTCGCCGTTGAATCCACCTCTTGGTTAGGTTGTTGTTTCATCGTTGTCTGAAGATCAACGTCTTACGATATTCGGAATTCTCTTTGAGCGCGCAACAACCACCAGATGGATGAAGACATGGACTATGACTCGGGGACTCCAGCAGTTCCGCAAACGGACCTCATGCAGCAGGCACAGCCGCAGTACCAACAGCAGATGGCGAACTCTTCCGGAGAGGGTCGTAAAATGTTGTACGTTCTTCCGTCTCCTTTCCCGTGCTCGGAGCACCTTACACGATTTCCCGCGTTCAGAGACCTCGTATTTATACAGGATTGTACTGGCAGCCAAGGCAGTTATATTTCCTCTGCAACAAAGAACATCGAGGAAATATGCAATCACATCTATGAGTCTGGAAGACTGCAAGCCCCGGAGGACCTTCGCGTCGGCCTGGTTGCATATCGGGATCACCCACCACAGGATCATACCTACGTCACTAAGAATTTCGGATTTTCTTCAGACATCTCGAAGGTACATCGGGACCTGTCAAGTCTGTATGCATCCGGTGGAGGTGATGGACCAGAAGCCGTCACTGCGGCCTTGGCAGAAGCCGTCAATATGGACTGGAGGGCGACCGCTAGCAAGATGATAGTGCTCATTGCCGACGCACCACCACATGGCATCGGGGAGTACGGAGATGGTATGGATTCTGTCTTCCTACTCTGTGGAATATCTCATGGATCATGCAGGCTTTGACGAGGGTTCACCTGACGGTAATGATCCATTGCAGCTAGCACGATTGATGGCAAGCCGAGGCATTACGCTGGCAAGTGCTGCTGTGATTATGCATCTGGTATTGATCCTAAGTGACATCTAGTTTTTCGTTGCGTGCGAACCCGCGTTGAGCGGATACTCAGTGAGTTAACTATTCATTGGCATTATATTTCTGCTGACAACCTGTGTAGTATGCTACGGACTTTTTCCAAGCCATCGTCAACATTACTTCTGGCCTTATGCTTCCCCTCACTACCGCAGACCTGCTCACGCACGCCATTGTCGGTAGCGTGCTCGAGAACTTGGATATGGAAAGGCTCGTACGCGAGGTTGGAGAAGCGGTATCCCAACGAATATTGGGGAACAACGAAAGCGTGGATGATGTAGCGCGCGAGCTGCATGAACGTCTCCTTCTACGGAACGAAAGCACAAAGAAAGTGGTGATCGAGACGATATACCGCGACTCGGAAGAGGCGAAACACAATGTCAGTGTCTACATGCAGGCTCCTACTCTGGCAGAAGCTCGGCCTTTGTTAAAGAGGGTATGTTCTTCTCCATGTTACGTGTTCTATCCTCTAAAACAATGTTGTAGGTTCCTGGCACACGGTTCACCGATAAATATCTTCATGCTCGTATGACCGCGTCACGCAGCTCGTATGCTTATTCACCATACACCCCTGCTCCGCGGCCTGGAGAGATCTCCCGCACTGCTGGACCTTCGAAGTCACCGATATTATCGGCATCTCCGCCTCGAAAGGTTGTCACAGATTTCGCCGCCTTTGGTGCACCAGCCAACGCTAGCGTCTTCGGAACCGCCGTCGCGTCGACACCCTTCTCGCTTGCAGGAGGCAAGGCTGCATTTGGTGGTATACGTAACGGTGGGCGGGGATTTGTTGATGATGACGACGAGGACGAGGATAACGGGAGACAGAAGATTGAACTGAGGGAAGACTCTATCTCGCTTGATCAGGTATCTGCCACTCTCCACCTAAATGATTAATCTGCTCACTTCTGTCATCGTAGGCGAGACGCATTGCCATACAGGCTGCCTGGAGGTCCGCGCATGTCTGAATAAGATTGTTGTCGACTCTTGCACCTTTGATTTTCCGTTGTGATATCCCTGTGACAGACTCTTTGGTCTGTCATTGCCTGGCATCGCCAACACCTGCACTCTTCTTTCGAGAATCATCCGTTCCATGTTTTGTTCGCGCTATTACCATGCCATTTGCAGTTCAGTTTGAACCCTTGGAATGCAATTGTGTATTTTGTCATGCCTTAATAGTAGCAGCCCACTCCGTTGGATATGTATCATGATGTACCACACGCAATACCTGCGAAAGACAAGACAAGCATGAAATCCTATGGTATCTCGGAGGATGTTCTTCTGCGCTTCTTGGCCTTGTCTGCCACACCTGACCTAGATATCTCAACCCCCTTCCGTATACGTATCCGCCGCTGAGATGAATCTACATTGCGAGTCGACGTCTCAGGGTGGTCGCACACTGTTGTCGTTGCCTCTTCTGTGTCATGGTCAAGCTTTGGCTCCCGAATGGTCTTCTTCATTCGCTTCTCCTCTCTCCTTACTCTTTTTTCCTCCTTCCTCGCCTTTTCACCTTCCTTCCTTGCCCTCTTCTCCTCTTTTCTCCTCCTTTCCTCCTCTTTAGCGTGGTCGATCTTCCCTCCCACTGTCTCCCCTACTGGCTCTTCCTGACTGCTCTTCTCTTCTGCGTGTTGCTTCCGTCGCTTCTTATCTCTTTTATATCCCGCATCCTCTTTGGCCTTCTCCTTTCGTTGCGGTGCGTCCTGCATCAATTCATCTACGGCCTCCGTCTTGCGTTTCCTCTTCGTCCTCTTCCCTTCGGTCGCCAATTCATCAGCCGCCTCATCTGTCGCCTTTGTTTTTCCCTTAATCTTCCTCTGCCTCTCCACTGCAACTTCATCACTTTCCACCCCTTTTAACACTTCCACGGCACTTGTGACGATGACCATTTGGTCCACCTCGGCCTCAACGGCAGTAGCAATATCATCAATGCCGACAACGGGACCTCGGAAGAATTTTGAATACAGAGACCGCCGCGCCGCCTCCTGTTTAGCAGCAGCCATAACCCCAAATCGCGGGGTGATGCTATCTGATGACTCCGGAGTCGCAGAACCAGAGAATGCGGGCGTGCCGATCTTAGGACGGCGGTTCGACAGGATGCCAGTGCTCGTGCGCTGCAATGACACGGCCGGGGTAGACGTAGATGTACTCTCCTTGGAACACATATGAAATATAGAGTGCAGCAGCATACGTAAACACTCACGGAGTCGTCGTCTGAATCGCTGTGTAATTTGACCTGTATGTTTATAGAGGCGGCCTCGAAGACACTATTCCAAGATCAGCACTCCTTCCCCACCTACAGGGAAACATGCACTGAAGACAGCGCTACTCACTGGTCCCAGAAGGGGAAGGCTTCATCGCGGTCCTTGCCTATCCCTGACAGCGTTTTCTTCTGTGCGACTGTAACGGGTCGCGAAATGGAACCTTGACGCAGGCCAGACCCCATCCCATCCCATCCCTGGGCAACCAGATATGCATGCCCGTCTAACGGCATGATTGACCGGTAACGAAAGTCGGCTGCAGATATGAAGCTAGACGAAGGAATGAAAGGCTGGGATCATCGCAGTCGTTTGCAACAGTTTTGCAACTCACGGACCCAATCGTGCACGTGCACTTCTTGCTCTCATCTTCCCGCTCAGCTTCCTCCGTCCCTGTTCTGTTGGATCAAGCTCTCGTCATCTCTACGGTAATTTCTCTCTGGTGTGCGTTTCAAGGCGGAGGAAAATAATAACTAAGCATTTATCAACGGTAACCTAATGACCTCCGAGACCGACGCGCTCTTTCCCATCTTGACTCTGGAGTCCGTACTTGCCTTCCAATTTTCCGCGTGGTATCCGCGATTCTCCAGCCTGAGCATCAAGTCCACCGTCATCAGGCCCTTGACCCAGGAGTTCCGCGACTACCTGGACTCGGACGGCGTGTTCGTTCCCGAAGGTGCAGAGGACCTGTCAGTCACCACTTCCGGGCACTTGTCGAATCGCCAGTAAATATCTCTTACTCAGGCCTGCCGGGAGCACACTCTCGGACGATGAAGGTGACCACGGAGACGACGACGACGACGATGAGGACGAGCGTCGGCGGTTCGCCTTCCCGGACTTGGACGCCCGGATCCGTGACGCCGTATCGCAGTACGGCGCGGTGTTCCCCAAACTTAACTTCTCATCTCCCAGAGTGCGTTAAGTCTCCACGTCCTTGTTCGCGAAAATGGATCGTTCGTTCACTGATTACTCAGGATGCAGCATGGATGCTCCCCGCGTCCGCTCCGCTGAAATGCACGTGTCCTGCCGACGTCTATCTGCTTCTCAAATCGTCAGACTTCGTGCAACATGATCTCGACGGGGAGCTCATTTTTGATGGCTGCGAAGCACGCGTGTCTATGGACGACACGACCGTCGCTTCACCTCCCGAATATGAGCTGGAGCTTGTGCTGCGGAAGTGGTATCCCGTTGACCGTAGCCGAGAACTGCGATGTTTCGTACGAGACGAACGTCTGTTAGGTGAGTTCTTCTCACACAAAAGAGAAGGCGTGATCATATCTGACATGTTGTCCAAGGGATCTCTCAACGCGATCCTAACTACTACGACTTCTGGAACGAACCGGAAACAAAAGACAAAGTGCTCCACGCAGTGAAGAGTTACTGGGAATCCCACATCAAAGGAAAATGGGGCGAGTCGAACGGAGATTGTGCATAGCTTTACCGTGCTCTATCAACTCATTGACACTCACCGATTGCTACTGTCCAGATGTCTTCGACTTCCTGCTCACGCGCGACCTATCCCGTGGGCACATCCTCGATTTCAATCCCTACGCCCCGCGCACAGATCCGCTACTGTTCACGTACAACGAGCTGCTCGCGCTATTCCAGGCTCACGGAACCCATCCGGAGCTGCGGGTTGTCGACTCGCCGAACCATCCTGCAGCGATACGCAACGCACCTGCGCACCAAAACAATATGGTGCCGTTGGAGGCGCTTGCGATGAGCAGCGGGAGGAATGCGGCGGAGTTCGCGGATTTGCTGCAGGAGGAAATTCAAAAATCAATGCAAGGTGGAGACGAATGAGCCTTGGGGTGGACTACCTTGTCATATCATTATTCCTTTTGTACTGTAGCTCTAGTCAATATCAGTAGGATGACAGGTGAGAAGCTTCGGTCCGACACGCGCATTGTGAGCTGAACATAAAATGAAGCGGAATCCACATTCTTCTATGTTTTGTGAGAACATACTTCGAGCCAATGCAATCCGACATATCAATGGAATAGAAAGGCAGCGTCCTCGGACTTTGCGACCGTCCAAGAATGGACATGATCCAATTACCGCATGGCCTTGCGCTGCTGCATTGGTACTTGTCTCCCAAAGCCGTAATATGGTATATTGCCTACACAACACGAACAGATGTTGCTTCCTTTTTAGACAGAGAGTGGACATCTTGTTCTGCGACAGGAAGCAGGGTCATTAGCTTCTCGCGGGACTGAATGATGTGGTAGAAAGGCTCACGAATACCCCAAACATGTGACCGAAGGTCAAGGAACTCTGCACGGTGAAGACGGCAGTAAGCGATTGTCCGAGAGAGAATATGCGATAACAGACCAACGTGCAGCCCGTCATACAACTTCTTCACCTCCGCTCGTACCCTCGAAAAGTCCTCCTTGGAAGCAGCCGACTCACTGAGCGCCTTTAAGTCCTTCTCGACAGCTTCTATCCTTCGAACATGCGCAGACACCTAGGAGACATCGTTCAGTCCACAAACACAAGATGCAATAACCAATTGCTTACCTTTTCGGTGCTGAGCTGCAGCTCTTCCACGCTCGCCTGCAGAGCGGCCGACGCCTGCTTGTACTCATCAAGTAAATGGTACGCAGCAAAGGACGAAGCTAAGGAGAAACCAAACAAAAAGCCTACGATACTATTGCACGCAGGATGTCGCGGTTAGATTATTCTCAGCGAAACAAGAGTGCAGAACATACCCGCCGCGGAAGGCGCCGACGGGCTTCTTGGGTGTGCCCACGCTGGGTGTTGCTGGTGCTGCTGGTGCTGCCTCCCGGACGACCTGTGTGGTAGATATAAAGCGGCGGGCAGCAGCTGTTCGGGATGAGGAGAGACAACGACCCAGCATGGAGGACATGATCGCAGTTCTACTGTACAGTGTATGGTGCGCGGGTTACGCCGGACGTGTTCCACGACGCGTCCCCAAATCGGGAAGTTGTTCTGGTCACGCTCATCGTGAAGCTCCTCATCTTCGAGCAATCTTTTCCGACCTACAAACATTTTACAAGTCATTTTCTACTTGCGTGGAAGCTTTTTTGTCAAATTATTGTTTGACACATTGTGCAGGAGCGGTTGAAGATGCCACCGAAACGCAAAGGCGGCGCCACCGGCAACGATGAACCCACTTCGCGTGAACGGAAGAAACAGAAAACAGAACTTGCGCGCACAATCGCCGTGCAACCCAATAACACAAGTTCTACAGTCGCAACAGCCGGGAATGCAGTGGCTGGTCCTTCTAGATCTGTCCGATTTAACAGTGAGTCGGCACCCTGTCTAGTTGTCTCGGGGGGTGACCTTATTTGCGGTCAGGCATGGCTGGATTGCCGGGTTCGTTAGATGTCGAGAAGTTTGCTGAGGTATGTGGATATTAATTCTTTTTGGTTGAAACTGACGCGTGCTTAGGCTCGCGCATATGAGATCAATGCTATGCACGAAGCCATGAAGAGTGCGAGGTATACGCGTTTTGCTGCCCCTGCGGTGATTGAGAGTTCAAGTATCTCACCTTCGAATCCGCAGATCGAACGCAACAAAGAGAGCTTGGCAGCTACTTCCGCGACACCTTCGTCGTAGGGCCGCGAGTCATGATGTCCGCCGTGTTCCCTTGCGTCTGCGGGACAAAGCCCGAGCAGAAGTGCGTATTTCCTGCCGTTATGCTCGGCAGTGCGTGACTGCAGATCTGACACGGTCGTGCGGTGAAGATGGATCCTATGCGCCGCAAGGCGTTGGGTCGCTCTCTGCCCAAGCGCGGCAAGAGCAAAGCGGTCAGTCGTAATCAGCAGCTCCTCAAGCGACAACGTAAGCAGGGTTCCGTTGAATGTGTGCCGCAGGCCTTTGAGCGTGTTGGGTATTCAGGTAGCAAGAATTGGCTGGAGACTCATCTATGGCATGCCAAACGGATGAAGATGGAGAACATGTGGGGATACAGGCTGGTACGATATAACCAGTCTACTGTACGATGCTGTACTCAAGATTCATCTCAGGCAGTGGAACCGACTGAGAAGTCCTTCCGGCCCTCGCACAGAGCATCGGTGCACGGATCTATTCTCCACGACGCATCGTACTACGCATTACTTCAGATCCAAGGGCCGCAGAGTGTTCTGCGTGCACTCCTGGACAATTGCTGTGATTTCCAAGCGCCCAGTCCCGGAGCGAAAAGGTGGGCATAAACTCTTGATCACTCCACGGTGAATGAACAAATTTCAGGTTCCTGACCGGCGCACGAGCTTGCGAGACGCATATATATAAGTACGGATCGTACCCCTTCGACCTGATTGCTCCCGTCCATGTCATATGGCAGCCTGTGGTAAATGAGAAAACGGACAAAGTGGCGACTCAAGAAGCACCTGCAGCGGCCTCAGCCGCTCCTTCTGGAGGCAAACGCAAGCGAAGGGGGAAGGGAAAAGCACCTGCGAAGGTAACGGGCTCTGCGGACACTACTGGCGCAGGCCTCGGTCGTACTGTATGGATCCGTTTCCACCCGTCAGTGGTCGCGGATGTGCACCTGGCTCTGCGGACTGCCTCGTCCTTCGCTCTGGAGGCCTTCAAGAAGTCCAATACGGACAAAGAAGTGGAAGTCGTGATCACTGACCTCAGGGAGCGCGTCAATGTGTTCGAGATCATGGGGCCGAAGTCAAGCCAGGTTCTGAAAGGTGCCTTGAAACCGACGACGGAGTCGAAGAGGGAAGACTTTGATAAGGTAACTCTTGTGCTATTGGTGGGATCGTCGGATGCTGATGCTTCTCAGTTCTGGAAGTCGCTCAATGGCTTGCAAACTGCGGGATCGCTCCCACGGGGGATGGTTGTTGGTTGCACCGTCTACGATCCGCGCCTCAGGTATCCAACGACCGTCCATTGCTTTGCTACGATCCTTCTGACGAGATACTCCACCTAGTTTCCCACCTAAGAATGCGAAGCTCGACACCGACCCCCATTTGACTTCTTCCCCAGCATCAACCGTGTTCCCGTCTTCTGCCCTCGCTCAAAGTGAAATTTGGAACGAATCTATGAGGATTGGCCTCCAGAGACCGCGGTACAAGAAGAAGGATATTGACGAACGTAAATCTAAGGTTTGTCGACCTTAGTTCCGGTAAATTTCAGGTGTTGTTGACCAAGTTTCATGCGCAGAACCTCATACCCGGGACTCCCCTGCAAGCACAACGTCAAGACGATCGTATTCCCGTGCTGCTTATCCAGCGGTCCGTCGAGAGCTCCTCTCCTATCTCTCAGTCCGATTCGAACCACGCCAGCACCTCAGCCGCTCTCCACGGCTGGACTCTGATCATACCCTCGGGATGGGGCATGCCCTTCCTCTCATCGCTAGTCTACACGGGCACCCGCGTTGGAGGCCAGCGCGAGTGCCAAACGCAGGCGTTCGAAGGCGGCTGCGCGTATTTTCCGCGCGACTACCCTTCCACCGACGCGTATAGCGAGTACGCCGAGGCGCGGGAGGAGACGGAGCGAGAGCGGTGGGAGCGCAAGCCGCCTGCGAAGCGGCCGAACTTCGAGAAGATGGGCACGTGGAACCCGTGGCAGGCCGATTGGGGCGTCGTCTTGGGCCTGGAGGAGCCTTGGGCTCGTGATGATGGCGGGTTTCTTCCTGCACAACGGGAGCCTGCGCCAACTGCGCCGACTCAAGGGGACATGGGCCAGAAATTACAGCCTTGGCTGATGCGTTGTGCGGAACTGCCCTCGATCTTGGACAAAGTGTCGACGATGTTCAACCCCGGCGCGTACCTGCTCGACTATGTCAACCAGGTGCGGACGAAGCGCCATCAGGACCCGTTGAACGCCAGCATCAAGGCGGACGAGCTGTGGAAGAGCTCGCTCGTGATGGTCAGGGTGGTTCTTCGTGGCAGGGGCTCTCCTGAGGACCTTGCGATCATATATAGCATGAATGACGAGGAGGTGAGAAAGCACAAGAAGGCCGAAGCTGGCGGGACACATCGCGATGCCATTTCCGACGATGATGAGAAAGAGGTAGGCGTCGACGAGCTGTTAAAACGGCCTGTACTCATCGCACGCTCTTCAGCCCTCCGAGTTGATCCCGTCTCAAGATTCCATAATCGGGTATGTCACCACTGGTCATTATTCGCTGTCTCGAGGCGAAGGACACGCGATCGGCGCAGTCCCAGTAGCACGTCTACTGGAGCTGAAGCAGCAAGAAGAGAGGTATGTTCGTTTCATTTATTATTAGAGACCGATGGTTTGACGACCCGTTCTTTATCAGACTGCGTATAGGATCAGGGTTCCTAGTGAAGATTCGTAACCGCGACCAGACGATTTGTCGAGCGGCCCTTCTGGAAGTGCTTTGATGTGCACGCCACGTATATCGTTGGTAAGACTGGTGCAGCCACTCCAAGTTGGATAAGCGTTGATTCTATGTGTGTGCGCAAGCAAGAGTACAATGGAGTGTGCGCTACTGGAATACACGTGGTGGACAATGCGTATCTACAGTATACGGTTGGGCGCTACAAGAAATGATGGTCTGTGATATGAGAGACGTAATGAAAAGCGTCCGGTGAACCCTCGCATACCCAAGTCAACTGATCTTCCACCTCTCCACTGTGGTTTGGACCAGTCGCACTATGTCTAGCTTCGCCTGCTTCTTGGCACTGTCCGATATGCCCTCCAAAGTGTCCAATTCTTCGGGCGATGTTTGCAATGGATCGAACTCGAGAATATGTCCGTCCTTCGTAGGCACCGAGACAAGCGCTGTCAACGAAAGGTGCGGCGCTGGGTCCGCCACATTGTTCGACCGGTTCGGGACGAACCCGCCCGCATTAGTCTGTGAGTTCGCGCGCGAATGCGTGCCATGCGGCGGCGCGACCACACTCGTCTGTGAGTTGGTGCGCGAATGTCCGCCGCTCTCGCCGGACGAGCGCACGATGATGCTGCTCGCCTTCCGCACGAGCTTCTTTCCGCCGCGCTCGCTCTCGGCGTCGCTGTCCGCGCGTTCGGTACCTTCGCTTTCCGAGACGGTGCGCAGCCAGCCGTTCAGCCCGAGCTGGTACGGGTTCGCGAGCGGGGAGCCATTCACGCTGAGCATGCTCTCGTTGTACTTCGGCCAGCGTGGCTGCATGGCGTGCGCAGGGAGGATGGGATTGAAGGACGAGGAGGATGGTGGACGAATTGGTCGTTTGGATGGTGATGGGAGCTTGGTTGGAGATGCGGGGCGAGCGAAGAAGGGGGGCTTCGAGGAGGCCGCTGTTACTGCTTTGCGTGTAGGGGTATTCATCCCCGAAGGTATGCGTTTGATCGTACGGATCTGTGGGGACGACGTCAGGGAGAACGATGGAGATGCATGGTTACACCTACTGTTCCAGGAGTCTTGTTCAATGGGAACCTCGCTCTCTGCGCAGTCCCCACGCCATTTGAAGGGCCGGCCATCTTCTGAGGAGTAGTAGGCATTGTGCGAGCTGCAAATAAAGTGAGGATTAGAACCGTGGCAACGAGTGTAATCATACCGCTCTTCACTCCTCTCGACGATTCGCCCACGCCAGCTGGATCATGGCCCACTTTTACGTCCACCCTCTCCGTCGAGTCCTGTGACGCCACCCACTTCCTCTTCCGCGTGCTTCTGTCGATAGCGGTATCTTCGGCACCTAGGATTTCTCTCTTCAGTCCCTTCACGCACTCCTGCACGTTGCCTTTATACTTGGCGAATTCTAACATGGTAATATCGCGCACGAGACGTGGCGTGCGTGAGATGAGACCCTCCTGGTGTCTGAGAAAGTTCTCGAGCGCATCCGCCAGCCATTCCTCGAGTTGACGCGTCTTATGGTCGACTAAGATCGAACGTTTAGCCGAATCAACACCGCATTGGACACAACTGAATATCACCTTCCAGGTCCAGATTAGCAAGTAACTGTTTCTTCTGTTCTGCAGAATATCGTTTCTTGAGTTGTGATCCTTGCATGTTAGGCAATTTTCCCGGTGACGAGACGGAAGCAGGACGGGGTAAATGTGCTAAAGTTGAGTTTGCAGATCGCGAGGCGCGCGACGCGCCAGCCCGTGACTTGGGCGCCTGAAAGAACACTGGATTATTTTGTCTGTAAGTCCGAGGAAATTACGCGAGGCGCTGGAAGAATGGTCAGACACTCTCGCTGGACGAATTCACTTGCCATCTCCATTGTATCTCCCCCTTTTCTGTTCAACGATGTCTGCAGCTCCCCGGGACACGTATCTGGTGATTGGTGGCAGCGGTTTCCTGGGCAGACACATTGTTGAGGCTCTTCTTGCCCGCGGAGACGCCGTGTCGGTTTTTGACATCGTTCAGCGACACCATGACGTTCCATTTTATTCGGGAGATATCAGCGAGGAGGGACAGATCGGGGATGCTCTCAGCAAGGCATGTATTGCAATACAACTGGGTGAATCCGTGCTGAGATGATTTGCAGAGCGGGGCGAACTGTATCATTCACACTGCTTCCCCACCTCACGGTCTTGACGATCCTGCGTTGTATTGGAAAGTCAACGTGGATGGTACGAAGGCGGTTATTGCAGCAGCAGTTGCACAGGCCATCCCAAAGCTCGTCTACACAAGCTCCGCGGGAGTTGTCTTCAACGGTGAGGACCTAATCGACATCGACGAACGTCTCCCTCCTCCCGCAAAAGCTATGGACGCGTATAACGAGTCAAAAGCCAAAGCGGAAGAAATAGTCATTGCCGCCAATGGTAAAGACGGCCTATACACAGTCGCGCTCCGTCTTGCGGGACTGTTCGGGTGAGCCCTCTCCCAGGACCGTAGTTGCGCGATGTTGTCACCAAACAATTGCATTCTTCTAGGCCTGGCGACCGGCAGGTTATGGCGGGTTTCTACCAGGTCTACCAGCGTGGGCAGACTCAGTTTCGGATCGGCGACAACACTAACCTCTTCGACTGGACTTACGTCACCAACGCTGCCTACGCACATCTTCTTGCTGCGGATAGGCTCGTCCCCAGAACACCCGCGCAGATAGAGCAGCTGAAAGAAAGCTTGCACACCGTCCTCCCCTACATCGACTGCACCATCGGCAAGCGGCGCATCCCCACGTCCGAGAGCCGCCTGATCGGGCCTACCACCGACCTGACGCCCGAAGTGCTAGAGGCCGCGGCGAACTGGGATGACCCGAACTACGTGCCTGCCCCACGGCCTGCGTTGCGAGGTCGGTTCGACCAGCTCGCTGAGAGCGCACTTGAGAGGGACGACGCGGCGGCGCTGCAGGTCGCGGGGCAGGTGTTCTTCATCACGAACGGCGAGCCAATGCACTTCTGGGACCTACCACGCATGGCGTACCGCTTCTTCGACAACCATTTTGGCACGAGCAAGACGCAGGGCGGCATCATACGCTTCCCACGCGAGATTGGGATGATGCTAGCGAGTGCGGTCGAGATGTGGTCGTGGCTGACGGGGAAGCAGCCTGGCTTGACGCGATTCAGGGTCACTTTTAGCTGTGTTTTTAGGTGCCATAACATTGAGAAGGCGCGGAGGGTATTGGGATATGAACCTCAAGTTGGTCTGGAGGAGGGCCTGAAGAGGACGCTTGAGGTGTGTTCTTACCCGTGACCAAGTCATCTTCACTGATGATTGATACCACCTGCTCTAGTGGTGGGTCTCCGAGCATGGAACTCCAAGAGTATGAATACGATGGACACATTGCTCACGCACAGCTGCTATACATGTATGATACGCTGTCTTATATTGGATATCCCCTTCTGCTGGAACTCCCCGTTGTGCTTCTGTTGTGTTCGCTGCGCTGGGTACATTACGCTTGCCACGAGATACAACATGAACATGAATTACGTTACATGGCGATGTACTTCCCCTCTGCATTCAAAGACACCACTGGAAGCGTCTCTCCTTAAACCTGGAACGAAACAGCAGCTATTTCAAAGGTGACAAGCAAGCCGTGTCGAGTTTTCTGACCAAGGCACTGAGGTCAGAACGTATCCCACATTCCACCGGGAGCTGGGAGCCAAACACGTACTGCTGCGTGTTAGTGACATCCACGTTCTGCTTATCACCCTAGTACATGAAATCGACGAGATGGACGTGTCAGGGACTCGTTCAGAAAAAAAATGTTCAGTGAAGTCATCAAACTGACCTCGTCGTATTATTCCTCATTGACAGAGTGCACCTCACTTGGCTCCATCGTCATGAGTGCGGAAGGCTGCACCATGGCGAAACACATCAGACGACATACTCCGTTGCGTGTTGAGAAGTCACGCACCTTGCCGTCCGAATTGGCCATGTTCAGCTGCATCTCATGCGAGATCGCTGGGCCGTGACCGGTGAGCGTCCCGTTTGCCTTCGATGTGAACTGGGCGGAATGCACGTCCGTGACACCGCGCCCGCGGTAAGCATCGCGGAAGTTGAGCCTGGAAAGCGGCGCATCAAGATGCTGGACACGCTCGTGGGGAAGTGAACGCACATGGCCATCAGGCTATTGGCATATACTGTCATAGGTGACAAGACAGGGACATGTAGAGGAGGTTAGGCACTTACCCTTGCTTGTGATGAAATGGAAGAAGATCCAGACTTGGTGGGTGGGCTTGGCGATAAACTGCACAGGAACAATCGAGCCGGAATAAGTGTCCAGGATGGAAGATACATACCGTGACCAGGCACACTATCTGAAGGACACTGAGAGACGGAATGTTGTGTTACTTTCAAGAGTCAGGTAGGTATGAGGCGACTTACGTGAAGCAAGTTCCGCGAATCAGAAAGTTGACGACAATGTACTCATACGCGTTCTGAGGGCTGGATACCACGGACAAGGCGTGAGCAGTGCAAGACAGGTAAGTGGGCCCGCGACGCACGCCTTCATGACGATAATACCATTGGAACAGAAGAGCGAGATGAGGATGATGAGGTCGCACGCCGTGTAGATGCCATACTGCACGATCGACGCAATCTACGGTGTAGTATTGGCAATGAATTGGGTGAGGAATTCGAATCCTACGCACTTCGACTTCTCCCGCGACGAAGTTGTAGAAAAGAGGTCGCATGGAACTGTCACGGTTCGGTGGAACTCTGTGCGAGTAGGGGAGTTTGTACATACATGAGTGCCGTTCCGACTGATGGCAATAGGGTCAGATGAGCTTATGTCGTACCAGAGGAGGTAACACACCTAAGCCGGTTGCTGTGTATATCCAGGAAGTTAAGACAAACACGCGACGCATCGTTTCAGACAACTCACCGAACCCAGCCACGGAAAAGAATAACTGGGGGTTTTCATAAGATCACGAGGCGCAAGCTTAAAAGAGGGTTAATGCGCACAACCAATCCAGGGATAATGGGGTTCCTGTCATTTACTAGCCATTGCGACTTAATGCGTCGAGACTGAACTTGGAGTCAACGTACCTTTCCAGATGCGAACGGCATAAAATCTGTGGCACATCAGCTGAGCAGGTAGATTGGATATTTGCGAGACTTACGTGTGAACAGCGAATATCCCGAACGACTGTAACACGCCAGCACGATAAACCCGTTGTGTTATTTACAAGCGATTGAGGTACATACCGAAATTCCACTCTCGGCCTTCGACAAGATCAGGGACATTGAATCGTTAGAAATCAAATGCTCGCACTCACGACAAATGACCTACGTTAGGTTCAGAAACTGTAAACAGATGAGAACTTGAAGCTCACTTGGTCATATCAAGTTGATTGAATGGGACCACGAAGTTGGTTATCATGTAATTGTACAATCTGACAGAACATAAGATTCTACTTGAGAACATCTTGGCGTGAAAGAGAACGCACGTTTGAGATACTAGGAAGAGGTAGTAGGCTACGTATCAGGGTCAATGAGGAATGGGCGTGCATCCACTTACAGAGAGCTGTCGTTGCGGTGTCCATCGCCCTGCGTTGAAACAGATTAGATACCGAAAATATATACTTGGTATGGACAAGCAGCATACCATATCATACCGACCTGTACAATATGTGTATAAACTGCACCATTCATGAAACAAGACGCGGCGACATACCGAGCACTTCGACCAGATACTGTCGGATGAAAAACGGGAATAGTAGAAATATGTCTCTGACGCGTACAGAACAGACCGTGAGACCGATATCACAGCGCAGAGCAGCGAACGCACGAAAGAATGTCAGGCCATAGAGGGTGACCGTGAAGATCAGACCGAGCAAGAGCACGCCAAAGGTATCATTTATCTCGCTGAGAGAGACAGCGCCGAGATCAGACATTACGACGGAGGAGCAGTGTGCAGTGTGGCAGTTTGCAGACCCTGAGGACTGAGGCCCAAATGACTTGCGTAGGCCAGCGGAGGCTGTAGGTTCGGATATGCCGGGGAACGCCCGAAGCAGTGGGGAGCGTGGGAAACGGGAAAATGACAATTTCGATCAATTAGGGAGGATCGGGCACTCCCGATCGACTTCAAATGGGAGATCTATATCTTCATATGATTTGAGGCTGGTATGTAACACATTCTGTCTTCCTCCTATCTCGTCCTCGTGGGCAATGTCTTCTTCTACACAAGTTGAACAGCTGCGTATAATCGAGCGCGCACTCATCGTCACCGGGACAGTCATAAAGGAGATCGATACCAAGGCAGAAGGAGTTGAACGCCAGCTGAAGGAGACGGAACAGAAGTGCGAGGAGTTCATTCGCCAGGTAATCTGTGGATCGCACTACTTTATGACATGCCATTAATATTTTCCACTTTCTTCAGGCTCAACAGCTCGCGAAAGCTGTCCGATCATCATCCCGGACAGATACCAGCGACGTTTTAACCGAGATAAATGCGTTCATCACCCAGGCTTACGAGCAGGCCTTTGGGATAGCTTCAGACGTACTGCTTCAAATTTCTATGCTTGCCTCTGCGGCCTGATAATGGGATACTTTAGTATCGGATACAGCTGAAAGACATACAAGAGGCGCACGCAGATGTGGTGCAACGTCATCGCGAGGTAACGTGCCAATGAAGCCATGGTGAATCAAAATTATTCTTACTGAACGATCCGATAGGGAGAAAGACTTTTCGAAGCTGTCAAAGCCAAGATAACGTCCAAGACTCCCCAGAGCGAAGAGATAGAGGACGGCTGTATAGAGGTTCTACCTCCCTGAATGTATAGATTTGTGGTCAGTAGCTCTTGCCCATCCACATAGATAAACAGCACTGATACTCGCGCGTCGAATTTTAAGCTGAATTCTGTGTAGTATTTAGATGTAGCTAGTTGAGTGCGGACTTTTGTTGACATATTGTACGCCTACAATTGGTAAGACACATTCATGAGATAATGGTTTCACCCCAGCCTTGCTAGCGGCTACCACTTTGCGAAGTCGCACAAGAATGGCAATATAAGGAAAAAGGAGAGCGACACTAGTGTTACAAACAAAGCACCAATGAAGCAGTATCAAAACAAAAAGGCATAATGCTGGTGACATCAAAAGTCATCCGAGAAATAGTCCGACAGCGCCTCCCTAAAATCCCGCACTCTCATCGTCGTTGCAATGAGCGCACTCTCCTTGCAATGCGGTAGTCGATCCGAAACTCCCTGTACCTGTAGATCCCGCTCTATGAGGCTCTTTATTGTGCACTCTGCTAGCACGAGCCGCGCCAATACGTCTTCCCTTTGTAACCCGGGTATGATCTCCGTCCCCAGCTCCAGCACAGCCTTCCACAGCGCCCCCCACGCCTTCGAGCAGCGCTGCTGGCTCGTACATCTCGCACTATGCGAAAGCGCTGGGGGCTGTGCCGGCAAGCTCTCCCACAGCTTCCCGAGGGTATAATACCCGCACAGCAGACGCACACGCTGCTCCCGCGTGAGTGCGGGCTCTGCGTCCCAGTGCAGCTTCCCCTTGAGCATCATCGCGTGGTACGCGAGGCCGAGCATGCCGCGCAGGTTGAGGCGCTCCCCAATGCCGATCGCGAGCGCGAGGTCTTTGCCCTCGCCGATCTGGTGCTTCCACTGCGCAACGGTGAGCTCCATGAGGTCCTGGCGCTCGCACAGTGCAGCTAGCTCCGTGATCGCAACGAGCGACGGCACCTCCGGGGGTGGGGTGGTGTGCGGGAGCCCGGGCGGGATCCCGGGCAGGTCGAACGCGCCCGGGCGGGAGTAGAAGATGTGCAGCGCACCGAGCGCCCAGGTCTCGATAGAGCGGAACTGGTACTTGTGCGTGATGCGTGCGAGGTGGACGAGCTGCATGCAGTTTGCGTCCGGCGTCGTGGCGAGCATGAGCTCGTGCGGCCTGCCAGCAACAACGGTGAATTCGCGCTGCGCACTCGGAGCGGGCGGGCGGCAGGGCTCACAGTGCATACAGCGCCCAGAGGAGCGCCCGGAACTCGTCTGGGCTGTCGCCCTGCAGTCGGATGGGGTTGTCGTCGTTCTCCCCTTCCGGCGCTGCCGCCATGCTGCTGTCCGATCGTGACGAGTCCGTCTCCGAGGATAGCTGGAACATCGTCTCGAAAGCGGACTTGTCCTTCGTGAGGATCGACCTGTGCACCTACTTGCCGTATCACAATATTCAGTACACGTCCGGGGAAGCAGACTGGTAGGTGCCTGCGACACCACCCAGCCGGTGGTCAGGCCGTGGATGCGTACCTTAAATAGAGTATTCTCCACCAGCAGCACGCTGTTCCCATCTGAGATGTAGTACACCGGATCTCTGCTCGGGCCAGGTATGGACAGCTGCAACATGCCATCGCGCAAGAAGGAGTTGGACATCGTCATGAGCGGACTGTCTGGCTGGAGGTGGTCGTGGTCGTGATCCATGAGAGCGGCTAGAATCACTAGATCGAAGTAGTTGCAGCGCTTGTGAATTGGGACGTATGAGTGGGCGCAGTGGCCGGCTGTGTGTACTGCAGCACGCTAGAACCCGGCAGGAGAGTCCTGGAGAGAATACAAAGACGCTGTCTGCGGACTCTGCGACATTTGTCTATCATAGTCAGCATGATAGGCGCTTGCAGAGCCCGTCCACTGAGGCTGAGCTGACTGAACTCTCAGACTTGGCGCCGCGGCGTAGAATGCATTACCAACCCTAGAACGAAACCTAAATCCCTGTTGTACAACACGGAATGCATGCCGCTACACCTATCCAGTCTAGTGCCAGTACCGCGTGAACGCCCGCCATGCCAGCTTCCCGACGCCCATTACGCACAGCGCACAGAGAGCGGGTCCAATCTCAATCCTGATCGGCAACTGGTAACCAAACAGCGTTGCAGGAGCATTCGCGCCCGCCTCGTCGATCGCGGCAATCTCCTCTTCAGTCAGAGGAGCTACGGGAGGGTATCTTGTTGGGAACAGTCTGGACAGGATACGTTTGTTGTAACTCACGAAGATCACCGACGGCGAGATACTCTTCCAGATGCTCCTTACTCGAACTCGTGCTGGCGAGAACGTTCAGTAAGAAGACGCGATCGATACAGTGAGAACCTTACGTTACGATCGTTAGACCTTTGGCCTTTACCCATGCTAGGATTACTTGTGTTGGTGTCACACCGAGCCTCTTCGCCGCAGCTGCGACTGGTTTATCGACTGGGCCTCCTGGGTAGCGGGTGATCGGGCTGTCGTACAGATTTTGAATCCACAATTTAAAGGAGCAACGTTCAAGGCACTCACGCAAGACTGCTGTATGCCTCCACTACAATTCCTTGCGACGTGCAGTAGTCCAGTAGAGCCTTGTTCTCGGTGTAGTTGTACGGATGGAAATAAATCTAGCAACCGAGAACAGCCATATTAGCCAACATCATGGCACGGCGTAGACTCACTAACCTGGTTCACAGCAGGCTTGACTTTGGCAACCTTTATGAGCTTTTGCAGATCGTCTAGCTCATAGTTGCTGACACCAATACTCCTGCAGCAGAGGTCAGTTGGTGACCCACTGCGCACGGGCCAAATACACACTTCACCAAGCCATCTTCCTTGAGTTTCTCAAACGTGCCCCACGCCTCTTCCACATTCTTCACGATAGCAGGCTGATGGATGAGGTACAAGTCCAGTTGCTTCACACCAAGCTGTGGAAGGTTACCATGAATATCCTATTGAATGCCGAAGATGTGGTCTCACCTGAGTCAGACTCTCTTGAAGAGCCTCAGAAATCGGTGTAGTATCCCGGGACCACTTTGAAGTGATGAACAGCTCAGAGCGGCTGAGCCCGCTCTCGTGGATGGCCGCTCCGACGCTGTCTTGGTTGCCATAAGCTACATCGTTTTCAAAGCATGAGTGACATGCCCGTCAAGACGTCCACGTTCGATGCTCACCTTGGGCAGCGTCGATGTGTGAGAAGCCCGTCTCTATGGCCTGGATCACATAGTCCGTGACATCCTGCGGAGCACCACCAGCCAATTGAGACACAAGTACGGCGTGAACTCTGGTCACTCACATGGCTCTTCCACTTCGACCCAGACCCAAAGGCAATTGTAGGCATCTAGGATCGGCACGCATGGTCAGCGTCCCCTCGCGCCAACTGATACGAATTATCTTTAAGCAGCGCGCTACTAACCTCATTGCCATCGTTGAGCGTCACAGACTCGAAGGGCATGGCGTAACCTCCCGCTCGCTGCAAGGAAGGTGATGAGGCAGAACGAACAGGAGTTGGTCTGCCGACACGGAGAAGTTATAATGTATGCATCTTCCTGGACCCTGAAGGCCTGACCGCGAGAGTCAACGTTATCTTCCGTCAAGTCATCTCTAGCTGACGAATATATATAAGTAATACTAATAGGTGCGGAGTTCAGTTGGCAGTCTAAGATTATTCGGGCGCTTGTTGTTATCTCTGCGAGGCTGTGACATCAGGAAAAGTCAAATCTGCTTAGCCTCCTTATCTGCCTTAATAAGGAGAAATAAGACAATCCTTCTTCTTATTCCGTCTTATTCTTTCTTATTTTCCTTATAAAGAGTAAAAAGAAGAAATCACCTTGCTTGCCAAGGTCTCCTCGCCCCCCTTAATTGCACCACTTTTCCGTGCCCCGTACCTGCCCGACTTCTCTCCCGAGTGTCTCCGGTTAAGGCCTTTATGTTCGACTCCCACGGTCGTCGCATCGTTAACCCTGTACTATCGTTACCCCAGTACTGCAATCTGGTCTAGTTATGCAATTTCGCCGTTTTGCCGCATTTTGCTGCACTAAAAATCACAAAAAAATATGCAATAGATGTGCACAGTCCCAAATACCTTGGCTGTGCAACTTGGGAGTCAAACTCGGAGGGGAAGAGTGCGAAGTTTCTGAATTGCAAGTTTGGAGGACTTAGGCATGACAGTGAAATGTGCCATTTAAAACTCCGACTAGAGGGAGAACAAGGGAACGGCACGTCGGCAAGCATGACGATCTGTGACCGATTCGGCGCTCTTGCGTGCAAATCAGTCTCTTCACAGGCTCGTCGGAGATCAATTGGCCGACGTGCCGGAGTGATTTAGAGACAAAATTTAGCTTTAGAACGGCTACGGGAAGGCATCCACTGATTGAATAAGCAACGCCGCGCAACAGATTGTACACGACGCTCGCCGATGGTTCTATATATTCAACAACTTGAACAGACTGTACTATCGTTACCCCAGTAATGCAATTGCGATTGCATCTCTGTCACCGTTCCTTCAAATCGGGCCCGTTTTCCTTCGAACCTCTTTGGATCAAATATACAACATATAAGCTACCTTCTGTGTGACTGCCAATTTTTTTCCTGATGTTGTGCGACTCCAAGACCGAACGCAGTGAACAAAGTGAGACCTTTCTAAACCTTATGGGGGTCGACCCCCCCTTCCAGATTCTAAACGTCTCCCTAAACTATATTTTCGACCTCCGCACCCTCGCAACCTCCATCATCGCCTATATTTGGTGTTATGCATCACTTACATCATCTTGCCGTTCGTCCTCCGACCGTCTAGAACTTGATTTAGTGATCATGGTCTCACGTCGTTACGGTCTCGCAAATCTTGCTGTTCCGACACAGTGGGGCATTTCGTAGTCCGTTTTATGATTTAGAAATGCTCTAAATCCTACGGGAAGGTGTTAGGGCTGGTGGTTTCCCAATCAGGAAACATATATTAGTCAGCACATAGGTATGTCGGAGAACATACTGGAATCTCCTAGAATTACTGTGTAGTATAAATATATGGCCCCAACCGCATGAGCCCCTCATGCACTTGTGACCCATGGCCTAACAGCCGAGTGAGTAGTAGTGATCAACCTCACAATAGAAGGCATCCAGTAACAAACATTATCCAGTTGTCCGTTCTCTTTCGAAAATCAGCCTGGTTGCTGTATGCTTGTACTTGTCCATTCAACACTTAACTACAACTATCGGACCCAGGTTTTTTTCCGCCGTTAATTCAGCTTTTTCCCTGTCACAGCACATGTATGTAGTCTATAAAGAAAATTCACTAGAAGTGAATCTGTGGTGTTCGTCACCCATTCACTTAATGATGGCTCTGACGTCTGAGATCTGAAGTACTGAAATTGAATTGTGAACTTCCCCTCCAATCTTGTACAACCTAAACCACTCTGTTTGGGGGGTGATTATTATTTACTGATACCCTTCAAATTGTCTAGACTACATGCATATCTAACAAATGCATTACCACTCGGCAAGCAAGGTCAAGGCCGACGCCAGTCGGCGCTTCCCTAGTAAGGAGAAATAAGGAAGAATAAGAAGGAATAAGAAGAAGGATTGTCTTATTTCTCCTTATTAAGGCAGATAAGGAGGCTAAGCAGATTTGACTTTTCCTGATGTACGTTCCTCCTGCACCTGGTCAGAAACAAATACTGGCTATTACCATCCTGGCAAGGACGGCAGTCCTTTTACCGCCCCCAGTGTGTTGAACCCGAAAAGTCTCTCTTTTTTTCTGCTCGCCTTGGTATCCGGAGACCCTAAGCTAGGGTTTCTATGAGCATTCATTGTTGCGGGCCGATTGCCGCCTTGCGGACTTAATGTCAAGTACAACTCTGCACCCACCCGAGTCTCAGCTCGCTTCGATGAGTGTAGACTCTCTAGATCTGGATACAGATATTTCGCGTTCGTCATCTGCAGGGCGATACAGATCGCCCTCCCCAGGCTCACCCAGCAGGAAGCGCGCGAGGCTCGAGGACGAAGACTCGGAGGTCATCCAGGAACTCCAGCCCCGCGTCCCATACGAAGGCGAGGTCGTGCAGGACGACATGTTCTACCTGTCCGACGGAAGTTGCATACTCCGCGTAGAGAACACGCTCTTCAATGTACGATCTCATTTACTCTATTAGCACGCGTGTCCAACAACGGCTTTGATCTCCTTGCGATGTGCACAGGTGCATCGAACGATTTTGACCAGGGACTGTTCGTCCTTCAGCGCGATGTTCGACATGCCTGTGCCGCAGGATGGCCGCTCCGAGACGGAAGGATCGTCTGACTACAACCCGATCATACTAACTGGGGACACGGTCGCGGAATTCAAGAACTTTCTATGGGCTCTTTATGCACTGTAAGGGGAGCCACCGCTCTAGCAGCGAATATTTGTTCACATGCGCATGCAGACCAAATGAGCTCATGACCGTCTTCTCCCCCTCCGCCGACCTTAACCAGATGATGGACATCGCGCACGTTGCGAACAAGTACTCCTTCCGCTCGGTCGAGACATGGGCGCTCGACGCTTTGAACGAATACGTGAACCGGAAGCCGACACCGATCTTCTGCTACCCGCCATTCGTGAGCGCGAAGGATGTCGCCGCAAGCGGCGTGCGCATCGCGCGGCTCGTGCGGCTCGCGCAGACGTGCAGTCACACGCGACTGCTCACTGCGCTCGTCGTGCTGCTCAAGCAGCGCATGAACGTGCAGATCCAGTACGCATTCCTCGCCATGACCCTCGCGGACGACCTCGGCCTCCGTGCGCTCCGTGGCGTCGCGTACATGGAAGTGCTCCAGCACGGCATGAAGATGGTCATGGACGGCCCACGTCAGGCACCTGCACCCGACAAGGCGCAGGAGGGCACGGATGGAGATGAACTTCTGGTAGTCTCGCCGAACCAGCGGCTGCGCCTCCTCTCGGGGTTCCACCGTCTCGCGCAGACGTGGGAGACCTTCCGCCTGCAGCCGCTGCAGTTCGAGCACGCGCCGACGTGCGGCGCGACCTGGCATCAGCACGGGTGCACGCAGAGTTGGCTCGAATTCTGGAAGGAGAAGTCTAAGAGCGACTCCGTACTCGCGCTCGGCCTGGCAGACGTGCAGGGCCGCATGAGGGCAATGGTGAAGGAGTTTGAGCGCTGGGGCTCTGCGACGTACATGCATCATGATTGCAGGATGACTGCGAAGAAGGTGATGCAGGAGAAGATCAAGGCTCTCGAGGAGGCTCTACCTGATTTCTTTGTGGACTAACGTTATATGCGAGGGAAGTTTTACACATTTGTATTTTATGTGTACAATACTCGTTCCTCTCCATCCGCCTTCATCTGTATACGATAGGATATGCAGAGTCTGCCGATGCACTACCATTATACCGGAGCTATTGCATCGGTAGCATGGGGTAGTGTAAACCACAGCTTTATCACCACACTGTACTCGAGATCAGACGTGTGGCTGGCCGGACGCTAATCAGCAACGTACTCGACGAGTAAGTCGCTCGTCAGGAACATTTCATCGACGCGATGAAAGAGATCGAAGGTGTCTGGTAGATTGCAATCGGTCAATGGGAAAGCATCTGAATTACGATATAAGTGCTGCTGTTTGGTGAGGGCAGGAGTATGCGTTGCATACGCTGCTCTACACTCATCGGGCTTTCCCTTTGCCCTTCGTCGGACGCTTGTCTACAGTCGTACCACTCGAATCCGTGCCGTTGCCTCCAGCTGTGTCCTGACTGCGAGTACGCGCATTGCCTATGCTGAGCGCTGTGCCAGAGGAACCAGCCCGCTGAATGATAGCAGCTGACCCGATACTTGTGGAAGGACTCATGAGGCTGTGCATGATCTCGTCGATGTCGTTGGTCGACGGCTGCTGCTCTAGCCCAACCTTAGACCCGCGCAGGACAGTCTGCTCGAACAGCGACTCATCCTCTAGCAATCGCACCTGCTCACGCAGGTTGATCATCACTCTTTCGTGCAGCACTATTCGTCGAAAATAATGAGTACGAACACGAACACGAGACCAGTGAGTGTTCGACGTACGTTTCTCCTCGGCAGCTGTCTTCGGGCGCGGAAGGAGTAAGGGTTCTTTGTTCGCTGCCTCTTCATCTGGGCGGGGATCATTAAGACGTATCTTCTTGTCCCATTTCATAGCAAAGTCATATGGACTAAGCTCGCTGTCAGAGAGAGAGGTCTCGTCTTGATGATCCGCCGATTCAATGGAGCTGGAAGGTGAAGGTGCACGGAGGACGGGTCCCGCATATTGAGGACCGAAAGCCTGAATTTGTTGAGCTTGGGGCATCTGGCGGTGAATATCGTTGGAAGAGAGGAATGGACAACTGAAGAAGTGAGCGCAAGTCACGGCGCGTTCGAACGCATACGTCATGTGATGCTAGAACCAAACAGAGAGCAATAACGCGTCGCGGTAATGTTAATGTTCGCACGGTTAGAGTTTCGCTTAGTAACAGACACGCGCCGCGGATTATAAGACGGCGCGTCGCGTTTCATTAACTCTTGTCTTTATACCACCGCGTCCTATCCTACCTATTTCCTTCATACCGCACGTTCGCTCGCCACCGCATTACAGAAATGGCCTCCTATGTCTTCAAGCGAGGTACGCCCCATGCTCCTATCCTTTTCCCGCCCGCCGTTGATCTAGATTTTCTTTTTTGCAGATGGGTATGTCGCGCCTTGACGCGTCGCGTCGCGTGCCATGGTCTGTTTGCTGACTCTCGCGGCTTTTCTCAGACGAAAGGAGGGTGTTCAGTTTGACAAGGTACGCGTTTTGGGCCCGCCCTTGTCGTTCCCCACTTACAATGCGGCCCCTAGATCACTGCACGCATCAGCAAGCTGTGTTACGGTCTCGACAATGAACATGTAGACCCCATAGGGTATATTTCTGTCTCGATCGTGTTTCCACTTTCCATTGACGCGTCGCATAAGCATCGCCCAGAAGGTGATCATGGGTGTGTACAACGGTGTCACAACAGTTGAACTAGACGTCAGTTTTCCGCGTCTCGCAAGCGAACACATGTTCACGCGTAGCTCCTTGTAGAACCTAGCCGCGGAGACGGCAGCATACCTCACCACTAAACATCCCGACTACGCGATCCTTGCCGCGCGCATCGCTGTTTCCAATCTACACAAGGAGACTAAGAAGAGCTTCTCCGCTGTCATTAAAGATTTGTATACATATGGTATGTCGATCGTGGTTTGCCCACGTACTTATGCTCATCTTTTCTCAAGTCAACCCCAAGAATGGTCGCCCAGCTAGCATGATCTCAGACGAGACGTACAACGTTGTTATGGCCAACGCCGAGCAACTCGACTCTGCAATTATTTATGATCGCGACTTCAGTTATAACTAGTATGTTTTCATCCATGTTTCCCGCTGTCATCGACGCTGAGGATTTGCATCAGTTTCGGCTTCAAGACTCTTGAGCGGTCATACCTCCTCAAGATCGACGGTCGCGTGGCTGAGCGCCCGCAACACATGCTTATGCGTGTTGCTGTCGGCATCCATGGATCTGAAATTAACAAAGCCATTAAAACGTATCTCCTTATGTCTGAGAGGTACTTCACGCACGCATCACCGACGTTATTCAATGCTGGCACGCCTCATCCTCAGCTCAGTTCTTGCTTCTTGGTATGCATGAAGGATGACTCGATCGAGGGTATCTACGACACGCTCAAGAACTGCGCAATGATCAGCAAGACTGCGGGCGGCATCGGCCTCAACATCCACAACATTCGTGCCACAGGGTCCGTAACCTGATGGTCATTCTCTTTGCCGTGCTGACGGTTAGTTTTTAGGTCGTACATTGCGGGCACCAACGGGTACTCTAATGGCATTGTACCGATGCTCCGTGCGTACGACGCGACGGCTCGTTATGTCGACCAGGGCGGCAACAAGCGCCCTGGTGCCTTTGCTATCTACATCGAGCCGTGGCACGCAGATGTCTTCGAGTTCATTGACCTCAGGAAGAATCATGGTAAGGAGGAAGTCCGTGCGCGCGACCTCTTCTACGCCCTTTGGATCCCCGACCTCTTGTGAGTCATAACATGGTCCTTTTGTATGTTCCGTACGATTCTGACGTTGTGCATAGCATGAAACGTGTTGAGTCAGGTGGACAATGGTCACTGTTCTGTCCTAACGAAGCACCGGGCCTGCACGAGGTATGGGGCGAAGAGTTCGAGAAACTGTACGAACAATATGAACGAGAAGGACGTGCCCGGAAGACCATCGAGGCACAGAAACTATGGTATGCGATCATGGATGCTCAGATTGAGACCGGGGGGCCTTTCATGCTCTATAAGGATGCTGCCAACGGTACGTCACAACTCATCTCATGGCATCCAATGTTCCAATTGTTTCTGCTGCAGCCAAGTCGAACCAGAAGAATCTGGGTACCATCAAGTCTTCTAACCTCTGCACGGAGATTATCGAGTATTCATCACCCGAAGAGACTGCCGTCTGTAACCTGGCTTCTATCGCACTGCCCTCCTTCATCAAGAATGGCCGCTACGATTTCAAGTATCTGCACGAGATTGCGAAGGTTGTCGCCTTCAACTTGAACCGTATCATTGACGTGAACTACTACCCAATCCCGGAGGCACGGCTCTCGAACATGCGCCACCGTCCGATCGGCGTGGGCGTTCAGGGCCTCGCGGACACGTTCATGGCTCTGCGCATGCCGTTCGACTCGCCCGAGGCGCGCCTGCTCAACAAGCAGATCTTCGAAACTATCTACCACGCGGCACTCGAAGCGAGCAGCGAGCAGGGGGAGAAGGACGGACCCTACGAGACATATAAGGGCAGCCCGGCGTCGCAAGGCGAGCTGCAGTACGACATGTGGGGTGTAACGCCCACTGATCTGTGGGACTGGGCTGAGCTGAAAGCAAAGATTGCGCGTACGGGCTTGAGGAACTCGCTCCTGGTTGCTCCTATGCCGACTGCGTCCACGAGTCAGATCCTCGGCTTCAATGAGTGCTTCGAGCCATATACCAGGTGCGAGATTTAGAACAGTGAGTTTCTTTTCATGCAGCTTACGCGGTCGCCTCCCACAGTAACATTTATACCCGCCGTGTGCTCGCTGGGGAGTTCCAAGTTGTGTGCCCCTGGCTACTACGCGAGCTTGTCGACCGTAAACTATGGGATGACCAGATGAAAAACATGATCATCGCGCACAACGGCTCCGTGCAAAACATTCCTTCGATTCCGGATGACATCAAGGCGATCTACAAGACCGTCTGGGAGATCAGCCAGAAGAAGGTGCTCGATCTCGCCGCGGATCGGGGCGCGTTCATCTGCCAGAGCCAGAGTTTGAACGTGCACCTGCAGTCGCCGACATCGGGCCAGCTCACGAGCATGCACTTTTACGGATGGAAGAAGGGCCTCAAGACGGGCATGTACTACCTCCGCACGCGCCCCGCCGCGCAGGCTATCCAATTTACTGTCGACCAGAGCGTCCTTGAGGACGCGAAAAGGCAGCAGGTCGCGGGCATGCAGGCCGGCAAGCTCGATGCGGCTAAGGCGGCGCATGCTGTGCCCGCTCCCAACCCCATCAGCACTGCCACGTCCTTGGATGGGTTCAGCCCCGTCGCTCACTCAAGCACACCCTCGCCTTCAGATGAGGTACGCTCGCTCCCTGAGCAGTCTGGCTCGCTGTCGCTCGATGACCAAACGAAGAAGGCGGCAGAGCAGGATCCCGAATTCGCCGCAGCGCTCCTGCGTCAGCGTGACCGGGAGGTCGAGCAGGCGAAGTTGATGTGCTCTCTGGAGAACAAGGAAGCCTGCGTAATGTGCTCAGGCTGAGCGTGTTTCGTCAAAGCGTTGTGGTGCTCTGTCACATCTCCTGTTCAGCTCCTTGGTTTGCTCTCTCCCTCGATGTATCTAGATTCGCCCGCTCTGTCTCATTTTGCATGCGTTCAAAAACTGTACTCGAACTCTGTAACCTCTCGTTGTATATTGGTCACCGTTAGCATATATCTAATAGACTGTCTTCTTGACCTCCGATTATCGTCTACATTGTGATGTCGAAAGCTCCGTGATGATGGGATGCACTCGAAGATCATGCCGATGGCCAACGCGCACGCCCCTGCACTGTACTCACCATTGGACAACACTGCTACCAAGTTTGCGATTCGAAGCACTGACACTTGTTCAAGGTGCAACATCTACCCATTACCACTATCAACCGCGTGTCTACTGTGTGGTATGAAACGAGCGGACAAACACATACAGAGATTCCCAGCATTCTCACAAATTAAATAACATCGAGACCCAGATAGAAACGAAGGGGAGTGTGAAGGGAATGGAGGGGCAAGACCTGCAAGGCCTTGTAGATCGTGACTTTAATAAACCCAGTAGATAAAATGAATGACTGCGGCGAGCTTCTCCCAAAGCTCACTGCGAAGCTGAAAGTGGAACGACCTTCATTACGAGGGAGCATACCAGGTGAGGGTGGTCACTCCGACAGGGAAGGTGTATGTAGCCTGGGCATTTCAGTATCAGTAACTCAGTCTTCGCGAGGTGTCGTTGACTTACCTGATAGCCGCGGAACTCGATGGTGGTCGCGATTGGGGTCGGATCCCAAGAACCATTGGGCTGATCATCCCTAGAGACCAGGACGAATACGATAATCAGCGGTGGCAATCCCCGGGGTTATTCGAGACCGATTTACCAATTGAGGACCACGAGACTGTACCGATTCCAGTCGGAGGAACTAACCCGTCCAGTAACATAGCCAGCGACAACCAAGCCCCAGTTCAACGAACCGCCCACGGTCGTCTCGATGCGCTGACCGACCGGACCGCCGGAGTCCTTGGGAAGGATGGCCTTAGACGCCTGAGCCATGGCGTAGACTAGCAGAGCACGAAAGTCAGATTGACGCCGTATATATGTAGTATGTATACGCACACTCCTGGTTGTAGCTGTAGCTACCGTTGCTATTGACGGTGACAATAGGGCGGCAGGGAGGGCTGCAGCTGTTCGATCCAGGAAGCATCGGATTTCCGTTACCGTCAAGAGCAAGGTTCCACATGGCTGCCGTCTTCGCCCAATAGTTTGGAGCGCCAAAGTAGCTGTGGACCCATAGTTAGGCATGGGTGCAGGAACAATGGAGCGCAAGTCTTACATGTTATCTATGTACCACTGCACGTAACATATCAATCATGTGCACAGTTCATCAGCCGGGGAGGCGTACCTTGATATCACTCCACCAGTCGCTGCCATACGAACCCGTGCACTCGGTGAAGTGGACTGACTTGGAAGGATAGGCCTGCTCGAAGGTCGCCTGCTCGCTCACGTTCCCGGAGTAGCAGTGAAACGACACGCCGTCGAATGCGCTGGCGGCTTGTTGCATCTATCAAGGAGATATGAGCACGATGACATCGAAGGCTGAAGAGCCGGACCACGCACGAGTTGCTCCGGGTAGCTCGCGGCATCGTTCCAGTTGTGCTCGTATCCAATCAGAATGACGCTAGAGAAGCCGTTGTTGTTCAACAACGTTCTCAGAGACAAACCAATCTGGGCCTCCTGGGAAGCGGAGATAAGGCACGTTGGATACGAAGGATTGCTATTTTGGGGCTCGTTCTGCGAAGTGCAGTGTCAGCGCAACTGCATCCGACTTGAATACTACTGCCAACCTGAATGCCAACTGCCCATACGTTGAAACCCTGGGACTGGAAACCTTGCACACACTTCAAAAGATAGTTGGCGTCTGGGAAAGAATATCACGTTGAGTAGAGACTCGAGATGAGTGGGATAGAAGGCTTACAGGTATCAGTGTACGTATCAAGGAACGACCCTCCAGACATACTTCCACTGTCTTTCATCCATCCCGGCTGCGTGATATCTAAGGATTGTCTGTTGCATGATCAGGCACTCGAAGATAACTTACCGGCGACCAGGGCACAAGGTGAATTTTCAGGCCGCTGTTGATGCTTAGAATGTCGGTGAGGACAGAGAACAGGTAGGACGGCGCGTTGCCGATGTTGAAGCTGTTGAGCGCAGTGTCTCCACTGACGTCGTCGAAGCTGTAGACTGGGGATCGTAGATGTGTGAGCACAAGTTCCTCTCCATAACCGTCCTTCACCTACCGGAAGCAGAGAAGTCGGATGCACCAAGTGGGATACGAAGGTAGGAGACACCCGCGGCGTTCTTGCTGTCCGTAGCTAAATCGGTCCAGTCACGAAGGATTGAACTAACACACCGTCAACACTTACGATCGAACAAGTAGCCCAGGACACTCCAGTAGTTTGCCGCATTCTGAGACTACAGCGCAAAGTATGTCGGTAATCATTCGTTCTACGGTACGCGATGCACACCTTAAGGTTGCTCAGGATCTCTGCAGAAGAGTCGGCTGCGTGGAAGTATATGAGCTCACTAACACGACCAGGCGGAGCTTTGGCCACGTACTCAAGGCAGCACCGAAGCCGATCATCTGCTGGTAGACCGTAGAATCGTCCACGACAATATCCGCCTGCCCGATTGCTCCGGGCGTGTTCCAAGGAATGGGATTGGGTGAAAGATTGGTGTAAGTGAATAGTGAATCACGATTCCATGTCGTTTGCCACTTCAAAGAATAGTTCACAGTAATTAGTCGCGGCGCATCTGCATCGGAAAGGCGGCGTACAATATCATATATGGAAGTTATGGACTGTGAGGCAATGGGAGTTGCCAACAGCACGCATGAGGCCAGCAGACGCGAGAACATGTTGACAAGAGTCCTAGGCCTGGAGGCGTATGCGGAGGGAAAGAGGAAGTAAAAAACAAAGGTCACATCAAACGCCCGCGAGGCCCTTTATATTTCCGTCGTCCGTCGGCAACTGCCACCATGGCTAGCACATTGTGCAACATAGCCACGAGGTTTCGATTTTTTTGTCCGTCCGCGACTCTCATAGAGACAGCGCCAGATTCGTGAGTACCATCAGATGTGAATTTCCGCAGTGCACGGCACAGCACTGGACAAGATTGGGCCGCTGACCATCGATTATCCTCAAATTCGGTACCTGACGCGGTGGTAGCACTGCGATGCACGAGCGACGACATCCATCAGATCAACAGAGACTGACGAAGAGCGAGCGCAGAGAATGCAGAATAGGGCTGCATTGTGGCCCGTAGGCCACCCGACGATGCCTCATGACCATGTCGCTCGCGGTGGGAAAGTAAAGACACCTGCGGGCAGAATTCCCAACTCCATGGAGAAAGGCCAGTGACCATGAGTGTTATGAACCACAAGACGATGGCGGCCTCTGGAGGCTGATGGTAGGTAGCAATCCCTTGACCAGACAGAATGAGATCTTTCGGCCCTGGTAAGCACCTGATAGCGCGAATAAAGTTCCCAGGACGGATGGGGGCCAGAGCATCTCCAGAGGTGGAAACATGAGGCGACGTCGATAAGATTTGTCAGAACCTTCCGGGACCGCATGGTAAGATACAATATGAATGCACAGAAGTGATTGGCGCAAGATGAGAACCCTGAAAACCGAGTGAAGTATGCAAATTAGTACAGCACTGATGCCGCACAGGTATACCATGTCGGAACACAGGATTACGATCCGGACTTTGCGCCGGCCGATGTGATTGAGCCAGAAAATGGGCGTGGCAAGCCGCTGCTTATACCTTCGCCATGACAATTTTTCTGAAAAAAAGAGAAATTTAGCCCAGAAGCCAGATCGCACGGTTTAAGGTGAGCAGACGTGTCCTTCGCCATAACGGAATTTTACACAGAAAAGAGCAGGGCGCAGCTTGGCGGGATCGGAAAGACTTCGGATCTTCCTCGTATGGAAATACTATCATGTGACCATTTCACGCGACGCGACTGCCACGTGATCGTTGAACGCATGTTGACCTCGAGTGTACACTGTACTCTGCGTTCTTGACCTCACCATCGCCCGCTTTGCAGCAGGACACCACACTACGCACTCGGCTCAGAGATCGCAGCTGGAGAAACCACTTTCTACTATTTCTACTAGCTTTTGCGCTAACTCACTCACATTCCGAGTATTCGACGGACCATATGCATCCGTCTCACTGAATAGTCGCTCCGATCTCCGGCTATACTTCTCATTTACACGACGCGAGCCCCCACACTGGGTTCCTCGCCGCCTCTTGAATACTATCGCGACATCCTATTCTTGACGCCCATATCTGCTCTCTATGGCACACAATTATTATCCACCACAAATAGGCAACTGGTGGCTCGGCGACAATCTGGGGTCAGGTTTCTCTGGTGCGCACGCATCTTCTACTCATCCGCATTGCGCACCAGACATGTGTGGTGTGTGCTCACTCTATGCAACCCAGGATCCATCTTCCGCGCCACAAACCTACACACGGGCCAAGTTGTCGCGCTGAAAATCCAGCGCCTAAACGCCGAATGTCCTACGAACAGCTATGAGCGCCACTTCTACCCCGCGCTGCAGGGCGGACTGGGGATGCCGACGCTGTGGGCGGACGGCACGTATGGCAAGTGGGACTACCTCGCCATCGACCTGCTCGGCCCCAGTCTCGACTCGCTCTTTCGGCGGAGCGGGAAGGCGGTCATGGACCTGCGCAGCGTGTGCTGCATCGGGATGCAAGTGGTCAGTCCGCTCCCTGCCTCCGCGTCCCCGTCGTAATGTCAACGCTTCTTCGCATGGTTATCTCCCCTGCCGTCCCGGATCTGTGCGTGGTAAGATCAATAGATTGGAGTTCATGCATTCGCGTGGCGTGTTGCATCGTGATATCCAGCTTGGGAACTGCGTCGTCGGGCTGCCGCCAAACGACAAGATTATCTACATGATAGACTTTGGCTTCTCGAAATTCTACATCGATCCTGCTACGAAGCGCCATATACCAGACAGCAAGGTGAAGCGCGACTTCATAGGCAACTATTGGTTCACCTCCGTGGGAGTACATTGCAGAGGCAGAGGTGAGTAAAAGGCTGCCAACCATGTACATTTGATTGATGCTTGCTTTGCTGCCCGACGCAGTACCCTCCCGCCGAGATGATCTCGAGGCCGTGGCGCTGATGCTCATACACCTCCTCACTCCCGGTGGCCTCAGCTGGACGCGGAATGGCGTCCCAAGAACGGACGCTGCGCACGACCGCCTCATGCGTGAGAAGCGCGATACCCGCCCCGAAGACCTCTGCTGTGGTCTGCCAGCAGAATTCGAGGAGTTCCTCCGTTACTGCCGCCGATTGAAATTCGCTGAGTGCCCTGATTACTCTCGCTGGATCGAGGAATTCAAGGCTCTCTTGGAGTACAAGGGACAACCTACCAGTTCGCTCTTCATCTGGCCGCCGCCAGATCCACAAGTGCGTTATATTTGTTCTTCACGATCTTGATAGGAACTCACGCTGTCCAACAATTATCGCAGCCTATAGTGCAAGCTCCGCCAGCGCGACGCTCGCAACCAGTTGATCCTGCAAAGGTGGAGGGAATCCTCAACGGCCTGGTCAACGACATGGCAAACGTGCACCTGGGCGAACGCCAGGTGCTGGGTGACCGCAGCGAAGTCGCCAACAGAGTACGTGTGACGAACGCCAACGCACCCGCAGCACCGACAGGGTATGCGGACGACGTCATCGTCATCAGCAGCGACGACGAGAACGCTCCGGGTAAGGCGCCGGCGGCGGTGCGGCTGCCGAAGGCCATGCATCTCGCAAAACTTGCGCAAGCGGTGCCTGACGCGACGGACAACGTCGCGCTCGCGCGGGTGGTGCTCGAGTTCATCCAAGTGCTGCAGGAGAACCGGTCGCGCACACTGACGAAGGAGGGGTTCGCGGTGCTGGACGCTCTGTACAAGCAGATGGCGGACCCGTCGGTGTACGTGCAGCCGCTGCGCACGTCGCGGCCGCGCAACAGCGCCGCGGACGGCGTGGAGGAAGGGCCCGAGCCGCGGCATGTGAAGACGAACAAGCTGTGGACTCTGCGGCGGAATGCGGCGGCGGCGAAGAGCAACAAGGCGCTGGCACAGCTGGTGGCGGAATTTGGGACTGTCATCAATCGCAGCAGCGGGCGCACCGTCACGAAAGACGCGTTCGGATTCCTGGATGCGTTGTCGGGGAGGTTGAGATCTCTGGGCTAGCTTGGCGGGGGTGCTGCCGTTCTTGTTCTCGGTTGGATATTGTCTTGTACTAAACTAACGTCGATATTGTAGCTTCGAATTTTGTGAGTCCACCCGTTTGACTTTTCAGACTTGGGTGCTGATTCGGGTTGTGTTCTTGGACAGATATGCGATACATTCCTACTCTGCCCGTCCACTTTCCGCAACAGATCTGCCCAGGTGCCGTCCAGTCCTGGGTTACTTACAGCCTGGTTCGCACTGTCGAGAGAAAACAGGAAGTGGCACGATTTGAATTGGCAGACGCTCTTGAGCGCGGCTATCACGTGTGAACCGTTCACTTCTGCTAAGTCGGATGGAAGTAGGGCATTAGGGTACTTCAGAGTAGGGGTTTCGACCGGGTTTCGAGCTGGCTCGACACGGGTTTCGAGAAATCTGAACGAAGACGACGTTGGTTTTGAGATCAGGGCTCGAAGCCAGTTTTCGGCTTCTTCGGCATGAACTTCGGACTCTGAAAGTGAACCGTGCAAGAGCGATCGAAACGCCACATTTAGAAGGTGTCTGGAGAGACGCCCATCCGGCATGCCCCGCCATGAGTCCACTGGGCATAAAAAAGAGCAGCCGCGAGAGTGAAACGTTAGTCCCTTGTCCCCCGCCCCTTCCCTCTCCCTCCTTTCCATAGATTTGCAGGCGGTGTGTCCTGACCCCCTCCTCTCTTGTCGGCCATGCACAAAGACTTGTCCAGTGGACGGATAACCGTCGAACAGACCCCGTTCATTATTCCAGACTTCAATGTTAAGGATTTGCTGTCAGCGATCCCGTATGTTGTTCTGCGTTCCCGTTCGCGTTGCATCCTCAGTACCCATTCACCAGAGCACACTGTCACAAGCGGTCCATGTTCCGTTCCTCTCTCTATGCGTGCGTACACGTGTCGCGTCGCGTCGCGCTGCACTGACACGTCCTCCAGGTTCTGGGACTTTTTCCTGCTTGCATGCATCTACAAACTGGCAACCTTTGCGGATACGCTCATCACCCCAGCGAGCATTCCGAACCCGTACCTCTACTGTTTTGCGCGCTTCGCTCTGTGGTCGCTGTACGGCTTTGCCGCGGGTCTCGTCGCTACCGGCGTGTGGGTCGTCGCCCATGAGTGCGGTCACCAGGCCTTCTCCGAGTCCAAGACCGTGAACAACGCTGTCGGCTGGGTCCTGCATTCTGCGTACGTCCATGTCCAAATTTTCTTGCTGTGCTGGCGCGTCATAACATGTGATAATGTCCCGTAGCCTCGGTGTGCCGTACCACTCCTGGCGCATCACCCATGCGAAGCATCATGCTTCTACTGGCCACATGACACAGGACCAGGTCTACGTGCCCAAGACGCGTTCTCAGTTGGGCCTCCCACAATTTCAGCCCGATCAAGAGGACCTTCGTGGCTCCAGTGTCACTCAGGAAGTCATGAGCGAACTCTGGGATGCTATCGGTGACACACCCATTGGTGCATCTTGGGGAGTTGCCACCTACTTGGTGAGTTGTAACAGTAGTAATCTGTTGGTTCTGGTATTTATGTAACCACTATTTTTGCTGTTAGCTTGCTGGTTGGATCATGTACATACTCAGGAACGCGTCGGGGCAGCATAGATATCCGGCATTCACCAACCGTAAGGTTACCCTCATATCGTTATTATACACCCCTTACAAAGGATGTGTTTCATTCAGACTTCGACCCATCTGCTGCCATGTTCAGCCCCCACCATCGCAATCAGATCATTGTTTCCGATGTTGGTATCGCTCTGTGGGCAGCGGGAGTAATTACGTGGATTTACTACAAGGGATTCGCGGAAGTCTTCTGTCTCTACCTCGTCCCTTACCTTTGGTATGTCACCTGCGTCATATTTTACGCTATGTCGGCTCATCTGTCGTAGGGTGAACCACTGGCTCGTTATGGTCACCTTCCTTCAACACACCGACCCCATTCTCCCTCACTACCGTGCAGGCGAGTTCACTTTCCCCCGCGGCGCGCTTGCCACCCTGGACCGTAACCTCCTAGGCGAATGCGGCAGCTTCATGGGATGGATCGGTGCGTGCGCCACCCACGGCATCTCGGAGACGCACGTCGCGCACCATGTCGCCAGCAAGATCCCGCACTACCACGCGTACGTCTTCAGTCCTGCAATTTTCTTCGTGGTGCTGATGAAGCAATATATATTGACAGATGGGAGGCCTCCGATGCTCTCCGCCTCAGGCTCGCTCAGTCGGGCATTAAGCTCGAGGGCCGTCCCAGCGGCTGGATGGAGATGTACCGTGTCTTCAGGGAGTGCAAGGTCAGTCTGATAGTTGATAATCCGCCATTGCGTCGTCGCTAATGTTATTTCTGCCTCGTCAGTTCGTCGAGGACGAAGGCGACATTGTCTTCTACAAGAACGCCAGGGGCCTCGCCGCGACGCGCCCCATCTACCTAGACAACACCGCAAGCGACTCCGGTATCGAGATAGACAAGGACGCGTAGAGCGCGCGGACAGCGGTCCGGCGACGCTTCTTCGTTCGTTGTTAAGACAATCCATCACGCGTTACATACTCCGCCCCATCACTCCTGTTCACCGTGCACTCCTTGTGTCGCCGCTGCGCTGGAAAGTAGACGTTGAAGAGACACTCGTTAAAAGTGGGCGCGAGCTTCGCCGTGTCTGCAGATAGAGATAGTACGATAATTAGATGATCACTGCCCCAGCTCAGAGTCACGATGAAGATATGAGTGAGGCGGAACACACCTCGACGTTGATGAGACGCGCCCATGCACTTATGGCGCTAGGTCCAAGATATTGACATACACTCAGCCTACGTATATACTCGTCCAATGTCCTCCAGAATCATCTGTATTGTCTGCGCGTCGCGCGAAAGACTTTACATTGTGAATTCGATCAGTCACCAGAGCGGTGGTTTCCAGTGAGATACAGCCGCAGAAGACGGAGCGACCACCCCAACTCTAATTCTAATCGCAGATTCGATGAACTAAATCAGATCTCCTGGAGACAAATTCATTTGGACAACTAATGGTGATCTGCCGCAGCACTAGGCGCAGCGGCGCGCGTCGTCCTGATCATCGCGAGCTCTTCGACGAGCGTCTGGCGGCGATACTCGAGGCGCAGGTTCGGGACGTTGGTCTGCGCGCAGAGGAAACGATGAGCACCGCGGGACACAGTTGGCGGACGCACCTTGTCGACGTCGTTCCCGCAGGCGCCGGGGAGGTACCACTCCTGCCCGAGCCAGTGGCGTTTGATCTCCATCTCGAACCCGCTCTGGATGACGGAGTTGCGCGCGAGTTCTGCGAGCGAGCTCTGCGGAAGCTTGTAGATCTGCACAATGTGTGTGTGTTTGTGAGCGACGGAACGCAGACACGATCGTGGCAGGAGCACTTACGTGCGCCGCGACGCTGTACTCCTCCAGCAGCGGTTCCTGTCGCGACACCGGGTTACAGGCGGATCATAATGCGCGGCGAATCGTGGGCACGCACCTTTGTGAAGTGGAACTGCAACGGATCGTCGGTACTGAGGCTGACGTTGAGCCCGACCTTGAAGAAGTCCGGGAGCGGGTTGCGCTCGTACGTGAGGAAGAGCGCGTTGTTGCTGATCGGGCTCATCGCGAGTCCGATCTGCTTGAGGTAGAAGAGGTATTGCAGCGCGGGCACCTTGCGGAGCAGGATGCCGTGCGAGATCGAGTGCGCGGTGAGGAACGCGGACGTGAGGTGGTCCGTGTCGCCCGCTTCGCCTGCGTGGGGGCGGAAGACGAAGGTGTCTATGCACCAGGTCAGTGAGAAAGATAGAAGAGGGGGGCAGAGACGCACTGAAGCCACGGGCGTGCCGCCAGTGGTTGAGGCTCGCCATGTTTGCATACATGTAGTACACCCTGGCGAACGGTGAGGCTCGATCTTGAGACCAGGTACTGCTGTTGCTCACCAGTAGGAGTATGGTGGGGACTCTACGTCATTCCAGAGGCGCGGGAAGGGGAACTTCTTGTGATACCGCCTCTCCGTCTTGGACTCGTCGTCAACCGTATCGAACCCGACAACACGCTGCAAGAACACGTGCAATTCCGGGTGTGATGACGGGTTTTGCGTGACCTCAAACAACGGACGAAATACGTCTGAGCAATACGTCAGTCCATTCCACTCCGATAAACCGAGCACAGCCGCACGCACTTCGCACAATGTCTTCGAATGTGTTGACGGAGCCATTTTGTTTGTATACGTCGTACAGACGTGGGACTTGAATGAGCCAGCGGACGTTATGCGAGAACAACTTGTTGTGGACGATCCAGCGCGCGAGTTTGTCCCATTCTTCGGGATGTCGTCCATATATGCTGATGCGCCATTCACTATTCTGCATCGGATGTGAGTTCACTAAAGCAGACCAGAAGTTACATCACACACTTGGTATTTGCTTTGTTCTTGATCGGTCATGACCTCTGCATGGACAAAATAAATTAGTCTGTCACAATTTCGCCTGTCCAGCATACATACCCTGCGTGAGCTCAGCCAGATACCGGCCAGTGATGTAATTATCTGTTTTCAAGAAAATTTCACGTAGTCTTGACTCTCCGATCGGATTGTACTTGAGATTGAACTTGTCAAAGCGATGGAACGAGTCCTGGTGTGCGTGCATGTCGAGCGTGTCGATCGACAGGTCGTACGCAGTGAGGTTCAGAGACTGGAACACCTGTTCCAACGTCAGCTCCTTGCCATCACGGAACGTCACGACATCCTACACCAAATCGCGACGATCAAGAAAAGCAGGGCAAATTTCAAGCGTGCGTGTACTGACATCTGGACTGCGCTTCATTTTAGACTTGATAAACCGCAGTAGGTGCTTCTGGTTCATGCTGCTAGAATGGTGGACATGTGTGTCGACCTTGCGGACATTGTAAAAATCACTAGGATCATAAGGTAAGAAGACACCAAGTCCGGAACGATGCCACAAACCGGTGTGGGACCGCCTGCATACGACAGGAGAAATCAGATGAGCATCTAGAGAACCAAAACCTGGCACCGACTTTCATCTCTGCGAGCTCCTGATGCTCGTTGAGGAGGCTGTACATGGTGAACTTGCTAGAGAGGTAATTGAGCCGTCGGAAGGCAAAGCTTTTAGTGGGCCCGTCTGATACTACGGAGAGCACATATTCTAGGTCGATAAAATACTCTCTGATGCTCGGGATTTCGAACAGCGGATCTTCGTCTTCAGACAGTAGTCTTTGGTTAGATCCGTCGTTGACAAGCGCGATAGAACGCACCATCGGACCGATAATACACTTGATACACACCCTTCTCATCGAGGGCAAAGTGCCATCCATCAGGATCGGGGCCTGGTATCTCGCAGTCCTCAAAGACAAATTCTTCCTCGGGGGTATCTGAATGGTGAGAAACGAGTGTCTCCTTGTCCGCCCAATGCCAATGCGGCGGTGGAGGACGAGGGTAGATTTTCCAAGGCTTAAACAGGCTCTCTGGCATGGGGTATGCGGTGTGGTCAGCATCGGGACGCACACCAGCCACTGTCGCAATCTCTTCAGGCAGTCCAGAGAAGACACCGTCATGGTCTCGCGGGTTGTACCCCAACAGCTGGCCAGAGCGTAACATATATTTGTCGCGCAGCTCAAGACAGATCTGCAGTGCCCTTAATATTGGGGAGACTTCGGACGAGATCGACGGTTCTGCAGCACGCAACGACGAACATATACGCAGGCTGAGCATAATTGTTAAGATATGCAGCGCGCGGCATACCTGGCGCCCCGCCCACCAACTTAAGGTCCTCCGCAAGAACGCTCACGCCCGACGCCTTACCCGAGGGTATTACGGGCTCCGGGATGGCGGACAACTTGTAGCTGCCCACATGCAGCTCCGCGTGCACGTCTGTTCCGTGGAAGAGCGGGGAGCCCATGACAGACGTGGGTCGAGATGCATTCGCTACGTCCGACCCACGGCGGTGGGCCCATAGTTTCTCCTCAATCTAAACAAGGTCACGTTGGGAGACTGCACGAGGAACTCAAAGCTTAATAGGCATACGTGGTGTAGGGCCTTCTCATCGTTATATCCGAAAAACGCATCTTTGGTCTCCGGGATGTGCAACCCATTGGGTGAACCATTGGTACCGCTATGAGAGAGTGTATCGTGGTTGGGCTCGCCGTTGTTTGGGTGGTGGTCGCTCTCAGCCTCTGGCACAGTGACGGTCATGGCAGTTCGAAGTAAGTGGGATGTGTTTTCCGTGACTCGGTCGACAGGAGGAACCGTTGGTTACTAGTTGGTTATGTATTTTACATGAGCATCAGAGCGACCGAAGCAGTTCTGACCAAAGTTTTGCTGCCGGATCGGGCAGCCGGTGGGCTCAATGGCGATTACCATCCGTGGCCCTGCAACGCAATCAGTACAGTAATGCAATTGCATTACATAAGTGCATCACTTGCTCCCTCCCTACGTGCGTTGCATATGAAACTGGAATCGCGTTCGCTGGCAGCTTGTTTGTCCGGGACAAATAGAGCCTTATAGGGTAGGGGCGGGTGGCTGCCGGCAGTGTGCGGCAACGTCCGAGCACCGACGACGCAACTCCTTCACATTGAATTGTGAGCTCGAGGGGCTCTGAAAAGCATCAAGTTCTTGTTGCTTGAATGTGCAGTCCTCGACATGCCCAAGCTTCCCCAAGACTGCTGCAGTACTGGGCATTGGTGGTTGCCGGCCCTATGCCGAAGTCATGTGCTGTTACCTCAAAAGGCTCTATTTGTTCGGGACAAATAAACTGGCGCGCAGACGTGATTCCGGTTTCATATGCAACGCACTGTAAACCCACGAATAAATCACTGTTAATACCCATTTACATGCTAAACACGACTGCGAATTTTGATAACAACCACGGGCTGCAAGGATGAAACGAGAGGTGAATCAATGCTCATCAGACCAGATTGCAAAGTTGGTTCAGCTTCGGCAGACCCTCCGTTTCATGAAATCTCCCCGGGAAAATTTCAATAGCTCTTTCTGCAGTAAATAAATGCTCTTCCAAGTTCTCCGGCATAGAATTCTGCAAGTATGGAACTCGGGAGACGAGAAATGCTGGAGAGCCGGCTACCCATTCGGAGAAACTGCAACTGCCTCGACGATCGTTCGCCAGAGCAACGATAGAGTGCCAAATTTAATTAATTTGCTATGTGCACTACACCTATAGTTAGAGTGCCGCTCTCAGCCACCCTCAAACCTTGGCCGTTTTGAAAAGATTGTGGAAACAAGCTCAGATGTGAAACTTTCATATGCAAAAAGTCCGAGAGGTCCCGGGAACGGGTGGAAGAACAGTGGGGGGCCGAACTCTGAAGAAGTTGCATTAGATAACGGTAGAGATGGGTGAAAATAAAACTAAGCCGGTAGATAATCTCGCAAATATTGACGTCGACGCCCGGAATCTCCGCGTGCACATACCTTTGAAGACCTTTGATAGACCTTCACATGTACACAGTACAATCCATTGCCACTATCAGTCTGCTTCATGGTCTCTTTCAGCAAAGCCCGTCTCATCGGGTAACATAACGCTACAAATAAGAGATCACAAGAAACAATCCACTCAGCGCGGTACCCACCGCCGAAACCCATCACTCCTCGATCTCCAGATCACCATATGGCCTCGCCTTGAAATAGCTTTCGTCGAAATGATGTACACGTACGAAACCATCCTCGCCACCCGATGCGTAGCAGTCGCCCTTAGGCGAGACCGCAATCCTGAACATTGCAGACACCATCAGCAAGGCTCGCATGAGCGTGTCTCAAGTCGGGTACTCACGTGTTGACGGGTCCGAAATGACCCTTCACACGCCCTACCTCTTCCTCGAAAATTTTGTGCCAGAAGCGCGTCTCAAATTTACCCTGCCGCAGCGATGTCGTCGTTACGGTCATCGCATCCTGACCACCCCCGAGGAGAACCTGCGATGGAGATACAGTGTCAATGTGTGCAGCACATCGAGGTGGAGGTAGTATGTACGTATGGCTTCCCCGGTGCAAGCGCGGCACTATTGAGCGGCGTCTCCGTCGTGAATGTCTTCAGCACGCTGAGCGTTTTTGTGTCATGTATCTAAAATTCGCCCTCAACCTGTCGGTCCCAACCAACAAACATATGAATGAGCGACCGGACGCACCCGAGCGGTCTTGTCCTTGCTACTCGTGATGAAGTACGAGCGGTCCGCAGAAAGCTGAAGGTCCGTGACGACATCCATATGCGCGCGCTCATTTGATAGCACCTCATCACCCGTCTTGGCGTCGAATAGCGCGACCTTCCCGGACTCGTGCCCTGTGAGGATCAGCGATGGGGTGTATGCAAACGAACAGAGTGTCAGCCTTGAGCCGATGGGGTAAAATATAGACGCAGGCTCTTCTGATTCTGTGGGATCCCATAAGAACACACATTAGCAGTCGGACGCAATGACGTGAGATCGAAGAGAAAATGAGACAGAAAAAGGTAGATGTGGTCAGAGAAGAGAATATTACTGATGTAGGTGGAGGTACGAACGGTTTGTGGGGTCTTCGCGATTGATATTGAAAATGCGCACGGTGCTCTGGTATCCCATGCGCTGCTCGGTGACACAAACGACCTGGTCGTCGTCCTCGCTGAACGCAACGCGCTTCACTGCGGTTGGGAACTCCCAAGAATACAGACACTTGCCCGTCTGCACGGACCATAATCGCATTGTGTTGTCGGCGGAGCCGCTGACGAGTAATTTGCATTGCGCTGGGTAAGCCCACAGACACGGCACAGGAAATTAGTGAAAGACGGGGGATGCCCAATGTCAGGACCGAGATGCAATGCAGACGAGAGTTTTCACGGCGTACAATCGACATCAACCGTCCATACCGCCCCGTTATGCCCGTCATATGTTCCCAGCCGCTCTCCATTATGCGTGTACCACACATTGATGGTCTGGTCCTTCGAGCAGGAAAAGAGTAGATCGCCGTCGTGGTTGAACTTGATCTGCGTCAGGGCGCGTTCTGTACCTTGGAGGAGAATTGGCCTCTGCAAAGATATGAGCAAAATGCCACCTCAAGTATGAATGCGCGCACCATTTTGTTATGGGGGACGATCGAGGAGAATACAAGGGATATGTTTTCAAGCTGCAGCTGAACCGGAGCGAATTGGGAGCGAATCAGATTTTCGGTACCGCGGCAAAGGCCGAGGTTCCCATTTGGGAAAGTCATCATCGCGGCGTTCAGCGGTGGCGGTAGCCCTCTCAGCCTCTCTGCAAGTGTCAGACTTGCAGCATCACATATCCCTGCTTGCAGAATTATATCTCAGCTTGCTGTTCCCAGTTGTATTCTTGGCATGGATGCCGTTGACATACCCAATCTTGCCGCGGTGCAGCTCAATGACCCGACGCCATTGCCAGATGCAGCTCAAACGGAAGCCCAGGTGGACCATCATGGGGTCACTCCGGTGTCGGAAATCGAGCCCCCACGTAAGCGTCAGAGGACAGCCAATGTACTCGAAGCACCGGACTCGACGTCCGCTCTCATGTCAGGAAGCACCACCGAGAGCATGCTAGGTGCCGAGCCTAAGACGGGCGCGGGATTACTGCCTGAGCCCGTCAGGGACGAGGCGTACTACATCGACTGCGCCGACTGTGTCATCAGGGTAGAGAATACGCTCTTCCGGGTGCGTCTCGCCGTCTCCCGTCTCTTTGACCCATGTGGTTTCGAGTACGTTCTGTACTATTCCATGCTGTTCTTCCGATTCTTCTGCGATTGTGCCCTCCAGTCCTCACGGTTCTGTTCTATTCTATCGGCTATGTCTCGCGTCCATTCTCTTCCAGTTGCTTCCAGCCGTTCGTTTGCTCCTCATCTTTCTCCATCTTCCCACTTGCCATGTGACCTCCACGTAACTTCGTACCCCACGTTTTTTCCTGCGTTTTTGTGATAATCCCGACACCGTTTCTGTCCTAGCGTTTCTTCCAATTTTCTTCCATTCATTTCTCCCAGTTTCCAATTTTTCCTCTCGTAATCCACGCCTTTCTACTCCATTCTATCGCATTCTTCGCCTCTCTATTACCCTTTTCCCTTCATTCTGTGTCCATTCGCTGCGAATCCGTGCACCTCCGTCGTGCCTCCCTACTTAGTCATCCCTTCCCTTCCTTTTTTTCCCTTCCATCGATGACGCCCTTCATTATGTAGTTTCCTCAAAATTCTCCGCGTTTCGTATTCTGTTCACGCGACCGTTCAACGTTCATCCCGCACCACTTGGTTTCTGTCTCGCCGAGTTTTCCCAAAATTTTCATCCGTTGCAAATGCACACAGTAGCCCGCTGACGTTATGCCCGCGTCTCTTCTGCCGTTGCAAATTCAAAGCTCGAGTGCTGACGCTTTTGCTGTGACTGTGTGTTAGGTGCACCGCTTCCTCCTCGCGCGGGACGGTTCCGCGTTCCAGGACATGTTCACCCTCCCGCCGCCGACGGCGGGCGGGGAGGGGGCCAGCGACGCACACCCGATCGTCCTCTGGGACGAGCGCGCGTCGGACTTTCGGTTGCTAGTGTCCGTGCTATATGCTCTGTGAGTCCTCCGGCTCGGTTACTCACCGTTCGGAGCTCTGACGCTTTTTCTCCCCCCCCTTTCTTCCGCGGCGTTTTCACTGCTTTCGCTCTGTTCCTGTCCCGTCGTCGTGCCGACCCTCGCCGCCCAGCCCATCCGAGCTGCAAGCATACACCGCACCCGGGGCGTCCCTCCCCCGCCTGCTCACGCTCGTGCACATGACGCACAAGTACCACTTCCTCACGACGGAGGCGTGGGCGCTCGCGGCGCTGCACGGCGCGTTCCAGCAGGCGGTCGCGCAGCAGCAGCAGCAGCGCGCGCTGACGTCGCGCACGCTCAGCCGCACGCTGGACGTGGCGCTGCGCGCGGACCACACGCGCCTGGTGGTGGGCGCGGCGGAGGCGTGGACCGCGCGCGTGCGCACGCGCGCGCTGCCCGCGGCGTGCGCCCTCGCGTTCGTCGACGCGCACCCGTACGCCGGCTGGGCACCCCCGCAATCGGTCGGTGAGGGGGTAGGGGCCGACGTCGCGCGCGCGCTGTGGGCGTTCCGCAGCGCCGCGCATTATGTTGCGCTCATGGAGGTGCAGACGGATTTTACGCTGCCCGGCCCGCCCGCCGCGCCCTCCTCGCCCGCCAGCATCGCTCCTCCTGCGCTGTCCTCCGCCCCGCCGGACGCCCGGATACACGCGGAGGACGCAGAAGAAGAGGACGGGCCCCCGCCGGTGCTGACGCCGGAGCAGAAACGGCGGCTGCTGTCGGGGCACTTTGCGCTCGCGCGGCGGTGGGCGGCGCTGTGCGCGGGGGCGCCGCCGGGGTTCGCGCGGCCGGAGGGGTGCACGTACCACGTGCGCGGGTGCGTGGAGACGTGGGCGGGGGCGTGGCGCGACGCGCTGGGTGCGGCGGGCGGGAGCGGGGACGCGGCGGACGTGCTGGGGCGGCTGGGTGCGGTGGAGCGCGCGGTGGAGGGGAGTGCGGAGGTGAGGGTCGGGCTGACGCCTGCGTGTCGGCGGGAGGCGCTTGGGGCGCTGCGGCGGTGGCGGGGGGAGGTGGAGGAGTGGGTTGGAGGGGTGTGGGTCGATTTGGCGGGGGCGTAGTGTGGGGTTGTGGCTGCTGTCGATGTGCTCTGCTGTGTTGTGTGTGTCTCTCTCTTTTTTAGGCTTTCGATGTGTATGTGTATCATTGGATGTATTTTAGTTTCTGTCTCTCGCGCAGTGCTTTGCACGCGGATGTATGCTATTGTATGCTAGTGCTACTCGCCGATAGTCGAGCACGGTTCTCTGCCGAAGACCCCGGGCGGATCTGTGAGCAAGCGTCACGTTGACACCCCGGAGCATATGGACGACGGACCGCAGGAACTCGAAGGGCGTCGTCGGCTGTATGACGCGGCTCTCCACGCCGCGCAGGCGTCCATCGCGCTCTAACAGCAACCGACGCGTGAGCCACGCAATTTGGCCCCCATTAATCATTGTGCGCATCGTTTTACATCACTCGCGCCTCGGTGACGTCGCCCTGCAGCGCCCGATGACGACGGACCCGAAGTCGCGGACGGTGTTGCTGCAGCGGGCAAAGACGCGCACCACGCACCTGACGCGTCGTCGTCCCGGTATGGCGCGTGCACTGCCATATCGGGAAACACCGCTTTTTCCAGCAGCCGAAGATCGACGGGAAGATCGTGGAGTTGGTCGCCTGCTCGACGTCCCTCGCATGTTCTCGAAAGGACTCGTTGGGGCTGGTGGTTCCCAATGAGGTAACACCTATTAGTCAGCACGTATGTCGGAGAGCGTACTGGAATCTCCTAGAATTGTTGTGTAGTATAAATATGTGGCCCCAACCGCAGGAGCGCCTCGAGCGCTTGTGAGCCATGGCCTAACAGCCGAGTGAGTAGTCGCGATCAAGTGCTGCTAGTGCGAAGGACCGGGAGGGGGGGGGGCGTTGGAGAAAGCTTCAATACAGATCGCCACCTCCTCCTCCCGCGCGGGGGTGGAGTTGCTGTGCTACGTGGAGAGTGCTGCGGGTTCTCTGGGGCCGCCAGCGGGTGTGGGCTCGGGCTTCTGGGTTGGTGACGAGGTGCGGTGTGGGACTCGGAAGACGTGCAGGGGCTGTGCATCCACAATCGAGCGGCAATCCTCTCGCTGCTCGAGGTCAGCATGCTCGCGCTGTTGCAAACTGCAAGCGTGAGAATCTCTCACGCTCCTCGCCAACTCAAAGTGACAGACGCGATTTGATCCTGGATGACCGACGAGATGGGAGCTGTGGCGGTTTGTGGCTCCTTGACGCAAAGGGCGGTGGCGCGGGGAGTGTGTGCGGTGGAGCGGGGGCGTACTTGGCAGAGGTGTCCCGCGGCGTACGGACACGATCGGATCGGGAGAGATTGACGAAGATGCAGCGAGATGATATGGAATACGTTCGTGGCGAGGGGTGACGTCAGGGGCGGATAGGGCGGTGAGTAGCCTGCCGTGCTTTGCCGAGTCGTTTACGACATCATGAGCAGAGGTTCGTTTTTCACCTCTGCTGGCCCCGCGGCGAAGTGCAGTGGTGAGGCTGCGGGGGAAGGGAGAGGGAGACGGGCAGAAGATGGAATCTCGCGCAGGGTGACGTCATACGACGGACTTGGTCATATCCGCGTACCTTGCTGAAGGACCCTCATGTCGTCCTCCCGCTGCTGCTGCTCCGTCGACCGGGCCTTGTTGTCCTGTGCTCCTGCTAAGCGTCACGGGCCCCCACGGCCCACCGCTCAGCGCCCAGCGTACACGCGAACGCGTGAGCGATGGACGCACCCACAATTTGGCGAGCGTGCCACTGCCCCCTCTCTCCACCCATTTCGCCCCTCTTCTTCCTCTGCCGCCCCTGAATTCGCTTTCCCAGCCGAAACGCACAAAACCCCGCGTCCATCTTCCACTCCATCTCCCACCACTCCATTTGTGAACATTTTTGGCATCCCAGCTCACCACCCTGGCTCAACCGACGCATACACTCATCATGCGCGCCGTCTTTCCAAAACCTCCGTCCGAGCGCGATAAAACTCCCCGTCCTCACTCTCCGACTCGCCCCGCTGACCCTCCCTCCCCAGTCCCCGATCCATCCCCCGTCCCCCCATCCTCCACCGCCATCCGTGACCCTCCCCATAGAGCCCCAGGTGAGTCCGCATTCCTAGTTCTCCACGTGGCCGCCACGTTTCGGCATGTCCCACAATCCCACGTGCCCCGAACGCACCAATCTCTCCGACTTGATATCTTTTTTTTCTCCGCGCCCATCCACGTCGCTGGCGGCCACCTTGAACCGCTCGGGTCCCTCCGCGTCCCCCATCCTACTTCATTCCAGTCCTTTATTTTTTTTCCGCCTCTGCTATGCTCTCCTCTGACACCATCTGCTAGACACCGGTGCCTCCCCGATCGCTCCTTGTAATTTTTCCTCCTCCACCGCTCGCTCTCAACGTGCTGACCCTCCGTTTTTTTCCTCTCCCTGATTCGTGGCCTCTGACTAGCTGCGAATGCTCCGTACAATTTTCGACATACCCCGACTCCTAAAGACGGTAGCTTCCAGAACACTCCCGAAAGTGGTCGCGACCTCCCCCAGCCCATTTATACCTCGGGCGATGCCAGCGCACACAAGGCGTTCAATATGTCCGAACAACAGTCCTCTGGCTCCACTTCCGAACCGGGTCGCCCTGGCTCCCGCGGTCGCTCCCATTCTCAACCCATTCCCTCTCGCCGGCAACCGAACCGGCAGACCTTCCAGTCACCGACAGGTCCACTCTACCCGCCTCCAGCCTCCCTCGAGGGCATGACCCCCGCGCCGTCCACCTCTACCTCCTTCCAGAGTCTGCCTCCACAGTACCAGACTCCCTACGGCCAGCAGCCTGGCCCGTATGCGGGGCAATACACGCTTTCCCCGCAGCCGCCCATGCTGCCAGCACACCAGTCTCCCCCGTACGCGTATCCACACCACCCCGGTCTCCACGCTCCAGACTCGAGCATGCACGCTCCCCAAAATCCACTGCTGGGCTACTCCCAAAACACGCTCGTGCCCATCATGCAGTCCCACCCCCACTCCTACCCATACCACCCCCAGTCGCCCGAGGGCTCCTCCTCGCCCAGCCACTCTTTTTCCGCCAGCCCAGGGCCGCAGACGATCTACTCCTCGCACCCCCACTCGCCCGCGCATCCTTCCCCGCCGCCACACCCTCCCTTGGCGCCCCAGGGCCCCGCCGCCCACTCCGCGGCGCACTCCACGGCGTATGCTGGCCAGACGCCGTACGCCCCCGCGCGGTACCCGACCCCGTCCTTCGCGTACCCGCCACACTCCTTTGCGCCGTCCCCGTCCGTCTACATGCCCCACCAGTACCCGCCGTACCCGCCCGCCGAGCAGGACACCCAGGGCACGTGGTGGTACCTCCCCCACGCCGCTGCCCGCCCTTCGGGCCAGTATGAGTCCTTCCAGAATCCGTATGCGCTCTCGTTCAGTCCCGTCCCCCCGCGTGACGTCGATCCATACGCGGCCTCGGCGGCGCAGCAGCAGCAGCAACAACAACAACAACAGCAGCCCGGCATTACCTCTACGCTCTATCCGATGTCGCCCCGGCAGAACCCCGTCCGCTACGCACAGCCACAGCCCCCGCCCCCGCCCGCCCCGCCTGCGGACCCGCCGGCGCCGCGCGCACAACAGCCCGAGCCTGGCCCCGCTGCGGGTGGCCGCCCCGCCCGTCGGCCGTACCGCCCCAACCCGCCCGCACAGCGTTCCGAGTGGGTCATGTGGGCGGGGAACGTGCCCTCGGACGCGACTCATGACGAGCTCTGGCGCTTCCTCAACTCGACGCCCCCGCCCGCCGCGCCCGTGACGAGCACCGCCGCCGTGGCCTCGACGTCCCCACCCGCGAGCGGCGGCGTGCGCTCGATCTTCCTCATCGCGCGCTCGAACTGCGCGTTCGTCAACTTCCAGAGCGAGGCGCAGCTGCAGGCGGCGATCCGGCGGTTCAACGGCGCGCCGCTGCGGGCGCACGACGCGCGCTGCCCGCGGCTCGTGTGCCGCGTGCGCGGGCGCGAGGACGACCTGCGCGCGGGCGTCGGCGGGCAGCGCGGGGCGGGCATGCACGTGCGGTGGATACGCGATCGCAAGGTGCGCGCGGAGGCGCGGTCGAGGGAGGAGTCCGAGCAGAGTTCGCCGAGCTCGCCGGACGACTTTGTGAGCGGTGCGATGGCGGGCCTGAGCGTGTCGAGCGACGCGCCGGAGCCGCACTCGAGCAGCTCGGGCTCGGGCTCGTACGCGTCCACGAGTTCGAGCATGTTGGTGCAGTACTTTCCCAAGCGGTATTTTATCCTCAAGTCGCTCACGCAGGTGCGTCTGCGCGTTCATAGTTTTTTTGTCGGGGGGTGTGCGGGGCTGATCGTGATGCTCGTGGCTGTGTTTTTTATTTATTTTAGCACGATTTGGACCTCAGCGTCGAGAAGGGCGTGTGGGCGACGCAGCACCACAACGAGGGAATTTTGGACCAGGCGTTCCGCACGAGCAAGGAGGTGTACCTCATTTTTGGCGTCAACAAGAGCGGCGAGTTCTACGGGTACGCAAAGTGCGTGTTGTATTTTTTAATCAGCAATTTCGTTCCTGCCGCTGACGCTTTTTTTTTGCCGGTGCAGGATGGCGGGCCCGATCCAGCACGGCGAGTTTCGCATCTCGTGGGCGTCGCGCGCGGACTCGCCGCAGCAGCAGCCGCAGCAGCGCCGCGCGTCCGCGAGCCCGCCGACCGCGCGGCACACGTTCTTCTCGCCCGGCGAGCTGCAGCCCAAGTACGACTCCCCGCAGCCGGTCTCGCCCCCAGGTCCCCCCGCTGCGCCGTACGACGAGGGCGCGACGCCGCGCAGCGTGGACGCGCCCATGCCCGCGAGTACCGTACTTTCTGCCCCCGCGGAGCTGCAACAGCCGCACCACCGTCTGAGCCGGTTCGCGCCTGCGCCGGGGATGCCGCAGAGCCTCGATACGCGTAGGCCGCCGCCGCCGCCTCCTCCTCCTGAAGACACTTTCGAGCTTGATAGCAGCGCGCCGTACCGCGCGATGCGCGGGCATGCTGCGTCTGCCGTGACGGATCCTTCTAGCAGCGGCAGCAGCAGCAGCAGCATGCTCGATTCACCGCCGCCGGAGTTGGGTCTTGATCCAAGTCCAAGGCCGCTGGGGTCCGTGAGGGAGGAGGAGAGTGAGGGCCCGGCGTGGGGCGAGTCGTTCAAGGTGGAGTGGCTGCGAACGGAGCGCCTGCCGTTCTACCGCACGCGCCAGCTGCGCAACCCGTGGAACCACGATCGCGAGGTGAAGGTCTCTCGCGACGGTACTGAGCTCGAGCCGTCGGTCGGGCAGGCGCTCCTCGATGAGTGGGACCGGCCTGACCCCCCGCCGCCGCCGTCGCCCGCGTCCGAGCGGCGGACGGGCAGGGGGCAGGGCGAGGGCGCGTGAGTCGGCCCCTCCGTGTGCTCCGCGACGTTTAAGCTGTGTGTTCGAGGTACTGCCATTTTTTCACCCACGAACTGATCCTCCCAGCAATCACACTCTCGCCACACGGACCGCCGGCCCCATCACGATTTACTATGCAGAACTTCACGGCAATCACACGCACGCACACACACGCAAGCACGCAGTGCTCCATATTTAAGCCCGCGCTACTACTACTACCTACTACCTATCTAACTATTCGTGACGCCCACCGCGCGCGCGTCATGCACGACACGTGCCGCGCGGCTGCGGTCCTATTTCCGCTTCTCGACACTTCTTCTTTGGGGTCTTGGGTCGCATCCTCTTTGTTCTCGTTCTCGTTCTCATTCTCGTTCTCACTCTCACCCTGCTTCCCTCGTCGTACGCGCTCTTTCGCTTGCAGCATTGCCCGCTCATCGTTCCACCGCTGATGTTTACCCCCAAGAGATTTTTGTAGCAATAGGTAGAACCTGCATCCACACTTGTAACACCTCGCATCATGGCATTATACACGCCGCGCCGTCGTGCGCCAGGTTTGGACACGGGCGCACCCGCGCGTAGGCGTCCTCGCGGATTTGTGATACTCCTAGTACTGCAGCTCGACGACGCGCGTCGAGTCTGTTTTTCCGCAACTGCTGCAAGGCTTGTGTGCAGTTTTGGTTTCCTCTTTTCCTCCGTCTCGTCGGTTTCGTCGTTCGTACGCAAGGTAATCCGGGCTGCCTACCAGCCCTAATTGTGTGAGCTCCGTCGTGTGGAGCTCGTGTTATGACTCCAATGTCTTGATCCCGACGGCGCAGGCGCTGCGAGTGCTGCCTATTAATAGAGAGCGATCCTCCATGTGTCCTACATTACGTACTCGTCCGTGTATACTCTCATCGCGATTCCTATTGTACGTGTTGTCGTAGCTATTGTTTACTGTACGTGTACTGTGTCGTGCGTCTTGGTTCGATGTCAGTATTATCTCTTCTTGTGCTGTCTTGGCTTGTGGTATACATATTCTACGTACACTGTCCAGAGACGCGAGTCGAGGTACAACAGAATGGGGTGAAGGCACAGATGTCGATGTAGATGATGGTTAGACTCAGAGTTCATCGACATCTGCAGTGGCTCTTCCTTCACGGATCATTAATCAGGCTGCTTACTACAAATAACGTTTCTCTGCTGGGAGCGACTCGAGTCTCGGACATCCCACCTCTCGCGCACCGTGGCGCTGTACAGCCAGAACATCGGTGCCATTTGGTCTATCCCGTCCCTCCCCCACTTATAGCTCTGCCTTTGGGAGACTACGTTCTGTCTTGGTTTGGTCGCAACAACGGTCGTCTCTGGGATAGTGTGTGCTCTCTTGCTGAGGGTAGACTGCATCCTCGTTGGCTTTGCTTACCGCGCAGGATCTCCCGCTCTCGGGTCATACGCAGACGAGCAGAACGAGTCGAGTTCGATCTCGCCGTAGCTGCGTCGAGCTTCTACGTGAGGCGAGTGTCGGTTCGGACACGCCAGAATCCCCTCGCACGGCTATTCGACGATGTCACGCCCTTGGGCATCCAGCTCTCCTCGTACTGCCTCGACACTAACGAAATGTTATTCACCAGTTGGTCTGATCAGGTGAAATTGAATTTTGACGCCAACATCGATTAACACGACAGGCAATGGTGGCTTACAACCAGCTGCTACAGGTGAATAACAGAGAGGTAATTGTCTTAAAAGCACCTTGCTGAGCATCCTGATGCACATTCGAAAGATAGTTTTTCTGACCAACAGTAGCACGAGGCTACGACTCGGACGCCAGCACGCCACGCTAATTGCCATATATGGAAGGTGATTGGGACAAGCCTCCAGACGGATAGTCATCGCAGTTTAACGTAAAACCTTCGTCACGCGAAGGACAATCGATGCGGATTAAGACAATTACATCCCTGCAATCCACCTGCATCGACAGGTTGTCAGAGGCCATTGCCCGTCGTGTAATTGGCTAGACGGCCCGACACAATTACTATTGGCGGACCAGGTGGCGAATGGAACCCAAAGCGGCGTAAAGCGCAACGGTGCTCGATCTGACCACACCTAACCATGATAATCTCGACGAACGGCATCTAAATGTCTAATTTCATTCGTACGACCAGTTCGTACAGTCTATGCAGGAATCCAAAGCTTTATCGTACATTCAACGCATGACTACATACACTTTCACCGCGAAAGCAGACCGGCTGAGAGGGGCGAACAAGTACACACAACCACGACTAAAATCTTCACATATTCTTCCTTCTTTTTACGCGCAGGGTCCGCCCGGCATAACGACGCGCACCTACGCGATATAACGGTTCGTGAGCCCGCTGAGCTCCGTCTGCTGTTTGAGCGCGCGGGGCGTATCGAGGCGCGCCATGATGATCTCGACGAGCTGGATCTTGTCCGCAGCGGTAAACTTGGGGTCGTCGAGCAGCGCCGAGATCTCCTTCTTGGTGCGCACCGTGTACGACTGACACGTCTTGCCCTCCGTGCCGCCGAGCACCGTCAGCAGCGACGTCCACTTCCTACATTTCCGTGCGGGTGAGCGTGCAATTCATGAGAGTGAAGCGAGAGGCACGCACCAGTTCACGATGTCATTGTACTTGCGGTTCATGCCGTGCAGGTACCGCTCGATCGTATAGCCCTCGTTGTTCAGTACGAAGATAATCGGTGTCACGCCCGAGCGCAACATCGTGGACAGTTCCTGGACAGTCAATTGCCTGCAGCCGCATATAAACGCGTAAGTAACCGCACCAAATACATACGACGAGGAACGCACAAGCTACCGTCTCCGACGAACAAGATCGTGCGGCCCATCCCAATATCGCGGCCCGCGAGCGCAGCGCCAAGTGTGCTGCCGACCGTCCAGCCGATCGATTCCCACAACATCTGGCTAAGGAATATCGCGCCGGTGGGCATTGGGATGTCGAGTACGCCGAAGCTGGACGTGCCCGTCTCCGCGACGATGATGTCGTGGTTCTTGAAGAACTTGCCGACGCGCGGCCAGAGGTAGGACTGCGTGATCACGTCACCGTCCTCCTGCGGGATCGGTAGAATGTACTTGGGTACGGACAACAGCTTCGCCTCGTCTGCGAACGGCTGCAGGCGCGCCGTGAGCTTCGGCAGTAGGCGCTTCATGCCGATGCCTGGGAAGCCAGCGAATTGCACCTTTGTATGATCCGAGTGAAACTAGAAAAAAAGCGCGATGGTCAGTACAGTAAAGCGAGAGGGCAGAGCAATGCACATACCTCGACAGTACGTCCAGTGGGAATACTGTACGTGAAGTTACCGGTGTTGAAGTCGCTCTTGAGCCCACCGATGGACAGAATCAGCTTTGCGGACTCCACTTTCTCCTTGATTTCCGGAGAGGAGAGCGAACCGACGTAAATCTAGCGAAACGGTGATAAGCACAGACTCTAATGGACCACCGGCACGACCGGTAACTTACCCCACCATAGCGCTCGTACTGCTCATTCACAGCAGTCTTGCCCATAGGGGCAGCGTACACGGGGAATCCGGTGCGGCGGTAGAGCTCCTCGACTTCCTTCTTGACGGTATGTCGGATAGCGCAAGCGTCCACGAGGATGATAGTTTCATGCTGTGCGTGGTTGGCGAGCTTCACAATCTCGTCGAGTACGAAATTCTCAACATCCGGATCGTTCGCAGGGAGCTCCGAGTTGATTGGTGTCTGCAATCGCTTCGAAGAAATCTTCTCGTATGCGAGATCAGTGGGGAGCATCAGATATACGGGGCGGGCCTTGGGCACACAAATTATCAGTGTCAGACACGCTGAAATCAGGGATCAGCCTACCATAACGACACATTCCGTGAGGACACGGTCGATCTCTGCGGCAGCTGTATCTTTTGACGCGAGGGAGGCCTGGGTCCATGTGAATTGTTTGGACGCCTGAAAGTACGCGTCGTAGCGGCCATCGCCCAGGGTGTGGTGGAGCATGGGCTTCTCCTTCTGCTGCACGGTGCTAGGCGAGCCGACAAGGTGAAGAACGGGGACGAACTCGGAAAACGCTCCCGCGATGCCGTTCGTCGCACTCAGCTCCCCGACGCCAAAACTGCCAAGACAGATCAGAGGGGTAGCGCTAGGTATGACGTCATGGACATACGTGGTGGTGACGACGCCGAGGCTGCCCTCCTTAACGCGGGCGTAACCGTCGGCGGCATACGCTGAGTTCAATTCGTTACTGGGTGGCGCATGAGTCAGGTAGTGGTGCAAGCCCAATATTTAAAATGCTCACCAGTTTCCAACCCACTTAATTTTTGGGTGGTCTTCAACGAAATCCTATAAAGATCGTCAGGACACTGAGAGAGCAATACACCACAGAACGTACGAGGAAGCCTAAGAAGGACTTGTCAACATATGGCACTCGGAAGAAGTGACGAACGACACTCACCCAGATTGAAGTCTCCGGGCACACCAAACATTTGCTACACCAATCCAATTAAGCTCAGTATAACGAATGAGGGATCAAAGATACGGTTACGCCGAGCTGGACGAGCCGCTCGACGAGATACTGGCCGATGTAAATCTGCTCGCCGGCCGCGGGGACTTGATCCTCGACCTTTAGTGTCTGCAGCTCATGTCGGAGACGATTGACCTCTGCCTGGAGCGACGCAACGAACTGAGTGGACATTTTATGAAGATGCGATTGGAACAGAAGTGTATGTGGCGACGGGTCCCTGATGGTTTGGAACCAAGGCTTTATAGGGGGGATTGGGCAAGGTTTGGACGCGATAGTGGCTCTTAAGGCGTAGGGACCTCCAGCGCCGAGGAAGTTATGACGCGCTGATAAGATTAGATCCATTCTCTCGACCGTTATCTCCCGCTCCGATCCACATCACTGTTGAAGCTTTGAAGATCGCAGGCGGCGGAGTGCACCACCGGGGCGATGGATGCGGACATTGTGATCGCGTTAGTAGAAACGGTCCGTCCGTTTTCCCCATATTTTCTGACAGGAAGCGGTGCGCGTTGCAGAGAAGCACATTACTTTGAGGGGCTATATTGGACAAAAAACCCTTGTCCCCGTCAGTACATCAATTTTCCTGCATGATATTGCATGAAGCTCAATGAATCCCTGTGAGCACTCACAATCTTTCACTTTCCTGTACAAAGATGAGTGATCTTACAACAACAATGTCAGGAATTACTGCCGCATGAGCTTGGGTTTTGTTCAGAGGTACGTGATCTTGCGCGGCAGCATGAATGATGTAGTGAAACGACCTTAGGTTCACGGCCTGTGACCTGTGACATGTTTTCTTCCTCAGTTCACAGTTCACAGGGTAGGAGTGACCTGTGACCAAGTTCAGTTCAGAGGCGCCGCAGGCGCCCGCCGACGGTCCGCCATGCCTGATGCTGTGAGCGCCGGTGACATCCTCTTTCGCTTCCAGTTCACAGGCACCCGTGACACGCTACAAACCCTTAAGCGAGGGCACTCAGGCCATAGATGTAGTGTTCTTCTGGAAATTATAAGCGAGTTCAGTTCACGAGGCTTGTGACGTGTGACTGAACCTAAGGTCGTTTCACTACAGTATATGACAAACTCTTTCCCTGTCCCTTCTTCACTACGAGTAAAATTGAATACTCCCTTCTCCCTTCTCAATAATTTCATTTAATTTCGAAAGGCCGCCAGGCGGCGGCGGAACTTGCTCGGAGACGGGAGCGGACAGAATTGCCACAAAACAAATAACGCACAACAACTGTGTAAAAAGGACACTTTCACTTTGGGGTCGGGGTCTCCGAGCAAGAACCGAGTAAAATTGAATACTCCCTTCGAATTAATTTCATTTAATTTTGATTTAATTTCGCGTACCCTACCACTATAGCTAGAGTCCCGCGAATCGAACCCAAAGTGGCGTAGTGCTCGACCTGACCACATCTAACCATGGTAATCTCGACGAACGGCATCTAAATGTCTAATTTCATTCGTACGCCAGTTGGTACAGTCTATGCAGGAATCTAAAGCTTTTTCGTACACTCAACGCATGACTACATACACTTCCACCGCGAAAGTAAACCGGCTGAGAGGGGCGAACAAGTACACACAACCACGACCTATCTTCACTTATTCTTCTGCTTTTTACGCGCAGGGTCCGCCCGGCGTAACGACGCGCACCTACGCGACATAACGGTTCGTAAGCCCGCTGAGCTCCGCCTGGTGTTTCAGCGCGCGCGGCGCGTCGAGGCGCTGCATGATGATCTCGACGAGCTGGATCTTGTCCGCAGCGGCAAACTTGGGGTCGTCGAGCAGCGCCGAGATCTCCTTTTTGGTGCGCACCGTGTACGACTGACACGTCTTGCCCTCCGTGCCGCCGAGCACCGTCAGCAGCGAAGTCCACTTCCTACAATTCCGTGCGGGTGAGCGTGCAATTCATGACAACGAAGTGAGAGGCACGCACCAGTTCACGATGTCATTGTACTTGCGGTTCATGCCGTGCAGGTACCGCTCGATCGTATAGCCCTCGTTGTTCAGTACGAAGATAATCGGTGTCACGCCCGAGCGCACCATCGTGGACAGCTCCTGGACAGTCAATTGCCTACGGCCGCATATAAACGCGTAAGTAACCGCGCAAAACACATAAAAGAGAGAGAGAGACGAGAAACGCACAAGCTACCGTCTCCGACGAACAAGATCGTGCGGCCCATCCCAATATCGCGGCCCGCGAGCGCAGCGCCAAGTGTGCTGCCGACCGTCCAGCCGATCGATCCCCACAAAATCTGGCTAAGGAACATCGCGCCGGTGGGCATGGGGATGTCGAGTACACCGAAGCTGGACGTGCCCGTCTCCGCGACGATGATGTCGTGGTTCTTGAAGAACTTGCCGACGCGCGGCCAGAGGTAGGACTGCGTGATCACGTCGCCGTCCTCCTGCGGGATCGGCAGAGTGTACTTCGGCACGGACAACAGCTTCGCCTCGTCTGCGAACGGCTGCAGGCGCGCCGTGAGCTTCGGCAGTAGGCGCTTCATGCCGATGCCTGGGAAGCCGGCGAATTGCACCTTTATATGATCCGAGTGAAACTACAAAGAAAGGGCGATGGTCGGTATAGTAAAGCGAGAGGGCAGAGCAATGCACATACCTCGACAGTACGTCCAGTGGGAATACTGTACGTGAAGTTACCGGTGTTGAAGTCGCTCTTGAGCCCGCCGATGGATAGAATCAGCTTTGCGGACTCCACTTTCTCCTTGATTTCCGGAGAGGAGAGCGAACCGACGTAAATCTAGCGAAACGGTGATAAGCACAGACTCTAATGGGCCACCGGCACGACCGGTAACTTACCCCACCATAGCGCTCGTACTGCTCATTCACAGCAGTCTTGCCCATAGGGGCAGCGTACACGGGGAATCCGGTGCGGCGGTAGAGCTCCTCGACTTCCTTCTTGACGGTATGTCGGATAGCGCAAGCGTCCACGAGGATGATAGTTTCATGCTGTGCGTGGTTGGCGAGCTTCACAATCTCGTCGAGTACGAAATTCTCAACATCCGGATCGTTCGCAGGGGGCTCCGAGTTGATTGGTGTCTGCAATCGCTTCGAAGAAATCTTCTCGTATGCGAGGTCAGTGGGGAGCATCAGATATACGGGGCGGGCCTTGGGCACACAAAATTGTCAGCGTCAGACACGCTGAAATCAGGGATCAGCCTACCATGACTACACATTCCGTGAGGACACGGTCGATCTCCGCCGCAGCAGTATCTTTTGACGTGAGCGAGGCCTGGGTCCATGTGAACTGCTTGGACGCCTGGAAATACGCGTCGTAGCGGCCATCGCCCAGGGTGTGGTGGAGCATGGGCTTCTCCTTCTGCTGCACGGTGCTGGGTGAGCCGACAAGGTGAAGAACGGGAACGTGCTCGGAGAACGCGCCAGCGATACCGTTGGTCGCGCTGAGCTCGCCGACTCCAAAACTGCCAACGCAGATTAGGGCGGTGCGATAGGTATGACGTCATGGACATACGTTGTAGTGACTACGCCGAGGCTGCCCTCCTTAACGCGGGCGTAACCGTCGGCAGCGTATGCTGCGTTCAATTCGTTACTGGGCGAGGCATGAGTCAGGTAGTGGTGCTAGCCCAATATTTAAATGCTCACCAGTTTCCAACCCACTGCATTTTTGGGTGATCTTCGACGAAATCCTGTAGAGATCGTCAGTACACCGTGGGCGCAATGCACCGCGGGACGTACAAGGAAGCCTGAGAAGGAATTGTCAACATATGGCACTCGGAAGAAGTGACGGATGACACTCACCAAGATTGAAGTCTCCGGGCACACCAAACATTTGCTACACCAATCCAGGTAAGCTCAGTATAACGAATGAAGGATCAAACATACGGTTACACCGAGTTGGACAAGCCGCTCGACGAGATACTGGCCGATGTAAATCTGGTCGCCGATGGCGGGGACCTGGTCCTCGACCTTAAGCGTCTGCAGCTCATGTCGGAGGCGGGTGACCTCTGCCTGGAGCGACGCGACGGCCTGAGTGGTGGACATTTTACGGAGATGCGATTGGGACAGAAGTGTATGTGTCGATGAGTTTCTGGTGGTTTGGAACCAAGCAAGGCTTTATAGGGGTTTGGGAAGAACAGGAGGAGATGGACGCGATAGTGGCACTTAAGGCCTAGGGCCCTCCAGCGCGGTCCCGGGCGGTTATGACGCGCTGATAAGATTAGATCCACCTCTCTCTCGACCGTTATCTCCCACTCCGATCCACCATCCACGTCCACCGCCGCCGAACACCTGCAGCTGTCTCCAACCGCCACCTCCCGCATCGTCTGTAGCCCATTTTCCCGCCATTTTTCGATACTCACAGCAAAGACGTTGCGCAGCGAGTATGATCTGGAGCTGCATCAGCCAGAGCTCCGTCTGGCCGCTCGGGGTCCAGGCCCTGTCCATATGCACGCACGATAATCTTCCTCTCCGGACGGTTCTCCCTGCAGCGTCATGGCCAGTTATATTCCGAACCCCATAGCGGCGCACACACATCGCCGGAAGATGTGTCGAAGCACTCGCGATATTTCCTCTGGCTGAGGCCAGCTCGGGTCTCGGACGCGGTCTCCAGCTCGGAACTACCAGCGGCGGCAGAGTGGCAGAGTTTGTCGGAAGTGCTGCAGCCGATCAGTTCCCATTGCAATTGTGAAGCAGTGCTTGAGAAAAGGACTGACGGAGAGGAAACACTCGACCCAGGTGCCGTCAACCATCACGTCGTCTGGGACCTGCACCTGGTCGCTTGCGGAGCAATTTCGGGGCCGATCCTACCGACAGTTCTTGCGCAGTGGAAGGTAGGATGGTCTAGGACTATCCCGCCCTCGTTTTCTTTATCCTCTATTCACTCCAGGGCGATAACGATCGATGGAGTCTGAGAGTCGCAGCAGGTGCGCATGCCACCGTCCAATATCTAGCGGTGTTGTAAAACTCTATCACGGTGTGTTCGCGGTAAGGTTACATTGATTAATTGCTCACCTGGTTCCGGTCTGGTGCGCATCAGTGATTGTGACCGCGGGTCGTAGGAAATGTGTCGCTTTGGCAACCCAAATATGGTAGCGTACCTTCCATGTATGGAAGGTTTTGTTGGAACTTCAAATTTCTCCTTGAAACACGAGGAACGTCCTCGATAACGGCAGAGTTTCAAGCTTCAAGTTCAAGAACATTCCAGCTCTCACATATATCAAATAAGACATCTACATGGAGCCAACGCGACGAGGCATGCGTAGAGTCTAGACGGCCATCACAACAGACACGTAACAAGAAACGCGCATCCAACCTGGCACCACTCACGGTTAGTAGGACATCATCGAGGATCTTCTGGATCACACACCTGGCGGATTACTCCTCACTGAGCCGCACTGTGCTCCCGAGCGGTCCATTCCTCCTCCAATATGCTCAGCAGGATCTCATCGCACCACTCCCCGTTCACCCGGTTCGCCTTCCGCCTCCGCCCCTCCTCGACGAACCCGCTGAGAAACAGCACCGTCAAGCACTCATCAACCACGGAGCGAGAAGAGAGAACTCACCAAGCCTTGTACAGTGCGGCGAGCTTCTCGTCCCCGTTGAAGATGGTACAGGACAGGCGATGCAGGGAGAGCTCGGTAAACGCGAACTTCACCAGAAACGAGAGCACGTCGCCGTATGCGGGATAATCGGCGGTGAGAACCACAGTGACTGTGCCGTCCTGATCTTCGGGCTGCCCAAGGTAATGCTACAATATCCCACCGGCCTGGGATTGCCGTATTGCATGTCTGCAATGGCAGTGACCTGCGCCCGTAGGAGTGCCGTCACGGCAGGAGGTTCCAGCACGAATTTCGTTCTCATTCCTACATAGTCATTGCTGACAGCTTGCTGTACCTCCGCCTTAAGCCATGCATTGACGTCAGGAAAGCTGTCGACCGTATTGATAGAAACCTGCGCAGGCGTGCCACTCGAGACGTTGTAGTAGACTCCCCGCAGACGTTGAAAGACCTGGCGCTGCATCCTGCAGTGGATTTATTGTACATAAAAAACTGCAGATCGCGATTTCGCGACGACGTATTTGTCCCGCGCAAACAACACCATATGTGGTAGACCGGGTGGCGCTGGAAATCCTCGGCATAGCCTGGTGCAGGCCTCGTAGGCACCGGATGCATTGCAAAGGAGTTGAGGTTGTAGAACTTGCATGCCTGCAGAGACCCGCGGCCCTCACGGAGCCATCAAGCAAGTCGAGCAGGCAAACAAGATTTTTTGCCCGCCACCCGACATACCGTGTAAGGGAATATTTGTTCCGAACAAACAGCTCGCCGCGAGTCGCGATCTGCAGTTTTTTATGCAAACGGGTGTAATCCGGACTCGGGAAATCGCAACGAAAGATAACGAAATGGGCTTTGCGGTGAGGAGGGTACAAAAGAAAGAAGTTGGGAACGTCGCTGGTCGTACAAACTGTGACAGCTCGGCGTGGTCGCTTTTGTTAACCCGAATATGGTAGCGCACCTTCCGTGTATGGAAGGTCTTGTTGGAAGATTTCTCCTTGAAACACGAAGGAACATCCTCGATTCGGCAGAGCTTCAAGAGCATTCCAGCTCCCACATATCAAATAAGACGTCTGCACAACACAAACTCAAAGAAATAAAATGTACACAGAGTCCAGACGGAACCTGGTCTTTCACTATATATATCACAACGGAGACGTAACAAGAAATGCGCATCCAGCCCCCACGACCACACACCTAGCGAGTGGCTCCTGAGTTACTGGGACGCACCCTACTTCCGAGCGGCCCATTCCTGCTCCAGTATGCTCAGCAGGATCTCATCGCACCACTCCCCGTTGACCCGATTTGCTTTCCGTCTACGCCCCTCCTCAACGAACCCGCTAAGGAATAATACCGTTCAACACGGGTATAAACGTCAGAAATTTGGTAGCACTCGCCACGCTTTATACAGTGCAGCGAGCTTCTCGTCTCCGTTGAAGACAGTGCAGGACAGACGATGCAAGAAGAGCTCGGTAAACGAGTGCTTCACCAGAAACGAGAGCACGTCGCTGTATGCGGGATGATTAGCGGGAAGGACCACAGTGGCTGTCCCGTCCTGATTCTTCGGACTGCCCAAGGTAATGCTACAACATCCCACAGTTGGCTGGCTGAATTGGTTTGGAGAGGTGAGCTGCACCCGTAGGAGTGATGTCACCGCGGGAGGTTCTGGCGCGAATTTCGCTCTCAATCCTACGATGTCATTGCTGACAGCGCGTTACCTTGGCCGTATTCCACGCCTTTTTTTTACCAAAGCCGTCTACCGTGGTTAAATCAATCCGTTCGGGGTGGTTAGGAGAGTGGAAGGCCACGAGGTGCATCCTAGTAAACTCGACGCGGATTCGGAAATTCGATACGGCGGGAGATGATCGATGAAGCTTAAGCTTAAGGGGCGAGCTTTGCGGAATGGCTGGAAGGCGATGGGAGTGTTGGGAATTTCGCGACTATAAACGCTGGACAAGGCGTATCGATATCGATTGAAGAAGCTACGAAGAGGCCTCCTAACCTCCCGAACGCACTTCGCCAGGGGCGCTCACTCCACAACACCTTCCGCGTTCTGACGACAGTAAAAATTTCGAGCTTCATTGGGGCTGCTCATGGGGCTCTCGACCTGCCCACTCCTCCTCCAAAACGCCCAACAAAATCTCGTCCCGCCACGCTCCGTCGACCCAATTAGCCCTGCGCCTCCGCCCTTCCTCCGTAAACCCGCTACGTAGAGACGTGCACGTCAGCCGCACGACACTCGCAGAACACAACAAAGCGCGACGCACCAGTCCTTGTAAACCGCAGCTACCCCGTCGTCGCCATCGTAACGCGTGGCCGACACACGGTGCAGGCCGTGCTCTCTAAAGGCATGCTGCACCAAGAAGGTGAGCATGTCCCGGAGACACTCCCTCCTCTTGGGATCGACGAGCACGCTGAGCACCCCGTCGCGGTTCTTCGGGTCCGTCAGCACCAAGCTGCACCAGCCGACAATCTCCCTGTGGGCACCGTAGACCGCGCCTCCCTTGCGTTCCTCCGGCATGACGCCTGTGATTTCTGCTTTGAGTACAGTCAGCGCGTCGGGGTGGCCGAGCGTGACGTGCTGCTTTGACCCGACATAGTCGCTGCTCGCCCCGCGCTGCACACTCGGTATGTGCCATAGTTTCGTCTCGTAGCCGGCAGTCACAACCGTGTCGAATTGCAGCTCTGTGATCGTGCTAGTAGTCGCATTGAACTGGAAAATCATCTTTTAATCTGCAACAGTGTGGGCAACGAGGATGCCGATGAGTATGCAGTGGAGTGGTGTGAGACGGTGAGAGCGACGGTACGCAGCACCACAACATGTACTGGAGATGCCTTGATATCGATGGATGGCGAACTCTAACCGTCCGAAGCCTTCTGCACTTGGCCCAACACGTCAACAACGAACCCCACGAAAAATTATTTGCACTTGTTGATACACATACATATTGCAACGATACACCCATCCGCAATTGTCTAGGTATCGTCCATCGCCGCAAGCCCAAAGAAATAGCAGGGGGGTGGGGGGGTATATGACCAACGATCATGTTATGCGCAACCGGTTCCCCAGCACAGGCGCGAGTTCCACCGCATGGTGGAACAGGAAGTCCGAGCACCCAATGACCGCGACATCGCCCAGCGTCTCGACCTCAGCGTTTCCGACAGAAGCCGCATCAGTAAAAGCGACCCGCTCGCACAGAGCAGCGACGACCGCGTCGCCCGCCAACCGCTGGCAATGCCATAGCTCGAGGCTGATCAAATGCGGGAGGCGCACGCGCAGCGGCGCGACCTCCTGCTCAACAGTCGGCTTTGCACCATCCCCGTCCACGATGGGTGACGGTCGCGCATTAGGCCTGAACGGCGCGAGCATGCCAATGACGGTATTCGACATGTCCGATGCGACGATGCGGAACTCTTGCAGTTGGTCGAGGCGGTCGAAACACCACCGAAAGTCCTTCGTGCGCATGTCCGCATAGTCCATCTCGAGCACGCGCAGCGGGGGGCGGCTGCGGCGCACGAGCGTGCGCAGGCCCATGCCCGTCGCGTGGTCGCTCCACGGGCTCTGTGAGAAGTCGTGCGCCTCGTCCTCGCTGTCGCCGTCCTCGTGTGCGTGCGCGTACGGGTCGTGCAGCAGCTCGAAGTCGACGTTCGTGTGCTCGAGATACAGCTCCCTCAGGGCTGGCGCGTGAATGTGCGAGAGCAGTGTCCGTACCGCGCACGTACTGCGCAGGAGCAGCGTACGCAGACGCAGAAGGGGCACCACGGGAGAAAGAGAGCCGTTTGCTTCGGTCGTGCTCTCGTGAGGCCAACCGTAGAAATTGAACGTATGGAGCAAGGGCAGCGAGGTGAGAAATCCGAGCATGCGCGCGGCGTCGGTCGAAACTGAGAGGGAATATTCGGTTATGGTGAGTGAGGTGATACGGAGGGGTGACATGAGGTTCAGCTCCGGCAGGGCGCTGACCGAGACGCGCATAAGGACATCATGATAGAGATTTGGTCCCAATGGGTGGAATGAGCGGAATGTGGGTACGGGCTCTCCATCGACATCAGAATCAGGGTTTCCGTCCGTCCCGGAGAGGCCCTTCACGATGACCTGCAGCTGGGCCAACCGACCTTTTGTCTCCCCCAACTCTGGAAATTCGATATCTTCCTGCAGCTTTCCGGTGATGGTGCATCTCCCCCATAGGTACAGCAGTGGCAAGATGGGAGAAAGCAGAGGTAGCAGCATGTCTACAGATTGATCGAGGTGGACATGGATGTAGATGGGCAATGGATGACATCGCGCAAGCCAAAGCCTAGCTTGGCATTGGGAAGCATGCGGGTTGCGCATGTCATTTAGATAGAGATGCTGCCATACACGACATGAGCTATAGACAGTGTCCCGCCAATAGTGGCAGACGCTTCCGAGGGTAAGCGGAGTGAGACCGTGGTCGGCATCCTGACCACATAGCGCAAATATTTCGATCAAGAGCTCTGGAGGAAGGCGGTCTATAGGAATTGGAGAAGGGTCAACCTGTTGGAGAAGAGCGGGCATGGTCGATAAGTAGATGACGAGGACGACGTGGAGGTCGCCGTCGACGACGCGTGAGAAAACACTTCCCAGACCCCTGCTCAGTTGCTAAGCGCCCCGTACCTGCCGGATTTGCCCTTGAAGTTCGAGGACACTCGAGAGTCGACGAGGAGAGACTCGCCATTGCCCAACGTCGCCGTCCCGAGGTCATGTGGACGTAGAATTACAGCATGCTGGAACTAGACAATCATCGACGGAGAATGTACGGGAGAAGGAAGCTTCAAGACTGAACGAAGGAGAGCTGCTGACTAAGCACGAAACTGCACAGCTGGCTCCAAACTCAATTTCCCGTCGAATCATCCCATACTCACCGTCGCCGCCACTGCGCTCGCCGCTGCCCCTCCCGTTCCCCAAGTCAATATCCCTCTTCACACAAATGCCGGGCGTACGAGACATCAGGTATGTGTTCCTCACTGACCACTCCCGCTGCGATATTTATCCGGGGCACAGCGCGGAAGCCTTCATCACCGCTTACGCTTCCCACCTTAAGCGGTCAGGAAAGCTCGAGGTCCCTACATGGGTTGACATCGTAAAAACCGGCTCCTTCAAGGAGCTCGCGCCATATGACCCCGACTGGTACTACGTCCGCGCAGGTTCGTTCTCTTTCTGACCCCCTTCTAGCATACTCAATTTTCCGCGTCTCTAGCTGCCGTAGCGCGACACATATACCTCCGCAAAGACGTCGGCATCGGCGCACTCACGAAGTTGCACGGCGGGCGCAATCGGCGCGGCAACCGGCCCTCGCACCATGCGGACGGCTCTGCGTCTGTGCAGCGCAAGGTCTGCCAGTCGCTCGAGAAGATTGGCGTGCTCGAGCAGTCGGACAACGGCGGCCGCCGCATCAGCCAGGATGGGCAGCGGGACCTAGACCGGATTGCCACCGCCGTAGTGGAGGCAGCGCGGGACGAGGGTGAGGAGGAAGAGGAAGAGGAAGAGCACGCGGCGGCGGAAGAGGAGGAAGAAGAGTAGACGCCTGGTTTGGTGCGCTGGTGCAGACACAAGGTCCGCCCCCGCGGCCGCTGTATGGTTTTCGCATGAGCTCACGGTATTTCTGGTATGATACATCCTTGCAACATCAAAATACAGGCAGCAATTTTATTCTCGCTGTTATAATATCGGCTTGTCTTGAATGTCCTTCAGTGCAAAGTCGCATTCTGCAGACTAGATCACTTTAACCTTGTGCTCATGTGCTTTGCAGCGAATAGTGTTCTCTTCGCAGCACTACCTGCGGACTGTGTATACGGTAACGCGTATACGCGCCGAATATTCGAATGTCTATTCCTAAGTGCCGAAGAACGATCCACGACGTCGATTACAACGAGAACAGACCGGTAAAAGCGTCCAATCAATCAGCGTATCTAAAAGTAGCGATAGTGTTAAGCAACCGGTGAGAGAGTGCGCATGCGTAAGGTACATTGGGACAGGAATGGGGCAGGAAGTCGTTCATCGTGACGGACGGCCGCAGCGGTTGATGTGCAGTGAGAGTGCGCGAAGTGCAATGGTACAAAAGTGCAAGTCCAGGGTAAGAGGAAGGGTCCGCCGTCTAGAAGGGTATATGCAACTATTTGGCATCGGTGTCGTGGATGGGAGCGGGGGGGGGGGAGGGGGGGGGGAATGACACTGGCTCTTCCCACTGGCTTCAGTGGGGATCGCTGAAGAGGTTGGAGGGGGGAGGCGAGGCCAGGATGACGGATCCATGAAGTCTATATAGATAACACAATAGCAATAGAGTGCAGAAGTGCGGCGAGCAGTAGCAATAGCCATGATGTCGGCCATGGAATTGCTGGGGCTGCGGACCTGTAGTACAGGTCAGCGTGTCAACCCTAATTGATGTGAGAACGGAAGAGACAGAAGGAGGGACGTACGACGTAGCAGGCTTGTCTACGACCTGCACCGTCAGCACGACGATCAGACCGTCAATTGCGTTCGTCACGTTATTCGAGACGGTCCAATTGTGGTTGATGTTGTAACTCGTGTTCTGCGCGTACCCCGCCTCGTACTGCGCTGTCGTCCGGTAGGTATACCCATTGAACGATGTCTGCCCGGAATATGTCGAGCTGCTGTTGACTTTCGAGGTGTCGATGATGGATGTCTGGTTTGTGACGTTGCCTACAAACCAATCTCTGCGGAAAATGATATGAGTAAGGGAATCTCGAGGAAAGTACATGAACGGACCTTCCAAGGTTGTAACTATGAGACGAGCGATCCGTTTTCAATATATATGTCAGAAACCAGGTGTGAGGACGAACCCGTTAAATATGATATCATGTTGGTCTGGCGACAGACCATAAATCAGAACATGCTATATTATGAGGTCTAGCACGCGCACTCACCTGATAGAGGCAGCTCATACGACACGGCCATGAAAACCGCGCCGCTTGAATAGAAGACAAATGTGAGACGCTGTTGAAGAAATTTGAGGCGGTCGACGCACCTGTCCGCAAGGGTCCCGTTCTGGAACCAGTAGCGGAAGTGACTGCCGCCTTGGACTGTTTCCTGGCAGGTTCCTAGCTCTGCGTTGCTGAAGTCCCACCGCATCTCCGCGGTTTGGTTTACTGTGCAGTAAGCAGATCCAGTGGTCTGAAGAATTTTACAGTGCAATCGTTACATACCGTAACCTTCTCCATCTCCGAGGTCAGCGCTTTGGGGTGAGCCATCGTGTTGACCCAGACACTCCGCGCCGTATCCCCACGACCTGCAGAGTAGGACGTCAGAGATGCTATGCACATAATCGGGCGATGCATACAGGAACAGGTTGAGTATGCCGCCGTCAACTTCCTGATTTTCTAGGACGATGCTGTTGGAGGCTCCGGATATGACGGCATTGAGCGGTTCACCCTGCCCGGGAGGATACGTGCCAGTTACACTCTGCGAGCGCTGTCAGCATGAAAACCGTCGTCCAAGCTGGTGCCGACGCACGGTCAACCAGTTCCCGCCATTATTCGACGCGTTGTAAAATCCTGCCGCGGGCACGGATGCTCTCCGCCAAAGGCGACTCGGGGTCGACAGCTGTGCGTAAGAGAAAGACGGGGCGCAGAGCATGAGGAAGAAGAGTGTCATGGATGCCATCTTGGCTAGCAAGACGGGACGGAGGAGGAGCGAGCAAAGCGAAAGGAGTGTATCGTGGTGTACCCAGCTGCAGCTTTACACAATTCAGTCCCGATTCCGGCAGCGCTCCCAGACACGTCCTTACATAATCGACACAATGCCTGCTCATTTGGGTTTTGTTCCTCTCCCTGCCCTGCTTTCCGCCCTTCTCTTCACACCGAGCACCAAGAAATCTCGCCTTCCTTCACACCCGTGCGTCACCTGGGTGGTATCTCTCGTCCAACCCTGCGGCTCTTCCACCGTCCTACTATCCGATAGTATCCTTCATGAACAGTCTCAAGCTATAATAAGACCCCAGTCGTGCTATTTCTGGCGCAGCGCCGAAGTTGCCTGCAGAATGTTATTATGGCAACTCGTCTCAGTGCTTGCGCCCTCAACAAGACCTAAGGCCTAGACCCTGATCTTCGCCGCTGCTGCGTAGCGCGTAACCGCTGTCAAGATTCCTCCGTGTGGTACAACGACCCATGCGCACAACACGAGACCATAATATCCGGCCTCATTCACGCAAATTTCGCGCACCTAAATCAGGACAACAGTGGGTGAGCGCACAACGGTCAGAAAGGTAGGCAAACAAACCCCAACGTACTACTACCAGATATGTATGTGTTGTGGCCGAATACTTACACGGTACGTACCCGCCAGAATTCGTCACTACTGCAGCGAAACGACCTTAGGTTCACAGGGTGTGACGCGGGACATGCCTGTTTGACTTAGTTCACAGTTCACATGTCAGTGTGACATGGGACACAAATTCAGTTCACACAAGCGCCCGAAACGCACGGTGTCGGGGAGCCAAAATTTGGGAATTTGGCGCCCACAATTGCATTTTGGGCAGTTCACAAACCTTTGTGACCCGTGACAGAACTTCAGGTCGTTAATTATATGCATCGCGACACGGAAGCAGATCATTGAAGGATCTTGAGGTTGTCCGACAGGATGTGCCGCTGTGCCCAAGTGCGGCACACGTGGATCAAGACTATCAGGAATGGAATTCCCAACAGAGCTCTCCTTAAGCTTTGTTAGTTCTGGAGAGGCACCTCGTTACGTGCACAGACGTTAGAGAATATTTGCTCATGTGGCACTGCATGAATATCCAGTAAGTTTGCTAGAGATGTTCTGGAATACTCGTATTAGAATGAACCGGTTGCATGTGCCTCTACCATCGATCTCCTTTCCTCCACTGCCGGAAGATGAACATCCCCAGATACGTTGAAGGATAGGACATTAGAAAGCAGAACCAGATCACCCAGAGGACATAGCAGAGATCATGACTTCAGGAGCAGACGATACATCGACGCTGATCCATACGAGAGAACTGCGCATAATTTACGAGGGGGAAATCGAGCATCAACATCAACGAGCTATGGCCGCGCATTCACCGAGGCCGTCGGACGGTAAAGACTTTAGAATGAGCATCTGGCGGGATCACATGACCTACGCGTCTTGACGCGTTCTGCGGAGCTTGAATTTGGGAAGTTGAACTCGGACCACGCTGAGGCTGTGGTTAAGCCTACTGTGATACCTACTCCTCCCCTTTGACGATTTCTGGACTTACGATACTACACAATGACCTCCGTTGGCTCTGTCACACGACAAATCGCGGCACTGGAGATATCCTCCAAGCAGAACGTTGGGCGACCCACTCATCAGAAGAAACCGAGTCAGAACAACGTTTCGAAGCTCTTGACTAAGTTTGCCTCACCGCATCCATTCTCTGCTCAGCCGGTTCTTACAAAGACTACGTCGAGCACCTCTCTTGCTAATAAGCAATCGCGGCCACCATCCCCCGTGAAACCCCCAGCGAAACCTGCGCTCGACATTGGAAAATATGATGGTGGATTCGAGATTGATAATGAATCTCGAGGAGAGCGGGTCTATGGAGAGGCCGCGAGACAGCTCGCTTTGGATTCAAGTGTATTGGGGTAAGCAGACAACATTCCGCAGTCATTGTCTCCCGCTAAGGTAGTCGTAGTGAACGACCTACACGAGAGTGGCATCTGACAGACTTTGACATTGGTCGGCCTCTTGGCAAAGGGAAGTTTGGACGGGTGTACATGGTGCGCACCAAGTGCGAGCCAAACTACATCGTTGCCCTCAAGTGCCTCTACAAATCCGAGATTGTCCAGTCCCGCGTCGAGAAGCAGATCCGGCGCGAAATTGAGATTCAACAAAACCTGCGACACCCACATGTTCTGCGCCTCTATGGCTATTTTCACGACGAGAAACGCATCTTCCTCATGCTCGAGTTCGCCGGCAAGGGAGAGCTCTACAAGCAACTCACAAAGCACGGATGCTTCACCGAGAAGCGCAGCGCACGCTACGTCGACCAGATGGCGGATGCTCTCATCTATCTACACTCGAAGCATGTCATTCACCGCGATATCAAGCCTGAAAATTTGTTGCTTGGCATCAACGGCGAGTTGAAGATTGGCGACTTCGGTTGGAGTGTCCACGCACCAGGAAATCGGCGGACCACTCTGTGTGGCACGTTGGATTATCTGCCTCCGGAGATGGTCGAGGGCCGTGACCACTCTGAGAAGGTTGATTACTGGGCATTAGGCGTTCTTACGTATGAATTTATTTGTGGCGCCCCGCCGTTCGAAGACCTGACTGGTTACAATGGTATGTCCTTCGGCTGTTTGCAGTCTCTTCTTTGGCTGACTTGTGTTGCCTAGCTACATACAAACGTATCGCAAAGGTGGACCTCAAAATTCCTTCGCGAGTATCGCCTGAGGCCCGGGATTTAATTGCTAAGGTGATTCATCTTCCATTCGTCAGGAGAATTGAATTCTGACCTTTGTAATAGCTTCTGCAATACGATCCCGAGAAGCGCCTTCCGTTGACTGAAGTACGGCGGCACCCCTGGGTGGTCAAGTACAGGTCGAAGGGCTCATCTACAGGTCCAAGTACATAGTGGTTACCTTCTTGTCTGGACGTTTCCTTGTGCATATTTATATCGCATTTTTCACAGGACAGGGTTACACATGAATGAATGAGTCGGCGCACCTGCTCTTAGGCTATCTTATGTCGTATGCTTTCGGTTTGCTTATGTCGGGATACTCTTCACTATTTGAATACGGGCGGGTGGCAGAAAAATACACTCTGTATTAGAGGTTGGAGAACATTTTCCCAGCGTCGTCAACGCCACGATCGATGAAGTACTTACTGTGCTCGTTCATCTTAACCAAGCGTGACGCGCAGACCTGTGACGACATAAGTATGTTTTGCGTGACCAGCAGCTTTTCGTAGTTATGATTTTAGCGTCTCATCCCCTGCCAGTGAGAAACATGTCTGCTCTGGAAACCTGTGCCACTGACGGCGTTGCTCGCAGTGGAGGTTCATTCTGAGCCACCAGCTCTCGGAGAAACGTCGTCCGACTTCAAAATCGGCTCTGATTTCGAAGAACATCGGGTCTCTCGCATCCTCCCGTTCATGGAGCCGTCGGCTGTAGCTAGCCCGCTTCAGTCCACCAGCAATCTACCTGCGTCACCACCTAACTCGGATGCAACTCATCCAGATGTACGGGCCTACGATGGTCCCGACCGCCCACCATTCGAAGTTGCCAATGAAACGGCCTCGCCTGTTCCTAGCACAGCAGATCGCAGACGCAAGAAGAAGAAGAAGCGACAAGGAGGCGGAGGTGCTGACCGTGAAGTTCCACGGTTCCCGTTCAATCTAGCGCTGACACTCGAGAACTCGGGGAGCGTCGCGCGAGACCACCTTGCCTCGGAACGCACTTTCTTGGCGTACGTGCGGACTAGTGTCGCGATTTCATCCACCGGTGTTGGTGCGTGTAGTGTGATACCCTTCATTCCATACTGTTCACTCACTTGAAGACAGCTCTGGTGCAGCTCTTCACCATCGCCGAGGCATCCAATCAGAAACTGGAGAAGTATTCACGGCCCCTTGGCGCGACGTTCATCATGATTGGACTGTTCACGCTCGCACTCGGGGGCGCGCGATATTTTGAAGTGCAGGGCGCGCTTATCAGAGGAGTGTATCCTGCAATCCGCATCAGTGTTGTTTTGGTCTCAGTCGCCTTAGGAGCGGTCATTCTCATTGTCTTCTGCATCATCCTCGCTGTAAGAAAATGATGCCTCCATACCGGGCTGCGGAAGGCTTGGAGATGGTAGAGGCAATCCCCTTTACTTCATAAGGAGGGGCATGATAGCGGATGGATGTACAACTCAAGACATGCTGTTCTCACTGGGTCAAGTCATCGTGAAGCCTTCAGCATCCACGCCTCAATAGCGTTTACCGCGGTCCTGGACTGGTGTTATTCTGACAAACAACCTGAAGCACTGTGTGCAGAACCATAGTACATATTCAGCGCGCTGTTGATTCGTGCTGGCATCAAGCTGGAGTGCACATCGAGTGATTTGGAGGTAGTGCAGGTGACCGTGTTCGCGCCGATGTATAGCGCCATAGCGCTGTTCGTTCGCGTGATAGCACGTTCTCCTCTTACGGCCATGTCGACTACGGAGTGGTATTACGGCAGTACGTGCTTCGTCAGCTGTTTTTCGCTCTGGATGCCCCCTCTGTGCTTCGCTGACATGCATTCTCATCAGCTCCGGGGCTGTTGTGCGAAGAGGAGGATATCTTACAGACGGCATAACGCCATATCACTCTGAATTGATATTGTATGGCTATTGCTCCGGTGACGGTTCTGGCCGCCGTTAGAAGCAGGAATCGGCTCAAGCCAGGCTGAGAAGTTGGGAATTTAACTCGGCAAATTTTCACTGTAACTATCCACCTCACCATGGTCAACGTCGCCCAGTTCATCCTTTCCTTCCTCCCGCTGGCCCTGTGGAATGAGCCGCATATTCCCGCGCACGAACATCCGGAGCACACGCCTGCCAAGTCTATCGCCATAGTTGGTGCAGGTAGTGGTGGCCTTGCCGCTCTCAGGACTATCCTCAATCTTCCTGAGGATACTCGTGCAGGCTGGGAGATTGTGCTCTACGAACAACATAGGAATGTTGGTGGTCTCTGGCTCCCAGACCCTCCAGGTTACGATGCGCGTCCGCCAGAGCTGCCCGAGAGTCCGGTGTACCCACTGCTGCATACCAACACGCCTCATCCGACCATGACCTATCCGAACTTCACGTTTCGGCCCCTGACCCCATTATTTCCGTCCTGGGACTATGTCGAGCAGTACCATGTCGACTTTGCAGAGCATTTCAATCTGACCCCCTACATCAAGCTCAACCACACAGTGGCAGATGTGCAATGGCGCGGAAACGCGATCAAGGGCAAGTGGGACATCGAGGTGCATACGCGTGGTGAAGCTGGTGAACTGGACGTGGTGAAGAGGAAGTTCGACCATCTCATCGTTGCCAACGGACACAACCACTACCCGTATATACCCACCTGGAATGGAACAGAGGGATGGTTGGCGAACACACCGCCTGGGACGCCCAAGCGAGAGATATTACACTCCATTTATTACCGTGACCCCGAAAAATACACTAATCGCAGCGTCATCATTGTCGGTGCTGGGGCCAGTGCTCGAGATGCAGCCCAGCAAGTTAGCCCACTCGCTCGTGAGGTGCGGTCGTCATCGCACACTAAAACAACAGACCACTGACAGCTTCCTTCGAATGATGCAGGCATACCAGTCGATAAGCCCCAGCAGTGTTCCCGCCCCAGGCGCGTCTGTCGTTGTCAAGCCACGCATCTTACATTTCACGGACGACTCTATCGTCTTCGTCGACGGTACGGTGTTGACTAGTGTCGACTCGCTCATCCTTGGCACAGGCTATGAGTTCCTCGTACCATTCCTCAGCGCGTCACCGTCATCCCCACTCAACGTCGACCCGCAGACGGCTGTGAATTCAACGACCGCCCACAAACTCACGACCAACCTGCGCTACATCTTCCCGCTGCACCGGCACATCTTCAGCCTCTCGTCGAGCTACCCATCCACGGCGCTCGCGTTCGTGGGGCTGCCGGTCCTCATCGCGAATTGCCCTTCCGATATCGCTCAGAGCCTCCTCATCGCGCATGCCCTAGCCAACTCGTCGTTACTGCCGACCCGTGAGGCGATGCTCGACGAGCTGGTCCAGCACGAGGACAGCCTCCGTGTGCGCGGTCTCGACCCATACTACGTCGGGCACCGTCTCGTCGGTGGAGACACGGAGGCGCAGGACTATCAGGACAACTTGATCGAGTACTTGAAGAAGGTCGGCGTGCTCCCAGATGATGGGAAGAAGTACGTCGAGCCGTGGAGGCGCTTGGGAAGGACGGAGTCGGATCTGATTAGACGCGGTTGGCAGAGGGTCCAGGAGCTGGGGGAGGACGCCAAATGGCTGGACGGTGCGTTGACCGAGGAAGACTGGGCGGGTGTGCTGGTAAGGTTGGTGGAATGGCAGCGAGAGTGGGAAAATGAACATGGCATTATTTGGATGTAGAAGTGAAGTGTAGATACTTTATCTAGGAAATACCCTTATCATGTCGCTGTTCTCAAGTCGCACGTATACAAGTCGTTGGCGAAGGGTTGAATATCACCCCGAGATGTCATGTAGTGCGGTGGTGGAGTTCCCTACTGCCATTGATGGATCTCCTTACACGCTCAAGTTTCCAGTCCACAAGAAGGCTCCTGTATCTGCTGGTCCAACGGTCTGGATGACCTTCAGCATTCCTTTTACCGACTCCTCAGGAGTGATGGCAGTGATATCCTGCAGTCTCCTGTTATAGTCAGTCTTGTCCGTATCGACGTCTGCGAGTGTCCCAGCGCGCGTTTGAGCAGGTGTGCGATCGGCTACAGAGCAATTGAATCCCACCAACCTCAGCAGTGAAAACTTTTGTTATAACAAATTATAGAGGAGCTCACACTCGTCAACAACGGCAGTAGCAGAGGTGTCCACCAACCCTGGGGACAGTGCAACGACGGTGAACCCTTCATTTTCTAGGAGGGCGGCGTATTTCGTCACGACCATGTGAGTCCCGGCCTTGGTCGTTCCGTAGGCTGCCATACTCTCCAGACTTTCAACACCCATTTCGGATCTGCACCAGCCGAACCGAGAATGATAATCTTCTTGGCTGTGCCCTTGCGGAGCAGCGGTAGAAACGCATTGACAGTGTGCACAACGCCTAGCACGTTGACTTTGAACTGATACGTCGGAATGCGTCAGTAGAACGGGGCGAGGACGAATGGAAGTACTGACGAATTGTAGAAAATCTTCGTCCAGTTGTTCTTCGCTCTCACTAGACGAATGGGGAAAGGTAAGGTCAAATCTATGCACAATCGGAGGGGCACGGACTAATTGGTGAGATTGCGATATAAGTGTGGGCCCTCCAGGCGTGCGGCATTGTGGATAAGAACATCTAGTCCTCCGCCAGTGAGCTGTGCGATCTCAGCAGCAGCAGCCTATTTAAAAAGTTGGCAAGCCACCCATCAAGTCGCGGGACTCGGAGACACTTTCCTTCAGCGCATAATGATCCACGACATCGGCTTGGAAGACGTGGATATTGTTGCCCGCTGCAGCAACTACCGAAGCGAGATGCGAAGACCTAGCTTTATCCCGCACTAGCACAAAGACCGTATTATCCGGGTTAGCAGACTGCGGACCAAGTTGTCAGAGTTGTAGGGGAGGGAGCGTCGCCGTTTGATATCTGCAGCTTACCAGCTGTCTAACGAATTCCAGTCCGATACCACGTGATCCACCCACGACTGCGTATGAGGGCATTCTGGCTATGATGAGGACGAACACCTTTGACGCATGCCACTCCCTGGTTTTACAGTATAGTGCTAGTGTCTGTATCACTAATGAGGGTGCAATTGTGCATGCTGACAAAACCGTTGCGCATGGACTTCTGCTGACACAGGCTGACACTAATATCGATGACCCGGATGTGCTGTCAGGCCCAGAAGTGCCATCGTATTTTCTGCAGGTCATTCCTCTTGTCCGATAGCTTCGTGGATAAAGTGTTGTACATATAAACTCAATGCTATAAAAGTCTGGAAGGCAGGTGGTCACAGTTCACTTCCAGTAAAATTTCAGAGAACAGATCATCCAGTTGGCATTTGGCACACCTCGGCATCTCTCCAGACTCTCTAAAAAATCTATAAAATTACCAGTAGTATTCGACACGCTATGGGAGATATATTGTCGATGCCGAAGGGAAGCGGACAAGATGGTGAGCAGTGGGGACAGAAGTGCCATCCGGGACATCGGTAGTAAGTAGCTAGCTAGCGCGGCAATTTGTCGTATCGAGACGTCAGCAATATAAAATCATCGACCCTACACTTCCTTCCTTAGGCCAAGTAGATTTATGCAGGGCTCGGATTGAACTCGCACTTCTATTCTTCATACAATAACGACGTGTTTAGCCTCTTCCAACGAATGGCATCCCAGTGGCCCTGTCCAACATTTGTCAGCACATGAGCAACACAGAGGAACGGGTTTCCTGACATGATGTTGAACGTGAGGACGGTGACTTCGTGCGGAAGCTCAGCAATGTACGCAACCGCGTCCCCGACGTGGTCGGCGTTCATCATGAGCTCGGGAACGACTCGTCCATCGGCTTGCAGTGCACCATCCAAGTGATCTGATGACATGTCCGTGCGTGCATTACCTGACCATGATATCAATATCAGGCCTAAACTGTGGAGGGCAACGCGACACCCACCAACATCGATTTGGGTGCAGGTGATGTTAAACTTTCGCCCGTCCAGTAAGGTGGACTTTGTGAGCCCAAGGATGGCGTGCTTTGAGGCAGTGTAAGGCGCTGAATGCGGGCGAGGAGTATAAGCCGAGATCGACCCATTGTTGATAATACGGCCTGCAGAAGCACGGCTTCAGCAGCTGTAAGTAGTGCGAGCGCACTTGCAATCTGATGCTCACCACCCTGAGGAGACTGTGCCTTGAAAACCATGATCGCCTCTCGCGTGCAGAGGAGGGCTCCAATGAGATTGACGTTGACCACCTTCTGGATGTCGGAGAACGACAATTCTTCTAATGGTATCTGGTCGACGTTTGTTCCTGCGTTCTGTGCACGGCGATAGTATTATGACTTGATGAGAGCCACGCTGACGATGCGTACGTTGAAGAGCAGATCCAATCGTCCTACACTGGGGTCAGTGATCGACATGCGTCATTTCTGGACGCATCGAATACGATCTGAGATCGTATCGAACGCGTCAACAGATGAAATGAGGGAGAGCATCCCACCAAAGCGATTAACGGTCTCCTGGAAGAGTATGGCCACGTCTTCCTCGCTGGATACGTCTCCTGAAATCGTCAGGCACTGAGACGGATTGGAACACATGGACTTGGTTTCCTGGAGGTTATCGAGACGCCTAGCAAACAGGACGATCGTCCACCCTTTCTTTGACAGAGCGATGGCACTCGATCGCCCAATTCCTGAGTAGCGATATGATATGGAGGTGACATTGTCTCACTCCTGAGGAGATGTTTCACGCACCAGACGATGCACCTGTGATGATCGCTACTTTCACCATGTTTGCACTAGCAGCTTGTTAACGTTGAGGTCAACGTGAGTGACCCAGATCCTGATCCTAGCGGAGTACGGTAGTTGCCGGCCAGCAGTTACCTGACATCATCTTGCGTCTCAAGTAGGGCTGGCACTGTCGACTGCAGTCTGAGAAATTTCCTTGATATACGAACTGTGGTCGTGTGGAGTAGATAAAATAAGACGAGAGGACGGAACACCTTGAGAACTGGGTCTTGGTGCATGAAGGGCAAGGAACGCGGTCTGCGAGCTGCGTCTTGTAGCTGTAAGCTGTATATTGCATAAGCTGTATGTATATAAGCTGAGCTGTATCTTGCAAGCTGTATATTGCACCTCCACTGGAAGCCGGTGCAAACTGGAAAGATATTATAAAGACAAGTGACCGTTCCCCACATCTTCTGAACGCCAGCGGTTCGTCAGCATTGTGACTACATTTTCCAGAAGTGTCTCCATCTTCGACATCCGACTATCTGTTTGAGCGATCAACGTGGCGAGCGCCTTGTCTATCTCCTGCTGTCGCTGGCCCATGTCATCGAAGCATTGCTCCATAGTGACGAACCTGCGCTCGATAGCAGCAAGTCTCTCCTCTACTGGGACAGGTTCCTCTTTGCGGCCATATGTCTTTATGAGAGGATGGTCGGACTGGTGCGAACCTGCACCATCATCGGTGTTCTCCACCCGACCTCGTTCAACTGTGTTCTTCTCAGCCATGTCTCGTTTTCCCTCGCAGCTGTTGCAAATAAAAGTATTCTCTGTTGGGCAATGTCAAGATCGCCAATGATGCTGCACAATAGCAGGCGTATAAACGTACCCGGACAGACAGTGCAATACCAACAAGTTGAGGGGTCCGTCAACGTTGCTCCACAATCGCGGCAGAGGTACGTTCTCGGACATCCGTTGCCGTATGCATTTCTGGTGTTCGCAGACCCCACCGTCTCCTTGACAGTGTCAAAGGCCGTAATTGCCTTATCTGCAGTCGCCATCCAACGACGACTCATTGCCGGGAAGTCGGATGCGAGTACGACGATTCTAGTTTTAAGAATTGTGTGCGTGGGTAGGTGGGGTGCATCCAAATCGTTCCTCTCAACACGGGCAGTAGCGCAGGGAGACTCCGCACAAAGATCCACTGTCATAGGTAGTTTGGGACCTTTGCAATCAAGACAAATGATCCGAGCGCCCACGATGACATTCTGGCAGTCGATGTTGCAACATTTCACGCCGCTACAAGTCGAGACATAGATCAGAGCCAGAGCTGCTATCGTCTCGGGAAGGACTTACAAGTGGATTGGCATGACTCGCAGTTGGTAATTCCGGATGGAGCAGTAAAACCTTGCATCGGAGTGTGTGAATGACTGAAGACACTGCGCCATCTCCTTTCGTTGGTTGGCGTTAAAAGCCTTGCGGTAGTGGTAGTGAATGGATAACTCTATGAACCTCTTGCGGAAATGTTGACGACGCTTGAAGTGTGACCACGAGAACATCTCTCTGCGAACTTGAGCCAGAACAGCGCTCCGCGCGAATTGCCACAAACCTCGGATCCTGTTCTCCCTGAACGTTTCAGGGGATGGGCGATAACATATGATGTCTGGAGCAACCCGCTTGAAAATGAAATAATAAGACCAGGGCATTGGATGATCCCCCCTCCATTTGGAATTTTCTGTGAGAGCTTGTTCTTCCATCCCCGACTCGACAACTGCCCACCGCCCCGCCAAGGTCTGCCCCTCATTGTCCACAGTACCCGAGAATACTTTGCTGAACCAGCGTCCAGAGTATTTCATTGTGAATACAACATCAGCGCATCCATCGGCACCTGCTCTGGACTGCCCCTTGATGCAGAAGTCCGTACCCTCGTCTATGATCGATACTGCCGAGAATTCTTGAGAATCGCGTTTCGCCGCATGGATAAAAAATGATCTCATGCAGTACGAAGGGTACATCCCGGCCTCGTACATGAAGCCACACCAGTACCCTAAGCTGCACAGCTCGTCAGCGTTTCACAGGATTTAAGAAATGATAGGGCGAACATTGCCTTTACCGGTCCATCAGCCACTCGGTCTTCTTCAGACTCATGTTCGTCCGAGACCTCATAAGCTTCGCAGGCGAAAGGATGGTCATCGACGATTGGGAATTTTAGAATGGCCATGTTCATGGGTTCCGGCTCACTCTTTTCGTTATCACTGAGAGTGGGTGTCCAATTTGCAGTACCTTCTTTCCCGCCATCCAAGTTGAACTATCGCGATATCAGTAGACAACACAATGTATGCGGAAAGGCTGACCAGTCCTGCTGCAAAACGTTTGAACTCCGCCGTATCAGGCAACTTCCTTTGATGGAATGTTTCTGCAACCGTGAAGAAGCTTGGTATATATGATTCGACTGACAGAACGGATTGGATAGCAAACCTTGAAGATGTTTGCGCCGGCGAGCCGCGGCCCTCATCACCACGTCGATACTCCTTGCAGCATACCATATATCTTCCTGTCGAAGCACGCATTGGCAGGAAATCCTTATCACTTGGTAGAACCGCTCGACAAGGAGATATAACAGCGGGAAAACAAACTGGCCTGACAGTCAAGCACACCATAGGTTCAACCCCATTGCGAGTGCTTACCTTCTCAATCCTGCCAGGTCCGGTGATGAGGACGAGGGTATCTGGGCCGTCGATATCGAAGCGAACTGCCTCCAGATTTCTCCGCAGCCTAGTTTGCTCCGCGTCGACATAGCTCTGGAATCGGGTTCTCAGTGGACGGTTGGTATTGTACTGCTGTAATGCGTATATGAGCAGCGCCGTCGGTCTCCAAATAGACGACAGCAGATTGTCGACCTGGCAACGATTTGCGGGATGGATGGCCCGTTTGGACCTGAGCTCGTATATTCTCGAGAAGAGTTGACTGATCTTCTCACGGTAAAAGTTACCTGACAATTGCCATCCTTCAAATGGTTTAGTAGGCATCTGCATCAAGGATGGAATGCGGTACCAATTGCCCAGTAAGCCAACCAGTGGAGCAAGCTAGTGCAACCATCGCCTAAATGAGTACCGTACACAGCGAAGTTAAGCGCGTCTCACCTCCAATCAAGAGGTCGAGACGTTGTCATCTTGTTTGCCTCTGCGATGGTGATGAAACCTGAAGCATCATCGTCGAAAGCCTCTGAAACCAGCTGCAGCCTCGAAACTTGGATCCATTCAAGAGCCCACTCATCCCCTCGCAATCGTTTGCGGTCCTCTTCGTACTGAGGATCGTCCTTCCTTTCTTCCATCACTTCGTGGTAGTAATCGTGGGGCGCAAGCACAAAGTGTCGTGTCTTCACGCTCCCCCGCCAGCCCTACGCTTTTTTGTGAGCTACAGCAGGACCTCAAAGCCCCGACACATTCTTACCATGTCTTTCCAGATTGTGTACACTGTCTTCAGACACGTGAATGAATTACACAATGACAAGATATCAACAGAGTGGAGAATGCTCACGGGGTCTTTGATCTTGTCATGAGGACCCGCCGTGACCTCAGATATGATTCTGTCTCCCTCTCGATGCATAGTCCTGGACACCTCGTCGATGATCTGATTTTTCTGCATCTCGAACTTTGATACAAAGATTGTCATATTGTGCTCTATCGCAGTGGCAGGTTCTTCGCGAAGATCGTTCTTCAGTAAAACTATGTCAGTTTCACCCGAATTGTCCCAGGGCTGGACAGAGCTAGGAGAAAGAACGTCTGATGTCCCGTCTCCGTACCATTGCTGGCCGTTGGACTTAAGTACTACTTCGTAGGCACTCAAAGCCTTCAGGTCGTTGTCATTCTCCACGACACGATCGGCTCCGCCGCATTGAGCGACCCGATGACCTAGCTCTCGCTCTTCGGAGGAAATATGTGATTGGAAGAATGCAAGCATCAATTCCACTCTAGACGTGCAGTGAGACCTTGAAAAGCGAATGGCTCCCAAATACTGCGACTCACTTCGCGTTGATCTCGGTCAGGCTGATATTTGCCTGGTCCATGCCTAAGCCGGTATGGACGGTAAGCGCAAACGCAAATTGCGAGCGCCGTTCCGTGAAGACGCCAACGAAGCGCACCAGATTCATGTTCCACAGAGGACCTTTCAACACTTTGACGATGAGCTTCTTGCGCGAATATGTGTCGCAGGCATTCGCACATGCTTTGATGTCGTCCACGGTCTGCTCGACGAGTCCCTGCAGTCGGTCTTTGATAGTCGTACCGCTTTGCTCGCTGTCACCATCCTTCATATCCTTCAGCCTGTAGGTTGGTAAGTGACACATGGATGCCAAGCTAGGAGGTGTGCATACTGCACTAGAATCGCCATCATGTCCTTCATCTCCGCGTAGAGCGCGACGATCTTCTTGTCATTCTCGCGATGTGTCGTGCCCAGCACGTATGCCGCCTTGAACGCAAGGATCGCAACTAACCCCCCAGAATCAGTACATGTCGTGGAGGGATTCTGATCAGCAAACACTCACCTGCAACAAAAGGGTGCACTTTCGCGACCTCGTCGAGAGCGCTCATGAGCATCGGGATGCCTTCCATAAAATGCTCCACAGTATTCTCGATACTATTCAATGCAGAAGGGTCCACCTCTTCAACGATGTTCGTGTAGACTCCCAGCTTCGAAGCACCATTCTGAAGGGAAGCTGGGATACCTGGAGATTGATCGATGAAACACATCAGGACAGATCGCACAAAGACACATACGAAATACGAGGCTAGTATCCTTCGCGCTATCTGCCATGTCAGAGGCTACTCTTTCCACTCTGTCGTGTGCCTCGGCGAGGTTTTTGGCAATTGCTTCATGCTCGTCATCATGTGTTGCAGGGGTTGGGAAGGAGATTACAGAGTCTATAGCTGCATGGCGTACGTGCAAATCACGAGCTGGTTCTCCAGCATCACTGGAGGACTCGGATCTCTGCAGAGGTTCGGAGCTGACACGATCACGGTGGGGTTTCAGATGGCGGCCGATCGAATGAACAAAGTCGGAGGCAGAAGACTGAGGCATTTTTAGACCAGGAGATCCAGTCGTCAGAGCCTAGCCACGATCTGCGATGCTACACTGTAGGGTGAAGATGATATGAGAATACAACACAAAAGCGAAAACAATCCTAACTGCGCCCACGTGTCAATGGCGCTGTCGCAAGCAACCTTGTTGGCCCAGAGGCTCAATGACGATGATGGCTTACATTTGGGATGCTACCCACGGCTTAGATAGTTCTGGACAAGGAGTGCTGCACGACTGGGATCGCCCATCACCAGCTTCACGTCTTTTATACCACTCCTCCCCCCGGCACAGTGCGCATGCAGATCAAGCTGTCAGCGTAGCTAGGGAAATGATCACAGGATCAGTTAAGTGATCAATTCCACCTGTGAAGGCAAGTGTGAAGGCGGCTAAATTTGATTGGTACCCGTCAAAACGTTGGTCACGTGTGATATATGTGCCGTGTTCCTCCTGACGAATCGGAAAGGGAATAACGAAACGTGAATAATGGCTAGATGGTATTCTGTGACAATGAATGGCTGATCAAGTTCACCGAAAACTGACAACGGAATTCACAATGAACCACGTACGTTGCAAGGCCGAGAACGCTTGAGCCAGTATCAAGAGACAGACGCACAGATCAGAGGAAAATAGTCGATAATTACACAGGGAAGGTGTACTTTGGTCGACAATGATGAGTATAGCTCCGGAGAACCCAGCTGAACTTGAACAATGGCATAGGCTGTGCAACAACTGGAGCGCTCACAAGCGGATGTGTGGTGGAACCGTACAAAGATGGGATGGCTTTTCAGAGACATACGTCGAGGCGGCTTCAGACGAGGAAACTGAATCTCGCCGAATGATATGCTGGTTCCGAGAGCGGCCTGTCTAGAAAGTTGACACCGTTGCACGTCGTGATACATGAACTGCGCCACTCTAATCGGAGGATCAGATGCAACGATTTTCCAGTGATAAGAACTGACATGTAGAACCATGACAAGTCAGTGGCCCTGAACGGTGCTGGGCAGCACAAGCCCTAGGCCTGCTAAAGGAGAAGATCTTGATTCGTGGCTGCGAAGATATCCTGCATACAGACACACCTTCTTAGAGACGCCTAGACGTTCCTTCTGTCTTAATGAATGCTTCCAACTCGTGCATTCCAAACTAGAGCATGAGGCCCTCCAAGTTGTTGTCGTACGATGTGCGTTCGGTCGCTTCATCTTGGATCCTCCCCGCAAATCCAGTAAGATCAGCGCCGACTGGTCTCCCGCATGGTACAATATGGCTATGCGTGATTGGCTATCATGTTGCTGCAGGTCGCCGTTGACGCGCACTCGTGGCCTTCAGCTTCAAGTTCCACCTTCGGAGATCCCAGATAGGGCCCTGCATGTCGCCGTCTTCCGCACTCGCTGCACACACCTTGACAGCGCCTTAGCAGTGCTCGCACTCCGGTCTTCCTCCGAGTTCAGTGCTCTAAGTCTCCAGCGTACCACTGATGTCGTAAAGCCGTCGACGGCTCCCTCGCATTGCATTCTGCCTCCGAATCATATAACATGTGGACCGACTCGATTTGCTCCGTGCGCCTCCGCCACATAATCGTGCTTTTGTCGGCGTACCTGGGGTTGGAGGAGTGCCGCGCGTGCGGGGATGTTGTTCAACGTCAACAAAGGCAATTCATTAGTTTGCTAGCCTGAAGATGAACGATTGATTAACTTACTGCTCTGTAATGCATGCTATTCTCTAGTTTTATGGTGCTGGCAGCTGTATCACCAATGAGGGTGCAATTGTATATACTGACAAAGCTGTTGCGCAGGGAGGACCTTTGTGCTGCCATTAGCTACCTGACGTATCGAGAGATGAAGTAAGGCAGAGCATCCCACCAAAGCGAGCAATGGTCTCTTGGAAGAGCATTAGGTTATCGAGACGTCTAGCAAACAGGACGACCGTCCACCCTTTCTTTGACAGAGCGATGCGGCACTCAATCGCCCAATTCCTGAGTAGCAATATATAGAAGTGATATTGTCTCCCTTATGCGGAGCTGATTTTCACGCAGAGGATGCACCTGTGATGTGATTGCGTATACCTTCACCATATCAACTCAACGAGATCAATGTATATGGTTCAATCACCTTTCTGAATAATAATGACATCGAATCTGGGCTCACCTCTGCGAGTCTCCGTTGACTGGGTGATTCTAGTGAGTTCTAGCGGAGTGCGGAAGTCTCCGGCAGCTACCGGATTTGTCTGACGTCATCTTCCGTCTCCCGACCGCGCCACCATAAGTAGGGCTGGCGCTGGTCGACTGCCATCTGCATCCCAACCAAACCAAACCAAACCCTCAATAACCGTACATTTTCGGAGGACATTAATACTGCAACTTGCGTATCTTCAGGCAGATTATAACCACTCTCTCGGCGATACTCCACGATGTCGTCGTTCATGTCATCTATGGTCGCCACCATGCAGATATTAGCCAACACTCCCATGGTGCCACCACTGCCAAAATCCGATACAAGCGAGGTTCCCATGGTGGATTTTCCTCCACCACCGAGGAGGAATAGTGTTGACTCATCCGTGCGCCCGGTTTGTCGTGTGTCAGGTGTTTACCACTGACGCAGAATACAGAGAACCAGTATGGACAGCGTGACTTCGTCAGACTCCGAGTCAACGCCGTCCTTTGGGAAAGGAACAGGAGAAATTCCATGAACTTCACAATCAAGCATAGAACTGCAACTACATTATTTGTTTATCTTCTCTTTGGCATGTTCATCCTTCTAGTGTTGGCATGTTCATCCTTCTAGTGTACACTGCATACCCTACCCCTATTGCACTCAGCATACGGTACTTATTTGCGTCTAATTTGCCCTTAATTGTTGCATCGTAGTAGTTCTTCACGAACTATTTGGCCATGGTTACTGTAATTCAAGAATAATGATAATCCAGCATTACTTTCATGGTTGCCCGGGTTAAAGGAGCAAGGACATGTCTATTCGAGATATTTTCTTTCTCTAGCTAGAGTTGACTGCTGCGCCAGTCAACCCGAATGTTGTCGCGATGACGTCCTGGACACCCTCCTGCAACCCTACCTTGCTATGCGAACCCCATAGCGATTCCACGTAGACCACTCTGCCATACTTACCATCGAACTCCTCCACTGTCCCGAAGTTCGGCACCTCGACCTTCCTAACGAGCGCGGTCCGCGCATCTCTTCTCTTTGACTGCGCGTCGGTGAAGGCCGCGAACTCGGGACCATTCACGACGATCCCGGGAGTAGACGGGAGCACACCAGGCGGCGGAAGGATGGTGTCCAACAGCCGCTCGAGGAGTGTGTGTGAGTGGGAATGCGGGACTTCGAAGTCGTCGACGGAGTGCGCGATGAGAGTCGGCACGTTAAATTCCTGGTAAGACATAAGTGAACATTCAGGGAAGGTGGAGAAAGCACTAACTTCGATTACAGAAAGCGTATCGAACGCGTCAATGATCAATCTCCTCACGAGCTCTGTCGAATCAAATCAGCACATCATGCTGATATCACCCAGATGACACATACTTCGGCCCCACGCGAACCTCTGCAAGGGTTGCAGGATAGGATATCCCATTGGGTTGTACGTCTCCGCTAGCGATGTGACACTGGAGAACGGCGCAAGGAGTACGATTCCGCGCGGCCTCACGCCCTCTTTTGCTAACTGCGACCCGAGCTTCCCTGCCACACCTGTCCCGAGGCTGTGCCCGACGACGAGGATGTCCTCCGCCTTTGCGCCGTGGTCCAGTAGCCATGTCCATGCCGTGTATGCGTCGAGCGCGAGGCCATCCTCGGACGGGGAGCCTTCGCTGTCGGCGAACCCGCGGTAGTCTATGGTGAGTAGATTGACCTGAAGGCGCGAGGTGAACGAGGTGAAGTGTTGCACGCGCCAGGCGGTAGCGCGGGTACCGGCAGCTCCGTGCAGGTACAGGACGGTGGGATGAGCGCGCATGGCACTCTGTATGGTATCCATGGAAGGTGTAGAGAGGGGCGCGGGCGCAGACGTTCGCAGCGACTGGTAGTAGGGTTCGGAGAGGATGAACCACGCCCCAAGCGTGACGTCGTCGGATGTATGCAGTTTGAAGTCTAAAGTTTTGCCAGCTAGAAGTCATAGTGAGCACGATGAACGGTGCGCCATAGTGTGATAACCGATTGACGGTGGAAGGCTGGAAGCAATACCACAAGGCAATGCGTTGACACTACATCTGTGGTTAGGCGATGTGATCTATCTGGCGTAGGCCTTGTCATGACCCAGGGACAAGTAAAGTGTACTTCTGTCCACTCCAATGGACGCATTCGTGGTACAAGCCATAAATACATACCATTGGTGTAATCAGAGCAAATAACCATCTGCAACTGGGACATGAAGGAGATATGCCAACAGCCTTCTGGATGGAACGAAGAGTCAAAAACTTACGCGCGAACCCAAAAGATTCAGGAACATCGAACTTCGCCCCCCATGGCAATCTAAGTGCGTGCTGGTAGGACGCTCTAAGAGATAATTTGAACTTGAACCAGACCAAGATTATGACAATCTGAGCGATCTACTTACTGCCGTTGAAGAACCGGGCTCGCAAGCGCTACGATTAGAATAATGTACAGAATAGCGACATAGAAAACAAATTTATGGGCTCTAGCGAGGAATCTTTGGTTGGAGGAAGCAGAGGAAGGACCTGCCATGACAATCCGGGCAATCGATACTGGGCGTCTATTAAGCTCCGCTTATGTAGGTACCGGTGGCCACCACTAATCACCGTGAATGAGATTAAAAAACCTTGACGATGAGCTCCTCTGCATGCTCGATGACCTCATGAGCCTGGAGCCTGTCAACCCGCTGAGGGTCTCCCTTTCGAGACGGGCAGGATGCCGGCAAGCGAGTAGCCTTACTCCTTCGGCTTATTTGACTCTGCCAGTAGTGTTCCGAATGTCAGTACGTACTTCAGTCTCAGTTTTTGAGTGTAGACTCCGGAAGTCTCTTGCGATTTTTTGGTCATGCCTGGGAACATTGACCGCGGCGGCATCCGCACAAGTCGGAGCATAGCCATCAGTGCATGATCCCAGGAGACGATGCCGGCGCCCGTGTGGCTGTGCATGGTTTGCTTCGCATATACGTCATCGGAGTCGTGAGTATCGCCATATTGCCTCCCCAATGAAACGTTCCGCAGATCTCTCGTGGTATGCCATATATGTTCTTCAGCTCATCTTCTGATTGAGCCTCTGAGGAATGTGGCGTTGAGGCCATAGCGGTGTGGTAGCGATTGCTCGGCGGCGGCGGGAAGAATGTCGAGTTATGTAGACGGCCAGTTCCTCCGATTTGATGGCCAATGTACTACATCCCGCCCCAAGAGTGGGGCGGATTGGATTTTAGTGCCAGCTGGTATGATGATGCAGGTGATGTAATCTCGACTAACCAGCAATGCGGCGAAACTCGTCCTTGTTTCAGGTGTGCATGTACGCACTGCGGGTCCAGTCTGCCACGAGTACCCGTCGAGGTTCGAGGTATAAATGCTACAACCGCTGAAATGAGGTTCGTCATCCACCACCCTATCCTTCGTTCTCCAAGTGCGATCTTCTCACTTAATCCACAGACAACATGTTCTTCCTCTTCGCATTCGTGCCATTGGCTCTCGCTGCCCTCACCTTAGCATCTCCCTTGTATTCTCGTCAAGCGTCGGGCCCGTGCACCGGCATTAGCGGAGGGTACGACAGCATGTACAACTTCACCTTGGCTGCATTCAACCTGACGCTGCCCAATGCGAACTCCACCGGAGCGCCACTCGTCGTTCGGTTCAATCAGTGGACCGGAAGTGCCACTGCGTCGTACTTCTCTGCGCTTTCAGTACGTCCTACAAAACAACCTATAGGATGCTGTGCAGTTTCGTTCGGAAACCCCAGGCTGATGAGTTTGTGTTACAGACCTACTACTCGGCGCATTCGAACAACGAACCCACGCTGTCACTCGTGAATGGCTCGCTCATCCCAAGCAACCCAGCGGATGCTGACGTCTCCTCGACGAACCTCGCCGTCTCCGCGAGCAGCCAGCTGCTCTTCGAGTTCTCCACGGAGGAGTCCGAGCTTCCCGCTCCCATTCAGAATTATTGCATCATTGTGAGCTCCTTGCTTTGCTGTCTTCGCATATATGGATACTGAACTCACTCTTCAGGACTCTCCCGACTCCCCGTACCCGATACTTGCTGTAAACGGCGTCACCGACGCCTTCTCCCTCTGCGAGAGCGACACTCCCTACTACTTCGGTATACCGAATGATGTCATGTTCCAGGCGACGGAGGACAACGGGCACACCTACAATTACACATCCTGCTATCCCGTCCGTCTGCAGGTGGTGTACGAGCAAGCTTGAGTGGGTTTCTGTTGAATTTTGGACATGGACAATTGATCCATCACAATGACTTGAACACTGCATGCAGCATAGCTTATACTGACAACACGGACTTCATAATGTTCACATACTGTACATTCATTCTATAGTGCTATACATAGTGACTGGAGGTAACGTCTGTGTATATGCACTTCCACTGACAAATGCATACAGTTTCTCCATGTCACGTAAATGGGCTAGCCTAGATGGTGTAGTCAAAGTGCTGAGAGTCGAGGCAGATGTCGTCCGTCGACCTCCATTGGGAGCTGACGCAAACTGGAAAAGGACAAGTGACCATCCCCCACTACACCTTCCGACTGAATGCACACTAGGCGCAGTCTCCTACCCATTCGCCCGTGGGCGGAACAGAGACTTATTCTGAAAATGCAGTTATATGTTTTATGCAAGATACCCGATTCTACCACCTCTTCCAAAAGGAGTAGCTGTCATCACATTTTTTTGGGAGAGTTTCACGCAATTATGCAAAGAGAGTGTCTGGGAGACTCATATCACCTTCCGAGCTGCGGTGCTGTAATCACACTGGCTAGTGTTTTCTGTCATTTTTTGGGGCTCCGCCACATAGGTGTCGAAAACCTGTTTAAAACATGTATTTTATTGCTTATAACTCGAGGGCCTGAGCGTCGCAGGTTAAACTGTCGATAACCTCGCCGGGAGTTTTCCCCGGAACAGTACTGTAGAAAAAAATGGGCTTTAGCAATTGAACGAAATATATTGGGCGTCTATGGCGGGGATCCGCCTCATAAACTTTGGTCCTCCGGACTTGCCGCCGGTTCGCTCGCTTTTCGCCGTGACGGTCCGCGGAGAAGTGGCCGCAGTCTGTTTGCTCGATTCATGGCATACAGCATTCGGTAATGATTCAGGGTCCAGTCAGCTACAAAAGCTGACATGTTTTTGCTAGCACACACATAACGACACCTTATGTCTTTTGTGCTATAGATGCAACGTATAGACTTCAAGTGGACACGGATTAGACACAGTACATCCCACCCAAGCCCTTCTTCCGATCATCATAATGTCTGAACAATACTCCCCAAGGTTATCTTTCACGGATGCAGGATCACTTCCATCGGACTCAGTCTCGCGCTCAGACCCTGGGGACATCAGCGCGGCATCCTCGTCGAGATCTCCTTCCCATCACAGGACACTCTCAAGAGTAACGGCTTGGCTGCGCGCTTGCCCCTTCGCGTCTGGGATAATTCGCGATGTTAGTTCGCGCGCACCATATTATGTTAGTGACTGGCAGGATGCGTGGAACTATAGAGTAATTCCTGCAATTGTCCAGATATTCTTTGCCAAGTGAGTGAAATCGTCACAGGCGAGCATTGGCCAGCAATACTGCCAGAAATCGTCGGAAAGAGCACAAAGAACTGACGTATGCTTTCCCAGTGTTCTGCCAGGCATCGCTTTCTCCCTAGATCTCATAGAGACCACTCAGCAGTATGGCGTGTCAGAAGTGCTGCTGTCGTCTTTCATGGCGGCGTTCGTCTTCTCCGCCTTCGGCGCTCAACCCCTTTGCATAGCTGGGGTGACAGGACCTATCACCGTCTTCAATAAGACCATCTACAACATCATTGAACGACACCCCGATCCTCCTGAATATCTACATTTTGTCGGCTGGGTGTATCTATGGGGCGCAATTTTGCACTGGATAACTGCGGCCCTCAACTGTGTGTATTTCTCCATGATTTCGCGAGAATGGGCTGACCGCTTGGAAGGGTGCAACTTCCTGAAGTATGTCACACTCTTCTCGTGCGATACATTTGGCTTCTACGTAGCATGGGTCTACCTCCAGTACGGCGTGCAAGTTGTAACTCGAGAGTTTTCCTCGTCAATCACCTCGGCCTCCACTCTAGACGGAGCGTTTGTCGGCATCGTCCTCGCCCTCCTCATGCTTGTTACGTCTTTCGTCTTCCGATCGCTCTCTCAATCACCGTACTTCCATCGCCACGTCCGTCGCATTTTCGCAGACTACGGCATGCCCGTCGCGCTGATTGCTTCCTCTGCGATGGCGTACTGGGGGCGGTTCAACCAGGCAAACCCGAGCACCCTACCTGTTGGTCGGGCCTTCCAGCCAGCGAACGGTCGAGAGTGGTTGGTGCGGTTCTGGCAGCTGGATGGGAAGTGGGTGGGGATTGCATTCCCCTTCGGCTTCGTCCTCTGGGTTCTATTTTTCTTCGATCATAATGTTTCAGTACGCAAGGTCTCATCGTCACTTCATGAAATGAAGCTGACGATTCTCAGTCTCTGATGGCTCAGAGTACACACTTCCCTCTGCGCAAACCACCAGGATTCCACTATGACTTCTTTTTGCTTGGCATCACGACTTTCATCGCCGGATTACTCGGTCTGCCTGCTCCGAACGGTCTGATCCCGCAGGCACCCATACATACTACGTCCTTACTCGTCATGGGATACCCTTCGAAGAGAGATGCTGAGAACGTAGAGGAGTCTGGATCGTCTTTCCCCCGTCCGTCCCAGACACCGAACGAGCAGCTACGGCCCGAGAAGGCTCGACAGCAAGACAAACACGAAAGAGAGGTGCAGCATATACATTCCCGTCAGCCGTCTCTACTAGAACCGGATCCCGCAAGACCTCTAAGCGATACTTCGTTTAAAGAAGTGCCAGTTGCTGTTGTGGAACAGCGAGTGTCTAATTTAGCGCAGGGTGCTTTGTGTCTTGTATTACTTACAGGACCTTTCCTGCATGTCCTGAACCTGATCCCGCGAGGTGTTCTTGCCGGTCTATTGTATGGTTTCTCTTTGATTCATGCTCTACGTAGTTGTTGATTTTTTTGCCCCAGCTGGTATATGGGTATCGATGCCCTGCAAGGCAACGGCATCACGCGCAAAATACTGTATTTCTTCCGTGACAAGGCGCTCACACCAGTAGATGAACCTCTCCGCAGAGTACGGAAGTCGCGCATCCTGCTCTTCGTCAGTGTACAGCTCGCTGGGTTTGGGGCAGCTATGGCAGTCACGCAAACTATTGGTGGGTAGACAGAAGCAATTCGATGATGTGTATGTTGACGAACTCTCCAATACAGCGGCTATCGGATTCCCTATAATCATCCTGTTGCTAATCCCATTGCGGACACTTTTGATACCTCGACTGCCATTTTCTGACGAGGAGCTTGCTATTCTCGATGGCCCCACCGCCTCCCCGTTCGTAAGTACTCGGTCGTTTATTTACCCGAGAATTTGAACAAACAATTGTTAGACGATGGAATCTGTTGGAGGGACTATCTCATGAAAGGAGTGTCGATGTCTGTCGTTCGCGTTCCCTGTAAGGTTTCAATATCAATGTTCTAGATCGTTTGGCATCCGCCTTCCGCTCGCCGAGGCGAGACTCTGCAGACTTGCCTATTTGGGCGAATATTCCAGCTAAAAAGGTAACTGAAGTAGTAAATCCGACCTCCCTAACGCTTTGACCAAGGGCCGCGACCTCCTCGGTTCTCAGATAATTGCGAGAGTTTAGACACAGCCGAAGGGCTTCTGCTATATCCCGAGGCAGTCTGCGAAAGGCCCTCCGCACCGCACAGGTCATGAACACTGGACTTGCTCACCTCGTCTCCATGTACCCCCTGGTCCTCCGTGTTGTCATCGCATCCATTCCAGCGCATGCGGTCCTGGAAGCTATATCTCGGGGAGCAGCTGCGTTACGTGCTCGCCTGGAACCTGGAAAGACCATAAGTACTCCTTCATCAGTATCATTTCTGACGCTTGCCCAGAGTGCAACCACTACAGCTGCAATACTGCTCAGCCGGGATATTATGCGACGGGTCCAGGCGCCCCTTCTCAGATGTAGCGCTTACCGGGTTCTGCCAGTCCTTCTTATAACACCGTGACTTGCACTGAGTGCACTCCTGGAACTTATCAGTCTCGTAAGCTGTCGCCGTACGTCCCCGTTCTTACCGCTCGTCTCCGTTCTTACCGATCCCTTTTCTCCGCAGAATATAGCACTCAGAGTTGTACATCTACCCAACCTAGCTACTATATGGCCAGTTATAGAGTAACATGTCAGTCGACAGGCGGGTACGGCCTCTATAGTACTGATGGCGCATCTAGTTGTCCCAGCTGTCCTCCCGGTTACTACTGCGGTTCTCAGTCGACTTCCGAGCCCGTAGTCTGCCTGCACAAAGTGTCTATTGTTCTACATCGTGTTGCACATGGTATGTTCTTTTCCTGTCGATCCCGTCGAGTTGTGGCTGACGATCCCACTAGTTTCTCACTTATGTCGGTCCAACTGGTGCTACCCGTGTGTTCCCGTTGGATACTCCCCCCTGGCTCGACTGCGATTGGTCAATGTACTGGGTTGACTGGTGGCTCGTACACATGCCTCATGTCGGGCAACACATGTCCTCCGTATCTTGTCGCGTTGCCTACCTTTCGGCATGTTCTTACCATTTCTCGGTGAATACGGGTGGTTCTACGCCTCCACCTCGCTTGCGGAGACGTAACGAAGCGCACAAGACTCAGTGATGTTCTTGACGGAGTCAGACCCTGGTCAGACCCCGTCAACATTGACCTGGGTAAAGTCAATGTGTGACCTGGTCCACCTCACATGAGGCGGCCCGGGCGCCCGACGGCAGCGCGCTCGAAATATTGACCGCTTTGAGCACTCTCCCGTCATATACATAACGCAATGTCTTTATATGCCATAGTCCGAGGAATACTGCTACTTTCCTGTGTTACGTCCCACAAAGACAGCGCAATCTCGGCACAGGACACATAACCCCTTTTTTCCCGAGGAAATAACTTGGAAAAATGTGTGGAAATCAATAAAGTTATACTGCGGGAAAAACATGAGGAAAAAACGTGTAAAAGAACAAAGCATTTCCGCAGTTTTTCCACTGGAAATAAGTTGGTCGCCAAATATGGTAGTTTTGTCCGGGTTTAAAATGGCATGTCCTGGCATGTCCAGTTGCCTGATATGGTAGGCAACTTATTTCCAAGGGAAAAACCGTGAGAATGTTTTGTTCTTTTCTCACTTTTTTCTCAAGGTTTTTCCTCTGAAAATATATTATTGATTTCCATGCTTTTTGCCAGGTTATTTCCAATGGATAAAAGTGGTAATGCTTCCTGTGCGGGGCACCGAGTGTGGGAAACCCGAATGCGGACGAGTGATTCAGCATCGGCGCTCGAACGGGACGAGTCCCACTTAGGAAGTCGTTCACGTTCGTGAGCACCACCGGCTCCTCACCTAGGGCGCCCAGCCTCATCCCCTGAACCGATTCTCCTCAACTCGTGCCAAGCAACCTGGAATACCCCTCTGCGGCATTTACCTTTGAGCTGACAGTAAGCTTATCCAGTGCCAGTGCGCAAAACAACATCGTGTTTGACTCAGATTGGCCCGGGAGCCGGCGTTCGATACTACGTGTGTGGATGCAACCTGAGATACGACTGACCTACGAACAGGCACCTGTCTCCACACTAGTGGAACCCCCTGTAAAAACACTCTGACAGCGATCTAGAATTCAAGGTTGTCAAAGTCTCCGAACCTGGGGCTCAGACAGGGACGCCGATATCGAGGTCAGTCTGATCATTTATGTTACCTCAAAGAACGTACGAGGAATCTGCACAAGACCATGTCAAAGATACAGTTGTACCAGAGACTCAGAGATCAGCCTCTCGCAGAAACAGGAAGGTTGGGCAGGTCGTCAAGGATCAGCGACGCCGCAGGACGAAGTGCCCCGAGGATAGGAGACCGCCGCCCAGGTTGAATCGTATGGCCCTATCTGACGCCGGCGCTCGATCACTCCTGAAGATATAATAGTTCGGAAATGGTGGAACTTGGGTGTCCTCCCTGCTTGCGAGATGCCGTCTCCTACTTGCCGCCCTGTCGTGATGGTCATCTTCACTTTGCTGCTCGCGCTCATTTGCGCTCCGATCTCTGGACGCGCCGCAAACACGTGTAGTCCAGGGTCGTTTTCTTCCTCCGGTACCAAGCCTTGCGACGACTGTCCCGCGGGGACCTTCACCAGTCAGACTGGTGCGACGTCGTGCTGCCAGTGGTGTGTTCCCCCCCCCCCCCCCCCCTCCCATTTGAAAGCATGATCTAATGACTATCCCAGCTGTGCCGGATTCTACTCCGTTAGTGACCTGTATCCGCTCAAACGAACGGCTGTATGAACGTGTCTGTCCACAGATGTCCGGGGCAAGCTCCTGCTCCCAATGCAATAGTAACCACCCGTATTCTCCTCCTGGTTCCACGTCGCCTTCCCAGTGTCAGAGTGGAACTGGGTTCGTTACCTCGTGCACCATGTCGGGTAGCACATGTCGTACGTGACCGTTTACATTCGTTCTTGTGCAATGGTTTGATTATCCTCTGGCATTCAGCTTCCGTTACTCCGTCGCCGGTTTCGTCGGGACCGCCCAGGCGACGTGCGATTAAACGTCAGTTGTGTCCCAAGGATCATAAAAATTGTCCCGTCTATGGGATGTCCGGTCTCAGGGGCTACGAGTGCGTAGACATTCACAACGACCTCGAGTCTTGTGGTGGCTGTGCCGGCAACGACTCTCCTTTCGGCCAACGTGCTGAGGACGGTGGGAGGGATTGCAGTGCCATCCCCAACGTTGACTTCGTGAGCTGCCAAGGCGGAAAATGCATCATCGGCGAGTGTGCTATGTGTTCTCCCTGTTTTACAACTGCTGTTGACACTCGTGCGACAGAAAACTGCTCCGAAGGTTACGTCCTCTCCGCCAATGGCGAGGAATGTACGCCCTTCTTCGATCGCGTCTCCTTGCAGATGAACGGCAATTGAGCAAGCTTCGAACGGACCGTGTATTCGTGAACGCTGTGTCAAAGACTTTTTTGTTGTATCGCGTGAAGCTACACAGACATTTCACTTCCTCCCCCCTATTCCCTACGTCGCTGTAGCGAAGAGTCGGAGACCGATTCACTTATGCGCCCGTGTACAGTGTACAGTGTACGAAGCGGTCGCTGCAACCATGTGTTCGATACTTCTACGTCACCATTAGACTATTGGCTGCTTTGTGGAGTACTCACGAACTTTCGACCGGTGAGCTACTATGGGTTGCGTGTGGATCGCAGCTACTTCTATCCTCGAATAATCATGTGGTAGTACGGCATCGATACCAGAAACGCGTCCACGATATATTCGCTGTGTGAGCTCGTAGTCTGTAGATAGTGCGGTAGCTAGGTAGATGTGTATAAGCGAAACCGGTATGGTTGTTTTACCCGAGCCCCGCTGGCAAGTATCGGAAAGCAAACATGGTAAGCGGAACCGACTCCGACAGCAGCGTCATTGGCATCGTTGTGCTTGCCCGACACGGCGACCGGGAGGGTTTTTATCAGGACCCGGACACTTACACCGCATCGTCCACGACGATCACTCCTCTCGGGGAGGCGAGTCTAACCCGTTCCTCGGTGCAATCATGTCCTTGCTAAATGGCAGATTGCCTGTGCTGTAGAATCAAGAGTGGCAACTCGGCTATCTCTTGCGCTCCATTTATTTGAACGAGTCATCCCCATCGTACATCCAGGGAATCTCTCCGTTGACGAGCACGTTCAATGGGACTCAGGTCACTGTTCAAGCAGACGCTGGCGATGAGGGCGGTGTAATCATGGACAGTGCTGCTGCTTTAGTGCAGGGGCTCTGGCCAGCCATCACCCTTCAGAACACCACTCTTGCTAATGGTTCTACGATCATCAGCCCGCTCGGTGGATACCAATATATCCCCAGTAGGTAGTCAGCCGTCCGGGTGCTATACCGTACCTGACGGTCCTTGCTCTTCTCTCTAGTTAAATCCGTTGAACCGAACGAGGACGTCTCTCTCGAGGGCTTTACGAACTGCAACGTTGGTTTTGACCGTTTTGTAATTATTTCCTGGTCCCAACGCTATCTTCCCCAGGCTCTGGACACGTACATCGAACAGTTCTACAACTCCACTGCCTTTGCTCAGATGGCCAATGAGACCTCTACATTCTTTGCGGAGCTCCCGCCCCATGTTGCAGGGAAAGCGGTCTCTCTGGAGAACATCGTAGGCAGATTGATTTACCATTTAATTTAGCGAGAGGTGCTTACTTTGTTCGTATGCAATGCACGTCGTCCTTCCAGTGGAACGTGAGTGCTCTCAAGGGTTCTTGGCCATCTACGTAGTACCATCCTGAGCTGACATCTTCGTAGATTTTCGACTACATGAACGTCAACTCAATTCATAATGCTAGCTTTCTGAACGCTCTCCCGCCGACTTTCCTCGCCCAGGCAACCGCACTTGCCAATTGGCACGAGTACAACATCAACAGCGATATTCAGTTCGACGGTATCGGGAACAGTACGTCATTCTCACCATTGGCACACTGCATGCTCTCACCTTCGCGCGCCCTCGTTATGAAACTTCTTCCTTCAACCTTCGACTCAATCCTCGGAATCTTCGCGTCACGAAGTCGCCATCCGTACGATGCTCCCCGGTATCATTGATTCGGTCGAGCAGATTACAAATGCTCCAACTGGCCTCAAGCTCGCGTATACTGCCATCTCCTACAAGCCTTTCCTCAGCTTGTTCAACATGACCGGCGTTGTGGCCGATGGTGCCCTTCCTCCCGCCATCGGTATGATTGTACAGCAGCATTAGATCGAAATTGTGCTTCATGTTCACACTTTGCAGTGGGATATGCTGCGTCGGTAGTTCTCGAGGTCCGCCAGCCCTCCTCGGACGGGGAGCCCGTCATTCGTTTTAACTTCAAGAATGGCACGGCGGACGAGACATTCAGCCCCTACCCAATGAAGTTCCCTGGCTGGGACGGTACTAGTGGCGGGGACGTCCCGATGTCCACATTCATATCTGCCTTCGCCCCGGCAACTGTGAACACCACCCTTGAGTGGTGCCAGGTCTGCGGCGTGACGGATTCCACGCGGGGCTGCTCATCACTCATTACCGCGAACGCTCCCGCGCAATTCCGCGCGCACTACAAGGTCTCGCCGGTGGGCGCCGGCTTTCTCGGTGCTGGTCTCACTGTCGTGATGATTGGTGCCCTGCTCGGCGTGTTGATCTTCCTTGGTGTGCTGACGCTTGGTGCCGGCAAGTTGAGACGGTGATCCCTCAAGAACGATGGAGCCGGTAGTCACCTCAAGCCGCAGTCTGAAGTGCGTGATCATACCAATTTTAATCTCCTATCTTGTGCGTGACGCCTTTGCTGAATGCAATTTCTTTCGCAGATGTCAAAGGAGTGAAAGCATGGATAATCTCAGGCCGCCGATATGTCACTTCTACTCGCTCAAGCCTTACCCGCTCAAAAACTCACATAGGATGTGCCGGACCGATGAAGGATCTGCAAACTGTATGCATCACAGGTGCATCATCTAGACTTTACGATGTCGAATCACGAACTATTCACGTCTGAATTGATAGCGGGAGAATTCCCGGATAGTGTTATCCCGGGCATGTGAGTCCTCGTTCGGAGCTAGACCTTAGTTGGGCTTTTCTCTAACGGATAGGGAGATCGCCGCTGAGAAGATCCATGGCCACCGGTTGAGCAACAATGAATGAAAGGAGTAAGCTTGAAGAGCAACATAAGAATTGGAATGCTAACACTAACAGATGCAGTACTTGTGTGACAAATGACTTATTCCAGGTCGACGCGCCACATCGTAGAAGAAGACATGCATGCCCTCCAGTTCGAGAGAGTTATTATGACACCAACATACAACGACATTCAACGTGCTATCAGAACACTGCATGATCCAGGAATACAATAGTCCTTGTTATTACGATCCAAATCCATCATCGCCATTGACGGTCGCCCTCACCGGTCCATGAGGCGTCCTCGTAATCCGAGCGCTCGTGGTATTCGTCTATTGGAAGTATAAGACTGACCATCAACAAGGTGAGGATGCGCATCACGTACCACTGCCTCCGCTATCATCAGACCGTTGTTCATCCTCTTCCTCCGGATAATCATTCTTATACCAATCCTCAGCTGTAGAAAGTAACGTGTTAAGGGAACGAACATTTGACAGGTGAAAGCTCACCATTCGAGTCTTCGTCATCTTCGTCTTCGTGCTCCGAGTCCGAATCAGAATCGTATGCTTCCAGCTCAGGAGGCAGACCGGTCCTGCAAAAGGTGCAATGAGCGAATGAGAAACAAATTAAGCTGAGAATTAAGCTTACAACGTCCCAATGTTGCCACCGATACTAGTGGAAGATCCATACAGGTCTTGGAATGTCGTAGGACGCTGATAGAACACGTCCCACACGTAGTCGCCGTCGTCATCAATAGCAAGGTGACCGCTCGCACTGGGCGGCATGTCGGGAACAGACGGTGAGGCGGAATGGGAAGAACCTTCAGTCACTGTCAACGGGTTATGTATCGGCTGTATTCTTGTGAGATGACAGCAAGTAACCTACGCTTGAGATAGTCCTGCAACATCGGAAGGAATTTAGCCATCTCCTGGTCAACATCCTGTGCAGCGTCCAGTGCGCCCGATCTGAGAGACGCGGCCGTGGTTGATGAAGGGACAACATCGTACATCCTGAACCCAGACTGCACGCGTTTCATCTCCTCCAACTCTCTCTTGGACCATACCTTTGGCCTGCGAAACTTGTCAAAGAGACTTAATTATCCATTGTAGCGAGTACGCACGGAGCAGTGGGTGCACGACGATGTAACCCCGGCTCAGATGCAGATGTTGGTAAACCGGACTGAACAATTGTATATCTGCGACTTGGGTCTTTCACGTTGGCGGTTGGGGCAGACTTCACACCACCAGGAGGTGCAGAAACAGACATTGGAGCAGATTCGGGTGCCCTTTTTCTTTTTTGCAAGCCCCCGCGGGCAAGGCTAGACACGCGCGTCTGGGTAGAGTTAGACATTACGAGACAAGAGCCAATAGCATTGACGAACCTGCAGATCCCTCGTCTTATCCGCATCATCCCATGCACCCTCCTCAACGGTCTCTGCAAACTGGAAGACATTGAGAGCACCACGAGATTTCTTCCTTCGTTGACGAGCGTCGACAACTGGATGACAGTAAGATAATGATTAAGCCAAAGCGGAACGACTCACCAAGCGCATCAAGAGGTTCCTCGTTGCGCTTGCGTTTGATACGCAGAATAGCATAGCCGTGTTGATCCTGGTCTTGATTTTGCATGACGCCGTGGTGGTCGTTTCTGACTTGAAGTTCTGAACGACACGTCCACGTGATAGTCACGTACGTGAACTGCTTACGTCAGGGCTAGGAGGTCCAGATGTGGCTAACCAGATTCGACTATTGTCTCTAGTATACCTTCTTGTTATGAAGCTCTTGTCTAAGCGTTATAGCCATCAGAAACAGCAAGCGATATCTCGGTTTCCATGTATTCAAGGGTTTATCTTCTCCTTGAGTTGCGGGGGCTTTACTGGATGGCTCCTTGACAGCTCAATTGTTCCCACTCAGGAAATCTCGACAATCAACCCTACCCCTTCCTGTCCGCGATCCTTGCTTCCCCAGTGATATAGCGATCTGAAGTATCTTCAATCGGATATAAAAGGAGTCGTAAACTTGAACAATGCCCGTCGTATACTTCCGCCCCCACCGCAACTGCCACGACTTTGATTCCGACGATATCTTAGCTTACCCCGGATTTCCACGTCTCGAAATATGTCTTGGATCAGGCGTCTTGAAAACACCGAATTGCTTGCTCCACACTCCAGAGATGTTAAGGTGCCCTTCAGTCCGGTGCAGTTGTGTGTGCATCTTCGCATTTTATCATGAGATTATAAACGTGATCGTAATTCAGGGAGACGCGACAATACATGATGACGAGCAACCCATTAGCATACCGTGATGCTACTACGTCAGCGCGACTTCATGCCATCGACACAGCACTTCCTAGGACATTACTTCCGCTGCCATCTGGTAAGTATCTCTTGAATCTGCTATCCTCGACCGCGATCGTACGATTCAATACCAACAATTTGGATCAATTGGTCCCTTCTTGAGAACGGCTGTGTTCAATCCTCAGGCTCGATGGTGATGATTTTGTTGCAGTATCGCAGAACATTGAGATATCACAATCCTCTCGCAATAAAACACCAGATCATGAATTAAACGTCAATCCAGCATGTGAGAGTATTCTTAGCCCCTCGCTATGTTGTAGGAGTTGCTCATTTGGCACTAGTATCTCGAATTCTTGCTACGGACTCGGGTAAACAATCGCAGCCTCCGTTATCTCAAGTTCTCGCTGCGGACAAAACAAAACAATCGCAGACTTCGTCATCACAAGCTCTCACTGCGAACGCAACAAAACAGTCACAGACTTTGTCATCTCAAGTTCTCGCTGTGAAAGCAACAAAACAATCGCAGGCTCCGTCATCTCAGGTTCTCGCTACAAACGTAACAAACCCGTCGCAGACTGGCGATCGGTCGTCCCAAGTTCTTGCTACCAACGTAACAAAACAATCGCATGCTCACTCGCCTGACGTCGTTACTACAAACTCAACTAAACGTTCGGAGACTCGGTCGTCTCAAGATCTTACTTTGGACTCAACAAAACAATCGGAGGCTCAGTTCAATATCGCACTACGTGAGTACCTCTCATACACGTTACGAGCGACAACACAGTGCGGTCTTTCATTCGAGAGCCTGCAGGGTGGTAGATCTTGGTGCAACCCTGGCGTGTACTGCGTTGCCTCATTGGGTACTGAGAACTCGTTCCTGCAGTAAGACCTATTTATGGAGACACGGACGATCTCATGTGTATAGACTCGGACCCGCTATGGGAGGCAGCACGACGGGCATACTTGCGATATAACCAATTCAGAGCTTGCGTCGAGAGTGAGCAGTACGCCGTTAACCCATTCTGTGAAGCGATTCTGACCATCGCCATTCCTTGTCAGGGTGGAAGCCCCAACGGCAAGCAGTTTGACAAGTACTGTGTGCTGGACATCGGCTTCCCTCGTTTTTGCATTCATGGACATACAATATAGATGTTATGACCGACACGATTCAAGTATCCTCATTCCTATCGATACCTTACCTCGGCTTTGATGTAATTGCGTCATACAGTGTACTTACCACTTAGATATTCTTAATCCATCTGCTTTCGATCGACACTACTAATGGTATTCTGTCTTCAAGTCATTGCCATATGAAACGAGATTCTATATGATTAGTACAAGATTATGTGATTATGAAGATGACACAGGTTCGCGTGTAATTCTGCGTACAGGCTACAAGATGTTGTATCTCTGGGAATACAGGTAACACTACAGGGGTACAAAGTTCGTGCGGATACACATAGGGAACGTACACGTGAGAGCAATAAGTGGTATCAAGCGGAATTCTACGATAAAAAGCAACTGTAGAGATGAAGTGAGGTGAAATATTCAATATTACAGAGAATCGTCCGAAGCACTTGAGAGCACTGTCAACCACCCACCGGTTTCCCAGCTGCATCCTGGATGATACACATCTTTCTGCCGCTGGGAGATGTCTATGACGCCGCGTAGAAGGACACGCAAGCGTTTGAAGTCGATGGGTTTCAGGATCCACCCGTCGAGACCTCTGTTGTACATTTCCTCGCGACGTGTCTCATAGAGGGATGCCGATACCGCAAAGATCGGGATACGACCGTTGAGTTTGTGAGAAAGTCGATATGGAACACCATTCCGCTTTTCCTCCATCATTCGGATGCGTTCGGTAGCTTCGTAGCCATTCAGAAGTGGCATCCTGTGGTAGACCATTGGCATTAGAGAGATGGCAGATGCGGCCGAAAGCACGTACTGGATGTCCATGAGTATGCAATCGAACTCCCAATCTGTTTCCAACATCTCAACACCCTCTTGCCCGTTGGTGGTGTTGATGACCATGTGACCATCTAAAGCTAGGCGTTTGGCAAGGATCATACGATTAATATCGTTGTCCTGGAGGATATGAAGACAGTTAGATGTGGAACAATTCGCAGGGTGTGCGTACCTCAACAATCAGTATGCGCAATCTTGTCGCAACACCACCGTCTGACATGCTGCGCCGGCCACCTGGTGAACGCTTCTGAGAGTTTGTTGATCCTTTCGACAACGTCTTCCTGTGAATCACAGCAGTCGAACCACGATTATCTTCCTTCGTTTCTGGAAAACTTGCTGAGGGAATGCTTTCGACACTGTCCTCCTTGGCACGCACGGAGGTGCTCGCATTGACTACATCATTGCGGGATATTTGACTATCCATATGGGTTGTCGACAGAGCCTCCACTAAGTCGTCGATCTGGCCGCCGCCGGATCCTCGACTATTATTGCGCGATCGCAGTTGCAGTGAAGACCGCGAAGAGGAATAAGCAGAGTTGGAAACAGAGGGCAGTCCAACCGTGTCGATGTCCGTAGCAAAAGGTATCAGGAATGAGAACCTACTACCTTCATCAATTTTCGAGTCGACACGCAATTGTCCTCCCAGTTGCTCCACGATGCGAGCAACAATGGCAAGGCCCAATCCTTTAGAATGGTTACCGATCCATCAGAAAATTATTGAATGGTATCAAGCCGTCGTAAACGTACCGAGGCCTTGAGAAGGAGACTTGGGGGACGCACTCTCGACCTGTTCAAACTCTCTGAATATGCTTTCCAATTTCTCGCTAGGAATGCCACATCCCGTGTCTGACACGACAATTTCGACCGCAACGTTGTCATCAGATCTAAGTCCAACGGGCTCCTCAAATACATGGCATTCGACAGAGATAGAGCCATGTGTTGTATATTTTACTGATGGCTAAATGAGTTGACGCTAGAATGGAAGGGCTCTGCGCTCACAAGCATTCGCTGTCAAGTTGGCGACAACCGTCCGGATTTTTCTGGCATCACCTAGAACCATCTTAGGTGAATCCACAAGGTCCACCACAAAGCCAAGTCCCCGTCTGTGTGCCTCGTTCTTATAGAGAAGTGTGGCTTCATCTACAGCACGATGTAGATCAAATAGCTCATTGAAAGACGTTTCGTTCCCACTCTCGAAGCGAGTGAGATCCTATCATAGGATGATAAGTGGAGATTCATTCGACTTGTGCGGAGGATTGACGTACCAGCAAGTCGTTGATCGTGAACAACAGACTCTGCAAATATGGTAACGTAGTGATCAGTGTGGCAGATGAGATGATCATACCTTTGAAGCGGCGTGAGACTGGCTGAGATTTTCCCTTGTATCAAAATCCAAGGGACCGTTCATCGCTAACTCTAGATAGCTAGAGAGAAGATGAGAAGGGTTGGAACACCTTCACACAGTATCACATACTTTATAATATGATTGAGAGGTGTTCGGACTATGTCACACGTGAGTTAAGCAGCCGTGAAAAATCAAGTACGAACTCACCCTCGTGACTAGCATTCGAAAGGAGGATGTTCGTGAGCTTAGTGGTCTGCAAAGCACTCTCCTTCTGTCTCCATACTTCGATGAACTATCACAAGGAATACGTCATAGAGCCGACTTGACAGGTAGTTGTAAATCTTGCCTTGCCATACACAAGTGCCAAGACTCCAGCCGTCTCAAGATGTTCATCGGCCCATGCGCGGCAACGGCCAGCCACAGTTTCCGACCAGATCCTGAACGAAGTGCGAGGTTCCAGCGTATTCTTCTGCTCGCCTTCCTTGAATGGCCTGCCTGCCCAGTTCACCTGGCGCGGCTGGCCCTTCCGCAGAAAGGCAATGAAGTCCCTCCCACCGCCAGACAGAGGCACGTACAGAAGGCCCGCGATCACTTCCAAACCGGTGGTGAGGTGAAGATCTGGATAATCTTGGGTGACCGCTTGAGAAACTTGAATCGTGCTGAAAGAATATCTCAGTATCCTGACTACGGTGGATGAAAGTAACTCACTTGAACTGCTTTAATCGGAGGTACTCTGCCACTATGAGAATCTCTTGACCATGTTGGTTTAGTCCCAATATCTTAGCACCTTCACCTATGACGAGGACACCGTAATCCGCATCAAACAACCCTAGCAAATCGTCAGCATTTGAGACAATGTAGCCCGATGGATGTTGGTCTGAAGGCATGGTATTAATCTGTAACCCGAGAGCGTAAACGAAAGCTTCATCCAGAGAGAAATCTAAAAATACCAGTTTGCGAATGTGTAGACGCTGCGCATAGCTCAGGCGCTCAATATTGCGGGATATGGACTGGCTCAACAGACGGAGCATCTGGCGAACGGGAAATGATACACGCATGCCATGAGGCCCGTACGAGTGACATGCCACTAGTCCCCATAGAGTTCCAAAGGCGATGATAGACTGGAACAGGGGCTTAGTGGATATCACACAGGTGCATTCGAGCTACACGCACCACTGACATGGATGCCCGAACGCCCATATTCTCGAGATCTAAAGAGATCAATTTCAAAGTCAACGAATGAGAAATCAAGACTGACATTTGAGATGAATGGGGCTCATGGCGCGAAGATAACAATGAGTCATATCCTGCCAATCGGTTGTCAAATCGGCGAGACCCAATAGCCAATGGGACATACCAGTGGCGTTTCAAGATCCTTCCTGCTTCTGACCACAAGACGGGCAGTCGGCTGTCCGCGATCGTACAAAAGCCGGACTTTATCTGAAATCCAGCAGGTTACAACCCATGATAGCTGCTGCGAATCTGATAACTCACTGAGGGCGTACAGAGTACGTGCCTGCTGATGTCTGAGTACTGAGGTAATCGTTGACTGTGGGTACTCACCTGAGGGGGAATATCGGCTGCCGGAAAATGCAACCCTCTGTAAAGATCATTCGTCTGATTCCAGTCAACTAGCTCGGCCACAACCTTCCCGTTCCAAAGCTCATCGAACTGATACACCAAGACACGGTGAAATTGCGCGAGGTCCTTGACGACGCCAGCTACAACCTTCAAGAAGGTATCTAGATCCGGTGCTGCACCTAGTTGTTCGTTGATTTGAGCCATGACCGCGAAAACATCCATCATTCCGACAGCACCTGCGCCTCGCCGTCTTCCAGCGCCGCGCCGAGGGCGGAAAGTACCTCGCTCGAGGTATGACCCCGGAGATGCTGGAGAATCAGTGGTGCTTCTTCTGGTCCTACGCAGGCGCTCCAATGCCAAGAGAGGTCTTGAGTGGCTCGTCGTACTCTCTAATATATCCTCCGAGCTGGGTATCCAATGGTCCGCGTTGGATAGGGAGGAGGACAAACTGAAACCCATACCGTCTCGTGAGGACGGAGTAGGTGACGTCCCCGAGATGCTGGCACTGGGGGAGGGATCGCTATTCACGAGACCCGGCGATAGATCTCTCTCTTCCGAGCTTGTGGAAACCAGAGTTCGGCCAGAACTGTTGGAGGTGGAAGTAGAGCCGTCGGACGGAGAAGAGATGCCCGACTGGAACGAAGAGCCTTCCGAGAGCATCGGAGGATACAAAGGGTTGAAAGTGTCTCTATCGAGTTCGAACTCCAGAATGATAAGGTTGCGATATATCGATGAGTTCCCTAAGCTGCTGTCGTCCGCCTCGTTACCGGCCACATTCGCAGACGCGGTCATTTGAGGTCGGTGAGCAGCACACCAGCAAGTCCATGTTCGTCTCCTCTGCACATCACTCGTCAAATCATCCAATAACGCAGTCTCGGGTTCACCATAGCCACTGAGCATGAAAACGTGCAGATTTTCTGCCTGTTCTTCAGGAGTCAATGAAGCATCGCTCAGATACTGGATGTTGTCGAAGAGGATATCGACTTGTTGATCTGGAAGGGTCTGACTGAAGCATTCAAGTGAGAACAAATACTGTGGAGAAAGGCCAAGTAGTTCTGTAGAGTTCTGCATTCGAGCACATCGTTCATCGAAAGATCATTGAGCAAGACTAGGTGAGACATATTCACCTCTGAAACTTGACGTACGACCAAGGAACCAGTGTCGTCATCTTCTTCCACAGCAATCAAAATTCCAAACCCTTGGACGGCGCCAGGAGTTCGAATAGGCTGACGAGAATGGGTGAGCCACACACCTCTCTGGAATTGTAAGGACCAACAAACCTCGTCTTCGCATTTCGTAAGCTTACCCTCACGGCCTACAATCAAGTGATGACCATTCTCGTCCTCCATGTGTTGATACCTGAACGTAATGTGGGGACCCTCCGAAACAGAGCTCATCATACTACTCCCCGACCCAGTGGTGACCATTTGGGGAGAACCTTGAGCTGATGGCAGGTGGATCACGTCTACTGGTGTATGCCCTGTGTCCAGTAGTTGAACGTATTGCGGCAACGATCCGTCTCCTGAATCGATTGCCAAGGGTGAACTCGCGCGTCCCCTCGATGAAGCTGATGATCGCGTGCACAAGGATGGAGGACTTGAAGTAGCCTCAATCGGGGGAAGGTGGACTATACCGGATTGGGAGATGAAAAAAGGGACACGTCCATTGTCCCGTTCTATCGTAAGAGTGGGCAACAACATGCTGGCCGGTGCAACCTCAGCAAACGCATCCGCTGCGACCTCAGAAAACTGTGCAGGATGACGGGCATTAAATGCATCGTCTTGACAATTACCTTCGTCGCTTTGTGTGACTGTGAGCCCCACGGGTTCCCCAGTGGGCTCAGACGTGAAGAACTTGTCGCAGTTCACGTCAACGGAGGACATGTAACCGGGTGGCATAGTCGAAAGCGTTCTTGGAAAGAGAGGGTCTTCTTCGTGGGAGAAATCACGGAAATTAGGTGTGCCGTGCTGCGGGTAGTCTCCCTGAAGACTTTCAAAGTGAAAGGCGAGAGCTGCTCGAGACAAGAGCGTTGAAGGCGAGCCTTCGTCCTCATGTATGCTCTCTCGGTCGCTGATCTGTGTCTCGTGTCTCGACGAACTCTTCGTTACGTTTATCTCGGGAACCACCGCATTATTTGATTCATCTGATACCGGAGATTGGTCGACACAGAGATCACCGCGATATAGGAGCTCACCGATCTTACCAGGAGATCCTGCAGAGGGTTGTATTCCGCTCAGTGAGGAACGCACCGGGTAGACATATGAAGTCGTCGGGGCGCTCTCTGCCAGGGTCGAAAGGTCGAGGTTTAATCCACGTCCCTTACGCGCGGTGTCATCATCCGGACTTGACATGAACCAGCTGGTGGTGACAATGAGGTGATACCAGCAGAATTCGTTTAAAGCGGGCTTGCGGAACGGACGCAATACGACGAGAAATAGGGTTTTTCAGTCATTTTCGTTTATCTACCTTCCCGATTGGGATGGTCAATCACTCACTGCCACGACCGCCCGTCGTACTGCTGAGGCGATTCAGCAGCAATTCGGGGACACTGGAGAACATTGAATATTTGAATGAGCGAAGAGCTCAGGCATCCCGAACACGCCCAAGAATGTAGAAGAAGGTGTTAGTGCGTCCGCGTCAGGTGTCCCGAGCTGTCGAGTTATTGATGACGCGCCGATACGGTGGCGCCGGGTGACGAGGCAGTGTCGACGACCAAAGTCTCTGGAGGTATCAGACAATAAGTACTCTTGATTCTCGCACAACAATATTACACGATTCACTTGGCCAAGGAGACGCCCGAGCACACAGAGTTCTCGCAGTGCCTGCTATAACTAGCTAGGCTCATGATCAGCGCCGAATTAAACCGAGCAGTCCACGCCGCCGCGCAATGACCATGGGAAGAGTGTGTTCGATCGGAGACCAAGGTAAGTACATAAACCCTAGTCTGCTTTCTGACGCGAGGGGTTAATAGAGAGGTCGGACAATTTAGACGGAGCCTGAAATTTACTATGGATTCGATACACCGGCAGTTCAAATCAATAAGCCTGCGGTTACAACCCGTTCCATTGCCGACGGGCGCTTGCGACCTCTGCCAGTGGGCCCGCTCAGCGCTCAGCGGCCGCTCACCCTTGGAACTTCATTAATGCACCTGCTGGCTCATCGACTCATGCATTCATATTTGTACTGCGGGAAACAAACACTGCGGCAGCATAATCTGACCATGTCCTGAAGTCTGGTGAGTATAACTTGAATGCTGCCGCCGAGGAGTCAGAGGTCAGTGGATGATATGAGCAGCTTCGACACCTCAGTTCTTCTCGTTTGACTGCTGTAACATTAGTTACAATGCAACCTGTACAAGATCATAAGGTTCATCCACCTTGGCATATATGCCCTGTCAATCATATGGCTTTACCCTTACAGTAGTGCATGAGGGTGAATATACCCCACCGATTGATTCTTATTTCTATGTACAGTATCACATTATTCCCAATAAATATAGCTGGTGAAAAAATTCCTGAGGCAAACCAGAATGTATGGCACACACATACCATAACTAAGCATGTTTTCCACTCCATGAGATGCAGTGTGACACGTCTGTAGGAGGGACTCGGACACGTTTTCTTGTTTGCCATTGCACGTGATATGCCAATCGGCAGTGACTGACCTTTTAGAAAGACCCCCATTAAGGAAAGCAGATGTCAGATACGGATATCCTGAGGTACGAAGGTTGAAGCAGAGTAGCTACACTGCCTTTGGGAGACTAATAAACCCAGGTCAAATGGGACATAACAATCGATTCTGTGAAGGTCAATCCAATGGCCCCAATTGGCGCTTATACCGTTTGGCTTGTATCCTCAGGATTTCGCTATTACATGTTATAGTAGTACCATCAATGTCAAAAAAACCTTCAGTCCTGCCAACAGTTTACATTACAACTCAGAAGAACATATATGAACACACATTACAGTAGTCCAGAGTTTTCAAGGAAAATAGGCGAACAGCAGTAAGTATGTGATCCATGCATATGCATTCCAAATCTCAGAGTTGTCGACTTCAATCCAGTCTGCATGGGGGCACCGGAAGAAGAAATTTGATGTGGACTCTTCGGATCCGGCTACACTTGAGTCCATTCAGCCAATATATACCCAAATGTCCATATAACCAAGGTGGAATATTTTGTGTAAATTTCCATAAAACCGAGTGTTGGCCAAGATAAGTAGGCTATATAGGCTGAGTCGCATATTTGGGAGTTAGCCAAGGGAGATGCAGTTTAAAGTCTATATAGGTTGTCGGGCATTCAGGGGTCCACATGATTAGGCTTGAGTTTAGCATTAGAAATTTACTTTATACAAATTTGAGCTTGGTCAAAAAACTGTAAAAGAGTCTAGGATATATTTTCAATGTCTAAAGAATGTATTAGTAGAGGCTAATATCAAACACCAAATACAAGAGAAAATAAGTTCTTTAAAATTAACAGCATGAGCTAAACTTATAAAAATAACAGCATGAGCATTGAATTTAAATATAAGTAGATTTTATTTGTTCAGTTTGTGATAGTTTGAGTGAAGCCTACTTTCAGCAAGTTATTAGATTGCATGAGTCAATCATATAATCAGAGCTGAGCTTCTTGACTCCTATATTTCTGATAAGCTTAGCTTATATATTCCTGTTGAGCTGAGCTTATATATTTTTATTGAGCCCAGCTCCTAAGATAGACAATATGAGTCTATAATTACTAACTCATTTTATAAAATATATTATATAATTTGGCTAAATATATTCACATAAAATAAACATCATATTATCAAGATAAATATGTTGAGCTAGTCTCAATCTTTGTAAAATGTAGTAGATCTCCTGGCTAAATATATCAGCATAAAATAAACATCATGTCCCTGAGACGTATATATATAAAGCTGCACTCACTATAAGTTTATATTGAGCTAATAACTATATGAGCCAGACTCATTAAATTTAAATATACTTAGATTTTATTTGTTCACTTTGTGAGTATTTGAGTGTTATACTAAGATAATTCATCTCTTTTGAGCCTAACTCAAAGTTTTTCTATTGAGCTTGCCTGACATCTTTTTCAGTCCATCTGGATTATATTATTTCTATTGGGCCTAGCTCCTACTATTTTCTGATAAACCTAACTTATAATTTTTCTTGCATGTGACTCGGAGTTTTTATTGATTTTGCTCTTATATTGACTTCAGAGCAGTTTTGATGTCTAGCTTCTTGCTACAAAATAATCTTTACTCTATTGTCTTTTAAGTGTCAATGCTACTTCATTTAAATGATGTATAATTATTTGTGTTATTATTTATAGTAAGAGACATTTGTTCCCAGTCATAGTAATCTCTGAGCTGTTGAACTGGCCAAACTGAGGGTCACATGTCACAGTGTGTAAACAGTTGGTCAAAATAGTATAGTATTAGCAGGGTACTAAAGCTTTGATTATTATTTGAATTTTATTACAATAAAATATGAGACAGTTGTCACAGAGTGCTGAAAATAAGAAGGGAACATTAATTTAAATAGTATGTACAAGACTCATACTTTTGAAAAAATTAAGCTGCTACAGACCAGAAAATAAAATAAGATTACTTCACTCTTGTAATAATAATTCTGACATGAGCTACTTATGGCATCAGTAATAAGCTAAAGTAAATTAGTCTTAAAAATGAAGTAACTGGATATGATCTTAGCATGAATGCTGAAGAAATTGTAGTTAATTAAAAATCATAGTTATGCACTCAAAAGGAATTAGCTCTGAATATACTTTGTATAAATTTATTAGCATCTGCACTATTCACAAGGCTAATAGTTATTTCTGTTGAGCTGGGCTAAACTACAGTAATTTACTAATTTTTGAGATACTTAAATCTTCTCAAGTTTAGCAAATATTCATACTGTGTCCAACTAGACATCACATGAAAGATTCTAAATGTGGTGTATTTTGTAATATGATCACATATTTTGAACTCTATCCACCTTTAGTACATCTGTCTGAAAAGAAAACAGTGACAAAACTTATTAATAGTGGTTGTACAACTTCTAAAGACAGTGTGATATCTCATTAATTTTTATTTAATTAGAGTTAGATTAGCTGACAAATTGAAACACTGCCCAGAGTTGTGACCAGACAGTGAAAACTCAGAGATGAGGATCACACTAAACTGAACTAGATGAGCATGTATTAAATAAGCAAGGTAGAAGGAGATGGCTAGATTTAGGTATAAGAAATAATAAGAGAGTGAGAGCAGATAATGATGAAAGATCCACAGGATAAAGTCAATGTGGCTTCAATGTAGTACAAATAAGGTACAATATGATGAGTAACCATGTGTCATAAGCAGCAGGCTTACATCCTTACATCCTCTGTGTAATTAAAGAAGGAGCATGGGGTGAGGTAAAGAGAATGAATGTGAGCAAGGAATAAGATAAAAAGGAAAGTAAGAGAAAGTACTTTGTAGCACCAAGGGAACAGCCTGCAAATTGGTGCATCAAAACCCTGTGAGAAAAAGCTATTGAGTGAGACCATTACCACTCTAAGTCAACTAAACATCCAATGCTGTGCAGTCTTTGCAGTCATGACATAGTAGCCAATAATTGTCTTTGGAGTCATACTCAGCTCATCTAATAAGGAATTGCCATTTACAGCCAAGTAGGAGTCGAGGATCTTGTTGACTGTGCATTCTTTCAAATCTTCTGCAGAGAGTACAGGGCCTGGATGTTTAAGTTTGCTGCTGGAGAATAAGAGGGGATCATTATATTTATGTCACTTCAGTTCAGATGCGTGGAAGGTGAAGAAAGTGTGGAGACTGTTAGGAAGCAGCAGAGTACAGTTTGAAGTTTCAGGGCATGTAACTGTCACTGTGAAGGGACTGTCTCACTGTGAGAACTTTGCTGCCTGATAGAATCTCTTCTTTTTGAAGGTAGTTTAGTGATGGAAGATAAAGAGTCAAATCTTGTTGCTCACTGTAAAAATATTATTGGGCCCACATGTGACATTGGTGAAGCGCACCTAACATATTTTGCCCTGCATCATATTATCTCATGCCTCACCCATGTCAAGCTCAATGGATACCATTATGTTGATAGCAAGGTGCACAAGTGATTCTGAAAAGATGTCAGAGAGTGCATTTGATATGACAGGATAATGAGGCAGGGAGATCACTCAAGTCTTAAGTTAGAAATTAGAGAAATCAGTAAATCTGTTAAGCAAATTCATTATGTCAAAGTGTTTGTAAAATAGCACACAGAACCCAGTCACACTGGGTTCAATGGATATGATAGCGTAAAGCCTGATTAACAGTTTTGTTTGTATATTCACTAAGACTGTTGATATGATAATGATAAGTAGATAGCTTCAGTTTTTACCCAGTGAGCTTATGCACCTTGGTCCAGATGCAGGAAGTGAACAATTTGTCATAATCAGAGATGATGTTGAATAACATGCCGTTGACATAGTCTCACTGATTAAAGAATAATACAAAGAGCCCTAAGGCAGTAATGTTCGTGCAATTTGACAGAATGCACACATCAGAGTGAATGTGATCAGTGATAAAGAGAATATAATCATACCCTTCATTTTCGGGCAGAAGCCTGATCAAATTCAAGGCTACTGATATGTCCTATTCATCAGGGCCTGGCAGGAGGTGAAAAGAACTAGCAACCTTCATTATGCAAAACTTGTTTATTGACATTTAATATAAGAGAGTGTGACATTCCCCAAAAGCTCTGCACAAGTAGTACTTATCTACACCACAATAATGTGAGGAGTCATGTACTATCAGTTTATATAGTGCTAGGCTCAATATAAAGTTATAGTGAGTTTAAGATAATAAAATTAATTTATAAGCTTAGCAACTTATATAAGAAGTAATAAACATTAAATTTGAACAACTAAACTAAATAATGTCACTAATATATGTATATATAAAGCTGGGCTCACTATAAGTTTATATTGTGCTAGGCTCAATACAAATTTATAGTGAGTTTAGCTGAATAAAATTATTTTATGAGCTTAACAACTTAGATAAGAAGTAGAAAACATTGAATTCTAAGAACTAAGGTGAAGAAAAGCATAACAACCAAGGAAAGCTCATAAAATCTTTACTACTTAAACTCAATTTACTATGTAAGAAAGTATATAGATCAGGCTCAAGTTCATTTATGTCTACTTTTGGGGCATTTTGGGGTCAGCCATCATTTCTCTATATAGATTGTAGCTGAAATAGTGCCATTGGCCAAGAGTCATAAAATTCCAATCCTATATAGAGTTTGCAGACAGTTGGGCTTGGCCAAGTGGACCTATATAGAATCTTTGTGTAAATGTTCCACTCGGCCAAGACACATGAAATTTTGATCCTATATAGCATTTCCTGAAATTTGGCTGTGGCCAAGGGTACCCTATATAGATTTTTGTGGAAATAATGCCTGTGGCCAAGGTTCAAGAAATTTGCATTCTATATAGGATTGTCTGAAATTTGGCCTTGGCTACAGATATCCTATATAGTTCTTGTGGAAATGGTGGCCTCAGCCAGGAGTCATCAAATTTCAACCTATATAGAGAGATCTGAATTTTGGCCTTGGCTGAATATACACTATATAGTTCTTGCAGAAATGTTGGCCTTGGCCAAAGGTAGTAGAATTTCTATTCTATATATGGTCTTCTGAACTATGACATTGGCCGAGGATGCCCTATATAGGGTTTTTGAAAATAATAGTCTCGGCCGAGATTCTTGAAATTTGTATCCTATATAGGATTCTCCACACTTTGGCTTCAGCCAAGTAGCATCTTCTATTTGTTTTGATCAGAAAGGGCAAAATTCTCTTCACACATAGGAGTTTTAAAGCTGGGGCCTTCACCAAGTGTATATGTACAGGTTTCATCACATGTGATGCCATCAGCTATAATGAGCCAGGTCAGACCACCTTCAGGGTTTGTGTAGTAGTAGTTGGACAGTCCTTTGCTGTCACATTCTGAGACCAATATCCTTCATATCAAATGATTCAGAGTCACTGAATTTAATCTAAATACATATGATCAAATTTTTGACACTATGTTGAGCATATGAAGATGATGACCTTCTGTTGCCTCTGAACCTTCCAAGTCAAAGACAACATTCAGCCAATTTAGGAACTCATTGTGGTCAATGTAATAGGCTCGAAGGTACTCCTCCACAAGATTGGTGATGGTACCATGCACAGGCAGTGAGCACAGGTGCAGATGAACCCAAACCAAAGAGGAGGTATACAACCTTGCAGTCAGTGCTATCTCAGGCTTGCTGACAATCCAAAGTCCCTTCATCAATGGTACCCAAGATTTTTCAGTGGATGGGACACTATACAGGCCCTGATATCCCTCAAATATCAGCTTTTGTGTGAGTAAAGAATTTATATTAAACCTACATGGTATACCTGCATTGCACCTCTGTCACACTTTATGGTGCAGGCCAGATATTCAAACTGCATCTGCTCAGTCATATTTCACTGTCGGAGATCTGGAATACAATGCAAGCAAACAGCTCTGCTGCAGTTTGGACGGTCACAGTTGACCAAGTCTCTGCCTTGTTGGCAGAGAAAGCAATACTAGGTGCATGGTATTAGCAAGATGCATATGTTAAAGAGAGAAAACACACCATATCAGAATTGGAGATGACATTTGAGACAACAGGCACTGGGCTTGACAGCTGAGAGCCCACATGCAGGTCACCAGAGGCTTGTAACATTTCAGAGGCTAATGTCATAAGAATGAAAATGCACTGCCAAAAATTCAACAACACACCATTGTCGAGTGGGCCATGTTCACCTGTCAGCAACCCCACAGACTTCTATGCCATCTGGAAGACCTTGTGACATTGATGCTTAGGAGTGCGAGCAGAAGGAGATATAGTTGGATTGGAGATGAGTAAGCTGTTCTCATGTTCATGAACAGCAGCAATGATAGACACTGCAGGATCACGTATGAGTCGACTGCTTCAGCATCGAGGGACATCCATTTTAGCAGCAGATGCACATCCTTTCAGCCTGCATATGACTCCGACAAATGGGTGGCTTTGAAAACACGTGAGGGCAGAGCAGGAACACTTGCCTCATCCTCATCCTCATCCTTGGCCTCGGCCTTGCCCTCCTCCTCGACATCCTCCTCGACATCCTCCTTGATATCCTCCTCGACATCTGACACAGGCGCATAGCTCAGTGACTGGTGAATTGTCTCCTTATGTTCCTCCTTGGTATTGTCCAATTTATCACTCTCCTTTGATTCATCATTGGACAGAGGTGGGCTATCAGTGTGATCGCGATTTACTAGAAATGTCTCACCTCTGTCTGAGTCATCATCCAGAAACTCCTCCTTCAACTGACCATCTTCATTGGCATCTGCATACAAACCTCTATACACAATGCTCCCCCTGTCATCTCTGCTTCCTCTCAACTGGAACTGCTTCCAATTATCCATGTCCATCATCTCATCCACACTCAGAGTCAATTGCGACATAGTATCTGCTTGGGGGGTCATGTGAGGTGTTGGCGAATGCAGGGTAGAGTCTGTCATCACAATATCAAATGAAATGTTGCTTACTTGACAAACATATTCACTATTAGAAACATGGAAACATACCTGGTCTGTCCTTTTGCAAAGGTCAGCCATGGTAGTAAGCTGATGGCACAGATTTACAGTACGAGATGCCTCCTCCAATTGGCTGATTGGCCTGATTGAGATTGAAACCTTGATGCTGGTCCTGACTTGTACCCAAAGATGCAGGATTCTCCGGGATTGAGTGCAGATTGGAGGTAGATTGCCTAACACCAGACTGCGGGGTATAGGTAGGGACACAGGTCTACCTATGTAGTACAAAGGCCTGACCCTGACTATACATACAGGTACATAGACCTGCATATAGTACAGGTCTATGAGGGTCACAGGTTTATAAAAGATAAACCTGTACTATGACCTTTACTATTACTATATATGTACCTATGTGTAGTTTACTACACATCCTGGACATGTCTTCAAGTAAAGTAGTACTTAAGAGCAAAGTTTAACATGCAAAGTTTAAGTTTAAGTAGCTCTCTTACAGAATATATGTGTTAGCATTTGTGCTTCAATTTATTTAGTTTAATTTGAGTCTCACTCATATATTTATAAAAACTCCGCAGGTTTATATAGTCGGACCTCATATACCTATACTATCACATCAGATGTGCCACGCAATCATTGTGCACGTGTCGACGATGCACCGGATGAGGACAACGTAGTTATGGACGAGAACGACAAGTTGGATGACATTGTCGTTGTGGAAAATCTGAACAGCGCAAGGTCAAATAGGACGAAGTCGAGCAGTACCAAAGCGAGTGGGAGAAAGGCTGCTGAGAAGAACTCAGAAACACCTGAGGAAGAGCTAGGTCAGTGAGGGTGAATGATCAGATTCATCACGCGACTTACCGAGATTGCAGAGCGTGTGTCCTAAGACTGGAAGTCTGTCGCGTACGCATTTTTCAAGCCTGAGGTCACCATTAAGAGCGACACAGCAGGGAAGCATTCGCATGTGTTCCACTGTGCCAACCGAGGTTGCAGAACGAAGATCGCCAGGTGGCTTGACAAGGGTGATAAGGGCTCCACCGGAAACATGAGGAAACATATCAAGGCATGCTGGGGAGAGGAGGCATTGGGAGCAGTGGACCAGATGAAGACGGCAGAGGAAGCGCGCCCTGCCGTAGAGAAGTTTACACAGTCAGGATCTATTATGGCATCATTCGAGCGCAAAGGCAAAGGGAAGGTGACGTACTCAAGTTGCCAACACAGCTGGCAGGAGGCCAGGTATGCATATCTCCTCTCTCGTATCGGATATGCTGACAGTGGAAAGCCAGGGCGGAGATCATGCACTGGGTATCCGAAAGTCTGCGCCCGTTCACAATTGTCGAGGATCAGGCATTTCAGAGTTTGATGAAGATGGGGCACCCAGAGTATTGGATCCCTTCTCGATGGACGGTAGCACGCGATGTACACAAGGTCTTTGCTCGCTGTCATGCAAGAGTGGCAAAAATGCTCCAGGTTAGTGAACGCGCTTCACAGTACATGCAAGAGACTGACTTACCGAAAGGAGTTTGACAGCGAGCTGAATTTCGCCACGGACGTGTGGACCTCGCCAAATAACAAGGCCATTGTGGCATTCACAGTCCATCTTCATCACAAGGGTGTTCCCCTCCACATGGTGCTCGATGTCATTGAGGTAGCCGAGGCCCATAATGGTGTGAACTTGGCCACCGCGTTCGCAAAGATGACGGAGGACTTCAATATCACTATGAAGGTAAGTCCGTGAGATGTGGGCTACAAATTCATGAAGTAAGAGAACTCACCTTGGAAAAAGTTGCTTGGAGTAACAGCCGACAATGCCACCTCCAATGATGTTATGATCGATGAGCTCGTCAAGCTCATTGAGTCATTTCAGGGCCAAGCAAACCGATCGCACTGCTTCGACCATGTTGTCAATCTCGTGGTGAAGACTCTGTTGCATCAGTTCAATGTGGCACCTGGGAAGGCCGATGCTGCTCTCAATGAGGCAGAAAAAGCACTGATGGAGCTCACAAAAGACCTGGATGTGAACATCACTGAAGATGGTGACACTGCAGAAGAAGATGTGGACAACTTGGATGGATGAGAAGATGAGCGGGAGGGCCTCTCCGCTGAAGAGCGCACTGCGCTTGATGAGAGTGTCTGGCCTGTAAAACTCGTCCTCGTCAAAGTGAGTGTTAGTCAAATGGTGCACATGCACCTGTTGAGCCTATTGGCGCAGTTGCGAAAGATAGCCAATGCCATCATTTGCTTTTCAACCAAGCTGTTGCCAGCTTGGTTGAAGGTACTTGCCGATTTGGATCTGCCAGAAAGAAATATGCCACGTGACGTGGTGACACGATGGAACTCCATGTTCCAAATGTTGCAGTTTGCGCTCAAGTACTGGAAGGCGATCGACAAGATGACAGAGGACAGGTCAAAGGAGTTGCAAAAGTACGAGCTGAGTGACGAGGAATGGGAGATTGCAGAGCAACTGCGTGACATTCTCAAGGTAGGTCACACATGACTATCAACACGCCTCCTCCTCACGCTCACCACATCATCCTCACGCCCTCCTCCAGATCTTCAACGACACAACGTTGTACTTCTCGCGCGACACCCCGAGCTTGCCCATGGTCATCCCGGCCATGGACATTATCAACGAACACCTGACGGACGAATCTCTCGATGCGCACTACCAGCCCTGCATCCGTGCTGCCATCGGCCTCGCGAAGAAGACTCTGAACCATTACTACAGTAAGACTGACCAGTCGAGTGTGTATCGTATTGCCATGGGTAAGTGTAAGTCTGATAAATTGATTGTGTGCTAACTAATCTAATTTTTCAGTACTACATTCCTCCCACAAGCTCCAGTACTTCAAGCGTGCTGGGTGGGAGCAGGAGTGGATCGACACGGCGGAAACTGTCATCCGTGATGAGTTCAAAGCACGTACGCACACAGTGGTCCTGGAACTGTCTCCACCGAGGCAAATGAGCTCATCCCCAAGATATGTCTCGACCTCGTCGTGCGCGATTAATTTTATTTTCTCACGTATCTATCCTGCATGCACACAGAAGCCATCATTGAACATGTTCGACAACTTACTCAAGCACAATGCTTCCAAGGCACAACCGGACCGGGATGAAATCACGCGGTACCTTGACACCGAGACAGAGGATGTCGATGACGCACTGGTGTGGTGGTACGCACGCCGTAAGTAGTACCCCCATCTCTCAAGGATGGCAATGAGCTACCTGACCATCCCAGGTATGTTTTCTCTCACCGGCATATCTTCATTGAACTAACTAAGCTGAAACTGTGCCTGTGCCACTCTGCAGCCACATCCATCGATGTCGAACACTTATTCAGCAAGAGCCATCTGCTTCTCCCTCACATATGCAACGGGCTGTCAGCACAGTCAATTCATGCACTCTTGTGTCTTGGGGAGTGGAGCTGGCTTGGTTTCGTGTGAGTTGCTGACATCTTCACTATTACTTTGGGGCCGGAGGGCGAGGGCAAGGATGAGGGCTTCTTTGATGGATGGGATGTGATCATTGTACCTGACTTGGAGTAGTATGTACCTATGTACTGTCTCTACTTATGTGCAAAACCCATGAGTATACCCGTCAAGGGTACATAACCCGTGAGTACCCGTAGGATACCTGTACCCTTCAATACGGGTATTGTACCCTCACGGGTACGAGTATGGGTACACGTTCGGACACCCAGGGGTTAACCCCTGCTCTGCACTAATTTGCATACCTTCAAGCCAATTAAGCAACAACAAATCAAGCTTCAAGCTATTTCAAGCCAGTCAAGCCACCGGCCAAGCCGATCAAGTATCGAGATCAGCTTACACACTTGAACATGTTAATTACTTGAATAAGACAGATAAGTCCCCATAAGTAAAGTTAAGATTTCCTGATGTAAGATATGCCATACAGGGTAGGTCTCTGCAATTTCAGCAGAATATAAGAGACTATAGTCAGCACATGTACTTTCTATACCATTTTTCAGTCTTTAGTTGCATTGACAACTCTCAAAGTCATAAGGTCACCCATATATTTGGTCTTTCTAATGAGTTATAGCCTATAAGATTCGAACCAGTTCATGCTTGAACCGAACCTACCCAGCAGAGGCTGAACCAGAACTAGAACCAGAACTGAACCTAGGTTCAGTTCTAGGTTCAGTTCAGAGGTTCAGGGTTCGAACCTTCGTTCTGAACTGAACTTTGGCAACACTACTTCTGACCGACGTGTACCACCATTTCTGTCTCAAGGATCCTAACCTCATCATCGCTCGGCGACAATATGAATGCCCTAAGAAATATCCCGAATCCTGAAAACTTCTCTTACAGCAACACCTCGATGCCGGACGCATGCGTCCGTCTTCCTCCCCATACTCCTCTCCTTATTTCCTCATTCTGAAAGCTGACCCTACTGCTCTTCCTCACTGGGTCAATGACTACCACATCTTCAATGCTAATACCATCCCCAATGTCCATCCCCTCCCTAGTATCCAAGAAATCCTTTCTGACAGCCGAGGTAAGATTTGGGGTAAGCTCAACATGACTAACTCCTTCTTCCAGACCCGCGTCCACCCTGACGATGTTCCGTATACTGCGGTGGTGACCTCCTTTGGCCTATACGAGTGGACGGTCATGCCACGAGGTTGTCAGAATGCACCGGCCACCCGCCAATGTTGTATGCATCAGGAAAACCCAACTTTTACTTATGGGACTTATTCCGACCTTTTGTCCTTTTTTGCTTTATTTAAGGCCCATAAGTTCTCAAAAGTCGACTTTTAAGTCTCTAAGGAAATATGACTTATGGACTTTTTGTCCTTTTTTACCTTATTTAAGGTCCATAAGTGCATTTAAGTCACATAAGGACACCTTTAAGTAAAAGTTGGGTTTTCCTGATGTGTTCACTGCTCTCCACCCTTACATTGGCTCGATTTGTCATGTTTACCTGAACAATATCATTATCTGGTTGAACTCCTTGAAACAACACTGCTATAATGTTGAAACTGTCCTCTCTGCGTTACGCTCACATCATCTCTACTGCTCCTCGAAGAAAACTGACCTTTTCTGCCTAGAGCTATGCTTCCTCAGCCACTGCGTCTCCCATGCTAGTGTGAAGGCTGATGACTCTAAAGTTGAGAAAATCCTGTCTTGGCCTTTCCCTTCCTCTGCTACTGACATCCGCTCCTTTCTGGGCCTTGTCAAATACATCTCTAACTTCTTGCCTGCCCTCTCCCAATTCACTCACGTTCTGAACACACTCACCACCAAGGAAGCTGAACACAACTTCCATTGGTCTACAGTACACCAGGACGCTTTCACTGCGATCAAATCACTTGTCGTCAGTCGTGAATGCCCACTTCAGGGTACCCTTTTGACCTAGCTCTTAGCTTCAACATAATCTATATTGTGTAGTGGCTAAGAGCCTCTCAGGTGTCAGACAGACCATGGTACCAATACATGTCCCAGGGCATTATATGGGATTACCCAGGGCAAAGGCACAGCAAAGGCTGGTCCAATGGCACAATCATCATATGGGATGTCCTATAGTACTAGGGCATTGATATTTATATCCCAGTATTACTGGTTGTCCCATGGTGCCAGGGGTACATAGAGATGTCCCACTATTGTATGGTAGTTTTTTTATACTTTATTTTACTATCATATTATCTAAGCCTTAATTATAAAAACAGTGACTATAGTGATACAAACGAGCACTTTATTTGCATATTATATAAGGTGGGATCTCCCATTTTAAGGACATCCTAAGATGTTATTTTAAGATTCACAGATATTTAGTCTCTTCTTTAGCCTGAAGTTCCTATTTAACTACTATAATTATCTAGAGATTTATACTAACAGTTGAATTACTAAGGTTTAAGAGTGACAGGTCCTTGCAAGGGATATCCCATCACATAAAGGGACATCCCATAATACAAAGGTGTCATTCAGTGAATGCCTTTCTTTTTTCATTCAAATACAGTATATGATAGGAGACATGACAAGAATATATCTCCTTTGCTAGTATATTAGTAGACTGAGTAGTTCTATTTCTTGAGACACTTGGTGAAAGTTGTAGTATAGCTATGATACATACTATATGCCAAAGATTATATCATATTAGTCTGAACATTATGTCAGAAAATGTAAAATTGATTTTAAAACACGAGAATAAACATTGTTGTTTGACCTGTCTTAGTTGTTATATGAGCTAATAAATTTGTTGTACATGCTACCAATAGTAATATAGTCTTTATAACATTACAAATGCATACGCAATACTTGATATGAGATATCCTGCTTTCTATAAATATTTCACCATATATAAAGTGCAAATAAGGCACTTATTTACAGTATTCTAGTCACTGTTTTTATAATTAGAGCTTATACAATATGATTGTAGAACAAAGTATAAAAAAACTACCATACAATAGTGGGACATCTCTATGTACCCCTGGCACCATGGGACAACCAGTAATACTGGGATATAAATATCAATGCCCTAGTACTATAGGACATCCCATATGATGATTGTGCCATTGGACCAGCCTTTGCTGTGTCTTTGCCCTGGGTAATCCCATATAATGCCCTGGAACATGTATTGGTACCATGGTCTGTCTGACACCTGAGAGGCTCTTAGCCACTACACAATATAGATTATGTTGAAGCTAAGAGCTAGGTCAAAAGGGTACCCTGAAGTGGAATGCCTTACTGTCATTGACCATCAAAACATGGGTGACAACAAAATCTTTGTTTGCTCTGATGCGAGTGATTGGTGCACTGGTGCTGTCCTCTCTTTTGGCCTCACCCCCAAATCTGCTTGTCCCGTCGCCTTTGACTTTGTACAGTTGAAAGTTCCTGAACTCAACTACCCTGTTCATGAAAAGCATCATTGTCAGTTATTAACGATAATCTTTAGTGCTAATAAGCATGAAAAAAGGATTAACTTCCCGCTAACTAAGCAGTCCATCTCAAACTGAAGATGATCTTTGTGAATTATCTTAGAAGAATTTTTATAAAGATCTCAATGCGAAGAAGCACTTCCGTGAGGGTGTATTTGCGAAGGATGATGCTGGCGTCCATGGATGGGAGATTGAGTTCGGGATGGGAGATTGAGTTCGGGATGGGAGATTGAGTTCGGGATGAGAGATGCCTCCGAGGCAGGCAGATCCTTATTAGGTGCTCAGGTGGTTTCAGTGATGGAGGATCCCTCGGAATGAGTAGGAGTGTGAGGGGATGGGATTGCGAGATATGGCGTGATGGGCAGTGATTCAGCGGAGCGATTGTTAAGCAGATGCGGGCAGTATCAGGAGGGCAGGAAAGGTCAGGACCAGTTTAAGTATGATGGCAGGGGAAGAGGTCGGGGTAGAAACCACCATCCCGGAAGGTACACTTGTGAAAGCCTCATTCACATTCTCATCCCATCCAGTTAGTGTGTCTTTGGCAGTCTTGCGTTTGTGTGTTTTCTGGGCAGTCTTGCATTTTCACGCTTCAGTGTTCTCCTTAGGGCAGTGCGATTTTACTCTGATGCGTTTCCAGTGATTATTGCGACTACAGAGATTTTCCTAGCTATGCTTTCGGGCCACCCACCTCATACCTCTGGAATAGACTCTTCTCCTTCATTGCATCTCAGACCCCATGCGGACTTGATTCCGCTTGTACTCCACCTTTCCGGCTTGCGACAAAACTACAATCTCGTCAGCGACATTGTCTAAGTCCGGCGCGCAGATGTTTGCGCTGATCTGTGCACGGAGGTGGGCATCATCGAGGCGAGAGGGGGAGCCACGGAGAATTGTGTTGAGCTTCTCAATGGAGAGGACCCAGTCTTGGAAAGATTTGTCCTCTCTCTGGCGTGAACAAAGGAGCTGGGTAAGGATGGATGATTCCCAGCCCTTCGGTAAGAAGCGGGAATGGAAGGCAGAGAGGAAATCTTTCCAGCTCATTGCATCGTAGGTATCCACATCGTTGTAGTACCAGTCACTAATGATCGTGTCTTGGAAGCCAGGGTAACTTTGGAGACTTTCTTTTCATTCACGACATTGTTGTGTTTGAAGTATTAAAGGCACGTGTTCTCCCACGAGTGTGCAATGGTGGGAGAGATTTTCCATGGGGTGAGAATGGGAGCGTGCTTCGTGGAGGACTGTACGACTGATGCGACGTTGTTGTTGGACATGATAACAATAGAAGTATCGAGATCCGAGCTACTGGATGAGAGGGATCTGGATCGCAGAGATACCGCCAGCGAGGAGGCCTTGGTAGTGATCGGGAAAAGTGCTGATAAGATGCTTAGTGAAAGATATGAGAAGACCGAGGCCGGGCGAGAATCTGGGTTCAGGACCTCTTGAAGGTTCTCGATGTTGTCGAACGGGAGAACATCGAAGAGGTCATGGATGCAGGTGCGAGTGTTGGCAGGCAGGGTGGGCAGTAAATAGGTGGAGGTGGATGACAAGGGTGCTTGCATCAGAGCAGAGCACTCATTGGGGCTCGGATGGGGTGGTGGGGCGATGCTTCCGCAGCCTCGTGGCTCGCAGATTGATCCGAAAGATAGCCTTTAGGCTCGGAGGGCGCATTCTCGAGGGAGAGAGCCGCAACGCAATAGAAGGTTCGTTCGATGTTCAAAAAAAAGTGGAAGCCGGTGCACGACCGGCAACACTCAACAACGGAACAGGAACAAAATGTCTTCGTTGGTGCGTACAGAGTAGTTCTGGTAAGTACTGAGGAGCAAATGTGTAATATGAGACATACCTTTGTTGGTGCGTACAGAGTAGTTCTGGTAAGTACTGAGGAGCAAATGTGTAATATGAGACATACCTTTGTTGGTGCGTACAGAGTAGTTCTGGAGCAACAACAAAGGCGCACGTGTGGAATATCAACCGTCTTCGGGGAATTCCGGGTTGTAACCGTAGGCCAGGGTTACAGATGGACAATGCAATCCTGCCAGGCGGTACAAGGGAATTCAAAAAATATAATTTTGGTGTGACATGCTGTGACTATTTGGCTACAACAAATAACTTTTACAGAATCGAGAACGCAGCTTCATGTGCAAAGCACTGTAGCTCCGGCCTTTGCGAGTTGCCTGTGCAATGTTATGAACTGCAGTGCACGGCAAGCAACCAATTTTGGGCTGCTCGTGCCTCACAAAATAAGATCTATGGTGGTTTATCTCAAAGTTCCTGCGAGAAACATAGGCTTGCATAAACTCGGAACAATCCGGATGACGAGTTCGGCCAGCCATCTTACAGCGTTCTCCTCCTCTTAGTGCTCGTCCTGATCTGGCAATTTTTTAAAAGGGTAAGTCTCATAAAACATATGTCACATGACCTCCTAAAACATGCGTGCTAGGATAAAGGAGCGAGAACGCTGTAACGACAGATGGTTTTAGGAGCCTGATTACCCATCCGGTACCCGGCTCGTCTGGTGGTGTACAACTCAGGAGAGATACAACGATCGAACGCGCGTCAACAGGCGCCCACAAGAACGGCAAGTAATAATAATGATCCATTAGGCAGGCTGATGTAAGGCCCCTACCCACTATTGTTGTCTCACCTTTTGGCGTCTATTGAGGCTCGACAGAAGCGGGGTAGATCTTCTCAGACACCAGTCTTGACTGATTCTGGGAAAATCGGAACCGTGACGCTAAAGACGGCGGCGGCCGGGAGGATCCACGCCTTGCACTACTTGTATAAGTACACTCACCTCAGGGTTGCCTCAGATATACCTCAGATACGCGTAGCGGGTGATTTGCCTCGGCATCTATCCGTTGGACTCGGATATGAATGTCCTTTTGGCAAGTTGTTTACTCCTGGACCATGAACTCATCCGGTAGACATCCGTTGGCGCTCGTCTGGCAACTTCAATCCTATATCACCGTGATGCTGGACGAGAATCCGTGCGCGTCCTTTGTGACCAGGTAAGCACAACTGGCCTGCTTAAGGTTGTACGACGGGCAAGGTTGAGATATCGATATAGCACTTACATTTATAGACACGCTACATATCCATCTATAGCCGCTTCAGCGCTCAATACTCGGCGAACTTCATTAGATCTCCACTGGCACACGCCTGCCGTCCTTCACGACACTGTGGACAGATAGACTTTATCCTATTGTTCTACATCTCACACCCTTTGCCACAGTGCATCTCTCTTTTGTTGATGTCATATGCTTCTCTATTGTCATCTGCTTCCGCGAACTACCTTTTTGTTTCCGCTGTCTACCAACTGGGTCACATAGCCCAAAATGGATATGTAAGATGGCGTTCTCGACAGTCGACCCGATGTCCACCCACGGTATCGTAACCCTGGCACTGTGATGATTGTCTGACTGGGTACGGGAGTGACGGTCAAATGGCCGGCGACTTTGATTCTGAGCTAGCCATCCCCCTCTCCTGAGCACACTATCTGCTTTATGTCCACATTGCATGCTCCTTTTTTGCCGTTCCAAGTGTTAACTATAGAACAGGCGACGAACAGAGTCCAGTGCCTTGTGGACACGTTCAACACATGTAAGTCTCTGTTATCGAAGGCGATATGCTATTTCACCCTCGTCCGCAGACAAAGATTGTCTGCCCTATTGCAGTTTGCCTGCAAGAGAGCATCTGCAGTGGAATACTGCGTTTGAGACGTTATTGCATCATGTCGGAGTCATAGAGACGTCCCTCATCAAGCTGTGTATACTGTACCCAGACGAAGTAGTGCGGACATCGATCGCTATAGTGAGTTTTTCTCGTTCATCTCTTTCTCAATGGCGACCTTCGTCTGTGGCTTGTCTCACATTCAGTCATAGGTCATCTGTACTCACCAACAGCAGGAGCTCATATTGGCCTCCTGCGGGAAATGCGAAGCTGGATACATCCTCACGTTCTCAACTATTCGGTATATGACACGCTATCTCGATGCACTGGGCATGCAGCTATATACCACAATTCGCTGGATCAAGTCAGAAGAGGGCAAGTACCACTGGGGGATGGTGAACGAAGCGATAGCCAATATGCATAATACCTTCAGCCGGTTCTCACTGTCTACCATTGCATGCGCTATAGGGAGTCAGGTATACTTGTCATGCTTCCGTGAAGCAAGCGGACGTCAGACACGCACTGGGCCTCCCACTCCTTTGACTGAAGTCCTTCGAAAATTCGAGCTGCCTTGTTGCTTGCGAATAGATCCCTGTCATGCTGTTGACCTATGGGCTTTCCCAGATCTGAGCCCACTGCTGCGTAATTTCACGCCCCTGAATGTTTCGCATCTCCACCCCGGCGGACATTCTGAATCAGAGTGTCGTCAAGCGAATGAAGCTCAGCGGTCGTCTTCATTATCGTGCCGTCGGATCTCCATCGCCCTTTCTAACCGCCGGTTATATGTGTCGAGGATACCCAGCTATCGCCCCAGGCGATCTCGGGCTCGGTGTATGCCGTAAGTAATATTTGAGATCTCGTCAAACATCAATGCTAATGTATCAGCCAGATGTAATTTGGTATCCTCGAGATCAGACGTATCACTTACTCTGAACCTACACAAAAAGCGTTGTCGAAGCAAGGGTCCTGCATCCGCAGCTTCGGTCGGTCTCTTCGAAGGCGATGTTCCGCGTTCTCCTGTTTACAAAAAGCGGGCTCTCGAAGTAATGGAAGAGGTCACTTGGGTTTTGAAGGAGGACTTTCCTTCGCCGCTTGGAGGCGACACCTTGACTCCGGACTCAGCCACTGCGCTGCTTCTACCTCGTCGAAGGGATTCGGTAGATTCGGAGGTCACTCTCGTGGATAACTCAAACGAGGATTTCAAAGAGGATATTAAGGACGATTCAATGGAGGGTATAGAATGGGATATCTCGGAGAACATCAAGGACCAGTCCCATAGAGCCACCAGCCCCGAACCGCCATCATCTAGGGCGTCATCGGTTACCGGCTGCAGTGAAGCTGGAAGCAGCGATGACAGCACTCTTGTGGGTCCTGAGGAGCAGCCCATTCTCATACCCTCACGCGACGATGCACCTAAATCTTCCTGGTTGACGATGCTCTGGGAAATGTTGCTGCGTCGCTGAGTCTCAAACTTCATGGTAAATCTTTCCGTAAATGTTCTCCCACATCGTTACTGATATACCGTAATATTAGAGCGCATCAAATATTTGAGCTGGTTCTTGAATTCATTGCCTCTTGGAGTATCGGGATGCAATCATCATGTCGCTCTCAAATACGAAAATGCCCCGCTCCCAGGAGACATTCTATCGCAGGTCGTACGAAGGAGAAGCTGCAAACCTTGTTTTGAGGTCGGTGGTGTTCCCTGCGTTTGTACTCTTGTCGTCATACGTCAGCCTCCAAAGCGTTGTGGGTAATGCTCTTCACTGCCTCGTCCTTTACTCGGAAGCATGCATGTTCGGGTATTGGATATACCTATTGCTGCTCGACTCGTGGCAAGATTCGCATCTATTCCAGTATACGAAGGCCGTTCTATCAAACACTGCCGTTGTGGACGGCTCACCGGTGCCCGTTCAGCTCATAGATCTTGGTCTGCGGATATTGAACAAGAATTGGAGGAGGCCGCATTTCGCGAATTCTGAGACACTCCCTCAGTTGGCGCTTCGATACTTGCCCGCGCAGTAGAAGACGTGGTCGGTGTACGAATGGTGGTCGCGAGACGCGTTCTCCGAACACTGTTCACTAATTGTCTTCGGCAAATTACCATGGATCTTCGTCACATACTACCATCCCTATCATGACCACCGCACAGTATCACCTCTATGTACACATATGTTCTCAGTCCCGTTATCAGTATGCTATTTCGACCGATGACCGTGTCAATACCATGTTCGGGTCCACCATGATGCACTCGTTCTTCTTCAACAGTTCCCAGTCCTGCTTCTTGAAAGTAGTAGGTTCACTAGCGACGATGATATGCTCTCCGTGCTCGTGATCGTCCTTCAATGTCTGCGAGTTATGTGTCCACTCCATGTCGGGGTGCCCAGGGTATTTCCGATTGAGGGCTACACCTGCCTGCGTGGAGAAGTAAAGGGATGGGGGATGTTCCGTGGGATGGTTTCGGAATCGGATGCAGAGCAGCTGTGTACCGTCGGTGATAGCGATGTTTAAGCTCGACGCGTCCGGCTGCGCTACCACCTGCTTCTGGATCTCAAGCACTTTGGAGATTGCCTTCTCCAGCGTGTGCTTGACATCCTCCAGCGTGTGACTCGTTCCCCATGCGGTTGCACCTTTCTTCTCTTCAAGGTACGTGAAGAACAGGGCAGCGAGATGCTCCGAGTCCGTCGTACCCCGCACCAGCTGCAGAGCCTCGTCTGATATCTCCGCGATGAGCTGCCGTTTGATCGTGCTGAAGTGCGCGATGACACCGTTATGCATGAACAACCACCTTCCGAATTGAAAGGGATGGTTGTTGTACTCTGTGATGGCAGTGCCGCCGCTGGCGGCGCGGATGTGTGCGAAGACGGCTAGTGTGGAGGTGTTGGCGCAAACAGACAGGAATGCCGGATCATTCATCGGCTGGCGGAGGACTTTGTACACAGCCGGGTGTGGTCCATCGCATTCCCCGAATTCTGCCCGAGATGTTGTGTACCTGGGGAGCAGAAAGGGTCAGACGTGGCTCAGGACGAACGAGTCTGATGATGTCCCACCAAGCCATTCCAAGCCCATCCAAATTATACAAACTGTTGCGGAGTTTAATCTCCTTGTCCGTGTCGCGCGCATTAGAGTCGGGTTCGTAGTAAGCCAGCATGGGCAAATAGTGGTCGTGCACCTGCTTCGCCAAAGAATGGGCAGGGACAATGAGTACGTCCTCCAAGAGACAGGGTTCCGACTTGGAGAGATACGCGAACCATCGACACATCTTCGCGTTTGGAAGTGCTAACAGCACGGGGACTTGATGAGAGCGGGAGCGTAGATGGTATCTTATACCAGGACTGCTTGAACTCAAATCGGTATCGACATCATGTTCGCTACAACGAGGAGGAGCTCTCAACCTTGCTGGAAATTTTCATGGCACCTGCGCAGGCATATTACACGCAATGTCACATAGAATGGAACTTACTGTGTTGTACATTAGAGCTATATGCAAGGGCAGTTCACAGCGTCTGAATCGTTGACCTCCGGCCAACGGAGACTGCACCTTCCGATCGGAGAGTGAGAACACCCGAGCTCTACCACTTGTGTACAGCACAACTTTGTTGTAGTCGGGCGCCTCAGGTCGAGCGAGAATGGGATAATTTGGGGATAAAAAATCGATGGTTGCAAGTGCCGTCACTCGGCAACTTCCGCAAAGGCAAATTTGCATATCATCCGGACAACCTCAACCATAACACAGGCCGACGTTCGTCAAAGTGAGTCTTCTATTCTTGTTGTGCAAGCCAAATGGATCTTGGAGGTTGTCTGGAGTACTATGCTGGAGGTCCGGTCCCAATATTTGTGGTGGAAGAGGCTGGATTGGAGTAAGGAGCGACGGATTACCTGCTTGAGGCAGGAGGCCCTAGGGGTGAAAGCGAGCTTTAGGCGTCAGGACGCGTGGTCCCGTCTCATACCAGACAACATTACTGGAACGCAACTGGAAGGTTCATGTTCTTCCGGTGAAGCGTGTTCGGAGTAGAACGAGCCGACAACACCCTACCTCTACGCTTGCAACCTACTTTTGGTTGCACGGTGCTAATGATGTTTCCTCTAGACCACGCGATAACCAATGGCCCCGACAAAGAGCACGAAGGGTAAGGCGGCCGCCAAGGGTATGTGTGTACGGATCATAATTTCAGCATGACCTGACTCTTTCGCCGTAGCCACGGGGAAGGATGCCAAGGCCAAGGCAGCGAAAAAGGCCGCGCTCGCCGGTACACACGCCCACGACTCGCGGAAGGTCCACTACTCTGTGTCGTTCCACCGCCCCAAGACTCTCCGCCTGCCTCGTGAACCTAAGTACCCTCGCAAGTCCATCCCACATGTGCCACGAATGGACCAGTTCCGGACGATTGTCTCGTGAGTTCGATGGTTTCCTGAACGCATGGCATGCGATGTGAACATTTGTTGATATCATAATGCAGGCCGCTGAACACTGAGTCGGCGATGAAGAAGATTGAGGAGAATAACACCCTGGTCTTCATCGTCGACATCAGGTCGAACAAGCGTCAAATTAAGGACGCGGTGAAGAAGCTGTACGACGTTCAGGCTTTGAAGGTCAACACGCTCATCCGGTGGGTACAACTTTACGCAAGTTCATGAGGTAATTCTCATGCTGGTTGTAGTCCCGATGGCAAGAAAAAGGCCTACGTGCGGTTGGCGCCCGACCACGATGCGCTGGACGTGGCAAACAAGGTTCGTATATCGCGTTTTGATTTTTTCCGTGCTTACTCGGGTTTGACGCGCAGATTGGTTTCATCTAACCGCCTTGCCCTCACATCGAATTACTGCTGCTCACCTTTTTCTGCCTTTGTTGCACCTACACCATCGCATTATCTCATGTCATGTATGCGTACCATCCATGCCATAAGTACGAGCAAGATATGTTTCTGTCGCAATTTACTGGGATGATGGAACTGCGCGCTTGCTGCGGGGGTGCGCCTGGATCTTCCATGTTTTGACCCCAATAATTTTCGCGCAATGCGCCCAGTCTCTCACTCGCGTTGAGTCTGGAAATGCGTATTCCGCCCGAACGATAAGTTCGTTCAGTCACAGATGTTTATCAGCCAGATGTGACCGGATTTTGATGACGTCCATAACCGTTACCCAATTTGGAGTGTGTGATCGAGTATGATGCATGTAAACCATTCATGTACACAACTTATCATGCATGCAACGGGCAGAAGACACATATATTCAGAGAGTATACAAGACATGATTTCTGAAAGACACAGTCGACAATCGATCTGAGCGTCGGGAGGCGGTGCCATGGCGGTTGATGAGAGATGTGAGCAAAATAAGAACAAAGACGTCTCATCTTCCCGCCACCACGGGTCCGTCGACCTAACTTATTCCTCCCTCGTCGGGTTCTGGCCCCTCGACGTCGTCAGCAACGACCACTCTCTCCTGCCCACCATAGCAGTACCACGTTCCTTCATCTTAGTAGGCGGACGCATCGTCTAGCCGTCCCCGCTCGACAGCATAACAACGTCTCGTAACCAGGGACCCCCACATGTCTTCTGCTTTTCGCCGTCTTCTCCTCGTCTTTTTTCTTGCTTTTGCCTTGCTCTTCTCTTCTGTCGATGCTGTCCACTCGTCGCACACTTCTTCTCATGCCCGGCGTTCTCTAGCTCACAAAATCCAGAACCGAATATCCAAAGCTCTTGTGCGCAGGCAGTTTTCCGGTGATGGCGGCGGCGGTCCTCTGAGTGCGGTCTTTGGTGAGTGACTTTCTTTGAAATTGGTGAGGGCCAGAGGTCTCGTCCGATGCGTGCTATGTGAATTATCACACAGCAGTAATTCTGCAATCGTCCAATCTAGTTGCTGCGTCGTAATTTTTTTCTACGCGTTCAAGTCGCATCAGACAACACGCGCAGCTTGGAATATATCACTTTGTTGTCCGAGGATGTGCGGTTCAAGAGGTTTTAGAACAAAACCTGTTGCGACTCAGGGCGTACATTGCAGCGAGACTTGGCTGCGAAGCCGCTTCAAGTGATATGAAGTCATAAAATGTACCAGGCTGACGTCTTCTGTCCTCAGGCGACTTGAACTCCGCGGTTAACGGTCTCCTGGGAGACGTGTCAAGCTCGCCCGGTACAACGGCGATGGTGCCAGCAAGCTCGACAGATGTTTCTTCTACGCCGACGTCAGCGCCGCCACCTACGACGCCTTCTTCTTCTCCGGCGTCTGCAGGTTCTAGCGCCTCGTCGTCTTTCGTCGATCCGTCGAGTCCAAGCGCGTCTTCGGCATCGTCACCTTCGGTTTCGTCCTCGTTTAGCGCGAGCTCATCTTCTGTGAGCTCAACAAGCCACAGGGACAGTGCCTCGTCCATCCCTACGTCGGCCACTCCCACCGACACCGATTCGCCACTGTCGTCTTCGTCAGCTATTTCGTCGGACGGTACGGTTTCATCGGTGCCCTCCTCATCGTTCACACTCGCCCCGATACCGACACCGACACCAACACCGACTCCCACCCCGACACCGACCGACTCCAGCGGCCAAAGCTCGAGCACGGATAATCCGAATCCTATTCCGAGCGTTGTGTCAAATCTGTCGAGTGTTGTGTCGAGTTTCCTGAATCCTCCTACTTCCGCTCCGCCGTTGTCGTCTCCCGCAAGCGTGACGGACAGCTCGTCGCCCTCGTCAGGTCCCACCGATAGCGAGGAGCCGTCAGCGAGGCCTAGTTCATCTCCTCCCACGAGTCCGACCGACAGCCCTCCCCCTTCTGCGAGTCCCACCAATACCTCGTCCCCTTCTGCGAGCCCTACGGATAGTGCAGCTCCCTCTGCGAGTCCCACTGATAGCTCGTCTCCTTCCTCAAGTGCCACCGATAGTTCTACACCCACAGGCGCGAGCAGTGCAAGTCCTATCTCGAGCGTTCCACCCACCAGCGTTGAACCAACGAGTACCCCTGCGAGTGAGACACCCACTCCGTCGTTCAGCTTGAGCATCAGCTGGAGCATCGGTTTTCCCCCCGTGTCGTCTTCCGATCCGGATTCCTCGGTCGTCTCTAGCAGCAGCCCCGCCAGCGCTACTGGCTCCTCTGCGAGCGGGCTCACGATCAGTCTCCCCACTTCGGGAACGGTGAGCCTCCCGATCAGTCCATGGTCGTCGGTATCGCCCAGCCTCCCCAACAGCCTGCCGTCATGGGCCCCATCGATACCCTTGTCGTCCCCGTCTTTTTCGTTCAGCATTTTCACTCCCACTTCAGGGTCCGTGAGTGCGTCCGTGACGTCTTCTCCGACATCGGGCTCAGGAAGCGTGAGCCAGTCGGTGTCTGCGAGCCAGTCAGTGTCTGAGAGCCAGTCGGTGTCTGCGAGCCAGTCGGTGTCTGCGAGCCAGTCGGTGTCTGCGAGCCAGTCGGTGTCTGACAGCCAGTCGGTGTCTGCGAGCCAGTCGGTATCTGACAGCCAATCGGTGTCCGCGAGCCAATCGGTATCTGCGAGCCAATCGGTATCTGCAAGCCAGTCGGATTCTGACAGCCAGTCAGTGTCTGCAACGCCTTCAGGTTCAACAAGCATATCTGCTAGTGGGAGTTCTATTTCTGAAAGTGTTTCTACCTCTGGCTCGCAGTCGGCATCCAGGTAAATAACAACACATTATTATAGCGAACGAAGACTTACGTATGAAATCTTGATAGTGCTAGCATCACTGGGAGCGCATCCGTGTCGTTGTCTTTGTCCAGTGGTTCTCTCAGTGGATCTGCAAGCAGCTCAGTCGTTATCAGTTTCCCATCAGGCTTGTCAAGCTCAGGTTCACTGTCATTCTCTTCGCTTTCCACTGTCCGTCCTACGACCTCGATCTCGATTAATTCCCAGTTCTCCTTCGTGACACAGTCATCTCTCCTTGTGGCATCGCTGTCGAGCACGTCGGCGACTCCTTCGACTCTCACTAATCCCGATCAGCCAACATCGTCAGTAGAGATAAACAGCGCGTCAGCGTCGGCGACTGCCAGCCCCTCCGCTGCTGCTCTTCCTTCTGGACTCGCTGCGCGCATCTATCCTTTGGACGTCCTCCCTGGTGACTTGAGTAACTACACCTTGATCAGCATCTTGTTTGGTCCTGCATTGAACTGGCCATTTGTCGTCAATGACACGCAGGCGTCGGCTCAGATATTCGCGTGGGGACCTGCAGTGGTCTACAGTGCGTTGGCCATACCATGTAAGTTCTTTGTTATAAATATATGCTGTCCTAGACTTTGACATTTTACTTGATAGCGGATCAGGTCATGAATTATGCGTTGCAGGCCTATGAACCCACGTCTTATGAGGGCCCTGCGGATGTGAACCAACTTGGAACGATCTGGCTTGCCTATATTCCCACCAACCAAGTGTCCACTTTGGCACAGCAGATTAAAGTCTCAACTTCGCCGTTCTACACCGCTGCGGGTGAGCCTTACATCGAGCTCGCGGCTCAAGTGAACCCGTCGTTCGAGTTGGACTCAGTTCCGTCTCCAAACTCGGGCACGGGCGGAAGTAGTGCCTCCAATAGCACCGCGAGTACGTCCAACTCGTCCGGTTCTAACTCCCGCAAAGACGCCATCATCGGTGTGGTCAGCTCGTTGGGTGCCATTGCCTTACTTGTGCTTGCGTTCCTCATCGTGCGCGCCGTCAAGCAACGCAGGGAACTTGCTCACCGGCGTCTCTCTGATCCTGTGGACACCACTAATGACTTCGTCGGAGCGCGTCCTGAAGGCCAGGAATTCGATCGCGACAGTTTGGGCGGGCAGCGCAGGCGCAGCTTCTATTATGCTGCGGACTCGTTGCGCGGGTTCGCTGATGTCGCCGCCGCCGCTGCAGGTGCTGCCTCGCAGGATGGGATGAGAGAGCGTAGGACTGTTATGCCAGGCATGATTTCAGCCCCTGTGCTCAGGGACAACACGATGAGTTGGTAGATGCCAAGCACTTAGACGTCGCCATGTGCAAGTTGGTCGGTTGTTTGACTAGTTCGTGATCATGAACTTTCGCAGTGTGGTTAACGGGAATATGTACATCTTGATGGGAAGGCTTCGTCGCGTCTGAAGTAGGTTTTGCTTGTGTTTATTGAGGTACGCTCAGTTTGCGACTCTCCCTTGCCTCGTGCATCCCCACATCATCCATATACCCCTCCCTTCGTGACACACTTACCCTAATATCCTTTTCAATATTTATCTCTGTGGACAGTGCGAGAACCTTACTATTTTGATTTTCGGTTACCTCTCGTGCCGTGGTGCTTTTTTCCTTTTTGTTTTCGTCGCGCTGGTTGTCGTGCATCTACGTATATACATGATTTTTGTCGTTGTGTCCAGTAGCGCGGGTTAGAGTTGTTGGTTGTACATGCGACTATAAAAAGCGACACGATTTCCACCCTAAACTTAAGGCGATGTAGCACATGGAGGGTGTGAGGCCTTGAGGTGTGAGCATACTTGCGTGGGTAATCGAGTCTCTGCAAGGCAGCCGTGAGGTACTCCAGGCAATATTAAAGTCGGCCTCCAAAATCGATTCAAGAACATGGCAAGCCGTCGCCTCTGAATGGTGGATCGGGCATGTCACTGGGTCTGAAGCGAGAAATCCTGCAAGAAAAACGTTGTCTCCGTCCGGAGAGATCATACGCCCTCAGGCGTCAGGCCTCAAGTAGAGGGTCATATCCGGCTCTTCCTGCGAAACGCCAAATGCAGGCCCGCCCTTCCCGAACATGGCTCGCACATCCGCTGCGAGCGAAGTGGCCACTAATTTTGAGCTTCGATTTGAAGACAACGTTGCCGATGGTGCGGGCCCAGCTGCACGGCAATAACGGATTCAGTGAGCGAAATCGTAATTAAGACGAGGCAGCGAGACGTCTTTGGCACGACGATGAGTTCTTTTGGAAAATACGATAGGCCGCATGAAATGGGGTTCCAAGCGTGGTTATGGTATTACTGGGTGGTCTTGTAGTATATCCGCGTCGACGCACTCGGGAGAACCAGTAGATTGATATCCACGTCAGGACTGCGTGCACCTGTCGCCGTCAGCGAGCAAGAATCTGCTCCAAGCGCGAATACACCCACCCTCGTCGTCGGTCCACACGTACCCGTCCAACTATTGTACTAGTTTCTCGTAAATCCACGGTAGCAGCGCGACGGGCGAGTTGGCGAGACCGTACCCGAGAGTTTGTGGCTGCGTTGAATGCACCCGGAAGTAGCCCTGCCCCTTGGTAGGAACCATCCCGTGCGCTCAAACCCCGCATGCTGGGCGGGCGTGTAGGGCGTCAGGAGATGCACGAGGGAGAGATATGGGTATTTCCAGAAGGAGGGGGGCTGGCGGATGCTGGAACACGCCGTCATAGGGAGCTGGATAAATATGCAGTGCAGAGAGCAACTTGGGAAAGTTTGTATGCCACGCTTTAACGCTAGCTCCTCTATACATGGCTGCTAATTTGCGGGCTATCTGAAGGTGTCATGTTGGAGCGTGCTTTCGGAAAGAGATCGTGAGGAGACTGACGAAGCATCCCCAATCTCCTCCTCGGACAACTACATGAATCAGTTAGCAAAGTTAAATCTTCCGCCTGGAATTTGAAGTTCTACACCAGCCACAACCACAATCAATACAAAGGCTCATGATGCTGCTCACCGTATTCATCGTAACCAAGCTGAAGCATCAGTTTGCCAGTTGTTAACAACCTTCGATGTTAGCCATGAGTAGTTGTGTAACAAGCACCCCTCAGGTACAAACCTCTGCATAACGGACGCCGGAAAATCCCTTCTTGGTGGGTCCTTCAGGGAACCCAAACCCTGGAAGACTAGGCGCGACAACGTGGAAACTGGGATGATCTGGGGAAGAAGTGATGAGGAGCGGGAGCCTCTTCTGCATCTAGAGGAAGTCTCCAGGCCCTAGACCACTCGCTGTCAAGTATATCCCGTGAGATACACCAAAAAAGGGCTTACAGCCATGGACGAATAGCGGAGGAATTTTGCATTCTCGACCATATTCTGCTAGTGAACATGCACGTTGAGCGTACAGTAGCCATTCACGTCAATGTCCCTGGTGAACGTTAACTGCGGAATTTCGTTGATGCCGGCTTATGCTTTGCGCCAGTTGTAAATCCTCCTCCAATATTCAATGAGGCGTTTCATGTCGATTAGAGGAACCCCGTAGTAATATTTCCGTTTCTGATTCAGGAGATCAATATCAGCATTCGACATATATGGCAACGTTGTACTAGTACTGCCTGAAGTTAGGGTCAGACATAATATATCGCGATGTTTACGTCGTAGATCGTGAATAAATGACTATTCAAAACGTTGATCAGGGCAAGCGCCCAGCTGGAACCATCGTTTTTGGCGCCAGGCGTTCAATATGGGGAAGCGCTCCAAGAACCCACGTGAAAATGGGAGACATGACGTCAGAGTGGATTACTCTCGAGCTGGGGCTGGCTTGGCGATCAGCATGTCGCCGCAAGGTCAGAGTCCCTTTGTCTTTTATCTCCCACCATGTCTACTCACGCAGTTCAGGTAGCCATATATTCATAGCCAAATATTTGGGTGCTGACGATCTGGCTTCTTTTTCGAGGTTTCTAACATCTCGCCAGCAACGACGAAGGAACACCTCGAGGACTTCTTCTCGTACGTTAATAGCACACATCCTATCGGGGGTTGTCTTCACAGGAGTGTCTGCGCAGGTTCTGCGGGCGGATCGCGTCCATAGAATACACCGAATCCTCCAATATCGCTACCATTCACTTCGAGAAGCCCTCCGCAGCCAAGACTGCGCTTATGCTTAACGGCGGCACTCTTGACAACTCACATCTCACCGTGACAAGCGAGGTTGAGCATGTAGATGAGAAGGTTACCACTCACGACGGCAAGTATGAGCAGAGCGACAAGCCGAGGGCTGGAAGTGAGTGTAGGAACCTGGGCTTCCGCATTGCCTCGTGTGCTGAGCGTCCTTGGCACACAGTTGCTGCGGAATACCTTGCACGGGGATATACTCTCTCCGACCAGATTCTTCAGCGAGCGATTGAGATCGACAGGCAGCAGGGCATCTCGTCACGTTTTCTCTCGTATATCCAGTCGCTTGACGCCAAATTAGGTGCGTGCTACTATCATTGGATGTGGGATGTTGTTAAGTACACGCTGTCTAGGGGCAAGAGCTCTCGGTCCCGAGCAGACAATCTCGGGTAAGGTTCAGGAGACCCTTGCACATGCTACGCAGCAGGCGCGCGCGGTTGATGAGCAGAAAGGCATCACCAAGCAAGCTGGTGACGTGAGTTTCCTCGTATTGGGTGTAGCTGTGTGTCATTGATTTTATTCAATTTCTCAGTACTATGCTCGCGCTCTGGCTATGCCTCTGGGGCAGAAGGTCAAGGAATTTTACACCACTACGTCAAAGCAAATTTACGATATCCATGAAGAGGCGCGCCGCATCGCTGACACTCACAAGGCTGCTGGAGTTGGCGGTGGGTTTTGTATTTTCCGTATCATAGGTATTTCGATTAATTGTCGCATCTCATGTAGCCCCGACTGCGGCGTCAACCGGACCCACTGCTCCGGCTCCGAGCTCGGGGAGCGCAGGTACCTCAGGTGCAGAAGTCGACACGAAGACGAAAGACCCTTCGACCGTTGCGTAATCGTGGAGCGAAACAAGGATTTGCAGTCCAGAATAGTGGATAATGTGTAGGTTGTAACACGCGAATGAACACTGTAGTACCATATGGCACTGTCCCAGCATTTGCAAATGTATTCGAACCTTGCGTAGTTTCCGCCTTGTAGTCCTTTGTAGTCGCATTCGGTCAGCCACCAATGCGAAATAGGAAATGATGAGATGCCGTACGCGCGTGTAGGCTGTAGGCAGTCGCGACGGGGACTAAGGCGTACACTGCTTTGTACGGTATCGTTCTCTACCGCGCGCTACCTACTAACTTCCCCTTTCTAGATGCAATCAAACACTGCTCTGGAAATTGTGATTTCCCGAGGCCCGGTTATTGGCACTATGTTCACGTATATCAAGGCCCACTCTTCTCTCGTTTGCTTCTTCTGCTCCCCCAGATCCCCTCATCTCAACGCGCACATACAGAATAATGGATGCCCAGGCAGCTACCAGAAACTTGACCGCAGTTCAGCTAGCCGAGGCATTGCTCTCCAGACTGAAGGAAAGAAAGCATGAAGTGAGGTAAATTATTACGATCATACATATATATGGCCCACGAGTCTTTGCTGATACAATCTTGTACACAGTGTCGATATTGTAAGAGCCAATTCCCGCGATTCTGATACACCACGTCACGCTGATGGAAAAACAGTTGAAAAAGATAGAGGACATACTTGGCTCCTCCACGGCGGCTGTCCGAAATGCGCTCAATTCGAGCCGTCCAATCAATCGCATCCCTCCTGAAATTCTCGGCCTTATATTCCAGCACGTCCCCTCTCGTATGGCTCGTGTCGACAGTAGTAGTCAGGAGGCGTTCATGTGGTCCCGCGCTTCCGTAAAGGCGACGCATGAGCTACTCGAGGTGCTGAACGTCTGCTGTCATTGGCGCGACGTTGCACTGGGGCAGCCATCGCTGTGGACAAGTGTGCATGACAGCCGCCGCATCCCTGAGCATTCTAAGCAGGCATACCTCAAGCGAGCGAAGGCTCTCCCTCTCAAAATCTACGTCGAGAGACTTCCGTCTCAACCGGTCGTTGAGCTCCTCCGTTCGGAGTCCGAATGGTCGCGTATTCAGGAGCTCCATCTCGTGGATTTTGGGCAGGACGATGCCAGTCCGGGTGGCCTCCAGGGCTATGTCAAGCACCCTGCGAATCGCTTGCAGTATTTGACTCTGTCGGCGACGCAGACGTCTCCTGACGAGGCTGGCGCGGCTCCGCCGACACAACCTATTTTATTCGCTGCACATGCTCCAAAATTGCATTCATTGACTCTAGACTCGTTATACTGGCTCCCGGGAAACGAATTCCAAAACCTAACGCATATCTGTATATGTCACCGCAGAACACCGCAGGAATTCAGACCCGTGTGGGGCTTACCGGATCTCATTGCATTGATCGACCGTTGTTCCAACATTCAGGAATTCATTTTCGCAGGAATCGAGCCTCGCATCGACCACGCCGCACTTGCGGGCTGTGTCCCTCTATCCGCTGATAGCCTTCGCAGGATATCTGTGGGGAAGGTGTCGCCGGGGATAGCAGCCTGGTTGCTCAACCATCTCACCAATCCCACTGGCGTCGGTATCCGTATTTTCGATATGATATGCGGCAACCGCGGACTGCTCTCCATGTTGGCCCGCGCGGCCCCGATCCACCATCCGGTCAAAATTGGGATGAGCATGGAGCACGATACCTTAAGGTTTGATGCGGTCAGCGAGACCGGTGGTGTCCGAGTCGAGAGCAAGGTGAACGAGACCGGGCGGATGTGCGACGATTGCACGGGCTGGATCGCGTCGTGGTGGACTATCTGGTCCATGAACACGATCAAGCAGGTGTGGTTCAGGTCGCCGTTCGATATGCGCATGTACGCTGACCATGCCAGGCTCCTCGGCATGCTTTTGTCGTTGGACACGATGTTCATCGGCGAATGCGTCGGGTTCGCCGTCGAGGACTCCCTGCGCCCCTGGTTCCAGATTCTCTTGACTCACCAGCTGAACATGTCCACCGTTCCCTGCCCCGCGCTTACCACTCTGCACGTATGGCTGGGCAAGTCGTCCATCAACCCCGACATCATTACCACGTTTGTGGCGACGCGAGCCCAGCTGGGCCTTCCCATAAAACGCCTCCTCGTCGAGTGCCACGAGCAGTCGCCGTTTGATAAGTCCTTCGATTGGGCGGTCACCCATCCCCATGTCGACGCGGTCGAGTTCCTGGTGTCGCGGACCACTCCTGGGATGGGGCTTCTGGATTCGTGTGTCACAGAGCCACACGAATATTGGCCTGCTTGGTAGATCCCTCTGCTAGGAGAAAATATGCTCTCGTAGGCGGGAAATTATTATACCTATTGAAAGCAGGCATTAGAGTGTTATTTAAACGTTGACGGTTCTTTCTATGTCAGTCCGGATCGCCGTTCATGTGGGCTCGCTCGAGTGTGCTGGGACAATCATTATCTTTTATCGGTTGTCTGTATAAATGTGAGTTGCGTAACCATAGGGGCATGTGGTGTAGTTGGTTATCACGCTCGCTTAGCAGACATGTGTGCGAGAGGGGTCCGGTTCGATCCCGGACATGTCCATTTCTGAGTACATTCTGGTTGCTTTTTCGTTCTTCCACAAGGAAGTAATCATTCAACAAAGTACATATGCATCAATACAGGTTCCTTTTAGTGGTTCAAGCATCTTTGTGTCCTTACACTCGTGTCCAAGGCCCTCCACGTCGGACACTTCAAGTGGGCTACAATCGGTAACCAAGCTTCCCGGGCACAACACCATATGCAGGCCCGCCCTTAGCGAACATCCGACGTACGTCCGAAGCCAGGTCTTCTGGCCTCTCAAAGGCGGCAAAGTGGCCGCCTCTATCATGTTCTGCATCAAACACAACGTGCCCGAGGGTTCGCGTCCAGCTGGAGTGTTGATACAGATACTTGAGCAACTCGGAGTAAGAACCATAACTGGTGTGCGTACCTCTTACGCCCCACCACGAGCTCTTTCGGGAAGAATGACAGTCCAAGCGGTACTGGACTCCATTGCTTCGAGATGTCCGCTGCAGCCTTCACCTCGTAGTAGATGCGTACCGAAGCTGCAGGTCCCGCGCGCGAGAACCAGTAGACGGAGATCCAGGTCAACACTGCACAGAGGTGTCAGACATAGACAATACGGCGCGGGTAATGCTTGGAAGGAGCTAACCTTCGTCATCCGTCCAAGGATAGCTGTCGGTCCAGTTCACCAACTTCTCGTAGATCCATGCGAGCAGGCCCACGGGGGAGTCTGCGAGACTATACCCGATTGTCTGTGGTTGCGTCGACTGCTCCTGGGAGTAGCCGCTGCCCTTCTTACGGAACCACATCGTGCGCTGGAGCCCTGCGCGTTCGGCCGCGGTCCATGGAGTGATCATGTGTGACAGAAAGAGTAGGGGATTGGCGAGCAGAGTTGGCGGGCCGGCGCTGCGCATGAACATAGTACATATACATCTAAAGAGGAGCCGGGAAACTCACAACGGGGAGTTCGTGTGCCAGGCTTTGAGGCCTTTATTACCATACTGTGAAGCCATCGTTTTGGCGATCTAATGGAATGGTGAGCCATGAAGGCAACGGCAGATCAGAATACCCCACGAAGTAGCCCCAATCTCCCCCCTGCACGACTGTATAAGGTCAGGTCAGACTCGATTTACGCAGCTACTAAAACCAGTAAACAAATATACCATATTCCTTATATCCGAGAGCCAGCATCAACTTGTGAGCGGCCTAAAAGTGAACAAAACCAACATAAATTTCAAAATGGACGAGTATCTCATGGGACGAATGTACCTCCGCATATTGCAGACCGCTGAAACCCTTCTTCTTGGGAGCCTCAGAGAAGCCAAAGCCCGGAAGGCTGAGCGCTACAACGTGAAAGCTGGGATGCTCAGGTGACACGGTAGTCAGTAACGGCAATATCTTCCTGGCTTCGAGGAAATGACCAGGCCCTAGTAGCCGAAGGTTGAGAATCTGGCCTATGACTTCGCACACAGGGACTTACATCCATGCACGAACAATAAGGGAATTGCATTCTCCTCTGTGCTCTTCTCATGGACATAGTGGATATTGAGCGTGCCAAATCCCTCTACGTCGATGTCTCTCGTGAATTGCGGAACTTCGTTGATTTCGGCCTCTGCCTTCCTCCAATCGAATCCGTTCTTCCAGTACTCGACAAGGCGGCGGATGTCTGTCAGCGGGACGCCATAGTCCAAGCCTGCATCGTCCAGCTCGTCAGGTAGACGGACGAGCTCGAGCTTCTTGTGCAGGAGGTCGATATCGGCGTCCGGGACTGAGACTTTGAATGGCTGTTCGGTCGCGTCTGGCATGGGTTGCGGTACCAGGAATGAAAAGAATTGGAGCCAATTAATAGGGGGCCGCAATGGGGTGAGATGTGACTAATGTTGCACATAGCTAGGCGGCTTCTCGAAGCAGCGGGAGACGTCACTAATCCATCAGGTGGTCTCGCATAGTGACTGCGCATGCCAAAATCGCACGCGTTCAGTCGTCTGTGAAAGATCCGTGCAGTAAACGCGGCGGGACTCTGAAGGATACGAGTCATACGACAAGCTTAGAGTAGTTAAAGAGCCTTGACTCGGACGCGTGTATTCTCCTCTCGAATTAATTGAATTAAATTAATGAATTTGCCATGACGCGACGGACGCGTCCAGCGACACACGGATGGATCACACCGTACAACCCTGGAATATACAGAACTAGCACTTATCCTTACAACACGGTAATCTTACAACAATTCCAGAGTCCGAATAACCCAATGCAGCTTCGAAGTACCTCTGTAGCACGATCCCACATTACCACAGGATAGCTGTTACCCGCTGTAGCCCGTCTTTCCCGGGACCACACCGTAGGCAGGCCCGCCCTTCCCAAACATACGGCGCACGTCGCCAACGAGCTCCTCGGGCTTCTCGATGGAGGCAAAATGACCACCGGAGTCGTGTTCGTCCTCGAAGACGACGCGTCCGATAGTACGCGTCCATCTGAAATGGACCGATCAGCTCAGGACGCCATCAGATTCAATACACTCACTTCCTCGGGGCCAGGATGAGCTCCCGAGGGAAGAACGATAATCCGAGCGGTACCGAACTCCGTTCCGGTCTTATGATGTTGCCTGCAACTGCCATCTCGTAGTAGATTCGCACTGACGCCGCTAGCCCAGCGCGCGAAAACCAGTATACGGAAAGCCAGGTTAGGACTGGGAAAGCAGCGATGAGATATGCTTAGAAGACGATAAGAATTGAAGTAGCTGACCTTCGTCGTCAGTCCATGGATAATTATCCGACCACTGCACCAGTTTCTCGTAAATCCACGCCAACATGCCTACCGGAGAATCTGCCAGACTGTAACCGAGTGTTTGCGGCTGGGTCGATTGTTCTTGGAAGTAACCGCCACCCTTGTTGCGCCACCACGTCGTGCGCTCTAGTCCTGCACGTTCGGCGCGTGTCCAAGGCGTCACTAGGTGAGACAAGTAGAGCAAGGGATCAGATACAAAGGAGGGAGGACTGGCTCTGTTTACATTGTCGTTCATCAATTTCATGAGCCAGTGTCATGACGATAAAGTCAGCTTACGCAGGGAAGTTTGTGTGCCACGCCTTAACACCTTGCTTGCCGTACCGCCAGGCCATCAACTTAGCAACCTAAAAAACATGAGAGATGGGGAGAAAGAACTATACGGCTACCTACAACGTGTCCCCAATCTCCTGCCTGCACAACTAAACGCAGAAGAAGGTCAGAACTAGTGAACAATGAACTACAACGATAACACACCAACCATATTCGGTGTAGCCAACCGCAAGCATTAGTTTGTGGGCAACCTGTTGACCGAAAAAAGGGCCTCAATAAAGCTCACTGAGCTTGTGGTGCCCCACACGTACTTCTGCATACTGAGGACCGCCGAACCCCCTTTTCTTCGGTGCTTCGGAAAACCCGAATCCAGGTAAACTGAGTGCTACGACATGGAAGCTCGGGTGCTCAGAAGAGACGGATGTCAGCATAGGCAGAATCTTCCTCGCCTCGAGGAAATTTCCCGGCCCTACGAAATAAACATCTCATTAATTAGTAAATCCAGTACATATTTCTAACAGACTCACATCCATGCACAAACAATAAAGGGATTGCATGCTCCTCGGTGCTCTTCTGATGGACATAATGGATGTTAAGCGTGCCGAATCCCTCCACATCAATGTCTCTCGTGAACTGGGGGATCTCATTGATCTCAGCTTCCGCCTTCTTCCAGTCGAAGCCGTCTTTCCAGTAGGCTACCAGACGGCGGATGTCAGTCAACGGGACGCCATAGTCCCAACCCGCCTCGTTAAGTTCGTCCGGTAAGCGGACAAGCTCCAACTTCTTGTGCAGATAGGCAAGGTCCGAATCCGAGACTGCGACTGTGAACGGCTGTTCGGTTGAATCTGCCATGTGGTCGCTAGCAAGAAGGTAGGGGATGTATTTCAGGGGGCGGATATGAGCGGCTCCCCCGTGCATAGAACAGTTCGAGGCTTGCTCCTAGGATAGGAGCCTCCATGAATGTCTCCGCTTTCTCGGTAGCCTCACATTGGGGAGGGGCAATCCCTCCAAAGGGAACGGCCGCTTAGTCAGCGACGCCCCAGGGACACCAGTATACACCTCCGCATGTGAGTCACATTGACCAGGTCTCGTGAATGAGAACCAACGCCAATGTCCGACTCGGTGTTCTGCTGAATTCGAAGCTTAGGGAAGAAAGGCGCAATGAGAAGAAGCTTGGTAACGTGGTGAAGGAACATCTGCCAGAGACATTTGACCGCCCGTGGTCCATGGGCGCTTAAGTAACTCAGTAGAAGGCACGTATCACGTGATAGGTAATATTTATTTTCGCGCACGCGCGCGACAACGTCTATATTAAACACAAAAGACGCGGTCAACAACGACCCTGTGCTGAAGGTGCTCCTATTTCGTGTCCTCTTCTTTTATTTTTCCGACACAAACATCGCCTTATTCTCGTCGTTGCAGGCACGAAGACTGGTGCGCCGGACACTATCGGTGGCAACCTTATTGTTCTGCCTATCGGTGCAGCGGACGCTCGGTGAAGTCCACAGGCGAGCCATCATTCGTTCAAAAACCGCGCTGTCCGACTCTGGCGTGGGTCACAGTCGTCCACACAACGTTTTCTTTGTGAGCGAATCCAAGAGGCTCCTACTTGCCCTCTCCGTTCTAGTCAGCCACCTGAAACAGGCCCTCAGCGCCTCGTGCGAGCTTGCAGATCAAGGAGTCCTGCTGCTGCGTGCAGTGGCATACCACATCCTCAAAAAAGCTTAATAGCCTGCCTGTAGTTGGGCAGACTCAGCAATAGACGTGAACGAAGTCACTTCTGGTATACTCTGCAGCACAGTTATCCGGCTTCTTTACCGGCTTCTTTACCGTTGGGACATCCGTCCACACAAAAGTCGGACGAAGCATCTCAAGCTGTCAGTTTTGGTACGTTGCTTTTCCCTGCATTTATTTCAATACTTCTGCATAGAATGTTCGCGCGCTGTGCAGTTCAGCCCTTTCTTATCTTACTGACTCCTCAACGCAGGCACCTTTTGCGGCGCATCAGGCGATGGAAGTCATGAGCGCTGCATCTGCCCCATTCTTCGAACGCACGAACACCTGTCGCACCGATACGCTACGCCCCAACATTCAGACCAGCCCGACCTTCAAGCCGTCTCTACCCATTACGATTCCCCGTCGCAAAAGCGTCCGTCCACCTCCACGGTCCCCCATCCGTCACCAGGCCTCGCCTGACTTCGTCTTCAACTTCGACTTCTCTGTTTCACCTTGTTCTTTGCATGGACGCCAGCAGATGGTGATGAACTATGCCACGCAGCCCTTATTGCAGCAACGTGGGCACGCGAGTGTTCTGATTCCACATGGTCGCCAAAATTATGCACGCTGCTCTGTCGACATAGACGCAGATCTCGGACTCGAAAAGCGCCCATACTCTAATGAGCCGTTCTTGTACTCCGTCCCCAAAATTTTTCTGTGCCACCATGGGGCACATATGCGCACTCAGTCACCCCCTCAGCCTTGCAGTACTAGCACAGCGCGACAGTCTGACGATCGCCAGAAAGTCGGCGGTCGTCAAGTTGCTCATCCGGTTGGGGAGACACATGTTCCCGCAAATCCCTTGGTGTCTCCCATTTCATCATCCTTGTCTTCGTCTATGAAACAGTCTTTGTCTTTGTCTCGTGGTCAAGACAACCTAGTCGCTTGCGGGTTTGCAGATGGGAAATCCTATGGCGAAGTGTCTGACGACGGAAGGCTCATATCGGCCTTCCAGCGCAGGGTCGCATCCGATTCGACCTCGGCGTCCGACGCGCCGTCAGTGTCAACCCCATTTGCATCGCCTGCTTCTTCTCCACCGTCTCCTGTGTCCCCGGCTGTACTGGCCCCTCCCTCTCCCGTCTCTCCACCACCTCGACATTCGCGATGGCGTCCCACTGTTCCCACGACGTTCCGTAGGTCCCAGATGCGCGCACCTATAGCGCGCACCGCTGCTGCGCCGGTTGTATCGTTCAAGGTTGCCCAGGCTGAACGCTGCCTGCGGTTGAAAAGTGCGTTTTCTCCGCCCTACGGCGAAGCCGAGAGACGAAGCAGGTCGCCCTTCCCAGGTCTAGGTCTGCGCTCTCGGAGGGGATCTAGTGTAGCTTCCGAGAGAGGAATTCGTACTGTCGTCGGCATCGGAAGAAATTTGAACGTCACGGACGATGAGAGGGAGCGACGTGTCTCCGTTGTGCTGAGCAATGAAGATCTGGAGCGGTCACTCGAGAAAATTCTTGAACAGGAGGTAAGTGCTGACGAGAAGGATTGGGAGATTGAGAGAGGTCGGACCAGAGGACGAACATTGACGAGAGGGAAAGTCGCCTTGCGTGATTGAATGTAAGTGCCTACCGTAGCCGTTACGCGTGTGTCTCTCATATCGGTCTTCAAGGATGACGATGTTCGACAGAACTAACAGATCAAGTCACGCAGACGGGGAATGCTCTGTCAACTTCACTTCACTGGGCTTGCGACTTCCACGTTCACCCACACGTTAACTCCAACATCGCGTATTGCGTCCACTAGTTTGCGGCATCATGACTTTACGACTTTGCATGCACCTTCTATGTCAATTCTTCCCCATTTCTGCACGGACTAATACGCAATCATCATGGTACATATATCCCAAGGCATCATTCCTTCGACATAGACGTATCCACCAGCACCTTCATCATGGACGGCATTCAGCATTTCTCCTCCTTCACCGTTACTTTACTTCTCTCAACATCATCACGTTCACCAACGTCGCATCAATCCCCAACTCGTTGCATCTTCACCATCAGTGTATCCCTTTGACCCAACCTCTCGCATTGACTCTATTGGTATCTTCATGGCATCGATATCATCATTCTCTTCCAACATCATCACCTCCATAAGCATCCACAGTGTCGTATATCATCATTGTCACCCTCTTCACCTTCACCACCCCGCCTCAGTCCGGTTATATGCGACTTCATTTTGGCCAGGATTACCATACTGCGCTCCTAGTACCCATCATTGATCATCCTTTAGATTCCATTCATCACCAAAAATCCACGCTCAGATACTACGACGTACCTTACATGCAGCCTATTTTCCTTCGCTTTAGCATTTGAATGCATACTCGACTTGTCCCCTGCACAAGCTCGCCTAAGTCTCGCACTGCGCACACGCCGGTACCAAAATCTTCAAAAGCGGTGTTTCACATGAATGTTGGGACCTAGTCTTTGTGCCTCCGTCACCATTGATGACGTTGGCGCTCTCGCGAGGATCACGGTCTTGTGGTCTTGAACGTTCTCATGCACAGCCAGCTCACTCACAATGACAAGACGGAATGAGTCGATGGCGATTGTAGGAACCTTCTGAGGGCGGTCCTCAAGGCATGTGTGCGACATTTCGCGCAGCGTGAGACATGGCTGAGTTCGACAGAGGTCTCATAGGCTCCCATACATACGACCTCTCGTACTGATGCCGGCATTGTCGACTATAAGATACGAAAGGGGGGAACATGCATCCTTTGCATTGCTATCCGAGGTCGTTGAGTTCATGGATATTCATTCTTCGTATATCCGCCATTGTATGCGTTGGAGGAAGTCGAAAGGACGGCTACGGTCTCCTACCGCAAGCAAACACAAAATTCCCAGCTTGTACGTCGACAGATGAGGCAGCATATTCAATGACCACGAGTCAAGAAAAGGACACATACCGCGAACGGGTGGATAACAATCTGCAGTTCAGCTGTCGACAATCTTTGAGCTGAAAAAAACCAAGAACAACTACCGAACGACCGAACCTTAGTCAAGATGACAGGGCGCAGTATCTGAATACAGACGGAAGCAGCGTCTGACTTGGGTGTGAGCACAGGACGTCAGGAACGCCTCTTGAATGAATGCGGAAAACCGGTTCATGCGTCTGGTGCAGGTAGTCCAGCTCCACAATACCGTGGTGGTGTAAGGATGTGCCAGTATCCTGCTATACACGGGCACCGTGAACTCTGATGCGTGAGTGAAGGTAGGAGACAGAAGAATAACAATTGTACAGTACCATTCCCATGAAGTTGTCGGTTATGCTTCAAATCTGCCATGTTGCCGTATCCAGAGCGCGGCGTCCTGTCATCAACAGCACAGCAGCTACGTTTTACAGCAAACAATGAAAGTGGACTACACGATGGTCATCGGTGACGGATTTCCAGGGACGAGTGACAGCAGCGAACGAACCTTGTAAGGTGATGACTGATAGACTTGGTCACAGTGGCTCCGACGGAATCAGTTGTGTAATTGGAAAGCCCAAGGTAGCGCTCTTCCAAAATGCTGTGGCAACCTCCCGTTTATCTGACTGCTGCGCGGCCTAACGGATTTGCCGAAACTATTGCTCGAAGAATGCAAGGACAATACTTCTCTTGCTATCAGCGTAAGGATGGTCCCTGACAAGACATGAGCGTATCTGGCAGAGGAAACTACTTGTTCTGGAATTGAACATCAACCTACTGTGCTTGTAGCATGAAACACGATAGTCTCCTATACGAGCTACACTAGCGCTTTCGGATTAGCTGCTGTGGTACAATGTTCTGCAAAAGTACTCGCGGTATTGATGCAAAGCACTCCAGCTTCATTAATTGGTTCAATTGGTGTGGCACTGCTCCGAGTCGAGATAGGGAGAAGCGTGGCGCGCAACGTTCAAGTGGTCGGCACTGATTTCAAACAAGGTGAATGATGCGGGATGGCTGTGCGCAAGTCAGTAGTCCGGGTACGTAGAGGACACGCATTGCTCAATTCTCGGTCTTACCACATGCACCACTTCATTAACACCACCATGGTCCTGGAAACCATTAGTTGATTCGCCTTACCATACGGTTGGTCTGTATCAGGGATCAGCGGCGGAGAATGTGTGATGAAAACTCTGTGACTTAATCCGCCTCGACTCCCAGAGGCATCCACAAATTAGGCTCATATTCAGGGACCACAACCGCCGTGCCAGGATTCAGACACGAGTCCATGTCAGTATCGCGTTTACGCCGATGCGGATGAGATGTATGATTTTGATAATCTATGACAAGTGTGTGAAGATGCGTCTTTGCATCAGATAACATGGAAGAAGAAGGATCCGAGATCATACAGTGCATGCGCAAGTTGATGATACATACATCAGTGTTGTCCTACCTCTGCAGAGGGCCGATAGCTACTTCGCTCAATAAACGCCCATGCGAAAGGTTAGAGGTACACGGTGTACAGTGTTGCTACATCGCTGTTACGTCGATTATCTTCTCTTGTGATGAGGTATTCGAGGCTGGGTGTTCGGTGTCTACAAAGTGATGATCAGTATATCACAGCCGAGCAGGATGTCATTGACAGATCAACAAACGGTGGCAAGTGATATTGACAGGAATGCCTGAGATTTGAATCCTAGCAATCTGAACAATTTAGGCATTTATTTCCCAGTAAGCCTGTGACTTCATTATGGCGATCTCGCTACTGCGCCGGGATTCAACAGTGATCAGACTTAGACTCTGCGATGCGACAATGCCTGACACGAGCGTCGGACAGGATCGTGCGATGAGTGTCAAAGTCCCCGGGTAACAATTGAACATCTCCGAGGCTCACTTTCTTGCATCGTCGGAGAATGACAATACTACGATGTCAGTAAGCTTGCATCCTGGGAATGACAGCGAACACGAACACAACATTTCTTGAATGCACGAGAAAAACGACTGGAGTGACCAGATTCGACCTCCAAGCTGATCCGTTGAAGAAAAAGTCACGTAGATCTTCAGTCAGCGCGCAGGTGGAAAGAAGACAAAGCACGGAAACTTATCATGCAAGAGTCACTCGAACCGAGGTTTGTGTCCATACAGCAGCGAAAACTTGAACTCAAACCCGGTGACATGCAATTGAACTCAAAGATGATTCAACATGTTGGCATCGCTGTTACCTCTCCTCGCCACATCGTCACAGAGACAAGGTTGAGTGAAGCTGGTGTTGAGGAAAAGTAAAGGTGTCAATTGCTCAGCCCGCCTAATAGATGGCTCCGTCGGAGACAAAACGAAGTTATGCACGTACAAAGAGGATATTCGTAGCTATGAGGGCACATGGGCTCTGAAGGCAGCTAGTCACAGCATTGACGACAAGGGTTGAAGATTGAGGTGGGCGTGATGGGCGATTGCGCAAAAACGCACAGAAGGCGACATATTAGAATTTCCCGTGCCTACAGTTTTGGTGGAGAACAGCTGCGTACAATAGTATCGGAAACCAGGGGAGAATTATCTGCATGCAGAAAGCGTGTGAGAGGCGCATAAACTAGAATTGAAAGATGGTGTCCGCGCAAAGCCACTAAAAAGGCTTCTGTACATAGCAGCATCATGGAGCAAGATGAGAGGTTTAAGTTAACTGTTAGCCTGTGACTGGTGCCAGTGCCACCAGGACCGACAGAGACGCGAAAGTGGCTGGCGACACGACCAAATAAAGCCAAAATACGGACCTACAGTTGGATCAACACCCGCGATCACGTGCAACCCAACGCGAACGTTACTTCAAGTTTCTTGTGCCGCGAAACTCATTCTAGCTGCTATCTACATATCGACATTATCACCTACTCGCGACACCCTGAAGGCCGATGGATGACGCCTTGATGTCTGCGAGGCCAGCATGGCAGACGGATGAGCTTGAAGACGAATGGATCGATCAAGACGAGGCGGACGACTCCGTGGCCAGAAACTCTTCCTACAACTGCACTACATCCGATCTATCGCTAACACAACCTATAGGCTCAGTTTTGGCTCGCAATGACGACTTGGAAACGTCGTCGCCGGTTTCGAGTTCAGGTGGCACTTTCTTGGTTCGAGAGGACGTCCCCGCTGCTCCATTGCTGCCACAGACACCAGGTCGGAACAAGAAAGGCATGGTAAAAGACTTCTTCAGTCCTCTTGCATTGGAGAAGATGTTTGAACCTCCTTCCCCACCATCAAGCACACCAGCACCCTTGCCATCTAGTCAAAGTTCGGTGCCGCCTGTGCCTTCACGGCTGTCGCAGGTTTATATTCCCGGGGAAGATGAGGCAGAACACCTGGAAGATGAATCGGAGGGTATTTCGAGGGATCAGTGGCAGGATTCAGGAGCTATCTCGCAAGGGCTTGCGGTGTCGGTATCGCCCAGCAGCGGTGCGCCATTGAACTGCCAATTCACGTTCGAGATGCCTCGCCGGAGTCCTTTTGATCCAATGACCTCGGTTCCAGAGGCTCAGAGCACGCCTGGAGCTCCCAACCTGGGATCGAGTGCTTGGAATGCCCCTCTCACCGACCCCCGCCTGCGGCTCTTCCAGTTCCAGTATGATACATTCACTCGCGAGCATCTCTCTGCGATGGTGGACTCCATCGCGGTGAACACTCCCTCCGGTGGCAGTGGTCAGTCCGCTGATGCGGCCTCTCCAACCAGCTTGTCCCCAGTGCGGGAAGTAAGCACCTCGCGCCTCCGCAGTATCAAACGTATCAAGCTCAGTCCCGCCAGTGACTACTCAGACAGAGGGGACGGAGCTGCTGTGATCATGCGACCTTTGACTCTTCGAAGGGACTACGTTGGCGAGTCCAAGTCTCTCATGGAGAAGATCCGACAGGCGCGTGACTTCTCGACAGTGTCTACTGTCGCTACTGCCCGGTCTCCCGATTCCCAAGGCAAGAACTCTCCGGCTCTTGATACGCCTAATGCTACCTCGAAAAGTGAGTGCCATCCCCCGTTAAAATCTACCTGTCTGTGCAGAGTTTGAATTACATGCGACAGCGATGGCGCGGCCTTCCGGCGTTTCTGATGCTGATGTCAGCAGGGCGCCTTCCACTACTGGCACAGCGTCGACTTCAAACAGGGGGACGTATTCGTCTCTTGCATATCGAGAGCAAGCCGCCAACCTCATGGCTCAAATCAAGAGGGACATGAAGGGTTCTAAGCGAATATTTTCCGGGGACACCGAGTTATCCCATATGACTCTAAGTAACGACAATGAAGAAAAGTCTGCACCTTCTGCACCTTGCATGGAAATTACGCAGCTCCCAATGCCCGGTCGCAATGGCAAAGAAAATGTCCCAGAAGAGAAGCCTAATTCACGAGTGGTATCAAGCAGGTCCCCACGCTCAAACAAGAGTGCCAGCCCGCGCAAACATCTGCGTAGACCAAGCTGTATTCGCAATGTTGAGCAACAACTTGCGGACCAAGTCTCTAATGTGTCGCTTGACTCTCAAGATCTGTTGGAACAGTTTCCTGCCCCTCCTGTCGGCGTGACGGTGACGACCGTTCCAACGGCGCCTTCTTCTCCGGCAGATACGCGTAACGTTCGCTCGGACCCTGGGTTTCTCGCACCTCCGTCGGAGGATGGTCCTGCTTACCCATCGTCTTCAGTCCGCAGTGGTCGGAACGAAGACCTCACGCGATTCGTCTCGTCAAGCACAGCGTCGGGCACCACACTCACAACAGGAAGCGCGGCGTCTTTTGTCAAGCATCCGGGACCGAAGCAAATAACCCGCATAACGCCAGACGATGTGCCTACGCTGCCCAACAGGGTAGGCAAAATGGTCTTCGACAAAGTCATGATGAGATGGGTGAAGGATACCGCACTCGCCGTCACTGGACCTGCTGAGGACCATGAGATCGAGATTCCGGCCGAAGTGGAGGCAAATGACAGCGAAGATCCCTTCCGTGATATCGAGAGTCTTGGGGAAGAGGAGCCCAGGCCGGTTGTCGAGCGGGACGAGCTGGACGACCAAGGCTCCGTAGATTTCCAGCAAAGTAGGATCGACGAAGTAGAGACTGAGTCTGAAGTGGAAGACGAAGAGGAGGTGGAGCTAACTTCTTTCTCGTTCGACGAGCCGTCCTCAGAGTTGGTTCAAGCTATGGCTGGAGAGGAGCCTGACCCGGATGACACCGACTCAGAGGACGAGGACACGACCGCAATGAGGGGACCCTCTGACGACGAGTCCGACGATTCAGATGACGTCTATGGCGATCCTGTCCTAAATTCCAACGGGCACGCATCTGAGCATGCGATCCAGGATTCCAACGTCCTGCCTTGTCATATTCCATCATCCGTGAGGACACCCACTCCACCCGCACGGGCGTCGGCAGGTCTCACACCTACACCCGTGATCCGGTCCGCCATGAAAAGCAACAGCATCACGCCTATGTCAGCGATGAAAAACAATTCAGGGAATCGCACGCCAGCAAACCGCTTAGCTCACCGCCGATCTGTGAGTTTCTCTGACGGTAAACGGGACGGACCAATTCTGGGGATTGGCAGAAATGCACCAAGTCCAGACATCACGGTTGAAGACGATAGTCCCCTGGCGAGTGGGTCCAACAAGAGTGCTGCCATACTGGTACCTTCTGCCCGGACGAGACGAATAGCAGACATGCTGGATAATTTGGAGGATCTCAGTTGGTGATATTTAATGAGACTCTATCATACTTGTCTGACGTATTTTTGCCAAGGCATGGGTGACGAATCTCCCTCGAAGACGAGTAGCGCTGGAAAAACACCTGCGGATGAACTGCATCCGATTGAGCCACGACGTCCAAGCAGCATCCCCTCCAACGTCGGCGGTGCAGGCAGGGGAATTTCACGGCGAGTGGTTTCTCGGTCGCAGCCGCTGAAGTCGCCGCGGTCGTCCAGTAGAAGTGCCAATGGCACCTTCCTGACAGAATGTTCATTCGGTGTCGCCCACGATCGTCTCGTCCAAGTGATCACAGACGTGCAGCCGTTCGAGCCGTACTGGGAAGAGCTGACCTCTATCGACTTATCGAAGAAAAACGTTGACAGCATCGCACGGCTGAAGGAGTTCCTACCACGGCTGGATTCCTTGTCTGTGTGAGTGGTTTGATATCCTCTTCAACGCCACCTAAATCTTTTGGGGCCAAAATCACGACCGCCGACACTCACGATTGACGATAACAGTAACGGTAACCAGTTATCGTGGCTAAGTGGCGTCCCAGGGACTGTTCGGTCACTGTCCGTTGCGTCAAACTCGTATGTCAGATCCAGTTCCTCGGCGACTAGAAACTAATGGTCGAATGACCGAATCTTTCATCGGAACGGCCTGGGGACAGATTAACCGGGATCACGTCTTTCAGCCACTTACTCAACCTCGAGAGCTTGGACATTAGCCGGAATCACATTGATTCCTTGCGGCGTGAGTACACGGTAAATTTTCAGGAGGTCGTATCTGAAGTTATATCTCACTATCCTAGAATTGGAATGCCTTCGCCACCTGCGAGAGCTTCGAGCTGATGGCAACAAAATTGACAGCATCGATGGTTTGCAAAAGATGGATGGTCTCGTAAAGCTTAGCTTGCAAGGGAACGTCCTGCGCGCAATTGATTTCAAACGTTGCCACTGGTGCGTCCTCTCATTATTGGGCAGCGGGGTCGGCGGACAATATTGCGATTCCGTGCTGGGTGTATGCATTTATCATGTTCGCTTACGGCAACTGTCGTACTTGACAGGGCTCGGTTAGAGATGCTGAATCTCAGCCAGAACAGGCTAGTGGAGGTCGCCGGGCTGGTATCACTCCCTGCGATGGTAGCGCTCAATTTGGGTGAGTCCTTTCGTCAGCTTCTTTCTCATCACGAGAGAAGCATGGAAGACCTTTGTTGGTTCCTGTGTGATAAGTTCCTCGACGTAGTTGATCCAGCCATTGCTGGCACCACTTGCAGCGCGTATTATCACCGCTGATACTGATTGCACCGTGGTTTTTCACAGATAACAACTCGTTGGCAGAGCTGGAGTTCGATGGCACGCTGCCTCGGCTGAGAATCCTGCGTGTGAGCGGAAACCGGCTGCAACGGCTGAATGCGCCACCGTTTCCCAACCTTCGCACGCTCTATGCAGACAACAATATGCTTGGCACGATCACAAAGGCATATCGCCTGACGAAGCTGGAGAACCTCAGCCTGCGGAATCAGAGCGGGCGGACGGGCTTGTAAGTGACCTATACTCTTTGCGTGCGCTTGCTATTACGGGCCAATCGTCGTGATGACGGACCGGGTCTAGGTCCACGCCCTTTCCTTCTCCTCTTGTGGTAGCGTCCGAGCCTCTTTGGCCGCGATGATAACATATGATGGCCAAGGCGGTGCAATCAAAGAGCTGACCCAGATTTCCGGATTGATACAGGTCCCTCTCGATATACGATGTGCGCGACGTGAAGCGTCTGTACCTCTCCGGTGCGTGCAATCCCTTCCACCTCCTACGTTCCTTGTCCCGCTGCGGGTCCATACTTGGTGCCTATCTGCACCGTATGGCCCACGCGATAATCTCGGGCGAATCGCAGTGGATTACGTACCGCTCACCCTGGATCATATCTTGCAGGTAATCCTCTGGACACAAACTTCCTGACCGAGCCGTGCTACAACCTGGTGTATCTTGAGGCCGCAGCATGCCGTCTCACTGCATTGCCGGCGGAGCTGGCGCGGCTCATCCCGAATGTGCGCGTCCTGAATCTGAATTACAACTTCCTCGCAGACGCACGACCCCTCGCGGGACTCACGCGCCTGCGGAAGCTAAGTCTGATTGGGTCGCGGATTGCCCAGGCGCGACAGCTCGTCCGGATTCTGCACGGGATGCATGATCTCGAGATGATTGATTTCAGGTGCGTGCTCGTGATTCTTCGCTGCAGCGTTGTTGCTCGCTTCAATTGCCTTCTCGGTGACTCACTGGGCATCACATCGCGGGGTCCGCTTCCCATCGCCCACGCGTTCCTTTGTTGCCCTTCATGCGCTCCATTCTTCCCTTTGTATGGTAGACCTGTCCACGCGGCGCCGCCGTTCGGCGCGCCACCAGACTTCCTATCCGGGCCGGTGGCGCATCGGGCGGCGCCAAACACCGGGAAGGGCGCCTGTGCGCTCGGCAACTGCACTTCCGATGACTGAAAATGTCCGATCGCGATTTGCCTCCTCCGGGCGTGTGCCTGCCTGATGCATCCGCGGCGCATCTTCGCGCCAAACTTCCGTGTTTCGCCTGCTCGTACTTTGTTCTCTGCCATGGTCCCTGGCGCACATCCTTGGCGGTGACGTACCCGTCTGGATTTGGGAGTGTTCAGAATCTGAGTCTCTGGAATGTCACACAGTGCTTTTTTTTCATGGCTAACGTGTATTGCTCGCAGGATGAACCCGTGCACGCTCGGGTGGTACCTCCCGCTGCTCGTGCGCGACGTGCCCGGGGCTCTGCAGCCCTCCGATGAACGGAATCATGGCCGGAGCGCCGGTATCGGCAACAATGAGGCGCAAAATCCCCGCGAAGATTGCCAGCCGGCCAGGGGAGTCCGCGGTGAGAGCCCGCCGCCGCAAGGTAGCTCGAGCCCCGCGCGCCGCGCACACAGCCCGGGGGCCGACGCAGAGGCGGAGGCAGACGCGAGCGTGGTGGCGCCGCCGACGTGGAAGGACCTGGACGCGAAGTTCCGGCGGGACTTGCCTGACGCGGCGTACGTCGGGCGGCTGGCGTATCGCGGTCTGGTGATGCGCGCGTGTGCGCGGATCCGGATGCTCGATGGGGTGGAGGTGGGCGAGAAGGAGCGGGAGAAGGCGGAGCAGCTGCTGCGCGGGGTGCTGAGCGCGCGGCAGGGGAGGAAGCTCGTGGCGGGCGAGGGCGAGGAGCGGAGGGAGTGCGGGGGGGCAGAAGGTGTGGGTGTATTGGGGAAGCTGCAGAAGCAGGGTGCTCGTGAGACGGGCCGAGAGGGGAGAGGTGAGCCAGCCAGGGACGCCATCGCTGATGTGCTGGGAACACGGGAGAGGCTGCGTTTATCTGCACCTGGCCTCGGTGTCCGCGCACGATAGCTCTTCACAGAGAGTTGCAGTGGGTGCTTGCTGCGGCGACATTGCGCTCAGTTGTCGTCTTCGCGCTCGCCGTTCCATGGGCGCGCAAGGCCGGGGGTAGATTGGCTTTTTCATAGTCCGCGATTACCGGGCGATTTGCATGATCTAATGCGGTTCGTAGAGTGTTTCAGAGTTCTGTCAGGACTCGAGTTTAGAGGTTTCGCGTCGAGACGCGGTGTGTGCGTGTTTGTGTGTGCATTCGAACAAACTACATGCTTCGTGATATCTGCGAGAAGGACTGGAGCTGAGTCATCATACGTCCATGTCCGTGGGAGGACGTCCGTGGGTGATGCCAGCATGATCATCAAGTTGTGTGGTCGGAGGATCAGGATAAGGCAGGAAGGACGGTGGTGGCGCTGCGGAAGGGGAGATCAATGAAGACAATGAGCGCGACGGGCAGCGTCGACAGGTAGAAAGACAGGGTTACACGGTGGATATGAGTACGGCGCCTGGCAACGGACTGGTCGCGAGCGACACAGCGTGATCAAAGTGGCTCGTGAGGACCGCGACGGTGGGTGAGGATGGCGGCCGGGCGGCCGGGGAAGCGGGCCGGAGATGAAGGCCGCGGCGGCGAGTTATCGGCTGGGAAACGTGCCTGGTTCTGCACAAAGAGAGGATTCAGTGTGGGTACAATCACGGTGGAGTCTAATATGCCCATTTGCGGTGTGTGGCGACTGACGACGACGACGGCTGGTGCTACGGCTACGGACGACTGGGGCGCAGAGCATCGAGGAGGGTGCGGTAGGTGTGCAGAGTCAGAGCGGCTATCCGACGAAATCGCGGGTAGGCGGGGCCGAGAGAGAGTCGATCGTGGGCGATGCAAGCCGGGAGGATGGTTGGATTTGGGATTACCGGATTGGGCGGACGAGATCCGACGGTGATTAATTGCACTGGAAATGGCGCGGAGGGGCACCGCCTTTGAGGGGAGCCAAGGGAGTGGAAGCGAGGGGGGGACGCGTCTGTTGTTTCCCAGTTGGATCTGGTGGAGTTTCCCAGGATCTGAAAAACGCAAAAGGGGAGGCAGAGGAGGGGCGCGGGGCGCGATGATGCATGCAGGGAAGGATAAATATGCGCGTTCCGCTCTCGATCTCTCCCTACTGCCCAGTCTGTCGAACGCGCACCTCCAGCTATTCGCTTGCCTTTTTCGATGATTGACAACCCCGCTGCCCCCCATCCGCTCAACAGCTATAACGTCGCGCAGCTCCAGTTTGCGCTGTCAGTCTCCCGCCGCTCTTCCTCTCCCCGTCATCACTCACCTTTTCAACAGCGAAGACGGAAAGTCTCAGATCGTCTCTTTTGACGTCCACGACATCTCGGCGTCTCCCGTAATGTCCGTCCCCTCCTCCTCCCTCCCAGCGCCCCGTCTGACCTTCAGCTTCTGCCCCCCCAGCCACGCGTCTGACCACGACGAGACAGACTACTTGTCCCGCCGCATGTCAAGCTCCGCCACCTCTGATAGCAGCAGCCTCCACTCGCGTCCAGAGAAGCGGCCGCCCTCCCCCGCCCCCTCCCCGCTCCAGAAGAAACTCCGCCCGGCGGTCTCCCTCGACCCGAACCCGTGGTCCCAGCCGACGACGCCCTCCCCCCAGCCCAGCGCCGACAACGAGGACAGGTCCGACGTCGACCCCACTCGCGTCCAGCTCCCGTCCCTCGCCACCGCCTTCCAGGACCGCTACGATCTCCGACGCGCATCCCTCCCCACCCTCTACTCCGACAGCCCAGCCTCCCGCCTCCGTCTCCCCCAGCCGGCCCACCGCCCCAGCCAGTCCTCCTCCAACCTCTCCGCGTACCAGTTCCCGCCCCCAGACGCCCCAGACGACGCCCGGCCCCGCCTTGCCGCCGACACGCAGCTCGGGCTTTACCCTCCGTCCCTCCCGGAGTACTCTTCCATCTCCAGCACCGGTCTCTCCTCCACCAGCGCGTCTTCCTTCAACTTTTCCCCGCTCTCTCCTGACGCTGCCCGTGGAAGTATTTCAGGCCTCTCCTCCACGTTCTCCTCGGACACCGACCACTGGGGATCTCCCATCGTTCGCCCGAATTCCACCCCCGGCGCGCCCACTCAAAAGTACGACGACTCCGTCCGCCATTCCTCCCTCGGCGGGCCTCTCTCTCAGCAGCAGTTCTTTGGCGGCGTCACGCGCATCTCAGGTCAGCATAAGCATTCCCTCGCCCAGAGTGCCGTCAAGTCCGAGAGCGAGTGGACCTTCCCCAGCGCTGATAACTTCCCCATGCCCCCCGCGTCGAGCACGTCCTATCCCTCGACTCCATCCTCTTCCATGCCTGCCATCTCCGTCGCGTCCTCTCCGTCTCGTTCTCCTCAGGAGACCAATCCGGCTGGTCCGGCGATGCCTGCCCCCGGGTCCCTTGTCGAGCGCCCTCCGCGCAAGCGCGGAAAATTGCCTAAGCCGGTCACGGACTTCCTCAAGGACTGGCTCCACCGCCATTCCGATCACCCGTATCCCAGTGAAGAGGAAAAGAAGCAGCTCTGCAATGCCACGGGCCTCAGCATGTCTCAAGTTTCAAATTGGATGATAAACGTCGGTTTTCCTCCTTAATAACCTCGATATATGCGTTACTAAAGTGCTTTGTCCGCAGGCACGTCGCCGAATTCTCGCGCCGTTACACCGTCCTGGCGTCGGACCCACCACTACGACGCCCTTCGCGTCGCGCTCTACCTCCCTTGCGACCACAGCTTCCTTGCCTCCGGCTGCCATGCTCGACTCCGGCCGGCGCGCGTCGATGCCGTCTGACTCGCTCCAGCTCTACTACCCGATGTCCCTCCAGCCGCTGCACGACCCTTCGCAGACGCGTCATATGGTCGGCATGTCACGTTCATACTCGTCCTCGCATGCCAACGCGGGCCTCGGTGGACACGGACACGGCTCGAGCCCGTACGGGCTCGAGTCCGGGTACACGAGCAGCCGACTGAGCTATGGTGGGGGCGCACTGCACCCGCACGCGCAGCTCTCGCACCACTCGTCGCACCACGCGTCGCACTCGCCGAATTCGCACGCATACCTCGGCGTGCCCATGTCCGCGCCGCCGCTCAACAGCTCGCCGTCCTCGGCGTCGTTCCTCGGCGCGCAGCCGCACTCGCAGCACTCGCTGTACTCGCAGAGCACGCAGTCCGGGTCGTATATGGGGTCCGGCCAGAGCCATGCGCGTGGAGACGAGCGGTATAGCTTCTCCGCGAGCTCCGTCTCGCCTGCACCGCAGCCGGGCTCGGGGTACGCGTCGCCACAATGATGCCAGTGGGTGTATGTGCCGTGAATGAACTCGCTGCTGTCGCTGTCGCTGTATTGAGCGTGGACTCGATTGATATTCTGCCGAAAGCAAGTAGAGTAAAGTATATCCCCTAATATGCGTCTCCCCTCGCTCTCACTTTCTTGGTCTTTTTGCACTGTGTTCTCTGACTCTCTCTTGATCGATCGAAAAGCTGTCTCTGCCTGTGTATTTAAATTGCACCCGTCCTGTGTCTGTCCGCATCGTCGCGCCTGCTCTTTCCCTCTGTCATATTGCCCGTGTCTTTGCTATTTACGACCCCGCGGGTGTCCGCGCACTCGCCCACGCATTTCCCTCCCTCGATCGTGGCCTCTTGGTATTCTATTGGACACTGTTGGACCGGTGCCTGCGTTCGTACGTACGCTACTGTACTCGCTAATACCCTAGACGCACGAAATACAAACGAGACAATATGAATCGCGCTTCTTGGAGCACAAGGACGCGTCGCTTCGCTGCGTGTCTGCAACTTACGACCTTGGGTTCACACTGTGTGACCCGTGACATGCCGTTCACGCAAGCGCCTTGGGCATCGGGAAGCCAAATTTGGGAATTTAGCGCTCGAGATTGCATTTCGGCGACCTACCCCTTGTGACGTGTGACAAGCGCCCGATTATGTAGGTTCACAAGGGTGTGAAGCGAAGGTCGGTTTCGCTACAGTATCTCTATCGTCTCAATTATGTGAACTGGGCCCTCGGCTGGCAGTGCGCGTTGACGTACGTGGGCCAGTCGCCTTGTAGGTCCTTGTATTCGACCCAGGTCTGAACTCTGCCTTCAGCCTGGTACCGCCCGACGCGAGTCCGGGCAAGTCCCGTCCTGAGTGCTGGGCGCCGAGCACTCTGCTGCACGAATTCGCGACCGTACATGCCACGCCCATAGGCTTAAGCTCGCATGCTCCAGGCCGCGAGGGGCCAACCATCACTACTGGGCGATTGCCCTCCCGTGCCCTCCCACCCCGGGTGTTCGTCTTCGCGTTCTTCCCTGCATGCAGCTTCGCGATGCGAAGCCGGCACCACCGTCGCCGTAATGGCATGCTTATCGTCCGCCGTGCGCACTCCGGATTTGGCCGGTGCGTCCCAATGCCTTTGTTGGAGTACAACGCGCCGTGGAAATTGAATTGATTGCTGAAATGAAATGAAATGGCGAAGTTATTGTTGTTCTCTGTGCACGCGGAGGTCTCTGTGCGCGCGGAGGTGGAGCGAGAAACGTGCGCACGCGTTCTCAGGGTGTGGGCCCGCTGCCGTAATGCGGACGCAGCGGGACTGATTGTTGGCTTGGGTGGGGGGAGGCTTACTTGGACTCAGTTGTGCTATTGTTCTCCTTTGTTGCGCTGGTCGTTGCACGGCGACCGGGCTGCGGTGGCAGTTGCGTTGCGGCCGCGGGTCGGCGCGGAAGGAGAAGTGGATGAGGATGGAGAAAGATGCGAACGTTGCGGATCCGGAGGAATGCAGCGCTGCGCGGACGACCATATTCGGAGGCCGGTCGGTCAGGCGACGTCCACGGAACTTTGACCGCGCAATCCCTGCTCCGGCGGGACGCCCTTTCACGCCGCCGTCGTGAGTCCTGCAATGTCATGAGCACTCGCAGTAGGTGGGTGCGAGATCTGGATGGTGACGAGACTGTGCCGCCTCTATCCTAGCAGGCCCTCTATTGGTTGGTCTCTCTGCAGATTTCGAGATCCCCTCTCTGATTCTCCTTCTTCCCGGCGACTTGATATGTGGAATCTTCGAGTGGAAGCGGGTGCCTCCGGGCGGACGGAACGCTGGAGAACCTGGAGACTTCTGGGAAGCGAAGGGCTTTCGCGGCACGCAGAGCGTGTACTGGCCTGCGTCCGATGCCGGACTGAGTGCTAGACTCAAAGCTCGCAGCTCTGTGGTAGCGGTGAGACTTTGATGCGAAGCGGCTGTCCTTTGATTGGGTTTGATCAGGCGGCTTTAGCTCACAGGCATAATTGCACACAGGGCCACCACGGTGGCCAGTGGGAGTGGTCGTGTTACGTGTCGCGGGTTGGTGGATGCTCCAATGCCTTTGCGGATTTCATCCGCGGTGGATTACGGGCGCTCTGGCGTGGACGCGCATGGATGCTTGTGATTTAGGAGTACGACTCTCCTCGAATACACTGTCAATGTCAAGAATGTGTCACCAGACCGGCGGGCCGGGGACTAGAGTTGGTACACGCACGTATACAAGACGGGCCGAATGCCTATTGGACGAACATGGCCGCGCAGTACATAATCCCGCACGAAGCCACCGGGCCAAGGCCACGCCTCCGATTGTCATTTTCTGTCGGCTGGGGCGATCCAGTCAGTGGAGCGGCAGAGGCCTCCATTTTCTCATCGATATCTCCTCCACTTACGTACCACTGGTACTATGCTCCCCATTATCGCGGGCCCATCTGGATTGCATTGTTAGGGGAAAGCCCTGATATCAGATCAACGTGACTGTTCTGTTCCTGAGATGTAAGAGAACCGCTACTTGCACTGGCGGACAAGGTGTACATCGAACTTACCTTGGACGAGGTTTGGTGTGGCCAATCTTCCGTATCACATCCGCTGATCTGTTTTGGATCCAAGAAGCTCAAAGAACCACCACGTGGATTCGCAGCAAGCCTATGGCGTTTCTCGCTTTGCACTTTCCGGTGGCGCAGAAGATACGGAACGAATAAGGCTCGCTCCGTCGTGCATTCATGGGAACGCGGCAGAAGGTCGCATTACGGCCCGTGGGAGTCGCTCCCGACTGAAGGCAACATTTTCCTGTCTCTGCGCGAGGAGGGTGGCGGCTATCTTTGATTCCGCGTATTAGGGTTGCCAGTACGTGTTCGCTGCGCCATCCCATGCAGAGTGATCCCGTGCTGATTATTGGGCAGATGATGGTGCGCGGGAGCCGGTCGCACCAGCGACTACTGAGTGAATCAGTGTGCATTGATGATGACGCACCGTGGGCTGCATTGAACGCGCGGCAATACTACATACCGCTGCGCGTTACGGTGATGGGTGCGGGGCGCTGATTCGTACCCACCATCATGGTGTAATCCCGAGTCCATTCCTGATGGCTGGCTCCTGTGCTGGTCATGCGACGGTGAGTCAGGAATGGTGCAGGCGTTATGTGCTATACGCTGCCAGTGACCCCCTTTGATGCGTAAGCTGGGACTCATTCTGAGAGGTCAGAGTCTGGCCAAGGGCACGCGGTGCGCCACCGATGAAATTCATGGGCGCCGACGTGGAGAGCCTTTGATGGATGGATTGTGCCATTGCAAGGGAGTGACGAGGAGGCTAAACCATGCGCCGCGGACTCTCCCCTAATTCATCTGTGGCGAAGGCACAGTCTGAGCGGATATAATGTACAAGCCACTCTCATCTCAGCCGACGAGCGAGTGTGGATACTGTTTTTGCACAGATGGTGATTGTAACTTGGAGTGAGGACCGTCCAGCTGGTATGATCCTGATGAGCCTGATCGGAGACACGGTCTCAGATCATATCGCATGCTTTGCTGTGCGTACTTAGATCACCAATGCGCTAGGCGCGGTCTGAATCTACGAGGATATCTGGATGCGCAATGAACAAATTTAGGGCTCCTGCGATGCTCGGATGTCAGTCTAGATTTTTAGATCAGGTTCAGCGGAAGAGTCCATACGGGCTGCAGACGTACTGGATACCGCAGCGTGAAATAGATGCCGGTGACGATGGTACAGTGTGAGGTTCTTGCTATGATATCGCAGGCCTCAGAGCCGCATTGAGTGGATCATCATAATTATACCTCATCTGTCAGACTTGCCGCCTTGGAAATTGACAGAGATTGTGCAAGGGTCATTCACGGATGAGATAGCCACTGAAGCTGGCGTCTCGGACGAGAAAGGAAACCTGATTCCCTTTTCGAGGCAAGCCCGCCTTGGATCCGCGATGCGGACATCAGATGTGAGAGGCTGTAGCTGCAGAGCTGCAATCAGCATTGTGCGACTATCCTCAGCATATGAGTCCTTTCCGAGAGCACCGCAGAGGGCATTGCATGTGGTCGAGAGGCACTGCAGAAAAGTAGGGTGTGCGGGTGGATAGTATTCGCGATAAAATGAACTCTATGAGATTAAGGGTACTGTCGCGATGGAAGCTGAGATGATCAATGCGACTGTGGTAATATTTGAATGAGCGTCAGGCAGTTCGAGTGACCGGCATAGCTGTGCATTGGCACCTACCTTGTGAATTCAACCAAATGAAGCGATTAGGTTGTCAACGCTGCGACCTAGCAAAGGTTCAACGGCTTGATGCAGATGGCTCGACCAAGAGCCCAAAAAGCACAGTAGGAAAAATAAGTAACATGTTCTAAAAATTGAAGACCTAGTCCAACCGGGAGAGGAAGTTCGGAATCAGAGGTGCGTTGTCGACATGCAAGGATCGTTGAGTCGCCGGCCCGCGTGCGGCGGGTTCGTGCGCTGGCGCTTATGAGAAATTCTCTACTTGCCGCCGCGGCCGTCCAGGTTGACACTATCTTTCAGTCGACATGCCTATGTCTGTACACGTCGGAAACTAACCTGGGTTTGTGTAGCCTTGTATATGCCGAGAGATACGCGTAGTTTGGAGGCTGTGGAGGCTGCGGTCAGGAAGTCGAATGGATTGGGAAGGTGACTTTCTTCTATCATAGTGATTGTTGGATTTAGACTAGCGAGCACAAAACGGTCGTCGGCTTTTCGGGCTTTGGCGAGCTTCGAGAGGTGAGAACGACGTCGATTATCGTCCGAGATACCGTACACTGACTCAACTCTTCTTGATGGGCCTTTGAGTCACAGCAAGGAATATATGTACGAGGAGTGTGTTGTACCAAACACGCTCGGCGCAGATATCCTCTACTCGTGATCGGCTATATCGTGTCATTATTTTGACTCCAACTAGGTGAGAAATCTCTGGGTCGATGTAATTGTTGTCCGAATTTTGTGAACAAGGCCTGGGATGGTCGCCTATGACTTGACGTCGATATCATGCGGTTCGTGATGCATCGCGCAAGGGTCAGATCGGTTATACGTCGCGCAGCGCGATAACGACGGCTCTGCTGAAGCAGTGTCGTGAACAACAATCGCTCGAGGCCTGCACTTGCTGATATCCAATATCCATCTATGCAGTCACCTTTAATTTGTGAGAAACATGGCAAATAATCCAGAGGATACATGGTCCGCATCAACCTACAACACGACTGCGTCATTCGTGTATTCACAGGAGTTCACGACACCTATCCTTCGTCTCCTCGATGCGAAACCTGGAGAAAGGGTCATCGACTTCGGTTGCGGCAGCGGAGAGCTGACCCTGCAGATCAAGCAGCTGGTCGGTGACACTGGGATGGCGGTCGGTTTCGACAGCAGCGAGAGTATGGTGCGCCTCATCATTTTCTTTTCCTTCTTTTGCCATCGAACCGCACGCGTTCATACGAGCAAATATCTGCAGATCATGCAATGCAAGGCCAATGGAGTCGAGTCTGCATTTGTTGGAGATGCGCAGGATCTGAAGTTCCCGAGTGAATGGTCCTCCGATCTACAGGGAGGATATGACGCGGTCTTTTCCAACGCAGCCTTGCATTGGTGCAAACGTGATCCTGCTGGTGTTCTTGAGAGCGCGAAGCGCGTCCTTAAGCCTGGCGGGCGTTTTGTTATCGAGATGGGCGGCTACATGAATTGCGTCGGTGAGTGTGAGCTGGTTGATTGTGCCAAAAATCCCGCATGAAGTGATACGCCTAGGTGTGCGATCCGCTTTGTGTCAGGTACTTCGTACTAAGGGATACCATCCCGATGAACTCGATCCTTGGTTTTTCCCGACAACTGGGTATTACAAGTCGGTGAATCACTGAATTCTTACGTGGTCCATGATGCATGCTATTGGAATGCTTACAACATCTTACTCTCTAGCTCTTGGAGACTCACGGCTTCCACGTCACATCCATCTCCCTGCATCCTCGCATCACGCCGCTGAAGAGCTCGCTATGCGATTGGCTCCGTCTCTTCAGCCGCCCGTACTGGATGCGTGACATGGGAGACGAGGAAGCAGAGGAGATCATGCGCACAGTGGAGGACATATGCAGCGTCGACTGTTGCGATGAGCAGGGGAGGTGGACCATCATGTATGTGCGTCTGCGCGTCGTCGCGACGATCTGAGCAACGCGGCCGCACTGCTATGACTGTGGGGTTCTGTCTTGTGGGCCCGAAACGAGCTGATTCATTGTCTATGTCAGATTCGGTAGTCGCACAAATGAACAATGCTATAGCACAACAACAAAGCAACGTTGCTGCCTGAAATTGCCGAGATATTTCTATTGATATACAGCAGAAAAGCACGATGAACAACAGCATAACAATCTAACGGTACAGTTTGTAGACTCGAAGCGAGATCACCGGCTGGCGGTGTGCCGCAGGCTACGCGCTCGTCAACGATTTCCAGTGTTCTATAACCTCATCACCTCGTCGCCGTAGAACTTTATCTCTAGGCTCTTCCGTTAGGCTGTGTCGCATTCTTTGCAAGCTTCTCCAAGTACATCTCCTCCTGAAAAACCGCTGCAGTGCTCTGGCACGCACTGCCTAGCTCTTCTAGCTCCACGAACCTCGAGGCTGGCGTAGGGTTTCGCGCCTTCTCACATTGTTCACTGTGCCAATCACATTCGTCCGGGCGAGCATCCTCGTTAGCGGCGATGTCGTCTTTCGCGCCGTCGTCTGTTTCTCTCCGCCTATTCCCACGTACTTCGCTATAGGATACGAACGTGGTCGAGATCATGATAAAATGTACGATGCCCAGGGCGAATACGGCGGTGATCGCAGTGCGAACAACAAGCGCCTGACGGGTGCTCACACGACAGGCAATGGTGGCTTACCGCCAGCCTCAGCCGGATAGAAGAGAGGGAATTGTCCTAAAGGCATCTGTCTGAGCTTCTTGAGGCGCACTCGAAGAAAGTTTTTCTGACAACAGGATAGGTCTGGCCTAAGACGCTAGCCTGTCAGGCTAATTGTCATACATGGAAAGCGATCAGAGGATAGCAAAACTGTCCTTCGAGTAACTAGTCCTTGCAGTTAAACGTTTATCCACCCATATAGCGCAAGGGACAGTTGATGTTCATCAAGACAATTCCATCTCTGCAATCCGCCTCCATCAATAGATTGTCCGAACCATTGCCCGTCGTGTCAGCGGTGGGGGCGGGTTTTCGTCGGCGATCGATCCAGTGCGCCAGACGAAAGCAAGAATGGATATGCAGAAGGATAAGTATCATGGACTAGGCCAGCCATATCGCGGGAGTGGCGAGGAGATTCCAGATATTCCAGAATACCGCAGTCTCAGATTTCTGCGCTTCCTACATGGGGCATGGTTGAGTTATACGATACTCCGGGGGTTTCCCATCGAACTAAAAGAGTACGAACCTCTGCCCAGCGAGATGCTCTGCCCATGCTTCTCATAGCGCCGAATCGGACAATATAAACGCATCCATAGCACAAACTCATAAGTGCAAATACGAGCGAGAAAAGAGCCGCAGAACGAGCGAAGGAGTCGTTCGCCGCAGCCTCAATCTGAAACATCGTGAGGATGGCACTGGCATAGCACACAATTTCCACTGTCAGTATATCTCACACAATTACGGGGATGCAAGTTCCTCGAGACGTACGTGCAAAATAAAGCCGATACCAGGTTCAGCGTCTTCCACTCTCGGAGCAGAGAGTCTATAAAGATCTCCCAAGAATGCTTGAACCGCACTAGCGCAGGAGAGACCATAGGCGGATTCCAGTCTTCTGTAGCAGGCAAAGGCAGTGAAGGCCTGCAAATAGGCCGCAGCAGGCTCCCACCATCTGTCGGAGTGGCTCCGCTGCTTTCATCTGGGGTGCACGCGTTGATCATCCGCTGTATGTCGGGCTTGCTCACCTCAGCATCCTCGAAGACGCGCGCAACACGAGACAAATACACAGCAGGAATCCATAAGAGGAGGCAGAGATACACTTGACACGGGAGCACGTCCATGATAACGGTGTCGGTTGAGGTCGCGAAAGCTTTCCAGCGTCTTCTCTCTGCCATCCCGTGTCTATGTCAACGACGACGCAGGATGGATGAGCAAAACACCGGGAATGGGAGGCACGGGGAAGACGAGTCGTCACGAACGTCATCGGTCCCTTGTAGGACAGGCTCTGGAAGTCTGCTCAAATTACCGCGGCGGAGCCAACGCATGCGCAGGCGGAACGGGTCAACAGGGACAAATGGCTCTTCCTTCGGATGGGTACTGCGACGCCCAAACCCAAAGAAGCGGTGAGGGAACGGACTACGGGACTGAGGAGGGGAGCGTGAGAGGGCTGGGCTCTGTGGTCCATCCTTTGATAGCCAGGAAGAAAGTTTGGCTGGTTGGAGACGGGTGCTCGAAGTGAAGCTTCGCCAGACTGTGCAGTGGATGACAAAACTGTGGGTTCACTGTTGCTATGCCAGGACATTCTATGGGCAGCTGCGGAATGCCAGTATCAGGATCCAGACCGTACGATGTGAAAGACATCTTTAACACTGAACATTAACACCATCCAAGTGCTGCCATCTGTATGTATCCTATGTAGCGGACCATGCCGATTGCAGTGGCGGTCCGCTGCTAGGATGCTACAGAGAATGGAAACACAGGAAATATATATCGGTTCAAGGCAGTCAATAATTCTGCAGGAGAATTATTGGCTGACCACTGGATTCATTGCGCCATAGTAGAATGCCCTTCAAAACCACGTTAAGACTAACCTTGTTTAAGGCTTTGCAGAGTCATGCGACGCGGCGGGCGATAGGCAGAGAGTGATGTGCGCGGGCGACAAGTGGTGGGCGAAGCGCCCTCATTCGACGCCTGTCTATCGAGCGAATGTGCAGACTCTATTGCTTAGGTACCACTTATTGGACGACTTTCCAGTGCAGAGTCGCCGGATAAGAGATATGACGAACCGTTGGAACTGTGTCGTACAATGCAAGGAACAAGGCGAGTCTGTATATCAAGATCAGGCAGGTTGTTTGGGATGGCATTCGACTTCAACAGCTCTGGGAATTGTTCTTGAGACTTAGCGAAATGTTAGAAAATGCTACTGACACATACCTGGACTAGCGAGCTGATGTTGAATTGGAGATGGAAGGGACCAGCCATTCGAGCTGGCGAATGTGGGGCCATCTACGGAAATGCACGGGGAATCCTTCGGGGGTGGAGCACCTATCCCTTTCATCTCTGCGTCGGAATGAGACATGATGAGGCAGGCCTTCTTGACAAGAATTATGCCTCTTGGTAGTGGATGTGGCGAGATTAAGGAAAAAAACCAGACCTTACTCCCAGGGTATCTGACGAGAGCGCTCGCACATCATGAGAAAGATGCGCGTATCGTTGATTATTATGGTCCGGCGACGTATGCGGTAATAATGCGGGAGGCGTCTGTAGGCGTCTGTCCCAATTTCGTTAACAGCGTCAGCATCTGTAGAAGATCCTTGCCACTTGGAGGTGCGTCCTAGATAATAATACCGTTTCAGGACCGAAAATAGTACTGCTACTTAGACCACAAGAGGCAAGTGAGCAGCCTGCACTAGCAAGTTCGAGTGTGGCTTCTGGACATGATCTGCCAGTGAGATCCACAGACGATCGAGACACAGGAGAGTCCCATAAAGACAAAACATTGGTTGCGCAGATTTTACTGCGAGAGCTGTTAATTTGTTGCGGTGAGTGATATTGTACTTAACACTTTAAGGAAGGGCAACTTGACGGAGAGAGACACGATGATCGAACGATATCGATGTGATCTTATCTTGGTTCTAATATCTCCGAGTCTGGAGTCGCTATCGGCCGCCTTCTTCGCCTTGGAACGGACGTTCGACATGAAGAACGAAACTGTGCAATTCATTAACAATCTCTCGGCCTCGGTTACAAGCCAGGCTCCCCATTCACATACCCATGAACCTGGTGGGGCCACACACAGTCATGGCGCTGGGGAGCACGGGCACACCCACGAGCACCTCGAGAATCCAGGTAGTTATGATTCACACGATATAGTCTACCTTTCTGATGTTCACACCTGCTTGTAAGGGAAGTATGCAGAGCGAGATATGCCTAACTATAGCTCTCGAAATTTCGAGGAGCGTGGTTTCACCATTGGCATCGGCGGGTAATTTGCCTCGCATTATACAGTGATGCGGGCGTTGAATCGTCGATTGGCACCAGTCCTGTCGGTTCTGGAAAGACCGCTTTAGCGCTTGTGCTTTGCCAGAAATTGCGGAAGGAGTATAACATCGGTCCGTCTCCTCCTCTACCTTCGCGAAACGTACACTGATAATGCTGGTTCAGCCGCGGTAACCAATGATATCTTCACGAGAGAAGACCAAGAATTCCTCATCAAGCACAATGCGCTTCCTGTTAACCGAATTCTCGCCATAGAGACCGGTGGATGTCCTCACGCCGCCATCCGTGAAGACATCAGCGCCAACATGGGTGCGCTTGAGACCCTGCAGGCCAAGTTCGGTTGCCAGATGCTCTTCGTCGAGAGCGGCGGAGATAACCTCGCTGCAAACTACTCGAGAGAGCTGGCCGATTACATTATATATGTTATAGACGTTTCGGTGAGCACCTCTGTGGAAGATTTAACAGCTGCCCCCAACGAACAACTCTCCAGGGAGGTGATAAGATTCCTCGGAAAGGAGGTCCGGGAATATCTCAATCGGATCTTCTGGTTATCAACAAGGTGTGCTTCCGCCTCGTCTTCTGCAGGCGGACTAAATGTATATGTCATTGTCTATACTCAGATTGACCTGGCACCGTTTGTCAATGCTTCTCTCGAGGTGATGAACCGTGATTCCAAGCTGATGAGGGGAGACGGTCCAACTGTTTTCGCGAGCGTAAAGGAAGCAAAAGGAGTGGATGATATTGTCGACCTTATATTGGCTGCCTGGAGGGCTGCCGGCAGTCCAGGAATTCCTGGGGCAGTCTCGGAGGAGTGAAAATTAATCGGAAATGGTTGTCAGTCCCTTCTGGCAACATCTCCATATATCGGGTCCGTTTCCAATCCGACGGGCGATCGTTTACGAGACAGAGACTCGGGAGGGAGTGTAATCTTACTGTATACTACGAAATTCGAGCCAGGCAAACCTGGACTGACTGATATCCATATATGGTTCTGTGACATATGACTACACTGTGGCGAGATGGCGCCTAGTCAGCATCCTTCAAGCTTCATCGCCAACGACGACGTCCTCCAGATCACAAACTCTTCTTTCTCCACTCCAGCTTTTTTCTTACGACTGAAACGTGTATATCAACCTATTTTATCACTTCACTAGTCTCTCTTTTTCTTCATTTTCACCATGGGTCAGTCAGTGTCCAGGGGACGCCCACCTTCCACGTCTTCCCCCTTGGCGCCTCACGCCGAAGCCTCTGGCACTGCACAGCCCGAGTTGAGCAGCAGTCAACCATCCTCAGAGGCTGCAGCCATCCCTCCCCCTCCCTCCACTTCAACAAAACGTTCTCGACGTTCGTCTCTGCGTCACAGTATACTGGGCTTGATACCGAGTTCGCATTCCTCTGCTTCTCTGTCCTCAGATAGCACACAGCCTCCCAAGAAGCGCTGGCGCTCATCAAGGCGGTGGTCGAAGGCACCTACTCAGTTAGCAGACCTCTCAGAGTCTGCACCAGTGAGTACTGTGCAGACAAATAGCGTGGGCCCTCCGGATTTTCCAGATGACAATGGGACACATGGTTCGTCAGTGCCAGATTCGCCAATCGGTGTGTTACATCTTACTATTGTTTGCCCCATTGGTTGCTTTCTGCCTGTCTACCTTCCCCATATGCCGTTCGTTACTGATGTTGGTCCAGGAGGACTGCCTGAAGAAGAGCGGCTTAGTAGGGATGCTGTCGTCCAGTCCGAGGAAACATCTCATGTTGTAGGAAATGAGTTTGCTGGTGACGAAGTATCTACAGGTGATGAGGAGGTCCACCGAGGAGCTGCTGAAGTTGCAGACGGTGTCGATGCCATTGAAGCCTCTGGTACTGCAGGCATCGTGTCTCAAACTCACGATATGGATGATGAAGGACTTCAATCGGACCTCGCTACTGCTGAAACTACACAGACTGCGGAACCTGCACCCCAACTCGCCCGCCAGTTCCCGCCCCCAGGAACGCTGGTGGTTGTCCAAGGTGTTGTAAACACAACAGACGCCCCTAGTACGCAAGCACCGTCGTCGTCCTCAAGACCAGCACGCTCGACTGCGCCCCGCCCAAACTCGGTGTTCAGTTCTGTCCCGGCTGCATCTTCTCTCAGACGATCTGCCTCCATTCCGAGTTCGAGTGGTCGCAATCGCGAAGAACGGCAAGGCGGCAGAAACAGGTTTTCTGCTTTCATACCACGTCCTGGCAGCATGCTTTCCGGAAGACTGTCTTCAGATGCTAATCGTGTCGCATCACAAGAGGGTATTCCTCCCCGCAACTCTATTGCTTCTTCCGATCTCCCTTCCAATATCACTCACGATACTGCATCGGTAGCAGACTCATATATGGGCGGTCATTCTGTTGAAGAGAACGACTCTCAAAGTTCCGAAAGCGACGGGCGACCGCGACCCTTGTCTCCAGGTAGTATCGACGTCCTCGGTACTCTCCTCAGGTATGTTCTTGAGTGCGGCTGGATGCACTGGACTTGAGACTGAATGCAGGCGATAGCGTTGCTGCTGCTGCCACAGCTGCCTCTCTGTTTTCTCCTGGGCTTGCCATGTCTGTCAATGGCGGAGCCAATAATGTTCCCCAGCCTTTCAACCGTCCCATGTCTCCAACTCCAACCGCGGGTCTCGGTAATCTTGCAGGCTTAGGTGGTCTCACTGGCTTGGGTCTTCATCCGACTTCCAATCCTCATGGTGTTGCGCAAGCTCAAAGAGATGGTCGTGACCGGATTAGGAACGTTTGGGAAAGCTTCAGGGACCGTCTCGGGCTGAACTCGCGCAACCCAGGCTATTCTCCTTTCAGCTCTGATGGGCAGGCCGCTGCGTCTGACGGTGATGCGCGGATGCGACCCGGGGAGCTTATGCTCGCCGAGATGGCTCGTGCGCTCAACATCGGACTAGGCCTCAACGGCGACAGCACCACGGGCCCTCAACCATCTCAACAAGGCGATGATGTAGAATCGTCGACAACATTTGGAAGTGCAGCTACAGCCTCCGGACCGGAAAGCGGAGATAACACTCTTCCACCTGAGGACAGCTTCGAACGATTCCTCATTAATCTTCAGGCTGATCTCAGGACTGCACTGCTGGAAGACGGTGCCCCGCCAAGTGACGAGGCAGGTGGTGCTCCGGACGTACATACCGAAACCGGAGAGGAGGCTGAGGCCGAGCCTGTCGCCGATCCCTCCCCTCTTGCGGCCAGTGCTTCACCTGCATCGGAAGAAATTCGCTCCGAGCCTTCAAGTGAAGTGGACGACAATGACGAGCCTCCCCCACTGGCGGACGACTCCGATGAATCCGATTCAGAAGATGATGGTGATGAGGCCATGGACGACGCCGGCGATGACGGTGCTCAGCCTTCGCGGCGTACGCCTACACCGATTCCTAACACTGGTACGCCTTTCGGTGTTGATCAGCGGCCAGGTGCATTCAATGAGGGCGTTCCAAATACAGAGGGTGAGCGTAGGGCGCCAGGCATCAACCTTTGGCGCCTGTATCGCTTCCAGCCAATACCAGCGACCCAGACCCAGGTCCATATTGCTAGCACGAGCGTTGGATTGCCCCCTAACCCCGCCCCTGAAGGCGACGCTACCACTCAAACACCACACCCTCCCTCCCCTACCTTCTCCGTTTCTGATCCTTCGTCGGCATCGCCTTCTGAAAGCTCCGATTCTGCTCCAACACCGTCCACATCGACAGATCCGAACGCCAACGTCGTGGTGCCTGTCATTGTCGTTGGCTTGCAATCCGTTGACATGGGTCAAGCTCAAGGGCATGCACACGGTGGCGCGGATGCTGTGTTCTCGCCAGAAGATATACGAACGGCGGAGAGCAGGGCGGGCTCGTTCGATGGTATACCAGGCGAAGGCACCGCGCACCCACCTCGTGGCAGGACATGGCAATCACGTGCTGCGAATGCTTTCAGGACCTTACGTCCCGGACGGAGAGGTGGCTCTGGTGGGCGGCCAACGAGTGAGGCGACAGGCTCGAGGACCTTCTTGATCTATGTGATAGGAGGTCAGTAACATGTCCCGCACTGGGTCAGCGCGTTCTTAATATTGCTCTTCAGGGTATTATCCACCAAATCATCACATGGTCACTGGCTCTGACAGTTTGGACTCGTATGAGGCGTTATGGTGCGTATCTCATCAGTCGATGAGGTCGATTTTTACAACCCAATGTGCATGATAGGGAACTTGCCGAGTTGCTTGGACAAGTCAAACCACCTGTTGCGACAAAAGAAGACATCGACAACTCTGGCTTGCGGATCATTCAAACATCTGACCTCATAGAGTATGAGAAGGAGGGGCGAGTAGCGTCGAACTGCGTTGAGCGAGTACGTCTGTTCAGTGCTTTCGTCATATGTGCTGTCTAACTCCATCTGTCTCCGCAGTGTCTGATTTGTCTCGACGAATACGGATCAGATGACAGCCTTCGTCTCATGTCTTGTAAGCACGCGTTCCATATGGACTGTGTTGACAAGTGGCTGCAAGTGGGGCGCAACAATTGTCCAGCTTGCCGAACAAAAGTGAGTGCTCTGTCCCTCAACGACAGCATCATCCTTAAATGAGCTTCCCTTACTCTACAGGGCGTGTCTACGGCTGGCGACTCGAGCACTTGAGCCACATCTGAGCTATAAGCTCGTCTGTCCCAGCTGACCCATGCATTTTTCTGTCCCTATATCACTCATGGACTCTCCCTTGGCTAACCAAACCCACCTTCATTGATTGTTCCTCTGTGTGTTGTTCTCTCATCGATATCTCCGCTATCCATTGTAGCACCTCCATTGCTCCGACAGAAAACCTGAAGCTCTTGGCTCTCTATCTCGTCAGGTTAATACGTGTTTCATCAAGATTGTTTACTCTTCTTCGGGTATCTACTTACTAGTGTACAGTATTTACTGCAATAGATATATTGAAACTCGCCTTTTGTGTGCGCGGACGTCTACGATTATTCTAGGGACTATTGCTTGGTGGATACTTAGATCGCAGTACTGGTGCCTATAGACGTCGTCATTGAGTTTTACAGAGCATGGAGCTGACCTCGAGCTCTCTGCGCAGCTCTATCTCCGTCATGCATGACGGTCTGGGACTGGGGTGAGTGTAATCGTTTGTACCGGTGCTCCACATGTCCGCAAAGCGCTAGTCCGCCATATACCACGCCTCCTCGGCACTACGAATTTGTGACTTTCCGTCTCTTCCCCTACTTCATGGACCCTCCAGCTCTGACTGGTGTCTTTCACCGTGGGTCAGATGTCGAGAAAGACGCGGCTTCACCCCTTCTCGCCCCGCATGCAGATTATCTCGCTACGTCCAGCGAGTCGATTGCTCGGCCTTCAGAATCGAGAATGACTGGAGCGCAGCGAGCTCTGTGGGCAGTTCTATGGGTTATTCTCTTCATGCTGTTCGCTCCTGCTTTCGCGGCGGATATCCTAAACTGTTATCGTGCTGTGAGTGTGTATGGCCTTGTACTGAACAAAATTTCCCTGAGCAGTCTCCACAGGTTCGTGACATGGTGGGAAGTATTCCCGTGAAAGCGGAAAATATTGATGTTCTAGATCGGTGCATCCATAACGCATCTTGGTTTATGGATCGCAAGCCTGGTACTCATTCTCGTCATTTCTCCAATGTTGCACGGACATCTTTCGAACTTCCCGTATCCTCTGAGTTGCTCTACTTCACCGCCCAAGGGAGCGCCGCCCTTGCCCGTGGTTCCATAGAGTTTGACCAGTCCGGAGAAGTGGGTTCCGACGTCGTCAGAGTGGACGTCGCCGCATACTTCAACCATCAGCATGAGTTCCTCGATACAACAATGTGTCTCCTACAGCATGGAGAGGACGAAAATGGCGTAGGAATATTTGTGAGCTGTGATATTGATGACTGTATGCACCCGAATCTTACAGGGCGGTTTAGGCCCCCGCTATGTCTCATTATGTTGGTGCACAGCAACAAGTCATGTACGACATCAAGGTCAGACTGCCCTTACCCACTACTGGCTCCCGTCTGCCAATGAGGCATTTTTTGAGCAATCTCCCCGTCTTTGACCACCGTGTCGGCCATTTGGACACCATACACTTCAACTCTTTCACAGTGAAAACCTCTAACGCAGACGTCAGTGTCATGGTGAGCGACCTCTTTCAGGTCATAGGGTGCTATCAAGTAATGCACCCTTCAGGGAATTTCTGCCAACCGCATTAGCATCACTACGTGGAATAGACCCATTGAAGGCACATTCCGAGCGTCCTCGTCCCTTTCTCTTCATACTCTGAATGCCCATATTGATGCGGACGTGACCTTATTGCACGACAACGATCCTGTACCCATCACCCTCGACATGATGACCAGTAACGGGTGCGTCTGTAGCGATTGACGATTTTGAGACATGCATTCTCATAATCTATCTGAAGGGCAATTAAGGCTAATGTCAATCTCGTCTCTACTTCCGTGAACGGGACCGGTGGAACGTTCCGAACAGTAGCAGCAACGTCGAACGGCCCTTTGCACCTCGCATATCCGACGGCACCGGTTGACTCCAGGCTCCTTATCGATGGGCGCACGTCGAACGGTCCTGTCAGTGCGACACTGCATAAGACGTACGAGGGCTCTCTCTCTCTCTCAAACTCCGCATCTCCCATACCTGCTGTGGAGTTCGACTCCACGGTCGAAGACCCGGCTCGCGAAGGCCGTACCAGGAATCTGCAATTGCATCGCATCAACTCGGGCTCCGTCATCGTCGAAGGACAAGTCGTTTGGGAGCCGGCCTCGCACCAGAACCGGTTGGGATCGACCAGGTTGACGACGACAAATGCACCGTTAGATGTGAAGCTGTGATGGACAATGTGTTGTGGCATCAATTTCTTGTGCTTCGTATAATAATTCCCATATAACTCTTGTATTTGTAATAGAAGAATGTATAGTGTGATTGTAGATTCCTAGCAGTGATAACTACCCACCTATCGGCATGAGGCAATGGAGGAACGCGCCAGGCTAGGCTCCGACAGCTGCAAGGATCTATACTTGCACTACCATGCACTGGAGGCAAATATTGGCACAAGGGCCTCAAGGCCATGGAAGCACTCCTTCTGCAAGCCTAGGGGCAATCACAATAGCAACATTCCGACCACTCCCAGATGCTTGATCGAACAAGTTGACTAGTCGCACGTCCATCTCTGTATCCTGTAGACATAAAACATCCTTCACCTCGGACGCACACCAATAATTTCAGGATTACACACCTGCAGCTTCTCCTTCAGGTACTGCTGACGATCCAGTAGGATGAGACTCTCCACTACGGGGCCCAGGATACAGCGCAGCACGTGGAAGACTTCCATACGGCTCTCTATGGCCATATCTCTCCCCTCGGACTCAGCGAGGTCAACACCAAGCTTTGAGCTAGCCTGAGCGAGAAAGATGCCCCAGTCCACGTATACAGAATTATTCAGTCTTCCCAGTCGTCGCGGACCCGCACCAGCCCCTGCAGTCTCGCGTTGGCCTTCATGCATGTCAAGTGAACCAGTCTCAGCTCTTCGCTTCTCCAGCATGCCCTGGAGCAACGCTCTCCACACGACCTTTTTAATGGCCAGCTTCGCAGCATTCAATGTATCTTCGGTACGCAGCCACTGCGAAGGAACCTGTGCGGCCAGCTGGAGGTGACTGGGCGTGAGCACCACTTGTGCAGTCTGGGAGGACGACGTCAAGGCGTCCGATAGAGGGAAATCTATGTCGCGTAAGCCTTGAGAAAGTATCGAGGCCGTAAACGATATGATATATACCCTTGGGATCCAACATGTTGTAGCAGCATCCAACGATGACTGCTGCACTAGACACCCACGTTCTTGTGGTATCGTCAGCTCTGCATGACGATAGGAACGCCCGCAAGATATGGGGGGTCAAGGAGCCACATGCATGCAACGCAACCAGAAAGACGGGGACCGGCTCCTGATCAGATTGTGTTCCATCTAAATTGCACACATGTAGATGAGGTATTGAGTTGCCCAGCACTTGGTCGTTGATCCACTCGTCCGTGACTTTCAAAAGGGAATCTGCGGTGATTCTGGTTGTTTTATATGTCAGCAAGTCTTTACCACACATCGGTCGAGATGCGGCACTTGCGGCAGGATCAGATGCTGCCTTCTGAGGGTGTCCAGTATTTTGGGACACTTCATCCCGTCTCGCAGCGCCTTTGGTCTGCGTGTCGCTCCAGTCAAGAGCAAGCACACGCATGCTCATGTCATCTCGCAATTGGCGAGACAGGTATGCCTGGTGTACAGTCAAATCAGCAACTATACATCGTAAAATGTGATGAAAAGGACTTCAACAGTGAAGGCATCCAAAGCAATTGCCACAACATTGGCAATATGCGCATAAGATGCCTAGATGTGATTGTGCAACCGAACCCGGGGAGCGGTCGATAGCTCATTGCTTGTTATGTGGCTCGGGGGCGACGTCAAAAGCAGATGATCCACCGACAGTTCTTAAACCCGGGAGGAACCCATGCAATGCGAATCGAGTAGCGAATGAGAGATAAGACGAACTTGACCGGCACCAATGTCCACTGCATGCCTGACGTTTCCCAGTCTCGTACAAGATGAGACTAGTCTTGAGATGCACTCTGTCATCCTCAGGACTTCGTGCGCTTTCTTTGGAGACATGCCACGCAAACGCTGGTCCTGGAAGCTCAAAAATGCAACTCCAGGTCCATCGTCTGAGCCACTACCACCATGCTCTGTCTTTGCATCATTAGCTTCGTGATTTCCAGTGCATAGAGCTGGACGTGCGAGACCAGTCTGGCGAGAAATTTGCAATCGGCGTGCCTCATCCACCAAGATCCTCAAATCGTATGGGATGCAAGAGTTTCCTGCGATATTGGGATCGGATCCGCAGAGATAATAACGCAGGAGAACCAGCGATTTCGGCACAGTTGGAGCGGAAGCATGCTCAGGCAGGAGGTTGTTTTCAACTTGGGTTTCACCGGCCCAATCCCACCAAGAGATCCAGAGCGACGGGATGTCGAAAGAGGGAGAGCACAGCTGGTTGGGGTGCACAGAGAGCAGGCTCTCTGTGAGTGGTTGGTGAAGAAAAGATGAGATGTCGTGCATAAGGCCCAGTTCTTCTGCCATTGGATTTCAGTTGCAGTCGTTAGCTATAGATATGGACGGGAGAGGCAATGAGGTTTCCAAGGCTATTAACTCGTCTTCATCAGTGGCCAATTTTCATCTTCTGGAGTAAGTGGGATTAAGTGGGTTAGGTGAAAGAAAAGCACGGTGGATGTGGTCAAGGAGTGCAACGGCAACGGTCTCGATCGATTTCATACTCGATCTTGGTTTGAACTTGGAGTGAGCGCACGACGAAGCCCACCCGGTTACCTCACATTCATCAGATCATCCGTATCGTATATAGGAAGCAACCACATAACTACCGTACATCCACAACACCCAACTAACTGGCCCAATCAGCCCACTAAGTCCCACCTACTGACCTCCTTGCCTATCCTGACGCAAACCTCTCCCACCTGGAACATACCGACTTGCCGTGACACAAGCGTACCGCCAAACTCACGGTTGAGACTTTCCACCAGTGTAGGAGGGAAGTCGGGTATTGTGGGGAACTGCGGCATTGTTGAGCCTTGGCTACCGCGGAGCGGCGTTACGGGCTCGGAGGGACTTGTGGGCTCTGAGGTAGAAAGAGGGTATGTAGATGAAGTGGAACTTTGAATGTCGGAACTAAAATCCTGCGCTGGTGCTGGAGTGGACGGCGAACGGTCGAGCAGCGCCCATGCGATTGAGGCGTGGAAGCGTGGATCTGCGTAGAACTCTTTCTGCCGAATTGAACGCAGCGCTGGTACCAATGTGTCTGAGAGTGCTTTGAGCTGTAAATACGGAACATATTAGGAATGAAAAACGGCGAGAAGATCTAGAACACGTACCTCCGCATGCCCAGCACCAATTTCGAGGGTGAGGAAGATCCTCGTGCGCTCATCGTTCGTGAGTTCTGCGAACATCGAAAATGATGCGGTGAATCTGGAAATCTTCTTAGACTTCATGAAATGTTATGGTGGAGGAGGAGGGGACATACTCCGAATGGGCTCTAGTCATGCTTTTCACTGCACGTTTAAATTCATCACGTTGGTGCGCGCTCAGGTATGTAGGCCGGGTGAGTGAAACATGAAGCTCATGTGTAGCTCTGGGTTTTGCGCCATCGCTCGGATCCGTGTCGTTAAAGATACCAATGGGATGCAGCGGAGGCACGATATTCTGTGCGAGTGTGTACGCCTTCAAGAGAAGTTTGTACAGCGCGGAACTGCGTTCCAAAACCAGGGGAACATAGACATACGCGGCGAATTGGCCCTCAATGTGGGGCGTAGTGCGCATCCGACCCTGATGCAAAGCAGAGTTATCCGCTGGAACCTGGGGAAGCAACGAAGCTTGCAGTTCCGGCAGTCTCCTATAAATACACATGTAACTGATCAAATGTAGAGAGATGTGAGGCATAGTCGCTTACTACCTCTTCTTCGGTGGCGGTGCGCTTGCCGCAGATTCCTCCTCGTCTGAGCTGCCATATGGTACCAAAGCACCTCTCTTCATGAAGAACACAAAGATATCTGAGGATAGAAAAAGTAAGCTAGTAATGGATGAGATATCCGCAGCCCTATTGCAATGATTTCAAGCGCAAGTAGCTCAGGTATTCTTGCAGGTATTCCGACTCAAGTTTTGTCTTCTCAGTTGAAACTTGAAAGTGTGGCTGACGCGTGAGTCACATTGAACGCGTCCTGTAACGGTCACACCGTATCACCCCAGTATCACACAGCCAAAGTATCTCGTGCCCAAGGCACATTTAAATGTTTCTTGATTTTCTGTGTGACAAGTTGTGCTTTTGCAATATTTCATTTTCATTCCGGGAACGAAACAGTCTCAGCCGATACATGAGCTTCACTGTTTTTTGAAGGCAGTGACAGCCTCATCACCTTTTCCGGCCTCTTTCTAGTACTGTTTGTCTCTTCCTTCATTCGGTCCTCAGCGTTGTCGTGAATCAACAAAGAGGGCCTCCTTGACCGCTCAATACGTGCGCTTCTTCCCAAGTGCCGTCGTTTGGTCTAGCCTACCCCAGATTCGGACACCACAGACCTACTGTAGAATGAGACCCAGGTGACTCGTTGCATCCCGTTGGATGAGACTCGAACTGAAACGTACCTCCCTCCTGCCTTTCCTCTGTCCATCGTTTGGAGTGCTAGATATCGCCAGTCTGTGTGGGTGCGAAAGGCGCTCTACTCTCACTGGTACGTGGCTCAGGGGACACTTATTGACGAGGCTCGCACGACGTAAATGTCAGGTTCGAAACACTGCAGTTCCCAGAAGGACTTCCATATTTTTGTCAAGCGTCTCAAGCTCACGTACAACGACGCGCGCACGGCGTTTACCAAGGGCATGGCTCTGCAAGGGTATTACATGGCCTTCTCCGGCAACGTGTCAAACTTGATGTTCAGCGCGCAGCAGCAGCAACCAATAAGAGCTCTACAGCCTGAGCTGCAACGTTTACCTCGCCGGCCTGGTGCTACAGCGGCCAATCAAGGTGCTCTGCGTCGGCATCCAGTGTCCGATCAGACTGACCCTCCTGCCGCTTCGACACCATTTCACTCGCCTACCCGACTTCACCTACTGCCCACTTCCTTCGTTCGCCTCGTCACCCAGGCAGAACGCGAACACGAGCTAAGTCAGACGATCCGACCCCTTCTGCTCATGAGAAAATGTCCTCGCAGGGGATGTTTGCAGATTAGTGACATTTCATCTGACCGTGCACGCCTCGTCGAAACAATAACGTTGTATCTGCAGCCTGAGAACTCCTTGAGTTGCCGCAGTGAGCCATCTGACGCAGTCGAGGAGTTGCACTGCCCAGTACATACGATTGTTAACTGGTCGCTATCAATATGATTAAGCTTAATATTGTCAGTTTGAAGATCTGAGAGAACCGGTTCACAGTAGGAGCCTACTAAGGAGGTTCGCGGGCTGAAGCTTGAACTTGAAAGAGATCGGAGATCTCCGAGAAATCGGGCAGCTCGGAGAGCATTTGATTGGTCCAACCTTGCTTGGCCGACGAGGCCGATCGCAAGATAATGAAATTTCCCACACGTGCTGATGAAAGTCTTAACGTTGTAACGTCTGCAGCCCGCCTTGCGGGAGCAATGAAACATCTTGTCTTCCGTTCTGCGGACCTCTGGTTATCTCTCGGAGATGTTCCTAGCCCAGCTTGCTTCAGGTAGTCTGAAGCTCCGACTGAAGTTGGAGAACTTGTTAACGACCACGCGCAGCTATATAAGACTGGCGCCCCTGGTCGCACACCCGTAGAGTTTATCTGCTTCACCTCTGTGATGTTGCATACTATCGATTCCTTTTTGCTTCTTGTTCCTGTGGTTATTGTCCTTTATTTCTTGTATACCCTCCTCCGACTTCTCGTCCGACAGGCTTCCTCCCCTCTCCGATACCTCCCTGGACCCCCTGCGCAATCTTTCTTTGTTGGAAATCTGCGCGAATTGCACGACCAAGAAAACAATAATATTATTCTACGCTGGGAGGCACAGTACGGCAGCACTTTTATTTATCACGGATTCCTCGGCGGGTGTCGGCTTATGACTACTGACCCTGTCGCGGTGGCATATGTTATGAATCGCGCGTACGAGTATCCCAAACCAGACTGGGTGAGAGCTGCTCTTGCCGGTATGGCCTCAGGGGACGACGGGTTGCTGACGGTGGACGGAGAGGTCCATCGCAAGCAGGTCAGTCACTCGTTGAATTTTGCTCTCATTCGTGTGTTTACTGCGCTCCGCTCCTTCTGCAGCGCAAAATACTTGTAAGACTCTCAGCATATTTTCCGTACTAGCCATTCATGCGAGTCCTTCCCTTGTCTTCAAGAACCCTGCATTCTCTTCCTCACATGTGAGACTATTAAATCCAGTATTCTGGGACACAGCCGTCAGGGTATGCTTGTACATCCTCCTATCGTGAATTTCGTCCGATGTTTTCATTGACGTCGTTCCCGCCCTCCCAGCTCCGAGATATATGGTTGGATATAATATCATTGCAACCTCAATCAAATCGTCTCCCCGACGTCTCAAATTCCTCGGCAGACTTACCGACAAGCACCAAGACCTCGACCGTTTCTTCTAATCATGTCACGGCCTCTACAACTTCTTTCCTTCTTCCTCAATGCTCCGCAAACTCCGAAGCGACACAGCGTACCCACTCGCAGAGCCGATCTCCGCGAATCAACGACCCGGTTTCGCCCATTTTACCGGCATCTCCAACGGTAGATGTCCTTCCATGGTTCGGACGCGCGACACTCGACATCATCGGCAAGGGAGGCTTCGGGTACGACATCGACTCGCTATCGACTGCAGCTCAATGCAACGCGGGGGAGCCCAACGAGAATGAGCTGGCACACGCGTTTAGCATAATTTTCAGCTCTGCGACCAAGCTCAGTGTCTTTGCCGTACTGCACGCGTGGTTCCCTGTGCTAAGGAACTTTGTGAGCCCGCAATTTTTATCTGCGATGTTCTTGACCTCTCCCTACGCGACCTTTCTGTGGCCCTGATGCCAAAACGACATACTTGTCGCGCTATCTATTCGTGTTCAATGATTCTTCCTTGCGTATGCTGATTCCGCCGTATCATAGCGTAGTAACAACTCCACTATGAAGCAGGCACACGCCACCATGCGCCGAATTGGGCTGTCTCTGATTGAGGAGCGACGAGCATCCATTACGGCCGACCCAGTCTCACAGCTAGTCGGAGGGACAGACGATTTGGATGATGATATGCCATTGTCAGGACAAGATCTTCTTAGCATTCTCAGTAAGTGCGGTCTATTACTATTTCATTAGCGATCTGGACGTCGCTGACTCTTCCCTTACAGTCCGATCCAACCTGTCCTCTGTCTCGTCTCAGCGGCTATCCCTCGAAGAGATACTCTGCCAAATTTCCACCTTCCTTTCAGCAGGTATGTCATTTTAGTATTCTTCTGATATTTGTCTCGTTGACACGGTGCACACTCATCCCAGGACACGAAACAACTGCGGCCGCACTGACATGGACGCTGTATGCTCTCGCACGCGCGTCCGACATACAAGCGACTCTTCGCAATCACCTTTGCACTGTTCCCACCCTACTCTCTGGTGATTCCTGTACTCCCCCGTCTTCCGCACTATTTGACGCGATCAACCGTCTCCCCTACCTCGACTACGTCGTGCGCGAGTCACTGCGCCTGCACTCACCAGTCGTCTCCACAATGCGTGTTGCCACATCGGACGACGTGATCCCTCTAGAGCGGCCATTGCGTGACCGCCGCGGCCATGTGTGCACAGAGGTCCGCGTGAAGCGGGGAGATCTCGTGAGCATCCCCCTCCAGGCGCCGAACAAGAGTAAGAGAGTGTGGGGCGAGGACGCAGAGGTGTTCCGTCCGGAGCGGTGGGAGGAGATGAGGGAGGAGATGAAGCAGGACACCTTGGATGGCAGGAAATCGATCCAGCCTGGCTTGTGGGGCAACATGTTGACGTTCGGGCACGGGCCCAGAGCATGCATCGGCTACCGCTTTGCTCTCAGCGAGTATGTACCTGATCTGTGTATCGTTAAGGCTGTTCTGACAGTGCGTTCGGTCCAGGATCAAAGTCTTCCTGTACGTACTACTCCGTGACCTAGAGTTCTCCATCGACTCGTCCATCGAAATTGAGAAGAAGATCAAGTACGTACTACTAATTCCCGTGGATGCATGTACTGACATGTTTTTTAATCTCAAACTTGACTGTCACATATATGGGTTGGCAAAAGCGTGGTCGCCCGTCCTTGCGTCAAATCTCAGCCAGACAATGGTAACCAGATGCCTCTGCGCATTCGCCGCGTTCACCCCTTCCCTTGTTAACCTGTCCAATATTCAATTGTGTACCTATATGGTACCTCTGATACCTAGATTCACAGAGGCGGTGTGTTAAGATATCGCACAAATGCGTGCAGGCAGTTCAAGAGCAATATATTTGCACGCTAGTGAAGCAGAACAGGACGGCTTGGCTCCAAAGAACAACGGCAGGAGTCAACAAAACATATCACCGGTATGTACATACGTGTCAGCGACCTGCGCTAAAACGGAGAAGAGAGTCAGCATAATTCAGATACAACAAGACACTGCATTTTAGTAAATTGAAAATATGTTCAGGGTCCTCAAGCGTATTATAGAGGGCCAGGGAATTTATCGTCCGCAAGATCCGACTGGTGCACAGCAAAATACTCATCACAAGAATTCGAATCGAACGCGATGCTTACCAAATAGATTGAAGTTCATTCTGGGTGCAAAAAACTCATGGGATGAGAGCCGCCGTTGATTTCGTGGAATGGGCTGATCATGAGCGAGAGGACGGAAATCGACTTCGACAAAACTTTCGCACACCTTTTATGGCATCCGTGGAGTTTGGTCGTATTTGTCGGCGGTGGCGCTCAAGTGCGTTGCTCGGCTTGACGAAAAGGTCATATATTGACATGGCCAGCGTAGTGACCAGGGTTCAGCGGGCCTACCGCCCGCCATTCGTTCCTTTCTCCCCGCGGCGGATACTGCAGGCGCGCAATTTCCACCAGACACCACTTGGTGAGTTTCCTCCGTAGCTTGTATGCTTTGCAAGTCTAACTGTTCTTTTACCTGCAGCGCTGAGGAAGAAGCAGAAAGGTTCGAAAGCCGACAGCGGGGACCTCTTTGGCTCGGATGACTCTGGGGAGTCCCTTTTCGGTCTAGATGATAGCTTTGGCAAGGATGCAGGTACTCCTGAAGGGGCAGGAGGCAGCTCTTCACAAAAATTGAGCCCGGAAGCGCGTTTGACACGCTTTAACGACACTCGCAAGTTCGTCTCTGATAGGATTGGGCGAAAGCCTGCTGTGAAGGTCCCGCAAGTACGAAATGCTACGTGGCAACATCTATTCGGCCTGGCGACGACGAAGGAGCAGATGGAGGGTATTGTGGAGATGTTCCCCCTGTGGAGAGACTCGAAGAGGAAATTCAATCCACAAAATGTTGAGCTATTCGTACGTGAGTAGTCGCATCCTTCACAAATTGTGCTCTACTCCAACTAAAGCTAATCCGCGACTCGCTTGCAGGCCGGTGCGAGGAGCTGAAATGCCCGACACTTGCTCTCCAGGTCTTCAGCGACCATCCCAAGTATGGTTTCGACCTGTCGTCTCTTACCGCAGCCCGCCGCCTGCTCCATTCCTTGCATGTCGAGCACCCTTTACAATATACTATCACTCTTTCCGCACTCTTCCGCGTCTACAAGCTACCTGTCGTCTCGTCCGATCTCCTTTCTTGCGCGATGCTCACGTCAGCATGCTTCAAGCACGGCACACATCAGTCGCTCGCTATCGCGAGCGAGATGGTCCCGCATCTGATGACCCTTCTGGAGAAGGTCGAGCCGGAAACGATGCAGCTGCCGCGCGAGAGCATGGAGCGCGCAAAGGAGTCCGGGAAGGAGAAGGCATGGCTCGCGTGGACGCTCAACAAGATCGAGAAGGCGCTGCAAACAAAAGGCCAGGATCATGCTTGGTTGAGCCAGTGGCGGCAGGCTAGCGGACATGCGCAATTATCGTCGTGATACTGTGTCTACCAATGACATTTTTCTACGCTGGGTGCTAACGACGGATTTTTGAAATTCAAACAATGGCGCATTCGTTACCTCAATATCAGAATCCAGACACCAGGTATATTACTAGTGGAATTACAACGAAACAATCCCAGATGTGACAAGATTAGCAAACAGATAATTCCGGAGGAGTGAGACGCCGCGGATTTCAACCAAGGGACCCGGGGTATCTATCTACTATGGAGAGCTGAGCGACTGTGGAGAGCATGAACGACTGTGCTACAAGAACAAAACTGTCACTGCATGATAGCATGATAAGTTACGTGCAAAACAGCGCCGGCGCGGGCTACGACTTTTCCCAGCTCGCACGGCGCGTCCACTGTTTGCTTTGCCACTTCTTCAGAATCGCTGTTACCGGCGCGTCCACCCGCTCGATGGCGACGTCGTCGTTCAGACACAGTAGGGCAATGTCCGACTTCGCATCGATCCGGTTTAGCACTGCCGTCAGCTGCTTAGGACTGGTGATGCGTTCAAATAATGAAGGGGTCTCTCCTATAGCAGGGACGCAAGTTCAGCGCGGCATCTAGGTCAGGAGAATACTGACGGACCTATCATGTATCGGTAGCGCTGCAGGAGTTGTAAGGCCCAGTCTTTGACACTGCTCGTCCGCGTCGTGTTCATAACTGCACGAAGGCTGAAGTCGCCGTTCTGCCAGTCAGCGACCAGCGGTAAATGTGGGACTTTCGCAGGCTGATCTCCACCGTCACCGTCTTGCAACGAGGCTGGCAGTGTACGCTCCTGCGATGGCAGGAATTTCGACAGCCCGATGCTGCCGCTCGCATGTACGAGCGCCATGATTGCTTGTCATCCCAGTCAGCTTAAGATGCATTCATGGATTACGACGCCAACCTACCACAATCCCCGCATCTGGGTTTCCGGAAAGCTAGATTCATGAACATTCCGCTAGCAGTAGTCGTGCTGTTCCTAAACCCCTCGTTGGTCGTGAAGCAGTCCTGGTATGAGATCCTGCAACTCGGAAGGTCTCCAGGTCCTGTATCTCTGGCCATTGACGGCCATCTTGGCTGGCCGCTGGTCCCCAACGTCGTGTAAGGATAACCGTCCAGAGAAGCTACCAAAAAATTGGATCACCGAACAAACAGGAGGGGTAGATTTCTCAAACTCACAGAAGACATACGTCGTCTTACCCTGCCCTTTATGCCCACTCTCCTTCAGGAACTTCTCTACTCTCGACTTCTCTAACGTATCCCTGTACTCAGTCTGGACAAGAAGACCCTTATCCTCCAGTCCACCGCCCAGTTCCGCCCAGGCGAGCGACGCCTCCCGCTCTCCCCATTCGTCTTCCAAGCCTCCGACGCGCCCAACAATCCAGCTCCACAGCAATGCCTCGCGAGCACGCTCGACGACGAAATGCGATAGTAAGAACATTGTGTTCACGTCACCGTCACCACCCTGCGTCTCGCGGAATGCGTGCGTCGCCGTCAGCGCAAACTGCCCGGGCCACATAAGCGCCATTTCGTGCAGCAATGGCACGGATGCCGTCTTCGCCTCATGCACCACGTACGGACGGTAGCGGATGCCAAACCTCGTCCCTGGAGAACGATCAAACACACATTGAAGAGCTGCGAAGACCTACATACCAAGCATTGTGTTAGTTAGGCCCATACTCTTCCATTCTCCTTGTGTTCTCGGGTGCGGCTTCGTTGGGGGAACAAGGAGGTTGGATTGCAGATGCAAAACAACGCCGTATGCCGACGTATAGAAGCTCGTGTGCGTCATTGGGTTCATCATGAAGAGATCGTCATTCTGAGAATGTCAGCTGGACAAGTCAAGTTCAGGCGAAGCTGGCTGACCATATAGATGCTGCAATGAAGTCAGGATTAAATTCAGCGCACCGGACTGGGTTAACGCACAAATTCTCGGAGATATCTTGTAAATGAGTTAATTGCGACTCGATGGCCAGACTTCGAGAATCAGTGGGAGTATAAAAAACAGACATTTTGACTCACCTATTGAAATTGGTACCCTCGTAAGGGGTGAATATTTCGGCATGGTGTTTAAGAGACAGCGCTACACTTCCGTCCTTCCAGACTGAGTCTGTTCGTTTATCCAGGTCCAGCCATTGTGGGATCTGTCCCAGGCGCCATGAATCGGACAGCGTGTAATTGATAGTAGAGTCAACAGTGTTGGATGTGGAGTTAGTGGCGTTGGTAGGAGCAGGAGTACGAGGCACGGGAAAGTCGGCTGTTAGGACGTGAAATCGGGTCGTGTATCCGCGGAAGTGCTGCAGAACCGAACGGAGCGAATGTCTCAGCTCATCGTGGTCCCTGGTGCCGTTTCAACGAATGTATAGGAGCGTGCAGCGATAATTCGCACCTATACAGCCTCGCCTGTGACGATGCATCTATCATAGGTCGGTACGGGTCTTTCCTTTCGTAGCGTTCCTGTGCACTCGATTTTGCGCGCTGTAGGAGTGGATCAGATCCGTTCACCCATGTCCAAAGCACGTCAATTGGTTGTATCTCCTTTTCGTAGCATATTTCTCCCAGAGCAAAATGTGCGTCGAGACAAGAAATCGGAAGTCCGCGCACAGGCTTGAGGCGTGCTGATAAGCTGGAGCCTTTGGGAATTTCGAGAGGCAAATATGCCAGCAAGTCCACCGAAGGACTCAAAATATCCAGCCCCGCACCCTCTATGTCAAATTCCTTGAGAGTGTACCGCAGCAAGACGAACAAGACGAGAAGAGAGGTGGTCAGTAGCCCGGCGAAGACGGCCCGTCGCCTCAATGCGCCCAGGGCGGTGAAAGCAACGATCTTGCTACTGCTTCCATGGAAGGGGACTCGAGTGACGGGTAGGTAGGATGCAGAACTCATAGTAGGGACATGGAGAGGAAAGAGGTTTGCATCGTGTGCAGTTCTCGCAGTGGCAGAGCGAATACAGAATAGGCATCAGGCACACAGTTACAAAAATAACCTGCTCAAAAGAGACCAGAGAGTAGCTATACAAGCAAAGTCCAGCGTTGGTCGGAAGCAATGCATAGATGATATACGGGACAGTTGCTCTCGTAGGAGAGTACAAGTCAACGATCCCACTCCAACCCAAACAGACCACCGCGAATCGTGCAACGCCAAGGCCGATCACCCCCGTCGCCAAGCACACGGTCATCCACAACGAACCCGTTCTCAGACGCAGCAATAAAAACATCGTCGAGAACGATTGTCTCCATAGATTCGTTTATCACCACAGGCACAGAGCGGTGGTCCACATCAGGTGAGACGGTGAATATAACATTGCACGTTTTGCGGGGAGCAGACGTCTTCGAGTCCACTAGATATCGCGCTAGGGTATCTGGAGAGAACTCCGCCGGAAGACGGTATATCTAGTGCAAAGTAGAGTTCAGTAATACATTCTCAGAAGGAGTGCAGCGAGAACATACCTGAACCGGCGTACCCTCTGAAGGCGCAGTATCACTCCCGAGGGCAAGCGTGCCACGGGATGGATCACCAGACATGATAGTAAAGAGCTGGTGCAACTGCACAATGCCGTTAGAAACCCGGGGTTAACGACGATTGAGAGCTTTACTTCATATTGTTCGCCCACTCTGCGGAGAGCAGCGAGATAATACTGGTCATCTTTCATGTTCGCATCCGGAGCTCTTACAGTGACACGCCTTGACGCGCTGCCACTCTTCTCGATAGCGGACAGAAGTAAGCGGGAAGGATTGGTATTGTCGAGTGAGTGTACCAGATTGCCTTTTGAACTAGTAATGTACGTCAGTTTTTGCAAAACAGTCAGACCGATAAGCCATCTGTGGGCAGTATACCTCGTTACCGTGAGAGGCTCTGTTAACTTTTGTAGACCCGGAAATTCAACATATGAACGTGGCCTGGCAGACGAGGCGAGGTAAAGGCCCACTGCCCCAGAGGAATAAATAGATGTCCCATGGAAGAGCGTAAACGGCCGGCCAGTGACAAAAGGAGTCGACGAAGCAATCAGGCCTACCTTCAATGCAACAGCGTAAATTCAAAGACAAAGTGATGCATAGAACTCGGGTCACGGACTTTGGTAGCAGAACCAAGAGTGTGAAGGGCGTTGGAAAGTCCTTCTGGAGCACCGTCAGAGAAATAGACAATTGTGCCCACTGCTTCATGACTATTCATGGCGTCAATGGGAGCACTGGTCAGTACCACAAATAACGCACTCCTGGGTTGGGATTTCGGGGGGAAGGAAACCACGTCCGAGTTTCCTGGACCAAATATCATCCCAATTTATGTTGGCTGTATCACCAAGCTCATCATCAGCGTCTTCGCTTCTCTTGCGGAACGAATGCCAGCGACCGACTTGAGGAGTATTTATACCGGGAATCGTGCTCCGAAACGGCGTAGCCATACTTTTGTCAAATAAAGCGACAGAACACGCGATACTCTCTTGCCATGTAGGATCTGTCGAAGGAATGGAAGCTGAAAGACACCCGATGCCATGACTAGACTGCGATGTTAGATGGGAAACGAGAGCGGAGAGTTCGTCTGCTTTCGTATTAGGTGAGACAGAGATGGAAAACAATGGGATATGTGAGGACAAGGCAGGTCGGATATACGAGAGCTGTGAGAGAATGTCGGATGCCGTGCGAGATATTATCGTGCTCATGTGCAACGCCATGGTTCACTCAAAATCTGTGCCCGAACGAAATTCTGCTATTCAATTCACAACTGGACGACATTCAAGGATGTAGGTAAGTATCTCGTTGTCTGTCTAGCAAGAGTAGGAGACAGAGTGATGCCGACTCACCGTGACAGATCAACGCTTCGGCCAACTCAAGCCTCTGTGACACGAACTGGCCGTGCAGGATAAACTGCGGATCGCCGAAAGATACCTTGCAACACGACTGCAAATGCGTGGTTGCAATGCGCAAGCCCTGGCCGCACCCGAATTCGAAGTTTGGATCACATGATTTCGACGCGTTTCGCGTTCGCGTACGTATAGGGTATGTAACGTTGTTCGGGAAACTGGCGCGTCTCGCGTTCACGCCTGGGCGCGTCCCAGGGGCACAAAACCATCAGGAACTAACTCTCTTCTCCATTATAAAACCAGGTCAGAATATTTGCGTGCAATCACTACTGTGTATACGCCGAAGTAGATGGTGCGGAAGCGTTCTATAAGTATAATAAGGCAATGATCGAATCTAGAGTAAAAAGCCTAAGTTCGTGAAGCAATTTCTGTATCGAAGTGATCGCGTAGCATAGACACTCACATTCTGAACATCACGTTTAAGTTTGACAACATCTACGCAAATTCATGAATTATTAACTGGTCATATTAAAAAATCGGCAATAAATACGTTACCTCCTCCCACACAACTGGAGGCACCGCTGAATGACCAATACGCCACGAAAGCGTGAAGGTGGAAAAAATTGGAGTAGAAGCACTACTACGAGCAGCGTCCTTGCGAACGCACCCGTCGCACGGTGTCCATGCAGCGCACTCTCGAAGGTAGCCGGACCATGCTACCTCCCCCCGCCAGCGACACCACTGACTACCGCGCGCGTTCCCTCGACCCTGCTCCATCATACTTCTCCTAGTGCCCAAGGGCTTCGGAGTTTCCGTCCACTCGTCCCTGTCGCCCGTATTACGTGTCTGTACCCTCTCGGGCGACGACATGCTCATACGTGGCGGAGGCAGACGCCTCCCAGACACAGTCCGTCTTCCGAGACTGCGCAATATCTTCTCGTGGACCAATGGCCACGCATCTGTCCTGCTCGCCGCCTTCAAACTGCTCATCTAGCCCGCATCGTCTTCCTGTATGTACGCACCGATTAGCACTCACAAACCGTCCGGTGTCCAACCGTAACCCCTAGCCAGAGGACCTACACATCACCCTCCTGATCCCTGGCGCCTTGGCCAGATGAGCCTCCGCGAGGGAACGGCCCTCACTGGCTGATTACACAGCCAGGCATATCCACCATGTGGTATACGCGCAACTGCCGCCGGTCTCGAGAACGAATCTCTGTGCAATAACCCGAAAGAATCACACTCCGGCAGACAGTGGAGGAATCTAGCCACCAGCGAGGAGTCCTTTGCGAAGATCTGGGCAAGGGAAGAAACCCGGATGAGCGGTACCAGTCCCCCTGGATCATTGGGGCTACAGTGAAAGAAACACAGGCAGCGAGGAGCTCTCTGAGCTATTCAATGCATGGAAGAGCGAGAACGAAACCAGGAAAGCGAGCTCGAGGAGACAGGTCTCCGCAAGAGCTAGATGGCAAAAACACACACAGCTACATCCAACCGACCGAGACGTCTGGGTGAGGCACTGACGCAAGCCCGACGCACCACAACATGCCACATACAAGTATCAGAGCAACGAAAACAGAGTGGGGATCGAGCTACTAGCGCGCGGAGGGCGATTGCAGTTGGCCTTCCTGTACTGGAAGGACCAGAGTTGGGGGCGGCCAGACAGACACAAAGGAACCATACTTGCGGCAGTCGACCCACCGCTGTACACCCGTTCCCCCTACCGTGCGTGGCTTCTAGGCCAAACACACTCTCACACCGGTGCCCCGCAATCTCTCGGAGTCACAACCAAATAATCACTCACCACGCCTTCCTGTGCGATCCTGTACGTCCCGACATAGCACACGCACTTTGTGATCCAACGCCTGCGAACCACGTAACCAGGTGATTGTGCAGCGCCAGCCGACGCTTCCAGGTCCTGCCTTTGCGTCCCTGCCACAGCCAGCTACAGCAGCGAGGGATATCAGGTAGCCTGCGGCGAGCAAAATCTACCAAAATTCGCCGGGGGTGAGCGACGCCCGTATCCCGGCCCTGTAGTCAGGACGAACGCCGCTCCGGATGGTGAGTCAGAGACCCAGGCTACTTGCGTCCGGTACGGAAAGCTCGTTCGGGGAAGGATTAGAAATGCTTGTTGGTCCAGCGCTTCCGCAGCTTGGAGCATCTAAGCACAAGTTTCCAGCAGAAGGGAACAATATGGGCAAAGACAACCTATGAGGTCGGTTCGTGACCCATCCGCGTAGCAGCATCCGCAGTAAACTCGCAGTCGGAATGTGCGTGACTCGTTCGCCCTCCAAAACATATCCAATTAGGTCCCGCGACGCTTCTCTGGTGTCCACCCCGGAATCGCAAACCTCCAAGATGCAAGATCTCGCGCGTGCCGATGCTACCTTCCTGCTCTGACGCTCACAGGGCCATCCACGTGGGGAAGCGCACGTTCAGCCTCACAGGGCACAAACATGGTTTCCTGTGCGTGACGGGAAATTTTGCCCAGGAGAGACAACTCGGGATCCCGAGGTAGCACTAGCGGAGATCTGTGCGTGGCATCCGGAAGGATCAGTCGACTGTGGCACGGGTAGGGCACACTTTCCGGAGATGCGATAAGGAGTGGCTTTGGAGGGGTCATGACGAGCAATATATTCTCCGACTGCTGATGCATAATCCAACTACGCGCAGTCCTGCTAGATCCAGACGCTCGATAGATGCACCCTCGCGTAAAGAAGTTCTGGCCTCGTCCACAGCGACATTGCTCGAGTCGTCGCACCAGACATAATATCCTTCCCTAAAGCAAAATAGAGACGCGAAGTAGCCCAAAAAGCACTTAGGGTTAGATTCCACTCTGGTTGGGAGTGCAATGTGTTGGCTGGAGGCGGCATCGAAGTATTGGCAAAGCGCGTGTGCAGTGTCGCGGACAGGGGCCTGGAGCATTGAGGGCCATCGGAAGGTCGTGGGTGAGCGGGTGAAACATGGGTTGGGAGATGTGCGTCGATGTGAAATGAGAGCGTGAACGCCGACACAAGGTCAACAGCAAGTTCCAAGCGCGGAGTTTCGTCAATTTTATCCCAGAGCCACGGCGCGTCAATATGGCACAACAAAGCCACTCACGTGATCGCGCTTTAAGGGTCAGTGTCTGCGATCCTGGGTAGTCTGTTTTCTGACGCGCCTCCTTGTCGAGAGGTCGGACAATTTAGACGGAGCTGGAAATACACTAGTTCTCAATAGTGCGGAGTATCAACAATCTGTAATACCACGTGACCCGGCTCGGTGGTAAGCTCCACCACACTTAAGAGTCTCCGTGCGCACAACGTATTCCTTTGCCTGACAGTCCGACTTACCTATGGCGCAGTCTTACAGTGTCCTGCCGCCAAACTCTCCCACTGTCTCTATCGATAAGACGCAAATGGCCCACCTCGAAGCCATCTTGAAGGAAATTCAGCGACGGCGATTCAGCCTCGGCTCTTTCCTGCAGGCACTCTTCACCGAACCGAAACGCGGGGATAAGAACAATTCTCAAGTTCGCATACAGATGGTTTCTCATTTCCTCTCTGATCGTTCTGCTGTGCAAGCCCACGATATTGTGGAACTCATGTTCACGAGTAGACATAGTGCGCTGACACCTGTCCGCAACAATGTCCGGAGGGAGTCCGCAAATGGCTCACCTGCAGAAGAGTCCACTACGGGTTCCCAACTCACTAGTCAGGTGGTCCGTGGCGAAGGAAAGGCCATGGCGAGAAAGCGGCTGCAGGAGTGGGCGATAGGAAAGGTGGAAGAAATACTTGACTGTGAGGCTGCGGAAGTCTCTGCCAAAGGTGGCGGGTTCCATTTGAAGGACAAGGACGCTACATGGGAATTTGTTCTGAATTTTTCAATGCAGAAAATGATGTCCTTGTATGAGAGCAAGGCTCCGACCATTGTACGCCTGCTGATTGCTTGTGCAATACCTTCCGAAGCACGGCCTGTGATTTCACCAGAACGAGTAACCTCTTCAATACCCCATGAACAAAATCAGAGCTCTGCTGTGAACCTGCCTGTGTCATATGCCGATTATCTAATGCGAAATGCCCCGTCAGGCAGAGGAAAGAACCGCAAGGACCCTCTCGTCGTGAGTCTACTATCACATCATTTTTGAAGTGGTTTGAATGCTGAAGCTGTTCAGACTGTTCTCACTGCATGCCTTCTACTCATGAGTGCTCGGAATCTGCATTCGACTGCATTTCGTAAAGTGGTTGGAGTGTGGCTGTTCGCACACACCGCTCATCATGGCCTGTACTCTATCCTCAGTCGCCTTGGATTTAGTGTCTCTTATACCTCTGTGCTCAAGCTACTGCGCAGGCTTGCCGTATCTGCAAAAGAGGTTATACAGCGAAAGTCGACTTCCCGTGCTTTCCTTCTAATCTATGACAACATCAATCGTATGAAGCGTGCCTGGGATCCCGATCTGGGCCAAAAGGATGCAATTCACAATGGTACTGCAGCGACGTATGTGGAGCTTGAGGACTGTGATGTGGAGAAGGCATTCGACGTCAAGGCTCTGCGGGAGTCGCAGCAGCAAGAGCGGCGGAAGCAGCTTGATCTTGGAGTACTCTACAAACGCATCAATTGGATGAAATTGAATGCGACGATGGCAACACACATTCTAGCAATCCTGATCGAAGCAATACCTGCTCTATCGGTCCATCTTCCACTCCTACGCATTCGCTTCGAGACCACATTGATGATACACCGGATGCGCAAGGGTCGGAAGACAGGTCTATATCCAATGGCAACATCAGACTACAACGAAGGTAACACCGCGGAGAATGCGAAGGTGTTGGAAGACCTGCTAGTGGAGCAACTGGGAATGCCGAAGGAGGAAATTGAGAAGATGTTGGTTATCATTGGTGGAGATCAATCAACAGTGGAGAAGCTCCAGACGCTCAAGAGATATGTCACCACCTGTCCCCATGGTTATTCACGTCATGGTTGGGTGCTTCCCTTGATTCAGCTATGGCACATGGGTTGGGCTGATCTCGAGCGTGTCCTTAATACCCATTGGGGCGTTTCTACTGCTGATGATCTTTCCTCATTCCGTTCAGCAAATGTGCTATTGGGACGGAAGGTGAAGGATCAGAGGCGACCAGACTACTACCCAACACAACGCCTCATTTTCGACACATTAAGAGCAGAGGTACTTGATTGCTGGCGGTGTGTGACCTATCGCTGTATTGTCTCCAGTGACATGAACTCACAACCCATACTTTTGGCATGTAGAATTGAATTAGATGTTGCCGATCTTCACGAACATTTTCACCCCCAGGCCAGTTCATTCGAAGACTTGTTGAAGCACGCAAACAATATTTTTGACCGTTACCTGACTGTTGATGGATACACCCATGCACTAGACCCTATGGAGGACCCTCAGGGTGTCTTTGCCACCGGTGATCCCTGGGCGGCACATGCGGAAGGAGATACAGAGACAGGAAATAGCGGACCTTCCTTTAGAGGTGACCAGGTGCTTGCGAACACAATTTTACGGATGCGAGACAGTATGCTCCACTACGAATTCCAGTGTGCAATTGCGGAGGGAGATATAGGACGTGCAATGAATGTAATGTCGGTGAGTTATACTATTCACACCCGATGCCAGAGTAGCCTGCTGACTACAGCCAGGTATGGACATTTACCTTCGCAGGTTCTGGGAAAAGTAAGTACACCAATGAGTTGCTTGAATTGACCTGCAATTTCGAGTTTGAATACTCCGATGAGTTGAAGAAAGCAATCTTGAACAATTGGCTCTGCAATCTGTCAGGGATCGAAGGTTGCTGGTTTCCAATGGATCTCATGCAAGAGAAGAATATCAAGCAGCTCAAGAAGATGTCTCAACGAGCAGACGTGACATTTGGAGGTCCATTCTTTCGCGATGTCATTGCTCTGAATATTCGGGCATTCCTCGAATCCATGGCATCCATGAAGGCGGGTGTTCGCCTGTTAGACCACGGTGGCTCTCATCGGCGCGATCAGAAAGAAGCCGCAATGAAGGAGCTTGCCCGACACATTGCAGAACAGGGTTTGCATCGCTTCCGAGTGGGTCGCACATCGACACATGCAGCGCAAGATGATTTCGAAGTTGGTTATCAGCGTCTGGTTGACGGAAAACGCATCAAAGACTTTGTTGCGAGAACATTGCGAGATGCAGGTGCAATTCATGGTGACGAGGATCTTGATACGAATGCGGTGGCCAGTAATCCTGACATCACCAGTGGACGAGAGGACTCCGACATACCATCACTACCAAGTGTGCTCGTTAATGGGCAGCTGATTCACGGGGCCGCTGAACTGGAACAAGACCATGAAGAATACCTATTATGGGACAGCGATGACAGTACGACCGAGTCGGAGTCAGGCGACGAATCTAGTTAGTTGTAGCCAAATGTAAGTGTATTAAAGTCCAATATCGCCTCACTATTGCACGCCTGACAGCCTCTTAGAGCGGCGCACAGCAGTGGAGGGACTTGGAAGAGGGTCCCTATTTTCCTTTCCAATACGTGTGTCATAAGTACTTTTGATGCACATCTGTCATACCCATGTCAGTCATGACAGGACCTCGGAAAATAGCCTGACCAACCCTTATGCTTTCACGGACAAATTTGGCCGAAAAATACGCTCAACTCTTATCCAATCCAGACAAATCGGACCAAATTCTGCTCGAAGCCTTATGCCTCAGTCCAGACAAGCGTGGGGGGTTGAACCCTAACCCTTATACCTCGGTCCGACCATGAGCCGCTCGTTTGACAGCGCTGAGCGCCTAGCGATCGTTTCCTGCGCGCTTAGCGATCGTTTCCCGTGCTCCGAGTTGCTCGTCAACTGTACCCTTCAAATACTTAGTCCTATCCTACGGCTTTCGTTCACTGACTTCTAATATAGAGCTCCGACATGTTCGTCCGCTGGCTACAAAATCTGAAGATTCTCAATTCCGCGGTGCTGGAACTCCAGAAGTTGAGGCGCAGGGGTACCAAGGAGATAGGTGATGCAACGGGCTAGTTTCTCAGAGCTTTCCTCTCGCAGTTGGCGTAGTACAGCATACAATATGATTTCTTAGAGCCTTATCCGGCCGTCCGGACAAAAATTGAGATTTTCGAAGCCTTATCTATCGATCCGGACAAAAAGTCGGTTCACAGAACCCATATGCCCAATCCAGACATATTATCATAAAACCGCTGGACCCTCACGATTTCACGGACAAAAACCTCGAATTTTGGGTTTCGGCGCTTAGACATTTTGACCTCTCCTGGATAAGGGTTATTTGGCGTATTTTCCGAGGTCCTGTCATGACTCGCGCATTTGAGCGACCCCATGCTCGTCACACTCACCGTGGAAGGGTGCGCCGTTCGCTGGCGTTTTTTGACGGACTCATTGCCCTCATCTGAAGGTGCGCCTCGCTTTGATGGAACTCGAGAAGAATTGTAGAATCGCTCGGGCGGCACGGACTCCAGTAACTGCCGTGCTGTAGAGTTCTCCGATGTTCTCCTGCCAGTCAATTGAGTGTCCTGGCTTGTAGCTGTGACCTTCAACGTCACCCGCTTCACGGCGTCGAGACCCAGCGTAACGAGTTCAGAGTGAACTCTCTCTTCCTCCATGTGCTCTGCCTCCTCGCGCCTCTCCTCACGCTTCATCTGTGCAGTGGCGCGACGCTTAGCCAGGGACTCTTCGTGTCGTTCTGTCAGCACCTCGCGCATCTCATCACCAATAATTTTCACAGCCTCCCACAACGCGCCTCCAAAGCTGTCCCAGTACCGCCATCTTTTCAACCGTTGTGCGAGAACATCCCTTGTAAGCACTAGATGGAAGTCTTGAGTGATTGCCTTCAGGTGAGTGTCGTCAAGAAAGCACCGCATACTGATGAACATGCGATCAATGGTGGGAGGTCCGTTCGAACGGATCCGACGTGCGGCTTTCAACAGCAGCCTGCGAACTTCTTCCCCATCTTTAATGGTGAGCTTCAAATATCCAGGTATTTTTGGGTCATCTGAAGTGGACGATAGGTCCGCTGCAGTTCCCGAACTCGAGGACGGAACCCCTGGGGAATCAACGTCTTCCGCAAGTGGTCGGGGTGGAGGAATCGGACGTGGTGAACAGGTGCTGCATCGCCCGCAATCATGCAAGATGCCTGGATTGCCGTAAATCATATTGATTTGACGTGTGATGCAGTATCCACGCGCATGGGCAGCTATGATCAAGAGACGTGCAGTACAAGTCCTTTTACCAGGTGCCGCCATTGCTGCTTTCTTGGTGCTGGTACGAGAACGTGGATGGGTACCCTTCTTTGTAGCGCCTACCCCGACACCTGCTCCCGCCACCTTCGAGTGCGTGTTCATGTCCGGTGAGACTGTCTCTTATCCAATGGGCATGAGGCCTTTGTCCTCGTTCTTATCCAATGCCTCGCCACAATCTTCTCGACCCTCAGTGTTTGAGTTATCCACATCAGTGTCCAACGCGGGGCCTCCACCTGCGCCTCCCGCATCACCACTTGTGTCGCGTTCCCTCAGCAACCGCTCATCGAGAGGCTCTGCCTTCACATATGCTAGTGCCGCATCAATATCCGACTTTTTGATATAGAAGATCGCCTCTCCAGTTGTGTTCGGCTCCCGTGCAGATCGCCCTCCTTCTTGGATCCACGCTGACGCACTCTGGTTCCCTGCATAGCTGACGATACGACGGAGACCTGGTATATCGATGCCCACCTCGAGCACTGCAGTGGCCACAAATATCGCACCCTGCCGCTCTGATCCACATTTGTAGAGTGCCGCGAAACCCTCGCGCTTACACTCTGGGCAATTCATAGAATGCATGTGACGTACTATGATGTGACCGACTGGTTTTAGAGCGGGAGGGAGGAGGCTGCGCAGGTAACATGCGACGCGATGTCCTTGCTCTATTGTGTCGCAATAGAGCACCTGCTTCTCCACATCTGAGGCCTTGGTCATGTCCTCGGGGATCATCCAGTCTAGGTCCCGGAATTCATGGCCAGATGAGGGGTACTGGATGGTCCGGAAGATGAAGTCCACATTGCGGCGCTCGCAGTCGCGCTTGTCAAGGTAATAGTATCCGTCTCGAAAACCAAGCGACCGGAGAATGCTGGTCATCTGACGTCCGGGTTCAACACTGGCAGAGAGGGCGACAAAAACAAGGTGCTCGGGGCCACGCGAACGTAGCGACCAGATATCCGAATATGCTGTCCGGAAGTCGGCCCCCCATTCATCGACTTTATGAGATTCATCCGTCACCAAAACACCCCAACGCGAGCGGAAGCGACGGTCTTGTATGAGTTTGTCAAACGCCGCCGTTCGCAATGTCTCGGGCGAGAAAGTCAGGACCTGGAATTGACAATCTCTAGCCTCCTTCCACAGATCACGGCCGGCTCTCAAGGCTTGTGTCAGACTGTCTGCGTTGATCACCGCGGAGGTCAGGCCTCGAGTGGTGAGATTTGAAGCCTGTGGTCATGAAGAGTTATTGATACAACCAAAGGCAGGAACATCTCGCACCAGATCACTTTCCAGGAAATTAGTTGGCTCAATCACTATCACTATCATGTCTTTCCGAGCCAAAACGGGGATGTAAATAAGGGCAGACTTTCCATCACCAGTAGCCGTGATACAGAATACATCTCGACCACTCAGGATGCAAGCCGAGTCGTACAGTTGGAACTCCCGAGGTTCATAATTGAGAGACGGCGTGACGACATGCTTTAATTTATCGAGACCTTGAGGTGAAGTCCAATCATAAGGTATTCTCTTGGACCAGTCAAGAGATGGCGGAACAGTGGACATCCCAGAGTTAAATACGAGCGAATAAATACATCAGCCAAGCTGTGGCACGGTCGCAGCGCACTAGGGAAAGCAACGAGAGACTCTCGCGATGCGGGCGCTAACGCGTGTAAACAGACGCGTCTTGGAAATTATGGTCTATTTGTACAAGCACATGACCTGCCGGGTCGGCAGTTACAACCGGCAATCGACCTCCTACTAAGAGCCCGTAATAGAAAGCAGACGTCAGACACGGATATCCGAGGTACGAGGTTGAAGCAGAGTGTCTACCATCTGCCCTCGGGAGACTAATCCTGGGATCGCCTGCCTCTTGGTCGAGCCTGTCATAAAGTACCCCAATAATTATTCCCTTTTGGGAGAAAGCCATATGTTATCCTTCATCAAGTTTCACTCAATTTCAGAGACCTCTACAACGCTATGCACGTTACTACTACCTCATTATTTGAATGTGTTACTGTTTTCACGCTGGTCATACGTCTGTTACCCTGCTTTCTGCGACTCGCTTCGCTTCGGCATGGCGTAGTTATCTGTCAGCGCACAGACAAAGCTACTCTTTCTGTGCGCTCTTTCCCATGTTTTGTCTGCCGCTGTTCGACACGATGGTTCTTTCGTCGATACGTTCTCACTCTCCTGGTCATTACTTGCGAAATCTCTTCCGTGCATTATATATCGACTCGACGTATCACGTAGCCTACCATATGACAAACGTACAAACGTACTGGTATATGTTTCGCGATCAAGACCGACTTCACTCAGCAACTTCCAGATGAGAATCTGCTTGACCGTATGCTGCGCCCGCTCATAGCTCACACACGAAACCTTTCAATGATCGTGGAGGCTATCTTTGTCGGCGTCCAAAGCTCTGCGAAAGAGACCTTGTCAGGTATACCGCGGAGAGCAAACGGCTCACTGTGCCTAGAGATAGCTTTCCGGTCGTAAGAAGTGCTTCAGCTGATCGAACGCAGAACATAGAAGGAAGCAGAACATGCTGTCATAATGTGGGACCTCCCACCCCATGTATGTGTAAGTGAGTAAGTGAGAAGTCTTCTCTGGGAGGTTGTGCAGGGATCAGCCTGCCATGTGTTAACGACCTCTCTGCCCCTGGAACGAGAAACTGCGCAAATGTTTGCGCACGGGAATCAAGCCTCGGGTACGAGATCCAAATTTGCCCCGCGTCTTGAGATGACAGTCGCTTGGATAGTATCATAATCTAATTGACGAACCGTGCGCAGTTCCTGGGCCGTCCACACCAACGCGCCAACTGGCAAGTACCGACGCACCTCGGGACCGTAAACTTCATCTTCGGCTTCGAATTCATAGGTCCAATCAAGAGGGGCAGAATTCTATCGTAGTCATCTATTGGCTGTTGTGAATGCTTTACGGGAAGCCAGATGGGTTCCCTTTTGCTTTTGCTCATCAGCACATTTCATCCGTGTCCGACGGCCCGAATAGATCTGCCCTGACTATTCCAGGAGGTCAATGAATTGACTGGAGCGCAGCGAAGAGGTAGACGCGAAGGCTAAAGGCGTGAACAGAATGCTAACTGTTGCGAACTGTCGCAATCATGATGGTCGCGTGAGGGGGACGCCGCGTCGTAATGGGAGAAAGCAAGTTGCCACAGTGGACTGGCGCCCCGATGCGCATGCGTTTGAACTGCTCGAAAGTCATCTGAGATGTACACCGCCGCTGCTACCCATTTCATCTCTCTCTACGCTATCACTTCACATCTACTGAATTACATATCCGGTTCGAGATTTGTCCCGGAGGTTTACGTTTCTGTGGGCTTCCACCTGGAGATAAAGTAGATGGCCTCGTCCCCGACAACCCCAGATCGTACGTTCCTCGTATCAATGTCTCAAGCATCCGCGTTCATACACGAGCCCATTCTACCAGCATCCCTGAGCAGGCCTCTTAACCCGATTAGTAAACCCCCGAGGCTCTTTCATTCCCTGTCTCAGGAACAGAACTCTGTTCTGAGCCTTGCCGCCGACGCCGAGCATATCTACAGCGGAAGTCAGGGAGAGGTCATCTCTGTCAGTCGTGTTTCGACCTGAGATGATGTCAGGTACTGACTGGTGCGGAACGTCGCGTTCCTCTGCGCGTCAGGTATGGGACAAACAGACGTTCACGCTGAAGACTACACTGCAAGGTCACACCGGCAGTATTCTCGTCTTGGAGTATGCAGCCGACAAGCAGTGGCTCTTCAGTGCATCAGGTTCGTCTGCTGTCCTGACCTCTCTATAATACCAGATTTACCGTCGTGTTTAGGTGACAGTACAATACGCGTACGTGCTTGACGGCTGTGCGTTGTCCTGAGCATTCAGTGACGTATGTTGTTCGCAGGTTTGGTCGACCCGGACACTGAGCCCGCTTTATCTGATAAACCCTCACCTTGAGACTGACTCTGGCGATCTGTTCTCCCTTGTCTGGTCACCTACTCTCCAGACGCTCTACTTCGGCTGTCAAGACACTTCACTGCAGTGGTTCTCGTTTGCTTCTCTCTCGTCCTCCATCTCACCAAATCTCGCGCATTCGTTCGCCTATGGCACTTCTGTCAGTGGCACGTCAACCCCTACATCCAGACGTGTGCACAAATTCTTTGATAGTTATCCGCAGTACACCCGGCGCCCAGCGGACCTGAACGCGCGTAATCCCACCTGTTCGTCTCATCCCTCGCTCCCGCCTACACCACCGCGCTCTCTGTCGACCTTTTCTGGCAGGTCGAGCTCTCCCGATACAGACTCATGTGTGAGGCAGGAGCCCCATGTGATTGAACATCCTCTTGCAGTGTTCCAGGTGCCCGCTGCTAATGTTATATACTCCGCTCATTACGGGTATGTATACTGCATGGCACTTGTGCCCAGCATACGCGAAGGCTCTGAGGACCCGCCCTTGAGGACGGCTGAAGAAGGCGAGCAGCGCTCTGTACAGCTCGTGACTGGGAGCGGAGATGAGACTGTCAAGGTCTGTAATTGATTTTTTCCCATATACTCCATCCTAACACGTTCTCAGCTATGGAACCTTTCTTTGGCTACGTCGTCTGTCCCTGTTCTCATGCATACGTTTGAGTGTTCCAGCGGTGCTGTCCTCTCCCTCGTTGCACGCGGTGATACGATATACGCGGGTTGCCAGGACGGACACGTCAAAGTGTGGGATCTAGAGACACGCACACTTGTGCGCACACTCATCGTCGTGGAAGTGAGCCTCGTGTGTCTCATTTTCGTGTGTCAACTCACGGTTTGTGAACTACAGAATGTGGATGTTCTCTCTCTTTCCATGCTGCATTCAGATCTATACACTTGCTCTGCAAATGGCCAGGTTCAGGTGCACCAACCGATCTTTTTTATTGTCACTTCTCTGAATGGCTCTGCAGCGTTGGTCGGCTTCATTCGATCTTACAGCATCTTGGCCTGCACATGACGGAATCGTGCTGTCCTCCATCATTACACGTCTAGCGCCTCCCTCACCGCTTCCTCTTCCGAACTCGGATTCAGTCGTGCTGAGCGACGCCAACCAGGGCTTTGTTCTGGTGACAGGGGCAAATGATGATCACCTCAAAGTATGTTTCATCCCAGGATGTCATTATTCAAGAGAATGCTATCTGACAACGATGGGAAGGTTTGGGAGGTTGAGCCGCCGAAGATGCGCAAGCACAGCACGTCCACCTTCAATGGGATCCAAGAGCGTTCCGATAAGGAGGAGTCCAGATGTAACAACGGTACGGCTCGCGTCTTTACCTTGATGTGATATCCGGGCACTAATCACACGTTACCAGAGACGATGATATATGCGCTTTCCACGTTCGTGTCAATACCGAGCGTAAGCAACTGTCTCACAAACCGTGAAGATTGCCGACAGGCAGCCATCTGGTTACGCAAATGTTTTTCCCAGCTCGGCGCGGACGCGTCGTTGGTGCGTGCTGTGATCCGTCAATCGAGGACGAGTAGCTAAGCTGTGTTTCTCAGCTCCCCACCGGCGACAACACGAACCCGCTCGTACTGGCAACGTTCCGTGGATCACAGACAAAACAGCGCAAACCACGCGTTCTATTCTATGGGTACGAAGCGGCCATGACAACTCATCGCTTTGTCCTGGCGCTCACTTTTGTTCAGGCATTACGACGTAATTTCCGCGCCCCCGCGTGGCTGGTCGTCCGACCCGTTCACACTGACGGGGCGCAACGGGTATCTGTATGGCCGAGGTGCAACTGATAACAAGGGCCCGGTCATGGCTGTCGCTTGTGCAGCTGCAGACCTCCTCAGCCAGAGAGCGCTTGAGCTAGATCTCGTGCTTTTGATTGAAGGCGAGGAAGAGGCAGGGAGCGGTGGATTTGGAGCTGCAGTGAAACGCCACAAGGTCAGAATGATTAGTGTATTCACTACTGGCGCGTTCTCTGCTCACAGCATGTTAGGATGCAATTGGATCGATTGATGCGATCTTGGTTAGGTCAGTATTGCTTTCTCACGGTGACTGTGCGAGTGATGCTCATGCTTGTTTAGTAACTCGACATGGATCGCGGAAGACATACCTTGCATCACCTACGGGTTACGAGGTGTTGTGCATTGCAACGTGGAGGTCAGTCTGCGCTCCTATCATAGCTCCAATTTGTTTACTGATTATGCTACTAGATATCGAATAAAGGTCCGGATCTGCATTCCGGAGTTGAGGGCGGAGCTGCGGTAGAGCCTATGCTGGATATGTGAGTACGCGTCTCCCTTCGATCGATACCCGCTCATGACTGCATGTCAGGGTGAAGCTTCTTGGTTCACTGATAGACGAGAAGAATCATGCGACTATACCAGGCTTCTGTGCGAACACCTTCCATCTTCGTTGGTACAGTCCACTGACGGGCATACTTAGACGATAGCGTGCGTCCGTTGACTGATGATGAGCGGCAGCTGTACACGGTCCTCTCCGGCATCACGCAAACACCAGCGCAGTTGCTCGCCTCGCGATGGCGCGAACCATCGCTTACCATTCATAACATCGAAGTTTCTGGACCACGAAGTAAGGGCTATTAATGTCAACTGAGTTGCGGGTGCTGAACAAGTTTGCACTAGATTCTACCGTTATCCCTGCTACGGTGAAAGCACACGTCTCCTTGCGCATCGTGCCCGATCAAGATCTCACGACCATTGCCCAAGCGCTGTGTGATCATCTGAAGACCACCTTCGCCAGGACGCAGTCTCCGAACAAACTGCAAGTACGTCGTGTTTTGCTATCTTCTGTGTTCCCAATCACTCATGCTGGACGGATGGGTATTGCAGGTGAGTATCAACCATACGGCGGACTGGTGGCTCGGAGAGCTCGACGATCCGTGGTTTCGTGCGTTGGAAGATGCGGTGCGCGACGAGTGGGGCACGGAACCGCTGCGGATACGTGAAGGCGGGGTGCGTTGCTTCATCTAGTTGACTCTGCCATGCGGCGTTACTGAGCTGGTATTGTAATTTCTGAAGTCGATCCCATCCGTACCGTACCTCGAGAAGGAATTTGCCTGCCACGCGCTGCACCTTCCTCTTGGCCAGAGCACTGTGAGTTCCCTGGTTCAATATGATATTCAGGATGCGGCTGAATCTGCTCGGGTAAACAGGACCAGGCGCACCTGCCGAACGAGCGCATCTCCCTCTCGAACCTTTACAGAGGCAAGTTGGTCGTAGAGCGCTTCTTGCTGAACGTCGCACGCTCCAACCTGTCTGGCTCGGCATTGGAGGATTGAAGTCGTGATCTGGATCCTGGGATCGTTATTTATGATGGAGGAAATCGGCTTAATGGATCATATTTATTCTATCGCACGGAGACTCGTACTTTCCCATCCTTTCTGGCTTACTGCCGGCGTTGTACTACTATTCAACAATGTTTGATATCTACGTACTACTGTACATTAGTATTTACCACCAATAGATGATCCTTAGATACCGTAAAGACAGAGAGCCCGCCGTGGGCGGGCCAACGACGCCATGCACCACCGCAGAGTGCGGCTCGAGTACGGGTATATCCCATCCGTTAAATAACCAATACAGCCCGCGCGCGCACCTAAAAACCCTGTACACACTGCACAATCAAGGAATGAACAAGGCAGAACGCCCACCTAGTCGTACACTACGCCGATCAGACCGCATCCCGAGCGGCAAGCTGTGTACTATGTCCAAGGGCTACGTGCGCTCCCAGTTGGCGCGCGCGGGCCACATGCGCGCCTGCCACTCGTTGAGCACACGCCCGACCTCGGCGTCGTTCATGCCGACGTCATCGTTGATGCAGAGCAGTGCGGCGTTCGCGTCGCGCTCGACGCGCGTGAGCACCGCGCGCGCCTGCGCCGGGCTCGAGAGCCGCTCGAATACCGAGGGTGTCCCGCCTACAATCCACCGTGTCAGCCGCAACCTCCGGATAACCACGCAACGGGGCGGACGAGGACGTGGATGGGAGCTCACCGATGACGTAGCGGTACCGCGCGAGCAGCTGCAGCGTCCACGCGCGCACGCTGGCGCCCGCGGCGCTCCCGCTTGTGCGCATGACCGCGCCGAGCGCGAAATTGCCGTCCTCCCAGTTCGCGACCAGCGGCAGGTGTGCGACGGGGTCGCGGGGCGGTTGAGGCGAGGTAGAGGACGTGCTGGGGAGGACGCGCGCGGGGTCCGGGAGGAATGCGGAGAGCCCGAGCGTGCCGCTGGCGTGCACCAGGGCGGTGATCACTGACCGGATGATGAGGGATTAGCACGTTGATCAGAAAAAGAGAAGGGGGAAGAAGCAGAGAACTTCGAAATTTGGAGTCGATGCTGTGCAGCACGCTTGAAAGTGAAAACGAAGGTTTCGTAAAATTGGCGGAGAGTAACAAGTTCAGAAAACCGACAGTGGGCAAGAGAAAAGGGCGGGAAAGAATATATATAAAAGGAACTCACGTACCACAATCACCGCACTGCGGAAAGCGAAACGCGATATTCGTAAATACCGTTGAGGGACTGTCCGCGCCCTCGAGCGCGAAGCACTCGGAATAGAGTAGCGTGCACCGGGGGAGCGAGCTCTCCCGTAAAGAAGGGCTGAACGACGGGAACTTGGGCGCGCCCTTGGTCCCCAGCGTGCCATATGCATATCCATCCAGCGACGCTATCCGACAGGAGAGACAGAAAATCAGCTCCCAGAGACACTCGCCGGTAAGAGAGTAAGGGGAAAAACACGTACAGAAAATATACCGCGTCTGCCCCACGCCGTTCAGCCCGCTCGCCCTCAACACACGCTTGACCCGCTCCGGCTCGACCGTCTCCCTGCGCCCCGCACTGACATCTATTCGAGCACGCCCGTCGCGCCCGCGGCCCTGCTCCGCCGCCATTTCCACATCTCCCAGCCACTCACCCCCGAGCTCCTCCCACGCCTGCCGGCGCTGCAACGGGCCCCACTCCCCGTACAGCCCGCCGACGCGGCCGACGACCCATGCCCACAGGAGCGCCTCCCGCGCACGCTCCACCACAAAGTGCGTGGCGAGGAAGAGCACGTAGACGTCCCCCGTGCCGCCACGCGTCTCGCGGAAGCGGTGCGACGCCGCGTCCGCCAGCGCACCCGGCCATATCTGCGCGATCTCGTGCAAGAGCGGCGCGGATACGGACTTGGCCTCGTGCGCGACGTACGGACGGCCGCGCCGCCCGAAGCGCGTGGAGAGCAGGACGTTGGTCGTGCCCATGCTCCGCCATTCGCCTTGCGCCGTCTTGGTCGGTGGAGAGGGCATTACGAGCAGTTCCGATTGGAGGTGCAGGACCGTGCCGAAGGCTGGGAAACATTAGAAGCGGCATGGATGGGAGAGAGAGCGCGTACCGGGTGTGTAGAAGGTCGTGGGCGTGACGGGCTTCGCGAAGTAGAGGTCGTCGTTCTGCAGGGGGTCAGTTAGCGAGTGAATGCGCGCGGGAGGGGCGGGCTGACCATGTAGATGCTGTGGGGGTGTCAGACGCGTTTGCCATGAATAATGCGCGGCGCTCACAAGTTTTCCGAGACGTCCTCGAGATGCATGAGCTGCGACTCGATCGCGAGGCTGCCGTGGACCTGTCGCGTGAATACCGGGATCGCGGACGGGCTGGATACAGCTCCTACCTGTTGAAATTCGTGCCGACGTATGGGGAGAAGATCTCCGCGTGGTGGGCGATGGCGAGCTCGACATTGCCATCGCGCCAGGAGTGTTTCGTGCTCGAATCGACGTCGAGCCACTGCGGGACCTGTCCTAGGCGCCATGCCGCGGACAGCGTGAAGTTCGGCTCTACGGCGGGTATGGGGAAGTCGGCGGTAAGGATGTGAAAGCGCTGCGAGTACGGCCGGAAGTGGGCGAGCGCTGAGCGGAGAGAGTGCCGCAGCTCATCGTGATCGCTGTCAAACGGGATTCAGTGATTGATAAGTGAGACGAGAGGTGACGCGCACCGAAACTGGCGATCCTGTGCGGTAGTTGATTTTGGGCGGTATGGGTCGTCACTGGCGTAGCTCTCGATGGCGAGCTCTTTGGCCTGGACGAGTAGTGGGTCGGAGCCATTGACCCATGTCCAGACGAGGTCTATTGGGGGAGGCTTGGACTCAAAGCAAGGTTCTCCGGCGACAAAAAATCTGTCGAGACAGGAGGAGGCAAGAATGCCATGGACTTGTCTGAGGGAAGTATTGTTTGGAAGAGCGAACGGAGAAGCTTGAAAGGACAGGTATGCAGTCTGGGAGGCAGACGAATTATCTGGCGGGAACAAGATGACTTCTATGTCGTCGTCTGCATCAACATCCTTGAGGGTATAAGAGAGAATAAGGAAGAGGGAAAAGAGAGACGCAGCACAGATGGCGGCGAGGAGGAGACGGCGGCGGAGACAGAAGGAGACGGTGCGGTGTGCGGCAGCGGCGGGCTGAAGGGGAAACTGGGCGAGAGGGATGTAGTCCGCGGTGCGAGGACGAACGGGCATAGCTGGAGAGGCATGATAGGAGAGATCGATTGGTGTTGAGTATATGAATCTTTCCGGAACAACGCCTGCAGGAACCGCAGCTACTAGCGCGGGGCCGGCATCCATTCGTCTCACTCTCAACTTCTCTCACACGCTCCCTCTCATTTCAACGCGCTCTCGTTACGCGTCATGGCACACGACCGTGGCATGCGACCGTGTCCGGGACATCCTGGACGCGGGGAACAGGCTCAGAGACGAGGACGAGACGACTCGACAGTAAGCACGAGCGCGTTTTCTATTTATAGCGCGGCTATCTTTAGACGCGTTCTGATCTGACGATGCTGCGTTGCGCACACGACCACATACATATCAGCCACCTTACTGACATCGCATCTACACAGCTCTCCTCATCCCCACGTCCATGCGCTATGGCCTTCACCATATCTCGTATATTCTCACACCCTCCTTCACTCCGGCACCGTCCTCTTTATAGCTCTTTCTGAGAGCACTCTGAGAACGCCGCAGCACTCTCCTTCCGAGCTTCCCCAGAAATGCCCGTTTGCTGCTGCGGATCTGCTCTTAGACATGCGGTGCCTGGTGCGGCAGCACCACGGCATGCCAAATGACGGCATCATGGATCCGCGATGCGACATAAAACGTCCGTGGTTTTTCAATGCCCGTTTCTCTGGATGGACGACCATGTAGCTGTATGCAATCTCTCTCCAACATGTGCACGCGGCAGTGGTCCCGCTCTCTTCAATGCTCTAATAATTAATGGTTATTCGCTAGGGCGCACACTGAAGAGAGGCGAACTTCATCACATTGGAACAGCCGCTTGAAAGGCGCTCGCTGTTGTTGGCGCAGCCGGTTCCGAACCTTGATGCCAGTACCTACTCAAAAAGGCCGTATTTAGCCTATTTCGGTAATACTTCCACGGTTAAATTCTGTAACCCCTAAAAAGGGTCTGAATTGAATTCGGCACATCTCTGGTGCAAAAAACCGTGCTTTCCGGTAGAGAAACTTCTTCCTATCTACTATAGGCTCATAAACTTCCGGGGCAAAGGGGCCCGATTTCAGCAGTGCCAGTGTTTCACCAGCTCTCCAGCCATTGCCACGACCCTGCGAGTGTAGTTTCACCGCACTGGGGGTTCTGCCCACAACACTATTGCCCGGCCAGATGCAGGCACGTACTTATTAACTTTACTGCAGTACCACAACAGTACAGCGATACCATCTACATCAGCAAAACCCAACTTTTACTTAAAAGGGTACTTAAATGACTTAAATGGACTTATGATCCTTATTTAAGGATATAAGGTCAAAAAGGGCCTAATGCACATTACATGAGTGTCTGAAATCAGACTTATTGATACTTATTTGAAGACTTATCGCCTTAAATAAGGGTTGTAAGACCAAAAAGTCAAAATAGCTCTGCAAGAAAAAGTTGGGTTTTGCTGATGTAACTCAGAGACCGTTATCACACAAGATTGAAGTGGAACGAAGCCTTGCCATTGGCATTGTTCATTCTGGTCCAACCTGGTGTGATGGAACTTTGACTGCGCTATGCATCCTGTGGGCTTTGTTGTATCCTTGTTGAGAATTTGAAGACCCTTAAGTCTGAACCGCTATTAGCTGACTTCGCGAATTAGGCTTCTTGCTCAATTTGATTGAAGGAGGCTCTGCATGTACTACCTGAGCTTATTGGCGTTCTCGGTGTTTTTGGTAATGCCCAGAATGTGTTACATCAGTGACAGATGTAACCCCGACGTAGGGTTACACGGCTATCCTCGATGAAGGTTCATATCCGCGCCGCCCCTTCATTGCAACTCAGACCCGTTCTGTACGATGCAACGAAGGTATGTTCCATACTCACTCATTTAGCTCTTATGTACTTATCAGACCCGTTCTGTACGTTGCAACGAAAACACCTCATTTCTGTTTTGTTCCGAGTGCTCGCCGGAAGACAACCGGCTCACACTTTTTTTAAAACACCAAATGAACTGTCCTTCTGCACCGCACGTCTCTTTGCGAGCGCACCTCCGAGCCTAATAGGCTACCCTACCATCGGATTAATCTGCGTGCCAAGACGGCTGCGGAAGCATCGCCCCACCGCTAAAACACCGCTGCCCCAATGGAACCATCCTGTAGACACCTGTGACGTAGACCGCTGTTGATCCTACACCACCACCGTCTTGCCCATCCTGCCACCCAACACTCGCTCTCAAATTCGAGATCTTGCTAATCTCCTCCCATTTCACAACGTCGAGAATATCCCGGAGATTCTAAACTCAGAATCACGACCAATCTCATCTCTCTCATCCCTCTCGACCGCTGATCCCTCGGACCTATCGCTGTTATCTACCCGACCTACATCACCCGCGGTAACGCAACACTCGAGATCGCCATCGACGGATTCAGATTCAGATACTCCCATGACCACAATCATGTCTGCTTCCACGCCGGGAGTCGCCACGATCATACAATCCTCGGCCAAACACCCCCCCATCCTAACTGCCAGCAAGATCACTCCTGCTGTTGCTCACATGTGGGAGAACGCCTGCCTTCAGTATTTCAAACACAATGATGTCACCAATGATAAGAAGGTGGCCAAGGTTACGGGCAGCTTCCAGGATGCTATCATTAGCGACTGGTATTACAATGACTCCGACACCTTCGACACAATAATGTGGAAAGATTTCCTTGCCGCTTTCCATTCTCACTTCCTCCCCAAGGGCTGGGACTCGGCTGTTCTAATGCAACTACTCTGCGCTCGTCAGAAGGAAGATGAGAGTTTCGAAGATTGGGTCCTCAGCATCGAAAAGCTGAACACCACTCTCCACGATATGATCTCTTGTCTCGATGATGCCTGCCTCCACGCCCAGATCTCTGCCAACATCTGCGAAGATCTTCGGTTCACCTGCAATGAGGACGAGGTCAAAACCATTGCCTCATTCAAAGACTGGAAAGACAAACTTACCCAGCTCGACACCGTCCATATGCGCGAATGAGCGCGCATCCTTCACATCACAGGCGCGTCTGCACGCACCAAGGTCCCACCACTGACTACGACCAAGGGGGACGCCTCCTGCCCTAAAGGTCCAAAGCTTCCCCCGCTCACCGACGAAGAATTGAAACTCCTCCGCGACAATGATGGATGTTTCAAATGTCACAAATTCTTTGTCCCCGAGAAGGAAGCGGACGTGACCGTTGCACTGACACCTTCCCCGATGTGTCATCTTATTGCACACTCACTCAGGCAGACGTCGAATCAGCCCACCGCACCAAGGGTAAAGAGAATGCGAAACCCCGCACCAATGTCACCGCTGTCTCCAAGTCCATTGACGACATCACCTATAATGTGGGCGCCATCAATGTGAACTCCACATCATTGGCCGCCACCACGGGTGTCCTTGGCATGGGCTCAGATTCTGAACCTGAGTATGTACAACCCCCACTCGCTCCATTCACCATCGCACACATTCCCTGGTCAGGAATTGTGCACAGCCTGCATCTTGACTCTGACCCACTTCCAATGCTGATTGATTTGGGTTCCCCTGCAGTTCTGATTAGGTCAGAACTCATCTCACATCTCGGTTTGCGTCATCGCAGACTACCGCAGCCTTTCCCGCTGGGAGATGTGTGGGGTATGGAGTCTAAGGATTCGGTTGAGTGGGTTAAGCTTCGAGTTTCATCTCCATATTTGTCTTGGTCCTCTGTCACTTGTCGCACCATCATTGTATCATCGTGTTGTTATCCTATAATTGTCAGCCGACCCTTTCTAAAGACAAACCGCCTTATCATCGACCACGAATGCGATTCCGTCACTGACAAGTCCACCGGGCGTGACATCTGCAAACTGGCACCCCTCGCCGTTTGCCTCCACCGTCGCCCGCACCTTCAGTCCTACCAATTGCATCCCTCTTTTGTGAACTTGCTGAACGTACTGCCAACTGTCGAACTCACTGTGATGAGCACACAGTGGATGAGGCCACCGGTGCTGTACATGCAATTCAGAAGTGCACTGAAGAACTCGCATTCCAGATGACTCTCCAGTCTGAGAATCACAAAATCAAAGATGAATTCAGTGATCTCTTTCCTGACGACATTTCACACCTCGATGAACTTCCTATGGACATCGACCATCATTTCGTCCTCAAGGACCCCAATATGTTTATCCAGCGCTGTCAGTATGACTGTCCGAAGAAATATCGAGAAGCTTGGAAGCAACTTCTTGATGGACACCTTCGCGCGGGTCGTATGTGCCCCTCTGATAGCCCATATGCCTCACCCGCCTTTCTTATTCCCAAAGCTGACCCTACAGCCCTTCCCCGTTGGGTTAATGACTATCGTGCACTCAATGCGAACACCATCCCGGACATGCACCCCCTCCCTCTCATCAGTGACATCCTCGCTGACTGCGCCAAGGGTAAGATCTGGGGTAAGATCGACATGACCAACTCCTTCTTCCAGACCCACGTGCATCCCGATGATGTAAAGTACATCACTGTAACTACTCCCTTTGGACTTTACGAATGGCTGGTAATGCCACAAGGTTGCCGGAATGCGCCCTCTACACACCAACGGCGGATGTTTGGCGCACTCCACCCATTGATCAGTACGATCTGCCACGTATACCTTGATGACATCGTCATTTGGTCGCAGACTCTCGAGGAACACATTCGTAATGTGCGCACAGTCCTTGAGGCACTTTGCACACACCACCTATACTGCTCCGATAAGAAGACCTCCCTTTTCCTCATGGAGCTCTCCTTCCTAGGTCATGTCATATCACAAGATGGCATACAGCCCGACCCACAGAAGGTCGAGAAGATCCTAAACTGGTCCGTGCCATGCAGCGCATCCCAAGTTCGGGCCTTCCTCGGGCTCGTCCGCTATATAGCACCATTCCTCCCCAAACTTGCCGACTTCACGCACATTCTCAACCCTCTCACTATGAAGGATGCCGAGCTCGATTTTCCGACGTGGACAGAAAGCCACCAAGCAGCCTTCGACAATATTAAGACACTTGTCTGTAGCCGTGAAGTCCTCACCTCCATCGATCACGATAACATGGGCAACAATAAAATCTTTGTATCTTGTGATGCCAGCGACTTCCGCACAGGTGCGCTTCTTTCATATGGTGAATCATTGGAGACCGCTCATCCGGTAGCCTTCGAGAGCTGCACCCTCAAAGGTGCAGAACTTAACTACCCGATGCATGAGAAAGAACTTCTCGTGATCGTGCGTGCACTTAAAAAGTGGCGCATCGACTTGCTTGGTGTTCCCTTTACTGTCTACACTGATCACCACACTCTGGAGAATTTCTTCCTCCAAAAGGAACTCTCCAGGAGACAAGCCCACTGGCAAGAATTCCTCGTGCAATACGACTTTGACATCAAGTATATCAAAGGCGAGGAAAACATCGCTGCAGACGTCCTCTCACGCATACCTGCTGACACTGTCATTATCGACCCTTCTGCATGTGTCACTGTCTCACTCATACACATCACGACACAATCACTCTGTGACATTCCGAAGTCTATTACCGCATTCGCCTTCACCGCCAGCCGACTATCGATCGCCGCAGACCCTGCGTGGCTCTCGGCACTGCGCACGGGATATGTCCAAGACAAGTGGTGCCAAAATTTATGCTCCACCTCTGAATCCCTCAGTGTTCGTGAACAGAATGGCCTCCTTTACGTTGGCGACAGACTTGTCATTCCTTGAGTGCCCGAGCTGTGTGAGGCCATCTTCCACCTTTTGCATGACTCACTTGGCCACTTTGGCTTCAACAAATCTTACATGGCGATTCATGACACCTACTACTGGCCTAACATGTGCACTGAACTGGAACGCATGTATGTTCCAGCGTGCGAAGACTGCCAGCGCAATAAGTCACCAACCCATAAACCACACGGCCCGCTGCATCCTCTACCTATACCAGATGGATGATGCGACAGCATAGCGATCGATTTCATCGGACCACTCCCAGAGGACAGTGGTTTCAATTGCATTGCGACGGTCACTGACCACCTGAACTCTGATGTTCAACTCCTCCCCACTCACACCGATGTCACCACAGAGACCTTCACAACTCAGTTCTTTGATCACTGGTACTGCAAAAATGGTCTCCCGCTCGACATCATCTCTGATCGCGACAAGCTTTTCATCAGCGCCTTCTGGAAAGCACTTCACCATCTTACTGGAGTCAAATTGAAAATGTCCTCAGCATACCACCCCCAAACGGATGATGCTTCAGAGTGGTCAAATAAAACGGTGATACAAGCCTTGCAGTATCATGTCGCTCGTAACCAACGTGGCTGGGTGCACGCCCTACCCCGCATTCATTTCTGCATCATGAACACGGTCAATAACTCCACCGGGTTCTCCCCCTTCCAGTTAAAGACTGGACACTCTCCACGCCTTGTGCCCCCCTTCTCCCAGGTGTCATTGGCAGATGATACCTTGGATGAGGCCACGCGCGCTGCTGAGCTTTTCACGTGCCTGGATACAGACATCATGGAAGCTCGAGATAATCTCTTTCTCACAAAAGTTAACCAGGCAGCACTGGCTAACCGCTCGCGCAGCGAAGAGATTTCCTATGCGGTTGGAGATAAGGTGATGCTGTCGACCTTCCACCGCCACCATGACTACATGCAGCGCGGCGACAACCACATAGCTAAATTCATGGTCCGTTATGATGGCCCCTACAGCGTCCTCCACTCCTACCCTGAATTTTCTGCATACACACTCAATCTCCCCGCATCCACCAACATCTTCCCCACATTCCATGCCTCCCTCCTCAAACCTTGGTTCAAAAACAACCCCGAGCTTTTCCCTTCACACCAATGCAGCCAGCCGGGCCCTATTATCACCACCGATGGCGCTGAAGAATGGGAAGTCGAATCTATCGTTGACCACCATCCTCGAGGTCACAGTTTCCAATACCTCGTGCGCTTCTGCAGATACGGTCTGGAGCATGACATTTGGTTATCCCGCCGAGAAGTAAATGACTTAGCTGCACTTGATGAATACTTACTCCACTCCCCTCATTAATTTCTTTCTTCCTATTCTGTTTCTCTTACCCACCGTGCTCATTCTTTTACAGCGGCATCAGGAAAACCCAACTTTTACTTAAAGGTGTCCTTATATGACTTAAATGCACTTATGGGCCTTAAATAAGGTAAAAAAGGACAAAAAGTCCATAAGTCATATTTCCTTAGAGACTTAAAAGTTGACTTTTGGGAACTTATAGGCCTTAAATAAGGCAAAAAAGGACAAAAAGTCGGAATAAGTTTCATAAGTAAAAGTTGGGTTTTCCTGATGGGGGAGGAGTGTAACCCCAACGTAGGGTTACACGGCTATCCCCGATGAAGGTTCATATCCGCACTGCCCCTTCATTGCAACTCAGACCCGTTCTGTACATTGCAACAAAGACACCTCATTTCTGTTTTGTTCCAAGTGCTCGCCGGAAGACAACCAGCTCACAACAGAGCATCTATGTCAGTACTCCTCACTGAATGATCAGGAAACTAGAGTACACTCGTACTCCTTGATGGAACGTGGACAGTATGTGAGTACTTTAGTTAATCCTAGTGTCTCAATGATGCTGACTGCATCATGAGACTGGATTCTCGGGTATGCAAAATTAGACATGCTCTTGCTGAATTCAGTGACATCCACTTCTCTTTGTCCAAAAGTGTTGCCATTCATACTGAATGTTGAGGGACATATTGACACATATGTCCACATTGACACACATGCATGACAATAACTCGCCATCTACACCTCTCCGTCACTTTCATTGCCAATCCAGGCCTGTTGTGCTACCTCTGATGGCAACATTGAGGGTTGGCATGTATGCAGGGGGTCAATGTCCAAGAATTAGGTGAGTAAGAATCCACAGTAGGTGTCAGTCTGTAGTTGAGTGTCCATTAAGCAGGTCCTACAGTGGCTCCTTGTCAATGGGATCAGTTCATATACAAATTTTTTTGATATCTATCCACTGGATCTCTCCTCATCCCTCCTTTCCTTCAGCCATGTCACCCCTTGATATTGTTGATCTCTGCTCTCGTGACCTCGGAGAGAAGCACTCTCTCCATGACAATGTCCTCGCTGATTTGTCACAGGCTTGGACCAAGATGCATATCATCTTAGCACAGAATTGATTTGATCACAGATGATTCTACACAATACCATGTGAGTAGTCAGTGTTGGATTATTGTATAATCAGAATTTGAGTGAGGCGACCACAGACACATATGGAGGTTCCCAAAAATAATGAAGACTGGAGCACCCCAGCTAGCATCGTGGTCTTTCAGTCCAGGGTGCACGAATGGCTGATGCAGTTCTACCGGGATATTAATTCCGGCAAAATCACATTGATGAGGAAGCTTGCGAGGGTGCTGTTCATGATACTCGAGCACGAAGCTTTCCACGCAGAGGTATGCTCCACGAGGCTGATAATACTGCACCTGAACTAAACACCTATCTTTAGATGCTACTCTACATACTCCTGCAGCATGCAGGCACTGGCACACTACCTCCTACTGGCTTCAGTCCTCCAGTTTGGTCGACACTCACCAGTGGTTGGGATCACAATCTGCTTCTGGCTATATCAACTGTTACTCTTGGTCCTGCCACGGTGATGCTTGGACATGGCGATGATAAATCAGAGGATGCATGTACCAGTGTTCATGCATTTGGTTGGGACAACGAGCATCCCAAGGGAGAAGTCCACATCGGCGAATTCAAAATTGAATGGCGGCCGATTACGAATGGTGAGTTCTATGAGTATTACTCTAGCAAGGGCAAGGAGGCTGTCAAGTTCCCTGCCAGCTGGGTTGAGGTTGAAGGAGAGGTTCAAGTGAGTGAAGTCAGTAAAAGCCTACTTCACATTACAAACTCAAGTGATGGTAGGTTCATACCCTGTATGGTCCCATTCCGATGAGTGTCGCGAAGCATTGGCCGATCATTACTTTGTATGACAACTTGACAATGTATGCAAGTGTTAAGGGTGACCGGATTCCAACCTAGCCTGAACTGCGCCTCTTTATGGACATGTTTGATTGTGCATACAAGGGAGGCACCAACATTGGATTTAGAAACTGGCACCCTGTTCCGTGAGTCTCGGCTCTTCGACACTGGGCGTTATCTTACATTTGTTACATTTGCTTGTGTCAAGTGCTACTGCTGGCCGTGACAAGGATGCCAGGAAAGGACACAATGGAGGTATCTGGGAGTGGACTTCCACGTCACTTGATGAAGTTGACCTACCCAAGTCTCGCCTATCCATGTCCAAAAGTCGTTGGACTTACGCCGACTCCAGGTGCAGCTACTTGACCAGCAATGTTGATGTCCATCGACATATTGTAATACGTTACCAGTTTTCTTGGGATAAGTCTAATCATCCTTTGCGCTTTGCAGTTAGGCAGTTCTTACACAACCGTCCCGCGTCTCGAAGATCGATAGATGCTCCGAGTCGGCGATGACCCACACAATTACCCGTATGCTTGGGCTGGAGCTAGGATTGCATATGACCTAGCAGAGTGAAGGATTTGCTGAAGTGCATACCTTGAAGTGGACCACATGTTGTCTGTCTGTATCACTGGCTCTTGCACGACCAACATGCATCTATACTACAAGAGACAAGGGGAGACAAAGCTGCAACCCGATTGGTCGGTTAACTGAGACAAACACTTAGAGACAACCCGAATATCTGATTGGTCGATCCTTCAACTCCAGTGTCTAACTTACCGCTGCTGTATTCCAACCGCGACGTGTCAACCTTTCTCGCTCTCGCCTTCGCCGAGCGAGCGTTATGCTCCCCGCTCTCTTTATGCACAACGTTAAACTACTCCTTCAACATTCTCTACTTTAATACTGACGGCTTTCTTCTTCTATACTATGCTCGTAATCACGCTCTCTGGCCAAGTGCCCTAATTCCTCGCTTGCCAGCGAGCACTTTTCAGGTTCTCAGTGCGGTGAGTTCCACCTATCTTGCCCTGAGAGCTGCGGCCTTACTCTTGCTACAGGGAGATGGAATATACTCCCAATTATGCATTTCCACAGACTCCGAAGAGTTGCCATTGTCGTGCGGACCACCAAGCTCAAGAATTGTCCAGCCCGATGCGATGGCGAGTCCCTCAGGTATTCCAGTTCAATAAGTGCTACACACAAATGCCTGATCCTCTTATCAATCCCCTCCACAGCCTGTTCTGACCGAGAGGCTCAACACGCTTCATGCCCCCTGTTTGCCTCAACCGGCGCATATGAGCGTGCATACTGTCTTTTGCAGTTTCAATTAAGTGGACAGCTCACATTCAGGGTGTCCAGGTCCATCCAGACACGTCCTTTGACGTGTTCGGAAGTGTTTCATCTCACCATGCACCCAACTCTCTCGCAATTGATCAGAATCATTATGATGCTTCGGACAGTGCCTCTCGACACGAGCGGCATGCATCGTCCAGCATGTCTACTGTTTCCCATCTTCTAACACCTTCAGCTACATTAGTGCAGCCACCACAACGATGTCCACAACAACCCCAACCCACATCATTATCCGCTCCTTCCTCTTCCACGCAGCAGCCCCTTCAAGATGACAATCACTCTCAGTGCTACCCTCTCGAGCCTGCTCAACAGCTCCTTCTTCTCGAGCCAGTGCAACAGGCTTTTCCCAATTCATCTGGGAGTTCCGCCCAGGCCGAACCAGCACTAACAAGAAGGCAAATTGCGCAACGTGCACGCAGGGTCCGCGAATGTGAAGCCAATAACCAGCAACCTGCTGTGTAGCATCAGTTGGCCCCTGTTGTTTCATCAAATAGTGATTCATCAGAACCTACTCCAAACAGACAGCAGATTGCACAGCGGGCTCGCTGAGAGTGCGAGCGCCAAGGTGAGTCATCTTCGACAAGCATGTTCCTTCTTCGCATTGACATCCTTGCAGCTTGCACTGCTGCAGATCATGATCGTGTTCCTGCCATCGCCAATCCACCCTCTCCTGCAAATGCATGCAATGATGCTCCACCAGAACCTCCCTTGAACAATCAGCAGATTGCGCAGCGAGCATGCCGAGAGCATGAGTATCAAGGTGAGTCTCGCAACCTACTTAGTTGTCACCATTGTGGCCTGATGAAAACATAGCTGCACAGGCTGATGCTCCACAGCATCGTCAGTCTGCCGAACGGGGCTTGATGTGGGCCAGGCAGCCATATGTTGAGCCTGTCACCAGGCATGATCTCGGCCATATGGATGTCGTCTGCCGTTATTGCAATGCCCTGCATTGGCGGAATGAGCGAGTAATCTCGAAGTCTATGCAGACTAACCCTGCATTCTCCATGTGTTGCAACCATGGTAAGATTGATCTGCCAGCTCCTCTTGCTCCTCCCGAGTTCTTTCGCTACCTATTTGCGAGCCCTGAGCCTCAGGCGGAGGACTTCAGGGATAATATCCGACAATATAATGCTGCTCTCGCATTTACCTCACTGGGTGTCAAGATAGACGACCATTTAAATAATGGATGGTCTGAGCCTGTCTTTCGGATCCATGGTGAGCTGCATCATCGTCATGGGTCATTGCTGCCGCAGGAGAGGCAAGATCCTGCATATGCGCAGCTGTACATCTATGACCCTCGCGATGCTCTGAATCAGCGCATGCAGCGCAACAGTAATCTTCGCAGAGACACAATGGAATGTCTTCAAGGTATCCTGAACACGTCACATCATTACGCGCATGTATACAAGCATGCATATGAGGTTCTTGCTGGCCGAGGTGACATAGAAGACGTTGTGATACGTCTTTGCCTGTTGCCTACAACAGATCAATGCCGGTATAATCTGCCTACTGCAGACGAGATGGCAGTCATATTGCCTGGAGACGGTTCCGAGGATGTGGGCAAATGTGACATCATTCTGCGGCATCGCAATGGTCCACTGCAGAGGATCAGTGAGGGCAATGCAGCATACTCATGTCTTCATTATGTGCTCTTCTATCCATACGGTGAACATGGCTGGCATTTCGACATGACATTGCATGAGTCTGACACCTCACCGGCTTACCCTCATGGACTATTGCGCGTATCAGGCTCAAACCCGTGTTGAACAATTCTCTCCTCTCCTGCGGGGTGGACGACTCTTTCAGCAGTGGGCTGTTGATATGTGGGCTGCGGCGGAGCAGAACCGACTTGAATACTTGCAGACCCATCAAAAGGAGCTCTGATCCTCCCTCTATGGTGGCTTGGAAGATGTCATGAACTCTCAGGATGAAGATGTCAGCCTCAATGATATTGGACAGCATATTGTTTTGCCGTCGTCATTCACAGGTGGTCCCAGGTATATGCAGCAATGCTTGCAAGATGTGCTTGCATTGGCTCACTATTTCTGCAAAATTGACATCTTCCTAACTATGACATGCAATCCAAAGTGGCCAGAAATCATGCAGGAGTTGTTGCCTAGGCAAACACCAGGAGATCGACCAGAGTTGGTTGCGCGTGTTTTCGAGATGAAGAAGACTGAACTCCTGGAGTATATTGTCAATAATGGTATCTTCGGGAGGACTATCGCACACGTCTACACAATAGAGTTTCAGAAGTGTGGCCTTCCTCACATGCAGCTCCTTATCTTTCCCGAACAGTCATACAAGCTCCGTTCTCCCCCAGATATTGACTTCCTGATCTGGGTGAGGTGGCCTGACCCAGAGACACAGCCTCTACTCTTCGACACTGTCATGCAGTGCATGTTGCATGGACCATGTGATGAGTGGTGCCTCGAGAATGGGAAGTGCAAGAAGAATTTCCCGAAAGCATTCCAGTCTCAGACAGTGATGGACCAAGATGGCTATCCACAGTACTACAGGCCTGATGATGGACGAGCATATGATGTTCGCAGAACCATGGTTGACAACCATTACATCATGCCCTACAACCCTCAGTTAAGTGCCGAATTTGACTGCCACATTAATGTTGAGTGTGCAGTCTCCTTCGCATCCGTCAAATACATCTGCAAGTACATGCACAAGGGCTGCAACCATGCCACTCTCAAAGTGAACAAGCATGATGAGATCAAACGCTATCTGGATTCACGCTACATCTCGACCACGGAGTCCTTCCATCGGATATTCCATTTCTTGCTCCATCATCAGGAACCCAATGTCGTAGCTCTGACAGTGCATCTACCGGGACAACATTTGGTTGCATTCCATCCTGATGAAGATCCGACAACTGTGATGGAACGTGCTGCAAGTGAGAGGACCATGCTCACCGAGTTCTTTCGGGTCAATGCACATCCTGTTCTCTCCATTGAGGCTCGCAAATACACTTATCAGGAATTTCCCCAATATTTTGTGTGGAAAGACGACAAGTTTTGGGCTGTACGACAGAGAGGTTGGGCTTTAGGACGCATGGTGTTTGCTGCTCCAAACTCAGGTGAGTGATTCTATCTGCGGACTTTGCTCACCATTGTAGAGGGTCCGCAATCATTTGAGGATCTCCATACATTTGATGTGGTGGTCTATCTCACGTTCCACGAAGCATGCCTTGCATGTGGATTACTCCAGGACGATGGTGAATGGCATCTGTGTCTTCTAGATGCCTCTGCTATGCAGACTGGAATGTGGCTTCACCATCTGTTTGTCACAATCCTACTCTTTTGTCAGCCTACACGCCCTGAAGCTCTATGGCAGGAATTTCGAGTGCACATCTGTGATGATCTGGCACACCGCCTCCGGACAATGGGATGTGAAAATCCTGAGGATGAGGATGTCTATGATTTCGGTCTGTATCTGCTCGAAAAAATCCTCTGCAAGTACGGGAGCTCCCTCTCTAAATTTCCTCCTATGCCCCTCTCTCAGAATGACTGGGATATGCAAGTTGAGAACACATATATTGCCGAGCAGCTGAACTACAACTGTGATGAACAGCATGCCTGCGCTCTGGCCCGTATACCTCAGCTTAACGTCGAGCAGCTGGCAGCTTACGAACACATCATGCACTCAGTTGAGCAACAGACTGGAGGCCTCTTCTTTCTGAATGGACCCAGGGATACTGGAAAGACTTTTGTCTACAATATGGTCTGCAACAAGGTTCGCAGTGAAGGCTGGATTGTTCTATGTGTAGCATCCTCAGGGATCGCATCTCTGCTCCTCAAAGGCGGCCGAACGGCACATTCCATGTTTAAGATACCAGTCGGGAATCTTCACGCACAGTCCACTTGCAACATACCAAAAGAGTCCGCATTGGCCGGCTTGCTGCATGTGACACGATTGATTATCTGGGACGAGATAACAATGCAACATCGAAATGCACCTGAAGCCATTGACCACACACTCCGAGATATCCGAGATGACCACCGATCCTTTGGTGGAATCACTGTTGTCTTCGGAGGGGATTTTCAGCAGATTCTTCCAGTTGTTGTCAAAGGGTCTCAGGAGCAGGTGGTGGCAGCATCACTGCAACGGTCGCGGCTGTGGAGGAAGATCGAGATACTGCATTTAATGCGCAATATGCGCCTCGAGAATGATGCAGACGCTGCCGAGTTCGCTCACTGGCTGCTGGATGTGGGTCATGGCCGAGGACTAACGAACAAAGCCACACTGAACATACCTGAAAGCATGGTCTCCTGCAGCCTCTCATCCCTCATTGATGACATCTACCCTGACATAGGCTCAACACTCGCCCTGCCACCAGAGTATTTCCTGAATCGTACCATTCTTGCAGCTCGGAATGCCGATGTTGACAGCATCAATGCAGAAGTACTACATCGGATGTCAGGCCAGGAAAGGGTTTACATGAGCGTCGACACAGTCCTGCATCAGGAAAAAATGCCTTGACTACATGGCCCGACGTAGCCTAGGTAGCAGTGGTAGCCCGGTAGACAAGTCCCCGGTTATATTGTACCAGTAGCTGCTGCAGCACCTCTGTAGTGCCCTGTAGCCCAGTAGGCATCCTACGTAGCTGTAAGTAATCCATTGTAATTGGCGGTAAAGTGGTAGCCCCCGGCCAAATTTCATAGCTAGAAGCCGAATAGCCGTCAAATCACATCAATGGACACAGTGCAAGAAATATATTCAGAATATACTAGCTATATTACACTAAACTGGAGTGCTGAAGCAGGGAAGCACGAGCAGATCAGAGCAGCGGGAAACAACAAACAGTGCCTGGCCGTTCGTGTGTCAGCTGCCCGCGCAAACGAGGAGGTCGGAGGAAGGGGCGAAGGGCGAGGGGAGTGCGAAGTGGCAGTGCGAGGGCCGGGCCATCGACCTCGTGCAGCCACGCAGTGTCTCCTCATGGTCCACATGTCGGCTCCTCGCACGCCATCGACCTCACGCAGCCACGCAGTGTCTCCTCGCAGTCCACGTGTCGGCTCCTTGCGCGAACGAGAAGGCTGGAGGACAGAGGGGCGAAGGGCGAGGGGAGTGCGAAGCGGCGGTGCGAGGGCCGGGCCATCGACCTCGTGCAGCCACGCGGTGTCTCGTCATGGTCCATGTGTCGGCTCCTTGCACGCCATCGACCTCACGCAGCCGCGCAGTGTCTCCTCGCAGTCCACGTGTCGGCTCCTTGCGCGAACGAGAAGGCTGGAGGACAGAGGGGCGAAGGGCGAGGGGAGTGCGAAGCGGCGGTGCGAGGGCGGGGCCATCAACCTCGCGCAGCCACACGGTGTCTTCTCGCAGTCTGCGTGTTGGCTCCTCGCACGAACGAGAAGGCCGGAGGACAGAGAGGTGAAGCGCAAGGGGAGTGCGAGGCCGTGGTGAGAGGGTGGGGCCGTCAACCTCGCGCAGCCATGCGGTGTTGCCTGGCTGTCCACGTGTCGGCTCCTCGTGCGAACGAGGAGGGCGGAGGAGGATGAGGGACCGAGGTGGCAGGAGAGTGTGGGAGTGTGGGGCCGGAGCGGCGTCATCGCACTGCAGTGGCTGGTGCAATGACGAGGAGGAAAAAGTTAGCACTGTATTGTAGGGATATGAAAAATCTTTTTTTAACTGACCTAGGGGTGCCCTTCGACCTCCGAAAACAAACGTGCCACCGAACATTTGCGTTCGACGGCGTGGGGGAGCGTGAACTGGAGGTTGGAGGTGTCGCCAAAAGTCTGCATCGTGCATCGTGAGCAGTGGTGAGTGTTCATCATCAGACATCGTGATACAGAGCACTCGCCGACTTTCGTCCTCTCCTCTGGGTGCATGATGCTGGGTGTCCCGCGATCTTCGTGGTGCGGGCAGGAGGTCATGAGGAGTGCACTGCATGATGCTGGCATGTACCTATGCTGTCTGGAGGACAGACTGGGGCATGTATATCTCAAAGGACAGGCTTTAAACTTCGGCTTTAAGCTTGAGCCCGAAGATTCGTGCATAGGTAGCTGCATGAGGCTAGGAAGGCAGAAATGGCATAGATAAATTGAGAGGATGAGTAGCAGCGAGATGCGACGCCGCAGCCAACTGAATTTGATGAGAGACACACCGGTGAGAGGTCAAGAGACAAGAAGAAAGACAGCGATGCCAACAGAGGATGTGCAAGAGTTGGGACAACCCCAAGGGGCATGCATAAATTGGATTTAAGACACAGGGTCAGAAAATCCGGTTAAGCACCCTTGAGACCCCCCCTCCCCCCGTGGGAATTTCCCACAGTCCATATATAGAAGGTCTCTGTATGTTTTCACGTGGAGAGTAGAGACAAAGGTTTTTCGATGCATATACTATCGATACAGCTCTGTAACTACACACTGATCAATACCTTGTTCTCCTTTTCTTGTGCGCATGAGATTTCTGATATTTTGCATGGCATTCATCCGTGCAAAACCATGGGCCTTTCGGTGGCTCCAGGAGGTCGACACATTCAAAGTGGTACTGACAGCAGGATAATGCGGACGTGAGATGCAACGTCAAAAAATAATGATAAGTCAACACACCCATTGCTTACAGCCAGATGTACTGCCTCCCCCGATTCAGGACCTTGACACCAGCAGAACGTCTCCTCATGGGATTCCGAGTTTACTGGCTCCGTCGAGTGCTGGGTTGCTATGTCAATGTCCAAATCCTCTTCGCTCTCAGGTAGAAGCTTAGGATCAATAGGAATATCCAATCGGTAGGTTGAGCCCGCAACGCTAGGTCAGGACCGTCCAGCTGATAGGTAGATGGCTTGCCCGTGGGACTCGAGGGTAACAGCTAAAGATTTGAGATGTTGGTGTTAGAGTAATGAAAACAATTAAAGCTTAAAGGACTGTGCTCACCACAACTTATATTCGTGAGACTGCTGGCCCCTTCCGACCGACGTGGTGCTTAGGATATTTTATGCAGGTTTTAAATATATATATATATATATAATTTCCAGTTAAGGGCCTCGGAGGCCCCCCCCCCTCCCCCTACCCTGTGTCTCGGAATCTGCCAGTGCATGCCCCTTGGACGACCCACAAATTTTACCAAGTTCACGGAGCACGTGATCGATGGTGCCATAGTTCGTAACAACTGGCCGATGCTTCCCGCCCTTCCCGACCTGCTCTGGCAGTGACTGAAGCACGAGGTGAAGCAGGTTGCTATCGGTTCTGTGACTATATAGCTAGCAGATAAACACAGAAAATATGCCAACACTACATTCCATACTCCCTGTTCAATTATATCCCTCCCTAATTTCCCTACTTTGATCGCCTCGGCAGGTGCCTTATTTTAGACCCGCATCTCGGCTAGATCGGAGTTTGCGGTTGCTCGCACTCTGCTCTGTGGATGTGGGCTTCCCTCATTTTGCTTGAATTTTGGATGGCTTGAAAGCTAATCATGCCCCAAAGAACACTGGAACCTTTCCTATGAAGAATGCATGCATGATCTTGCATACAAAGTGTTGAGATATTTTTGGCACATCTTTTACATAATGCCGAAGATCACGATGAGTGCCAAGCCGAGAGTAGGGAAAGTAGGGAGGGACATAATTGAACAGGGCATAGTTCATCTACTGTCTATTCACAGTCCCAAGTCACTGAAGAGCCAGCTTAGCCAAGATATCCCTTTGCAGATGCCCACGTTTAGGCTTGCATGCACCGGGAATTGGGCACATTTGAGATCTCAATGCACGGTAGCATACGAACCAACTCAATTTTTAAGATGCTTTAAAGCTCCGCTTGATAGGCGTAACCTCTCCATAGTGCTATGGAAATGTGAGTGGTGGCTACACAGCCCTACAGAGGTGTACATTGAGCGACGCGCGGCTACATGCCCTACACGTGTCTACGTAATCATGGCGGCAGCTACCTCACTTGGGGCTTTTTCCTGATGTGAATGAAGCCGGAGCAGACCCAGTCCAGGAGCACCCTTTCCCAGTAGAGTTCCTGCGGAGTCTGAATGCATCGGGCCTCCCTGCTGGCGAACTTCGTCTAAAACCTGGCTGTCCGTTGATGCTTCTTCGTAATCTTGCGCCCTCTCGAGGCCTCTGCAATGGTACTCACATGGTCCTGCTTCGCATGTCTGACCGAGTCTTGGAAGTTCGCCTGCTTGGAGGTGACCATGACGGTGCAATCGAGTTCATACCTCGGATTTCGCTCACACCGTCAGAAGGCCATACGGACTTCAGTTTTGTCTTGCGGCGGCACCAGTTCCCCGTCAGGCTGGCCTTTGCTATGTCCATAAATAAGGCACAGGGTCAGTCTGTGAGAACGGTTGGCCTTGATCTTCGAGTCCCGGTCTTCTCCCATGGGCAACTGTACGTCGCCCTCTCTCGTGCAACGTCTGGACGGCGAATCAAGTTGTTACTCTCACCGGATTCTACATGCCCTATTACAACAAATATTGTCTATCCTGAAGTTCTCCTAGATTAGGTATGCTCTTTCTCTGACTGACTTTTGCGATCCTGGCCGGCTGATCTCAATTCCAGAAAACTTTATTTAATTCGGTCCTTTGCCATGCTGATTGCAGTAGAGGGTTATGTGCATACAGTATATACTGTATATTTCGGTACGCTTACTTCCGACTTTAATTGCTGTGCAAGCTATTAGTGCATCAGGTTCGTGCATGCTCCATTTGCACGAGAGATTAACTCTGATCGCACCTCTGTTGCTCGACATAGAGTCCTCTTAATACTACGGTTTTGGGAGAAGTCCCCATAATGTGAGTTAGTGTACATGCCCCATACATTCAATTTGTATGCTATACATGTTTTCGCATCTTTACAGCGCACCGGCAAACAGTGCGCGATCCCGTCCCGTTTCACACCGTTATGTAAGTGCTCCGCACTGCCGAGCTTGATAAGACGTGCACATTCTCTTTGTGCTCTCATCCCACATCCCCTCTTTTTTCTATCTTAATCTTCAATTTATCTTCCACTCCTTCCAAATGTCAGGCGGCATTGCCAATCTTTGTGCTGTTGCCATGTTCCGCCACCCGCGACGCACGGAAGGCAAGACTTTCGTGTTCAATGCTGTCATCGACTTGCCAGGTGGCGATGAAGTTGTTGTGCTTCTTCGCTATTTCAACCAACACAACTTCTCCTTTCCGGATGGTTCCTACTATCAGATCAATGCAAATGTATGTACTCTGTTTTTTCTCAGGTTCTCGAGTCCTGCAAGTTGTTTACTGTTTGGTATGCAGGTTGCGAAGATCATTCCTGGTGTCAATACTCACTACACGTCAGCGATCGCAGAGGCTGACAGGCTGGATGGTGAAGAGTTTGATCTGATGGGAGATGTCATTTGGGTGAGTCGAGTCATCCTTCACATTGATTTTTCTTAGCTGACCTCTTACCGTGAAGCTTACGCCCCTGGAGAAGAACCCGGCCCCGATGCATGGCCCTATCATGTATGCTGCGGGAGCTGTAGCCGATGTTGACAAGGGCTGCTCGCAGTTCAACCTCAACACCGAACAGTTCATCACGTTCGCGCGTGATCTCGCTAGCATATCGAAGACCATGCCATCTGACGGAGTGGGCTCTGTCCAACCGCGCACCGGCCATGCAACGCTAACACTGCATGCGACTATTCCGGATTCCCCGCGTTGGAAAAAAAATGCGAAGCCGATGCCATCAAATGGAAAGTACGTCTATGTGCAGGGTCTGCTCAGGAAGGTCGATAGGGAAACCCGCAAGGACAGTAGCAATCGGGAGATTGAGGTCGCAACAATGTTTGCATTTGATGTCGAGAACATCACATTCATGGGTAGTGTCTCTGCCAAGACTTTACCGACACCGGCCGAACCTGTGGTGACGGTGGACTCCCCAAGTAAGTACTACATGTTTATTGACTCCTTTTTGTGCCGCCTTTCATGTGTCTCTCCCTTGCAGCTGTCAACGGTGCTCCTCAGAGTGCAAGGAAGCGCCTGAAGGCTGTTCACAGCCATCTCCGCAGGAGGTAGTCCACTTAAGCGGAAGCCTAGCACCGACCTTGAACCTTTGAGCTCGCAGTCCACCCATTCTGCTTGATTTTTTGCTCAATCCTCACAATCTCAGACAGTATCACACTTTGCTTCGATAGTATACCTTTTTAATATCCGACACTCTAATTTTGCAGCCATACTATTACTGATTGAAGTACATCCCAGTCAATTGACACTCTTGATTGTTACCAGTCAAACCGTGTGATATTGTGTTGTTTCAGTCGGTTCTCTTGAGCTTCAAGCATGGCACTGATGCCCCGTGGCAGCGCACGGGTAACTGCTAGTATACTTAGAAAGTGCCTGGTACGCTACAGCAGAATTTGAACACAGACCATCGATCACGTGGCAGATCAGATCTTTCGCACGACCGTGACGCAGCGGAAAGTCTATAGGTATGAAACGCGAGTATGAGCCCGTGGAATGGCCTACAGAGAGCTCGCTCTCAGACGCTCCCTATCCTGGAGTTGGCGCCGCTAGGCCCGCAGATTCTCAGCCGATCAAGCTCAAGTTCACTTTGAAGCGCATATTCGTGAGTGACATCATCGATCGATCCTGTCACAGCTCGTGTTGTGTTCATATCGTCCCCAGGATGATAGTGATGCGCACATTTGGGGACCAGTGGTCGGGTGGGGCAGCGTTTTCCTTGCAGGCAATCTATGTAGCCGTTTTCTCGGGATCAGACGGTGCAACATGGGCAGATTTCGGAGACGACTTGCGGGTGCCTGTACTGCTCTGGGAGTTGCGACCTTCTGGGATAGGGGATATTATCACCACGCACGACAGTACCAGGAGAACAGTGATCTTAGTACTATCTTCCATGTTACCTGGTTGACCTTTTACTTGGCATCCTTGGATCCTAATGGCCGTAAAGCTTTGCTGTCGGCGGCATCAGCGCCTCTGGTGCCATCGCTCTTTGCTCGTATCCAGGGACCGTATTTTCCTCCAGGTCAGTCGTTGCTTACCCGATCACATTCTTCCAGGTCCCATTCACTCCGCGGTGTTCTGTAGATGCGACGTTTGCTGAACGGACACGACAACAGCTATCTTGGCTGATCTACCAACTGTGGTTGAGTCGTCGTGCTAAAGCGGCTGCTAGATTCTGGTTTCAGCGCTATCTTGAGGATGCGAATCTGTCTCCACACGACATAGAGACAATTATAACCATGGTGGCGCAAGCCCTTGACGGTCCCGAGTGGCGGGTGAGCATCTTCTTGCACCACAATTTGACCTGGTCTTCAATCCTGTGCAGTTAGGCAATGCTTTGTCCCTCTGCATGACACTCTGCTGCTCTGCAGCACGAGCACTGGCACGGAAACATATGCCTGTCACAATATGGCTTAATTGTCTCTTGGCAGCATCCCTCGGTTCGTTGGCCATCACCGAGGGCTTATGGCCATACCACTATATCACCTATCCTTTGAGCATACATGACAAAGCTAAAGCAGCAGCTGCGTTGAGAAAGTACTATCCTGAAGCATTCGAGCGATTGACTGCGGAGCTCGATGAGTTCTCAGGTGACATCTTGGGCAGTGAGCCCTCATACGTTCAGGATGGGGCATGGGTGTGAAGGGTTCAAGTGAGTATGTAGTACCCGAGCTATCTCAGAGTCACAGGATCGGTGGCGAGTCTGTAGTTCTATCGAAGCACATCTCTTCATTGTTCAAGTTTAGTGGCATTTTACGCACATAACAATGATTACCACTAATTTATTTCGAGTCCAATATGTCGATGCATAGAAAAGATGTGCCGCTCGTCGTTGTGAGTACATAACTGGCCATGGGCCAAGATCATGTACATAGTAGATTCGATCAAAGCGGACAGATCTCAGATTCATACTTGCCCTGCCGCTCTCACGTGTGTACAAGTCGAGCCTCAAGCTGTTGTGCAGTATCTGTTCCTCATCATCTGACCTCTGTCGGCGACGGTGGAAGGACAGACAGGTGCATTTCAACAGCCGACACCGATGGATGATCGCACAAGTCGACACGATGATTATGAACCTCTGGATTTGTCCACCGAAATCCAGCTGCCAGTGCCCTCTTCGGTCGCTCAGCCAGAGGTTATGAGTGCCACCATTTCCAAGGCAGAGACAGGTGTTCAGTCCGTGCAGCTTAAGCACAATCTACAGCGCATATTTGTGAGTAGTGATCTCAGGTGTTAATCCATAGCTGTCGCATAATCGCCGCGTCCAGCACTGCACCGATAAACATATCTGGGCCCCCATCATTGGATGGGGTAGCATCTTCATAGCTGGAAGTCTGTGCGGTCGTTTCTTCGGCGTCAGACCACTCTACATTGCCAGGTATCGGATGCGGCTCGCAGGAACGTGCGCTGCACTAGGGACTGTAACTTTCTGGAATATGGCTATCAACAATAATGTGTCCAAGTTCGTGGCGGACGATGATATCCATCCCATCACGAACGTGGTCTTTACCTTCTACACAGTCGCTCAGGACCCCGAACGGCGGAAGGCTCTCATTTTACCGGAGTCGCTGGATTCTGTAATACCAGATCTGTTCGCTCGTATACAAGGGCCGTACATTTCTCCAGGTAAGCCGCCTCTATACTCCAAAAGCAGCTATCCTCCTATTTCCAACACTACATAGGCACGGACTTTAGCTCAGGTCTTTCACAGCGGATAACCTGGTGGACCAGCCACATATGGCCAAGTCGTAAAGCCCAAGGGGCTGCCAGATGGTGGTTCCAGGGTTTTCTAGAGGGTCAACAGCTCTCGCCGCATGACATAGACATCATTATGACACTGGTGGCACACGGCATTGATGGGCAAAGCTGGGATGTGAGTTCGCCTTTCATCTGGGCGTCCCTGTGGATCCTTACTGTGCCTCTATATTCCCGTGTTGTGTAGGAGATGGGTGGCTTAGCCATCGTCACTACCTTAGGCCTTGCAGCGGCGCGGGCATTAGCACGCAAGCACATGCGGATCACGAGATGGCTCAATTACTTCCTGGCTGCATCGTTTGGTGCATCGGCTATTATGTCGCAATTTCGGCTCTATCAGCTCACTGCCTATCCCTTTGATATCCACGATAAAGCAGGAGCAGCGGCTGCCCTCAGAAAATTTGACATCAAGAAGGCGGACGGTGGGAGGTATGAGCAACTACTGAACCGAGGTGCCCAATCGCGAGCGCCGCAATCTCAAAAATGATTGTGGCTGCCTTTGGTATGAAGCGAGGGAGAATCGTGAGGAATAGAAGAAAAGCCGGAGCAAGTTCCCATAATTACGCAGAGATAACGAATGATCACCTTCCATCCTCGTCCCAATTTATGTCATTTGTTGTTGACAGTTTTGCTAACGAATAGCTATGTTTTCGATTCCCGTGTTAGTCGTATATCACATCGTAAACGTACTTCCTATTTTTTTGAGTGAATGATAATTCTCATGGCCGCTAAATATCATCCTCGAACGAGTGGAATTGAACCAGGAGAGCGAGAGTGTGGAAACACAAACTATCCAAACGTACGCGACTGGTTCCCGCTCTTTAACTGACTATGTGCCTTCGGTGGGGCCGGGAAGTTTCCGTATTGGTGCCCAGCTGCGCCTACACGCATCCACCATCAGCATAATGCCTGCAAGCAGAGAACACGACGTACCTTTGCCTTGCCGATGCTTCTTCTTCCGCGCGCCCTGCTCCTCCGGCTCCAAATCGGACGCATCATCCAAGATGTTCGACACAGCATTGTAGTCGAATGGTGTCCCTTCCGCCGACGCCTTGCCTTCCTCATTCGCACTCGGCGTTTCTGCACCCTCACCTTCCTTACCGCTGGCACCGCGGTCCCGTTTGCGCTTTTTTGTGCGCGACTGGCCCACCACCACAATGGAGTGGTCCAGAACTTCTCGCAGAGGCTGTGGTTGGCGCTGTGAGACAGGTATAAACGGAATCTCGACTGCCATTTCCGATGTTTCCTCAACTTCCGCGACAGCAGATTCTTCGTCGACTTGTGGAGTTATAGGCAATTTGAGCGCGGACGGTGCAATAACCAAAGCACCGTGAATGCGTGCTACCACCTCTCGGAAATGCGATTCGGTCATCGCGTTGTTTCTCAACGGAGGGAGATCCGACTGATCACCAAAAAGAGAGCTCCGCGATGCTGCATAAGTGCTACTTTTCGTGCTCACCACTTCAGCTTTGTAGATGGCATTAGAGGTATTTCCGAACAGCGAGGACGAGAGAGCCGCCGCAGATGGTGGCAATACTGTAGATGACCATATAACACATCAACACTTGCAACATATCGAAAGCTACTCACCTTTGGCCCATAGTGAGGTCGACGAACTACTAATGACTGCATTCGAAGCCGCTTCGTTGACCTGCATGGTCTTCACCGTCTCCGGGGACACTTCGCTTGCCTGCTGCTGTTGCTCTGTAACATTAGCTGCTCCGGTATTGCCCAACTGCGCCTTCACGGTGTCGCGGATGGCATCGAGCAGTTCCTTTGTGCGCCGCCTGATCACAGGCGGGACGGGGTGGAACACAGACAACAGTGCCGCCATATCTGCGGGGGGGCGTTCGGCAAGGATGAAGATGTAATGGTTCGGGAGGACATAGCTACAGCCGTCAGAGAATATTAGCATCAACGTCTATATGAAAGCTGTAATTAGAGACAACGTACCGAGTACTCTCATCCTCCTCCCTTGCTACGGCGTCTCGCCACGCGTGAACGCACCGGTACACCCTGCGCTGTAGTGCCTGCACGCCCGTACCCTCTGGTTCCCCTGCTTCCTTCACTAATGCGCCCTTGTTCCACTTCCGCGCAAGTGTGTCCCAACCACCAGGGCCTGATCCACTTTCTTCGTTGTACGACTCCTTCGTATATACGCGTAGCGCGGTCTCTTCTGAGCGCGATAGTACGGTACGGATGAAGTTCTGTGGGGCGCTGGGTGTCGCTGCCCCGGGTGGCCTAGCGAAACCGGATGGACTTTGCGCGCGCGACTGAGATCGTGATCGGGATTGCGCGCGGTCAATAAGAGCGTTGCGAAGGTTGTCGTAGATGTACAGTAGGAAATGGGTGTCTGAACGGGCATAATGGAGCATTTCCTGGGGAAGCGGTCTGGAAAGTGTGAATGACGTCCTAACGCCTGGGAAGAGAAACTAACCGAATGCGCCAGTCAGCAAGCTGGTATCGTTTGTCTGCTGTGAAGTCGCAATACATCTCCAGCAGCGTCGCCAAGTTGTGTCTTGGGAATTCTAACAAACGGAAGCGATATACGAGATAAAAAGGGTGATGCCATAGAGTCAGGCGAATTTGCGCACCTAGCACTTTTGACGCATGGTATGTGTCGAAAAGATTTACGACGTAAAGATTGAAATCCTGCTGAAGCCATACGACGTCACTGTCCGCGCCATGTAGCACCTACATCGTCACCAATTTCCGATCAATGCAACAATGTGACTGCTAAAACTTACGTACCTTGACGATTTTGGGATCTGTGAATACCTCGTTCAGCGCCTCCATATCTTCGCGTACAGCCAGCGTATCGACAACCCAGTCTGCATCGCGTGTACTCAGCTGCATCAGACATACAAAACCTCCAAACGTGCGATAGCTATGATATTCGAGGTCCACCGCAATCTCTGACGCGCCACGCAGCATGTCGAGCATCGCATTGAACGATTCAGATGTTTCCACCCATGTGAAAGGCGTCTCGTCGAAAGAGCGGGGCTTAACGGGAGAGGAAAGGGAGAACATGCGTGACGGGTACGGGATGTGCTTGATCTCGTAGCGGTAAGGATGTAGGCTACAACAGAGGCACTCAGAAGCTACACGCCTATATGAAGAGAAAAGTATACCTAGTAATTTCACTGTCATCCTCGCCCTCGCCTTCTTCTTCGCCAAAGCTATACCCGAGCGGAACTTGGGCGTTGTACTTGTGAGCCAACGTGGGCCGCCAGATCGTATGCCTGCTGTTGTCAACTTTGCGCTTGAAGCGCAGTTGTGGCTTCGGGATGTGGGACGCATGCTGTAACGCAGGATCAAGTTTTCCTTGGGGAACGTTAGGCCTTTTGGTCTGCTACACCTTGGTCAAATAATGCTACGCATTCGCAAGCCCTGGTGCGACGCACCTTCTGCACAGTAGGCTGCACAGAATTCACAGTAATTGCGGGCGGCTTGGAGCGTCCGAGATACTCGTCCAAACAGATATCCTACAACCAAACGCGTCGGTCAGCGAAAGGCAGGCACGCGCGATGCAGAGCATTCCTCACTGCGCGCTCGAGCAGCTGGTCCATCGAATCGATGACCAGCGAATGGAAGTTGTCTACCACATCGTCTGTGCTTTCAAGCTTTGCCTTGCCCTTCCTTCGCGCGTCGGCAGAGGCGTCGGCAGTAGATGCAAGGGCGAGCAGTCGGTTGGTGAGCGCCAGGACCCGCCCGGAGCATGCGTCGATGTCTCGTGCGAAGCCACGGTCGATAGAGCGGTGAAACGCGAGGTCTGAAGGGATCCCGACCGCACATTTAGTCGCCTTGAGAGCGGCACTTTGGAGCTGGGTATTGTAAGTATTGAAACCGCTCGGATGAAGTTTTGTGGAAGAGGATGAAGAGGCGTCAGCCATGGTACTACCGTCAGTGCAGTCGCCAAGTTCTTGGAATTGTCAGAGTGGCGACCGGCTTGCACAGAGTGGTGAGCCTAGCATGAGTGCAGATTTACTATGACCTCCAAACATGGCAGTCCATTCCCACGGCCACAGCGGCGCGACCATCGACCACTGCGCTTACTACTGTACTTACAGAGTTTATCGTCGTCGATGCAGCTCTGAGCAGCTGCACAGCCTGAGCCTGGCAGATGTATACACACCTTTGATGGCTTTTCGTGCTCACCACTTTCGACGATTTTTACAGCAATGCATGCCCTCACAGACGAGCCAAGGCCAAGGCCGCTCGTCTCCATCCCGCTAGCACCTCCGGTTAGGCGTACGCCCCCCTACACATTCGATGACGACGACGACGACGACGACGACGAACGGGATGTGCCACCTAAGCGATGGTATCACTACATACCGCTGTGTTGTGAGTGACTTCTTGGCGTTACATGCCTTTGTGCAATGTTCACGCATATACATCCTTCGCAGGCGCCATATTCCTACTGCTCGCATTTCACCCATCTCTCCTAATCATGCTCGTGAACTACCATCTGCGCACCCTCCGCTCACCACTGCGATTCTGCGTGCACCTCTTTGTCACATACACACTGTCCTTCCTCGCCTTCTCTTCTCTCATCGCCGTCCTAACGCGAGATCCTGGACCAGTCATTGGAAAGAAAACCGAAACAGATACCCGTGACGAAGACATGGGCTTTATGCAGGCTTTGATGGATACGGGGGATGTAACAGATCATCCTCCTGGCAAATGGTGCGGGAAGTGCTCTTCGTCCAAACCAGAGCGTGCACATCATTGCAGCTCTTGCGGAAGATGCGTACTCAAGATGGGTGAGTCCAATCGCTGGAGCAACATTTCTCGCTTGCCCTGATGCGTATGATAGATCACCATTGTGGTTGGCTTGGGAAGTGTATCGTGAGTTTTGGTACTAAATGTGACTCTCAAATGACGATTCGGACTTTCTGTCAGGGCCACAGGAATTATACATCATTCATCCACCTTCTGACATGTATCACTTTACTCGCCCTGTATGTTGCCATGCTATCTATTTCTGCTGTGTATTACGCTTTCACAAATCCCTTGTCCATCGTGCGTCCTCCTTTTCTTAGCTCTTCTGTGCTCACTGATGGACTTCCAAGCAGGACGAGAAGACTCCGCTGCACGAACTTTTCTTGACATTCCTCGGCTTGGTAGTCTCTCTTGTAATTGGCGCATTCTGGGTCTACCATATCTATTTGGCATCGTGCGTTGATGCACTATTCTCTGCGCGTTGTTACTGACTTCATCACGTATAGTACGAATCAAACAACGCTTGAGAACCTCTCTCCTTTCCTACTCCTCCGCGAAGTGCCTTCACTGCCACCATCAAGCGGGCAGAACACACTCTCCAACCCCCCGCAGGAACATGAGCTCTCATCCAAACAGCGGCGCCTCGTGCGGGATGCGCACAATTACATTCGGCTGTACGATTTGGGCTGGCGGAAGAACTGGACACAGCTCATAGGCTGGAGGCGTCCATGGGGATGGCTGTGGCGCCTTACTATTGGCGGCGGAGGGTGAGTTCGGTATCAGCACGACAAAGTGGTGCGCATGTTGACAGTAAGGCTTCTGAATGTAGGGTCGGAGATGGACGGACGTTCCTCCGGAATCCGCGTGCAGATGAGATGCTCGCGCGCCTCGCGGTGCGCTTGGTCGAGGTGGAGAAGGACCATTGAGACAACGAGCTCCTTTGCGTCTTCTCTTTTCAATTAACCACAGTCCGTTTCGCTGATCGTGGCTGTCTGGCTTGCCCTGCTATTCGACATCATTTATTGGCCCACTCACATGTTACAGAATATCATCACCCCTTGACTTCCACCGGCTCCGGGAGTTGTTCAGGGCCATGTCCGGAGTGCCTCATTGTAAGATTTTGGTGAGACTGGTGCGTTTTGACTGTTGTCAGCTGACTCTTGAATTAGAACTTCTGGGTTGGAGGAGGGAAGCATTGGTCAACGGCCGGAGCTCGCTCACGTTCGTTGTATCTCTCTTAACAGACTAAATGACAATTATCTACGTAAGTAACCCCTCAGGGAGTAAACTGGCGGCAATTTGTGTTCATTGGGGAGTGAAGCGACAGTCTTATACGTCCTGATCAATAATCCTTCCCAGCAAGTGAGTACTTCTGGCAAACGTCTCGACCATGCTAACTTTGTTATAGACCGTATGATTTGGTATATAATGTGACTTTTGAACGCGGCCAACTCTTCCATAATATTGCAGTGTTTTTACGTAAACGTTTCGGGATGACTCCGCTGTGTGACACGAGCCCATCGAAGGACACACGTGCACGGTCAGACTTGCGCTTCTGCTCCTCGCCCTCTCCGTTGTCCTGGTTTGCACCGCTTCGGGCAGCTTTAGTGAGCCCCTACTCAACCCCTACTTTACCCACCGTTCTCCTGTTTTGAGTCCGGAACACTTTCGTCCTTCTGATGGTAACATTGAGGGTTGGCATGCCATAGTGGCAAGGTAAGTAACTATAGGTGTCTGCTTCGCCGTCTGCCCACTTGATGTCATAGGAGGCTTACTTACATAAGCACAGACCGAATTGAGAGCCGGCTTTACCGCGTCACTCTGGCAGTCATACATCCAATTCAAGCACTCCCTTCAACAATATACCCCCCCTAGAATGCAGTCGATTCATATACAATTGAACCGCCTACGCCCCCTCGGCATTCCCGGTTCCTCCTTTCTTTCGTCCTCCCATGTCGTCCATCGATATCATCGACCTCCGTGCGCAGCGTGCTCGCGACCTTAGGGGCGAGCGCACCCTCCGCGACGACGTCCTCGCTGGTCTGTCTCAGCCGTCGGGCCAGAAGTGGCTTCCCACCATGCTTCTGTATGACGACTATGGGCTGAGGTTGTACGACGATATCACAACCAAGGCGCCCGAGTACTATCTTTTCTCAGCAGAAGAGCAGATCCTCAAGACCCATGCAGATGACGTGGCCCGCAGTATGCACGCCCCTTCTCTGGGATCGTTACATGGCCAGCAATTGAACACGGAAGAAGTAGTCGTAGAGCTTGGTGCTGGGTGGGTTTTCGTTTCATTTATCCATGAGCGTTGTCCACCGTGGCGTGTTGGACCCAAATACGCGTCGTCAAAGGATCTTGTAAATCTCATGATGTGGTTCCTTCCAAATGATCACCGGATTCTGTTTCGTACATGAAGTCTATCGCCTGGTATCGGTCATCACGTGTGCCGTCTTATCTTCTTCCTCTCAATCACCGAAGCAACGGCTGACCTTTAAGTATGGGGTTCACAGTGCTTTACGAAAAACTTCGCATATCCTCTCTGCACTCTCACGGCTCGCTCCAGCTGGACCCTATCCTCTCTTCAACTATTACGCACTCGACCTCGAACAGCGCGAGCTCGAGCGCACTCTCGCTGCACTTAATTCTTCAGACGTAGGCGAACAGATACACGGAAAGGTTGCCACTAGAGGCATGTGTGCAACGTACGACGACGGGCTGAAGTTCATCCAGGAGGGCGGCTTAGAGGGCAGGAATGGTTTTTCGACGGACGCATCAGATCTATTCAAACTGGAGCACTCTGGAAGAGACATCTCACCCAGCTCCGCGACGTCCTCGAGAAGTGCAGCAGAAACGGATGAGACGCCACCTTCAACGCCGGGCTCCCATCAGCCGCTGCACATCCTGTTCCTAGGATCGTCGCTAGGGAACTTTTCTCGTGGAGACGATGCTGCGTTTTTGCGCTCGCTGCCGCTTGGTGCCGGTTCGGGCGATACCTTGCTTTTGGGCTTGGACCACGACAATGAACGCAGCGAGATCGAGGTTGCGTATAACGACTCTCAAGGCATTACCACCAAGTTCATCATGAACGGGCTGAAGTGTGCTGGCCGCGCGCTCGGCGACGAGCATGCCTTTGACGAAAACAAGTGGGAGTATGTCGGGAAGTACGACGAGGAAGCACGTATGTCGATCGCTACGCAATTGATGCTGGCGCCTATGCTAAACAGAGTTTGAAGGCCGCCATGAGGCTTATTATAAGTCGACTTCGAAGCAGACTATTGTGGATCCTACCACGGGCGCGGAGTATTCCTTCGATATGGGCGAACTCGTCCGCATTGAGGTTTCCCAGAAGGTGCGCTCTTGTTGCTGCTGTGACGAAGACAATCCTACTTAAACCATTTGCGTAGTACTCCGATAAGGATGCGTATGCTCTCTTCACGGATGCCGCCCTCCGCCCCATCCAGCGCTGGACCGACAGCACGTCCAAGTATTCGCTCTGGCTCCTCGAGCGCCCCCAGTTCGTGTTCCCGCTTCTGGCTTTCCCCCGTGGTTCGGCTGCTACCACACCATTTGGCATGCCTACCGTCGAAGAATGGCACACGATGTGGGCGGCTTGGGACCTTATCACGTGTTGCATGATCCCGCCCTCGATGTTGTTCCAAAAGCCGATTGACCTGAGGCACATCTGTTTGTTCTACTGCGGACATATCCCCACGTTCCTGTCCATTCACTTGTCGAGAGTGCTTGGGGAAGCCGACACGGATCCCGTGGAGTTTAAGGTCGGTGAGACCTCGTCGCGCTGCATATGAGACATACTAATTCGTGACACAGTACATCTTTGAGGTAAGCCAATCTATAAGTGGTATGTAGACGAACGTTGATCAATCCGCACACCATCTCAGCGCGGAATCGACCCGATTGTGGATGATCCTACTCAGTGTCATGTGAGTATTCGAGTAGGGACGAAATGTAACTCGGGTCTGATAATGGGCAACGTGCAGCCTCACTCGGAAGTTCCCAAGAGCGATGACGAATGGCCCTCCCTCGCTAGCATCGTGGTGTTCCAGTCCAGGGTGCGCGAGCGGCTGATGCGGCTCTACCGGGATATTAACTCTGGCAAAATCACACTGACGAGGAAGCTTGCGAGAGTGTTGTTCATGACGCTCGAGCACGAAGCTTTCCATGCAGAGGTATGCTCCACAAAACTGGCAATACTGCACCCCAACTAAACACATATCTTCAGACGCTACTCTACATACTCCTGCAGCGTGCGGGCACTGGCACACTACCTCCTACTGGCTTCAGTCCTCCAGTTTGGTCGACGCTCGCCAGTGGTTGGGATCACGATCCGCTGCCGTCTACGTCAACCGTTACGCTTGGTCCTGCCACCGTGACGCTTGGACATGACGACAACGAATCAGAGGACGCATGCGCCGACGTTGAAGGTCATGCATTTGGTTGGGACAACGAGCATCCCAAGAGAGAAGTCCACGTCGGCGAATTCAAAATTGAATGGCGGCCGATTACCAATGGCGAGTTCTATAAGTATTACTCTAGCAAGGGCAAGGAGGCTGTCAAGTTCCCCGCCGGCTGGGTCGAGATGGACGGCGAGGTCCAAGTGAGTGTTTCCGAGTTTTCACAACTTTACGTTGCCAACACAGACGTGCAGGTTCGCACCCTGTATGGGCCAGTCCCTATGAATGTCGCGAAACATTGGCCCATTGTCACCTCCTATGATAACTTGTCGACGTACGCAAGGGTGAGAGGCGGCCGCATCCCCACCGAGCCCGAACTACGCCTCTTCATGGACATGTTCGATTGCGGATACGAGGGAGGTGCCAACATCGGGTTTAGAAACTGGCACCCTATTCCGTGAGTCTCAGCTCTTCAACGCTGGTAATGTCTGTCTTACTCTGCTTGTGGCAAGTGCTACCACTGGTCGCAACAAGGACGGTGGGAAGGGACATAACGGTGGTGTTTGGGAGTGGACTTCCACGCTACTTGAGAAATATGACGGATTTATCCCGTCTCGCCTCTACCCTGGGTAAGGACCGATTGAGTCCGAACGTCGTTCGATTTCGTTTACATGCGATGCAGCTATTCGACCGACTTCTTTGATGGCCACCATCAAGTTGTGGTACGTTTGAATTCTGGTTTTTCTCCGATGGCCCTACTGATTCCTTGTACCTTCCAGCTTGGCGGTTCGTACGCAACCATCCCACGTCTTGCAGAGCGGCGGACGCTGCGCAACTATTACCAGCACAACTACCCGTACGCCTGGGTCGGGGCTAGGATCGCGTACGATGTGACGAAGTAAGCAGACGGAACCACCTGACAAAATTCAAAAGAACGCACCCGGACTTCACATGTAGACCGCATGCCTGTACGCTTATATCGGTCGCTCCTGTATAGCATACGAACGTATTCGTGGAGGATTGCAATGTTTTTGTACAGCGTCATGCCTTGTCTTCACCTTGTCTATCGCGGTTGTTATCGCTCGTCCAGAATCGGACGCTTCATGTTACTGATATGGGCAGTAGAATGATACAGCGCGCCGGCGCTCTCCGAGATAAACGAGCCCGCGTACTGGATGATGTACAAGGGAGAACGCGAGAACGGATGGCGAGCGAGATACAGACACAAACATTTACGACAGCGAAGACTACAAAACCAGCTCGAGACCAGGACAAGCGAAAGCGTGGTGGCGACAGCTAATACATATGACAAGTACAGTATAATGCATGCGTGAGCCTGACGAATGTAAGGCGACATCTGTGCCGGCTCGGGCGGAATGGCAGCTAAACAACGCTGAAGTAGTTCGACCCATCCGCCGGAGAGCGCAGGGGGGTGGGAGTCCCAAGGGGCCTTTGTTCTAGTCTGGTCGGAATGGGTGAAGAAGGCGGATGAGGACGGAGAGAGGTAATGATGAACGGGGATGCTAGAGGCATGTCACTATCCCCACCGCCCATGGGAGGGGTAGGCGGCGATGGGGTGTGAAGGTTGTATGACAGTCTTCGGGCGATGCCCATCCGTAAGGGTTGCTCACGAGCTCGAAGGATATTGAAGAAGCCGGTGCTAGGGGATATGCGAGGAGCAGAGGCAGGTGGTCTAAGACTCGTAGTGTTCAGGCGAAGAATGGGATGGCGCGAGTTTGCTCGGACGTCTGTGCCAGAAGGGCTGTACAAAGATGTCATGCTCGAGGATAGATAGGAAGTCTCTCCTTCGATACTGAAAGATGGCCACATGTCTGCCCCTGCATCATTCAGACTAGGAGAAGCCAAGGGAGAGCAAGCCATAGGATCCGTGTATGACGTCATCGAGAACGGGGACGATACGCTGGGTCTGCAAAGAGGGGTTCGACTTATGCTTGGAGGTGCATCCGGTGTATGCATGATCTGGTCTACAGGTGTCACAGGCGATGTATGGTCATTTTCGCCTCTGATCAAAGACAATGGCCACCGGCGAGAGATTGACGCAGGCAAGGAACCAGATACGCCATCAGAAGCTGGAGGTGGTTCTTCCCAGCAGGGAGGAAGGGGCGGGAGAATTACTCTGGAGTGTAAGACTGGGATATTGGATTCAAGGCGACGACGGGACATTGATACAGGAACGTGAAGGGGAGAGTGGACCATGGCACCCGGTGAGGACGATACCGGAGAGTCATCAGGAGCAGGTGACAAAGAGAGATGAACAGAAGCGAAGGTATCGGCAGGTGTGAAGTCATCTACATTCTGCAGAGCAGATGGAGACAATGTATTGGTAGTAGGTTTTGCATGAGCCCAGAGGTTGGAGGATGAATGACTGCCTCGTCCATCTGAATGGCAACAACTATCTGTGGGTATGGTTCTGGATCAGCATTCGCAGACTGAAGTAGAAAAGTGTTCATACTGTCTTTGTATCGGACTCTCAGATTATGAACGTACTTGAGCAATTGTATTGGAGAAAGCGTCCATCCTGTCTTGCTGTGTATATACTTCAGGACAAGCTGAGCGAGAGTGGTGGGAATATCGATAGAACAGGGGATAGCTCGATATAGGGATAACGCTGAAGATCAGAAATTATAAATCGCATAGTACAAGCACAGGTTATGTTGGACATGGTATTAGGCGTACAATATACGAACCTTCCAAACATGCAAGACGTCCGGAATGACTGCGAAAACGACAATGAAATGCCCTCCTCCCACGATTCGACGATAAACGAGGCATGAAAGAGGCAGTGGATGGTTGTGAATCGTCCCACCCCAGGAGGCTGCGGTTCGAATGAACGCGGTGGTCACAGTCTGTGACGTCGCGTGACGCGACGCGCCTCAAACGCCAGATAAGATTAGATAGACCCTTTCAAATTTTGATACAGCGGCTTCACCGTTACCGTGACATCCTCCGAGTCCTGGGACTGCTATCGAAGATAGTATGCGTTCGTCTATCCTGCGCTTTGATATGATTCTGATCTTCATATAGGGAAGATCGCCCAGGTCCGTACAGTGCACGCATATAAATACCATGAAGACTCAGTCGAGTCATCCAGACAATGCTGGTGCTGCCGGGTTATTCCTACCTCTCTCGGACGAAGCGGGACACCCTGCTAAAGAACATTCAGAGAGATTGCCCAAATATTCTCTTGGTAGATGCAGTCTATCTTCATCTCGTCGCCTGTTGCTCTCCCGCAGTTGAGCAGGAGCTTGCTGAGCCAACTTCTCCTGAACGGAAGATCCTCGATCGGCTGCTGGACTACGGCGACGATATCCGGCTTCCAGGAACAACTGAGGCCCTGCGTTTCAATCAGAACGTAGCGTACGTGCTGCCGAGACCCGGTTCAATATCTCCTTGGTCAAGCAAGGCGACAGATATTGCGGCGATATGCAACTTGCGGAACCATATTGAGAGACTCGAGCACGGTGTTGCGTTTGTGTTCACCACAACGGGAGCTGCCATCACATCGGAAGACCTTCAAAAAATTTCACATCTCCTCCACGACCGTATGACGCATGTCGTGCAGCTCTCTCCTCCGGATCCCGCTGCTCTCTTTTCACACGAGAAGGCTCGGTCACTGCGCACTGTTCCTTTGTCTTCAGCATTTTCCAGCGGTCAAGCCGCTCGAGAGAGACTTGTCAGTGCGAACAAGGAGTTTGGTCTCGCCCTCTCTGCGGATGAAATCGACTACCTGGTCGATGCCTTCGTGTCAGGATCGTCTCCCATTAATCGCGACCCCACAGATGCCGAACTGTTTATGTTTGCCCAAGTCAATTCGGAACACTGCAGGCACAAGATTTTCAATGCGACGTGGACGATCGACGGCCAGATGAAGGACACATCTCTGTTCCAGATGATTCGGAACACGGAAAAAGTCAATGGGACAGGAACAGTCTCTGCCTACTCTGACAACGCCGCTGTTTTGGAAGGTTGCCTCGCTCCTCGATTTAGCCCAGCCGACAGACCGAACCTCTACCAAGCTCGCGTAGAGCACATGCCCATCCTCGTCAAAGTGGAGACTCACAACCATCCCACTGCCGTCTCGCCGTACCCAGGAGCAGCGACAGGATCTGGTGGCGAAATCAGAGATGAGGGGGCCGTAGGACGTGGTTCCAAGCCGAAAGCCGGGCTCTCTGGCTTCACGGTTTCGAATCTGCTTATCCCAGAATATGAGCAGCCTTGGGAAACAGACTTTGGACGTCCAGGGCACATTGCATCTGCGTTGGACATCATGATCGAGGGACCCTTGGGAGCGTGTGCTTTCAACAACGAGTTCGGACGTCCGGCATTGGCAGGATATTTCCGCACGTTCGTTGAGCGCGTTCCCACAAGCGAGAATGGCACCACAGAGATCAGAGGATACCACAAGCCCATCATGATCGCTGGCGGTCTGGGAAACGTCCGTCCAGCATTCGCAAGAAAGTCGAAGATTTCGGCTGGCGCGAAGATTGTCGTCCTCGGTGGGCCAGGAATGCTCATTGGCCTTGGTGGCGGTGCTGCAAGTAGCCAGGTATCTGGTGCAAGCTCTGCAGAGTTGGACTTTGCGAGCGTGCAGAGAGAAAACCCTGAAATGCAGAGAAGATGCCAGCAAGTGATTGACGCATGCGTCGACCTAGGAGAAGGCAACCCCATCCAGTCTATCCATGATGTGGGTGCTGGCGGGTTGTCGAACGCCTTGCCGGAGTTGGTGCACGACTCTGACTTGGGTGCGATATTCGAAATCAGAGATGTCTTGGTCGCCGACTCTAGCATGTCTCCCATGGAGATCTGGTGCAATGAGAGCCAGGAACGATATGTCCTTGCTATTTCTCCCGATAAGGAGGAGGAATTCAGGACATTAGCTACGCGCGAACGCTGTCCGTTCTCGATCGTCGGTATCGCGACTACGGAAGAGGAACTGATTGTCACAGACCGCTTGCTCAAGCAAGAGGTCATTCACTTGAAGATGTCGACGCTCTTCGGCAAGCCCCCCCGGATGCACCGTACCGATGCCACGAAAATCGCATCTCTCACATTGTTCGACGCCTCTCTCCGCAATTACCTTCCTACTGCCGCTACGCTATCAGAACGACTCTCTCTTGCAGTGAACAGAGTTCTGCGCCTCCCCTCCGTCGGCTCTAAGTCCTTCCTCATCACCATTGGAGACAGGTCCGTTACGGGGCTGGTGACTCGCGATCAAATGGCGGGCCCGTGGCAGGTGCCTGTGGCAGACGTCGCCGTTACTCGAGCATCGTACGGTTTTGATGTGCTGCAGGGTGAAGCGATGGCCATGGGCGAGCGCACACCGGTTGCCTTGCTCAGTCCTGCAGCATCAGCCCGCATGGCTGTGGCGGAATCCCTCACCAACCTTGCAGCGGCTCATGTGGGTGACCTGGGGCGCGTGAAGTTGAGCGCGAACTGGATGTGTGCTGCATCTAAGGCCGGCGAAGGTGCCGCGCTATACGAGGCCGTGAAGGCCGTCGGGATGGAGCTCTGTCCCGCTCTGGGCGTAGGCATCCCTGTCGGCAAAGACTCAATGTCGATGTCGATGAAATGGAGGGAAGGTACGGAGCAGCGTGAAGTCAGTGCGCCATTGTCGCTCATCGTGACTGCCTTTGCTGGCATCGAGAACGTTCGCGCGACGTGGACCCCTCAGCTTCGGACCGATGTTGGTGAACCAACGGTGCTGGTGTTCTTTGATCTCGCCGGCGGCAAGCATCGTCTCGGAGGATCAGCTCTTGCGCAAGTGTTTAAGGAAATTGGTTCAGACGCTCCTGACGTGGAAGATCCTGCGCTCTTGAAAGCATTCTTCGTCGGATGTCAGAAAGTTAGAACCACCGAGCCTGGATTGGTGCTCGCGTATCACGACAGATCTGATGGTGGTCTGTTCACCACTGTAGCAGAGATGTCGTTCGCTGGCCGCGTGGGGGTGAAGATCTCTTTGGACGTTATCACCGCCGTCGCGGATCCGATCTCAGCGTTGTTCAACGAAGAGCTCGGTGCGGTGTTGCAGGTCCGCAGGTCGCAAGTTCCTCGTCTTCAAGAAGTCTTTGTTGGAGCTGGCTTCCCCGCATCGTTCATTCACAAGATCGGCCTAGTAGAGAAGAATGCCGCTGATCAGTCGTTCACGATCATCTACAACTCCACTGTGTTCTTCACCAGCACGCGCCAAGAGCTGCAAAAGGCGTGGGCGGAAACATCCTATAGAATGCAGCTACTCAGGGACAATCCGGCAGGCGCGAAGGAGGAGTACGCTCTCATTGCGGACGAGTCTCACAGAGGACTCTACTACGACCTGACTTTCGCCTACGAGCCCACTCGCGATCTGGCTCTCACGTCCAGGCCTAAGGTCGCAATCCTACGCGAGCAGGGAGTAAACGGACACGTGGAGATGGCATGGGCGTTCACCGCAGCAGGCTTCGATGCCATCGACGTGCACATGTCCGACATCCTCAGCGGCGCGACCCGCCTCTCCGGGTTTCGCGGGATCGCCGCGTGCGGCGGGTTTTCCTACGGCGACGTCCTCGGCGCGGGCAAAGGCTGGGCGAACTCCGTGCTCCTGAACACGACCGCGCGCACGGAGTTCCACGCGTTCTTCGCCCGTGCGGACACGTTCGCGCTCGGCGTCTGCAACGGGTGCCAGTTCATGAGCAACCTGCGCGAGATCATACCCGGTGCGGAGGCCTGGCCGGACTTCAAGCGCAACCGCAGCGAGCGCTACGAGGGGCGCGTCGCGATGGTCGAGGTCGTCCCCGGGCTCGTGACGAGCGCGTCGGTGTTCCTGCACGACATGGTCGGCTCGAAGCTGCCCGTGGCAGTTGCGCACGGCGAGGGCCGCGTATCGTACAGCGGCGACACGCAAGGATCTGTGCGTGCGCTGGAGGAGCGTGGCTTGCTAGCTGTGCGATATGTCGATGCGGACGGGAAACCGACGGAAGTGTACCCGCTGAATCCGAATGGAAGCCCGGGTGGCATTACCGGCGTGCAGACACCAGATGGACGCGTCCTGGCGCTGATGCCGCACCCGGAGCGGGTCGTCACCCTTGAGAGCAACAGCTGGTACCCACCCGAGTTTGTGGACACGTGGAAGGGGAGTGGACCTTGGTTCAGGCTTTTCCAGAATGCACGCAGGTGGTGTGGCAACTGAAGAGAAGAGATAGAGCTGTGCTGTTGAAGAAGACTAAAAATTCGTCTGTATCCTTGGCTTTATTGTGGTCGGCGTAGTTTTGGGAAGAAAATGTATCTCTACGTATCATGAACAGAAGATGTAATCGTAAATTTACGAACGATCTGTGCAATACCGACAGTGTTGTCTGCCTTCTCCGATAGTACAAACCGGCGCAGGAATCATGGAGGCGAACGACAACAACTGCTATATCGGGAAAGACACCTCGGACGGGCGTTTCATATGTTTACTAACCTTCCGCTCAACCTCACCTCCGTCCAAGGAGCCTAACCTACCCTACTTCCCGTATCTCTAATCTCCATTAGATGACCACACCCGCAGCCTTCGCCGCCGGCCAAGCGGCCAAAGACAAAGTACGCCCGTGCCCTCTCCCGCTCCACCTGGGCACTCGCAGACGCTGACCGCGCCGCAGGGCAACGCCGCGTTCAAGGCGGGCGACTTCGCGGACGCGGTCGGGCACTACAGCGCCGCGATGCGCGCGGACGCGCGCAACCCGACGTTCCCGCTCAACCGCGCCGCGGCGTACCTGAGACTAGGCAAGTGCGTGCGCGCGCGCGTGTGCTCCGGCGTCTGCGGCGCTGACGGTGTGCGGTGTATTTTTTTTGCGCGCACAGGAACGAGGACGCGGAGCGCGATTGCGGCGCCGTCCTCAGCCTCGACCCGCGCAGCGTCAAGGCGCTCTTCCGGCGCGCCCAGGCGCGAGCTGCGCTGCAGAAACTCGCGGATGCGCAAGCTGGTGCGTTCCGGCTCTCACCCGTCTGACTTACCATCGTCCGACCTCCCTCACATCCAGACCTCGAATACGCCGTTCGGCTCGAGCCCGCGAACGACGAGGTGAAGCGCGAGCTGAAGCGCGTCGACGAGGCGCTGCAGGCGCAGAAGCGCAAAAAGCCCTTAGTGCGTCGTGCTCGTTCCCCCTCTGTCCCGCGCTCCTCACGCCACCGCAGAGGACGAAGCCCGCAGAGGTCCCCGCGGTGCCCAGTGCGAAGCCGACACCCACGAAGCTAGCGAGCACACCAGCAAAATCGCCCGCCGCCCCGAAACGCCGGCGGGTCCCCATCGAGATCGTCGAGCCTCAGCCGACCTCCTCGACCGCGCCTCCCGCGCCCGGTCCCTCCACGTCGGAGCTCCTTACCCCGCGCTCCTCGCGCATGCTCTCGGCCTCGCCACCCCCGCCAGCGCCTGCCGCCGCGCCATCGCCGACGCCGAAACCCCCGGGGACGTTCCAGGCGGCGAAGGAGGCGCGTGCGGGCGGGCCGATGGGCGGGATCTTCCGCCCGGACGGGCGGCACACGCTCTTTGGAGCTCCTGCGCAGAAGCAGGCGAAGGAGAACGCCAAGGAAGAAACGAAGGCGTCTCCCCCGCCTGCGCCTGCGCCGGCGGTGGTTCCCACCCCAGCAGCCGTGGAGACGCCGGCAAAGTCCCCGATGACGCTGTTCGCGTTCACGCGGCGCTGGGACGCGCAGAAGACGGCCGAGGACCGCTGGGCGCTGCTGAACGTGCGTTGTCGCGCCGTTGTGTTCTTTTCGTTTACGCCTCTGACGTCTGAGCGGTGCAGGAGATCCCGCCGACCGGGCTGCCGGCGCTGTTCCAGGCGTCGCTCGAGTCGGCGATGCTCGCGGGGTTGCTGGCGACGTTCCGGGACGTCCTCGTGCGCGGAGTTGCGCAGCCGGCGCAGGTGCGGGCGTACCTGCTGAGCGTGGCGCGGGTGCCGCGGTTCGGCACGGTGGTGCTGTTTATGGGGCGGGAGGAGCGGGCGGTGATCGGCGAGGTGTGGGGGCTGGTGGGGGACGCGGTGGCTGAGGAGGAGCGAGAGCGGCGGGCGTGGGGCGTGAGTTGATGTAGCGCGCAGGGGCGCTATGGCAGCTCAGAGATAGTATAGTAGAATCCGGGGAATAAATTAGAGCGGGCTGAGGACAGCGTGCAATACATATCATCGGGTAACATACACTGCTCGATCGCTGGATTCCTTTCCTGTGCGGCCGCTGCAGCCTGCGGCAGCGGCTGGTACTACTGCTACAACACACGCGTCTGGGGGCGGGTCGGTGGGGGAAAAATTGTGGAGGGCGTGGAGGGGCGGGGGCGTTACGCGTCGTCTTCTTCGCCGAGGCCGCCGTGGTCCTCGTACCACTTTTTGAGCCAGGCCTCTGCGGTGGCGTACTCTGACTTTACGCGGGAGAGGAGGGGGCCGATGAGAGCGAGGGCGGCGGGGGGCTGGAGGTCGATGGCGTGCTCCTCGTCGCGGAGCTGGCCGTAGTGCTGGATCTGCTCGCAGGAGGCTTGGACCTTTGAGACGCCGAGGGCGGCGGAGGAGCCCTTGAGGAAGTGGCCGAGGGAGGAGAGCTTTGGGAGGTCTTTGGCGGAGCTGCGACGGGCGGGTGAGTGGAGTCAACGGGCGGGAGGGCGGGAGCACGCACAAGGCCTCGTCCATCTCGGTGAAGGTGGTGCTGGCCTGGGAGAAGTAGGCCCAGGCCATGCCGCGGGAAAAGTCGTGGGTGTCGTCCTCGTCGAGGTCGAGGATCTGGTGGAAGGTTTCGATGTCGATGGTGCTCTGTGCGTCGGGCTCGGTGGCGGGCTCGGTGGCGGGCTCGGTGACGGGCTGCGGGGCGGGGTGAGCATGGCAGGTACTCTACGGGGAAGGTGCACACCTGTTCAGCCTCGTTATCGGCGTCGTCTGATGTGGATGTCGGAGCGAGGGACTGTGCACGGGATTGCGGAGCGGGGGTGGGAGAGTGGCGGGGAGCTGGAACGGGATCGGGAACTGATGGCGGGGGCGATGGAGAGCGAGGGTCGCGGGGAGAGCGGGGAGGGACAGAGGCTCTGGCGATGGGTGCGGTGGCCATGGCTCGAGGATGGCGGTCACGGTGGAGAATGCCAAAAGGTCTCCATTGGAGACAAGTCTAGGCGATCTCTCCCGCGGGCAATACCAGCGCCATTGGCGTCATCCCATCGCGATAACCGCATGTCCTCTGACGAGCACGATCTGCACGGACACCAAGGCCACCTCGACGCGGAGCAGCAGGCCGCGTTCGAGCACTTCGAGCAGCTGCTGGCCAGCGCGGGGCTGTACACCGCGGCCAGCGACGACGAGCCTGCCTCGCACGACGAGCCCACTCTGCTGTAAGCACCCGTACGGGCCATGTCGTCATCGCTCTCCGCTCACCGATCGCCCAGGCGCTTCCTGCGCGCCCGCCGCTTCGAACCCCACAAGGCCCTCCGCCAGTTCTCCGACGCGCACGCCTGGCGCGCCGCCCACGACGTCGACCGGCTCTACGCCACCTTCCCGCCAGACGAGTTTGAGAGCGCGCGCAGGTTCTACCCCCGCTGGACCGGTCGCCGCGACAAGGTGCGTCCTCTGCGCTTGCTTCCTGTCTCCCGCTACACCTCGCCGCAGAATGGCCTCCCGCTCTACGTCTACCGCCTCGCCGCCCTCGACGCCGTCCTCCAAAAGGAGCTCTACGCTGTCCCCCCCGCCCGCCGCTACCAGCGCATGTGCGTCCCTCCCCTGCTCCGCGGCTGCCGCTGACCGCACCCCAGCGTCGCCCTGTACGAGACCATGACCAACTTCATCCTCCGCCTCTGCTCCTTCCTCCCCCACCGCACCGCCCCCACCCCCGTCTCCTCCGTCACCACCATCATCGACCTCGCCCACGTCTCCTTCTCCACCATGTGGGCCCTCCGCTCCCACCTCCACGAGTCCTCTGCCCTCGCCACTGCCAACTACCCCGAGACCCTCCACACCATCGCCGTCGTCAACTCCCCCGCCTTCTTCCCCACCGTCTGGGGCTGGATAAAGGTCTCCCCCGCCCGTTATCCTCTTTCCCCCCGCACGCTGACCTTCCACTGCAGAACTGGTTCGACGAGGGCACTCGCCGCAAAATACACATCCTCGGCCACGAGCCCGGGCCCGCCCTCCGCCAGCTCATCGACCCCGAACACCTCCCCAAGTCCTACGGCGGCGACCTCGACTGGAACTTTGAGGACGAGCCCGCACTCGACCAAGACGCCGCCCTCGTCCTCGGCGGCGCCATGCCCAAGGGCCCCGCCTACTTTGACGACGGCCGCGTCCGCTTGCCGGAACACACCCCGAGTTGACTCTCGTAGTACATACCATAGACGTGGCCCTCGTAGATCATGTGGACTTTGTACATCTGCTTAAAATCACAGTGTGCGATTGCAATTACAAGACGTGTACACTAGCAGTCTATGCACATGCGACGAAACTTCGCCCTCAACAGCAACAAGATAGACCAATAATAATACGAAAAAGTTCGACCAGCCCCGCACGTTCACGCAACGTCGTCCTCGGGCTCCGCCGTCAGCCCGTCCTCGTTCCAAATCTCCAGGAACTGCGCACGGGCAAGTCAGTAATCCGGCGCGCAACCACACAAATCGCGACTCACCCTCCTCCGCTGCGTCGCCCCGTCCTCCCCCGTCAGCAGCGGCGCGCACGCAAACGGCAGCCGCTCCCACGACACCCCCCGCTCGTGCTTCCGCGTCGCCGGCCGGTCCCCCACCGCGCTCTTCTTCCCCACGACCCACTTGCTGCATTTCCTGTTCCCGCATGTCAATATCCGTCGGGTGCATCCACTGCGAGCACGACATACTCTTCAGAGATCCCATACAGCCCCTTCAGGTGCGCCTTCAGCAGCATGATCATCGCCACGATCACCGAGCTCCGCATCAGAGCCAGGTTCGCCACCGCCGCCGGCGCTGCTGGTATTATCGCCGTCAGACGCAGAACGCCGAGCCCACCATCGCACTCACCTCGTCCGCCTGCCGGCTGCACCTCCGTGCCGTCCTGCGCCGGCCCATGCAGCTGCGCCAGCAGATCCGACGGCGAAAGCGTCTCCACCAGCTGCATCCCCGTCGTCGACAGCACCGCCGTCAAGTACTTCATCACCGTCAGCACCTCCTCCTGCGTCTTGTACTCGAACGTCCCAAAATTCTCCGCCATGTATCGCACAAACTCCACGTCGTCCTATCGTCAAAAACTCTGTAAACGTTTCGCACGCGCACACACCGCTTCACGCACCTGCGTCGACTTGCTCATCTCCACGTCAAACACCTTCACCAGAGCCTTCAAAAAGTCCTGCCGCATCGTCCGCTTCTCACGCACAAGCCCGTACCACCGTTGCAGCAACGCCGTCGGCGACGGCAGCATGCGATACCCTGCAGCACATCGATGGTCATCCGATGTCATTCCGCCCCGCGACAGACGACGTACCCTGCACTTGGCCTCCACAGAGCTTTTTCCGGTAATCGAACGACGCTCTTGCGCTCACGACGAACCGCGCGTTCAAAAGCGACGTGTGCTTGCTGTGCAATATAGCATGCAACGCATTCGCGCGCGTACTCAACGCGTGATTCGGACTGGTCTCCAACGCCACAATCACAGGGAACGACTAAGCGCCGATAGCTCAGCGACAACGCGGTTCCAGTCATTACGGCCCGACATACCTGCAGCGGATGTGCAAGCCCCTGCTTGATTGTGAAACTGAGAATGTCCACCGCCGCTGCTTGGATCTGCGCGTTTGGCGATAGCGCCGCCTGTAGAATAGGATCCAGGTATCGCTGCACGACGGCCGAGCTCACGCTGAGAAAATACGATGAGCGCGATGTCCTGTGACGAGGATGCGAACGACGCCTACCCCGAATCGGCAAAACCATCGGTGTTCCCGACAAGCTCCTCCATGTTGACCTTTCCCGGAACGGTCTTACCCTTGGTGTTTGCTGCGTACGGATCGAGAGGGTGAGCAATAAATGGATCACGAGCACGGGAGCTCACTCTTCTCTTTGGCCGCGTGCTTCGCCGCCTCCGACACGAGGAACTCTTGCAGAATTTTGAGAAGACGACCGCGCGCTTCCTCTGTAGGTGATGCGAATATTGCATCCATGATGGAAGCTGAACCATCTGACGTCATCAAGGCAGGCTGGGCCCGGAACAAGAACCCTTGAGAGGAGCAATTGTAACGTGATACAACGAAGAAAATAGCTGCGAGGACACACCGAGACATTGCAAGATACGGCCCCTCAAACCAGCGTCACCATACTTGTCATACAGCTTCAGAAGGCTGCCGTACACATATTCTATAATCGAACCCTTGGCAAAAAACCTCAATACGTGAGGCAATCTTCTGTCGATATATATACATTACCTTCGTGATACTATCGATTTCGGGGCCCAGATCTAGAACCCGTCAGCAGCGTTGAGACGATAAATGTCACACTGTCTTACTATCGCGTTCAACCCTCAGCCTGTCGAAATCGCAATGCTCGCACAGCAACGAGGCAATGAAGAGAAGGATGGAAAGTGAGCGCTGTTCAACAGCCGTCATAGATTGAGAAGCAGGTTTAGCAATAGCCTGTTGGAGACGGGCTATCCGACGCAATAAGAACCAAATTATCCTTTGACCGGAGGATGACTCTCACCATTACAGGACCTCAGGAGCGCCACCAGCCGTCCAAAGTCATGCGTAATGTTCTGAACAGTCGCACACATGCATGCCACCGTCTCCTGCAGGCCCTGCAATTCAAGCGTTCAAGATTCAAGAAAACGATGGACGGTGGGCATTCTACGTACCTGTAATCCCGCAGCCGTGGAGGGCTTGAGAATCATCGGTTGAAGTGCTAGCTGGAGTTCTTGACCAAACTTGGCCATAGTCTTGGGCATATGCGGGATGGACGCTCTGAATATCCGTAGCAAGTAGTCCGAAGTAACTTGTTCCTCCGGCTATCAGGACATTTTCTGTCAGCAACACTGCGTGCAATACAACGACGAGCACTTGCCGTGGCAGAATTCTTCAAGTACGGTAGCAACGTTGACGCATTGGACCCGGATAGAACGGCCGGATATGCTGATGTGAAAAGATGAATGGTCCGAATGCAATTGACTACAGTCTGCAACGTGGAAATTTAGGCACATCAGAAAACGGTGCTAGCAGAGAACAACACACGAAGTCAGGGAGGTCCGAAGCGTCAACCAACCCGTCGATCAAGGCTTCGCAGATCTCCGCATACTTCCCGTGCAAAGCAGACGCCTCCTGGCCTTCCTTGTCGGTGATGATCTGGTGCAGCATGTCCTCCAAGGGAGATTGGCGGTCTTTGAAATGGCCAGCTACACCCATAATCACGGCGACTTTGCATAACAGTTGCGACCTGTCAAGAGCAGCAGGAACGGAGGGCAGGCCTATCCTTGCTCTCTGCGTAGTTGGGATGGAGGCAGGTACCTGGAACCAGAGCTCTTCAACGGTCTTGATGGCTAAGTCCTTGACGGTATCGTCTTCATCTAGCATTCGTAGAACGAGGCGAGTGCAAATATCAATGCAACGTGATCTATCATCTGTAACACTATAGAAAGACTTCAGAAGCTTGATGACTCTCTTTCGGACTCCCAGGCCCGTGTCCTGAGAATGATTGTAAGCCAATCGTTTGTAATCTGTGCATTGACGAAGCTCACAGCCATTCGGTCTGCGATCTTCTGGTAATAATCTGCAGCAAATTTGGGGGAGTCTATCATGTACTTGCCAATGAGCTCCACAGCGGCGTCGCGGACAGCCGGTGAGCTGTCAAGCAAATGTCCTTCAATAGCTCTTCTGACGTTTGGCTGTGTAGAAGTATCTCGTCAGATTCTACAGCTGGAACGTCTCATAGCTACGTACTGCAGACAGAATACTCGGGTCGCTAGTGACAATCTGACCCAATGCCTTCAGAGCCTTAGTGCGCATGAAGACTGGAGGCGCGTCCAGGGCCTGCAGTACCACATTCAGGATCGGATGAAACGAGTTCCTCAGGCTTTGATTTGTACCAATCTCTTCAGAAAGGCAGTCAATGCGTGCCACTTCCTCGTGTGAACTCCTGTACTGACATTACTACATATTCGGTGCCACGGAAAGAGTCAAGACATACCCAGAATCAAATACATCAGAGACGGATCCTTCCCAAACATCGCGCAAAGCATTTTTCACTTTCAACGCAAATGGCAGTAACTTGCTGCGATCAGCTTTGGGGTCAATTTCATCTTCTCCGGAGTCACCCAGCATCGAGCCACATTGTTGCAGTGCAAGGGCCAATTCTTGTCCCCAGATGACAGCCGTGAGCTCACGCGCACTCTGCATAATCTCATTAAAACTATCTCAAAGAATCCATAGTGACGACTGACGTCAAATGCTTGGTCCTCTGATGATCGCTTGCAGAGGTTAGATGAGAGCTCCTGGTGAGCTGACATCAACTTCTGCAGCTGTTCCATGTCGGTTGTCGACAGGAGCTGTTATTCCTGAGTAAGCATATGTGCTGGAGATTAAGCAGTGGCAGTACTTCGTCCAACGATGGCAAACTTCCATGCGAAGAGGCACCGACATGTTGTTTGAACTTGAGCATACTTGACCTCAGGCGAGCAGCAATCACACCTAGATGGTCCAGAGCCATCTGTTTCATGGCATTATTGTCGGTCTGGCTCGTCTTCACGTCATCCAGTGATGATACCTGCAGCGGGTAAGTGAGGTACATACACTAACAGCAACGCGGATTCACAGACCATGAACTTGCATATGATGCTCAGTATCAAGCTTGCAGCTGGCCATTCCGGCCAAAAGAGTACGGAGAGCAAGTCAGAAATAAGATTGTCGAATATGACTCGGTATTCAGCCTCGTTAGAATTCTTCGTAACCTTGCTCTTACCCGAGCTTGTAGAGAAGTAAGACGTCGGATGTCACACGTTTGTAGAGACGAACTGACCGTTGCGTCAAAAATAAAATGATAGTCTTGGCAGCCTTCATCGCGGAATCCAATCCAGACACGTACATTCGGATTTCCTGCGGAGGAGTCACGTCCAAATCACGGACGAAGAACGTTGAAGACACACCTCCATGTCTCTCTCGTCGAGCAATGCATCAATGTGCTTGTTCTGGCTCAGATCTTGGTGGCGCACTGCAAGTACCTCTTCACGGAGTCTGTTTAGTCTGCGAGCTTCCGTTCGCACATCGTGCGCCGACGTTTGAACCAGCTGCAGCAGAAGCGCAGACACAGTGCGAATGGAACGCCCGTCTCGCAGGCTGAAAGTACTATTCAATGCAGGAACGTGCACTATTGAATAAACAGACATACCGAAATTGCCCTGCCTTTTGCTTGGTGTCTGAGAGTTTGATAAGAGACGATAGTATTTCTTCTATGATCCAAGCTCGTTGGTCTTCATGATTTGCAAATACCTGGGTGCGGGTCAGCTCCTCGATTCAGAAGTTGAAAGTGAGGCTTACGCTGCGAATTAACGACAGCGCATCCAGCCTCAGGCCTCTCATAGCACTGGATCCCAGAGTGTTGAGAACTACATTCTCTTTCTTCCCCCTGCCGTCATTCTCGTCTAATACGAAGAAGGGGCCAATGGCAATATATACCGCCTGAATGATGATACTCTCAGACATCGCCATGGAGTCTGCGGTGATGAGGTTGTTGATACGGGGAATGACAGACGAAATAGCCTGGAAGATTTCGGCAAGTTGGCGCCTATGAACACTCTCGCGTGGTGACCGAAGGACGTAGCGTAGAAGAGGTGTCCGCCCATGAACTTCCGCAGATGCTTCGACAAAAGCATACACCACCTTGTTAAGCTGGTTCTTGACGGAACTAAGACATGTAGTGATGAGTTCTTCCGAGTATAGCTACAACTCTCGACGTCAGTAACACAAACATATGCGTCAGTAAATAACAATACCTGTTTTGTAAGTCTATCGCTTGCGAGCAAAGCGATACAGCAGTCTGCAGCCAGGACGCTGTCTCTGGCAGTGTCCAGTACTTTGGTCAGTTTATCCAAGTCTACCTCTGTCACATCTTGTGAGACTGGCCGTTCATCGGCGCTCATGCTTGCATTCTCGTCATCAGACACTTGCTCGTCACTTGAAATTTTAGGTGTCTTCGACTTGGATCGTCTGGCATTGTCTTCGGCGTGCTTTTTCGACGATTTGCTTGACTTCTTCGCCGAAGCCTGACTAGAAGTCTTCGCGGTGGGCTCGCCAGCGCTACCAAATGGTTCAACGTCCTCACCACTTTTGACGGTTCGATCTAGAATCTTGAGTATTCGCGACAAAGCATTCGTGTCGACATCGGTCATCCTGCCTTTGGCCCTCGGAGTGCCTCCGATAGCACTACCGTCTCGAGAAGATAACCGAAGACGCTTGCTCGGCCGCGCAACCTTAGCTATATGACTGGTAAGTTTGCGGATGATTACCGGGTGGAGAAGAGAATGAGCGCCATCAACTGTATGAGGTGAGAAGAAGTCAGATGGGAGATCGTGAGGGCTGGCGTCAGGTGGTAAGGCGTCCTCGGCTTCAAAGATGTCCTCCAACAAGGTGGTAAGTTTCTCCAGAGGGGCTATTGACGTTGAGTGAACAAGATGGATCGTTATACGTAAAATAGAGCGTACCTCTGTCATCCCTCTCGCCCGTAGTACGTCTACCTGATTGCTTCACAGAATCGCTCCGTCTTACAGAGCTCTGACTCGTCGGAGGATACTCTTCGTCTGAACCGAATCCACCGAGATCATCATCAATCATCGCCTTACCTTTGCCTTTCGACTGAGAATCTTGACGTTCACGTCTCCCTGACGTAGGTGTAAAGTAGACCTTGGAAAGTGGGGGTACATCCACGTAGGCTTGTAGCTTCCGCTTTGAAGTGGGCGTAGTCGTAGCACTGGGTGTCGACGATTTTCGTAACGTCGATGGACTCGGCACAAGAACTTCGACTCGATGTATTCGCTTCACCGTAGGCGACTCCATGAAGGTCACATCTTTCCGCTTTCTCGGCGTTTGAAAGGGGATCGAGACTTGAGGACTAGAGCTACCTATAGCTAGGGGATCAGGAGACTCTCCTTCTCTTGGAGGTTCTCTAGAACGATAGGGCGTAGACTTTCCATCCCTTTGGACAAGAGTTGGCCCTTCTAGTTCGGCGGTTGTCTGAGCAAGGAAGTTGTTGAAGAACCGTCCAGATTCCTCTGCGCGATGCACGGGCTTGGGAGGCTTACGAGGAGGCTCTACAAGAGCATACGCTAGCGAGGAAGAAGACGTGCTTATGCTTGGCGGCGGCGGCGTTGGATAGGCAGCAGACGGAGCCGAGTGCTGGAAGATGGATTGAGCGAATGGGGTGCTCTGATAGGTGGACGAATATGGATACTGCTGTGCTGGTGGTAATTGATAGTGGAAGTATTCGCTATTCAAAGAATCAGACGTGTGGATGGTGGTGAACAATCAATTTCACTTACGAGCCCTGTTCTCCCATGTACCTAATCGCTTCATTATGTGTGTTCTCCCAATATCCTCCGTCATTGACAGGAATGTATGGACCAGAGATATGCCGCAACTCGTTTGTGTATTCGGTCAAGGATGAGAACGGCGCTTGGGCGTATTGCGATGCCTGAGTGTTGTAGGCATGTGCATGCGTCTGCATGTAGGATGGAGGCGCAGCAGAGATCGTCAAGTTGCTCAAATGTCGTGCAACTGGACACATATGAGCACAAAATCTTGCTCAAGAGGTGACACTAACCATGAACTGAAGGAGTTGCGGATGCGAAGGGATACACGGCGAGCAGTCTGTGAGCCTGCTGGACGGAGTCGGCGGCAACTCTCCCTACAGATGCTTCTGGAGAATTACAATTCTGGTGGTATCTGCCTCCATGAGAAGAATACCAGTCTTCCTTGCTCATGGTCTTTGAGAAAAAGCAACGAAAGGATGTGGCACGCGCGCGCGGGGGATAGGAAATGCAATTCACCCAACGATCTTTCGGACGCGGCAACTTCCGCGATCCAATCTCATCACGTGCACACTTCACGTAAACGTCGAACATAAGGCTCACAGCGCAAAGTACGTGAATATTAATGTATGGTAGTAGTACATTGGGTTAGAATACAGAATGTACACAGAGAAGTTGTCTCTGATAAGAAAGAAATAAGACGAGAAATAAGTAACCAAAACCAAGTATCTCAGAGAGAAAAAACCATACAGATCAGCCTTCCGAAGGCGCTGCATCAGAACTCGCGCAGCGAGATTGGTACCCCATGGTATTCCGGGAGCGCCTTGCTTCACTTCGATTGCGCGGCCATGTCACGTCTCGTCGTCTGCCGGTACTCTCGACATGGCGAATGTCGCCAAGCAACCTCTCCGCATGCTGCGCAAAATTGTCGCCGACAAAGCGTCGCAGCCAGAAGATATTCTTGTAGTCGACCTGCGACGCAACAATCTTGCTTAATTCGGCGAGTACTTCCTGGGTATGGTGTCCCCGCTCCAAGATGCCCTGTACCTGCGCAAGCATCAATACCGGCAACTATGATATCAGTTCTACTTCTGTCTTAGCACGCACCTCATCACTGTCAATCTCACTGTGCTCGTCTTCCGCATCCTCCGCGCCACTTTGAAGATCAGAAGTCTCGATTGACTCATGTTTTTGTTCTGCGGCATCCCTGGCATCCCCTTCGGACATGGCTTCTTCTCGTGAGCATTTGCCCAAGATGCTTTCGGCGACGCTTCTCTGAGTCATCTCGCGCCAGCTACCTCCTTTCAGCTTCTCCTTGTTGCCCAGCCAAAGGTGATCATCGCCATCAGTGATCGAGCCGTCGCTGGCCTCCGCAGGTTCTGGGGTGACGTCTTGTCCCTCAAGCATCTTCGGGCGCAGGTCAGGATGACAGTAGATAGGGATGGTCCTGCGACGGACCACTTGACGAAAGAAGCGAGGGGGTGGTTTCACGACGGCTTGTACCAGGTGCTTGCACAGGTGGTATGCATTGTATTTTTGATTCCCACAACCACATGTCCATGTTGCCACGTTCACATGGTAATCAATGCCTGAGTTGCTGATAGGTTTCTTTTCGAGAGTCCGCCATGCTTTTTTGAATCTGATCTGATAGGAGGTGAGTTTTTTCGAGCGACCGATGCGGTAAGTGTCCTCGAGTTCTTGAGCTCGCTTCATGTATGCAGGGACAACCTTTGTGCTCAAGATCCAGATTAGCTGATCCAGTCGAGGTCTAAGTAGGTGTGGAAGAAAGTCATGCTTGACTTGCTTGAAGTGGTTTTCGGTGTTCATGGTCGTGCGAGCCCGAGAAATCCATGGCGTCGTCGATCGGGCCCACAGATGCCACCGCCGGTGAGAATACCAGGAAGTCCACATGTACGCCCAGACCTCAGTGAGACCACGAATCTGACAGAAGAGATACATCTCGTAGACAGCATCACGGCGAATTTGTTCAGAGGTGTGTGATTTGCCATCACGTTCGATGAACAAGGGGTGCTGACAGAAGTGTTTGGTGAATAGATGCAGGAGAGCCTTGCGGTGTGGCGCAGGACAAAACACGTACGTCGGGTCGGCAGATTTTTTCTCACCCATGTCGAAGACCCAATCTGGTGCATCCTCTGCGTCAGTCTCATCTTCATCAGACTTACCATTGACATCGTCTCTTATATCCCCACTGTCTGCACCATCACCAATATCTTCACCAATGTCTTCCATCACATTCGAGTGGTGATGCTGCTGCAGACTCTGTTCTGCAGCAGCGTCACTTCCCGAATTGTCTTCTTCTTCAGAACTCGTGCCTGATCCAGATGCAATCTCTACGTGCACTACATCTTTGCTCCTGATGGTTGGTCGTCTTGGTAATCGTAACATCAACCGATGCTCCTGAGGAACCAGTGGCTGAAGTACACCGTTGATGCGGAACTGGAGCTGGGGGAGTGCGGTCTTCCTTGGCTGGTATTGGGTGCTCGACGGTTGGCGTTGGGACACAGGAAGAAAGTCCACATCAATGAAAGTGAATTCCCGGTGAGCCTCTTCAATGTCGTAGTGTGCCGGCATCCGTCGGAGGATTGAGAGCCGTGTCTTGATGGCCCGCAGTGCATGCCAGAAGCAAAGCTGATGCTTTGCATCTGGAAATATTCTGCGGAGGGCATTGATCTCACTCCAGTCTTTGTCAGACAGGGTAATAATGATACGGAGGTTCCATTGTGATCGCAGCTGATGAAGAAATTGTTCCAGTACGTCCTGCTTTGCTCCTTGCTCCGCGTCAGCACTAGATTGTACAAGCAGATACCCGAGTGGCAGACCGGATCCGTAGGCCTCTCCTAATATAGTGAACAATTCAAATCGTGAACCATTAGTATTCCCTGTCCAGGCGTGAGTATGTCTCGTTCATTCAGAACAACCCAAAACTCACATGTAGAATCCATGGCCAATTCTCGGATACGACCACCCCACTGCCGCAAGATATTTGGCAGACTGAATGCAATTGTCGTAAGCCCGGGCGGTGATGCAATCGGAACAGGTTGAACTGTATACAGTCCCGAAGAATTTTTACAGCCTTCTTCGAGTAGGATTTTTGCTGACTTAAGCTCATTCCCGTCACGTTTCCAGTTTTTGCTGTCTGCTTCTGACCACATCTGGTAGATGGCCTTCTTAGTAAACTGTGCATCTGGGTATTTGTCGATTATTTCTTTCCATAGCTATGTGGGTGCAATGTGATTAGATAGCATTCAAATGTATGGAGAATGCATACCTGTGTGGGTGTCATTGAGGCATTCTTGGCAACAAAAGCCTCAACGTCATTGGGGATATCAATCGAACAATATGGTATGTGATCATCATCATGCACAAGCTGTACGGACACAACAGATGAACCTTCTGTTGTAGTAATGGACAGCCAGCCCCTGCAATTGAATGACATCATGCTCTCCTTGTCGCGCTGTTTATCTGGCGTAGGTGCCGACTTCTTCGATTGCTTCTGGCGGGTTTCACTTTGTGCGCAGTAGTATCGGAATTTGATGCACCCAGCTGCAACATTCCATTTACTGTGATACCTGTGAATAGATCAGCCATGCAATATTTCGGTGGTCACTGGAACTCACGGCCACCGATAGCCTGTCACCTCCCACACCAACTTTGCAACTGTATTGGCAATTGTCTTGCCATCTTTTACATCCTCACCTAAGCTCCTGGTGTCCACTTCGGCCTCAATATTGATGCACCCATTTCCCGATTCTAGAACGGCCAAAAAGTCCGTGAAGGCCACAGTACTCAGCATACTTCCCTTTTTCTCTTCATTCTGTTCCTTGTATTTGGTCTTCTGTGTTCTTGACTTTCGCTCCGAGCATTCTGTGCATGTTGCTGACAAATTTCCCTTGTTGACACCCTTCTTTGCGAGCGAAAATGCATGAAGTGGCCGCAGCCGCTTGCAGGCCACACAAGTTCTGGAGTGAGAGCCACCGAGATCGGGGCTGAGGGAAGCCATAACATAAACAGAGAGGAAGACCAGAAATTATAGAAGAAGATGGAGTGTCAGCCACTGAATAGAGTGCTAGAAAGAATGGAGCGCGAATGACAGATGCCAGTCGACGCGCGACGCGACGTGAAGTGTGCACGTGATGAGATTGGATCGCGGAAGTTGCCGCATCCGAAAGATCGTTGGGTGAATTGCATTTCCTGCGGGGGATACGTAGAACAGCAGACGCGCTCGATATGTCACGCTGCGCGACCACTGTCATGCCTGTTACTAGTCTCGTAACCAGCCGTTCTGAGATTCGAGTGTGCACGTGATGAGATTGGATCGCGGAAGTTGCCGCGTCCGAAAGATCGTTGGGTGAATTGCATTTCCTGCGGGGGATACGTAGAACAGCAGACGCGCTCGATATGTCACGCTGCGCGACCACTGTCATGCCTGTTACTAGTCTCGTAACCAGCCGTTCTGAGATTCGACCCTTTTTAGGATTTGTGTGGAGGGTCGTGTCAGAACGTCTGGTGACTTTCGTATAGGCGGGGGAGGGTATGTCACATGGGCGTGACCTCAGCCAAAACTCGAAACATCCGAACTCGAACGCGGCGCATTCACGGGTTACCGATGCCTAGAATAGGGTTCGGGGTGCATATGGTTGCATACATGAACAATATTTATCAGCAGGAGGCAGGATGGATGTGCAGGTACACGCGGGATGACCAGCGTGACACGCGCTGCGCGGGAGCTACAGCCAGGAGAGCGTTACATACCCCCCCCCTCTATACGACTTTCACCAGACGTTCTGCTGTGCGACCCTCTCTTCTGTCCGTTTTCGGTAAGTCGCACGTGAACGTCTGGTCACGAGACTAGCCTGTTACTTAATTGAGCGAGTAGTACATCAGGAAAAGTCAAATCTGCTTAGCCTCCTTATCTGCCTTAATAAGGAGAAATAAGACAATCCTTCTTCTTATTCCTTCTTATTCTTTCTTATTTCTCCTTATTTCTTTTTCCTCTTTATAAGGAAAATAAGGAAGAATAAGTCGAGTTTTAATAGGTCTAATCTCTGGCACTATCCTCTGAAATTGGAGGCGTACAAGATTAGCCGGGTGCAGCGACTCGGTGGCTGCTGCACACCGAGCTGCTCATACAAAAATTCAATTTTCCTAAAGTCCGCTAGAGGTCCTAATAAAGATGAGTCGGAAGATGGAATAGAGGAAAATGGTCGATGATTGAGTTGGGTTGGTAAAGCTAGGAGGTAGACGGCCCATGCGATGGTCCATCAAAAGGTGATCGTCCGTCGAAAATGAACGCCTGCAGGAGTACGGGGTGCTTGCAGATATAGGCCTCCCATGCATCTGATGACCATCTGCCCATGGCCTGGATCATCTGGGGGGTGACGCCAGCTTCAGCTAGAGCGGTGGCTCCGCCCGATCACATCGAGTGGCCCGAGATGTCGCAAGGAAAGAAAGAACGGAGGTGTTTGATGAATCAGCTGCGCGTCGGAACAGAGCCATTGGACTGTAGCCATAGTTCATAGTGGCACGGGAAACAGGAATCTCGGCACTCGAGGTAGCGCGCGAATGCAGCACAAGGGTCAGAGTTTGTGCAGGCAGCTCGTTTGATCAGGATGTGATTTCCCTCGAAAAATCTATCAGTTTTACTGGTCGGCAACCAGAAGGAGTACGTGTCCACCGTGATTTCGACTAGATGATGATGTGAAAGACACCGCAGGTCACGTAGTTCAATTGTATCTGGCCAGATGAGTTCTCCGAGATGCATTAATGCGTGGAACCCCATGAGGAGGAGGCTGAGGAATAGGCAGTCATCAAGCAAAATGGAGTTGGTCAGTGTGTGAGCCGCGAATTGCAGGTCATCCTGCATGAGTGCTCATTTATGCTTCGCGGTGAATTGTAGAGGTGTAGACAGCCCTTCAGTGTGCGAGACAGGAGCTGAGCTTCATGGATGCGACGGACCATGGGGAAAAACTGCTCAAGTTCACTGCAAATCCCGGAAAGGTACGAGTTGACAGATTTCGGTTTTATGTGGCAGCTCATGTATACAACGTAGAAGCTGAGAGTGTCTTCAGTGGGTTCCACTGCCAGCTGGTGCAGTTTGCAGAAATTGAGGTACGAATTCAGTGCAGATGAATAGGTTAATTTTGTTGATTTGTTCAGGGCATAACTGAGGGCAATGGACTGCTCGTGCACAAGGCACTCCAGGGACCACGGTTGCCGTAAAGGCTGCCGTGATCAGTGGGAGGATTGGATCATTGCGCAGCTGCCCCCAGCGCATCTCGAGGGGGTGTAAAAGGTGAGAGTTGAATTTTGGGAATCAGCTCCATGACCAGCTCAAATCGTTTCCTAGACAGTGCATCGGCCATGACGTTCTCCTTCCCGGGGATATGCACAACACATAACTGTGCATCATCTTGGAGTAAGACATCCATGGCACTCTTCGTGATATCGTTGTATGCTGGGAGTGCTCGCAACATATTAAACAGTGCGACCATATTGGTGTTATTAGAGTACACCGCAATGCGAGAGATGGGCTCGACACTCATCGCAGTAGCCTCGTGTATTGCAGAGCAGACAGCGAGGGCCTCGAAAAAGATGATGGCATCATTTGGCGCCTGGCGTGGTAAATCCAAGTAAAAGCCTGCACATTCCCAGGGGAAATACAATCTCAGACCAACTCCAGAGGCATCCACGAAGGCAAGTGCATGCCGCAGATTGTCATTCAAGAGGTCCTTTGGTTCTCAATGGGTTGCACCTAGGAAACTGACACCTGTGGGATGCTCAACATGATGGATCATCCAGCGGAGATCGGCGATGATGCGGGTGTTCACGTAGATACCGGAGTGAGGATTCCTTTTTCCGGCTATCTTTGCATACACATTTGATAGTGCTGGCTTCAGCAGTGGGTAGACATTAAAGGCCCAGTTAGCTAGCGAGGGACTGAAATTCTTTCAGGGATCATTGACGATGTCCCGGTGGGATGTCACAGAAACGGCGCAGTTCATCAATTAATTTATGCTGCGCAGATTCCGGCAGCATTGCCATTATAGCATTCAGATCAATGTTGATGCCAATGTAGGGGTGCGGGACACCATTTGTTTGTTTCACCTGTTTGTGGGGTAGGCCAATTTCATCCCACAGGAGGAGCAGCTTGGTCTGTCCAGCTGGGAAGAAAGCATGATATGGCTCGTACCACAGCACATCACCCTCCTGATTGAATGCTGAGTTGTCATCGACAAAATTGACATGTGGGTTGTCTCGTTGGAACCAGGTGATCCACAGTACAAGACTCATGAATGCCGATAATGTTGCACCAATCGACGTGATGGTGACCGTCAACTGAGGTGATCTGCTTGATCTGCCAATATGGCGACATGGAGATTTGGCAGTAGGTCTGTGACACATCGGATTTCCACATCACTAAGGGCACATTTTCATGGTGCGTGCGATAGTTCCATAGCATGCGTCCCAAAGCTGGTACCCCATCCATTGTAACTTTGTGTGGGTCCTCACGCTGGATCATGGAATTGAGTGAGAACTGTCCTGCGCTATGGTCAGTTATGAGCCGCATTTTGTCACTGTTCAGTTTTGGGATGGCATGAACTGGCATGCAATACATTCCCGGGAGCAGTTGTGATCCGAAACTCTCCGACCACCGGCCCACTGCTACTTCTTCATCGCGGAGATCGCAGAGGAACTGGGTGGCCTGTGTGTCCGGAGGGTGAGCATGCACACTACCATCCCATGTGACTGGGTAGGTCTCTGCGGAGGTGTCTGCCCATGGCCAAAAACCTTCTCACAGGCCTCAACAGACTGACTCAACGAAAGCCTGATTGGGATGATCTTTGAGCAGGTTCTGGAAGTGATTGACCTTGATTGGAGATACGACCTTGAACAAGTGCAGATGTGATGTGAGGGTAGCATTCACTGCCGGGTTCGACTTCTCGAGTTCAGGGACATCTGGAACTGGAGATCTGGTGAGGGAAACATATGCACCACATTGTGTTAGTGGTTCCGCTCCCGTCCACACCATATCTTGCATGTATCTCAGTGCTGACAGTTCAATCCTTTCTCACACAGTCTTTGATGACATGAATGGCCGAGAGGCACTTTGAACAGACATGCTGGTATCGGCAGATGCTGTCGGAACTGCAGCAGCAGCCATCATTCCAGCGTCTGCATGGCTCCATCTTACGGCATTTCGTAGCACCTCCAGTTCCCGCATTTCCTCCGGACTTCTTGGCTTCATGCTCCAGTGATCCGACTCCGCCGTGGCGAAGGAACTGATGATGGAGGTCTGTGAATTGCTCAAACTCTGTAAGGAGGAGGTCACGGTGCTCTCCAATTTGGTGTCTAACTGCTCAATCATACTCAGGGACTTGGTCATGAAAGCTTGGCGCTGTGGCTCCAAATAAGTCCAAGATGTAGGATCCATAGTCCGCAAGTTCCTCTCGTCGATGGGAGAAAGCAAACGAGACTGCTGCGGAGGCACTATTCCAAGCGATGATCCAGTCTCCAGCAGATCCCACCTTCTTGGCGAGGACAACAGCTCGGTGGAGGATCTCATATTCTCCAATGGTTTCTTTGTGCTTGTCATCGTGTCTTGTGGAGAAGCGTCTAGTGAAGACATGGTCAAGGTCAACTGCCTGTCCCTGAAGGACATTACTCCACTCTCCATCCGGGAATTGGGGGATTCTAAGACAGCTGGGGAGATCATTCTTGGTTGCCTTGACGTCAGTGGTGTAGACGTGGATAAGGTCAAGTGTTCATCGGAGTTCTGGTCGAACATCGACGGATTGAAGCACATCTCGCATGGCCCAATCATACTGGGCTGGATTTGGGCATCACCACTTGGGTTCAGGCTCTCGGTCATCATTCTCACTCCCAGCCCAAGGTGTTCCAAGAGGGTGAGCATCTTCCTCCTCTTGTTCCAGCAAGTCTGGGGCTTGTTGCTGCTTTTGCCTTCCTTCCTTCCCCACTTTAGCACCGGGATCTCTGGATGGGTCCTGTGCATTGAGGAGTTGGAGGTAGGAGTTGAAATTCTCATCGAGAGAGGAGTCATTCTGCGGGTTAAAGAGGTCGCTCTCGAGGAGTATCCCGGAGATCTCTCGGATAGCCTGTGTTCGAGTGGTACACTGGGCTCTGTATTCATTGATGACTTCCATAATGAGGGGGGTGCCGATGGAATGGTAGGGCATAGTACAGTCATTTACTGGTCTTTGAGACACTACTGGTCCTTGAGACATTCGGCTTTTTCTTACTCAAATCTTAAAATTTTCCTCCGGAGTTTTTGGCAGTATATTCCAGTACTATGTATACTACTACCACAAGCTGCGAAGAGGGTGTAGTGAAGTGCATACCTTCTGATCCTACAAAATATAGGTATTTGGGCTAAAACTGAATTTCCATAGCAAGATCTACAATAAACAAGAATACCTGCCACCATATTTCTCCTGAGGAAAACATTATTATACCTTTCAGCTTCATGATCAGCTATTTTCCACACAGATCAGTTCAAGAACATGTTCACAGTGTGCATTCAGTGCACTGAGAGGCTGTTTGAGACATTTCTTATCAGGTGCGCAGTGTCACAAAATCACACTTTTAGCGCCATCAATCTCAGAGGACGCACAAGAGGACAAGGAGATGTATGATTACACAGGCAGGTCACCCTATTCAACACGGTTAGACCCTCAATGGTTGAACCCCAGGTAAATTAAAAAAAGGCCTGGGGTGGAAAAGGGAGAGGCAGACCTCAGTCTATCGGGCCCTCGAGTTAACCTGAGGCTCATTTGTGATGAGCCTCAGGCCCAAATGGTGGCTGCATCACATGCTTGTGGGATTGAGCAGTAGCATATTTTGTGCTTCTCAATCTGACCTTATTGGCTCGTCAAATATGCTTACACACAAAATAAATATATTAGCATTCTCTACAAGTCTTTCCATTGCGCGCATGTAATAATAGCTCGGGCATTCATAGCTCCTCCACAACTGAACCACATGCAAGTGTTGTGTGTCATGAAGTATATGAACTCGGCTGCAGTTATGTGGATGCAGATAATGTCAACCATGGATATCTTGTCATGGGCTGCAGTGTGCCTGCTGCCAGATGGTCAGAAGAAAGTGCCTGAGTCATTTGCCAAGAAATGACGGTCCATACCTTCAGTGGAGATGTCGAACATCAGTGCCTGTGATGCAGATAAGACGGTAAACACAGATAAAGCATTATCATGCTCACCGGCTGCCCTAAAATGTAGGAGGCCTACAGTATAGCCATCAGATGAGATCAGTCAACACGAGATTAAGAAAAGACACTTGCAGTTGTGGCACACTCACCAAATTTATATGCTATGAGAGTTGGCAGGTGTTGCCATTGCTGCACTGCTCATGTTCAGCATCGTGGTGGCTATCTCAGATCTACAAAGTCAGACATGGTCAATAATGAACACAGTGCTTCATTTAATGACATGATGTGACAGGCTCTCAATAGCATAAGATCGAGGTACTGGTACAGTCCACCACGTGATGATTACATCACAGAAAAAGAAGCAGAAAGCAGGATAAAATACAGGATGAAAAGCCTGACAGGTGGGCATACAGGCAGTCAGGCCTTTAGCAGGCCTTAACATATGTCCAGACATAACATGAGTGAGAGGGGAGAGGGGGAAGGGACATGCGGGACAAAGAGACAGGTCAGAGGATGACCGGAATATTGTTGTACTTTGTTTAGCCATGTGTGGCACTCGCTCACTCTGAGGCACTTGAAGTCAATGCACACAAATGCAGCAGTCAGTTTATTCACTGTACCATAAGTTTATGTAGAGCTTGGTATTGCATATTTCTGTAGAATAAGTAGAATAGGAAATTTAGGAGGTTCAAGTTGATCAAGTCTCCACCGATGGTGCCAGCAACTATGCTCAAGGCAGGCTCAACCCTGGTAAGGAATGTCCACCATTAGTTGCAAGCGATGGATAAGTGGATTGTGAACCAGGAGTCCGTACAGGAGCCAGTGGACTTAGACGTGTCTTCGAGTCGTGCCTTGCAATGGGATGCATGTTCATATAATTAGGGCAAGTTGAGCCCGGGGCTAAGTTTTGACCAAGTTCAACCCAGTAAACCCTCGGGGCAACCCTAACTCATTCGCCATATTTTATACTCAGGGTATTTGTGGGTTAAACTCAGGCTCACCCGAGGGTTCAACCGTGTTTCTAAACCATTAGTTGAAACTGAGTCCACCTGGAGCTCTGACTGTGTAGATAGATCAAATTCCGATTTCACCATAAATCAGGCTAGAGTTTGACATGGTGAGGCTGTTGTTTATGTACACTTAGGAGGTCTGCCTCCTATCTGTCAGTCAAAATCGGTTGGGCTAGAGCTTAGGTACACTTAGGAGGTATCTTCTTGTGGTCCTCACATGATTCACAATGGTTTTTGCTTCCTATTGCTTCCTATTCATCGTGACCGTTCTCATTGTGATAAATATGCTTTCCATGTCTCGATTGTATATGTTGTTGTGTCTGTTGTTGGTACTGGTGTTTAAGGCATGGGCGATAGTAACATCCCTACATGTTGGCATTCGAAGTACATACTCGGACATCGAATAGGTCGTCAACAATCGTCCTCAACGTGGTGATGGTCAGTGGAGCTGCCGTCTACCCGTTAACTTCGTGTCATTTTTTTGTGTGGTGGTCGGTGCTCAACGTTGTTTTTCTGATGCTGTTGCTGTGAATTACATCGGGTTGAGTGCTCTGAGTCGGTTTAAGGTGATTTCTGACAGAAATTATCCATATGTACTTGTCGACACACCTGTGGCTGCTTTGGCAGATGTACTTCCCTATCGTTCACTATTGGAGGTTGCCAGAATGCATCACGTTCGGCTCGACCACAACCGTAAGATGAATAACGTTATTAATGCTCTACGCATGCACTCATGCAGCCCATTTTGCGGTGCATTCCATTCAGTGGTTTCTGTGTTCACACTTCTGTGCCAGCTACAGTTGATTCACCATCCATCTTAGAGGCTAACAGTATGAACTTGAAGACATTTGCTGATACTAGCAGATGTAGTCCTCCCATTCTTCATGATGTTAAGCATGCATTTCCACCCCATCCACCGAGCTTAGGGGATCTTGCCCCCATGGTATCAGATTGGTGTGAGTTCCATCATTCTCTGCCATATGTGAAGGGGTTTGTGCTGTTTGTGGTGAGCTCGTAGTTCGCAGTGTTACAAAGCTCCTCTCTGTGGAACACGCAGACGACTTCCGCCTCTACCTTTACCGATCACGTGACAATGACATCATAGTGCCTAGACTGACCATGTGACAATGACATTACTGACCACATGACCATGATGTCATCATGGTCATTGCCCTTATCTATCCAGCACGGATCTACCTGATCATCTGACAATGTGTGCCTTGTGTGCAAGGCTTAGATCCGCTTCCTACAATACATACGACAGAGGCGTGTTTGCCTCACCTTTGCCTTACCTATGCGATACAGATACCGAACCTCATGGGCATGGCCCTAGACCCTGATACATGCGCTACACATGTTATGACCTCGCTGCTGCCTTGTCTTTGCAGCACGACCTTATCTCCATATGGACAAATTGTCTCTCACGAAGAGTCATGACTGACTCAGCACTCTCACGACCATGGGACAGACGTATGAACCCTGTACCCTTGTACTAATGCCAATGTTTCACCTTGACTAACACAGCCATTGTATTACTTAAGCATAGACGCTTGTAGACGTATATAAGAACCCCCTGTAGTAGACAGATTCCTTAATCAGAATCTACCCATCATAGACTCGTAAACCCTGTGTCCCGCCGGACCTCTCCTGGGCTTGTGTTGTGCCAGACCGGCATGACTAGATGGCAAGGAGACTCGGTTAGGTTGATGCTCGTTGGGCTGGTCGACTCTTGGGTTCCCCACTTGCGCGCGTTCTGCGTAACACGCAGCATGTTGACCTCTGTTGATCGTAAGGACATTGATTTGAGTGTGTTGGTACATGCTGGACAGGGTGTTATGTTTGGTGAGCAGACATCAATTTTACAGGGTGTTTTGGAGCTGGAAGGTCTGATTTTGCATGCGCAATTCATGGGTAGTCAGTGCCTTGATATATGCAAACCGTGTTTAGGTGGAATTGGGTTCCATCTCGTGCATTGGCTAACAGTTTGTGGTTGGGGAATATTCCATCTGCGACTTCATTTTGTGGAAAAATTGTTGATTGCGCATTTTCCCATAATTTTTTGTCATTCAGGTCGATAAGGGTCAACGGAAGCTATGCGCAAATGTGGTAGCTTTTCCTCAGCCGGTAGCCGAGATGTATAACATTTTACCACCTCTTCATGAGGACTGACAATTGCCTCGCGATTTTGTTCATCGGAGCTTGCATGTCTATGCAAGATGACATTAGACGCACTCCGTTGTTGGTGCATCATGCTGTTGTACTCAATGCTCTTTGTTGGCTGTGTCTTAATCATACTGATTATTCTAATGTGCTGATATCGGAGGCTAACTTGGCTTCACACTCCAAACAGTGTCCTCCGGTGTGTCTTACACCGTCATATCAATGGTGGTACTCCGGTGAGGCCATGTCTTCCTATGAGATGAATGAGGAGCGCGGAACAGAGGTTCGTGGATGTCCTTTTATGGTTTGTCGGGCACTGAGCTGATGAATAGTACATCGTACAAGGAGAAACTCGTGACCGTAGTAAAGCTCTATCTTTCAAACTGGCGGTAAGGTATTGGCATATGGTTATGATGTCAAGCCTGTGTCTATGTATCATAATCCTCAGCTCTATCCCAGTATGTTCCCATGGCTTTTTCCAATGTGACCACCAACACGATGTCCAATACTAAATGATAAATATGATAAATTGGATTTATACAAAAAAATTACTACAATACACAATAAAACATAAGAGCCTGATCGGTAGCCTGAGGTCTATGAGTTTGCGCTAGGAGAAACCGCAGAAAAGGCCGGACGTGACGAATGGTGACAGTCGGAAGACCCTCCGAAACCTCCGAGCATGACGCCCACCACCACTCGTGGGTCGCCTGAGCATGTCGCCAGGGAGATGAGAGTACTTTAGGCAGGAGACTAGCTAAACATGACAATTTTACAGTGCTTGCACAGATCGGTCTGTGGTGGTTCTGGGCACAACCCAGACTGGTCACATCAAGTCACAAACCCTCAGCACGTGCCAATTTCAAGGAAAAACTCGTTTTTTGTCATTTGGCAGGCGTATTTTCAAAATAGCGCTAGGTGCTCGAGCTACCAATCAGGCCCTAAGTGAAATCGGAGCCCGGCGTGCGGATGCAGCGCCAACTTCCCACAAGTCCTGCTATATCAGGCAGGAGCAACGTGATGTGACGCCGTCTCAAGGATGTGTTTGCACGCTGATAAGGACTTTTGGGACTGATCACTCTGGACATTCTCCAAATCCTCATAATCTATTCTATAGACATCAGAGTAGGATGTATCTAGTGTACTATATAGTCACTGTGAACTCTGATTGAGACTGAAGCTCCTCGAGAGAAAGTCCGAGACCCAACAAGATTTGGGTGTCTCAAGGACCGGTAAATGACTGTAATGCCTCCCAAGACGTGAACAAATAAATACAAGATGATCTTGCCAATGTCTTGCGCTGATCTTTCCCACCGTCTTGGGTGTCTTGCTGCTCTTGGTCAAGACAACCTGTCTTGTCCAAGAAAAGGGACCCGTCTTGGAGAAGACCGCCATCTTGTGGGCTTGGATGTCTTGACCGTCTCGCGCAAGACGTGCAAGACCATAGTAGATGGATATCGGACCACCGATAAATCCCCCCTCCGGTTCCTGCAGTTTGGGAAATCATGAACCCCTTTGATTAAGAACTGGAACTTCGGCAATGTAACTCCTAGGTACAGCAGACACGCCTCTAGCGAAGATATGACTGGTATACACCTGAGTGCAAATGGTCAACCATACACATTGCGCAGTTTTGAATGTACGTACCAACGCATCGTATACAATTGCGGGCACTTTCTTGTCACACAAAGACGAAGAAGGATGGATTTTGACGATCTGCGTTCTCGTAAGCCCAGCCATACTACACTGGGCTCGAACACACTCACTGATGGCCCCATCAGCTGCTTGTAAGACCCATCTGGCTGCAAGAAAGCAGTATGCTGCACGAGACCACTGACCAGGCTCTTCATAATTTTCTGCTCATTGTCTCCACACGATGTGTGCCAGTCCATCTTCAGACGTGAGCAGACCTCGCGTAATTGGTCCCGAATGTCGATAGCCTCAACCAGACACCGGTAGTTTAGAAAATGCCTTCTGCACCAGTCCTTGCAACCCGCCTTCGTCTCCAGTGCAACAATTTCCTGGTAGGACTTGACTACGTTTAGGATTGTCATGTGGTCACCAGAGGGATGACGGAATTTCCGGCGAGCCTCCAGTGCAGCATCGCGCTCGTCGGTGGAGTCGAAGAACAGCTTCGAAGACGCTGACAACACAGACACGATGTCGATCACCTCCAGCATACATGAATGACCCTTGGATGCGACGATGATCCGCGCGAGGATGGGCTCAAGGGGGAAATGTGCCATCTCTCTCCCTAATGGAGTTAACGCCTTCTTGTTGTCCAGCGCACCCAGGAGCCAGAGCGTTTTTAATGCAGCAGCAACTGTACAATGCACATGCACAGGTGAAGATTGTTTGTTATTGTAGTAATATCTTCGAAGATCACTCACTCGTCTCTTGATCTGGCTTATCCATGAAATCTAGCTCCTCGAGATCTTGATTGATGCACTTCAGTTGCAACAGACTTGATGTCAAGGTGCAACGACGAATCTCCGGCTCTACAGACATGGGCATCGCATCAAAGGCTTCCTCGGTATATAGCCTGAAGCAGAATCCGGCACCCTGAAAGATCCCAGTCAATACAATATCGATATGGTGAGGTTGTCCTATAGACCTCTCTACCGGCTCTACCCGCACGTTGCATAGCGGAAGACTTAGTGATGTCTCTTGTGAGAAGAGTATCAAAACCTGGGAAAGGTCTAGGAGCAAGCTAGAGTAATCATATATACGGACTAACCAGTTCCCGTATCTCGAGCAATGTACCGTTTCTCTTTGCACTTCCCGGTGTCAATCACATACTTCACACCAGGGATCGTGACAGAGGTCTCAGCGATATTGGTAGCTAAGATGCATTTACGACTGTCCGGTGGTGTTGTAGAGAATATCCTCGCTTGTTGACTCGGCGGTAACGCCGCATACATGGGACATAAAGTGACCTTTGAACAACGATGAGCGGTACCATTGGCCAGTTCAATGTTGACTTACCCTGGGGCTATTCTTCGGCAGTCTCTGTACATACAGTTTGATCGATTTCTCCAGGCTCTCAATATCCTCTTGTCCTAGAATCAATGTCGGCATGCGTTCGAGCATAAAGTGAGTCGAACAGACCTGGCAAGAAAATCAAGACGTCTCCTGATGGTTGATCGACGTGTATTTGGAAAAATGTACGCAGGGCGGCATCAACGTAGTCCGGTTGGCCGACAGCCGTGTGATAGATTGTTACAGGATGTTGACGACCCTTTACATATACGATTCTCGCTCTGAATAATTGGTATCAGTACACTCTCAGTCGCTATCTAACAAACTTACTTATTGAAGAAAACACTGAATTTCTCCGCATCGAGAGTTGCGCTCATGATAACGATCTTGAGAGGGTTCAGCTTGGATACTGGCTTCTTACCCTTCCGATCTACCGAGTTCCGGACTTTTTGAATCGCTTTAAGGTTCGTGAGCAGGAGGTCGGTTCGCAAGGTGCGCTCGTGTGCTTCGTCAACTATCACCACGCTGTACTGCGACAAGAGAGAGTCTCCAAGAAGTTCACGAACAAGCATTCCGTCCGTCACATATTTTATGCGAGTGTCTTTGCTTGACGCCTCGCTAAAACGCACCGAGTAGCCAATTAGGCTACCAACAGATACGTTCTGTTCAGCCGCCACACGCACGGCCAAGGAAGTGGCAGCCACTTTACGAGGTTGCGTCACACCTATCATGCCTTCGCCAGCTAGACCCGCCTCCAACAAATACTGAGGAACCTCTGCACGGTTTCGTGAGACGAGAACATCTTCACAAGAGAATCATCCTACGGGTAGTTTTCCCAGATCCTGTTTCTCCAACGAGAATCGTCACATCGTTGTTGCGAATTTCATCCACGAGAGCATCCTTGCCTGCTCAGCGCAGATATGCATAAGCGATCGATGCACTAATACGAGACGTACATACCCGTCGCAATTGGGAGCTGTCTCCGTTGCTCCTGGATGGAGGTGACCTTGCCATGGTCCGCATTTCTACCATCTCCCGTACTACGTCTTGGGTTCTTAGGCTCTCGGCGAGGATATGGAGAGCCTTGCAAGTTCCTCAAGGGTGTCCGCGGAGACTTTGCTGAGTGCCTGACATGCATAGATTCGTCGTCTGAAACATCCATCCACGCGCAGTCATTGAGCTTGCTATGTTTTTGTACATGACTTGTCGGAGGCTTTTTGGATATGCCTCTCAGAATTCCGATTTTCGGCATGGCAGTAGTCTGCTTTCTGACGCGAGGGGTTAATCGAGAGGTCGGACAATTTAGACGGAGCCCGAAATTTACTATGGATTCGATACACTGGCAAATCGATAAGCCTGCGGTTACAACCCGTTCCGTTGCCGACGGGCGCTTGCGACCTCTGCCAGTACTGGGGCAGCACTCAGCGGCCGCTCGCCCTTAGAACCTCATTGACTCATCTTAGTACTGCGAAACACTGTGGCAGCATAATCTGACCATGTCCCGAAGTTTGGTGAGTGTAACTTGAATGCTGCCGCCCAGGAGTCGGAGGTCAGCGGTTGATATGAGCAGCTTCGACACCTCAGTTTTTCTCGTTTTACTGCTGTAATGTTAGTTGCAATGCAACCTACACAAAATTATACGGTTCATCCTCCTTGGCATGTGCCCTGTCAATCATATGGCTTCACCCTTGCAGTAGTGCATGAGGATGATACCCCACTGATTGATTCTTATTTCTATGGACTAATATCACATTATTCCCAAAGAATATAGCTGGAAAATTCCTGAGGCAAACCAGAATGTATGGCACATGCATACCTCATCTAAGCATGTTTTCCTCTCAGTGAGATGCAGTGCGACGCATCTGTAGTCGGAGGGACGCGTTTTCGCGTTGGCCATTGCACGTGATATGCCGATCGGCAGTGTCCGACCTCCATTAAGGAAAGCAGACAAAAAAGCAGACGTCAGATACGGATATCCTGAGTCATGAAGGTTGAAGCAGAGTACTTATCTACAACTGCCTTTGGGAGACTACATGGCAGTATTGTATGCTGAACGAGTCTTCCCAGCGTTTTATGTGGATTAACTTTGTGGAATAAATAAAGGGATCGAAGATATGGTGCGGCGAATAGCATGAGCATAACACGGTTCAGATGAGAAAATGTCTGCAATTCGCGTCGGCGAGATCTTGACATCTTGCGCTCGGCTCGATCGGAAATATCTCCGCTCCTCAGCTGCATTGAACGGGCACGCAAGCCGGAATATACCTACTAAACACGCGCCCGCACGCTGCACATTCAAGTTTTCAACGATTTCGAGGCGTACTTTGACTTGTTAACGACTTACTAACGGCTTGAGACGCTTGTATTTATCACCGATCTGCCATGCCTGTCAACGACACCGACTATACGTTGTCTTCTCTCTTCTCTTCTTATCGCTACACACTGGCCTATGCACTCCCACTCTTACTGTTGTCTATTGTGCTCACCTTCGCCGGCGCTTTTTTCACTGTCGATCGGAGTCACACCTTTGCGCCCCAGAATGATGTCGTCCGATCCCCGTCAAGTACAAACAGCATGCTCAAGAAACTGGGGATCCGCCTCCGCAATATATTCTTGCTAGAAGGCGGCATCGGTGGACTCGCCTCGGGCTATGTGTTTGGAGGTATGCACTTGTCAGTCACTGTTACTGTGGACGAGTCCTCAATTGGAGCAGTACATCTTTCGACTTTCCTTGCGCTTATCGTTCCCAGCAAGACTAATCAGGCACCCTTGAGTGCTGCCTCCTTCCTTCCCGTATGGATCATTTCTGCACTTGTCTGTACTCTGCTTGCTGGTAGATGGAAATATGCCGCCCTTGCAGCTGCGGGAATTGCAGGATAGTGAGTCGCTGCATCTTCGAACTAAACATATGGTGCTCATGCAGTATCCTTGAGTTCAACGCTAGCAGTAGCCATGTCTGTCATCGTTCATCCCTCACTCATCACATGAATAGCACTCACATCCATCCTCACGCTCGTTGGGGCTGTCATGTGTCTCATGCCTTTGCAGAAGTACCAGCACGCCTTTCTCAGAGTCGCAACGTCTCCTGTGGGCGCGTTCGGTATGACTTTGAGTATTGTTTTGTTTGCGTGCATATCTCTGGAGCGATTATGGATTAGTTATGGTGACGGGTGGAATATGTCGCAAGAAAAAGGACTGAGCGCTGCATACTGCATTTTTCTGCTAATGGGTGCCGCCTGCGACTGGTTCCTCCACAATAAGCTGGGCGAAAATCCCGATCAGGTTTGTCGTATCTTTTTGAGAACGGTTAAAGCCATGTAACGAATCTACTATACAGAAATGGGATACGTATCTCACCGAGTGTGCTGCTACCTTACCAAACGAAGCAGGTCACGCGGGTACCTTTACGCCATTGACTTCCTTCTGGTCGCATCATTTTGGGTACAAGGACTTGGACCCCATTGCCAAGGACATTGTCTTTACGACTGATGCCGAGTTGAGATTCTCCATTCCTTTGCCTCATTTGCTGCAGAAGAGGAGCTCTTCATTCACACCGAGCTCGCCAACAGAAGGCTTCGAGTCCCCCAAGTGAAGTGAATTGCTTCGCAAGCGCAGAAGGAAGTTTGCATCTGGTATGATGCGTACTCGGGAGACCATCAAGTTCAGACCGCTCAATTCTGAAGACTTGTCAAGCTCAGACGAGGAAGATACCGGTAACGCGCAGAGGTCCCATCTTCAGAGGACTGGCGTGCGGGAGTCGAGACTGCCTTCAAGAAGATCCAATTCGACAGCAACCCTCGTCGAGTCTGGAAATTTGTCGGGGCATACTGTCTTCGCGGAGCACGTAGACATTGATGCGGAGAAACAGAAGCTCCAGGTGGCATTATGAAGAGACCCCGGAGGGGAGGTTTTGGACTACTCTGACTTTGAGGACGTACGGAATCGGATATCTCGTGATGCATCAGGATGAACACCCCCGTTCCTCCAGCACCATTCGGAATGCTTAGACCAGCCTTCAATCCACTTCTACGCGGTCGATCTCGTCTCCACAGACATTATGCCGGACACACCCCTCCCCGGTGGCCAATTCATGTCCATTCCCACTCTTGCCTGGGCCTGTGCCCGCGACACGGTCACTCATCCGTGCTATTGATCGTATCTCGCAGGCGCAGCAGGTTGCGTACGGTCTACCCTCATCCGATGTGTTAGGACTTCACAACACGTTGAATACGCCACAACGACACGAAGCGGGATGGCAGTCTTTTTGGAAAGATGTGAAGGTGAAGGCTGATCATGGTCACGCCGGTTAGCCTAAGAGATCTAGTTACAGACTAAGGAAATGCGAGCTTCATGATAATGATATTTACAATAGTCACGACTTCAGGCTTGTCCCAGACATTTACTTGCCCATGTTTCATTTCCTGCTTTCTGCATCAGGAAAACTCCATTTGACCTCATTACATGTCTTACCTGCCTTTTTTGGGCCTTTTTCGTCTTACTTGTCTTGAATTAAGAGGTGGACCTCATTATTTTAAGACCGGCCTGTCTTGCACTTTTTCAAAACAAGACGTAATAAAAATCTATGTAGTGTATGTTTTAGAATACCTTTGCTTACGTGTATTCCAGACCTAACACCTCCAGAATCCCAACAAACAAGTCCTCCAGAAATGTAAGAAAAATTGCAAAAAAGGCAATTAAGACAGTAAGACAAAAAGTAGAGGGGAGTTTTGCTGATGTGTATTACCCACTACGGCCTACAGCTTCATTCAAACACAACAAATGAATGATTTCTCGAGTTCTCCAGCGGACGGATACCATTGAATGCAGACTAACATAACATTCATAGACGGCAAGATCTAGCAAAGCAATCACAAGCCTATGTACATAGAGTACACTATGGGGTACCACACTGCAGGCAGTGTTGCTGCAAGCTAAGTTCACCTTCTGCTCAGCTTGACCGGCATCTTAAGGAATGTCGGGCCACCTTAAGGTCGTTAAGGTGACAGTGTTCCATCACGCGTCACCTTGAGGCACCTCAGCTCAGTGTTCGCATTCACCGGTCGACTGACCTGTCATGACGGGTCATTGACTTTTCACCCACGGTTCCTGACCGGTCAAGGGATGGTCAGCTTACGTGATATGATCAAGAAACTAACTATACTTAATGTACTCCAGTACTCAATGTATATACAGTACGTTACAACAAAAAGAAATTTACTAGATACTAGTGTTAACCTCACTACATTTGTCATTCACACGAAGACTCATAGCTCCACCATGCCAACAGAAGCCGAGCAAGTCCGGGGCATCAAAGTTAAACATGTTCTTGAGTAGGATGGCCTCCGAAAATATTAGGATCTTGTCGCAAGGTGCCTGCAAATGAGGCACCAAGGGCATGAAGATTGACTGAGGGGCACCTCGTCGATCACAACTGGTGGTGCCGGAACAATAGCATTGGCGTCGGCATCCACGAAGAGCAAGGTTTACAATAGGGTAGTTCAGAGTAGAGGTTTCGAGCGGGTTTCGAGCTGGTTTTCGAGCAGTTTTCGATCTGGCTTTCGACCCCCCGAGAAGCCCGAAAACTGTTTTCAACCTTGAACAACCCGCCGAAAACGGTTTTCGGCTAGGCGCGGGCGACACTACCGAGCTGTCGGCGACGCCAAAGTAGCTGTGCTCATCGTGCGCGACAGCGCCGCTGTCTCGAAATGCATCCCCCGACCTAAGCACTTATTGTCTGCCATGTTTAAGAGGTCTTTCATAATTTCCATGAGTATCACCCTTCCAGAATAAGTGAGCGGAAAAATTAATTTCTCCACCGGAAGACCTCGTCACTGTCGTCGACGACAGCGACGACGTGCCCGTCGTCGATGATCGGCATCTTGCACAGCTCACTTTCAGAGTCCGAAGTTGATGCCGAAGAAGCCGAAAACCGGCTTTGGGCCGTCGTCTCAAAACCAAAGTCGTTTTCGGATTTCTCCGGCCTCGAAAACCGCATCGAAAACCAGCTCGAAACCCGGTCGAAAACCCTACTCTGAAATACCCTAATGGATGCGAAACACCCGTCCGTGAGTAGGTCCGAGATGTCTGAGTCATCCAACTCACAGTACTTAATAGCAATCCATCCATATAAAGTAATACACGTGTGTATATCTTTGTCATCTGTCCAGTTGTTGACCGGTCAGTGACCGGTGAAAATGGAAAATTGAGAAATCGTCAATGACCCCGGTCATGACCGTGACTTGTCTTTGCGAACACTGCCTCAGCTTGCAGCAACACTACAAGTTGAACAACGTGACAGACGCAGAAACGATGTGGTTGAGCCCATGAAGAATTCGAAGGCCGTGAGTGCAGTAGGGAGTATCGAGAGCATGCACGACAAAATGTGAATTGATTATGCTGGATGCTTTCACGTTTCTAGCGCGATGAGACACACAAAAAACCAATTCAAAAATACACGAGGGCGTTATGGTAATGTTGCTTGTCTGGCGATTCCCCGACTTCGTCCCGGCATTGAGCGTTTCGCATTCGGCGCATGACGCTGGGATCTGTCTGGTATGACCGATTGTCTTGTAGGTTTGTCATTGAAGGTCAGCAAGTCGTATAACGACGCGATTTGATCACCCTTCGTTACATGTGAGATCACAGATACAGCAGGAGTAGAAATTGAAGCCGCCCTACCTTTTGTTCGAGGATATCTATGATTTCACGCAAATGTTCTGCCAGAACGTTCCGCTTCACGACGTTCGACGTTGGGTCCATCACTTTGTACTGGTCGGCGAGCTCGACGTAGATACTGGTCGATGATGTGCTCAGTTAGAAACCACACACGGATAGAAACATAACATACCCCTTATAGTGCGTGAAATCGTCCTCAAGCTCTCTCAAAACCCTGACCAGAACAGTCTGTGGGGGAGATTTACCGCTCCACCCTTGCCGCTCGGGCGCTGTACCCTTGCCTCCATGGCGTGAGTCTACTAGGTCTTCGTCTTCATCTGACCCGTCGACAAAGCCTTCGTCGTCGTCCTGGTCCTGCATTCTCGCTCGGAAGTCATGCGGAGGACGACCGGCCATCCAGGAAGGTATCTGCTCCAGAGGGAGACACCGTTTGCGTCGGCGCCGGTGGCAGATAGTACAGGTCTCGACGTTATGCTCGGGCGCGGAGAAGAACAAGCGCTCCAGACGTGCCCCCCGTATCTGAGGAAAAGGAGTCTCCGGCTCCACTGCTTGTTGCTGTTCTGAGCAGGGCTTTCCAGATGGACTGCGAGTCTCCTCCGACATGCGAACTTTGCCAGATACGCGAGGCGTGGGCGCAGGTGGTCGTGATGGGCCATCCATCGGACTTGTTGGTGATGGTGCACGTTGAACATCATCCACGACCTGGGAAGCTGCGTTAGATAATGGTGCAACATCCTCATAGTCTGACGAGAGATTCTCTCTCACCTGGCTACTGTTGGATGTGCTTGCTATCCTAGAGGCAGGCCTGGAGAGTAGAGGAGATGCAGAACGCTCCGACAGTCGAGAGTGTGGTCTTGAGAGAGCAGGAGAATGCACGGAGGATGAGCGTTCTGACCGTCTTTCTTCCACCTCTGCAGAGATGCGTTCTAACTCCGCTGTATCAACGGATTGTCTCGCGTTGGTGCTGCTCGCGAACTGTAAAGAGCCAACAGTCGCATGATCTGTACGGATCGTTCTCTCGGTGAAGAGTGCATGCTCCTTAGGAGAAGGCGAAGGCGACAGACGCCGGGAGGAACCTGAAGTCTCGTCTTCACCTTCGTCTTCATCCTCATCCGCTTCTTCAGTGTTTGTGGAGGAGGTACTCATCAAAGCTTGGCGGTCTGGTGCATCTACCTGGGGAATAGTCTGTGTAGCAACGGAATGCTCAGGCGTATCCTCTTCACACTTGAAGGACGAACGCTCCTTGGCGATGCGCCTCTCTTTCAGGCCCTCTTCGATGACACCTTTTAGGACATCCACTTCGCCAGCCAGCCGTTCTACTTCCCGACGAAGCTGGTCGACGTCTTTACTCTTGTCTGCTAGGCTGCGGACATCGCAATCGCGCAAAGTGCGGAGCTCTATCAGAAGGCGTTGATGATCGGAGAGTTCCGCGGTGAGACGAGACAGATGAGCACGCAGGGTGGTAATCAGTGCCTCCAGAGCTATGTCCAACGTATCAGTATCATGCTCGGTGCCACTGCAGGGCTGCAGGAGGTACCGACCTTTCTTCTCCTCTACTACCTCTTTATATCTGCTCTCGTTCGCAGACATATCTCGATCATCCACGCGCACTTGGGCCTTTCCCTTCTGCAGTCTTCCAGCGTTTGTGAACCGGTGTCGTTCTTTGCTTGTGATATCGGCATGCGGCGGGGCCATGACCTCTTCGCGCGCGATCATCTTTGTGCGCTCCTTTGCCACTTCGTGTTTGCATGCTTCCAGCTCAACCTCGAGCTCGCGAACACGGCGACGAGTGGTACTATTCTCGGATTCAAGAAATGCAAGTTTGGCCTGGACGAGATTGAGCGTAGCCAGCAACCGGGCTAGCGGGTCAAGGAGTGTCTGATTATTACTATTGAAAGACGTAGATCATAATGTGAGGAACTGACCTTCGCATTCTCCATCTTTCCTGGCCTTATATCCGTGATAGTCGGGGTCTATCTTGACCGGAGTGGCAATGGCCTCGGTTAAGCCTGTGACGTCAGGCAGATAGACCTTGCCCTTGAGTGGAGTTTGTGACGGAATTTTTACAGGAGGTGCACGCTCGGGGGCCATCTGATTTCCAACATCTCCAAATGGGTTCCTGTCCTTGTCGTGCATCGCTGCGGCACTTCTATTTCTCGGCATACTTTCTTGCACATATGAGAGAGATTGGTTCCTACTGACTTGCCTGGGCCTTGGAGTAGGAGCGTCGGCTTCCGAACCAAGGGTGGTCGGGGGCGGACGGGCTCGGAGCGTTGGGTGCGCAGTCCCAAAGAGTGGTACAAGAGAGGAGTGAGGGCGAGAATGGGGAGAGAGATGGGCTTGCGCACTGCGAGGTCGCTTGGGGGAGAACGCGACTTTGTGGAGCGCGTCGGAAAGTTTAGGTCTAGGAGAACGCGTATTCGAACGGAGTGAGGCAGGTTCTGAGTCAGATGTGGCCGATGAGCTGCAGTCTGGAGAGCGGACTACTACTCCAGTGTGCCCTGATTGCAGAATACGATCAATTTCTGCTGTATCATCCACCACGACAGGGTCAAAGTCGGTAGCTGCGGACATCTGAGACGACTGTCAGCCTCCAACAATTGCCGAAGTCACAGCGGGAAGCAGTCACCAACGGGTGCGTACCATATGATTTGACATCGTAGAATTTATGTCAATGTTACTGAGATAGCCGTTCATCCCTGCCATGATTCCGTGCAGGGGGCGGTCTGGATCATATTCGGCACCACTCATACTGATGTCTCTCCTGGTTCTCCGCCCTCCAAGACCAGCGCTAAGAGTGAGAGCGCTCGCATGATGAGCAGCAGTAGATATAGTAGACATAGCGTAGGGAGCCACGCCGTCGCCATCTTCTTCGAGAGTACGGTAGGACCAAGCGTGATACTGACTCTGCTCGGCGGGCTGGAGGTGGTCCTCAGAATGATGTCCGAAGGGAGGGGAAACGACAAAGGGCGATGGGGCCGAGTTGTGCCTCGGGTATTCGACATCGGTATCGTCGTCCGGGGTAGAAGAGAGGTGGAGAGATAGATCAGTGTGCTGTAGGTTGTGCTCTAGCTGGATACGATTTTGTTCGAGCTCATCGCCACGAATGCTGAACTCGAAGTTGGCTGGATGCCTGGACATCGTGTGAGGTATCGCGATGATATGGATGGAAGGCGATCAAGACTTAGAAAAGGAGCGGCGAAAGAGAGCTGAGGCAGAGCTAGTAACGGCATTCAACAAGACGCGTAGTCACGTGACCGTTCCTTGTCAAACCCTAACCTTACATGAGGTGTTTACATGAATATGTAAAACTTTATTATATGACTGCTTGTTGATCAAGGATATTGCTATACGGCCAGGGATGGAGAAGCAGACGCACAAGGCGCATCGCCCGGCTCAGTCTGGTGCAAAGGCTGACAAGAAGAAAGGAAGGGCAAAGGAGAAGCAGCACGGCTTCAACGAAAAGGTACCTGCTCCCCCCGCTTTAATCTCGCCCGTCTCACCTCTTCCAGGCATTCGCTCCCAAGTCCGGTCGCCGTGCTGACCGTCAGGGCCGTCATAAAGTAGAACAGGACCAAACACGTCTCCATGTTCCGCTCGTGAACCGTACACCCGACGACCATCCTCCTCCGGTCATCGTAGCCATAGTCGGTCCCCCAGGTGTAGGGAAAACAACACTAATCAAGTCTCTCATCCGTCGACATACCAAGCAGACTCTCAACCATGTACAGGGTCCTGTCACCGTTGTCAGTGGCAAGAAGAAGAGGATAACCTTCCTCGAATGCAACAACGACCTTAACTCTATGATAGACGTCGCAAAGGTCGCAGATCTCGTGCTGCTCATGATAGACGGATCATACGGGTTTGAGATGGTATATTCCTTTTGTTCTTTACCACTACTCTTCTCACACCCATATATACGCAGGAGACCTTTGAGTTTCTCAATATTTTGCAGTCCCATGGCTTCCCCAAGGTCATCGGTGTTCTCACCCACCTCGATCTCATCAAGAAGGCCGCTACTCTTCGTGCCACAAAGAAGGCGCTGAAGAAGCGCTTTTGGACAGAGATATATCAGGGCGCAAAGCTCTTTTATCTCTCCGGTGTTCTCAACGGTCGTTACCCCGATACCGAGATCCTGAATCTCTCCCGCTTCATCAGCGTTATGAAGTTCCGACCCCTCATCTTCCGCAACACGCACCCTTACCTTCTTGTGGACCGTCTAGAAGATATGACAGCTCGCGAGGAGATACGCCAGTCCAAGGGCAAGTGTGACCGCTCCGTTACTGTCTATGGGTATGTTCACGGGACAAATCTCCGTCCTAATACCAAGGTGCACATTCCCGGTGTAGGAGATCTATCCATGAAGAGTGTCGCTGTCCTCGGCGATCCGTGTCCGCTCCCCGACGCTGACTCGGAGAAGAGGAGAAAACTGAGTGAGAAGAAGAAGTTGCTCGTGCACGCGCCCATGAGCGATGTCGGCGGGGTGATGTACGACAAGGACGCTGTCTATATTAACATACCAGGTAGCTTCACTAGAGGAAACACGGATGGTACGCGAGTTCCGTGCATTGATTCGTGTCCCATCTGATTTCTGGTCAGTTCTCCAGGGAGAAGGGGAACGGATGGTCATGGACCTGCACGACGTCGAATCTACCCTTGAAGACGCTGTCGCGAAAAGCCAGATCAGGCTATTCGGGTCGTCATCTAAGCCCCTCGTGGTTGGTGGTTCACCGAGCGGACACCCGAATGAGAGCGAGGACAAAGACGCCAGTGAAGACGAGGAGGTTGATGACGAAGACTGGTCGATTAGTGAGGATGATGAAGATGACTCGGTGTCACTTCTAGACGATGAAATGCAGTATGGTGGCTCGGATGCTGAAGGAGAGTCCACTCAACAAGGTGATCGAGGTCGTTCTATTATGCGTAACGTGCACCGCTCCATGCGACATCTAGCATCCCATGATCGTCAGGGAGACAAAATCGACTTTGCTGAGAGTGATTCTGACATGGGATCATACGGGGGAAACGAGGGAGAGCGCAGCAAGCGTGTTCACTTCGATGGCGCTGACGATGGTAATCTGGATGTTCCAACGGACGATGAGCTGGGAGAAGATTCTGATGCAGATGAGGTACCTCAGTGGAAGTCCAATCTGGATGCGAATGCGAAGAACTCGTACGAACAGCACTCACGAAAAGGCAGAAGGAAGGATTGGACCCGGTTGATTTATCAGACTTCAATGACGGCCGACGAAATCTTGCACAAAAGTGTCTCTACCTCCTCAGCAGATCCTTCTACTGGCGGGCTTATGACCAACGAGGACTTCTTCACTGTCGTGTCTATGGGGCCGGCGGACATCGAAGAAGTCGATATGACCAGTGATCTCACTCGCTTGGAGAATCTCAAGGAATGGGAACAGGAGGAAGTGTTGGATTCCATCCGCAACCTCTTCATAACAGGGGATTTAGGCAAGACGCAGCCTTCACCCGGTGATGATGAGGATCTCATTCTCGACGACGACGGAGATCTCAAAGTAGCAGACAGCAGCAACGAACAGGCGGGCGTTAATACGGAGTCAGCACGGTCTGTTGCTCTTGCAGCGAAGAAAGTCGCTCTCAAACGCAAGTTTGACGAACAATACGACGATCCAGAAAGCTCCAAGCTGGACTTCTACGAAGAGCAGAAGGAACAGATGTCCGTGCAGCTCGAGCTCAATCGCGCCGCTTTTGAAGGTGTGGATCTCGAATCTCGCGCGATGATCGAGGGATATCGTCCAGGATGCTATGTGCGCATTGAGTTGCTTGAAGTACCATGTGAGATGGTCGAGAACTTTGATCCTTCCTATCCCATCATCGTTGGTGGCTTACTACCGTTAGAGGAGCGCTTTGGATATACCCAAGCGCGAGTTAAACGTCACCGTTGGTCCTCGAAGACCCTCAAGACCAACGACCCCCTGATCATTTCTCAAGGGTGGCGGCGGTTCCAAACCATCCCGATCTATTCGCTAGACGATCATTCCATCCGCATGCGTATGCTGAAGTACACGCCGGAACACATGCACTGTTATGCGACGTTCTATGGGCCTATCGCTCTGCCAAACACAGGCTTCTGCGCTTTCAATTCTCTGTCAGGAGATGTCGTCGGCTTCAGAGTGTCTGCCACTGGCGTTGTGCTTGACATTGACCGATCTTCGAAGATCGTGAAGAAGCTCAAGTTGACCGGTGTACCATTCAAAATCTTCAAGAACACTGCATTCGTGAAGGACATGTTCGGCAGCGCGCTGGAAGTGGCGAAGTTTGAGGGTGCCAATATTCGCACTGTATCCGGAATACGTGGTCAAGTGAAAAAGGCTCTTTCGAAACCGGATGGTGCTTTTAGAGCAACGTTTGAGGATAAAGTCCTTATGAGTGGTATGTAATGATCTGTTGTCTTGACTGCTCACTGAATAACATCTCGCTGCAGATATCATCTTCCTTCGAGCTTGGTACTCTATTCAGCCAAGGAAATTCTACAATCCTGTGACATCTCTGTTACTCTCTGAGAAGAGAGAGTGGGTTGGCATGCGATTGACTGGTCAGATTAGACGAGAAGAGAATATCAAGACCCCTTTGAATGCAAATTCCACCTACAAAGCTATTGCACGGCCAGCGCGTCGCTTCAATACCCTCCAAGTGCCCAAGAAACTCCAAGCAGCTCTTCCATATTCATCTAAACCCAAGTTGATCAAACAGCAACATCGCAAGACGTATACGCAGAAGCGTGCGGTTGTGATGGAGCCTGAAGAGCGGAAGACCATCACCTTGCTACAGCAAATCCGCGCTTTACGCAAGGACCAAATTGTACGGCGGAAGGAGAAACAGCAGGAGCGCAGGACATTACACCGGAAAAAGGTTGAGAGCGAAGAGTCAAAGAGAAGCGAGAAGGAAAGGGAAAAACGCAAGGAATATATGAGAATTGCAGGTGTAAGGAGCAAAAGAGAGAGCGACACTGATTTTGACGACAGAGGAAGGAAGCGACCGAGGATAGCGTAAGCCCAGGCTTCGTGACATGTATACTAGATCGTTGTGAATTACATTGTCATGAATGATGTGCTGCTATTCCGACTTCAACTGTGCATAACGACGGTATTCGACTATCGGAATGTAAGGATGGAAAGCGCTGCGAAGATAGTGATTACGATGTAAATGCTGTGGCTAGGAACAATTCGATCTGCTTTTTGTGCATTGCCTAGAGGGCAAACAAGAATCAGATTGCACCCCAATGCAACTTATCAGCACCTGCATACCTTGCTCCCCGTAGCGACCGAGCTGCTTGGGTCACGACCGGCATATAAAGGATATTTACCCTTGTGATGCTGCGTCTCGTTGGCGGCGGTCAGGATGCGAGGCCCAGCGTATGTCCAAGCACCGTTGTTCAGTGGCTCCTCCTATGAACGTACATTGAGTATTAGAATATGTTCAAAGAGTTATTGATGAGCGTACTTGGCACCACAAAATGTCAGCATTTGGGTACTTATCCAGATGAGGAGTAAGCTACGTGAAAATCCATTCAGATCCAGTCTATAGGGGACATAAATGGTATATGTACCAGATCGTAGGGGAATGGAGAGATCTGTTCCAAGCGACTTATCGCAACGTCGCTAATGTTCTTGTCGTCGCGTTCTTGCAGGAGTGTATGGTAGACTTGGCCTGGAGGATCTGGATAAATAGAGGTTATACCGATCGAATACGAATGACACACCGGTACATAGAATATGCCGTCTGATTTGTTCAGGACTGACCAAGCATTCGGGATGAGGATCGGGTAAGTAGCGCTGGAACTGCGTCTCGCCAACCATTTCCGAGAGGTCAGATCGAGCCTTGGGATGGCGGAGTAGAGATTTTGAGAAGAAAACCACCAGCTAGCCGGAAGTCAGACAACGAGAGCATGAACGTCTGTAGTGACTTACAGGCTTGCGGAAATCTCTATGGATTTGCCGGCGAAGAACATGGAACTGTGAAGGAGAAACATTCTATTATTTACGTCTTGTAAGCCCCACTGTTACTCACATAGTTCGCAGGAGTTCTGGAGAAGATATAAGCTTATGAAGGCTGCAGCAACCGGTAATAATACTCACGTAGGGTACACAATCTGCATGTTGCAATCTTGATGCTGCCTCTCAATCTTCTCTGGGGTGGGATATACGTGCGGATGATCATCGCATAATTGTAAGAAGCGTTCTAACCTTCCACTCGAATGTTCAGGTCCCTGACCGTCAAATCCATGCGGCAGACTCATGACCAGGCCGGTGCGTTGTAACCATTTCCTCTCGCCTGATGCGATGAACTGGTCAATAATGCACTGTGCATTGTTTGCAAAGTCGCCAAACTGAGCCTCCCAGATCGTCAACGCATCAGGAGAAACGAGGGAGTAGCCGAGCTCGAAACCTAAAGCGCCAAACTCGGACAACGAGGAATTACAGACGACGAAGCGTGCCTGATTAGATCCCAAGTCATTCAGAGGGACGTATTGTTGTTCGTTCTCCTGATCGTGGACAACGGCATGCCGCTGCGAAAACGTGCCTCGCTCTACGTCCTGACCAGAAACTCGGATATGAATCTTCTCCAAGGCCAGCGAACCGAACGCAAGCGCCTCCGCTGTAGCCCAATCGATGTTACGACCTTCCTCAACCGATTTGCCGCGATTGCTCAAGATACGAGCCAGATTCTTATGTGGTGTAAAGCCATCGGGGAACGAGGAAATGACGTGACCTATACGCTTGAGCACCTCTTCTGTGGTTCCAGTCGGGCGCGTTGGCAGATTCTCTTCAGCCAACTGCTTCGGAGATGGGAAACCCTGCCACGACGCCGAAAGCCACTCCTTGCTGGTAGGAACGTAGTCTTTTGCCCCGCTAGCAGCTTTCTCCAGCATGCCCCATACCCACTTCTTGTGTTCCTCAATGTCTTTTTCCGTGAATGTTCCCCGGCCCACCAAGAACTTGGTGTACTGTGTAAGTGGAGTAGGCTGCTTCTCAATAGCTTTGTACATGCGTGGCTGAGTGAAGCTTGGTTGATCGGTCTCGTTGTGACCATGGCGACGGTAGCATACTATATCCACAACAACATCTTTCTTCCATTTCGCTCGCCAGTCAGCAGCCAGCTGGCAGACGAAATTCAGAGCTTCCACGTTGTCACCGTTGACATGGAAGATCGGCGCATCGATAGCTTTCGCTATGTCAGAGGGATATGGTGTGGAGCGTGCAAAACGAGGATCTGTGGTGAAACCGATCTGGTTGTTGACGATGAGGTGAATCGTACCGCCGGTACCGTAGTTCGGGAGGTTATGGAAACCGGTGGTCTCGTACACCACACCTTGACCTGCAAAGGCGGCATCACCGTGGAGAAGGACACCCATGGCAGTGACATGTGTCGCCTCATCCTGCTCGAAATGCTGGAGCGCTCTGGTCTTGCCGAGCACCACAGGATCCTCGGCCTCAAGATGTGAAGGATTGGCGACAAGGGATAGGGAGACCTTCTTTCCAGATGGAGTGGGACGGACGTAATTCGCACCCAGATGGTACTTAACGTCACCAGCAGGAGAGTCATCGTCATCAGCGGTCCCAGAAAACTCGTTCAAAATTGCTTCTATTGGTTTCCGAACGACGTTCGCCAGTACATTGAGACGTCCACGATGCGGCATGCCAATGGTGACATGCTTGACGCCGTGCTCGACGGAGCGATCAATGAGAGCTTTCATGCCCGGAATCAATGCCTCGCACCCCTCCAAACCGAAGCGCTTCTCGTTCGGATATTTGCTTGCCATGAACTTCTCAAACGACTCGGACCATATGAGACGATCGAGGACCATGCGTTTTTCTTCCACCGTGTAATTCCACGGCTTTGGGATCTCTATCCGCTCGCGGATCCAGTCACACTGCTCCTTGTCTGGGATGTGGATGTACTGTATACCAATCGCACCGCCTTGTGGGACATTCGCCAGACTAAGTAAGAGTACTGAAGAATTGTGAAGCCAACGTACAATAGATACGCTTGCAGAGCTTTATGATCTCTCCCAACGACATGGTTTTGCGATCCTCAGTAGCGAAATGTGGCAGGATTCCCGGCCCCAGTGCAATTTGCTTTTCCAGATCACGCTCCGTGAAGCCATAACGACTCAGTTCCAGCTCGGGCGGATGAACATCATTGAGGTCGGCGTCAAGGATTCCCAGAGGATCCAAGTCGGCGACATGGTGCCCACGTACTTGGTATGCTCGAACGAGTAGTTGTACCTATATCAACGTCACTAGATCTCTCAGAGTGAGACAGAAAACAAAATACCTTCAGATGATCGTCAAGTTCGGCACCGCCAGCAGCATGTAAGGCAGGTGCTCCGTCGGCGGGAGCTGGGACAAGGTTTGGAGGCGGTTGAAAGGCTTGAGAGCTCGGCAGCCCATTTTCCATGCCGGAAAAGTACACATCCCAGGATACGTGCACCGACTTCGGATCCTCCCTCCAATGCCTGAACATTTCTTCCACGTAGTATGCGTTCGTCCCATTAGCAAAAGGGTCGTTGGGCGAAGGCGGAACAGCCAGGGTAGCCAGTGTACGGTGCAGCAGCTGAGGACCCACGGAGCGAAATCTGGACCCACGCACAGCATAGGGCACACGCCTCAGCGCATGTTTGGAGAGCATTGTAGGTAGTGGCGGAAGGAGTGTCGAAAGGTGGTGACGCCGTTTGGATGCAGCTACCCTTTTGGGCTTACGCTGGATCGGACGTCGGCTCCGACCTTGAAGGTATCTACTATCCGATCCACCGGTTGACGCACGGAAAGAGCCGAGAACTGCTCATTTTGGAGGTCGAATAAGTTTTTCATTTACTACTCGAAGGACACTACTTACTGAATGCAATTGCCAATAATCTGGCAGGAGTATGCATGATTCGGTTTCTAAGAGAGAGCGAGGCACGAGCACGAACGTAGAATATAGCCTACATACGGATTAGGCAGTTGGGGCGCGAAACTTCTCTCATTCCGCTGCCACAACTGCCATTCTCTAGTACTGCTCGAGAGTACGCTCGCAGTACAGCTACTCATTATTTCATTTTCAAAAATTATCCTCAGCCTTCCGATAAGGAATGCAGTGAATACTGACAGATCCAGCTGATGCCCAATGCCCTGACTTCGTGTCCGTGACCTACGTAGTGAGTCGTGCACCTTTCATCAATGCAAACACTACTGAGGCACAAGCCATTGATTTGCTCAAAGCCATCTGGCAGGCAGGGAATGATGCAGATAAGATTTGCTGGCGGACTTCTTCTTGCTTCATACTTCCATCTCAGGCAACTTTCCCACAGCCCTGGTCCAATAGGAACAGGCCACCGTGCGGCTTTTTCTGGAGCTCCAGAAATTACACTCCCCTGGGCAGCGAATTCAGACATGAACCAACGGCCCACTGAAAAGACTCCAACATTGAGCACTAATGCAAGCATCCACCGCCTGGCAACGCGCTCTAAGTCAGACCTCTTTACAAATAAGAACTCCACTATAACAGACTGGCTGAGTACCTTCAACCACAGCATTGATACGTCTGACAAAGCCTTGATATTCCTATGTAATAATGAACTCGCGACTGCGGGTAAGGCTGCAGAATTGAAGACACTAACACGGGCTCTCGTCCGCCTTGCTAAGGCCCGCACCTCTGACACCAAGCTAATGCAGACTCTAGTCTCCCTTGCATGGTACACGGAGCTAATAGTTCAGGAAGACAGTACAGTCAAGGCGATGACAAGCATATGTGCCCGCCTTGAACAATATGAGGGAAAAATAGAAAAAATCACCAAAACAGCTACAGAGGCCTGCGAGCAAGCTAAACAAGGAACTGACAACCTATCCAACCTTGCACAACAACTGGGAGAGGACGTGGTCAACATTAGGGACACTCACCAGTCCCTCTGCACCATCTCTGACAACCTCCATGGCATGGCCACTGATGCAGGACAGTCTATGAGGAAAGTCACTAAGTCCTTCGCTGAAGCACACAAACCGGAGGCCGCCCCACAGGTGAGTACCACTTTTCATCCTGCTCCACTGACTTATGCTGCAGCAACCAGCCAAAGCCTCCCGCTGACCCATGCAAAGACTCTGGCCAGAGAGAAGACACGGTCATGCCAAGTCATCGTGAATGGAGCAATGTGTAAGCACACTGACAGCTCCGCCCTGAATGAAGATGAACTACTTGCCAAGGCAAGCACTGCCTACGACTTGATGGGAATCTCCTGCTCAGATGCCCCCTCATCCTTCACTTTCAAATCAGTCACCCGTCTGCACAATGGGGGAATCATGTATGACCTGGACAGTCTGGAATCAGCTAAGTGGCTCCACAGCTCGATGTCATGAAGAGTTTCTTAGCACACTTCGGTGACCAGGCCTCGTGCATGAAGGTACACACCTACTCTACCCTGGCCGAATTTGTCCCCATCGCATGCAACTCGGACAGCCACGACTACCTCCGCTTCGTCGAAGGAAACAACAACCTTGACCCTGGAGTCATAGAGGAAGCACACTGGATCAAGGCTCCAGAGCGCAGGACCAAAGGCCAGAAGGTCGCCCATCTCATCCTCCGCTTCAACTCTCCACAAGCAGCTAACCGTGCTGTCCGCGATGGTCTCATCATAGCCAGTAAGTCAGTCTCGGTGCGGAAGCTGATCTGCGAGCCCCGCCGCTGCCTAAAATGCCAGAAGATTGCAGCCCCACACATCGCGAAGGACTGCAAGCAGATACATGACACCTGCGCAAACTGTGCCTCGATCTCACACAAGACAGCTGAGTGCGAAGTGGACCTTACAGACTTCAAGTGCTGCAATTGCACACACGCTGGTCGTACTGTTACAGACCATGCCGCATGGGACCGTGACTGCCCAGTTTTCCAGGAACACTGCCACCACATGAAGGAATGCCAATCAGAATCTAGATACCACTTCTTCCCCACTGTGGACCCATCCTCATGGGAGCTCATAGGCCAGCTGCCGATACATGCTGCAGCCCCTCAATATGCTCCTGCCCCCATACCCGCAGCTCCACCTTCTCAGAACTGGGCCAACCAAGCAGAAGACCTTTACCCTCAACCTGATCTCTTCCCCCACCCGTCGCAGGCCCGCCGGGCCAGAGAACATGCACAACACACTCGTAGCTCCCCACTCCCTCATTCCCAACTCCGCCAGCCACAGAACCCATATGGTCAACGCCCAAACTCCCGAGGCTCTCATGCCTCTGACAAGTTCTCTTACGACAGAGCATCCCCCACTGGTTTCCATGTCTAGTACACCAGACCGTGAAACCAAGATGCTCCGTGTCCTACAGTTGAACCTCAACAAGTCGCTCACTGCTTAATTGGCCTTCATTAACTCCTTCTCCACCTCTGACTTCGACCTCGTACTCCTACAAGAACCATACCTTGACCCTCGCACATCCCTGACCCACGCCATGTCACACTGGATCGCCATTTACCCACACACCCACTACTCCGATGACAGCCCACATACCTGCTCAATCATCTTTGTTAGCAAGTGAATCTCTGGTGAGACATGGTCCCAAGTCAAGGTTGACTCTCCAGACATCACGGCCATCACTCTATGCACCCCATCAGGCCCCTTACATGTCTTCAATGTCTACAACAATCAGCGACACCAGGAGTCGATCAACCTCCTCGCCCGCTCCACTAGACAACTCTCCCAGCCCGATGGTGTGGAAGCGAACATGATATGGGCAGGAGATTTCAATCGACATCATTTCATGTGGGACGAGGAGCGGAATCATCACCTATTCACAAGAGAAGCACTGTCTCAGTCCCAACCCCTCTTAGACAACATCACAGCCTTCGACCTCACAATGCTCCTCCCTCAAGGTACCCCTACCCTAGAAGCTGCATTGACGAAGAATTACACTCAGCCAGATAATGTCTTCGCTTCCCCAGACATCACCAACAAACTCCTCTCCTGTGACACAGCCCCAGCCCTCCGCCCACCTTACACGGACCACATCCCAATTGCCCTCACACTCGACATCGCGATACACCCAGCTCATGAGGCCCTGCGCTGCAACTTCCGAGATGTAGACTGGAACATTTTCCGCACCTGCCTCAAGAGGAACCTCAACTCATACATGCTAGGGGAAGGTGAACTGACCACCACAGAGCAGTTCAACATAGTGCTCAAGTCTGTCTCCGATGCCATTTCCGAGACCATCAAGACAACGGTTCCCATATCTAGACCAACCCCTTTCACAAAATGCTGGTGGTCGAAAGACCTTGCCAAGTCCCGACGAGCCCTGCAACGCCTGGCCAGAGCATCCCACCGCCTCTGTCACATTCCCGACCATCCATCTCATGCTGAATACCGCAAGGTGCACAACCATTATGGCGATGAGATCAAGTTAGCAAAGCAAGACCACTGGGAGGCCTGGTTGGAGTCCTCTGACCCAGATTCCATATGGACTATCAACCGGTTCACTGCAGCTGGCCCCACAGATGGCAGTCGCCCCCGTGTTCCTCCACTCAAGGACGGAAACTCCCCACTGGCCGAAGACAATGAGGCGAAGAGCGCAATTTTGTACAGGGCCTTCTTCCCTGCATCAGGTGATCCCCCTCTACTACATGCTAAACCCAAGTACTGCAAGCCTGCCTTTAGGTTCATGTTCATCACCAATGCTCAGATCGAGGCAGTCATCAAGAGACTCAAACAACTCAAAGCCCCCGGCCCTGATGAGGCACCCAATGAGGTCTACAAACATTGCATTGCCTTACTGCTCCCACACCTAGGTCACCTCTTCTGAGGCACTTTCAACCTAGGAATCTACCCAGCAGAATGGAAGATATCAAACATGGTAGCTATCCAGAAGCCAGGTCGATCTGACTACTCAGCCGCAAAAGCCTACAGACCTATCACTTTACTCAACTGCATTGGTAAGATACTCTCTGCATGTGCCGCTGATGTCCTTGTCTATGAATTAGAAGCACATGACCTCCTCACCCACAACCACTTTGGAGGTCAACCAGGGAGACGTACAACAGACTCCCTCCACCTGCTTGTCAAGATGGTCAAGGACGCCTGATGGCAAAGGAAAGTAGTTTCTATCTTATTCCTGGACATTAAGGCTGCCTTCCCGAGTGCCCTCCTAGATCATCTTTTTCACAACATGCACACCAGGGGCGTCCCTTCTCAGATCATCAACTGGCTGAAGCGGCACCTTGAAGGCCGACGCACCAGAATCCTCTTCAACGACTTTAGATCAGCCCTCTTCGAGATTATCAATGGCATCGACCAAGGCTGCCCCCTTTCAGTCATCCTCTATGAATTTTATAACTCTGACCTCTTTGAGATTGCTTACAGAATCCCACAATCACTCGCCCTAGGATACATCGATGACGCAGCCATCATAGCTATTGGTAAGGACTTTGAAGAGACTCACACAATCCTCTGCAGCTACATGGATGATGAACGCGGCACAATGGCATGGTCAACCACACACTACTCGGAGTTTTCCCTGGAGAAGTTTGGTCTGCTCAACATGTCTGCAACACCACATGAACTTGGCCCGACACTCGAACTATGTACAGCCTCCATCAAACTGGCTGAATTGCACAAGTTCTTAGGCACAATCATTGATTGACGCCTTCACTTCCATGAACAGGTGGCAGGAGCACTTGCCAAAGGCATCACATGGGTCCAACAGTTCCGCCGACTAGTGAGAGCATCTGCAGGCATCCCCTTCTCACAGATGCGCCGTCTCTATCTCAGCATCGCTGTCCCGTGCATACTGTACGCAGCTGATGTATTCCTGACCCCACTCAGGAAGATCCCAGGCTGCAAGACTATGTACGGATCAGTCGGGGTGATCAAGAAGTTATCTCAGGTGTAGAGGCAGGCCGCTTTGCTCATAACTGAAGCCATGAAGTCCACGGCAGGTGACATGCTTGATGCCCATGCCAACCTCCTCCCCTTCCCCCTCTTAGTTGACAAACACTGCCACCGGGCGGCCCTTCACCTCTGTACCCTCCCCCCATCCCACCCACTACATGTTCATGTCAAGAGAGCAAGTGCACACCTAGTCAAACACCACCGTTCCCCACTACACAACCTCCTACACACATACCAGCTTCACCCAGATGACATCGAGATGATTGTCGCAGCCCGCTTCCCCCCCTCATGGTCCCCACCATTCCAGATGTCCATCGCAGCAAGCAAGTCTGATGCCCTGAAGGAGGAAGCTGACTGGGCGGGCAGACAGGGCCTTTGGATATACACAGACAGATCAGACATTGATGGAGGAGTCGGTGCCGCCGCCGTTCTCTACAGACAAGGCCACGCTAACCCCAAAGTCCTCCACTTCCACCTTGGAAAGTCCACGGAACACACAGTTTACGAGGCTGAGGACGTCGGCCTCATACTAGGGGTGAAACTAATATACGAAGAGTTCGTCATTTACAAGGCCTCTTGTGCAGCAGACAACAAAGCCGCAGTAGAGGCAACCCAGCTTCGCCACTCGGCCCCCAGCCACTATCTCCTGGACATGCTCCACAAGGACATCAACCGCCTCATCCAGAAACACAAGATTGGCAGATAGGCCCTAACTATCTGCTGGGTTCCTGGGCACAAGGATGTGACCGGGAACGAACGCACTGATGCAGAGGCAAAGAAGGCCGCTCGTGAAAACTCCAGTCTCACCATGGCACTCCCCAAATGTGTACATGCCCCACTTCTGCTCAGCACGTCCAAGCTCCGTCAGAGTCACCTACTAGGCCTGAAGACCCAGGCAGCTACTACGTGAAAGGATTCAGCACGTGGCCATGTGTTTGCCCGTATAGACCCATCGCTCCCTTCCCCCAAGTTTGAGAGACTTGTTACAGCCCTCCCCCGCCATCATGCTAGCCTCCTCATCCAGCTCCAGATGGGCCATGCTCCCCTCAACATGCATCTGTTCCGCATCAACCGCTTTGCCACCAAGACCTGCCCGGCCTGCCACAATCACCCCGAATCTATACACCACTTCCTCCTCACCTGCCCTGCACACTGCTGACAATGCGACATCCTGACACATGAACTAGGCCGGACAGCATGATTTCTCCCAAAGCTCCTAACGAGTGTGCGCACCATCCGCCCCCTCTTTCGCTGCATCCATGCCACTGACCGCTTCACCGCCACATATGGACAACTGTGCACGCTCAACAACCGCCGCCTGACCAAGTCCTAACAACTCGAGAAGTATTCGCCCCCTACTATTGTACATCTCTGACTCCCCCATTATGCTACAGGTCATACTTTATGCTCCTGCCCCCCCTCACTCGTCTCCCTCCTCCTCCTTGCATTTCTCTTTCTTTACACTCCCTCCCTCTCCTCCACCCTACTGTACAGATCAGCAGCCCGAAAGCACACCCTCACCCCAGAGACTAGGGGAGTTTTGACGGCCGGTGGGGGACCACCGGACGGATCTCTGACTGCGGCAAGAGGAAAAACCCGGGGGTAGTTCCTACCACCCACAAGGGCAGCGGGTTTAGAACCTAGCCTCTTGCGTTCAATCGTCAGAGGTCCAGGGTGTGTGCTTGAGAGCGTGCCTTACCTTTACCTCCCACCTCCCCTCTGCATTGCACTTACCCCTTCTCAACCCACAGATTTCACTTTACCACCCATAAAGCCCTCCGCTTGCGCAGGCAATATGTTTCATTCGACAACCCATTTCGTATATACACTTGCTAGCTACAGTAGTTACCTGTCTACCATAGGGCTCCGCCCTCGAGGACAATAAACCGGAATAAAAAATAAAAATAAAAATAAAAGATTTGCTGGCAGCAAGGTAGCTGCAGAAGTGGCAGATATCGAGAATCAGGTCCACTTGGCGAAGGAAGCTGAGAAGCAATGGCAGGAAGCTGCTAAGATAGAAGAGGAAGCAGTGTACAAGGAGGAGCTCGAAAAGAACAGAGTACTGTACCATTTCGATCTATTCAACATGTCACGTGTCACACGCCCTTCTGTTGTGTCGAAATTTGGCGGCTGTCATGGGTCACATGTAGTACTGTCACAAGGTCTTTGCATGTCACTGCCCCAAAAATGAGGGAAATTGCCTAAAAAGGGTCCAAAATGTCGAAAATTTCGGCCGGTTACGGGTGTCCGGCCATGATCTGGATGTCGCATCACATTCAGCAGCTTCAGGCCATTAGAGAAGGTTTGTGATGAGCCTTCAAAGTCACCACAAGTGTGGAGAGGGCAACGACTCCGCATGGCAGTGACGATTCCTGAAAAGATCTGTATCACTGGTCTTATGCTACAGTGTGTTGCATATGACTCTGCAGTTGTGCGATGCGCGATTTCAAGAATCTTTGTTTGTATGAGCCAAATAAGTGACCGTTGTCACACTTTCGCATACCTCCATGTTTGAACTGCTGGCATCATCCTGCTAGGGTCACCGTTTTCCAGGCTGTCCTGGTGGATCTGACCTTCCAGCTGGTCCTCACAGCAAATTGACACCTCCATGCTCAATATGAGGGTTCAGAATAGTTTTCTTCTGTTCAAACTGACAGACTACCATATTCTGGCGCATCTCGAGTGATGTTAGCAATGCCATGCTGGATCTGCAAGAAAGACAACATCATCGGACATGCGTGACAAATGATCACTTATTTGGCTCATACAAACAAAGATTCCCGAAATTGTGTGTCGCGCAACTGCAGAGTCATATGCAACACACTGTAATCATCTACCTTCTCTAATGGCCTGAAGCTGCTGAATGACTGGGCAGATGAAGTCAAGCCAGACCTGCACTTCCTCAGTGCACATCTTGAAGTAACGTGTCATGAGCTGAAGACGGGGGAGTACGAGGATGTTGAAGCAGCATCTCACTGCACTGATGAGGTGCCATTAGCTAAAGGTGGGGGAGTACTGGAGTAGACATACTCAACATAGATTGGCAAGATATAATGTGTATTATATCGGAGTATACCCTTTCATATGGTGCACGGACCTGTGCATAATACATGCTACTGATCCACTTCACTACATCATGCCGAGACCAATACCATCTTACTTGTGCATATTGATTGTTGCTTGAATCTTGGTGAATGCTGAGGACACGGCCTGCCCATTCATGCCGGGATCAGCACCATCTCACATGTGAATGTCTATCATATCAGAGTATACCCTTTCATATGGTGCACAGACCTGTGCATAATAACATGCTACTGATCCACTTCGCTACATCATGCCGGGACCAGCACCATCTCACATGTGCATGGCTTGAATCTTGGTGAATACTAAGGACATGGCCTGCCCATTCATGCTGGTACCAGCACCATCTCACATGTGAATGTCTATCATATCAGAGTATACCCTTTTATATGGTGCACAGGCCTGTGCATAATACATGCTACTGATCCACTTCGCTACATTATGCCGAGACCAATACCATCTTACTTGTGCATATTGATTGTTGCTTGAATCTTGGTGAATGCTGAGGACACGGCCTGCCCATTCATGCCGGGATCAGCACCATCTCACATGTGAATGTCTATCATATCAGAGTATACCCTTTCATATGGTGCACAGACCTGTGCATAATAACATGCTACTGATCCACTTCGCTACATCATGCCGGGACCAGCACCATCTCACATGTGCATGGCTTGAATCTTGGTGAATACTAAGGACATGGCCTGCCCATTCATGCTGGTACCAGCACCATCTCACATGTGAATGTCTATCATATCAGAGTATACCCTTTTATATGGTGCACAGGCCTGTGCATAATACATGCTACTGATCCACTTCGCTACATTATGCCGAGACCAATACCATCTTACTTGTGCATATTGATTGTTGCTTGAATCTTGGTGAATGCTGAGGACATGACCTGCCCATTCATGCCGGAACCAGCACCATCTCACATGTGTATGACTTGAATCTTAGTGAATGCTGAGGTGAACTGCTGGGTGTGGGGTGTCATAAGCTGAGGATGGGGGAGTACTAGGATGTTCTGTTTCTTTCGCTGCATCTCACTGTTATTTCTTATAGAGCAGCCCTTTATCTGACATCACTTTGAGTCGCAGCACTGAAATAACCATTGCTCTCTGAGTTGCTCATGGACCAGCATTATCTCAGGTGTGCATAATACATGCTACCGATCCACTTTGCTACATCATGCCAAGACCAATACCATCTTACTTGTGGGGAGTAGGCCACTGCTTTACATGGCAGAAACGATTCCTGAGGTCCTGTGTTCTGGTCTTTCTCTCATCATCTACTTGTTCTCACATACATTAATTATTTTGTATTACTCCTTAGCAGTTGATTACTTGTGAAGAGTGGTCCATTGCATTGCATAGCATATTGTATTTTTATTCAGTATCTATTTAAAGATTTCACCATTTGTATTCGCTCAAAATAGTCACTTTAGGCGAAAATATATTAAAATTTCATCTGATACTAATAAGTATAAAGAACTCAAGTCTTTCTTGTCAGTGTACAATTTTTTGAAGCTCTGATACTCTGTTTTTATTTTAACTAAATTTATGCGAAAATTCATTTTATACTAAAAAGAAATAAAGTATTAGAATAACTTACAATATTATTTGGATACTCTAGGTATCATGAACAACTGCATTACAATATTTTAGTATGCTATTTATCTAATATTTTACTTACAGATATTTGGTAACAGTACTGCAATAGTCCAGCATGCCATTTATATGTCTATATAAAGTAGTTAAAAGAAAATGCTAGTGCTTTCTAAATAAAAGCATTATAATAGTGTACAATCTTATTCAATAACTGGTATATTGCTTAGTAATATATGGTATGCTTGTAACAATATTATACTCTTGACTGACTTATAACATGCCATCGAATTATAGTTTATAAGAGCCTTATAATAGTGTGTTAGAGTATGCAAAACACTTTATAACAATAATATGTTATGTTATCACATGAGTCTTATATGTCTACTATATCATCTACTAACTTTTTCCATACCATTTAATATCAGTTAATAAGTAGTATAATATAGATAATAATTTATTTATAGCTGCCTAATAATAGTCTAACATATTGCTAAGTATCTCAGAGTGGAATTATCTAAAAGATGACTTTAAAATGATATTACTGCATCCTTTTATGAAAACTGTATAAGAATGTTACTAAAAATTGTTAGTACGCCTCTCCTAAAAATGCTCTTCAAAATTGCTTTTAAAATGATACCCTGTAAAAAGTATATAAAAACATTACTGCAAAGGTCCTAGTATGCATTTTAAAGGACTCAGCCGAAAAATGGCTTTAAAATGATATTACTATGTTGTTTTGCAAAAAGTATATAAAAACATTACAAAAAATAACTAGTATGCATTCTAAAAGACTCAGCCAAAAAATGGCTTCAAAATGATATTACTATGTTGTTTTGCAAAAAGTATATAAAAACATCACTAAAAATGACTAGCATGCATTCTAAAAGACTCAGTTGAAAAATGGCTTTAAAATGATGCTACTTTGTCATTTTATAAAATTGATATAAAAACCTTACTAAAAAGTAACTAGCATGTATTCTAAAAGGCTCAACTGAAAAATGGCTTTAAAATGATATTACTATGTTGTTTTGCAAAAAGTGTATAAAAATGTTACTAAAAAGTGATTACTATGCATTCCAAAAGAATCGGCTGAAAAATGGCTTCAAAATGATATTACTATGTCATTTTATAAAATCTATATAAAAACCTGACTAAAAAGTCATTAATATTCATTCTATAAGGATCACCTTCATAGCCTACTATGTCATGTACCTACTCCAAGGTAACTATCTGATAAAAGTTTCTTAATCTTAGATTCTATAGTCATGCTACGATTTTTCTGATATTTATATAATTTTTTGAGATTTCGTAATGTCTAGTAAGCTCCTACAATATCTTACAATATAGTTTACTAACCTTTAGCAAGTTGCTTAGTATTGTAATAACCTCATAATAGCCTGGTATGCCACTTAGTGTCAGTTTGTATGGGTCTTACAACAATCTACAATGTTATCTACTGAATCCATACCACCTAAAAACCATCAATAAGCCTCTTATAGTCTAATATATTCTCTACTGACTGCTAGTATGCCATATAATAATGTCTAGTAAGCATCCAAGAACCACTACAAAAAATGATGCAAGAAACTGTTACAAATGTGCCTGTCTACAAGGATCACTACAAACAATGACCCTAAAAACTGTTACAAATGTTTCTACAAGAATCACAACAAAAAAGTTGCCAACTGCCTATAAA